ATTGACGCAGACGGCGGTATGTATGCACTGGCGACGTAATGAAGGGATGGACAGCAGCTGCGGACTACGGAGAAGTATGGGAATCTCTCCTGACGTATTGCCTCGAATGGGTCAAGTCAACTGTCTCCCTTCCCTCCGAGCGCACGTTTCAAGAAAACATGGATGTCATGGACACCATTGGCAAAGCGTAAATAATTCCCTCCCACGCCGGGTTATGCTGTGTCACCGATGGAAAGGCAAAAAAAGGAGGACGGTCGGCCAAGGATCTGGCTGCAGGATAGTCTTCCTGTGCTACTTGGTATGGGGGCAGTGAAGAGTGGAGCGAACGGCTCTCTCGCATCCGCCGCTGTTTCCTGACTGTCGGGCCTCCCTCTCTGCGAACCTTCGAGGCCCGAGCACCGCTGCCAGTCAGGAGTTTGTCTTTTCCTGGCCAGGGAGAAAAGGAAGCATGGGGAAAAAAGCAAAAACTTAAAAATAATAAAATAAAAAACATACATCTCCTTATACATAAAAAAAAGGAATTTCCCTACTCTGTATTATTTATATCATTACGGACCAGATACCTTCTCCTACGATGGAATGTGGACATGGATTCTCGGCGTTACCAGGATCTCCTGTCACTTGATGGGGTAATTAATTTATAATAAACACGGCCATCTCCATAGATTAATTGATGTGCAAGGTTCCTGGGGAGGGAGGCAACAGTCCTCCGTAGGCCGCAGCACTCTGTGGATTGTCATAATGCACGCACCTGTAACGGGGCATCCATCTTATTCCAGATTGATTAACTGCGTCCACCGGGGTTTACTGCTCTATTCATACAATACAAGGTAATGGAGAGTGTATCTGGATACATACATACATGTACATACACACATACCTTCGTTGGATACCTGCCTAGCTATTAGGATATCACCACTTGCTATAATCCCAAGAGCAGGGGAAAATTACGCAAAGGGTAGAAAGTGCTACGAAAACCTATCATCCTCGAGGTAGCTATCGTGGGTCGATCGTTTTTTGTCAACCTTCTTCTGAAAACGGTTAACCTTCTTTTTTTTTTCATGGATGATAACTACTAGTGAATCGAGATACCCGGATCTCTCTCGCAGGTGCCGCATAATTACACCCGACGGTACTTCGATCTTTGGGACCATGACGTCGAGGTAGTACGGAGTACCTTACTGGGGGGTTGTACTCCGTAAGGAAAAGGTGGGAACAAAAAAAAAAAAAACAGACAGACCCAACGACTCCCGGCGTTATTGGCCGCCCTCCTCGGTCGGGGTTCATATTTCCCCTATCGGGGACCATGTGGTTCCCGATTCGCCCAAGTGCCCGGCTTGGAGGGCGTCGCGCCAACCCGTTTAGGGCTTAGGGCCACTTCGGCGTCTACCTGGTCTGTACGCCGACCGGAGTATAGCCCGCAGGTGACAAGGTACAGCCCACTGAAGAGGCGGTTTGCTGCAGCTCCCACCACCACCATCACCGCTAACGTCAACTACTTACGTCCGAACTGCCTGGCCCGATATCCCTTTTCGTGGAAATAGTCGATAAATAAATAAAAAATAAACAAAATATCGGTGATTGATCTGGCATTCCTGAGTTCGTCGCGCAAGAAGTTCGAGGCAACACAGCGCAAATGCGGTAAGCGCTAAGACCCAGGCAGGAAGTAGTTAAACATTACTGGTACGGTGGAATCAGACACAACCCGTAGCAAACACAACTCCCATAGGTAAAGAGCGCCACCAATCGACGTATCTCTATCCAGTTGTACATCCACACGGGCCATCGAATCCGAAGTCATCTGTGCCGCCATAGGTTCGCGATTTCTCCTGCGTTGAGTCGTAGTTTGTACAATACAGAGACGACCGTATCACTGCAGTAGTACATGTAGTCGGGCTTCGCCTACGTCTTCAAAGTGCTGGTGTTGCCGCGCAGAGTTGTAGCGAGAAAGTCTTGCGGTACGTCGCGTAACTCGGAGTACCTTCGCGGGACTTGGGAAGCAATCAGGACCCCGAAGCATATCTCCTGGACTCAACAGACTGCTTCCCCGGTTGCGAAAAGGCCGAAGGGGAGGCAATGGTCGTCGCTACGTCTCGCTTGGACCTTTCTGAGAGACCCGACCTTTGCCAGTTGCAGTGGTCTCTTATCGACAGCCTTCATGAAAAGGCATCGGCATAGCTGCAGGTGACGAAGGTGGAGTTCCTTGCTCTAGCATCGTTTCCTTCTTTGGGAGGTGAGAACGTACGTGGGCATAAAGCCAAACATCCGGGTTGGGTATCCCCGGCGTTTTTTCGCCCAAGGGATCCGGCTGAACAGTCCAATAGATCTGACGCTTGACTTGGGATAATCCACGCGCCTTGCTGATAGCTCATTTCAGTCTTTGTCTCGACACGAAACCCCCGTTAAGCCACATGCGCACACAGAGCGAGCACGCGGCCGCCTCGCTACGCTTGTGACTTTCTTTTGTGAGACCGCGTGGAAGCGACGACACCATTGGTGATGGTGGCAATGGGCCGTGCAAGTTGGCTGACGCTATCGACGGCCATTCCACCACGGGGGGAACGCTTCGGGGGGGTTGACTTCGGTTCGTTGCAAACATGGGTGCATGGTGTGTCAGTTTTGCTACATTACGAATGGTCAGCACTAGAGCGCATCCAAGGATTGCGGGTGGCTAACGAATAACACGAACGAAACCACTCTTTTTCGAGGATCCTCGCGGCTGAACGGTCTTTCTCGGTGTCTTTTAGCCTTTCGTGCCCACAGACTTGAAACCATGAGAGTTTTTACTCGTTGCGACGCCTCCAAAGCTACCATAGACTCGGTGTGGCTGGATGTAGGATTATTGGCAAGCTGCAGGGAATGTCAATGTCTATACCATGCGGAACGCCAGCGATCCCTAGAAGCAATTGTTTGCTGCTAGTACCCAGGCCGTTATCTTACCACGTGGACGAAACTGTATTGATTTAGGCCTTTGGTATTAGGGTTTTCTCGTCTTGTTCCTGTATGCCCATGGATGTTTCAGGGATTGTTGTATCAACTGTGCAAGAATAATTATGGCGGGAAAAACTCCAACATGTTGTATCTAATGACTGCTCGAATGTCAGCGAGGGGCATTAATACCTGACCCCTAAAAAAAGCATGGAGCCTTTATCCTGAGCTTAGAAACTTTAAGTTGTCATCTCTATTGAAGCTATACAAAGTTTGTAGATGATCTTGCACATGGTGAAAGGCATGGGGCGAGTGCTTGAACGTGCGTGACTTGTTTGGGTGGCAAATTGTGACTCGGCACATGACTTGGAATCTCGTCGTGCGTTCTGTTTCTTCGCACATTCATCGTCCTTCTCCGGTCAGCCAATGTCAATGAGATGATGTTGCAGCCGCACACAGATGTTTGTGCTTCCGATTCCCTTAATTTTTCATCTCGAGCTCAAGTTTCTACTATTAAGATACCGGGATCAGCGAGTAATTGCATCATTTCGAATACTTAACGACCTTGTCGAGATGAGTTTGATGCGCTCAATTATTGCTTAGGATGACATCGCGCTGATTTCCTGTAACATAGTCTTGTCTAGATTCGTCTATTAGTCGAGTTTTTTCAATGCCACGGATTCAAAAGGCGCTCAAATGCTTCGCCCGAGGAGCCCCGATACCACCTCAACGCCTATTCAGATCCTCACCACTTGCCTAAAATGAGAATTCACCAATAGACCACTACATAGATACAAGGTTTTTCCATGTCTATCACCAAATGTACGGCCAACACCCTGGAAAATGTGGAGGATGGCTCTGATTTCTATTGCCTAGAAGGTTTCTGCCAACGTCACCCAATTGGCTTGGCGAAAATAAACCCAACAGTTACGGTGGCGCTATGATTACCCTAGCCTAATGCTTTTTATGTTGATACTTGGGGAAAAGAGCCATATGGACTAGCGAGTTGCTAGTATCTCTCCCACAATCCGGCCTCGTCGGCGAGCAACAACATGGCTGAGAGAACTCGAAAACAAAGGTCAGTGCACTCCAATCTACCCGTGGTTGAAACTCAATCTAAAGGACCCATTCTTTCAGTCCCAAGGACATGGACTTCCCGTCCATCAGCCGAACTAACCACCCACCAGGAAACGCGACCCGCCCCAAACAGCAATAATTGGCAATGGTTCTGGATCCATGGGGCCCGTGCCGGCTGAAGTTGGATCTGCCTGCCCAGTGCCCAACTCCCTCGACTCCTGGCCCCATCTTCCTTGGAGACTAACCGTGGATTGATTCATGCTCGTTGGAACTGCACGGGATCGGATCAACTTGGTCGTCGCACCATTGCCGGCTCGTTTGGCGGAGTTCTACTTTGAAACCCCCAAGGGGAGACGATGGGGCATAAGGCGCCGCGCTACCAATGCTTAGACTTAAGGGACAATCTCGGTAGGGATGTGACGACGGGATATTGACTGGAGCACCCCCTCCGTCTCCTTTTCCAAAAATAATCACGATGATTTTCTCCAACTCAAACAGAGTAGAAAGTGGAAGCGAGAAAAGAGGGTCTGGAACGGTAATCGACTAATTCTAGCACAAGAGACCGGAGCGGAGTAAGACTACGCCAGAGTAGGACTCCATAGCATCAAATCCCCACCATCCCCTCTCCCCTCCTCCGCTGTGAATTGCTGTCCTCCAATAGATTTCACCCCAAGAACTTACACACCACGGCATCAAAAGACGGGAAGCGATGCACCGATTCCCCACTCATCGGGGTCCATGATGGACGCTGCACTGACCGCATTTGGCCATGTCCTCCATTCACACCGGTCGTGATCTCGACGAAGCCTGACCATACAGGATGAGGTGTGCATGTCAACTGACCCGGATTGGCTCTGGTTGACTCCAAAGGTGAGGCGGGTCGGCTTTGGTGCTGAGGATTCGAGAGCACATGCATCTCTAGGGCCAGGTGCGATTTTTCTTTTTTTTATTCTTTTTCTTTTTCGGGCAGACACAGAAGACACATGCTAATGATGCTATGCTCCATACCTCTTGACGCTTTCTAGCGGTATGACCCATTGAAATCCATTTGTGCCCAGAAGAATTCGGGTCTTTTGACCGGGAAGCACGATATCGACCGGGATGGAATCGAGCCCGGTCAAGTCGGCCTGTAAGTGAATTTTAGTTTCGCCATCCACGACGGACCAGGAAACATGGACGACGCCAGTGCTGGTCCCTCCTGTCATCTTCAGTGGAACAGTGGCCTCCAATTCTCTAAAAAGCCCTAGTCGTGGTCGAAACTGGACCACTGCCCATCCCGATTCCCCAGGGCGAATACCAGCGACTTCAGCCGTGAACTCATACAGCGGTACGCTACCCCACGCATGGCAATCAGATCTTTTTGAGACGTTGTCTTCAACCCATGTAGTAACATTTTGAGACAACTGGTCTTGCCATGGACTCCAGAATTGATGGAAATTCTCGTCGTACAATTCCGCGCCGGCTAAGCTCATGGCTCTCAGCGTATAGAAGGACATGGAGACAGACTCCTCGACGAATTGGCCAGTCTTCTTCTTCTGCAAGCCTTTTCGCAAGGTATCTTGTGCCTCTGGCCCGGTGACTGCTCCACTCAAAACTGCCCATACCTGGCAGTGCAGACTGTAGTCGACCGGCTTGGCCTCTGTCGCCAACGTGTCAGCAAAGAACTCGCCGTCATAGCAATGTACTTTCACGGCCTCGTTAACTTCCTGGCCCCGACGTCGATACTCCTCGGCGATGGATGTCCTTCCCGTCGCAGCTAGCACCTGTGCCGCAATGAACAACGTGTATGCGTATAGTTGGTTTGTGAATGTTGATATGCCTGTTCGCTCGATGGCCGGTGGAACTCCATGTGGTTTCCACTGGCTAGTCCAGTCAACAAAATTCCAGATTCCTGGTCGCACTTCCGCTGTGACCAATCCATGTACATCGATTCGAGAATGGAAGTAGGATAAAACGGCATCAATCACCGGTAGAAACCGTGAAACAAATTGGATGTCCCCGAAATAGGTGAGGTGATCACCAATCATACATATCCAGTACAGTGAGAAATGGGGGATAAATTGCAGACGATGAGTAGGCGCCCGGCTTGCCGTCAAGCCAATCTGAGGCTGGAAGGTATTGTGTAGCTGCATGATAGCCTGTCTTGCAAGACGATCGTCGCCAGATATACTGTAAGTGAAGAGAGAAGAGCTGCGGGCATCCATCGCATACTGAAGCTGCTCATAGAACGGACAATCCTCATAACAGTCATGCATGCAATTGGACAAAGTTCGAAGGCTCGTGCTCCACAGTTGTTGCCATAGATGGACTTCAGAGAAGGTCCAGGGCTCTACTTTGAAGCTAGCCAAAGTCTCCAGAGGGTAGTTGACTGTTTCGATGTCAAGACCTAGGAGCACCAGGTCCTCTGAGCCGGTATCAATTTGGATGTTGAGGAACCGGAAGGTTCGGAAGTGAAATGGCATAAAGACCTCCTCGGTAGCTTCATGCTCACGATATCCCAGGCCCTCAATACCATCGGCTCCTTGGAATTGGTATATATCCTGCGGGCCGTAGAGCGCCTTGCTTGAATCACGTCGGCCTTCCTTTTTCCTCACCCATGGTGTTGATTCGGGCTTATCTTCATAGCATTCCGAATATACAACACGAAGGACACCGTCATTCATCTTCGGACGTTTGAAGTGGATCCTGAGGAAGGCCGTTATATGTGTTGACATCTCCACGTCCACTTTATGCTTGGTTCCGGCGGGAAGCAACAGACCAGTTTCAGCGTTGCCTCTATCAGTCAGAGCCATCTCCCACTGCAAAGGTGCTAGACAACTTTCGACATTGTGAACGGTTGAGCACTGTGTCTTTGTGATCTTATGGAAAGGTAAAAGGCGTGGCGAAAGGCTCCACGGTAGTATATTTCCGGTGGAGTTTTTGAATTCTCGGAGCATAGCTGGCTTCCAGTCCAAGGAGGATGTCTCACTCCTTGGCCGTGAAGTCTTTTCATAAATATGGAGGAAATGGTCTTCAGGCTCATCAATCCGCAGCGTGGTTGAAGGATCGATCGCCGTCTCCCACATAGTATTGCTTTCAAGCTGACTTTTCCAGTATCCATCTTCCCCAGGGACCGTGATCCGAACCCCGCCGAAGGGCGTTCTTACAAAGGAGGGCGCAAACGTTGTGGCATGAAAAAGACGGAGGACATGGACTGCGATTCGGTTGCGGCCAGGATGAATAAAAGGGACGATGTCGATATCGTCGTAAAACCAAAGGCTCTGGTCTCCCTTCACCGGGCCGAAGGCGACACGCTGGCTGTTCACGTACAGCTTGTATCGTGTGTCGGCTGTTATTCGAATAACAAGAGAAGCTGGGATCGCTATCGAGATGGTCAAGTCTTTTCTAAAATGCACAAATAGGCCTGCCGTGTCGGTGCGGTCCTCCGTGAAATCCGGATGCCACATCCAGCTTCGGTCAAATTCAAGGGACATGGTGTGTTTCTGTCGATGCGTCGATGTCTGCTCGAGAACGCGTTGTTGATGATCAGTAAGTGTTATGATACATGCCAGCTGGACCTCTTTAGACAGAAACTTACTCCGCAATATAGCACGGGGCACTATCGTTTTTTGCTAGTCTCTTGGTTGTCTCGGTCGAGTTACCTCGGTCATGGGTTGATATGGAGTCTATTCCACCGAAGCCCGAGTGTGGAAGACGCCTTGCTCTGCTTGACTTGGGGCCAGATGTTGCATTGATCCGGGGAAGTTCAAGGATGTTGGCCAGCACATGCTAGTCATCTGAACATCCGTTGCATGATTGGTCGAAATCAGGTATAGTCTAGGTCAGTTACTGCTCGGACTTACCAGAAACGGTGACGGATACGCAATACGAGCCCTAGCTAGCACATCTGTCATTGCAAGCCATGGATTTCTCGGTGTTTTTTATTCCGTCTGCTCCTGAATCCAGCTGACACCGGGGGTCTTAGGGTCCATGATGCTCAGATCGGGGCCCCGGATTTGCGATCTCCACTATGCTTCCCCGCGCTTTTGACTCCATTCGCCAAAGCGTAATATGGAGACATCGGCTGTTGAGAGCGCGTCGGCTTTTGAGGGCACGTCGGCGTCTGATAAGAGGCCAACAGAAGTAATATCACAGGAGAAACAGTTAAAAGGCATAGAGCCCCGACATACTCTTCTAATTGTTTTTTAAGGGCTGTCTTGTCTTCCTCGAGATTCTTTACATAGGAACATTATCATGGCAACACAGACAGACAGGATCGAGGAAAATGAAGGCAAGGGCATGGACCAACAAATTGAGTCCACTGGCGAAAATACCAAGGCTGGTGAAGTCGCACTGAAATCCCAGGCTGATGACCTAGGCGTCTGGGCAACGGTCAAAAGATTCCCGAAGGCCGTCTTTGTGTGCAACCTGTTGTGCATCGCTGCGGCCGCGGACGGTTACCAGATTAACTTGAACGGTCGGTCATCCCTGCTCCTACAGGCATACTATCTGCTCTATGTGTTGGCTAAACCTCCAGTTTAGGAAACATCATAGCAAACCAGGGCTTCATCAACCATGTTGGTTTTTTGGACTCGAGTGGGGAGAGGGCGCTCAAGGCCAACTACACGGCTTTATGGGGTGCCATGCAGTCTCTTGGACAGTTGATTGGTATGGTCTTTATGAACCCCATCTCCGATCTCGTCGGCCGAAAAATGACGCTGTACGGTGTCTGGATCGTCCTTGCTGCGGTAATACTCCATGTATGTTAGGTGGCAAAGCCCCTCCTCTAATAATTTGCTCTCCTAGTCGCTTATAATCGAGACCCTTGTTCGGGACTGGAGAGATTGGACTGGGGCAAAATTGCTGGCTGGTGTCGGGATAGGCGCCATCCAGGCCACACTTCCGGTCTATGTGATGGAGTGGTCTCCCGTCAATATCCGTGGAGCCATGATCGTTACTTATGGCTTCTGGAATGTCATTGGAAAGTTTCTCGCTAATCTCGTCCTCATGCTGGTGCAGACCAGTAACCCCAATAATTACAAGATTCCTATCCTGACACAATGGGGTTTCCTGGGTATCATGCTGCCCATCTTTTTGTGGTTACCTGAAACACCTGGTTAGTTGCTCCTCACTCGAGTGCCTTTTGACTACTAATCGTATTGGTGATCTTGAAGCTTACTACGCCGAGCGAGACATGGACGAGCTAGGTAAAAAGACTCTCAAACGCGTCAATGGCTCCGTCAAAGATTACAACCTGGAAACCGAGTACGCCATCATCAAGAATACCATTATCGAGGAGCGACACGCTCGCATAGAGCTTGGTCAGGCGGGCTTGACCTGGCAGGAATTGATCAGATCCTACCTTGAGTGCTTTCAGCGTGCTAACGTCCGTCGTACAATTGGGGCCGCCTTGCCGGGTTGTGCTCAGCAGCTGGCCGGTTTATCTTTTCTCAATACCTATGCCAGTCTCTTCTTCAAACAGAGCGGATTCACCAATGCATTCCTTATTACCACTATCATGTGTAAGTGCATTGGATACCGGACCTATCCTCTACATTGGAAATAGGATTGGTAATTGCTGACACTCGGTCTTTAGGCTCGATTCAGCTGTTCACTGCTCTTTGTCTTATGTTTCTCACAGATACATTCGGCCGTCGAAACATGGTTTTCGTTTCTGTCATCGTCTGCACCGTCACGCTCTTGATAGTTGGGATTCTGGCATTTGTGGCCAAGACGGCTGGGATCAAGGCATTTCTCGTCTTCGTTGCGTGCGTGTGGGCTTTCGCCAATAGCACGGGTGAGTTTCATTTGCATCTTCTAGGAAGAAGAATTATTGATGGTTGGTTTTAGTTGGTAGCTTAGGATTCGTCTTCGTCGGGGAGGTTTCCTCCCAGAAACTGCGAGCCAGAACCGCCGGTGTCGCTTCCGGTTTATCGGTGCTCTTTGGTCTTACTTTCAACACCTCCCTGCCTATCATCTGTAAGTCTCCGCTGCTTGTATCTCTTTGGGGTTGGAACTAACGGTAGTTGCTGTTTAGTGGATCCCGCCGGTGTGAACTGGGGCTATAAGACGGCCTGGCTTTTCTTCGGCTCTGGGGTGGTGGTTTGTATTCTTCTCTACATTTTCCTCCCCGAATGTTCTCGCCGGAATGCTGCTGAGATCGATGAGATGTACGAGAAGGGTATTCCGGCTTGGAAGATGAAGAAATACGTCACTGAGGTGCAAACGATGCATCAGGTTCACTAGAGGGCGGCTTGAAATTGGTGTGGTGACTAAGTATGGCTCTTCCCTGGTTGAGCCTATCTTTTGGGGGATTTGGTTCGGTGCTATGGCAACTTTTACTGATACTTCAGTGATCCCCTCGTGTACCACGGCTCTGTGTGTTTGGTTTTTTGTATTTTTGTTGAATATTGGTTGAAATTGTGCCATCTGTTCAGGGATAACTGCAATATATATCCTACCCAAGTACCGCTCCTTGCCCCGACAAACGTGTTGAGATAAAGTAGCGATAACATATGACCCTATATGCTGCAACTGAGTTGATTTGCATTCCATGGTCCAGATTTCATCCTATCCTAGCCCACAAACGGCATCATACGGCCGATTTGTCGCACACAGTCAAGGTTTAGACAGGAGAAGGGCATAGGGTTATGGGGTTGTCATTGCAGTATTTCGATTATTGTGCTAGGCTTATAATGCAAATTATGGCCCATATCTTTCAAGATTGGCCGGTTGGTGTAGTTGGTTTATCACGTATCGTTAACACCGATAAGGTCCTGGGATCGAGCCCCAGACTGGTCACTTCTTTTTGCTCCCGAATTTTTTCGGGACCCGCCCACTATTCGGCTCCCATAACAGATTTGATTATTACTATTATCACTAGGCAGAGACCAGGCCACTTTCTCTGTACGAAGCACTCCGCGCAACTTATGTTTGTCGGCGCACAATAACATGTTCTATAAGCCTAGACAACCCTGAAGAAGCCATTGACATTATATTGCAAACGCCGAAGAGAACACCCAAGCAAACATCGAAAAAGGAGGAGAAATAAGAAGCCGGCGTTTTAGGTCTAGTTCGCAAGACACGACTTCTAACAGGTTATGAGCCCGGGTTAATAGGGATTCGACAGACATTACACCTTCGAATCCCGTCCTCGGATACCTATGGATTATGGAAGCTGCCTATAACAACACTTAAAAGAAAAGACCTCCACCCATACAGACACAGACATAACCAAGGCAAGCTACAATGCAGTCCTTGAGGGGAAGTGTTGGACATAAGAAGTTATTAGACAGACTGGCCTTGAACCAGCTAGTGTTTTTGCTTTTTGGTCTAGATTGCAAAGGCACCCACCACTTCTAACAACCGATACCCGTCAAAACACAATGCAGGGATATACGTTTATAGTATACCTGCATCCCAGCAAGGACTCATGCCTTTGTCTGTACATCGCATAGTCTAACAGCTTCCGGATGATGCAAATAAGCCTGGAGGTCACCGGGATAGCGATACCCGAACAAAACCATAGCAATCCACATCAGAAGCGCATCGAAAATGTAAAGAGTCCATTCGTGACTCAAAAGATACCCATCATGGCCCATGATGAACTCGACCACACGGAAGATCGATCGGACCATGATGAGCAGACTGACCATGTAGAGCGTGCCGAGGTGGGATTTCCAGGGTAGTTCGGCGTTGAAAGACTCGGTCGTGGGAGATTTCTGCATGCGCATCTGGAACAAAATCGCGGTGACGATGAAAAGGCCAAACATGATCACTTGAATGAGGAGGCCGGCGATGACAATGTTATTGCCCATGCTTGCCAGATCACTGCTGACCATCATACCGGCGGCTCCTCCTTGAACCACAAAGGACAGGACATCGCCGAGGACAAAGATCTTGGTGAGCCAATTGACTCGGATCAACGAATGGTGCTCCGCCCTGACTGCAGTGATGATTCGACCCAGCACCATATAGACCGACGCGGCAAAGAGAGCAGGACCAAGCAGGATAAAAGTGTTTTGAATGCAAAACGGCATCATCCTCCCTGTCTTGTCATAGGCGGAGGCTCTGGCGCAGTAACCGATAAACTCGACTGTTGCTATCAGTCAACCATGACACCACTTTGTCAGAATAACTTTGGTACTTACAGAACCCCCCAATGGCAAAGCAGATACAAAACCAGGTCTTCAATTTCCATATCTTCCAGACATGGAACGCCGTTGCCCCGAGAAAGAGCAAGAGAAAGATAACTGCGGCCGCCCTCGAGGGCACATATTGCCAGAGGTAGTAGCCTTTGTATGATTGTAACTCGGGCATTCTAGCACAGAATATACTGGCCTTAGATCCAGCTTGGAATAAGCAACGGGGAACAGAAACAATTGTCAGTTGGTGAGACTGAAGCGTCAGGCTAAAGGTCTGTCTTGAGAAGTAATTTTTGTTCAGGGTGGAATTGGGTCTCCGCTCTTATAATAGTTGCCATAATAAGCTAGCAGGTCCTCTGGAGAGGCAACGAGGAAAGGAAAAACACGGTGGCTCTTGAAAGAGTGTTTATTCTTAGATTTCGTGGTAGGGCTGTAGGAGTCTGCCTGGAAAAACCCCGTTGGTCTGTGCATACGCGTATAGCAAGGGTGGGCCTGGAGGACACTAAACATGGTACAGGACAGCATACTCCGTAACCTCGATGTAGGCCAATGGAACATTGGGTCCTTCTGCCATCTCGAAGGTCAGATTTTTTCGTTGATAAAAAAAGGTTGATGGCACAAAACCGGCGATGGTCGATGACTAATCACACAAAGCACTCGTCTTTCCATTCTTCCTTCCTTCCATCTTCTCATCTCCATCGTTCAGTACGTCAGACGTTTTCGCCACCCACTGTGCTTCTTATGATCAGCGGGGCTAAGATAAGCGTGCATCGATGAGAACTTAAATGTACCAATTGCTATGCCACGTCGAACCCATAAAAAGTCGCGAAACGGTTGCGTCGAATGCAAGCGACGCCACGTGAAGGTAGACCCTGTCTCATTCAATCATTGCCAGAATGGCCCCTAATATGGTACTTAGTGCGATGAAAAGCGTCCAAATTGCTCGAACTGTATCACATCTGAGCGACACTGCGAGTATGCAGGTCTGAAGCTCATCTCTTCCAGACCCCTTAGAGCCTCTCGCTCAAGCAGCCGGGTGTCGACATCCCCATCGACGGCGGTAGCTACCCAGATCCCGCTAGAGGTGTCGAATGAAATCAGTATAGACAGCCCTCCTGTGAACATGCTGCATTTCGAGCTTCTCCATCATTTTACCACCGAAACTTCCAAAGTAATGGGCACCGGTGACATCCAACTAACTCTTGCTGACGCCCTGAAGTATGGCCTGTCGGCGCCATATCTTATGAACCAATTCCTGGCGCTGTCTGCCTTGCATCTCAGCCTTGTACGTCCTGCACAGCAAAAGCACTATCGGCATTCAGCGTCCCAGCTCCAGACACATGCTCTCTCAATCTACAATACCAATAGGCCCGAAATCAATCAGGAAACGTGCGTTGCCACGCTCCTCTTCTCTTCGATGATAGGGATTCACACACTTTGCGACAGTCTCAACTACCGGGAGTCAGACTTTATGTCTTTCCTCGATAGATTTGTCGACTGTCTCCACCTGCATCAAGGTGTGCGCGCAGTGGCAAAGAGCTCATGGACAACACTGCGTGAGTCTGACCTGGAGCCGGTGCTGGCGGCCGGGGAGGCTCTACCAAAACTAGGTGCAACCCTAACGCCGGAGTTTATGAACCTTCTGAAGCTTATACGTGCGGCGAAGGTAGGTGACATGCTAACCAACACTTACCAGCAAGCGATTGAGGCGCTGCAGTCGGTTAGCAGCGCTATAACATCAGACCACAATGGCGACTATACAAGAAATTATATTGTCTCGTGGCTGACTCTCATTCCCTCCGAATACATCGATTCATTGACGTTGAAACGGCCAGAGGCTGTTGTTATCCTAGCGCACTATGCTGCCCTTCTACACCAGCAACGTAGCTCATGGGTATTTGGGGATTCGGGGAGATTTATCATCCAGACTATCGATGCATATCTTGGTCCACCTTGGACGGATTGGCTGGTTTGGCCGAAGCGAGTACTTGATGAGACTCCGCCGACTCCAGAATCCACCTCGATGGAACAATGAGCCACACGTTGGCCGATAAACCGTTTTCCGGACTCCAGACTCAAGGTTTATTTTCTTAATCGCGGAATTCCAAAACACATTGCTTTACAGCATTCTTATAAGCTGATATATAAACCGTATGATCACTCAGTCAGAAGTCCTCCCTTTCCAATCGTACAAGATGTCTAACAGTATACAGGATATTAGGAAGGACGAAAAAATCGAAAATCATCTGCAATCAGACCCCTTTCTTCGACCCGCTTAGAAGAACAGGCGAAGGAGCTAGTATCTGAGGCATCTCCACCCTCGTAAATCTGCTGGGAAGGATATGGGCAGAGAGGTCGGACAGTTCCATCGGCCCTGCTGGCATTCAAAGTTTCTGGAACAACACCTTGTTCAACCCAAGCAATAAGTTCCTCTAGTGCGTAACGGGGAAATGGTCCAGAACCACCTACACAGTGTCCGACTCCCGGGGCCTCGTATAACCGGTAGAATTCATCTGCGGAAGGGTCGAGCTCCAGTACTTGCTGGTAGTATGCAATGGATCCGTTGGGAGGAATAGTTTCATCGGCGAGGCCGTGCCATGAAATCATTTTCCCGCCGGCGTCACGAAATCCAGAGAGGTCAGGACTGGCTGCGGCCATCATGGAATCGTATTCTCTGTCCGAAAGCTGGAGCGCGGCGAAAAATTCTGCGATGGTCATGTTCGATATTTCAAATTCGAGGTCTTTGGCAACGAAATACGGGAACCAACTGCTCAAGAGCTCAGATGGTGCTGCCGAACATGTGCCGTTTGAGCATTCGGTGTTGATATACGTGGCTGTGAGGGAGGCGTCTTTGTTCAAACCGAACCAGCCAATGTTGCCTGCCGGGTTGCGCGGGCCAGCCCATGCAGCTTCGACAACATTAGCACCCGCCTCTGTAAAGACCCTCCTTTCGGTTTCGTTGCAAGGGATACTCTGACCCACTACGCTGTGCGGGTTGAAGTCACATAGGTCCGGTGCCGAGATGATCCCATCTTTCACTCCATCCAGCATATCACAGGCTTCAATCGCTGCATTGGTGAAGGCGTTGATCTCACAAGGCGACGGGTACACGCCGAGGCCTTTCATGACCTGCTGCGCCCAGTACCCAGCCGGAATGAGGTTTTCAATATTGATAGCCGGTGCTAGAGACAAGATACCGTCATACTGATCAGGATATCTCTGAGCAATCATAAGGCCCTGGCGACCACCTCCTGAACAGCCGCCGAAGTATGAATATCTCGGAGGACGGCCAAAATACGCCTCGGTGATCGCCTTCCCAATGATCGTCATGTCATACAGAGACCTGGAGCCGAAGTCTTCCAAAAGATGCAGGTTGACATTCCCGGGGCTCGTGAGCACCCAATCCCCTGGTTTTTGAGCAGCATAAGGACCTGGCTCATGGCCCCCATCCGTATCAACGGCCACAAAACCTTCGGCAACCGCTTGCGTCAGAACCAGGGAACCAAACCCAGCACTGTAGCCACCACCCCCTAATGCCTCGAGCCTACCATTCCAGTTTTGATGCTCGAGTGGCAACCAAACCTCGACGTTGATGGTGTCGTTCCAACCGGGATGCGTGTAGGTGACCGTGGTATTGCAGAAGTCGATGGTGTAAGATCTTGGTTCGGGAGAGCTTGGTTTAAGCGACAGCGCCGTGAAATTGTGAACAGCATTCGCACTGATACTGACAACCTCTGCGCCCTTCAATTCGGGGAATTTAAAGGTACTCGAGGAACATAGCGGAGTCCCACCGACTGGGCTCAACAGGGCCTGGGAAATCGACAATCCGATCGAAAGCAGATTCAGGGGCGACATTTTCAAATGCATAGCCATAGTATAGGAAAGGGACCATCGAACAGGTCCTCACCAAAAGACAGAAAGCCTTTCTATCAAAAAAGAAAGAAAAGATAAGTATAGAAGATATGAGAAACGAAATGAAAGGGAGGCAGGGGAAGACACACCTGAATGTCCTTGATATATAACATTTTTCACCCTCCACACACCACCACCCCAGGACTTGACGAGTAGAAGCATATTCGTTCCCTGGTATGAATTCCAGAAGCGACATCACTGGGCTATGTCTATACGACAGAGCCCGCGTATGCACAGACCAGGTGGATTTACGTATCTAACCCGATACACGCACATCCCGATGATCCGGTCAGAATCCGCCTCCTTTCCAATCACGTTCCCAGCTCCTCGACACAGCTCCACCGGCAATAGCAACTAAGGATCTACAGAGTAGAATTATCAGCCGGTTTCCTTGGAACCACCTCTATACGCGTATCGACGCCGAGTCAAGAATCCCTCGGCCATGTGGAAACGAATCATCTTACTTCCCATCTTGCAGCGAGCTCCCTAGCTAGTTAAGGGGTGATGCAGAGTGAAGGAGAAAGGAAATACCAGACATACCTAGCATTAGAAAAGGTAGTCGAGTGAGTTCGAGGCCGCAGGAACTGGTAAATGTAAATCTAGGTAGGGAGGTAATTATGCCCTTTGTCTACCTATCGTCATCACCATCACCCCAAGCACTCTCTATCCAACCCCGACTCCTACTCCAAATAAAAACCAAAACCAAGGACTATTACAGCACGCTAAACTCCTAGAAGACAACCACCTCAAATCCAGCAGGTCTATCGATTATGCGACTACCCCAAAAGGACAATCCCGACGTTTTGGGAACAAAGCCACAAAACGCCTACCCATAACATCACCACGGTCCAGAATAACCCTAAATCCGTCCCCCCCGCTCCCCGCTAAACCACAAAAGAAAAGAGAAAGAGAAAAAAAAAGAGAAAAGAAAAGGAAAAAGAAAAGAAATCCAGCCAGGCCTGTTTGCAAGGATCGGCAAACAGGCCAGAAAAAAAAAGGTTCGTCATTTGATCTTGATCTTGTACCCTATAACACACACCCGACGCCAACATGCAAAAACCCGAGCCCAAAAAACCAACAGGTATGACCCCTCCCTTCCACCAGAAGTGAATTATATCGAAATGACAGATCATCAAAAGTACAAAGTATAGATCGCACAGACGATATGCAGAGACCGTAGCCTTACATGAGGGGGATGGAAGAAAAAAGTTAACGAAATAAAGCCGAAGAAAATGTGACATGATTAGGACAGAGTCCAAGCATGAGAAGGGAGGGGGGGAAGAGAAGGGAAAAAAAAAAGGGAATAGAATAGGATAAGATGAAAGAAAATAAAGAACCACAGTAAAATAAAAGAACACGCTCAAGGGGTATATTCCATATTCCAAGACGCAACATCATAACCATATATCACCTTCTTCGCCGTTCACCCACCCTTTCCAAACTTGTTCGTAAGCATCTTCTAAATCATGGACCCAACGAGTGGTGTCAAAGAGTTTGTTGGTCCACCTCCCGTGGAATAGCATTTTGCGGATGTCCGACAGCCTGCCTCTTGCTCGGCCTTGTCCATGGAGCTCATATTGTAAGCCTTGACACAGGCGGATCGCTTTGTTTTCATAATCATCATCTGACGTGGCGATCAGCTCATCCCGGGCTTTTCGACCATCATCCGACGTTGGCAAAGAGCTGTTCAGGATGCTGCTTGCCATTCGAGAGCACATCTTGTATTTGTAACGCGGGAGCGTCAATATCGGAGTCCCACTCCACAATACATCCGTCGCTGTTGTGTGCGCATTGCACTCAGGGGTGTCAAGAAATAAATCCAGGATTTTGGCCCGAGAGATGTGAGTGTTCTTCGGGGCAACATCCGTAAAGATAATCCGCGACGCCGTTTCTTGACCAGCCCATGCGATTGCTGTTTCTTTGAGGTTCTGTTCACCAAGGTCTGGGAACCTTAGAAGCCAAAGCACGGCGTTCGGAATTCTTGCCAGAATACGCAGCCAGGTACGGAAAGTAGTGGGTTCGATCTATGATAAGTGTGAGAAAAGAAATGTTCGACAATATATCGAAGGGGGGAGGTCTTTTGCTTGATAGCGGTAGATGGGCCTTACCTTGTATAATTGGTTGAAGTTACCCAGGATGATGGCATCGTCACTCAGGTTGGGAAACAGCTCTTTGCGCATGCGCCATCTCTTTTCTTGCTCCTGATCCCAAGAGAGAGGCCCGTCTTGACTGTCGGGAGCACTTTGACGATGGTCGCAGCAGAAGAAGGTAGAACGAGTGAAGACAATCTTCTCCCCGTAAACCCAGTCTTCCAGATCCTCTCCATGGTCTTCCTCTAGTAGTCGATCATCGATGCGTGCATGACGTCGCCCGGGAGAAAGCGTCTCAGGCGGTATGGAGATACTGTCTGCGAGAATATAGTCACACCATTCAGCACCGAGGGTACCTGCGAAGCCCATGAACGACATGTGAATTGGTGCAGGACGGGCGGCAAAGACCTCGTTTCGGGCGCCTCGAGTGTAGCCGTTGAGATTGATCAGGATATGGATTCCATCTGCAACTATTTGCTTCACCAGTCGGTCAACCGGCCATCCGCTAGCATCATAGAATACTGGCGCTTCCTTCTCGATTTGCTGGCGATGAATTGATTTGTCACTTGCTGTGGTGGCGTAGCAGTATGCCTTGACCCTGGAAGGATTGTGCAGTCCGAACACAGATTGCATCAAGTGGGCAAGAGGATGATTGTTGAAATCCGAAGACACATATCCAACCTTGAGATACGGAGACGGGGGCGGCGGTGGCGGATAGACGGTGGCCGGTAGCCAGGGAGATCTCAAGGTCGCAGAAGATATGCGGAGTCCGTTTCGCTGTGAAATCTGCCGGATCTGCTTCGCCGAGAGTGGACAGGTGAAGGTGTGGAAAGGCAGGACGGTGGGAGCGTTGGGTGCCGTTAGTCCCGGGGGGAGCTGGGGACGTCGATACTTGGACAGAGGGTATTCCTTGCGGCTGACGTAGAGATCTTGGTACCACTGCCAAGTAATCGATCTGATGGCGCGCTCCACCAGCTTGACAATCCTTGAACCTTCCCATTTCTCCCCGGCCCAGGACTGAAGGATAGAGGACATGGCCTCGGATGCAAACCGTCGACTTTCCAGTGCGGGCATTAGCTGCGCACACAGCTGTGCGATCGTACCGGGTGTAAGTAAGCCGCGGCCCCAGGTTTCGCCTTCTCCAAGTTGTCGGTCAACAATGTCAACCACTCGTCTGATCCAACCTATTTCGTTGGTGTTGTTGTAAGCCTCTCGGAGAAGTCCATTTTCATCGACGTGCCACCGATCCCGGAATCCATAACCGTTGACAACGCCTCCTCGACCAACCCAATTACAGACCGAATTCAAAGCATTCGCCAGCCCGCAGACGGCTTCGGCAAATTCGGGGTTTACTTTGACAGCCCGCTTGTAGTATGAAATAGCATCGTTGACCTTGCCGGCATCTTTGACAGCATTTGCCAAGTTCGCCAAAGCGATGTCAAAGTTACCGTCACAGTGCACGGCCTGCTCATACATTCGAATGGCGGCCTGGAGCTGACCGATGTCCTTGAGCAGGCTACCGAGGTTCGTATAAAGGTGAGCATGGCGCGAATCTAGATGCAGACCATAGTTGTAATATGCCAATGCCAGTGAAATACCGCTGCCGGGAATCACGCCGGGTATTTCGGGATGTTGCATCTCTCCGCTAGAGCGAGAAAACCCCTTCTTTGCGGCATTGTTCTGGATGCCAGCAAGCAATATGCCCACATTGTTTGCGGTTGACGGGCTAGGCTGGAGGGAAAGAGACAAGTAGTAGAGAGCGAGGATGTCGCGAACGCCCGGAGCCGTCCTAGGAGCACCAGGGGACGAAATATTGGACATGCCATCCTGGTAAATCTTTGCCAAGGAGAGCAATGAATTGCTCGTGGTGGACACGGCAGCCTTCCGCGCCAAACCTTCTGCAACAAATTTGATTCCCGGAGGAGTTCCGCAAGGCACAAAGACAAGTTTTGATGTCTGCAAAGCCTTATCGGGATAGAGAAGAATAGTTTCGGAAGAACTCTGCTGCTCGGGTGCAGGATAGCTTTGAGGTGAGTCTTGAGAAAAAGCGGCAAAGATTTGTTTGATCAGACTTTGGATGCCATGTCGTCTTCTCCCTGCTGCAACCAGAATGGCATCTTCAAAAGCCGCCGCCGCACCTACATTGTCCCCGAGCGCATAGAGCATGTTGCCTTTTGCATGGACAAGCGCAAGCATTCGGCCGTTGTCGCAACCAGGTATGGCATAGCCACTGGAGCCAAATCCAGGAGATCTGGGTTCTGCCGAACGATAGGTGGCAGACGCTGAGTTGCCAAGGTCGTCATCATAATCAAATGACGCCTTTTCGTAAGAGCCAAGGTCTGATGTGCTCGATGCTCTGCTATCTGCATCACTCTCGGTCTCGCTCGCATGTTCATCGGCGGTGAAGCAATCGCCATTCTTGGAAAACCGCAGAGAGTTTTGCACGAATTCGATGATATTGACAGCTTCTTTCCCACGATGGGTGCCACATAAGAGGCCAATGAGGTGCTCGACAGCCTCGAAAAAGCTTGGACGAAGTTTTACTGCGCGGAGCCAATGCTGGAGAGCTTCTTCCCGACGATCCAAGGCCAAAAGAGTGGCCGCTAGATTTGAGATAGCCTCGACATGCCTAGCGGGATTAGCTTGTATGAAATTAACCCATAATATCAGGAGCGGTCACTTACGTTGAATCCCTGGCTATTATCCTAGTGTACCACCTCATAGCTTTGTGGTAATCGCCGAGACCGTAGGCAAGACAGCCTCCAAGCAACATTCCATCGATCCATTCCCAATTACTCTCCATGCAAAGATGGGAGAGCATCTCCAAAGATGATGCGGCATTTGCTGGCGCCGAATTCTCATTCTCGAAGGGCGCGGCGGGGAAGCGAGAAAACGAAGAAGCCGTGAACCGTCCGGTATGGCGGAGTCTGTCCAGCATCTGGGCGTCCGACGTTGTCGCTTGTGGGAAATTGGCGAGCGAAGGGCGTTCGGACCGACGATGGGCGTGGTAGTTTGAGAAGTCATTACCCCCAAAGTTGTTCGCGAAGTTGGCTTTTTGCACATGGTGAAGATCGTACTGACTCGAGGGATAACTGTTATGACGAGTGACTTCCGGAGCACTAGATTGTGAGAAATCCAGTCCAGGCTGGCGCGGTGGCTTGGGATAAATACTGGGTTTTAGAATCCGTTGGTTTTGGAAATCACCACCGGCCGAAGATATGCTATTTCTTCGAGCCTGATGGATAGACGCCAGGAGGTCGACATAGACACTATGTGCCCAAGACAAAACCTTTTCTTTGAATTCCACATTCGCTGCACGTGCATGAGGGGTAGGGCCCGTGTTTTGGAACGCATGCCCGGTCGAGGTGCCCTGCCATGAGGAAGGAGTTTCGTGATTATGCTGGCGCGACGAGTACCCGGCACTAATGGTGTTCTGACGTGTGTGCAATGGGAGAATACGCTGTGAAGGATCAAGAGGCTTGTGATCGGAATGTCGAGGGGGAAAGTTGTTCTTCACTGGTGTGTCATGGCCAATCATCCCCAGCGGACTTTGATTCCAAGCCAGACCCAGATCAGCATGGGTATTCGAAGGTATGGAGGTTCGGCCGAAATGAGACTGTCCCGCGTCGAAGAATTGGAGATTGGCAGGGGTCAGTTGTTTGGAGAATGGACTGGCTGAGTTAAAGCGCGGCTCTCTAAAAGCTGCCGGGCGATAGGGAATATAAACACCATCGGGCCAATAGGGCCCATATGGTCCAGTGCCTGCCGAGGCCGTGGGACCAACGCATGGTTGAAGGGTCGCCGGAAGAACCGTGGGGACGTAAGAGCCATTGTGCCAATAGAATCGTTGGTGCGAGGGCTGCATTGGCAATGACTGATTGAGCACCGAGTCCACTCCGGGTATATAGTTCAAGGAACGGATCCAACTGGCCCCATTCGGGCCGTGAAGCATGTCTGCAGGGGAAGCATTGGTCCGGCTCGAATCATTCTTGTAGACCGGCGGGAAGTTCATATGTTTCGCGGATGATGATTGATCGAGCGAAGGTTGCCCCCAGGTGTCCATCGGAAACCCGGTCTGCGGGGGCATCAACTGTCCTGGTCCCGATTCCAAGGGTGATACTAGAATATGTTTGGTTGCCGGGGGTTGGATGGTGGTATCTCCGGGGGTTCCATCGTATCCGGCCGCAAGGGTTCCATTGGGTGTCTTCCTCCTCAGGGCATGCTCACCAACACTTTTCGAACCGGAGATCTGGGCCACGGCATCGGGAACGTCGAGGCGCTGAACGGGATGGTACGGTAATCGGGATCGAGGGACGGACTGGTAGGACGAGCTCTGGCTAGCATCATTGCGATTGAGCGTCGCGGGGAAGGAGGTCGTGATATTAAAGTCGTAAGGGATGTCAACGGTGTCGGCACCGTGATGATGATGGTTAAGGTGGTGATGTGGTTGAACAGGCGGAAACGGGGCTACCGAGGGCAACATCTTGAATCTGGAGTGACTGGAGCACTCTTTCTCTTCCCCTTCTGTTGTCTGCCCTACCCCCACTCACCGTGTTCAACGGGTATTAATTATGCAACGAGGACGAAAGACGGAGAAGTCGTCAAGGTCAAAACGAAAAGCAAAGCCGACCGAGGGTCAAGAGAGAAAGGGTTCGACGATCAAATATCGATGGCGGTCAAAGAAGTCAAGACACGCAGGTTCACTCTTGCTGGATTTTCAACAAGCATCCTCCTTGAAACGTTTCCTACACCTCATCCTGGACATGAGCCGGCTCACTTAACGCGACACTTCAGCGAAGCCCCCCACGGCTTGTCTCTGGGCTCGACATGAACGCAGATTATATCGACGGTGGAATAAGCGAAGGAGGAGTTAGGAGACGGAGGGAGGGAAACGGTAGGACGTGGTGGGAGCAAGACCGAGGAAGGTGAGTCGGCTCGGGGATACCATGCAAGAAGCACCCGGATTCCAGAAGAATAATAATAAAAAAAAAACGGAAGAGGAAAATCGGGCAAGCAGGCGAGAAAGTTCGGCGGCACTATTTGCTGTTTGAGTCCGTAGAGAGGTGAAGAAGCGATGCAAGGGAGGAAAGGGATCGAAAGTCGCAGCCCTAGTCAGCTTTCAGAGCACCCGCACTGACGCAGGTGTCCGCAAGACGCGATCAATCACCAGAAGATAACGCTTGGCAGAAATGTTGTACTTACTCGGCGCGAAGGGAAGGGGGGGCAACGGAAAAAAAAAAAAAAAGGGTACGAGCGACGGAGGGAAATAATAACTGGGTACTAATAATATAACAAAGACAAGACGCAATCCGAATCAGGGAAGCGATAGTGTAGCAGAGAGGTTGAACATGGCACCACTAGTTGGTCGATTTAAGATTGTCCTTTGTTTCTGCCTCTTATTTAGGATTTTTTTTTTTTCGATTTCAATGTTCGGGATTGAGAGGTCGTTTGGCAGTTGGATTGTTAATGTCGGAGGGGGAGAAGGAATCTAGCACAAGAGGGACAGGAAAAGGGAAATAAAAAAGGAAAAAAGAGAAGAAAAAAAGAAAAGAAAAAATTAATAAAATAAAATAAAATAAAATAAAATAAAAGGATGCCTAAGGTGCAAGGCAGGAGCGGACGCAGGGCGTTGAGGCGGAGAAGATCCAACGGCCGGCGGAGAGTTACAGACAATGCTAATGAGGAGGGAGGGGAAAGGAAAAGAATCGATCACCAATGACGGTGAATAGCGCTGGCCAAACCGACGAGTCCGGGGAAGGCACAGAAAAGGGAACCAGTCAAGACTCCCCTCGACTACGCGCTGGAGGGATAGAAAGCGAGACGAGCGGGCGTTACGGGCAGCGTCATTGAATCCAAACAGAGGGAAGGGAAGCGGGATGGGCTATCATGACAGAGCGGAGCTTCGCAAACGAAAATAGTGGACGGCGACCGCAGTCTGGAGCTCCCGTTCGGTCTGAGGGAGGGAGGGGGTTCTTTTTTGGGTGGAAGGGAGGGGGGCCAGTGGAGAGAAAGCGAGTGGTGTGGATGGGGCAGCGGGAGTGGAGCCAATGGCCGACGGATGGGCGAGGTGGGTGAGTGGAGACGGACCCGCTTATTACTGCGTTGGGAGGCGATGGGCTTGGGCGCCTAGACAGATTATGTGGCTTGTGAGGTGCCTCTTTGACGACGGTGACATGGAAGGGATTCGCCGGGTGAGACTATTGACGAGGTTCGCTCGGTGAAGACAGTGACGACGAGGGAGGAAAGCTTAAGCCAGTTGCGGCGGTGAAAGGAAAACCTGAGGTATCAAAATTAGGACAGAAAAATGGGGAGACAGAAGGAAAAATGAAAAATGAGAACCCGACTTGAGTGAAAAAAAAAAAAAAAAAAAAAAAAAAAAAGAAAAGAAAAGAAAAAAAGAACGAAAGAAAAAACACGAAAATCCATCACATCCCGGTCCCACCCATACGATCCAACGGCGAGGATGGACCAGGCGCCAACTTCTTGGGCGTAGGAGGAAATCCAGGCCTGTTCAACGTCAGTGGGCCAGCATCCCAGACCCCCCGGCCCCAGTGGCGCCCGCAGTTGATCAAGCCTTGGGCCTTGGGAGGGTTTGTTTGGAGCGCGCGGAAGGCCGATCTGGCACCTTCGGTGGATTGCGGTGGAGTCGCCGGCTGCAAGTTGGCCTTTGGCATGTTTTGTCGTGGAGGGGAGAAAATTCCTCGTTCCCCTTTGGGAGGGGGTTTAATTATTACGGAGATAATGATTCATAATATTTTCTTTTTATTTTATTTTATTTTATTTTATTTTCTTTTCTTTTCTGCTCTCTGATCTCGGATTGTGAATCCTATTTTTTCTTGACCTGTCTTTAATTCAGAGCTGGACGCGTGGGTAGCCGATTATCAACCACGGAGTACTGGTATTGGCCCATATCATAGGACAATATAGATAATAGAGGACATTATTGCATTGGGTCCGCGTATACGGAGCCCTGGCCCAGAGTAATAATAGCAATCGTCGCATATATGCGGTGCGCATATTTCCATGGATGCGGGCATGGAACAGCCAGACAATATCAAAAGTTAAACTCCGGGGAAATTAATCCAAGACGGGCGATCCGGATGGCACAGGAGAATGACGGAACGCAGAGGCTCAGACACTTGGCCACAACAGTCAGCGCGTTTACTTCTGCAGCCTAGATGCCGCCAGAGGCTGAAAACGTAATGCACATGCCAGCAAGAAGACAGGCGAGGGCACTTCCCCCCCCGGCGGCGTTTTCCCCTTGCTCGCCGACTATGCAGGCGATATCATGGCCGTGGGCTTGACAATGGATACATATACATATACGCATACGCCTCCAATGCTTTGCCAGAAAGAAAAAGAACCCAGAATAATCAGTAAATCACCATCAGAACCGATGTCGAACTAGTCGGTCCAGCTCGAAATCCATACCGGGAGTGGAGTTGAGTCCCAAACTTTTCCTCAGCCCGTTTCTCGCCGCCGTCCATTCAGGCCGGCGCGATTCAGCCATCGTCCCCATCCAGCGCCCTCCTGCTGGTCAGCCAGAATCTCATTGTAAGATTATTTTCTGCTAGTGCCGACCTGGTGTCTGCTTTGTTCTCCCGTCCATCTCCTCGTTGCCCAGACCAGGGTCTACGAGGGCGGCAATACGGGACCGCTGGCACCGATCCGCCATGTCACGAGCGAGCGGTCTGGCGATGGTCGATCGGCAAACTCTGCCCTCTCCACCGCCATCCTTCAAAGCAGTCGGCATGAAGGATAGACGAGACGAGTCAAGAGGGCGTTGAAAAAGGGACGGAGAGTACCTACTCCAGAGTGGACAGTAGAAACGTACTCCGTAAGTCCAGGAACCGCCCCGATCACGACACGACGGAGTCCTCTTTAGTACAGACTCCGACGTAGTCTAACCGTCCAAGTCAGATGTACCGGTTGGGTCCAGATGGAATTAATTAACTGGCTCCACGTTCCAGGAGGAGGAATGGCAGGACAGGAGGAATGGGAGGCAATAAGGTAAGATCATCCGAGATCTGACTCATCGCCCACCCTTCCTTGCCTGCTGCGTCAGACATGCGGGTTTATCATCCCATGTATGCACTACTGTCGCCTAGCAGATAGTCGGGGGGTGAAGTGTACTGGCACACAGACCGACCGATATGATCAGGTTGTTGACATGGAGGTGACGGTGGCCATTCATGCCGCATTTGCCAAAGACGCACATGCATCTCAGCGCGTATCAGGAACCCGACCGCAATGATCATCGCTCCTGGTGTGGGGAACATGGAATCTTCGGTGTCTCCGCCGCTCTCGCGATCACATACTAGGAGCATTGCGAAAATGGGACGGTGCCACCGTACTTTTCCCTCTTGTACCACTTCGGAATACTCAGGGGTTACCCCCGGGGACTTGTGATGTTATATTCCGGCAGAGACAGAAGGAGAAAAAAAATAATAATAAAAAGACATGGCTGGCTGGGCAGGAAGTAGGGGGACTTGAAGCATCCAAAGCCATGTTTCAGATCACATCTCAGCATCCAGGAACGAGATCCCCGGCGCAATACGAGAGATGGATCCGAGATCGGTCGGGCTGAAAAGTATAGCTACCTGGAATTATTATATTGGAACGGAACTCGTCGTATTTACCAAATAATGGAACAAGTGAAACATGAATATCTTTTCATTGGATACTACAAGCGAGAAAATATCACTACGAAATACCCAAAGACAAAAGGTCAGAGGGTGGTTTGGTATGTTGACCGGATAAATGGACCACTGTATCCACAGAAAGATGCAAGCACCTCGCGAAGATACCGCGGTGAGTAGTAGGTCAGGTTTGATCTTCTTTGCGTAAAATAAGCCTATACCACGGATGCACTCAGTCCAATCCAAGGCCCGAAGGCGGGAAGGGACAGTACGGGCCAGAGTGTTGCAAAGGTTGTCTGTTGTGGGGGGGTTGGTGATTGCCCGTGTTCTGACTCGCATTGGGAACGGCAAGTAAAACACGGTAAACACGGAGATTGTATACTTTCGGAACCGGAACAAGTATCAATTTGCAGAACACAATTGGGAATCTTGTCATTACTCGTAAAGATATGGGTTGTTGTCAAGAGATGATCATATTCTCCTAGCTAGCATGTCGACATGAAATCATGACCGCTGTAGATTTTGACCATTTACTCGGAGGGGACTAAGACGCTGTCAGTATTCGGGTCATGAACAACCGATTGGGTCGCGACTCACTGTCGATCTCGCCAGCCTTGATGTCATCGGAGACATCCTTGGGGCTGCGGCCATCAACCTGGCAACCAACAGAGAAAGCGGTACCGAGGATCTCCAGGACGGTACCCTGGAGCTCCTTAGCCAGACTGCGGAAGCGCATCTTGCGAGCGATCTCAACAATCTCGTCAAGAGGGATGGACTTGTTGTGCTTGATGTTCTTCTCCTTCTTGCGGTCACGAGGGGGCTCCTTGAGGGCCTTAATGACGAGAGAGGAGGCAGAGGGCACAACGGAGACGGCAGCCTGACGGTTCTGGATGGTGAGACGCACAGTCACACGGAGACCTTTCTAATAGACGCGAAATCTCGCATTAGCGATTGATCCTTTGCGCATCATTGATACTTTCGAATGAGTAGATCCTTACCCAGTCACCAGTGTTCTTGGCGATATCTTCACCGATCTTCTTGGGGGACAGACCGAGAGGACCGATCTTGGGAGCCAGAGCAGACTGGGCTCCGACCTCACCACCAGTCACACGCAGGTGACTAACACAGTTGTTAGCATCATCGCAACCAGCTTTGGTTCGAGCCCAAAGGACTTCATGTTTGAAGAACTCACATGATCTTCACCTCATTGGGATCGAACTTGGGAGCTACACCAAGTCAATCAGAGGTTAGTTCGCCAATAGACGCAACCAAGGAGATGATACTTACGCATGGCGAGTGCGAAGGTCGTCGATCGTCCTTGGGGTGGTTGTTGGTTGAGTTGGTAGGTACGAAGAAAGGAAGAAAAAAGTTGAGCGGAAGTCGGCGAGTATTTAGCTGGGTCCGCACCTCGGGCTAAGCGAGTCACCCAAGCCTGAAAAAAGCGGCTAGGGCTCAAACCCACGGTAGTCACGTGACACGTCAACGGGTGCTTGACCCCATGCGGTTTAGACTGCTCCTACATGGGATTTGGATGCCAATCGATTCAATGGTTCTAGAATGTTGCTATATTTCTGGGTAACAAATCGAAAAAAAAATAGAGAATAATAACCGCTAAACATACAAATGACCTGAGGGCCGATATACGGACCCCTCCCTCCGCTCTTCATGGCCATTACCTCGTTACACCTAGCTAGTTCCCGAAACAGCCAACCTTGTCGACAAGTTAGTTTGTGTCCCAACAGACCGCGAATGATTTCAGTGAGAACTTACTTCATGAGGTGGTCCATAAAGGTCTGCAGCGAAACATCGTCGGTGAAAATGGTTTGCGACGTAACCCCACCTCCGTATCCACCCGTCGTATGCGTGGTGGAGGGGTTCAGCTTGGACAGAAGGAAACGGGCCTGAGAGCCACCGGCGTCACAGACAATGAATCGGGGCAGCGGGAAACGATCGGCAATAAGCTCCTATGGTAAGCGGTTAGCTTAGCTCTGAAAATTGTTATCAGTGGAGGGCAAACAAACCCTGGCGTCCTCCTTGGGTTGCTCGAGAAGAACCTTCAAGTTCTCATATCCCTCCTGCTCGTGATATCCTGCCTTCCTCCACTCGGCGATGGTTTCTCCATGGAAGATGAGAATGTGGAAGAAGGTATCCAAGAGAAGGATATGGGCCGGTTGGATGGAAGCCGAATCCAGAAGAACGGGCTGGCTTCCCTCATGCTCCAGGGAGTAAGAATCCAGCGTCGGCTGAATCATGACAAGCGAGTCGCCAACATCCTCGTGGTTCAGAACATGTCTGTAGAAAGCGGTCTCGTCAGGGGAGTTGTTAAACACCTGCAAGAACTGGCTTCGGCGGAGATGGAACATGAACTGAGGATAAAGGGTGAAGTTCTTTTCCAAGCGGAATGAGGTCGGGTCGTCCTTTCGGTAATCGGCGAAGCGGGAGCAGAGTCGAATCAGCATCCGGTCAACCCATCTCAGCACATCGGGACCGTCATCAACTTCCGCCTTGAAGACCGCAATACGGGCCATGAGGACCGCAGCAGCTTCCTGGTCAAATGATTGCGCGAGGGTGGGGTCGCCGGCAGGGCCACTCAGAGTTCGCGCGACAGTCGTTACTCGCAAATGATAAGTTCCGGAGGAGTGCTGGTAGTAGGTAAGGAATTGCATCATTCCCCTTTGAGGACCCGGCTGGACTGCAGCTGGACCACCCTGGTTGGCGATCTCGAAGTAGACACCATAGCTGGATGCGGGATCAATTCCACACATCTTCCACGCGCAGGTGTTGCCAATACCACACTCGGTTTCGCCGACGGAGCTGGATTTCTTGTTGAGGGAGACCGCATGGCCAATAAGTCCAGTAACCTTAAGCTCCTTGGTGGTGAGAACCTCGAGGGAAGCGTTGAAACCCATCAACAAGTTGTCGTTGCCATCCTTGTCAAACACTCTCACAAAAGATTGCTTGAACTGAGATGATGTGAAACTATCTGTCAGAAGCATGTGTCCACCAGTGTAGTTTGATAGGTTCTTCATTTCCAAAAGACCGACTTGATCGAGACAGCCAGCGAAGACATCAACAACATGTCCATTGTTGGCAGCGCGCTTAGCCATGTTGTCGTAGAACTGCGGTTATCAGTATGACGTTTCGTGTGCAATGCCTAGGGCTTATGCTTACCTTGATGGCCTTCTTGTAATACTTGATGTTGTCACGGTCGATGTCGTGATGAGATCGGATGGGTTCCTTCAACTCGGGTCCAACAACATGACCCGGTCCCTCGGTGGCTGCACCGCTTGTGAAGAGCATAATGCGCGCACCGGCGTTCTGGAAGGATGTCTCGAGCAAACCGACCGCGACGCCCAGGGCAACGCCAGTACACCTCAAGGGTCGCTTGTCATTTGCGACGGGCCACGGGTCACGCTGCATCTGCTCAAGGACGTTGGTGATCTGGAATTCGGCCTGCTGAACGGGCAGAAGGAACCGAGCTGCCGGTCCAAGAGGAGGCCGGGCGGGTTGATGGGGCATGTTAGGACGCAGTCCCGCGGCAAGTCCCAGCATTTCCTGGACCTGCTTCGCAGCATATTCCTTGCTTCCGCGGAACACATACGATTTGGCACATTCGGTGTAGCCGAGTTCGTGAACTTGTGCCTGTACGCAAAGTCAACGACGCAATTCCCCTCAACAACGCAACTGTTCTCCGATCCCTACCATTGTACCAAAAGTAATCAAACCAACCAGAGCATTTGCCGGCAACAGCGACAGACTCATGATCAGCGAATCCTTCAGCGCCTTCAGGCTGTCCTCTTCTTGGCAGGTATCGACGACATATAGGAAGATAGGGGGAGCGGGAGCGGGGCGCGCCAACTGGTACTCGATAGTCGTGCTCATGGGATGAAGTTCCGGGGGTATCGTGCTTTCGGTGATATCCTTGTAGTGAGGGGGCAAAGGATTGCGCATAAGACAGAAGGGACAGATCCAAATGCGGGCGCGCACGTCGACATTGCTATGGGATGTCAGCCACGGGTTTCCCACCCAAACACGGAGAGTATATCGTACGCGTAGGGGTTCAGAACGGCCCGGCAAGGCGGCTTGCAGGTCACCGGCTCATATTGCAACAACGGAGCATCGGTCTTTTCCTTCAGAGGGGTGTAGACAGCACCAATGGGGACGACGAGTCGGGACGCTTCCTGTAAACCAATCAGCCGGGGATGCATAGAAACTTCGAGGACGAGAATCGGACCATGCGAGAGCTCGGAAACGTGTTCCAGCTGAGCCGGATGCCATCACGATCCTCGACATCGCTCCATTGGTCCTTCAACGCTTCGTAGTCCATGTTGTCGGGATGGAGAACGGGGCTCGGTAACTCGGTGATAGGGGGGGTATCTAGTGGGACTGAGGCTGGTGCAAATCAATTCTCTTTCGAGTCACAAGTTAGAAATTAAGCAGAGGCACTTGGATCATAATCCGGTCTCGAAATGGGCAACGCCGACAGCTGTTGTCCGGAGACTAATGCGGGGAGGGGGTCAGGGAGGCAGTTGTGTGAAGCTGTACTTGTTGGCATGAGGCCAGGTTGCAGCGTTTCGGGTCGCCCTGAACCGCCGTAGCCCACGCTAGTGGCCCTTAAATACGGAACCCCCGTCCACATCCCCGTTTTTCTTCTTCTTTTCTTCTTCATGAATTTCTTTAACGCCGACCATCCTTTACTATTAGCAGCTTCTGTCTCCTAATGACAAAGGTGTTTTCGAGTCGAGCGAAGAGTAAATTGACCCGTTGCTGGGCACCTGGTTTTGAAAGGTCGTTATGATCCTTTTGGATCAATTGGGAATCAGCAGAGGTTACAAATTTATTCTTGCATTTTTTTTGTTTGCTTCATAGCGTGTAACTATTTCGTACTCTATAGGTCTTGAGTTTTGCCAATGCAATTGCTTAAATATATACCTATATTATCCCTAATGCAAATTGGAAAAATACATCGTCGTAAAGAAAGAGAAGAAATCAAAATCCGCATCGCGTCTCCATGACCCAACCGTCAACGCCTCGTGAGAATATTCGCAGGAAGAAAAGAATCAGTATCGACCGTGTCTCTGTCATCATGCACCCATTGCGCAGACCCTTTTCAACCATTCCTGGGGGCCCTGCCCGCTTGTTTGAGCAGATAGCTCCGTTTGAAATAGGTATTGGGATGGACGATGGTGTCCAAATCCATCTGGTTCCACGATCCGTCTTCTTTAACTCTCTTGATGTCCGATTTGTGTACCCAATCAAAGACCCTGTTGCAAGCAATATGGTAGCGAGTCTTTTCAACGTCCTCTCGTACTCCACGGAGCAAGTCTTTATCATGGACACCCGTAGACTGAAGCAGCCCAACAAGATTGTCCACCGAGAAGTGTCGGTAGGGACAGCCATGAGTTTGACCGGCACCCGGGTTGGAATCGCCGAGGATCTTCTGGCACGAGTAGGGAGGATACCCTCGTCCCCGTCGGTTGACGTCGCCGCCCACATCTCCATAAGCGTGGCGGACATTGTACTTGTATCGCGAATTGAACTCGTCGTCTGAAAAGCCCTTGAAGGACTGACGCCAGAAGATAATACACTCCTCCAGCGATAATCCGATACCCTTCAGGAAAAGCGTGTATTGAAGACGGCCATAATGCTTGAGGTGATTGTTCTTGCGCAGCGACATGTGCAAACTGCGCATGCAGAGCGGGAAATGCTGGGATAGTTTGTCGATGTTATGGGCCGTGATCGCAGCACCATCGACAACGCCCTCGCCTTCGGAGTATGTTGAATCTGCACTACCGAAATTCTTTGACAGATGATCGAGGATGGGCGTCAGTCGGTCGTCTTCGTCTAAGCGCGGCAAGGCTCGACTCGTAAGCTGGACGTTGTTAGTTTCAGTATTCTGTTATCCGCCATTTGCAACGCATACCTCAAGTGCACGTTCCAGCCGAGCGGTAAATTCCGCCATGATCATACTCAGTTGCTCTTTGCCAGGAACGTATGCTTTCCCTTTCGACAAAAACACCGACCGCTTTTCGACCAACTCGGGAACCCTCTCCCAGTCCACCTTGTACCAGGCTTCTTCGTTAACCTGGCGTAGACCCGGTGTCGCGCCGATGAGGTGTTCCGAGAGAGCATCCCTTTCGTCATCGCTAACAGGATCCCAGTCGAGACTCAGACTTTCGATAAAATCGCGCTTCTCTTTGGTGTCATCTTGTTGGAATCGAAATCTAAAGAGCATCGTCTCCGCCCGCGCAAATCGTCGGCGGAGCTCTTCCGTGCCCGAGAATGCCAATCGAAGGGTGAAATGTGAATAGTGATCTTTTTGACGCTCATTTCTCAGTCGCGGGTCGGCAGCTCCGAGGGTCGAGGACGTGTTCGAGGATAGGGGAAGGAATTTCTGAAGCAAAGGCGTAATATGTGTCGCAGTTTCGGCAGGGGACTTGTTTCGATAAGAGCAGGCCTCGATTTCGGCCAGCACTGTTTCATACGGTGAGCTTCCACGCAGACACGGGGCCTAGAGCAATCAAATCGCATTACCTTTTAATCTGTCAATCGCCCATTGTTCAAACTGCTCCAGCGTAATCTCTGCAGTCGGCGGGACCTCGTAGAAGTTCAACCGATGCGGATAGTCCTGCTGCTTGAAGATCGGTACTGCGAACTGTGTCTTTTTATGGTCGAGATTCGACCTTCGCTTCGGATCGACCCTTTGGAAGTCCTGTCTGATCATCTTGGACTGTGGTGGTGCGACTTGTACCGCCACTTGGAACTGGTCCTTGGAGTGGAAACCATCGCCTTCCCGTCGCGACCGTCGCGCGCCGCGTGGGGAGCGCGTCAGGGTCACGTGAGGGCGGCATGCGCGAGATCCGCCAACCGAGGATTAATTGATTCTGGACCGCTCAAGCTCGGTTCATGATGGCCTGACAGTTGTCCGTGCCTGTGATCGACCCGGAACTCTCCAGGGCATAAATATTGATTATGCTCCGGGGATGTTCTTGATGCTCTTGACATCCACGGAGACCGGCTCACCCCAGATCTCACCTTCAGGACCAAGACGTGCCTGAGACGCATTGCCCGACGGGCGGAGATAAGTCCGATACGAGGCCCGCTCACCGACTTCCTAACGGGGAAGGCATCTATAACCCCACGGAATTTGCGCTTCCCCGGCTTGGTTGAGCTTTCCGATAGACCTTGATACATCAGCTGGGCACCTGCTGCATTCAATGCCAAGAGACACGCAGTGATGTTCATTCTCTCTTGCCGCTGACATCCCACATCAGAATGGGAATAAATTAGCGTCGATTTCTACTGTGTCCACCTCGCTTCCCTCAACGTTTCAACACTCAACACCGACAGCCCGAACACGCCATTGCGCTCGCACCCGCCAGGAATAATTCTCTCACTCTCTACACCAAGCCAGCATCTCTCTCACATATAATTACCAGGGTGCAATGATACCCACAACCAGACAGCTTAAAAAGGCTGCCCGTATTATCCTTGTCGGAGCGCCGGGCGTCGGAAAGGGAACGCAGACGGAGAGACTTCTCACCAGGTTTCCCGAGCTGGCCTCGATTAGCTCCGGGGATCTTTTGCGTGAAAATGTTCGCAACAAAACTCCCTTGGGTAGGCTTGGATTGATCGCGTAGTTTTCTTGCCCGGAAAATCACGGCTAACCACTCCACTCCGCAGGTCTCAAGGCCGAAGCCACGATGCAGTCCGGAAATCTTGTTCCCGATTCGATGATCCTTGACCTTATATCTTCCGAATTTAAATCCAAAGGCTGGATGACTGCCTCGTCGCCGTCCTCGATATCCTCCTCCGCTTCATTTATCCTCGACGGTTTCCCTCGTACCGCGACCCAAGCATCGACCCTAGACTCCCTTATCCCCGTGAACTTTGTCGTCCAGCTTGTCACGCCGCCGTCTGTCATCCTCTCTCGCATAGCCTCTCGCTGGATTCACGAGCCATCTGGCAGAGTGTACAACATTGGGTTCAACACTCCCAAGGTGTCTGGCAAGGACGACATCACCGGGGAGCCCCTAACGCAGCGAGAAGACGACTCGGTAGAGACGTGGACGCAACGGCTTCGCAAGTTTGAAGAGACCAGCAAGGCGTTGCTCGAGCACTACCAGCGTAAGGGCTGTCTATGGCGCGTTGAGGGCGATACCAGCGATGAAATCAGTCCCAAGCTTTTCGCAGAAATCGAGCGGAAGTTCTGCTAGGGCTGTGATCACCCCCGGATATACCGCTAATTCCTTCCTTCCTGTATTATATACTACTACTTTCTGTTGGTTGGCGTCCTGCATTTTGTTATGTTTTCCTCACGGGATATTGTGGATGAGTACTGGTTTTACGTATTCGGCCAAAGGGATCGGGCACATTTCATGCTTACTTACAGTTATGTCTAATGGCTCTATGTATCTATTTACTAAATCACAAAGAAAACGCACCGCGAGTCAGACCGATCGAAGATTGATCTTGTCCGAGTCATCGCAGCATCATACCTTGGGATATCAATCGTAAAATCATGAGAACGGCCGTGAGAATACAAAGCGCAGACCAAAGAACGTACGAAGTAAAAGTAAGGGCATATCACCGCCTCACTTCTTCCCCCCGTTGTCCTGCGTCTGCTCCTGCGCGCCCATGCGAGTCTTATAATCTCTAGGACTTTCCCACCCCTTATTGCGCCGGAACCCCTTCCACAACCCCGTCCCTTTCTTCTTTGCCCACGACTCCGCCTCTCTATACTTCTGCTCCTTTTGCGGGCCGCCGAATTCCGACCCAGCCTTGGCCTCGTACACCGTCGCCAGCCCCTGTCTCAGCATCTCATACGACACGTCGCGCCGGCGGAACGGGATCGGAAAGTCCAGCATCCGCCGCACATACACGGTCGCCACGACACGCTGGTACTGGTCCTGGCGGTGTACGTAGGCGCGGACTCGCCGGTTGGTGAGATACGACGTCAGCCATTGGTGCGCCTCGCGGGCAAAGGGCTGTTCGGGACGGCCGAAGTGCGCCAGTTCGGGGGCATCTATGCCAGCCAAGCGGACGTGGACCTAAGACGCCATCATAACATTAGCCTTAGGAGCCCAACAAACCCCGTAGAGAATTGAAATCAAAGCATCGTGCTGCCGTCTAGACCAGCACACCCCGCAAGAAAGAGGAAGGGGGAAGAAACCCACCGTTTTATCCTTCAACTCCTTCTTCGCCGTAGGAACCCTCTTCCACGGCAACCACCCCCACCCGAACAGCCTCCCGCCGGGGGTATGAAAGATGCGAAAGTTATCGCCATCGCCGACACTCGTGACCTTTCCCAGGAGACTTCTCTTCCGGAAGTACCAGGGCGAGATACTCACTGCGTCGGGGAAGCGGCGCAGATAGCGGCGGTGGACGCGCGCGGCGCCGAGGATGGCGGTGGTGAGGACGGCGGTGGAGAGGAGGGTTCGAGGCTCAGCGAAGGCGGCCCAGTCGAGCTTGGAGAGGGATTTTTTCAGCTCGTTGGCTTTCGAGGAGGCGGTGGAGGAGAGCCACGCGGGGAGCGATTCATTTTGTTGTTGCTGGGCTTGCGATTCCGAAGCCCATGGCGGCCATCGCATGACGGCTCATGCTTTGACTAGACGGGTGGATGGGAGGAGGGGAGTGTGGTGGTGAGGTGAGTTGAGCGCGACAACTCTGTATGGGCTATTGCAGCCCTGAGGCGATCACGGACCAGGAGGTATAAATAGCTGGTTGAGGTTGTTGCCGAGGGAATCGGTTCTTCGGGGGGGGCGGTCAAGGTTAGCTTGATGTATATCCACGGGCCTGAGGAGGAGACCCAGTGTATGTCTCAGAACTACTATTAGGCCGCGCTTTATTTAAACAATAGAGATTCTTACGAAGTAAAACTTCTTTGCTTCATAACCATAGGAAATGCCCAGACCTATGATACTCTATGTTTGATCTATCACATTAATTTAAATACGGTCTGGTACAGAGAATCCTTAAACACAGGGCTTAAATCTACGCAGTATGTATGAATGAGAACGACCTAGCAGAATATGCGTATCATGTGTCTATCTAGATGTATTCTTAAGAATTATCATAAGTCCTATACTCGATATCTGCCGGGAATTTACAGGAAGTGCTGAATCTAGAGTATAAAAAGAACCGTAAATCTACCAACCCACACGCCGTGAACCACAAACAAATATAAACCGATGAAATGCCGAAGTCCAGAAAAAAAAAAAAAAAAAAAAAAAAAAACAGTAAAAAAAGGGCAGTTAGTCGTTCAGTAAAGGAGGATGCAAGGTAGAAGCCTATTTCAGGGTCGCTGGGAGACTGGTTTTAGCCTTGGATGCGGCAGTGTCGACGGCTTTATGCAGCTTTTCCTGCTTGATTTTTCGCAAGTAGGCGAAGAGAAGGACAAATGTGAGTTCCATTCTAGAATCCGTTAGCTGATCGTGCTAATGAGTTAGCTAAAGAGGGCCATACCTTTCCTTGGTCATCATCAATAGACCCTGCACCAAAAGTCCCTTAAGGATCTGGGGTCCGATACCCTTGAACAGAGACATGAGTCCCTCATTCTTAACAATAAAGCGCATGACCTCGCCGAAAGTCTTGAAAGGCTTTCCCTCACGGCCAGGGGGCGGTCGTGACTGAAGGCCGACCTTGGCCACAATCAACGGCTGCGTGGCGATGGTAGCCAGAGCCTTGGAAAGAGCCCCGAGCACTGAGACAAATCAGCCTGGTGTTAAATATAATAAAGAATACACTCTTGACTTACGGAAAGCCTCCCAGGGCTTCAGATTGTTCTTTCCGGCGAAAAGAATGTCCTTCAGGCGCTGGTAGGCGCCGTAGGTAATGGCCGGGTTGACGACAAGGATCAGACTGGCCTTAAGACCTCGCCACAGACCGGACCAACCGTCCTCGCTGTTGACAACCTCTCTACCCGTCTCGATCAAGCCCTTCCTCTCCTCTTTAGTCTGAGTCTGTTGCCTCGTGGTGATGACAGCGACGGGGATCGTGAAGATCTGAGCAACAGCACCCGCAACAGCCCCGAGAGAAAGCTCGATGGCGGTGCCGGGGGGCTTGGGTACTTTGTTCGACGCCATATAGAGGGTCCTCACGACGCTGTACCAGTAGAAATAGGCGAAGTTGGTTGAGGCCACGCCAAGGAGGGATCCGGCGATTCCAGAGTATAGACCCTCGATCCCCTCTCGTTCCATAATCTTATTGATGGCGTCCAACGTCGACTTGTATTGCTCTTCCGATCGACCGTCTTTCGAATCGGCGGCCGATTTTACCTGGACCTGAAGTTTCGTCTTGACCCTGAGAGCCACGCATCGCATGTTAGTACCCGTTATTGCCGACAGATGCTATCTGGCGAGGATTTCCACGTACAGATCAAGAGGATATACAATGGCATTGGCGAGCACGGCACCAGTTGCGCCCGCAACCGCACTGCCCCAGGGGGAGAGCGCGGGTTTGGATTGACCAGCCATTTTTGCGTATCAAATGAAACCTGTGTAAATTGCGACTCTAGTAGTAGTGTCTAGATATGAGCAAGTATAGCCCAGTTCTAGCGGTCAATGCTTGACTTGTTCTTTTTTTCTTTTTTTTCTTTTTTGTTCGGTCTGAGAGACAGCGGAATTAGATCGCAGCTAAATTCCGAGCGGGGGAAAAAGTTCCTCGCATGCAAGAGACGTAAGAAGAGGAAAGAAGAAAGAAAACCACGTCAAAAACGAGGTAAAGCAGATGACTCTGACCGGAAAGCACGAGAAACAAGGCCACCGAAAGCCAGAATGCGCAGGTGTAGACCGAGAAGAGCAGATTCTCGGCTGGACAAGAGCAAGAGAGAGTGGCCGCACCTCGGCGCGCCCAGCAAAAGGAGCCGAGGTCCATCGCCCGACTCGTTCTTCACTCCCGTTCCTCCCCACCGACACGCTACGCTTCGTTAGTGCTGCATCTCCATCTCCATCCCCATCCGTGGTCTTGCCTTGGAGATCGTCATTAAGGTTCACGCGCTGAAAAAGTGAGCCCGCCTCCCTTGTTATTGCCCCCGACTGATTATTTGGTAATCTTTTGGGCTCTGGTGATTGGATCCTCCGAGCGTTGGCGTCATCGACCTCGGATGTCACTTTGGGGCTATCCACGGGCTCCTTCGGAAGGGCTCTCCTGTAAACTAACTGCTGGCTCTGATAGGTCCCGCTTGATCTAGAGGGTCATTAGGCTTATTACGCAGCTGTTTTTTTGAATGTGATACAAGATCGCAGACGTTTGACCAACGATTGATCATCTTCCCCCCACCTTCGTGGGCTAGGATGTCCGGACCTAACGCTACCACGCAGAAGGCTTTAATTACCCAAGCTCTGGTACTTACTTACCTACTTTGATCGAGGTTGCACAAGAGATCTTGGCACGCCCGTCGACTAACCAGTAACTAGAAAGCCGAAGGGGATGTGGCTACGTCCACGTCTCAAAGAGAGGCCCTCGAGGCTGCAATCAGCGCGGCTGAGAATTACATGAAAGCGTTGAAACTAGCTACTGTCCCAAAAGACAAGAAGAGGCTGGATGAAAAGTGCAAAGACTGGCTCACCCGAGCGGAAAAGATCAAGGGGTCCCAGGACTGGCAATCCGCTGCGCATGCGCAGGACAGAAGATCCCCTGCATCTACCCGCAAGCTCACCACGCGTGAGGAGATTATCCTCCTGGAAGGCGCCAAGCTTAATGGGTTTATCTTCCCGCCGTGGTCTACATCCCCAAGTCCGGAGGAATTCAAAGAAGAAGATGGGAAACTGTTTACGTATGTTGTTGATACTTTATCATAGGCTACTGAGCAATGGTTGGGTTGGGAAACCTTGAATTGGCTAACGCGGAACAGCGATAAACCTGATCTTCATCTTTCGGATCTTCAGAAACACATATTTGATGGCTGGAAGCGACCTGTCGAGTTGCTGGCAGGAGATTCCGAGGACGCAAACCAAATCCTAGTGCCCATGATGTCCGTTACGGGAAAGACTGATCTTGTACAAGATGTTCTGACAGACTGTTCTGTGGTTGCCAGCCTCTGTGCCACCACTTCGAGATTAGAACGCGGCGTAGGAAAGGTTGGCTCCCTTGCAATTGCACCTTATTCCATAGCTTCAGTTGGACTAATTAGTGAGCAGCGTTTTCTCCCAGCGGTTTACCCCTGTGAATACGTGCGGGCAAATCCGGAACCTTCACCGTCAGGAAAATACATATTTCGTTTCTATTTTAATGGTTGCTTTCGCAAGGTCATCATTGACGACCGCTTGCCGTCATCAAAGACCTCTAGATCGCTTCATGTGATTGACCGAAACAATCCTACATTCCTGTGGCCGGCCCTCGTTGAAAAAGCATACCTCAAACTCCGTGGAGGCTATGATTTCCCTGGGAGCAACTCTGGGACGGACTTGTGGGTGCTGACGGGCTGGATCCCCGAGCAGATCTTTCTTCACAGTGAGGATGTGACGGGCGACGACATCTGGAGGCGCTTCGCCAGGGCCTTCCATCACGGGGATGTCTTACTGACAATAGGCACCGGAAGATTGACCGAGCGCGAACAGGAAGAGCTGGGCCTTGTAAGCGAGCATGACTACGCGATTCTGGATATAAAGGAGTCCAAGGGCCGTCGGCAGATGCTCGTCAAAAACCCCTGGGCTGGAGCAGATACGGCACATGGTGAAGGCGAATATACTTCCAACTCGGCAGATCCGCCGCACAACCCGCCATCTTTTGCACCGGGCACCTTCTGGATGGACTGTGAAAGGGTTCTCCAGAACTTTGAAAACCTGTACCTCAACTGGAACCCGGAGATATTCAAATACCGAGAAGATATCCACTTCACCTGGGATCTCTCCAGTGGCAGAGGGATGGTCGGCTGTTTTGTGAAGAACCCTCAGTTTGCAGTCACTAGTGCACTGGGTGGTACTGTCTGGATACTACTCGGAAAGCATTTCCGGACGATTGCGCATGACCAAGAATATGACGAGTCGGGATTCATAAGCATTTACGTCTTCAATGCTAGAGGGAAGAGAGTTTCGCTGAGCGACGGAGCTTTGCATCGCGGTCCATATGTTGACTCACCCAACACCCTCATGCGATTGGAGATGCCCCCGAAAACGACGTACACAGTGGTTGTCTCTGAACAATCCTTACCCTCATTGAGTCAGAGTTTCACACTCTCTGCGCTTTCCACATCACCGATACAAATAGCACAGGCCCAAAACGAATATATGTGTGTGAACAAGGTCCAGGGTGCATGGACACCTCTCACGGCAGGAGGCAATGCTGAGTCGGCGCGCTATCCTTTGAATCCTCAATTCAGCCTGGAGATATCGGGTTTGACCGACGTCTCATTTCTGCTCGAGTCGTCAGAAACCGACATTGCCACTCATGTTAAACTTTTCTGGTCCAACGGCAACCGTATCTCAAGAGTCAGAAGCCGCGATATTATTACGGACAGTGGCGACTACCGTCGCGGTGGATGCCTTGCAGAGAAGAAATCTCTAGATCTGGGCCTGTACACTATTGTGTGCTCTACATTTGCGCCTGATAAACTGGGCAAGTTTACGCTCTGGGTTTCATCTTCAATCCCTTGTCAAGTGCAGGCACTTGCTCCAGAGGCGGCGGGTCGACGTGCCGTCCTTTCGGACATCGGCGTCCTGCCTCCGGGAAAGGATCGGATGTTGGCTCCTTTGCACATCCCGCGACTGACACGAATCAAGCTCATCGCGAGGAGCAGGAAATCCGTGATTGGGGACCACTCTGTCGGGCCCTCGCCTGCCTTGATGACCGTAGAGCTCGGCCAAGGGCCCTACAAAGAGACTTTGGCGACTTCCGAGGATGGAAACCACAGCGATGCGATATCGGGGGTGCGTGTCGAGGATTTTGACATTAAGCCGGGACTGGAGGAGAAGGGCGGAGTTTGGATTGTCATCGAGAGGATCGGCGGTCCTGGAGGTCAGGTTGAAGACCACTTCGAGGTGGAAGCGTTGGCTGAAGAGCGAGTGGAAATTGGCGAGTGGATAGTCGAGGATGTTTGACGTCGGCATGACTTGAATCTTGCAGCATCATGTTAGAGTTGTACAGTGGAAACCAATGTAAATTCCTTGCCATTTTCAATCGACACTAGCTGTCTCGATGAAACAATCCCAAACACAATTAGAAAGAGGATTTAGATGGAGTGTTTTGCCATGTCGTGCATAGATTGCAGCCCTGTGCAGCCAAGCGCAGCTCCACCGCGGGCGCCGATGCCCACCGCAGTTCAACGTCATCCCGCTTGACACCTTTCCTTCGCATTGTCCGTCTGTCTTCCCCCACTCAAACTCAACAATCCATCTTCGCCTATCTTCTCCTATCGCTGTCGCAAACATGGCCAGCAACATCCCCGCCGGCCTGAAATCCGCAGACATTGGGCGCTTTGCTGTCAGGGCCGCCCAGCTGGAACGCGTGAAACCAGTTATTGCCTATTGGTGTGAGTGACGGGCTGTTGCCTTTTGAAAAGGGGCGTCGACTAACAAGTGACAATCTCTGTTGTCGGTTGCAGGTAACTTCTGGATCGTCAACCAAATTATCGAAAAGGGCCTACATTCCGATGACGAAGTTAAGCTATACACGACAAACCTTGTGGACAAGTTGGAGACCGTACGTCTGGCGCAGAAACGCGACCCCGGGATTTCGAGGAGGCAGATCGTGAAAGCTGACATGCTGCCGTATGAAGTTCAAGGAAGAGAACCCCGATAATGACACTGTGACGGATGCGGTTGCCGCCAATGCCTACGTGGAGGAGTTCGGTCTGGAGATCTTCGCTCGAGCCGAGGCAACCATGAGAGCCAACAAGGTGACGAAGTATGTTGCGACGGTTTCCAACTACACGCGGTATCACGACTAAAAGCTCTCCAGGCAAACTGCAGATACATTCCAGGCGGCCGCGACATTTCTTGAACTTTGCCAGATTTGGCACACCCCGGAGCCCGAACTAGCTGTCAAGATCAAGTTCGCCAAATATCATGCGCTGAGGATTGCGAAGGCCATCAAGGCTGGCGAGGACCCTAATGAGACGAATCCAGTCATTGAAGAGGATAATCTCGAGCCGAAGGAGGATGATCCCGAAGTGCAGGCGATCGTTCAGTCCCTTCCTCCAGCGGACCCTGAAGCTCTACCAGGACGGCAGCCGTCGGTGGAAGATGTTCCCGATGAACCTTCAGCGCAACCCTCAGGATCGACTCCCACCCTACCACAAGTCCCGACGTCTTTTGCCGACATCCAGCCGCCTCATCAAAATGCGCCGTCTCCGGCCATGGACCTTGATCACGACCAAGGAGCGCCGTTGAACCTTCCCTCAGCGCCAGACACATTCGCATCCTCCGCATCCGCGCCGAACCTACCTGATACCCCAACACAGATTGGCAGGCACCACTCGTCTGGGGATCCCAACGCATTCCAATCTTTCCCGCCCCCATCCTCCAGTCCTGATAGAAGCCCCGCAGGAACGCCTTTCGATGCCAAAGCTTTTTACAACCAAAGCGGACCACCTTCTCTTCCCGCGCAAACATCACCGGGGCCACTGCCTGTGGTGTCACGTCCCACACCCCATTCAGTGCCTTCAACAGCCCATATACCCGTAGCTCCTACGCCGAGTCAAGCGAATACGCCGGCGGTGGATGATAATGCTATTGCGCAGGCTCAGAAACATGCCCGCTGGGCGGTCTCTGCCCTGACTTTTGACGACGTGAACACTGCTATTAAGGAGCTTAAAAACTCACTCAAACAACTTGGGGCTGAGTAGAGGCCTGTGCCAGGTGGAGCGTGAGACAAGAAAATGTTTTCTGGTGAGACCTTGTCAGTTGCATGGGAGGCATTTGGACCTTCTTATTTCTTCATGACGAGCTCTTTCTATCTTCTCAGTCTTTTCCAATCTTTTTGGACGATGATCATGACAGCATTATTCCCCTTGTTCCCATTATGACCCCCAAGAAATAGAATTCACTGTGGAGGTGAATCTGCAATATCGAGCTTGCCCTTCCTCTTAGTCTTGTTGACGTATGTTCTTCTAGACCAGCTATCTGCATAAAGTATTAGACCGACACCTTTCATGGTACGGTATCTGTTTGTAAATTGTGATGTTGCAGAGCCACCTGAGGGAAGACTGCCAGGTGAATGAACCAACCAAGGGAAAGTTCGAGGGGTTAAATGTGTTCCTTGTCCCGCTCAGACCTGTGTGATATTGACCACCTGGAAATGGTCTGTTCCAACTATCCTGCGCTGTACCAATCGAAGACAGTCCCGAGCGCTCGGAGGGATATGGTATCAACAGCATTCCAGTTCAGATTGGGTTCAAGTGGCGCTCAGGCGACGAATTACACCGGCCCACAGCTCAGACGGACGGATCAAGGGCTTCATTCAGAAGGTGCTCTGAGGAAAGGTCATGATCCAAGGTAGCGGATCAGTACTGAATGTCAGGACTCAGGATACTGTTGTGGAACATACTTGGGTTCTTGGTGTGGTCCATCAAAACGGAGACGAAGCCAAGGAAACCAAAAGACAGGTAGCTATGTTAAGAAAGGAGCATAACATTCCTCGGTTTGTCCTACAAGAAAGAAAAGATCAACGCCGCATGTGGCCTAACTGATATAAAAGAGAAAGTGTTTAAGATATCTAGAATCTAGTACGTATGCACGCAGTAGATCAGGTCAACCGACATAACCAAAACTGGGAAATCTAATGAAATTGCATGAGATGAAAAGATATGAAATGAGGTATTGTTCATCACCAGATAGGGAAAAAAATGAAAATGCTATTTCAAACGATATGAAATCCAGAAGCTGAAGATGGATGAAGTTATAGAACAAACCAGTTGCTCATGGACAACCACACATAGGGCAGAGAGAACGGAGGGTAAAGTCGAGAGCCAGAAGATTATAGATTACAGTCAGGAGAGAGAGAATTGGCTTGGAGGGTTCAAATGGTGGCAATGGCAATGGCAGTGGCAGTGGCGAGTGATGAGATGGAGATGCGTTGAATGCAGTGCAGTCTATGTGCTCAGGTCAAGGTCGAGATCAATCGATCGATCTATGAAGTTTTGGTTTGCTGCGTTTCTTTTTCCTTTTTGTCAATGAGAAATTGGAATTAATCGTGTCCAGTCGAGATATAAACAGCGCTCGTCAATGGGTGGTCGTGATTGGTCGCTCTCATACTCTGTTGTCAATTGTTTTCTTCTTTCTTTCAGTTCGATCCGAGTTCCATCCATGATGATGGAGTCAAGAGGATCCATGGGCGTGGGGAATTGAACAAAAAGGAAACTTCCTAGGGCCACCAGCCCATACGTTTGTAGCTCTCCACCATGTCGCGTACCCCGTCCGCATCGAATTTCTCGCGAGTGGGCTTCCACCCGGTCGTTTTTTCAAACAAGGTACCGTCAATCGACATGTCCTGGTCCTTGACCACATCCCTCTCCAGGAAGGGACTGATCGGGCCCGGTCGCTCGATCTTCGCTTGCTCAATCAATTCCGCCCAGATCTGCAGACAATCCTCGTTCATGTCGTCCAGCACGTCGTCAAGGTTCATTTTGGCCAGCTGAGATGCCAGGGAACCGAGGAAGGAGCACTTGATGCCTAGCACGTCCAACAGCGCCTCGGCGATATGCTCCTGGCGAGTATCTCCGTGGTCCACCACGTTGAAGGCAATGGGCTGATCTTCTCTGGGAGGGGTGTTGGCCCTCCACTCGGCGGCCTTCCACAGAGCGTCGGCAGCATCCTTGACGTAGACGGTGTTGATCTTCAGATCCTTGGTGTACAGCATCTCCATGTCCTTCTCGATGTCCTGGTGGACGCGCGCCAGGCAGATGCCCGTCGCGAAGTAGCCGGGGTCGTATTCTCCGTAGACGTGCGGTAGGCGCAGCACGCAGTAGGTGAACCCGGGGATTTTCTGAATCTCCTCGCTCGCCTTCAACTTCCACTTGGCGAGCTTGTTCCACGGCTGGATCTTGTCGTCCTCTTTTCGCGGCCCCGATCCCCCCTTGTAGACGTGGGCGGTGGAGCACTCGACATACGAGCGAATTCCACGGCGGGCGACCTCGCGGGCCAAAGCCACCGTCAGGTTGTAGCTGCGCAGCTCGTAGACGTCGTCGGGCTGGGAATGCCTCGTCTCTCCGCCGCAGTTGATCACGTAGTCGAACTGTTCGCCATTACTCCGATCGAAGATGCGGGGGAAATGTTCTGGAAAGCCGCGAGAACCAGACAGATTAGCAATGCGCACGCATTCCGATCGAAATTCCAACGGTCACTTACGTTCCCGGCCGGCATCTGCCTGGACGAATTTATCCTTCGAGCACGCCTGCTCAAACTCGGGCGCCAACCAAGCAAGCTGTGGTAGCACCTTGTCCACCAGTCGGACTTCGGAGGCGAGGTTGTTTTCGTGAATGTAGAGGGCCAGATGACGTCCGATGAAACCTGCAGGAAAGGCGAGTATGTGGGTTAGTCGAGACTGCTCTGCCCTGCTGCAGGTGGCCGCGGCTTCGGCGAAAGTACGTACCCAACCCTCCAACGATCAACACGGACGGCTTCTTGTCGTCAGCCATGACAGAAGGTGACAATCACACGAGATTAGAAGAAAAAAAATGATAGTAAAAAGTCGACCGGACGAGAAGATCGAGAGCTTGCACCGAGGGTTGCTGGCGCCCCGCACCCAAAGAAACAATGCGGGGAGGAAAAGGGGCAGACGGTGGGACAGAGAAAGACGAGCAGAAAGAAATTCTTGGGGCGAAGAAAGAGGGAGGGGGTTGATGGATCGGTTGATTGATTGAATGAATCAATTACGAGGCGAGGGGAAAGGAGGGATGGAGGAAAGGAAAAACGAAGCCAAGAGAGCGAAAGGATAAAGGAGGCGATCAGCTGCCCAAATTCCTCCACTGTCAAAGTCCGAGTCGTTAGCATCGAATGAACTACCGCTAGCGATTCCTGTTGATTGCGCCTGTTTCGTCCGGCATTTGTTTTTCTTTTTCGGCGGAGCATCCATTCTCCAAGTCTCCATTCTACACCTCGACTCTACGCGTCACTCTGCTGCCATCAGTCCATCGCCAGTCCATCGCCAGTCTCGACGGCGTGCGTACGCATCGTTCCAATGCTGCCAGGCACATCCCCAATCCCATCACGGAAATCGATCAATCAAGTGATAAATCAAATAATCCAATATTCCAATCCCACGGGAGGGTCCCTCGGGGCCTCTAAAACCTAGGGTACCAAACTTTTCCACGCAGTTGCCAACTTCCAACCGAACAAAGTCCGTTAGCGCTGCATCTAGAAATTTCGCCGGGTTTAGGGTCCCCAACTTCGACCGACGTGATTCATCATTTCTTCCCCTGCCAAGCGCGCGTTGTGGGACGCTTTCCGTTCTTCAGGGACACCGTCCGATCATAGTCCCGCCTCCTGGTGGAAACGAGAGGGGAGCAGTTCCTTTTGGGAATGAATAGGGGATGGCCAGCATCTGTCGGTCTGAGCGTCCTTGTCACTCCTTGTCTCTGCGCAGAAACTAGAAAGTTGGGAACACGATGTGAATAGGGACATGGACAGCGAACCATTCTCAGCTTCTCTCCCTCTCTCCTCCAGCCACCGGACGAGACAGGTCAAGCGGGATCGTCTCAAAGGAACTGGATGATCTCCGACCGAGTCAGGATCAGCTCGGTGGAGACTCCTTTTTCATTTCCGGAGGACTCTGCCACTTTCCCAATCCCGAGTTTCATTAGGCTACTCCGTACGGAGTAGGAGCTCCAAGCTCCCAGTTGTTGCTTGGACTCGATCACCGAATGCCATTGGGCGGGACCAAAGGAAGCACGAAAAGCTTAAGACCTCGAGTCCGATTCCCCATAGCCGAGCTCTGCCGGGCCAACGATGCAGTCGCTATGAATCTCCCGAATTCGGCAGATGGTTTCCGTCGAACCGACGCTATCTGTGTAGTTGGTGGTCCTAGATAGATAGCTAGCTGGCTTAATCGACCTGCAGCGCGCTATGCACGCCTGCAAGGGCAGTCCCCGAGCTTTGGTTGACGTCAAGTCAGGTCGAGGCTATTTTCTTTTTCTCCCAGGGAATTGCAATTCTCCGATCCCAGAGAAATCCAATCCCCAGACTAGGATCGACTGGCTGTTCCATGGGCCTTGGACTGGATCAACCCATGGTTCGTGCGACGGTTGGGATATCTTCTACAGTAATTCCCCGCTATAACGAAATCCTCGTTTATACGAAATTTTTGACCTCCGCAATTAAAATCCTACCAGTATTCGAAAAAACCTGCTTATTCTGTAATTCATACATCTGTTTTATTCTCTTGTAAATTCGCTATAATAATGCAAATATTACGTGGAATTATACCTTACTAGTAGGCGGGATATACTACGGCTATACATAAATATATCTTGTAGACAGATCAGAGGGGGGGTGGCCCATGACTGAATAATTCAATTGACTAGAACGAACAGTTGAAAAGGTTGAAGATGCCTAGAGAGATAAAGCTCTGAATATACGCAGAAAGGCTATAGTTATGCTAATTAAGGCGGGGACTAACTAATGAAACCTATAAAACATGATCGAATCATCTTGGGATAGGTTAGCGGAGTACTCTAGTAGGCACCTGGTATTTCGCTGAGTTCCTATAGATCCTCTTAAGATGATGATTGTTCGACTCTATACAAACCTCTTTTGGCAAACATGAAGTCATAAAACAACAAAATAGGTAGGCAACTCGATCAATAAAACAACAAGACTGCCCCGACAAGCACCTTCAGGCTGCATAAGACAAAAGTAGACTTAACCTTTTTTTTAGACTCGAAGCTCATTGAACTTCACAATACTGTTGGTTGCAGGTGTAGAATAGATCAGATATAATCTCCACGCTCCGTTGCGACGTTGAAGTTAGGGCCACCGTGGTCAAGCAAGCGTGAAAGTGTGTATACACCAAGAGCGCTTCGATCGCCGTCAATCTAGATGCCCGCCTTCTCCAGAGCATTAGGATCGGGCTCATACACTGCGAGAGCAGGCTGTTGCTTCGTTAATCTAGTCAAGGTCACGTCGTACTATCATCGACCACGCCGCTGCAGAGTGCAGACCCTGGAATTTCGCGTCACCTGGTTCTGTTTATGGCGGTTGCCATTCACTTGTTGGTCACTGGCAAGCCCAGTTCTTCCAGACTTTCTCTCATCTCTCACCTCCCCCTCTCCCTCTCTCCCTCTCTCCCTCTCTCCCTCTCTCCCTCTCTTTCTCTCTTTCTCTCCCTACCACTCATCACCCACCACCCCCTCGATCAACTTCGGTAAACCTTTTCTCACCAGACCCTCTATCGAGGGAATGGGACCATCGCCCAGCACCTTGAACGTCAACTCATCGCCGCGTGGACCTTCTGAAGAACCCACCATGGTGCATCTCATGAGAGAGACCCTGGACCAGGGCGAGCTCACTGTCAAAAAACGTGATCGCGAATTTACCACCTTTCTTGACCTGAAGCAGGAGTATCACCATGAGTTCATCAACCGTCTTCGCGAGTATGTCCAGAACTTCGGGCCGGACTGGGTCCTGCTTGAGCAGTCCGAAGACGAGCGCGAATCCTGCGCGAAGGACTTCGTGGAAGCCTGGGGCAATCTGTACTGGGGCACCGAGACCAATCGCCAGACGCACCTGCTTCAAGATTCGTTGGACGAACCCGAATCTCTCTGTGTGTACCCTGAGCGCAAGATCGAGTGAGTTATCGTAAGCCAACAACTGCACTGTTCAGCGGACTGATACTCGGTAGGATCATCGAGGCCGTGACTATTTTGCTGGAGCGGAAGGCCAGAAGTATCTTGAAAGGCCAGACCAGACAGTCGTTGGAGGTAAGTTGGAACCCCTAGGCTCATTGACATGATTTGCATCTAACGTATCAACCACACAGTCAGTCAACACCCCCTCTGCGCCCAACATCCGACCTGCCGCGCCTAGCAGCGCTCCCCAGCCCGCCATCCGCAAGATGAAGAGAAAGAAGGTCGAGCGTCGCAGCGAGTCTCCCTCGTCTGACGACGAATTCCGGCGTCACAGCGCTCGCAAAACTACCGAGCCTGCGCAGCCCATCCGCCCCTTCAACTCGATCGTCGTCAGCCCCAGCCCCGAGAGAGAAATCCCCGAACGGAGCAAGCCGACTGCCCGACTTCAAGCGAACACCCAGGACCTCACCACCTTCAGCACCCCCACTACCGCCAGCACTGGTAATGGTAGCAGCTCTGCCATGAGCGCGCAGACCCACTTCCTGGTGACTGCCTTTTACCAGCAGGTTATGTCGCCGATCTGGCTCCCATACAAGAAGTTCACGTCGTCGGCGTCCTTCCTGTCGCACATGTTCAGTGAAGGCACCCTGAAGAACTGGGATAGCGGCGCCTACGCGCAGAAGGAAGGGGTGGCCTCGGTGAAGTTTGGCTGGTCCGATTTCGAGATCCTCATTCGTCCAGGCCATAACCAGGATTTGGCTATGCTCATGGAGCGGCTGGAGAAGGCCTGGCAGGACAGCGAGGTCAGCATGGATAGCAACTTCTACGATGGCTTCAAGGTCCTTGTGTTCCTTCATGTTAAGAAGTGAGCCTGTTGATACTCTCATGATCTCCTGGGTGGATGTTTGACATGTTTACTTTGGAGTATGACATGGTGTCACGGCCTTTGAATTACGGAGGATGCTGGGAGAATAGGGCAAAGGATGTCTCGGATTGAATTGGGTCTTGGGAGAGGGACCACACAAAAAGAAAAAGAAAGAAAAAGAGCAAAAGATAGTGAATGAGACTAAGGCCGACACACAAGGAAAAAGGCGATCCATAGGAGTGGTATTTCAAATAGTGATCGAAGATCAATAGCCTGCAGCTTTCCCGAGTAAATTAGTACAGTAAACCCCGTATATAGCGAAAGTGGGTCTACCAGTCACAAATTCGCTACAGAGTGCTCCGCTGACCTATCCCAAGATAATGTCATTCGATCATGTTTTATGGAAGGTTCCATTAGTTGATCATCGCCTTGATTAGCATAAATATGGCCTTTCTGCGTGTATCTAGAACCTCTCCATCTTCAACCTTTCAATCGTGGACCACCCCCCCTCTGATCTACTACAGGTTATGAGCCCGGAGCCTCTACTATAGGGCTACTGTGGTATTTAAGTCCTTTGCTCTTTGAGCGTTTTTGGAATTATTCAAGATGAGCAATATAACCTTCTCAGCAAGCGATCTTACTGCGGAGGACCGCGCCGCATGCATTCTGCGTGGCTCAAAGAATTGGAGATTGTGGAGTATTCGAATCAAAGAAAGAGCTCGCCATGAAGGAACAAGACTAAATGCCTCCCATTAATGGTCTTTTTAGGCTAAATGAGGTTTCAAGTGTGAAAAAAAGGTTAAACCTGTTTCTGTCTTATGCAGCCAGAAGATAGTCAGTTGCGCTTTAAAAATCTATATGATCTTGGAAGGTGGCATCACGAGCATCCAGCAAGTCAATCAATCAATTACTGGCAGTTAATTTAGAGATCAGATCAGCAGTTTTTGAATCGCAAATCTTCCATTGACAATCATTTTCTCTTTTAATCTTTCTGTTCAATATTTTTTTTGTCTTTCTAGAATTGAAATTCGAATAAGCAAAGCCAGAGAATGAAATGGTCTTGAACAAAATGTGGGAACAAAATGAAGCAAGATAAACAGAGAAAAGGTTCTTTTGAAGACCAAAGGGTGCGCCAGTCATACTGCATAGGTATGTTCTAAACGTCTTTCGTATTTAGCTTGTCAGTGTTGCATGTAGCCAAAAAGTAGAAGTGAGGGTAGCACTGGAAGCGCTTATGCAAAAAGTGCTTGTAGAAAAGATGGAAAATCCAAATATAGAAAGGAAAAAGGAAAAAAGAAACATATATCACAATCCGTCTACCTTCCCCCATAAGAAGCAAATGGCAAAGGAGTTCAAAAGGAAATATAAAAATATATCGTGCAATAGTACAATTTCGGGCTAAGTCCAGGCCGTGATCGTTAGACAAAGACTCTTAGAATTCCCAGTCCTGATCAACGGACTTGATAGCCCAGTCGAACTTCTCTCGCAAGGCCTTGGAGAAGAATTTCTCCATGGGAACGTCGAACTTCTTGCTGAACACGACCGTGAGACGAGGGTCAATGTAGTTCTGGCCTGAGGTTAGAAACTCCGTCGACCATGCGTAGGCAAGCAGGGGGATGACTCACGATCTTGGACGTTCCAAGGGCGACTTCCTTGTTATCTTCCTTGTCCTGAGCCTGAAGCTCCATGTTCTCAATGCGCTGCTCCAGTTTCTGGATGGCGGCTTGGAGTTTGTCAACGGTGGGGCCCTTGCCCTCAGCTTCGACCTTGCCTGTCTTGTTCTCCTTGTTGAATTTCTTCTCCATCTCTTTCGCAACATCCAGACGATTCTCAAGCTCGCTTGCTTTCATTTCCTTCTCGCCATCGGCAGCAAGTTTCTCGTTATCCTTTTCAAACTTCTTGGTGATCTTCTGTCGTTGCTCTTCAACCAAGAAGGCCTGGTGTTCTTTGACCCATTCTTTATCGATGTCCTCGTCGATCTCGAAGAACTTGGCACCCTTCTTTTTCTTGAGGGTGGGCTCCAAATCGAGCATCTGCTGCTTAAGTCGCCATCTTTGGTAACGAAGGCCTTTGATCTAGAGGCAATTAAGACAAAAGAGTCAGCGATCAACGTAGAATTGAAGCAAAGTCAAATATGGCGTACCCTTTCACTCATTTTCTCCATTTGCCCGGCGTGCGTTGCAGCCACAGTCCTCTTGTGGTTGCAAAGAATGGCAACCTTGCGGTTTGCATCATTATACGCCTTGACCTTCTCGGCATTGTTACCCGTTGCCTTCATGTCCTTGAGCAGGGTAGACATGGTATGAGAAGCGTTATAGGTACGGAAGACCTTCGCAGTCAATCCTTGCATGTAGACTGACAAATGCTTGTTTAAAGCGGAGGTCTTGGGATTTGTTAGCACCCTGTCAGATAAAGTAAGGAAGAAACGAGTGTTCCATACCGTCAATCGGTCAAAAATTTCATCACCCTCCTTCTTGGGTGCCTTCTTGAAGATCTTCAAGTTTTTGAACACCTGCGCATCGACTTCGACTTCATCGTAGAATCGAATGCTGTCTTTACCCAGGAAATCGAAAACGACTTTGTTTGGCGGCTTCAGGGTAACGTTCTCATACTTCAAGGAGCAGCAACCGACAGTTTCGGCCTCGTCCTCGCCCTTTTCATTACCTGCTCGAAGGGCAAATTGATCGATGAGGTAGACAGCAGTCGCCTTCTGTCGCTCCACCATCAATTCGTGCTTGAGGTTCTTCTTATAATCCTTGCGGATACGGTCAATGTGATGTTTCAACTCGCGGGCCTTCTCGAATTTCTTGTAATCACTCTGACCCTTCACATCGGAATTGGCTGCAAGCATGACGTATTTATAATTGCCGTTGATGTTCTCTTGCCACATGGCAAGCCACGTTCCTTCTTGGTCATGCTTGATTTCTTTCCAGTTGTGACCCTCAGGTGGAGGAGGAACCGGCGCATTCTTTCCAATGTTGATGGTGATCTGCTCGGGCTGAACTCGAGACTTTACGCGACCCGTCTTGGGATGCTCACCACGCCCACGGAAAAGCGAAGGAGGCTCGACGCGGAAGTTACCCACTTTCTGCTTGCGACCGTCCCACATGCAGTACATATAGGGTGCCTCTTCGGCATCCTTCTCTGCCTTCAGTTGTTTCTTCTCCGCCGGAGGAAGAGCCTTCTTCTCGGCACGCTTCGCATCGTAGTAGGCAAAGATTGGCTGGAAATCACACTTGGCAAATTCCTTGATATCAACCTTGTTGCCCTTGGGATCCTTGGCGCCGCCGGTTTTCTTGAGGATGTCCTTGAAATCCATGAAGAAGTTCTTCTGGAAGGTGGGGTTTTCGACGTTCTGAGTCGAGTTCAACATAGTACCAAAGAAGCCGGCCACCTCTTCCGCATCAGGATGGAGGGTGACTGGAACCCCATCGTATTTCAGCTTGACGTCCTTGGGAAGAACCTCGTAGGGAGGAGGGAACACAACGCCGTTGTGTTCAAGGGTGGTCCATTTGGTTGTGCCGTCACCCTTGGTGGGATCTTCCCACCATCGGTATTCCTCTTCCTCACCCTCCTCGGCTTCTTCGCTTTCCTCCTTTTTCACGCGCGTTGCCGGCTTAGCAGCGGCACCTTTCTTCGCAGGAGTGGACTGCGCAGACTTAGGCTCAGCTTTGACTGGCTTTGCTGCTGCCCGTTTCGCGGCGGGTTTCTTTTCCTCACTAGCAGGCTCCCGCTTGACGCCGTTTGCCTGCTTTTTGGTGGCGGCCGCTGTCTTTGGAGTGGCCTTGGGGGTAGCCGGCTTGCGACTGGCTTGGGCAGCCTTCTCGCCCTTCTGCTGAATTCGTTTCTTCTCCGACGCGAGCTTTCTCTCGATGGGAACGTCGGAATCGGATTCTTCCCCAATAGCGGTCTCCGCGGCCTTGGGGAGTTTTCTTCCGTTCAGGGCCAGGGGAACGTCTTCGTCCGATTCGGGATCTTCGTGTTTCACGGAGGTGCGACGTCGCTTGCTCTGTCGAATTGTCAGCCGCTGAAATAGAACAGCGACGGCAAGAACGTCGCAGACTATGGGGATGAAAGGGAAGCACTAGCGTGGTGGGAGTTGGCGTACCAAGGGTTGATCCTCCTCGCTGCTTTCTGGTTCCGCATAGGACTTCCTTTGGCCAATACTCGATCGTGACTTGCGCTTGCCGGCGTCGGCCTGGGGATCTGCATCCTTCATGGCTGCGTCGCCATCATTCTGCACCGGTCCAAAACGGATGGACACGCCGGGATCGACATGACCGTTTGTTTCCGTCGCGTCGCCCATCGTAACGTCGTTCGAGGGACCTAAAGTTGAAGCAAAAAGGAGGGTGTAAGTAGAGATGACGTGTTGAAGGCGAGGCAACAGCTAAACAAACAGGTCGGTAATGTGAAAAGAAAAGAAGAGACAGAGAGAGAGAAAAGAAAAGAGAAGTTAAGGGTGGTACAAGGTCGGTGTTAACGATGGGTTGGATGGACCAGTGAGGTTGAGTGGAGGAAAGCGATGCGAAAAGGCTGGGAAATGCAACGCACGAATGGGAGGAAAAAGTCAGGAACGGGGAACTCACCAGAAGATCGACCATTCGCTTTCACAAGCGGGGTATCGTCTTCTGAAGAACTCATGGTTTGAGGGCGGTAGTAAATAGGGACGCGACGGACCAAGGAATGGGAGTGCAGGTAAGCCCGAGGTGAGAGGAAGGGACTCGAGATTGACCTGCCAAGTCTGAGGGAGAACAGAGCTGGCGCTTTACTGATCGATGAGGTCAATGACAAGCTGACCAATGAGGAGGCTGAGAGGATGGCAGATGTCAAGGGAGACGCCGATGCATTGAGTGGGAGACAGAAGAAGAGGGTAGACAAGGTGAAAGGACGACGGGGGGAAGGTGGGAGAGTGGGAGCGAGCAAGAGGGAAACAAAGCGGGAGAGAAGAGAAAGAGGAAGAGAGAGAGAGAGAGAAGAGAGGAAGGAATGGAATGGAAAACGAGGCCGTCGGGGTTGGAGCCTGAGGCGATCTTCACGTTTCTCCGGACCGTCAGCCACTCGGAGGCTGCCTGAGGCCGCCGCTGTTTTTTTTTTTTTCTTTTTTTCGTTTTGGTTTTTTTCATTTCCCGGTGGCTGCCTGCATGCCTGGAGGAGGTGGCCGGGGAATTTCGGCCTGAGGGCGTCATTCGCTTGTGTTGCGCCAGTGGCGGCTGCGGACGGCCGGAGCCAAGACCGACTCGATCGGGACTAGCGCGGCCAGGAATCCCGTGCAGCCGGGAGTCGGAAGAACAGAAACAGGAGAGTTCGAACTCAACGTCTGTCTTCTCTTCGTAGAGCAGAGCACCGAGTGTTTGCCGCGGCCCCCCTCCCCTCTCCCGCTATAATACCGCTATTTTTTCCCTCTTACCTTCCCCCGACCTTCCGGTTCAACCTCACTATGTTCTCTCGTGCTGTTCGTCCGGCCGTGAGGGCCGGCAGTGCTGCTGTGACCCGGTAAGTTCGTGATCCTCCGGTCGTCACCGTCCACACCGGATATCGCCTTTTCCACCCTCCCTCTCCCACACAGACCAGCCAGCTCGACCACGCGACATCCACAAAGCTTCTCAATCCATAACCCAGGCCTGGAAGGAGTGGAACGCTCAATTGCTAATTTTCTCGAAGCACTGCGCCTCCCAATGCCGCCAACTTCGCGACTCTGCGTGAAATCGAGGGCCGTCTCAAGTCCATCAAGAACATCGAAAAGATCACCAACACCATGAAGGTCATTGCCTCGACCCGTCTTACCCGTGCCCAGAAGGCCATGGGCGACTCCCGGAACTACGGTCAGACCTCCAACACCGTTTTCGAGAAGGCCGAGACCAAGGCGCTTGAGGACAAGAAGACTTTGCTCGTCGTCGCCAGCTCCGACAAGGGTCTTTGCGGTGGTATCCACTCCGGTCTGAGCAAGGCCACCCGTCGTATCCTCCAGGAGTACCCCAACTCCGACATCGTCGTTCTCGGCGAGAAGGCCAAGGCCCAGCTGTCCCGTACCAACGCCAACGAGCTGGTTCTCAGCTTCGCCAACGTCTGCAAGGACATCCCTACCTTCGCGGATGCCCAGGCCGTTGCCGACCAGATCGCTCTGCTGCCCACCGACTACGCTAGCGTGAAGATCATCTACAACCACTTCGTCAACGCTCAGAGCTACGAGCCCGCTACCGTTGAGGCCTACTCCGAGGAGGCCATCACCAACTCCGGTTAGTTTCTGCATGGTATGATATCATTGGACACTGTGGATACTAAACATCAACAACAGCCAACATCTCTGCTTTCGAGGTTGACGACCAGGCCTTGACCAACCTCCGCGAGTACTCTCTCGCCAACAACCTGTTCTGGGCTATGGCTGAGGGCCACGCTTGTGAGATTTCGGTAAGTTTGACATCGCCCTAAGTTCAAGTGAGATAGAATGCAGATCACTAACCTATTAATAGGCTCGTCGTAACGCTATGGAGGCAAGTATCCATGTTTTGATTTTGACGGAGAGAGCTCCCGACTAACCTTTGTTTGTCTTTCTAATACAGAACGCCTCCAAGAACGCCGGAGAGATGATCAACAAGTAAGCCCTTCACTCCAAACTATCATTACCAAGGTCTAACCCTTTCATCAGGTTCCAGATTCTGTACAACCGTCAGCGTCAAGCCGCCATTACCGGTGAGCTGGTTGAGATTATCACCGGTGCCACCGCCAGTGCGGACATGTAAAAGCAGTTTCGATGCTTTTGTGGGAAGGAGTCACCATCTGTGTAGACTTACTTTTAAATACCTAGATTACCATCAGCCTGTAAATCAGTCTCTATATTTTTCTTTGTCTCAGTTTTTCTTTTTTGAGATCCAAGTAATGGACAATGTTGAATGTTGTATGCCGGCTTGTTCTTTTTGTTATCATGGTCACAGATATCAATTCACAATCCACTGAAGCAGCAGGCGCTTCACTGCATTGATTAAAGTTCTGATCCGGATCTATTCACTATGTCTAGGTGGTCCTTTTATTACCTTGCAGTGCTCAACTTCACGGCACTTCCTATGAGCGTACGAGCCCGTTGACCAGCAACCAGTGATCAAAACGATTACCCAATTGGGAATCAACAATGGCACCCTCCAGCTCTTCTTTTCTTTCCCTTCCACTTTCTTCTTCAACTAGTTCCCTTCCTCCCAATCCCCTCCTCCAGGTTTGAATTTCAGCCAGACACCGGTATCTGCAACATCAAACAACAATCCGTTTGCTCCCCGTCCAACCCCCGCCCAACCATCCAAACAGAGACGACCATATCTCTGTCATTACCACCATGACTATGCCATTCAGAAAACCAATCCAAGACTGCTACGAAACCCTCGGCATTGATGCAAACGCAAGCACAAAGGATATCAACAGCGCGTACAAGAAATTAGCCCTGAAGTACCACCCCGACAAGGCAGGTGGGAACGATGTCTCGAGCGACGAGTTCCAGAAAGTAAGTACGCCTTTTCCTCACCCTTATCATCACCATGATCTTTATTTGAATCCATTCATCCCCGTCTCATCCTCCTCTTTCCTCCTATTCTCTTCGCAATATATTCCGACGATTCGAGATATCAACCACCCCACCATCCCATGGTACTTACGGCACAATGCAACAGATCCAAGAAGCCGTCGAGATCCTGCGTGACCCGTTCCGCCGCATGAAGCACGACCAGGAGCTCTCGCGTATCAAGCGCGTCTTCGTCGAAGAACACTTCGAGTTTGATGCCTCCTACACCGGCTGGAGATCCCACAGTCCCATGTGGTTTGGCCCGCGGACCGCCAACGAGCGATACATGTATAGCTACGGCAACAGCGTGCACATGAATCCGAACTCTCAGGAGGCCCAGGAAGAAAAGGAGCGCGTGAAGAACGAGATGAAGTTCGACGCGGAGGTGAGAATGCAAGAGGAGCAGGAGCTTCGAGAGGCGAAGCAGAGAGCTGAGGATGAGGTGCTGAAGGAGGCGAGACGTAGGATGGCCATGAAGGCGAGAGTGATAAGGGATGAGGAGCTGATGGCGGAGGGGCCCGATTCCCTGGGGGGCTGTGATGATGAGGAGGCTCGTTCGGCTGACTTCATGTACTCTGACGACGGAGAATCGGGATACGAAGACGAATATTCTGAAGAGGGAGAGTATTACAACTACAGCAGCTACTCGAGATATTATGAGGGACCTGCCGAGGATGAAAACCCCGAAGAAGATCTGCTCAATTTCAAAGAGGGTGAACATGACGACGACGACGACGACGACGACGAAGCATTCTCCGACCAATCCACCCAACGGACTGCCACTGAATACAACCCTGTCTACCGGAGCAGAGACAACACCAGCCCGTTCAGCGAAAACAAACTCTCTGATTCGCACTATGAAACCGGCAAAGAAGACCACTCGGAGGACGATTCATTCTACTATTCCTTCAGCGAGAGCACCAGGTCAGTCAAAGGCGAAGCCACCTTCTCCAGTCTCGGTCAGGAGCCCACTGCTGCGGAAGACAACTACATCAGAGTCGAGTCCGATCTACACTCCCACCTCCGTCCCTTCCTGCCGCTGTTCGAGTCCAAGCTTAATCATCCAAGCGGCCTGTACACACGAGCCGACATGCACAGCGAGCTGCGAGGCATCGTGATGGAGACATTCTGTGGCTGGCTGGAGAATCTCCGTCTGGGGTTCTCGGAAGCCGAGTCCGAAGGCAACAGTCGCTCCCAGCCCGATAAATCAGACACCTGCGAGCATCTCGGATACTGGACCAAGGAGTATGGACGGGACGAGTGCGAGGTTTGTCATCGATGGAAGCCCATCTACACGCTGACCTGTCCTGGCTGCGGTCTCAAGGCATGCGTGGTCTGCAAGTTCCGGTGCTGAGGTTTTGGGATGAAACAAAGGCGATGACTACCGTGATTCTTTTTGTTCATGGAGGAGAGAAACTGGGTGTTGATTGGTTACAGCATGATGTCAATATTGCATTGGTATTTAATGCTGATTTGTTCAGGACGGCAAGTTACTTGATTCTTTTCCCTTTCCTTTCCTTTCTTTTCTTTTTTTGACAACACGTGTATGGAAGAGAAAGGGACAGACTGGATTATGTTTCATGAAAGGTAAATACCATTAAAGGAAAAAAGCACGTCATAAATGAAGTAGCGTAGCCTATCTGAACCTGCAATTAAAACGAACTTCATCCCCAAACAAAGACCTCGAACCATCCTACCCACCAGCAAAACACCCATAGAAAAACAACCTAAGCCTTCATCTCACCAAGCCTCACCTCCGCCGCATCAACATTCCTATCTGAATTCGCCAACCGCGCTAAAGCATCATCCAGACCAATCTCGCGCGAGATCTCCGCCTGACGCTCATAGTCCGAGACGGCGGTGCCCTCGGATCCAAAGATGACGTCCATTTCCTCCAGCGAGAGCTGCTTTGTCTCCGGGACGAGGAACGCGATGAACAGTGCCCCGAGGAAGGTGATCAGCCCGAAGAAGATGTACGTGCCGTAGGTGATGCCCGAGAGCATGTCGGGGGTGACTTGGCCGACTATGAAGTTGTTCATCCAGTCTGGGGGTGGAGGATACACGTTAGACTGATCCCACGGCATTTACCTTTTTGCTAAGGAAGAGGGGTTTATCTAGGTAGAGCAGAGTGCTGGACACTCACTAGCAGAGGCGCCTAACGCCGTTCCTTTCGCCCGAGCACTCAAGGGCCAGATCTCAGCGATGATGATCCATGCACAGGGGCCTATAAGTCCTCGTTAGTCACTTTTGCCCTGTATTCTATATCGAAAGGCTTGAAATACCCCAGGAGTAACCGAAGTGGACGACAAACAGCCAGACCATGGCGACAGCGGCCCAGCCGGCCGCTTTATGCGAATCCCACTGGTTCTCATTCTGGCCGAAGATGCCGGCGATGATGAAGTGGCAGGATGCCATGCCGATGGCGCCGGTAATCAGGACGGGTTTGCGGCCGAGTTTATCGATCCAGATAACGGCGGGGATCTTTGTTCATCTTAGTTAACAGGTCTTTTCTCTGAAGGAATTGGGGGGTGGGTTCTTTAATGGTGTCTTGTCTTTGTCTTACCGTTGCGATGAACATAGCGACGCCGACGACTCCGGTGGCTAGGAGCGAGGTTGTGTTGTTGCTCATGCCCAATTGTGCAAAGATAGATGGAGCATAGTATAAGACCGCGTTGACTCCTGTCCATTGCTAGATATTCACCCATCAGTTTAAAGGCCACAAACGTTGAACAAGAGCAGAAAGAATATACCTGAAATGTCATGGTGACTATGAGAATGGTCAGCAAAAGATTAAACAGAAAAGAATTCAATAGCCTAAGCCATGCATACCGGTTGCTACCATCACACGTCTAAACATAGGCCAGCTCGTGAACAGGCTTGCAAATCCCGCAGCCTCCAACTTGATATAGCTCCAGGTATTAGTTCTCTCCAGATGGGGAAACTTTTCCTTCTCGGTCCGCTTTTCAAAGAGACTCTGGGCTTTAATCTCAAGGAACTCCATCTGCAGGATTGGATCGTCTTCGGGTAGACCACGCAGGCTAGTGAGGACTTTCTTCGCCTCTTCTTCCCTATCGTGGTGGACGAGCCATCGAGGGGAGAATGGCATAAAGATCATTCCGATACCAAGGATGGCGGCTGGCACGAGTTGCAGGGCCAGAGGCAAAAGCCATGCGGCATCTTTCTGGCCAGGCCCAGTGCCCCCGATATGGTTTGTTCCGTAATTGATCCTGATATTGTCATTGAGTTGTCACAGAAACGAGAAGGTCGAATATCGTACCAGAAAGAAACCTGTCCCCGAATCAATCTGTCAGACTGTCTTATAATGGAAACGCGATAGCACGTACCATGATTCCGAAAGTGATGGCAAGTTGCTGCAAGGCCACTAAAGACCCTCGTACTTCCGGCGGTGCAATCTTCTGAACTTTAGCCGTGACCATCAGAATATTGAAAAGAGTTATTATACCTCTGCATTGTACATAGGGACACTCATTGATAAACTGAATATCGCAATCAGCCGGTGAAACCACCAAACTCGCCATCAAGAGCCTGGCATACCTTCCGACCCCCATACCCGTGATAAACCGACCTCCTAAAATATTTGAAGAACTTCCGTTATTTGTAGCCGCGGTTGTCTGAACCACGACTCCGATGCAGAATATGCCGACGTTCAAAAGGATCGTGTTCTTGCGCGAGATTCGTTCGCAGAGGATACCGGAATACAGGGCGCCGAACCAGGCACCCAGTTCAAGGATAGCTATTCCATGTCTTTAGTATCTTGCAGATGAGAAGTCCTTCCGTACTGTACCTGTCAGCCACCCTTTTTTGGTTTCATTCGTAACTGCTTCCCCCATCTAAAGAAGCTGGTCAGATAGGGCGCGACAATCGGGACTTGAGGAAACTGTACGTGTTCTTCGAAAGAGTACATCACCACTAAGGAAGAAAATTATAAGCTCTGAACGAGGTCGTATATACCAGCGCGAGTAACTCACAGACACCAGAAAATACACCCTTTTATTCTTTATTAGCCGCGATTCACCAGATTAGAGTGCTTCGCCTACCTGGTTGTATCCGTAGAGAAGACTACCATCCAGTTAGCATTAAGGCATGCAACGACACGGATCTTCGATTTTACCCTCCAAGACAAGCAAACATAGCGACACCAAAGACTTTGCGATTTTGTACCAGGCCTGCGAAGCCTGAGGGGCTTCGAAGGGTTGCTTTGCGAATTTGCGCCGCGGCATCCATTGCCGCCGAGGTATCGGCGCCGCCCATCTTGCGGGATTCCTGTCAAGGGATTTCCAGGTATATGGTCAATGCTTCTCACAAGAAAAAGACCATAGAAAAGGAAGAGTGATGACAAAATCCAAACAGCATAAGAATGGAAACACACAAGGGAGGATCAAAAGTTTTCATATAAAGACGGCGGCTCCATTTTGGCTATTCAATTCTTCCGCATGATGTAGCTTAGGATGCTAGTATTTGACTTTATCCCGCAGCTACACGCGTATTCGGTAGTAACGATGCGTGCTCAGACATGATTAGATCAAGCCATAGCGCAGTAGTGGCTTGTGGGGTGACAGCTTGTAGCGCTGTGTCTGTAATCGATTTCCATACCACCAATTGGCTCATACAAGACCAGCCGGATATGATTCGGTTGAATGACCGGCTAATCTGGTTGCAAAGCACTGGGTATGACTCCGGGGTAGTCTGGAGGTGGCTGACAGGGAGGAACTAAGGTAGAAACAGTAAAGGCAGTCAGCATATCATCCTCTGCCAAGGCTTGGATATGAGGAGTCGAGACCAGCAGCGCCAATTAATACGAGTTCTGCTTATTGCCCAGCCCTCGGCGTTTGCCATGCGTCCTTTGTCCCGCCGGGGGATAATGGATGGAATGGGAGGAATATTATGTGAAATGTTACTGCTAGAGAGAATGCTTGTTTTGGGCCGTATATCAAGTGGCGCTGTCTTCAATATGCCAAAGAAAGGAATAGGCTCAACCAAATGAAAATGACCCAACATTGGTAGATGCATAGAATACATAAGAATTTGTGATATGGTAACTCGCTATACACAATGTAAGTTCCTTCATGAGGTGCATTTATGCCGTTGTTCAGAAGAAATGCATCGTAGCGCTTTCTGGCGTGACAATCGTTACAGCATGACGAGACAGCTTATCGATCAAACCTGTAGATAACAAGCTCGCGATTTCCATTCTCTCCGACCAAATAGTGTTCGTTTCCGTGGATCTTGCCCCTACCCACAAGCTCGAAGACCTGGTCCTGCTTCAGGGTAAGGGTAGATGTCGGCGTCCGAATGGTTAAAAACATCTTTAGATTAAATGGCCACGTAATCGGCGACAGATGGAGGCAAAAGCCAACCTGTGCTTCCTCATCAAGTACCTCGGAAACAATGGCGTACCAAGGCTCGTCACAGACCGCAAATGTGAGCGGCTTGGTCTGTAGACTGCTGTTTCCGCGATAAGGAGGCAGCGCCGGGTCGCCACAGCGCCTCCAACAGGGCCCGTTCCCAATGATGGGAAGACTGGTGACTTGCACTTGCGAAGTCCATTCGGCTGGCCCAACGAGCCGGTCCATCGGGCCCGTGCAAATGTTTTCCACAATCTCTATCGACTGATCGTCGTCGCTTATGTTTAGAGATTGCATGCCAGGCAGCCCCCGCTGCCTAACAGAATGAAACCCCAACTCCCTAAATCCAAACCGGGAGATGATAGAGGGGCTCTCATCTTCCCCGTCCTGTCGCAAACGCCCAAAAGGATCTAGAGATGGTCTATAGCTCGACGGTTTGGAAATGTCCCAAACGGACAGCGATTCAATCGGAGCATCCTCATCCGCAGTGTATAAGCTGCGATTGGGTTGCCAGATGTAGATTGCGTAATGTGTTTGGCTGTGGGAGGAATAGAACCTGTCCCTCTCGCTCAACGGGTGGCCGAGGAACATGATCTTCCATTCGTTCCGAAAAGTGACAGACCAGCCGCTCGATGTCTTGTTGACATCAAAGGATGAAGCAAAATGGCGGTGTACTCCGTCACTGTCATTCAACCAGTGAAAGGCCTTGGGTTCCGCCCACTCGACAACGAGGAGTCTCTTTTGCAACCGAATCCTACGCATGACCTTGCCGGTGATCATGAACGGAACCATGAATTTCCGATCGCTCTCCAGGTCCAGGAGAACCAGGGCTGAGTGATGCGCGCTGGGATAGACCACCAGACCATCCTCGTACGTCCAGAAGGATTCCGAGAAGGGACAGTCGACACGCTGCATCAGATGGCTGGCGTGGATATCCCACGGCTGCACGGGAAACCATTCCCTCTCGCCGGAGCTACCGAAATCACCGCAGAGCCCATATTTCTGCACCGACCGAGCTTTACCGCGGCGCAGGTGGTCATATCTCGCAGCAATCCGATCGAAGAGACTGCGCCAGTAGTTATTATCCTCTGCCGTCTTGAGGGTTGGGCTCGATCTGCCCTTTTCGTGCAGTGCCCTGACCTCTTTGGCTAGTGGGAAATACTCCTTCAGCAAAGGAATCAGATTTGCGGGGTCTCCGAACGCCACATTCCATGACTGCGACACTAGACGGCAACGAACAATGTCCCTGGGGCGAAGAAGGTGCAGGACCATCCAAAAGATTTCCCGGGGCAGTTGGGCCATGCCCAGCCGTCCGGGGTCTTGAATCCCTGGCATTCCAACTGCAGTTGCAGTCTCCACTGACATGGTGAATGTGGGGTTCCAGGAGCTGGCGGTTGATGGTTCAGGAACAAGAAGGATAAGCAGGACAAGCAGGACACCAAGAGCTATGATTACCGCTCATTGTTTCCGATGCGACCAGCATTGGGGGGGGGGGGGGGGGGGGGGGAGTAGCCAGCGCTTTCCGTGGATGAGATGAGATGCAGGAATGCGGGAGGACAAACAAGAAACGGAAGTTGCATCATGCCGCAGGGTCACATGCCAAGAGCGTCAGGACACCTTGCGCATTCCCTCGCCGACCGTCTCACGTTGTCCTTTCTTCTCTCCGGCAGCAGTCCTGCGTCGCTTCTCCATTCCTTTCTATCTCGAAGCAAACGCACTGATTCAATTCCACCATGATCCTGCAACCGAGTTCCGCGCTTCTTCTCGTCGCGTCGCTTCTGGCGGCGCTCCCAGCCAACGCCGATGGACTGTACACCAAGAAGTCTCCGGTGCTGCAAGTCAACAACAAGAACTATGACCAGCTGATTGCCAACTCGAACTACACATCGGTAAGATAATTGATTGCAAGCTACCAGTGCAGAAGATGAAGCTAACCCCGCTTCTTAGATCCTAGAGTAAGCCCGTCGTTCCCTTGCCCTCTTGACTGCCAGTCTCTAAATAAATATCCCCATCGCGATAGATTCTACGCCCCCTGGTGTGGTCACTGCCAGAACTTGAAACCCGCTTATGAGAAGGCAGCGAAAAACCTGGACGGATTGGCCAAGGTCGCCGCCATAAACTGTGACGAGGATGACAACAAGCCTTTGTGCGGCCGCATGGGTGTGCAGGGCTTCCCAACGCTCAAGGTTGTGGTCCCGGGGAAGAAACCTGGCAAGCCCAGAGTGGAGGATTACCAGGGTGCGCGAAGTGCCAAAGCCATTGTCAATGCGGTGGTGGAGAAGATCCCGAACCATGTGAAGAAGGTGACGGACAAAGACCTGGAGTCGTGGTTGTCCAAGGACAAGGAGGCTCCGAAGGCTATCCTGTTCACTGAAAAGGGGACAACAAGCCCTTTGATCCGCTCTGTCGCTATTGAATTCCTTGGATCCGTCGATGTGGCCCAGGTCCGCAATAATCAGGCTGAAGCGGTAGAGAAATTTGGCATTGAAAATTTCCCTGCCGTCGTCCTTGTCCCTGGAAGCGAAAAGAACCCCATTGTTTACGACGGCGAACTGAAGAAGGGTCCACTGGTTGAATTTCTCAGCCAAGTCGCGACTCCTAACCCGGACCCAGCTCCCAAGGCTGGTAAATCATCCAAGTCTTCCAAGTCCAAGACTCAGGCCGAAAAGACCAAGCCCACCGAGGCTTCGGAGCCGGAGGCTGTTCCTGATGAGGCTCAGGAGTCCCAGCCCGCGAAGGCCTCGCCTCAGGCACCTGCCATCGATGAGCTTGCCACCGTCGATGCATTGGAGTCTGCTTGCTTGTTGCCTAAGTCAGGTACTTGTGTTCTGGCACTTCTCCCCGAGTTCGATGCCGAGCTTCCCGAGTCTACCAAGAAGGCTCTGACTAGCCTGTCTGAAATCGCGCACAGGCATGTGCAGCGGAAAAGCAAACTCTTCCCATTCTACAGCGTCCCGGCCAGCAACGAGGGCGCTAAATCTTTGCGTACTGGGCTTGAGTTGTCTCAGGATGGCAAGTCGGTTGAGGTCATTGTCATCAACGGGCGTAGAGGCTGGTGGAGACAGTACGACCCCTCGGAGAGTGCGGACTACGAGCTGGCACGCGTAGAGGCCTGGATTGACGCCATCAAACTGGGTGAGGGATCCAAGAGCAAGTTGCCCGAAGGTATTGTTAAGAGCGAGGATGAAAAGGCCGAGGAACACGATGAACTGTAGGTTGTGCCCGGGACTCACATTGCTTTTGTATATCAGCCAAGGCGATTAGCCGGAGTTATTTGTTAGTTTATATCATTGCATCAGGGTGTACCTCGCATCAGTCAGTATTATAAGCGAAGTGAAGGGGAGATTTACCTGACTACGAATTGAATTCTTCAATATGACGCATCAATAGGATCAGTATACATACAGATTTTATTTCATGTTGCCTATCATGGGCTACGCGGAGAAGCAGGTAGGTAAACGATATTTGTAGAGTGTATTAAGTATTAATTAGAGAAGGAAAAGCTGTCCAGGTAAATGTCCCTGGTGTTTGTCTCTAAATTAATATTTCCAGGGAAATCCCATGGCCTCCACTGCGATAAAGAGCCAAAATATCCAAATCAAATCACCATATCAACTCTAGAGGCTCGCATCCGTTGGTCTACATATTCAGAGACGCTGCCGCTCCATAAACGATTATAAATCGCACATCAGTAGAAAAGCTCGATAGCATCGAACACCTATCCTGTCATTAGTGCTATCAACCTCCAGTAACAGATCAACCATAGACTCACAAAGCCAGGACTCAAGAACTCATCCCCAGTACCACCCTGGGCATAGCAAACTCTCCGGTGTCGGGGTCAATCTCGGCCCAGTATTGGAAAGAGTCTGGATTCCGAACGTTATTTTGGAAGTAGGAGTTGTTCTCTGATAGGATTGCAATTGGCCTCTGAGCACCATCGGGTAGATTTACACGACCTCTGAACGTTGTACGCCTGGAACTGGTGACATAGTTTGGTACATGCTGCGCAATGCTGTCGCAGAACTCGGTCTTCTATTGTGGATTAGTCTTCTGGGCTGCATCTGCCGCCAGCTCTTCTATCGAGCTGCCCCCGTAGGTTTCGGTGCTGTTTAGGTACGCTGCAGCTCCTAGCCAAGGGACCGCGAGAGTCAGATAGAAGACGGAGTTGGCAAGGTGCATTGTTCGAGCCAGATCACGATGGGGGAACACTTAGTGCGGACAAAAAACACCTGGGCATTTACTCTAACTGTATACCGTCCAGCCAAACACCCAAAGATATACAGTCCCGGCAGCGGGTGGCTCGAAGCCGCCAGCTCAACATACTTGCGCCTCAAAAGAGAGCTCCCATCGGCCATGTATACACCGAGTTGCTGGACTCAAAGACTGCAAAATAGGCTAAGAGTCCACACTCGGGCACGAGGAAGACAAAGACCCAAGTTCATTCCGAGCAGCAATTCATAGAAGCGACTAGTACTTCGGGAATCAACCGCACGCTTGCCTTTCTATCGGAGCTCTACTGAATCGAGTCAGTGAAAGCTCGAGGAAGTGACTCTCCCCATCAGCTCTTGAGCTTAATCTTCCCATGCACGTATGAGGAGCTGTCCACGTACTGCGATAGGGTTAGTTTCTTGGGGGTGGATATCCAGCTCTTTATGACCGATTTGGGCACGGTAACGGTGCAACCGGGTAATTTCCTTGTTTGTGTCTGGTCTCTCCCTGAGCACAGGAGTCTTCCTGAATCTTTAGGCCTTTGGCAGGGACAGACCCTGGTCTATTTGTATCCAATAAGTGGACACATTCGATTTCTGGGTCGGCGTCGTTGGGATGTCGGTTGCGGACCGATTCCATCGACGGATCCGAGGTCGAGGAGTCGTCATACATGGGTCCAGAAATAAATATTAGATGAATAAAATAAATAAACGGGCTAGCGAGACACCGCTGGAAATAGACCGACATTTAGCCATAAGTCTCCTGGGTGATCGGCAGCTGCGAGATGCGTGACGTGTCTAAGATCGTACAACGCCGAAGAATATCCAGGAAGCCTTGCGTCTCCTGGGAGACGTGACGCACAAGTCGGTGTGGTACATTTATCGAAGGCATTATTCACCATTTTTACGTAGGGATCTCCCTGTGTATAAACAGAAGTTGCTTGGTTACACTGATTGTAGACTGATCAAGTGAATAGTAAATGCGATTTTTTCTCACAAACACTACTCGGTAGTATATAGCAGGCTGGATGGATAGTAAGATTTAAGGCAACATCAGAATCCCAGCCCCCGTTCATATTCCTGCCACTTACTTCCAACAGGCTGAACATGATTAAAGCTCGGCCCAGTAGCATTCATCTCCTGGACCCCCGTGATGAGATACAATGGAGCCAACAAGCCATCATCACTAAAGTACAGCTTCGGCCGCTCCCGACGTTTGTAGAGCTCCACCGTCCCATCGGTATATGCCACAGATGAATTAAACGCCTCGTGCAAAGTAAAGTGCCAGGGGCCGGTGAGGTTGCGAGCAAACATATGCGCACCCACGCGAGGCCACTGCTGCCCATCCCGTTCCACCAGATCAATCAACCAGTGCGCCAGCGCGTGCCAGTGGCCGCGTTTATCCCGCCACAGAAACGTATCCTCCGTCCAAGTCGGGCTCCATTCGGACGTGTTCCATCGCTGCTAGTGCGCGAGATTGTACTCCCCGTCCTAGGTGGGAGCCTTGAAGGCCGCGATATCCTCGGCCCTGATGATGAACGAGTGCGGTCTCCAGCCTGAGAGGCCGCAGCCGTGGTTGAACTGGGAGGTGAACAGATGGAACAGGCCGCGGTCGGTCGGATCTTGCATGATGGTGCCTCCCCAGGACGAGTTCCCGTATGGAAGCCCAGTGCTCTGCCTGCGTGGCGTTGGTGTGGTTGTAGCCTGTCCAGCGTGTGGCCGGCGCGAGATCGAGTCGTCCGCAGTCATCGCCAATCCAGCCTGGATCGCACTGGCATACGGAGTGCTGGCCAGCTGAAGAAACTCTACAAACTCTCGTCCGAGCTGGATATACTGGGCGATGACCATTCACTAAGGCAGTCAATGCTTATACTCTTCAACCCGCAATTACCAGACATAAATCAGATTAAGAGACTTTTCTCTATATACAATAGCACGTAGAACGTCACCGGACGAGTCCAGTTGAGAAAATCTTTCATATCGAACCCAAACAACCAGATAACACCATCTTAACAATATGCAAACCCAACACGCTTGCTCTTGTCTTGACTTTTTCATATGCGAACAACAAAGATCATCTAGTTCTTCTTCCGCCCTTCAGTCCCCTTCTTGATGACCTTCTGTCTTTTCGAATCAACCTCCTGGTCGTAGATCTCTCGCGCCGATTCACCCTTCTTGCGCTTGCTCTGCTTCGCCGACTTGACGCTAACGGTGGCAGCTCCACCACCACGGATCTGCTTCTCGGCGTCTTCCCACGAGGCACTGCCGTTGTCAATTGCGTATCTGGAGGCTAGAAATCAGTTATTGTTCATTCGTGAGAAGGAACCTGGCTCCTTCGCTCTTTCGCTCCCTCGGGATGGAGGAAGAAATGGGGGTAGCTTACTGGTCCAAAGGCAAAGCGTCGATCAAGGCTCTTTGCTTCTCGCGCAGCTCGTCATTCACCTGCTGACCGCCTTCGCGGAGCTCGTCATCCAGGCCCTGCTCGAGCGGCTTGAATCGCTCGTCGGCGACCTCGTCGTGGGCTTCGGTGGAGGAGTGCGTGACGGGGACTTTCTCGGCGGGCATGGATTCGGCAACGGCGCCTTCGATGATGGAGCGGAAGTGCGTGGACACCTTGCGCATGGTCTTGAGGAACATGGCCAGGAGCTGCGACGAGGGCACAGTCAATTCCTTCTCGAGGTGGTCCAAAGACTTGCGCTGCAGACCGATGGCAAGCAGCATGGATTGCTGAATGCCGCTGAGCTTGACATGCTTGTCCATGCGACCGGAGAAGTAGTATTCGGCGATAGTGGGGACCATGTCGAGGATGACGTGGTAGTCCAGCAGGTTGTTGGCGTAGCTGTCGATACGCTTGAGATCGAAGGGCGAGAAGGCAGTGTCAATGGTAGACTTCATCAGCGGCGTCGGGGCGATGGAATCGAGCTGGGCGCCGGCATTGGCCGATTCGCAGATGCTCATCGAAAGGATGGCGGGGAACTCGCGGAACTGATACGACAGCAGCGTGAGGAATCGCTTGTGGAAGTCACGAGCGAAAGCACCCAGCCAGCTCGCGTCGTTGGCGCCCGTGGACAGCGTGCGCAGCATCACGCACGAGTGCTCGCCGGTCAGTTCGTTGGGCGTTTGGCGGAGATAGACGGGGGAGAAAGAGGAGCGCTTCCAGAACTTGTGCAGGGACGAAGTCAGGCCATAGCTGACACCGAGATAATCAAGGTGATCCGGGCGACACTCGGACAACTTGGCGAAGAGGGGCGGCATGGATCGGATGTCCCGAACATGGACATTGTCGTCCAGAAGGTTGGAGTTCGTCAGTTCCTCGTCGGTCACCCGGACCATCTCCTCTTGCGTCGCCATGGTTTCTTCGGAGAGATCGGTGAACTTGCCCTCGTAGAAATCGGTGAGCAACTCAAGGGCCCGCGATCCGTAGCCCATGCCCAGATACTCAGGGTTGGTTGCGATGCGAACAACTCGGGCACCCGAAAGGCCGGCGAAATCTTCATCTTGATACTGCTGGCTGACGAGCCACGGGATCAGATCACCTCCCGCACGCTGTCCACGGCTCAGGCTGTTGAGAACGCTTTGTCGGCTGATGCGACCTTCCAGGGAGACCTGGATAACAACAAGAGGTTCGGGGAGCTTGGCGGCATCCTCGTTGATTGGTGGGACGAGAACGTAGAGCTGGTGGGCCGGTGCATCGCTCATAAGTTGGAGATCATTGGGGGTGTTCTTGTAATGACTGGCAACGTAAAGAGCCATCATCTGCTGGAGGAACTTCTCGGAAACAGGGTGGAATGAGAACAGGGTATCCCGGTTGACCTTGAGAAGCTGGCACTGCGACGGGTGGGGGCAGCCCTGGGTGTTCATCTTGGACTTGGGCAGAGTGGCATCAAGACACAAGACCTTGTTCAGCCATTTCTCGACCGAGTCTCCGGCCGCATATCGGATGGGCTCCGACAATGTAATCTCTCGCAGGGTGCGTGCTCCCAAAGTCTTGCCAGAGTCCTTGGAGGCTTTGCCGGTGGCGCGATCAGCGACGTCGATGTCCTCCTGGCCACTGGCCTTGAGGCCACCTCTCGATTGCTCACGAAGCTGCTGGATCAACTTCAAGGAGAGGGAACGACCCGTTCCCTCATAACCATTGATAGTCGATGCCATGAACACGAGGTAAGGACCCATCAATTTACGGACAAGAGGCAGCGGGATGGCAGCAGCCTCATCAATAACCAGAAGTTCGGCCTGGCCCAGCACGTGAGCATCCTGGGGCTGGATATACTGGATGGTCTGGCGGTGCTGACGGTGGATATTGACTCTGACGATGGCCTTGTTGAAGTCAGGGTTGGTCGATTGAAGGATGGTGTAGTCGACGTGATCCATGTAGCCAAGAGCATCGAATCCCTTGAAAACAAACTCAAACAGGGTCTTCAAGTTCTCGGGGCTTGGCGAGGTGATGAAGATGTTGCTGTATCCATGGGCGACGGCGGCTGCGATGGCGACACCGAGAGCAGCAGACTTTCCGCGACCTCTCGCCGCAGTCAGGGCGACGGTACTCCGCAGGGTCTTCTCTGCAATTGCGTCGACAAACGTCAAGAGCGACTTGGCCTGATCGACCGTGCGGGCCAGGTTGACCAAAGGTCCAATCAACTGAGTCTCCGCGAGACTTTCCTTGATCTCCTTCAATTCCTTCTTGGTACCGGTGTTGTCCGGGTCGGTCGACTGAACGGGCGGCAACGCCTTCACACTTTTTCCTCCAGAAATTGGCAGCACGTTCATCTCATCGTCGATCACCAAGCAGGAGTCGCAGCTACCCAGGGACAGAATGAAACGCTCGTTGAAGCGCGCGGTCACGTCGTCGTGTGCTTCGGTGCGGTATCTCGAGTGAATATCCATCGACAGCGTATACAGTTGCTTCAAGCTGTTCATGCTCTTCAGCAGCAACAAGACAATTCCACCACCTTCGACGGTTTCAACGGTCCGGGCGAGCAGATTCGGTGTCATGGCTTCGAAGTCTTGCAGAATGCACATTCCGTAGGTGTTTCCGAGAATCTTCTCCGTCTCCTTGTAGTACACATATCGGATCTGGTTGAGGGTGACGAACAGTTCGAACGGGTCTTCGGAGTTGGGTTCTCTGATGCCTCTCTTGACTTCCTTCTTGATCTTGGCTTCCCGCTTCTTGCGGTGGCTGGTGAATCCCAGCAGATCCTTCTTGTAAGCCCATAGCACCGACTTGTTCTGCTTGACATCAATGCTGGACATCAGGTAATGCAGATTGACAATCACGTCCTTTGCGCGATCGCCGACAACGACGAAGAAGCTTCGCTTCTTTTCCTGGACGCCATTTTTGATGAGCGTCGGAATGCGCGAGTCAATAGCCTTGCGCGGCATGATGTCGACGAGATCTCCTCCTTTATCGGCGTCCGAGAAAGCGAGGGGGGTGGATGAAGCTGGTCACAGAGACTTTCTTGACCTCCGCAGGCATTTTTCTGCGACGCTAAAAAAAAAGTCACTGGCAGACCGCACTGCCCTTTCTCACCGCCTACCGGGAATGACACCGCCCAGAAGCAAGACACGGCACGTGCAGCAGATGGCGCTAGACCCGATACGGAATGGTGTTGTGTGTTTTGCTTAGGTAATCTCTGGTCGATGTGTGGATGCCTGAGGCCATCAATGACGCCTCGAGTGTTTCTCCATCGAGAAAACAAAGCGTCCTTCCTCCTCCCAGCCACCAACCAATCCATCTCTACACGGCGTAGCATTGCATCTGCAATCATGTTACTTCAAGATCATCACTCTTTGGCTCTCCAACCCCTAGATGGTCCACTCTGCTGGCCGAGCTTTTAGCATTTCCAGCCATCAGAGTGCATACCGATCCAGCACTCCATCGCAGAAACACTGGACCCTGGACGACGCTAAAGAGCTTAATTCGCTTAAGTTTAACAGGTTCTTCGTTGTTGCCCCCACGTTTTACGCAGCTAAACTGCCTTGATGTCAGCGTAGCGGCATCCCGACTTGTGTTCAGTCGAATGAATTCGGTCTGGCATGTTTCGCCGTCGGGAATTATGATGCCGATCCATGTCCAGCGTGGCGTCTGTCACACCAACAAGACTGATCTTCATTGATTATCCTCTTGGAATTAATTTCAGGGCAACGGTCCAAGCTTGCTGGCCGGCGGCGCGACCATGGTCCACGCGGGCTCGTTGACGCAATCCGTTTCTACCGAGAAATGACTCGCTCTTCGATCGCGCCTGATTTGTGTCTTTTCCCAAGTTAAATCGTTTATCATTTATCTTGCCTTTCCCCTGCCCTGGACCCGAAAGAATTAACTCTCCGCCTCACCCTTTCCCCGTCCCCCTTTGACGTTCTCCACCCAACGAACCCTTTTTTCTTCCTACCCTTCCTCCCCCCCCCCCTCCAAGGCACCAGCCTTTTCGAAATCCCTTGCCGGAGCTTGTCTGCTCGTCCGCCTGCAGTGCCTGGCCCTGCACGTTGTTGATTGCCTTCATGCAATGATGTTGTGAAATTCTCCTATCTTGTAATTGGGTTCGCGATGCTTTGTTTCTCCCCTGAGCTGGGCCTTCGAGCCTCAATCGGGTAGGCCATTGTTGCTGTCCACTGCTTTGAACACACTCGCTGACCGCGGTATCCAGGATATTTTTATTGAGCTGCACATTTTTATCAACGACTTACACGACTACATTTGCCTTTGGTAAGTCAATTTGGAAGAAATAAAACGAATGTTCCAGACCTGGCAAGTGCGCAAGTTTGGTTTGGTGGGAAAAGCGCACTTATACCCCCCCAAAATGTTTTGCGACTAACAGATATCGATTGAACAGATCATCCTTTAAGCTCGGCCGTACTGGCATGTTTCCTCGCAGGAATCTCTCTCTTGATTTCGAGCAGGTTCATCTCCTATATACCACAAGCACCCTCAGTGTCGCACAAGTACTCCGCCATTCCCCTCACAGAGCGCGACCAGCCTTCTGGAGAGGTGCCTTCGTCGCCCATTAGCCTTGGTGGCGACCTCCCCGGTGCAACAACCCGAAACCGCTTTAATTGGATTAAAATCGCTCTGGTTTCAAGCATCGGCTGCCTGCGAATCGCTCTTTACCGTCAGATAGCCTCCAAAACAGAATGCGCGCCCACCGGATATGCAGTAAGCGCACGAATCTCAGGACCGACGGAGACAAATGCTGATAAACATCAATTGCGGTGTAGTACGCGATCCCATTTCTTGTCGCGGTTTACGACTTCTGGCGCAACCAACGAGCCCAATCGGTTCCGAAATTCACCACCTCGGACCTTCCTTCAACTAAGTTTATCCGTGTCATAGTAATTGCTGCTAGTCGGACGTATTACTTCTTATGTCGAAGCCGTCTACGTTATGTCATATCCGCCTTATTCCTCACGACCGCGGGATATCTGTCATTTAGTTTTAAAGATGGCCTGCAGTCCACCTACGTGTGCGCAAATATTTCTGGCCTGCATTCGCAATTGCGGGCGTTGAGTATAATCAACACAGTTCTGGACACGCTTCTTGTGATCGGTGCCGCTGAATTATCCCGAGAGATGACTCGACATCGAGACGCGCAGAGAAAGCAAGCCCTTGCGTCATGGGGCTTTAGCTTCCTTGTGAGTTTGTCACTACGTGCATCAAAGGATTACCCGGCACATGCTAATCCAAATCGCTCACAGGGAGTCGCTGTCCTCTGGACAATTATTGGGCTTATATTGAAAGCTGCAATCTCCACAGATGATGCCGGCGTCGTTACTTCCCACTACCTGAGAAGCTCGGTGGGACAAGGACTATTGGTGACTTGCGTCGTCGTCTCAGCGTCTCACATTGTAAGTGTTCTTGACTGTCCTGGTGTTCGCTCAAATGCTCACCAATCAGATTCCTTATTACGGCGCCACTGGACTCTCTATGCTCGGTGGCTTCGTCCTAGTCTTTTTCTCCTGTGCTTCGATGCTTTTCCACGGTCAAGAGCCTTTTCCGCCAATCCTCGCTTCCCGAGCTTTTGTTGCTCTACTTTTCGCATTCATTGGAGCTGTCGAGTATCTCTTTGCTCGGACAGCTTCTGAAGATGAGCCCGATTTCTTATATAGGTTCAACATGTTTCTGCGGTTTCTCTTCTCGTTCTGTTTTGGCATTGGATTGATCTTGGTTGCTCATCAACCCGGGCTGGTCAATCTACATCCCATCGACTTGCTCGTCTACGATGCGAGAACACACCATGAGAATTGGGCCAAGGCAGCCCACAGTAGCAACAACTTAACGCAAGCCGTTGAGCAGTACCGAGTGAAATACAACCAGCATCCACCACCGTGAGTCTTAGGTCCAGCGACATCTCAAAGCGTATTGATGCTAATATTCATTCAGGGGGTTCGATAAATGGTACGAATATGCCACAAATAGGTCGTCGGTCGTGATCGACGAATTCGATCAAATCTACTCCAATCTCCTGCCATTCCGCGGCTTGCCCCCACAGCAGATTCGAGAAATGACCCAGAAGCTAGCCACAAACCCCTACAATGAAGTCGGGGCTGTCAGCATTCGCAACGGCACGGCTAGAGTTCAGGAAGGTATCAAGCCGACGCATGCGTGGATGGTTAGCAGCGCGGCCAAGATGATGGAGAACTTCGCCCAGTACCTCCCGGATATGGATCTGGTGTTCAATTTGAATGACGAGCCCCGAATTGCGGTGCCTTGGGAGAAAGCGTCGGTCCTGAGAGAAGAAGCTAGATCGCATGCACTACCTTCCGACGACAGTATAGTGAAGGAGTGGTCTGCAGACCGTGCAGAGAAATGGGCCCCGATCGAACCAGCTGACCAGACAACGGAAACCATGTTTACAGATAGTTCCTTCAAAAACATCTTCGATCGCTATGCAAGCCTTGTTTGTCCGCCATCCTCAAAGGCTCGCTCCCAGCGCACCTGGGATCGACACAGCTTATGTTTGGGATGTACGCGTCCTCACTCGATAGGACAGTTTCCTTCGGACTGGAATGTTGGCTCCGATATCTGTCACCAGCCAGATCTTGCCTACCTCCACGGGTTCCTCATCTCGCCGGCCTCATTCAAGGTCACCCAGGACCTTATCCCTTTGTTCAGCCAGAGCTCAATATCCGGTTTCAACGACATCATGTTCCCTAGTCCTTGGAACTACGTCGATAAGATCCAATACCAGCCATCTGATGACCACCCGGATTCAAACTACACGGAAAAAACCAACGATCTGTTCTGGATCGGCAGCACCTCGGAAGGCGTGAGCCGGAACGGTGAGTGGAAGGGCATGCCGCGCCAGCGCCTGACCCATCTCGTCAACAACAACATCCACAACAAGGTTTCTGTCCTCCTGCCTGCCAACGACTCCCAAACCTTCTCCTACCAAGTCCTCGATGGCCGTACTCCCTCCGAAATCCTCGGACTCAACACCACCGTCCATCTTACCAACGTCGTCCGGTGTCGCGCAGACTGCGAAGAACAAAAGCAGGAACTTGGCACATCGCCCTCCGTCGATTTCCAAAGCCACTGGGAGCATCGCTACCTCTTCGACGCCGACGGCGCTGGATTCAGTGGCCGCTTCCTTCCTTTCCTGCAGAGCCACAGTCTCCCTTTCAAAACCGGTCTATTCCGTCAATGGTTCGACTCGCGCCTCTCCCCTTGGCTGCACTTCGTCCCCATCGACCTTCGTCTGCATGGTCTCTGGAGCACCCTGGCCTACTTCGCCGGCGTAAATGTCGCCACTGGCTCGAGTCAGGCCCTTATGGAGCGACACGACGTCGAGGGCCAGTGGATTGCCGAGGAAGGACGCAACTGGGCCGAGAAGGCGCTGCGGAAAGAAGACATGGAAATTTATTTCTTCCGACTGCTTCTCGAATGGGGTCGCATTACAGATGACCAGAGAGATGTTCTTGGATATAAACCATAGAAAGTTTCCTCTTCCCCTTTTTTCTCACATATATGTCTTTCTTTGCTTTTGCGAATGGCGCGCATAGGATGGGATAGAAACGTCCTTGTGATTAATACAGTTGCATGTTGTCTTATTTGGCGCAAGGTTGTCTGTCTATCTGCGTGTGTGCACATGCATGTGTTTATTGCTGTCATGATGAAATAATGTACTCATGTATATAGATGTCTTGCAATAACGATATCATTTATAGTTTTAATAGTGCGTTCGTTTCTCACGCGCTCCCAATCCTACGATATAAATCACGTCCATATGTCCAAACGAATGAATGTATTCGGCCAAAAAAGAGGGTATATATAGAAGATAAAACCAATCCAATCAGAAAGAAAATACGTATATACAATCAATCATCAATCCCTAAGTAGCTCCATACCCAACCAACCCCAACCTCTCATGAGAATCAAAATCCCAAAACCAAATCATAACAAACTCCCTCTACGCACGGTGCCCATGCCCATGACCATGAGTATGGCCGCGACGGTTCCTCCTCACAAACGAAGGAGTGGGAGTACCGCTCGGGGCCGGGGTGAACGACGGAACGGGGAAGCTGCTGGGCGACGGGGTGGGAAGGACATTGGCAGCGGCGTCGCCGGACTGGTAGACCTTGAGGGAGTTGATGGTCCAGAAGGCGTCGGTGAAGGCGGCGGGGTTGTTGGCGACGAAGTCGTTGCAGGAGTTAGCCTGGGTGGAGCAGGAGCTGGAGCCCCAGGTGTTGCCGGCCCAGTCGCCGCAGAAGGTGGTGTCGAAGACCTGTGTAGGAGATAGTTGGTTAGATTTGTTTGGAGAATGGAGGTTTACGGGTATCAGGGATGGAGGGGGAGGGTGGACGTACGATTTGCAACCCCTGGAAGTGGGCGTTGATGTCGCATTGGCCGGCGAATCGTCCGTCTGGGGTCCCCCACGAGGCAGGGTCGGGGTTTCCGTTGCCAATGTCGGCGGGGACGTTGCCGTTAGGGAAGTACCAGATGCTGATGGCGTCGCCAGTCCATTCGGTAGCGTAGACGCCGCCACCGTTGCTGTTGAACCCGGAGCCAAAGGACTGGTCCGAGGGGGCTTCGATACCGCAGCCCGCGTTGGTGTCTTGGCCCGGGGCCTCGACGAAACAGTTGCTGGTGGTGAGGGAGCCGGAGAAGCCGGAGTTGTCGATGCTGCAGCCGTCGCTTGTGTGGAGGGCCATGTGGTTGTTGGTCTGGTCGTGGACGCCTTCGATGATATCGATTTCGCCGCTGTTGGGCCAGTTGGGGCCGACGAGCCAGCTAGGTCGATGTTAGTATCAAAGTAAGGCACGAGATGAGAGGTGGAGATCTTACAAGGCAGGCCAGGTTCCGCAGATACCACCAGGCATGTGGTCAAGGTCCAGGATGAACAGACCGTGGTCGTAGCTCTGGGTGCTGGTGATGCGCACGCTCTGGCGGCCATCCGGGGCCACATTGGTAGAGTCCACGCCCATATGGATAGACCCGTCCGTACCGATCAAACCCGCATTCTGAGCAGTATCACGGTCGACATAGTTGACAAACCCATTGGTAGGATCAGGATCGGTGAAGAAGGCGAACTTGTCGAAGAAACCGTTGCCGTAGTCATCTTGCAGAGTATAGGCTGCAGCGGCAAGTTGCGCCGAAAATCCCAGGACTGGAAGAAGAGTAGAAAAGACCTGCATGTTGCTTTCTTATCCAGGGAGAAAGGAGTGTAAGATTCTTGAATATGACAAAATCCAAGAAGAGAGTCCGACTGTGGACTTGCACAGGGCAATATATACAAGAAGAAGGTCAGAGTAAGTACAAGGAATGGCGCCCCAAAGCCAGAAGACAAAGGGAAGGAGTGTAAGAGGGTTTTGCCAACAGGCCAAGGAATGTTACAGAGTAGTTTGATCTTGAATCCAACAAAGCGGGCCACGGTCCATATATACACAATGGACAAGGCCATATCAATATGTCAAAGACGCTATTGGAGCGTGGCGCTCCGCCATGATGCGCCCAGCCGACATGGCCTTCGGACCTGCTGCAGCGTGCATGTGGACTGAAAAGATGTATCATCCATGGCGGCGCGCGAAAAAAGAGCCAATCCTTAGATCGGGGCTAGTTTCTGGATCGCAGGAACAATGTTTCGGATTTAGAGGCAGCGTGTAATCCGAGAAGGGGCCGGATTGCACGGCAGGGCAGAACAACGGATGACAGCGACTAAGGAAACGCCGATTTGGCCCCTGGCGAAATAAGGTTGGTGGAACCGGATATTTCATTTCCTCAGGGCTCCCGGTGATTGGATCTGAGGCGAGGTCATTTATTCGCACTATCGAATGCCCTGACACGGCATGAATCAGATGGAAATCGAGTCCCGCCATTCAGCGTACGAGCAGCGAGATAACTCGTGGCAGGAAGCGGAACGAGCAACTCCAGGGGGGAAATTGGAAGGATGATCCGGCGGTCTTCGCCATCTCGATCAAGGGAAAGCAGCCGTGATGCGAGTCAGAAGGAAGAAAGCCAAGCGGCGACAAGGTTGGATGGCGAGAGACGAGAGACGAGAGTGCAGAAGATCGGCCGGTCATCGTCCACTTTGCGCTTCGGACGCCCGCCGGCAGGTGACTCGCCCAAACCCTCTTGGGCAATTCCTCTCCATTCCTCTTCGGCTTCATCTCATTCATTTAGGACTACGATCGACAGTCATTTCCACCCGGGTCGACCTGGTCTACAGCGGGAGAACATCCTGGTCGGGGTGCCATGGGTCGCCATCCTGTGATTCCCCACCAGTCAGAAAATAGGCAGAGATACTCGCGCACCGGAAATGACCAGAACAGACCCCCGAAGCACGAACAAATAGGAAAGAGAATAAGAATAGGATAGAGAGGTATTATTATCGTCCCCACACTCGTAAACATGGTAAAATCGCTCGCTCATTCAGTATGTACAGGACAAATGGCACAGGTGAGGTGATCCCACTCCGACTGGGGCGCAAAAGGGCCCTGCTTCTCGGGCTTCGAAGGACCGAATTTCACCAGGCAGTGTCGGTGATAGAGGTGTCGACAAGAAAACACAACCGCTGGCCCTATCGGCATCTCACGGCCATCTCCGACTGCCCCCTGCATCTCATCCGCGGTATTATCCAAGGACCCTGCTTGTTCCGCATGCTCGGCCTCGTGAGGATGTAACGTCTGACCAACTTCCGCTACTGCTGCGGCTTTACCCTTGCCTCGAGTGGTGGCCGGGTCAGCTCCTTCGTGGAGCTGGCGAGCGATGCGACGCTGCTGCGCATCGGCCTGTTTTTTCTCCCAGGCTTGCCAGTGGTGCGACCCGACCCCTGGCCCCCAAATTCGCTGCCGGCAAATCTCGCATGCTTGGCCCCGTGGCCGCCATCCCCGTTGCCGCAGTCGCGCTACCCCGTCCACATGGACAAATAGATCCCGGTCCAGCATGCCGTTGGCCAGGGACAGCAGCGACTTCTCGTATGTATAGGCCGAGAAGATGGACGCAAGAACGGCACGCAACTCGAGCAGAGAGGGCGACCATTGTGCGGCACGCGTGAGGAATGCGCGCAAGATCCGCAGAAAAGCCACATCGCTGCGCTCGTGGGTAGACGATCCGCCAACCCTGACCGTGCTCGAGAGCAGCGCAGTGAAGACCTGCTGGACCAGCCTACGGAAGGAGGTCATGAGTTGGGCTGCATTACTGCCCATTTGGGATGTCATCGGAGCGAGATGGGTCAGTTTGTGGTCGGACTGCTGTTCTTTCTGGATCAACGCGAAGACGCTGCTGGTAGTGCGCACAATGGCCTCGATCAGATCCAGCCAGAGGTTCTCATCAAACGAGAGCGGTTGATCGACAGCGGTCTTTCTGCCACCATTTCTTTCGACGGCTCGGGGCTTTTTAGCGGTTTTCGTCTGGCCCTGGCAGAGCCATGTTCCCACTCGTGTATATTTGTCTAAGGATTCCACGAGGTCATCGATGGCTTCTGCGGTGCTGTCCGAATCTGGACTCTCCCGGATGCTTTGAAGAATTCCGACAAGACCCGATTCCAGCGTCCCCAGATGAGCGACAAGACGATCCATAGCGGCTCGAATTTGGCCTTGTCTAGCGAGCAGGATGACTGCCGCATCCACCACACCACTCTCTTCCATTGAAGGCATCAGCTCCTCGAGGCGCACGTCGCCAACCCGAAGTTCATCCACAAAGTCTGCGACGTGAGAAGGGTCATATTTGCAGAGCAACTGCACATAACGTTCGATCACCCAGTTCTCGGTCGATTTCGACGGTCGGCCCTCGGCGGTGGATCGCGATGCAGGTTCTACGATGACATTCAAGTATCGATATTGTCCGAAAGTATCGTCTTGGAGGGCATTGAGCATCGTTTCGTGAGTCTCCGGTGCGAAGTCCTGCATTGTCCGGGCAGCTGCTTCGACATCGATCGCCACCAACTGAGAGGCGTGGCTCTTTACCACGTCAATGACTTCTCGCCTCTGCTTCTTACCAACTCGGGAACCAGAGCGAAGGCAGTCCTGTAGGCAAGTAAAGATCTCTCTCTGTTCGTTTGGATCCTCAAGGTAGGTCAGCACCAATTGCGGGAATTGTCTCTCCGAACGGTAGGTTGATTTCAAGATCCGGAAAAATCGAGCCTGCTTGAACAGGGGAATCATGCTTTGAATGTCTGGCGGGTGGTAGAACGACAGTAGATACTCGGCACTGAGTTCGCAATCTTCCGCCATTTCCTGGGTTGGATACTGACACAGCCGCTCCAGAACCTGGTGGAGGGTGGTTCCAGAAAGAAGGATATATTGGGGGTACTTCGGGAGATTGCGAGCAATGAACATGTCGAGATAAATGGTTTCAGTCAGGGAGAAGGTTTCAGGTGTCATGATTTGCAACAAAAGGCTGATCAGATATTGTCGGTTGATTGAGAGTCCTTGGAACGAGGTCTCATCCGGCTCCTGTTCGTTCAAAGAGCTATCTTCGAACGCTTCGTTAAGCATGCTCATGAAACCAGAGGTATCAAATTTTAGCATAGCCTGAAGATCCGGGTACGACTCATTTGACCCAGACTGGGTAACTGACTCTGCACCAGACGAGTTCCCCGAGAACAGGTACTCGTACAGGGATGCCTTAGCCCGGTGAGCTTCCGCTTCTTCCATATCATCCCCGGTAGGATAAATGCGACCAGTAAGAACAAACGACAGGTATGGAAACATCTTTGTGGCATTTGTATACTGTTTGATCCCGTTCATGGAGTCGCCATTGACCAGGTTCTCTTGGGATAAAACAAGTCCCAAGAGCTCCTGTAATGGGCCCACGTAGTCTCCCAGGCAGCGGTTCCAGACATATATAAAGGCATCGTATAGATTATAGTGCTTGCAGAGCGTCGTGACTTGGTCGATATCCATCGTGGTCGTGTCAAGAAGGCAGATGATCTCCTCCAAACGACTGGCCGTATGGTTGGTAGTGAAATGATTGATAAGTGCCTTGACTGCCGTGGGAGGTAGAGACCGCACGGTTCCGTCGATGATATACGGTTCAAGAGCATCAAGGAAGATTCCTTGCGATTCATGCTCCTCGTACCAGTTGAAGACCTCATCCCAAAGAAAATCTTCGTCGGTCATATAGATGCAGGCCGAAATGGAAACCTCGGCCAATTCCTCGAGTTGCCGACTGTCAAGTCGCTCATTACTCGCCTCTAGATTCCGGCCGAACGCGTATTTCAGAGATGCCGACACCATCTCCAGGAGTTTCTCCCGAACGATTGGCTGCCTTAGGGAATCCTCGTCGGGTAAACCAACAGTGAGCTTTTCTCCGCTGCCCTGGTAGTAGGACGTTGCCAGTCGAATGGCCCCGATAAAATCGCCCGCCTCCATGAGCGCCAGCAATCGATCTGCCCAGTTTGAGAGGCTCCCAATCAAGGCTTCATTATGGCCCAACAGAAACAAACGCCCCTTGTAGGAGCGGAAAGACATGAAAAAAGCATCTGCTACCACGCCGTGCATTGAAGTGTCCTCTTCGTCCAACTGCTCAACCAGTGAATGCAGTTGAGAGGAGAACAGGTCAACGTGGTAAATGTGTCGACTAAGAAGGTCGATCGCATCGGTTACGCGCATGGAATAATCTTCAAGGATGAGCAACTGTTGCGTAATGGTAAGCACTGCTAGCACCGAGCGACTTAGCCACTGGACGGCAACAATTGCTTCCTCCGCCTTCCAGCGATTTCGGGCCTTGAACTCCAGACTGGGAGGCCTATCTCTGTCCGGTACATCGTCCGTTTCGAATTCCGACACGTCCAGGACCGTCAACACATTCGACCAACAATAAGCCAGTTTGGTTTTTGAAATCTGCGAATCCTTGCCCTTCAGTCGGATGGCAGGAAACCAGGCCAAGGCTCCGGTCATTGCACCGTGGGCCGTAACCTCCTTTGGACGGGGTGCTTTGTGCTGCGTTTGAGCCACGGGGGTGGTCGAAACGATGACCAGAAGGTACGGTGTCAGCATGGCAACCAATCCCAAAGAGTCGGTTGGTTGATCCACATTACCCAGAGGTAGAGGCGAAAAGGCAAGGACCGAGCTTGGCTTGCGCAGCCGATTACCATGCCCAACGTGTTGCGGATATCGCCCCAGAATCCTAGTTGTCTTCACCGTCCGCCCCAGTGCGCCGGTGCCCCGAGTCGCCAAGTGAGAGAAGGCCATGCCTCGCGTGTCTGCCGACACCAACGCAGTGCGTCGGGTTCCCAGAAAGCCCACATGGATCACCGACGATGCGGAAAGATGTCCGTCCGAAGTGCGAGAGTCAACTTGATTTGTCGGAATGGGTGGGATATGAAGAAAAGGTCGCGCCGACTTCGATATTTCCCACGTAAATATATCCCCCGAACTGTGGCCACCAGCGATTGTCGAATGGTCGGCAGAAAGCGCAAGCGACATGATAGCTCCGCATTCCGTAGCTAATGTCGAGAAAAGACCATGCTTAGCAAGTGCAAATGTTTGAAGTAGGGATTATAATCTTACCCTTGGTTCCGGATCCGATTATCGTTCGCAGACTCTGTTGATAATCGAATACCAAGATTATGCCCTTCGACGTCCCGATCACAATACTCGTAGACACAGCCATGCAAGTCGGATAACCAAAGTTTCGTTTTCCCACCTCCGAAAATGCATGTCCGGTTATCTTCCTTAATTTGGTCCATCTTACTACATCCCACGGACCTTGCGGAGATTCGGAATCGGAATTGACGGTGGCCGGGGACAGTCGACTAGTGAGGGACGATTTTCGCGAGTGGATCTGGGCCAGAAACGGTGACGACGGGCGGAAGCCGCCTAACGGCGAGGAGGAGAGCCGGGACTGGAAACGAAGGTCGAAAGGACGGTGCGAAGGACTGGGGCTGGGACTGGGGCGAGGAGAGCTTCGAAAGGCTAAAGCGCTGCTGCTTTGCGAGGACAGTACGGAACCCTAATGCTATCAGCGAAATCTCTAGGACCAGGAAAAGCCAATCTGGTGACAAACGTGTAAAGAAGGGGTATCATCTGGAGTTGAGGCGGTTTCGTCAACGCTGCCGGGAGCACCAGGCTGCCCGGGACGGGGAGAGACCGGAGCATCGTTCGTATCTTCGTCAACGGGAGGGGCGTTTTTCGCGGGAGTCAAATCGGGGCTGTCTACAGCTGGGAGATCGTCATCAATGTATGCCATTGAGTCATCTCCCAGCCCGTTAGTTGGCTTCGCATCATCCGGAGCGCCGTTGGGCGTTGGATGGGAGTATTCATGATCCTCTTCGCCCAAGTCGAGCTCGTCCGCTCGTGCCCGGTCATCACTGCCCTCAATCATGGAGCTCATCGGCAGAGTGTAGGAAGGACCATCGCACCCCCACTGATTCGCAAGAAGGTCTCAATAGTAACGATCAGGATAAGGAACGGCACCGACACGGTCTAGGCGGGATGGCGACTGTTTCTCAACCAGGATGTGCACAGAGCTTCGGTGAGCGACCAACCGAGTCGTGGGCGGATCGAGTGGAGCACGAGGGGAGAGACGCGAGGATCCGGGATCGGGATGACAGGAGAAAGTTGACGGAGATGTCCAATGGATGACGAGGACGAAGGCGCAACGGTCAGAGGAGGAAGCGAGGCTGAGTTGGCGACGACAAGCTCGGCGGGCTGAAAAGGTCGGGGAAAGCACGAGGATCAGTTGAGCCTGAGCATGCCGCCTTGGGGCCTTGGGGCCCTGGTGCCTGGGCCGTGCTCGGGGTCACCGCCCGCCGTGGCATTTCTGTCGTCATCGTCATCGTCGCCGGCTTCGGGCAGAAGACCCCATACAGCCACTTCCTTTTATTCTATCACCACAGCCCTTATTTGGCTGCCTCACAGAGGTGACACCAGGCGGGATGACATCGTCACGCCCATGCTTCTTGTCTGCTGTCGTGCATTCGGATCCTCGAATACGGAATATTTTCTCCAGGATGGCACCAGCCACTCACGTCTCGGGTCAGCCAAATGCCCGGTCCATGACCTCCACCGTGGCCCGTGTAACTGAAACAGATCTCCCGTCATGAGAGCGGATTGATAGAGTATAGACTCTACTCCGTAACTCTTACATTTACTTCCGAAGTATATGGCAATCGTCCCCATCACCTTATGAAGTAGCGTTCTAACAAGTACAGTGGGTTTCAATAACTAAGCATGTTTTCACAGGCACAATCGCACATCCGATGGCCCGAGGCATCTCGCTTAGTGTCGGGCCATCAGACAGGGCGTGCAGGGCGTTCTCTGGATGCCAATTCATTTGGTCCCATTTCCATCGGAGATCGCATCGTTGCCATTTCTGGGGCAATAATTGGATGGATCATCTCGGGATTGCTCATCCTCGGCAAGAAGTCCGAAACTCGCGATTTTTAATCACCGGCAACTCGGCGACAGATCAAAGAGTAACAAACAACTCGTCCTTGCTGGGGATGATAATTTATGACTACATATGCCTTCAGCAATGTTAAGCCGCGTGCGTCCCATCTCATCATCTCTTGGAAAGGCATTAGTAAGGCGACAGATGTCACACTTCAAGGTCATCGAGCATCAGGCTCGATGCCAGAATATACGCGAACGCCCTGGGGCGGTTGAGCCCCGACATGAGCACCAGTTAAGACTCGCTGTCAAGCAATACATTCCGAAGGATAACCTCAATCCTAAAGAAGGGGATGTGACGCTCATAGGGGCGCATGGAAATGGTTTCCCGAAGGTAACGCGGCGTCTGCGCGCATTCTGCTCGAGACCACAAGGAATTGGTTGACTAACAACTTGCAGGAGCTCTACGAGCCCTTGTGGGATGGGATATATGAGAAATTACGCGCCGCCAATCGACGGATCCGATCCATCTGGATTGCCGATATGGTTCATCAGGGCCAAAGTGGTGTTCTGAATGAGTCCATCTTAGGGGACGATCGTACGTTACCGGGCTAGCAAGCCATCACGCACTTCATTGACATGTCAAATAGCGAGCTGGTTGGACCATGGTCGCGATCTTTTCTCGCTGGTGAATCAATACCAGGATGAAATGCCCCATCCCATCATTGGCATTGGGCATAGCATGGGTGGAATGCAGCTGTGTGTCTCCCCAGTCAAGCCCAAGGACATCAATTAACATAATACACCAGAGCCCACCTTTCTCTGATGCATCCATCCCTATTCCAAGCCTTGGTTTTAGTCGACCCGGTAATCCAAACGGGGAACCCAAGCAAGACGCTCGCGCTTCCCACAACATACCGACGAGACTGGTGGCCATCACGACAAGAAGCCCTTCAGAAATTCCAATCCAGCTCTTTCTACCAAGCATGGGACCCACGGGTCCTGGAGAAATGGGTTGAGTACGGACTGCGAGACACCCCGACCGAGCTGTATCCTCAGGCCAGCGAGAACGGCCAGCAACCCGTGACTCTAACCACGACCAAAGCCCAAGAATTGTTCACATTCCTGCGCTCCGCTTATGTAGATAAGCGGTCTGGGCTTCCTCGCGGGACCCCGCAGGGCGAGGTGCACCCGAGTGAAATTGACGATTTCCCGTTCTATCGGCCTGAACCGGCGCATATATTCCGTCATATTCCCGAGCTGAATCCAAGTATTCTCTACGTTTTTGGCGAGAACTCGCCATTCTCCACGCCGGCTGCACGGCAGGAGAAGATACAAGCGACTGGTACTGGTCTTGGTGGTAATGGTGGCGTTTCACAGGGGCGCGTGAAGGAAGCTGTCCTTCCCTGTGGCCACCTCGTTCCCATGGAAAATGTGTCTGGATGCGCCGCCGCCAGTGCCAGCTTCATTGAAGACGAGCTGACCAACTGGGAAGCACGGATGAGAAAATTGAGGGGGGCCTGGAAAGGAGTACCTCGTCAAGAACGAATCAGCATTGATGATCAATGGAGAGCGCATATTGGAGAGCTTCCGAGGAGACAAAGATTATAGACGAGAATTTCATAGACCCATAGATATATAGCTATTTCAATTAGATGCAAAAGACCTCTGAAGCAGAAAATCAAGCTCGATAACAGTACAAAAAAAAAGCAGTGTTATTGATACTTTAGACGTCCGATACAGTCAAACACGAGCAGATCATTGGTTAATCATATCGCAAATAGCCCAGTGCATGCATCAAGGAAGACTCCACTATGGTGCAGGATGCATCGATGTTATGCATAAACTTTCTACTTTCACCAACTCCTCGATGAGACAGACATGACGTTTTTCGGAGCACTCCATTATACCACCGGACATCATCGAGGCGGCGTTTTCCGGTAAACAACTCAAATTCCCAGCCTATCACTACTGCTCTACATAAATACCTCCAGATAGATCCCTAGAGCTTGCCAGGAACCCAACACCCATCCTATTCACACCTAACCGTCTCTCAGCAATTATAACAATGGACTCCATAGGCCACATCGCCTCATGCTACCTCGCCGTGCACATCTGGATCATATTCGGATTAATACTCGCAAAGGCCATCGACAAGTACCTACCACGACCACCACCCCAACAACAACAACAACAACAACCCGAAGACGAAATTGACCCTTCCGAACTCGAACCCAACAACCACCTAGTATCCAAGGCGCTCGATTTCGCCATGCACACCAAGGTATGGCCATTCTGGACTGAACTCAGCGGACTAGAGCTATCCCCTCTCCTTGATGCACAGAACAAGATCCTCCTCGAGGAAGGCGAGAAAGCAATCAGCGACGAGTACGGCATCCCCGTCGAAGCCGTGAACGAGGTGCGAGCGACCCGCTGTCTAACGGACCCCGACGGACCCCTGGTCCAGGACTATCTCCGGCGATTCGACAGCTTCAAGTGGGAGGTCATCGCGAGGTCGCTCCCGGCCATCGCGGCGATGGTCTCCACCCCGGGCCAGAGTCAATTGAAGCATATGAAGCCGTTCCCCCAGGAGCGCAAGCGCACGGAGATTTGGAATAAGCTGTGCAATCGCTCGACGGCCCCGATTCTGAGGAATATCGCGAAGCTTCAGTACACGCCGACAGATAATCATCACGATTATGTGCGGCGGTGTCGGGGCCTGGTTGCGGAGCTGCGGAAGCTCAAAGAGGTCGCGGACTGGGTGGAGTTCAAGATATTCATGGCCCCGTTGGCGAAAGAAGCTGTGCTGGAACCATTTATTGCTCATATTAGTAGAGTTTACCTGAAGATATCCCTGATCGAGGTGTATGCGAAGTTCGTCATCTACGAGGACACGAGGAAGGGGCGTGTTAACTATGCGATCGAAACCAACGCCTGATCTGTAAACTGGCTGGGATTGGATTTTGTCTTCCCCTTCAGGTTTACTTTCTTGGGTTAATGACAAGCAGTGTATGTACGATGCGCTCTGTCTCTCTTTTTCCTTTCTCTTCCTTATGTTGGCCAGTCTCATTTAGATCTGTGTGTTTCTACATACAATAAACCAAGGCGATAATCATCCTCCCCAAATCTGTTCTGTCAAGTAGATACTCGTAGTCTTAAGCCCCAATTAAATATAAACAGAGACATCGAAAGTTTTATGAATGAATCAAGGTCACGCAGATCAACGCCAAAGCCTAAGCAAAGAAATGCGACCATCATGCGCACGGGACAATTCTGATAAATCGATCAGCAGGGCTGATTTACCACTCAGGTGGAGGGCGGTCGAATAGAGAATAAAATAAACCCCGAATAAATAAATTAATCTATACAGCTGAAAAAGAAAAGAAAAGAAAATCTATTGTTCTTGGCTTTGTACTTCCCCTCGCAGGCCCAGGAACCACCGGATTTTATTGGTTCTGAACCTGGTTTGCGGTAGACTGCAGCCATGAAGATCTTAATCTCCGTTTTGTCACTTACTTATTTTATCTTATTTTTTATTTAGTATTATTATTTATTTTATTCCATTCTGTGCCACCATCTCGCAGACAATGATGCCTTCATCACATCCCTTGTTTGGCATGGATCGAACAACGTGATGGATGACATAGTATACCATTGAGGAATTCACTTTCTCTATCCCAGCTCTGCGATCGATAAACAATAGAAAAAGAAAAAGAAAGACACAAATCAAGATCACTAGGATACCCAGTCTACTACCTAGGTAGAATCATCCGCCATCCCAACATGACCACGACCACCACGCCGCGTGCTCATTGGACGGGAACGCACCACGCCTAATGCAAGAATGATCCCTTGTCCCTCGGACGCCAGGATTAACGTCGTATCGATCTCTCGGACTCGCCGTGAAGATGTATGCCTGTGCTATTTGATCCCGCTGTTTAACCGGATCGACAAGATAGCTAGCGAGTATAGTCTAGCGGAAGGAATCAGTTCCCCTCATCTTCTTGTCTTCAGCGTGCTTTGTTTTCATTGCTCAAACAGCAGAGATAGGGTGTGTGCGTTCGGTGTTGATTCATTGGTCACAAGGGTCGCAACGGTGATCGACTACTGTGTCTGATTGCGAAATAGGTCTGAAGCATGATTTGATCATTTAGTATCAGGGCTGGGGGATTCTTTCCCTGCTACTAGGTGGTTGATGGTTGATGGGAGGTATAAAGCCGTGGAAGGTGCGCTCGGCACTCCCTGTCGACTGATTTATTTATCCACTGACGATGGAGCTGGTGGCTCATATTGCGATCATACCGTCTTGTTGATCTACTATATAGGTGTCTGTTTATTATTTCTCCTATAGCTTCACGTTTGGTTTGATAGTATTTTGTCCCACACCAGGCCGACAAACCATGGCTCGCAACCAGCCCAACCCCCCGACGCTCATTTCCTCCCTCATAACCAGCTTTATATTTATCTACTCGATCATCATCCCCGCGGTCTCCGCAGCGACCTGCAACGGACAATCGGCCTACTGCGACCGCAAATACTCGAACATCACGTACCTCGGCGCGCACGACAGCCCCTTCGTGGGCCCTCTCCCACAACAGAACCAGAACCTCAATGTAACCGCGCAACTCGACTTCGGCATCCGCTACCTCCAGGGCCAGACACACAAGGTCGAAGTCGACGACGCCATCCGCCTGTGCCACACCTCCTGCCTGCTCGAGGACGCCGGGACGCTAGAAGACTTCCTCGTCACGGTCAAGACGTGGCTGGAAAGCCACCCAGACGAGGTGTTGACGCTGCTCCTGACGAACGGCGACGGCCTGCCGGTGTCCAAGTTCGACGAGACCTTCACTGACGCCGACATCAAGAAGTATGCGTTCGTGCCGGAGCCGTCCTCGGAGACGCTGCCCATCGGGTCGTGGCCGACCTTGCAAGAGCTGATCAGCAAGGGGAAGCGGCTCGTGGTTTTTCTAGGTATGTTTGTGAACCCCGCTTGCGTGTTATCATTTGGCTGGGTTTCTCATGATCTTTTGTTTTTGCAAGACTATGGTGCCGACGTCAGTACCGTCCCTTATATCCTCGATGAGTTCGCGTACTACTTCGAAACTCCGTTCGGCGTGACCGACAAAACATTTCCGAACTGCAGCATCGACCGGCCTCCCGGTGCCAGTGCTGAGGGGCGCATGTATGTCGTTAACCATTTTCTGGATGTGGATATCCTAGGAGTCCTGATTCCCGACCGTCTTCGTGCTCCGAAGACCAATGCTGTTTCTGGAGAAGGGAGCATTGGAGCCCAGACCGAGCTTTGTCGCTCCGAACATGGCCGATTGCCCAATGTGATTTTGGTGGACTTTGTCGATCAGGGCCAGGTGATGAAGGCAGAGAAACAGATTAACGGAGTTTGATGCCCGCTTTTGGATTAAATGGTTTTAGACGATACCTCTGGATGTCGATTTTCCCGTCACTGGTGGCCAATTATTACTCTAACATTGTTTGATCGTCGAACTATATATAGATCAATCGCAATCATGAATACCCAAGTACACAGGGTTCAAGAACTTGACTTATAGTGTCATTCTATTCAATACAAATGAGTAGATATCTATTCTGCATACCATTGCGAATCAACAATATCACGGTCAAATTCTAACCGTCAAATTCAAAATATGACATGAGATTTCATGCCTAAACGCTCTCCCAAAAGAGGCCTTATATAATATAGTATATATTTCACTCCTCCAACTCCATTTGCATCTCACGGTCTGTATATTTTCCCGAAACGATTAGCTTTACTAGGTATCATAGAAGGAACAACCACTACACGTACCCCAAATTTTATTCGCTGATGCAATGATAATCTCCGCTTTGGCGAGCAGTTTCTGAGAATAGCGCTCCGCTTCAGTGGGATGCAGTTGACTCTTTTGTGCTTTGCGCGGATTCACCTAGAGAGGGTCAGCAACACGTACTCCGACGATATGGTCATATCCGCATACCATCATTAGAACAGGGACAAGGTCCTTCGCATCCGCTTCGGCCAGGGCTCGCAGATTTCGGAATCCATTGTCCCTAAGCAACCTTGCAGTCCAGCCTTTCACGTAAGCCACCTGGGCCATCTCCAGTAGATCGGCGCGGGCCCCGGCTTCCAATCGATCTCGCATATGATCAAGGACTGCGGCGAGCATGCCCCACCCCATCCGTTGACAGAACTTGACCATTCCGGCCGCGAATCCATGGCATTGCTGAGCCAAGGTTTGAACCGCCCCGCGAGGGATTCGATAGCGATTCGCAATTGTTGACAGTGGCACTTCATTGCTCAAGTCACGAAGTTGGAACGCAGTATAGGCGCGACGGTATATTCGACCGGTTTTCACCTGCTCCGGGGTACTCTCCTTCAAAGATGCACCGCTCTGTACCCTATGATAGTGTCAGCCGATCCTGGGAATATGGGGGGAGGGGGTCTGGATGAGCTAGCGTACATCGAATTTACAAAGCCGGGTTGCACGCCGACAAACTGTAAAGCCCGCAAACCACTATCGTCAAGGAAATCCAGTTGGTCTCGGAAAATAGGCCAGTCTATCTGAGTGTTGACCGCCACCTGGAGAGGAGTGAACATGTAAAAGATGTGCATGTCGCCATCCATCACAAAAGCCTGTAGGGCTCGTCTCAATTCTTCATGGACAAAAAGGCCGTCTTCCGGGGCGAAGGCAGAGGCAACCACGGCTTGTCCAAGCTGTGTCGCCTCATACGCTTCGTCGTCTTTCTGCAGAAGAAGCTCTTCATGAATTAATTCTTGAAGTGCGGAATTCATAATGCTATAGGCTAACTTCTTGTCTACCATTCGACAAAGTAGGGTGCATTTCACATATTCTTTGACTGCATCGAATCCTGAGACGAGTCCTGTTGCTATAGCCTCCAAAAGTGCCCTGCCAAGGCAGATTAGCAATCGTAACTAACAGCATGACTGAAGCAGCTCACCTTTTGAGTCCCCTTTTTTCCGGGGCAAGACAACTTTCAATGGCAGGCATATCGGCTTCCAACAGATCGCATACGGCCTCAAAATCCGATTTGCCGCAAATTAGATACGTCTCGCCTACTTCGTCCTTTCCTTTGCGACCGGCTCGTCCACACATTTGTCGGCTGCCTTGGTTAGGATACATCGTGCATTGATTATGATTCAGGGAGCTTACAGCATGGCTGGACCGACCAAGTCCCGACCCATACGTGCACCGTTTATAATAACTCTTCTTGCTGGAAGGTTGACGCCTGCAGCAAGACTGCAAGTGGCCACAAGCACCCTCAAAGTCCCTTGGTCATAAGCCTGCGCAATGAGTTCACGTTCTTCCGCAGTCATCCCAGCATCTGAATAGAGTCAGCTTACTAACTGTCTACATGTAAAAATGCAGGTCGGGTGTCTCACGATGAAATCCTACTCCCTTGAGAAGAGTATTCTCTAGAGCGGGATCAAGACCACTAGGAAGGCTTCTTAGTTCAGCGAGTAAGTCAAGTCGTCTGCTCAATTCCTCCGGGTCGACCATAGAGGACCCTGGCATTGCCTCGCTGATAATGGCCGCATGGAGCTGACAAGCTTGTCGGCTACCACAAAACACCAAGGCGCCATAACCTGCAGCAGCTGAATCCACGGAGAGAGCGACCATTGAATTTGTCGACGGGTTCGCGAGTTCTCGGAAGGTCGAAGCTTGTATCATACGATGCGGAGGCATAGTATCCGCGATGGAGGTTGCTGTTGACGCCAATTTTTTAATCGTGTGAAAGAGCTGCCGGGACGTAGCTGCGGGGTAAATTGCATTTTCATAGACAAGATAATCATCGATCGGAACAGGTCGATAGGTCGAAATATAATATTCTGCGTTCATCCATTCCGCCAACACTTCTGTGTTCTAGACCTTGATGAGCCTGTAGGTCGGCCTGCCACGAGAAATTGGGCACCCACCGAAAGAGTGGCACTCATGCCAATAATTTGGATGTCTTGCTGCAACAGAAGCAACTTGGTAACCATCAGTTCCATAAGGTAGCCCCGGTGTTCATCGTCAAGCATGTGCAACTCATCTAGAACGACGACACCTAGATTCCCAATGGTACATTCTTCGATCGCAGTGTTTATTAATGAATTAGCCTAGAAGAGAGACAGCAATCAATGGAAAGATTCAGTGAATATCGAGGTCCGAGAGTGCAAACCTTCTCTATGGTACAGACCGCGATGTCCATATCAGCCCAAGAGGCGGTAGTCCTGCTTCCACCGAAGAAACCAGCGACACGGATTGATTTCTGAAGTTTTTTCCATCGCTGATAGTAGGGCTTTGCCTGCGCTGGGTCCTCGTCATCATCGTGCACATACTTTTCAAGATTCTGCACAATGCGCCGGAGCCACTTGAGCTTTTCCTGGACCAGCGCCACGTAGGGGAGAACTAGGATGGCTTTGCAGGAGGGGTTTTCTATGATGCGTTTCAGCATCAATACATCGGCCACGAGGGATTTGCCACCACCCGTCGGGGCTGTATAAATCAAATGCCGCTTCCCTTCGAGGAGGCCGGGGGCAAGCAAACATGCCGATTGCCAAGGATAGATGCTGCTCACCCCGACGGCGGCAAAGTTAGTGACCAGCGTAGGAGGTAGTCCATATCGAGGGTGTTCCAGAAACAGGATCGGATCTCTGTTTGACTTCTGGATCACGGCATCCGTTCTTTGTTGGCGGGGGTCTTGGGCGGCCGTCACGGGACAGATTTCACTCGCAACCAAGCGGTTCTTGGAAGCAGGGGAGGTTACACGAGGACGAACGAAATCCACCGACGCCATCGAATGACCTGATTGTTTGGTACTCGATGTTTTGATCGAACTATCCGGAGAGCGATCCGGCAGTCGTTTGTGCCCCGCCAGGGAAGCTACAGAATACTCCTGCTGGCGAGCAAGATCGACCGAGGTTTGGAAGCCATGGGACTGGAACGGCGGTGCAGACATGCCTTAATGCCTTGAGCGCCCCTTTGTTATCTCTTAGTCGACGGTAAACATCGATCGGATGCCAGGACAAAGGCGGTCCGCGATGGGATCTTATACGGTGAAACGACAACGAGTTTCACCGTCGACAGGGATCTCAGGGAAGTTCCGGTGCGTTCGAGGATAAAGAAACTTCGAAAGCGAACTCCCAGCCGTTCCGCAAGTGGAAGGCGCAACGCGGACGCAGGACGCGTTTCATTTCGGGAAGGCGCAGAGCGGCGCGATGCCTCAGGCCGCAGCCCGTCAGTAGGCGGCAGAAGCGGCAGCCTCCCACCGTCACGCCTCAGGCCGAGACTAGGCCTCCTAGCCGGCCGCCTAAGGCGTCGACAAGCCGACAACCCTGCAAGTGTTCCAAAGCGGAACGTTCCTGGATCGTCTCGTCATCCGCTAATCGGAGCCCTGCTGATCCGCATATTCCCATATGAATGGATCGGGGGGATGCCTGGTCGCACCAAACGGGTTAGCCTGCTGGCGCTTTGCTTTAATTACTTCGCAGTCCGAATGGGCGCCCTAGTGGAATCATGGCGACAGGAAAGTAGGTAGCCTCATGTCCCAGGTGGTTATTCCCCCCCTGTACGGTGATCGAGGGAAACCAAAATTCAACGCGATCATCATGCCTGCTTGTTTGTTTGTTTTCATCTCGAAGATCATTTGGTCTGGATGCTGACTACGCACCCTCGCGGGAAAAGATTTCCTGTGGCAAGAAGCGTCTACCGATTCCACCCGCGGATCCCACAGGTCGGACTTCCGTCGAGTCGAGCACAGACAAATACCTTCAATACCTTAGGTACACATTCCTCCGCCACGCTTTTTTTTTTTAGTGCTCCGTACGGCGGGTGAGAATGAGCAAGGGCGACGTGCTATTTATGAGGTGCGTATTTTTATGAGGGTCCTTCGTAGAGCGATCCCCACGTCGAAGGACATTTACTATGCTTTGTTATACTTCGTAATATTATTGATCGGTGACTCTCCCGCCCGACAGTTTCTGATGCTGTTGTTGTTGGGGCAGAATCCATAACCAGTCAGACAGTGGGCACTAGGCAGACCGGCTGCCGGTCACCTGACAGAGACCTTCCTAACCAAGCGCTGCTCCGCATGAGCAAAAAAAGTGGCTTACAGAGTTATTGACATCCCCCTTGACGCCGATAGTTCCAACTTAACTCGCCCCTCCCCTCACGTCCCGACGGCCCAGATCCTGCATTGGCTTATCAACAATGCACTGGGATTGACGATGCCTGTAATGAACACACGAAATCTGCTCGTCCGTGAAGGTTGAGTTTCGAAATTTCCTAGGTACGGATGTCTCGGCGGAAGCGCCATTTAATCTTCAGCCTTGACCCGGAGGAGTGGCCTGAAAGAAAAAAAAAAAAAAAAAAAAAAAAAAAAAAAAAAAAAAAAAAAAAAAAAAAAAAAAAAGAGGCCACCTCGAGGGATCCACTCTCCGTTTGATCAGAGAGCACCCAACCATACCAGTAATAATAGATATAATTACGGAGTATCTACGGAACACTCAACTGGACACTTGCCTTGCTCCGTAATGTGTCGACGCCGAGGAATGGGCCGGGTGGGTGTCTTCAGCGATCAATCCAAGCTGGCAAATATTCGGATCGATCAGTGATGCATTTGACTTTGGGGTATTGGATTATTGAATTCCCTTTCCTCCCGGTCCGACGGAAAATTATACCCCATGTCTTTTTCAGCCCCTACCCGTCGCTCAGTAGACCAGCAACCAACACCATGTTCCAACGTATTCTACAATAAATCAACATGATTGGGTCTGGCAGGCATGTGATTACCCGGATCTCCAAACCGTAATTGAATGATATTCCTGGTACCAGGGTGTTCAGGCGCAGGACTCGCCCTTATTCACTCGCCCGGAACATGGATGGCAGGTGGCTGGGTTGAGTAACGCAGGAGGTGGCATTTCGTACAGAAGCTTGCTTACCGACCCTCGCAGCAAGGCATAAATGCCACTTGAATCATCTATCGTTCAGGAACAGGCGCATTTTATGTGTTTATGATTTATTAGGTAGGCTGACAGATGCCTACCAACCCACCAAGCTACAGACACAGCCTGTCGACTAGGTGTAATTAGAATCGGCCATTCCTCGTCGATTCCGAGTCAAAAGACGGGGCCTCTGCTTTCGGTGGTGTGCCAGACTAGTCGTGGGTTGTAATGTGGCAACACACAGTCGGGACGGCCAGCAGGTAGCAAATCAACGGCCAAGGAGGTATTTTTTCCCTGCAGTAGTAGACCTCATTGGTCCAGATGCCGATGGTATATCATCCTCGGAGCACCCAAGGTACGTAAGTCGTTTGACCGTTTTGTATCAGGGCGAGAAAGAATGTCAGTAATGCGGCTTGGGAAGCGACGCAAGATTCCCAAAGAGATGTGAAATTCCCCAACACCAAGGATGACGGGAGCGTCGTTGTCTCTCATTTATTATTCTGCTGCTCTGCCACATGCACTAATCGGCGAGGATCGTCTACCATGTTTCTCCCACAGACTGCCAACTTGAGTAACTGACGGGAAGCCAAGAAGGCAAAAAGAAACGGAAAGGCGAAGAAAAAGAAAAGTATCGAGGCCCGCTCTCGCGGGGAAGGAAAAGCCATTCTCAAGTTCTCAGTGCTTTTCAGCCGGCCGGAATAACCAACCATATTAATGACTGGGTTTTCCGGAGGCGCTAAGTCCAGGGTTTCCCTCCAGATTGTGTTATCATCACCTCACCTCGACCACCAGGCGATTCGCACGCTGCCGCCTCGAACGGAAATGATGCTGACGGGCAGACTTTCCCCCTTGTGATCGTGATGGCCGGAAATCCAGATCGACGAGCGATATCGTCCATTCCCTCCGATGGCCGTCCGCCCGGGCGTATCGCAGACGGTCCGTAGTTCGCATAAGAACTCGCGCCCATGCCTAAGGATCTACTGTGTAGCTGCTAATCACCACTAGTTGGTTAGCACTGCAGGAGCCATGGAACCCGTGCCCTGCTCCCTTTTCTGCGCGGTTTTGGAACCGAGTTTTCGGTCGTCTATTTCGAAGCTTTGCCATTTTCAGCGCGCTCTCTTTGGTGGTACAGAAGTCCCATTCTGCAAAATGCCCCTCCCTTCCCTTGGTTTAGCTTCCCTTGCCCCCCGGTAATTCCTGTTGTTGCCGCCGTTGGTTGAATAGGAATTTCTTACGGTCAACCTCACGTCAGGGGAAACGAGTCCGACGTTATTTATTTCTGTTTCTCCCTGTCTTGAATCTTGTGGACGGTCTTCAAACTAGTTCCAGCTTGGAGTTTCACGACTCCGTACCATCGGAAGCAGCCAGGATCATGACGATGTCATCTATGGCTGTTGCAGGGAAGACAAAAAAAGAAAGGAAAGGAAACTACTCATAAACTGGGACTATTTGGGAATCTAGGAATTGTCGCTCGTTCGCATGTTTGATCTTGAAACCTCCCCAGGCTGGTCCTATCCATCCCCTCCAGTCTATCCACGTCCGAGCCCGATCAGAGTATGATAATCTCATTGTCCGAAGGGAGGAGATGATTGTTGCGTAGTCCAACGGGGCACACCCAGCCGTTAATCAGAAAGACTCCGAGCTGGGCCCGCTACAAACAGAGCAGCGAACGGTGCTTGGGTTGTCTGCTGCGCCTGCAACGCCATTTACCTCGGAAGGGCTTGGCAATTTGATTTTCAGATCCAACGCGCATGCGCTGCCCTACGTGACAACATTCCTGCCACAGATTATTATTGTGCATCCATACCCTTTGTGTTTCCCCCCGTCGACTTTCCCTCTGCGGTGTACTGCCCGTCTGCCCCGTCCCAGGAGAAAAAAAAAAAAAAAAAAAAAAAAAAAAAAAAAAAAAAAGCCAACCATCGATGCTAGTTTAGTCTATCTGTGTAAGAAATATAATCATTTCAGCCCTGGCCCAATCAAAGGAAATCGTTCAGAAAAAATAATGCTAATAACGCCCATTCCCTGAATCGTTTATCCGTTTATCTCCTGTTTCTCCCTTCCTTTCATTCCACCCCCCTCCGTCCTTTTCTTCCATTCCCATGTCCTCCGCCATATACCATCGCCATCGCCATCACTTTTTCCACTGGCTGGTACGGCCCACTCGTAATGCATTTCCGCCAGGATTAGCGACAAGGCGCCTATAATCTGTCCTTCGCGCTAATCCAGTTGCTGCGTAGATCATTCAACAAGGCAACATGCCGCTGGAAATGAGCAAGGGGAGCCACCACGGACCTGGTCCTGGGTATATACTCTATAGTTATCGCCCTCCGGGAGTCGAAGTAATTGGAGACATCCACATCGAACGATCGTAACCACCCAGGTCGTAGTCATGATAAGTCCCGAGGCGGGACCGGCGAGATGACCACCGGCACGCTGGACCCGGCCCAAGTATCAAACCATAATCCATGATTATTATTTTTTTTTTCGCGAGGGCAAGGAGACGGTCATCACGAATTTTCTCTGGTACTTGGTGGAAGGAGGATCCGTCATATTAACACATCGGGACTAGGGGCGAGGACGTGGACTGGTCGGGATCCTGGACGGCTTTCCTGCTGCTTCTTTCTCTCGCTCTCTTCTTCTCTTCTCTTTCTCGCTTCTGCTCGTTTTCCTCCCTCTCTGCTGCTGCTCCCCTACCGGCGACTCTCTGCCACTCTTGGCCTAGTCGCCTTTCCTCTCCGGTGTCCCTCTACCCGACTCCACTGATCCACCGACGTTTGTCCTCTTTCTCTCTTCTTATCCTTCCTCCCTTCCCCGTGGTGTATTCGCCTCAATATCCTCTGCAACTCCCATCCTCCCCCTTCGCCTGCATACCCCCGGCCAGACGCTCCACTAGTTCGAGTCTACCACGGCTTGCTACGTCTGCTCCGTTTACTCTTCATTCACTACGCTCACGCCACGGGGTCTTCTGGACCCCCCAATCGGCCCAAGGGCTTTGTTCTTGTGTTGCTTTCACTGTTACTATCATTGGACTACAAGCACATTTGACAGTCCGTTTTCCTTTTTTCCCCTTCCTTTTTCTTTTTTTCTTTTCTCTCTTTTCTCTCTTCTCTCCCTCTTCTTTATCCTGTCTCATCCTTTCCCCGTACATTTCTCCCTTCTGCATATATTTGTCTGTCGTCCGTCGCCTTGCCTTCGCGGCGGTCTTCGAGACTGGATTCCCTTTCGGCTAGTAGTTTATTCTTGTCGATCCTGATAGTCGGGTAGGCCTGTGTGCCTTTTTTCGTTTCCGTCAACTCGCCATTGACCTTCCAACTCCCTTGCGGAAAACCAAAGTCTCCGGTCCAGAGAAAAAAAGAGAGACGAAGGGCGATAGGCAGGTTACTATTTTCCAACCTGAGCCACGAAAGTGACGCTCTAGTCCTTTTTGGGCCGACACTCTTGCCCTCCAGGACCATTTTCTCCCTTTTTCTTTTTTCGTTTTCCGATTTTCTCTTTCGCCCTCTTCTGATACTCGGCGGATAGTGCTCGACACCAACTCTCTGCACCGTCACTTCTCTCATGAGGGATCTTCTACCCGACACGGCCCGTTGTTGAGCTTTTGCATCTCCGCGTCCGAGGCATTTGGTGTTCCCACCATATCGAGACGCCCCCGACGCCGCGCTGGAGGCGCATTGCAGCTTCCCCCCCCCGGGTCGTTGGTTTTGTTTTTCCATTTTCCCTCATTTTCTCCTCCCTCCTGTCGTACCTACCTGAGGGCTGGTCATGGCCTCGGATAGGTCACCGCCCCAGAGGTCGCAGCAACACGTGAGCCCCGACTCTCCCTCCAGCGCTCCTGTTGCTGCCGGTCAACGACGCATGCCCACCCCTGGTCAATCGTCACGGACGGAATCGGCCGACTCTCCCACTCCCCAAGGGGCCGCCACCGTTAATGACCCGCCCACGCAACTCATGACCACCAGCGCATCTCCTTCGGAGGCCGCTGGTACGGAGCCTCCCAGCGCCTCCGCTACTCCGGCCCCTTATGGCACCCGCTCCAGAGGCCGCAATGCCGCTCCCCGTCCCAACTACGCGGAGGATCGCGACATCGACATGGATCTGGAGGTCGCCCAACCCGCCCTCAAAGCTGGCAAGCGGACCAGCGGCGTCACCCCTACTACTAACAACGCCCCAAATGGCTCCAAACAAGAAGCCGAAAAGCCACCGTCGACTTCTTCAAACGCGCGAAAAAATCAAACGGCGGTGAATGGTGCCAACCCGGCCTCCGCCGCCAAAGATTCAATCCCTGGCACCTCATCTTTTTCTGCCAAACCTGAGGAAACCGGCGGATCGTCAAGTTCGAGAAAACGAAAACAGCCCGCCAGTTCGACGAATGCCAGCACCCCGAATGGCAATGCAGCCAAGAAGATCTTCACGACAGCCCCGGGAGCCACGCAGGGGCAAAGTGAATCCAACATGGTCTCTTTTGAGAGTCGCGGCGCGTACTTGGAAGATGGTAAACTCACGGCAGACGATGGCACCACATTTGCCGTCAATGGTGAGTGCCTGTCCTTTTGCTCTATTCCTCTATTTGATCCTATCTGTCGCGTTTCTGCTGTACTGCAGTCGATCATGATTAACCCTTGTCCTTACAGACCATGTCTATCTCATCTGCGAACCGCCAGGGGAGCCGTATTATCTGGCGCGTATCATGGAGTTCATCCCTTCCAAAAACGCGCCATCCGGCCCGATCGAGGCGCTGCGGGTGAACTGGTATTACCGGCCACGTGACATCCAGCGCAAGGTGGCGGATACGAGGCTTGTATTTGCATCGATGCATTCCGACACATGCCCGCTCAGCTCATTACGGGGGAAATGCTACATCGCGCATTCGTCGGAGATTGAAGACACCGACGAATATCGAAAGAATCGCGACTGTTTCTGGTACGACAAGATGTTCGACCGTTACATCCATCGGTATTACGAGGTCATCCCCACCAAAAAGGTGATCAACGTCCCTGCGAATGTCAAGAAGGTTCTGGACGAGCGCTGGCGATTCGTTCTCGTGGAAATCGGGAGAGGCAAGGAGTTATGCAGTGCGGTCAAGACCTGCAAGCGGTGTAGCTTGTATGCCGCGAGCTCCAACTCGGTAGACTGTGCTGTTTGCCACGAGACGTATCATATGTTGTGTGTACGACCCGTCCTAACCAAGAAGCCGGCACGAGGATTTGCCTGGGCCTGTGCCGCCTGCAGTCGAGCCCAAGAGCGCAAACTCGAGGCTCGAAATACCCCGGTTCTCGGCGAAGCGCAGCCAGAGGCCGAGGAAGAAATCATCGAGGAGGAGGAGGAAGAACCCCATGTCGTGAACGACACGGCCGGCAATACTCCCGCACCCGTCGAGGAGGCGACCCGACCAGCTACGGAAGAACAGAAGGCGCAAGCTAGGATGTGGCCGTATCGCTATTTAGGCCACCATTGCAACGTGGAGGATGCTCTCGACTACGACGACCGAATATACCCTCGAGCAAGTTCCCGATTAGGTGGACGACACCAGGCTCAAGTCGCTGAGTGGTATGGACACCCTGTGGAGTACGTCAAGGCCGCAGACACGAAGAAGAAGCCTCCGAAAGGTTCCAGCAGGGGGAAGGACGCGAGACTCACCAAGGAAGCCCACGCCGCCCAAGAAGCCGCGAAACAAGAAAAAGCCAATCGACCGAAGTATGTCCTGGATGAGCCCAAGGGGTACGTTCCGAGAGGTGAAGATAGACCGGTCACTGTCGACGGGAAGCAAGTTCGCACCGCGGAGCCGCTATTCAAAATGCCCACGCCGACTCAACTTTCGTCACGAGGCGAGGATGACGCGCCCGGTACGGATCTAAGCCCTGCCGACCGCGAGCAGTTCATTGATCGGTACATGGCGCGGGCAAAGGAAATAGCGCCCGACCTGGATGAGCAACCGTATTCCACAAATTTCCTGGACAAGGCCTTGGAGCTCCTGTACTCCAATAGCTTCGACGCCGATGCTGCCTTGGCCAAATTGAAGCAGATGAACAAGTACAAAGACCTCAAGGAACCGCATCTGCGCCCGGAAGAGGTCAAGCTGTTCGAGCAGGGCGTCGCCAAGTTCGGCTCGGAGCTTCGCCACGTGACCAAACACGTCGGCACGGTGCCGCATCGTCAGATTGTGCGCTTCTACTACACATGGAAACGGACAGCTCGCGGTCGCCAAATATGGGGCACCTATGAAGGTCGGAGGGGCAAGAAGGAAGCCAAGCGAAGCAGTGCTGCAAAGCTTGTGGATGATGTGGCGGACGACCATGACGATTCCGCATACGATAACGAGAAAGCCGCCGAGAAGAAACGCGGATTCCAATGCAAATTCTGCTTGGAACGGACTTCGCGTCAATGGCGTCGTGCCCCGGGGGTTCCGCCCGGCACCACGACGCCGAGTGAGCCGTCTTCCAGGCAGCGCGACAAAGGCCCGCAGCTTACCGTGGCCCTCTGTCTGCGTTGCGCTCTACTGTGGCGGAAGTATGGCATCCAGTGGGAGGGTGTTGATGAGGTCGCCAAAAGAGTGAACCAAAGTGGCAACAAGTCGTGGCGTCGGCGCATGGATGAAGAATTGCTGGTTCAACTGCTCCTCGGAACCGAGATCCCAATCAGCATCAGTTCTGCGACCGCGGCCACGGCCGCCTCAATTGGAGTCATGGTGAACGCTAACCCCCAGGTTCAGCAGGACTCGACCAAGAAAAAGAGCCGCGTTAACAACGACAAGGACAGCGGAGCAACCTCGACGGCGACCTCGGTCGAGCCCGCGCCGAAGAAGAAACCAGCTCCTGAAAAGGCCCCCGATCCGCCGCCCATCGTTCCGGATCCTCCCAAGGCCAAAACGCTCGCTTGCGCCGTTTGCAACAAAATGGAGCCCACGGGCGACCAGCATCTGTCCTGCAGAGATTGCCGGTTAACCGTGCACCGAAGCTGTTATGGCGTCAGCTCGTCCGCCAGTTGTGTCAAGTGGCTGTGCGATATGTGCTCGAACGACCGGAGCCCGAGGCTCTCCACTCGTTACGAGTGTGTCTTGTGTCCGGTGACCTGGACGGAACACGAGCTGATGGAGGCCCCAAGATCGACTCACAAGAAGAAGAACGAGCGAGACCGGGAGAAGGAGAGGCTAGAGAAGGAAATGGTGAACGAGGCCATCAAACTGTATCGTCAAAGACAAGAAGCCGTGGGCAAACCGGTCGGTCCTCGAGAACCACTTAAAGCGACCACGGGGAGCAACTGGGTCCATGTTACCTGTGCAGTCTGGACTCCGGAGATCAAGTTTCGCGACGCTAAAATGCTGGAGGTTGCAGAAGGATTCGGACTCATTCCTTCGGAACGGCATCAAGAGGAGTGCAAAATTTGCAAGTCGACCAGGGGAGCATGCGTGCCTTGCCATTTCAATGGCTGCAATGCCCGGTTCCATGTTGGCTGTGCGCACCAGGAAAACTACATCTTCGGGTTCCACGTCACCCCCGTCAAAGGCTCGAGAAGAGATTCCGTGAGTAGCGTCAAGCTCGGTGAGGAGACAGGGGTCATCACGGCAGGGATCTGGTGTCCCCACCACACCGTGACCTCCGTTATCCATGAAATCGGCGAACCAGCGGGTGAAGATGGCGAAAACGCCCTTGCGCGGTTTGCTGAGACCTACAAGCAAGCGGACCTGAGCAAGACCGAGACTGAACGGAGGGCCGCGTCTGTCCAGCAATATCCTAGCGCGACCCAACATGGAGGCGCATCTGTGACAAGCCGCCGGTCGGCTTGTGCTGCCAATGGCGTTGTCAACCCCCAACCGATTACCGCCAAGGACCACCCGAAGAGCACCATGAAATCCCCCGAGGCTGGCCCGGACGAGATGGATATCGATTCCGACAATCATCCTCCCACGCGTATTCTCGGTGGCGGGGACACGACGAAGAAATGTGCCCGTTGTTCGAGCGCGTATAGCCCAAGGTGGTGGCCCGTCGACAAGTCCCGGTTGGCGACGCTGGTTAACCACAATACGCCATTGCTCAACGGTGGAAGCTTGGGCGAACCTGCCGGGTCCAGATATTCGAGTGCCGCCTCAGCAAGTCCGCCGTACCTTCATCGAACCCCCTCGCAGCCGCCGCTCCCGAAGCTCAACGGGGAGTATAGCCCTGCAGAGAGGCCTGCGACCAGTCTTGACGGACCCGTACGCCCGCAAAGCCCCGCGCTGTACGAATGCCATAAGTGCCACCTCAAGAAAATTGCGACCCAGCCGTCTCCTGAGCCACGGCCGTCTCCGTACTCCGCTCAACGGCCTGTCCTTCCAGCTCCTCGACTTGCCGAATACCACGGTCACTCTTACGGACCTCATGCGCATCCTCCCCAGACAGGAGGCGTCCTTCCAAGGCCGATCGGGCCCCCGCACAACGGGCACAACGCGCCAGAATGGTACGCGGGATATGAGCAACGACCGAATGACTATGGCGACAATAAGATGCGCAACGGCATCCCAATGCCCGGCTATCGCGGAGGACCACCGCCGCCACCACCGACGGCACACCACATGAATGGATATGCGCCTTCTCCTTCACACCACGCTCCTCCACCTCACTACGGCGGAGCTCATCCCGCCCATCCGCCCCAGCCGTACCCGGCCCATCAGAGTCCTTACGGGCCCGTCCCCATGCCTTCACCTCTTCCCTCACATACGGCAGGACCGCGAGCGTACGCGCCATCTGCCTCACCCCCGGATGTTCAAGCGACGATGGTTCGACACTCGCCTCCACATTCGCTCAGCGCCTTGAACGGCGGGCCGCCGCCACGTGTCTATTCCGTCGACCGCGTTCTCAAGGCACCGACCCAGTCGCCACCAGTTTCCCAGGCACACGTCGACCCCCGAGGACTTACCCCGGCGAAGTTGGAGGAGACGCCCGTCCTGGCTCCGGCCGCACTGACGAGCAGCAGTCGGCATACCAACGGGACCAACGGGTCATCTGGAGCCAGCGCCAGTCCGTCGTTGAAGAACCTGCTTTCCTAGGGCAAATTCATAATATCCCCCCACTTCCTCCTGTGTACGATAGTTCTTTTGTTTCCTTCTCTTTCTGTTTCTGGCATTTAAAAGTGGGGTTTGGGATACTGCCATCAGCGTTGCTTTTAGATCTTTTTTCCCGGTTTACCTCTGTTTCCGTCTAATGTCCCTTCTTTCTTTCATTTTTATTTGTTGATTCCATTTCGCTTGAATTCCATTCTGTCATTCCGACGTTACCCCGCCCCGAGTGTATTTTCCTTGCCCGTCATACATTTCTCGTCGATGCGGTTTACAGGGGAAGCCGTGTCTTGATTACACCGCCATTCATGCGAAGTCTGTCTGGGATTGGGAAGTGAGGGGAAGGTGCATGGGCCGGTTTGCGTGCCTCAGCGTTTGGGATTTTGCATTTACAACCGCACCGATACTACCACGATGATGAATGAGAGAAAAAAACCGTTCCAATTGCAAATCCCGAATCCCGACCAGGCCGGTCATGTGGGAGACTTGACCCGGCGGCGATGCGGGGTCGAGCGTACCTTGTCTGGGCAGTCGAAGAAGCTGTAGGCAGTAGAACCAGAGGAGCTCCGGCATTCTCTGCCGATGGTTACAGGAGATGCCCCAGAGTCCACCGTGTCAGCGCCGTTTCATGGCCGACCCGGATTCGAGGGCGCGCGAGAGGATCGCCGGGATGATCCCTGGACGCGGATGGGGGCAGATGCTGTCACGAAGATCCTGTTACGCAACCGGGCTTGTCTAGCGGACGAGCCACCTGCAATTAGCTCTGCAGTTAGCTCTTACCTGGGTGCTGTACGAGCACTGATTCGCCGGCTTGGCTGTCCTACGAGCAAGGATGTACGGACTGTTGACGAGTGATCTCGGAAGGGTGCGCGGTGACCTGGGCTCAAAAGACAGGGTTTGATCGTACCGTCCAAGCTGCAGACTCCAGGACCTCCTTGCATCAGACGAAATTAAAGTCCACCCGACACTCTAGTGAGTTTCCTCCGGAGTCGAAGATCGAGCACGGTCGATGGGGAGCCCAGCGCCGGCGGTGATTGGCCGCGTCCCCGGCGAATCGGCGAGGCGGGATTTGCAGTGCGCCGTGGCCTCAGGCAGCCAGGCAGCCGATTAGATAATCAGTCGGTCATTCCGCAGGCCCTTCCTTAGTCCTTAGTCTTACCCACTTTCCTCATCCACCCAGTCCACACAACCATCCAAAGTCCCTCGCAGAAAAGCAAATAATCCCCAGGGAAATTAATTCAGATCGAATCATCGAAACGGAAGCCGAGAAATGATCGACCTTACCCCGGAACGAGAAGATATTAACACTATCGAGGACTCGACGTTGTGAGAGGCTGCCCGCTGCTGCACAAACCAAATCCAAAATAAATAAATAAATAGAAAGGCGACGTTGCACAGATTGTTGCCACCTCCAAGCGCCCATGCCTCCCCCCAGAAGCCGATTATCTCATAATGCATCACCGAGAGAAAGATTTTCGTGGTGGAGGGGGAGAGTTCGGCCTCACTTATCACATCATAGGACCCAAACTTCCGCGAGTGGTGGGAGGCGACGTCAGTGGTTGGTTGCCACCCCTGAGGGCAAACCGCGTCCACCCAACGTGTTGCCAAGTCAGTCGCTGCAGGAATGCGGATGGAATTTCTAGAACGAATACAGAGGAGCTGCGAAGTGGTACGCAGTAATGGTAATGGGGATCGCCCAAAATTACGGTCGTCGTACATCCTTCCCATCCTTCCCAGCGCTGCAGAGTCGAGGATTCCCCCTCCGCTGATGGGCATGGAGCTCCAACCAAAACACTGGAATCATACGGTCCTCTCGAGGGTCTCACTCTCTCACCATACTCTCTTGAGATAAGTTCCGCACACACACGCGCGGCAGAGACAAACTAAAACCCCCGAAATCCGGATTGGAGAAATTAAAAAACCCACGGGATATCGAGCTGGGGACCCAGTCCATCAGAGTCAGAAATCCTTCCCACTCTCCCAACCCGCCAGAAATACGGCCCAATTTCCTTTTGGGCGGAGGTTATTCTTAGGACGGGCGGAGGCCATTGGCTCGAGGGCCGGTTAGTGCGATGGATTCCTTCCAGCCCGCCAGATTCTAGAAAACCCACGAAGCCTGGCCCTCGGGCTAATTCATTAGATCGCTTGCTTTGGCGTCATTCCTGCCCGCTCCACTCTCTCCGCTCACTTTATCTCTTTTTCTTTTTCTTTTTTTTTTTTTTTTCCCATTTTGGATGGGTGGTGTTTCCGCGTCCCTGCCGTGGGTTTTTGTTAGGCACGCACGGCGGCCGTGTTCACCGGGTTTCGGCGCTGCGATGGTCTTCTCCGTACCGTCGAGGTGTCGGGAGAAGGTACGATCTCGTCGTTATTGGAAGAGGAGAGGGGTTGGGTAATTCATCTCGCGACTCCTCGGGCTCATGTACGCAGTAGAGACTCGACAGATACAAAGAAAGAAAGTCCAAGGCAGCAGGTGGTACAGCAGTAACAGTACGAGCGTACGGGCGATACGCAGACCGGATCGGCCCCATCGGCGAGTCTCTGACGACGCCCGCATCCGCCGTGCCGCGACCTTCTGGAAGTCTGGAAGAATCGCCCTGGCATGTCTCTTACAGTCTTACCTGTCCACTCGTCTCTCGTCTCTCCTCGACTTCCCTCTGCAACTCCACGATTGGAAATTCAGAGAACAGGAATTCAAAAAAGATTCACCGGATTCCAGTCCCAGGAACTATCGGTCTACCCCCCGATCAGAATCGCAGAACCGACCGCCGAGTCGAAGCCTTGGATCGCACTGCCCAAAGAACCTCAACCCACACTTTCGTCCGCCTCCACTTTTTTCCCTTCTTCTCCCTGCCTTCTCGGTTCCATTCTTCACGTCTGTCCCGGTCCTTTCACTTTCCTTCTCTGCCCTCTCGCTCGGCCTGCTGAATCGCCAACTATTAGCATCCCCGGTCAATATCGCCTTCCGATCATCACTTTCCCCATTCCCCCTCTGTTCCCTACTCGGTTCATTCCCTTCTCCAAACTGATCACTGCCACTTCCTGGTCCTTTTTTTTCCCTTTTTTTTTCTTGTCTTTTCTTTTTCATTTTCCTTTTCTTTTCTTTTTTCTTTTTTCCTTTTCGCTGTAAACTTGACTTCCGTCTGAAGAACCTATTGACCTATTCCCACATCGACTCACCCACACACATTCACCCTCCGCCCCCCTTGCAAGTCCCTCTCGGTCTGGTCTCGGGACTTGTTTTCCCTTCTGTCTTCTGCCTTTCTCTTCAAAGCCATTTCGGCCCCTTTATCTGTGACAACCACCCCGTGCTGTGTTCGCTCGCGCGCTCTCTTTCTCTGGCGCTCTCTTCTCCTCCCCCCCCGTCACCCACCCCGATCGATCTCTCCCTCTCCACTTCACCTGTCTCGTGTTCATATCCTCTCTCCGTTCAGCCCTGTTGGTGGCCCGTCATGACGCCCTAGTATTTTCTTTGTCTCTTTTTCTCCTCTTCAATTTCGGACTGGACACTCCAACCTGAGCTGTGTCGCGATTCTCTTGCGATTCCCCGATTGAATACCCCGGACGCCTTTTAGCTTGCGTGGGAAATCGTGACCCTCTTGTCGACTACGACCTCCACCCTCATTGCCTTCCTTTTCGGTCACCCTTCTCGCCGCTCAATTCCTTTCTTCGATCGACCCTGGTCGGTTTCTGATTTCTTTCCTCACCCTGAATGTGAGTCGTCCTCCGTATCTCGTGGTCGCGGTCGGTGGAAGGCGAAAAAAAAAAGTGCGTGCGGTACAAAGAACTGGGATTATGTCTCAGGGAAATAGGGGATTCCGGACAAGATCCTAATCCTGGGGCCCCTTGAATCGTCAACTGGTCAATCAATATACCGGATGGCAAACTGCAGCGGACAAATACATTGTTCGATTGGGCGCCTCCAACCCGGATCGTTGCTCGCGGGATCTCCGATTCTCTGGTCGCAAATCGTGGTTCGACTGTCACGCCGTGTCGCCCTCCCACCCCCGATTGCACCTCCTAGCTCTGTGTCATGGAAAGGGTTACTGACGCAGTAATACAACCCAACAGAACGAAAACCACAGTCACTCCCTTGATATTGAAGCGATTTCCTTTTCCACTACCAAGACGTCGTCGCCTCCCTTTTGTATATTTCCGCCTGCCGCTCGTTTCTCCCACCTTCTCGGCTTGCCGTCAACCATTGCATTCTCAACCTTATGAAGATCGAGTGTTGATCGAGTAGAACTTAAAAACCTCCACTTCTCTTTCTCTCGCTTCTCGTAGTGCGTTGTGAAACGGACTGCGACTTCGAATTTCCTTTCCTATCCGTCTACCGGATCCAACCGCCATCATGGATCGCATTGAATGTTCAGCAGTATATATCGATCATCGGGTTAGCTCAGAGCGATGGGTGTCAATCGACGGATCGGCGGATGCCGTGAACGTTAACACTTTTCTGACTCCCGACGAGCCCGAGACGCTTCGGTCTGACGTGAAGCTATTGCTGGGAGTTTCCGATCGCAGTATGTGTCAATTGCGACTCTTTTTATGGCCACATGTCATGGTATTCATTGCTAACCACATTTCATGGGTGTAGTTTACCTTTGCCAATCCGGAGCTTCTCTCGCATCGAAATTGGCCGAATGTAACGACCGGGCCATGAGATCATGTTCTCCCGTCTTCGCATTCTTCGATATTGACATGAATGGTGACGAGTCCGGCTTAGCTCGGCGCAAGAGCAGCCGGGGCTCGTGGCCAGAAATAGCTCCTCCCTCGCCGACTTCCTTACATCGCCAATTCACGTTTTCGTCGCAATCCGAGGGCACCTACGATTTGAAGCTGCTTTCCGGGTTATCCGCCGATATCCAGGTCCAAGAGTCTCCGAATCTCATAGTGCCAGTCGCAATCCTGCGCTCGCCACAAGGCGGTCCCACCAGCGCCCCCACCGATGAACAGCGCGGCGATGTGCCGATTCCGGGGGCCCAGCAGATTTCGAGATGTTTAGATGCCGGCGCGGTGGACGTTCTAGCGGCTCCTCTGGATAAGGCCAGGGTGCAGGGCCTTATAGTGCACGCTTATAGGATTCGGAAATCTGCGCTCAAGGAGCAGTCGCGGTTCTTGTCGAGGAAGAAATTGCGCAAACACTCGTGGGTGGGCGTTCATGATGAGCAGCCCTATGCTTACTTGAGAGAGGCCATGTAGGTTTGCGCCGGAGGACCTTCTTGGCCATCAGCGAGTGATCGCTAACGAGTACATCAGGGTATCGAAGCTGATGAAGGGCATCTGCAATCCCGAGGAGTTTATAGAAGATTTTCAAGAACGGTAGGCAGACTTTCTTACCTTTGGAATTTGAGCGGTTTGCTTATATTGGCTCACAGGGAATTGGACATACGCCCCGATCGCTTGGAACTCATCAAAGAGAAAATCGGGACATGGTCGTATGATGGTCATGAATTTTCCGACGATGAGCTTGTGCAAGCCGCTTTTGAAATGCTCCAGCACGCCTTCACGCTACCGAATCTAGACCACTGGCATCTGACGCCGGATGAACTGCTGGAATTCTTGCTCGCCTGTCGCACCTCCTACAACTCTTTCGTCCTCTATCACAACTTCCGGCATGCCATTGATGTTTTGCAGTCCGTGTTCTGTTTTCTGCTTCATATCGGCGCCCTGCCGCCTTTCGGGTCCGTTTCTCAGGAGCATGCGTCTGTATCGCCACTCGCAACCCTTCTGACGCCTTTCGATACTCTGACATTGTTGATATCTGCGATTGGACACGATGTCGGCCATCCCGGTGTGAACAACTTTTTCTTGGTCAAACTCAATGCGCCTTTGGCCCAGCTGTACAACGACAACTCGGTCTTGGAAGCCTTCCACTGCGCCGCGTTTTCGCAAATCCTACGTCGCTACTGGCCCGCAGCTTTCAAGGATAAGCAACTCCGCAAGCTCCTGATCAGCTCCATCCTCGCTACCGACATGGGTGTTCATCAAAAGTTCATGGAGCGACTCGGATCGTTACAAGAAAAGTTCCACGAGAACGGCAAATCTCTGGATGGGTGGAAGCCGCAGGATCTCGACATGTACAAGACCTTACTATGCGGATTATTGATCAAGTGTGCCGACATTAGCAATGTAGCACGCCCATGGGAGGTCGCGGAAAAGTGGACCAAAATCCTGCAGGAAGAATTTGCCAATCAGGGCGAAATGGAGAAGGAGGTCGGAATGGAAACGGCGCTGTTCGGTGGTCCTCCGGAACTGGGAAATACTTTCAAACTTGCCACGGGCCAGATCGGATTCATGTCGATATTCGCTCTTCCCCTCTTCGAGGGCGTGGCGGACATCCTGCCCGGCATGATATTCACGGTTGAACACATTCGCAACAATTCGTCTAAATGGCATCTCCTCGCCGATCTGGAGCGAAAGAAACAGGCGCTGCGCGGTGAGATTAACCCTGAGGATGTGCTTTCTCCTCGCACGCAGAGCCCGGCGACGAGCATCAAAGGGCTCCAAGGTCTCCGCGCACCGCTGGCGACCCCGGGGCCTGACACGCCGGTCAAGCCAGTGTTCCCGCCTACTGCCACAAACACCCGGAACCAGGCCAATGATTACTTTGGATCGGTTCGTTCGTCGTCGGTATCCACCGCGCGGTCTGAAGATAGTCTGAACGAAAACGCCATCAGCCCGGTGATGTCGCCAGATACGCCTGGTCCGTCGATGGATATCACCGGGCTTTCCTTCCCGTCCGACACGCCGACACGAAAGTCGTCCAGTGCCGTGCCTGATCTTGCTAGGATGTCCATCGCCGAAGCCTCTCCGGACACAGAAAATGGCACGACGCCGGTGCCGTCCAATGCTCATGCCGACAACCACGCTGCCGCCGACGCGAATGGTTCCTCTCCTCGGGACCCAGCGGTCTTGGCCACCGTCATTTATGCGCAGGAAAATCAAGATCACGAGGGTTCGGTCGAGGGCGCAGGGGAAAGACCGGGTAGTTCGCGCAACGTGCCCTACCGTCGCCACCACGCCAACACTGGCTCATCCGGCCGTACTTCTGGCCCGTCGAGCTCCCAGCGAAACAGTTGCACTCGGACGCACAGTCTCAGCAATTACAGCAACAACATGACGCCCATATCTCCTGCGACGAACGCCACCAGCTTCCTCACCGTGGATAGCGGTGACGAGAAGGGTCTTTCCCAAGAGGGCAGCCGGGGCGACCAGGACGACTTCGGAGGGGACAGCAGCGCACGGCCTAGCTCTTCAAGTTTCCACGAGACTAGTGGGGAGAAACATCCCCGTTTTGCCAACAGTCCAACCTCCCATCCCACGGACCACGCCAGCAATGGTCATCTTCACTTGAACTCGCCGCGGAGAGAAAATGGAGTTGGCAGCTCTCATTCTACATCGACCAATGCGAGTATGAAGCATCATGGCCATGATCAGCACCATTGGAATGACCCGGCCGGCGGTGAGCAGCAACAACAACCGCAGCAGCAACCTCGCAAACGCCGAAGCCGTCTCAGGTTAGCCTTCTGGAGGCGCAAAAACCACCATTCGCATCAGCACGAACTGAGCGGCGAATCATGAATTGTTCTGGCTTCTTAGTATCTACCCTTCTTCATGCCGAGGAAAATCTCCATCACTTACCTCGGACTTCTGTTTTGATATATCTATTTCTTCACAAAAAGGTGTTTGTGGCTGGGAATCCATTTGGAAGGAAATCCAATGGAAAGGTATATGGTGAGGGCTCATGAATGGTTCCGGACCATTTGGAAATGAGCTTCTCTTTTACGATGGAATTGCATGACTTTGACGACAACGCTCGGTCTACATGAGTAACCGGGTCACTAAACAAAAAACAAAAACAAAAAAAATCGGCACTCGTTCCTGATGGAGGCTCTTCGCAAATTCGAGTCCTTTCACTTCAGGGTTGCCTGGACCGAGTTCTTCAGGGTATTCCTCCATTTACGAATATCTGACGATATTGACGACGCTATCCGGCACGACTGACGGGAGTATGCCTTGACTGGCCTTGCTCGAGGATCTGAGGCAGCATTGCTTCAGAGTCCGAACGGTCCACATCGGTTCGACCGGGTTAGTCGATCACCGACCGGATGGCCGACGATCTCCGATGATTTTTGAAACTTTTTTCGACGAATTGCAACAACAACATGGAGTTGGCGCATCATTTAAATACGGTTCATGTCTTGGTTCTTTTTTGCCGTTCGCAATAGGGACTGGCTCTGGGTTGGGGGGTAAATTTAGAGTCCGGGGCGTGCGTGTTAGGCGTTCTGAGTTGGAAGAGAGAGTTCGTCCATGTGGACCTGAACTTTCTTTCTCTGTTGATTTTGTCTTGCCGATTGGGTTACCTATATACTTTTATCCCTGGTTCATTTTCATTCCTTGCATTTTGATCATATTTCTTTTTACTTCACTTTTTTTTTCTTTTCTTATATGTTAGCATGGCTATCAAATGGACATGGCTGAATATATATTGATTATTGGTATCGATAGTGAAGTTATTGATATCAAACTGAATGAGATCTATCCTAGATTGAGTATGAGTATGAGTGGATAGTAGGACTCGATTACCGACAATCCTCACATTCTTGACCTGAAGACTGTGTCTGAGGCTGGGTCTGACTCTGTCCCTGCGCATCACTCGGTGCACCATTGCCCTGTCCCTGTACCTGAGCCTGTCCCTGCCCCTTCAACGCCCGATCCGTATGCCCCAGACTCCTCCCGGGATCAACCACATTCCTAACCCGGGATTTCAGAACTTTCACCTCTATCAATCATTAGCTCATCTCCATCACCCTCAATCAATCAAGAGAGATAAAAGAAAGGGAGACAAACCAGGAAACCCGCCATCCGTCTTCCGATCCCACAGCTGCGTCGCGATCTGCGCTTCCTGCGCAGACGTCGACGTCGAGGTCGCAGGCCCCGCGGAGTGGTATATCGTCACGGTGAAGATGCCGCCCGTGGTAGGGATCAGGGAGACTTCTTGCAGGTCGGTGGAGAAGGTGGAGAGGAGTTCTTGGGCGAACTTTTTTTTTCGGGGTTTGTTAGCTTTGGTTAGGTTGCTGATATTATGCGGTGTGGTGTGATGTGGTATGGGTGTGTTCTACATATATCTAGGTATATATCCATAAATCTAATAGATAGATAGATATACACAAAAACCTACCTTAACCACAATACATATATATTTAGATATAAAAGGGGAGGGGAAAAAAGGGAAAGAAAAAAACCTACATAAGCAGCCCTCAACATCCACTTACACTGAGTGCAGTACTGGATGGCGACGCGAGGCTTTGCAGGGCGAGACGCCTCGGCGGCGCCAGTGGCCACGGCGGAGGCCGAAGGAGGAGGGGTTGCGGCAGTGGTGGTTGGGGGCGGTTGTTGCTCGGACATCTTTCCTGTCCTGTCCTGTCCCTGTCTCTGGTCCGGGTTTATTTATCAATGGTTGATATTTAGGAGGAAGAAAGCGAGGCCAGAGAGAAGAGGGTGGGAAAGAATTGCGTGGGACTGAATGAAGAGAAAGAAAAGAAAGAAATGAGGCTTGAAATCGGATGATGTCAGCGGCACGGCTGGACTGGACTGGACGGGATGCGAAGGGAAGGGAATGCACGGATGGTCGCATCGGCTCTGTTGATGATTATTCATCTTATGGTGATTCTCTTCCTATGTGGTATACAATGAATGCACCCGACCGTACATATGTTGACATTGGTCAATGCACTGCATTGCCCATCGTGCATACATTCCATCTGCCACCTGCACTCTTCACCTTACATGATCGTCTTAATTCTCCGGCCTGAGGTGGGATGGGGACATACTCTCGTGCTTACGTCGCGTCAATGACTGTATCCAAGTCTATCGAATAGATGACCGTCAAATACCGAGGTAGAAACGCTAGAAAATGGACACCCTGAAGGACTTTAAAAAGGTTCTGTTCTTTTTTTCTTTGGTTTGCTTTTTGTTTAGGTGGTTGATAGTTAGATCCCACGAAACCCGTCCATAATTCACTGCTCAACAAAGGAAATCTCGAGAATAAAGAAATTGCAAAGGAAATCAAAAAAGAAATCGAAGAGAGAAGTAGAGAAATACGACACAAATTTTCGAGGTCGGATAGATAAGGGATTTTCAACAGACACACGAGGGGAAAATGCGAGAGAAAAGATCAAGAGAATAAGGTCATCAACAAACAATTCCAGAAAAGAGGTCTTCCACCTGTCAGCATCCGAAGTTAATGCAAGTCCAGCGCGCTCCTTCGGGGGCCCGTTATACAGCCTTTCCGACTCCTGGAAACCTGGCCGTTCTCACTCCATCTTCGAAAGAATCTGCCGCCCTATGCGGTACAATAAATAGAAGAAAAGTTAGGATAGAGGTATCCCAAAAAAGCTGGCGAAGTAAAAAGTCAAGAAGAGAAGAAAGTAAAAAAGGTAGAATATCACAAATAAATTAGGGTAGTAGAAGGTGAAAAAAGGTCATGGCGATGAGGATATAATATGCGGCAAATATCGGCAAGAGCTGCGACCCGACACAGTCTTGTCCGATTTCAAAAGAGACGTCGAAATGTCATGAATCCGTTACATGACCGTGCAGCAACCCTTCTGCTGCGGAGGAGCGTAAGGGTCGTCGTGCTTGGTAATCTGCCTCCGTGGTTAGCGATCGGCCCTCGGGAATTCATTCTCCTGGTGCTCCTGGAGGTGGGAAAATCGCATACCGGACCCCATACGGACGGCACCATAAAGTCGCGAGTGTTGTTGCAGTAATCGATCAAACTGCGAGACGAGAAACGAGCTGGTTAGTTACACGGGGACAGGCGGAACGAGGTTGAAGGCATTGATGATGATGAGTGGCCCAACGTACGATCCTGCGGCATCCGACACCTTCACCCGGGGACGGTCCAAATCCTCCTTCAGGCGAGCATTGAGCTCGGTCAATCGTCGGTATTTGAGGTCGGCGACACTCTGCTTCTTGTTCTTCACGTCTCCCCCCGATCGGAGCTCGTAGGCAGGCATGGTTGAATTTTGCGTGGTGGACGGGGTGAGATCGAAGTGGTCGGTTAGAGAAAAGAACGGGGTTGACGGGGGAGAATTAATTAAAACGAATTAATTAATTTAGAGTAGGAATTATGCGACGAGGGGAAGTCGATGAGGGTGGGTTGAGGAAAAGACAATCCCAAGGAAGCTCCCAGTCGCGCGCTGGAGCCGGCAGGTAAGGGGAAGTGCTGAAGGTCGGGAAAGGCGGGCGCGACGGGGAAAAGGAGGAGAGGAGGGGAGAGACGGTTCGTCAGAGAGTGAGCGTGTTGTGGAACAAAAATGAGAGAGAGAGAACAATAAAAAAAATAAATAGTAATAATAATCAATATCCCGAATCTCCTTTTTTTTTGTCTGAGTAAAATGGGGGATCAACAAAAATATGGAGAGAGAGAGCGAACGAATGGTTGATCAGCCAGAGGGAGAGAAACACGGAAGGAGGGAAAAATGAAGAAGGGAAAAAGACCCCAAAAAGACGAAGAGAAAGAGAGCGACGGACGGTCAGGGAGGGCGGAGGAAGGCTAAGAACGACAAGGACAAGAGGAGAGAAGAGAGAGACTTGAGCTGGTCGGAGGGAGAGTCGGAGGGAGTTCGTTAGTGCCGGTGGTCTGTGGGCGATTACTTCCGTCCCCTTTTTAGCCGGATCTTCGTTCTCCTGACGAACCGAGTGGATGGAGCAGGAGTATGAGAATTTTATTTAGGTGGTAGTCGTAGGTATCCGTAGGAAGAACACTGGAATAACTGCTCAGGGTTCACTCGCAATGGAACTGCGCAGTAGACACGGTCTCCTGGACTCCTGTTGGCTTGGGCTTTGGCACCTCGCGATGCCTCTCACGTGCCCCTGCCTCGTACGCGTACTGTCACGCGTATTGTCACGCCCGCCGTCAATACCGGATGGCCCGTTTGGTCTCCGCCCGGCAGAATGTGCTGAGTCAGTGGGCACGTGACCGCCGGGGCAGGTGGTCCGTCTGGACGGCGAGAACAGCACCGTCCGGCGTACAATCACAGGCATTCCCTGTAGAATCAAGGGTCAAGAATTAGATTGATGACGGAAAATTCCATCGAGGCAACTGCATACAGCGATGAATCCTTGTCATCCACGTCAAATCGCGGAGGCTGCAAACCCCACGTGACCCCCGTCGCTTAACCCGAAGTGGGAACGCCCGTCGGGCCTGTTTTTTTTCGAGATTCTCGCACAACGCCCGCTGCTTGCCTGCCCCAAAGATCCTCCCCCATCTGGGCCATTCAACCGACCGTCGCGTGGCAGCGTCTTATTCAATTCCCCAGGCTCCTCATCGCCTTCGACCTTTGCTGCCCGCCCACGTCGTTGTGCCAACTTCCCGCCCTGCGTTGGCTTGTCTCGACTCTCTTGAATCGCTTATCCTAGACGAGACCTGTTCTCCCCTCGCCCACCATGCCGCCTCCACCCCATATCAAACCGGAGAATGTCCTGAAGGTGAGTCGGTCCCTTCCTGTCGCCGTCTCCCGTTCATGCGAACTCGATCTTTGGGATGGAATCGTGGAGGATCCTGGACCGAGCGAGATAAAGAGAAAATACTGGCCGGGTCGCTAACACGAGATTTTCAAACCCGTAGCGGGCTCAGGAACTTATCGCCGTGGGCCAGTCCCCTGCCGCCCTTAATGTCCTGCACGAACATGTCACCTCCAAGCGGACGCGCAGCAGTCCCATCTCCTCGCTCGAGCCGGTGATGCTCCTTTTCGTCGAGCTGTGTGTCGACCTGCGCAAAGGAAAAGCCGCCAAGGATGGATTGTACCAGTACAAGAACATCGCCCAGAACACCAACGTGGGAACCATCGAGGTAAAGTCCGACAGCGATTCAAGATTGGAGAGGTGAACAGCCGGCTGATACATCCCCCCGTTTGCTTGACTATAGGTCGTTCTGAAGAAGTTCATCGAGCTGGCCGAAAAGAAGGTCACCGAGGCCCAGACCAAGGCCGACGAGATCCAGTCTTCTTTGGAATCCGCCGCCCCTTCTTCCAATGTCGAGGATCTGGAAGCCATCGAGACCCCCGAGACCATTCTCCTGGCCACCGTGTCCGGTGAACAGTCTCGGGACCGTACCGACCGTGCCGTCGTGACTCCCTGGTTGAAGTTCCTGTGGGAGACCTACCGCACCGTTCTCGAGATCCTGAAGAACAACGCCCGCCTCGAGGTTATGTACCAGACCACCGCTCTGCAGGCCTTCCAGTTCTGCCTGAAGTACACCCGCAAGACCGAGTTCCGCCGTCTCTGCGAGCTGCTGCGCAACCACGTCCAGAACGCCGCCAAGTACTCGGCTCAGATGCACGCGATCAACCTGAGCGACCCCGACACCCTGCAGCGTCACCTCGACACTCGCTTCCAGCAGCTGAACGTTGCCGTCGAGCTGGAGCTCTGGCAGGAGGCTTTCCGCAGCATTGAGGACATTCACACCCTGCTGAGCCTCAGCAAGCGCCCTGCCAAGAACGTCATGATGGCCAACTACTACGAGAAGCTGGCTCGCATCTTCCTGGTCAGCGAGAACTACCTCTTCCACGCCGCCGCCTGGAGCCGCTACTACAACCTGCTGCGCCAGTCTGCCGCCACTCTCGCCGCTGGCCAGGGCACCAAGAAGGAGAACCCCTCCGTGTCGGATGCCGACATGACCAAGGCCGCCTCCTTCGTGCTGCTGTCCGCCCTCGCCATCCCCGTCATCAGCACTTCTCGCTCCCGCGGCGCCCTGGTGGATGTCGACGAGGTTCGCAAGAACAAGAACACCCGTCTCACCAACCTGCTCGGCATGGCCCAGTCCCCTACCCGTGCCGTTCTGTTCAAGGACGCCATGAACAAGGGCATGCTGAAGCGTGCCCGCCCCGAGATCCGCGACCTGTACAACATCCTGGAGGTCGACTTCCACCCTCTGTCCATCTGCAAGAAGATCACCCCCATCCTGAAGCAGATCGGTGCGGACCCCGAGATGGAGAAGTACGTTGGACCTCTGCAGCAGGTCATCCTCACCCGTCTGTTCCAGCAGCTGTCTCAGGTCTACGAGTCGGTCGAGCTCAAGTTCGTCTACGAACTCGCCCAGTTCCCCGACCCCTTCCAGATCACCCCCGCCATGATCGAGAAGTTCATCATGAACGGTTGCAAGAAGGGCGACCTGGCCATCCGCGTCGACCACATCGCCGGCGTCCTGACCTTCGACACCGACGTCTTCTCCTCCGCCAAGGCCCTGCACTCCGGCAGCGCCGCCGGTTCCGCGGAGAGCGAGATCGGCACCGTCCAGCGCCTGCAGAACACCCCGGCTGAAATCGCCCGCCTGCAGCTCACCCGCCTGGCCAAGACCCTGCACGTCTCGTGCATGTACGTCGATCCCTCCTACAACGAGTCCCGTCTCCAGGCCAAGCAAGCCGCCCAGGCCCGCGCCCTGGCCGGTGCCGCCAAGGAGCACGAGGATACTCTGGCCCGTCGCGCCGTCATCGAGAAGAAGAAGGAGGCCGCCACCGACGCTCTGCAGCGCAAGCAGCGCGAGGAGGAGGCCCGCAAGCGCATCCGCACCCAGCAGCTGCAGGAGGCCGAGCGCCAGCGCCTGGCGGACGAGCTCCGTGAGCGCGAGAAGAAGCGTATCAAGGATGAGCAGGACCGCATTCGCCAGCAGGAGCTGAAGAAGCAGCTGGAGGAACTCAAGAGCGGCGTCAAGGGCATTGACCTCAGCGAGCTTGACCTCGAGGACATGGACTCCAACCGCATCCGTGCCATCAAGCTGGCCCAGCTTGAGAAGGAGAAGAACGAGCTGAACGACCGCGTCCGCACCACCGCCAAGCGCATTGACCACTTGGAGCGTGCCTTCCGTCGCGAGGAGTTGAAGCACATCCCCGAGGATTACGAGGAGCAGAAGAAGCTCGACCTTGAGCTGTACGAGGCCAACAAGGCGTCGGCCCTCAAGGACGCCGAGAACACGCACAAGGAGGCCGTCGCGCTGAAGCACCGTCTCAGCCGCCTGGTACCTCAGTTCACCAGCTTCCGCAAGGAGGTTTCCGAGAAGCGCCACGAAGAATTCGAGAAGCGCCGCAAGGCCGCCGAGCGAGAGTTCGAGGCCAAGAAGAAGCAGCGTGTCAAGGAGGTCCAGGACCGCCGCCGTCGCGAGAAGGCCGAGCGGGAGGAGGCCGAGCGCCGCCAGAAGGAGGAAGAGGAGCGCGTCAAGCGCGAGGAGGAGGAGCGCGCCGCCAGAGACGAAGAGCGTCGCCGTGTCCTGATCGAGGAGAAGGCCAAGCGTGAGGAAGAGAGAAAGTCAGTGCCATCCATTCCCCTTGGTTCCTGCATGCGATTATGCTTTAGGAACTTTTGCTAACATTCCCCCCCCCCCTTATAGGAAATTGGATGAGATTGCTGCCCGACAGAAGCAGCGCGAAGAAGAGGCCGAAGCCCGTATTTCCTCGAAGAAGCCTGGCTCTGGCGCCGCCCCCGAGCCCCCCACCGAACGCACTGCTCCTCGCCTGAATCTTGCGTCTCGCACTGGAGGCGGACCCAGCTGGAGAGAGCGTTTGGCCGCCAAGGAGACGTCGGGTGCCGCCGAGGCTCCCAAGGAAGAGGCCCCTGCTCCCGCCGCTCCCGACGCCGCTCCCGCTGCCCGCAAGGGAGGCTACGTGCCGCCTCACCTCCGCGGCAGCTCCACCGCCGCTCCCGCCGCTCCCCCGTCGAACGGCGCCTCCGCCGAACGCTGGTCGCGTCCTTCGCGCGACTCCGGATCGTCTCAGCCGCCCTCCCGAACGCAAACTCCCGCCGCCAGCTCCGACAAGCCGGAGGAGTCCAAGGGCGCCCCCCAGAAGTGGGTTCCCCGCTGGAGGCAGCAGCAGTAAATAATGCGTATGTGAAAAAAGTTTCTTGGAATGATCGGGGATGCAAAACACGGGATATGAATTGTGGTTTTTTCTTCTTCTTTTCCTTACCTTATTGATGCCTACATTGTCTCCCCTTCCCCGCCTACGGTTATTTTTTTCCCTCTCACTCTTAGTCTCGCTTTGCTATTATTTTATGAATCAAGCTGGAGACGTTGGGGGGACTTGGATGATTAAGTTCCAAAAGTCCCTGGTTGTTTTCTTTTTCTTTAGTTCCTGGGCCATCTCATGTTTGATAAATGCATTATGTTTTTATTAAATGAAGCTTTCTTCTTGTTCATCCGTTTGTCCTACTCTGATCTCATTGGATTTTATTCCAGCGGAACTTTCCCATCCACGGTTTGGACTTGCAAACGAAATTCACTTCCGCCCAGGCGTTTGATACCATGAATCTAATATGCCCAGCAGGCCCTTATCTCCTGCTCATCCTGCTCATCCTGCTCATCCTGCTCATCCTGCTCATCCTGCTCATCCTGCTCATCCTGCTCATCCTGCTCACCCTGTACATCCTACTCGTCGTTCTCATCCCCCCTCATCTTGTTGACCAGCCTCATTGACCATTTCAAGACCACCAGACAAGAGAATCATGCCCTCTCTAACTTCCCCCGTCGAGAGCGATGTCCCTACCCAAGCTGATCCACCAACAGCAACGCAGCTCTACAACGACAACCGAAAGCTTCCCCAAGATCTTCCACATCTAACCGACGTCCCCGATCGCCTCCTCGGCCTCTCCAACTACGACACCTGGTCCTTCCTGATCGAAACCGCGCTCGAAAGCGCCGACATCCCCCAGCTCATCCAGCCCTCCATCGCACACCCACCCCCTTCAGACCCCTCCTACCCCCTCTGGCGACGCACCTCCCTCCTCGTCAAAAACTGGCTCGTCCGCCAGCTCGAACCCAGATTCCTCTCCCGCGTCATCCGCTTCACCATCATCCACACCAACACCACCAACCCCCAGCCCCAGCCCCAAACCCCCACCTCCACAACCACCTCCGCGCCCCTCTTCGCCGACACCATGTACACCATCATCCGACGCGTCGCGCTCGACCAAACGCCCGGCCTCCAAGCCCTCCGCTGCGAAATCACCTACCTAAACTGCATCTTCCTGGACCGGGAGCAGTTCGCGTCCGCACGCGACTTCATCGCCGCGTTCCGCGACGCCGTGCACCTGACGAACCGGCTACATTGCACCGTGACGGCGTACTGCGCGGCATTGCTGCTCCTGCGTGCCCTGCGTCCGGACCTGCAGGGTCTGGTGGACGTCCAGATCGAGGAGTTTGATCGCGAGGATGCGCCGAGGGGGTACTCGTTTGGGCGGTTTGATTCGTTGTGTGATTTTTTGTCCTTGAGGTTGTTGGTTGAGGGCGGGGAGGGGATTCCGGTTGATACGGTGGGGGTTGATGATCTTGATGATCTTGAGGGGGAGGGGGATGGGGGTGGGGATACGGAGAGGGATGAGGATGGGGATGGGGATGAGTGAGGGTGTCTTTCTTTCTCTTCTTCGGTTCTCTTGGTTTGGTTGTATTTGTTTCTTGAAGATGAAGAAGATGTCAATCTAGAAGCTCTATTTATTCTTTGGTTTTGAAGGGTTGACATAGAAACTTTCTATTTAGCTTTAGGTAGTTAAACTATGTAAGGTCTCTCGACTGTAGCTACTGGCTAACTATCTTCTACTATTCACTATTTTTGTTGAATTCGACCTGAAAAAGTCCCAGTCACGAAACATGCAATGAGTAAATGCAAATTGATAAAATCAGCTATGCCTGTGTCCATGCCTCTAGAAAAACGAACAGTTCATATAATTACATACATACACTCACTCACGTTTATATACTGTGCTTTCCAAACGCTAACATGTAGAATAGAAGTAAGTAGTAAGCAGGTCGGTAGGTAGGTAGGTGAATGTGTAACTTCCACGCAGGAAGGAAAAAGCCATGCCAGTAAATCAATCCTCGGATCAACCATCATCACCGCTGCGACCAAACCGACCCCCAAAACCACCCAGATCGCGACGGAAGAACTTGCCGATATTCTTCAGGTTCTCGTTCAGATTCCCCGAGGTTGAAGGGCCGCTACTTTCTCCCGTCTGGTTCGGACCCTGGCCCGTGGGACCCGGGGTCGTGGACGAGGAGGCCGAGGCGGAGTTGGCGATGGCCGCGGACCCGGAGCCGACGACGCCGGCGGCAGAGCTGGTGGCGTTACCGATGGGGGTGCCGAAGCGGTCAACGCCGTCTTTCGCCGCGGAGATGAGGGCGGAGCCGAGCATGGAGGGGTCGAAGCGCGTGGGGAGGTTCGAGGCGCCGATGGAGGCGGCGGCGGAGGTGCTGAGGTTACCGAGGCCGAGGCCCTGCGAGACGGAGCTGGAGGTAGGGGCGTTGGAGGTCTGGAGGGCGGCGAGGACGGGGTTGTTTTGCTGGAGGTTGGGGGCGTGGCGGTCGGAGGCGCGGTGGACCTGGAAGAGCTCGACGAGGTGGTTCTGCTCCTGGCGGCTGCGGATGCCCTTGAGGTCGAGGATCTTGCGGAAGTTGGCGTTGTTGCGGTCTGCGATGTGGATGAGGTAGGCCTGCACGAGAGCCTCGGGCGGAGATGGGTTGACTTGGACGGTCTTGAGGAGCGTCTCGATCTTGGCGAAGCTGTTGTTGACGCGCTTGACGAAGCCGGCGGGAGCCGGGGTGGGGAGGAGCGAGGAGAGGCCGGTTTTGAGGGTATATGCGTCCAGAAGCATCTGGGGAGGGTTGTTAGCAAAGAAAGATGGTAGGGATTTCGTTGAAGGGAAGTGGTTACCTGCTCGGCTCCTGTCTCGGAGATGGGCTTGCATTGGGATACGGTTGTGATGAACAAATTGGATATCAACTCCACGACATGATCTGCGAACGCCCTGGCATACTGCTGCTTATGCAGGTGCTGCAAGATATCCGACGACCGGGTTTGCGTCTTGGACAGGAGCTCGCCAACGTAGGAACTCTGATCACTGACGGCCTCCAACCGATTCCAAGGAGTGTTGCGCATCTCCCGCCAGCAGGGCTCCAGATCGACCTCGACCTGTCGCACAAGTCCTCGAACAGCGGCTGATGCGATCCCCATGAACGAGTCAGCCTGGCTTTGGAGGTCCACCGTTTGTTTCAGGTTCTTATCAAGCCGGCCTTTGATCTTCTCCTCCAGTTGGTTGCAAGTCGTGTAGCAATAATCCGCAGTGTTGAGAACCGAGATCAGGTCCTCCAGAGAGGGGACATTTGACGGAGTGTGGCCGGTTGGTCGCTCGCTAATGTAGTAGAGAAGCACCTGCTGGGCGTATTGGTCCAGGTATTTCGCAAAGACTTTCGCGAGATCGGCAAGGCTGCCCCCAGTCGAAAGTTTCGCGCATTGCTGCAGTGAGTGCCGGTAGAATGTGAAAAGTTCCGTCGAAGACGAGATGACAATATTGGAGTCGAACTCCTCGTCTGGGGGCCGCAGAGGCTGCTGCCGATACTTCGGTATGAACGCCGCAAGCTGTTTGTCCTGCGCTTCAACCCACACACTCAGGTAGGGCTCAAACGCTTCCGAAATGGCTTGGCTGAACAGCGAAGTCTCCGTCGAGGCAAACGTATCTGTGGAGGGCCGCGACGAGCTGACAAACCTTTTTTCGAGCGAGTGCTCAAAATCGAGAGTCTCCTGCAAGCAAGACAGCAGGAGGTTCACATCGATCGCCTGTCCGTTTCGCACCGACCGGGAGAGAATCCCCTTGAAATCCTCCCGGGTTCCCTCGCAGAAAATATTCGATAGTATCTCGTTGACACGCCAGGATGTCGGGAAGATGGGCGCGTACTCCTCATCATAGATCTTTAAGATACGCCTGAACCACGAATACCTCCGGGATATGTTGTCCAACGAGCCGGCTTCCTCGTTGTTCCGGAAAACCTGCCGGTATTCACGGAGCTGGAAGTTACAGTACCAAGTGACCAGCCTGGACTTCGCATGGTCGCCCAGCGCATCCATGACCAGGCAGCCCTCGGCGAGGGTGGTTCTCCTCTGTCCCACCTCCCCCTTGGCAAACGCCAGCTCGAAATCCTCACAGATCTGCTCCAGCAGTTCCCGCTGAATATCCGCCACATTCCGACTGAGGAGCGCGATCTGATCGATCGACCGGTACGACTTGAAGTGCGCCATCAGCTGAATGACTGCCTGCAGCAACTGGGCGCAGTCGCGGTACTGCCTCGTCTTGCCCAGCACGCGAAGCTGGTCGTAGGCCGTCGTCAGCATCTGCAATCTCTTGAGCGCGGTCATCGACTGCGTGAGGTTCTTCTTCGCATTGTCCAGCTGCTTGATATCCGCCGTCATCTCCGTAATGGCCAGCTCCGTCCTCGAGGCGCGGTCGCGCACGTCGTCGATCTTCTTGAACAGCTCGGTGAGATCCGCTTTGGCGGCCTGGATGCGCTCGACGCTCTCGGCATTGGAGATGACCTGGTCCTCGACCAGCGTGCCGATGTCGTTGTCGAGCTCATCTTCGTAGCTTTGTAGCGAGTCGGAGACCTGGGACACCGATGACAGCGTGGAGGGGTGAGAAAAGATCGAGTTCAAGTGGTCGATTGGGTCGTAGTCGGCTAGGTTTGTATACAGGAATTAGCAGCCAAGTCAGCATCAGGGGGTTCCGGGTGCCTTCTCTCACCTGCATCCAGGGGATCGAGGTCGGCCGCTCCGTTGGAGGGCGAATGTCCGGGGGGTGAAGTAGTGGTGGACATTCCATTAGCTCTTCAACGGAAACGCATTAATCATGCTGCGAGTTGAAGAACAGAGCATCCACGGACCTACCCCAGCTTAAGATCAATCACCAGGGACAGATCAATCGCGCGAAAAGGTGGATAGAGCGGACGAAGTCGAAGTGGGCGGAATGTTGATGGTCGGAGAAGCGCAGGCGCCGCATTGCTGTTCACTTTAGCGCTCGCCAAGCCGCTGCCGCCCGCCTTAAGGAGTATATCTGTGTAGGCCCTATGTCGACACTCTACACTTTACAGTAAACAACGGAGTCGAGGTGACATTTCAGCGGCATCTATTGTGTTTTGTCTTTTCCTCGGAGCTATTCCGTCTCCCTCTATATGGACATAATCATCGTGGTCTCTGATGAGATACAGTAAAGAAAACAAGCAAAGATAAACCTCCCAATAGCCATTCGCCTAAGCCATGCAAGAAAACATATGGTATTTATTACAAAGTAAATTCTTCTTCTTTTTTTTCTTTCCGGTTTTCCTTCTCTTTTTTAGATAAATTCCCGAGATATCATCCGAGAAACTTCAACCTATTGTTTGTATCATGCTTGGATCAAAGAAAATAAAAAAAAGCCTAGGCAGTTCCCGGAAGGAAAGCATCGGGCGGCAATTGTCCCTGAGTCTGCAAATAAAGCTGTTAGAAAATTGATACTCCAATATCCAGGATGCAGTGCTCACCTTGAGATCCTCGAAATTCTTCAGAGCAGCTTCCATGTTCCAGCCATTTCCTGATAGCGCCATTTCCGAGTACTGCAAAGTCATCCTTGTTTTGGCACTCATTCCCATGACCAGCTGTTCCTGCTGCACTTGAGCCTCCGTCTTCGTGGGAGCTGGCACACCATAGCCTTCTGGTACAGCCGGGGGAGCCGTGGGCTGAACTGGCGGAGCAGGCTGAGGGACCGGTAGGCCTTCTGGCACCCATGCCTCGTGTCCACCGTATGCTCGCAGACAAAGAACGTCACTGATGACCCTGATTCCTCCCATTCCTCCACCGGGTCCAAGAATAAAGGTTCTGTCGAAGCTCCGAGTCTCCACCTTGCCGGTGTTCATTTCATCAAACTTTCCGTGGACCATGATCAGGAAACCTCCCACGCCGAACGGACTCTGTCCAGAAGAATCCGGAAGGCCGGGGATCGGCGAGCATTCGATAAGCCATTGTTCCGGGTGTGTGGCGATGTCGGGGTGTCGGGTTTGGGGCAGACTGTCCCAGAGTTCGCGGATCTTGTCGGCTCCCGTATAAGCACGTGACATGCGAGCTGGGAGATGGCTGATCTTGAGGAGATTTCGGCTCTTCTTGATATAGGCATCCCAGCCGGCAGTTTCGGTTTGCTGGGCCCGTGGGGCCGAGGTGTTGACGTTGAGAGAAAAGGTAGATCGGTTGTCGTAAACACTGCTGATGATTTCACTGCGGTTGTTGTCATAGCCCGCAAAGAAAGCCTTGACAAAGTTCTCTGCAATCTGAGACTCGTCCACGAAATGAGGCGGTTGGACGGGAATTGGAGTCTTCTTCTGCGCGGCCACTTCCTCCGCTGTTCGGACCTCCAAGTTGTTGAGCACGCGCAATTTCGGGTACCACTTCAGCATAGTGTCCTTGAATGACGGGTCGGCGCTGAAAGGATTCCCCGTGAGATCGAGGAATTCCAGGTTGCGAAACTTCCACCGCCATCCGATAAGAGACTGCGCGTCCTTGAAGTTGTTGTTAGAAAGATCGAGATTCTTCAGGTCCGGGATCGACTGGGCGAGAGTGGTAACGACGGTGATGTTGGCAAGTTGATTGTCAGCCAGACTGACACTTTGGACGGCCTCTCGCCGCGCCGACGAGTTGTCGAAATTCATCTCCCACACTTTCATCAGAGCCGGGAAAAACTTCGATTCGGTCGAAGTGCTGTTGAAGATTCCCATCGCCAGGAGATCCGGGTCACCACCCAACTTCGAGAGGTCGAGTAGTTTCGGTTCCTGATAGTAGCGTTTGGCCAGGATGGCGGTCATTTTGGATTTGGTGTCGGCAGTGGAAGGGTTACCACCGGATTGCGAGATCTCAGACAGCAGAGGCTGGTCCGTCATCCCGTTTTCATCGCGCTTCTCGATCGTAAGCGGCGCGCCTGCAAAGCTAAAACCATCGAGCTGAAGCATCCTTTCCAACAGCTCCGGTCGGATAGACGCTACAAGGGCGTCGCCTTCAACTCGCGACTAGTGAACGTTAGTATGGCGTAAGAGATCTCGGTGGGGCGCAGGTCACTTGGGGGAAGCAACAAGCGCAAATTAACAAGAAGCCCGAAGATAAAAATGCCGATCGTCGTCCTGGAGTACCATTTCCTGAAAAAAAACGAGAATAGACCGGAGAGGAAACGACGTTGCGAATTCATGTCGGTAAGATCGCCAGTTCTGGTGTTGCACATACCTTGGTTATCCTTGCGCGTTGTCCAGATTTCGAGTCGGGGGAGTTGAGTTTCTTTTCGAGGAAAGTGAGAAGGCTCTCGAGACCACCGTCGCGGTTTGACGCCGCCTTGCTCTGTTTCCATCCACGGACTATGACCTGTTCCAAGCTAGCCCCGCGGCCGCCTTGTCGAATGTTGGCCTGGGAGTCCGAGTTGCTGGTGATCGCTTTCTGAATCGCATCGAGGGCCCTGGGCCGTCCTCCTCCTCCTGGCGCACCAGCACGGCCGGTTTCCGTGCGCGCCTTCTTGCCACGGTTCCGAGCAGATCCTGCATCCATCGAAAGATCTCCATCTCGATCGACCTTGGTGGCCGCACCCCGCTTGCGAATCCCCCCACGGTCCGAACCACCAGCGCGACCACGAGAACCTTTTCCGTTCTTCATTTTGATCGCAGGTGTATAGTAATTCGTCTCAGGTGTAGGGAGATAGCTGAGGATGAGGGCAACGAGGCGGATTTTATGTTCAGGATTTCGTTTGCAAGGCGGACCGAGCGCTGCGCGCCTTAGTTGGAGAAAGACGATTCAGACGGCATGCAACGCAAGGAGAGGAGGGTAAAAAGTCGAGAGTGAAGAAAAGGAAGAGAGGATAAGACGTTTGGTGTTGATACAGGGAGCCAGATACAGGTTTGGTGGCGGTTGTTCAAGAGGAGTAGAAAAATTCACCTCGAGAGAGGCCTGAAAGTCCAGATGAGTCGGCGACGCAGAAAAAGTGACGTGAATCCGTCGCAGGCAGCCAGTCACCTGACCGCCGGCCGGTGAATGCCTGCAGGATCACGTGGCTCTGCGCCAGACACCCACGCGGCGGCAATTGGCCAATCAGAGGCTGCTGTCTGTCCTTTGGCGTAATCCGGTAATACGCGATACCGATGCGCGCAATCGGGGTGGATCGGATACGACAATACATCTCAGGACAGTTTGCTGCAGCGGACAAGAAACCATCCATTCAATTCGTCTTCGCTGCCGCTGGCCGACTCGACTCTGTGAATCCAACCAGCGTGTGTAAGTGGTCTTGTCCTCTTTTGTTAGCTGACACTTTCCTTCCGCCATCGGAATGGATTGCCGTCCCATTGGCCCCCCTCGAACATTGTTTACAAGTGACTGACGGAGATCTCCATGATGCCGACTATAGACAGTTCCATCCCCGCTGGCCCTCCCATCGATTCGACAGAGTCCTTCCGTTCCTTAACCTCCTTGTTTCATTTCTTTTGCGTTTCCTTTTTCCCACCCGCATGATCGACAATCCTTTTTAGAAATATGCCTGCGAAATCGCGATTTACGAGGCTAGATGCTTTTGCAAAGACGGTGGAGGATGCTCGCATCCGTACGACGTCTGGCGGTATCATCACCCTAGCCTCGCTACTTGTTGTCCTTTGGCTGGTCTGGGGAGAATGGGTAGAGTACACCCGGGTGGTGGTCCTACCAGAGCTGGTGGTAGATAAGTCAAGAGGTACGGCACCACATGGCAATCATGGGACGGATCCCGTCGTTGGCAGGAGGGCTGACCGGAGCATCTCTGAACAGGAGAGAAAATGGAGATCCATCTGAACATGACATTCCCTCGACTTCCGTGCGAACTCCTCACCCTCGACGTGATGGATGTCTCTGGTGAACAGCAAGTCGGCGTTGTACACGGTGTGAACAAAGTGCGCCTGAGTTCGCCAGCAGACGGCGGCAAGGTTCTTGATATCCAGGCTCTGGAACTGTAAGCTCTGGACCCATCCCTTCCATCTGGTCATACATCCGGTTAACCCCTTCTTCAAGTCACTCGGAGCAAGAAAAGGCCAAGCATCTCGACCCGAACTACTGCGGCGACTGCGGCGGTGTGCCCCAGGACCCCAACGAGAAACACTGCTGCAACACCTGCGAGGAAGTGCGCGAGGCGTACGCCCAGCACCAATGGGCCTTCGGGAAGGGCGAGAACATCGAGCAGTGCGATCGCGAGGGCTACGCGCAACGGATCGAGGCCCAGCGCCGTGAAGGATGCCGGCTGGAGGGCGTGGTGCGGGTGAACAAGGTGGTCGGGAACTTCCACATCGCGCCAGGCCGCAGCTTCACGAGCGGAAACATCCACGTGCACGACCTGGAGAACTACTTCGAAGGCGGGCTGTCGGACGCCGAGAAGCACACGATGACGCACGTTATCCACCAGCTGCGCTTTGGGCCCCAGCTCCCCGACGAGCTCTCGGACCGCTGGCAGTGGACCGACCACCACCACACCAACCCGCTGGACGACACGCAGCAGGAGACCGACCAAGCCGCCTTCAACTACATGTACTTCGTCAAGGTCGTCTCGACCTCGTACCTGCCGCTGGGCTGGGACCCTCTGTACTCGTCCGACGCGCACAGCTCGAATGAGCACACGCCGCTGGGCTCCCACGGCTTCGGCTACGGCAACCAGGGCAGCATCGAGACGCACCAGTACTCCGTGACCTCGCACAAGCGGTCCCTGATGGGCGGCGACGCCTCCGACGAGGGCCACAAGGAGCGTCTGCACGCGTCCAGCGGCATCCCCGGCGTCTTCTTCAACTACGACATCTCCCCCATGAAGGTGATCAACCGCGAGGCCCGCCCCAAGACCTTCACCGGTTTCCTGACGGGTGTCTGCGCCATCATCGGTGGTACGCTTACCGTTGCGGCGGCCGTGGACCGTGGACTGTACGAGGGTGCTCTGCGGGTGAAGAAGCTTCACTCGAACTAAACCACCGGAGTTAAGACCCTTGAAGCGAAACCCCATACTACAACTATTACCTAGAAAGAAAACCCCACATCAACAACAGAGAACCCCGAAAATTGGATATCTACTTAGAAGAGAGAGAGAGCGAGCGAGAAATAGAAGCAGCGCCAACAGACGACGAGAAAGCAGGGACGTAGCAGTGAGGTGATCAAATACCGCGGGAAAGACTAGGTGTGTACGGAGTATCTATCTACCTAGCCAAGGCGTTTTCGGTCTGCATTCATTCATTTCTTGTTGAGTTCTGGTTTCCTGTCCCTCGATGTGCATTTTATCCCTAGTTGTGTAACTGCCTGGCGCTTATATCATATCACATCATATCATATCATTTAAATTTACATTGGGTTGTGCTGGATTATAAGTACCTGTTTGTTCTAGTATTAAGTTACTTTATATCATCTAAGGGAAACTAGAGGAACGAATGATTCACCATCCAATATTCGTATTCAGCACTCACAGTAAGCAAAGTGCGCCTTATGTACATGCTTAGAAGTGGCGAGGAAAAAAAGAAAAAAAGAAAAAAGAGATGAAAAGTTTATCCCGCAGGACCGACACCAATGATGAAAGTAAAGAGCAAAAAAGAAGCAAGAAAAAAAGCTAAGATACCTAGGGCGCCAGACCTTCTTGGAACTCCATCTGAAGTGCGATGCATCAATCAAGGAATGAACAGCAACTGATGAACTGAGGGTTGTTTCCAGATGCGAAGATCTGGGATTCTAGATCTAAGATGCGCCGCCATATGAAGTTCGAAGAAATTTCAAATAAAAGAGAAGATAAGGAAAGAGATATCAAGGGACGGCCGTAACACGAGATGAAAAGCTAAAACACGAGAGATACCAAAATGAGAAGATTCGAGGGAATGGAAGTAGGTGACATAAGCTGCACAATGGAAAACGAAAATGGGTAAAGAAAGCAAGAAAACGTAGATCAATAAGGCATTGCGTTAGGGTTGCCGTAGTGGCTGGGGTGTTGATTGAACATTTGACTTTGCTGATACGCCTGTGGCTGCTGAGCGGCGGCCAGCTGACCGTACCAGGACTGACGACGTGGCTCTTCGGGTCGATAAGGTTGGTTCAGAGCATCCCAAGTGCGGCTTGCAGTGGGAATGTTGTAGACGCTATGACGAGCGTTGGGCGTTTCGTGAGAAGGTGGTTGAGGTGTCGGGGCCATCTGTTGGTGTTGGAAGTGATGTTGGCGCTGCGCAATAGCATGCTGCACCATCTGGTTCGACATTCCTTCCTTGATGCCCTTTTTCTCCCTTTCCCGCGCATCGATCGCGCCAACCAGGCCCATAGGGTTGACTTGAGGCTCGTGCTTCTTCTTTTCGGTCGAAATGTTGAAGAACGAGGAACCGGTCATGCGAGCGACGTGCTCCTGCTCACGCGCGGACAGGTGGGACGAGATATCATTCATATTCATGACGCTGTTGGCACCGCGAGAATGGGGGCGCGGCGGGGGACCATCGCGGCCGAGGTTCATTTGAGACTGGGAACGAGAATGGCCCGTCCAGTCACCGGATACCGGTCGCCCCGGCGGCGGCGACGTCGATGAGTTTCGGTGGTGCATGTGGACTGGCGGGTTGGGTGCCGCCCTCTGTTGCACGAATTGCTCAGCTGAAAGCCCGCCTCCCGGTGTGGTGGGACGGGCACCGGCCATGCCGGGCTGCCACAGAACACTTCGTCGGTACTCATCTTGACTGGGGGATCGTGAGTGGGCGCGATCCATCGGTTGCGTGGGGACGGAAATACGCTGTCTTTCCGTGACGTCAGAATCACTTCTCTGATGACCCAAGTTCTTCAGCGTGTCAGAAGTGTTCGGACGTCCAGTGGTGGGCAGATACGTGAGGGTTGGCCCAAAATCGATCGAGGGAATGTCCGGGTTTCCTTTCAGAGGCTTGTCAAGGGAGTAGTGAGCATCGCCGATGACCACATCTTTGGATGGCGCCGTTCCGACCGTCTTCATCACTCCCATTCTGGGACGCACTGCAGATTTTACCGAACGTTTGCTGTAGACGGATCCACGGGTGCTAGCATAATCTGGAGACACTGTGGAGGCATCATCGTAAACACTTTCTGAATCTTGGGTATCCTTATCAGGCGAAGGAAGCGACGGGTGCGCGCCAATTCTGTTGAATGCATCTTCATCCATCGTGTGACGCAAATCGTCGAAGCTAGGCTCTCCAACAGGGCTTGGGATGCTGAGATCCTTGTTTTGACCCGGCAGTGGTTTTCTTCTCGTGCTGTTGCGGAGTTGAAGTTGGAAGTTTGGACCATTGGCTTTAGCGAGGGTGTTAGTCCGATTCTCGCGTGGTGCCGGGGTGTCAAAGATTATGGGACCCAAGTCAATCCGCTCCTCGTTTGAGAAATAAGGACTATCGGGAACCGTTTCTTGCGGACTCGGCTCATGGGAATATGCCGATCCCTGGCTTCCAGCCGGCGAATCGGTACGGAGCAGGTTCTTGTTTCCCGAGGCGGCGACTAGTTGAGTAAGCGTGGCATTTGACATTCGGTTTGCTTTTCTCAGGTCAGGTGAAGGCTGCGGTCGAGTTGAAGGCATCTCTCCCGGCCCGTGCGTGAAAGCGGGCGGGATAACAACGGGAGAAGGAGGAGAAGGGGACCGGAACTGCTGTCCAATCGCCTCGGCTTGAGGGTCCGGCTGCTGCTGCCTCGAGTCACCCTCAGAGCTGCTCTGATCATTGAAATCACCGGTACCGGGACGCTCCTTGCCCTGCTGCGCGACATCCTGAGCAGATGACGATGGCGAGCTCTCGGCAAAGGACGCTTGCGGGTGCTTCTTAATGGGAGACAAGCCGGTAATGTCGGAGTTGACCCGCGAATGCAAAGCGGGCGAGAAAGACTCATCCGCCGGCTCTTCACGGACAATGGCATCGGTGGATTGGTTGAAACCGGGCTGGCGTTCAGGGTATGTGGCGCTGGCGCTGATTCCCCGCTGAGATGGTCCGCCGGGCACGTGGCTGTATCGGTTCGGAAGGCTGGAGCGGAAACGCGGCTTGCTTCCTGACATGCTGCTGGTCCTGCTGCCACCAGCCGCCATTCTGCGCGAAGTCGCCTCCTTGAGTTGCTGTCGCCATTCCGCCTCGCTCCAATTCTGGCTGCCAGGAGTCTGCATCAGGCCCGCAATATCAAGCATATCCAAATATCCATAGCGACGCTCGTTGGGGAAGGCGAACATGATGCTCTTGATGTGATTTGTCGCCGCAATCAAACGCGTCGGCCGGCCATAGAGATTGAAGGTATCGAAGGTGGGAATGAGGAACCTAATCATCATTTCAAATCCAGGAACAGCCGGGTGTACTTCTGGCATGACAAAAACAAACCCCTCCGATGTCGATTCGGGTTGCGAATGAATGGTGACGGTGCCTTCGATCTTGACCAAAGTCGACTGGTCGATCAGGGGTTTGGATTGAGGGTAGATAGCATAGGCACTGTAGGCGTTGGTTATCGTCGCGATAGGTTTGACTTTCTTGGTCTTCTTTGTTTCGTAGAACTTGATATCTCCTAAGACCAGTTTAGGCGCCCTATCATAGGCAGACTTCTTTTTAAGAGACTTCTGGGCCTTCTGGAACTCCTTCTCATTTGGAGGAGTAATGACAAACCAGCATCGCCTCCACGGCGTCCCGGCGCCGAATCTGACTCGGGCCCAGTCCTCGTGCTTGAATCGGCTCCGTTCGAGAATCGATCGGATATTGTTCAGGTGTTTGCCTTTGCCGGCGATAATCGAGCCGGTATAAGCCTCATACAGGGATGTGTGCTCGTACAAGGATAGACGGATGGCGGCCGTCCACTGCGTCAGCGAATGGAACGAGTTGAAATGCAAGAGATATCGATTCTGGCCAGCAGAACAAATACTCAACACATTCTTCAGAGCCGGGGTGGCTTGATTGCGGGTTGGCAATGTTTCAATCATTTTGATCGACGCATCTGCCAGGTTGATGAAGGTGGGAGACACTTCTCCCTCCTCTCCAGCTGCGTCCAGCGCAGCAGCGTCCCACAGGGAGAGAGCGGTTCCCACAAGCTGGGCGTAGCATTCTACCCACTGGCGATCGGCGCAAGGTCGGCCATCTATACCTCCAGTTAGTCTATATTCTAAATCTTCCGTTCTCTTCGTTGATCACATACGGGTATCCAGATCATTCAGCTTCAAGAAATAGCCTTCATGGTACAGCTTGTTCGCATGGCTATTGAGGTAGGTGAATATCGGCTGTAGCTCTGCGGGCGTGTCCCCCGACAGCTCCATGAATGGAGGGTTGTGAGAGAAGAGAGCCGATCCCGGCCTTGATGCGCGGCGCTCCGCGATGGGACTGAACCCCGTTGGCGAGGCATCGGGGGGAGTAGGGGTATCTGTAGAGGACGTCTCTACTCGGGAAGGAGACGAGGTATTGAGGGTGAAGGATGCCGAGGATGTTCGATTGTGTTTTCCGGAGTTGTCTTTGCGCGACGGGCCACCGAATGCCGAGATGAAAGAAAGCACTGGATAAGCAAGGGGGTTAGAGTCTGGGTGTTATAGCAGGGATAAAATTTATCGCTTACCACGCGAGCGAACCATGATGTCTTAGATGTCGTCTTCTGACCGAATGCTGCAGTGCGGAGTTTCAGAGAACAGATCGGCGCACGAGGAATAGAAAGCCTAATCGGCCGAGCCGAAGAGAGCAAGGAAAGGCGAAAAGGGATTGGAATCCGCTGCGTCCGCACGAAGATGATGACGATGTGTCAGGAGCCGCCAAGGTTCGGTATAGAAACTAGCAACTTGAGTCCATGGAGATTCCCGGTGGGAGAGGGATCACTCAAAACGTCGCCGGAGAAAAAGCAAAAGAAAAAAGGTAAAATCGAGTGAGATAAGAAAAAAGCTATAAAAAGAATGGAATGAGGAGTGATGGCCACAGAGAATTGCCAAGTGACGGAGGTTGGCGCGAGGTCAGATTCCAAGCGCCTGACTTTCGAAATCGGTCACTAGGACAAACTGATGTCTCAGTTAGCGGAGGCCGGTGGACGGATGGCGGAAAGCCGACGAGTTGGTTCAAGGAAAGAGGGGATAGGGCGAGACCGAGAGAAACGAGCGAAACCGAGAGTGGGACTGCGATGCGCAGGAGACAGAAGGGCACCGGGAGATGGATGGAAAAGGGTTGACGAAGGCCAGCAGGAAGAAAACAATAATAATCGACTTACTCCGTGGACGGCCAGGCGTGGGTCTGGAGGTGAAGCTGTAACACCAGGAACCCCAACTTAATAAAGGGTTTTTCCGGTGATGACGGAAGGCCCAGGGTCTTGCCGGCGGGCGTGGATGTTTGTCAAGAATGACCCCGACACGATTGGGATAGAGGGAATTGAGAGAGGGAAGGAAGAAAGAGAGAGAGGAGGAAAGAGAGGATAGAGAAGAGAAGAGGGAAAAGACCAGGATATCCAGCAGTGAGGTAATACGCAAGCCGTACCGTACTGGCCCAAGTGGTTCTGGCCTGTTCTTTTTCTTTTTCTTTTATTTTTTCTTTTGGTCGCAAAGGCTGGCGTCATCGCCCTCCCCTTTTTTTTTTTTTTTTTTTTTTTTTTTTTTTTTTTTTTTTTTTCTTCCGTCGTTCTAAGTAAAGACATGGATCGACACGGGTCTGCACTCCGTCGACTACTACTACGAAGGGTCATAATCCGATTGTGATAATCTTCCTCACGGACAATTATTTCTCTTAGTTTCAATAGATATCCCCTCCGGTATCCATCGCAAAGGATCTTCTGGATGTACAAAGTGTTGCCTGGACTAGCGGACGGCGGCGTTTCCGATCGTATTAATTGCCTCCTTGGAATTCGATTAATACGGAGGATAATATTGAACCAACTAGGTTATTAATATAAATATAATATAATCGGGATGATTGCTCATTGCACAATGCACCCGAATGGTTTTTACAGTCCCTCCGCATGGGCCAAATATAGTACTTGTTAGCATTGCAAGACCTGCATGTCTTACTTGATTGCCGTCCCCCTTTCTGCCCATGATTGTCCTGCTCATTTTTCCCTGCCATTCTCTTTGTCTGGCTGGCTGATGTCTGTCCCACCTTTTTTTTTCCTATCTCCTTCGTACCTATCTACGAATATATGATATATTCCAGTTCTCCCACGAGACGAGGCGAGACAATCTAGGCGCCAAGCATGACTGAACCACCAACGGTGACCGTTGATCTCGAACGGCACTAGCGCATGCGACGTACATTAGCAGTCTGACTTTCTTAATTGCGATTATTCCCCAGCCGTAGGGACCCGAGTGGCCATTCTCCGGTGAAGGTGTGACTCTGCGCTGTACAGCCACACTCCGCAACCCCGTGCCACAGGGAATCGATCCTAGGAAGTTCCTAATTATGATTAATTTTCTGACGGCGGACACGGGGAATAACAAAAAGAAGGGGAAAAAAGAGAAAAAAATTCCATCCGGGCCTGAGACTTTGTTTGTCCTCCAGTCCGGAGCCCTGCTGGATTGCGGGGATCACCGATGAATCTGTCCTGCCCCCCCCCCTCCATCATGCAATCTAAACATAAACCGACTAAGCTAAAGGCGAATTACTGTCCAGTACCCGCACCCCCCCGGCGGCAATCAGGAAAATCCGTCAGGGATTGCAGGTTTTGAACGGGCAGAGACTGGGGAACCTGCCGGAAGAATCATGATGCGGCCCCCATGCATAAGATCGGTACCTAAAAATGTCCCTGGCTGCATCCCATGGACGCCATGGAAGCCAAGCGATCCAGTCGGGTCTGAAGCGGCGGGTGTCATTTTGCCTCCGATGGCGCTGCTCTGGCGCCCAGTCGCCTCTGGGATTCCAGCCACCGAGATATGTCTTCGCGCCAGTGTCGGTGGCTGTAGCCCGTAGGATTGACCCCGGTCTGAACGTAGGCTATCGCCAGCTTCTTGGCCTGTCCTTGGGCCATGACATGGCATATCTGTCGATTGGCTGGTCAAATGAGGGGTTCATGATGCATTCCTGGAACTCGCATTGCCGCCGTGACGGTCGGGGATTTCCAAGGTCCCGGGGGATCCGGAGTACATCTCCATTCTCCCCCCAGGTCGAAGTGGTCCTCGAGAGTTGTTAATCTGGCAGAAGCGCACGCGACCGGCGGGGGGAAAGGGACCGGGGTTCATGAAACCATCAAACGCCTCGACTGGGCCAAATTGGCCCGCTGGCGTAATGGTAACGCGTTGCTCTCCTACTACGAGGTCGATGTGTGTCGAGTCTTCCGGTTAAGCAAAGATTGGGGGTTCGACCCCCCCGTGGGTCGGTTGTCTTTTTTTGTTCTCTTTCAGTTTCTGCTTCTTCCTTTTCTCTTTTTGTGTTAGTCGTACCCAGATAATGAATGACAAGAATCCCGCTTACTTACCCTCCGTCTTAACTCCAGTACCCATAATAATCCTTATCCATAGCACGATGCTGCTAGCAGAGTCAAAATAGCGGAGCTCCCAGAAACGCACCCGAAAGACTCTGGAGCTGACGCGCACCCTTACAGCGATCATTGCTCAAACCGATCTTTCCATGCAGATATGACCTCAGCGGCCGGTGGATTCCGTTGCCTTGTTTCTAACCACGTTGCAGCCCTCCATCCTTCTCGTCGACATCAAGCCACTGCTCGAGTGGCCCGTTCCCTGGCTTTTTGCAGGCGCACAGTCAGAATCGGTCCATTCGCTGGCTGGGATTCGGACACGACATCCGCCCAGCATCACTGCTGTCGTGGTGAAACCAGTTAAGCCCAGAGCCCGAAGTTTATTTGCGATCATCGCTCGTCCCCACCGGAACCCATGCGATCATACAATGTGCTTCGTGCTGGGTCTAGTAAACATCGGATCAATGCTTTGATAATTTGAAACCGAATGCGAAGCGAAGGAATACATGACTAACGCGTATCAGTTTACAGGCTCCAACCGCCCGGAGAACGGGGAAAGGCAGTCGACAATTCATCGGTGTCTGTCGTAATTCTTGCCTAAACAAGTTAGATCTCGATGGAATGCTTCCTATCTAATCTTGCAGCCATTCGAAAGAACGGGATATTCTCCCATATACAACCCCTCCCCAATTCACCGCCGCATAAATGGCAGTGGAACTCTCCTACAATCATACAGCCAGCCAACCAAACATCCACAGTTCGTATACGCAAACTCTTGCCAGTGACGCAGACACCTGCCGGACCCACCCGGGCTAGCCCTGTCTAGAAGTAGAATCATAGTCGACACGGGAATTGGGAAGGCAGTGAGGCCCTACGGGGCATATCTCCATACGGCAATGCCTGCTGGATACGATCTGGCCGGATTCGCGTTGCGGCTTGCCTAGCTCGTATTCAGAGATTATCCGCTTCAGTCCACTTGCCGTAGATCGCTTCTTGTTCCTGCCAAGACGCCCAGATGGCCGCAGTCGATGCGTTCATCGTATTGGATTTGGAATGCGTCAGCCTTCATTCCTGAACAGGGATGGTCATTATATATATGCTCTTTTCCTAGTGCGCTCAAATCTTTAATGTATGTATATCATTATCGTTCGCTGGAGATTCTCTCGTGGCGTGGTTATTTATATCGTGCGTCGGAGCTAACGAGGCAGGGATATGCATTAGTGATGTCTCTCAAGCTTAATTGAGTTCTGCATGCTCAAAGCGGCCAATATGTACGATCTCTAGCTGTACTACATTTAAACAGGACAGCTGCACGAAGGTATCAGGGTTGAGCTTCCGTCTGTGGACGATACTCCGTATATTCCTATAGAACCCCTAGGTACCTACAGAATGAACATTGGGACCTCAGAATATAAAATATTGAATGAACTCGGTAAATCCCGACCCACTTATCTGATTATCTCATAAGCTTATCTAGATGATCAGATGTAAACCTTATTGACCTTAAGGGGGGATGAGCTTGACTGACATGTTGGTATTAATGGGATATTACCGGAGATTCTGCTATTAAACTAGTGCAACTTTCTCGTTTGGTCCAATCTTATAGTGAATTATGACTTGTGACTTCAAGAACAACCTTCTCTACAGAAATGACAGGCCTTGAGCTACATAAACACCGTCAGGGAATGTTGTATGGAGTTGTGGTCTAATAAAAAGATAAGGGCGTTTAGTATGCTTCAGTTCCTATGAATATGGGTCCTCTATCAAGGGAAGAGGCAACTGAAGCAAAGAATGCCAGAGAGTGGGCGCAAAGTTGATATGGTATTTTTAATGCCACTTTCCATTAGCTCGTTGGGTCACTGGATTTGCGATCCTCAGGCTCACGTTCATATTCACCCTGCGTGCTTTTCCCTTTCACTTCAAGTTGTCCAGGCTCTGATTTAACCTATCCTTCTCCCCTCTCCCCCATCTTCTCCCATCTCCCGTCTATCTCACATCCATCAGTGAATTTATCCCGTGATGTAAATCTCTCCCTAGCAGAACATACCCATTCAAATCAGCTGTCAATTCGGGTCCTCACCTTGTCCTATTGTTTCGTTCATTCCCAGTGTGTATTCTTTGTACTGTGACCATTTCTCTTGCTATCCTTTTGCATTAGCCCAAAAGAGTCCGTTCGAAGTTCTTGCGCATGCCAATTGAAGGACAAGTGTATCTCCCTAGAGCTTTCAACATGCAAACCCCCAGCCTCTCCCCTTCCCCTCCCATAAGTCCCTTCGACTGGAGCAAAGTCAGCCTGACCGTCGACATCCCCGTTGACAACGATGCCGCCTTTCGCAAAATACCCGAAAAACCCACCAAAGGGGCTGCTATGCATCGAAATGGAAATCTCGAATTCCTGATGGACAAATTCACTAGAGGATTCGACCCAAGCACGTTCAAGACTGAGCTCATGGCAGAGATTCCGGAGCTGACCAGAAACGCACTCCCCGGATCCTACGAGCACTTCTTCGTGATCATTCTGGAGAATTACGACAATATGGAGAAGGCTCAGCAGGAGCTGCAGGAATGGCTCTGCAAGCGTTACCCGAAGGCCACAATCACTCCCTACATCGCTACCAACAAGATGGAGGAGGGTTACTTTTTGGATGAGCTCGAGATGCTGAGAAAGCTGTTAGAGCCCTTGCGTGGGAACCAGAGAAAGCCAATCTTCTGGATCAACAGCAGACATATGCATTGTGACAGGGTCTGCGAGCAACTCGAAGCATCTGTGACGGTTATAGAGGAGTTCAAACGAGACGTTTTGGCAGCACTTGAGAAGGATAGAGAAGATAGTGAGTGATTTGACAACGTGGGATATAGTCTTTTGAGATGTACTAACTGCTAGTCAGAGACCTGTTACACTGCCCTGCCCGTATCCAATCCCCGCACCTCAATCGTGAGTATGAAAGAAATTCGGATCGAGGCCTGCAGAGCGACACTCAACTGGGATGGATTTGTTCAAGCTGAAATCGAGCTGAGCAGGTTCTATCAGTACTACAAGAACGATGTCATCCAAAATCGGCCAACGAAAGCGCGTGAAGAGGGTTGGCTTCCACCGTTTGCAACCGAGGTACCTCGTTCATCTTCAGAAATGGCGAGAGAAGGCGACCTTGTGGTTTGGCCAGCTCACGGAAATAACAAAAAGCTTTTCAATCTGCTACTCAAGACTGCAATGTGGCTGAGCGTGGCACGAGGACTGGCTGCGGTTCACCTCTTCTGCGATATCGCCAGACATTTTACAGCCCGTGAGCCCTCCGGGGTCGCCAGTGAAGATTATATCCGTTTCTTGAGTTATCTGGTCCATGTCAGAGCCACCGATAGAGTGAACTCCAACCTCAGCACCCCGTTTCCTTACAACGATAAGACCCTGACCGGCGGGAATCCTGACTACTTCGATGACGTGTGGAGAACAAACCGCACTTTGACGGCCAAACTGACTGACCACCCATCTCTTCTTGAGAAGAAGAACCCGGCACCTCCTTTCATCCTGTCTCGGCTTTCTGCTCGTAAGCAAGCACTGCCGAAGATCCGTGCGGCCCTGTCCAGATCTTGGCCCAGAGCTGCTGTCGCCTACGTCAATCGGGGCTCTTCGGTGCATGAGGTATCTACAGCTTTTCAATTGCCAAATGTTTTCGTCATATATATTGGCCATAGCATCCTGCTAACTAACGGTACTTTTTTCAATGTAGGAAAGTACAGCAGCGCCTCATCGTGTTATCCCAAGATCTCGGTCCACCATTCCCCAGGAGAAGGCACCCCATTTCTCTCGACATGCCGGCTTACTGGCAGAGGTTCAGGAAGGTGTGATTAAGCATGAACGATAGACAACAACCAATTATCGATGTCTACGCCGATGTCGGAGCAGGAGCTCGTATGTCTTTACACGTTTGACTCTTCGATCACGACTACCTCATTCATTCCTCGAACATAACCACCGCACACGAACAAATGCTTTACATAAAACGATACAAAAGCGTGAAGAAAAATGGCTTGAAAGATATTGACCACTGTTGGAAAGTTGCCCGATTTGTACCATTTGGTACCTTACCTACAAAAAAAGTCCAGCCTCGAGTGTGCGATTATCTTGGGATCGATGACAGTGGTATGGTTAGTTTCTTTTCTTGTACTCGGAGCAGACATCACTTCTCCCGTTGTCATACCCCAGAAAAACAACACGGAATGTAGTTAAAAAAGGCCGCAGTCAGGGCACTTAGGTTCTATGGATGAACATCTCCACTCAATATCATAGTATTTATTTACCTCTTCTCTCTCTCATAACACACGCTCTTTCACACGTACCTCATTTCTACCTTTTATGTGTTTGTCTACATTATTCGCATACCAAAACAATATGATTTCAAGATGTCAATAGACCGGTGAGTTTCTGGCTATATACCTACCCTCTGGGTGTTTTCTAGCTTATGAGTATCTATAACTGACTACCAAGTGACAGGAGCTTGAGATCTGTTCACGCCAGAAAGGAGGAATAGGTGATAGAACACTTCACATATCTTACCTTATCTTACTGACCTAGAAGAATTGATGTATGGAGTGACGTGATTGAAAATTTCCCATGAATAAATAATGAACACTTTTGATTCTCGATTCGTAAATCCCACTCCTACTCCTACTTCTAAAAGCCTGTTCGTGGGGACAGATTCAAAATCAAAGGAAATAAAAAACAGAGTATCCCGCTAAAAAGCTTCTATCATGCTGCATGCGCTGGAAAAAAAATAAAGAAAGAGAAAATATACCCGAAATTGTTCATTATCATCACATTCGCAAAATTCGAAAAAATTGGGGGGAAGGCACTAAGTAAATTGCCAACAGGCTCTATGTACTGTCCATCATATTATACGCCAACAAAGGATCGATCATCGCCATGTCATCGGTATCGGGTATCTTGGAAGAGGAATCTTGGATCATTATATCAGATCTGAACTCCGATTTGACATGGAGGTCGGCTGGGTTTGGCAGAGCCACGTAGGGATCGGTGGCAGGCAGGGACGGAGCGGGGGTCGCGTCCAGGGTATAAGGGTCATAAGAGGAGAAGGAAGGGTCGTCGGTATCGAACTCGAGGCCGTAGATTCCGGGCATGTTGTCGGAGAGAAGAAAAAGCGGGTCGTTTTGGTTGGTGGCGGTGGTGTTGCTGTCTGTCAGGAGCGCGCGCTGCATGAACAAGTCTCGGATTTGGTCCTCCGAGTAGTTGTGCTTGCTGCCCATGTGGACCCACAGATCGTAGTTACGTAGGAAGCGATGGGGACAAGAGTCGACGAGGCAGGTGATGTGGCGGCCGGATTCTTCAGCGTAGCCTTCGCCTGTGAGAGCGGCGAGGGTTGACAGGCCGGGCTGCGTGGCAGTGTGGTGTTGTTGGCCCTTGCTGCCGTGGCTGAGACGTTGTCGGCGCTCGGCTTTGGCGTTCTGGAAGCCCAGGTGCGCGGTGCGGATGTGCTCTTCGAGGGCGAGTTTACTGCCGTAGCGTTTGCCGCAGCCGTCCTCGCCGGTCCAGCCGAGAACCTTCTTGGAAGCTGAGAGGTCGGTCTCGCCGCAGACGAACCGCTTCTCGCCTTCGTGGACCGTTCGGATGTGCACCGTCAGGTTCCCCTTCTTGGTGAAACTGCGATCGCAGCCCGGGAAGGAGCAAGGGAAGAGCTTGCGGTCTTCGAGAGTCACGTCACCGTGGGCGACTTCCAGATGGCGACGCAATTCACGGGACGTGGAGCAGGTGATGGAGCAATTGGGACACTGGGGCGGATGTACGGATTTGATGTGCGCCTGTAGTAAGGCATATGTGGGAAACGACACCGTCGAGGGTCCGGCTTCTGGGTTGTTATCGCTCGACGAGGCGGACGTTGGATCCGTTTCAACACGCTCATGCTGAGAGCACTCGGCACAGGTGAATCGCTTTTCGGTGTGGACTCGACTCTCGTGGGCGCGCAGATGACCTGCAGTGTCGAAGGCCATAGGACAATCCAGGCCTGTAGTCGCATCGACATTCTGGCATCGAAAAGGCTTTTGCTTCAAGTGGCACGTCATGATATGCTTTTGGAGCGTCGAGTGTTTCCGAAAGGTTTCACTGCACGGCGGGTGCTCAGTACAGCGATATTTGTCCCGTCCATCGTGCGCTGCCAGATGCCGACGAAGACGGGAGCCAGTCACAAAGCTCTTCCCGCAGCCCGGGCGATCGCATACATAATCTCGAACTCCGGTATGGGCGCTCTTGACATGGTGGTTCAGATGGGAGGCTCGCAGAAAGGTCTTGTCGCAATCTTCGTGGGTGCAGCTGAATAAGCGCTCGTTGTTGTGCGAGCGCAGATGCTCCTGGAGTCGGGCCGGTCGATTGAAGGCCTTTGTGCAACCGTCGAAGGGGCAGAGGTGGGTTTTCAGCTCGGATGGGTACTTGGTTGAGGTTGTTGAAAACGGAGTTGCCGGGGTATCGTGTAGGCTGTCGCCTGTGACAACGCTCTCATTGGATGACGCATAATCATCGTCAGAGTGTGCCTCTTGGTAGATCGGATCTAATAAGAATTGGACATGTCAATTTCTGGATGGGTGCTTGCAGGTGAAACAGAATGCGCTTACCGGTACCATCCAGCGGCGTTTGCTTCAGGACCTTTTTCGGCGTTGCGAAGCCGTCGGAGGCTTTTCTTTTCAGGCCCATGACCCCAACGAAGCCTAAACCTTGCGAGCTCACAGACAGAGACTCATTCAAAGTGAGGAACAAAGGATAAACCACAGTCCCCGTTGTGTCGCGAGAACAAAGCCCCCGACCAAAAAAGAAAAAAAAAGCTGAAGCTGATAAAGAAACCAAATTTTGCCGGGAAGTAAGGTCGGAGGCGGTGAGACAGCACGGCCCAAAGCGGACTAGCGGCAGCCGGGACAAGGAACTTTTTCCGCCGCCTTTTGCTTTGAGGAATCGCGATCTCAATATTCTTCACCGTCGCATCGTCGATCGTTTCGCTCAAATCGCCCGGGACGCGGTGTGCACTTTTCTTTCGCTTGTGTGGCTACAGCGGCTTTTGTTCTTTCTTTTTCCCTCTCCCTCGCGGGCTTTTGAATTGGCATCATGTCTGACTACGGTGATCACGACGCTGGTGACAAGTAAGAGACCTTTTCCTCGATCCCAGCTCCCGGTCATTGCAACGGAGAACAGCGACATTAGTCTTGAAGAGTCTTTTGTGAGAGGTTTTCAGTAATTCTGACCTTTCATGTCTCCAGCTACGACTACGACCCCGCGGAGCAATTTGACGACAATGAGCCCGAGGACTTCCTAAACCCCGAGGACGTCGACGGCGAAGCCGGCGCCGATGCATATGGTGACGACTCGTATGCGCCCGAGGTCAACGGTGACCGCGTCGTGGTATCGGGCGACCCCAATGCCGGTTACTCGGGCAAGGTGATGGAACAGGCGCGGGAAAAGAAAGTGCCGAACGAAGAGCGCACGACGACTCCCTACATGACCAAATACGAGAGAGCGCGAGTCCTGGGTACTAGAGCTCTGCAGATCAGGTTCGTTTGAGCATGCGCCCAAATCTCCAAAGAGGTGGGGTTTCATCTTACTGACAATGCTATCAGTATGAATGCCCCGGTGTTGGTCGATCTCGAGGGTGAAACGGATCCTTTGCAAATTGCTCTCAAGGAATTGAACCAGAAGAAGATCCCTCTGATTGTGAGGAGATATCTGCCTGACGGATGGTAAGCGGGTTCTCTGAAGGAAAAATCATGGTTTGGCACAGCCCACTCTAACTGCTACTCTCAATAGGTACGAGGACTGGACATGCGAAGAATTGCTTTAGATCCGGGGACGGACTGGGTGGCTGTATATTGAAAATTGGGTCCCTTTATACTCTATTTTGTATGTTATTCTTTCTATTTCTCTTAAACGGCATAGCGTGTGGAGTTTGGGAGTAGGAAAAACAGACCGTAATGGCTCCATCGGCCGCTTTGGTCTTTGCGAACGGGGAAAAGAAAAAAACTCAAGACATAGCGCAATGCAGAATTCTAGATAAAATCAAGAAAAAAAAGTTTGACGTTTGATTATTACCACGTTCTGGAACTATTTCCAGAAGCCATGCTGCGAGGTCTTGGCCTAGACTTGATTCTATGATATATCACAAAGGTTCCTGCAATTGCATATGTTGAATCTCCTGGTAGGACTGACCATGAACAACATTAACGGGGTAAGAATGCTGGCGAGTCACGACAGGCAAGTGTATTTAGTTCTTTTGTTCCACCGATGTCCGCGAAACCGAGGTCTATAACTTGAGATGTAGGTCGTAAGCTTGAAACTAATAGACTCGGACGCTCTTTGTTAGTGAAAAGATGACACTAATTGTCCGAATTGGGAGTCTTCAAGATTTCGAAGGCGTCCATGTTCATATGGGTGTTCATACAGCATCCCCGTGAGCCCAGAGCTGTGCTAGGGAGTGAGGTTATCCTATTGCATGGCACTCGTCCCGATCGAGTATACCGTCGCAGAGGAACAAAGTTATCGACGACATTCTGATTGACGTACAGGCCAGAAGTCAATAACTTTGACTGTTCTATCCAACGTCATGCCTGTTCAGCGCAGCCCCATGCAACCATGAGTCATGTTATTTGCCGATTCATCCGTGTCAGCCTGTCGGCACCGATCAACTTAGAAATCAAGCTTTGGACAGGCATTGTAGACGTTGCTTGGACCGAAACTTCGACTAAGCATGACGTGGGTGGATATGCAACTGTCGATCAGGACGACTAAGGAATGCTTGGAAATCCGATCTGACGGGAAGAATGATGACAAGTCCATTGAGATTTGCTACTCATCAGAATAGACAACACTGATATTAATAATATATCAGTTTCATCGACGATGACGGTGGTGGAAGTGCGCCAGAACAGCCATCGAGGAAGATGCGACGTGCTTACCTCATCCCACGGGGAAGCCAACTTTCTCCGGCCCACTTCTTTCTTCCTTCGACTTTCTTCGGCTGCATCTTCTACCTTTGTTCGCCATCTTGAGCAAGCCTTTGGGGACTGTGGATACGAACCATCCCATCTCTCCAATGCACGGGGTCCTTTCTCCAAATCAGAAACTGAATTCCATCCCACAGTCCCCCGTGCACCGCCATTAATAATCCCAGTTTCTTCCCCGCTGGATAAATCGGCACGATGCCTAGCCTCGATGACTAAATCTGACTTTCCCCTGAACCGGTGTGAATAAAACGGCTGAAACTCAGCAACGCTACATATCACTAGGGCTAATAATGGCCTAATGCAGTCCCAAGCGTCAATAAGCGCTGTTGTGAAAGGATCAGTACCCAAGACGTTCATCTTTTTCCTGCAGGTTCACGGGTCCGAGGCCATCAGGGTCATGCAAAAGATGCATGCTCCTCGGCAATAGGTGCAAGATATCTTTCCCGGCCCCAAGGTTGTGTCCTCGGGAATCCACTTGTTCGGTCTGTCGGCACTCTCCGTAGGGTGGCCTCCGCGAATGGGTCGCCTGTTGGCTTGACTCACGGATTGCGACACGTTGACTTGCTGCAATAATTGGTATCCCCGTGATGGTGGACCGACCCTCCTCGAGGGTCTGGCGCGACCTTTCAACTTTTTTAGCTCCCATGCTTAGCTCGTGCGGTGCCCCGCTAGGTACAAGGATGCTGAGAATTTTTGAATCCAATATCCATATATATTACTCTTTCCCTCCGCTTTGATATCCACTCCATGCTATCTTTTCTTCGTCGTTTTCTGCTCGGTAGATGTTTCGTTGGCGTCGATCTTTCAAAATTTCCACTTATTTCTGATTTTGATTTCTAATACCCTTTGCTTTCTACCGTAAATAATCTGTGCTCACTTCCTTTCGTTATATTTCTCTCGAGCCCCCACGGTTACCTTCGGGCTTGACCTCCTTACCTGTCTGTCCAGTGCAAAAACCCTCCGACCTCGATCTATTGGATTTGAACATGGGAGCCAATGCTGATGCAGAGAAGACTGTTGTGGACTCCCTGAATGACGGCAGCAATGGCAACGATCACACCTCGAACACGCCAAATCCTCTCGACGAAAAGCCGGAAGAGCCCACGTTCGATACCGGTCTAACGGCGTGGCTGCAAGTTCTTGGATCATTTTTCCTGTTTTTCAACTCATGGTATGTGCGATACCTCGTAACGTTGGAGAGACCTTGCTTCTACGATGGAGTCACTAACCGTGCCATTTTTAGGGGTGTCATCAACACGTGGGGTGCTTTTCAGACCTACTATGAGCAGAATGTTCTTTCGGATGTGTCGTCATCGTCCATCGCATGGATCGGATCGCTGCAGTCTTTCCTTCTCATGCTTTTTGGAGTCGTGACGGGTCCTTTGTTCGACGCAGGCTATTTCCGTGGCCTCGTTTCCTTCGGAACCTTCATGCTCCCCTTTGGGCTAATGATGACCAGCATCTCCACGAAGTACTGGCATTTTATTCTTGCGCAAGGGGTCTGCATTGGTCTGGCTAGTGGATGCCTCTTCGTGCCCTCTGTGGCGATCCTCCCGCAGTATTTCAAACAGAGAAGAGGTCTTGCCAATGGACTGGCAGCCTCTGGAAGTAGCATCGGCGGTGTTATCTATCCTATCATGTTTAACCAACTGCAGAAAAGTGCTGGATTCCCATGGGCGACTCGCGCACTGGGTTTTATGTCCTTTGGAACCTGCTGCATCTCCTTTTGTCTCATGCGCATGCGATTCGAGCCGAAGGAGAAGCGCAAGCTGGTTCAGCTCTCGGCGTACAAGGAGCCTGCTTTTGTGATGTTCAGTGTCGCGATGTTCATGGGCTTTTTGGGATTCTACAATTTCTTGTTTTACGTCCAGTCCTATGCCATCGACACCGGCATCGTGGATTCCACCCTAGGGTTCTATCTTCTGTCGATGCTGAATGCCGGATCTACTGTCGGACGAATCCTGCCTAACTTTATCGCCGATCATACCGGTCCCTTGAACATGCTCACGCCTGCCGCCACAGCTACCGCTATTCTCGCTTTTGCATGGATTGGTGTCCACAACGTCCCCGGAATCATTGTCTTGGCTGTCCTGTACGGTCTCTGCTCTGGCGGTTTCGTATCATTGCCTCCGGTCGTGATGGCCAGTTTGACGAAGGACATTCGTGACCTGGGTACGCGCTTGGGCATGATGTTTGCGACTACATCTATTGGACTGTTGATTGGAACGCCCATCGGTGGTGCGATTCTGAACGACACGAACAAATACCTCGGAGTACAGCTCTTCACAGCCTGTTGTCTCCTGACCTCCGCCTCGATATTCGCAGCCCTGAGATTCTCGCGCACGGGGATGAACTTCCTTATCCGAGCTTAAATCACAAGACAATTAGACGATATCAAACCTTTTACGGGACGAGCGAGATGCGCGCTGGTTGCAAACGCCAAGCTAGAAGTGAGCGGCCCTCGAATGGCCGAATTAATTCTATGACGCGAAATTGCAGGCTTCGTGTACGCATGCGTGCCTGGTGTCCTGAGAATTTTGGATTTCCCTGACACGGAGAACCCAGGGTCTCTACATTTTTTATGCTGCCAACGAACTGGCTGTTGTCTTACGATGACCTTGGGCAATATGCTCACCGGACCACGTTGGTCTATAATCTACGAAAGAACCATATTTGCATTTTGGCTGGAGTTTTGGAATAAAAGTAATGGACATAATCATCAAGGGACATATGCATTGGCTGTTATATAGATCAGAATTCGATAAATACTAGCATTGTACACTGATTTCCCAGCTCTCGGCAAATCAGCAGAACCCGACTGGATATTGTACCATTTTTTAAGGGATCCCACATCTACATAGGTCCCCCAGACCGCATCTAGACATAGACAATAATAAAAACGACCCACAAACTCCCCAAACACCACGATGCTAAACCAAAACAAACCGCTTTGACTCGTCTTTTGCCGCTGCGTCACCCAAGCCCAATCCTCCTGCCACGATCATAGCACATCTTCCGGCCCCACGGGGAAATTCTCGCCATTCTCGCGCACATGCTTTAAGTCCTTATCCCGACTACAGGGTTTCCGCATGTCGAACGCGTCCTCGCCCGATTCCGACACCCCCGTGGGATCGTCGCTGTAATAACTGACCACGCGACGGAAGACGGAGTAGCTAGTTGCGCATTCGTTAGCCGGGACCAGCAAGAACACGCGACAAAGAAATAAATGACTCACCCCATTCCCTTGTACATATCCACCGCGACCTTATTCCCGGAGCGCACATAGAGATCGACAAACCAGGCATCGTTGATGTCGGAGCCGCGCTCCAATCGCTCGGTGAGACGGCGGGCGTGGCCGAGGCGGCGCGCTGCAGGTGCAACGGTCAAAACGGTGATGTGGCCGTGCCAAGGGGTGTAGTGCTCCGAGTGGCGCATGGAGGGGTGCTGCTCCTCCAGCTTCCCCATGACTGTTTGTTTGTGGTGTGACGTTAGCGTTTGCTTCGGATTGGAGTTGGAGGTCATGTATTTGCGGGGATTGGCTGGGATGAAGATTGATCTGTTTGCAGAGGGGAAGGGGGCGTACTGTAGCCTACGATGCCGTCGCGACGGTCTTGAACGCTGCTGAAGAGCGACGGCCATCGCATGAGGTAATTGAGGTAGAATCCGAGGTCATAGTTTTCGGTCAAGGGGTCGAGGTTGGTGAGGTTGAGGGAGAGGAGGTCGGTGGGGGACATGCGACGGATGGAACTCATGGTGGAGAGGCAATGCCAATGGAAGATTGTAACAGGGGGGAAGAGGGCAGCGTGCAGAAGATTGATGCCAAAGAGAAGAACGGCGGGGAAGCCAAAAGCGGTCCGATTGGGGCTTCGGCGGTCACGGGAAAATGCCGGTTCATTTCGGCCTGCGACTTTCCCTTCGACCTTCTCCTGCTCAGGGCGGTCGACTCGTGTCTCTCTCTACCTCGCCATCTTGATTAATTATCGTTTGTTTGAAACCTGCTGGCTCGACTCGGCTGCTCCGTTTGCTTGCGTCTCTGTCTTTCTCCGTGGGCGCATCCTGGTGATGCGATCGACACTCCATTGTTGACATCTCCTTTCCTTTCGACCCCCTCCCCCCCTTGCTGCTGTTCAACACGTTCGATCGGAGTTTAGCTAGCAGCTGCAATTCGCGGGTTCCCCTCCTGAGTATTTAAGGGGTGTGTTCTCTATTCCCTTTTTTTTTTCTTGTCATTCATTCTTTTACCTTTTTATTTCTACATTCTTGCGTGATCGACCCGTTATCGACTCCAAAATTCTCCTCGACCTGCATACCCGTCCATCATGCCGTCCGTCCCTCCCCTGAAATTGTCTCACCGCCATACGCAGAGTCAGGCGTCGAGCGTCGACTTCGACCCAATCTCCCCCGGCACGTATGCTCCAAACCATTTCTCCCACGGCTCTCCGCGGTCGTCCGCCCCTAATTCTCCCGGCCTGCCCCGCCAGCACCATGCCCAGAGCATAAACGGATTCCAGAGGATGTCGGGCGACTTTGGCGGTGCCGCAGATATGGGTGGGGGCCTGGGGAATCTCGCAGATGAGCTGGCAGATGCATGGGAGGAGGAAGAGGGTGGATACGGGTATGCGTCCGGACAGGAGATGGAACATGTCCCCGGAGCTTCACAACGCCCGGACCGCAGCGACACCGAGGATGAATACCACATGGCGAACAGAACCCCCTCGTCGGGCTACTCGTCCGAACGGGGCTCTCTGCACCCCCCGAGGCCTAAAACGCGGAATGGCGCCAATCGGCACCGACGACATGAGTCCCACTATGACGGGTCCGATTATGGGAATGAGTCCGATCTGGAGGAGGCGGATATATCGCCCAGTCTGGAGAGCCAGATGGCGGAGATCGAGAGCCTGGCTCGCCGTGGGATCGAGAACAATGGCAGTGAGAACGATCATGTCATTCAACGGGCGGTCGAAGCTCTTCGAGACCTTGGTGGTCAGAGTGGCATTGAGAATAATGCCATGAGGTTGGTCTTGCTCGATCTTCTTTGTTTGTCAAGGATACACTAATACTCACCCTTCTTCTACAGACTCATCACGGCACACTCCTCTATCACGTCGCATCTCACTCATCAAACCCGCACCCTGCAAACCCTCACCCATCCTCTTCTTTTCTCGCCGTTCCCGATCCTCTCTTCAGATGCCATCGATGCTCTCATCCCCCTCATTGACGATGATCTCCTACCGAACCTCCCCTACCCATTCCCCGACCCGTCTCGATCTCGACCCGACACGCCCTCGCAAACATCCACCCTCGACCCCCTCGTCTCTCTCCAAACGCTCGTCTCGCAAACATCCGACATCACCCTCTCCCTGCGCGGGCTGAGTGACACTCTTTACGAATCCCGCCAACTTACCTCGACCGCCTCCCGAAGACTCCGGTCCGCACGAGAACTCGTCGCCGAGCTCCGTCGGGAAGAAGAAGGCCGCGAAGAAGGCACCCGGTGGATCGAACGAGGTGACTGGGATCGCCGACTCAAAGATCGCGAGGCCGGCCGCGAGTGCGGTGATGTGGTCAGCGGCTTCGAAGCCATCTGCGGCGAATGGAGGGAACGGCTCTTTGGTGCGGCTGGCGCCGAAGTAGCTGCTGCTTGATTGACATGATTCCCCAGTTCTTTACCCTCCTTTTTTCTTTTTTTCCTTTTTTCCAAACTGAACCCATTCTATCCTCTCATGACATACATACATACATACACAAGACACATACACATACAATTTTCACCTCTGCATTTAAGAAAACACTTGACATGTATGTGGTTTTCTTCGAGGTCGCGGCATACCCCAGATCAGATATTTCTTTATTCTCTTTTCGTTTCAAAGTATATAGATTTCTATTTTGTCGGTTTTTTAAAGTGAGGTATCTCTGCAAAGGTTTTAATCATTATCATCGGGAGTTGTATCTTTCATTTGGATGGAGAATCTTCGTCTACAGAATCATATGGAGCATTGATCCGTACATAGTTACATACATCCATGGATATTTGTTCCCTCGAACGGTTTCCGGATCTATAGATTTCAGCTACATATTAAAGGGCTAAGATGTGTTTTCACCAGTTGGGTACTAATGCTTCATCCATTCTATCTAAAGCAAGCAAGCATGTTTCTCTTCGCAATACCCCCCCTCCCTGTCTATGGGTCTATTGTTCCTCTTGCCCAAGAGCCCCCAACCTCCCATCCAGCCATACGGCATACATAAAAGCAACCAGCAAGCAACCAAACCCAACCCAACCCAATCCAAAGTTCCATCAAAAGCGCAAATCGAAATGAACCCAAACCAACGCATCCAAATCCACCACCAAATCAACTACCCCCCACCCTCAACGCCCTCCAAAACACCCCCCAAAGCGCGCATCGCCCCGTCCTTCCGAATAGCCTCGTAGATCACCGACACCCACGACCCAACCGTCCGCTTCTGCCGGCCCTCGGGGCAGTCATACCCCTTCGCCGTCGGATGGTCCTCGAGACCCCGGTGGAACGGGACGCGGAGGTCTTCGCGCACGAACCGGTACAGGGCCTTGGATCCGAGGCCTAGGAAGTCGGTGGTGGTTTGGGAGGGGTGCGTGAGGAAGTGGGATCTTGTGGAGTGGTAGATGTCGGATAGGGTTTTTGTGGCGGCGGTTTGGAAGGCGTGGATGGTGGGGAGGGGGTTGGTGGTGGTGTTGGTGTTGGTGTTGGCGAAGGTATCCAGGAGGAGGTGTGAGGTTGAGTGGATGACGGATTGGCAGCGCATGGGGAGAGAGAGACGGGTAGTTGTAGGCCAGGATTCTTCGATGTGGAGAGAGATCTTGCGGGAGAGGATCGCGAGGTCGTGGGGTGGGAGGTGGTCTGAGAAATGCTCCACGGTGAGGTCTTGGATGGCGAAGGGGATTTTCTGCAGGAAGGTGAGGTGGAGGACGCGGAGGTCGAGGGCCTGGCAGGTGATGTAGAGGCCTGTGGCGCAGATCAGCGAGACCAGGTCGATGGCTTGCATGGAGTACCGGGCAGAGACGAGGGCCATGGAGTTGACGGCCTGGTTGCGCATTTCGGCGGGTTGAACGTGGGAGCTGACGGGACCGGCGAGGTAGGAGAGCTCGGCCATGTATGCTGCCAGAGTGATGTCGAGGCCTTTCATGGTGAAGGACAAGCTGGGGTCGTCGGCGACGAGGTTAGTGGGGAGGCCGTTGTTGAAGTTAGGGTCGATGAGCTCGGTGGCCTGCGAGGAGACGAGACGGCCGAACATCTGCAGGACAAGGCGGGTCTTTTCCATGGCGGAGGTGATGGCAGTAGCTTGGAAGTTGGCACCGGAGAAGGTGCGGTTGGACTCAGTATCGATGAGAGGATTGTCGGACGTGGAATTTAACTCAGTGGTGATCTGCTGGTCAGCGAGAAGGAGGTCCTCGAGGTAGGGGCCGAGCCATTGAGGGACGCTGCGGAAGGCGTAGCGGTCCTGCGCGAGTCCTGTGCGATGGCGGGACTGGGTCTGGCGGATGCCGTAGGCAAGGTGAGATCCTTGGAGGAAGTGTAGGACATTTCGCGCGCACTCGATCTGTCCGTCGTGCGGCCGCACCTGTTGGATGAATGGGGCAAGGCATTCTGCGTTGCCGGTGAGGGCTTCAAGACCCATTGCGGATAGGGCTTGCGCTAGGATTGCTAGGTGGTTGGTTTCGTAGAGGGCGAGGGCGCCGACGGAGCTGGAAAAGGCTGTGCCATTCACCAAGCCCAGTCCTTCTTTAGGTCCCATGCTGCGGAGCTCAATTCCGCTTTGTAGCAACGCATCGCGAGCGGACATAATCCTCGAATCCTTCGAGTCGGGATTCTGAACCTGGACGAACACATCTGGACTTCCTTCTATCGTACCGGCGATGTACGATAGAGGGATCAAGTCTCCCGAAGCAGATATGGAGCCGCGCAAGGGCACGATGGGCGTGATGCGTTGTCGCAGGAGAGCAAGCAAAGATTCAAGGACTGGGAGCGAGACTGCAGAATGGCCACGAGCGTTGGTATTGCAGCGTATTATCATACTGCCTCGTACCCAAGTGGCAGGCATCGAATGGGACTGGAGGCGGCCATTTGAGTTGCCGGCGTTCGGATGTTTATCAGTTTCAACAAGTACTCCTGCCTGAGTGAGCTGCAATAGAGCCGCTTGCAATGCTGTCGCAGAATCAGTGCGAGAGTCTGCGCTCCCCCCGAATCCCGTGTTGACGCCTGGATTGCCTCAAATCAGCCTGGCAGTTAGGTCTAGTTGAGATAGAACACGCACCGTAGACACAGTAATTATTATCTAGGTGGTCCATCAGCATGCGGACACTGTCGTTGATTTTCCTCGCCACCAAAGGATCCTCTGACAACCTAGCGGAGACATCGTAGCTGTAGTTTATTGAAGTCAGAGGCCTGTCATTATGAAGCAACTCTGGGGTACCAGTGGAGTGAGAACATACTGTGCTACTGCCACAACTGAGGCAGTGTCCAAGCTGTTTCCATCGACTTTGATTTCCTTGACGTCAAGAATGTCCTGCAACCGCTGCCATGTACGACATGTTCTAGCCAGATGAGTGTCTCCAGTCAACATGATGGTCTCAACAGACGGATTCCAAGAGCTTTTGGTTCAGAGTGCAAAACTGTTGAGCGACAGATATCCAAAGAAAGCGTCTAAGATTGACGTCTTAGATCGTGTTCAGGATTGGTTCCAATTTATGGTGCCTATTTATACATTCATTTTCTTTGTCAACGATATCTCTTTGGTATGTTGTTCAGTTAAAAGGCCGATATCCACATTACATTGTTGCTCGACGACCATCAAGGGTGATATCGACACCCAACGTATATCGTCATAACATCATCATTCAACCACCAATAGCTGATGAACAATACACCACGATGCTTAGAGTTCGAGATCTGATTTCTCACGCATAAGACACTTGACTCGTCCTGGATTGACGGGGAAACCTGTCTATGAATGTTTCTAAAGACACACAGGTAGATCCGGTGCACTAAGGTCAAGTTTGGAAGAACGGTTATGGAAGAATCGGTGAACCGGCTGGTGCGTCCAGCCATGAATATTAAATATTGACCCTCTAGGGAAATCAGATTACTTATCCGTAATACATAGTGTAAGTAAGGGTGCATGAGGGGTGCTTATGTAGCATTTTGCTGGCGGTGCTACCATGGCATTTCTTTGCTGCGGGCCTCTTGGGAATTCCATCAGGAAACGGCTGCACAACACCTCGCATAGGCGGCAATAGCATGGAAGATGCAACCCGAGAGGTGCAGGGAATTGAATCTGGTTATTCCATGTCATATTGCACTGTGGTAGTGCGTTGCCAGATGTATTCTGATGGAACGAGTAAAGGAAAGACTATCACTGATGCGGACGATGTTTGGCGATGATGTCGAAGGCAGAAAAGGGAGATTCCGAGACATTCGGACGAAGGCTGCTTCCAAAGCCACGTGATTACACAGGGCAAATTTCGATTTAAGATCATTGTAAGGATTTGAGATGGAAAGAGAATCTGAATTAACTAGTCTATGGATAACTAAGTCAAGAGATCCAACATACCACCCCAAGCATCTACGTCCTTCCAACACATCCATCGATGTCATAACGCAAGCGATTTGTCGACATACTGGGTTGGCTACAATAGACCTGAGACGTATGTTAGCAATCAGATGTTGCCAAAGTCATGAAAAGCAAGGTGCAAATTGGGTCATGGCGTCAGCAAAAAATTAGAGTGTTTGTTGTTGCGTGTTTTTAATCTTCAAAGCCACCCACCAGGGTGTAATGCTCGGAGTTAAAAATTGTATCATCATTCGCCAAGATGATTTTTGTGATGAAAGGATGAGGTAAGAAGAGCAAGCAGAAATAACTCACCATTTTGGTCAAAAAGATAATGGAGCGTAAACTACGTTCCATATCTAATTGAAGACAACCAATTGCTCATCATCCATGAATCATTTTCATTATTCCCAAACCATCATGTCCAGGCATAAAAAATCTAATACATGGTAGAGGAATCTCGCGGGTTAAGACGAGACGCTTAGTCGAAAAGACCGAAGCCCATGTCACCGTCGGACTCCTCCTCTTCCTCCTCCTTAGCGGCAGGGGCAGCGTCACCGCCGGCAGCGGGGGCAGCGGCAGCGGCAGGAGCGGCGGCAGCGTAAGCGTCAGGGTTGGCGATACGGTCCTTGAGCTCCTCAATCTCGGGCCAGCTGATCTCGGTCTCGATGGCAATAGCGAGAACCTTCTTGTAGCTGTTGACGACAGAGTGCATGACAGCGGGCAGAGTGGGGAAGTTGGTGGCCAGGGAGATGGCGGTGATGGTCTGGATGGCGTTGCTGAAGGCATCCAGAAGCTGGGACTCCTCGATGTCCAGAACGGCAGCGCTGAAGGTCTGACCCTCCTGGTAGACCTGCTGGATGGTCATACCGTAGGTGAAGGGAGAGATGTTCAGCAGGTTAAGCAAGGAGGCCTCGGAAGGACCGACCTTGGTACCAGCCTCAATGAGCTTGAGGTCGGAGACAATTTCGATGGTACCACGAGCAATCTTGGTGGGGACACCGAGAGCCTGGAAGAAAGAGGTCTTACCGGGTTCCATACCGGTGTTACCGGCAGGAATCCAGACATCGCCGGGGGCGAAGGCACCAGCACGGGCAGGGGCAGCGACACGGTTGGCCAGGATCTTCTCCTTGGTGGCCTTCAGGTCGCCGTTGGTGAAGATGAAACCAACGTTGCCTGAAAACATAGTTAGTGACAGGCACTAACCATAGGATTGTGTAATTCCTCCTTACCCTTGACGTGGGGGAGCAGACGCTCGTACTCGGGGTTGTCGGTGACGAAGCCCTTGATGGCACGGCGGACCTGGAAAAATTGCGAGTCAATTGAAGTTCAGCGAGACCAAACAGGGGGAATCACATACCATGGTGTTCTTTCCCATGAGAACAACAGCCTCACCACGGAGACTCAGACGAATCTCGTGCATCTGCTGAGAGCTGACATTGTCGACACCGACGATGAAGACGGTAGAGTACTGATCGAGAAGGCTCTTCAGCTTCTCGAAGTAAGCGGCCTTGGTAGCAGACTTGCCCCCCATTTCTTCTTAATTTGCTGAAGATAGGTTGTTTAAGGGCAAGTGAAATTGTCCTATCAAGTGATCGTGGTGATGGTGTCCGAACTGAATCGCGACTTTGCAGGTCGGAAAGAATTTCGATTTTGGGATTTTCTTTTCTTGTGTCTTTCGCTAGTGCGGTCACGTGAGGGCGCTACTCGCGGGCGGGCGCCTAGACACGCGATGAGACTAGCGTCGCATTCTATGGCTCTCCGACTGGCATCCGGAACTTTTTTTCTGCCTCGACGTGCTCGATCGACTGGCTTCGCTCGTGCCGTGGACATAATCAATCATGGTCGCCAACTTCCAACATCCCTTTCAGCGTGTTCAATTCGTGGACCGGCAGCATGCCGGCCATGAGAACCTCATTGTAGCGTCGGCCGGCCCAAAACTCTACTCGTACGCCGCCGAGACCGGACAGCAGCTTGCTAGTTGGCCACAGGACGAAGACCAGAGCAATGTCGACGGTCAGGGTCCACCGGAGAAGAAGAGAAAAGTGTCTGCGGCGGACGAGGCGGAAGTTGAACCGCCTGCCTCTACCAACGGCACATCGGGGAAACCCAAACCCCCAGCTTGGTCGAGCATTCCTCTCCTAGTGGCTTCTTCTACCGGCGAGCATGTGGTTGCGATGACATCTGAGGATAAGTGCGTCCGCGTCTTCCAATTGGGTCAGGATGGCTCTTTCCAGCAATTGAGCGAAAGGTTAGTGAACGTTGAGCCTATGACTTCGGACTTCCTACTCATCTAGATCATAGAGTTATGCCAAAGCGCGGCTGTGCGCTTTCTCTGGTTAGCAATGACACTCTGATCCTGTGTGGTGATAAATTCGGAGACGTCTACTCTATGCCTCTTTTCCCCGGCGACAAGGCCGTCGCAGCGCCGAAAGTTGCCGCTCGCAAAATGAAGCAGAACTGGCCGGCAGCCACAGATCTAACAGTGCACACGAAGGGAAACCTGCAGTCTTTGCAGCAGCAGAAGCGCCAATACGACGCAAAAATGGAGAATCCGGACGAGAGTTCTAGCTTGAAATTTGAACATGAATTGCTCGTCGGCCATGTGTCTCTACTCACAGACTTGACTTTTGTCTCGCTCCCAGTGGACGCCTCGGCCGATAAAAAGCGCACCTATGTTCTGACTGCGGACCGAGATGAGCATATTCGCGTTTCTCGTGGACCTCCTCAGACACATGTCATCGAAAATCAGTGCTTGGGCCACACTTCGTTTATCACCAAACTCTGTATTCCCGCGTGGGCTCCGGAGTACCTCGTTTCTGGTGGAGGTGACAACTACCTACTTGTGTGGAAGTGGCTTGAAGGCCGCATCGTGCAAAAGGTTTCTCTGGTGGATGAGACGTCAGAGTCTGCCCCGGTTGCTGTTCGTGGTATCTGGGCAACATCATTGGGCGGCACCTCAAATGCTTCGGGGGCATTGAAATTGATTCTAGTCGCGATTGAGGGGTGAGTTCCTACCAAACTCTGCAATTCAAATCGCGAAAATCTGACCATACTCCAGATCCTCCCAGCTCCGGTGCTTTGTGCAAGAATCGGACGGCACGCTAAAGACGCAGCAGTCCGTTAGAGCTTCGGGTAACATTCTCGACGTGACCAGCAATGGAAAAGAGACGATACTTGTCTCCGTCGATAACGTCCGAGAGGCAGGGTCGACGCAGGAATGGAGAGCCAGTTCCTCTGAGACTCTGGTCGAGGCATATCATGCGAAACCCGAGGCCGACAGTCTGGTGTGGGAGCCGGCGACAGGCTCGACGACCACCCAGATCAACTCCAATGGCACTTCCGAGTTGGAGATCATCACTGACGCCAAGAAACGAAAGGAGATGAACGACTCCCTATATGGTTTGGGAAATCTGCGAAAGAAGAACATGGGCGAGGATGATTGAGACTAAAATTCTGTAGTAAACACTGCCTTTGTCTATATACCAAAAGCTACTCGTATATAAATTCAATAGATTTACATCAAATCAACCGTATAATTTATAGCAACGAAACCTAAATTATAGCGTAGGACCTTGTGGAAGTCGAACGACATGTAGATTCTCTGAAGACTCCCGGCAGAATCCGCATGATTTGCGGGCCGAGGCGCCGAGACGGACTTTGACCTTGGCTCCCCTCATCCCACTGTCCCCTCATTCTACATCTCTCCTGTGCTCGATCCTCCGTCAAAATGCAGGTGAAATTCGAGCCATTGAAGAACGACCTTTTGCTGAGGGCTGCAAGAGGTGACTATATTTTTATTCGTTGAAGCAGAACTGAGTGGGCTGATGTCATTGCAGGCGAGAAAGTGGAACGCCCGCCCATATGGGTTATGCGACAAGGTACGCTTTTTGCTTTGGAATCGTCCTTTCCCATTCTCCTTGCGGTCTTTTATCCTATAAATTGAGCAATTACTGAACGATACTCTCTTTCCTCCCACAGCCGGACGTTATCTCCCCGAGTACCATGAAGCTAAAGGCAACCGTGATTTCTTCGAATGCTGTCGCAGCCCCGAGATCGCCTCGACTTTGACCATCCAGCCCGTGGAACGGTATGCAGGACTTATCGATGCCGCGATTATTTTCTCCGACATTCTCGTCATCCCCCAGGCCATGGGGATGCTGGTGGAAATGGTCGACAAGAAGGGACCTCACTTCCCAGAGCCGCTCAAGTCGCCGGACGATGGACAGTATGAGAAGGTCATGCAGAAACAGGTTGATGTGAAGTCGGAGCTGGACTACGTCTACAAGGCCATCACCCTGACCCGTCACAAGTTGCAGGGTCGCGTGCCCCTCATCGGCTTCTGCGGTGCCCCGTGGACTTTGCTCTGCTACATGGTTGAAGGCGGAGGCAGCAAGCTGTTCGTCCAGTCGAAGACGTGGGTCTACAAGTACCCCAAGGAGTCGCAGGCGCTGCTGCAGAAGATCGCAGAGATCTGTGTGGAATACTTGGCCCTTCAGGTCGCGGCAGGTGCGCAGTTGGTCCAGGTCTTCGACTCGTGGGCGGGTGAACTGTCCCCGTCGTCTTTCCAGTCGTTCTCGCTCCCCTACCTTCGTCACATCTCCGCCAACCTGCCGAAGAAACTGACTGAGATGGGACTGGAGCCGGTCCCCATGACCGTGTTCGCCAAGGGCGCGTGGTATGCTCTGGAGGATCTCTGCGATTCGGGCTACAACGTCGTTGGACTTGACTGGTTGCACGATTCGGCTGAAGCTATGCGGGTTGCCAACGGCCGCGTGACGATCCAGGGCAATGCTGATCCCGGTATGCTCTACGGAGGCCCGGAAGCCATCACCCCCGTGGTCGAGAAGATGGTCGAAGGATTCCGAAAGGGCAAGCAAGGATGGATTGCTAACTTGGGTCACGGTAAGAAGTCTATCCTTGTTCTCTTCTACATTCAGGATACTAAACGAAGCAGGTGTGACTCCTTTCGTCAAGCCGGAGAATCTAAAGTTCTTCTTCGAAGAGATCCATCGCCTTACTGTTTGAAATGTTCATGATCTCTGTTGAATTTCTTTATATACACAACGGATATTTCATTTCTACAACCCTCGATCAATGAATGCCAGCGTGTCTGCAACAAGCGCTCAAGCATATCTAAACGGAAATATCCTCATTCCTGGTGTTGCAATCAGCATTTGTTGGGCTTTGAAACAGGACATAAAAGTAATAAAGGGATTTGATCGCACTCAGCACGATACAAAAGAATGAAACATACCAAAGCTCCGGCTTATCCTTGATGAAGTCCTCCATTAGTTGCTTGCACTCTTGGTTGTCCAGCACCACCACCTCCTTTCCGCGGTTGAGGAGGTACTCCTCGCCACCGAGGAAGTTCTTGTTCTCGCCGATGACAACGCGCTTCACCTTGTAGAGCACGCAGGCGCCGGTGCACATGTCACACGGCGACAGGGTGGTGTACATGGTGGCACCTTCGTAGGCGGAGGCGGGAAGACGTCCAGAGCTCTCAAGAGCCGACATCTCAGCCTACATGTATGTGAGTCTGGAAAAGTCATCACTGTAGGTAAGGATCGCCATTGCACTGACATGTAGCGTCGCGCTTCCTTTCTGAACGCGCATGTTGTGTCCTCTGCCGAGGATCTTGCCATCCTTGGACACTAGACTTCAGTCAACAAAATTGATACTTATCCACGTCCGAGAAATCCAATGCATACCCAACGCAGCACCGATGGGGACTCCGCCCTCGGCCAGACCCAGCTTGGCCTCCTCCACGGCAGCGATGAATCCGGGATCCTGTTCCATGATGTACAGATGTGAATAGGTAGATAGAGAGAATAGGAATCTGCAAATTGGAATCGAAAAAGGTGATCTACAATGCAAAGGTGGGATGAGATAGACCAGGTAGATGGCAGGCCCAGCTTAGTAACTGGACAGGCTCACGGCGGGCAAAATTCTGTGGCCAACTGCCGTTCTGGTGCTAGTTGGACCCGCCTTTTTGGAGAGTCGGTGATAAGAGATATGGAGAACCCCTCATGCTGGCCGGGTATGTGTTTACGCAGGGCCTGAGGACTGGTCTGGCATTTCAGAGGGAGGAGTGACGTTGTTTGGCTTGTGCTGTGGTGGTGGTGGCTTGTCCAGCGCAGGCTTTAGGATCTACTTTAGATTGGTCTTAGAGTGCTCATGTCATGCAGGAGTTGGTCTGTCAAAGGCAAACTGGGTAATGGTTTTGTAGATCTGGTTGAAGTATAGATTTACCAATTTTGATTGTACACTGCGTATGCATGCAAATTGAAGCAACAGTTCGGCTCTTCTTCTTTCTTTTAGTTCTCAGACCATGTGTTCATGAATTCTTATGGTCCTGATCATCGCAGTACTTACTCGGTAAAATATATATAACTTAGGAAAGATGCTGATTCTGAGAATGCCGATTAACCTGCTCCAAGTAGCAGCATTAGGACTGTTATTAATAATCAATAAGACAACTCTCCATAACCGTACGTCTACTGTAATACTGTGAGGGTGTCAATGTTTGCTGGAATGCCAATGCACCCAGTCCCCCTCCTTCCTTTTTGAGACAGAATCGCTTATCGATAAGAATTTGCGGGCCGCCACATTCCAGCCTGAGGCAGAACATGCGCCACCCGAAAGAAAAAAAAAAGCACAAAACCTTATGCGGTCCGGTAATAAATAATAATGCGTAAATGTGTGACATTCAGGGGATTAATAATACGTGATTGCTGCTTTTTTGAATTCCCCTGTCTGTAGTCAGACAAAGCACATTTCTTTTGCCAGCGATTGTCTAAACAATCTGACCGATCCAGCTGCTGGAGATTGTAGAAGCCGATGGAAAACCCCGTAATGGAAGTATCAGATTGATCGGAGCCTGCAAGGCTCTTTCAGCCCGCCAGCCTGTCACGGGCGTGTAAGTTACGGGCTGGAGTCAGCCGTGGAATCGCGGCGAAAGCGATGGAAGACCAGAGAATCGCATCGAAGCCGCCGGAGCAGCGCTCGAGCCACGCATTTGCAATGGATCGAAACCGCAAGAAGATCAGGCCGGGGGGTCAGGATGAACGAGGTCAGGGTCTGCGAGAGGTAAAACCGGATCAGTCCGCTCGATTTCCCTCGAATCTGCAGTCTATAGTCCAGAATTGTCAGTTCTCTTCAATCCACAGCAGGAGCATTCCTCAAGTGGTTCGCCGTATCATCGTATCTCCGACAGGTAAATACCCACCAGAAAAAAACCGAACGGGCCCCGTTGGTGCCTGGGCCTGGTATTGGCATTACGGCCTTACGCATTACCAAAGTGTCGCCGCTCTTTGATAATCTCCAAGCGCCTTCACAACCCTTTTTCCTCCCTCTCGTCAACAGTCCCACCTTGGATCCTCCGGAATCGAGGCAACTTTCCTTTCCCTATAGACTCCTCTCTCCTCTCACCCGCTCCCTCTGATTTTCACCTCTCCTCCTCCCTCTCGCTGCTTATCGTTCTTTCCCCGGCCCCAGACTTCCTTCCGGTGGATTTTTCTTTGCTTTTCTTTTCCGGTCTCACTTATTGAAAAGTTCTTGTTTCATTCTCCTTCGTTAGACTCAGATCACAATGGTCAAGGATACCAAGTTCTACGACACCCTCGGGGTAAGCTTGACTGCCGTTGACTCGACTCGTCTGGTCAAAACTAACGGCGAGGTTCTCTAGGTCTCCCCGACGGCAACCGAGGCTCAGCTGAAGACGGCCTACAAGAAGGGTGCCCTCAAGTACCACCCTGGTACGTTCCATCCGACGTGAAATCCCTCCGCCACTGGCTCCAGACTAACAGGCTTGCTCGAAAAGACAAGAACGCCGACAACCCCGAAGCCGCCGAGAAGTTCAAGGAATTGTCCTCCGCCTACGAGGTTCTGTCGGATTCCCAGAAGCGTAGCATCTACGACCAGTATGGTGAGGAGGGTCTTGAGGGTGGCGGTGCCGGTGGTGGCATGGGTGCCGAGGATCTCTTCGCTCAGTTCTTCGGCGGCGGCGGTGGTGGTTTTGGAGGCATGTTCGGCGGCGGCATGCGCGACCAGGGCCCCAAGAAGGCTCGCACCATCCACCACGTTCACAAGGTCAACCTGGAGGATATCTACCGCGGCAAGGTCTCGAAGCTGGCTCTGCAGAAGTCGGTGATCTGCCCCGGGTGCGACGGCCGCGGTGGTAAGGACGGCGCCGTCAAGTCGTGTACCGGCTGTAACGGTACCGGTATGAAGACGATGATGCGCCAGATGGGTCCCATGATCCAGCGCTTCCAGACCGTCTGCCCTGACTGCAGTGGAGAGGGTGAGATCATCCGTGAGAAGGACCGCTGCAAGCGCTGCGTCGGCAAGAAGACCGTCGTCGAGCGCAAGGTCCTCCACGTCCACGTCGACAAGGGTGTTAAGAACGGACACAAGATCGAGTTCCGTGGCGAGGGTGACCAGATGCCTGGCGTCATGCCGGGAGACGTCGTGTTCGAGATCGAGCAGAAGCCTCACCCCCGTTTCCAGCGCAAGGAGGACGACCTGTTCTTCCAGGCTGAGATCGACCTGCTCACCGCTCTTGGCGGTGGTACCATCAACATTGAGCACCTCGATGACCGGTGGTTGACCGTCAACATTGCTCCTGGCGAGGTCATCACGCCCGGTATGTTTTTTTACCCTCACCTCCCCTGATGATCTGATTGCTAATATTTTCTGCTAGGTTCCATCAAGGTTATCAAGGGCCAGGGTATGCCTTCGTACCGCCACCACGACTTCGGCAACCTCTACATCCAGTTCGATGTCAAGTTCCCCGAGAAGGACCAGCTGCAGAACCTCAACCTTCTGGACCAGGTCCTGCCTCCCCGCATGGAGCAGGCCAAGCCGCCAACCGACGCCATGGTGGAGGACTTCGAGCTTGAAGAGATCGACGGCAGCGAGTACTCGCAAGCGCGCGCCCACGGTGCTGCCAGCGGCATGGACGATGATGATGACGACGTTCCTCCTGGCGCCGAGCGGGTGCAGTGTGCTTCGCAGTAAACGTGTCGACGGAGGGAGAAGATGAAGAAGAAGAGGCCTTGCGGTGATGATGATGACGACGACGACGGACGAGGTTGATGTGCTGGGGCATTGATGAAATTCGCTTTATGATACCATGTAGGGGCGAATTCCAGCCCTGGTACGAACGTTTTTTTTCTTTCTTTCTTTCCAATTGGTTTCCACGATGATTTTCTTGCGATGGCGTTTGCACCGAAGATTCGGAAGATGATCCGGAAGATTTCATATTCCTTTTCTATTTTACTTTACATTTCACATCCAACATGCTCCGATTCGCATGCTTAATGCTTTCCTTGGTCTTTGTTCTGGCACTTCGATGGAGATCATGGTTGATCGCAGACGAGTCCACTTTCGTTTCGTCTTCCTGCAAGGCGAGTGTTTCCGTATAGACTATAGCGCTGACTTGGGGTACTGATATGTTTACGAGACTGCAATGTAGATTGAACTTGATTAGTATCCAATTTACTATTGGCAGAGGAACAAGAGCCCTCGTACATTCTACCCTCCTTATCCATATCAACACAGTACCCTATCCCAGATAAAAAAAATCCTCAAACCAACGAAGCCCCCGAATCCGTCCCCAACACCCTCCCCGTGGCATTCCAATCCCTCATCAAATAAACATACGCCTCCGCCACATCCTCCGGCCTCGCAATCCTGCCCGTCGGAAACCGTCCCTGAAAGAGCTCAAACATCCCCTGCTTCTGCTCCGCCGGCAACGAATCCCACATCTCGGTATCCACGACCCCGGGACTGACCGCATTCACACGTACCGGCTTCAAATCCAGCGCCAGGTTCCGCGCCACACTCACCATTCCGCCCAGATACCCTGCCATCACGGTCCAGTCGGGATAGGGCCGCTCGAACCCGGCGCCTGTGGTCAGCGTGATGGAGGATTCGGGGCCTGGGGCGAGGTATCGGGACCCGACTTTGGCGGTGAGGATGGGCGCGACGAGACGGAGTTGGCCGGCGGCGAGGATGCGGTCGCGCGTGATTTCAGATACCGGGTAGGTGGCCGGGGGGTTGGCGGCGGTGTAGACGATGTGGTGGAGGGGGAGGAAGGAGGGGGGGAGGTTGGCGAAGAGGGTTTCGAGGTCGGATTCGACGGTGGGTTGGGAGAGGTCGCAGGTTGCGCCAGCGATGGTGCCGTAGTGGCGGACGGTTTCAGTGAAATTGGTGTCTAATAGTTGCTCGACGGCGCCGGTGACGCGGGAGGGGGAGGACGAGACGACGGTGACGTTGGCGGAGGCGGCGATGGCGGCTTTTGCGACGGCGAAGCCGATGCCGGAGGTGCCGCCGATGATGAGGATGTTTTTGCCGGCGAGGCGCGAGTTGTTGAAAGGTGCGGAGAAGGTCATTTTTCTTGAATTATGTGATGGTGTGATGTCGTGGTTGTGGCTGTTGAGGAGTGGAGAGATGGAAAAGGTGGTTAGTTAGATGGCTATCCGAAAAAAGAGGGGCGAGTCTTACCCTGTCAACCCTATATACTATTCCCGTGTCATTCAATTCCTCTATTTTCTTATAATATCCAAGGCATTCTTGGTGCAAATCCACGAAGTATAGCGGAGGGGCTAAAATGAAGAGCTCATCTTTTAGCTCCGGTAAGTCCGCCAAGGAGCAGTTTCAACGGAGAAAACGGCGTGGCCGGTCGTTGCAGAACTAGTCAGTCGTAGTAAAGGTATACATCGTGGTTTGTAGAGCGGTTTGGTGCATGAGGGGCAATTATGGAATTTATGGCTGTTTCGTGCGGAGGTTGGCCATGGATATGTTGGTTTATAGAGAAGATCGCATCCGACGGAGTATACGGCACCACTATGTACCTAATTATATGAATATTGAGTCTTCTGCAGAGCGTTTGTATATTAATGATATCACTTAGTAACTAGGAGCCTAGTCTTCTCTCACCAGCCTCGCATTTCACTTGCCTGACGGTTAATTCCAGGCATATGCCCCTACGTCGGATAACTGTCTGCAATCCGCCAGCCTTATTTCTCGTCGGCTTAGAGATCTTATCCGTATGGCCTTGGGCACCGTGCACGTGATGGTCATGTTGACGAGGTTGATAGTCGGATCTCGATCGGAAGCTGTAGCCATATTAATATCCGACATCGCATACTGCATACGCATGCTATGCGGCAGCCATCAGATCCAGAATCTCATTTGAGGGACTGCGTAGACAGCCGAGACCCGCGGGGAGCCGACTATCTACTCCTACCAGACTACTGTACCCCACAGTGCAACCCGGTCATCAGGCCAGAGTCATCGTGCAGATGCAGACGATCATCCAGGCGGCTCTCTGCGCTCGGATGTCCAGATCGATAGGCAGTCGGCGACCTGGATGCAAATGAAAGAAAAGATCGACTATATGCACGATCCTGGCGGAAATATGTTCTCCGAGGAATTTGACCGGTATGGCCGGCTGGTCGCGTGACAACTGACAACTAACAACTGACAACGGACAAAGCGAAAGCGACAACTAGGAAAGCGATGCATAGGTCGCAAGCTGAGTGTTCAGGTGAGGTGGGAAATGTAGAATGACGTAAAGACGATCGCAGTTCGTGTGGTGTTATGCATGATATCATTCTGGGCGATGGGTTTTCCGGGGTATTGGGCGGGTTTGGCTGAATTGGCCGAGGTGGTGTCGGTTTATGCGGGGTTGGGCTGGTCGGGTTAGTTAAAGATTCAGATGCGATGGAGGGGAGGATCACGCTAGATGGGGATCAGAGGACTAACTGTTTTCTGGAATGTCATTGCTGGGTGATTTGGACTGGTCGAGTCAGCCGAGCGGGCATTTCTTTTGTTTGGGAGGCGCCGGTAGGTATCCATTGAGACATTCGTCCCATTTATTCACCAACAGTGAGCAGAGCGTAATACCTCGCGTGACTCGCCTAGCCATGCATTACATGTCAGATTCTATACCAATCATGGGTATATCAACCCCACGATAAGCATAGGATGTTGTAAAAAAGTCACGCGAGATCATGTACCCCAGGTTTTGAGATGCTACCGCCGCTTAGACCTCGGCAGCGCATCCAGTGGTCGACCCGACATCTTGGCCACGAACATCTCCATTATTCGACTCGAATGAAAAAAGGGTCTTCGTATCATATTGATCCGGTCATGAGGATTTGACGTGTGACCCGAGGTCGCGGAAGATGTAGAATAAACCGACATGTAGCTCGGCTTCCTGCAGCCCGGTCATGTCACTGGATGTTCAAAACGAAGTAGATCTGACACCTGGGCAGAATCCATCATGATTGGCGAGCGGATTCGGCGTCAAGTTTAGTTGCCTTTCTGTACCATGTGAGGCCCACGACCATATGGCATCTCCTTTGCGGAGAGGCACTTCGTGACGATTAACGAGGAGCCATGAGGTCGATCCCTCACGATATACGAACAATGTAGAGACGTGTCTCTTCGAGAAAGCCATGTTGAATGCATGTATGTACCCTCGGCAGAGCCCTTGCATCAGGTATTGTCGGTTGGCCGAGCATCCTTCTAGCACAACGTCTCGTGTCATGCATGGCATGACCATTTTAGTAAATGGTGACACATCAATATAGCCCAGGACTTGATCGGCAAGGGGCTCAACGACGAATACGAGCGACGGGATTTGAGATCAACAAAAGAGCTGTTCTGTTAGTTGCCTGCCGCTTGCCTACCCACCGACTGAGACATTTTCGAACTTATCGAGTGATATGATTAAAATGCAAAACCCTCGCATAATGCGCCTAGCCACAGACCGAGACAAATCAAGAAAGAGACAGGACCAGGCCGGCGAACTAGTATCTCCGACGCCCCCAAAGGGTGGCTCATGCCGAGGAGAAAGCTCATGCAATATACAGCCGGGACATTATTGGGTTTGTGCCTGAAAGTCAAGGAGCCACAACATGACAACCGTGTCAGACCATTTCCGAAGTTGAAAAAAACTCTCAACAAGGGGCAACATGGCCGTCGGAATTGGCCATACAGAGGCGCGGACAAGACGCTAAAAGTGATAAGATCGATGACGCGATTTTGATCTGGATGGTGTTATAGTGGGGCGCAGCATGCAAGAGCTTAGTTTGGCCACTACTTCCAACATCCCTGCAAGGTGAAAAGAGAAGAAAAGGGAGGTCGAACAGAGTTTGTGGTTAATTTGATACCGAGTACGGAGTAGTACTACAGCGTACAGGTGTACTTTGGTGGCGGACAATCACCGAGGATGGTTTGAGATGTTGTGATCCTTTATGTTAGACGAGGTGAGGCGTTCAGGAGTATTGGTGTCAAGCTTTAGATTCGACAGGGATTAATATGGTTTGTGAGAGGTTGAGCACTTCATGGTGGCGATCGATCCAGCGCTTGAGAGCCTGTATACTTCGGTCCATATCAAATGAGATACGCCGTACGTCGAGGAGTTGGTGAAAGCGAAGTTGGCGGTAGCGATGAATGTCAGCACTGATAGACTTGAGCCCAATAGGGAAGGAACTAACAGCAGCTACTGCGTGGCCGTAGGTAGTATATGAAGCCTTTCCGAATGTAGACAGCATTGCTCAAACCGCACCTCCATCGGTCGGGCTAACGGTCGGTGAACATGAGCCACGCTATATCTTCGGTAGATTCGGATCCATAATAATATCAACCATTATCGCGATCATCATGATTTCGCTTCCCACGAGAAACCCAGAACAGTAATTGACAGTACCGAGGAGGAAAGGACTTGTCATGGACTCGGAGATCGGTGACGGGCTTTCCCTAAACGGCGGCTGCATTGCCGAAGGGTCTTGGCATGGCCGGGAGCTCTGGACTAACAGGCTCCATTTTAGCTGCAGAACCTGCCCGGCTGGCTTACTTGTCCATCTCTGCCGGTGGAGCTGATTAGGTTCCTCCGAGATGGCGGTGCTGACCGGGGGAAGCATACTATTATATTTATACGGCGTAATATATCGACTCCTATTTAGTATTTACCTAGGTAGCAATTAGCATTGATATTAATTCTGGAGATGGGACACGGGCTAATTGTTAGTGTGACTTGATATAGTCCGGAGTCATGAGCATACGTGTGCCCTCTAAAAATATTCCGGGAGTTTAGCTTCATGATTCAACCTTCGTACTACGTACTGCATGTACTCCGTAGACGCACTGCATAGTAGCACGGCGCAACGAAAATCCAAAAGAATGTCATGGAAGAGTCACAAAGTTCAATTTGTCAGAGGAAAAAAGAAAAAAAGAAAATACAAAATACAAAAAGATAAAAAAAAAAAAAAAAACAAAAAGATGAAGCGTTTCCCACACGTGGATCGTTGCTTTCACCATCAGTCAGAGCGATGGCGTGTTCTCTGGGGTTTCCCATTGGCGGGTTGGTCGTTGGTGGAGGGAATTCCTTGCACGCGGCGACATCATCCGCCCCGCGCCCGCCCGCCTCGTGATTGGCCGAGGGCCGGTGCGCCCTCGTTTAGGGCCGACTCGGCAGGCGGTGAGGCTGGCAGTATCGCCGATCGAGGGCGGCAATTCCACACCGGAACCTGCGCGAGTCGTTCGCGCACCACCGTGGATTGCCCATGGAGGAGATTCCCGTTTGCCTTTTGCCTTCTCCGTGGGGGTCCGCCGTCACCAAATCACAGCAAGGCAGGCCCGGTTTACTCTGTGCAGGTCGCAGAGACTTTCGACTGGGCTGCCGTTGCTGGCGGACTGACCATGGGCCCAGACATGGAGCGGAACCGTCTGCTCCACGGCCCAGCGTCATCACGACTTCCAGGCCCTCGTCACTTACCCACCCCAAACGGAACGCTCTTACGCCAGCATCTCCGACTGCAGGTTTAGGGAGTTTTAGCTGCGGTTGCGGATTGGGATGCTCCCGACGGCGTCGTCTCTTCCCTTGGCGATCCGGTGGATCAGCTGCCCCGTCTGCTGTGTGTTTCCTGCTCCCTGCCGCTGGCCGGAGGGATTATCGTTGATAATAAAAAAAATGGGAAAATAGTATTCATCTATCTGATCGGGTACTTTCTTCCTTCTTCTGCGCCGCCCCGTGCAATCCTTTTAAATTGTCAATTCCCCTTTCCATTCTTGGGCATTGTCATTATTCTGAGACTGGATCGTCTCCCGCATTAACCACGACGAGTACGCAGCTCATTGCCCCCCTGAACGGACTTGCCGAATCCAGTGGGTTGGTCGTTTTAGACTCATTGTCCTTGCCTCTTTGGACTCCCGTCGTCGTTTGATCAACGCGTCCTGTTGCCATATCGTTTTATTCATCCTTTCTCCACGGCGACCCGTGTGGCCTGGCTCTTTCGGACCACTCGAGACATAAACTGTTGAGACGATCTCGCCGGGAGCTTGTTTTTAATTCAAACTTCCCGCCCGAACCTTTGATTCGAACCTTTTTGCTCTTTCCTCCCCAGACTTGTCGCAGGTCGAATTCCGCCGTCCGTGCTTGGATTGTCTCGAAGCACCTTCCATTGTGCTTTCTTCTTTTCTCTCTTCAGTTTATTTGCACATTTGATTATTCTATATCCATTTTCTTTCTGTGCCATCCATTGGTTCGTGGTAGTTCGTCGCGAAAAAGCTTGTGCATTCGCATTATCAGTCCGTGATCACGACATCGCATTAGTCTCGGGATTCTTCCTTAGCATCCACCCTTCCATTTTTCTTCCTTCATATCGCTTTGCAACGAACTCGCAATGCAAATTGCTTGAACACTTGACTTGATATCATTAAATTTTTCCCCGGTCAATTTTTCTATCGTTGGAAATAATTGTCACCAATTTTCCCATCCTTGGTGACCTATTCCTGATTTCTCGGGCTTTGTCCCAATCTTCAACCCGGTCTTGCTGGAACACCATCTTCCATTCACATCATCATGTCGGAAGACGTTAAGACCAAGGTTGGCCACGGCGTAGCCAAGGCCTTAGGCATCAAAGTTGCCTACCGCGACCCCCTCGGAGCCACGTCCGACCCTGTCACCAGAGGTGAATCGACTTTCTCGGTGGGAACGATGGACACCTACTCCTACCTGGAGCCCGAACCTACCAGTTTCGAATGGCTGAAAGAGCTGTGGCCTTCTTGGGCACAATTTGCTAGTTATATCTACAGCCTGTTCCCATTTCTTTCCTGGATCACGCGGTATAATCTGCAGTGGTTAATTGGAGATCTGACTGCCGGTAAGTGATTGCCACCCTCGACTACTGAAAGTCATCGTGCTGAACCTTTTTCAGGCATTACGGTCGGTGCTGTGGTTGTCCCGCAGGGTATGGCGTATGCCAAACTTGCAGAACTCGAAGTTCAATTCGGTCTTTACTCGTCTTTCATGGGTGTCTTGATCTATTGGTTCTTCGCCACGTCCAAGGATATCACCATTGGTCCGGTCGCTGTGATGTCCACGCTAGTCGGAGAGGTGGTTATCGAAGCCCAGAAGATAGACCCCGACATCCCGGCGCATTATATTGCATCTGCCATGGCCATCATTTGCGGTGGTATCGTTTGCTTCATGGGATTGGCTCGTCTGGGATTCATCGTCGACTTTATTCCCCTCCCCGCCATCTCGGCCTTCATGACCGGATCCGCCATCAACATCTGTGCTGGCCAGGTCAAGGACATGCTTGGCGAGTCGGCCGACTTTTCCACCAGAGGCGCGACTTACATGGTTATCATCAACACCTTGAAGAATCTTCCCTCGGCCGGTATTGATGCCGCCATGGGTGTTAGTGCTTTGGCTATGCTCTACATTATTCGCTCGGGTTGCAACTACGGTGCCAAGCGATTCCCTCACCGCGCTAAGATTTGGTTTTTCGCGTCCACCTTGCGGACGGTGTTTGTGATCCTCTTTTACACCATGATCAGTGCCGCCGTGAATTTGCATCGCAGGGATGATCCGATGTTCAAGCTTCTGGGCACCGTTCCTCGTGGTATGTCAAGTTCTTAACAGCTCTGTTTCGTGGATGGTTGGTTTACTAATGCTTCTGTTTACAATAGGTTTCCAAAACGCCGGTGTCCCCGTCGTGAACGCCCGGATCATCAAGACTTTTGCAAGCCAGCTTCCTGCGTCGGTCATCGTTTTGCTCATCGAGCACATCGCCATCTCGAAGTCCTTTGGCCGAGTCAACAACTACACCATCGACCCCTCTCAGGAACTGGTAGCTATTGGCGTGTCGAACCTCCTCGGGCCATTCCTTGGTGGGTACCCGGCCACCGGATCCTTCTCTCGGACTGCCATCAAGTCTAAGGCCGGAGTCCGAACGCCACTTGCCGGTGTCATTACCGCCGTCGTTGTTCTGCTCGCCATCTATGCCCTCCCGGCGATGTTCTTTTACATTCCTAAAGCCTCTCTCTCCGGTGTCATCATCCACGCCGTCGGTGACCTTATTACTCCCCCGAACACCGTGTACCAATTCTGGCGTGTTTCCCCGCTGGATGCGATCATCTTCTTTATCGGCGTCATCGTGACCGTCTTTACGACCATCGAGATTGGCATCTACTGCACGGTCTCGATTGCCGCCGCCGTTCTTCTCTTCCGTGTGGCCAAGGCCCGTGGCCAGTTCCTTGGCCGCGTCACTATCCACTCGGTGGTCGGCGACCACCTGTTGCAGGGTGATGGAAAGTACGGCTCTCCGAATGCGCCCAACGCCTCAACCCACGACGACGTATCCCAGCGAAGCATTTTCCTTCCGATCAACCACACCGACGGGTCGAACCCCGATGTCGAGGTGGAGCAGCCTTACCCGGGTATCTTCATCTATCGGTTCTCGGAAGGATTCAATTACCCGAATGCCAACCACTATACCGACTATCTCGTCGATACCATTTTCAAGCAGACTCGTCGCACCAACCCCTTCGCCTACGGCTCGCCCGGGGATCGACCCTGGAACAACCCGGGCCCGCGCAAAGGAAAGTCCGAGCCCGACCGTTCGCACTTGCCCACTCTCCGCGCTGTCATTCTCGATTTCTCCTCTGTCAATAATGTGGACGTGACTTCGGTACAGAACCTCATCGACGTCCGCAACCAGCTTGACCTCTACGCTTCCCCGCAGCCCGTGCAGTGGCACTTCGCTCACATCAACAACCGCTGGACCAAGCGAGCCCTCGCAGCTGCCGGCTTCGGCTTCCCGACCCCGACTTCCGAAGACGGATTCCACCGATGGAAGCCGATCTTCAGCGTGACCGAGATCGAAGGAAGCTCGTCTGCCGCGGCCCATGCAGAGATGATGACCAACGAGCACGCCTATCAGGCCAGCCACAAGACCGGAGATCTTGAGAATGGCCTCAAGCACGATCACCACACAACCGAGCGCGAGACTTACGGAATCGAAGTGTCTTCCGACGGCAGCAGTGCCCAGGATGACAAGCTGCAGCGCGATCTCAAGGACAGCAAGGCGTACAGGAACCGACGCAAGGTGGCTTTGGTGCAGGGCATCAACCGGCCATTCTTCCACATCGACTTGACCAGTGCTCTGCAGAGTGCCCTGGCCAATTATGGCGAGGAGGAGCCCATCAAGCCGGCTCAAGATGTATAGACGGCGTGTTGCCATGTCAGACCCTCCCTGGTTGGAAGGCTTCAAGTCCCTTTGATGATACCTTTTCCATGTTATTCTTTATTAATATTGATTTTGAGCGATATCTTACACTTGATTGTTTTCTTTCATCTTGTCCTTATACCTTGACGATATGTTGATGTTTGAGCCATACCCATCTAGCTCACTGTACATAGATAGACATTCCTATGCATAAAATGCAGTCATTATGATATTGAAGATATTTGACATGAAAAATTTGCTCGCATAATTCCGGAAACAACAGTTGGCTTCTGCTGAAGCTAAGCTTTTTTAGGGCTCAGGTCGCTTGCTGCCTAGAATCTATGGCATGCCGCTAGGCCGGCTCAGGCAAGCAAGATGTCGCACTGGTTACCGTATTGGGCAACCGTTCGTCGGGCAGCGCTTGGCCCAATCAGCGTCCTGATTTCTACTCCTTCAGACCACTGCGGATATTGTTTTTATGTCCTTAGATCCGCCAGAGAGTGATAGCCTCACTCGCAATGTATACTCCATATGCGGCGAGTATTTTTTCAGTTCGATAAACGGCTGCCTAACAGCGCTGGCTGGGTACATAGACAATGTCGTTCCTCTGGATTATCGTCTTAACGTCTCATCGTTCATACCCAGTTGAATCGTCCGGTTAAAATGTATGTGGCATATAAGTACATTCGCGAAAAGACTCGGAAGACTCCTGAGCCTTCGTCGCAAGAAGCTCAGAAGCCTCCTTGTCCGCATCTCTCGCATCAAAATCCGATCGAGCAGATCCCTACACGAAGCACAGGCGATGACGTGCCTCTCAGAGAGCTGGGAGATAGATCCACCCAGGACCAAGCCATGCCTCATGAGCCTTCACGCAGCAGCGGAAAATGTCAACTCTGTCTCGAGCAACGGCGTCGCGAACGGATATACAGCTGGAAACTCATCGGCGGCCTCTGTTTGCCATTCACCCTGGCGACATTGGACCTCACAATTGTCGCAACCGCCATACCATCCATAGCATCGCACTTTAGTACGCTTTCTACTTCCCTCATATAATTAGCCCGACCCTGTATTAACAATCCAGACAAATTCGACGAACTCAACTGGATCGTCACAGCCTTCACGCTGACCTCGACAACCTTCATCCCTATGTTCGGCCAACTAGCCGACGTGTTTGGACGCCACGCAGTGCTGCAACTCGCCTTGTTCCTGATGCTGGTAGGTAGTGTGTTGTGCGCGGCGGCCCAGACATGGGGCATGTTGCTTCTGGGCCGGGCACTGCAGGGCACCAGCTCCGCGGGGCTGATGAATATCATCATGATAATTCTGGCGGATAAGGTGCCGCTGAGGGTGGCGGCGAGGAATAACTCGCTGTTTACGCTTGTGGGAGGCGTGGGGTATGCGATTGGGCCGGTAATAGGGGGGTGAGTGATGATGCATCTAGGATTGAGGTTCGATCGATGCTGACTGGTGTCTCCCTAGGTATTTGACAGATGTAAGATGCTGACCATGAGTTGTGGATGTGTCTAATGCGGATAGGATAATTGGCGGTATTGCTTTGTGATACCGATCCCTGTATGTGCTGAGTTCGAATGCCAGGAGTGTTTACTGATGAAAAGGTAACAGATAGCGTTCGTCTCGCATATCATGATCTACGTCCTCCTGAGAAAGGAGCTTGTCGAGGGGACCATCTTCCGCAGAGGATCAGGGATGACGTCTATCTTGCCGGCACTGGCGACAGTGGATATCTTCGGGTCCATCCTTTTCATATTCGGCATTGGCCTTATCATTCTTGCGACGGCATGGGGAGGAGCAACATATGCCTGGTCCGCTCCCCAGGTCCTGGGACCGTTGATCGTGGGAGGGATCTGTTTTGTCCTGTTCTTCATCTACGAATATCTGCTGGAGCCAGGCAGACTGATCTCTCGATTGTTCCCGAAGCAGGTCCCCATGCTACCTTACAGCCTGTTTACCAGAAAGGACACCATCTGGCTTGCAATCACGCAGGTATCCATAGGCGCATGTCCGTTACCTTTCCCTTTCCTCCCTAATGAAAACCCACTAACAGCCCTAGCTATGTACTCCATCTTCTACTTCATCGGCATCTACTTCACCCTCGTCGAAGCATACCCAGCCTCTAAAGCCGGTGTCGAGCTCCTCTACTACATCCCAGGATTAGGAGGTACGCACCCCAACCCTCCCTGATTCTCTCAACCTCCCCCATTCAAACAAAGTAAAACAACCCACTAACACCCCCCAAGCCGGCGTCTACCTCGCCGTCCTCCTCTGCAACGTCCTCCCAGCACAAACCTTCCACCCCCTCAACGCCGGCACCGCCCTCACCACGCTCGGCCTCGCCCTCGTCACCTACGCCATCCACACACAGAACACCCCCCTCCTGAACGGCACAATGGTGCTCACCGGTGCAGGGACCGGTCTGCGCTTCATGCCCGCCAATCTCCACGCCGCGGGCCTGTGGCCTGAGAGACTCGCGCCCGCAATGTCTCTGATGCGCTTCGCCATGCCGTTCGGGGGGACGCTCAGCCTCACGATCATGGGGAGCGTGTTTAACAATAAGTTCCGGGCGGTGGGGGATTTCACCAATGGAACTGGGACTGGGACTGGGGGTGGGGACTTGAACCTGCACGATACGTCCTCGCTATCGTTTATTAACGAGCTTTCAGCTGCGCAGCAGACTGCTGTTCGTGTGATGGGTCGGGACGCAATCATGTGGGCTTATATTTCCATCATGCCGATTATGGGGGTTAGTCTGGTGGCGGGGTTAGGGTTGGGGAATGTTTGGATTAAGTCGGTCTCTAGAGGGAGGGGGAGGGATGAAGAGCAGGGAGCAGGGAAGGAGGACATGGGGCACAGTGAGGTGATTTATGTGCCGTTTTTGTGGGCTTTATGGAAGGTGAGTAGAGCGGGTTGGTCTTGTTTTTGGGCTTGGTTGTGCGATTGATGATGCTGATGCTGACGCTGAATTAGGGGAATGTTGATTCGTATAAGCATGTTAGCAGACCGGTTTCGGAGACCGAGAGGCAGGTGGATAGTAGATAAGTAGGTAGAGTTGGTGCGGTGGTTGAGGTGACGCTGGATTGTGATAAGGCGTAGGGAGATAGAAGATAGACAAAACCACTCAGACTTATCCACTCATCCGTCAATATAATACACAACGCTCCCACCCCACCTCATATGAACATAAAAAAACCAGTCCATCAACCCCATCCCCCCAAACCACCCCCCTCATCTCCATACACAAAACCATTAACCCAAACCGCGAAACCGATTACCTCACCTCAAAACACCCCCCACGCCCGCCCAACCAAGCACGAAACCCGACAACGCCTCCCCCAACACACCACCCCCGAACCAAACATCCCTCCACGCGCCCTTCCTTGCGACCTTCGCGCCCCCGTCGCCCTTCCCAATAAACCCCCTCCCATCAATCCCCTCGATCTCACCCGGCGTCGAACCAGGGAAGTACGCACCCGCCCCGACGCCCGCGGCACCGGAGGCTCGCGAAAGCAGGACGGCGTGAAAGATGCCGGAGACGAAGACGGTGCCGAGCAGGTAGAAGATGAAGCCGGTTGCGGACTGCAGGGCCAGGATGCCGGCTGTGAGGCCCAGGAGGAAGGACGTGAGGGAGTGGAGGGTTGAGAGGACCTATTTGGCTCCCCGCGGGGGTTGGGTTAGTCGGATTCTGGGGATAAGAATGAAGGCAGGGCAGATGGACTGCACTGCACTGGAGCACATGAGGTGGAAGCACGTACGCGATTATTATGCTGGACGGACTCCGGGACGAGCGGGTTGATGAGGAGCGAGAGCTCCTGTTTCGTGGGGGCCATTGCGCAGGGATTGGATTCTCTGTCGTCTGGACTTTGTGCGCTGAGAGGTAGTGTAGAAGACCACGAGGATGAACCGGGCGGAGGTGAATTGAGTTGTCTCGATGAATCGGCGATGGAATGATGGAGACAGTCGGAGATGTGGAGATGAGGTCGGGTTCTGCCGCGAGATGCCGCCTCATGACCACGGCTGAGTCAGCTGGGGTTCAGTAGATCTTGTAGATATTAGAACTGATTTGGCTGATTTGATGTTGATTTTGAGTGACTTGGGATGGGGGAGAAGGGAAGCTGAGGGCTGGTTGCTATGGGCAATTTCGCTGTCTTTGGGTCCTTTATCTACATTGCTCTATACTGCGACAAATTAGTAACTCGTTCCTATCTATATTGCAGAGCGAATATATAACAAAAGTAATCTGCACCACATTTCCAACAAACACCGCGCCCACCCCAGAAATAAGAAGAGAAAACTTCTTAGATAGCCCCCTTACCTCCAACAGCCTGATGACAAGCTCTAAAAATCTCCACCGACTCGTCGGGTAGAAGGGTTTAGTCGGGGATCTGGAGGGGTGGATGTACTGGATGAGATCGCCGGGACAGACAGTGCCGTCTAGATGCGCGGATTAGAGAATGGCAATGGTGAGATTTGATCGGGCGAGGATACGTGTTTGTAGGACGAAAGGAGCCATAGTGGTGGCAGGTATCGGCGCCCATGAAGATGAATGCGGATGAGGTGGTTCGGGCTAGGAGCAGATGTGGCTGAAGGTGTGCTAATAGTGATTAGCTTGGATCACAGACAAAAAGAAGAGAAGGGGCAGATACTCCAGGGCTACTGAGGGGATAGAAGCTACTTTCACCGGCGGAACCGGCCGAGTTGGAGGCCTTGATCGAAGTTTACTTCGCGCAGCTCGCGGCTCCTGGGTGGATGTAAGGGTAGGACTGGTCAGAGAAGATGAACAGCTCACTGATAGTTCGTATCGAGGATTCGAGGTTCAGGATTGGCAGGGTAGCCAGGAAGCAGAGCATCTTTGAATCCTGGACCTACCGCAAGCCCCGTCGTCGAAGGAAAGGTGGGCGATGCCAGTGACTAGCAATCTCAGTAAACTATACACAACAGGGAACGAGACTATCTAGAAATACCTCCGGATAATCGAATTAATTTCCCTCTCACCCACTCGACCATGTTCCAAGATCCCTGCGATATCATCCACCACGTCGAGGGGATTCTCACCTTGGCTGCATTGAGCACGGTGGACGCGAACCCATCGGCACCCTTGCAAGCACCGAGATAGAAAGAGTATTCTTGCTGGAGGGATGTTCTACCAGGAACGTGTACGCCGGGCCCTGCAGTCGTTGCCTGGAGAGGATCCTTTATGCAAGCCTGCAGCGGGATTGTGATGCGAGCGGTACTGTCGACGATGCTGACATCGACTATATGGCCAGATGAAGAGATTTGCAGTTGAGGAACTGATCGACCAGTTACTTGTGATGGCGGATGAAACGAAGAATATGAAAGGGAGTAGGTGAAGAGAATAATCGACAGGGATTCGGCTCGGACAGCCCTAACTATTCGGAACTCGGACAACATGGGTTTCCGAGAGCCCCGACAGCGTTATAAACCCTACAGATGAGCGCTCTTTCGAGTCCAACTTCCAAATTACTATTCATCACGTCCGTGAATCATTTGAAAATGTCTCTAAAAGAATCCGGACAGAATGACGAACAGAATTACCCATCGCCAGCAAAACTAGCTGTGATTATCACAGCTCTCTGCCTGGCAGTATTCTGCATGGCGCTGGTCAGTACCATTGCTTCCCAGGGTTTGATCGAGAACTCACCGTTTCTACAGGACAATACAATCATCGCGACAGCCATTCCCCATATCACGGGCCAATTCCATGCGCTTGACGACGTGGGCTGGTACGGCAGCGCGTATCTTCTCACCACCTGCTCAATGCAGCTGGTCTTTGGAAAGCTCTATACCTTCTGCTCTATCAAGCTGGTCTTTCTTTCGGCATTGGCGATTTTTGAAGTCGGATCCTTGGTATGCGGTGTAACACCGAATTCATTGGGTCTTCTACTTGGTCGGTCCGTGGCCGGGATTGGGGCAGCTGGCCTGTTCTCCGGCGCTATTCTGATCATTGCGGACTCAGTCCCTTTGGGCAAGAGACCTTTATATACAGGAGTGGTTGGGGGGATGTACGGAATCGCGAGTGTAGCAGGGCCGTTGTATGTGGATCATCTTCGCTTCCAGTCATCAAGGAGGACAAACTGACACGGTATCTAGAATGGGCGGGGCTTTCACAGATCATGTCTCGTGGCGTTGGTGCTTCTATATCAATCTGCCAATCGGTGGCATCACATTTGTCTTCTTGCTCTGTTTCTACCGCCCCCCACCCCGAGCAAAGTCGACCTTATCCGCCTGGGAGCAGCTCCAGCGGTTTGACATAATCGGCACCATCTTCTTCATTCCGTCCATCATCTGTTTGCTTTTGGCATTGCAATGGGGTGGCTCCGCTTATGAATGGAGCGATGGGAGGGTCATTGCTCTATTCGTCTTATTCGGGGTTCTGATCATCGTTTTCTTCTGCGTGCAGCTCTGGCGACAAGAGAACGCCACTCTCCCACCACGGATATTCGGAAACCGCAATGTTTGGGGAAGTTCTTCGTTCACCTTCTGTCTTGGTGCGGCCTTCTTCGCCTTGGTTTACTACGTAAGCGTCCCAGACCCATCATACCCAGTCTGAAACTGACCAAACAGCTCCCGATCTGGTTCCAAGCAATCAAAGGCGCCTCGGCTGTCAAATCGGGAATCATGAACCTCCCCATTCTTCTTGCCCAGGTTGTGCTGTCCATTGTGGCCGGAGCATGCGTGACACAATTCGGCTATTATACGCCTTTCATGATTCTGTCGTCTTGTCTCATGGCAGTTGGAGCGGGGCTTTTGTCAACCTTCCACCCGGACACAGGGAGTGGTGAATGGATTGGCTATCAGATAATCTTTGGCGCCGGAGTAGGGACCGGCATGCAGCAGGCACTGATCGCCGTGCAAAGGGCCCTTCCACCTGCCGATGTGCCCATTGCGACAGCGACAGTGATGTTTGCCCAAACCCTTGGAGGCGCTATATTCATTTCCGTGGCGCAAAACGTCTTCACCAACGCACTCCTGCAGAACCTTTCCGGTATAGCGAACATTGTACCGCAGCAGGTAGTCAATATCGGAGCCACGGACCTGATAACGTTCATCCCAGCTGGTGTATTGCCTCAGGTTCTTTCGGCCTACAACGATGGCCTTGTGGCCGCCTTCTACGTGTCAACCGCTACGGGAGCCTTATCATTGCTTGGAGCATCTTTTGTGCAGTGGAAGTCTGTGAAGGCTTGAGAATCTCACTCTGATTGTCGTACAGAGGCTTTTTAAGTACCGCAGGCTTGTGATCTGTCTTACGACTTTCAGATGGTCCAAGGACCGGGTTCCTGATCTCCTTCAAGCGAAGATCAAGATTTCCTATTATTGTCTTGGCATCTGTTTGCTTGACTTATTTGAAGATCTAAATTGAAGATATATACATGTGCTTTTAACTGCTGGGAAACATATTCAATCATGTATCATACAAAATACAGACTAAATTGCGATTAATAACTTATCACTATCAAATGGAATCATTATCAAATGGAATATGGATTCTACAAGACACCAAATTTATCATGTCGAGTGCTTTCTGACTCTCTGACTCATTGAGTTCGGTGTTCTTTTTTGCCTTGTCTTAGTAGCAGTACAGGTTCTAATGATCTGTAAAAATTGCATGAATCTTAAAGGAATTGGTGAGTTATTTGATTTTATTAGATGGCATGGCACCAGGTGCCCTTTGTATCATTGCAAAAACCGGGAAGCAGAAAGTTTACGCAGGCCATCACATGGAACAAGCTGCTCAATTTGCAAAGCTGTTTTGCAAAGAAGGCATATCCAACCAATCTAGCGATGGCTGAAAGTCAAATAATTCCCATATCAAGCTCTCTTCTGTGGTGCCCGGATCTTCCAGGTGGCAGTCGTTGCCTGGCAGGAAACCTGAGTCGTGGGTGATCGAAAGATTCGACACAGTCTGCCCCATTAATGGATCGCACAGAATAAGAAAATGGTGGCAAAGTGCGTGCACTCTGTGAATCCATTCATTTAGATGGGCGAAGCGAGCCAGGCATTCCGTGATTTTGAGCATCAAATCATAATCAGGCCTGTGCGAAGATGCTACCACATTGCAAAAAAGCACGAAGAAGGGGGTGAGTGGAAAGAGTAAGACAGTCCTGGGCTATGAGTCAAAATGTCTTCGCGACAGAGAGAAATTCCGGCTTACCAAGTGAGAAAAGATGGATATTGATCCGCGGTGTCAGACTGATCTTCGCGGTCCAGCATAGCAGCCAGCACAATGAGTGCTTTCCTAGCACTTTCAAGACATCTTTGCTGATGACTACTGTTCCACCGAGAGCATTTGAAAGCATTCGATAGCACTGCGGCGTGCCCGAACTCGGCTGCGTCAAAGTCGGGTCGGAGTTCTGGCGGCATGGATGACCGAGTCTTAAAAGTCAGTCATGTCACGAGCTTGAGTGAGAGGACGAGAATACCTCTTTGATAAGATCCAACAGAGAATCCGCGCCGATTGCGATCGTATCGACGCGGGAATTGTCGGCGAGAGCCTCTTGATTGAGCTGCATGTCGAGCACCTGCTCCTGGAATTTTGCCATCTCGACCATTATTTTCACCATTGCGTGAAAGGGGTTTTGGGAGCCGACAGGAACCATAGAAGCCGGATCAATGTGTAATTTAGGAAGGGACGGCTGCCGAACGAAAAGACAGCTCAAGACCCTGTCGAGGTAATAACACCAGTAGAGACTCGCGCGGGTTTCGTCGTCGAGATCGTAGGTAGCCTCCACCGTATGGAAATTGAGGGACATTAATATACGTGATGCAAACGCTGTGAGATTCCAGCTATAGGACATATTTCCTAAGTATTGCATTAACATCGCCTAAAGGGTTAGTTTTTCCTAACAATAAGCAGACAGTGGCACATACACCAGACAGAAGAGCTTGTACAAGTGACAAGCAGGGAGGTGACAAGAAGGTCAGCCTGGCCAACGAGGCGAGTGCGATATTTTTGTATTCACGTTGGGACTGTTTCAGTCTCTGGAAGATTGCATCGTTGTGCTGAAAATGTGATTTCATCAAAAAGAAAAATGCCTTCGAATATACGCATACACGGTAGTGAAGGGCTATTTTATCATTCTGTCCATCGTCGATCAGATATAGAAGCATTTTCTGAAGAGTTGGTCCGGTAATATGATCTGGCCAATGGATGGTTTTGGAACCGTACTCATGTTCATCGATAATGCCTGACTTCGAGGTTAACAGGAGACAGCATGGTCTTGCACCAGGAAATATGTACCTGGAAGCATCATGTATAGCATCTCAGGGGCGGTTGATCCAAACACTAGATCTTCTGCTAGGTCCAAGTCATTCCAGCTGGGTTGCGAGGCATGCGGAGCATGTGAGAATCCGGAAACAAAATCTAAGGCGGACCTCAGCACGTTCTTACGATCCTTGGCCATACCATCATTGTGCTCAAGCTCATTCTGGATCAATTGACGGGCGTCTTCAGTCCGATGAGAAGACTCATTGGGAGGAGTTACAAGCGATGGCACACTCGACGCCTCTGCGTACTTGCTCCCCTGGTTGAGGCGTTTGGCTTGAGGCAAGGTTTCGGCTGACCCCGTGGGAGATCTGAAACGATCAATGATTATGGCTTCGGGATATCTCAGGGTAGACGTACTCGAGCGGAATCTGGGTACGGTTTTCAAGCTTCTCTAGTCTTTCTCTCAGAGTATCGAATCTTGTCGGTTGTGAGATGTACGTTTCTCCGAGTCAGGTCATTAAATGTCTTACCGCGAAACTCGTGCACGAACCACTCTCTGAGGCCGCGTCCGACGGCATTCAGCATTGGCAACTCGGCAGTTTTTACAGGTTTCTGCACGGTCACATTTGACCTGACAATGATGTGGTCAGAGGAATACGCCGGAGATCGGTCATCCAAGAAAAACGGACCTTTCGGGCATGGCACAAATCACACTTCAGATGATAGTGTCAGCGGCCATTGACAACCCCACAGGCGATGGATGCTTACCGCCGGCCTAGTGGAAGACGTTGACTGGTGACCTTCCATGATGCCCGACAATGATTGCACAGTGTTTCACTGAAAGGGGCAGGCATTTAACTTCGGCTTTCGGATCTCCAAACGGTCCGAGCACTTACATAAGCGATCTTTCTTTCCTATTGACCAGTGCATGGTAGACGTAGATAGTGGTATGATGTACTCAATTCAATGGAAAGATTTAAACCGGTTGACTTATAATATCGATCCTCACTCAAAAAGGGTCAGAGTGAGGGTTGGGCCAAAATTCCCCAAATGCTCACATTGATCATTCCGGTAATAGGATCTACGTATATCTCGAGCCATAGTAACAGACAGGATGTAAGATAGATTGATAAGCCATTCGTGCATAGCCACTAGTGTAGTCCTCTGTAGTTCGTGCTGAGAAGCCGAGAGTTCCAGGACAAGAAGCCCAACTCAAATGAATCGGATATAATACGTTGTCGCGAAAGAGAGACATCGATGCCGTTTCTCTAATCATGCCTTCACAGAACGATCGGCATGCGAATAGTGGGGAACTCCGATATATATCTGACAGACTCGATTCATAGTCGAACTAGAGACCGTAAGATCGCCAATACCTAGTGTAAGGAGTAGAACTCGTCCAAAGTAATCGAACAACAAGATAAAGCGCTGGTTCGAGTGTCGAGAATCACAATATATCTCTTGATATCGGCGCCCAAGAGAAAATAACACATAAAATGGGGATCCAAGGCGTCGATCCAGCCCAAATAATCTTAGACACAAGCGTCAGTGCATGCCTAAATTCGTCCTTACCTTTGATTCCCCGGTGAGCAATTAGTTGGACATTCTGATGCCCGACTTTTTAACTTGTGACACCTGATCAATTTGTCTAATATTGCGCTCGTATGCCTGTCAGCCAGTCCACAGAACAGCGCTTCCAGAGCTGGTGCTTGAAAGAATTCGAAGTCATCCAACCCGGAACATTTAGATAAGGTAGCCATTGAACATTACTATGTTGGGACTAGCGGTAACTCTCGTAAGAAATCCCCGAATGGGGAATCCGTGGAGTGGGTATTGATGTATTGGCAGTGTACTCGTAAGATATGCCCAAAAGGGAACCATATGAATCTGTTGCATCCTGGACAGGAGAGAATTCTGCTTAGCCGAGGAATTCGACTTAAGAAGGGGCTATGTGTACTTCTAAACTAATATGCGAATGCCCTGATTTCAATTCCATCCAGACTATCGAGATATCGCCTCTCCAGATGCCACCGCCGTCCCTACTGCCCGCTCAGCCTAGAGCCATAGTCACCACTGCTCAACGCTGTATGTTGATATCGCCAACAAAACTTTCAGGGAAAAACAACCAAGTTCTAACCCAAGTCAGACAAACGATGGCTTTCGTATAATTCAGCTACCAGGAGTCAGATGCCCACGCACACCGAACAACCGCACCAACACCTAACTGCCAGGGGGCAACCTCGAAAAGAAGTCGCCTTACCCAGCCAGGAATCCCCATCCGGAGCAGCACAATACGCACTGTTCGTGCTCCCTAGAGCAATACACTCCCTTCAAGAACTAAATCCTAACGGCTCATAACCAAGAACAACCCTCGACCAAATCGTCAACTGGGCCCGACAGAGCTCCCTCTACCCCATGACCTTCGGACTTGCCTGCTGCGCCTTTTGATAGGTTTCGCTTTCTCCTTCCCACTCGCCGTCGCTGGACCAGCCCAGCAACTATCGCAACCACTGAAAGAAATGATTCAGATCATCACATTCATAAGATCAACGATGAATTTCTCAGCTCCAATATTAATGGACGTCAAGAGTGATGAGGTCTACAAATTGACCTACGTTGAAAAAGCAGGCCCGTTCCCATCCGAGACATTCCGCGCAGCAATCTGTGCTCTACACGAGCTCAACACAGCCCGCATACTGGACCAAACAGATCGCGAAGCCTTTCAGACGACCATAAACCAGCTAGATGATGTTTTCGCCACTATTGACAACGGCGCGGAGCCGGTTTCTAAAGCCTTTATTTGGATTTCAGAATCCTCCCCTCGGTTCTTTGATCTGCTGCGGCAACGGCATCCCTTCGCATTGGTTGTATTAGCTCATTATTGTGTTGTTCTTCATCGCTTGAGATGGCTTTGGTGGATATCATCTTGGGGTCGGCGTATACTTGCTGAGATTAGCGGGACATTGGAGAATGAGTGGAAGCCTTTTGTGGAATGGGCTCTCAATGAAACTGCTCTTGAGTGCCTGGAGTCATAAACATCTAAAAGAAATCTTCGGACCCTCCTAGACTAGTGAATATCAGGGATCCCCTGCATCCACAGAGCGGGCTTTGCGACTGCCTGCTGTAGGAGATACTTTACACACATGAATTCATGATGGACAATTTAGATGTACTTTAAGTTCCAGCTGGATCAGCCACTGCAATGTAACACTTCCGTGAGATTGGATTGTCGAGCCCTGTGTCATACGAGGATTGCTGTTTGCTTTGACTGAATTGTCACACCTAGATCGTATAGGAAGCATTCGCATCCGCCTGATCTAAGTTTCTGCTACGTATTCTGTGAAACGTGATGAAGTCTCACGGGCACTTGAGTCCTGGGTAGCCGCTGGGATGTCAATTAGGTAAACACGCCTGGCCCTGGGCATCGTATCTCAGTAGTGACATTATGTGGTTTCGGATTGAATTCTTCCACTCGATCTCGTCGGATTTGTGAATTTTTCACGAAAAGAATAGTAACACAAGGAACAAATGATGGTTGGGAAGGTAGTAACGGGCAGATCTCAAACGAGAGTCTCCAATTGTTCAATACTTGTATGCATCCCAAGCTTGTTGTATTTGGGCGCCTCGCTTTATGGAGTTCTCGGAGAGTATCGCAGAAAATGTAACTTGCATGCACACCTGAGTGGTCCTAGATTTAGCGCTTGGTATAATTCTCCGTCCTTCTCTGACCTCTCTGGCCAAAGATTTCTGTACAACGCAACAATCCCTGCAGAGGGAATGGAAATACGATGAAAGGTGACGAGGATGGATCAAGACGAAGGAGTGTCGGATTACTAGACTGCACAATGAAACCAAAATACTGAATCCTGCATAATAGCCACCAACAAGACTTGCCACTGCTTTGACATATCACGTATGGTAGATGGCCCAGTAAACGCCAACATCTGAATAATTCAGACTCTGACATTTCATGGACCCCTTGGCTCCCACCATCCCCGACCACTGGAACCGGTTGATGGAATCATTGATTAGATCGATGATGTCCGAGGTCCCAACTCTAGCTCCACCGTCTTGGCTGTATGCACCGAAGGCACATGTGCCATAGGATGCGAGTTTTCGGTAATAGATAGATGGGAATTTGACAGTAGTGGTATTGGTGCTATGCACTGATGTTCTGTTCAGAGCCCAGACTGTCCAAGTTCTGCCACCGGCGATATTAGTTGTGATTTGCTGACAATCAGAAACTGCTGGTGAGCCCTCGGAAGATTGATTGTGAAAGCTGGAATTGCCGCAGTTGTTGATCCAGTCACGTTTTCCACGGATAAAGGCTGAGTTGCGGTTGATGTGAGTAGGCACGGAGTGAACAATGAGTAGAAGGGAAACGAGAAGAGCTAGAGCTTGAAGCCTCATTTTCACAGGTCGAGCTCGATATAATCGTACACAATGGCATAAAAGCTTGTCCAGAGATCGGTTTTGGGCAACAGTGCTTTATGAGGCTGCACTCTCGTGATTGAGTGGACCTGGCAGTTTGATAGGAGAGATAATGTCGAATATATACCTTTTTTGAGGGTAGATTTCGGTGCTTGCTCTTGAGATCAAGGAAACTCCTCGGTAATCGCTATACTAAGACCGGTTATGGGCGCTAGCGAGGTGTCAGGACTCCGGCTGTCCCGTCCATTCTGACTCTAGAGCTTTTGCTACGCCCCCGAACTACCCAGTTAATGTATTAGATGCCAATGCACGCGCGTCCTCCCGAGCTTCCAAGGTTTCACTTACACTTCCTCGGGGAATTTTCAGGTTTGAGCTGCAGAATCCCACCTATTGCGCATTCTGTAATACGAGCCCGACTAGATGGCTCCTTGCAACTGTTTAACTGCATATTGGTTATGCGAGAGACCTAGCAGGAAGGATCCTACGTTTGCTGTATACAAGAACGCCTTCATTAGCCAGTTTCACCCGCTGGTTTTTCCGGGCAGAGATTTCACTCAGAAAAGCCCGAAGAGCCCAGCGCAGCTCATTGGGGTAAAGCTCCAAGGTGAGGCATCCAAACCTTCGACGCACTTGCATTACATTACGAGGTCATAGCCTCTGTGGTGTCCTCATATCGAAGAATTGCAAGGTGCCATGTTAGCCTCATGCCCGGAAAAGAACTTTCTGCACATGTCCCTAATAAGCGCCTGTCAATGCCAGTGATTCTTCATGCAGCAGCGGCACTTCCCAGGGATTGCAACTCACAGTATCAGATAACCTGTCTTGCAGTTTCATTCTTCCACGCCACTAATTATGCTTTTTACTAAAATTCCTTCCGCCTGTAGTAGGTTCACTAGTCAAGGTAAAGAGAATTGTTAACTCTCGCTACATTAAGTTCAGTACGATTTCCTGGAGCTCCGGGAGCCAGCATCAAACCTCAGAAATTAATTACAATATGGACACGCTATAACAAGCCTAATAAATTAATCGCCGAGCTCCTCTTCGATTTTCGCATTTCCCGATCCATCCCCATCAACCTATACACGGCCATCTGCGCCCCTCGAACACCATAATCCGTTGTCACGACCACCTCCTCATCGATATCAACGAACTGCCCAATCAGACCTAGATTTGTCATCCTCTCCGGAATCACCTGCGGCCGATCCTCACTCGCCCTGGGCAGCAGCGTAGCCGTCATGCGAGGAACAACACACGGGATGGTGATGCTTTCGGGAATAATCTCCTCCGTAGGAAACCTCAGATGATGCAGGAGCTCCGTCATGATCTCTTCCCCGGAACAATTGAGCATCGGCTTCTTGACAATGTCCCCCTCTTTGTCCGGGTGCAGGGCATAGCCCCAGAAGACTTGGATATGGGCCGGCTGGTCCGGAAAGAGAGGCTGGTTGGGGACACTGAGGCTGATTAGCCAGGCGCTGTCTTTGAGGGTGACGAATGAGGTGCTGCCCGGTTGATCGCCTGTGAGGTCAACGAAGGACTTGAAGAAGGTGTCAGAGCGAAGGGTGACTGTGAAGGTCTCGAGACGGGATTCCTGCATGCGCGTGCAGAAGTTATACGCGTTGCCGAACTTGGGGTGTTTGGTGCTGAGCTCGAGCCAGAGGAGCCAGTTCTCGTCGAGGTCTTTTTCGATCTCCATTAGTTCAAGGGAGGGAGGGGATATGTTTGTGCCAGTTGTTGCGCCGGACATGACGGAGCCAAGCGAGACGATGGCGATGTCGTTCCCTCCTAATGTGATGATCTGTTCGGGTTGTTGGTCCCGGGTGTATTTGATGGCTGAGACGCGGCCGCACTCGTTGTGCGGTTCCATGATGATGTCTGTCACTTTTGTGTGGAAGCGGAAGTCGACACCGCGAGACTCGAGGAAGTGCGCCACGGGGGAGGTGATGGCGTCGTGTCGATTGAAGTGGCCTCGATCGATCGGACGGGGGGTGTTGAGTTCGTGAATATCGTGCATGAAGCGACCAACGTAGCGGCGGAATTCAGCGGCGCTGTGCCAGGGCTGGAAGCCGAATCTATACCATCGGAGCCAATTCTGTTAGTAAAGCTATTATAGAGAATATCTGCAAGTCATGAAAGGAAGCGCACGTTGTCGCCAACAGCAACCAAAAGTTACTCCGGAAGAAGCTCTCACTGAAATACTCCTGAATGCGCGATCTCCCCAACGACTTCTCGGTCTTCGACGCCAGCATAAATAGGTCCATGCGATCTCGCAGGCCCAGGCTGACGCGCTTCGTCTCGATGCGACCCAAGCCTTTGCTTTTCTGGACAAGGAACCTCGTTCCCGGCCCTTCTTCCAGCGGATGAACATCGTCATATTCCAGGATATCGTCGAGAGCAGTCTTGCCCTCCCGCGACTTTGACGGCACCAGCGAGAGCAGATCCTCTACGCACACATCATTAAACGCCGGCATCGCGCCAGTCCGGTATTCATAACCATTCTCCGCGTCTCCACCGTTCGCCGTACTTCCGCCCGCGACGCTCAGCGCCTCCAGAATATGCACTCGGTTCGGCGGCACCCTCGCCTCCTGGATGAGATGAACAGCGGCCGTCAGCCCAGGAAGCCCACTGCCTAGGATCCAGGCATCCATGTCCTCTGGCGGACGGATCGGGATCGGGATCGGCAAACTGGGCGCGCTGCTTTGAGACGACATGGCGGGGAGGAGCGTGCATGGAAATGAGGACCGCAGTGGTCGTGATGGGGGGAATGATTCCAAGAGATTCAAAATGCGGAGATCGCATTTTCTTTATCCTTCATCCAATCCCGGGTGGCGGGGCTGGGGGTGATGTCAGACGCAGATAATGGCTGAATGGTTCCCCGGAACTCGTCGCCTTCCATTAGGGCTGGACCGTTCAAGGGGATGACAGGCCATAGTCTGGATCGGGCCCACGCTGACGACATGACTTGCAGCACTAGATTAACCATTTAATATGACTAGCAAATACTCTGAGATAAATCCCGATTCATCTCTACAGCATGTAAACCCAAGACATGTAACCCATCTACCCATCCACAAACGGCCGTTCCTTCATCTCTCTCCACCACTCATCTTTAATATCCTGCACCGTCTTCCGACCCCTTCCTTCGAAATACTTCGGTCCCAGATCCGCTGTGTCATATCCATTGGGATAGTATTTATCACCCTCATCCCCTGGCAACGGCAACCCCAGCATGCGACTAACCCACGCCCCCGGACCCCATCGATTCAAGAAAGTCGGCTGCACATAGTACGGCGCAGCGACCCAGACGCGCACGTAAAAGCGACCGTATTCGTTCGGCTGGTCGGTGAAAACATCCGAGCGGAGGAAATACGGCCGAGGGAGGGATAAATATCGCAGAAAGAACTTGCGCATGTCCATCAGGGACGAGAAAATGAACCGATAGATCCACGAGGGTCGTTCATACCTAACACCCACAGCATCATTAGCAATCCACAGCCAGAATAACGATAGGGGCGTGGAAATGTAAGAGAATCTCACATCATGGCCTCCCTCAACCGCTCATCCATCGAGCACGACGCAATCCGAACCCCGAACGTCCTCAACACCCTCGGCAGCGGATAAACGAGGATATCCATCGTGCGATCCGCCACGTCCCTATTCACCGTGCTCGGCTTCATATTCTCCTCCTCGTACCTCCGACTCCACTCACCCATTTCGTCCAGGAAGTGCAATCCATCGCGAAATCCCGTCTTCCCCGACGGCAAACCCGCATAACTGATCCCCAGCGCATCGCCGATATACTTCCAGTAGGTGCCGATCGCACAGCGCTCCAACTCACTCATGCGCCGCCACTCAAACATCCCCACGAACCGGATCGGCTCGAGCGCAAACAGACTCAGCGTGTAGAGTATATCATCCTCCAGGATGCTACCGCTCGCTCGGTACCCAGTGTGCAGGAACTTTGTGCGAGCGATGGCGGTGATCGCGCGGTCGGAGGTCGGCTCGAAGGCCATGAACTGGCCGATCAGGGCACCGGTGTCGGCGTAGCGCTTGAAGGACGTCGAGGGGTTGGCAAACTGGGAGGTTTTGAGCAGGAGGGAGGAGATGGTTGGAATGCCGTAGGTCTGCAGCTGAGGTTAGAGGAGGTGAATTAGGGCTTCCAGGTCAGGTGCGTGCGTACGCGGAACAGAGCAAACTGGAGAGCCTTCAGCGCGGCGGTCGGGAACTCCAGCTGCAGCATGTGTTTCTGGATGGCCCATGCGTCGTGGATGGTCATGCTGGACATGTCCGAGCGGCGAGAGTATTTGTGGTATTGTCGCTTTATGTAGCGCAGGCGTTGGAAACGTAGAGATGCCACTATGACGAGATAGGTTGCCACGAGGCCCGCAGAGGCTGCGATGCGTTTCCAAGGGTCATTCCAAATGGTAGATACGAGCATTTTGGCCGAGAGGTATTCCGACATTGTGAGTTCCTCAAGATCTGGTGTTATCGGGGAATAATCTCGAACCTGTGTAAACCTCAGATCTATACCGTGCCCATTTATATATCCCGGATTATCAGCAGTGGCATCAGCAACACCCATCCGCACCAAACCTGCATAAAGCATCAAAAAGAATATCTCCCCGGGTCAAGCTGACCCTCATCACTCCACCACCTGCGTATCGAATACGACACCTGAAACGAACATCTAGGTTGCTCAAACATCGAAGAAATGGATGCGCACATGCGCCGATCAACGGCAAGGCGGACCGAGGATGAAGAGCGGGGCCTCATCACCCACCCACCAGTCGGGCATTATTACCAACGATCTAACAGCACATCATAACTGGAGCAGAACAGGGCAAGTTCCCTGTCCGTGTCCGTGGACCGAGGGAGGAACTCCGCATGATCATCCCGAATCGAGATCTGCGCAGGATGAGCATGGTGTCAATGTCGGATGGAGGAAGCCGACGTCGTACGAGTGTCGATCACGGATTGATTTACTTGATGATTGGCGCTGGTGGACGAGTCTGGGGATGCGGGGATTGTGGTCATATGCATATAGACGCTGGTGGATGATTTTTGATATTGGTGTTATGCAAATCATACAAGGTTTATGCGGGTTATGTCAATGTCTGCTGAGGATTATTAACTGGGCAGCGTTTGTCATATGCTAAGTTTATACTGGTAAATAGCATATACTATCTTCTCGGCTTTGAGGCGATATTATGTTGAATCACAGCTGGTGAATCTCCACCATGAAGTAGATGGAACATACGAAGACTAGGCCGTATGACTTGACACGAGATTCTGTGAAGATAGAACATGGGCCGGCTACATGACAACCACCAAACAATACACAAAACACCACCTAACCTCAATCCGAGCACGATCACCAACTCTCACAATAAGGCCTCAAGTCCAGCTCCTGAGTAAACGCCGACCGGGGCTGAGTATGCAAGAACCAATACGCCTCCGCAATCTGCAGGGCATCAATCAGCTATGATCAGGACTCCACGATAGGACCAACTTACTGCGTTCGGATCGATCTTCGCATCCGGCGTATCATCCTTATACCCCTTCGTCATCTCCGTCGCAATGATGCCATCAATAACAGCATGAGCGACGTGGATTCCCTTCGGCCCAAACTCCCTCGCCAGGGACTGCGCCAGCGCCCTCACCGCGAACTTGCTCATCGCAAATGATCCCAGCCCCGAGCCGCCCTTCATCGCAGCCGTCGCACCCGTGAAGATCAATGTCGGCGAATATCTCTCGCCATGTGACGTATCCTTTCTCCCCTCAGCCAGCATGAGCGGGATGACTGCCTTGGAGAAGTTGGACGCCCCTCGCGCCGTCGCCTCCAGACTGTCCAGGAACTCGGGGCCGGATTCCAAGAACTGCGAGCGCGAGAACTTACTCGCGACGTTGAAGATGGCCGCTGCGATGGAGACGTCCGCGCCGAAGTGGTTCTGGATCTGCGTCATGGTAGAGGTCATGTTTTCCGGGTTGGTCACGTCCGTGGGCAGACCGAGAGCAGAACCTCCATTTTGATTGATCCCTTGCACTAGGGGGTCTAGGCTGGATGCGCTGCGCGAGAGGAGAACAACTGGGTAGGTCTGGGCGAAGCGACGGGCGACGGCGGCTCCGGTGCCGGGGCCTGCTCCTGCAATGATGGCGATGGGTCGGGATAGTGAAGATGCCATTTTAGGAGACGTTACGAAATTGAAGGTGAGGTTGGAAAGTCCAGCTTGTATGATGCTTGGGGATTTTATCTGTCTCGCCGAACCGCGAATGACGTCGCCGGAACCAGACATTCTCCACTCTGCTTACATTCTCGGGCTTGAATGAACCCCGAGATCAGTAAGCAACTTCAGGGGCTGGTATTTGTTTCGACTGGATTTGTAACTGCATTTTTCTCGGTAGTTCGGAAATCGTGCTAGAATTGGCGGTCTTCATGCATATAGAGCTGGTCAGTTTCGTGCCACCATGTAAACTACGTGTTGACAGGAACGTCTGATGTTTGTAATATAGATGTGGCTGTAGAAGTAGTTTTATCGAGAGAAACCCTGATATTCGCTTCTTGTGCTCGGGTTCAAGATGGCATCCAGAAAGTCACCGCTTAACCTGGGTGGACTCTAACCTTCCAATCGCATGGTCGACATGAGTATGGTCTAATGGGAGCTGAATAGGAACATTTTGCATCCTGATCATCCCCGAGGGCACTCTCAAACGAGCATTTTCGATCACGGTCGTAAAGGCTATGGCATCTTTACCCTGGGTGTTTTGAATCAATTTTAACCAGGGATTCCGCAGCCGTCCCTATGATATGGAAACTTACAGTGCTTTGTCGAGAGAGGATGAAAGAGCCATTTCCTCCACATAGAAAGAGGCTTGATAGCGGTTGTAGAACCCTGAGGAACAGGCTTTCCGAAACAGGAATATTATGGGACCCAGACCTTGATTGAAGGGCATAACTCCGTTGATACACTCCTAAACAATTTATACCTTCTTTCTTTTCCATGCATATCTTATTACTGCCCTGAGCATTCCTGTTTATAACTGTAACGCTTTAAGGTTGATAGCAATTATTGGCAGTTCATTCCAAGCCTCGGCAAACTCTACAAACTGTCTGATAACAGCAGCTAAGGTGAAGGCAGTGAGTGAACAGACTCCAGATACACTTGATCAGTAAACACCTTCTGAACGAAGGACAACCGCAAATTTGTCAGGCTGCGGGGTGCAAACCTGCGCAAAGTGGATGAAAGATGGCGGGGGGTGGAGACCAGCAGTGGAACTTCCGCTTACACATTGGCTCTCGGAGACATCACGACTACTCTGCCGAATACTTCTTAAGCTCCCCTGGATTCCTGTCATTGCATTCATTCTGCCCTTACACAATCAACCCCTAATCACTGCTAAGATACGCCATGTCCACCCAAAAGAAGGCGCTATTCGCCACCGAAAACGCAGAGTTCGTCGTCCGAGAGGACATTTGCCATGAAGACCTCGCAGACAACGAGCTGCTGATCGAGGTCCATTACTCTGGCATTAACCCCGCCGACATCAAACATTCGACACTGCTGGGGATCCGATCAACCGTAATTGGATATGACTTTGCCGGTCGAGTAATCACGCCGCCTCGTGTCCCCTCTGTCTCAACTTTCAACGAGGGCGATATCGTCGCGGGCTATACCCCGTCAGGTCTCGACCGGCCATCCAAGTATGGTGCCCACCAGGACTACCTCGTGGTCCCAGATGACATGGTGTTCAAGGTCCCTAGCAATCTCCCCGAGCAGCACGCAGCGGCTCTGACATGCGTGGTCATGACTGCCGCCGACGCTATTCACAACCTCTTCAAATACCCGCTCCCCACGAGCGCTGGGACCTCCACCAGCCCCATTCTAATCTGGGGCGCTTCCTCGTCCGTGGGAATTTCGGCACTTCAACTCGCGCGCGCCTCTGGTGTCCAGAATATCTTCGTCACGGCCTCCCCCGCTCGCCATGATCTGCTCAAATCTCTCGGAGCGACGCATGTCTTCGACTACCGGTCTAGCACGGTCGTCGCGGACATAAAAGCCGCAGTTGAGGCGCTGGGCCAGGGCCTCGTTACCCACGCATTTGACGCAGCGGGGTCCTCGGGTGCTCCGTCGTCTGCAGACCTGCTCTCTCAGAGTGTAACCGACTCGACGGAGCTGGCCTCTGTCGTGCTGCGTCAGGATAAGAGGTTCCGGATGCCAGTGGCAATGACCAAGGATCCCTGGGCTATTCACCCGCCTGGAGCTCCGCACCCTATTAGCTTGCCGTCTAGGCCCACAGATCATTGGAATGCCTGGAAGGCTGTGAACTGGGCGATTGAGAACTATAGTCGGGGGTTTGAGATGGTATCTGTAGATGTTGTGGAGGGAACGGCAGAGGAATCGTTGGAAGAGGTCTGGAAGGTATCTAATGGGGAGCGTGGCTTTGGGAAGGTGGTTCTGAGGCATCCGTTTAAATAATAACCATGAAGTTCGCCCGAAGACATTCTCAGTTTGATTATTAGCATGTGCTAGATGGTCTTCTCGTGGGATAGTAACAACAGCCGTGTTTGGGCCTCTTATAAAGCGTATGCCGAGGCCAGCAGCCGATCGCAACTGCCGTGCCTTCGTCTCCGCTGACTTACTCTGGAATAAAGAAATTAGGAGTAGTCAACATTAACCGGATAACTCGCGATCCTCCGTGCTTCCGCTGACATAGCAGCTTTAGTGTGTGGGTCACCCCGCAAGGATCCGCGCAGAGAGCAAGAGACCAACAAGTCCGAGACTTCAGTTTCACTCTACGTTGAATATCAAGACTCTTTGACGCCGAACGTGGCGGGAGGCCGGAGATTCAAAAGGCGCAATCAGGGCTGATAACGGTATATCTTGTAGGATTAGCGGATAGACCGGAGTCATCCTCTTGAACACTACCATCCAAGGGGATTCCACCCCACCTCCATCTCCATTTTGCCTACACCCACGGTGTCGCATTTCTTCCCATAACAAGTACCAGGTGAACAATGAAAGAAGGAAGAGCCGGTGTGCAGAGCAGGAGCTGCCGTTCTTGCAACAAGACCTTCTCCAAGACGGAGCATCTCACGCGCCATCTGCGCAGCCACACGAGAGAACGGCCGTATCGATGTTCGATCTGTGGCAAGGTCTATTCACGCAGGTTGGTCTCATAGCGACTTTCAGGAACTAAATGGTCTGATAGTTCTCATAGTGATGTTCTAAGACGGCACGAAAAGAGCCATCAGAATGCTTCGCCCTTATCGCCACAGCGAGAACAGGACACCACTATGGCCACCCCCTTGTCACAGGGGACATCGGAGACTCCTTCCTTAATCCCGGACTGTTCGGTTACTCTGTCAGGTCTATGCGGTCATTCACCTGGTGTGAGTGACGTGCAACCGATAGCCCAACCTCCGCCCGGGATGAGTTTCGCCAACCCCATCCTCCATGCCGATCCAAGCCATTGGTGTATAGGAACCGGGCTCGACGTCAATGCATTAGATCTGACCTTATCATCGGCCATATCGGAGTGGGCCCAACTGCCTCCGTGGCTGCCTGCATCCAACACGGGCGACGTGTCCGCATTTTGTCCTCCAGCGCCAATGCCTTCGGGCGTCATCCACACGGATCCTCCAGAGCCATCAGCCAACATAGTAAGACAGCGATGGTTCACACGGCTCCCAGTTGAGGAAGAATCACGGAACTCGCAGGCGCCACTAGGTGACCGTGAGGGATCGTTTGGCCAGACAAACCTCGCAGCTGACGAGAATTACCGCGCACGCCTATCGCAGAGGCTTCAGCCTCGCATGAGTGACGAGACCCTTCCCTCCTCAGACCGACTAAACCTTTTCGCCAGCCTTTTCTTCAGTCGCTTCAACTCCCTCCTTCCGATCGTACATGCACCCTCGTTCCAGCCCACCAAGGAGAACTCTCTACTCTTTATCTCGATCTGCTCGGTCGGTAGCCTCTTCGTAGGCTCGGCGTCCGCCGTGGCACAAGGAACCCGTCTCTTCGAGAGGTTGAATAAAGCAATCCTAGCATCGTGGGAGTCGATCCTATCACACAGTTGCTCGGACGCTCTCTCAATGGTGCAAGCCGCTGTCCTGGGCCAGACTTTCGCTATTCTGTCGGGCCGACCCAAGACTCTCATCCTGGCGGATGTTCTTCATGGCACCGTAATGGCATGGACCCGCGAGTCGAACAAACTCGCGGATCCGACCCCATGTGACCTCCAAGCCCTAAATCCATCAAGTCCGGGCTTGTCAGAGGAGTGGAGTCGGTGGATTAACCACGAGCAGCGAAGGCGCGTGGAAGTCGCATTGAATATCCACGATGCGGAGTTAGCTAGCCTACTGCATCACGAGCCCCTCCGTAAACATCGCCTCAGCCAGTATCCCCGTATCGCCTCTGATGCCCTGTTCGCAGCACCCTCCGCCTCACGATGGGCTGAACTCTACAGACAAACGCCAACGCCGTGCTTCTCGGTCCCTCTTCAAGATGACCCGCTTCAAACGGCCATGACGCATTCTAGATTCTCCGCCTACGGAGTTCTGGAAAGTATCAATGCACATGTTATTGAGGCTCGACGGTCGAATAACCTCGACGAACATGAATCGAAACGGTTATCTAGCATGCTCATGCGATGGTGGAGAATATACACCACCCATTTTCCCCAAGACGCAGAGGATGACGTGTTTAGTTTACTGGTTCTGTGGCACTCCGTTTTCATCGGTATATACGCAGACATAGACCTACTAGAGCAAGCAAGCGGCCGTGACGGCGAGGATGCAGCCAGCTCCAGCGCTCCTCTCATTAAGTCATGGGCTAGCACAATTGACGCTAGTAGCTGCTTGGTGCATGCCTTGCTGATCCAGCGGCACCTTGAGCGGATGCGCGTGTCCTCCGAGCCGGCGATCCATATCCCTCGAGCGCTTTTCAGTGCCGCCCTGGCGTGGTTCTGTTTCACTCGCATTGGTGGTCGACATATAATTGAGAGAGACGCATTCCACGCCGCCGAAATCCAGCTTATAGGGGGATTCAAGGCCTCCGATGACCCCCGGGGAGAGGGTTCCGTCGATAGTCCATTTACCAGCGTCAGTCACCTACATCGGTTGATTGACCTACTAACGAGGGTTGGCCGATGGGGCATCTCGCAATCATTTGCGTCGGTTCTTTGTGCTGCGTTGGAGAATAAATTGAATATATGAGTTGCTGCAATCCGTACTTGGCAGGGAAGGGACTGGGCGAGTGTGATTTATGGGAACGATGCCTGCGAGCTTCACTTATTCTGTAATTTTTAACTCTAAAGTTTTGGCATTGTCATTTGGAGCATTTAGTGCCATAGACCGAGTAGGTCCAATATGGATATTCACGACGCCTTCGGCACCCCATGGCGGGGTGTCTCGCGGCTCGCGGGGTGTCATGTCCGGGGAGCCTGGCAATCCATCCACCTATCAGTCCCCCAACCAATGCCTCGGTCATTTTCGCGGCACTGATATTGAGCCCGTGAATTAATGCCGTGGCGATGTACGTCTGTCCTGGGGATTCTAGTCCTGGAGTCTTTTAGTGGGGTTGGTTCCGGGGTAATCTCCCCAATGTTATAAAGCCGCATCATCTTTTCCATCCATGACCACACATCACACAACAGGTACTCGGGCACCTTCAGCCAACATGCCCCTCTTCACTGAGCAAGCCTCCAGCTGGCGAGACCTCAGAGTCTTCCCATCGTTCGCACCCCCTTTGCCCCGTCTCACCACACCATTCAACCCCCCCGAAGACCCAATCGAACGATACGAAGTCCTCATCGCCGGCGTAAGCTCAGAACCCACTCCCCGGGAACAACCCCAACTAATCCTCCTCAGGCCGGCCCAGCAGGCCTCATGCTCCAGCTCCTCCTCTCCCGATACGGACTAACCGACAAATCCCTCCTCTGCATTGACTCGAAGCCCGGGACGCTGAAATCCGGCCAAGCGGACGGGATCCAGCCCCGCACACTAGAGGTGTTCAAGACGCTAGGCATATCGGACGAGATCGAGACCGAGGCATGTCAAATGTGGGAGTTTGCATTTTGGAACGACGCGGACGACCCCGCCAAGGGTATTGCGAGGAGATGCGTCGTGCCGGAGGTGATTCCGCCGTCGAGGTTTTCGTACGAGGCGACGATTCATCAGGGACGGGTTGAACGGATCATGGAGAGTGATTTGAGCCGGTATTCGGCGCGCGGGGTGATGAGGAACGCAGAGCTCGTTTCAGTGCGGATTGACGACGAGGATGCGCAGTTTCCTGTGCTCGCGGAGGTCAAGGTCAACGGGGTCATGAGGGTTATTCGGACGAAGTATCTGGTGGGTGCGGACGGCGCGCACTCGGTTGTTAGGAAGTCGGTGGGCCTAAATCTGGAAGGCCAGTCGCTGGATCACATCTGGGGGGTTGTGGATGTTGTCGTGGATACTGATTTCCCGGACATACGCAGACGGTGCGCGATTCACTCGCCGGCGGGGTCTGTGATGGTTATTCCGCGTGAACGTATTAGTACGGGGGAGTATATCACGCGGCTGTATGTGCAGGTTCCAGGGGTTGTTGAGTCAGAAACCAGCGCAGATGCGGACCTCGGAAAAGATGCCAAGGGGAGACGAGGCAGCGTCACGTTGGAAGGGATACTAAAGCAGGCGAGTGATGTGTTTCAGCCGTACTACATCCGTCCGAGAAGGGAGGATGCTGTTGACTGGTGGGCCGCGTACCAGATAGGGCAGCGAGTGTGTCCTGAGTTCATCGTCAAGGACTCCAGTGGATTGGGGAGAGTATTTATCGTAGGTGATGGTGAGCCTTCCGTGCAGTGTCTTTGTTGAGCTAAGCTAACGAGTCTCAGCGTGCCACACACACAGTCCAAAGGTATGCTGACCTAGCACCTACAATCTCCTGATATCTCATGTCTATAGGCCGGCCAAGGAATGAACGTGTCCATGATGGATTCATACAACCTCGCCTGGAAGCTCGCCTACCGCATCAACGGACTCACGCCTAGTTCTTCAGAAGACGGGGCCCCAAACCCGCTGCTCGACACATATCACACCGAGCGCCACGCGAACGCACAGCAACTGATCGATTTCGACAGGAAATTCTCAACCGGCTTCTCGGACAAGGTAGGCACAGCCGAATCTAAATCCGGACTCTCACACAGCGAGTTTGTCGACCTATTCAGCTCTGGATGCGGCTTCACCAGCGGGTGTGGAGTGGAGTACGTTGGGAATCTAGCGGTGGACAAGTCATCTGTTGTCAGAAGTCACCCAGTCGCGGGAGAGTCGGAGTTTCTTTGGGGAATTCTACAGCCCGGTCGACGTCTGCTCAATATCAAGATGAAACGGTTTGCGGATGGCGCGCATCGCGATATTCACGATGGTACTAGTTCATCCGCATTTCCAAATCTCACAGAATGACCCAGCTAACCAGGATCTACAAGACCTTCCGTCTACTGGCCGATTCCGCATCCTCTCACTCCTCAGCACCGACCTCCTTGATCCCAACGGCGTCTCCGCAACTGCGCTCAACGCAACTGCGTCTCTAGTCCGGCAATTCCCAGCCTCCATACTCGAACAGATCATCATCCATCCACGCATGCGGGGCGAAGTCACATGGGAAAACATCCCAGCGTGCGTGAAGGAGCAAGCTGAGATGTCTTTCTACAGTGGGTGTGAACTGGACAACGCATACCGGGTTTATGGCGTTGATGCGGCGCGCGGTGCTGTTGTTGTTATACGGCCGGATGGATACGTGGGGATGGTTGGGGAGCTTGGGGATGTTGCTAGAGTTGATGCGTTTTTGGGCCGGATTATTTGTCCAACTCCGTGAATCAATAGTTCTTTTCTTTCACCCATTTCATAATAAATGAAAAGGGGAACGCCTCTTGCTGGACCTTTAATGTGGTTCGTGGGGTGGCGGGGTGGCGGGGTGTGGAGTGTAGTAAATCCCTGCCACGAGCCCTGGCATATTCTGAATTGGTAGATTTTACATCTTTCGTATGTTATTTTTTACGTATTGATTATTGATATAATGGTACGTAAATAGGAGCTTTTATATCTACCATTTCAATGTACATATATAGGAGGACGGGTGACAAAGAGTATGTAATATCGACTACATCCTCAGAATGGTATAAACCATTTCGATATAGCAAATTGTAAGTAGGAGAAGAGTAAATGGTACGAAATTTATTATACGTAAAGGTTTAACCAATGATAGTCCATCTTTTGTTATAGCTGTTCAAAATTTCGCGATTTCCAAGTCCAATAGCGCAGAAGTTTACTGAATGGTACGTGCTAACTTGCGCTATCCCGGAGCACTACACCTTGAAAACAGTTGAAGTGCCACCTTCAAAATCCTCAAATCTGGGCACGATAAAGGGCATGTCAGCGGCAGTCGGAACTTGGGACCTCCGAGACGATCTGCGCTGGTCCTCCGCCGTCCTCCACATGCCGCCACCAAGTTTGCGGCACCCCACATGCTTCATCCTTCCCCTACCCCCTAAGATTTAAATCGAATGATATGCCACATTCACGACATCTTCAACACCTTAATTTCACCCATCTTCTGAGTATACCTATCCACAATGCCACCAAACCAGTTGAAATACCAGACGTCCACCACCGATGTCGAAGGATACACCCGCACCAAGCACATCTATATCCCCATGCGAGACGGCATCGAGCTATGCGCAGATTTATTCCTCCCATTTTCTGCATAAAAAGATGGCCGGAAAGTCCCCGTGATATGTAGCATGGGTCCGTACGGAAAGGACATCCATGCATCCACGTTTGGACTGCCGCAGACACCCGTCTACGCGGAGATGTATAAGCACATCACCCCGCTGGGACCAGATGTCGCGTTCGAGCTGTGCGAGCCCACGATCTGGGTATGGCGCTCGAATGAGCATTTATCAACGCCGATCTTAAGCTAATTACAGGAGGGATAGTGTCGAGAATACGGCTATGCACTTCTTCGCGTCGACGCGCGCGGGATAGGAGGTAGTCAAGGAAGACTTGACCCGTTCGGTCTAGAGCGGTCGATTGCGATTAGGGCGGATGCAGAAGGCCAAGGTAAGACGCATCGCTTGCTCTATCTAGGTCTATGCTAACTGTACTCGATAGATCTCTATGACGTAACGGAATGGGCTGGTGTGCAGCCATGGTGCTCGGGCAAGGTCGCCTTCAGCGGCATCAGCTACTACGGCATGGTAGGCTATTGGGCGGCGATGCAGAAGCCTCCGCATCTGGCCTGTGTCATTTCCTATGAGTCCCAATGCAGCATGTACCATGCCGCGCGGAAGGGCGGCGTATACAGCGAGAACTTCTTGTCGCACTGGTACAACAACATCGTTATTCCCTATCAAGCTGGGAGACGGGATGGGTCTCGAACAGATGAGGAACTAGCGGCTGAGCGAGCTAACTTCTGTAATATCCTATGCTCGACGGAATATCCTAACGAAGGTGTCTGGGCAGTCTTCGACCGAGTCCGGAAGCTCTCTGACATTGAGGTTCCCATCTACTTGGCTGGGAATTGGACAGATCCGGAGCTACACTTAGCCGGCAACATCCGTGCCTTCAATGGTATCTCTTCCAGTTATAAGTGGCTGGAGATGCATACAGGTAACCACCTGGAAGCCTTCTATGAACCGGAGCACGTTGCAATGCAACGGAGATTCCTTGACTGCTTCCTCCTCGATAAACGAGATAACGGGATGCTCGATATTCCTCGTCTTCGGATCCTCCAGCATCATGGCAAAGATACATTTTATCGAGAAGCCGAGACCGTGTTCCCGCCACCAGACGCACAAGATATTGTGTTTTACCTAACACCGGACCAAAAGCTCTCTGCCACCCCTCCGGATACAACCCGCGTCGCATTCAAGTCCCAAGGCTACGGCCCCGAGTCTAAAAACCTGCACTTTACCCTTGATTCCAGCTTCAAGGAGTCATTTGAACTCCTCGGCTCACCCTATCTGGAGCTAGAAGTCAGCACAACCGCCCAGGACCTCGACCTATTTGTCTACCTTCGCGCAATCGACGCCAATGGCGAGGAGATTGTTCTGAAGGGCAACCACGGCGAGCCGATGGACAGCTTTGCGCGGGGGTATTTCCGTCTGTCGCACCGGGATGAGGTTGCGCGGAATTTCGCAGAAAAGCGCGTCATTGATCAGCCGAATGTTGCTAGATCTGAGGTTGTTCAGGGACAGGTCACCAAGGTTCTGGTCCCGTTATATCCAGCTGCATTCCTGTTTGATGAGGGCCAGTCTCTGGCGCTGGAGATTGGGCATGTGAATTCACCGAGTACTATCCCGCTGATGAGGCATGAGGGTGGGGATCGGACTGCTCAGAGATTCGAGGGCGAGAATGTACTTTATTCTCATGCCAGGCTCGTGCTGCCGCGTATACGCCGGTAGTGATTGGGGAACTTTGCATTGTTCCTTGAATGAATGAGAAATGCGGCAAAGGCTCGTTGAAATGTGTATTTAGCCCTACTATGTATATTGACACTATCTGCAAATGTACTTCGCCCGTGGAATTTGCATACAATCTTCACCTTGTATGTAATCTGCCCAGTCCTCAATAATTCAAGAACCACTTATAAATTATGAACGCGATATGACTAGACCTCGCCACGGGTCGGGTTTGAACCCTGAAAAAAACCAGAATCCATGAAAGGTTGCATTAACCAGATTTTCGCCAACTGATGTGGGTCAATCACTTAGTGATTCGGAATTCATATCAACCCCGAGCTCCATGTCCCACCTCATACCCCTTTAACCAGGGTAGAGTCTATTGGTTCTAAGTCCGACCTGACCTGTTGGCCTGGATACCCCATACGTCTTTAATGGATGATTAATTTAATCGAAATAATTATTCAGACTCCGTAGGAAAACAGGGACTTTAGTAATCTGTTCGGCTCGGTGTCAGATAAAGCCGACAGAACTTGAAGGAACCGACAGGCATTATTAAGGAGGATCCACTCATTAGCTCCACTGGGTAATTACGCAGTAGGACATGCAGTTAGACCGCAGCAGATTTCTATAGAAGGTGAACCATTTAAATTCCCTGCAATGCCTCCTCTATACTCCATCCAATATCAGAAAACCAATATAACTTACCTCACCACCCGAGCTCACCACCCACAATGACAACCCAACTCCAACCCATCAAAGTCTACGGCGGCTCTTTCGGCCCCAACCCCTTCAAAATCTCCATCATCCTCGCAGAGCTCAACCTCCCCACCGAGCCCATCCCCATAGACTTTAGCGAGGTCAAGACCCCCGCCTACGAAGCCATCAACCCGAACGGTCGCCTCCCTGCTATCCACGACCCCAACACCGGCCTCACCCTCTGGGAATCCGGCACCATCATCGAATACCTGATCGAGACGTACGACAAGGACCATATCATTAGCTTTGCCCCTGGCAGCACCGAATCCCACCTCGCGCGCCAATGGCTGCATTTCCAAATGTCCGGCCAAGGACCGTACTACGGCCAAGCAATCTGGTTTACGCGGTACCATCCCGAGCGGGTGCAGAGTGCCGTGGACCGGTATGTGAATGAGGCGCGGCGGGTGTCGAAGGTGTTGGATGGGTGGTTGGAGAGCAGGGAGTGGCTGGTCGGTGGGAAGTTGTCGTATGCGGATTTCGCGTTCGTGTCGTGGCAGAATGGAGCTGGGAGGATGCTGAAGGATGAGGGCTTCGATGAGGATGAGTTTCCGAATGTTAAGGCGTGGTTGGGGAGGATGAATGAGAGGCCGACGATTAAGGGGCTCATTGAAGCGCAGGATAGGATGATGGCGCAGAAGATGGGGAGTGGGACAGGGAATTCGAAGTAGTAGGTAGGGAATCTTCTCTTCTAGCGAATATATGATCGGCCAATTGTACACCCCATGCTCGCATATTTTCAAATTCAACTGAAGACATAACTAATGAGAACCCCCCATAAGAGCTGCCATTCCAGCGCTGACATCCTGTCCTTCTGCCCTCTCTAGCACTCTTTCACGACTCTGCAAAAGCTGCTGCGAAACCTCACTCCAGTCCAATAGAGTTGTATCGGCTGTGTCCAAAGTCCTCTGAATCTCCACCGGTTTCAAAACGCCCCTTTCCTTCACCACCTTCCCATCAACAATGACGGTCTCAATATCCCGCACACTGGCATGCAGCATAACCGCAGCGAGGGGATTTTCCTCAGCAGCACAGACCATAGACGGCGAGGAGGCATCAAAAATGAGAATATCCGCTTTCTTGCCCACGACTAGACTTCCAATCTGATCCTCCATACGGATGGCCTTAGCACCTTGGATTGTGCCGAGATTGAACGCCTGCTCCAGCGTGATGTCAACGCTCGGGTACTCGCCCTTTCGAAACGCCTCGTCATTGCTCACTGCCCGAGTATGTTGCAGGCCGAGGCGCATCTGCGTCAGAATATCAGCGGAATTGTTGGCATGGCAGTCGGTCCCGATGCAGGTGTGTGATTTAAGATCGTGCCGAAACGCAACCGGGTTTCCTAGACCCATTTGCATCTCTGTTTCTGGGGTGCTGCATATGAAGATGTCGTGGTTGATCAAGGTTTGCGCGTCCTCTGTGGAGATGCCGTTGCCGTGGGATATCAGCACGTTGGATGTGAGCTGGTTGTTTTCAGATAGAAGCTGAACGGCGTCTATTAGAGCCGATTAGTCTGGTATGTTTCTCCGAGAGTAACAGGACACCACCAGGGGGGACATACTCTTCATAAGTCCCGCGACATAATGCATTGTGACCAGCTTCAAGCCCAAGGCCTGAGCCTTTTCCCATAAACGGGCCAAAATATCGACAGGGACGCCAGGATCGACGGCTAGGCCTAGAGTAACCCTCCCATTTCCGACCGGTGCAGCTCCTGCCAGGGATTCAAGTGTTTGCAGCCACCACTCGGGGAGGAATTCCTCTTCAAACTCGACCGTCGACGACCACTCTCGAATGCGACGGATCAGCGTGTAGCAGAAAACCGAGCGAATTCCGGAGGAAGCCGACGCCCTGATTGCCTCCGTGGCTACCCACGGAACATCAGCATGCGAGGTAACTGGGCATGATATCTGCACCTACCATGCTGCGGCGAATAGGTCATGTGTGCATGGTCAACGACAGTAGTGACACCACCATCAATGCTCTGCAGACAGCCACCGAGTTGACCCCAGAAGATATCGTCTGGTCGATAGTTGTAGGATTGGAGATTGCCTGTTCTAGTTAACTGTGATTCGACGGGTGACGACATGCGGATTCCAACCTGAAGCCATATACTCCATGAAACCCTGGTCACCATGGCGACCCTTGAGCTATAGGATCAACGATTAACAGCCTTCTTTGATAAGCCATCCATGTAGGACATCTGCCCGGACACGAACCTGACTTTGCCACAGATGATGATGCCCATTGATGAACCCCGGCGAGATGATTTTGGACGTGCAGTCGACTTCCTTGCATCCTGTCGGCGGCGCCAGGTTCTGCCCAATTCCGGTGATCTTATCGCCCTCAATAAGCAAATCGCACTCTTTCAGCGATCGGACTTCCTGGCCCTCATGCTGAAGAATGGTTCCATTCCGAAGGAGAATCGAGTCAGCTGTTGGAGACATGGTGTTTAATCGTCCCGTTCCTGGGATCATGGCTTCTAAGCTGACCAAGCTGGAGTTTATATCCGTTTTTATGCTCAGAGTTCGCGTCTTGCCTTCTCGGCGCAATTGAGTGGAGACGGCAACGTCGGTCTCGGCGTCTCGGAGGCCGAGGCGATTATCGCCGTCTTGGTACCAGGCAGAAGCTGGCCACGTCTTGACTGTCGGTGGGTTTTATTCGTCGGCAATTCTTGGTAAATTGACAGTTGAATCAAACGTGTAGTTCAACAAATCAAGTGTTGTCACATTAGGTGGGCATATTCATCGAAGGATCTCCCAAATGCCAGCTCAAAATCATACAATCCAACTAAACCTGGTACCTCTTAAATTTAAATTGCTACTATGTCGGCCAGGTATAAAACCACAAGACCTGGTCCCCTGGAAATCAAGACAACATTTTAAAAATAACTCAAAAATAGGCAGATCTGAACCGTCTGGGAGAAGATATCACTACTACTAAATATAGTTAGCACGCGAAATCAAACCCTTTGCCGGATAACTCCTACCTCCTTTTGTCGAACACGGCGGCTAAAGGACTCAGAGGCATTGGGGCCCGCTGAGGATCGTTATGCCAACTAAAAGCTTTCATCCATACCCCCTAGACCACAGCCAACATGGCATCGCCAATAGCATCCGCACCATTTCCCCCACCTAATAGTTTCTCGTTCGTTGTCTGAATGAGTATCCGCCGATAGCTGATCAGAGGCGGCGACCCATTATCCTTAACCTCCAGAACGAGATGCAGCAACTGTCCCCGACGCAACGGTTTCCGACTGATGAGTTCCACACAGCATTTCTCTGGCGGAGGCAGCTTCACCTCGACGATACTACCAGTAGAATCAAGCGTCCGGATATCGAGACTCCCAACCTCATGTTCAGGCGACCACTGCGTCGCACTGGGATCGACGTATTGGTACCACCTGAAGGTCAACACATCGCCTGGATCCGGGTCATACGTCGCAGACGCATCGAGTCGAAGCGTGGAGCCAGCTTCCAGCTCGAATAGAAGCGGCTCTGTCCCTGTGCTACCATTAACATCCACAACAGGATGGTGGTTCGCAGCGTCCAGGTTACGAGAAAGCGTCCACTGCATGCGCGCCGCGAAGTCATTCTGAAACGCATCCCGCCACCGCCAGACCGTCGCCTGGTTCGACTTATGTCTCCGTCCATCATGCCCGATCACTTCGTCCGCGCAATCGCTAAAATGTCCACTGACGACTCCCTTGCCGCTCACATCCGTCAGACCGTACCGTCCGCCCCAGGACCCGTACTCGGGATGCTCGGGGACCCCGAGTCCGTTCTGAATGATATACAGAAAAGTCGGGGTGTCGCCTTCCGGGATGAACATGAAGTCTGGATATGCCGATGCGAGGGGCCCGATCTGAATATTCTCACGGATCCACTCCTTGCTGACTTTACACGGGTCCGGGCCGCCGTGGTCAAAGCCGTACCAGCGCTCGCCGGAGATGCCAGACCACGCGGCCAGACCGTACTGGCACCATGCGTGGACAGAGCAAATATAGAAGAGCTCAGGGTATCGGTGGCGGATCCACACGCCTGTGTCGTCCTGGTCCGAGATCGTGTAGATGCGGAGCTTCGATCGCAACCGTGCGGCGTCGCCAGCGGAGCGGGTGTTCTGGATTCTCAGCAGAACTGACGCCAGCACGTTCGTCCCGCCCCAGCAGAGGATCCACAATGGCTGGTCGGAGGGGTCCTCTATGCGCTCGAGAAGTAACTCCGCGCCTTCGCTGAGAGCGATGTCGTCGCCGACCGCGGACATGCCGTATGTCTTTTCCGGGGTTGTTAACTGTTGCTGGGGCTAAGGGAGCGTGGTAGTGCAGACGTACCTCAGGGCCCTTTTTGATCAGCGACCGCAGAAACTGAGCTGTGGGATACGGATGATCTGGATGTGCGTGCGCGTTGAGATTCTGCTCGACCTTTTCATAGGCGTCGACGATCTTGTGCATGTCTTGCGGACAGACCTTCGTTTTCATCCAGTTCGATGTGCAGGCCACCAGGCCTTCGGTCCGGAACTGGTTGGCGTAGAGCAGGTATCGCACGAGCGATTCCGCATCGTCTGGCTCGTTTGAGATATCGCTCAGGATGAACACGCGAGGCTTCGTGGGAAAGGTCTGGAGCTCGCGGTGGGTGGAAGGGGTCGTCATGATCGGTGAAATGGAGTCTGCTCGCAATATTGTCGCGTTCTCAGCGAGAGCGACTAGAACCGGTCTTAGGCAAGGCTTAGTTTATATTTCATATCCGGTCAGAATGAAAAGAGAAACTCGTGCCACGGGTTACCTTTACGAAAGGCGGAGAAACTGGGGCTTTGACCAGAGCATTTGGACCTGTAGGAAAAGTCTACTCCGTGCCTGGTTTAGTTTCCCCACCAAAATCAATTGTCGGTGTATGCAGGGTCCGACGGTCCGGATGCTCCATATATTAGTCTAGTGGACATCATTATACAATGCACAGCTGGCTAGAGTTGAGAATGCAGCGCTCTCCCTTTCAGTTGGGGGCTTTTATACCCCAATAGTGTTGACGAAGGGAGGTTCAATGTTAGAAGTAAAATAGTCTTGCTGTTCAAGAGTGTTGTATTGGAGTCGTAATATATAAGGAAATGAGCTATAACAAAAGCGAAATATTGCATATACTCTTTGAACAACTGATCATGATCCCTGCTTTCAATGATCAAGATTACGCGGACCTTCTCTGCAAAGCAGACCAGAGCTCTACCCACGCTCGTCACCACTATTCCACCTTTGCAAATGCCCCAAGCCCCCTCATACATCCTTCTCGTCAACGCCGTTATTCTTTTCCAGTACTGCCTCGTCTCGGACCTCCACCTCCGTCTTGTACGTCTTGAACTTCCTCGCAGGCACCCGCTTCATAAACATCTCGTCCAACTCGGCGTAACTGCGCCCGGCAGTCTCAGGCTGATAGAACCACACATAAACAATGCACAGTACCGAAATGCCCCCGAAGATGAACGCCGTTTTGGCGCCCAGATTGGCCTTGTCCGGGTTGAAGATAAACGGGATCACAAACGCCCACATCGTAAAGAGGCCATTCTGGAGGGCGACGCTAATGGCGATGGACTTGACGCGCAGACGAGACGTTGCTGTTTCAGCAAGCAGGGTGAATGCGGTGGAACCGACGGTGAGATTGAAGCACCACACGTAGAACAGCTCGAGGGCAATAACGCCCTTGATCGCGGGCACTTCGGACAGGGTGCCCAGGCCGCCTGCGATCATAAGGACGATTGTGAGCACGACAAGGCCCCAGAATGTAAGGTCACGACGACCGACGCGGTCGATAACGAACCATGAGAGGATGTTCCCAAACATGCTCAGGGTCTGCTGCGCGATCTGGAGCTGGAATGATTCCCGCGCGGTGTAGCCCGCGAGCTGCGCGTAGTATGTGAAGTAGCTCCCGATGAAGTAGACGCCGCTCAGAGCCACGAAAGACATGGGAGCAATAGAGATGATGGTCCGGCGTAAGTTGCTGAGCCGAAAACACTCCATGTAAGTCACGCCTTCGGTCTCATCGCGAATCATACTCAGTGTCGCTTTGATGCGCGCGATGTGTGTGGGGATTTCATCCCCCGGTATACCAAGCGAGTTGAGTGACTTTGCTGCAGCAGCGTCTTTGTCCACGCTGAGTAGCCACCAGGGCGATTCGGGCATGAATGGCCATACGACGGTGGCGATGACAGCGAAGCCGTACTGCGAACTGAATAAAGCGCGGTACGCCCACCGCCCATCCGTGTCGGAGGTGTAGTTCATGATAATGGCGCCGATAAAGGGCCCGAAGGTGAAGGCGAAGGCGCAGATGGCCGTCATCACACCACGCAAGGCCAGGGGTGCAATCTAATAAGGTCAGTCAGAAATCAGCCGGTTTGGAGCGGTACCCAAACCTCTCCAACGTAAGACACTGCGACGGACGTGTGGGTCCCGATTGCAACTCCGTTGATGAACTTGCCCACAAAGAAAAGCTCGATTGTCTTTGCGGTCACTTCGAGGGTGATACCCACATAGCCGATCACCAAACCGATTAGCAGCGTATATTTGCGTCCGATTTTGTCCGCTAGATACGCTGCACCCAGGGTTCCAATGGCCACACTTCGAGAGTTAACATCGCCCGTAGGTGGCAAGGGCTGACACTTACGCTGCTACGGGAGCTCCGTTTATTGCGCTCTGCCAGCTGCCGTCAAGAACATAGTTGCCTGCATACACATGGCCAAAATCCTTGCGGAACTGGGGAATTCCAATGACCTGTCCCCCTGCGAGATTTTCGAAGCTCGCGAGGATGAGGCACCATGCTCCGTAGATGCACCACAAGATACTTTTGGTGTACTTCCTGAGGGCTTTCACCTTACCAATTTGTGTTTCTTTTGATAGTTGGGCGACGCCTCGATCGGAGTTTTCGATCTGCTCGATTTCTGGCGAATGCTTATCCTCTTTGTCATTGTTTGGACTGGAAGACATGGTAATACAGCTGTATATAGAGAGAGGACGTCTTTTCTGGATCAATATGTTGTTTCAATGTGCGGTGGGAAAATAGAACACTGCACTAGTATGTATGATTGCGACAGAACCTTTCCTTTACTTGTTTCATCCATTTCTCCAATATATATACTAGTACGAGTCAAAGTCCACTGGTAATACGACCACGTAACTCGGGATCTATTCCCAGCTTTTTTTTTGCCATAGCACAACGACCCAAAAAAGAAAGTATAACCCTCGCATTGAATCCTGCCGAGTCCAAGGTGGCTTAATGGTCGTGGGGTTACCCCGAAGGCGGAGGTCCAATGTACCGATCCTCCGAGCATCCATGGCGTAGTTAGGCCAATCACTCGGAGCATGATCAAATGCAGGGTCTGTTGTCTGCGCGGTATTTCTGCGGGGGAGGTCTCTTCTCCACAAACCCCAGTTCTGGGCTTGATGTGGCTGTAGTATGCCCCCAGTCCAGACCCATATACTCATTCTGTTGAGGGATTATCCCCCCTAGTGTGTGCTCGGGGCGACTAGCGGTGCCTCGGACGCAGTCAGGTTCGGGCAAAGAACCCTCCGAGAGAGGTTGCCATGTTTACATTCTTGTCGAGCGCCCATGATTCAGATTCCTCCTTCGATGTAGCCTACTTGAATATTGAATACGCTTTGCCGCGTAGACTATTAAAATCAAGTATCCGAGGCCACATGACCCCCTGGATGGCCGATAGAGCTACTTATAGTGTTCAGAGGTCGAATAAGACATATGTAGCTGAGATACGAGCATAGCGATACCTGCAGAATGTGCAGAACTAGGAATCCACACAAATGAAGCATCTGAACGACAACTATGAATTGGCATCATGCCTAAGAGGGATTGGGAGTTCTACTGATGTCAGAACGCCAATTTGGTCGCAAACTGGAGTTGGGGACCAATATCCATTCAGCCAAACCTGGAGATTTACATAGTAGGGTAAATACTTTCCAGGTCGTCAGGCAGTAACATGAGCATAAAAGATAAAATTATCTTCTACTTATTCTTAGGATAAAGCATGTGAGCAATTTTCAGAATGAAAAGGGCCACCTGCAATTTACAACAGAAACACGGCCGGGTATACTCAAGTTGCTCTCAACAATCCTCTCGGAATTCTGTGAGACGTGCCGTTGGCGGCCATGGCCCTTCTGATGTATAGATGCATTCGAAATGGTAGGAGCCCGAGCCTACCAATTTCGCGTCAGACGCCTCAGATCCAACATTCTGCACCCGATTCCCCTGCGGAAGCACAACCAGGGCAGTGCTATTCGGCGGCACAGTCAGGTCCATTTGGAATATCTGATCTGGGCCGTCTTCAATCCGCCACTCACACCGGATCAACCCACATGGAGACTTGAGCTCAACAAAAGCGTTCGTAAGAGTTCCACCCGGACGGGGTTGCACGATGAATCTACGCCACCCAGGCTCATCAGCCACGGGCCGTAGCCCTCCTACCACTGTGTGCAGCCAGTCCGCTACAGCACCTAACGCATAGTGATTAAAGCTGGTCATCGCGCCTGGGTTGACTGAGCCATCTGGAAGCATGCTGTCCCAGCGTTCCCATACTGTCGTTGCGCCCATCTTTACCGCGTAAAGCCAGGATGGACACCCCTCTTCGAGAAGCATGCGGTAGGCAATCTGCAGATTCCCAGACGATGATAGAGCATGCAGAATGGCAGGGGTACCTGCGAACCCGGTACTGACGCGGAACTTGGCATATTGGACCAAACGCACGAGACGGTCTGCTGCATTTCCCCGTCTTCGAAGCGCGTCTTGGGCCTGGGAACGCTTGTCTTGAAGCTGTGGAGTATCGTGAAGGTTGAAGTTCAACGCAAGAGCGATACTTGTTTGAGAATCGCCAACAAGCAGGCCTGATGGAGACATGTACTTCTCCTGAAATGCCCGCATGAGACTCTGAAAGTCCGCGCCATACCTCGCGCAATCGTCTGGATTCCCCAGAATGCCAGCGACCCTGGCCATGATGCCTGTCACATAGACAAGATACTCATCTGCCACTAGGGTGCCGTCGGTCCGCGACAAACCAGGCTCTTGCGGTGGAGCATTAGGGTCCAGCCAGTTTCCCAACTGCCAGATATCGGGATCCCATAATCCATCTTCTCCTCTGGGGATCGCACTGTCGAGATATATCTTCATCCCAGAATAGCTTTCGCGCAAAGTCTCGACGTCACCGAAATATTGATACAGCACCCAGGGCAGCAAAATGACAACGTCGTCCCAGATAGCCTGTGCAAGAGCCGGCCACTTCCATTCGGACAAGCAATTAGGGACCACAAACGGAACAACCCCATTGCTGTCCCGCTGGTCTTGGATCAAATCTATCATCCAGTTCCCCAGCATGCCGTCACAGTCGTAGAGGAACGCAGCCGTGGGAGAGAAAATCTGAATATCCCCGGTCCAGCCCATTCGCTCATCTCGCTGCGGGCAATCGGTCGGTATTGAGAAGAAGTTCCCTCGCATGCTCCATACGACATTCTCGTGAAACCGATTGAGCAGATCATCGGAGCATCCGAAGTAACCCGTGCGGTCCATGTCAGTATGCATCACTAAGGCCGAGACAGAATCGATAGTCAGGGGGTCTGCTGCGTCTTGAGTATGCCATCCCTGGAACTCGGCGTACCGAAACCCATGATAGGTGAAAGAGACCGACCAGTCCCGGACCGTATCATCCTGGCCGAAGATAAGCGTATCCGTTGCCCGGGCGCCTCTCAGCGGCCGAACCGCAAGCTCCCCATCCTCCAGCGCTTCCGCATGTCGGATCTGCACGCGGTGGCCAAGCGGTCTTTTCAATCCGTGAATCTGGACCCTTCCCACGAGATTCTGCCCGAAATCAACCACTGACTTCCCCGAGCGGGTACGAAAGACCTTGACCGGCCGGACAGTCTGGGTGACTTTCACCGCGGGCGCCGAGGTCACCACCAACTCCGCAGAAGGGAAGGGCATGCGCTTCACTTGCTGCCAGCGCGAGACTTCCGACCTGGGTCGATTCCAGTCCGATTCCTCCAGTCGACGATCATACAATTCCCCATTCCAGATGCCACTCGCCAGGATGGGCGACAGCTGACTTTCCCATGTCTCGTCCGATTGAAGGAGCAAGGACGGCGCTATCCCATCCTCCTCGAGGACCTCCAACTGAGCCAAAGCACCTATCTCGCTGCCGTACAGACACCGAGTGCGATTGTCCCAGGCGATTTCCCCCGCGTACCAGCCTTCCGCAACCTCGATCCCCAGCGTATTCTCTCCGGAGACCAACAAATCCGCAACGTCGTACACCTGGTACTGGATTCGGTGATGATAGCTGGTATATCCAGGCGTCATATGATCGCCCCCAACGCGTCTGCCGTTCAGATATGCCACGTAGAGACCCAGCGCTGTTATATATAGCCTTGCGCGCGCGAGCGGGACACGAGAGCTCAGCCGGAACGTCTTCCTCAACCGGATCGGTCTTAGGCCTTTATCACACGGATCCGGGGCCGGCGAAAGAGCGGATGTGATGAAGCTTGCCGTCCAGTCCTCTCGCGCCAGCAGACCAGCCTCGATAGATATCCAGTGCGACCACGGAGTTGAGGCCGCGGATTCCGGACCCCCTGCGCGTTCAGTCCGGCCATGGGCTCTGACTCGCAATGCGGCCGTTTCGCGCGAGACAAGCGGTTGATCGGGCCATGACTCTGAGAGGGAAGTTGAGCTCGCGACTCTAAAGACCTTAGTCTCTCCAGAGCCGCTTGGCCTCTGGATCTCGATGTCGTATGCGGTTTGGGTCCAGCCCGCCGGTCCTTTGACGGTTGCGCGGTAGCGCCACGCAATTTGGGGCTCGGCAGATACCCCTAACGCGGAGTGTTGACGCGCGATCCGTAGGTCGTAGATCTCGATCATGATGAGGGGATGATAGTGGTGCGTGACGTGCGAAATCGAAAGATTGTTCTTGTATACAGCCTGCTGCCTTCTAGCGCGCTGTTAGCGAGGGCAGAGAATTTCCAAAACACAGCACCGATATTGCAGCGTTGACAGGCAAGCTGTTATGCATCTAGAGAGAGGGTAATGCGATCTTTACCTTCGGGGAGTAAAAGCCCCGAGCAGTTCAGAGTCGGTTTCTTCGGGCGAAAGCACACGACCTCGCCGGTTGTATTCGGCAGTCGTAGGCACCGGCTTCCGGATACGGATGTCTTGGCATCTTTCCATATGAATCCATTCACGAAATTCTATTCTTCACGTCAGCCCTGCATAGTCGCGCGAAGAGTACCCTATACGGTACAGCGCTGCCTCACTCTCTCCGCATGGTATTCCATCCCAAACCCACGACTGCGATGTGAGGGAATAAAGCCTGGTTGGTCATCTCGACTATGATGACAACTCTACATCTGTTGACTTCCGCAAATAAACATCCATACCCATACCCAACCAATTTAACAGTTCCCGGCATCCAGCCAAACAAGTAAATGGTATCAGATCCTCTAGTGGGTCGTACGAAACATACTTCCATCAACACTTCAATCGATAAACACCCTTGGACTTGGAATCAAACTTCAGTAGAACCTTTCGCCGAGACTGGTCGCAGTCGTCCATTCCCTTCACGAACATCGCTATCATAGGTAACAGATATCTATATTTACAATACCGATCACTCCATATCAAGCCAGACAAGCCTCAAAGCGAAGAAACCATCCGCATATAACAGGCATGCATAGAGTAGCCGCAAGAAAGAAGAAAACACCCCTAACATCCCATCGACAACCTACCAGGACATGGATTTGCTTTCTTCGACAAACAAAAACAAGAAGCGCAAGAACTTAGATTCCTTCCCAAAGCCGTACACTCACCCTCTTCATTAAAGACTAGTCATTGGCCCGGATTCGAAACACAATTCTCTGCACCAAATATCACGAAGATCACTCAACAGATATCTCCTGACATCCACAGAGCACAAATGGATAATTCGAGAACAGTCAGTTACTTCACGGCTGTGCGTACCGTAGTGTTGTTACCTCAACCAAGAACCTGCGCTGAGAATCTGTACCTAGCCATACCCTGGAAGGACGGTCTATAGCTGAAAGAGATGACTACTCTAGCTTCATCTATAGACATCAAGATACCCCGCGGAGAAGAACCTGCTCTACGAGTCTCCAAGTGACAAGGCCCTTCTATAACGAATTCAGTTACCGAAACAATAAGGGGGCTGTGATTTGACATCATCCAAGTGGATTTGAACTAAACTAGTACAGTAAACTCAGTCATAACTTAACTGCTGTGAAGGCCGACGCGAAACTGAGGAGTGATAGGATTGACAAATTCAGGCAACAGGACAAAGAAAATTGGAACCATGATCCAGGGGACACTACTGATTATCTCTCTCTTTATCTTCCGACCTTCTACGACGATGGAATACTCTTCGCAACGCCGCTCCCACTCTTCCGCGGATCCGCCACTGGTTCTGCCGCTGGTTCTGCCGCTGGTTCTGCTGCGCGTAGTGCCGCTCGACTTCCTGCAGGATTATCGTCAGGGTTTGCGGCGAGATGTCCTGCTGTACTTGCCCCTGGAGTTGCTGCTGAATTTGCTGCTGGAGTTGCTGCTGCTGGGGTGTCAGCTGGATTGGCTGCTGGCTTGTCTGCTGGTTTGTCTGCTGGTCTGGCTGCTGGTCTGGCTGCTGGTCTGGCTGCTGGTCTGGCTGCTGGTCTGGCTGCTGGGGTGTCGGCTGGGTTGTCTGCTGGGTTGTGTTCTCGGTCCCGTCGGCTAAGGTTGGTGATACTGGAGTCATCGTCAACGTTGACGGCGCGTTTCCTGCAGGCGATGTACCAGATACTCGCGGTTGTCCCGGTATAGGTAAATGGGCCGGTGGACCATCCCGGTCTGCCGTTGTGTCTGCGTGCCCACCTCGACTGCCCGATGCATCTTCCTGGTTTGATGTGCCTCGCTGGTCGGTTTCCCGGCCGCCTCCGTGGCCGTCCGATATATCTCGCTGCCCTGAGGATGCAACCCGAACAGATGGCACTTTTTGGATGGGAATAGACCCCTGCGGTGTGGGGTGCTCTGGGTTTGAAAAGGTTTGCCGGCTTGGAGTAGGTTCCTGGATACTTGCGTCCACAGGATCAACGGGCAAACCGCCGACTTCTATAGTTTTCCAGAGTATCTTCACTGCATCAATGGGACTGATCAGCTCTCTGTCGTGTCCTACATCTAAGCGCGGTTCTGCGATCCTCGGGCCCCTAGTAGCCTCCTGCGGTGACCTATTTGTTCCGCAAGGGCGGTTCTGGAGACCATGCCTGCACCTTTCAACCCTCCGTGTCTCGTTTCCAACTGTACGCACATTTTGAGCGGCTATGGCGTTCAGACATTCGCACGTACCCGTTAGCTTTTGTTACAAAGAAGTTGCCATTTGAGCTGTGGATAAGGAGACTCACAATCCGCGAACTCCCGGCAAGATGCATGCGGTGAGTGTGACGCATCCGCAGTATCGGGGCTATCAGTTGTGATAGGCGAATCTTGGTAATTATCATCAAGTAGGAGCGTGCTGCCTTCGCTACTTGTGCTTCTAGTGACAGCCACTATTGGCACTTCATTGGAGTTTCTTGGTGTCACAGCGGACAGTGGACCAGCAGGCGGACCAGCAGGCGAACCAGCACCTGATGAGGCGGTCGATGCACGGAGCTGCTGGACTGGAGTATTATCCTCGCCTGACCTCTCGGGCTCTGATGCTGGTTCAGGGAAGTCTAGTAGGTATCAGCTTCAGACTCGATCATGAGCTTTCATCATGACACTACGTACCGCGCTCCCTCCGACGTTGCACCCCTGCTAACAACGAGTTAAGCGAAGAGTAAAAGGGCGGTAATTCCGGTATCTGAGGAGGGCCGTCATCCTCGAAGGGAAAATGAAGTTCATCGTGGTCGTTTCCGGCAGATTCGTTCTGGCTTTGACCTGATCTTGAAGAACTGGGAGACCCTGACTCTGGCTGATTTTGCGGTCGTGCTGAGCTCTCGGCTTCATCCCTGCGGGCTCGGTATTCCACTCTTCCAAAGCGGTGGAAATCTCGGCCTCGGCCAGAATTTGGGTGATAAGGTCCGCGATAAGTCATAATGTGAGAGTGTGAATGAAACGAATGTGGTAGATAATGGGGGTAGGTCGTAGTAATAAATGAGATAAGACGTTGTTTGAAAAGTAAATATGCGATGGAATATGAAGAGGTAGAGGTAGTTGTTGTGTCCAAAGAATGGCCTTGTAGAATTTGACCTGGTGGTGACTTGCTCGAGGGCAGGAGCAGCCTCCTTCCTCTAGAGAAGGCGCGAGGCGTAGGAAGGTCCTGCTACTTGCCAACAGTAGAGCTGACAGTTCGGTAACACGGGCCACTCGTTGTATCGTTATCGCTGATATTCATTTGATTTTGACTGATCTCACAATATGCTGATCGTAAAGCGCTTACTTGTGTTATCTCCTTACAAGACCTCGTCTTTATGCAGTGCCGTTCAACAAGTGCAGTGTCAATTTCTTGTACGCTTGAACTCCCTCCAGCAGCTCGCTAAGTTCGATCTGCTCTTTCTCCCCATGCGCGACCAAGATCGATCCGGGTCCATAGAGGTACTTCTTGTGATTGCCTTTGAAACGGGGCACGTCCGTTCCATACGACACAGGAGCCGTCTCGAAGCCTGGGACAGTGAGTTCCTGATCAACATCCGGTAGATAAACTTACCTTCAACATCGTGATCCAACAGCGTCTCGGGGTACTCGAATTTGAATTCAAATCGAACATTCGGATGCCGGGCGGCGACATCTGCCACGATCTTCTTGATCCCATCCATATCGGTCGCCACGCGAACAGCGCAGAGAGCGGTACTCGTCGCAGGCACAATGTTATAGCTCACGCCCCCTTCAATCTTACCGATATTCAAAGTCGACGGACCAAGAAGCGACGACTCGGGAAATTCAGCGGACAGGAAATCATTGAGAGCTGCAACCAACGCCGTGTTCGCATTCACCCCATGATGAGGGTACCCCGAATGACTGTCCAGAGTCAGTGACAGCCCCTCAAACAATTGCAATCATCGCACAACACCTACCAAGCCTTCCCTTCTGCGATCAGCTCAAACACCAAATGTCCCTTATGCCCCACGACCAACTTTCCCTCGGTCGGCTCGCCGAAGATGACCCCCTCGAAACTCAATCCTTGGTCGTTGGCCGCGATCATCCCGGGACCGCCTTTCTCCTCGCCAACCACAAACAACAGTCCCACATCGCCTTCGTGCACCAATCCGTCCGCGCGAAGCTCTTCTAACGCGCAGATCTGCGCAGCCATGGGTCCCTTGTCATCGCAAGCTCCACGACCGTAGATGGTTGACCCTTCAATGCGCAGGGGGATGTGCGGGGGAACGGTGTCCATGTGCGCTGATAGACAGGCGCGGGTTTGCCGCTTTGATCCCAGATACGCGTAGACATTCTCGCGGGTAGAGCCGTCCGCGATGGGAAGTCGTTCAACAGTGTAGCCTAGCTGAGTGAGATGGCTGTCGAGAAAGCGAGCGACGTCTTGCTCGTAGTCGCTGTTACTGGGGACTTCGATCAGGTCGCAGAGCAGCGAGAGGACGGGCGGTTTATTCATGATGGTGTAGGCTTATGGATCTCGAGGTCAATACGTAGTAAGCTGTTTCACTCGCGGCAGTCTGAAAGCCAGAATAAGAACAAAACACGAATTGGCCGACGAGGAGAAGCCAACAGCTCTCAGAAGATGCGGGGTATGACGTTGTCCAAGGCACCAAGGCACCACCGCGATACGCCGCGTCTCGCCCAATCAGAAGGCGCAGACTGATCAGCACCCCGGGATAAGCCTCTCTTTTGCCTGCTGCACAGTCAACAGTCCCAATCAACCCAGGTAGTCCCTGGCTATGACTGGCTAATCCCAGTCCGTAATCTTCAGTAGTGCCATCACCCCGCCGCCTCGATCCTCCCTATAAACATATCCCACCCTGTCCTTCCCGCCACCTGTCCACACCACCATAACCACCTCTCCCAAACAAATTCCTCGAAATGACCCTCTCTCTACACATCAGCGACGAATCCACCGGCACCCAAGAGCGTCTATTCAAGTCCCTAAACGACTACCTACAGTCCGAGGGGTCCATCTCCGCCAGCAGCACCGCGCAGCGCATCGACGCGGAGAAATCATCCCTCGGAATAACCGACCCGGGCGCATTCTGTCAAGACACGTGGCTGATCATCCGGGCGCTGGTGTTCCAGATTCCGCATGACCATGTCTATCAGGACCGATTGGTTGAGGTTGTCGATGCGTTGACGAAGTTGCCGGCCACGGAGATCGAGGTCTGGGGTGTATGTATTCCGTTCGGTTTTGAATCCGATTCCGTCCGACCTGGGCGAGATATCATGAGTGCAAGCCAGTGCCAGTTGCTGATGAAGTCGACAGGAAAAGAAACGTATGTGGACGGATCTCCCTCTCCTAGGACCTCAGATGCGAGAGGATTGGAACCGTACGTCCTCCCCACTCCCCTACTTACCTAGCTGCCGAGCCAACCGAAACCAAACGAACTAACACCCCCCAGCGCCGGAGTACAACACCAAAAAGGCCGAATCGTGGCCCTCCGCCGCCCTGAAATGGGTGAGCCTGAACGCGTTCGCCGCGCGACTGTTACGCCTCGAGTCCGTAACGTGGGGAAATTTCGGGCTGTGGACGATCCGCGACGTCCTGGAGGAAGAGACATCGGGGCCGGAGTATGAGGCCGGGATCGACGCAGTGGCGGTGTGGATCAAGTACGCGGGCAAACAGATATACGAGACATCCCAAACGAGCGATAAGCCGGAGGAACGGATGTTCAAGCCGGGGTCGTTGTATTCGGGTCCGTCGAAGTACTGCGTGGAGCGATGGGCGTTTTGGAAGGATCGTTTGGATCAACTGGGTGCTCTGGGAGGGGAGACAGCGGGTAGGGCTCAGGAGACGAAGAGGATCATGGAGGAGATTGAGAGAGGATAGAAGGTTGATTGGAGTTATCCAGCAACCAGGTAGAAGGAATACCTTCCTGTTGCAAACCAAATAACAAACTACGTCCTAAGAAAGCAACAACTGCGAATTACACCGTGAATTGGCAACCTAGCTAACACCGCAGCTTAGATACATCGGCCGAACAGTTCGCATATGAGTGAAAAGCAAATAACTCCGTCTTGAAATTCTTTCAAGTCCCAATTTTAGGTGGTCGGCGTAGAAGCTCAACTCAATCCTGGCAGTGCTTAACGCACCGGCTTACAGGATGTTGAGGAGGCCGAGTTCGAGCAGAGCGCTCTTGGCGCAGCCGTCACCAGCCTCGGTCAGGAGGGCCAGATCGATGGTGTGGTTCTCCTCAACACAGGTGTACTTGTTGGTGACGCTGAGGGCTGTTAGAATTGTTCTCGACTGCAACAGGGAGAGAATGAAGTCTCACTATTCGAGGTGCTCGATGTTGATGATCTTGCCGCCATCGTCGCCGTGCTTGCCGCCATCGTAGCCGTGCTTGCCGCCATCGTAGCCGTGCTTGCCGCCCTTCTCGTGCTTGTCGGGCATCTCGTCCTCACCGCCACCGGGGGCGGGGGAAGCGTAGACGGCGCCCATAAGGAGGACGGTGGAGAGGGCAGCGAGAGAGAAACGCATTTTGATTGAGGTGGTGGAGGTTTAGAAAAGCTTGGAAGGTTTTGATCGAAAGTGGTTTTGGGATTGAAAGACTGAGCTTGCTTTGCTTTTTTGGATTGCTGCTGTTGGATGATTCTTCTCCAGGGCAGGGTTTGAGGGCCTCTTTATAGCTTTTCTGGAGACCCTGTTCCTCCCTGTTTCTGGTGTTCCTGGCTGTTCCAGGAAGTCAATCAGGGAAATGATGAGGTGACAATTCGAGGTTCCCATTGGTCCCGCTGCGGAATTGCAACATGGGAGTTTGGATGTCTTCGTAAGAGGGGAAGGTCTCAATCCTGCTACGGCTCTCCAGTGGGGCCCCATCATCACGATAAGGGCACTGGAAGCATCATGGAAGAGAATCCCAAATGGTGTGGGAACTGCACGATGGTGCCATCTTGTCGCCAAGAAGGGAAAACCAGCAGACACACAATCGAGGGGCTTGGTTGCGTGAACATCCAGCGCATATCGATGTTCCTGGACGGAAAGGACAGCCTGAAAGCAACTGGAGTGGGATTCTTCAGACTCTGCAGATGTACATCTTCACTCCAAGCCCCATCCGACGCCAAAACGCAGCTTAATTCAATCGCGCTAGGCGCAGAAATGCTTAAGGCAGCCCTACAGTAGGTAGCAATAAGCATAGCCAAGCACGAAAGACTGCAACGGGCGCCAGCCGTTCCACGGATCGCAGGCGTGGCTCCGAGGAGATGGAAAAATGTTTCCAGAAAGCTGTCGCCCTAAACGGATGATGTCACGACGCACCCATGTTGTCGAGTATGCGGCATTTCACCGGAATTCGTCTTTCCTTGGGTGCCATCGGACTGACTCGGTGAATGCGCAATCAGATGTGGAGATCTTCGCAGGTGAGGGTTGTATCCTCACGAATTACTCAGGCGGCGTCGGTGGAGACTTACAACCTGAAAATGCTGATGATTGCAGAGTCCGCCGGCCAATGAGAGGCCTTGAAAAAATCTAGCTGCTGAGTCAGGCGAATGGACCCCTGCCAAGGCGCAGAATCATTTCCTCCGGGTTCCGATGCACGAGACGCCAAGCCCACGCATAATTATCCATCCCTCCATTGGCATCTGCAGCGATCTTCTGCAGTAATACTGATTACTCTTCCACCGTCCATATTCCTGCAGGGGGCTTAATCTGACACAATGCCACGGTGCATTTTCAATCTCTCGTAATCTGTCGCAATTCTCCATTTCTAAGGCCCTACTGCGCCCTCATTTGCCGATCCAACTCCTTCCACCGCGCAGAATTCCGCTTTACAATTATTAATAATTCGCCCACTGCGCTGACAAAGGCAACACCCGGCGGCGCTATGTAACATGATTGGCCGGTGATGGCGGTGTCCGCGATGGCGATGGGGCCATCGGGCCATCCATGATGGATCCAGTCGGAATTATCGGTCGTCCAATGCCGACATCCGCACCGACTGATAATAGCGGGGTGGAAGATTGTTTGTTGGCCAAGCAGGAGGGGCATCCATCACGATATAAAGCCACCGACACGCCCAATTGACCTGGCCATTATTCCTCCAGTATCATCCAGACTACCAATCCTCTCCCGCACCAACACCCTCACATCCATCGCAATGGGCTCCACTCAGGTTGAATTCAAGAACCCCGCCACGGCCACCCTCCTGGAGGCTGTCAAGGCCCGTCGCACCGTCTATGCGCTCAAGGGCGAGAGCCCCATCTCCGACGAGGCCATCCAGAACATCGTCGAGACCTCCGTCCTGCACGTCCCCAGCTCGTTCAACACCCAGACCTCGCGTGTCGTCCTCCTGCTGAAGGAAGAGCACAAGAAGGTCTGGGACATCACCCTCGCCGCGCTGGAGGGCCTCGTTGCCGCCGGCGCCGTTCCCCGGGAGGCCTTTGAGTCGTCGACCAAGCCCAAGATCGAGAGCTTCCGCGCTGCCTACGGAACTGTAAGACTCGCGTGTTTGCGCTCGTTATCCCAAAATACTAACCGGTTCAGGTCCTCTTCTTCGTCGACTATGAGTCCCTGGCCCCGATCAAGGAGAAGTTCGCCATCTACGCCGACAAATTCGATCCGTTTGCTTTGGAGTCCAACGCTATGTCGCAGTACCTTGGTATGCACCCATCCCTTTTATGTTCGCCAATGTTTCAAGTGTTAAACTAACGGACACCAGTCTGGACTGCCCTAGAGTCCGAAGGCCTCGGCGCCAACCTGCAGCACTACAGCCCCTTGATCGACGAGGGTATCCAGAAGCAGTGGAACTTGCCCGGTTCGTGGAAGCTCGATGCCCAGCTCGTCTTCGGCACTCCTGCCGCCGCGCCCGGCGAGAAGGCCTTCGCGCCTCTGGAGGACCGCTTCAAGGTGTTTGGTAAATAAGCATGATACGATATGAAGTCTTTTAGCGTGGTTCACTTTAGACATGTCGATAGATCAATGTGACGATTGACCGTTTTTATTCGAGGCTTGATGTAGTCTGTAATATGTCTCTGGGATCGCTGTGCACGTGAGGGTTGTTCGAGGTAATGTGCAGTTCAAAAATTGACACAGACCAAGTCGACTTGTTCTAACTAATCTCAGAGAATAAATACTAATATACACCAGGAGTAAGGCGAAAAGGTCCCAATGAACTTGCTACCTCTCGTACCAAGCGAAAGGGTCAGAAACGTCCGACATGCTTACCAACCCTTCACGCAAATGCCATTCGACCGCCGAACTTACCATGAGTCTGGAAAGCCTAAACAAAGAGCAATTGTCCACAAGCCGACACTACATACCCATTCACTCCACTCTGCACAGCCTGCCCGTATCCAAGTCATAATCCCAGTTCTTGCTCCCCACGCCCGACAACACAAACAGACTCTCACTAGGATCATACTTCGCCTTCACCTGCACCAGCCGGTCATAATTCTCGCCATAGAAATCCTGCTCGAAGTTACTCGTATACGGATTAGCTTCGTTCATATAGGCCCCTGAATCCGGAGCCCACTCCCTCCACATTTCCTCCTTGGCCTCGTTCCAGCGCGCCGCACCCTGCAACGCCAGCTTCGGCGACCCAGCCGCCACCGGGTCCACCGTCGCTCCGTTCGAGATGAAATGGAGATACGCCGACCGCCAGGCGGGCAGCACCGCGCCCCAATACTGCGTCTGCGTGTTGCGCACCCCCGGACCACCCTGCAGTCCGATCGTGGCGTAGGTCCCGGCGGTGCTGTTCTGCGAGCGCATCGCGATCTTAAGGTACTGTTTTTGGCGCTCGAGGGGTGTGTCGATCAGCTCGGCGCGGCCTAGGAGACGACTAGAGACCAGACTCTGGCCGCCGGCTACCTCGCTGCCGGAGATGGCGCTGTAGAAGGAGGAGTAGTTCCCGAGGTTGGAGGTTGTGAAGGACACGCTGAGGCTGCTGTTTCCACCGGCAGAGTGGCTGATATTGGCGAGGACAGGGTCCACAAGGCTTTTCATGGCCGGGACAGTGGAGTTAAAGGCCCAGAAGACCTGCTTGATCACCACGCCGGTAGTCGACTCGTTGAGAGATCCAAACGACACGGCTGTCTCGCCGGTCGCCACCATGCATGCGCCTGCGATCCCGGCGTCCATCAGGTCAGGCAGCGCCGCGATATGGCGAACGGCTGCATCCCACGACGCCTCGGCGCTGCGATTGCTGCCGTCCTTGGGCGCGATCAGGACATTCCCCATAACCACATTTCTGGGCACCGGGTGATGCCGAATGACGTATTCGGTGACCACGCCGTACTGGCCGCCGCCGCCGCCTCGGAGGGCCCAGAAAAGGTCCGGATTCTCGACCTCGTTGGCGACGAGAATATCGCCTTGGGTTGTCACCACTCTCATCTGCAGGACGTGGCTGGACGCGAGTCCGTAGGTTCGCGAGATCGGCCCGTGTCCGCCCACTTGTATGTAGCCACCGAGTCCGACGCTGGGGTCCTGGCCCGTGGGGACCACTCGGCCTTCGTTGAGGGCTTTGGTGAGCACGTTGCCCCACTGCTGGCCGCTGCCGACGATGTACACGTCCTCGGAGGTGTTCTGGGAGGGAAGCGTCCAGACGGGATGGCGCTCCAGCTTGTTCAAGTTGTGAGTCCAGATAGACAAGGCAAACGCACCGGATGATCTGCATGGGGATGACAGGTACGTTAGAGCTTCATCGTCGCACTTCTTACATAAGTTAAAATACGTACCGACCGTTCAGATCATGACCCGTGCCCTTGACCACGATACGGATATTGCGCTCCGCAGCCCACTTCATCGCCGTTGCAATCTGCTCTTCAGTGGTGGCGTTGACGATGTACTGTGGTAGGCCGCCAAGAGTGCACCCGTTGTCTGCCACATAGCCTGGCGCAGTTGGGGGCAAGCAGGAATTGTTGGCGTAGATCAAGTAGTCAATGGATTCGGGGCGCTGAGAGTGCCATGAGGCGTTGGCCCAGGACGACTGCACGGTTCTGCAGGAGACGGACGACCCGAATGGATTACTGGCCCAGCATGAGGAAGCGACAGGCACGGTGCTGAGGAGCTGGTTGTCAATCGACTGCGTCGTGGGGGGTCACTTTGCATCTGGCCGAAGCCGAGGCGGTGATTGCGAAAAGGAATGCCGAGGCGAGGATTGAAAACATCTGAGGTGGCAGGTTTACCGAGTAGCTGGATGATTCATAGCTTTAGGGAGCAACTCCCGTTTATATACCTTGCCTGGACCGAGAGGACAGGAGACAGTACTGCCTCAGTGACGACATTCTCGTGAATATCACTGGAAAGGGTTGGATTTACACCCATTGACCTTACGAAGGCACATACGGTCCGGGATATACTTCGGAGTCTTCACGGTACTAGAGATGACCCACTCAGTGGATTCGAGGTCATCGGCACCAGTCAAGGCAACCCAATTACTGCTTACTACTCCCTATCAAATGATCCCTTAATGATAGACTTTGCTGGAGATTTTCTGTTCTTGTGATGGCTTCGAAATCACAAGAGGAAAAGAATAGTGAAAATCCCAGTACCCCTATTCAAATAACGTTTTTTACCGCGTGGTTGAACCACTGGGCACGGCCTGAACCGCAATCTCCCCGACTCCCTGGAGAGAACGAATACGATGAATTGCCTTGATTTGGTAATTTGATAGATTTTTCTATGTCCCAGTGGTTCGTGCCTGGTCTTAGCCTTTTTGACCCAAAGTTGCACTTCGCAGGGCTCGGGAGATCTGCACTCCTCATGTCGCATATGGCAAAGCGTGATACGAATGCGAGGATTTACTGTATCGGGTAATTACCGTTGACCCTTCATCACTTTTCATACATCATCTGCCGTATATTCGGGAATTTTGCCCCAACGCTATAATTAGAATCATTCATGACCACTGCTGAGCAAACCCAACGCTCCATCTGCAGAAATCTCCTCTTCGTCCCTGAAGCCCCATATAAAAGCTCGATCCTCAAACCCCCTAGCTAGCTCTGTGCCTAGTAGTACAAACTAGACAACATCCACCTCGATCCCTCTGATACACCTCATCTGACCTCTCGTTGACCACCTAACAAACCACTTCACAATGGCCATACCAGCCCAGAATGCGAGCAAATACAACACCTACGGAGCCATTACCCGCCTCACCCTTCGCATCCTACAATTCACATTCGCCATCGTCGTGGCCGGGATCTACGGCGCCGACCTCGCACATGCAACCAAAAACAACGCCCACGCCCACGCCGAGTGGATATACGCGGAATTCGTGGTGATCGTGTCCGCGCTTACCGCGATTGCATATCTCCTCGCACCCAGGATCCACGGCGCCTGGGCGGTCTGGGATGCTGTAATCGTCGTCCTCTGGGTGGCGCAGGCCGGGGTGTTCGGGACCATTTTCACAGCTGATGTAAACAGTGGATATGAAGAGGCTACGCTCTCGGTGGCTCGGATGAAAGCGGCTGTCTGGATCGATCTGATGAATTTGTTTCTGTGGCTTGCGACGACTATCCTGGGTATTGTGTGGGGTGTGCGAGGGCGTCGGCGTGCAGGTCGGGCTCACAAGGGCCGTGAAGGGAGGGAGGACGAAGAACCTGTGCTGAAGGATGGTGGTGATATGGAGAAGGGATTGGTAGATGCGGAGGACAACGACTGGTCGGATTGGATGGATGAGAAGAGCAGTCCGGGCGACGAGAAAGGGGAGAAATCTGATATCGGGGGGGAGGCGAAGCGTTCGTTGGGATTCTCGCAAGGACCAGCCATTGCTCCAGAGAATCAAGAATCTAAAGACCGGCAATAGCTCAGGAAGGATAATTAAATCTTAGAATCCAAAAACCAAGAACCATTCTAATATATCACAATACCTCCATCCACCTTGAGCGCTCCACCCGTCCCGAACCTGTACAACAGAGGAACTGTTTCTGGCTATTCGAAGGGACCTGATACTGCTACCCCTTTTTGGATGCTGCTTGGCAACCAGATTCACTCCTTACATAATTGCTTAAGTACTTTCTCGGCGAGAGCCTGTCTTTCGGCGTGCGGCTGGGGCTATTCTTCGTTGACTGAAATGGTGATGGGCCAACTGCCCCAGATGGCAGCGGGAAAGTGGACGCCGGGGTGGTTCTGGCCTGCATTGGCTTTTGGGAGAATTGCGTATGTGTTTAGTGACACGCGGAATCCACTGGCTAAGATGCAAACTATTTTCTAGACGATCATTGACCATGATGGAATCGTCGTTTGTTCGTTACATGAGCTTTTATGTACAAAAGGTCAAAATGCAGAAGAAAAAGAATGAAAGGGAATTAACTCCACACGCCCTACCCAGCAGCCTGGAGAATGATCTATAGCCAAAGCCCAAAGAAAGCATATACAAAAGAAATCAAAACAAAGAACGTGTCCCCTTTCCAGTCTATCCTTCAATGCCTTTCCTGCGCCATATAACCCGTCAGCGGCACATCCGCGGACTGCGTCTCCCCTTCCAACGGCCCATACATTTCATTCGCCTTATTCATATTCCTCAACCTCTTAATCAACAACCCCGGATGCCAAACAATCAACACCGCCATCGAGATAAACATCATCACGGCATCAAAGATATAGATATAGATCTCCTTCTTCCCAAGATCCGACCCCGACGCGCCGAACTCAATGGTCCTGACCAAGTTCCTAATCATCAGCGCCAGACACGAGATGTAGATCGCCCACATATACCGCTCCCAGTGCAAGCCACCATTCTGATACGCGACAGGCGTGGGGTCGCGCTTCAGGCGACGATGAAACTGAAACGCCACCCACACGAAGACCGCGAAGACGACGAGCGCAAACACCAAACCCACCAGGACCACCTTGACACCGATGGACATGATGTGCGCGTCGCCTGTGACCTGGACGCCGGCACCGAAGATCTGCGTCAGGAAGCACAGCACGTCGTTCGTCACGAAGATGAAGGTGAGCCATTTAGTGCGGATGCTGGAGTGGTGCTCGGCGTTGCAGGCGCGGATGATCCGGCCCAGGATCATGTAGATGGTTGCGGCGACGAGGGGCGGAGCGCACATGATGAGCATTTGCTGCAGTGCCCATGAGCTGATTAGGGTTCGGTTGTTATGCGACCAGGCGCGGCCGTAGTAGCTGAATGTTTCGCCTATGGAAAAGAGAGAGGAGTCAGCGAGGGCTATGTGGGGTGAGGAAGCGGGTGCAATGCTACAGAGTGGGAAATGTGGAGGAGAGACTTACAAACTCCGCCTAGTAGCATGGGAATGAAGTATGCGGCGCGGTAGGGGAACATGAGCACGAGGTGGGCAATGGTTGCGATGCCAAAGATCACGACAAAGGCGTATCCGGCTGGCTTGGATGGGTTGTAGGGGTAGAATTCGACCCAGGGATCTGAGCCGTTCTGGCCGGGGTGGAATTCGAAATCCATGATTTTGGGAATCAGAGCGTAGCAGAGAGGGAGATCAAACAGAGAGTTAAAATTGAACTATCCACCAGGAATCCATCCCGACTTATATGCCAACGTAGACCATCAAGACGTCCATGGTGGTTTCTGCATACGACGATATTACCGAATCGGGTAATTCGTGAACGAGTACGAGTGGGTCGGCCAGATAAAGCTTAACCCGGGCAGCGATCAACGGTGGACTGGCCCTAATTTTAGCCTCGAGTTTCATGAATATCGGTGGATCTGCGATATGTGTTGACCAATGCATTTGGCCGAGGCCCTCTAGTGATTAGGTCTGTGCCGCATGGATGTCGCATTTTAGATCCCTGGAGTGACATGAAACCGTCCTGATGTGGATGCCTTCCGACATGCGCGGCTTTTTCCTTTCTGCGATGCTCAGAGTTTTCATTGTTGCCTCAGTGGGCCAATCTCTAGCGGGGAGTGTTGTGTATGCTTGCCACCGGCCAGTTCCTTATGGTCAGATGCTATACGATTTAAATTTTAAATTCATGGTTTCTATGTTCAGACCCGATTGTCCACCATGTTGTCCATCTGTGGTTCCCATTTGACTAGTCTATATAAGCTTATTCCTAATTATAGATCCCACATGGTATCTCCTGCTGTTGCCCCCTCGGTCATTTATGTCCCGACTCTCATGCCGAAATTCGTCCGACAATGCTCGATGACACTAGCCGGCTACACAATTCATAATCCTCCATGTTTTTCCTGTACATACGGTCTGGTGGACATTGGGTATTCAGAATCGGTATATGACAGGTCAAGAGAAAATACAAGAAGGACGAGCAACCCAGATAATCCCCAAAATCACGCCCCACAAATCGTCCTCACAGGCCACTCAATCCACTGATGATAATCTACCCTCAAAGAATTTCGAATCCCCGAAATAACATGCACATCCCATCCCTCCATAAACCACGTCGGCGTCATATACTTCAACATCACACTCCAATAAGCTAGTATAACCAACGCAAAAGAGTCTTTATCCTCCAATCGCTGCACAAAGGTATCCGGGAGTCGGTAGATCCATCCGATGACCGCAGGCATCAGACATGCTCCATCACCCTTGATGCTGCGGACATTGTGCATTTCTTCAAAGGAAACCATAAGCTTCTCCATCCCCGAAACGTAGAGCTCCCTTTCAGACTCGGGAACAGATTCCTCGAGGAACTGGCGCGCAGCAGCGAGATGAACTTTCTGCTCGAGCAATTCCGTTTCCAGCGCCGGAGTCATCTTCGGCTTTTCTTGTTCCCCGGGATCCAAAATTCCAGAGAAAACCTCCTGGGGTTTGGAAAACAGGATGAACCGAACGCCTCGCATCAGGACGAGCCATTCCGATTGCCCGGTCTCGCTGAACACGAGGTATTCGCCGCGGCGGGGCCCGCGGGCAAAATAGATAAAGCAAATAAGCACAGCGGATAGATAGACCATCTGGCAGTTGTCGGAGTCGAGCTTCGACAGGATATTGGTGACGGATCGAACACCGAACGTGAAGTGGCTATCCGCCTTCGCCACGTACTCGTCCCGGCGGTCGGGATTCTCATGGGCCAGGTGCAACGCCGCAATGGCGAGATTAAGATGGTGAATGGAGGGGAAGGAAATCCCCCAGCGTGGTACATGGACCTGCCATATCGCTCTGTGCTTTTCTGTTACATCTCCGAAGGTGATATAAGTTGCGGTGATGAACTGATGGAAGAGTTCTAAATCGGCGAACGAGATTCCGCCGCTTGCGTGATGGCTTGCGGACAGATCACATTGGACCCCAGTGGATGTGGAGTCTGGTGACTGATTGCTATCGGATGGTGATGGCACTGCCAGGGGCTGATACTTAGACTGTTTGAAACGATATCGTCGGGTGGGAGGTGAGGATGCTGCTGAACCCTGAGATGGAAGTACAGGAGGGCTCGAGAAGTCACATTCAATTGAATGCTGCGAGCAGTTGGTGCAGATAGGTTTCTTCTCGTCGCACTGGAACGTGTCAGTATCGTATCCGGAGATATCCTGTTCCAATAGATCGTATTGATCCGAAGATAGGCAAAGAGCAGAGCAGAAAAGACTGAGAATCCGTTCCATTGCGGGGAGATATATCTCGGAAGGAGGTTGCAGGAGGGCCAAAAGTACAGGTAATAAGGGGAAATAGATGGCAGCGTAAGGAGACTCACCTTCACACGCCGCTTCTTACAGTTCCTACATCCTAAGCGAGATTTCTGATGTGATCGCCTGGAGCGAATCTTGTTCTGCAGGTCAGCGTCCATGTCGGGGCGATGCGGAAGATGCAGTCGTATTCGTTTTCTTTTGCCTGCCTTGGGCCCAGATTTCTCCGCCGGCTTTGTCAGCGCCCCCCACGTGGGGGCGGCCTGAGGCAGCAGTCCGGTTGCAGGTGGCGAGCTCATGACGACGTTGACCGAATTCTCCGGAGTGAAGAAGATGTGAAACTAAATAACTGGCAGGAAAATAGGGGTGTGCCACTGTGTGTACCTTGTGTAGTCAACAATGTGTGATAGTGCCTCGACGATCGGCCATTCGGCCTTGTATGAAATTGCTGCATGTCCTAAAATTAGTGTCTAGGCCCCAAGATTTCTACTGAGGGGTTTGAGATTAATTAGCCGTGCCGTGGGTATGTTTTAAGAGGGTCATATCATGGCAGTATGGAGTCTTTTGCATTGGCCCGGCAAAGTCCAAGACGGAAGCGCCGACACGATAGTACCAGTGTAAAATGTCCTCGTTCACGCAATGTTGAGGTATCCCATGATCACCTCACCGTGGAAAGCTATCCCAAGCCGATCTTGCCATGAAGTAATGGATAAGTGGGATGAAAAGGGTCCTGAAGTTATGGTGGCCATCTCTAATGAACTTCTGGCTAAGCTGGCGATATTTGATGCCTAATTTATCAGGGCGAAACCCAAATCCGGCTTAGTCAAGGGTATTGAGCACTAGCCCATATCCGGTTAGCCTTCATTGACCGACTGATCCCTTGTTGCGGGTCCTCTTTTTCCCCATTCCACTGTTCATCCTAACCAAGCATGATATGCATTTGAACCAACCGGCTAACTAGTCGCTTGAATGGTCTCATCTCTGCCCGTATTCTTTGCGTGAGCTTGCCCTACTGGCTGAGTAGATTGATCCATCATGTCGGTGACTGTCTACTCTGAAATTGTTGATTTTGATACACTGATTCCCAAAGTCGAACCTATTGAACGCGAAAGTATGTTGCTTTACTACCTGATATCCTGCTGTTGGACTAACATCTCACTAAAGACAAGGACGTGGAACGACTAATCCCTTGGATATTCAAGGATCAACCAATCGCAAAGCATACGTGCATCCGGGGCTGGCCGAGAGAAGAGTATGAATTTCGGGAGTTCTTTCATAGGATCATCGGTTTCTATTACGACTTAGACGAACAGAGTATATCGGCGACTCTAGACTTTTTGAGGCCGCACGAGACAGTCACATTACCGAGGAAAAATTGGGAAGGTCCGGGTAGAAATCAATGCTCATTCCAATTTTAGGGTATGATGCTAAAGAACTTGATGGAGACTATATGTTATAACCTTGAGGATACTTTTGACTCATGCCCTGAACTTGAGTAAGTTTCTATCCTCATATTTTCCCCCAAAGTCTCCATTCTAATTATTCACGAAGTTTCCCGGTATTGGGGTCTAAGCAGAAGTATTTTATCGGTGGTGAGCGATATTCTGCGAAGGCCGAGGGTACAATCACTATCAGATCTCAAGGCCATATTGTCCCCGTAGTCTCCTATGTTGCTGTATGATTTTTATGCACCCCATTTTATCGATGAAAAATTCGCTGACGTTTCTAAGTGACCGGAAGGACAGAGCTCAGGTGGCCTTTTGGCTGAGAACCTTAGTATTATGTTGGGTCAGCTTGCCAGAAATATTGCCTTGGACCCTCAGGACCAAGAGGTATTTGTCATTGGTCTTTGTGGGCCTCGTGTCTATATTGCCCATAGTCTATTCACCACTAGCCAGATTTCCAGGGTACATTCCAAGGGCTTTTCAGAGGACGAGACTTGCAAGGTGAGATTTACAAGGGGCTATGATTTGTGTTTGAGAGAAGATTGGATTGAGGCTATGCGTGCTCTCTCGAGGTTATTTCGATATCTCTTGAGTGGGAAAGCGAAGGTTGGTGCTATACAAGCGAATCCGTCCTAAATTTAGTTTCTTCGGAAAACCGGGGGGAATATCGAAATTGGGGCTCAGTTATGTGGGTGAAGAATCCATCATCTCAAAATACTGCCCAAACACCCCGACACTCCATTCGCAAGCCGTACCAGAGGTCGGCATTTCCGCCACCTCATCACTCGTCACAGGTTCAGGAGTATGGATTCCCACAGTTACGGCCGCAGAAGTCGCCATCTCCCACATACGAGTGAGGTGCTCAGAGCTTTCAAAATCAAGAACCCCCGCATCTTGATCATTCGAGACCGGTGTTGGCATTATGGCTTCTGGGCTGTCTCGCATGGCCAACCCCTGGTTGTAAAGCTGCTCGATTTTTCCCCATCGCCCAGACCCATTCATCTGGTTATGCTGCTTCCAATAGCTGTATGCTTCTTCGACGATTTCCCACGCGGAGTAGTCCGGAGTATCGGATAGAGTCAGGCACAAATCCAACAAGAGACAAGCAAGCGCTTCCCATTCGACGTATGTCTTGAATAACCATAACCACTGCTTTCCACTTTCATATCCTCGGAGTGCCTGCGCATGCTGCAAAACGTCCACGCATATTCCTCGGAAGTTACCCGGCATTGCGATGTCTTTTTGTCTGATCCCTGCGCGAGGTTTCGTGACGGCTAGTTTGAAACGAACAAGGATAAGTCGAGTGGAGGCGATCGTTACAAAGTCAAGGGGAACTGTACTGTCGCAGCACGACAGATATTTGTTTTCAATGCCCGCGCGGAACTCATCAATCAGTTTGCACTTTTCGAGCGGCGACAATATTTTGTATCCATTGTCACGACAAAACTGATCGGAAAAGACTATCCGACGGCCAAAATAGCTCACTTCGAATCTGATCAGACTAAACAGCAGTTCCGTCTTACCGGTCTGAGGCTGGGGAACCTTTTTCATGACTGGGTCGAGACTCGCGTCGCTCACGTTCGTAGGCATCTTGGTATCGAAGTGTGACTCCAAAATGCGCGGAGTCGACCCGTTGCTTTCGGCAGCTCGAGTGTCGAGAATACATATGTGCCACCACAGGCGACGTCGCATTTCGACTTCGAACGGTGCGATTCCTTGACTCTCCCCGTCATGATGAAGACCCGTTTTTACAGCCATTCCGATGGCAAGATCCATTAGCTTTCGCATGTTTGTACTTGATTTATCTCCTTCGCCACAGATCTGAATTGTCAGATTGGTCTTGACATGCGGAATTGATTATAACCTACTAGGTATATGACAAGCGCCTGCAAAACAGACAGGCCCTGCGTGTTGACAAAATCGGCCTTTAAAAGAGCTTTTTCGACACCTGTTCGGTATCTTTTATCGTTAGCTTAATACTAATATGGTAAACCATAGGTGAATACCTATTCAGCAGTTCTTCTTTGTCTTCCTCAAGTTCCTCTTGGCACCCCACCGCATCCATTGTCAAAATGGCAGAGTAGTAGATTGCAAACATCAAGCATTCGTCCGGGTAGCCATTATTCCTGCGCCCTCGAACCAGATTCATCACCTGCCTCTGGAGAGTAGGGGCATGGAATATTTTGATCAGTGGATCTACATTTTCCAAATACTTCTGCCAGAGAAACGACACAGTCACTGGGGAGGGACGCAAAGTTTCTAGACGTGGTACTGGATCTGATTTGAATAAGGAGCGCAGTTGAGTATCTCCTTCGGCGGAATTCGGGAGCACAATGTCCTTAGACGATTTTTCATTTACAAAGTCATTGGGCTGTGTTGCATTATGCTCGCAGTTCTATGATGCTATGAGCAGAGTTCATTCACGGGGTGTACTCTCACAACAACCTCTTGATTCAAGTCTTCTGAAAGACCCAGACTTATATGATGCGTGGTATCTTCATCAGGCGGGATATTGGGCTGATCGTTCTCCTCGCCATTTTCGCTGGACAAGTTGTCAGAACGATGCACATTCGCCAACAGCAGCTCCCTGATCTGCGAGAAATCTCGTCCTAAAGCCTCCAAAGCCCCTTCGATCCTGTCGACGCGTGCTTCGAGACTACTTTCGGACCTTCTTGAGCTCGGACTGCGTGATTGCGTCCGCTCCGCTCTCCGCGGTGGATAGGAGCATTGCACACGAACCTTGACGCAATAAGCACACGGGAACGATCGATCGCACTTGATCTTTCTCCGACGGCATTCGAGGCACGATCGGCCCGATGCGATTGCTCTCCGAGGCATTTATTATTAATACAGTCTGTGGAGTTGGAAATCCAAGGGGCGCTGTGGTTCGGCGTGGTGCTGTGATGTGGTGAAATAGTATTAGGATCGGGATGGGTGAGACGATGGTGGATGAGTCGATCCAACAAAGCCCCACAAATATAGTGCGTAAGTCTGTCGGCGTTTACATTGATTGGCTGGAGCGGAGAGCGGAGGGAAAGTCCGTATTTCTAATAAGAAACCTAAGTTGGTGATTTAGTGTATTTGTTAGTTGGGGGCCGTAGCCCAGCATAATGATACGAAGTATATGGCTTCTATGAGATGATCGGGATGAGCTGGAAGGCATAAATGAGGACCATTTCCCCTGAGTTGGATTCTCAAGAGCAAACAGAAAAGCATCGCATCTACCTTTCCAATCTAGATTGATCATTTCAAAGTCCAACCTTTCCAACAGCACCAAAATGTCCCCCGCGTACAAGAACATTGCCATCGTTGGTGTACGTGAAAACAGCTTATCCATCCACCATTTAACATCCTAACATTCCCTAGGCCAGCGGCAGCATCGGGAAGATCATCCTCAACGGCCTGATTGAATCCTCGCAGTTCTCTATCACCGCCATCACCCGCAAGGAGAGCGAGGCTACCTTCCCTGCCGGAGTCACCATCCACAAGACCGACCTTTCAGAGTCCGACCTCGAAGATGCGTTCAAGGGCAAGGACGCCGTTATTTCCACCGTCGGAGCTGCAGGGTTCGCTGAGCAGCAGAAGCTCGTCGATGCCGCTCTTCGCGCCGGAGTCAAGCGCTTCATCCCCTCTGAGTTCTCGGCTAATAACCAGAATGAGAACGTTCTGAAGCTATTGCCTCTTTTCGGCCAGAAGACGGAGCTACTCAAGTACCTGAAGACCAAGGAGTCTGAAGGACTTACCTGGACCGGTATTGTGCCGTCGCTACTGTTTGATTGGGTATGCATTCGGCACTGCTTTCCTGGGCCTCAAAATTAAAGCTAATAACATCGCATACAGGGTCTGGAGAACGGCTTCCTCGGCTTCGACATTCCCAACCGCAAGGCTACGATCTGGGATGGCGGAAACAAGAAATTCACCCTTACCAACGAAAAGCAGCTCGCACAAGCTGTAGTGTCCACACTCCAACGTCCCGAGGCGACCAAGAACCAGTACCTGGTTATTGCTTCGGTGGAGACTAGCCACAAGGAGATACTCGCCGCTTTGGAGGAGGCGACTGCTGCCAAGTGGGAGGTTACAATGACAACCACAGAAGAGCAGGTAAATGATGGTCTGCAAAAGGTTGGAGCCGGTGATTTCAGTGGCGCATTTGCCTTGGTCCGGGCTATTTGCTTTGGTAGCATTCCTGGCTTGAATGCGAACTATGTCAAGGATGAGAAGCTTGGAAATTATGTGTTAGGACTAGATTTGGAGAGTGTCGAGGAGACTGTGAAGCGCGTTATGAAATACTAAATCTCCAATCCGTTAGAGGATTAATTGGATTGGCAAGTCATAGTTCTGGCTTATTTCACTGCTTTCAATGGTCTTTGATATATTTTCATATTCTCCCAACCGATTATAACAGGCGAACTATCCCCCAACAATGCGACAATATTCTCAAGCAGGGATCCCCCTATGCCCTAACTATTGGAATGGTTGTGCTGGTGCATCTATCTAGTCCACGCCCTCCAAGAAGAGACTTCAGAAACGCCATAGCCCCCGGGATCCCTGCCACCATAGCATCCCGGTGTGTTCCATTCTCTACCCTCACATACGTAATGTTTGTTCCTCCAGCACAATAGCTTTTGACCAACGCATCGGTATCCTCAATAGGAGGTGCAATCTCATCATTAGTCCCCTTCCAAATATAAAGTGGACAGATCGGAGTGCCGTGAGACCCCATCGTCCCAAATGTATTCAGCAGTGTCGCATGATCATACACAATTCGATCGCCATTATCAAAATATGCGGACATTCTGGGCTCCCAACACGGAGACATCTGCCCCAGCCCCCCTCTTGACCCTCGACTACACTGATACTTCGTCGAGTAAAACTGCCCAGCGCGCTCAGGCAGCAAATGACGGTCCAAATAGCTCCCGAAGCACGGGAACGTATTCGCAATGCCATTGAACGCGGCCGAGATAAGCCCCGCGCTTGGTGTTCCGTTAATCGCAAAGAACGTCTTGGTGATGTTAGTCGGTAAGCCGCCGATCGCCGCGCCAGAGATTTGGACGTCCGGAGCGTAGACGGCGTGTAGCTCGGTAGCCCATTCAGTCGCCAATGCTCCACCCGAGTATCCAAGCATTGCAGCCTTTGTGGCCGAAGACGCCCCGACAATTGAGCCTGATCTCTGTACCGCACGCAGAGAGTCCAAAACCGCGTATCCTGACTGAGTGCCGACGGTAAACGAGGCGTTCACGCCCTCATAGTCCGGTATGCTGATCGGTATTCCCTGCGATAGAAACGTTTGGATTAATGTACTGAAGTCGCCGAAGATCCCGTATGGATTTGCGGGGACACCGTCCTGGGCCCAATAGGACGGCGAGCAGTTGCTGTCAGGAGAGTCATAGGCGACCTGGAAGGAAAGAAAATGACGGTCGGTTGCGTTTTTGGGGATTAGGACGGTGGTCACGGCGTAGCTCGGACATCCGTGTGCATCGCTTGTACGGTATAAGTGTTGATGCGCGGATTGAACTATTGATAGGTCTATGATTGTGGAAGTTAGGTTCACAGCCCGGGACTTGATTATTTTGCCTGGTGGTGACGACTCCCAGGATGAGTTGTCGGGCTTGTAGAATGGGTCTTGGGTTGGAAGAAGAGGTGGACTGTGCTGGTTTGGCGTGTTCGTTGAGGAAGGGTTGATGGCGAGCAGCTGACCTGCCACGATCAAGAGTACCGAGGCAATATGCAGCATTGTTTCGAGGCGCTTGTGACAGCCAAAGCTGGCCTATAGTCTGACGATATATTGCGCGGTTGGGGTTCGAGCAATTCTGGGCCAGCTCTTCGACCAGATACCTTTGAATTGCAGACCAAGTTAGGACCGACGCATTTAGTTATAGAAAGCCTTCGAATGCATTCCCTCTTGATGTATTGTGCCTAGGCAGGTAGAAACGAGGTGCAAACCCTTATACTAAATAGGCAATAGCGACCTGAGTGGCTTATCCGTAAACACTGATAAATCATAGTTTGCATGAAACACACGGCTATCCCATGCTGTTATATCAACTGACAGTCCGTGGCCGATGCAGGTGACGATGGGCGATACATGTGATACGTGTAACCCTAACTTGCCAAATGACCCGATTGCTTCTGATCATCCAGTCTACTATATCACCTGTGCATGACCTTGAGGTGAGATTTTAGTATCAGGCCCCTGGCCCCTGGTCACAAAAATTCATTAAAAACCACACTATTTCTTTTCAAGATTATTGAATTAAAAATGCTAATAGCCGTGGCTCATTGGAGATGACAGTACTGATCTGATTTGTGCTTCTGGCTAATTGTTAAGGTTTGATGAGAAGTGATGTTCGCAGATGTAGACACAGCAATCATGTACGGAGCTTGACATAGGTCTATCTGAGACACCGCCATTTCGTCTGGCTTCTGCCCCACAAATGTACTCGAGGCTCGGGAGCACATCTAGGCATGATTGGAGCGACAATTGGAATATTGGGGAGAATATGTCTCGCAATCACAGGGCCAATTGTAACACACCTCGGGGGTTTTCTGCGGTAAGATAGACATTGAACAATGTGAATAGATGCCAAAACGGCTCTCAAGCCATATCTTAATCGAAGTTACGTCTTTGCTCCAGATGCTGCTTGATATGAGTAAACGAATAAACAAGACTGCCCTCGACCAAATGTTGAGCCAGATCGTATCGAGAAAGAAATACCACTTTTGGCGTTGTTCTTGACGTGTTTTGCGATGTTTGTATTTAACGGTATGGCCAATTAGTAGATTTTCATAGTTGCTCAAATTCTATCGCATTAGATCTATGGCGCAATGAGATTAAGAGACGGACTAGCATTCTGCGTGTTCCAAGCCATGGGCAACGCGAGTTGGGGTTTAATCGAAACTCCATCGTTATTTCTATAGACATCATCGAAAACCGGTATCTCTATTGAACTAAGTTTAGACCACATGGTCCGGTACACTCGAATTATTGGGACGAAGTCATGGCGACACAGGGTGTTTGGAGAAACTGCTCGGATTCCATCATCTGATCGAGTTCGAGGAACAGCGAGCGTTGATAATGCAGCCACTGCAAGGATACTGCTGGATAATAAATAGCTTGCTGGAATCCTTTACTGGGTTTAAGGTTTCATTCCTATGTTACAGTGCAACTGATACAATTCTCATGAGGCAGTTCACCCCGCCGCTAGTTGGATTTAAATTGCGCCGGCTGGATAGGTCGCACAAGAAACCGTTGGTTCATCCAAACTGCCAACCATAATTGGACTGTACTGCAGATTGCTCAAAGGAATTGTCCCTAGACCCCATTCGCATCTGATCCAAGGCGCTGTGAGTGGTCTGAACCGGTGGTCAGCATTTCATACTCGTGCCTTTCATGCTCCCGCGGATAAAGATTGGAAGCGACGTATTGAAGGAGGGCCGCAGCAACTATAACATATCAAAAATCATTTAGATACTATTAGAAGGATCATCAACTCACATAAAAATATGAAAAATGAGCAGCTGCATATTCCTGCAAGATACGCCAGTGGCGAGAGGCCAAGCTTTTCAACCATATTGGAGTTTGCAAGAACATTTAACACCTTATCAACACCTAATCCCATTAAGCTATATCTAAATTCTTCATGAATCCTTTTTACTATCAAGTTCTACTAATAATATACAATCATAAGTTAACCCAACAAAAGCTAAATAAACACTAATATAAGATGTCTCTGTAAATTATATAATTTTTATTAACTAAACTAAATACTGATCGAGAAAGCTATTATAAGCATTAAAATATAAAAAATAAATTTTGAAAAATGAAGATAGCTTATTATCCTTCCCACAGATATGTTCCTAGTTAAAAAACTAATATTATAGCAGTAGCAATACTTAATAGCTAGATATAGTCATCAAATTCGGGCGCTCGGAGAGAATGCCGTGGCCAAAGGCCCGTGGCTGAGGATACCCAAAAGCACCCTTTTCCCATGAGGAAAGCAGATAGGCAAGAATGTGCAAGTGTGCTGGGGTAGTCATTGGAAAGTCCAAGACTCTCTAGGGATCCTGCCGTTATCTGAACCCAGGCAGGGACAAGGATAGCGACACTAGACGCCTTACATATACGGGTTATGTATCGCCGATGGGACTTTCTGAGGTAATGGTCCACAGTCTGTTCACTTATGTAGGCAATGAAATGTAAGCCAAGTAGAATCGACAAGATTATTTTGAGGGCTAGATAACCCGTGAAAGCGTTTTGATGGATCCATAGGCTGCTTAATCAAGTAGTAATTCCAATTGCTTGGACTGAAGTTGCCCATCTCGAACGTGTAGTCTTTGATGGTCAGTCGAATAGATCAAGAACAGAGGAAAATTTACAGCGTCAGATATACTAACATCAAGAACAAATGCAATTGGTATGAGAACCCCGAGGGAGAGTATTTGTAGGAAAATTGAATCCCATGCCGTTTGGGGCTGCTAGAATTAGGCTGGAGACAAGAGAGCTGGAAATCGTCCCATAGGAGAGTCTACCATTATAATAAACGCAGCAGCAAACAAGTAAGGATGAAGTGTGAGAAAAGTCCAACGCTTTCCGGAAATGACGTCTATGTTCGTTCAAGTCTACAATGTGCTACTTCTGCAATGGGGTAGACATTACGCAAGGGATGATCTATTGCATGTAATGTGATCTGTTCTAAAGCCACGCTCCATTTCCATCCTCCATTAGGAATTCTGGCTGTCATTATTCATGATTTACCTTTCATATGCAAATATAGTCCTTAATTCCGCCCTACGCAGGGAACGGGGTGAAAGTGCGGTGTACCTCACTTATAAACCTTCTTTAACAACTGATCTATTCTCACTTTTAATATTATTTCACAAGGAAAACTACAACGCTAGCCAAACCATAAAGCAAAGGAGGGGTCATCTAGCTTGTGAAACACAACATAACTTAAAGTCACCATAAGAGTGGTAACTAGGGGCGATGTGATCATCCGAGTAAAATGGCACCTCATATCACCTTGCAGCTTGCAATGTTGGCTTGCCCGCCCCTTGCTTGCATTATGTGTATGCCACAGCTGTTCTTATTGTCCCATATGGCTAGAGGTGAGTATATTAGAAAGTCTCTGCCTTTTTTAAAAAAAAAGAGAAAGAAAAGAAAAGAAAAGAAACGCAGACAAGGAAGACGAAAAAGAAGGAAGGGAAAAAAAGAAAGTTAAATGGGAAATGGCTATCACAAATAAGATAATTACTATGTTAATGCTATCTAATCAGTATTCACGCCGCATAAACCTGACCTAGCTATGAATCTCGCGACTTGGACCTGTAAGATTCTTTTAGCCTTTGTCGGCACCTGGTGGTTGCCTTTTTATCAGGCTCGATAAGTGTCAATTCAACACTCTACAGGAACCATAACCGAGTACCTATTGCATTTCTAATGCAAGTGATACATCTCGCATCCTGACGCAGCTGGGACGGTCCCCTAGAGTAAGTGAACGACCAAGGGGTCAAACCGTCAATGCCAGCAACGGCATGGCAATCGCAAAGCAGGTAAGGTAAAATAGCAAAATTAGAGGCCATCGGTAATGAAAGAAAAGATTGTATACGTATTTTCGAGCACGGAGCCGACCGAGAAGGTAGCGGTTATCTGCTCTCCAGTCTATACTCCGCATGGCACTTTATATGGCGGGTCGGATGTTGGTCTTTCTGGCGGTGTAGTAGGAAGAGACCATCCACTCCCCCGCCTACAGGGTCCTACCTTTTAGGACCAGGACCGGACTACGGTAAGACCGAATGATAAAGCACTCGAGGAACCAATAGCTAATTATCCTGAACTTTGAACCTCCCATGAATCCACTCGGTAGGATCTCCCAGCATTTATCCAGCTGTATCCGGCCACATCCGGAGTACGAAGCAACCACTTAAATGCACGAGCTGCTCTCAGGCGCTGCGAGATGTTGGCTTTATTCTGTAGTATTGAAACAAACTTCTCCAGGAACCACAGAATCCCCACTTAGTGGACGATAGTACCTAACCTGCAGATCCACTTCGTTTCGGATAATCTGCTCCGTTATGGGGAACTACAACCACGAAATAGCATAAGGGTGTCTCATTCGACAATCATGCATATAACTCTTCCCCGGCCCCCAACTGCTACAATGTAAATGCAACATTGTGCTCCTGGGCTGCAAACTGCTCTCTCTCACCAGGTCCACATATCATTATATAAGGAGCTTGAGATCCCCCTTTCCAGCACTGAGATATTCTCCGACAACAGCACAAGAGATCATCGTACCCGCTACCTTGAGATAATCCTCCACTTGCATGTTTGTTTTCCAGCTTGGCATCCATCCCTTGATCCGTCGGACCTAACCTTGTACCAGATTTGCCAAAACGCCCACCCCAACAAACAAACTCAAAATGCGTCTCGCCGTCCTTGTTCTTTCTTTCATCGCTGCCACCGCTACGGCTTGCACTCCCTCCGGCCAGCCCTGCGACACTCAGACGCCATGCTGCTCGAAGGTCTGCATGACGAAGAACGAGCCCGGCTCTGAGAACCCCAACGGCACTTGCTCTTAGAGGAAACTATTGCGAGAAAAGCCGAACAAGGTGAATATCATCGATAACTTTTTTTAAGAAAGGAAATGGTGACTGTTTGATGGATTCTGGAGGTACCAATGGTAGCAGGGGTGTCGATGCTCATGTATATAAATATAAAAGAACTACTTCATAGACCTGAAGAAACTGAAGATCATTTTCACAGATCCGACGTTGCAGCATATTTTGTAGATCGAGAAAACCTCGGTCTAGTTGCCGCAATGATTGGCGCTAATCATTGGCCTTAGCCGTCAGGCATCAAACAGTCTATGCAGGCGGCCATTTGCTGTTCTAAAGACCTACTACCCCTGATCTACTCCAATTCTGATCAGCGATCAGTTAAACCGTTAATTGAGTCAGAAGGATTGATGTTTTGTCGGCAGATCGTCTAAACTTGTGCATTTCAGTGTTGAATATTGCAAGTAGCTACTAGGAGGTACCGGGGGTGACAAAATATATATCCTGCACTTCAGTAACGCGGTAATCCACAGGCACTAGTAGTACCAGCATTGAACATAAAATTTCTTAAAAATGGCAAAGAGCCTCGTTGATCGAAAATGTTCGTTATTCCATTTTGAAAGCGTTGCTGATAGCCGTGATCCGTCTTCAGCTGAGGTCTATTTCTCCCGCATTATCAAACTGACAATATGGATGTCAGACAGCACCGTCATAAGGGAGTACTTGGCAGATTAAAAAGTCCGAACCCCTTGTCAAGTATAATGTAATATTTTCTAGTGCTTATGACAAGGCGTCGAGACAATAGGTGGGAAAAGCCAGGATCCGGGTGGTGTGCTGATGCCGCCCGCGGAGACCGCGGAGACCGTGGTGGCCGCGCCAAGCCTCCGTTGTATAAGAAGGCAAGAGCGTTGCTTACCCCTATGTCCTAGACATCTCAGCTCCAGCATCATTTTTCTTTCGACGTGTTATTTTAAAAGGTATTTTCCTCTCGTTGAAGACCATTGCAGATTAAAACCGCGGACAAGGCCAAGCAGCGTCAGCGTCGTTGTGCCCAACAAGCGGAGAACAGCATGGCTCGAAGTCAGACAACGACGGCGCGCTCGGATTCCAGTGCAAAAAGCAAACCCACTGGAACTCTCGAAGACTTCGCAAATGAGCACATCATCGGGGGTTGGAGACCAGGAATGGACCCGAAGGTCGACTACTCGGGTCATTTCGAGTTCGGCGGTTCCTTGGGAAACCTGGGATTGATGATCGGATTCCCCCTGCTGATGTACTATATGTGGATTGGAGCTACATTCTACGATGGAAAGCTGCCACTACCAGAAGCCGGTCAGTCTTGGATTGACTTCACCGGAGATTTAGTCAATGTGGCCTACAACCATGCGCTCCCCCATATGCGTGCATGGAAGATCTACTGGGTCTACTATATCTTTGAAGCGGCCTGCTACATCCTCATGCCCGGGTTCACCTGTTACGGAAAGCCTCTTGCCAATGAGGGCGGCAAACAGCTGAAGTACCACTGTTCAGCCTATACCAGCTTCTACCTCACCATTGTCGTGATGGCGGTGCTGCACGGTACCGGTCTCTTCCCCATCTACACCTTCCTCGATGAATTCGGCCCCATCATGTCCGTCGCAATCCTTTCCGGATTTATCCTCAGCTTCGTCGCGTACTTTTCCGCCTTCGCCCGTGGCGCGGAACACCGCATAACCGGTTACCCGATCTACGATTTCTTTATGGGTGCCGAGCTTAACCCGCGACTGTTCGGCATTCTCGACTTCAAAATGTTCTACGAAGTGCGTATTCCATGGTTCATCATGTTTGGGCTCAGCAGCGCCGCTGCAGCGCGCCAATACGAACAATACGGCTACGTCTCCGGCGAGGTTCTCTTCCTTGTCATGGCACACTTCTTGTACGCGAACGCCTGCGCAAAGGCCGAGCACCTGATCACAACAACCTGGGACATGTATCAGGAAAAGCTCGGCTTCATGCTCACCTTCTGGAACATGGCCGGCGTGCCTATGTCGTATTGCCATTGTGTCTTGTACCTCGCGAATCGGGATCCTGCCACCTACGCGTGGAGCAAGCCTGCCTTGGCGGCTCTCTTCATCTCATACCTTGGTGTCTACTATGTCTGGGACACAGCAAACAGTCAGAAGAACTCGTTCAGAATGATGGAGCGTGGCACGTTCGTCAAACGCAAGACCTTCCCGCAGCTTCCTTGGCAGGAAGTGCACAACCCGCGAACCATCCCTACCAAGACCGGCGATGCGATTCTGGCAGATGGGTGGTATGGTTTGGCGCGCAAGGTGCACTATACATGTGACATGTTCTTTTCGCTGTCGTGGGCGCTCATCACGGGATTCGAGAGCCCGTTTCCGTGGTTCTACCCGGTGTTCTTTGTTGTGATGATCGCGCACCGGGCCAGGAGGGATATCAATAAATGCAAGAGGAAGTATGGGGATGCCTGGGTGCAATATGAGAAGCAGGTGCCGTATCTCTTCATTCCGGTAAGTTTGACAGCCCCCGAGATAGAGCAGAGAATGATGGCTAACTGGTTCGTAGTATGTTATTTAACCCAGAGGATTGGAATTCTGGACATGGGCGCAGAGAGGGAATGCTGAGCATTTCGTGAAAGGATTGTGCCCGTTTTGGGTTGATAAGTATTCGTGTACATTATGTGTATAACATAAGATCTCTTCAAGTAGTTTATCATGAATTGAATTTATTAGGCTAACCAAGAAAGGAGATATGTCTCTCATATAAGAATTATCAAAGTTTATCTCCTTAACAAACAGTGAACTTTTGAAACTTTTCTTATTTCAAAGAAATACTTCTAGACAAGCCAAAATGGCCAAAATTCACACTTGGAATCCAACCCGGTTATTCGACCAGTGACGACTCACCCTAAAAGAAACTACCTGAGTATAATAGATTACATAACAGCGGACAATCTCCGTACACTACAGAGAGGCAGCCTGGCTCAGTAAAGCACCGCTAGAAATAATTTGCATGACATTGATCACCAGGTGCACGTTTTCATGCAATTTCCTCATTTAATCTCATGAGCAACCCGGTCAATTTTGGCTTCTTTTTTCCATTTGTTTCCATTAACACGATAGCCAACCTCACACAACTAATTCCGCGGGGACGGGTGATGAGCTTTTGTCCGGGAGCCGCGGTGTTAAAGCGCGTGCATCAGGTAGATTGCTCCTCTTCTATGTCGATGGATACCCGTAGCCCGAAGATCATTTTGGCTGACCTTGGCTGATGTTGGCTGATGAGAGCCACACTGGACCCATTATTTGGCAGACAAAGAATATCACGGTGGATCACGTTGCCCAAAATGACTATGAAACTTAATTGTTTAGCTACGCAGTGAATCGGCAAAGAAAGGGGCTCTTTTCCAAAGGGATTATAAGGCTGGACTTCAAGTCCTCTGCTCCTCTGCCCTTTGAATTAAGACGTTTCTACAACTACCCTATCACTATCGTTTATTCTCAGTGATCACGTTCGGACTGGTGCCCTCGGGTCCAAGCTCTCGCAGTTATGACCAACGACCATGAGGTCGAAAATGGCCGCACTTCTCACGTGGGAAAAAGGGAAGAAGAGGTTCATCAACTGGCCAGGCAGCTCACCGAGAGCAGAGCACCACTTTTACTGCCAGACAGAACCCTTTTGCTGCCGAGGCAGGATCAGCCCTGGATCCTAACGGGAAGAACTTCAATACTTTAGCATGGTGTAAGGCCATGCTACATATCCACACCGAGGATGAACAGACCCATCCACTGCGTACTCTTGGAATCGCCTTTAGCCACCTGAATGTGCACGGTTTTGGTTCCGACACAGATTACCAGAAAAGCGTCGGCAATGTCTGGTTCGAAGCGCTGGGTCTGGCAAGAAAAGCGCTCGGTACTCATAGCCAGCGCAGAATACAGATCTTACAGAACCTAGAGGGTGTCGTGGAGGCTGGCGAGATGCTGGTGGTGCTTGGTCCTCCTGGCTCGGGATGCTCGACCTTCTTGAAGACCATCCCTGGGGAGACGTATGGCTTCCATGTTGATAAGGAATCCAGTATCAATTATCAAGGTAAGTCCAACTAACCCAGGAAGTAGATGGTTCGTTACTGATTGCTGCTAGGTGTAAGCGCAAGACAGATGGCCCACGAATTCCGAGGGGAAGCGATATATGCCGCCGAGGTCGATATCCACTTCCCAAAGCTCACCGTCGGAGATACCCTTTACTTTGTAGCGCGCGCTCGAGCACCACGGCACATTCCTGGTGGGGTGGATGTGGCCCAGTATGCTCGCCACAAGCGAGACGTGATAATGGCCATGCTTGGTATTAGCCACACGAAGAACACGATCGTCGGAAACGACTTCATCCGCGGTGTATCTGGTGGTGAGCGCAAGCGAGTCAGTATTGCCGAAGCTTGCCTCAGCAGTGCTCCCCTGCAATGCTGGGATAACTCCACCCGTGGCCTTGACAGCGCGAATGCCATCGATTTTTGCAAGGCGCTGCGTATGCAGGCAGATATTAACGGCACCACCGCCTGTGTCTCGCTATATCAAGCCCCCCAAGCTGCCTACGACCATTTCGACAAGGTGCTAGTATTATACAAAGGTCACCAGATCTACTTCGGTCGGACAGACACCGCGAAACAGTACTTTATTAACATAGGCTTTGCCTGCCCCGAACAACAGACCGATGCAAACTTCCTAACATCTATGACTAGTCACCTCGAGCGTGTCGTGCAGCCAGGTTACAAAGGCCGCGTGCCTCAAACACCTGATGAATTCGCTGCCCAATAACAAGCCTCACCACAGCGAGCACGGCTTCTGCAAGACATCGAAAGCTACAATACCAAGTTCACGCTGAATAGGGAGTTCCTGGGCAGGTTCAGACAATCTCACCAAGCTCAGCAAGCCCGGGTCCAGCACATATCCTCGCCTTACACTCTATCGTATGCACAACAGGTGAATCTGTGCCTATAGCGCGGATATCAACGCTTAAAAGCCGATCCCAGTATTACAATATCATCATTGATTGGAAATATCATTACTGCTCTTATAATTGCCAGTATCTTCTTCAACCTCAAGCCCAACACTAGCACCTTCTTTCAGCACAGTGCCCTTCTATTCTTTGCCTGTCTCATCAATACCCTTGGCTGCGGCCTGGAAATGCTGACTTTATATACGCAACAAGGAATTATAGAAAAGCACTCGCGATATACTCTCTACCACCCATCCACCGAAGCAATTTCATCAATGATTATGGATTTGCCATACAAAGTACTCAACACTATCCTGTCGAATACAGTTCTCTACCTCATAATCAACTTAAGGCGAGAAGCTAGGGCATACTTTTTCTTTATATTCACTTCATTCATCCTAACGCTAACAATATCCATGTTTTTCCGGTCTATGGCATCGTTGACAAGATCACTTGTTCAAGCTTTGCCCTTTTGCGCTGTTGTTCTACTCGGCCTTTACTCCTATACTGGCTTTGCGATCCCGACAGGGTATATACTCGGGTGGGCGCGTTGGATTGCCTATCTCAATCCCATCAACTATAGCTTTGAGACCCTCCTGATCAATAAATTCCACAACCGTGACTTTCAGTGCATATCATATGTCCCATCGGGTCCTAGCTATACGGATCTTCAATCCAGGAACCATGTGTGCTCTACCGTCGGATCAGTACCCGGTCAAGCATTTGTCAATGGCGACGCCTACATCCAATCAGCATATGACTACAACGTCTCGCATAAATGGAGAAATGTCGGGATTATACTCGCCTTCGTGTTTGTTCTGGGTGCCATCTATCTAGTCGCCACTGAATTTATCGCCGAAAAGAAATCCAAACGCGAGATCCTAGTGTTTCCCCGCGGGCATATGGCACTCAAGAAGAGTAAGCCTAATGGTTTTAAAGGGGGCAGTGACCGCAGTGCTTTCAACAAGAAGTCTGAGTCCGACCCTGATGACCTTATAATAATCGAGCGCCAAACTGCAATCTTCCAGTGGAAGAATGTTTGTTTCGACATCAAGATTGGGAAGGAGAATCGTAGGATCCTTGACCACGTTGACGGATGGGTCAAGCCAGGGATCTTAACCGCGCTGATGGGGGTCTCTGGTGCTGGGAAGACCACACTCTTGGATGTTCTAGCTACACGTACCACCTTGGGCGTGATCTATGGAGAAATGCTCGTCGATAGCAAACCGCGGGATGAATCCTTTCAACGTAAGACTGGCTATGCCCAGCAACAAAATCTGCATTTGAGCACTGCCACAGTGCGCGAGGCACTTGAGTTCTCGGCTCTTCTTCGTCAACCTGCTCATGTTCCTCGCCGAGAAAAGATCGATTATGTGACGGACGTCATCAAACTTCTTGATATGGTAGACTATGCTGACGCTGTTATCGGCGTCCCTGGAGAAGGTCTTAACGTTGAACAACGGAAACGTCTCACAATCGGGGTCGAGCTTGCGGCGAGACCGGCCCTGCTTCTTTTCTTGGATGAGCCCACGTCGGGGCTCGATTCCCATACATCCTTGGCTATCCTTGATCTGCTTAATAAACTGAGAAAGAACGGCCAAGCAATTCGTAAGTCTGGATTCATGCATTCGTCAACCATCGCTAACATGATGTCAGTGTGTACCATCCATCAACCGTCTGCCATGCTGTTTCAGCGTTTCGATCGTCTCCTATTTCTTCAAGCCGGTGGCCAAACCGTATACTTTGGAGACATTGGCCAGAACTAGCGTATTCTGATTGATTACTTCGTGCGCAACGGTGGCCCTCCTTGTCCACCAGAAGCAAATCCTGCTGAATGGATGCTTGATGTGATCGGCGCCGCTCCTGGTTCGCACACGGACATCGATTGGTTCGAGACATGGCGAAATTCGCCAGAATACGCACAGGTTCAAGCGCATCTCACCTCACCTAAGCTCGAACGTTCCCAGCAAATCCCACTGGCTCGTATCAGCTCCGGCACAGAGCGTGAGGACCGAGCCAGTTATCGCGAATTTGCTGCCCCTTTCTGGGCCCAGCTCCGCGAAGTGCAAATCCGAGTCTTCCAGCAATTCTGGCGCTCCCCCATCTACATCTACTCCAAGGCGATTCTCTGCGTTTTGCCCGCTCTCTTCGTCGGCTTCTCTCTCTTCAACACCCCTAATACCATCCAGGGCCTGCAGAACCAAATGTTCAGTATCTTCCTGTTACTCATCCAGTTCGGGCAATTCATCCAACAGATCATGCCGCATTTCGTCACCCAGCGGGCATTGTACGAAGTCCGCGAGCGGCCGTCGAAGACCTACTCCTGGCAAGTCTTCATGCTCAGCAACATCGGCGTCGAACTTTTCTGGAACTCACTCATGTCCATCCTCATGTTTTTATGCTGGTACTATCCTATCGGGATGTATCGCAACGCCGAACCCACCGACACCGTACACCTGCGGGGCGCGCAGATGTGGCTGCTGATCTGGACGTTCCTGCTCTTCTCCTCCACCTTTGCCCATTTCATGATCGCCGCGCTCGACGCCGCGGAGAATGCCGGCAACCTGGGCAGCTTTCTCCTGTTACTCTGCCTGCTCTTTTGCGGGGTGCTCGCGACCCCAGCCCAGCTGCCCGGGTTTTGGATCTTCATGTACCGCGTCTCCCCGTTCACGTATCTAGTCAGCGGGATGCTGTCGGTGGGGATCGCCGACACGATCGTCACCTGCGCCGACAACGAGTATCTGCGTTTCGACCCCGTCAATACCACCTGCGGCCGGTACATGGCGCCGTACATCGCGCAGGTGGGCGGATATTTGCAGGAAGAGACCGCGACGACGGACTGCCGCTTCTGTCCGGTGGCGGACACGAATACGTTTCTGCGCGGGGTGGGCGCGAGCTATGCGGATGTCTGGAGGAACTTCGCGCTCATGTGGGTGTTCATCTTGACGAATGTTGTGGCTGCGTGTCTGTTGTACTGGTGGGCGAGGGTGCCGAGGGTTAAGAAGCCGGCTGTGGCTTCGAAGGCTTGAGTTTACTCGTCCCAGTCGTGATGGTCGAGCTGTTATTGTGTTTTTCTTCGGCCCATTACTTGTATCACTATCGTTTTAATGGGTTAGAAACTTTACATGCGTTGTCAAATCAGTATGTGCGTTGGGGATGGGCGCTTCCTCAAACGCCGATAGAAAGATTGCGACTTTGTTCATTATGTGATGGATTGATAGAGTGGAAATCAGGTAGAGGAGTTCCAATAATCTACTGAAACGATTGAATGGAAAGAATAGATGATTGTCAATGAGAAAGAGAGGATTCAGAGGGCCAAGAGGTGTAGGAAAAATCTGCGGCCTGGCCGCTCAACGCGCTCAGGGGTTTGTACGACCTCACGATCCCGAGGACCGCGATCAGAGCGCTCACAGATAGGAGAGTAAGCCCATCAACGCAAGGAAACTCATTGACCGCAGTTTGAATTACATAGTTGCATTAGCTCGGATACCCATGGCGCACTATTCTGTGATTGCTCTCGATTTATCAAGGGAACGACTTCTTAATTCTCAGGAAAGGAAACACGCGACGCACAATACAGTATCACAAAACAGAAAATAAGAACCGCTGAGAGTTTGAAAAGCCAGATTAACAATTGAAAGCATATGGTGACAATAGTGGTTCGATCTTAAAATGTCAATACCGATGAGACTTGAATGAACCAATTTGTTAAAGCGAAGTGCCCATTTGACCGTTCATCTATCCAGACTATTGAGCAATTCTGCCTTCTTGACCTCAGCATCGGCGTAGAGTGTGAGGGCCAGCAGGATTGGACCCAGCTTTTTCATGTGCCCTGCATTATTGGTATTCCACGGTCCGTACTGATGCATGGTTAAGAATGACAGGGGTTCGTCGTCTGCGGGCTTCTTTCGGAGATAGGATATATAACCGCTATCGTACTCTGCAACGGTGATGAATATTTCGTGTCGATTTTGGGATACATGAACCCGCCTAAAGTCTATTAGTATATTGCAGAAAGAAAGATTCTGCATGAGGAAGCTCACAGTTTATCTAGAGGAGCGTCAATTTCCTCCTTGATCCAGCCAGACATCTGAGAACCCTCTTGTATCTGGATTCGACCTTGATTAAATTGTGCTCTAGTAACAGGTTTCACCTCAATAAGAGCCCAAGGGTTCTCTCTGCCGTCATCGAGATACCCGTCAGTCCGAGCCTCGTATTTAGCAGCTTCAAATTGGACAGTGAAGGCCTTTCTGTGTAAAGTCCAGTCGCAATGCGCGATGACGTCAAAATGAATCGTAAGGGCATTCAGGAAGACCACAAGAGCAGTGTTCACAATTTGCTCGTCTTTAGTAGGTGGAAACATGAGCCGGTGAAGTTCACCAGAAATCAGGGCAGCTGGAGTGACAGGTATAGATGACGCTTCTGATTCTTCTGACGCGTCTGATCCTTCCAAAAAGATAGAGTCGTCGTCATCATTCTTCTCTGGTTCTGTGATTTGAGGCGCCGGAGTAGGAGCTTTGGTCGGCGTTTGGTTGAGTTGGAGTGTTTTGAATTCTTGTTCTAATTTCCTCGTATGGCTGCGTGTGCGCATGGCAATCGGCGTATCAAAGCTGTCCGGCCGCAGATGGCCCTTAGTATTATCAGCTTTGATCTGATAATGCCGGGCAATAGCAAAGCTGCCCTCTGTAGTCCGCGCCGCTTTGATGCTCTTGCAATACTGTGTCCACGATTGAGACTCAGCGAGAAGCTTATTGGCCTGGATAAGGTGTGGCTCTAAGACTGGCGGCAGGCGAAAACGATGTATTCCAAGATGGGTTATCCAGAGAATGCGCAAGAGTAAGAATTGCTCGTAGGTCATTTTGGAAGCCGACGCAAGTTCGGCAGTATGTACCGTCTGGCCAACAAGATCGTGCTTCTTGACCGCATCCTGCCATGTAAGGAAATCAAAGGGCAACGTGGGAAGTGCATCAGACATTTTGGAAAGATGAGAATCCACTGAATTCAAACTGAATGCGTTTAGAGCCGAGACAGATAGCCTATCGAAGATGAAAGTGAGGTGCAAAGGATGGTGAAGGATTTCAGCGCGGGATGCTGGGTAGCTGATGTCTTTTTGTGGAAGGAAACCAGGTCATCCGCCTAGTCAGCGCTTCACTTGGGGCACGGGGACCTTCCATCTTTGTTTCCTGCGCACGGACATCCTGGATCCCCTGTACAAACAGCTCCCTGCATTGTAATTGGACGAAGCAATTGACGTTGGCCGCCGTGGCTGCGCATTTACAGGGGATCTCCGAGGAAAGGTGCGATGTCGCCCGGCAATCAAGCATCCTCACCGCCCTGGACCCCGGCGGCAAAAAATCAAAACAAGTGGAGGCCCTCGTCGTCCCGCGTCTTTAAAGAACTCCCTCATTGTCCCATCTGCCCCCATCTGCCCTGACCTCATCTGCCCCATCCTCCTCTGCCACATCTGTCCCATCTGCCAAATCTGCCCCATCCACCATGTCCGTCCCTGATGAAGACCCCGAGAGAAAGGAGATGCGCAAATCGCTGCGTAGTCTTGAGAGGCATGTCACTGGGCTGAAGCCAGACCATCAAATCGCTCCATCCGAGATCGATCGAATTCAGCTCATGCCTCTGTCTCTGGATGAAGGCTCAAAGGATAGACCGGTCTTTTTTACTCCTTTGGACGAGTCCTTCCTCGAGACCCCTGATGATGAATACGATCAAAAATATGGCATGGAATATGATACCTATGATTCAATTCCAGAAGATTGCAGAGATCCGAAAACCTGCGCCCAAGCAATCAATATTTACTGGTCTACCTATCTCTCTCGCTACTCCCTCGGCAAACAACCCGTGGGCGGCGAAATCGTGTGGTCCCCGGTTAGGTAAGACAGGATATTTCGTATCCTTTGGATAGCTTTTCTCATGATTCTAATGGAATTATAGAATTGGCTACACTGTGTATAAGGACCTCTACCGTTATGGCTTTCCGGAGTTTGGCTTCACCGATGCTGAACAGGTCAAAACTGGGCCATATGCGCACATGAAGGCCACCATTTACAACAACCTCAACGGCGACGATGACCACTTGCTTCAAGGAGAAATGCTCCCTATCTTACGTCTGATGATAGGCCACCTGAGAAGGGCCCGTTTTATCGATCACATGGTCGCACCGGTAAGTCTCCCTTCTGTTTTTGCCTTTACTTTGAACCCAAGTAGATCTGAAGTTTAACCGCTTGCGATGATAGTTGATGGTCTTTTCTTTCCTGGGCCCCCAGCACGCTCGCGTCATCGAAGCCTACGTGGAAGACCATACCGTGGTGGTACGACGGACCAAATTATACGACCTTCGTAGCAAAGACGCCGCAGCATTCAAACTTTTTGCTCGGTGGTTCTTTGGAAAACCAGGTGCACCGACAGGTCAATCTCAATAAGCTCGCAATGATGTTTTTGTTTTGCTCCAAGGCGAGCTGGAGCTGTATGTGGTTTTTGGACGGTTAGGGTCGGCGTTTCGGTTACACTGTCTATTCCATTGTATGGGAATGTACACGATCAGGAGCTTTTGGGTTATGGGTACGGGTTAGGCTAAGAATGATACCTTGAATGAATAGCGTGACTTTATTTTCGTGGCATTTGAAGCTACAACTTTTTGGATTCATTCTTCGTAAAATAAAATGACAAAGAATGACAAATCAAGCAAAACAACCAGGTAACCGATAGGCCCTCTCAACCTACACTCGCCGCTTCGCACGATAAAGAATCCTCGCCTTCGGATCCGGCAACTGATTCGTTTGAAACAATAACCCCTTCGGCCTCTCACCCCCGTCCAGCTTCAACTCAAACCGATCGATCACTTTCGCCAGAACCAACTTGATCTGATGGCTTGCAAACCACCGTCCGGGACAAGCATGTCGCCCACCTCCGAACTGCAACTGCGTCTTGGTAATCGACGTCAACTGGTGCTTATTTTCATCGCTCGCCGAAGCCTGCCGCAGCTTATAGAAGCGCAGACCATCGAAGGTGTCTGCATCGGCGTAGATACTTTCATCGAAGTTGACGGCGTTGGCCGGCGCCAGTGTGAACGTGCCGGGCGAGATAGAGGTGCCGTCGGAGAGGGTGATCGGACGGAGGGCTTTGCGTTGGAAGGTTGCTGGATGGGATAGAATCAGTATTTCCGATTTCACCAAGCTAGGAAGAGAAAGAGAGATGGGAAAGGTACCGGTTAAATGCCCATTAAACCGCAACGTCTCCTTCACGAAACTATCCAGCTTCTTCAACTTCCCCATGCTTTCCAGCGTGAACTGCCCGCCGCTTTCTCTCAACACGGTATCGAGCTCTTCTTGCAGAACGCTCACATATTCAGGATACGTCGCCAGATTGAACATGGAATTAGTCAGAAGCTGTGTCGTCGTGTTCACCGACACCGCCCCGATGCCTAACTGCGAGATGGCATGGAAGAGCGGATCATTGCGATCCGGCTCGGGGACCAGATCTCTCAGCCACTCGATCGAGTCGTTCGGTTTCTTGTAGTCGGACCTGTTCTCATTTTGCTGTCGGTCTTGCAGAATTGGAGAAAGAAGCTCTTGTGCTTTAGCGTTGCAGGTCCAGACGGTTCGTAGCTCGGGAATAAAGAACTGCACGAGGGGGCGGAGCCAGGGATGGAAGAATCGTAGCTTCGCGGATGAGAGAAAGATATTTTTCGTGTACTGTACCAACATGAATCGTTAGATTCTATTTCTCAGCTAGGTGATATTCATGATGGCAGAAGGGACTTGCGTTGCAGCTTATGGTGATCCATTCCTCGTTCCGATGGAGCGGGTCTCCGACGAATATCCTTCCGTTGACGCGGCTGACAAGACGTAGGATTTTGGGGTAGACTGGGATGGGACGCCAATCTGTTGTGTATCATTTTAGATTGAGCTTTGAATTCCTGAGGTTGAGTGTGGTTTGCGTACCTTCACTGTCGGGAAACTCGAGAGGGAAGACAGTCTCGATTTCATCACGCATTTCAGGGAATATCCGGCCTGGAGAATTCAGTTGATCCCGTTACTTTACATCTCAGTGATGTCATGCGTTCTGGAAAGATACTAACTCATGCTCTTGTTCAAATCATTCTTCATCACAATATGTCCATAGTCCAACTTGGATACCTCGATTGGCCATAGGTACTTGTGCAAGAAGAACTACGGTTTTATCAACATCACCGATGAACAATCTGACCAGGGAGCAACATCCTTACGTGACGAAGTGCAGACGGGAATGTATGATCCGGTAGCATCTTGAGCTCATCCACGTAGTCTGGTGGAATAACGACCTGTTCGCCTTCTGTGGTCCAGATCCTGAAGGGTTTCCCGGAGAACTGTTGTAGAGTTAAATATTGGTCTATGGGCTTGAAAGAATGTCAGGTACCTTCCGATATCCCTCCTGGAGAAGATTGACAGAGTCGTATAGCCATCTCTTCTTTTTGTTTCCTGTGGTGGTTTTGTCGGGGTTGAAGAGGGGGGCAGATGAGACTTTAGGTGAGGAAGTGGGAATGAGGAATAGGTAAATCAGTGAAATAAGCAAGAAGGAAAGTAGGATAAGAGGAATCTGTGAGCTAGGCAAAATATCGAGTGGAAATAAAGAAGACATGCTGGTGGTCGATGTATAGCATCTGCCTTTTACATCGAGGAGATAATGAAAGGAAACAAGGGTGTTAGAAAGGTTATGCTGTTGGCAGTAACCTGGAAAACCAAGTGAAGTATTAGCAAAGAGCAAGGTATGTTTCCAGGCAATAGAATGGAGCATGATCAAACTAACGTGGGCTTCAAGTTTGTCCGATTATCGAAGGCCGTAGATAGCATAGGCTTACTATCAACGCCTAGGAAAAACCCCATCTGTATTCCAGTCCACACCACTATCCGAATCCATCTAGGTCTCATTGTCAGTCAGTATCACACTACCTAGACATCGGGTCGGTACCAGGTACATCATGTCTATCCAGTAAGCAGTGTAATTCATGACAATTGAATGATCATTCAGTGGTATGGAAGACTGGAAGGAGAATGATGCCTGCAGCATAATCCTGGGCCAAAGTTCTGGTGGAGCCATTCGGTGGTCTTTTGAAAAGTACACAAGTTTACAGTATCATACACCGAAATTGAGCCGAGCAAGCCCACCACCGCCCTGAGCGGTAAGCCATTTGACCAGTCAACATCCTCTTCCCAGGGCGGTCAGGAGGCGTCCGCTCCTGTGTTCAGGTAAATACCGCCGCCCACTTTCCCGGCACTAAAGCACGTAGTGTAACAAGCTCAACGCGAGGAATGCTTGTTCCAAAATCGCCCGTAAGCACTAGCCAGCGAGAATGAGACCTCCCGGCCGGAATGGCCCCGTCTCCATAGCCTATGCAGCTTGCGAGGAAATTGCCAAAAGGGGAATTAAGCGAGGCTTACCGAACGACCGTTTCTGGACTGTATTTGTTGAATAACACCTCCTATGGTTTCACGTACGGGCCGAGCGTGGGGCCCGAAGCTTAGCATCGCCACTCTCCCGAAGCCCCGGAAGCTTGTCGGTTCTCACTGGACGCTTATATCGGCCGAGCTTTGCGGTGGGTGCATTCCTTCTCGCTTGTCGTCTCCAGACGTCCCGGCGAATGGAACGCGCAGTAAAGTTTCCGTGTCCGATGAGATGAGTCGTCTTTTCCTATCTGGGAAAAATCTTGACATATTGGGCGGTCTCCGGAGCACTAGTACATGCGCCACGTGTGCTTTGCTGTGATGAATCAACGGTGAGCGATTGCGTCGCTCAGGGATATATATTAATTGGGGCCAAAAGATGTCTAGCTAAGAAATGCTTGCAGTGCTTGTCTCAACCACCATTTCTGGACCGGCGTTGATATTACACTTAGTCTCGGAGGCACTTGCCAGCTTGCTACGTTGAGTTCTTTGAGGCCGCGGATTGAATATCTTTGGACGACCTGAAGACGCCGCTCTATGATGGATTGCAGATGAACAAAATAAAAAGAGTTCCAAATATTGTAAGACCAACAAATGCTCTGCGCAAACCCAAGTTGGCACTTGTTTGTAACTGCGGGATATCCTTATCGGAGCAAGGCAGTGTTTCAAATTCGGGAGAGCCTCCTTGGAGAAACCATATCAATCGCATCTACCAAAATGGTCCTATTCTACCGAGTACCGAGTGCACTTTGTCTGTCTCAAATCAGCCCACATCAGATGGAATTCTGAATGGCCATGCGGCTGTGGACTGCTGCATGAAAGTGGATCTGCGAGTTAGCTGCAAGGGATGGCAATCAAGGGGTGTCAGATTGAGCGGTTGGCGAGTCATTCGTCCGCGGGCCTTTCGTGATACTGTACTGTACTGGTTAGGCTAGACTCATTCCATTATCTGTTTCCAAATACTAGCTCAAGCATACTTAGCTACTACGGAGTACGGAGAACCGAATAGTGTGTTCTAGCCTAGCCCCGGGCAGGTTCCATTTGGGGCCGATGGGTGGGTCGGATTGTTCCCACATGGACGGGCCATATGGCGATAATGTACTACTGCGTATGCTGTCCGTGGCAAATGCTCAATCCGTATACTAGCCATCGCAAGTTAAACGCAAGATGAGTCGAGAATATCCATATCCACAGACATGTCTTGGGTGAGAAGGATGAATTTTGGCCCCGATTCTTCGGCTGGAGGCTCTCAACAATAGGAATCTGGAAAGGTGTGACAGCTAGTGAATACCAGGTGAGAATGGAAAATGAGGTGTTAGAGATAGGCTAGTGATGTTTAGTTGTTATGATGAATCTTTCCGTGCTGGAATAGAGAGCATTAGTTGAGTACAAGAAGTCTTCGCCTTGATAACGGCAAAGTCTTCTCAAAGACACAACTAATAATATATTAATATATCCATATCTTCCCTGTTTCTAACCGTCCTAGGGTACGAGTTGAGGTTCTCTATTATTTAAATTATTGTTTCTTCGAGGTTGTCACCGCATACTATTTTCAAGAGCTATATTTACTCCTCATATCCTCAGGTATCTATCTCCAGCTGAAGAGATCTCCTTCAAGAATTTCTCTTGAATACTGACGAGTTTTATCTTTATATTAATAGAGCCTCACCCACCTGACAATAACCTCTTAGACATAAACATTCTATAACTATGGGCATCGGCGGTGGTGTTAACGGCCTAACACCTGCCAATGGCGTTAACGGTGTCAACGGTACCGCCGACATCAATGGTGCGAATGGCATTCATGGTACTACTAGTGACATCAACGGTCACTACGAATCAAACACCACAAAGAACCCCCCAAGCCACGCCGACAGTCCTTCAGAACAATTGAAACCCGTCCCAATCGCCGTCTGTGGCATGGGCATGAGACTCCCCGGCGGCATCCGAAATGACAAAGACCTCTACAACTTCCTCATAAACAAAGGCGACGCGCGGTCGGTCATTGGCCAAGACAGATTCAACGTCGACGCATACTACAGTCCACACGGGAAGCACGGCACAATAAGCACTAAGCATGGCTACCTCATTAACGACGTGGACTTCTCAAAGTTCGACCTGTCGATGTTCTCCTTTACGCCTGCGGAAATCGAGCAGGTGGATCCGAACCATCGGCTTGTGCTTGAAGTTGTTCGCGAGGCGTTCGAGAGTGCGGGCGAGAAGAACTGGCGGGGGAAGAATATTGGCACTTACGTGGGCATGTTCTCGGAGGATTGGCAGGATCTGCAGCACAAAGATACACATGAGTATAATCCCTACAGAGTACTTGGGGGGTTGGACTTTGCTTTGCCGAATCGGGTGTCGTATGAATATGACTTGAAGGGTCCGAGGTATGTGAATCGCTTCAGTTTCAAATTCAACAGGGGGGAAGATGGCGGTTCTAACGCCCCATAGTATGATTCTCAAGAGTGCTTGCTCCTCGGCAGGTCTTAGCTTGCACCAGGCTCTACAAGCAATCCGCCAAGGCGAGATAACGTCCGCAATTGTCTGCGGGAGCAACTTGATTCTTGCTCCGGGAATGACCATCAGCATGAGTCTACAAATGGCACTCTCTCCTGAGGGATCATCCAAAACATTTGATGCCTCTGCGGACGGGTACGCGAGAGGCGAGGGAGTGACAGCTCTTTACATCAAGCGCCTCGATGAAGCCATAAAGGATGGGAATCCCATTCGAGCAGTTATCCGTGGGTCAGCGAGCAACGCAGATGGAAAGACCAACGGACTGGCTCTTCCCAACCCTGAAGCTCACGATGCTGTCATTCGTCAAGCCTATAAGGCGGCAGGGCTTGGTCTGTCCGATACGGCAATAGTGGAGGCCCATGGAACCGGTACCAAGATCGGTGATCCTATTGAGGCAACGGCAATCGGCAAGTGTTTTGAGCAGGGGGTATACATCGGAGCCGTAAGCCCACGTCTTCACTAAGGTACTCTAGAATTCGCTAACTGCGGGTAGATCAAACCGAACCTTGGGCACAGTGAAGGAGCGGCGGCGTTGACTAGCATTATGAAAGCGGTGCTGTCTCTGGAGCATCGCACGATCATCCCCAACATCAAATTCCATAATCCTAATCCAGCTAGTATGCTCATTCTACGAGAAATATTGCAATTGCGAAGCGGATACTAACTTTCATAGTTCCTTGGGAAACCGCCAAATTGACTGTTCCCGTGGAGCCGACCTCATGGCCAACGGATCGTGCCGAGCGTATCAGTGTTAACTCTTACGGAATCGGTGGCTCAAATGCTCATGTAAGTTAGAGACCAAGCACGATTAATAATGGAGGCTCATGTTGACTTGACAAGTTCATCATTGATTCGGCAGCGTCATATGGCGTTGAAACCTCAGGCTCCCAGGCTCCCGCTGGCGCCGGAAAGCCGCAGAAGAATCTTCTGCTCTTCTCTGCAAACCATACCGAAGCTTTGAACGAGATCGCCGGGAACATGCAGGGATATTTAGAAGAACACCCGGAGAATGTTAGCCATATGGCCTACACTCTGGCAGAGCGGCGAGAGCACCTGAAGCTGAGAAGTTTCGGTGTTGTGGACGGGAGTTCCAACCCTTTCGATTTCTCCGCCCCCTTCAAGTTCCAAGGCCCTCGCGAGGTTGCGTTTGTGTTTACAGGCCAGGGAGCTCAATGGTAAGAGAGAGTCCCATTCATATTTGAACATTGCTGACTGTGGGTTGCATGTAGGGTTAACATGGGAAAAGAGCTAATGCTTGATTACCCATCCTTCCTCGAAGACATTCGGCTCATGGATCGGACATTGAAGGAGCTTGAGCATTCGCCCTCGTGGTCGATTGAAGGTAATATGACCATGACTTAAAACAATGTGCTTTGCTTACATCTCGATAGATGTCCTGTTGAACTGTGATGATAGAACTGTGATTGGCCGGGCGGAATACGCACAACCTCTTTGCACAGCTGTTCAACTGGCCCTTGTCAACCATCTTAAAACCTGGGGCATAGTTCCCTCCGCAGTTGTCGGACACTCTAGCGGTGAGATTGCCGCGGCATACGCAGCTGGAGTTTTATTATTGAAAGAGGCTATCATCGCTGCATATTATCGTGGATATGTCTGCAGATCTCCCCAGAGGCTGGGAGGCATGGCTGCAGTTGGGTTGTCAAAGAATGACGCCACCAAGTATCTTGAACCAGGTGTCAAGGTGGCTTGCGAGAACAGTGGATCGAGTGTCACCCTTTCTGGTGATTTGCAGGACTTGGAAACGGTCCTTTCGAAAATCAAGGACAATAGCCCCGAAACTTTTGCGCGGAAGCTGCAAGTCGAAATGGCCTATCACTCGCGTGAGTAGCCTTGCATATACTACCGAAAGTGCTTTAGCTGACAGGAGAACAGACCATATGACGTTGGTAGGCGACGTTTATCGCGAGCTTATTGCTAAACACCTCTCGCCACGCTCACCCAACATTCCATTCTACTCCAGCGTGAGAGCGAAGCCTCTTTACCAAGCCTTGGACTTCGGGCCAGAATATTGGCAAGAGAACTTGGAAAGCCCAGTCCTCTTCCATTCTGCCGTAAGGACATTGCTTTCCGGTTCGAAAGAATGCAGTGTTCATTTAGAAGTTGGGCCACACTCTGCTCTTGCCGGACCGCTGAGGCAAATATATTCCGAAAGTTCATCCTCCATCAACTATGTTTCTGCATTGTCCCGCGGCAAGAACGACTCGGTGTCTTTCCTAGAAGCAGTTGGTCAGCTCCATTGCCATGGTGTTCAAATTTCCTATCCCTTCTCAGAGACAGCTCATGTCCTCACCGACTTGCCCACCTACCCATGGCATTATGACAAGAGCTACTGGGGAGAGACGAGAATTATGAAGAACTGGAGATTCCGCAAGCATCTTCCTCACGACCTACTGGGTCTTCGTGTTCTCGAAGCCAGCGAGATCTCTCCCACGTGGAGAAACGAGCTACGACTGATGGATGCCCCATGGTTGCGAGATCACTGCGTTGGCAATGACATCGTCTTCCCCGGAGCGGGATACATTGCTATGGCCGGCGAAGCTATCTTCCAGGTCAATGACATTCGAGATTATACCGTAAAGGATGTGGAGCTGAGCAAGGCATTGGTGCTCTACAACGACAAACCGGTTGAGATTATGACGACTTTGCGACCGCAGCGACTCACCTCTACGTTGGACAGTGACTGGTATGAATTCCAGATCGTCTCTTTCGACGGATCTGCTTGGAATAAGCACTGCTCTGGACTGGTTCGTAGCGGTCGCGCTTCACCATGCCCGCGAAAGAACACGCAGAGTCTCGACAGACAAGTCTCGTCCACACGTTGGTATACAACCATGTCCAGGGTTGGTCTCAACTATGGCCCGAGATTCACTGGGCTGGAGAACCTGGCAGCCAGCGTCGTCGACAAAGTTGCAGAAGCCCATATTTCGGATAAGCAAGAGCCTGCGGAATCACCATACATGCTTCATCCTGCAACGCTGGATCTTGTTTTTCAATCTTTGACTGTAGCAACGTGTCAAGGAATCTACCGGACCTTCAAGTCCCTGTTCCTGCCCACATTCATCGAGGAACTGTATATCGGCGATGCGACCGGAAAGAATATAGTTGTCAGCACTGCTGCTGGAGGCAAGCCTGGTACGGTGGAAGGCACCTCGTACGGCATGGTAGACAACGATATGGTGTTTTACCTGAAAGGCTTCAGAGGGAAAGCCATGGAGGACTCCGGTGCCGAACAGCCCGCGGAACTGAAATCGCTCCAGCTTCAATGGAAGCCACACTTTGATTTCCTGAAAGCCGGAGATCTGATGAAGCTCAAGTTCAATATTCGTGACCAGATCCAGGATCTCGAGCGTCTCTATGTTCTCTGTGCCATTGAAGCAAGAAACGCACTCGCCGATCGACAAACTTCTCACCCTCACATGGAGAAATACCGCGCGTGGCTAGACGAGCAGCATGAGAAATTCCAGCAGCCGGAATACCCATTGGTAACGGACTCCTTTGACCTGACGCAAATGAATAAGGCCGAGCGCCGGGGTCTCATTCCGGAGGTCTTTGATCGATGTCTCGCGTCGGGTGGTTGGGCGCCTGCGACCGCGATCAAAAGGGCGTTCGAGGAAGTCGTCAACGTGTACGAGGGACGAACCGATTACCTAGACCTTCTACTCCAGGATGGTGTTCTTACCGGCATTTACAGCTGGTATAATGATATCTGGGATTTCGCGGATTTCATGCAACTACTCGGCCATGCTAAGCCACAGTTGAGGATCCTCGAGATCGGTGCAGGAACCGGTGGATTGACAGCCAAGTTCCTTGAGCAACTGAGATCCGATTTCGATGAGAGACTGTACCTTAAATACACGTATACTGATATCTCGTCGGGTTTCTTTGTTCAAGCCAAGGAGCGATTTAAGGATTATGATGGCATCGAATACAAAGCGCTTGACATTTCCAGGGATCCCTTGGAGCAGGGGTTCAACGCTGGGGAGTACGATCTGATAATCGCTTCTAATGTAAGTATTAGGATGGATTGACGAGGTGGATCGCCTTGACTAACTGATCCTAGGTTCTGCATGCGACGCCATTTTTGCAGGACACGTTGACCAATGTGCGAACCTTGCTCCAGCCCAAGGGTCAATTGTTTCTTCAGGAACTGTGTCCCAGTATGTCGCTCTCTTCCCTTAAATATTGACTGACGCTGACATACACAGTAACTCGTGCTATGAGCTTCATTATGGTGAGTGAGGCTAATTCCGAGGTTTAATTCTTTGTTGGAAACTGAAAAGATGGCTTTCCCTAATCAACCTCGTTCTTCGGTCATGGCTAACTTGCAGCAGGGCCAGTTTCCAGGATGGTGGTTGAGCGAAGAAGACGGTCGCATCGGTAGTCCATTTATCTCTCCCGATGAATGGGATAAGAGATTGCGTCTTGCGGGCTTCGATGGCTGCGATTCTGTGACTCTCGACAACGAGCAACCCTACACCTACAACTCCAATATAATCGCGAAGCCAGCTGTCAAGCATGAATATTCCCAGAGGGTCACTTTACTTCATCCATCAGAGCCTACTGCATTTTCTTCGGAGGTGGAGGCGCTCCTCCAAAAGCAAGGCGTTGAAGTGGACCACTGCAAATGGGGAGACGCACTTCCAGCAGATCAGGATCTCATCTCTTTCGTGGATCTCGGAGATCGGCCACTACTGCAGGATATCTCGGAGGATGATCTCTCTCATTTCTTGCGTCTTGTTGACTCTCTCCAAATATCGACGGTTCTTTGGCTCTCGCATTCTGCTCAGATCGGGCCCAAAGATCCGCACGCGGCACAGATTCTCGGTATGGCGAGAACCATAAGATCCGAGCTTGCGATGTCATTTTCCACGCTCGAGCTCGAGGACCTAAAGCCCGGATCTGCGCAGGCTGTCGTGAATGTCATCGAAACATTGCAAGATTCGAGAGATGACATCGGCGAACTCGACACGGACATGGAATGGGCCTGGTCGAACGGCCAATTGCATACCGGCCGTTTCCACTGGGTTCCGGTTGAAAAAGCCCTTTGCGAGACCGCAGAAGCCCCCAAGACGAAGGGCCTTTCGATTGGTACACCTGGACTATTGCAAACGCTTCACTGGGCTAGCCAGCCCTTGGGCGAGCTGAGTCCGGACGAGGCCAGTATCCGAATGTCAGCCGTGGGACTCAACTTCAAGGACGTTATGATTGCTATGGGTGTTATTCCCGGTGGAGATACCATCAAAGATGGCAGTAGCCCGCTGGGACTGGAGGGAACTGGTTATGTCACCAATATTGGCTCCGAAGTTTCGAATATTGCTGTCGGCGACCGGGTGATGCTGATCGGGTGTGAATCCGTCGGAATGGCCACGGTCATTAACAGACCAGCTTGTCTGTGCGTGAAGATCCCCGACCAGCTGAGTGACGACGAGGCGGCCACAATGCCTGTCGTCTACATCACTGTCTTGATGTTCCTGGTTGAGAAGTGGAAGCTCGAGAAGGGCCAGTCGATCTTGATTCACAGTGCAGCTGGAGGTAAGTTCATTCCGACATAGGAGATATTCAATTCCGTTGCTAATCGCAGTAGGTGTCGGGATCTGCGCGATCAACGTGGCCCAATGGATCGGGGCAGAGATATACGCCACGGTTGGCTCAGAAGAAAAAGCGGCGTTCCTGACCGAAGAGTTTGGAATTCCAGAAGAGCGCATCTTCAATTCCCGAGACAGTAGCTTCCTTGACGGTGTTATGAACGCTACGCATGGCGTGGGTGTGGATTTGGTGTTGAATTCGCTCTCGGGCGAGTTGCTTCACACCTCATGGAAATGTGTTGCTCCCTACGGTGCGATGGCTGAAATTGGCAAACGCGATATGGTTGGTAGGGGAAAGCTTGCCTTGGATCCATTCGAAGATAACCGGGCCTTTATCGGTGGCGACATCGCTCGTCTGCTTGTTACGCACAAGTCTACTGTGGCACGACTTTTGCAGCTGATGGTGGAGCAATACCAAAAGGGTCTTTTCAAGCCCATTAAGCCGATCACTACCTTCAATGCCGAGAATGCAGAAGATGCCTTCCGATTCATGCAGAAAGGCACCCATATCGGCAAGGTCGTTATCAAGTTCCCCCAGGAGGATACTCTGCCCTTGACTGCCACCGTTCCCGCGCCACGGTTCCGCAGCGATGCTTCTTACCTCCTTGTTGGTGGTCTAGGAGGGCTTGGGAAAGCGATTGCCAGCTGGATGGCATTACACGGAGCCGGAAACCTGATGTTCCTGTCTAGGTCCGCCGGCAAGTCCGAGGAGGATCGCCTGTTCTTGAAGGAGCTGAACATGATGGGCTGTTCCACTCAGTGCTTTGCATGCGACATTGCCGATCCGAGCGCCGTTAAAAACGCCATTGGCCAAGCCTCCCTGCCAATCGCTGGAGCCATGCAAATGGCAATGGTGCTACGTGATGTGGGCATCCTCGGCATGGACATTGATTCATGGCGCACGGCGGTTGCCCCTAAGGTGCAAGGAACCTGGAATCTGCACGACCACCTCCCGAAGGACATGGACTTTTTCGTTCTGTTTTCCTCTATCGGAGGAACCTTCGGTTATTATGGCCAGTCCAACTATGCATCGGCCAACACATTCCTTGATTCCTTCGTCCAGTACCGCCAAGCCATGGGCCTCGCGGCCTCGGTCATGGATATAGGCCCGGTCGACGACGTAGGATACGTCAGCAGGACTCCCGCCACAAGGGAGACGCTTATCGCCACTCTGGAAACATTATTGACGGAGCAGAACTTCCTGGATAGTTTGCAACTGGCCATCGCGCGATCTTCAACCCGCTACGCACCAGCTGATACACGCTCCGCCCTAGCTGGATTCCAAAACCCCAGCCATATCGTGCAGGCGTTGGAATCGCGCATCCCAATCATGGATCCCCAGAACGGAAGCATGTGGAAGCGAGAACCTCGGATGGCGATCTATCGCAATATTCAGAAAACGTCCGAAGCCGAGAGAAGTGATGCTGCGGACCAGCTGAAGCACTTCCTCGCCAGCATGATGAGTGATCCGGCTAAGCTGGAGCAAGAGGCGTCCGCGGATGTCATTGCCACAGAGCTGGCACATTGTGTGGCTAGCTTCCTGATGCGCGAGGAAGACGAAATCCCTGTGTCTGCCACCCTCTCGGATGTTGGCGTGGACTCATTGGTGGCGATTGAAGTGCGCAATTGGTGGAGGCAAAATCTGAGCATTGATGTCTCGGTTTTGGAATTGATGAATGGTGGTAGTATTGAGAACTTGGGTGGGTTGGCAGCGAAGAGGCTTCAGCAGAAGTACTCGAGCAAATAGCGGCTGTAGACCACTCTTACGATAATAGGTCCATACATAAATGCAAGGAATTCACTTAGTCGCTCTGCCGTAGCCAGAGTCTTTGACTCCACCCGAAATGGAACAATAGGGTAATTATTTAGGGCTCAGGAGCTACCAATCTTAATCAGCCTAAGAAACATCAGCTCAGCTCTTTCTTATAAACCCAGATGTCCCCCCGGAGACGATCAGCTTTCTTCTTTACCTTTCACTCACCAAATAGCTACACGTCATATTCCACCTGCCACCATGACCACCAAATTTGCTTCCTTTGACAGAGTAGACCTCACCTACAAAGTTGTCAATGGTCAAAATCTCGATACATCAGTCCTCATCCCCAAAGCACTACAATCTCAACCGAGAGGCGAATACCCCGTTCTGGTCTACTGGCACGGCGGCGGCTTCATAATCGGCGACCGCATGTACGAAGGCTGGTTTGCGCCATGGTAATCACGACCACCCACACCCATTTAATACAGACCTCACTAAATAAGCCCTTACCAGGATGCTCGATCTCTGCCTCTCCAACTCCGCAATCATCATATCCCCCGACTACAGACTCATCCCGGAGTCCAACGCCGCCGATATCCTCTCCGACGTCGAGTCCTTCTGGCTCTGGCTCCGCAATGATCTCCCTTCACAAACCTCCTCGTGGACCGCCCGTCCAGACCTATCCCGAGTCGCATGCGCAGGGACCTCAGCAGGAGGCTACCTCGCCGTTCAATCATCCCTCCTCTTTCCGCACCTCTCGCCAATCAAAGTCCTACTCACCATCGCGGGCTCCCTCTACACCGACATCCCGCATTACAAAGTCCCCGGGCCGAAGATGATACTGGGAAAGAGGCCGCCTCCTCCACGGAAGGCCGAGATGATTATACGTGAATATACGCGGAATATGAAGGAGGGGGTGATTCGGACCAGCGGGGATGCGGTTGAGATGTGGGAGTTCTTGACGTGTGTTTTGCAGCAGGCTTATTTGCCGAGGTGGTTGGGGCTGAAGGCGGATGAGAGGTTCGAGGTGATGAGGATGATTGAGAAGGTGGATTTCATGCCGCCGATTTGGTTGGTGCAGGGGAAGGAGGATTCTGTGGTATGTTTTGTTTTTCTTTTGCTTTGTAGAAACCTCGCCTTTTTCGGTTGTTCTCGGCCCCGGTTTATGGGTGGATGTGGAGTTGTTGGGATGAATATTGGGGTCTGGACATGCTGACATATTGTATCAGGTTCCTCAGATGTGTGCTACCGGGTTTGTGGATCGGTTAAAGGTGATTTTACCTGACGTGCCGGTGATGTTGAGCCTTGAAAAGGGCGATCATGGATTCGAGGTGATGCATACTGTAGAAGATGAATGGGTGAAAGAAGGAATCGAGTTCATGACCAGATTCTGGCCTTGATACGCGATGTAAATTCTCAATTCTTTTCGCGGTTTGAGTGATAGTGCTACTGTTTTGGAAAGAATTATCTTGCAAATGTGTCATTTGGTAAAGTTAAGAAATCAATGTCTCCACTGCTGCTCTCTGAAAACATGCGATCCCAAGAACCACCCGTCTCTTTTACATTGTAGCCCTTACATTACTCGCGTGGAATCAGTCCGACCTGCACTCCCCCAAATATGCTGGCAGAAACGCGAACCGACTCCTTGTATCTGGTGAAATCGCGCTGCTCAACCGCCTTGAACGTTTGTACCAGACGTACAATTGTGTATCCCGCTTCCGTCAATGCATACTGCTGTCCCAGGCAGATACGCGGTCCGCCATTGAATGGGATGTATGCCCAGCCAGGACGGAAGGTAGGTTCGCCCCATCGTTCGGGTCGAAATTCGTGGGCGTCGGGTCCGTAGATGTCGGATCGGCGATGGAGGACGTAAGTGGGGAATGAGATTCTGTATAATCGATTATACGTTAGTCCCTATATTTGAATCGGAGGCTGCTGAGGAAAAATACTTCTGGCCCTTGGGAATGAATATCGGAGATTTATGATCGGGACCACCTCCTGTAGGAAGCATCGTGTCGCGCACTGCAACACGACTGTTGATGGGAGCGACGGGATGAACTCGGAGAGCTGGTTGATGATAGATTCAGCAAAGGCCATCTTATATAAAGGCTGTGATAACTTACTCTCGTTCATGACATAGCGCAAATAGGTCAGCTTCTTCAACTCTTCATAGCTTGGCGGCTTTCCATTAAGCTCCCCGATCTCAGCCTCCAACTTTGTCCAAACATCTGGGTGTCGAGCAAGCAGATAGAATACATGCCCAAGCAGACTAGCAGTTGTATCGCGACCGGCTTGCATGACATTCAGGGTCTCCGAACGCAGCCGCTGAGGATCAGATACAGATTCCATCAAGCTGTCCAGGAAGATGTATTGATTGGGCTTTCCTTGCGCACGACGAGCAACTGCCTTTGCAATCACCTTATCAACAAACTTGTGGACTGTTTTGCATGCCTTCGTGAAGTCTCTGTTGAAGTACAAGAACAGGTATGGACCATAGTGAAGACGACGAACGGTTTCCGCACTGGCGTAGTCGAATGCAGCACCGAATCTGGCCTCGTCGGAGTCTTCGGCGGCTTCAAAGGCGCGGACTGATTCTCCGAAGAGAAACTCAGATGAGGCATCGACTGGATATCATGAGCTCGTATCCTCATACAATCAAGATCTATGATCACACTTACAGGCTAGCTTGAAGAACATGTCCTGGATGTCGATCGTACTTCCGTCCTTCGGAAAATGTCGCAACATTTCTTGGATATGTCCTTCTAGAGTTGAAAAATCGGTATACAGTGCCTTGCCCATGTTCGGTCGAACCAACGCCCGAGAATGCTCCCAGTCCTTGCCATCAGTCGTGAAGACGCCTTTTCCCATCAACGGTCCCAGGGCGACCTGTCTGAAGCCAAGGGAGTAGTCCTCAAATCGACTAGCTTGAAGGGTCTTGATGTTCTCGGGCTCAGACGTATTGATGATTCTACCACCAATGGTGTGCGTCTGAAAGGTGTAGCCCCCGGCGATATGTCTCTTCTGTATGAGCTCTAGACCTCGGTGCTCTTGGAAGGCACGCATGGTCTCCTTGTCATAGTTTCCGCCCTCTGGACGAAGGACATCGGCGAGTACGATGGGATCTTTGGTGCCATGCTTCGTGGCATAGTAGCGATTAGCCTTCCATCTCCTCGTCCGCTGCACGATTCGCCTGATTGCCACAAGCAGAATAGCGACCAGCACCAGATATGGCCACATGATGTCTTATTTCCCTCTTTCGTTTGCGACTAGCAGGGATGGCTTGTGTCCAGAAAGTGTTCAAGAAGTATATTGTCGGATTTGTCACGCCCACCACAGTATCCTTAGGGCTCAAAGAAGGGTGAGGTCGTTGTGGAAAGATAGTATCAAAATAGTTCAGTCATTGGGACCACTGTAATTGTATTACACGCTTATCATATATGATAACAATTGCATCACTCACTGACTAGCTTGGCTCTGCTGAGGTGAGACTTGACTCCCGATTGAATGCTTGAAACATATCTTGTTCCGTGTTAGCCGGCCAGTGGCTTAGTATGCCTAGTATGAGATGTCGTACAAGATGCCATTACTATCCATTCACCGGGCGCTGGGTTACCCCCCCTCCTTGTTGCCCCACAGATAGGTAGTGACACTCATTCAATCGAAAGGAATCCTTCGCCCATGTGGACGTGGAGCCATTACTTCTGCTGGATGGAAGGATTCGCAAGGATTCCGGTGGCGTAATCAGATTCTGATCGACTGTCGGTCCGATCCGCTGTGGTGTAATCAATTATTTGAAATCGTACTGTATTCCAACATTGTCAATACACGACCTCTGTTTCTGCCGGCAGTACAGAAATCGCAGTATTTGCGATGTACCGAAACGTGTTACTGTTTCTGGTCCAGTGATCGGCTTGGCTCCTCTCTTGCTCTCGACTCCTCCCTATTCCTCCCATTTCCTCATTTCATCGACTTGTTCTCACAAGGAGATCGGTAAGAATCCTCCTGCGCCGACCTCCATCCTTTCTTCCGTCGCATGTCATTCCATCCACTCAATTCTCTCTCCATAGCCATCGCCTGGCTAGGATAACCAACTCCGGTTCATCCATCTCTATAAATTGTCTCGGCCATGGCCGAAAAGGCAGCCAGCAGCTCGGCAATCCATGGTTCCCTAAATAATATCCCAGTGTCCCAACCACAAGGGGCATCGGACCCTAACCTAGTGAGTCCTTGTTCCTACCTGGCGAAATTTAATCGTTAGCCAACCCAATTTGTTGACAGGTAACATGGAATGGTCCGGATGACCCAGAGAACCCCAAGAATTGGCCGCAGAGTCGAAAATGGACGACAATTCTTCCTATGTCCCTGTTTAACTTCCTCTCATCAATCAGCTCCGCTACCATGGCACCGGCATTAACCGCCATCCAAGAAGATCTCAACTTTTCCTCTAGTCTCCTAGCTGTCTTATCTCTGTCGGCATTCTTACTAGGGACAGCATTCATTCCATTGTTCACAGCCCCGCTGTCAGAAGTATTTGGCAGATCCTTAATTCTTCAGTCCGCGAACATCTTTTATATCGTCTTCAACACACTCTGTGGAGTAGCGCGGACTCCGACTCAGCTTATTGTCTTCCGCTTCTTTGCGGGCTTAGGTGGAGCGGGTCCTTTTGCAGTATGCCATTCTAACTCCGCGTGCAACCAATCTTTCTCAGTTGCTAATTGAGATTCATCTGTTAGATTGGCAGTGGTATAAATGCCGACCTCTTTACTCCCCGAGAACGTGGACAAGCTCTTGCAGTTTATACCCTAGCTCCTCTGGCAGGAGTGGCGATCGGCCCGATTGCAGGCGGCTTCCTGGTCCAATACACATCCTGGCGCTGGTGCTTCTACGTTGTGTCTATTGCCGGTGGTGCCATTCAGGTTTTCTGTCTGCCTTTTTTCCGAGAAACATTTGCGCCCATCCTCCTCCAGAAACGCTGCAGACGTCTCCAGAAGAGCACTGGAAACCTCAACCTCTATACCGAACACGACACCGTGTCGCTTCCAAAGCTTCTAAGTACCAGCATTGTAAGGCCTCTCAAACTACTCGCGACTCAGCCTGTCGTGCAGGTGTGGAGCTTATATTGCGCATACCTGTACGGCATTCTCTATCTACTGATTGCAAGTTTTCCGGACGTGTGGACAGACGTCTACGGTGAGTCCGTGTCCATTGGATCGCTCAACTACATCTCCATGTTCATCGGAATGGGCGTGGCTTCTCAGATCGGAACACGACTAGCCGACCGATATTATAGGAAGCTCTGTGACAACAACGGAGGCCAGGGTCTTCCTGAGTTTCGTCTTCCGGTCCTCATCCTCGGGGCCTTTATTGTGCCGGTGGGTCTCTTCTGGTACGGGTGGAGTGCCAGATCAAATATCCACTGGATCATGCCGTGAGTAGAGTCTTCCCTCATGGCGGAATATTCGATGGCAAAATCAACGCTGATGTTCGATTTCAGCAATATCGGCGCGGCAATCTACAGTGCCGGGACCATTTTAGAAATTCTTTGTGTCATGGGTTATATCATTGACACCTATCAGAAATATGCCGCAAGTGCCATGGCAGCTATCATTGTGCTACGGAGCATTCTTGCCTTTGCCCTACCCCTAGCAGCACCTAGCCTGTAAGCTTTCCATCCTAAAAAATTCCCATAAAGCACTTTGGCCCATGCCAATTCTATGCGATTCGTCTGAAACTAATCGTTTGAAAGTTATGGCAACCTAGGAAACGGATGGGGCAACACGCTCCTAGCATTGATGGCAACGTTTATCGGTATCCCCTGTACCGTTGCACTTAAGTACTACGGACCCGCTCTCAGAAAGCGGAGTCCATACGCTAGAGACGACTAATTCCAATGAAGTTATTGAATATAGACCGTATGTGAGATCTTAAGTTCCCGTATGCGAGTCAACTGTAGTTCATGAGAGCCTTCTGAAGTCCGTTCCGTTCACATTTAGACTAATGAAGTTAAATGATAGCGCCGCACTTTTTGGAATAATATTTGAGGGTGGTATGTTAGATGGCTCGAACTCTATTTGACACCGGCAGTCACTCGATGAGCCTCTGCAGACACTGATCAATATAACCGGCTTTCAGTATTCAAAATCCGCTTGTGCGATGTCTCTACGACCTTGGGATGACGGTCACCGTGGGATTCCATTTTTCTTTTATCTCTGTCCGGATTATAATTTGCACACTGTTTCATTCTGGTGCCAGGTCTCATGTTCATGGCCGAATAATTTCACACTGTCAGGAATTTGGATCCTCCCATATTTTCGCTGTCCATTCCAATCTTCGACGGTACAACCTAACTGACAAAGGCAGACGAAAGGCTCAATTTGGAACAAGCTAAAATGACATTACTCGAAATCATCATTTCTCTTTTTGATTCCCAATATTCCTCACAATGACCTCCTTCAGACGAAGAACACCCTCGACAATATCCCGTTCATCCACCCACATATAACACAGCCTCAGCTGCCGACGAAGAACACCCGGGACTTCATTCCCTGGTACAGCAAACACAGGTCCGTTTCCGAGAATTAGATTTCCCCGACTCTCTGCGTCCCTGCATACCTTAGAATTGTCCAGGTGAGCAGGAAGAGTAAGCCAAACGAAATATCCTCCCGCCGGCATTATCTCTCCATCTGGTTGAAATGACACGCCAAGTGGTACGAGATGCTCTCTGATCGCCGACGAAATGGCGTTGAATCGACGCGTACAGGCTGGAATCAGGTCCTTCTCGATATGAGTCGTCAATGACCCATCTCGGAGAAGTTGGTTGATGAATGTGGACATTAATTGCGATGGCGCCCCTCCAGAAATGTTGGATCCACTGATCTCGTCAGTAGCGACTCATATTCAAGGGACATATTCGGTGATCACATACCATTGAGACAACCCATAAACCAGAGCAGCTGGCCCCTCAGCCCATCCCACCCGACATCCGGGTCCGATAAGCTTACTGAACGAGCCGTTGCTGAGAGCATTTCCGAACTGATCTCGCAGCCCACCATCGAGGTTTCTGTCAATATCGACGATCCGCGGTGGTGGGACTGTGGTTTTCTGTGAGGCTGCAGCGGATGCATGCAAGAAGTCATAAACATCGTCGCTGACAATCAGCGCGTCGTGTTTGCGAGATACTCGAATGAGTTCCTCTCGCCGGGAAATCGGCATCGTGATGCCCGTGGGATTGGCGAACGTCGGAACGCAATATATGATATGCTTGTAGATCTTCCGATACGGTAATGATGGCTTCATCGGTGTCTACTCGAAATTAGTGCCCTTGAACAGAACATCGCATGATGCATACATACTTCACAGAGTCGGTCCAAAATTGCCGGATCTTTCTCTGCCCGCGAAATCGCCTTGTCGAGGGCCTTCGCATCCATCCCCTCTGCATCCTCTGGGATAGCTTTCAGAAGGCCATGAAATCCCGCATCTTCAAAGACCTGGAAAACCAAGTGATAAGTCGGTTGAGGCAACCATATGGCCCTGGTTTGCACTGGGTCGGTAAACACCTGCAGCAAGCACGCCAGGTTTTGACTCGCACCGCCAGTAATACAAATGCGCCCGGCATCAATCGAATGTGCCGGCTGATATGCACTGCTCAACCATTTGGCGATGTTTTCCCGGAGTGGCAAATATCCCTCGTCCGGGCCATAGTCGCAACCCGGGCCCGAGATCGTCGGATCCGATAACGCGGCGGAAGCAGCGTGTTTGAGCAGCTCCGTTGGAACCAGATTGTGGGCTGGGGAGCCTCGGAAGAAGTTGATTTGGTGTTTCCTGTGCATTTTCGTTCGGAATTGTGTCATCTTTTTATAAGGTGGGGGAATCGAGGACTTTATATTGTTTCCTGTTGGACGATGGATGGGACCTTGGGTCGATCCCCCGAAATGGTAAGGTATGCGATCGGACCAATCGGCGTGGATTTTGCTGATTTTTGATTATCTAGGATGGATTGACTAGCCTCGCTATCTTCGATTTGATATGACATCTTTTCACCCTTCGATGTGTCTATTTAAAACCGTAAATCCCATTCAATCTGGGGTCCCAATCTAGGCAACTCTTCCGCCACGGTTTGCACGTCTTTATCGCCGCGTCCACTCACACACAAGACGACATCTTTGCCCTTGCCCAGTTTACGTGCAACCCGAATCACTCCCCAAACTGCATGCGAGGATTCCAACGCAGGAATGATACCCTCCAGCTGGGACAATAAGCGGAATCCCTCGAACGCATTGGCATCGGTCGCTGCCAGAAACGTCGCTCGGTTCGCGTACTTCCAACTCGCCAACTCAGGCCCAACGCCAGGATAATCCAATCCTGCGGACACCGAGTGTGTCTCGGAGATCTGGCCATGCTGGTTTTGAAGCACATAGGTTTTCACGCCGTGCAAAACACCAACCGAGCCGCCGCTCAACGTCGCAGAGTGCTTCTCCTTGCCATCTCCACCGGCCTCAACGCCAAATAACTGAACCGACGGATCATCGGAGAAAGGATAGAACATGCCCGCAGCGTTGGAACCGCCTCCCACGCAGGCAACCACCGCGTCGGGCAGTTTTCCAATCTCCCGGCCTAACTGCTCTTTCGTCTCCTTGCCAATAACCGACTGGAACGTCCTCACCATCGTCGGGAACGGATGCGGCCCGATCGTCGACCCAATGATGTAGTGCGTGGTATCCAGTCGAACGATCCAAGCGCGGAACGCCTCGTTGACCGCGTCACGAAGGGTTCGCGCTCCTGCCTCGACAGGGATCACCTCGGCACCGAGCAATCGGATCCTGAAGACATTGAGTGCCTGTCTCCGGACGTCCTCGGCGCCCATGTAAATCGTACACTTCATGCCTAGTTTTGCGCAGACCGTGGCGGTCGCAACGCCGTGTTGCCCTGCGCCTGTCTCCGCGATGATTTCCGTCTTACCCAACCGACGAGCGACGAGGATCTGCCCGATCGCGTTATTAATTTTATGTGAGCCAGTATGATTCAGGTCTTCTCGCTTCAGCCAGATATTTGCCCCGCCGGCATACTCGCTCAATCGGTTCGCGAGATGCAGACTAGACGGACGCCCCATGTACGGGTAGAACGAGCGATATTCCTCCCAGAAGGCAGGATCGTTCACGGCCTCTTTGAACCCAACTTCCAGCTCGCTGATGCATTTCGTCAACGCCTCGGGAATATATTGACCGCCGAAGTCACCGAAGCGCCCGGTTGTGTCGCTGATGGATGGAGGTTCCTCGTTCGCTTCATTCGTCGCGCTTTGGCTCTTGGGTTCAGGAATTTGTCCAGTCGCTGCTGATCTTGAGACACTGCGCCCTGTGATTCCAGAGCAATACTCCTGGATGACCTGCGCTCCTTGTCCGGGCGCAGTATTCGACAACTGCGTGATAATCTCGCTTCCGATGACAGCGCCGTCCGCAATGGATGTGACGCTGAGGAAGTGCTCGCGCGTACTAATCCCAAAGCCGACCGCGATGGGGACGTTCCCGGACAAGTCCTTGACCTTTTGCATCAGCTCGGGGAGGTTCGTATTCAAGGACCCTGTGGCACCCGTGACACCCATTCTCGAGACTAGGTAGATAAAAGAGTCGGCAATGGAGCAGAGCGTCTTCATTCGGGCCTCGGGTGTAGAAGGCGCGATCAGGGGGACGTATGACAGACTATAGAACGATCGAATCAGCCCCATAACCAGAATGAATGGCAGAGGGAACAGCATAGCACTCACCCAGCTCCCGCGCAACTATTCCGAAACCGAACCGCCTCTTCAGGTGGTAAATCAACAATAATGAAACCACTCACGCCAGCGTCGCGGCAATCGCGGAGGAGCTTGGCCTCCCCATACCTCAGGATGGGGTTATAGTAGCCCATGAACAGAACAGGGGTTTGCAGACCATTTGCCCGTGCATCTTTGACCATCTGCAGCATTGACGAGACTGTGACCCCATTATCCAGCGCCTTCAGGTTGGATTTCTGAATCGTCGGACCGTCAGCAATGGGGTCTGTGAATGGGAGGCCGAGTTCAATAATATCTATTTCCCAGTTAGTGTCATTTCTTCAGTTGAAATAAATCCCGAGAAAGTAAATCACGAACCAGCTCCCCCAGCCTCCATGCCCAACATAATGTCCACCGTCTCATGGGCCGTGGGATACCCAGCCGTGACATACGTCACCAGGGCCGGGCGCCCTGCTGCCTTGCACTGCGCAAAGGTATTTTTAATATGCTCCATGATGGATTGTTCATTGGGGGAATTCAGAAAGAGAGAAAATCGGCAATCCAGGGCTTTTATACGAGAGAAAACCGCCGGCAGAGATATTGACCTCCGAACGCCGAAGACCGAGTCGGATGAGTCACAACATACCGGCCGGCAGATGTCTGGACCAGAACGTTGCACAAACAACGCCAATTGAGCTAGGAACTGGCTCTGCATACCTTGGTCGGTATTTGGCTTTTTATTAACTGGATTCTACCTAGTGTGGAGAATTCGACTTCGCGTGGGGGAGTCTAGCTCGATCGATTCCCATTTCGCCCCTATTAACCTGACAAGCCTCCTGCGGAGAGTGGTTATATTTATGTGTGGGACGAAATGGATGTTGTTTGTTTGATATTTGGAGAGTTACCTCTGCTAATCTAGATCAAGGACAAATCTCGATACATTAAACTAAGTCCCCTGTATCTTCCTCCTCATTCCTCGTTCCTCCCTCCATTCCCCTCATCCAACTACACGCCCCTCAGCATCTCCTCCGCATGACTTCTCTCCTCCGGCAACCTCTCCACCTCCCTAATCAACGCCTCATGCCCTGCACTCCTCGGCCTAATCGCGACCTCAAACGGCGCCGGATGGCTAATAACCCCCGGCAAAAACTCCGCCGTCACCGGAACCTCCTTCCCGTCTTTCACGGGATTCGTGATCCGCAAACTCGCGACCGCCTGGGCAATTGTGAGATAGATATCCGCGTTCGCAAGCACCTTGCCCGGACAAATGCGTCGACCGAACCCGAACGCGAAGAGGTTCGGGTCTCGTTCCGGCGTGTGCCCGTTCTCGGACAGGAAGCGCTCCGGCTTGAAGGTCATTGGGTCGGCGTAGATGGCTGGGTCGTGCATGAAGCCCCTGCAAAAATCAATCATCAATAATCTCGCATAGCACAGGACGATAAAAGAGGGTGGGGGGAGAGGGGGTCCTACCAGATATTCGGAATCATGATCGCTCCTTTCGGGATGCGATACCCCTCGTAGATATCCTCTTCACTGGATTTATGCACGAATCCGACCGGCGCGATCGGGTGCCAGCGCAGAATCTCCTGCACCATGGCGTTGATGTAGGGCAGGTTGTCGCGGTCTTGGAAACCAGGCAGGCGAGAGGTTCCGACCACGCGGTCGATTTCTTCCTGGGCGCGCTTTTGGACGGCCGGATAGAGCGCCATGGCGAGGAAGAAGCAGGCGATAGATGAGACGGTCTGGAGCGGTGGTTGTCAGACGTGGACTGTAGGTTAGGGGAACTGGAAACTCACAGCGTCAGCTCCACCGGCATAAAGCGACACAGCGGACCACTTCAGGACCATCTCTTCTTCTGATCCGGGCTCGATGTGCTCTTTGCCGAGGCTACTGGAGACAAAGGACGGGGCGTTTTTCTTCTCTGCCATCTGTCGCTTGACGAAGTAGTATGGCAGGTCTCGCATGCGCGCGACGCTCTGCTTGTACTCTTCTGCTGTCTTCTTGAACCCGCCGCCTGGAAGCCAGCTGGGGAAGTGTTTGACTTGAAGATCGTTAATACATCTATCCACGCCATCATCAAGGACAAGGATACTAACAAGCCGGGACAAGATTCACAAGCCATCCGTGAGGAACAACGACATCGCAGAATTCACCCATGCCTTTCTCCACCAGGTCGACGAGAGGATCACGGCCCTTCGGCTCGACGTTGTATCCGTAGCCGATCTTGAGGATTGCCGCGCCTGTTTCTCTTTACGTCGCCTGTTAGCTGGAAGCAGTAGATAATAAGAAGCGAAGACGGGACTAACTTCCGAATATGCTCCATCAACTGATTCGGCGCTTGTATCACCCGCAATAAGAACTTCCGGACCTCGACGTCCACAATATCATTAAACCTAGCAACCGCCGCGGTGGTCCCGAGTTCTCGGTGCAGAGCCTTGCGATGTGTTCGGAATAGAGGCGTGCATTGAAGTAGACTCAGCGCTTGATCCCAGCCGGATCTAATTCAACCAGAGTCAGGAATTGAAAATCTAAACACCCCCCACAGCAAGAGGTGACTTAACGTACAGCTCGGCCATCGGGAATTCCGGCCTTGCAGAATGAACGGCAGATCGCTTTTCGAACAGCGTGATTGCCGCGTCGGCATCATTGATGATGATCAGCGTCTGGCCGAAAATATTCAGCGCACTAATTGGGCCTGTCCGGTTAATTGTTAGCTCTACATACTCTCTAGCCTCGAAAGACAAAGCACCATACCATATAGATCCTTATATTTCCACCAATGCAACCATTCATGCGATCCAGAGGGAGGTAGATCACGCAAGTTGCCAATAATTAGCTTCCCGGGAGGCCCGGGCGGGAGCGGTGCAGTCGCGCGTTTTCGACCGAACAGGGACTTGGAGATATAGAGCGCGATGGCGCCCACAACCACGTATAAAACCAAAGACATAGTTGGCGGTCGATTGTTGACAGCCTTAACTGGAGGAACCTGAGATTTGTTTCGCACGACGAGCGGGGCTCGCGAATAAATAATCATGACATGGGGAAGGATTTCTACGGGTGCGGCGATGACTTCATGGCGGGAACTGCGAGAAACGGCCCTTGCGTCAGCTGAAAAATGAAGTCAGTGCACGAGGATGATCATACCTATCACAGTGTCTAGTAACACAGACCACATGGTTGGTCTAGAGCATGGATAGGCAGAAGTTTAACAATGCAGCTATGGGCTTGTTAGTAATACGAAGTCGCAGATTTGCTGCGTATTTGAACTGGAAGGTAAACCAGTAGGGCCGAGAGCTGACAAAAGAAGCTCTTTCCCTCGTGATGTAGTATCGAAAGATTATAATTCATGGCACAGGTGGGGATCAAGGAACCGTAGAAGGATGCCCTAGACAAGGTCTATACGAGATCTGTCACAAGGAGAAGATGTGATTGGCCAGGGCTGAGTGCCATGGCTTGAACAATGTCATTTTCACCCATGTGGCTTATGCATCTTGTCACGGTTGCATTAGTGCATCCTTTGTCTCCGATCACTGCATTCCTCGGAAATGCTCTTGCCAGGAGGGATGCGGGCGCAATGAAGCTTGCTCTTCTTGGCAGTCGTTGGGCCAATATGCGATTGGAGAGTATTGTGTTGTGCCTCTAAGATCCATTCCAATGCCTTGAAGTAAGCCTGTTGATGATATGACGGTGCATCAAGCTGCAGCCTATATGATCTTCGATACTGTCGATGTGGGAACCGAGTCCAATCTGTGGAGTGAGCGATGACAGGTCACATGTAAAAATCCGAAAATTATGATGTACTATATTGAGTCGTTGCCCCGATAAGCACTGTCGTAGGGGCACTATTCGCCCAGCCATAGGGCAGTTCAATCACATAAACGTCCCGTCATTGTCCCTGCGGCATACCCTGATTACCACTCGTCCTCCTCAATCTCTTGTCCCAGTTTCGCACACAGCTTTTCCAGCGCCTTCTTATCCTCATTAAAGCAGTCGGGACGCTCCCCGTCAGGACCGTCATAATAATGCGTCGCCTTCGTGTACGGAGTAGGCCCAAGCCCATCGGAAAACACCATATACCTATCTTCCGGCAGATTGACCTGAATGAATTGCTCCTGCTCGAAAGGAGTGCTGTCATCTTCCCACCAATGCGGGCAATGCCCGAACCGAAAGTGTCGCAGATGGGATAGTCCGTCTTTGAAGGCGTTGAAGTAGTCATACCAGCGCTTTTCATACTTTGAGTGCCCCTTGTCTCCTAGGCCTTCTACCGAGATGAAACAGGCAGGGTCCAAGAATGTCCGTTCTTTATCGTAAATTGAGACTTCATAGAGGATAGGGCAGTCGTCCAGATACAACTCGGTGAGTGTGTCAGCGTGCGAGAGAATCCAGCTAAGCTGAGAGTCGTGGACAAAGGCATGGTTACCCAAAGCAAGAGTCTTCAGGTGTGGGAAATGGAGTTTTCTCGGGTCAAATTTCGGATAGAAGCCAAAATAGTTGCTCGAGTAGATGGTCAGATGTTGCAGGTTTGCTAAAGTTGGCTGCAGCCAAAAGGACGAAAGTTCTGGGAAGAACTTGTGCGGCTCGTCTTGCTATTCCTATCGTCAGTTACATGCACCAGGGGAAATATTCAGGCAGCATGGCCTGGCATACCTCTAGATCGTTCTCGCCGTTTCCTTCACTATGTTCGTTGGTGACGTTCAGCCGCAGCGTGTGAAGACCTGCCAGGACCTTCTTGATATCCCTAAAAACCTCTTCATCTGTCTCGTTGATATTCTGCAGGTCACGGATGCCTAGTTCCCTGATAGGTTGGGGCAGCGAGGCCAATGCTTTCATAAATGACTTCATAACGCTGTGACGGAAGGGGGGCTCTTGGTCACAATAGTCCAAGGAATCAAGCGATTCCTGTCCATAGCACTCATGTGCAAACCGCAGCACAACGCCCTGCAGTCTGGGAAGCTCCTTCAGTCGGTCGAAGAATTTACTAAATCGTCGAGGAAGGAAAATCTCTTCTTCCTCGTCATTGTCGTACTCGTCGATTTCAATTTTCTGTCGCATGTCAGCTCCAATGTCTAGCAGTCCCTTGCACCAGGACAGAGCTCACATGATCCCACTTAGTGGTATCCAGATACACCTTCGTGATGCAGGAGGCGAGCGTTGAATCATCCAGGATATTCTCCAGCCTCTCACAGCTCTCATCTGTCGGCACGACGCAGGTAGATCGAAAAAGCCATTGCTTGCTGGCAACGCTTAGCACTCGACAAACCAGCCGCAGACTCAGCAATGAATCACGATCGGCATAATACGCGATCCGATGGATGATTTCGTTTGGGAGCGATAGAATATCCGTCATCCTGAAGTGTGTGGGTGTGATCTGACTCGCAAAACCAGAGCATCTCGCCCCGGGGATTTATATTTCCCATCGCAGCCATCGTCGCCAGAACCATGGACAGGCAACAGGGCCTAGTGCCGATAGCCTGTTGCCGACTAACTCAACGATGCTGGCGGTGGCTCGACTTGGGATCGGAGCCAAGTTCTAGCGGGTTGTCGAGAAATTATTGGCCCCCAATGAGGACCCGTTCCTGGCCCGGTCGGGTTTAGCGCAAGGCTGCAATCTGTTGGTGTCCGGAAGGCTCAGGCATCACAGACTCGGAGTCATAATGTTCCGGTCCGCAGGTCGCCGACTGTTGCCTCAGGTTTCCTCCGTCTTTCGATCCTCAACAGTTGACTGTCTACAGGTCTTTACTAGAGTTTATAGAAACTATGACGTTTCATATTGAACAGCGAAAAGCATTTTGATCTACATTGCAGCAAGCGTTGTATTGCCAGTGAGCGAATGAAATCCTTCGACGCAATTCACCGTATGTATATTCTGAAACATATGCTAATCACCACCCCAACAGTCTAGCCTACATATCGTCACCGATGAGCAACAACGAGATGCCACCGAACTTGGAATTGTCTGTCAAGCAATTGTGATATTGACTAATGGAGCGGATTGTCTCAGAATATATACCGTTACCAGACTGTCACTCAGAAAGTCGAGAATCGAACAGCATATCGCTTTCAGTGCGGATCTTGTTGATAGGCAAATGGGCACGATGGCTACAAAGTGATCCTTGCACTTATTTTGGGTAGGGCTTGTAGGACTATCGTCTACGCGGACATGACAAAAAACATGAGTTTTTTCTAGCGAGACCCGACAGTTGCAGGCTGTATGTTGGCCAATTCCCGAGTTTATCGAAGCGCAGTGGCAGTCGCAGCAGGGCGACGGGGACGGAACTCCAGGACCGATTTGGTATTTTGCCTCACGTCCAATAGGTGATTGTATTGATCGTCAGGCCTTGACGTCCCATCGGGCAGCTGGAAGTCATACCGCATCAGAATCCTGCTGAGCGTTGCCTTCAGCACGTTCACGGCAAGAAAGCGGCCTGGACAGGCGTGTGTACCGGCGCCGAATTCGAGGGAATCAGGCCTAATATATTCCATAGGTTAGCTGTTCAGTTCCGTCCCCGGCCGATCGAGCGGAGACCACTATTTCTTACCCTGAAAAGACATAGGTAAAGCGATTGGAACCATCCGACGCTCTCTTCTTTTCTGCCCACTGGAAGGGATCAAACGCCCGCTTCTTTCCCCCCTCTTCGATCACGGAGTATGCAGTTCCGGGAAGGGCAACGTATGAGTTGGCCGGGAGGAAGACCCCGTTGGAAAGGGTCATCGGTTGGACGATCTTGCGGTAGACGGATACTGATGTGCATTATTAGTATTCGACTTCAAAGTAATTGGCATGCAAACAGAGGCCTACAGCAATTGGCATGATGGAATTTCTGCGATTCCTTGAAGAAGGAATCCATCAAGTCCAGGCGAGAAAGCTGGAGGGGGGTCAGGTTGGCATCTCCATTGCTCTCCTGCATTAAGCCAGCAACTTCTTGTCTCAGGGGTTCAACGTATTGTGGGTGGGCGGCAATGTCCAGAAGGGCCTGGAGTAGCTGTCAATGAGGTCAGCACTCGCAATCCTCGACATAGACCCCATTGGAAAGCACCACGTACAACTCGCCCTGTGCTCTGGACTCCCGCCAAGTTGGCCATGCCCATCCCCTCTACAAGGAGGTCTGTGTTGGCACGCTCACCAGCTGCATTCTCAATAAACGATTGGATATAGTCGGCAGGAGGCTTAAAATCCGGGTTCTTCACGGCTCTGAGACGATCCTGGACGCGAATACAGAAACCCTGCGTGAGTCATCAAAGAACGACCGCAGTAATGCCACAGAAAAAACAAACCTGATGCATTGAACGCAGAAAAGCGTAGACTCGATTGCAGAATTGGCGGAAACGGCGCGTCTCCGGGAGGATAAGATTCGCAAGCGGCTGCAAAGGCCCCGGCCATTTGGCAATAGCGAGGGCCGCGAAGACGGCCACTTTCGGGAACTCGACACAGAGACCCAGCTATATTGAGAGGGTTTCATCAATCACAGAGTTCGTGTGGCAACGAGTATTGGGACTCACCCATTCCTCGTTACGAGCCGCGTCAACCCCAAGATAGATCCTGTGGTAGACACGTAAAAACACGCCGAGAACGAGGTCGTTCACATTGATTGAACGGGGCTCTGCTCATGAATCAGTTTTACCGTGCTTTTTCACGAATCTAGTCTGGGACCTCACCTGGTCCCTGCCCCACTGCTCGATCAAGAGCCAAATCAATTTCCTGATAGACGCTGTCGATCGTGCGATTGATATTCTTTGTCAGGAACCCTTTGGCATAGGTAACCGTAGTATGCGTCCTGTCGCCTAAGTGAAAGGTTAATCGGACAGACGACCTAGGGAGTACGAGATAGGCCCTTGATACCTGGATCGTTAGGATATAGAGAGCCCAGCTTCGTGTACCTAGGATCAACGTCAGCTGTTAGACTGCGCGTGTCCGGGCCTACATAGTAAGACGTATCCGTACCTCCCCTGAAAGCGTTCACAGAGATCCACAGCCGAAGCTTTGAGTGGTCAGCATACATCCGTGGGAATCTGGTAGGGGCAAATATCATACAAACTTTATGCTCCGGCTGCCATGCGTACTCATTGACAAATTTGGGAGGCAAAACAAGGACATCGCGAAAGGGGGTTTGGAGCACGTAGAGCCGGTCCGGATCCTCATATGCTGTTAGTTCAGAGGGCCCCTCATGGGATCAAGAAGAGCGGTTATTACCTCTGTGTATTGGGCGTCAACAACTGCCTTATAGTTGAGATCCTTTGGTGTTTTCACGACAGGAATTGTAGATGGGTAGCGGACACGAGTCCGGTACTTTCTAACCACGGCCCAAGCCAGAAGAAAAGCCAGGGCCAGCACCTGCCATAAGAAGTTCATTTCCTCTTGCCGAGTGTATTGTGTGTTGTGTGCTGGAAAGCACTCTGCTTGAGAGAAAGGGACATATTCCGGGTATATATGCTTCCTGGCCTCGGGTCCAATCTCCAGCAAGGGGGCAGGCAGGGGCTGCACACCGACTCCTCGGTCAAGTGTCGACAGTCCCTGGCTTGCATCTTCGTAATTGTATACTAGTGACTTGCACGCGCCATTAAAGTCAGTATTTGTACTGACAATTACACATCAAGTAGAAGACTTTGCCTGCGCCTACAAATTACTCGTACCGGGAACTTTACACGAAAATAATATATGGATGTGATCGTGGCGTGTTGAGAATTGCGAAAGTATGGATTAGGGATTGTAGATGTCGTCCAAATGCCCGACGAGCCAATCATGATAGACATGTACATTAAGTGTATGTGCTGCGTACGTATACCAGGACTGGGATTGTCGCGGAATGTGCCCCATGCTTGTCTGGTTCCCGACCAGAGCTCCATTCGTCTGGCAGTCATTCCGTCATCGTTTATGACTGGGTGACTTTGGATCGCGCCAGAGAAGTGCTTGGCTACTGCAGAGATATGCCATCGAAACATCATAGAGCCTCAAAGACGGGCGGGAATACGTAACACACGTGGGCCTGATTACACCAAAAGTCTACCTCCGTTAGATTCAATGATCGACCCCGTCGTAAACTGGTCCTTCATAACGTAAATGTACGCTTCGGCCACGTCCTCTGGCTTTCCCACGGTCCCCGTGGTTGAAGCCTTGCGAAAAGAATCCAGCATCCCGTCCAAATTCTCCTTCGGGAGCCCGGAGAATAACTCCGTGTGCACCGCGCCTGGGGAGACAATGTTTACTCGGAGCGGCTGCAAATCCACAGCCATGCCTCGCATGGCCCCTTCGATTGCCGCTCCCCAACTGACCATGACCGCCCATCCGCGCATGGGTTTCTGCGTGTTGGATCCGCCGGTGAATGTAAAGGAATTTTCCGGGGAGAGATCCATATAAGTGGGAAGGATCTTCGCCATGAGCAACGGTGCGGCGCAACGAACAAGCCCAGCACGATTGAAGGAGTCGATTGTGAAGTCCTCGAGGGGTGGGAGTCTGAGCGCGTCGCCTGCGGTCCACGCAATGTGGTTCAGCTTGCCGGACTGGCTGGCTGCTTTCAGTAAGTCTGTCAGGTTTCGTTCCAGATTCTCACTGTCCGACAGATCACATGCGTGAGTTGTAAGGGGGTTTGTCTGGAGAAGACCCGGATATGTGGGCTGCAGTCGGGCGGCGGCTTTGTCAAGCTTGGTCGGGTTCGAACTGGATAGGATCACTCGGGCTCCGTGTTCAACAGCGGCCTCTGCGATGCAAAGGCCTATTCCCGATGTTGCTCCTACGACAAGGACGCGCTTGCCACTCAGTTTACCAACATACTTGAGGTTGGGTGTGGACATGATGTTGTGTTGGGCTCGTGGAACGCCAGGAAGACAGTGGGATGGAAAGGTGAATACGACAAGTGTGTCGAGTCATTTCATTAAACCGAACGGGTCAGTCTTAATCCCCTTGCTCATGCCTATGGGGACAACCTGGTGACCGCTGGCATACCTGTGGTGACGTAAGGGCGTCTTGCAATCCACCGATAACGCTGGAATGTCGAGATATCATGTAGCATTCCGCACCTTTGGTCCTGCATTTAAGATCTTGGCGGCAGAAAAGGCACCGGTGGCTTTAGCCTCAGCCTAGTGACAGTCAACATAGGTCCCTCACTTCCACACAGAAGGAATGCCCACCCGGATATCCCGGGAGTTGACGCATCGATGATTCCACGAGTGCTGCAACCAGCCACCCGGCTGAAAGCTGCACAACGCGAATGGTGGATGCGGGGGATCTCTTCTCTCTCAAAAGAGCGAATAAGAAGGAAAAGGACTGATCATGATGATATCTTCAACCTGGTACGATGATGTTTCGACATATCGACTCTGGCGATAAAACCCCCCAGCAGCGACCGCATCCAAGGGGATTGTGCAGCTGGCTATGAGTACTAGCCAAGAACAGATGTGATTGACAACCATGCAGCTATTCCTCTCCCTTCTTGGCCTTGGCAGTCTTGCCAACATCGCCCACGCAGGCCTCGGCGCGTTGAACTTCCCTGGAGGATTGCCTTTCCTCTTCAATGGCGCCGCGCTGATCAACCATCCTAATTGGACTAGCCAGCACCCCCGAGATAGCACCCTGGAGGGTGCCAACTTCTTTTCCTATGTGACTGATAAAGGCTATTTGAGCTTCGGCTGGTATGGACACTTCTCCGCCCCCTTGCAGGATAAGTCGCTCGTTCTCCTCCAGGGCAGAAACGGTAAGGAAATGATAACTGATCGGCAAGCAGGTGGCTGAAACCATCGTCTGATACCGACTATTCCCATTGTAAGCCGGATTCATCCGACTTCATGTGGTATGAATGGTCGGACAAGATGTACGGATGTGACGACGAGGGCTGTAAGGCGCATGTTGTCAACTACCTGGTTGCCAATAACAGCGAGCCGTCATTTGAGACAGACTACGTCTTTGGTGTTGCCAATCTCGCAGCTCCGGAACTGGGCTCTCTGAGTAAAAGTTACTTTGACGAGAAGCAGGGAGCCTCGGCGGTGGCGACCCGGCATGTGCTCTCCACGGCAGCCACAACCGCATCTGACTGCTGCAAGGCACTGAAGACCTTGCGCGGGGTACAAAACAAGTACAAGATCAAGCTGGACTTCGAGCTCGTGGATATCTGTCCACAGCAGAAAACGGTGGACTCGTGGCATCAGGGTCAAATTCCACTAGGTGGCGGGTGTGATCTCGATGGAGAGTTTGGCCACGAGCTTCGTTGAACCAAGCCATTTGGCTTACCTTAATGCTCATAATCCCGCTTAACAACCCATCAAATAGCCGTCTCATGTGCAACTTTTACCGTTTTTCTCTGCGATGCAGCAGGAGAAGCTGAATCGAGATGGGCTTGGCGAAGACTGATATAGGTATCTGAAATTCTACACTTATGCACACCAGCTACAATTTAATGTCAGTGTCTCAGCCGGTTGTTGATAAAGGATATTGAAATATATCGCGTTTACTATGGGTATGCAACTAGAGCGCGCGCTAGTGTGGAATGTTCCCTTATGGGATACGTCATATACGGTGTAAATTTGTCCATCACACGAGGCAAGGGTTTATTGTGGCTGTGGGAAACCGCAGACGTCTCCTTGCAGTCCATATTTGAGGTAGAGCAGATCTTGCCGGAGCTTCGATGTCCTGCGAGGCAGTCTCGCCTGAGGAGTAAGTATTGAGCCTATAAGGGCCTTGCTGACCATGTACATACCACAGGGAACAAGGGTCACTTTTCTTTTGCAGCTCTTGATATTCTAGTGAATCTTGAACATGACGAGAAGCGGAACAGAAGATGACATTGCGATTATCGGCATGGCCTGCCGTGTCCCCGGCGCTGACTCCTCGTCACAGCTGTGGGAGATGTTAGCGGCGAAGAAGGACGTCCGGAGGAGGATTGATCGATTCAACATCGATGGCTACTATAGCTCCCGAGAGGAAAGGGCTAAGGGCCTCACAGATGTTCAGCACGCCTACCTCCTCGACCAGGATGTTGACAAATTCGATCACGCATTCTTTGGTATATCGCCCATCGAGGCCTCCGCAATGGATCCTCAGCACCGGATGCTGCTCGAGGTGGCCTACGAAGGAGTTGAAAGCGCAGGCATTCGCCTGGAGGACATCCAGGGCACTAACACCGCCGTGTATGCCGGTAAGTGTGGACCTAACTCTGCAAGCAGGAGGATAGTGAATAGAGAGGCTCATTGCATCAGGAATATCGTGCAATGATTACCAGGCATCCCTACTGAGAGATCTGGAGCATCTACCCAGATACGCGGCGACGGGGATGCACAACTCAATGGCCGCCAACCGCGTCAGTTACTTTTTTGATCTGCATGGTCCGAGCATGACAATCGACACGGCCTGCTCGTCCACCATGGTAGCCCTGAACCAGGCTGTCCGAGGACTGCAGGGAGGAGAGTCCGGAATGGCTCTCGTGTGCGGCTCTCATCTCATCCTGAACCCGGACATGTTCGTCCACATGTCCGAGCTTGGCTTCCTCACCCCAGGCGGACGGTGTCGCAGCTTTGACGCCCAAGGCGACGGCTACGCGCGCGGCGAAGGCTGTCTTGCATTGCTCCTGAAGCCACTCGCGCAGGCGATTCGGGACCATGATCCGATCCGCGCTGTCATCAAAGGCACCCAACTGAATCACGACGGCAAGACCCAGGGTATTACCCTGCCATCTGCCAGTGCCCAGCAGCAGAACCTGGACACACTTTACCAGCGCTGTGGAATCCCTCCGCGGCAGGTGCAATATGTCGAGGCTCACGGGACCGGCACCGCCGCGGGCGATCCGATCGAATGTGCGGCACTTGCTCGCGTTTTTCGTCCCTCCGACACTCCCGAGGACAACACCCAGAGACTGGTCATTGGATCCATCAAAAGCAACATCGGCCATTTAGAGTCTTGTGCCGGGCTGGCGGGAATTATCAAAACCGTCGAGTCTCTTGAGCGCGGCCTCATCCCGGCCCAAATGAACTACGATACTCCCAATCCCAAGATCCCCCATGATAGACTGCTGGTCCCCAAGGACACTATGCCATGGCCAGCGACGCCAGACGCGGTGCGCCGGGCTGGGATAAACTCCTTTGGATTCGGTGGCACGAATGGACATGTCATTCTGGAGCAATATGTACGCCAGGAGGACATGCAGCTCACTGCTCCCTATCGGAGACCGTATCTGTTCAAGGTGTCGGCGGGCAGTGAGATCTCGCTGCGAGGGCTTGCAGCCCGTTATGCTACCGCTGTTGATGAACTGTCTCCACATCTGGTGGATCTTGCATTCACGTTGCTGTCTCGACGGTCTACACTCAGCAAGACCGTCTACTTCGTTGCCTCCTCGGCGGAAGAGACAAAGAGCCATCTTGGTCAAATCGCGACGGGCGAGATTCAGCCCGTATCCTCTTCCCCAGCTACCACGACAACCATGCTGTGGATCTTCACGGGCCAGGGGGCGCAGTGGCCGCAGATGGGAAGGCAGCTGCTGGATTGCTGCCCGCTCTTTTCGGCTGTCATCCACGAATGTGACAGGGCACTGGCATGCCTGCCCGATCCTCCTGCCTGGAGCCTTGTAGCCGAACTGCTCCAACCAAAGAGCTCCTCCCGCATCCAGGAGGCAGCATACTCGCAACCGCTGTGCACCGCCATTCAGATTGCCCTGGCCGAGAAGTGGCGAAGCTTTGGCATCGCACCGACCGCAGTGGTTGGGCATTCCTCGGGGGAAATTGGGGCGGCGTACGCGGCAGGAATCCTCAGCTTGACAGACGCCATGGCCATCTCTTACTACCGCGGGCTCTTCGTCCATGGCAAAGACGAGGGACCAAAGGGTGCCATGTGCGCTGTGGGGCTGGAGGAGGAGCTGGCGCGCCAAATATTGGTCCCTTATGATGGCAGAGTTAGCCTGGCTGCCGTCAATGCGCCCACAAGCTGCACTATTTCTGGCGACGCGGATGCGGTGACCGAGATACATGACCTGTTAAAAGCGCAGGGAAGATTCTGTCGAATGCTTCATGTAGATACCGGTAGGTGCCCCTGACTCCAACATGATCGAAATGCTAAAGCTGGCGCAGCCTATCATTCCCACCATATGCTGCCCGCCGCATCCCGTTACATTCGTGCTCTTGACGCTGCGGGGATTCGCGCATCCTCGTCCCCAGCACGATGCAAGATGTATTCGTCAGTGTCAGGGAGGCTACTTGACCCGGCGGATAATACATCTCAGTACTGGAGGGACAACATGGTCTCTACAGTGCGATTTACTGACGCCATCAAGGCAGCGGTCGAGAATCATTCGCCATTCGGGTCCTTCTTAGAGATTGGACCCCATCCAGCCCTCAAGGGCCCAACCGTGGAGCTCTTGTCCACCTTGGGCATCAGAGAAGCCAGATATTGGGGATCGTGCTCCCGTGGAAAACCGGACCTGGAAGCCATCTTAAATTCAACTGCGCAAATGATCCATCACGGGTTCCCAATTCGGCTGGACCAGGTGAATAGCCCCCAGCTGGGGAGTGAATATAATGGACGGGTCGTGACGGGCCTTCCTGGATACGCCTGGGATCATTCAGTCGGACACTGGGCAGAATCACGATTGAGTCTCCAGGTGAAAAACCGCTGCTTTGCTCGATGTCCTCTGCTGGGGGCGCGTATGCCCGGGGATAATCCAATATTGCGCTTGTGGAACAATATCTGGAGGCGAAAGGAAATGCCATGGATCGAGAGAATAGAGGTAAGCTTTGTTATTTCGTGGCCACCGGCGACTGGTATGCTTAATATCTTGCCCAGGAAAACCATGGAACAAAGGTGCCCCAAGCAGCGTTCATCATCATGGCGCTAGAAGCCACGCAGCAGATTATCGTTGAGGAGCGATACTCAACCACAGGGATCTTAGCCCTGGAGAGTATTGATTTCCACGGGCATGTTTCGCTCAGCCATCTGGAGTCAGAATCAGACAATCCATTCGAAACCAACCTTCGGATGCAGCGCATCACTTCGACCACGTATGAGTTTTCCATTGTCGGTGGTAGTGCGACTATTCCCTGGCAGCAGATCTGTTCCGGTCACGTCAGTCTCAAAGCATCCATTCCGGCTGCACCAACGCAGGAATCTATCAAGAACGGCGACGCAATGAGCAGTGATGGCATTGCGGGAATTCAGATATACCATACCACAGAGTCCCAGGTCAGCGGCGCCACTACCATTCCCTTGGCAGACGAGGAGACTGGGAGCTGGGACCCACTGATTCTGGAAACTCTCCTCAGGCTCAATGGGAAGATATTGGGTCGGGGTCCCGTTCCCTCTGAGTATGACTTGCGGGCCATCGAGCGACTAGCGATGCCTATCGCGTATCGACCTTCGCTAGTCAAATTCCACACCAAGGCCGCAAGAATCCATGAAGCCCAGGGTGTTGGTGAGATACAGATCGGGGATACGGCCAAGTCCCCTCTCACGATAACTGGGTTGCAGTACCAATTCCAGAAACGTATCCAGGAGGAACTCCCCCTGGACTCCCTCTTCCTCTGTCCTACAATCCTCCCGGATATAAGCTGTTTGACATCCGTGCCACAGCAGCTGTCTCTTGGACATCTCTTGACCCTGGTCTGTCACAAATGGCCGATGTGCGACATAGCTCTGGTGGGACTGAACGAGGCTTTGCTCCGGGAGGTTCACTCCCAATTGCCTGAGGCAGATCCTTATCATCGCCCAAGCTTCCGCCTGGTGGATGTCATTGGAACCGAACTCGCATGGAATACATCCCGCTGGTATTCGCTAGACCACGCCAGACCAAAGACGCAGTATCATCTTGTTCTCGGAACCGTAAGCGGGATACGCAGATGTACACCCTCCCTGCACCGCAAGGGACTTCTTGCTGTCACTGTGCACGACGAATCCGACGGCGAATGGTTCGCGTCAGAATTCGACAAGGTGGCCGCATTTGATGGCGTGGGATCGACTGAATGGGCTGTCGGTCAGCGTCGGACCGCACTGCGCAAGGAAACGCCGATGGCAGATAAAACGCTTGTTCTACAATGCGAAGGGACCAAACTTGTACCTTCCGCAAGAGACCTGGACTTTCAGCCCGTGAACTTTCACTTACCCGCTGTGCGGGAGCAGGTTGAGGAGCGACCTGATACTGAGCGGCTGGATGTGGTTATCCTGGACATGGCGCAGCGATCGATTCTTCTAGACGTCCCAGGGGACAAACTGCTTCCGACATTGCAGTATCTGATTCCACGGACCCGAAGTCTCGTATGGGTGTCCAGTGAGACGGAAGGAAATCCATTCCGCCGCGTCGTGCCGAGCTTTCTGAGAACCCTGATGTCTGAGTATCCGTCGCTACGAGCCTTAAGCCTGCTGATTTGCGGCGAACATTCCATTGAGACAATTGGAGCAACGATCCTAGATGCACAGCAGGATCTGCTTATGGGAGAAACTGAGACTGACATGATTGTCAAAGATTCCCAGCTTCATTTACTTCGGTATCGTCCGGATGACGAGCTCGCAGCTGCAGTGGGCCGCCGCGAGCCCCGAGAATCGGTTATTGAGGCTTCTGGACTGGAGCTGACGTACGATATTGTGCCAGCCGAGCCAGGAAGCCTTATGGCTGTTCTTCATCTTCCCCAGCTCGTGCAATGTGCCACCACAGGTACTGTGAGAGTGCAGATTGATGCATCCGTGATCGATCCTTGGGATTGCCAGGTAGTCCGGAACCATCGTGCCGCTACTGTCTGGCCGGGATTTGGTCACTTCTTCTCGGGAACAATCATTTCTTCCAAAGGTAGCCACGACATTGCCGCAAAAAGGGTCGTTGGCTGGAACTCGGGGGCGCATAGCCGCCATATTACTGTGCCGGCTGCTCAGGTGTGGCCCATAACATCAGACCTAAATCCCCATCAGGCTGCTGTGCAGCTTGCAGTACACGCAATTGCTCTTGCTGCTATCCGAGGCACGGCTCGATGCCTCCCGACTGAGCGTATCGCGATTGGAATACCAGGTGCCTTGGGCGATGCTTTGCGCAATGTCTGCCGCGTCATGGATCTTGCGTTTGAAGAGGACGAGGTTCAAGGGCATAGGTCGATGGGAGATAAGCTGTTCCGTGTTCATGCTGACTCGGGCAGCTTGTCCGTGGACAACACTCCTGTTGACATAGAGACATACCTCAAGGGTGGTGACCGCATTCTCGCCGAACTTGCGACTGATCGCTTTCAATTAAACTGCCAAGTTCCAGCTTTCCCCATCGCAGACTACCAAGAAGCGTTCGATCATGCCGCAAGCAACCGAACGCCCACAGTGTTGTTGCATGACCATACGCGCACTCAGATTCGTGGCATTATTACTTATCGCCAGCCGCATAGTATATTCAAGCCCAATGGAGCCTACGTTCTGCTGGGCGGCTCCGGTGGACTGGGACAGCACCTGATACGGTGGATGGTGCGTCAAGGCGCTCGGCATCTTGTCATCGTAAGCCGCAGCGGGATGAAAGCCGAGGATGAGCGATCCTTGCGTCGCGATATCGACGTTTTTAATGCCATACTCGAAGTCCGTCGGGCCGATGCGACTAAACGGCCAGATCTCGAGGCTGCTCTATGTGATGTCCGCGCGCGAGGCAAGATCCTCGGGTGCATGAACCTGGTGATGGTACTCCAAGACAGCCCTTTCGACAGCATGACTGGGGCGCAGTGGGACATGGCCCTGGAAGCCAAGGTACAATCCACGAACAACCTCCATTTGGCGACTCTTCAGGATCCTTTAGACTTTTTCATTCTCTTTTCATCCATCGCCTCCATTGCAGGGAACATGGCCCAGGCGAACTATGCCACAGCAAACGCGTATCAGAACTCCATCGCTGCTGATCGCCGTGCGTCCGGATTGCCAGGCATGGCGATCGCCCTTGGGGTGATGACGGGCATTGGTGTACTGACAGACGAGCAGAATTTGCTTCAGGGCTTTTCTCAGAAAGGCATGACTCTCCTGTCTCCCGATAATCTGTGCAAGATCGTCGAGACGGCGGTGCAGGCGTCCCAATACTCTGACCGGTCGTTGCTCCCCGTCGGTTTCGATATGTTCCAGTCGCTTGATGGTGCTATCCAGCGCCGGGAAGACCAACGGCAGCTATTCTGGGCGGAAACCGCGGAATTCGGCTTCTTGTTTGATCACAAAGTGCAGGAAGAGGATAACGCCGTCGTCTGTTCCCTAAGGGACCAGCTCCTGGGAGGCAACCCCGGTCAGGGTCTCGAGGCCCTTTTGAAGGCTTTCCTCGCCTTTCTGGGCAGCATTCTGGGCTACGAGGCAGACAGTCTGGACCCCAGCCGCCCGATGGCGAGTTTTGGCCTGGACTCCCTGAATGCCGTAACATGTCGTTTCTGGTTCTTCCAAGAGCTTGCAGTAGACGTTCCCCTCTTCCAGGTTCTCGGCGCAGACTCGGTGACAAGCCTTCTCCAAGACATCCGTCAGGAATTCCTCGCCAGTCACGGTTCGGCGAGCGACACGACATCTCCCTCGACTGCTTTGCCGATGCCAGTGGCACAATCCGCCTCGGGACCTCTCATGGTGAGACCTGTCTCCCACTCTCAGCACAGAATCTGGTTTCTTCAGCAGCTGCTCACCGACAAGACGGTGTACAACCTCCTCCTCGTCTGCCACATCGCCGGGGAAATGGACGTGCCGGCCTTCCTCGCTGCGTGGTCGACGCTGATGAAGCGGCACGAGATACTGCGGTCTTGTATTTCAGACACGGCCGATGGGCTGCAGCAGATCCCGAAAGACAGTGCAACATTCCCGTTGACAGTAATCAAGGCAAATGGATCCAAGGAATGGCGAGACGTGGAGGCGGAGGTTACTCGCTTGGCCCGCGGTTACGTCTTCGATCTGGAAGGCGGCGATGTGATCCACGGCTGGCTGGTCCAAAATCCTGCGGGGTGGAAGTTCTATTTGGCTTCGCACCATCTGGCATGGGACCGATCGTCGGTGCCTGTCATCTTTGAGGAGACAAGCCATGTGTATCAGAACATTCTGGCCGGAAGGTCCCCGGAAGCAGAACTCTCTCCAGTCCCATACCAGTTTGTGGACTATACGCTTTGGCAAAACGAGGTGTTGGAGCAGGAAAGCCTGGTCAAAGGATCCTTGGAGTACTGGATGTCAGAGCTAGATGGTATTCCCGACGCCATCACCCTTCTGCCCTCGGCATCCGTCGCATCCAGGCCCCTCGTGCAGCAGTACCAGACCGATACTTCCTTGATTTCCTTGGACGCCGCCTTGGCGAGCCGGCTCAAGAGCTTCTGCCGTGAACATGCCGTCACCCCCTTCATGTTCATGACGGCATGCCTCAGCATTCTTCTGCATCGTCTCACAGGCGACCAGGACATCCTGATAGGAATCGCCGATGGCGACCGTAGTCACACGGCATTCGACCGACTGGTGGGATTCACGGTGAACATGCTCGCCCTGCGCTTCCGCATGAATCCCAAGGATAATGTGCATGACTTCTTAGGCAAGGCCAAGCAGACCTGTGTACAGGCCTACAAGCACCGTATTCTCCCCTTTGATTACCTCCTGCAGCACCTCAATGTCCCCCGTGCCGCAAGTCACAGTCCCATCTTCCAGGTCATGGTCAATTACCAGATGCAGGCCGCATTTCCTGAGTACGACTACGGCACATTCCGGTTCACGGGATACGACCACTATAATGCACGCCCACAGGCCGACTTCTACCTCGAAATCGAGGAGACAGCACAAGGGGCGCTGGACTGCTTCTTCCGCTTCGATACTGCTCTGTACACGCATCAGAGCATGACAGATCTATCATATCGCTACCAGGCGCTCTTGGAGAGCGTTCTAGTTGCCGATGGGGAGGACAAGCTGGGCAGTCTCCATCTGCTTTCGACGGCCGACCAAGAGCTGGTCCACCGGTTTCTGCGTCCAGAGTATCGGAACTACCCGACTCCTGTTGAGCTCAGCCACGACCTCTTTCTGGATCGACTGCAGGATGCTGTCCACCACAATCCTTCGAAACTGGCAGTTTTTGACAAAGACGAAACTCTCACATATCAAGACCTGGACGAAAGGAGTGACATGGTAGCGTCTGCGCTCCGTAGGCACGGCGTCCTACCCGGAGACAGCGTGGGTCTTGTCGGTGATGCTTGTTGTTCTATTATTGCAGCCATCTGTGGAGTGCTTAAGGCCGGGGGCGTTTATGTTCCCATTGACCGAGAGTACCCGCTCGAACGAATTCAGAATATGGCTGCGGATGCAGGGTTCCGAGCATTGCTAATTAGCCAGCTCAGTGAATCCGAGCATCAGAAACTCAGAGGTATACCTGGCACACAGTTGATCAATGTGCAACAGGTGTTGAGCTCGACATCGTCTGATTATGCCCTCCCCTTCCACCGGGCGGATGCATCGGACAGCTTCTGCGCCGTCTTCACCAGCGGCACCACGGGCAAACCCAAGGGGATCTACATTGGGCAAACACAGCTGCGTTGTGAGATGGAGGGATGTCATCGTGTTTTCCAGACGACCAGCGAGGACAGGTTGCTCCTATCATCCTCGCTCACTTTTGACATGCACCTGATATCTGTCTATGGGTTCGTTTTGTACGGCGCTACCCTATGCATAGCTGACCGCGAGACCATGTTATCGCCGTCGTCGATGGTGAACTGGGTGGTTGACTCTCAAATCTCCTCCCTGATGATGACACCTACGCAGGCCCAGCTCTTGGTAACGGCCCCGAATGCCGACCGGCTGCGTACCTGGACATGTCTACGCAGCTTTAGTCTCGGAGGAGAACCGGTTGACCCTTCTGTTGTTGGTCGCCTGTACGAGCTAGGACTGCCATCCGCCTCCGTCTACAATGCGTACGGACCCTCCGAGACCACTGTAGGGGTTTCCATCCACCGGTAAGCTTCTATTTTGGGTAAATATCTCAGGCCTCGTGGCTGACCAAGATCTAGGTTCGACAGTACCACCATCCATCAAGAAGTCAGCGTGGGAGGCCCCATATATCCCTCGTCATTTTACATTCTAGACGAACACTTGAACGAGGTGCCTCCGGGAACACCGGGAGAGCTGTATATTGGCGGTCCCACTGTGAATGCGGGTTATATCAACCGTCCAGAGAAGACAGCTGCTGTCTTCATGAACAATCCCTGGGCCACCGAGGACGAACGTACCCACGGGTATGACCGCCTCTACCGCACAGGAGACCGTTTCCTTCTCTCCCACGATGGCAAACTGTACATTCAAGGGCGAGTGGCTGGGGACCGTCAAGTCAAGATCCGGGGCATGCGCACTGAGCTTACCGAGATCGAGCAAGCACTGTCAAAGACATGTCAGAACCATGTATCGTCCCACCAAGTCAGCTTCGTGGCAGTTGCGCACTACAAGACCTCGACAGATGGAGGTACATTGGTCGCCTTCATCGTGGCACCGAAGCTGGCTGAGGACGACCTTTCCACCCAGCAACAGATCCGCTCCATAATCCTCTCGGACCTCCGATCTAAACTTCCATTCCATATGATACCGTCTGCACTTGAGTTCCGCACATCTCTGCCTCTACTTGTGTCCGGAAAGATTGACTACAAGACATTGCAATCCTGTCCCCCTCCGTCGGCTAACTGCCACGACTGTGGGATAACGAGTAAAATGGTTGGCGCGAATGGTGCCGAGGCAAACTTAACACCTTTGCAATCTCGCGTTGCCCTCATCTGGGCATCTGTCCTTGGGGGCAAGATAGCGGCAGATCAGGTGGATCCCGAGGCTGACTTCTTTTCGGTTGGAGGCCATTCACTACTGCTTTTCCGCCTGCAGTCAGGTATCACGGAGGACTTTCAAATCTCCATTCCGCTCCGGGAACTCTTCACTGCGAGCACCGTCGCGGCCCAGGCGACACTAATTCAATCCACCCTACAAAGCCAGCAGCAACCCAGCTCCGGGTCCACCATCGACTGGGACTCGGAGACGGCCCTTCCCAAGGGTTTCCCTGCCCACGTTCAGCCTCTCCCTGGCCTTGGTCAAGTCTCCGGCGATGTTGCCCTGACCGGTGGTTGCACAATGATAGGAGCGCACTTCGTCCACCACCTCTTGACGACCACCCCAGCGACGGCGCACTGCCTAGCCATAGAGGCAGAGTCTCGCGAAGAAGCGAAAACTCGACTTTTGAATGCCCTACAGCAGTGGAATCTGCTCCAGGACCTGGACGACGAGCACACCGGCCGTCTTCTCGGCTACCCAGGATTCCTCAGCCACCCAACGCTGGGACTATCCGAGGACCAGATCCAGTGCGTCGACGAGGCCACAACAGCGCTTTACCAAATCGACTCAGAGGTCTCGCTCTTCAAATCCTACGCCCATCTAACAACCTCCAACCTCGGCTCCATCCGATTCCTCCTCAACCTTGCCACCAGAAACCCCCGTCGCGCCAAACCGCTGCACTATCTCTCGACCTGGGGCGTACCCCATCTGCAATCGTGGTCCGACACGGAGCTGCCGTCCCGCACATGGGAAGCCGGGCCCGTAGCCCTCACGCACATGCGCCCCGGGACAGACGACCGGCTGGGCTACCTCAAGTGCCGCTGGGCGTGCGAGCGGCTGCTATACCGGGCGGCCGAGCGCGGGTTACCCGTGTCGATCTTCCGGCCGTCGATGTGCACGCCGGCGCCAGGGCGACGAACCACCCTGGCGCGCACCGACATCAACCGACGCATCCTCGTGGGCAGTCTGCAGGTGGGGATGGTGCCGGACTTCAACAGCGACCGAGGCGGCGGGATGAGCTGGATCACGGCCGACTTTCTGGTGCAGAGCATTCTGTACCTGTCGCAGCGTGCGCCGACGGCGGGCGACACCCCGCTGCAGATTCACCACGTCGTGGCGCCGCAGCACACGCCCTACTCGGGCGTCCCGAGCGCCCTGTTCCCGACACAGTCGTCGCTGAAGTCGGTGCCCCCGCGCGACTGGTTTGCGGCCTTACGCGCGTCCCAGGACCCCGAGATGGCCATGCAGGCGGCGGTCCTGGAGGAATGGTACTCGGCCGGGTGGGTGTCGTTTCCTCTGGAGTCGTCGGAAACACATCGGCGGTTGTGTGAGGCAGGGATCGTGTCTCGCCCTGTTGACAGTGAGATGCTGCAGGACCTCGTGATCGGAGATGGGAAGTTCTAGTCTTGCGTGGACCTCTGTCGTTTATCTCACAATGGCTACGTCTGAGATTAAGGCCACGTGTGCCGCCAGTATATCAGAAAGGCATGATGATAGTGCGCCATCTTACCTACTTACCCACAGACCCGAATTAACACAGTGATTGTGCTGGCTATACTTCGCGTAGAGTACAATATATTATCTGGTGAGTTGTACATGTAGCTATATCTTAACTTGGTGTTTAATCTGAACGGGATGCTGAGCCCTATAAATTGCTATTTCATAGAGAAAGGTCTCTATAGGCTCCGGTTTTAATAGAGCGGCTTGATCGTTCACCCGCGTTTGGTTGATTCATCGGTCAGATCAATATATCCACAGATCTTTTTTTTCCAACACTCCCAATAACATCACCACGAATCGGAACATCGAACCACCACTTGCCACGCTTGATCAATTCAGAAGCTACACCAACAAATGACGCAGATTAAAAGAAAAGACATTTCCCTAATGAGTCGGCATAATTAATGCCAAGACGCCTCGCCTTGGGAACCCCCGAAACCAAATTCCCAACAATCGATATCCAACTGCACTGCACATGCTTTCTACAGGGATTGGCACTTCCATGGCTTTCTGGATTATTTCCCATCGACCAGGCCTAGAAGTACAATGGTAGCAGGTAAGTGGTGCCAAGTGATGACGTCCCTCGTTAGGAATGGACCGTAGTGGAGTCACGCACGCGAGGGAGCCTATAAAACACGCCTAAGCAGCAGCCAGTCCACATGGCAGGCAGCATTGAACCTGGAAACCCCAAATATGCCGTCGCAACGCTGTCCGCAAGAGGCTACGGCTACAGGACCCGAAGTCCGCAGGATTCACACTAGCGGCGTAGTGGCGGAGCAGTCTTTAACTCCATCGCAAAGCCCGATGCCGTTAACTCCACCTCACGGCTGGTGAGGTATTTAAAGGGGGGGAGGGACGGGAAAGAGTTGGATGTGTTAATCGATGCTAGTAGTTGAGTTTCCATCTGCCGTTAAATTTCATATCAATCATCCTATCCTACTCAACAATGGCTCCCCTAGTCTGGTTCATCACCGGCGGCTCCTCCGGCTTCGGATACCAACTCTCGCTCCACGCGCTAGCCGCCGGACACAATGTGATTGCGACCGTGCGAAACAGGACGAAATCAGCCGACGCAGTGACGGGGATCGAAGCGCAAGGAGGAAAGGTCATCGAGCTGGACGTCACCAAGGCGGAGACGGTGCCGGACGCCGTGAAAAAGGCAGAGAGCTTCTACGGCCGAGTCGACGTTCTAGTGAACAACGCGGGGTACTCGCTCCTCGGCGCGATTGAAGACATGACGTATGTACCTATCTATGACCTGACAGGGACGCACGAGGCTGACAAAGTTGCAGAGACGAGGAAGCCCAGGCACAATTCAACACGAACTTCTTCGGTCCGCTACGGCTCATTCGTGCGATCTTGCCGTCGATGCGGGCGCAGGGGAGCGGGACGATCGTCAACGTGAGCAGTATTGCGGGCCAGGATGCGCTTCCGTCGTGTGGGCTTTATGCGTCGAGCAAGTTCGCGCTCGAGGGTCTCTCCGAGTCGTTGGCGAGGGAGGTCGCGCCGTTCAATATCTCCGTGTTGATTGTTGAGCCGGGGGCGTTCCGGACGAACTTCCTCTCGTCGGTGCAGAAGACGGAGACGGCGTTGTCGGTGCCGTATCGTGGGGGTCCTGTGGACGACATGCTTGGGAAGTTTGACAGCGCTCAGGGGAAGCAGAAGGGCGACGCGGAGAAGGGAGTGGCGAGGATCTTTGAGGCTGTGACTGGGGAAGGGGCTGCAGGGAAATTGAAGGGCAAGGTTCTGAGATTCCCTCTGGGTCCGGACTGTGTGGAGAGATTTGAGGTGAAGCTGAAGAGTCTTACAGATGACTTGGAGGCTTCGCGGGAGGTGGCTATCAGTACGAACATTGACGAGTGAAGGGTTGCGTGAATTAGACCAGGTTATGAAATAATAGAGCTTGAACGAGCGATGTTTATGAGCAACTTGAAGCCCACCGAGAGATACAGTATACTTACGAGATCAAAGGCCTAATTGCCTTTTCAAGGAACGTTATTCACTCCACGGGGGTTTGGACGATATGGATATTGAAAATAGTATAGGATATTGAAGTGACAATTCGGGCATCCTATTATGTATGTTGGCCACAGTGACAATGAACTCGACTGACCGGGTCCATGGAAAGTGGATCGCGAGAGCTACTATAGCTTGTAATGATGGAATTGGGACCACTGTGAGCTGGAATCTATATGCATTGGTCTGTTTTTAAGAGTTGCATTATACAAACATCGAACTCCCGAAATATAGCGCAGGAAAATGAAGAAACTACCAATGATGACCATCCTGCCTAGGCTATTCTTCCAAATCCGAGAGATTCGAGTCTGGGTCTGGAACCGATTCCCCGTCCTCAGACCACCTGTCGTCCAGCCTGCCCCCCAAACGATGCAGGATGGTGACGACGGGTTGGATATGCTCGTTATCGGGAATGAAGCGATCAACACCATCAAGCTCCGTTAACTTGGACGAGGGGCTCGCTTGTAAGGCGCGTAATGCATTCACCTGGGCGTCGTGCTCCGCATTCGCCCCGCTTTCATATCCCCTTATCGTAAGAGTCTCCAGATTCGGCGGCAGGTGATCGACCAGATTGAAGTTTTCGATGTTTGGCACGAGAATCCCCCGAGCGAAGTAGTTCAGAAACCTCAACCCCATTTCTAACGTCTTTAAAGCGTGGAAATCTCGTAATGATCCACTCTGCTCCCACAGCGCACCTGGTAATGCGAAGTCCAACGGGCTGGCGCTCATGTCGTGTCGGCCACCGAACCGATCAAAAACCGCCTCCACCTCCTGCTCCTCTTCCGGTGTCATGTGATCATCGAGAAGCCATTCGCCGTCGATATCCATATGCAATCTATCGAGAGTTGTCTTGTGCATCAACATCGCCTGGATAAATGTCTTGGGGTTGAAGATAGGGAAGCCGTTTCCGATACGCCCTCTTCCTCCAACGCCGTACGTGAATGACCTAAGTTCCTTGGACGATAAGGTCACAGCTGCCATGTACCTGCAATCGACCGAAGAAGTCATCATGGTGATTGTGCTGAAATTTGTGGATGCAGGCTTCAGCCAGGAGACATCGTACATGATGTCTTCCTGTGGGGTGTCCATTACAATACGCGCCGGAGCTGGCAGAGGGCTCTGGCTTTCTTCGTCATCCATGGTATCCGCTGCACCTGGTTGTTCAGACGTTGACAGGGGGTGATGACTTTCTGCGTCGTCCATGTACTCTTCATAGGCTCTCATCATCCTGAGGAAGGGGGTTGTGGACAGTATGGGCTCCATCGAATTCGCCATAATTTCTTCGACGGCCGGGAACACTCTGAATAGTGCCATGCACCTAGTGAAGTCTAGGGGGCAGTAGTACCCCGGCCAAGGATCTTCACGAACATCCTGATCAGTGGCAATATAGACGGACCGCAGGTTCTGTAGAAAACGCTTCTCGGGATTGGCGTTTATACGGCGCAGGAAGCCTAGAATTGGGAATTCCACGTTCTCTGGAAGAATGGTCGGTTCCCCGTCCTGCAAGTATGTGGCGAGAGATTGGAAAGGTGCCGGGATGCGGATATACTCCACATTCGGGGAGACGATGATAAGAAGCAGCGCCAATACCTGGGCCATATAGACCCCATATGACGAATTCTGCCTGTTATTATAGAGTATTAGAGGAGGAGATGTTCAGTTGCCGGGAGCGTACTAACATGCGTTGCTCTTCCCAATCTTCAGCCACGGCCGGCGGTGGTCGTAGCATTCCCATCAGAATGTCAATTTCCGGAGCTGGGAAAGCCGCGCGTTCAAGCGCCGCTCACAACAGCTTGATCTCCTCGGGGTCTAGGTGGTGGCCGTTGTCGGAAGGAGCCAAGTGCATACGGATCAGGGTGAATCTCAGGTCCGTGTGAAAATGAATTTCGCGCACATAGCGACCTATACTGGGCCGCTTCAAGATCTCCAAGAGCCGGTTAAAAGTGCGATTCAGGCTGTCCGGCTTCGGCACGACGCGAAGTCGCCTGTACTCCCGGCGCTTGCCCATGTCACAAAGGCCGTGGAAAAGGCGACATGAGGCAGACAAGGCAGCGACATCACGATTGGACGGCAGGAACGAAAGGACGTTCGCATGGACCTCCGGAGGAAGCCGTGTGAAATGGGGGGATTGATCCATTTTCTCGAGCAGCTGTCGCAGGTTGGAAGTTTTTAGGGACGAGAATAAGCGGTGTCTAGTCCGCCTTTTAAGTTCTGCCTTAGTGCCTTGGCGCCAGGGAGGTGTCTGGTCCGTGGTTGACTGTGTTTGTGATACATCGTCGGGGCATATTAGACATGATTGATCTCAGGAAATCAACGACTCGTCAACCTTCTCCGATCTTTCTCATGCACGGAAGAATTTGCCCCCAACCTGATGCTATGAGATACGGCGATGGTAAGGCACTAAGGCACTCATGTCCCAATCGGGGTAGCGGCGTTGCGGGGCGTACCCGAACCTAATCCCCATTGGGAAAGTTGTTTCTTTCTTCTGCGTCCTTTTAAGATGATATCGGAATGCAAACCACCTAGTACTACACTAATCTTCCAGTACGAATTTGCTGGACGAGTTTGTATACGCACTGGAACAAGTGTAAACTATTTGTATCAACACCGAGAACAAAGCAAACCAACAGAAAAACGCCTAATCTCAAATAGACCTTTAACCCTCTTCTAAATACATCTAGCTGATCCATGATGCTGGATTGCCAGCGCCGCCCCCCTAACAAACAATTCAGCGGTCAACGTCGGGCGGCGCCCCGCTGTACCCAAACTTCTTGAGATGAGAGTCGCACTTGCGAATGCGCGTGCCGCCAGTACCATACAGCAACTCGGGCTGGCCGCCATTGCAGTCACCGAATTTCATCTACGAAAATTGCACACTGTGTCAAGTTTTGATATCTATCTGGAAATCACGTAACTATATCAGATTGAAGACTCCGTGTCTAGGTCCAAATCGTTGAGGCTTTCTCGATTCCCCTGAAATTTGATCTTTGGTTTCCGGCTCTGGCCCACCAGCGCCTGCCGGCCAGTGAGAGCCGACGATAACCTCTCATTTCCCCAGTCTAATATCCACATCAAAATGACTAGCCCCCCACACCGAGAAATGTATGTTTGCCGAACCATAGATTATGATTGCAGCTAGACAAATCGATTCAATGCGGCCTTCGCTCAACATCCATTACACAAACAAAACCATCATGTCGCCTTCGCAAGATGGCTTTCCTCTCAGCCCTGACAGCCAAATACCAGCCACTACCACACAAGAAGAACATCACCTCCTGCATCGCTCCCTCACCGAGAAGCTATACATGGTAGAAAGAGCCCACGGGGTCAACCTCCACCTCTCCAATGACCAAACTGTCCTAGACGCCTGCGCCGGAGCAGCCGTTGCCATAATCGGCCACGGGAACGAGGAAGTGCACCAGGCGATCATCGCTTAACTCCAAAAGGTCAGCTACGTACACATGCAGTCCTACACGACCGCTGCGGCAGAGCAGCTGGCAAATTCCATCCTCGAGGGGAGCCCATACGGCCTTGAAAAGGCGTTCTTTTTCGGAAGCGGCAGCGAAGCCGTCGAGTCGGCGTTGAAGCTCGCTCGCCAGTATTTATTGAAAAGGGCGAGCCGCAAGGAATGCATTTTGTTGCCAGACGGGCAAAGTTATCATGGAAATACCCTAGCTGCGATGTCGCTCTCGGGTAATATGGCGAGGAAGGTGCCCTGAAATTTGATCTTTGGTTTCCGGCTCTGGCCCACCAGCGCCTGCCGGCCAGTGAGAGCCGACGATAACCTCTCATTTCCCCAGTCTAATATCCACATCAAAATGACTAGCCCCCACACCGAGAAATGTATGTTTGCCGAACCATAGATTATGATTGCAGCTAGACAAATCGATTCAATGCGGCCTTCGCTCAACATCCATTACACAAACAAAACCATCATGTCGCCTTCGCAAGATGGCTTTCCTCTCAGCCCTGACAGCCAAATACCAGCCACTACCACACAAGAAGAACATCACCTCCTGCATCGCTCCCTCACCGAGAAGCTATACATGGTAGAAAGAGCCCACGGGGTCAACCTCCACCTCTCCAATGACCAAACTGTCCTAGACGCCTGCGCCGGAGCAGCCGTTGCCATAATCGGCCACGGGAACGAGGAAGTGCACCAGGCGATCATCGCTTAACTCCAAAAGGTCAGCTACGTACACATGCAGTCCTACACGACCGCTGCGGCAGAGCAGCTGGCAAATTCCATCCTCGAGGGGAGCCCATACGGCCTTGAAAAGGCGTTCTTTTTCGGAAGCGGCAGCGAAGCCGTCGAGTCGGCGTTGAAGCTCGCTCGCCAGTATTTATTGAAAAGGGCGAGCCGCAAGGAATGCATTTTGTTGCCAGACGGGCAAAGTTATCATGGAAATACCCTAGCTGCGATGTCGCTCTCGGGTAATATGGCGAGGAAGGTGCCGTATGAGGGGTTCGCGTATCCACATGTCTCGCATGTTTCTCCTGCGTATGCGTATCGGTATAAGAAGGGTACTGAATCGGAGGATGAGTTCACAACGCGACTGCTGCGAGAGCTGGAAGACTAGTTTATACGCATCAGTCCGGAAAAGGTCATTGCTTTCGTCGCTGAGCCTGTTGTTGGTGCTACCTCGGGATGCGTAACGGCGCCACGGGGATACTTTGCGCGAGTCCGTGAGCTTTGCGATAAGTACGGAATCCTGTTGATCTTCGACGAGATCATGTGCGGGGTCGGTCGCACAGGATCTTATTTTGCCTTCGAACAAGAAGACGCCGTCCCTGATATTGTGACTCTCGCCAAAGGTCTGGGTGGCGGGTACGCCGCTATATCCGGCGTCATGGTCCACGAAAAGGTCATCGACGTTCTTCGACAGGGCAGTAACGCGTATAACCATGGGCACACGTATCAGGCACATCCGATCTCCTGTGCTGCAGCGTTGGCAGTCCAGAAGATCGTTCGCAGGGAAGGTCTGGTGTCGCGATGTGCGGCGATGGGTCGCGTTCTGGAAGAGTTGCTCCGTACCGAGTTGGCGAATTGTTGATCTGTGGGAGATATCCGTGGTCTGGGTTTATTCTGGGCTGTGGAGTTTGTACGTGACAAGGCATCAAAGGAGACATTTGATCCGGCTGTGAGATTCGGTCTTCGCGTTCAACAAGCTGCGTTCGAGAAGGGAGTAGCTGTCTATCCCGGTGCAGGCTCGGCGGATGGCATCCGAGGTGACCATGTTTTGTTGGCGCCACCCTTCACTATCACCGAGGACGAGCTGGAGACTGTTTGTCGGTTGTTGTGAGAGGCTGTCGAGTCGCTGGAAAGCGAGGTTTATCAATAACCTCGCTCGAGCGATGCCTATCGTGTCCGAGGTCATGATGTTAAGGGCTCGTGGCATAATATACACAATAATAGATAGAAAATAAGGCAGTCGATGATGCCCAAACATTGGGCAAATGACTTGTAGCAGCCCTCACATCGAAACCTAGCTTCCTGGTCGATAATAGTCCTATTAAGGCCTCGACCCTCTTCTAAGCCGTCTAGCCGGGAGAGAAGCAGTTATTTCCCAAGTACCGATCGGAATTCTTCTATTACCTGACTTTCTCCTCGTCTCTCATCCATCTCCCTGCGTAATCATTTCAGAAAATTCCTCTCAGCAGGTCTATTCCGACGTGCAGCTGCTAAAGTCGGGGCGGGCGCGTAAAACGCAGGGAAGATGCAGGGGAACGCCAACACGAGCCAATCCCCGTATCTTCGCAAATTAAACACAGCCTATAGGCGCCAACACGCATGGGCCTACTCCCACCCTCATATTAACAGGGTCGGCGGTTAATTGTGGGCGAGGCTTTTTCAGTCCCCTGCATGTCCTGGGTATCGATTTATCATAAGTATCTATTCCCGTCAGCTGCAATCCCGGCGTTTGTTTGTGCTACACAGCCCCTCCATCTGTTTTTGTCGCCCTGGACCATCGTTTCTTGTGTATCCTAGTTGATCTCGACAAACTTCTCAAGATGCTCGTCTCCGAGAAAGTCAGAGAAATTGCCCTCGTCTGGTTCACGGCGCAGGTTATCATCTTCCCAATAATCCAAGCGACGAGATGCTTCTGGCGAGACAACAGCTTAGCTCTGGACGAGTACGAACCGTGTTTTCCCACTCGAGCAAACAGCGGCTGTTGCGGGACCAACAAGAAAGGCGACCAAATCAATGACATCTGCTTGTCGAATGGGCTGTGCTACGCTCAGGTTCGTCCCTACACGGGCCTCATTCTACAGAACACATGTACGGATCAATCATGGAAGAGCTCGGATTGTCCGAAGATCTGTCCCGAGGGTAAGTAGACCTCTTCGCAGATCAGACAAACCTCGTCTAACACATGATAGATATGCGCACCACGTTCGGCATCCACGTCCTTCCCTGCCCGAGATACAGCAATAGACATTGGTGTTGCAGCTCCAACGGCTCCGACTGCTGCGACAACGCCTTCGAAATGGACATGGGCACGTTGATGCTTCCGTCGGATAACGCGCCGACAACGGTCTCGGGAAAAGTGTCTACATCAACCGCGACCGTGTTTTCGACAGTGACGAGCAAAATCAAGACGCCTGGCGGGGGGAGTGACGAGGACAAACAAAAGACTACTCTGGTTGGAGCTGGTGTGGGCGCGGGGCTGGGCGCTTGTATCTTGGCAATGGCGGGCGCGCTTTGGTTCCAGAGACGGATGTACGAGAAGCGATTGCGAGAGTCGAAGGCGATTCAGGCACAGACGTTTGACCAGAACTATGCCCCTGTGCGCGTGATGCCGCCGGCTGAATTGCCCCCGAATTATCAGCAGACTGTCTATGAGATGCCGGCTGGAAGTCCCGGGGGGAGAGGGTTGTTTATATAGGATTTAGCTGTTGTAAATATTGATGATTGAATGACAACGTTTAGGCCATTAGGACTTGTTCACCCGTTTATCTAGGTATTTTGCTTTTTTCTTGTCTAGTTCTTTTGAGTCTGGTACAGTTCATCAATGATCGGGTTTATCCAGAAAGCGACGCTTACGACCAAAATATCCATTCAAATGGTCGATGAGAACTTAAAAACGCAGTATTCAGCGAAGTTCCATCCCATTCAAACCATTTGGCATGTAAACTTAACGCCCAATAGTCTACATGCGCAGATTATTACTCAGGTGCGAGAATCCCATCGAGCGGCTAGAACCGAATCCTGACTTTATTAATCCTGTTGGAGAACATCGTCCCACGATGATCGTCTCCCGATCTATCAGATATCCTACGCCGCCGCTCAAAACAGCCCCGTCACAAATTAAAATTAGACAAAAGCAAAGCCTGGACGGACTCAAATTGCCGCAGTCACATTTTGGCAGCGTCTAGTTTCAACCCTCGCGGTAATTGGCTCGAGACTCGCCCACCAAAATGCGGCGCAGGAGATGCCTCCACCGAACCCCTGTCAAGAATGCATCGCTTTCTTGGCAGCTGACCTTTTCCCCTCAGTTTGGAGACACTTTACCAGCTAAGGCAGGCGAGAGAAAGCATCACCTCTCGTTGCAGGCCAGTAGCGATAATACAAGGTCCGCATTTCCCCGACCCGTCAAGTAAATCAAGTTCTAAGAATAGCAAATACTCGCGGGCACCTAGTCTAGTGATAACCCCTGTCCAGCAAACCCGCCCTGATTCATGCCCAGAAAGGAGGGAAATCAAACAAAGAGACACAACCGACGGCCAGCATCAGACAAATTAAACACATAAAAAACAAAATGAAAGTGTCAAAACAAGGCACAAGCCAACGCTCCGACCACAACCCAAACCCTAGCTATGGAGTAGACTCCACCCGATGAACACTCTTCCAAAACCGCGCTACCTCCTCCCCATGGCCCGTTTCCTCCACAGTGGGCTCCCACTTCCTCTCATGCGCCTCGGCCAGGCTAAGATACGGCAGCATGGTCTCGTTCAGCCTATAATAGGGGGTGCGCGGGAAATTAACCAGCAGATCGCCGGGGTGAATTTGGAAATGTGGAGATGAGCCTGCTCTCCAGCCTTCGTCGTCTGGTGTGCGCGTGTACGCGTTGAACCAGCGCGGGGGACAGTATACCGTCGATCGAGCGAAAAAGTCGTGGTCTTGCACGAGGTTGTTTAGGGCTGAGAGGTCAGATGATAGGGGGTCATGTGTGGTCGGGTATGCGATCGCCGCGGAAAGCAATTTGATGGACCACGGATGGACACGGATGAAGAAGACGCTGTTTTTCATCCCGTTCCAGTCTTTCGTGAGGAGGAGGTTGATGTGGGAGAAGTCCGGTGGGGGGATGAATGTTTCAAGTGGCAGGTTGGGGTTCATGAGGATGGTGTTGCTGTCGAACCAGCTGTCGGCGGCAGGAGTTAGTGGTGCGGTAAGGAATGGTGTTTGGGGGATGTTCGAAGCTTACAATAGCCATTTTACACGCTGATGGAGGGGTTTCTCTAGTTCCTGGATCATGGTCGATAGAAGGATGGCGTATTTGTTCCATCCACCACCGAGGACGGAAGTGCGCTGCACAGACAGCGGATAGCCATGTCGATGACTGTGGTCTCGGTGTGTGTCTAGGGCTCGCTCGAGGAACGGGCTGTTGTCATATAGCATGGTCACCTTCGCAACGGTTGATGGAGGGTAGTTTGTAGTGGGAAGAGGAAGGCTGGCTAAATCGATTCGATAAGTATATTTGGAAAAAAAAGAAGGAATCGTATGCTAACACACCGTGACTGAGAAGTAGACTGTACAAGCAGAACATCCCCAGCAGGGCTTGTACAACATAAACGATGCCGCTGGGTTTATTATTTCGGGTCCTGAGTATCGGAAGCTTGGGCATCGTGAGCGTCGAAATTTCCAGCTTTTCGGGAAACATCTTGAGTGGTATTCAACATATCGACTTCTGGAGGAGCGTCGTGCTGGGATATAAATCTCAACTATCTACTCACACCCTATTACGGCTGGAGGAAAAGTACGATCAAGGCTGACAGAGACACCCTGGTTCATCTGAAGCGCCCAACTCAACTCCAGGCCCACAAATATAGGCCCTTGCTGGGATGAAGACATGGATGGTTGCCAGGGTCCATGGCCGGCGGTAACGAGATTAATGTGGACTTCAGTTGGCGGTAAGAGTTGAATATGCCTTTACTATAGGGGATTGACATCAGGGACTACGGGTGTAATAAGAGTACCTTGCTTTGCGCCTTATTCCTGTCCATAGATCCTAATGTGTTTCAGCTAAAGAGTATGAGTAAAAGAAAGAAACACACTTAACTTGCTAGCTTCAAAACCTAGCTTGAATGCACTCCATCATTCCACTCCCCTTGAGCGGTAAAAACGGGCATCGGTCCCACAAGGTAAAAAGAGAGAACATTAGTTGTGGCTCCGTGGAGCAGAAACTTGATCATTGTGGATGATCGCCTACAGCATCATTCGCAATTGGCCAAATGCAACAATGTGCAAGGACCTGCATGAGCGGTTCCACCGACCTCCAGGGGTGGCTGCGCCATGATAGGCTTCCCTAGACAGCGTCGGCGGCACGGCAGCACCCCCCACGTTATTTGAGATCATCGGCTGGCTAAAGCGCGCTGAATCACTACACCGTGTAGGTTGAATTCATGCTGGATTTTACTGCTTTGTGATTCGAGCTTCTAAACAGAAATATCTCGTGTAATCCGTCTTAGGAATGGAAAAGCGAAAATTCCTTCCATGTCCACAATACTTTGGTCTCAGTCTACTGGTATTTCACAGGGACAATTGTTTCTCAGGTTGATATTGTTAGTAGTAATCCAATCGACTTCAAATCTCCTCCATCTATTTCCTTGTGCCACAGAAAAGTCATAGACTAAAATTTACAATATCTTAGATGCCTGAGATCCAGGCTAAACAGCATTTCGCCGCTTGCTTGCAACTAAACCTCTAAAGACTTTTTTTCTATATCATAAATGAACAATTCGATCCTCATTCAGTCAAAAAAATTGCTTTATTCGCTTTGATGACTGATTCTACAAGCAGTATCTCGTCGGCTATCAGAACTTTATAATCAGTAGATCCTTGCCCCTAGACCCGACAAATATATTGTCTCAACCCGAGCAACAAAGGACCTCAACAAAATAGCACCAGTTACAAACATGCTTCCCTATAACCACCCCCAAAAGGCGCCCAAATAAACAAAGCACAAAACAAACTCAAATCCTCACCAAAGCCCTCTCATGTCTATACCCGTCATCATCATCCACCAGCCCCCTCACAGTCTCGCATCTCTTAAACCCGATCACAGGACGCTTCACCTTAACTTTCGTCCCGTCCGGCTGCGTCCGCGAGAACCAAATATAGCACAGCCCAGGATCAATCACGAACCAGGTGATTTGGAGGGTGTAAAAAATGAAGAAAAAAGTGCGCGTGGGGGCCGTGTGGAATCCCCACACCAGCCATGATAGGAGCGCTGCGACCATCGCGGTTGTGAGGATGATGGTTCGTGTTATGGAGGAGAGAGGGGCGGTATAGTTGACTTCCGTCATTTTGGAGGCGCAGGGTTTTCAGTTTCCGTAAAGAGGGGGGAGGATTCAATTTTGGGTTTGTTCAGCAATCATTGTTGACTTTAGATGGATTACGGGGAGTTAGTTAAATGATTTGGGTCGGGTAAGCTAGTTGAGTCAGGGGAATGACGTCATGGTGTGGGCTCGGGCGTTGTCCGTTGAAAGCCTTGTGGTCGCGGTTCTACTCCGTCTGGTTTGGGATTTTGAAATTGAGCGTGAGAAATAAGATGCCTATATCTACGGATTATTTTATTTCTTTCCTAGCTTTTGTAGAATCGGGAGATTTACTCAGTATCCAAGGGGTTACCGCTACTCTTCATCCAAACAAGCATTCTTGGCATATCGGCAGCCCTGGGTGGCATTAAAATGAAAAGTCTAGAGGACGTTAAGATCATTCAACTAGTGACTTACAACATTGGGATACTACTCTATGACTCCCGTTCTGATTACTGTATGTGAATAGCAGCCATAGAGCGAGCTCGTGGCCTGTTGGTGCCTGATTTTGCAGATGGATGTTGGCCCCAAACGTTTGAAAGCACCATGTCTCGGAACACAGCAGGACCATTTCTCAGAGTCATTTAGTGTAAAGAATTAGTATGGTGCATTTAATAGATGCTTGAGGGAGGTATTCATTTGATTGCGCTGCTATCTTAACCCCCGGAGATCTTATAATATGCTGATTCTTTCCCTAAGATAAAACAAAAGACTAAAAAAGAGCCCTCCACTGGTTTTAATTGAATCCTGCCAGATGCTCGAAATACCTGGCAAATTCCGCATCATTCCGCAGCAACTCATGCTGCTGCGACTCCAGCTGAAGAAAAACCTCATATTCCCTCGCATCCCCCTTGCTGAAATTCGGCAAAACCAACGCCACACCTCCCGTGACCGGCCGATGAGTGCGAAACGCAGCCGGCAAGGACCCAGTCCCAATGTCGTACTTCTCAGCAGTTCCAGAATACCAACTGTTAACAAGGATGTCCATATCGTGGAAATTGACATGATAGCCCAACGCCTCGTTCGGGGCTAGAGATGCCACCAAGGACGCTAAGCCGGCGGCCGAGTCTATGGTTACCCCCTGGATGGATTTGCGGATGGACGACGCTGCAATTGCGAGGCCCTTATCCGAAGCTAAGGACTCGCTGCCTGTCGGACCTGCGCGAGCAGGGAAGACGGAGTTTCCGAAGTACTGCTCCGATGTTTTATTCTCCGGGTCTCGAGAACGGAGGTCCACGGGGTTGATGCAGGTCGTTGGGCTTGTGTTCTTCTCAGGCTGGAGCTGCAGCCGGACTCGGGTGATTGAGGTCCAAAGAAGAGCTGAAAGACAGTCGTAGGAGGTGACGTAGTCTACCCCGTCGAGAGGTTCGCATTTCTGTTTGAGCTCCTGCAGGGAAGCGTCGGTGATTCCGTAGATGCTGGTCTGGAAAGGTGGTGGCGATTTGGGGATGAATGTGCCCTTCTCGATCACATAGCACAGATTCAGTCCTTCAGGGAGGCTGTCCTTGGGAACAGTGAATTGAGCGTTGTAGGGTGTCCGGTCGAGAACTGGAGTGTACGTGGGCATCTCGAGGTCCTCTTGGTGTGCCTTACTGCCTTGGCATACTAAAGACAGGAACGCGTCCATGGATCCCCAGTCGCCCACCACATGATTGACGGCGAAGCCAAGAATCAAACCACCCTCGATGACACTCAGTTGAAGTGCGCACACTGGCTTTACCTCTGTTGCCAATGCCGGCAAGAGCTTCTCAGGGTCCAAGTCCGCAGGGCTGAACGCGTCACGGGCCAATGCAGAGAACGATTTATGATCAGCGGGTGAAAAGTAGCGGACAACAAATAAATCCTTTCTCTCTCCTGCACTTGTCAAGATGTACGGCTTGCCGGTGTCGTCGTATTCGAGGTTTCCAGCTATGAACGGAACATGGCGGGTTGCATTCTTCAGACCCTCTCTGAATGAAGCGATGAGTTTGTCGAGATCGACGGTGGGCGGAAGCTCATAATAGATGAAAGCTTTGGTCATGATAGGCATTGCTATCCTATCTATATCCGACAGCTCATCCTTGCGCGGGGACACTATGGCAGGGTCCATTGTGGTTTGAACGATGTGAGCAGATTGAAAGGGATTGGTTGAGGTTTAGGTGGGATGTTGATGAGGACGTGGAAGAGGGTGGCATGGACGCTTAAATAGTCGAAGAAAGAGGCTGTCTTATCTGACAGGCACTCTCAATTATATTACCTTAGCATGAGGGACAGGACTGCCATAGAGTCTTCCATCGTTCCCTCATAGATAAAATGCAGGATGTGGCTTAGACAGCCCCACCATATCCCGACCCTAGTTTTGTTGGTCTTTGCCATTTTCTTTCCTGCTTTTTAATATGCTGCACATTTTATTCCTATTTGGGGTTATGTTTGATACATTCCGAAGTCGATGACCTCTGTTCCAAGTGATAGATGACTTAGGTCTGCTGCGATATTTCCTAATCGGAACCCCGACTGCCTCAGCGATCAGGCAGTGAGCGCCAAGCAGGACACGGCTTACCCTAAAGGAGTCCCCGACAACCGAAATATGGAGCCACTTGGGCGATCATTTTCCAAGTCGACTACCAAGAAAAGGCTTGTTCAAACCAATAATCACACTGTAAGATTATGGTGGGAATTGTGTTGCATTGCTTTGGTTGCCGCTTACTCCTTGCTGTTGCCCACGAGAAAATGTTTGCAGATTTTGCACTGTCTTCCTGTAAAGAGACATACAGGTAGACATGATGTAAAACCAGAAAGAAATAAAAGGTAGAAAGAAACAGTCCAGGCTTTAACTAGGAATGGCATCTTTCGTCACGCCTGTCAGAAAGAGCAGCCTTTCTAGAAGCGAACGATCTCCTTCCTGCTCAATCGTTCCCTTATCCAAACCGCCGTTAAGAACATTCTTAAGCTGACTTTTGTCTAATGTGATGATGAGACCTGATTCGCCGGGAGAAGAGAGACAAGACTGAGCTCTGTATGTCAAAATGCCATTGCTGATGATTACCCTCCAATTTTGTTCCACATCGGTCAGGGTGATATCGATCGTAAACGACTTGTTGGTTGCCTTCACACCATCCAGACGTACTGATAGGATAGAAAGCCACTGTTCGACTGACTGATTTGGTGCAAACCCCTGCATAGACCGAGGTGCTGTCTCAGCCTTCTCTCTGGAGTGAAGGTCTTGGGCGCCAGATAGATAGAAATTTCTCCATGTCGTGTTCTCAGCCCCGTACCCCAGTCTCTGAAACACCGATTCTAACAGCCTCCTGGACCCCTCATGTTGGGGATCAAGTGCAACAGCATGCCCGAGCAATGTGGCCGCAAATCTCAAGTCCCCGGCTTGGGAATATCCCTCTGCTTTTCGCACAACCTCCTCAATTCCTCCCATACATTCCACATAGCGCCTAGCATTCTCAACAGGCGGATATTCCCACAAATGAGCAGGGTTCCCATCAAACCAGCCGACATAGCGCTGGTAAATTCCCTTAACATTGTGACTCACTGACCCGTAGAAACCCTGCGTGTGCCACGCTTTCTGTAGTGCTGGGGGTAATTTCAATGTCTCTGCGATTTCGATACCCGTCATTCCGGTATTCATCATGCGCACTGTTTGATCATGCAGGTAGCCGTAGAGATCTCGTTGCTCTGTAATCATCTTCGCGAGATTCTTCTGCCCCCAGGTCGGCCAGTTATGTCCGGCGAATAAAACGTCTGATATGTCACCGTACAACACCAGTGACTCGTCCAAATAGTGCGCCCATGCTTTCGCGTCTCGTACTAATGCTCCACGCAAGGTGATGATATTGTGTAAAAAATGCGTCGCGCATTCAGCGATGTACAGTGCTCGGCGATCGGGGAAGTGAAAGTTCATTTCAGCTGACGCTTCTGTCCCAGGGACCATCTGAAATCGAATCCTCACTCCATCCATGCTCTTCTCCTGACCGGTCCGAGATATGGTCTCGTTGGGCGGAACCAACGCGTTGGTCCCATTAGACACCGCCATGCCGATACCACAACCCAACTGTCCCTCGGGAGACTTGGGTAATCTGCTTCCGTACATGTACATCGCACGACGACGCATGGCCGGTCCAACTAGCATGTTCTCGCTCGTCGCTTCTTCCATGAATCCTTCTGGTGCGAGAATAGGAATATCGGCGGACTCGGGCAGAACGCCTTTTGCGCCACCGAAATGATCAATATGGGAATGCGAGTATATAAGACCCGTCACTGGGCACCCCCCTCGATGCTTTTGGTACAAAGCCAACGCTGCAGCGGAGCATTCGGAGGAAGTCAGAGGATCGATGATGATGATACCGCTGTCTCCTTCGACGATCGTCATATTGGCTAGATCGAAACCACGGACCTGGTAGATTCCAGGCGTCACTTCGAACAAACCCTGTTTAGCGACTAGCTGGGCTTGTCGCCAGAGCTTGGGATTGGCTGTTTCAGGGCATTCCGCGTTGTGGACGAAGCCGTATTCGTCATTGTTCCATACAACACGTCCATTGGTGGCGTGGATAATGCATGGATCGAGAGAGCCAATGAAGCCACGAGAGGCATTCTCGAAGTCGGTCTTGTCTTCTAAGGAAGGTTGATGCTCTTGGTGGGCCATGGTGAGAGGTAGAAGTCTGAGGTGGCGAGTGGTAGTGCAACTGCCAGGGGAAAGTCGCTGCTTTTATACCACTCGGCTGCAGAAGGGCTGTCGTACCAGGCTACACGATAAGGGGCTGACGCAATTTACCCCGCTCACGATTCGTTATTCTTTTCTCAGTATGCCATGGTTGTACCTCGTCTTTCAAGACTATCTCGCTTGGATGTGGATTCTGACATGCCCCGATGATGCGGGGGCATACATTACAGATTTCTTCCCTGAGCCCTCAGTATGTCGAAATAAGAATACATTCTTGCTATAATTTCACTAGTACAAGCAGAAATAAAATTCAACACCTTTGACGTGTTCTTACGATCTTTTCCTTCCGTTGCTACATTGTGTTTACAACGTGTACTTAGACCCCGGCAATCCACCAATCACCAACTCACCCCCGTCAACCATCCGATTACATCTATGAAGCCGAATCGACAATAGAATCACTAGCACAATACTCATACCAGTCAAGCCAACACATGTCAGAATCCCCGGATGGTAATCAGGTGCATCCTGTGACCGATACACAAGCGACCCCGTCATGCCGCCGGATGCGCCTAGACCGACGAATATAGCGCTGCAGATAGCGCGGTGCCACTGTCCGCGGACATTATTTGCCTGTTTGCATTAATACCAGAAGGGTGGAGGTTATGGGAGAAGAAGCTACACACCTGATATGCCATAGCAGCCGGGACGTTGGAGTTCGCGCCCATAGTGATGAAGAAACATCCTACTAGCCGGGGAGCGTTGCCTTTCGCAAAACCCTAAAAGCGACCGATTAGCGGGTACAATGAGGGAATGAAAGTATATTACCATTAATGGAAGGCCTATCAGCGTCAGAATTGCATTGAAGATAATAATCGGCCCACGAATGCGATACTTATCTCCGATACACGAAGTAGTATACATCACAATGCCAGCCGCCGCATATGGTGGCGCGAAAAGGCATAACGACGCCCCTTGGGAGAAGCCCATTCCTTCACGATAGATCAACGGCATGAAGTAAGTTATTGCGTATGCTGTCGTGGTGGTCGAGAAATAAATCAACCCAAACCCCCATATGTTGAGGTCCAAACCCGCAGCTAGGTACTTTCTCAAATTGAACGGTTCAACCTTCACGTCTGCGCGGTCATTTTCAATCCGACGCAAAATGAAGGCGTACTCATTCTGGGTCATGAATTTGCGCTTGCTCTTGGCCATTCGGTCTGGGAAGTCAACTAGAATGAAATAGCTGATGGCAGCGAGAACACAAGTTAGAAGTCCTTGGATTACGAAGATCCAGCGCCAGGCGGAGAGGCCACCGAGGCCGCGCTGTTTCGTCAGTACGGACACAAATGTGGACGTATATGCCGGATCTATTTACCATGTGTGTAATTCCGAAAGACAGAATTCCAGTGAAAGCTGAGGCGACGCATCCGAGAAGATAAAACACAGCATATCGCTTCTGGATGTCATATCTGGTATACCAAGTCGCGATAAGGTACACCGACGCCGGGAAGAACCCTGCCTCCAATGCACCGATGATAATCCGAATTCCGACCATTTGGGACCAGTTCTTCACGAACCCTGCCGATAGCTGGGCACAATCAATACTAGGTTCGATTTGAATGTGGAGAGTGTGCAAATACCATCACGGCACCCCAAACAAAACATATTCCAGATAGATAAGGAATGGGTCCTAACTTCCGGACAAGCAAGGGTCCCAAGACCTGGAGGCAAATGTAAGGCGGGAAAAAGGCCACTGCGATAGTACTCTGCTACCGTTACTGGTTGGAAGAAATGGAGACAGGTTGAAGCACTCATACATATTGCGTTCCAACCAGCTTGAGTTCTTCTTTCATACCAGCGACAGCTGCTGTCCCGAGATTTCCCCGGTCAATCAAAGACACTGTATGCAAGAACCCCAACATAACAATCAATCGGCGATCCACGCGGTGGATAATCCTCCTCTGCTCTTTCAAAGTGTATTCCTCATCCTCATCTATGTCGACATTTGGTAATTTCGCCACCGATTTGACAGGTAAAGCCGGGTTCTCAGACTGACCGGACATCGTGAGTCGTATGCTAATCAGCGGGTAAAAGAGTGAACATGTTAGGTTGCTGATGAAAATGTTAAATATATGTTGGTGCGGTTTTCACATCGCGATACCTCAGTCAAATGGCATAATTGCTCCATTTCTGCAGACATTCATTAGGTGGTTAGAGATCAGCCAGCGAATATACCTGATCCTGCTGCATTGAAATGCGGAGAAGGTGCCGATGGCCATCGGATTTCGGCGTTAGTGTGCAGCGTCGCCAGGTGTTCTGCCTATCGCCGACAACCGCCAATATTAGAGAAAGCATGCCAGCATTTGACTTGATTGCGTCAGTTTTACAGTGTTGGGACTTGTTTTTATTTGTCCCCTTCTGGTGGTTGATATACAAGCTGTCAAACGAATGGGAGCCCATCGGCCCTAAACGCCGAAACCCGACGGTCCCAATTTAGGGAGCATAACACATCTCGGGTCTGTCAATTTCGGATCTTATAAAAGAGTATTTGCCAAGGAGAAAGCGAAACAGTTCATTCCTTGTGAGAGCTGAATTCCTTTGAAGAGAAATAATCAACCATGACCTCCTCCAGCACACCCAAAGTCCAACGCCAGCGCTCCTCCGGCTCGTTGGACTCCTACGAACCCGTCCTCGTTACACCAGTCATAGGAACCGAGTTCCCAAAGAACACCTGCAATATCGTCGATGACATCCTCCACGCCGAAGACGCGGACCGAAAAATCAAAGACCTCGCCATCCTAGGTGCGCGCCCAAGCTCTCCCCCGATCCCAACAAACCCAACACCACTAACCAACAAACCCAGTCGCCGAACGCGGCGTCGTCTTCTTCCGCGCCCAAGATAACCTCACCAACGCCATCCAAAAAGACCTCATCCTGCGCATGGGCGCCCTAACCGGCCGCCCATCCTCCCACGGCCTCCACATCCACCCCGTAACCAACGACGCGCGCGAATTCGGCGACCCCGACCCCCAAATCAGCACCATCAGCTCCGAGGGCCGTAAGAAGCTCTACAAAGGCTCGGTCTACAGCACCCAGGCTGCCGTTTGGCACAGCGATATCTCATTCGAGCATGCCCCCGCTGACTTTTCATCCCTGCGATTAACCAGCCTCCCCGTTACAGGCGGCGATACGCTTTGGGCTAGTGGGTACGAGATGTACGATCGGATAAGCAAGCCGTATCAGCGATTTTTGGAGGGGTTGACGGCGGAGCATAGAGGCGAGGGGTTTAGGTCTATGGCACTGTCGGGCAAGTTTGAGATGTTTGGCGGGCCGAGGGGGTCGCCGGTTAATGTTGGTGAGGAGTTGGTGGCGATGCATCCGGTTGTGAGGACGAATCCGATTACGTGGTGGAGATCGATTTTCTCGGTTGGTGAGTGCTAGGCTTTCTTCTCTTTGTTGGTTAGTGAGGGTGTGTAGGTACTGATGCGGGAGGTTTGGGGTAGGTTCGTTTCCGGTGAGGATCAATGAGGTGAATCGAAGGGAGAGCGCGAATATGTTGCAGTGGTTTCAGGATCTGATTACATATGGGCATGATCTGCAAGTGAGGTTTAAGTGGAATGAGCCTAATGATATTGGTATGTTCTCGGTACGATCGAAACTGGGTGGGTGCTGATTCTATCTAGCTATCTGGGATAATCGGAGCGTGTTCCATACGGCTACTGGGGATCATGAAGGGTTCGGGGCACGGAGTGGAAACCGTGCTGTTGGGGTGGGAGAAGTTCCATTCTTTGATCCAGAAAGTAAGTCTAGAAGGGAGGACTTGGGAATTACGGATACCTTGGCGGCATGTCATTTTTAAGAGATTCGCATTTTGATTGGGTCCATTCGTTGTTAGTTAGGATAGTTAGATTTCGAAGTGCAGGTCATCGGCCATGTTCATGAAGAACAGATTGCCTGTTGATATCTCATCCATGAGGATGCCATTGAACGGATAACTAATGTTGAAGAACCCGTTTTGTCTCTCACAAGCGTCGGCTCCTGTTCCGTCGAAGAAGCCCATGTTAGACAGGAACTCGTCCTGTAAAGCAGCAGGGTCACTTTGCGAGCTGTGAGACCCTTTAGATGTATCTCCGAACATCGCCCGAGGTTTGTCCGTGAGAGAATAGTCTTGGCGATCTATGTCATTTGAACCACTCGAGTCATTCGCGAATTCCAACACACGAGTGATCAATGACTCCAAAGAATCTCGATATTTCTTCAAGCTCGAGTCGCGCTCTGCCATCACAAATAATGCCGACGATGCAGCTCGTAAGTCATTTGAAACCGTAGCCGTCAACAGTCCTGGAGATCGGAAAAGACAGAAGCTGAGTCGCAGTCTGTCAGCATCTGAATATGAAACTGGAACTTGTACTTACCACATCGTGAGTCCAGCCATAAATATTCCATTGACCAGAAGGAATGAATATCCCGATGAATCTCGCTGTCTGAGTCGTTTAAAGAGCTGGCACATCTGACCTGATGCCTGTAGAGTTCTCCCGATAAGCTCATGGTCGGGTTGTAGTATGTTTAGAAATGGCTGCAATAGCATTCGAACTGAATTGTTCCAATGCATGCTAATGAAGTCTTCTTCGTGTTCTGCCATGCAAGGCAATGTGCTCTTGAACTCTTCCAACGATGCGAGAAGCGGAGAGATCTCCGGTACCAACTCGCTGGGGGGAAGATCCACTCGGTAAACCCTAAGATGGATGCGAGACATAATACGCTGAAGCCGGATTGACGAAATGAATCTTCTCAAATTTGGACCCGGGGGTTCGCGTGAAGAATCGGTTGGGTTTAACAGAAGATATTGAATAAATCCGTCGTCGGTAATGGTGTCGTCCAAGTCGGCTGGTAATTCTGCATCGATCTCCTCTTCTGCAATACTGAATGGTCTACCCAGAGACCATGAGGAATATCTCTCCAGAATGTAAACAGTCCAAAAGATCCGACGATGCAGCTGTGCATGATACGGTGTTTGTTTTCGATAGTGAGCTTCTCGATGAAGGCCGTAGTCTATGCATATACGCAGTGCTAGGCCCATCATGTACCAGACTTTCGACGATGTTGACGAGCGTAGATTGTAAAGGCAGAGGAGGGTCATTGCCTCTGCTCCGGCTAGAGTCAGAGACTCGCGAACGGATGAGTTGAACTGCAGTGCTGTTTCATAGAAGGAGCTTGGTGAGCTCCCAGCATATGCCTCTGTCATTTGTAGATTCGCGGATCCAATGGCATAAACCATAAATAGCTTGAATCGGTCGAATTGAGCCTCGGGGTTTGTGTCAATCGGTAAGTTCCGATCACGATGAAGCTTGAGAATCTTGGAACGGTCAAGGAAAGGTAACCTCATATGCATGTTTTTTAAGTAGGCATCCAGTATGCGCGAGCCGACTTCATCGTCAGGAGGAGCTGCTTTGTTTGCGACAAAATTATTGGATGCATCCTCGGGTTTATGGCTCGCGTCAACCGGTATATCATCCATCCATGCTGTGTCCTGAAGCAGGCGTCCTAGGCTCTTCGCGATCGTTCTACCAGACGATGGTCCCAGATAAGTTGATTCAGAGTCCCTAAGACTAACCAGAGGCACAGTCCCGGGTTTATTTCGTTTCAATAGTAGATCCGGGTATTCCCTCCCATCAATCTCAATGGCACTATCAAAACCCGATAGCGGGCTGGATACTTCAGCCAGCTGAGACTCAAGAAGCTCGATTCGCCGAACAAGTGCATCTTTAGACATCGCGTGGTGCCATGACAAGGTAGCCTCCGACCGCAGACATGGCTGATCTGCGGCTTCACACCCCATACAAACTGGGAACCCAACACACCTCTGCTTGCGACGATGGCACCGACGACAAGACTTTGGGATACGTTTGCGGATTCTCGTATCTGTTGCCATGGGGTTTCAACTTTTGCACGTATTGGTGCTGTCAGCAAACGGATCTTCTTCCCCGCACTCGGTGGCTATATGCCGAGGCGCCAATCGGTGATTGTGAGGCCATAGTGATGGGGCAGCACGTCATCACGCTATGGATGCATTATTAACACATGCACGAACAAGTAGTGCACAGCATTATATTGATTTTCGGCTCGTAATCTTGAAAAAAAAAAAAAAAAAAGAAAAAAAGAAAAAAGGAATTGTTGCAAACGGTGAGATTACGCTTCCACGAGGACTAATAGCTATGCTCTGACGAGCTGGATCTACACGAACATTGTTCTATTTGGAAACGCCACTTGGAGAAAGAGATCAAGTCTATTGTCCCGGTTCGAATAATAGTCCACTTCGTCACGCAATGTATTTACGCTATATGAGGATATATGGTTAACTTTTGTTTAGAAAAGCCATTTGATGCTTGTATTGTGTAGTTTAGAAGACCTGTTCCTCCAACTCAATTGTAAATCGCTCCTTCAGCTGAATCTTATGCTTCTGCTTCAGCTCGTCTCTCAAGAGCGTCGCAATTTCTGCACTTGTCCAGGGAGCAACCATGCCTTTCTCCTTTATATCCCCACGTAAAACAGCCAACACACCGACCGCACAAGGCAGCCCAACCAACTTTGCCATCGCACTTCTAGACCCCGGGGCGATGGGCTCGCCGTACTCAATCAGAGTGCTTGTTCGTGTCTCTCTAACGCCGTCTGGGCGTAGCACATCGAATTTATGCTGCAGCGCAATCATATCCCGCTCCCCAGGACCATACGCCATTTTCTTCTCCAGTACGGCACATAGAGTGTCGAGAGGGGAGCCATGAAGCTCAACCTCCTCGTCACTGAATAATCCGATCCATCGCAACCCGGACACCACGCGTTCACTTTCCTCTTTGGATAGGAAGTGTGCCTTCTCCAGAACAGCGGTCTCCAACTCAGCTTCACTCGTCTCCGGAGATAAACCAAGCAGTCGAGCCGTAAGCTGCGACCAAGTCAAGGGCTCCTTTTCATCCGCACCCAACGGCGCCAGCTGCTCCTGCGAAAAATACCCAATCGTCACCAACGTGCGAATAATCTCCGGAAATCCCTTATATCTCAATGTACCCCGAAACACGGTATCCGCTTCGGGAATGTTATAAAACTCCCTAAACCCAACCGCGTCGCGATTCGGATAGCCGACCAGCTCAAACTGAGGAAAGTCATCATTAGGCTTAGCGCTAGCCATTAAATCCTCGCCTTTGACTTCCGCAATCTTCCCGTTCTCGTACCACTGCCCCGGGTTCAAAAGAGCAAGCAACCCGCCCCGCGGACTCCACGAGAACTTATACCCGAGCGGATTATCCGCATTATCAGGCGCCGGCAACGCACCGCAGTAGCTCGTGAAGGAAGTGATTTTTCCGCCCGCGCGATGGACCTCGTCGATGGTTTTCACGGCATACAGGTGGTCGATTCCGGGATCGAGGCCGATCTCGTTCAGAACTGTGATACCAACCGCCTTGGCTTCTTCGTTGAGATCCCACAGAGCCGGGGAGATGTAGCTCGTCGTCACGACAGGTTTGGTGTGCGTGATTGCGGACTTGACAACTGCCGCGTGGAGGGTGTATGGGAGGAGAGAGATCACGATGTCAGCGTCGGCGACGGCGGGGTCTAGAGCTTCGCTGTTCGCGATGTCAAGTGATATGGCTGATGTGTTGCTGCGGCCGGAAGTGATTGCCTCGGCGGCGGAAAGAGTCCGGGAGGCAACTGTGACGTGGACGCCGGCGTCAGATAGCGCCTGCACTGCAGGTGGGCAGACGAATCCGGCACCGAGAAGGAGGGCCTTTTTTCCTGATGCCATTTTGATGGACCTTTGGGAGTTGCGTGTAGGTGATGAAGAATGTTGTTTGCTTATGGACACAGGCGTGTAAGATATATAGAGTTTTGATTTAAGGACACCTTTATCGAATTGACTTCTTGGGGCCAAATGGAGAGCAAAGCTTATTATAATTGTTGATGGTTTACAGGAATGGTTTAGTGCGCGTTGGTGAGAAATCAAGGCCCAGTGATGGCCAAATCACGCCATTATTGGCTGTGAGTCATTGGCATCGGGGTCTCGAACTGGAAGGTTTTATGAAAATCGTTTCGCTCTCTCTCTACATGGACTCAACCCTATAAAATTATGTCCAAGCTCATTCAGAGGATGACAGGATTACTATTTGGTAAACGTGGGGCGATTGGAGCGATGGGGGCCAAAAGCCACTAGATACAGTGACAATATAGGGCACAAAGGTTGTGTAACTCATAGTAGGCTAAGATAAACGCCAATAGCCATTGCGTTGCAATAAACAAACCTGAGGTAAACCGATTTGCATATATGGGTAATTTCTACTTGTTGAAAATTTTCTTGTGCTTTTTGTGGAGCACCACCAGGCTGGCTTCGATCTCATAAGCCATCACCTTTGGAACCTCGTGAACTAAATAGCAACACAAAAGAAGGAATTCCTTAACAGAACCCTCTGTAAAATGATAATCCTTGCCAGCTAGGGGCTCAAAATCTGATCTTATTAAGCGGGATTCAGATCTACAAGCACGAGGTCAGGGGTATTCCCGGTGCCTAGGGAGATCGATAGTCTCGAATCTGCCAAGGATCAATAAGGCTAGGTTAGAGTGAAAGACGATTGACCGGCTGATCTGGATTCTCTCGGCTACAACAGCTAGACATAAAATTTGGGTCACCGTTCAATTTCTTCTGCCTTTGGCAGAACATAATCACCATGCACTATAGTTCCCGAAACGCCAAGTGGAAAGTGAGGCCCTGACGCTCGCCAATGCGTCGTTTAATCTTACAAGCTGCCAGGTTTTATTGATCAGCCTAAAGAAGTGTGAATTGTTCTATTTTGGAAGGCTCCATTCATGTTGTCCCGGCAGGCATCATTGCTTGGTGCGCTGGGCTATCAGCACTACGTCGGCAAATCGGCCTCTGCATAAAATCCATTAAATGTCGCATAACTACCACGAGTCCCGTTTCATACGAGTTGTGCATCGACTCAATATCAAAAGGCATGTTAAAACCCACAACTCAAGCTAAGTATTTTCATCCCCGCATTCCTTACGCTGCATGGCTTTCAAGGGACGATAAGTTCGCCGTGCGCTGGGCTACATTGGGTTAGGTCACCTTACGATGATGGGTATGTTACATAGGCAGTTTACTTGAGCGCAAGGCTGAGTCCAGTACCATTATCCAACTATAGAAACAAAGAAACACGTATTAGTACGTAGCGCGCGGTACGTACCTCTGCTGACGCCCAGAGCAAATTAGGCTACGACCAGTCCTCAATCTTTTCATGTTATATATTAAAGCTAAGAACGATCTTCGTTTTGTTCAACTCAACACCTACTTTCGGCGAACTCACGATGACAGTCCGTACCCTCTCATCGAGCATGAATTCTTTGCCGAATGAACTGAGTTTAGCTATTTTCTGCTCTCTGTCTTCATTTTCTGACGTTGCGTACTTTGCCACCACCTGCCATCATTACCGCCAGCTATGGACTGAGCACAGCTACATCATCTATCAACATGTCGCACCGCGAACCATTCCATGCCGCAAGCATGCACGAGTGTTGCTCGCCGACCAAGGCGGCCCATCCCCTAGCTCAGGTCATCTATCCTTCCAGCATGTCCTTCAGCTCATCCGCAATGACAAGGTCGTGGAGGGCGGTATTGCTCATTTCAACAACCATTGCGCTTCTTTTATCCGTAACGACGTCGGACTACGACACCCACCTTATCTCACCAACACCGAGCGTCCCCGAATGATTCGGGCGCTTTATCAAACTTGGGGTGTGGCTCTAGTGGACCCGACTGCCAGGAAACAGCGAATCAATGCCTATAAACTGAAAGATTTGGCTGTCCTAATTGAGCTGGGCTGGCTGCCGCACAGTGATTATTTAGAGTCAGATCCCACTATCGCTGACATGCTCCAAGCTCAACACGATCCGTTCGAGTTCATATTTGTTGAAATTTATCCCCGATTCGAGCAGCTTATCAAGGACCTCCACGATCATGAACATGCGGGTACGTGGCATCTTCTGAAAGAATACGGATACCAGGGATATATCACAATGTGGGACGCATACCAGGAGCAGTTCAGGTGCATGACTCTGTTTGGGGGCCTAGTGGAAAAGCCTAAGCGGAGTTGGCCTCCTCTTCCTCCTCCGGACACCGTCTGGTATGATACTTCGGATGATGACCTGGCAGAAGGAGTCGAGCCGGGAAATGAGCATGGTCCCCGGTCGTTGTGTGACGTCCCGGGTTGTTGTTCCCAGAACCCTGTTATTCCAAGGACAGATGACTCTGATCGTGATAGCTCTGAGAGCGATGATTATTACTCTTCTGATGAGTATTCCTCTGATGGATCTAACCGAGGATCTTCGCGTGGTTCCGCTTGTGAATCCAACCGGGGGTCTTCGCGTGGATCCTCGCGTGGCTCAAGTCGCAGCAATCCTTTTTCCGACAAGTTCAGCCTTAAGAATCCCTTCTCGGATGCCCACGCTGTTAATGATATTTTTGCTATTGAATACGGTCCCACTAAGAACTAGAAGCCCGGAATCAATATAAATTCGAAGCTGGTGACATTAAACTTGTTAAAAAGAAAGTGTAATGCTAATAATATATTTAGGCGGAAAGGCTCGCATGTTGAGAACTAAGAAAGCAAGCAGAGAAAGAACTAGACCTTAAGTGTCAACCTCAATATATTCAGCTTGATACAAAAAGGTGCTGCCTTCATAAGAAGCGATTCCATTGATTTCGAGTCCCATCTGATATGTCCCAAGTGGTATCAAGACTGCTACATTCCTCGCACGGCCTTGTGGTTACCCATCAGTCCGCAGTCACAAATATTTTAGGCAACTGAAAAGCGACCCATAAGAGAAAAATGACGAACAATCGTGGTCGAGCGATCAGATACGCTGGATTTGATTTGACAGGGGTACATGTGCGTATCATTTCGCGGGGGCCTAGGATATTCTTTAAAAACAAATATTTGTCAACCGTGCATTGCATTTGCCCCTTGCTTTTACCAGTCACCAGCCACCCCATATTCTCCCGCCGCCCCCGTCAACATCTTTCCTATCCCTACCACGAAGTTGACGGTGAATATAGTATCTTCCTACATTAATTCTCTTTCAGATATTACGTCATTGAGTTTGTATCAATCTTTCATTTCAAATGATTGGCAAGATAATTCCCTCGGTGAAGCAGCAGCGAAGACTGGATCCTCATGGTCGGTTGAAATTCCAGCTGCGGTCGTTCCATACAGATTGGAATGCAAATGTCGACTTTTTCCGCTACACAAGAGGCCGCTTTGTGTCCAATGAAGAGCACGAAATGGCGATACGTCATGTTAGATTCAATATGACCGAGCTGGCAAGGCTTGCTGCCGAATCGGTTGGCTGTTCTCTTGCACAATGCGCTCGCATCGAGAAGTTTCCAGATGGAATGTTCAATAAATGTTTTCTTTTCATAATGCAAGACGGCCGAGAAGTCGTGGGCAAAGTACCGAACCCAAATGCTGGGCGAGCTCACTATACTACTGCCAGCGAAGTGGCCACGATGGATTTTGTAAGATGCAATATTATCTTTCCGGTATAGGTTCTGGCTTCTAATTTAATCCTGCGCATTTAGGTTCGAAATGAGCTGTGTACTCCAGTGCCCAAAGTCTTAGCCTGGAGTTCTAGAGCAAACAAAACCCCTGTTGGCGCCGAATATATCATAATGGAGAAAGTAGCAGGAGTTCAGCTTAATGAACTTTGGCCAAAACTTGATATCAGGGACAAGTTTGCAGTCGTTAAAGCAATTACCGGCTTCCAAAAAGCCTGGATGTCGACTTCTTTTACTCCGTATGGGAGCCTTTACTACGCATCCGACTTGGGTAGCAACGATAGCTGCATTCTTGTGAAACCGAATGGATCTGAAGTCAAAGAGCATCGCTTTGCTGTCGGCCCGTCAACAGGCCGTGAGTTCCTCGATGACGGTCGGATCGCATTAGATTTTGATCGAGGCCCTTGTAAAGCTTCCCAGACCATCATTGGCACAATCGTCTGCTCACCTCTGAAATCTAGGGAATAGCGCGGAGCAATATAAGTTGGCAGTCGGTCTTCGAGAGATATTCTGTGTGCGAGAAATGGACCAACTCCCCCGGTCGCCGCTATCGCTATATGGCCCTGGCACATACAGCCCTTCTCGTCCCAAGAAAATAGCCGCTCTTCAAAATTATCTTCGTCTTGTTAAATATCTTCTGCCTTTGGAAAGGTCATTTTCATCTGTCTGTTTGTGGCACCCCGATCTCCACGCTGAGAATATTTTCGTGAATCCTAAGAAGCCCTCGGAAGTGCTGGGCATTATAGATTGGCAATCATGCGAAGTATTGCCGCTCTTTGACCATGCTCGTCAGCCATACTTTCTTGATTACGATGGCCCGTTGACAGGTCTTGATCCCCCGACATTCCCGGAGAATTTTGATCAACTTGATGCTGCGGAGCAAGCTGCGGCCCAGAGCCTGTACTTGCAAATGTCACTCTCCGCTTTATATCGAAGGTTCCTGTTCACCAATAACAAACCATTATTCGATGCCATGGAGTTTCGATGGTCCACGAGTTTTGAACTGATGCTACTTGCCCAGAATCTTCTTGTTGACGGGGGGGCTTTATACCGATCCAGATTGCTGGATCTAGAGAAAGAGTGGCCTAGCCTCCCGGGCGTTCAGGCTGCTGGAATACCGTCGATTCCGTTTCACTTTTGTACTGACGAGGCCAATTTAATCGAGCAAGATGCTGCGGGTGCAATAAAAGCCATGGAGTTAATGCAGCGGTTGAAAAGGTCGTTGGGCCAGCTGTGGCCTGAGAAAGGAGTTGTGCAGCCGGATCAACATGATGAAGTCAAAAACCATTTAAACAAAGCTAAGATGGAAATTTTTGATCGGCTCGCACTTTCGCATGCGGACCAAACCGCGTGGAATAAATCATGGCCATTTGATGGCTAACTGTGTGGAAATACTCTTCGCTATAAGACTTTTATACCCAAGCTCGCCTGCAAAAACTGTCTTCTACAAGAAATGTGTACCTATGGTGTCACCCTCGCCTATATAACCTGCTTATGCTCGGAAAATATATCGGCCCAAGGCTTACAGAAGAGGTAGTAAATAAATACATGCTTCAATAGTTTGTTAAGAGTCCTGGGCCCTGTCGGCCAAGAAGGGTTCCCAATTTAATTAATTGTTTCGGGATTCTCATGGCATCTATGATCCTCATAATTCAGGCATCTCTGTAGGCGGATCCTTCCAATAGATGAGTGAATGCGACCATGTGAGCAGGTAGGTACTTAAAGCCTTGCCATGTAATAAATCCCTGCAGTTCATTCACTGCGCCGCCCTGTACATCCCACCAACGCGAGGTGCCCCGCTTGCAAACGACCACAACAACAACCGCCCACCACCTTCCTTTCCCATCTTTCCTTCCTTTCCTTCCTTTCCCATCTCTTCCCTATCAGACCTCTGTCTCCAAACTCGTTCAACTTCCCTGACGCGACACCTTCGTGAGAAATCAAATCAACATGTCCCATTACCAGGAGCTTCTCAAATGTTACGTGATCCATCTATCTCTTCCTTGATGGATGGCTGTTTACTCTGGCATTAACCATTTTCTTCTGCTAGGTTCAACGCCCTCTACTCCAGAACTCTCGACCTCGTCGGAGACTACGCAGGCGATGAGCTGTTCATCATCGAAGGCGATTCCCTTCTACTACACTGCCTCTCAGAGGATCAACTTGACTTCTCTCCCGGCTTCCAACTTCTCCATGCGACATACCTGGTTGAGAGATTTCTCGCACAGCTCTATCAACGAAAATGCAACTTCCACATTGTTTTCTTCGCCCAGCATGCTGAAGCCTGCGTGCCTCCTCATGCAGCTGCAGATGACAAATCGAAGTACTTGCTGGCCCGTGAAGCTATCTTACAGCATCTGACCGAGCATTTGCCTCGAGTGGCTTCATCTATCCAGGTGCGGTCGTTTGATGCGTATGAGTGTTCGGACTTCCGCGGTTATCTTTCTTCGGTCGGGGCTTACTTTTTGATGTGCCACGACGGAGCTTTTTCGGGACTTCAGCCCCTCAAGGACGAAAGCAGTGAGGACGAGGACGAGGATGAGGGTGAAGAATACTATGTCTCACCGGGTGAGCCGATCGTCGATGTTGCTTCGCCAATCCGGCATACCAGCATTTTACTCCGGAAGATGATTCTTTGGTTTGTCTCGAACGGGTACAACATAGCGCTTATCAGCATGCTTGAGTGTCGTGATACAAAGGTAGGACGGATGCCCACTCTTTGTATCAAGTCAGGGCTAACAATTTCAGGTCATGGCAACGATTTTGGAGGGATCGGCGCGCGCCGCAAGACAAGTTTACAGCACTGTTGAGGATGAACCTCTGGATGTTAGGCATCCTTCGGCGGCATACACCCGTCAATCCGAAAACCTCGTCACTGCCGGAAATATCAGCCCTGCATCATCAATTTTAAAAATTCCATCTGACAATCCGTCGTCCAAAAGTCCCAAGCTTTACGCCGTTCTGGATGAGGTCTCGGATGCTCTTGTGGGTATCCTGAAGGAAACCGACCTTCATTTGAGTCAGCGAGAGCTAGCTGTGGCGCTTACAATAAGCGCCATGTTAAAGTCTACGCGTTCTAGTGGCGATGACATTATTCCAACTCGAGCGATGATACTGCATATCGCCATGATATCTGAGTGCCGAATTGATAAGAGATCTACCAGCACTACGAGCTCGTCGCGTGGACTTTTGTTTCTTCGACGCTTTGTGAAAATACTATTCCAAACCATGAGATCACCGTCGTGGCAACGCCTTATTCGCAGCAAGTCAACTGTCTGCGATGTAGCTGACATGCTGGATGGAAGGCTTTTTCTGCAGACATTTGACTTCCTGGCACATTGCAATGAACCTTCCAACATCAGTGCGTCTGTCGTCGGCCGATGTGATGAACTAGCTTCTCTTGTAAAGCGCATTTGTGATGTCAACCTTAAGTACGAGCTCCCCGTCGACGCTCTCAGTCCTGACAACAGAAGCCAAGAGAGCTCGCTTTGGAGCGATAACGGAGTTGCGAGCCAGAGCCTATCTCTCAAAAATATCACAGGCAACTTGGATGACCTATCCACTGTTCTCCCTTTCAGCAACCCCATCATGAACCCCCATTTGGACCCAATATCTCTTGCAGTTGACAAATCTTCCGAAAGCGAACTGGATTCAGGCACGCCAAGAACTTTCCAGGAGTTGAGTCACTGGCACAACCACAAAAGGCCCCTGGACAATAAGACTAAGGCTCCAATGTCGGCAAGACAACTTGCTTTTATGTATCGTCGCGACCAATGGTTTATGGCCGAGATCAGAAACTATGCGGAAAGCCTCACAAACCCCACAGGCGGGATACTGCAGCCGGAGTCCGTCTTTCTCAAAACCATGCAGGCGAGGAATGAGAACCCTTCCAAAAACACATCCGCACACTTGTCTCAGAAGCAGGCATCAATCAAGAAGGTCTCTACACAGCGACTGGGCAAATCCAAATCAGGAGGGCCAGCTTCTAGAGCCCAGGCTGAAGCCTACCACCAAACAAAACAGGCTAAGACCCATGAGAAATACTTCAATGCTTGGAAATCCAGCCTCGCTACATTTGAGAAGGAATCCAATTACACCAAGCGCTACCTGAAAGTAACCCTGTACCTGAAAAGCCTGTCCATGGAAAAGCGAAAGGTCGTCGAACCCGAGGTTCTGACTTACATCATTCACATCCTAGTCAATCTGTGGATAGGTGAATGTAACGCAAACCGGAAAGCCAATTCGCTGCATATTGTGGCGCTCATCTGGCATACCGTTCTTCAAATCCGAAACAGGCAAGATGTCACTGAAATCATCGCAAAATGTGTCAACGATACCATCAAGGCGTTGCGTCTTCCAGCCATCGATGTTCAATCCGATTTTCAACGGTCCCTTTCTTTCTCATTTGTGTCCCTCTCTTCTCAAAAACGGAATTTGAGCATTGGAATATCCCCGACTGAGTTCCAGCTAACTCATGCCGGCCCATACCTGGACCGCAGTATGGGTTCTGCGCCTGACCCTCGTGTTCACGAGTTTGAGCCGGATCAGTGGCAACGAGAGATCCTTGATCAGATCGACGCGAGAAAGAGCCTGTTTGTGGTGGCCCCGACTAGTGCAGGAAAGACTTTCATATCGTAAGTTATTATATCACCGAAGCTATGGTTGAACAGTGATACTTCTAAGTGACGAGTGCTAATTCAACTCTTTTCGCAGGTTTTATGCAATGAAGCAGGTTCTCGAGGAGAGTGACGAGGGAGTCCTAGTTTACGTCGCTCCCACCAAAGCTCTTGTCAACCAAATTGCTGCCGAGGTTCAGGCGAGATTCTCAAAAACGTTTTCTCACGGGGCAGGAAAATCTGTCTGGGCAATTCATACTCGTGATTACCGGATCAACAACTGTACAGGTTGCCAGATCCTGATTACTGTGCCGCATATTCTTCAGATTATGCTGCTTTCGCCATCGAATGCAAAGACATGGTCATCGCGGGTAAAACGTATCATCTTCGATGAAATCCACTCTATTGGCCAAGCAGACGATGGTGTCGTCTGGGAACAATTACTCCTTCTCGCTCCTTGCCCGATCATTGCATTATCTGCAACCGTTGGCAACCCGCAGGCTTTCAGTAATTGGTTAAGTCTCACTCAAAAGGCAAACGAAAACGAACTCAAGATGATTGAACACAAAACTCGCTATTCGGATTTGAGAAAATACGTCTACAACCCGCCCTCTGAATTTCTTTTCAATGGCCTATCTGCGCCCACCCACCTGGCCTCGCTCGGCCTTGATGATAGCCCGCATATGATTTTCATGCACCCAGTCGCAAGTTTGATCGATCGGTCGAGAGGAATGCCCGATGACTTGACGCTGGAGCCACGGGACTGCTTGGCGTTGTGGAATAGTATGGAGAAGCACAAGACAGAAGACTTTCCACTTGATGACGCTCTTCGTCCCTCAGTTGCTTTGCCGAACTTTGCAGCAAAAGCTGATGTCATTCGGTGGGAAGCAAGTCTCAAAGCAACACTGACTAGCTGGATGAAAGATTCTGAATCGCCTTTCGACAGAGTTCTTAATGAGCTTTCAATAAATCTACACAACAGCATTCGGTCGCCGCTCCAGAAATCCTCTACCAAAACCCAAGACTCAGGCACCGCTCGTACAGTGAGGGCCAGTAGCCTCCTCGATAGCACTCTTCCACTCATCTGCTCTTTACATGATCAAGGCGCCCTTCCGGCGATCTTTTTCAACTACGACCGGAGCTGGTGCGAGAAATTGTGCAAGCACATTCTTACCGAGCTCCAGGAAGCAGAAGAATGCTGGAAAGCTTCCAGCCCTGTGTGGGAAAAGTGGATCGCGGGCTGGGAGGCATGGAAGAAGACTGAGGAGAAACGCGCCAAAGTGAAACCGCCAAAAGGAAAGCAGTCTAGTAATGATGAAGAGGGACGCTTGTCGCGAACTGAGAGGATGCAGGAATCTGCGTCAGTGGAATCAAGCCCATATGATTCGTTCGACCCTGATGAGCCACTTTCCGGATTTCATTTGGCAGATATGAAGTGTCTTCCACGTTCAGAATTCGATTCGTATGCCAAAGAGTTGCGGAGACGATCCATCCCTGAGTGGCTCATAGATGGTTTGAAACGTGGGATCGGGGTTCACCATTCCGGATTGAATCGCAAGTACCGCCAAGTGTGCGAGATCTTATTCAGAAAGGGTTATCTCCGGGTCGTCATAGCCACCGGCACATTGGCTTTGGGAATCAACATGCCCTGTAAGACGGTTGTGTTCTCTGGCGACTCTGTCTTCTTGACAGCACTTGGATTTCGTCAAGCAGCCGGTCGAGCCGGTCGTCGAGGTTTCGACTTCCTAGGAAATGTCGTTTTTCAAGGTATCGCCTATCCCAAAGTCTGCCGGCTGCTCAGTTCCAAGCTCCCAGATCTCAATGGTCACTTCCCGATCACAACCAGCTTGGTTTTGCGCTTGTTCATCCTACTCATCGAGTCTGGCCAGGCTCCGTTCGCCGTGAAGGCCATCAACTCTGTTCTATCGTGTCCCCGAATCTACCTTGGCGGGCCGGAGGCAAAGCACACGGTTCTGCACCATCTTCGATTCTCGATCGAATACCTGCGACGGAACTATCTTCTCGATCAGTCAGGCTCTCCATTGAATTTTGCAGGAACCATATCCCATCTCTACTATACCGAGAACTCGAGCTTCGCATTTCATGCATTGCTCAGCAAGGGCTACTTCCACCAACTCTGTGAAGACGTCTATCGCAACCCTGAGGTCGTCACACGCACATTGATGCTTGTCATGGCCCATATTTTTGGCCGACGCTACCTTCCTCGGAAAACGATCGAGTTTCACAAATCCGCTGACAAACATTCGCCCTCAGTCGTCTTTCTTCCTCCCTTGCCAAAAGGAGCAGCCAAGGCCATCCGAGCTCACAACAAATCTACCTTGGATATCTACGCAGCATACGTAACCACGTTTATCAAACAACACATCAAAAAAGCAGACTGCACCCTTCCGCTCACACGCCTCAAACAAGGCGGCGACAAATCCCCAGCAGAGCTCTGTCCAGCTCTGCCTGTCCTCCCTCCAACCCTCGTGAACTCCCCCTTCGTCGCCCTGTCTGGCCACCGCGACACCTGGACCAGTATCTCCCAGCTGTGCAAGATGGTCCGCAGCGGCGTCTGGCTCGAGCAGTCTGTCGTGCCATATGTGGCCATCGGCCCTGAGGAAGACCACGCGCCATTAAATGCGTACTTGTACGACTTCTTCAGACACGGAAATGTTCAGGCCCTAGAGACTGGGAACATGATCCGCAAAGGTGATATCTGGTTTGTGCTGAACGACTTCTCGCTTGTATTGGCGACTGTTGTGACGAGTCTTGAGAATTTTCTAAAATTCGCGCCGAATACCGATACAGATATGTTGGATGTCCAGGGGAGTGGGGATGCGTATGATGAGGAGCTTGATAAGAGAGCTATGGAGGCTGGGGATTCCTCGTCTGATGTCCTTTCCGAAAGTCACCAGAAGGCGAGTCATCGCAAAAACCAATCGGGCGGCGGCTCTGCCGTTACTGCTCCGGTCAAAGCTAAGAAATCGAAAGTGTCTGAGAACTGGGACGATGAACTGAGTGATGAAGAGACTTCTGAGAACCCAGAGCTAGACATCAGCTCCTCCCCAGGCATCACTGGTCAATCTAACGGTCGCACCACTGCTTCTAATTCCGAAATGTCCGGCACTCAACACGAGGTGCTTGAAGAGCAGCGATTGTTAAAGGTTTTAACGGGATTCAGATTGCTCCAATCTGAGTTCAATGGGAAATTCAAAGCCATGTGGGCCTAGTATCAGAGTCATTTGTTCAAGGTCGAATTCGTTTGGATTTGACATTGTTTGGACCCGAGCCACTTTTTGGTTCATACCTCGAGAGGTTATGTTTCTTTCTTATTATGTTCTGGAATGATCTCTGTTCAACACAAATTTCATTTGAAAGATCTATTCTGTTCTGTTCTGGCTGAGTATCGTTATCAAACTGATTGCTCATTTTTGTCCGTTTGGAGTCTGCTCTTTTTGATTCCAACTAAAGAACAAATATCCATCCACAGTCCTCGCGAGATTTCTCGAAGGGCTCCGGCGCTTTCAACCTGTGTAGTTATTTCAATTAAAAAATCCTCTCCGGAATGGTCTTTGACTTTACTTACCACAGGATAAACAACACAAATTATCACACTCACCCATATCCAGATAAACGAGACAACCACCCATCCTGTGAAGAACTCCCGATTGTAAACATACCGTGTACCAAACAACGTAAACGGCACCAGGATGACAGCGATCAGAATGAATCCCGCACTTGCAGTCCACGCTATTTTCTCTGCTTTGCGAACAAGCACAGGATCCATAGGCTCGATCTGCTTGGACTCAAGATACTCTGGTATTTCGCTCTTCGACGGCGGTGTCATCTCATTGACTGAGGAATCAGAAACAGGCTGCTTCTCCTTTGACTCGAGAACTTCAGGATCTCCAGTAGACTGAACTGCGATCCCCAGGATTTTATTCGACCGATCAATATGTCGCGGATCAGTAGACGTGTGCTTCCGCGGAAAGACGAAACTCAACACCACTGCGGAAACAATCCCCACTCCAAACGAGGCCAGATTCCCAGCCACGGCATTCGTCTCGTCCCCTGTCGTCGCGACACTGATTGTCCCCGAGCGTTTCCACGACGTCACGAACCAGACTAGCACACCACAGCAGAATCCAATCCAGGGCGCCGCGACGGCAGCGACTGTGGACATGCGGCTCCAGAGTAGGATCAACCCGACCGGGACAGCGGCGCCTCCGACGATCACACCCAGCACGGTTAGTAGCCAGGTAAGGCTGAGGCCGACGGCGTTGAGGATGCAGCAGAAGGCGGCGAGGACCAGGGCATAGGCGGCGATGGCCCAGTGGCTGACACGGACTAGTGTCGCGGAGTCGGTGTCCGGGCGGAAATACGTCTTGTAGACGTCGAAGGTGAGAAGGGATGAGACGGCGATGAGCTCAGCAGATGTGGAGCTCGTGACTGCCATGAAAAGGAGAATCAGGACGAGGATGGCGCCGCCTTTGCCGAGGAGCGTGATTGCAGTTGCGGGTGCTGATAGACCGGCTTCTACCTGCTGTGCACTTAGGGGGTTGGGATAGGTTGGGAAGGCCGGGTTGTTGGTTAAAGCGGCGCAGCCGAGGCCCATTGCCGTGGCGAAACCGAATGGAATTCCTGGGTATCGTTAGGGCTGAAGGAGTGGGGGTCTGAGAGGGGAGACATACCATACCAAGCGATGCCTCCGAGCATGTATGCTTTGACTGATGTTTCCGGTCTAGAAGCAATCGCTCGTTGCCAGTATGCCTGATCAAGCCACACGGTGGTGAATCCCGCGATGAGCAAATCAATCGCGAATATTAGTCCTCCCACCGAGTGTAATGCAAGATACGATCCTTCTGTGTTTCGATTGATCGGCATGTTCTCTGATGCCTCTTGTAGCAGCTCGTACAGCTTCCCAGGGCTACCGACGAGATCACTTGTCGCGGATATCAGGAATCCAAATACCAGAATAGCGACGAGCAGGATGACAGTATGCGTATAATCTGCGATGAACGTCGACCGCAATCCACCAGCAATCACGTATGCCGCAACAACAGCCGGAATGAGGAAGTTCGCCGCGTACACGTTCATGCCCGTCAGCGCCTCGACCACTTGCGCGCCTCCTAGCACCAAACACGCTCCAACGAGCATATTTGTCGCCAGCGCATTATAAAGATACGTCAGATGAGCCAATTTCCCGTGTCTCGCGAGGACAATCTCCGGCATCGTATGCGCGCCCGGCGCATTCGCCTTGATTTTGATCGCGATAAGCGAGAAGAGAAGAATCTGCAGCGTCCCCATGGCGCCGTACCACATTGGCCCGCAAACGCCATAGTTGTAAGCGAAGGTCGAGCTGGTCAAAAGCGTCGCAGACCATGTCCAGGAGGAGACGATCCCCGCGGATATTAAACCCGGCTTGATTGATCGTGAAGCGGTGTTGAATTCTTCGGCGCGGTGGGTAGAGAAATTTGTATACCGGTTCTGCATCCAGGTTAGGCAGAGCATGAAGAGGGCAAAGACGCCGCCGATGCCGATCACGATGCCGTATCCGGCTCCTGGGGGTAGAACTCTCAGTTCGTTTGCCATTTCGCGATGTGGTGATGGCCTGTGTGTCTGGGGTAGTGCTCATGCTTCAAGGTCAGTTGTCTTATACTAGGTACCCCGCATGCGAGATACTCTTATCGCTAGTTCATGTCGTATCATAGCGACTCCAATTCCTTCCCCAACTAGATCTGACCACTAGAGAATTGCGATAAGCAGACACGGGATGAACTTGAGTACTCCAATGGCTTTTGGGCTTCAAAGGGTTTACGGGACGGGGAAGACCCGGCAAAGCTTATCATTGCCCCGGTTGACACACGGGATCAGCGTGACAGTCGCAGCTCCATCAATGTTTTGTTGATAAGCACAATCAAAGTTCAGTTGGAGACAAGCCTCGTGTGCTTTATCAAGCGACTCGAGGACTGGACTGCATTTATGCGCGTTGCGGTTATCATCAACCGGAGTTTTGGGTTGGAGAATAGACCATGCATCATCATCCTATTGATAAGCATACAAATAAACAACCATATTAAGTCACTTTTTATCTGGACGAAAAGGAAGACTTATCAGTCACCCATCTCGCCAGGGATTGGATTCATCAGACATAAAAGGTTGGCAAGAGGGACTTGGCAGAGTCTGAGGCCGAAGCTCTCGGAAATAACACAATCGACGCTAACCCCATACGGCATGATCTTGTTGCCATGCTGCCTTGTCGCCTTGTCGCCTTGAACTGGGAGATGGCACGTGATGATCGCTCCTCTTTCGCCTCTGCCATCTCGAAAGAATAAAAATTCCAAAGTACTATACCAGACAATCGGTTTGCTGACACTGTTGAGATTAAAAAGTAGCGAGAGGTGATTTCCCCCCTTTTCTCGAGTTACATAACAATTCAGGAGCCATTGTCGCTCGTGTAGCTGTGAAAATATACATTGAACCCCGGAAATAGAAGTTACACACAATGAGGTACCAACCATGAGTGAAACCGCCAAAAATCTGGAATATGAGTTGCCTAGAATACAATTCTATCGCTATAGGCGGCATTATACCTAGATAAAGAACGAGAAAGAGAATTTCAAATCTCAAGATGCTTGAATGCAAACTCCCGAGGAGCGGATGACTAATTTCCACGTGACTGTTCCTATCAGCACAGCTTTTCCTTATCAGGAGATTTTTTTTTTTTTTTAATCTCCGCGGTGTTGCGATTTTGTCCAGGTCCATTCAAGCAAACCCCGTCAACCTCCTTCTCTCACTCCATCGTCTTTGTGATTTGAGGTTCGATCGCCTCAATATTCCACAATGGCGCCAGTTTCCAAGCAGCGGAAATTGAATCGCGAACCCGCGACCAAGAAAGCTCCTCCCACCTCTCCCTCGCCGTCCCCCGAGCCCGAAGAATCCAAAGAGAATGAAGAGCCAGAAGTCGCCGAGGAAGAAGCCCCCAAGACCTTCAAAGAACTCGGAGTCATCGAGCAGCTATGTGACGCCTGCACGGAACTCGGATATAAGGCTCCCACGAGGATCCAGGCGCAGTCTATCCCGATTGCTCTACAAGGGCGCGATCTGATCGGTTTGGCGGAAACCGGTAGTGGAAAAACGGCCGCCTTTGTCCTTCCAATCCTCCAGAACTTGATGGAAAGCCCTCAATCCCTACACTCCCTGATCCTCGCTCCGACTCGTGAACTTGCGCAGCAAACCTCCCAGGTCGTCGAGGCGTTGGGGTCGTTGATCTCGGTCCGCTGCACGCTGTTGATCGGAGGTGTGGATATGGTTTCGCAGTCCATATCCCTGGGGAAGAAGCCGCACGTTATCGTCGCGACGCCGGGTCGCTTGCTGGATCATATGGAAAACACAAAGGGATTCTCGCTGCGACAGCTGAAGTTCCTGGTTCTGGATGAAGCGGATCGTCTGCTGGACATGGATTTCGGACCCCTGCTGGACAAGATCTTGAAGATTCTCCCGAAGCAGGGCCGCCACACATACCTCTTCTCCGCGACGATGTCGAGCAAGGTGGAGTCCCTTCAGCGTGCCTCTCTCGTCAACCCTGTTCGCCTCTCAATTTCATCCAAATACCAAACTGTCTCCACCCTTATCCAGCGCTACGTTTTCCTGCCGCACAAGTACAAGGACATTTACCTCGTGTATCTCCTCAACGAATGGGCCGGACAAACAGGCGTGATCTTCACGCGCACAATCCACGAAACCCAGCGAGTGACCCTCATGCTCCGAAACCTCGGATACGGAAGCATCCCCATCCACGGACAGCTCTCACAGAGTGCCCGAATGGCATCCATCACCAAGTTCCGCGCCAAGGCGCGCAACCTGCTCATCGCTACCGACGTGGCTGCCCGTGGTCTCGATATCCCCTCCGTCGACTTCGTCCTGAACTACGATCTCCCCCAGGACAGCCAATCCTACATTCACCGAGTCGGGCGAACGGCTCGTGCGGGCCGCAGCGGAATTGCCATTTCGTTCGTTACGCAGTATGACATCGAGACGTGGATGAGAACCGAGAAAGCGCTGGGCAAGAAGCTGGATGAGCATAAGATTGCCAAGGACGAGGCTATGGTCTTCGCGGAACGAGTCGGCGAAGCTCAACGGTCGGCTGCGATCGAGATGCGGGATATGGATGAGAAGGGCAGGGGATCGAAATTCCGACAGAAGGGTGGTAAGAGATCGAGAGACGGTATGGATGAAGATCAGGGTTGATTTACTAGAACTCCCACAAAAGCGTTTGATTTGTCTAGAGCTTAATACCAATTTGAGTGTATCTGTGAATATAATCCCGCGATGCAGGGCTCAATGAAGTAGATTACTAGAATGCCCCGCGGAATTCAATATGGAGTTGATTGGCATTATACCTGAACTCATGGTAAGCTATACCAAAGGAAATGATGATTTCCGAACTCACCCAAAACGGAAATCTGATTCCGATATTGCGGGGGGCATACTTAACATACTCATGAACTCCCGCAAGACAATTATTTGATATGCAACAGCTCGTTCTGACTCCCAAAGGAAGCCATGCAGTCTAACAAACAAGCCCTCGGCTCCCTCTCACTGGGCCAACATCCCTCACACAGCCTTGACCACAAAATCCAACTCACATCCAAGTACGGATTCACGGGCATCGAAGTCGTCTTCTCAGACCTACAGACCTACTCTGACAAGCACAACATCTCCATCCTGGACGGAGCCGCCCGAATCAAACAATTATGCGACGCAAACAACGTGGAAGTTCTCGCTCTCGCGCCCTTCGAGAACTTCGAAGGCGCCCGCTCCCCACTCAGCACCAGACTGGCCACAGCAAAACACTGGCTTGCCATCGCTCGGATCCTCAAGGCCCCTTATGTCCAGGTCCCATCGCAATTCAACCCCGACGCCATCACAGACGAGAACGTGATCGTCCATGAACTCCAACAGCTCGCGGACCTCGGCAGCGCCGAAACGCCCGTCGTTGCCATCGCTTACGAGTACCTCTCCTGGGGAACATACTGCTCAACATGGGACACGGCCCTCCGACTCGTGCAGCTTGTCAATCGGCCGAACTTCGGTCTGTGCCTGGACACTTTCCACGAACTCACCAAGCTCTGGGGCAGTCCGTTCGAGACCTCCGGAAAATATCCCTCCGCCGACCAGGACCTCCGTGACTCGCTCCAGCGCTTCAAGGCCACCGTCCCGCTCGAGAAAATCTTCTACGTCCAGCTCTCCGACGGTGAGCGGTTCGATCCGCCCTTCTCAGCGTCTCATCCGTGGTATGTAGAAGGCGAGGCACCGGAGTTCACGTGGTCGAAGCACGGGAGGCCGTTTCCGCTAGAGACATCGCTGGGCGGGTATATGCCAGTCCCGGAGGTCGTGAAGACGTGGGTGCTAAAGACGGGGTTTCAGGGTTGGATTTCGATGGAGGTGTTCGATCGGCAGATGCGTAGCAGGGAGTTTGAGCCCGAGACGGCGGCCATTCGGGCTCGGGAATCGTGGAGGAAAGTCCAGGCCGCCGTGGGTCCGCCGATGGGGCGCCTCTAGAAATTAGTCATCTACTTATAGGCACGTGATCAGATCGTCTGTCGGCCGACTGAAATGCAAATGCCGAGTTTTTCCGCATTCCGTCCTCATCCCATCCCGACATTCCTGTATAGAGCCCGCTCTGATGATGATTCCTGAGCCGCCAGGGCCGCCGACGCTGCGTCGATCTTGCTTGGCCTGTGCGAAAGGCAAGCGCCGTTGTGATCAGCGGTGGCCGAAATGTAGCCGATGCCAGAAGAGACAAGCCGCTTGCGAATATGCCAATGAGCCACTTACAAGGGAGAGCAGCGTCGATAAGTTCAGAACCTCGGGTATAACTCGGGCCAGAAATTTGCCCGATCCTCGCATCTACCCTTCCTTGAGTCTGGAAATAGTCAAAGGGTACGATCCAGACGTCATTCGTTTTCTTGACGAAGGGATCCGCAACTTCCCTGTTATGTTTGCTGAAAACATGAAGACGATGTTTATTCATCCGGATTTGTTCGAGGAGTCAAGTCCCCCAGCTGCTATCCGGGAGGTTCATGCGCTCTGCAAGCTTCATGTCACAGCAACTCGGGCGGACGCTGTCAGTCTAGCTCCCCTCTTGCGCCGCAAGTCAGCCCAGCTGCAAAGACAGGTTAACCATACAGCCAACTTTGACGAGCTTCTTGGCTGCATCCAAGCATTGCTTCTGATCCAATGTATCCTGATCCTCGACGAAGACGACACCGAGGCAATTCCGTACTCGGAAACAGTCAGCACGATGCTCGTGGACCTGGCCGAACGACTGTGGCAGCAAGCCCCTATCCAACTGCCAAACACGCTTAGTCCGAAGCGCGCCTGGCTTTTTGCCGAAAGTGTCCGGCGCACAATCATCGTGGGGTACTTGCTTCGCAGCGTGTACTCGCTCAAGAAGAGGAATTATTCCGTCCGGAATCCGTTCATCGATTCGCTCCCTTTCGATGTTCGAGTATCCCTGTGGGATGAAGACTCGGCCGAGGTATGGAGTGGAGTTATGTCCGAGTCTTGGAATTCTATAATGTCTTTGCACCAGTACTCTGCTATGATGGAGAACGGACAGGTTCATGGTATCCCACCCTTTGGGGCGCTCATTTTGGCAGCGTGCAAGGGGAAGACCGCGTCTGATGTGCAATATCCTGCCTTGAGCTCTTACTATGTTTCGTGAAATCGTTCAACGCGAACTCTTATTGCGACTCATGAATTATCCCCGTACATAGGCACCTATCGGAGGAACTGCTTTAGCAAACCCGACAGCAGCTCCGTCATCTGATGATACATCTCCTGCCTTTTAATCTCAAATGCCTCGAAAATGCCTCTCGCCGGTCCGACTGGGATTTGATCATCGCCCTGGCACAGCTTCCCCCACGTCTCATCTGTGAAATCCTCCAGCGGCATCCCGATCAGATGACCGTCCTTCAAATCCGGCTGGTGCTTGGTATCATGCAATTCCGTCTGCACGGCCGGCGGGAAAATCTCCACGATCTTCACATCACCCGGTCCGCTCTGCACCTGCGTGCGCAGTGCCAGGATGAAATGATGCAACGCTGCCTTGGAGGCCCCGTAATTCGGGCACCGCATCATCGGCACCAGCGCCATCTGAGAACTCGTGAAAGCGATCGCCGTCTTCGAGGCTTGGCTCTGCAAATGAGGCAGGAACGCCTTGGTCAGGTGCACAGCGGAGGTATAGTTGGTCGTCAATTCCTGCTCGAAGATATCCATATCGACGGACTCGGGGGCTGCGAAGTCAAAGGCACGCTGGATGCCGGAGTTGATGAAGATGCAGTCAAGGTCGGGGTTACTGGCGATGACTTCGGAGGCGAATTGCGGGATCTACATAGATCCTTATGTTAGCTTGCTTGTCATTTTCGTCAGATATGCATGGGAGAACTCACCTGGTCCAGCTTCAAAGCGTCGAACACCTTCGCCTGCACCTTCTTCTCGTCGCCTCCGTACTTCTGCACGAATTCATTCAGGTTCTCCTGTCTCCGACCAGACACGATCACTGAGACGCCATTCTCCACGAGCTTCGCCGCCAATGCCTGGCCAATCCCGGAGGTGGCACCGATGACCAACACTTTCTTGTATTCGAAAGACATGATGCGTATATTCGTTCAAAAGAATTTCCAGACAAATCTCAATCCGATGAACAACACAGCAGAACTCTTCTCTCAAGACCCGGTGAAACCCTCATATTTATAGCCCTTCAGAATCCTCGCCATCTCCAATCTCTGCTCTTTTCTTCGACTTCTCGCTCGTGTCGACGTCATGTGCCCTGCGGAGACTAAACCGGAACAGGCAAAATGTGGAGTACGGATGTTGATGCCTGTGGGCCTGAACACTGCCCTACTTTCTGGCTTCAGCGGCGAAAAGTTTGCGCATTGCTTTGGAAGACCTTTTTTCGGTGCTGCTACCTCGAGGCTGATTATCAAGCATGTCGGCGCTTTGAAAAAGGGGTTCTAGAAGAAACGATGTTGGTCTGGGTGGGGTTTGGCATGTCGGAGGACGGTCTGCGAATGCGAACAATGCGGATGGAATAAGAGTACGGTACTCTGTCTAGAACAGATGGCTTGGTATTGGATAAGCATTATCTCGATTGCTTACTTCCTATTCCTCCTTAAATCAAAACTTATTTCACTGATTGCCTGTCACATGGGCATTTCGATGTCTGGGAGTTTGAAGCTATTTCGACCGATTTAGTTAGCCTTTGAAGCCTCGCTCGTATTCATTTATTTCGAATTCAATCATTACGAGAATTCCAGTCTTTTTATACGCAGTAGATCAAGACGACGTGGCTATTGCTTAGCGATATAAAAGAGGTCATTAAAACTTGGAGACGGTGGGTTACATGGTTACATTTGTACTAAGTCGCGAGGTAAATATGACAGCAGTTGATTTATTTACGCTATTTAGACTAAGCTGTCTGCCTACCTCCATCTCTATCCGAAACTTTGAGCTATGTGTCCAGCGACTAGACGTGGATGTTTTTACTGATCTGAGATGATCGAGACAATATATATAATGCTTGCTTGGAGGAAGAAACTTTCGTGATCAGTTTCGTTATCTCTTGAAACGATTTCCTCCTAGCATTTGGTGTGATCTTCAGATTTCCTGGCGAACAGGCTAGTATCGGAGGCGTTATATATATCTAAAATGGCCACCGTAAACAACGGCATTGAATCGCCTCTTGCGATTGATCACCGTAGATTATTCGGAGAACTTGCCAATTGCCTCTCCTTGTCGAGTATACTGCGGAAGAATTTCGGTTCAATTAATTAATCAGTTCTCTATCACAGCTTTCCTGCGTGCGCAGGAGAAGTGTTGGCGGCTGAATTAGTTGTCTAGAGGATCTGATTTATTACTTTTGATTATTTTTATGCACCCTTCTCAATTATTCTAGGTGCTCAGTAAAAGGGCTAAGACCACCGGTTGATTCAGTACTTTGTGTTGGTCTATCTGTGCGAAATGATTGGATAAACGAATCGATCGATCGTGGCGATCGTGGTCTACGGAGTATGTACAGCCAAGGTATAATTATCCATGTAGAATCGCCGATCGGCGAAAGGAGTCATAATCCTGGACCTTGCACTCTATAATAAGGAATTTATCATCTAGGTTAGGTCTTATATCGAAACAAAGCGAAGCCAAATGCCAAAACAAGAAATACTTGAAATTTTTTGGAAGATCCCACGTAGTAGAGATCTCACCAGTGTACTGAGAGGAACATCAAAGACCAGACAAAGCCAACCCCAAAGAAAGAGCCATGAAGAACCTGAGCTCCCATAGCTCAAGACCACATAAACGAGCAAATCCACGGGCTTTGGCACCAATGCCGAGCAGATGATGAAACCAGCAACCCGGCCGACAGCTGACATAAGAAGAGCCCGTGAGGCACCGGGATTTGCATCGCCGTTTCCAACGTTTCCCTCACCAGACCCACTCATGCGATCTGCAGACTAAACAGAAAATCCCCCGACGCCGTAGATGGAGATTAAATGCATCTTCCCCTCTCCCTCAAATCCCGGCGTGCATCACGCCATGCCCTTCCCCGACCCGTTTCTGCCAGGTCCTGCGTGGTGACTGCGCCAGCGATAAGGCATTGCGAAGCAGAGACCGTGATTAGTAGTCCTGCTCCACTGCGTGCTCGCATCCCGGTCCCTGGGCTCTGCTTGTTGACTGCGGCGAGTCGAGTGAGGCAGGCCGTTCATGCAGAGACCGTTTCCGAGAGCGCCCGGGTGGACTGAGATTGGGACGCATGGAATTGAGATCCGAGACGTGATGCACGTTGACCAGGGAGGGAATGGACAGGTATAAAGAGGGGGGAAGTTGCAGTCTCTGGAGGCTTCATTCACTGCAATCAGCTCAACTCTCAGAGTCAATTCAAGAATCTTCAATTCTCACTTTCTCTATCTTCCACCTTCCACCTCACCACCAATCTTCATCATGGCCCCCGTCCTCAAGAAGTACAAGGCTGCCGCCGTCAACGCCGAGCCTGGATGGTTCAACCTCGAAGAATCCGTCCGTCGAACCATCCACTGGATCAACGAGGCCGGTGCCAATGGCTGCAAGTTCATTGCCTTCCCTGAGCTCTGTAAGTCCTTCGTCACCTACCACTCAAAAGCCACACAAACTAACAAGAACAGGGATCCCCGGATACCCCTACTGGATGTGGAAGGTCAACTACCAGGAGAGCCTCCCTCTGCTGAAGAAGTACCGCGAGAACAGTCTGCCCTCGGACTCCGACGAGATGCGCCGCATCCGCGAGGCCGCCCGCAACAACAAGATCTACGTCTCGCTGGGCTACTCCGAAGTCGACCTGGCCAGTCTGTACACCACGCAGGTGATGATCTCCCCGTCCGGCGACATCATCAACCACCGTCGCAAGATCCGCGCCACCCACGTCGAGCGCCTCGTCTTCGGCGACGGCACCGGCGACACCACCGAATCCGTCATGCAGACTGACATCGGTCGCATCGGCCACCTCAACTGCTGGGAGAACATGAACCCCTTCATGAAGGCCTACGCCGCTTCCCTGGGCGAGCAGGTCCACGTCGCCGCCTGGCCCTTGTACCCTGGAAAGCAGACCCTCAAGTACCCGGACCCATACACTAACGTGGCCGAGGCCAACGCCGATGTATGTCCTCCCCTTTTGCCATCACATTATCCCTCTGAGTAAGGGGAAATGTTTGAATACACTCAGCTAATAAGGCCTTTTCGCGCTTCCAGCTCGTCACGCCCGCCTACGCCATCGAAACCGGCACCTACACCCTCGCCCCCTGGCAGACCATCACCGCCGAGGGCATCAAGCTGAACACGCCCCCGGGCAAGGAGCTCGAGGACCCCAACATCTACAACGGCCACGGTCGCATCTTCGCGCCCGACGGCCAGAACCTGGTTCCTCACCCGGACGTCGACTTCCAGGGTCTGCTCTATGTTGACGTATGTACCCCGTCCCTTTCTCTCAACAGAAGACTAACAACTAAACATAGATCGACCTCGACGAAATCCACCTCACCAAGTCCCTTGCCGACTTTGTACGTCCCCCATCCCCTGGCATGCAGAACCCAAGCTAATACCAACCAGGGCGGCCACTACATGCGCCCCGACCTCATCCGTCTCCTGGTCGACGGCAACCGCAAGAACCTGGTCGTCGAGGAGGACCGCATCAACGGCGGCGTCAAGTACACTCGGACCGTGGACCGCGTCGGCCTGTCCGAGTCGCTGGATGCGAAGAAGTCGGCTGTCCCGGAGCAGGAGGAGTAAACCCTTTCTGAAATCACGGTGCCTTGGCTAGGTAGTCTATTCGTGCGGTGGCATGGATGGGGCACGTGTCTAGATGGAGAATCTTTAGATGAAATGTATATTAGACTTGGAAATACTTTAGGTAGCTTGGAATGAATCGCTGCTCTTTGTTATATTTTTTTTTTCTTTCTCTCTCTCTCTCTCTCCTATTTTCTTGGGTGGATTGACAATTCGGATTTACAAATGAGAATGCGCTCGAGGCGAAAAAGTCTAGCATCTCATCTTCGTCTTGATCTTGAAAACAAATTAAACTTTACCTTTAGACCCGTCCTTGTCCTGACTGAACCGTGGATTCGGACTGACGGTTCGCTGATCGATCAGACTACGCGCAATAAACTTACTAAATCAAGAACAGACAGAAAACTACAAAGATACATAGAAAATATTTCATTCGATTAACATTCAGTTTTGTTCTCTCCCTTGGATTGGAGGATTAAATATCATAAATCACAGTAGGAATGAATCATGGACATGAAGGATGCAGCTCTGGCTACGTACTAAGTAGCGTAACTATGGCTATGAACCTGGACTCCGTAAGAGAAAGTCTAGTCTAGCACACACCCGAAGGGATGGTCGTGCTGGCAGTCCGGCTGGTAGAGCTGTATCGAGCGCCGGAGCCGAGACCGCGCTTCGCGAAACCCTTCCAGATCTCGCACTTGTTGACGCCGCCGGTCAGAGCGGCGTCGGCGTCCAGGATGGCGTCACGGGCCTGAACGAAGTTGGGGTTGCAGGGTTGGCTGGGTGGGTTGTTAATGTGCTGGGTTATGGATTTGGGGCATTGGGGTTTGCGGGATGGGGAAGGGGACTTACAGAGCCATTCCGTCAATGACCAACTTCATGGTCAGGTACTTGCCGTCGGTGGGAATGCCGTCCTCGAAGGTGGGACGAGGGGCGTCGTTCTTGCCGTGCTTGTCGATCAGGTTCCACAGCACTTCGTAGAGCATGGTGGCCCAGACGGTACCGGCGGCGTGCACGGAGGTCATGCCGTTGACGCTGGTGTAGGTGAGAGGGTTGGTGCTGGTTGAGGTCGAGTAGGGGTATGCGCGGATGCCGGCGGCCTGGTTGGCGGCCCACGCGCCCATGGGGTAGTTCTTGGAGCGGGTGTCGGCGGACTTCAGGCGGATGGCGGTCGCCATGAAGTCACCCCATCCTTCGCCCATGCCGCCGGATTCGAAGGAGCTGAGGCAGGCGGAGTTGGAGGGACCACCGGTGAGACGGTTGGAGACTGGATGGGAGGATTAGCTGGGTTGGGGATGGTGGAGATGGGCTGAGAGACTTACGACCGTGAGTGTATTCGTGGATGACGATGCCCGACTCGAAAGAGCCGTCACGGTAAGGGGTGGACTGGGTCCAGACGTACATGCGCATACGTCCGGGCTGTCCGTCGGGAGGAGTAGCGAAGTTGGCGTTGTTGGTGCCAGAGCCGTCCTGGGCGTTGAGGATCACGTAGTCGTTTCCGAGACCGCCCTTGCCGCCGTTGTTGTACTCGAAGTTACCGGCCCTCTCGGTGAAGCCCAGAACGTACAGCAGGTCGTGGTAGGTGTTGGCGGTGTAGAACAGCTGGGTGATGGAGGCATCGATGTAAGAGGATGGGGGAGTGGAGCTGGTGGTGTAGGGGTAAGTGAACTTGAGCGATGAGCTGCTGGGGCGGTAGTTGTTCAGGTAGCTGGATCCTCCGCTGGGGTTGGACTGGGCAATGCCGTTGTTGCCACGAGTGGTGGTGTAGTTGGTGTTTCCGTCACTGATCCAGGTGTACTGAGATGCACTGAGATCCCAGGGGTTACTGATAGTGGTTCGGGATCCTTCGGTCGGATCATTGAGACCCCATGCGCTGTGATTGTCAGCGTTTGAATTTATTTGTATAGGTTCGAGAACATACTAGACTTGGTAGTCCGCCTCAGCAACGTAGTCAACGACACCGTGAACAGTCTCCTCGCTGTTGGCATCGACATACGACAGGAGCCAGTTGTCCTCGATGTCGGTTTCCACTCTCCAGCTGAGAGCGAGCTTGCCATCGGGCTTCACGAAGTAAACGAGCTTGGCCTTGGGGTCAGAGACAGCACCGGAGGTGCCCTTGAAGACGTAGGACTCCTTCTCCTCGGTCGACTCGGTCGAAACGGTGTCCACGGCAATGGAAAGCTTCAGAGTGTTGGAAGCACCCTTCAGCGCGGCAGTCGGGTCCGAGAAATCACGCTTGGTCAACGGATTGGCCTTGGGGATCTCGCCAGTGTAGAAAGAGTTTCCGTAGGAGAAGACCTTTCCGTCTTTTCCGATCTGCAAACGAATTAGCTTGGAATCGGAAAGAGAGATAGCAGAACTTACGTTGACGTTAAAGTCCGCATTGTCAATGTCAATGCCGTGAGCAGTCTGACGGAAGTGGACGTGAGCAACTCCATTGTCACCGACGTAGTGATCGTCGACGACACGGAACTCGGCGTCGGACGCGATGGACTTGACGAGCTGAGTCGCAGTCTCAACGTAGCTCTGCTCTTGGAAACCGCCGAGCGAAGATGGGGCATCGGTAACAGCGTCATCCGAATCGACGTACTTGGCCTGGGACACCAAGCGGAAAGCACTCAAGTCGACGGTACGACGGGTGAGGGCATTTGTCTGATGGGCAGGGTGTGCGAGAGCAGCGAGAGGAAGGGCGATCGCCCCAAGAAGCAAGTTGCGCATGGTGGTGGATGCAGGTGATGAACTTGAGATAGGAACGAATGTGACCAGAAGCGCAACCTCAGGGAAAGAAGAGGTGCTGAAGGGAACGAGAGAAGAGGGTGGGAGATAGGAGGAGAGGAAAAGAAGGACAGAGTGTAGAAGAGAAAGTCACGGTGTTGTGGTCTCCTCAGGCTCTATTTATACCGCATCCTTCGACGGTGAGGAACATCAATTCACTCCAGTCCGAGACCATCCGCCACTATCCCCCATCGACTTCCGTTCAGATGCGTTCCAAACGATAAGCTGCAGGTTCCCCTCTTCTCATCTCCGAGACAGTTACATTACATTGATCACGCCGTCCCCATCTCCATGCGCCTCCGGATAGGGGGATCAGCTGAGGAAGGCATCCGCCCGCGGTGTTTTCTGCACCCAGTATACGGAGTAGGGGGACTGTCCGGGAAGCAAGACCAATGTGAATGATATTGGCCGTCGGGTCTCCGGGTAGACTTCATGCAGAACCCGCAGAGGAATCCTGGCAGGGGTACAGACCAAGACATTTATATTGAACTTAACCCAAAAGCTGCGGACCCTTATAGAACGCGAGAAATAACTGCCGGAGACTGCATGGGGCCAGCCAATCGCCGTGAACGAGACACAAGGCCGTCCGTCGGCCTGATTAAAGAAGCATCTTGGCGAATTCTTGGGTTACATGGAGGGGTTCAGGACACGCTAGTCTAGCTCCCATATCGACCCCCGCGGATTCTGTCTTTTTCAGCTGAAAGCGGGGAGAAGACCTGCGACGACCCGAAACATGTGGTAGGCATCCGTGTTTGCCAGAATCCAGAAATCACAGGCGAGGTGGCAAGATGACTTGCTGTCAAATGCTGTGCGACGTACAGAGAGACCGCGTGGTTTTGCTGTTATCAACGCGGCGAATCCTCTGCGGTCCTGACGATGTGCAGATGCGCCGAGTGGCACCGTCGACAGGGGTTCTCCTGGTTGATTGGAGCACCGCACTGGACTCCGCCCAACGCCGGAGGCCCCTGACTGCAGGGCATTGCGATAGATCCGTGCTGTCTGATTGGATGTGGGACGGTCTGACTCCTGCGTCTTTTTCAGGAACGTGATGCATCTCTCCTTTAGTCATGTGGGGTATCTGGACATTGGGAGTGTCTTACCTGGAGACAGTGAGCGAAGTCATTTTGATGAGAGTTATTATTGTTGTTGTACGTGGTCGAAGTGTATTAGAGAGTTCACAATAATTCCACAGAGGTGTACTTGGAAAGTAAACCAATGGGTTATCAAGCGGAATGCATCTCAGTCCACGCAGAAGATCGATAAGGAGGCCAGTCACCCAATCGTGGTAGGCGATGACGCCATCTTCCTTATGGCATTTCCACAGGCGTTCTGCACATTTTCTCTCTTCTTTCAACTCCAGGACAGGATTCATGAATGGATTAGAGAATTATCGCTTCATTTAATGGTTCCTGAGGAGCATCGTCAGCCCCTAAAAAGTATGTAAAGTCCATAATTCATCATCACACATATTCTAACACCAACATTATTTACAGTCATCTCCTAAGCATGATTCATGACAGCACCTTGCATATAACCTAGACCTTGATCCATCGTCCCATCCAGGTTTTCACAACGCTCTTGGCTTCATCCACCAATCCGAGATCCAAGAGAAGCTGAGTGGTTCCGCGGACAGCCGAGTCCAGTGCGGAGAAGATCCAGGCGTGGGTGTAGCTGGTGTGCTCACCGATGAAAATCGTTTTCATCTCGGTCTGGTAATACGCCGGGAGGTACAGCTGTTGCTGCCCGGCCAAAGGAGAGGCCCAAGCGCCAGCCTGGTGCTCGTCGACTTCCCAGCATTGTCGGTCATAGACTCCTAGTGGGTTCGTTAGTGGCTTGTTAACAGGGGAAGAACGGGTGCCCACATACCGGTGAACTGCTCAGCGGCAATTGGCCCATGGACCTCGACCATGGCGCGCTGCACAAGAGCGATATGATCCTCAGTGCTCAATGACGCGGTCGAGCGAGCCGGAGTGCCGCTGATATACGATGCGAGGATAACACCCGGTCCAGTGCCGTTGATGTTGAACGAAGGATAGCAGACATTGCCGACGCCGGGAACGTCCACAGTACCGCATCCTCCATAGATGGGGTTCTCCTGGTGTTCCCAGAATCTCGTCTCATAGTGCAGAGCCATCTTGCAGGACGGGGAATAGTTCAGACCGGAGATTGCGCGACTGAGAAGGGACGAGTACCGCGGTAGATCCCATAGTCGGACCTTGCTGAAGGGCGCTGCGACCACGGCATAGTCATACTCTTCGCTTTCGGGGACCATTTGTAGAGGATCCTCTCGCCAATTGACGGAGATCTTCTCGGTCGTGGCGTTGTACGAGAGACCCTCAACCTTGCGTCCTAGGGTGGTCTTGTCTGCGACGTGGGGCCAGAATGCGCGGGGAAGAGATTCCAAACCCTTGTCGATGGTGCGCCACTTGGTTGCTTCGAAATAGACGTTCTCATAAAAGTCACCCCAGATCGGAGTCGCGCTGATGCCGCCAACATAATCGCTGATGTTTGCGTCGTATTTCAGGGCGTACCGGAGATAAGCCTCTTCGGACCAGTCAAGCAGTCCATTTTCCACAGCAGCTTTGTGGGCGCGGAACAAGTTCGAAGCTACCTTCTTCATCATTTTAACGTCCTTTTCTTCGGTGTATTTGTAAAAGCCGGCCTCGGCATCGGCAGCAGCCGTCGCATTGGATGATGCCGCGGTGTATGACAGCGCAGGGTCTGCGTCCACCTGTCCTGCAGTCGGGATCCGGCCATTGGGGAGACGGTTGCCTCCACTGGAGATGGGAGTGTTTGGGTTCTTTTGAACAAACGGAATGAAGTCGACACTGAGCTCAGGATGCTCCTCAGCATTCATCTTGTTCAACACGTCGGCTAGCTGGAAGACCATCTTATGGTCCTGAATATCGAAAGTCTCGTTGGTCTCGGCATATGTGATGCTGACAGGGAAGCGCATGGGACCCATCTCCTGGTACTGATACTGGTCGGGGCTGGTGTTGTTGAGGTACTTGGTGCGGATTCGACCCCCGACACGGTTCGAGGATTCGATGATATGCCAATTGTGCATCCCCACGGATTCCAGCAATAAACTTGTCAGCAACCCGGCCATTCCTCCACCGACGATGGCAACGGATGCATTTTTGGCTTTGCTCACGACCGCCTTACCCGGTTCCTTTCCATTCATATACGCGACACCGTCAAACCACGGACCCATGGCATCCGCGACATCTGCGATACTCTCCCGACGAGCAATTGGGGTGGCCACAGAGATTGGTTCGGAGCGTCCGATCAATGAGGAACCGGAAAATGCGTGCAAACAATGCAAGTGTGGCGCGTCGGATGGCGTGGCCCATACGAACCGCTCGGGATATGTGTCGCGCTTGATGGTCATGGTACCGATCTCATGGTGACCTTCAGAGGTACCGGAAATCTCGCAGTCGCCATAAACAAGTTGAACATCACCATGAAGACTGTCGTCCAGGAATTCCAAGTGGATGTTATGGACCGAGTCGGCAGTGATGTCGGAGGGAACGTGGAAGCGAAGCAAGTCGTTTTGCTTATAGACAGCGGCCGCCGAGCTGATGCTGGAGAGCCCTAGGGTCGGAAGAAGTCGCAGTATATGCTTCATTGTCGGCGCCATGGCTCAAAAGAAAACTGATGATGTCTCCCGAGATTCATCTTCCCTGCTTCTTCGGGTCTTTTATAGACCGCTTTAACACATGCCAAAGTCGGTCTGGCAACCTCACCGGTGCCATCGTCCTAATTTCCAATCAACAAACAACCTCCAGGTATGATACGAACCCCCGACCTCGTATCTATCAACACCACAATGGCATCTTTACGTAAATGCTCGAAAGGAACCCTTGAACCAACTCTCCGAACACTCCGGCTCTCCGACTCCGACAAACAATATTCTAGCAGGCAGACACCACGTCTCGTATCGTGACTCACCTATACTTATCTCTCCCTGCTCTTATCTGAGCTTGCGAGTGGCAGCGACTTCAACCGAAAGCTCGGCAGAGCCACTCATCCCCCGACTCCGGCTCCAGTCCCCAGCTTCAATCAGGCTACTGCATAGTTTCTCCAACGCCACACGCACTTGATAGGTATCAGCGCTCCACACGTCCGGGGGACAAATCGACACTCCGAGAATAAATCCCCCGCTTCGAACCAAAGCCAACGTCGGCATCGCTACTTCGCATGGATCGACCCACGGGGGGTATCGATTGACGATTCGCCGGATATCCCGAGAGCCCTTATCAATGGCCCAAATAGGCAACTCACAAGGCTTTCCAACGGATCAAAGACGGGACACATGAAATGGAGCATTGCGCGTTGGAAATCCATCGAATCTTGAACGTGGACGGACGCGGGCCGCAATGTTCTTGGCATAAGATTTAGGCTGCTCCGTAGCGTTGTTTGCTTTATCATCCCCACATTCGGGCGGTGGAGGGTAATGCGATTCCTTATCAGTGGTCAAACACAGGGCGTGGACTCGTGTTATCTGCCAGGTCGGGGACTGATAGTGATAAGACAAGGGAGGGGATTTCTTTTCTTTGGTTTTTATCCTTGTTTTTCCGAGACTTGGATCGCATTCGGTGGTTTAGACGACTACGGCTACGGCTGCGATGACCGTTCCTCTGTTGGTGGGTTTTCTGGGATTGCTCTTTCGGGGTATATTCCACGAGGTCTGATGACGCTAAGATATTACTTTCATGCAAGATGCAAGAGGTCCGAAATTCCACGGAGCAGAGAGTCTATAGTTGCATTAATCTAGTATGTGGGGAAGCAAACTCCCACCTCGTCTTCCCATCCAGTCTCACATGAATATACACATGCGAGCATATAACATATTGCTTTGTCTCGGCAAAGTAAAAGTACCTCGAGGAAGCATGAACCGTTCGTCTCAAAGGTGGTGGAACGTTACAGTAAGCTGACATATCCCGCAGCCGCAGTCACCTTCCGCACCTCCTTGCTTGGGCCCGTCAGTGCATAATCGAACATCAGTCTATTGTTCCATCTATACTCCAGACTACGATCTCAAACAGCAGCGTACAGCTTCGTGCTTTGTGCCATTCGCGCCGTGATGAGAAGAAGACTGCCCAGAAGCAGACTGACACCCGAGTAGATCGAGAGGGACAGGTAGCCGTATTTCGCGACGAGTTCGCCGCTAATGGGGACGCCGGCCATTGCTCTGTTATGGAAGAAAAGAGAATTAGTTTGAGCTTGTAGCGGTGCTTTTGGAAGTGGGAGGGGAGATACATACGAGAGAGACGTAGACGCCATGACGACACCGATCGTGAGGCCGATCGTGCGTGGCGTGGAGATCTGTATGGCGCAGGCTTGTTGGAGGGAGAGAATGCCCTAGAAACTGTGAGATTCTTGTTCGCAGAGGATTTGGATTGGAATGTGTCCGAGACGATGCTACTTACGCCGGAGCTAAATCCATACGCAGCGGAGAAAACAACCAGTCCGGCAACGGATGTCGCCTTGGTCCAGCACAGCGCAATGATCCCGGAGAAGAAAGTAGCAACGAAGCAGCAGTTGAACCTGCCGTAGCGGTCTGCGAGGATTCCGGGGATGAGGCGGCCGAAGAAAGAGGCGCCGTTGATGATGCAAGTGGTGTAGAACGATAAATCATCGGAGAAGCCTTTTTCGAGCGAGTACGAGGTTGTGTAGAAGAAGGGCGAGAACATTCCGAAGTAGATGATGAAGAAAGCCACGCAGGTGAGAATCACGGTGGGTGTTCGGAGGAAGGAATAGTCTGTTTTCTGGGGGTCGGCTTTCTGTTCTTGAGACTCGCTGTCATCGGCGTTGGGCTGGTGTGCTGTCGGCGAGGGAGTCTCAAGTGGTGGACGACACCAGAGACAGCACAGAGCCAGAAGAGGCATCATGATGAACCCGACGATTCGCATGGTCCAACCGAACCCGACATTGGGCTTTTTGAGCAGCTGGTTGATGACAATGGGCCAGATTACACCCCCCAAGGAGGAGCCGGAAATCACAATCCCCAATGCCAGACCGCGTTTGACCTTGATGTATTGGCCGACAAGACCAAGCATGGGACAGACCAGCAATGCCATTGAGATCCCGAGTAGAACACCTTGGGCTAGGAGGAACTGGTAAAATTCCTTACACAATGAGGTCATCATTAAGGCGAAAACCATTCCCACAGCCCCGATGATCATGGGCAGCTGCGGGTAGAGTTAGCTTCAGCCATAAACATAGGTTAGTTGCGAAGTCACCCACCCTGGGACCCAATACATCCTGTATCGCACCAGATATAACCGATACTGAAAAAATGAAAAATATGGCGATGGCACCCAGCCATGCGATGGTCGATTGTGATTCGTTGGCTAGCTGATCTGTTGCATAGTGTGCTTCAAAGAGACCAAACGAGTTCATAAAGCCGACCGAGCAGAATGCTCCAAGGGATGCTCCTACAATGACTAGCCATGCGCGCCGCCTAGAAGAAGAGTTAGTTGATGAGTTGACATCTCTAACCCAGAAGCAAGGGCGAGACAAACGTGTATTCGCTGGGTGGTTTTTGAACCACCGCTGGGTCATCTTGTTTGCCCATCTTTCGAAACAGCAAGACCTCGAGAGAAAAAAGAGCTTTGTTGTCTCTGTCGGAATGCTCAGAGAAAGACGCGTTTTGTCCTCTGTTGAACCTGCCTCGTCTTGTACGATTTCAAGTATTTATTTCATGGTGGGGATTGCGACGACCAAAAGGCCCCTTTATAGCCGGAAGAATCAAATTTTGGCATGTCGTGCTGGGTTTGGGCCACGGAGATTCCGGTCGAAGTCAACGTGCAGGAAAGGAAGGGGTCGTGAGGAATGCCAGCATCCGCCGTACGCATACTTGTTCCCGATGGTGGCTCCGACCGGAGTGCCCGCGGATACTCCGAGAAGGTCTCGGGACCATATTCCATCCTCAAAAGGGATGGCAGACCCCGGAGAAAACATCTGCTGCAGTCTATGCTTTCGAACCTACTCTGACATTACTCTCTTGCATTTTCACCTCCTCCACAAGCCCCGATGGACAAGCACAGCAAACCACCGGCGGCCATGACCGCACGGTGGCACGTGACCCAGTCCGCGGAGACTCCGGCCAGGCGGCCCAGCGACTCTCGGCCTTCCGCTCTCATCGCGTCAACAGCCAGCATGAAACGGAATGACTCGTGTGAGCATCCTGACTCGGCCCCAAAACGTCGGGCCAGACAGGATCCGGTTTCTTGTGAATCATGTAGACGGAAGAAGCTCAAGTGTAATCGACTACAGCCATGTGCGAGCTGTGCCAGTCGCGGGCTAACATGCAGCTACGGCCTCGGCTTCCCCATTTCTCAGTCGAGTGACCATACAGCACACTACGAGATTCAGAAAAGCGATCGCTCAAATCACTCGGTTGTCACAGCTCAACCTCAGTCCTTTGTTGAATTTTCTCCTTCGTCCGCTCCGGTTCGCCAGCTGCAACAGCAGCCACGGCACAGCAGGGAATCGGCGGTGACCGCTGATCTGCTGGAGAACATACATATGGGAGCTCGAGTGCCCACAGCTGCACCGAGATGGCTGAAGGATGACTTTGAAGAAACCATGAAGAGGGGCCTCTTGTCAATAGGCAGTCCAAATTCTCCTTCGGGGGCTCACTTCTCGTTGCCTACCCGCGACTGGAATGCTTCAAATGAGAATCCGGCGACGATCAATCTGATTCAGTTTGTGCCTACAAAACAGGAAGCAGCGGCGCTATTCCGATACTATGCAAAATATGTTGACTACTTGTATCACATTATTATTCTAACGCGGGCAGAGGCACTGATCAACGGTGTCTACGAGTGCATCGAACGAGGCTCACCGGTAAACCTCGGTCATCTGGCACTATTATTCAGCATCACCGCCAGCTCTTTATATATGCAATTGTCTTCTGAATCATCGCCTTACTCGGACATCTGCTGTCAGGAATTCACATTTTTGACGGGTGCCGCTTTGATCCAAAACAATCACGCCGCGTCTCCAACAATCGAGGGCCTCCAAGCGACCATGATTGTAGCACATTATGCTTGCAACATGAGCTCACATGCGTCGGTCAGTGCTTTCTTTGTTCATGGTAGCATCATCAGCCAGGCAAAAAGCCTTATGTTGCATTGCATCGACTCCCCTAGATTCCGCGACGAGAGGGAGCAAAATAGAGTCGATCCTGTTGAGGTTGAGATAAAAAGGAGACTCTGGTGGGATATCACAAGCAATGAATGGTGAGTGTTCGCTGCAGTGACATTCGATCATATCCGCTCATTCTCCGTTATTCTAGGTTTCTGGGGTTTCTGAGCGGGCCTCAGGAGTGGACGTATCAAGTCTACCCCCAACATATGAGCGTGATTCAACCAATCAATGTCGACGATGCAGCTCTTGAGAAGGACCCCGGTCTTGCGCCTTTACCAAGCTCCGTGCCTACGGACATGTCTTTCGCCCTGGAGCGCCTGAAACTCGCTTTCGCATGTCGCGACATAGTAGACACCATGGCTTACGAACAGCTCAATGGCCTTGAGATTGATTATTCCAAGATCCTCGAGCTTGATCGAAAAATGCATCAAGCGTTATCGGAAGTTCCTGAATTCTTCCGACTGGATCCGGGCTCAAGACGTCGGTTTGCCAAGCTTTATAAAGAGCGGCCTACCTTGGCATGGCAGAGGTGTGTTTTGCAGCAGGCCTACTTCTCACGCATCTGCCGCCTGCACCGTCAGTTCTTCATTCGTGGTGCGCGTGATCCAACCTATTCCTATTCCCACGTTGTCTGTCTTCAGTCTGCTCGCAAAGTCCTCGAGATTAAGAGGATGATGGACGAAGAGCAGCCCAAGTTCACTCCGCCAAGCTCTGTCGTCTGGTCGGTGATGCACCACATGTTCATGGCTGCTGTCATTTTGCTACTCGATGTTTGTTTCAATTGGGATGATATCCTCGCTGAGAAACGCAAAGAGGAGGTCCTCGATGCCTGTCGCATTTTGAGCAAAGCGCAGCAATCGTCTTGCTTAGTTAAGGAAGGGATCCAAGCTATGATGAACATCCTCCAGAAGCATTGGAAAAATGGTAAATTGGCGGTCCCTGGTGGGTCGCAGCCAGACCAGCCTTCATCGCCAGTCCTAGGGCCTACGGCTGAAGATCCGGCACAGCCGGTCGCTCCCTCGGAGCCGAGAGATCAGCCAATAGCTACTACGTGGGAGGATGCTCCAAAGTCAAACACAAATCAATATGTTGATGGCGATGAGCGGCAACTCGAAGATATATGGTCGGAGTTTCTCGAGAACGGCTACAACTACACTTTTGAAGACACAGACTGGACGGGACTGTTGACCGAGCTGACCAGCGCGACAGTGCCTTGTGGATGATTATATCATCAGAGTCTGAAAGCCTCCGTCCTTTGATATTGGGAAAATACCCTGTTCCTTCGTCCAATATCTCATAAAGCTACACTTAACGAAAGCCCCACTCCTGCTCCCCGAAACTTCAACGATGACTATGCAACAACCTTGTCACCCATATCGCCCAACCCGTTCATTACACTGTGCTTCGGTCTCGAATACCGACGTATTGGCGAGATGGTTATTCAACTACTACTTCAACCTTTGTCTTGTCTGCCATCATCTGTCAGCGATTTCTATCACCACCAAAGGGAAACTCCACCTACAAAACGCAATGTGATCCTTGATATTCAAGGCAGCGTCATACGGCGTCGGATAGTACCACGCTGCATTGGAAAGTGTTTCATCTAGACAGGCAATAGAGACCATGTCAGCTCCAACCAAACCCCACTGCCGCATCGTCCTTACCTCCGATGGCAATCGAATAGTACGACGCAGTCCCTTTCCACGGACAGTACGTGGTCAAGTCCGTTTCCACGAACTGGGATCTATCCTTCAGTGCTGACGGGGGGAACTATCTCGTAAGCAAGATTAGAACCTATCTACTGCTTCACGCAGGCCAGGAACAGGCGGAGATACATAAACGTTTCCCTCAACAGTCTCCCAGGTGGGCGATTCAGCGAGGACTGTTCCTTGGGCGATAGCTTTGGCGAGAGGCATGTTGATGGAAATAGTTCTCAAGGGCTGCGCAGGAGAGGTGGGAGCAGAAAGAGGGGAAGATGAGGTCAACGGTAGAGGTCAGGTGCGGGGATCCCGGCGAACAGAACGTTGCATGAGTCGGTCTAGTATTTGTAGGCTACTTTGTTTTCATCTACTTTCTGGATGAATTCGGTCATTATCCAGTCTGTTTTAGATAAACATGCATTGTAGCCGTTCAATTGTTGCATTAGAGATTCGGAAATTTCTACAGCCACGCCTCGCTCGCTATTGCTACGCTCCTAAGTGCACGCTGATAAGGCCATAAGGCACTAAATACTAGATCTGGTTAGCGCTTCACCTACTTAGGCAAGTGAGGGCGTGGGAATTATAGTAGCAACGTGGTAATACAAAGCAGTCCATGGTGCCAGATTACAAAATGATGTTCTCTGCCTAATTCACGCATATAATGAAGTGATAGCCCAGATAGTCTTTCAAGTACGGATATAAGGCCCTTGATTATAACTGGGGCCCAGCTTTAGTTGCACTACTGGTGCTTATGTTCTCAAAAGCTTCAGGCTCTCTTTCCATATACGAGACGAACTAAAAGGGTTCTATTGCATTTCTATTATGTTTTGCTCGCAAATATCGTACCTGGCCACATACTCATTGATATTTCTTCCCTTCCTCAAGCGGATAAACCTCACCAGAAGTAAAGCAGCAATGCCCCACGGGCCCAGAAACTTCGACAGCACCCCATTTAACAGGCAATACCTCCATCTCTTCATCTTCACATTCAGAATCCATCTCCTTTACAGCATCCACAGCATCTGGTCCCGCTGACCCCTCGTTAGGATTACATCGTGGATGGCACGCCGCAGCAATGGCTAAACTGCAGCTCGCGGCCACGGGCATTGCCGACTCAAACCTCCGAAGACTAAGCACTATCAAGCACGTAAACATGACAATTGCAACCGAGACTCCGCTGATAATCGCAACCGGCGAGTATCCACACGCGAATAGATCGTGCGAAGGGTCCTTTTGCATTTTCGTATCGTAGGCCTCGACGGCGATCACGAAAAGGCTTTCCGAGCCGAGCCAATGCAAGATTGCAGAGGTAGTAATCAGCGGTATCGCATATCGATACGGGATCGAAAGAAAATAGTTACTCCGCTGAGATAGCTTTGGGCTATGCGAAACGCGCAGTCCTTTGCGACGGTTTCCGAAGCCGCTCCATTCAGCGGCGAGGCACATGGAGGTCAAAAGACTGTTATAGGCAACGTAGAGGAATGAGAATATGAGCTGCGGTAAGTTGGCGATGAAAGAGCTGGCCACGAGGCTGTGGCCGGAACTCTCGACACCGAAAATCGTTTCCGAAGAAATAGCCCCGAGCTTCCCTTTCAGAACTTCCCCGGCGCTTCTGCTCAGCCCGGCAATTGATATAAAAAGCAACATAATACAGACCACGAAGGAGACCATCCAACTGAATAACATCCTTAGCTCAGTCTTCATGGCAAGGCGTTTGGCTCCGCAGAAGAGCAGAACTTACAAGAAGATAAAGAAACCCCAGCGACTAGAGATAGCAGAGCCCCAATGATTCCGCTTGCCAGAATACGACACGGGGTGGCGCAATTTGCTGTGTTGGAGTGCATGAGGCGTCGCTCGAATGGGAGGTATATATACTCCGGTTTCGTCAGACGGCAAACACATACCCTTCGAATAGGGATCCGGCCGACGGAGGAAAGACGCGATTGCATCGCCCACAGTTAATATGGGAGCTTCCTTCATCCCAATCCAAATATAGAGAAGTATACATGCTTTCACAAAGTTGCATGCAACTGTGATGCCTATCAAAGGCACAGAATACTGCAACTTGCAATTCTCCGGTATGGGCTCCGCGAGACAGTATTCAACCTGATAGTGCCTAACTACAACGTTCGATTCATCGTAAGAGGTCTCAAAGCCTGTTTGAACACTCACGTTCCAAGCGTTATGTTCTGCCAGTTTATGAACCGGGGAAGCCCCCTTGGTCCGACAGTCAATGGCCCTGGGACATATCCATGGATAGGCAGAAACCGCTCCGTTTCCAGCTCCAACGGAAGCCGAGGAGTCTGGTCGATATACCGGATTTGTATATATGAGAGAGTACCCACTATTTGATTCGTTTTCGGATACCAAGAGAAGTCGACCGTATGACGTCTGGTAGGTCTGACCAAAGGCTGTGACGCAGGCCGCGCTGTCCAGGTGTTTCAAGGTCCCGTTCTTTGCCGCATAAAAGAGCTCTTGGAGGGAATCGCCTATTCCGGAGTCCATGGTTTGATTAATCAGATGAACATCTGACAGATCCATCTGACCTAGGGAGCCCGGTCCAACAAATATGTCATAGGCGGGGACAGCAGTTTGGTAGTAGACTGCGGAGTTATAGAACACATGCAGTGGAAGCGACGACAATGATAAGCAAAACCATAATAGTGTGCGATGAAATGATACACGGAATAGATTGCCTATGCTCGGCACCCCGATGTCAAGCTACCGGCGTTGTCCATGAGCTCGATCGATGTCTTTTCTCGTCGGGGCGACTAGGACTTGCTAGTCGAGAGAGTTAGCTTGTCCATCTCTAACGCGCGACAAGGAACATCGTCTGTCATACCATTCCAAAATTACTAGAGGCGAGGAGAATCGTACTCAGTGCGTTAATCATCCAGTGTAGTCCAGTACTGAGTCGGTGTACTCTGTCGCAATTTCCTCTTGCCAGCGCGGCGTCTTGGCCCATTTGGGTCCGGATGGTTGTGAACAACAGAAACGCGACATTAAACAACAATACCACAACACTCGATGTGAAAGCCAGAAAGATAGTGAATTTCCATCCTTCGAAGAGCCCTTTGTTCTTGCCTGGATTCTGATTCTGTTCATTATTCTCTTCTAGGTCATCATTTTGTGTTCCTGCCTCGGAGTTGTCTTCGGATGCGGGATGAATCAGACCGTCGGAGCTTCGATAGTGCTTAGGCACATGCAATAGCTCAATGTTCTCGCCCAGTGAGTCATCATTGGTCATTCTCTCGATAGTTCCTATTTATAGCTGGAAAAGCTTTCCTTCCAACGCGACCGGACCAGAGGCTAAAAAATGTAGACATGAACGGGTAAAAAAGAGAACCCAAGAGTTGCGCAAGGCGGAGATCTACACAGTAAGGCTTCACGGCTGGAGGCTAAAGGAGTATAGATCTACGGAGTAGTCAAAACTTGATTAACTAGGTGGGGGCGAATGTAACAGCCTCAGCCTGCTCGGGATTCTGGGATTCTGGGGTCATGCAATTTCATTCCCTGAAAGGCCGAGTGTTTGAGATCTTTTGCAGACCGGGTCTGTCAAGGCATTTAGCATCCAAATATGATTTAAAAGCAAGCTTGATCCTATCTCCTGGTGTAGTCGAGAGAAGTTGGCGGGGGACAAAGCACGCTCGCCGGTTTGTCCGCAAGGCTGTAGCACTCCCACCAGCCTTGGAAATGTTGACGATCTCCAGTGAGTTTCAGCCTTATCCTGAACATTGCGACAATGGATTGCCCTCTGGTGTTGGTCTAATTCAATCTTTTTCTATAAACTAGTCAATGGGGTGCTAATAAAAAAGGAAAAGAAAAATACCTTTTCGCGCGAGGGATTTAAGCAGTGTACAAGGTGTCTTTTATTCTATTCTATTATGCTTGATGTGAAGCCCTAGATTATCGACTAGGATAACTTATGGATAGATTATATGTTGAAGTAGATGATATACAGAAATTATATAAATATCCTTCGTTCCTCTCTTCTCTTTTGAGGTTCAACACCTATGTCTAGTATTGTGATTAGTTTGCTTATGTTTATAGTGTTGTCTATTACTGATACTAGAACACGTCCGACAACATAGGAGCGATAGAAATGCTAAGATCAAATAGACTAATGTGTCGTAGAAAGAGTGAAGAGTTCTACCTGGTATCTTGATAAAGCTCCTATAAGGGTATTATTTTCGCACCCTATAGCTTTCCTTAGTAATTGAAATATCTTTACGGAAGACTCTACTACTTTGGATGTTCAAGAACAATCGGCCAACAAACAATGTAAAATGGCATTCGTCGAAGTAAAGCCAACAGAGGAGAAGCTCAGAATTATCCGCCGCCAATGAAAAAAACGATGCAGCAGAAAACCCGAGTTCATTTTCCGAGGGCCGAACCAATCAAGCCAAATGAACGTTATCAAATCCTGACATTTGGTGCCTGAGGCACGTAGGCAGTGCGGAATCGCGGAATCTCGGAATTGACACGCCCTTTGACATGACAAGTTTTGATGCGCCATCCATTCATCAGCTTCCTTCCTCCCCTTGTCATCCCTTGACCGGTATCTGTCGCTTCTCGAGCCAAATATAAATTGGCGCTCTGATCGTCCTGTTGCCATCTACCCTCAGACATCAGCATTCTCAGTTACCTCCAGAGTTTTGGCGCTCCTAAACCTACCCCTGAAGGCAAATTGAGTGCATCCCACATTCTCGGAAGTTTCCGACTACCGGCAAAAATCGACAAATGGATCGAGACCAATTCAGAACGGCGGCTCACTCAGCCATAGATGACAGTCAGTCAATCGAGAATTTTTCATCTAAAATGACAATACTAATGAGACGACAGTCATCAATTACTTTGACGGCCTGCCATCGCAGCGCGTCGTGCCCACGGTCGAACCTGGGTACCTGCGTCCCTTGATTCCTGAGAATCCACCCGAGGAGCCGGAAGAATGGTCGCAGATTCAGGCCGACATCGAGAACAAGATCAAGCCGGGGTTGACGCACTGGCAGTCGCCTAACTTCATGGCGTTCTTCCCGGCCACCGTCACCTATCCCAGCATCCTGGGTGAAATGTACTCTGCGGCTTTCACGGCTCCGGCGTTCAACTGGCTCTGCTCGCCGGCCTGCACGGAGCTGGAGACGATTGTCATGGACTGGATGGCGCAGGCTCTGGGGCTTCCCGAGTGCTTCCTGAGCACGTCCGAGAATCGCGGAGGTGGTGTCATTCAGGTGACTGCTAGCGACACCATTGCCACTGTGATGATTGCCGCCCGGGAGCGACGTGTGTATGAGCAAGTACGCGCCGAAGGCTTGAAGGAAGGTACGGTCGAATTTGAGGACCGATTGATGGATCTGCGACCGAGGCTGGTTGCGCTGGCAAGCAACCAAGCGCACAGCAGTACTGCTAAGGGCGCTCTGATCGCCGGAACCCGGTTTCGCAGCGTCACTGCGAGATTGGAAGATAACATGGAGATGACTGGCGAGGGCTTGCGAGCCGTGTTGGAGCAGTGCGACAAGGACAATCTCACGCCTTACTATATCACGCTTGGGATGGGCACAACGAACTCGTGTGCTCTTGATCGCTTTGCCGAGATCAAGGCTGTTTTGCGAGAGAAGCCGTCGTGGCAGAAGATCTGGGTCCACATTGATGCTGCCTATGCCGGTGCGGCTCTGGTGGCCGATGAATGGCAGTATATTGCCAAAGACTTTGCAGAGGGTGTGGACAGCTTCAACATGAACATGCACAAGTGGCTACTTGTGAACTTCGACGCTAGGTATGCTGTCCAATACAATTTGCTGGATTTATGACTTGCTAATGTTTAAACAGTCTCCTGTTCGTTCGGAACCGGAATGATCTCACTGATGCCCTCGACATTACACCCGCTTACTTGCGCAACCCATACTCTGACGCCGGAACAGTCATCGATTACCGGAACTGGTCCATCTCGCTCGGACGACGATTCCGTGCGCTCAAGATTTGGTTTGTCGTGCGCAGCTACGGTCTGAACGGGATGAAGGCCTTTATCCGCCGGACCATTAAAATCGGCGAAGTGTTCACCGATCTGGTCTGCAGCCGATCCGACCTTTTCGAGATCGTCACCAAACCCGCCTTCTGTCTGACCGTACTGCGAGTCAAGAACCCGAGTGCCGCTGTCACGAACGGAGAGTCGTCTATCACCCAGCCTGACGAGAAGGCAAACGCGTTGACCAAGGAGGTTTATGAGCTGATCAACTCGCGTGGAGAGATCTTTATTACTTCGACTGTGATTGCGGGTGTTTACTCCATCCGCGTGGTCAGCTCAAACGAACAAGCTGACGAGAAGTATATCCGTCGGGCTTTTGAGATTCTCGTCCGGACAACGGAGGAGGTTTTGCAACAATAGAGATGATGCATGCATAAACTTTGCATAAATTTTGTTTGATGCCGTGAGTCTAGATATATATTACACGTTTAGATTGTTGGTGCATGCCTTATGATTGATTTGCTATGAAAAAATGTCATTTGAAAGATTTCCCTAACAGACTTTCGCGAATTTTCCTCGCACCTATTTCCTTGATATAATTCATGCCTACCTTCTGATTTCGCTAGCAGTCCAATCAAGATATGAATAGCCTTAAGGTGTGTGAACGGAAGACCAAGAAAGGAGGCAGATCATCTCAGGATCAAGCTAGCGCGAACCAAAGTGGCGAAGTCGCGAAGCTAGTCCATCCTTCGTGACCGTTTCTCGAGATGCTTCCCACGGAGTATTTCCGTGCAACCCCTTGAGGAACTCTGAAACGTCGACAAGAATGTGACAATTCAGGCAGCACTTGGTTTCAACCTATGATCGCACACAAAACGTGACACTGGCCCGTATAAGCCTCCTCAAGCGTTGCGCAAGGCTCAACGGTGATTTACGACGCGGCCACTAGCAAGGCTGACTCGGCGCCACATGGGGGCAAAAGCTCGTGTTAACCCGTTGGACTCTCTCCCCTTCCCAACATATTATCCCCGTCGACAGTCCAAATTTTTATTCTCCACTGTTATCAAGACCCTTTTTCTTCCTGCCAATGGTTCTTGACTAAGGTTGGTAAAACCCCGCGCCAACATGCCACGAAATATGCACAATCCGTTGCCCGCATCGCTTCACAGTAAGTTCCGATCGTGTGTTTGGTTTTCAAATAAAGTTAACGCTGCGACAGGCGAATGCCTTAAGGCCCGACAGATTCTAGAATCGTTCATCGATGGCTCCTTTACAGGCAGCCCGGGCAAGGAAATGCCGACGCGCTTCCTCGGCGAAGCCAAGGTACTACCACCTAAAACTCCTATCCCCAACCAACAAGCCAACCAACTAACCACAAACCAGGGTCTCGCTATTATCACCGTCATCCGAGCCGGCTTTCTAGGATCAGCCCGAGTCGGCTCGGGCATTCTGACCGCCCGACTCGAGGACGGCAGCTGGTCGGCGCCGTCAGCCGTCGCAACGGCCGGAGTCGGTTTCGGCGGCCAGTTCGGCATCGAGTTGACGGATTTCGTCTTCATTCTGAACGAGCGCGCCCTGCGCACGTTCTCCCGCACAGGGAGTCTCACGCTGAGCGGGAACATCTCCATCGCGTTCGGGCCGTTCGGGCGCAGCGCCGAAGTCTCCGGCGGCGCCAGCACGAACGGTCTGGCTTCTATGTTTAGCTACTCCAAGACGGTGGGCATGTATGGCGGGGTAACGGTGGAGGGCGGGATGCTGATCGAGCGCAAATCCGCGAATCGGAAGTTCTACAAGACAAAGGTCACCGCGGACCAGTTGCTTCGCGGGGAGGTCCCTCTCCCGGACGCGACGCAGTCCTTGATGCGCGTCCTAGGCCATAAGGTGTTCGATCCCCCGGCGGAGATGGAGTCCCGTGAGGTCCCGGTCACTCGTGAAATTTCTCAGCCTGATGGCGTGGTTGAACTGTCGGCGCGTGCGGAGGCTCAGCCGCCGTCTGAGCTGCCTGTTGATTCGGGTCGAGGTGATCTGTCACCGACTCCGTCTCCCCGCCACGGGAACGTGAGAGATTTAGGCATTGTAACGGAGCTCGATGGGACGCCTTGTACACCGCAGCCGGCCGAGCTATCTTCAGAGCCCGTTGTACTGTCTTCGGTGGCAGGGCTCCCGGCAAGCGTGTCCGAGAAGCCTTCAAGGAAGCCATTACGGCAGGATTCTGGACAGTCACCAGGAGCACAAGATGCGGAGCCCACTGTCCAACCATCGCCAGAATCCACGTCTCCAGCTGAACCCACGGAGAAGGCAGCTGCAAGCAATAATGGACCACACGAAGAACGTCCTGCAGCATTCACAATCAACGCCTGAGCGAGTGTGGTATTCCCACTTTTCCGGCGGAATAGGTGCATCGCATGTCCATCACAAGGTCTCGACTGGTATTTCCATTCGCCACCCAGGACAAAAAAACATTGTATATAGACTACCTTCAGATTGTACATACTTGAATTATATCCCATTTTCAATCCAGCAACACCTGCATACCCCGACTCTTTACCAACTGACCATGGGTACATGAAATAGCACCCAGATGGTTGATACATTAACTCCGGTTGAAATCAAACGAAAAATACCACATAAAACGCTATTTCCCCAGCAACTCCTCCAAGAATTATACTCCCCAAATTTCTCTTTTACAGACTAATCCACCACAAGTCCCCCAAAAACATTATACCGACTTCCTAGCACCACAACCAAACATCACCAAAGACACCCAAACAGCAAACCTAGGTAACCACCCCCTAACTCCATCCAGCCTAGCGCCAGCCACACCAACCAGCTAGCTAGTAGCTGCTACCTAAGAGTAAGCTAACCAGCCGTCGGAGTTAACAAAAGTCCAAAACCCAACACAGAACCTGCAGTCCTGAGTCCTGACAGTCCTGCACAGTGGCGGTCAAGAAAGCTCTAACCCAAACGGCACCAACCCTCCACTTTCGACCCCCCGACTATTAAAAATCAAAATTCTATACCCCCAATGTCCACTTATCTGAGTTCTCGCACCCCGGAGTACTCCGTGTTTTGTTTACTGTTTCTTTGACGGTTCCATGACTCGGACTCGAACCCCCCACGGGGGAGGGAAGGTCCAGTCACACTCGGCCGATAGTGCTCCGTGCGGAGCTCAGGGATTCGTGTTTTGATTGAGATCTGCGGATGGATTCGACGAGATGTCTGAAGTCCCTCACTACGCATACGCCGTAATCAACCATAACAGCGCGAACAGAAGTGTTCTAGAAGCCAGGCAGCCCATGCCTCGTGACGAATTGAGTTTTTCACCTCATCTGACTGACCAGTCCATGTGATGGTGTAGCCCTAACAACTAACAAGCCTCCTGCATAAAGGACAGGGATTGGAATTAATTAGCGGCCGGAGTTAGAGTTGGAGCTACACTAGACCAGAGGAAATTTAAGAAGCTAGGAGCGTAAGGGAAGGAGCTGTGTGCTTACCGTCTCCCGAAAGGCTGTATTCCACGAAGCACCGAGCTTTGAGACAGAGGGTGTTACTGTCAAAAGTACGTTCGTGCCCCTCGGGATCATCCTACGCTCCTAACATCGGGCACGGCAAGGGAGGCAGATACCACCACTTTGCTGGTAGTTACCCACAACCAGACACCGAATTTTGAGCTCACTAGGACGAGGTAGGTATTCCGAGATCGAGGTCGCGGGGTTGAGTGGATCGACACCGAAACCCGGACAAGTATACAATACGAGAGCATGGTGGGATGGAAAAATGAGAATTAGAGAATTTTATCTATCATCATCTATCTCTATATAGGTGTTTTTTTCTCGTAAATCACTCCCTCATAACGTATCCAAAAAGATGAATGAACATATAAGCATGATAAAATGAAAATGGACAAAATAATCATCAAACATAAACATCGCTTGCAGACACACCAAAAGCCCTTTTTCAAAAATCGACAAAGCCAGAAAGCTCGGATATAGACGTTGCGATTAATCAACGTACTTGGGAAGGGTCTTGAGGATACCGTCCCGGGAGATGTCCTCCAGGGCCTTGGAGATCTCCTTCATGAACCGCTCGTCGTTGCGGAGGTCGTCACCGAACAGGTTCGAGATGCTAAGGAGGGAGGAAGGATCGGAGCCCCCGGCGCGAGCCTTGGCCTGGAGTTCGTCGCGCATGGGATCCTCGACCTCGAATTTGTTGCCGTTGTCGTCGACGCCGTTGATGTAGTGGAACCAGGCGGCGGCGACGAAGCACAGTCGGCGGAAGGGACCCGTCACCCAGATGGCCTCGGCGATCGAGGGCATGATGAACTGGGGGATCTTGCCGGACGCGTTGAGGCAGATCCGCGGCAGCTGGTCCATGATGGTGGGGTTGGAGAACCGCGCCACCAGCGTCTTGCAGTACTCGTCGATGTTGACGCCCGGGATCTCCGGGAGCAGGGGCTTCACCTCATCCTGCATCATCTGCCACACGAACTTGTTGAACACGGGGTGCTCCATGACCTCGTGGACGTATTTGAAGCCAGCCAGCTGGCCGGGGTAGCCGATGGCCGAGTGGCTGCCGTTCAGCAGCCGCAGCTTGTGCATCTCGAACTCCTCGACGTTGTGGACGTTCTTGACGAGCTGCACGCCGACCTTGTCGAAGGGCGGGCGGCCGTCGGAGAAGTGGTCCTCGATCACCCACTGCATGAAGGGCTCCGTGACGACGGGCCAGGCGTCCTCGATGCCGAAGTTCTCGGCGAGGGCGGTCTTGTCGGTGGCGGAGGTCTGCGGCGTGATGCGGTCGACCATGGCGTTGGGGAAGTGGCCCTGCTCGCCGATCCACTTGGCGAGCTCGGGGTTCTTGAGGCGCGCGAACGACGTGAGCATGTGGCGCGTGATGGCGCCATTCTTCTGCATGTTGTCACAGGACATGGTGGTGAACGGCTTGAGGCCCTGCTGGTGGCGGCGGGCCATGGCGGCGTAGAGGAAGCCGAAGGTCGTGCGGGGGGCGTTCTCGTTGGCCGGGTCGAGATCGAATTGGATGTCGGGGTGCTCGCTCTGCAGCTCGTGGGAGTTCTCGTTGTAGTAGTAGCCGCTCTCGGTGATGGTCAGCGAGACGATGTGCGTGTCGGGATGGGCCATCTTCGCGATGACGGCCTCCCGGTCGTCGGGAGCAAAGAGGTAGGAGTTGATGCTGCCGACGACATTGGCGAAACTGCCCTTGGCCGAACGCTCAATGACCGTGTAGAGGTGATCCTGGGAGTTCAGGACATCGCGCATGCCGGCATCGAACGGTTGCAAGCCCACGCCGCAAATGGCCCAGTCCGTGACGCCGTGCTTCTGCATCAGCTGGTCGACATAGACGGCCAGGTGAGCCCGGTGGAAGCCGCCCACGCCGACGTGGACAATTCCCTCCTTGACGGCGCCGCCGCGCTGGTAGGTCGGGACCTTGACCTGGGACTCGCCGGCCGTCGAGATCTGCGACAGGTTCTTGCTGTTGAGCTTGAGGGGAGCCATTGTGTGTTCAGACAAGGGAAATTGAATGAATGAATGACAAGGGCGAGAATTGCGAGAGATGAAAGGTGTAGGATTGATCAGGGGCACCCTCTCAGGGTCACCGCCGGTTTTGACCGCTGCTTACCAGCGAAAAGTCCAGGTAATCGCATTACATCATATGGTGGGGGGCAAATCGGGGGACGCGACGGAGTGATGATATCAACATTAATTGAGAACTGACCGGTCGATGGATCCACCGGCCGCCCGCTGGCCAAGATTTCGCTTGTTCTCGCACATTCCGAATCGGGCATCCCTTCAGTTATGCACTGCTGAATGTTCTCGCTGTTCGCTGTTCTAATTTTATATCGCAGCCACCGCCCCGGTTCGTTGCTGTTCGCTGGATCCTGCAGCTTACTAGCTCAAATACCACCTCCGATCAGTCGGAAATCCGCCATCCTGTCCTGGTAATTCCGGTAATGAAAACTCTTCTGCCCTCCTGGTCCTGTTAGATAAGCACTGGCTGCCTGGAGAACCGGGCACCCACGCGGCCCGACAAATCCTTCCTGCCGACCGGCGCAGTCTGGGCCTTGTCCGTAAGGCATCCCTGTGGGTCCGCCCATCCCACGGGCAATGAGGACCTGACAGCGCAGGAATGCCGAAAGACCTATAAGATTCCGCTGACCTTGTGAGCAAATTTTTCTGGAAAGATAATGCGGCCAAGTCGAGCGTTTTGACGTGGACATCCGCCGAGAACGAAAAATGCGGCATTATACTCCGTAGTCTGGAGCAACAGTCTGTACCCCAACTCCAGCCATTGCGATATGTGATATATCATTTCCTGGACTTGCTGACCCCATCACGGGGCACCAGGGAATCGAGCTAGACATCACCGATCTGCGGGATAAATTTCTGCTGAAGACGGTGGTGGTATCAAAACGGCAAGTTACGCGCATTCGCCGCGGACACGGACCACGGACGACTTCCCTGCAGAACACCAGACAGTTAGGTAACACGAAGAAAACCTTATAACTTTATCAGAAAAATTTTCCACGTTACATGCAGACCACGGGCCAGCTCAACATACCCCACATGGCCGAGGCCGACGATGATCGCGTTCCTACATTGCGGCCCGAATATCGTGGGGGTGCCGAAGCCGCACGGCGCACGCACCTCTCTGGCGTGGGCTATACGGAGCAGATTAATATCCTTTGGTTTTGGGCTGTCTAATGGTAAGAACTTTATTTCCACACCTGCTCGTCATCCTGTAACAAGGTCGCCAGCAAGTCAGGTGCATCCAACACAGAAATCTCTGGATCGGATATGTACATGAGGAGTGATGTATTAAGAATGGCATGACTGGTCTCGAATAGATAGACTGTTAGACACAGGACAAATTGTTACACAGAAAATATGAACTATTCCGGGAATAGTGCCTTTGTGTATATAAGGGGGGAGGGGCAATTAGTATCTAGTTTCTAGTTATTCAGCGTGTGGCAATTTACAAGTATCATACCTGATGGGCTAGGTAGCTTCTGATATCCAGTAATAGAGGATGTACTGCATCGCCAAAATTACAAACCCTGAAGGGGGACCAACCATGGCGAGGTGGTCGTTGGTGCCGGTAATCGAAAATGTGTACAGTTCGCGAAAAGAAAGGTCCTTAGGGCATGCAGTATAGGAGATTCTTGCCCTTATGGCAAAGAGAAAATCTCAGCCAAACATCATACGATGATGAGACATTTTTGAATCCCGGTCAAATTTGTCTTGCTATCCCTATCCGCAGACCAGGGCCTTGCAATTCTTCCCCCTATGTGAACTAGCAGGGAGGAAATGTGGAACAATCAATTATTTAGTTTTTTTCTTTCTGACTCCTCCATTGACAGTTCCCTGAAAGTACGCCTAAAAAATAAACCATAGTTCAAATTCCCAGGATAGACGACCCTAGCAAGCAAAAGTCTGTTCTACTTACATACACCTCAGCCCCTTCAACGCCGCCATTCCCCGGTACTCTCATAATAACCACATAACCCACAATATCTTCATCACCCATCCTCAAGAATCTCAATCTATGCTATGTTATAAAGTTTCTTCAAGGCATCCACATCTTTCTTACTCGGCCTGACTACCGGCTGGATCAAACGATCGTCGTCCTTATTCAGCTTCGTCCTCCTCAACAGCACTGGCGCCCGATTATCACTCGTCTCAGTGGACTGCTTCCCACCAGCTCCACTTGGATACAACATGATGGAATCCCAATCCACGTCCTCACTCCCAGCCGACAATTTGTGCGGCGAAACGGTATTCCCACGGATCGGGAGGTACTCAGCAGCAGAGAAGCCCGCACTTGCGGCCGCCTCGCGGGACTTGCAGATGCCATCCACACCCTCGATCTCGTCCTTGGACTTCCCGCGAGTCTTGTCCTCGTAATCCTTCAGATTCTTGCAATTGAACTCAAACACAGGCTCATCGCCCTCGAGCCCCGACCCCCAGTACACCGCATCCTGATGCTCATGGAGCAGGCCAAACATGTGTCCGATCTCATGTGCCACGTTCGCCACGGGATCCATCATCCCGATGTCATCGCGTGTGCTGAGATGCGAGACCGGTCCGTTTGAAGTGTTGGGAATGCCGTTGGACGTCGACATGATGCCTTCGGTGTTGTAGTAGATGCGGAGGGTTTTTTTCTTGTCCAACGCCTTCAGCACGTTGGCTTTTTCCAGCTTGAACGTTTTAGGCAGCCCGCTGCAGTACCAAAGCTCCATGGCTTGTTTGAGAATGGGCTCGAGCTCCTTTTTAGCTTGGCTATTGTCGAACGTGTATTTGACCGTGGCCTCGGGCCAGAGCTTGTTGTTGTCGGAGGGTTGGATGGTGAGCCAGCGTTTTGAGAGGAGGTCGCGGTGGGTGGCTCGGTCGAGGCCGAAGTGGCCGTGATGCGTATGGTCCGCGAGAACATGGAGGGCGAAAAGGACGATACATAAAATGAGAGGTAATGAGCGGAATGCCGAAAGGAAAGGCATATTGGATGGTCGAGCGATAACGTATAGCGAATCCGGGGCACTTCAATGACGGCGTTCCTGGACCATGCACACCATGGAGTCTTTATATTTGACTCAATCCCCATAGGGATCCAAAGATAGGGGGCTATCACATTTCCGACGAGGCTGCGAATCCTGGGGTAGATTCAGCCCCATGATTGGAGGCCGCGTACTCCGCGGGATTCTCGAATGACAAGCACTGCAAGGCGATGAGCGAGACAGTGTTAGTCTAACCAATTAGATTAGGGAGATGGCCCATCTGTTGGAATAAAGTATATGAGCCTCGCACGGATTTGTTGATCATCAGGCACATTGTAACAGAATGATCCGTGCCAAGCAGCCCTACGAATCCTCTGTCAGGCACCTCCTTCATTGATCTTGAAGATCAATGAAGGATTTAATAAGAGCGTCGGCACTGCTTTCTGCGTCTCCAAATTGAGCAAGTTAGAGAACGACTCTCTGTTGTTGGCGACGGCCACGACTGTCTGATCTCTTGAACTATTTTAAATGAAACACGAAATGGTCAGTTGGAGTCATTGTACACCCAGCCCACAGGAAGGCGCGAACAATAAGGTAGGTACTATCCAGTTTGAAAGAACGACCGGAATTCATGTGCGTCTAAGAAATCTCCAAACCAGACTTCTCCGCTCACGTTGATACAGCGCCCCCACATCCTTAATCAAACTAGAATTCTCGGCATCAGGCCTCCAAGAAAGTGCCCCTGTCAATCATTCAAAGGCCAATGATCCTGGGACGATCGTATTACGTTGGTCAACATGAATTCCTACACGCTTGTTCCAATTGGTCACTTGTGATATTAATAGCCAGGATCCAGGCCCTTCGATAATAGGCCAGCGCCACCAAAGCTTGGTACTGTTATCATCTCGATGCGGTGCAAGGTAAATGCACGGTCATTCAGCAACCACATAATAGAAACAGTCAAAACAGCCCGTTTCACGAGGCATGGAGAAAGAAACGCTTGGCAAGATTTAACATGCAGATCTCTCAATGTCAGTTCCGAACGGAAGATACGAATGGCCCTATAGGATTCAAGCGAATGGAATCCTTCATCCTCCCCTGTTGGAAGTGGGCCGTGCGGAATCAATCATATTAACGTTCGATTGCTGCGCCCCCACACATTACAATTATTCGCTTTCATGTTTAGTGGCACACGCTCAGGCCTCCATATAATGGCAGTGCTATATGGGATTAAGACCTTTTCTTATTTTTCTTCCTTCCCCCCCCCTGACGCTCGGGCTTGGATCTTAGAGACCCGCAACTATGAAATAAATGGCCTGAACATAAGATTAATGTCATCTTCGATCTGTCACTATCTGTGATGCTCTATATACTTTTGTCATAACATGCGTCGGATTCAGTCCCTCTTCACATCCACAACCGGCCCCTTATACACCCTCCTCCCCATAACAACATACATCACCAAACTGATGATAAAAATGCCCACAAACAACACAACACTCCAGTTAAAGCTATCCAACGTCACCGGGATCTCCGTCGGCCAGAAGGACCAAAAGAGCGCAAACAGCGTATACAGCAGCGCCACGGCATTCACCCACACGCCGTATTTACCCAGACTCCAGCGCCGCACAGGGAGCGTCTCCGGGTGGTAGATCTTGCGCCACATCACGCAGGTGATGGAGACGGCGTAGGTCCACATTAGCGCCGCCACGTTGAGGGAAATGATGGCGTTAAAGGCCGTTTCGGAGCCGATATTGATGAGCGACAGAAGGCCGGAGATGACGCAGGACAGGCCGATCGCGTTGACGGGGAGCTTGCGCTTGGCGTTGACGGTGCTGATCCAGCTGGAGAATGGGAGGCCCTTGTCGCGCGCGAACGCGTAGGTCTGACGAGCCGTCGAGGCGTTGAAGAGGATGTTGCTGAAGATGACAGGGATGAGGATGATGGCTGTGAGGCCGTTGACGCCAGCTTCGGGGACGGCTTGCGCGAAGACGTAGATGAATGGGAAGCCGGTGGGGTCGTCCAGGGCGGCCTGGACGGATGGCATAGCGAAGAGAAGGGTGATGATGAGGATCAGCGCCATGAGGCCGTTGCTGAAGTACCCCCAGGCGATGGCGATGGGGACGTAACGGCCGGCGTCGCGGACTTCCTCGGACATGTGGGCGGTCGCGTCGGAGCTGAGTGAACCGTAAATAGCGGAGATCTGACCGATCATTAAGGCCAGGCCGACGTTATTCCATCCCCCGAGGGTGCTGAATTCGGTGAATACGGCCTTTGCGGGCTGGCGAGGCGCCATGGCCCAGAGAACGACGATCACCACGACCCAGCAGAGGATGTGAAGGGCGAGGAGTAGGTTCTGGATACGAGGCATCCAGCTGGCAGCGTAGACGTTGAAGAAATAGATGATCAGAATCATCGCGAAGACGAATAATGTCCCCTGCCATTTCTGGGGCTCGTAGTCGGGGTTGCGCACACTGATGAGTCCCTGGATGATGGTTCCCGTCAAGAACGAGCCGGAGGCGGCGCCTGCTTGCCATGCAAGGACGGACATCCAGCCTATGAATGTGTTAGATTGCAATCACCAAGGAGGTCGTATATAAGGGACGGACCAGTGATATAACTGAGAAACTTCTGATACCGTGGTGAAGCAAACTCGGACACCCAATGGTACTGTCCGCCAGACGTAGGTGCCCTAATCAATTAGCAACCATAAACATTCACGTACTGCTCATATTGTCACTCACATTGATGCCATCTCCGACAGCGAAACAATGATAAACCCAAACCCAACGAACGTCCAAACATACGTCCAAAACAACCCTGCAAGCCCACCATCCAAAAGACCTTCATAGTTCGAACTATCACAACCAACACATTAGCGTAAACCCCGCAGTTCAATCTAGTCCAGGCATACGAACATCAAGATAAACTCCCAGGTCGCTTGAAGAACCGACGCAAAACTCAGCGCTGCTAACGGTCGGAGATTTCTCTGGTAAAATCGAATTAGATCGCTGCCCATGAGTCTCAACAGCTCATTCACATGCGACGTACCTTGAATTCTTGCGGCTTTCCCATACGCGTCATGTCATCCTGATCGAACCCGGTGCCACTTTCGATACCTTCTTTCCCACTGGCTTCTAACTCCAGCTGATGGAATCCCGTCGTCGCGACAAGCTGCTCCTCGTTGCGCACGTGGGCGCCCTTCACCGGTGTGTCTGCCATGATTAGGAGCTTAGGAAGGCTCAGAAATATGGCAGCGGCCGGAAAATTGAGAATTCCGCAGCCCCGTGAGATTTAAAAAAAGAAAAGAAAAGAAAAGAAGAAAAAGCAAAACGAAAGGCGGGGAGTGGTGTTGATATGATAAGAGTGGAAAGGGGGAAGGATTCCGTCCACGGTCGCAAGATCAACCAGACAGAAAATTCTGTTCCCTGTTGTACGACCGGGGTGAATATACGCTATTTAACCGGACTGAAAGGCTGCAGCTATTTTGATGCTACTGCATGCTGTCTGTTAGTTGGCTGGTGTGGAGAGCACGAGTTATCCCGGTAGGCGAGTAGAGATTTTGACCAGGGTGACAACAGGGTGTTGTCTGTTGTGGCCTCATTGAAATTAATATATCTTCATATGCGCTTGTCTTGGGAAGCGATGTAAGGGGTCACCAGAGAATCCTCGGCGGAGTAGCCAAATCCTAGGCCCTAGCTCTAGAGCAACGGCGAATACCGCATTATCGACTAACCGATGTTAACAAACCATCGAGATATTCTGAAAACATACAGCGTAGTATTCCAGGGACACACTTGCCATATGAGATTGTTGGCAGGAATGCGCCGCCGCGGAGTCTCCGAGGCTAAGACATATACAGAGTAGACCACTGTCCACCTCAAGGAAGATCCGGGTCAAGCCCGAATATACTTAATTTCCGCTCGGCTTGCCAGGAACAAAGAAACAAAGCTTTGTCGCTTAATCAAACGGCGGTTTCAGGCACCCGTGTGGTACTTTGGTTACTTGAGAGGCACAAACCAAGACCTACCTAGTCGTGCCTCATCGACCGACAACCCGCGGCCAAGAGAAACTTGGCACCAGCCATCAAATCACATCCATCGGGTAATATATTTTGAGATGCAGGAGCTCCTGCGCCGCTCGCCACGGGTGGGTGTGGCTGCGGGGATATTTCCTGATCCCCCAGCGGCGCATGCCTTGTTCCATATTACCACCATTATTAATTCGCGCATCTTGCAGGGTTCGTCGAAAACCAGACCGGGCGACTTGAGAAAGCATCGGCCGACTGTCGATCTCCCGGGGTTTGATCCTTCGGGCGGTTTAGCGCTTTTTAGCGTCTAGTCCGCCCGTCCGCTTCACTCGGTCCGTCGTCTACGCCGTATCAGTGCACTGCTAGGAGGAATCCGATCGATCCCTGATATCGCAGACGTGAATTGTCCATACTGGGCTGTCGATGCATGTTGCTTGATAAGTGATCGCGTCCAACTCCTGGATTCAAGGAGTCGGCTCATAATTATTTGGCCTACTTTATTTGAATCCTTGTTATGGTTAGACGGGATGGGAGGGAAACCATATTCGAAGGATGGCAGGGATGAATACAAAAAGCAAAAAAAGGGAAAGAAAAGTAAGCCGCCACGCAACGCATACCTTCTTGCATCAGCCTCGGTGTATTATTTCTCCCAGTTGAGTCACAGTTCAAAACTCTGTGTCGTTGGGATCGTCGCGTGGCCGATGGTTTTTGCAACGGACTGCCATGGCGAGGGCGACCATCCTTCCTCCAGGCATCGCACCCCCCTTGACCGAGGATAACAGCCATAATCATAATGCTTTGGTGGTCATCACTGCTTCTCTTGCCCTCTTCCTCGCCCTAGCATCCCTAACGATCCGAATATACGCCACCCGAATTAGGGGAGTGACTTTGAAAGATGATTATATTTTGGTTGTGGCTGTGGTATGTATAGCCCATATTCTGCTTTCATCAAAAGCTTCACTTGATACGGACGGCTTATGGCTTATTATGTTTAGGTATTCGCATGCGCTCAGGTCTCGGTGGCCTTGGACCAAGTGCATTATGGGTGGGGAAAGTCAAAGGATTTGATTTCTAGCGACGACAACGAACAAATGACCAAGGTGCGATTATCTCACATTGTTTCGATGTCTGCTCTTATCCTGCTCACTGTATGTAATGATAGACCGGCTTCGCTGTAGATATCCTCTACATCCTCGTCATCGGTCTCTCCAAAGTCTGCACGATGATGTTCTACCGCAATCTGTCTCTACGCAGTAATATGCTTCTAAGCAACACGATTCTCGCCTCTTGTGGTGTCTGGATTGTTCTAGGTGCAGTATTACTCGGGGTTCGATGCAACGGCGATGCACGGGAAGACAAAAGCAGTTGCACCGGGCTTGTAAGCATCTCCTCCAAAACTCTATCAACTGTGCCATTATAACCAACAGCTAACATAATCAACAATTCAAGTATCCCCGCTGGCAAGCAATCTCCGCTCTCGACATCATCCTTGAACTCGTCATTCTCGCCTACCCCGTCAAAATCATCTACAACGTCCAAATCCCGTTCCTCAAGAAACTGAAAGTCCTGTGCATCCTAAGCTCCCGGGTCATGTACGCATTCCTCTTCCCCTCCAAACCAATTCATCCAACTAACTATACCCTCATAAATTAGCCTCATCCCCCTCTCCGCCATCCACCTCTCCTACCTCAAAACGCAAACCACCTCCGCGAACCCACCCCTCGACGGCGCCTACGCCACCACCGTCGCGGAAATCCATCTCGGTCTCAGCGTGATCCTCCTCGCGATCTCATCGTTGAAAATATTTGTCGCCGTCTACGAAGACGACCAAGGGCTCGCGTACACTGAAGATGCGTCAAACTCACATAGCCAGAGTGGGCGGGCCACGAGGTCTCGGACTTGGCGGTCCTCGCGCCCAACAAAAGATCCCATGCTGATTACGCGTGGCTGGGATGAAGAGCCGATCTTGCAGTCGTCGGAGGCTTTGGCGCCGCCTTCGAGGGGTCAGGAGTCGGATGGTTCTAATGGAGCGATTGTGAAGAGTGTGCAGATTTCGGTGACGAGTGAGTGTATTGAGTTAGGGGAGAGAGGCGGGATTGGGGTATCGGCGTCGGGGCAATTATGAATTGAGATGTTTATATACATAATAGAAAAGCTTTTGCATCATGTTGATTTCCATTAGGGTCATATTACCTACTACGAATATAGTCTTCTATCTGATATACCTCTTTCATCGACGTACGTACTGAGCGCATTGCCACCTGCATTGTGGCATTCCCAACCCGTTTCAAACCCCCTTTATATCGACTCGCGTATAGGAATGTGGAGCCACAATTCCCACTTTGAACTTTTGACATCGCGAAGAACATTGAAGTAACCTTGGGGCCGAAAGGAGGCATTTTATGACGATAGATTTCGAGAAGACTCGAAGCCTTATTCGATCTCCAGTCGTCACAATCGATACTGCCTGGCCGATCGCTCGCCAGGAACTGATATCTCGAGTAGCTATATGTGATACAAACCTTGACATAGTAAGATAGGTTCTGATGCAGCGGCCCCGTTGGATTAGCGAGATCGATCATAATCTCGAATCGATTGACCCCGTTCCTTTGGCTAACCTTCTGTCATTCCAAGCATGCCTTGATATGACGCCATACCTGAACCACAAACTCTATCCCCAAATAATGAACCTATGCATTCATAACGCATACTAACGGTCCACAAGTGTCGACATTCCAATCTTGCCTTCTTCCATGAATACGATCGTACCCTCTTGCCCAAAATATCCACGCACGTCAGAGAGCAAGCTACCGATATTCTCGACTCTAATCACCGGCATGCCATGCAATGCAAATCCCGGCCCCGTGAACGCATGAGATCATACAGTCCAGAACAAGCATTTTACCCACGAATATAACCAACTGTTAGTGACCAAAACCCAGAAAACAATATCCGACCTGTAAAAACGGCCAGCCACCAACCACGGATCGGGGCCGATGTCACATAACTTAATTTACCTGATTGAGCCGCCACGTGAACAGCGGGATGGCTGGGCGGGATCCCGAGTCTGGATGTTGGAAGGGCTAATCAGTGAGCGGAAGGAGATGTTTAGCGACGGCGGATCCGTGGGTCTGACGTTTTTGTCTGTGCTACCGACATCATAGTTAGCTCCGGTTACCTGCTTGGGAAGTACACTCGGCGCAAGGGGGGAAACAGGAGTCGAGCAGGAAATGTGCATCCGTACGACTGGATGCGTGGCTCTATTTCAGGTTGGGGAGAGTGGATGCTTAGTCTTAATGCTTTTGCCTTAGATAGCCGACAGCGTTGGGCTATAAAATGGGGTTCAAATCCGCAATCCGAACGGATGAATATTTCATGAGACTTTCAATCTCTGGAAATTTGCACTCTAGTCCTTCATGTTGACTTGACTTGAACATCAATTTTTCTGATTTTTAATACCCGAAAAATAATGGCTATTACAATTCCCGGAGTCGCCTCTCAACAATGGGCGCAGGTATCACAAAGCTCCAGATCCAGTAGGTTTCATGTCGCTCTTATCCTCCAGTACCTACCTGACTCATTTTTCTTGTCAAGGTCCTCAAATGAAAGAAATCGCGGTCCCTTCCCCAAAGCCAGACGAGGTGCTAGTCAATATCAAATATTCCGGGTCGTGTCATTCATACCTGCATCTATGGACTGGTATGGTCAGCTGGAACCCTGAATATGCTGTTTCGCCTCTGACTCAATTCAGGACAACGCTCCCTCGGTTCAACGAAAGACGTTGTTGGTGGGTCTAATTCCTAAGTGTACCGATATTCTTGTGAGCTAATCGAACAATCCAGATGGCCACGAAGGCGTCGGCATCGTCACCGCGATTGGCAACGAGGTCAAAAGTATAAAGCTTGGAGATCATGTTGGAATCCAGGTATGCCGAGAATAGAGCGCTCAGACTGGAGCTTAGCTGATGGAGCCAAAGTGGTTAAACAGAACATGTGGCGAATGCGACTCATGCAAAGCAGGCACCTATCAAGGCTGTCAAGATGCGCAGTTCACCGGGCTCTCGGTCGGTGGGACGTTTAGCGAATATTGCACCTGCCAAGAGGCGCATGCGATCCGGATTCCAAAGCATTACCCATTAGAAAGTGTGGCTCATGTAAGGACGAACGCTGTGCCAGACCGCGGTAAATCAAACTGACATTCGATCTAGATTCTCTGTGCTGGGTTAATAGCATATAAAGCCGTGAAAGAGTCGGGCGTAAAGTCAGGCCAAGCCGTGGGTAGGTTAAGTTCTGATCGATATGTAAATCAGCATCAAATAACAAATTCTAGCGATCTCCGACGCCCATGCCGGCCTTGGAATTTTCGCATGTCAATACGCAAAGGCATGCGGGCTTCGTGTCGTGGCTCTCATCGAAGGAAATGCTGAGTCCAGTCAGTTGAGAAGGACTCATGCCGATCACATTATTGACTACAAGTCCACCGAGAATATCGTGGGATCAATTCAAGACGTCACTGGAGGTGGCCCTGACGCAGCAATAGTCCTGGCGGCAGGTGGGAGACCGTTGCAATCTGCTATAGAGGTAGGCCTTAACAATGATTTGAGAGAAACCCGGACTGATGCTTGCAAAAGTACATCAAACCAAGCGGCACTGTTGTTCTCATCGGATTGCGACCAGGTGGCTCAATGCAAGCAGACTTTAGCAAAGCCCTCTCGCGTATGGTGAACATCAAAAGTTCATTCGGGGGGTCCAAGCAAGACACGGAAGACGCGATGAGGATTTCCGTTGAGAAACGGTTCCAAACAACCACTCAGTTCATGAATTTAGATCAATTAACCGCTGTCTTCCCTGAAGTCAAGCGAGGTATGTCGAAGGTACCGTCCTTGAAGTATTCCTGGCTGACCCGTTACCTTCAGGCGATCTTGTAGGGAATACGGCGTTCAAGATTCCTGATAGACGCGAAGCGAAGCAGGCATACTCGGTGTCTTCGGAAGAAACGCAGATTGACTATAACGTCGGAACATTCTTGGCCCATCGGATAGAGGAGCTTGGTGTGAAAGACTTCTTTGCGGTTCCTGGTAGGCCTCTGTCCATCAGCCTTGCGATCTGCCCATCTAACATGCCCTAGGAGATAGTAACCTGGCGCTCCTGGATAATCTTCTGAGGAACCCACGTCTGCGCATGGTGTCCTGCTGCAACGAACTGAACACCGGGTACGCAGCGGACGGATACGCCCGCACATCTCGGTCAAAAATTGCAGTCGTGGTGATTCCGTATGTTGTTGGCGGACTCTCGATTCTCAATGCCATTTCCGGGGCTCACTCGGAGCATCTGAAGGTAATCGGGATATCAGGCTGCCCGAACACAAGCATGCTGGGAGACGACAAGTTTCTGCACCACACACCTTCCCGAAAGAACAAACACCAGGCGCTTCATGCATTCAAGGGTGTGACCGCCGCGTCTGTTCGAATTGACTCGTCCGAAACGGCAACAAATGTCATTGATGACGCTTTGCTTAAATGCCTTGACAAATCCCTTCCGGTATACATTGAAGTTGCGAACGACATATCCACAGCGCCCTGTCCGGCTCCCTCTCCACTTCAAAACCAGGTCGTTCTCGGTCGGAAAGAACGCGGAACAACACAAGCAATAGAAGCCATAAAAAAGACATGGAACTCTGCCAAAAGGCCTGTTTTGTTTATTGGTCCTCTTGCACGTCTTGCGTCTTCCAAAGATGATGTCCAGCTCCTAGCTGAGAAGCTTGGATGTGCTGTGCTCTGTCAGCCTGACAGTCGTTGGATACCCGAGACCCATCCTCAATCCTGCGGGGTCTTTTGGTCGGGGGTTTTCAACCCAGAAGGCGAGGAGATAGCAATGAATGCTGACTTGTGGGTTGTTCTGGGGGGGTCTTGGTCGGACCTTCACGTCCTGGGATTTAATCCCAAGGAAGAACGTCATCGTATGCTCGATATCCAAGCAGAGGGTGTCCGTCTTCCGGACGGTACAATTTTTGAACCTGTTGACTTTTGCTCGCTGGTTTCGGGGCTGATCAAATCCGATATCACGGCAAATGGCAGTTGCATTCCCAGCTCACACGTACAGCTTTCAAGCCCTGTTCCAGGCGAGCTCGAGTTATCCGAAAAGCCGTTAACTATGAAAAGTCTTCTTGCGGGAATTCAAGGCATTTTACGCGGACATCACACAATTATTGCCGACACAGGAGAAACATGGTTTGCAGCAAATCGTCTAAGGCTTCCGCGCGGCGCTGATTGCCAAATGCAATTGGCCTATGCTTCGATCGGATGGTCTTTGGGGGCGGGCCTTGGGGCACAGGTTGGACTTCCCGATCGACGGGTGATTATAATGGCTGGGGATGGGGGTTTCCAGATGACAGCACAGGAGCTCAGCACAATTATTCGCATGAGACTGAACCCGATCATCTTTCTGTTCAACAATCTTGGGTACAAGACCGAGGTAAGGTTCCTCACAATGCTCAAATGGTGCCCGGCTGATCAATGCAATAGACTGCCGTCCATGAAGGACCGTATAATTATATCGCGAATTGGGACTATACTCAACTGGCACAATGTCTTTCTAGTGAACCTCATTCTGAGTCGAATAATCCATATGCGACCGAGCAGGCACCAAGGAAGAAAGATCTTCGCATGTTCGCAGCCAAGATCGAGACTCAGGCTGATCTAGCATTGGCATTGCAAAAAGCAGAAGCTGAGAGCGGGAAATTAGCATTTTTGGAATGTTGCATCCAACCTGGGGACATGACTGCAGAGCTTCGAAGATTGGGGGAAAAGCTTGGTAGTGAGGTGACGGCCTCGGACTCAAATTCGGCAACCTCCTCATCCACTCCTTCCCCGACACCTTCTACTGACAACAGGAGTGTGACTCCCTCCTCTTTGTCTTCGCCTGTTCTTCAGCCCGAGCGTCTTAAACATTACCGGGATCTAGATGCATCGCGCCTCAATGTAAAATTGACAAAGACGCCTAGAGAGGTGCCCCCGCTTGATTCTCCCGATGTGCTTTCCCATAAAGTGTGTACGGACCACATGGTGCAAGCACGGTGGTCAATCGATGGAGGCTGGGATGATCCCGAGATCTTGCCGTATACCCCGCTGAGCTTCGAGCCTAGTGCAAGCGCTCTTCATTATTCGACCAATTGTTTCGAAGGCATGAAAGCCTTCCGTGGCAAAGACGGGAGATTGCGTCTTTTCCGCGCGGGACTGAATTGCTGTCGACTACTGGATTCCGCCACGCGAGTGTGTCTACCGCCCTTCAATCCACGGGACATCTACATTTTAATCAAGAGGCTCTGTGAGATTGATGCCCCAAAATGGCTCCCTGCAAGCCAGAAAGGATCGTCCCTATACATTCGACCTGCGCTCATCGGTACGTCTCCGGGATTGGGCCTGGGCGTACCAAAGGAGGCTCTTTTGTATGTCATCATCTCATTTTGGCCCAATCCAACGGTCTCGGCAAACCTGTCTTCCAGGCCAAAGAAAGGACTGCGGCTGTGGACAAGTCCCAAGGATATGACAAGATCGTGGCCCGGCGGATATGGATCGGCGAAACTGGCGGCCAACTACGGGCCATCCCTTCTTGCGCAACAAAAGGCTCATGCAGCAGGATATGACCAAGTCATGTGGCTGTTTGGACCTGATCGTCAAGTCACCGAAGCGGGAGCTTCGAATCTGTTCTTCATCTGGAGGTCTCTTCAAGGAACATTACAAGGGCGGCTGCAACTTGTTACAGCGCCACTGTCCGATAATCTCATCCTGCCGGGTGTGACCAGACGAAGTGTTCTCGAATTGGCTCGGGACAGAATGTACAGCGACGAATACTCAACAGAGAATGTCCACAGTTCGGTTGAGCCGCTTGAAGTGGTGGAGAGAAAATTCACAATTCACGATGTTATTGCTGCGGCTGACCAAGGCAGATTGCGCGGTGCTTTTGTAACTGGTACTGCGTGTTTCATCACACCAGTGACATCTGTCTATTTTGAAGGACGCGAGATCGATATCGAACCTGACGCTACTCCACACACTTCACTGTTTAGGAAATGGATTTCGGACATTGTGAATGGCGAGGAGCACAGCCCATGGACGGAAGTGGTAGAGGGATAGGGCATCGGTCATAGGCCTGCTAGTTATCACGTTTTGCATATTAGCCAATAAAATAATTTTTCTTTTCCAGACCCCAGTCGTGTTGTGTTATCAGTAGGTACGGAGTGGAGGTTCGACACATGGAAATAATGCCGGTCTTTCGATGACTGCGATGGCATCAACGCGAAAAGAAGTAGAGTGATTGAAGCACGATTTGGCGGGGAGAAGGCAAGACTGGCCGCATTTTCGTGTTCGGGAAGACTCGACGACAGTAAATAAAATGAATAATGGATGACACAAGAAGAATTGGGATGACAACAATGTGTTGTGGAAGATGAAGATGCAGAAAGGAAGGGAAGGATGGCGAGGCGACGAAAAGAGGGGGGGTTTATAGTCCGCACATGACAAAATCGCCTGAGGCTGCCGACCAGGCCCTTCCCGGTCGCACCAGGAGTCAGCAGTGGTTCGGGAATCTCCTCATTTCAGGTTCATGTATGCTGGGGCTTGGAGGCTATACATCTTTGGTCAGAAGTCAGAGTCAGTAGATCATATACACCAGTTAGTACCGAGCACAAGCAGAACCGATCGGTCCACTGCAGGTGGATCTCGGCATCTCCACAAATTCGAAGTAGCGCGATCTCTCCAAATATGTCGCGTCGGACGAGCGCTGGAGGCACCTTGCATTATTCACCACAGAAATCGAACGAGCAAACGCCTTGTCGAGAATATGGCGCAGGTCAGACACGAACCCGGACTGGGTCGGGGCTGAGGGATCGATCAAGCACAATATATTGAGGACTGGCGATTTCATGCCACAAACCTGGTGCGATCTGCTCTTCATATATTTCTGCAATGAATTCCGATGCATTGATTACTAAGTGGCCACTTGATGCTAGATGGCTCGATGAAGAGGTATTGAAATGATAAGGGAGCTGCTCATAAATGTACAACCACACGGAGTAGAAATATTGCCTATCCAGACAGATAACGATAAAACGGAGCAATATTCCACTGTCTACAGCTCGAACGGAGTACGGAGTAGCGTAAGGAGCGGACGTTCGGCGCCCGGCGGTCGGGAGGCGAATACCCGCCGCTCCGACACGCAGCCAATTAAGGATTCTTGAAGGGATGAATATAAAGCCAGTCTGGCTCCCATAAAAAGGCTCCACTATAGACGAGCAACTTTCCTTAATCCGATAGACTCATCGCATCCGATTTCACGTTGACACGATGTCCACGCAGAAAAACATCGTCGTCTTGGGCGGTTCGTTTGGGGGCATCTCCGCCGCCCATCATGTCCTCAAACATGCCATCCCTCAATTGGCCGACCAGGAATCGCATCAAGTCATCCTTGTCAGCCCATCCGCAACTGCCATCTGTCGACCCGCGTGCCCTCGCGCTATGATCTCCGACGACCTCATTGCGCAAGATAAGCTCTTCATCAATATTCCCGAGTGTTTTGAACAGTATCCCGCCCGCAATTTCCGTTTTGTGCATGGCACGGCGACAGGGGTCGACCAAGTCAATCGAAATGTCTCGGTCGATCTGGTAGATGGCAACGCGGAAACGATCGACTACCACGCTCTTGTCATCGCAACCGGCGCGTCCACTCGCTCTCCCCTCATTACTCTTCTTCGGGACGAGAAATACCTGCGGCAAAACTGGGCCAGCCTTCGAGAAGCTCTTCCGTCCGCCAAGAGTATCGTCATCGCTGGTGGAGGTCCCAGTGGCGTCGAGATTGCCGGGGAGTTAGGCGAATATTTGAACGGTCGCGCAGGCTGGTTCAGCTGCAAGCTCGAAAATCCCAAAGTCCCCGTCACCGTTGTGACATCCGCTTCTCAAATTCTGCCTGATATGACGCCCGGAGTTGCCGCGAAAGCCGAGGGTTTCCTTGCTCTTGTTGGTGTGACTGTCATTAAGAACACCCGGGTCGAGACCGTAACGCCCGCCGACGCAGGCACCGAAGCCACGGTTGCGACCAAAACGACTGTGACTCTTGAAGATGGAAAGACACTCGAAGCTGACATTTATATCCCTGCGATGGGAGCAACGCCCAACACGAGCTTCTTACCGGAATCTCTTCTCACCTCGGACGGCCGGGTCGAAACCAACACGTCAACATTGCGGGTGGACAAGGCCGGGCCACGCGTGTATGGCATCGGCGACGCCACGTCCTTTGGCAAGCCGTCGATTCATAATATCACCGAGGCACTTCCGGCCTTGGGTGCCAACATTAAACGCGATCTTCTCCTGGCAGCCGGAAAGACCGAAGCCGAAGTCGGCGAAGACAAAATCTTTAAAGAAGACACCAGGACGTCACAGCTCGTGCCGATCGGACAAAACAAAGGTGTTGGCTTGGGCATGGGGTATCAGTTGCCGAGTTCGGTGGTGTGGGCGATTAAAGGCCGAGACTACTGGACTGGGATGCTTATGAAATTATGGAATGGAAAGCAATGGGATTAGATCAAGACGTCACTTGCTCGACTCGACGGAAGAGTCTGGGTAACTAGCATCATATATGATTTGCATTTATTATAAAGACACTCACAATGTTTCAGTCTATGTGCGATTTTGTAATCTTTCATCGCTCTTCTGGTTTGGGCCAAATATTGGAGAGAGCAAGGGCAGAAGCGCCACCTGCCGCTACCTGCGGCCCGGGACAAAATGACCGGGATAAAGCGCCACAATCAAATTTGTTCACTGATAATCTTACCATTCTGCATGAGTGCCAAATAGAGACATCTCACAGCCTCGTAGGTAACAGAAATCCTCCTCTCCCCAACCAACTGATACTGCGGTGATCATTGCCAACTACGTCAACAACATTTCTACAATCGTCACGGACGTTGAAACCTGCAGACAAGCACCGGTTATTTACCGGACCTTCCCATCCAATCTTCCTCCATGCCAAGTCGAGACTAGCCCCTAGTCGGCCCGATATACTACGTCCGCTAGGCAGGATATATTAATTTCTAGCATTATCCCGGCAGTACTGACCAATGCAAGCACGGTGTCTTTGTCTGCAGTCCAGATGATCGGCGGCCCTGCAGGTTGGATATGACTCTTCGGTGCCTGGATTAACCCACCCCTTGTGGCTTCACGAATCGGTTTTCCACTCGCACGGGCATGGATTCTCCGCTCCCTGTCTCGTCGGACATGGATCTATGCCGGGTCGGCGTTGGATGTTGATCTTAATCTAATTATGTATAAAAGACGTTGAAGTTGTGCCTGGATTGTGTTTTTCAGCAGCAGCAGAGATCACAGCAATTCTCGAGTATACAACTGTATCAAGACCAACTTGCTCCCCATCACATTCAAAATGAAGCCAGTCAACACTGTTCTTTCCCTTGCCCTGGCCACCACCGTGGCAGGCCACGGCTACATGTACATCCCCGACAGCCGGACGAAGCTCGGCAACGAGGTAAACCACTCTTCCTAAGACTTTCGTCCAGCAGCATGCTGACAACTCCCAGGCCGGAGTCGACTCCTGTCCCGAATGTACCATCCTCGAACCCGTCGAGTCCTGGCCTGATCTCGAATCCGCGGCTGTCGGCCGCAGCGGACCATGCGGATACAACGCGCGCGACGGGATCGACTACAACCAGCCCACCGACGACTGGGGCAACTCGCCCGTAGCGACCTACAAAGTCGGTGAGGAGATCGAGGTGCAGTGGTGCGTCGACCACAATGGCGACCACGGTGGAATGTTCAGCTACCGCATCTGCCAGGACCAGAGCATCGTGGACAAGCTGCTGGACCCGGACTACCTGCCGACCGAGGACGAGAAGCAGGCGGCGGAAGACTGCTTCGACGAGGGGCTGCTGAAGTGCACCGACGTCGACGGCCAGGAATGTGGGTACAGTGCGGACTGCTCTGAGGATGAGCCTTGCTGGCGCAATGACTGGTTCACGTGCAATGGGTTTGAGGCCTCCGACAGACCCAAGTGTCAGGGCGTGGATAATGCGGAGTTGGACTCTTGCTACACTAGTATTGCGGGTGGATATACGGTGACGAAGAAGGTCAAGATTCCGGATGTTGTCTCGAACCATACCTTGCTTTCGTTCAAGTGGAACTCCTGGCAGACGGGACAGATCTATCTGTCTTGTGCCGATGTGGCTATTGAGGCTTGAGTGGTTGACTGAAGCTCGGTTATGAGTTCTCAAGCCGTGAAATTGGTGTTTCTCGAGCAATCCGTTCTCTTGAAGCACCATGCGAGTATTACCTATTTATATATCTATCTGCTTATAGTACACGAATCAAATATCCTATTTTCCTAACATCCCTCCCAACGTAACTTTCAACAACGTAAACACCTCCTTCCCGAAAAACGCAATCGTGCCTTTATCCAGCTCCGTGAGTAGAACATCGCGCTTAATGCACAATCCTTCATGATCCACCGTCTTGCCATCCAACCGCTCCGCTATCCAATTGAACGCACTCGCCGACCCAGTAATAGCCTCCGTGAGATGCCCTCCCACCAAATCCCTCTGATACTCAATCGTCGCCCCATCGTCACAATACTTGTCAATCAACTCATCCGTATCCTCCCCGGCACTGATCTCATCTTTCACAGCCTTGTACACAAACAACGGCATCGTCGGCGTCCCATGCACGCCCATCAGCGCCGCCGACTCAAGCACCGACGCCGGAACATCCTCCGAGATGGAGTCCTCGCCGTTCACAAAATACGAGAAAATATCCTGACCGCCCGCCCTTGCGGCCGTCTCGGGCACGCTACACGCGCTGGCGATGTGATAGAACTCGTCCTTTTTCTCAGGGATCAGGTTCGCGTCCAGCCACTCGGTCAGGTTCGGATACGCCTTCGACAGGCCATTGATGCCTTGGAACGCGAGTCCCACGAAGGGAACGTCGTGGATGAGACGCAGCGCGGAGCTCACGTTGGCAATGGTTCCGCCTAGCGCGGCGCCCGCGAAGTCCAGCTCCGGAGCGTACGAGGGCTGCAGCTCCGCGGCCCATCCGCAGGCGAGTGAGCCCCCCGAGTACCCGGTCATGGCGTATCGGACATCCGGGGAAAGACCGATCTTTTGTCCCTCGGTGAGCACGACCCGCACGGAATCCAGCGTGCTTCGGCCGGATTCTATCCCCGCGACGTAGTGGCCGTCGAGGCCTTCGTAGTCGGTGGTGAGGACCCACCATCCTTGGTTTAAGGCTGTGGCTAGCTGGGGGGGTTGGTTAGTTGGATGGATTGGAAGGGGTTCTCGTGGGAGAGGGCTTACTAGAGGCATGTCACTCGGTGCGGTGCTGTTGAGAAGCGATGTTGTGCCGTCTAGGAAAGATCGATAGCGCAGCGCATAGGAGGGGCTACAATCGGCATTTGATGTGTCGTAGGCCGTCTGATAAGCGAGTAGCTTTGTCGGGTCCGAATCGAATGGAACCATTAACGTAGTCACGGCCGCAACGGGGTTATCTAGACTATCCGTAGTCCGGTACATGTACTGATGAACGGTCTCAACCGACACATCCACCGGAAGAGCTAGCAATGACTGCAATCGGTTGGAGACTTGGCGAGTGCGAATCATCTGCCCCGGGTAATACTGGTCGATGTCGTAGGGCTGAGTATACCAGGAATCCTGGGATGGGGGAACGGCGGACTGAGAGACTGCTAGCGATATATGGCTCGCGATGAACCCGAGGATATAGAGCGTCCGCATGGTGCTGTATAAGAGTATCAGTGCTTAGGTGCGATATGGGTTATCGCGTATCACGGGCGGGGTGTTTGTATTTATCGCAGGACTGCATTCCTAGTCCCTCGAGATACCCCTGGAATGCAGAATGTCCAGACAGGGATTGTTCGGGTTGATTTCATTTAAATCTCACTATTGCTTGCTAGATCTCCTGAAAATAGGGGTATTGGAGTACTGTCCCACTTTCTGTCACAGCACATCTTGAGATCATTGGGAGCTCGGTGGCTCAACGCGACAAGAAGACTGCGTACTAACGCAGGGGAAATTTGGCTTCCGAATCTCATAGTCATCGATAGTCTAGCTTACAGGCAGTGGTTTTGCTCCGAAGCGCGGATTTGCTTCCCCAGAGAGTATCGGTATTCCAAATCGCCGTCTTGAAATATAGGCCGCCGCCATCGATTAAATTTGTCATGTCATCCCACCCCTTGTCTCGGTTCCCTTTCGGGTAATTCACCCTCGCTATCGCAGCCCCTTGCTTCCTCCCTTTGCGAAGATGTGATGAGTACTATTGGAACATATGACTCGTCATGTCATGGTAAAGAAAAGGAAAACTCCTAATCCCTTACAGCTCACAGCATCCTGAAGAATCGATCGATTAATTCACCGCGGGACCACTTTCCGAAGTGGAGATGCTCCTCCACTGGGCGGTACTTTGCAAGGTGCTAGTGTGGGGTGGACACTCCCCGGATCATGGAAATAATAAATTAAATGGCCAGGGTCATCGCTGTGGGGTGCGGGGTACTTGCCAATGTCACCTGCTTCATGAACAGGCAAGAGATGAAATTTGTTTCGTCATGGTGGTTCCTCTTTCATGTTTACTTAGAAAGAGGCATCGAGCCACAGAAGACCAGCAGGCCGTACCACCTCCGACGATCGGTTCCTTTCTCCGAACTAGATCCTTCCGTCTACCAGCGGAATCTGTATGGATATTAAACATCATTAGACGCCGTTAACCTTTCGGAAAATCCGAGCTGGCGAGGATCGTCATTCCCCGCGATATTGCGGGGATCGTGAAGGCGACCAGAATGAACGTGGCCCCGAGGATATGCCGGGCAGGAATATTTAAGGCGTAATGTAATTCTCCGCAGTTGAGGGCAGAGTACCGCGTGATAAGAAAGCGAAATGACTTTCAGTAAACATTGGCTGGCAATAGGAAGCCTTGCACTGGAATACACCCTTCCAGCGCTGGCAATCCCACAGGGCTCATTCTCCCCTCAGGCATCCTATTCCTCTTTCCAGTACACTCCGGTGACGTCAGATATCTACGCGACGCCGTTGCCCTCCTCGCTCTCCTTTTCAACTCCCTACGCTCCTCCGTTCAGTGAAGCCTCTACTTTGCTACCAGACAACCTAACCACGACAACATACTCATACAATCCCGCCATCACCCCCTCACCGGACGGTCAGCATGGCCAGAGCGCATACGCCGCCCTCTGGAAGGACTACTCCTATACCACAACCCCTCCATTCACGACCACCGCGTCCGCAACGCCAGTCGCAAAAGCAGAGCTCGTCCTCCCTCCCCAGCTGTACAATGCTCCTCCGGATACGGGATACCGGCTCCCCAAGGATTTCATCTGGGGCGTCTCAAGTAGCGCGTGGCAAATCGAAGGTGGTATTCAGCTCGAGGGTCGCGGGCCAGGTAGCCTGGATGATATCGGCAATGCCTTGTCCTCTGAAACGGCCAGCCTGAACGACTCCAATGTAGCAAACATGCACTACTTTCTGTACAAGCAAGATATCGCTCGTCTTGCCGCCATCGGCATCCCATACTACTCATTCTCCATCTCTTGGTCGCGAATCGTTCCCTTCGGCGTGGCCGGCTCCCCGATCAACAAGCAAGGCCTAGATCACTACAACGATCTCATCAACACCTGTCTTGAATATGGCATCACACCCATCGTCACGCTCAATCACGCCGACATGCCAACTTCCGTCACTCAGGACATCGACTCGCTCCCCTCGCACTTCCTCTATTACGCCAAGGTCGCAATGACCCACTACAGCGACCGCGTCCCCTACTGGGTGACCTTCAACGAGCCCAACATCGCCGTCGGCACCCTCTTCGACTCCTACAGCGGCCTGACGCAGATCCTCCTCGCCCACGCCGACGCCTACAGATGGTACAAAGACACACTGCGCGGAACGGGCCAAATCACCATCAAATTCGCCAACAACCTGGGCGTGCCTCTTTCAGTACACAACACCTCCCACGTGGCCGCTGCCTCGCGCTACCAGAACTTCCTGCTCGGCATCCTATCCAACCCGCTCTTCCTCGGAAAACAATACCCCGAGGAGACGCTCAATCGCAACACCAACGGCACCGACCTGACGCCTCTGACAGACGCCCAGATCGCGCATGTCCACGGCACCGTCGACTTCTGGTCGTTTGATCCCTACACTGCGCAATTCGTCTCCCCGCTCCCAACTCCCCAGGACGAAGACGCCTGCCACGCGAATTCCTCCCACCCCGCCTGGCCAACGTGCGTGTCGCTGACCAACATCCAAGCGAACGGCTGGGCAATGGGCCAGCCCTCCAACGACTACGCGTACATCGCGCCGCACTGGGTCCGACAGCAGCTCGGGTACGTTTGGAACACGTTCAAGCCGTCAGGGATATTGATCGCCGAATACGGATTCAATCCGTTTGAGGAGAGTAAGCGATCGCTTGATGCGCAGCGATATGACCTAGAGCGCGCGCTGTACTATGAGGACTTCCTGCGTGAAACACTGAAGGCTATGTATGAGGACGGGGTCAATGTTATCGGGGCCCTGGCGTGGTCGTTCCAGGATAATAATGAGTTCGGGCGCTACGGAGAGCAGTATGGATTGCAGACTGTGAATCGGACAGACAGTGCTTTTACGAGGACGTACAAGAGGAGTATTTTTGATTATGTGAGTTTCTTTCACAAGCATGTTGAGAAGCGATGATTGTGGCTTGAAGGGAGAGCTCGACAGCGGCATCATATATGCCATAAAGCGTCATGGAGAACTGAGTTTATGAGGTTGAAGAGATATATCACCTCGTCACGCTTAAATAGAAAATATTCAAGATGTTCGAAGCTACTGTCATATCCTAAATTACTTGTGTTCAAATTTGGCTTGGGACTGTCAACATTGAATAAGATTCCCATATACAGCATAATTCCATCATTCAAACGACGAATCCAACTCCACGAACAACCCCTTCATCCTCACTTAGGTACCCATAAGTACTTTCCCCTCCCATCCATCACCGACTTAGAACGAAGGATTAGCATTAACCAAAAGCTGCTCGAAATACGCCTACAACCAAACACATCAGTTACACAGTCCAACCAAACTCACTACCATCCCCACCCTCAAGCAGAGATACAAACATACCTGGAACCAAGTCCCCGCCTCAGGCGCCGGCTTCAACGCATCGCTGTATCCGCAATGCGCATCGTATCGCGTCGCCGAGCTATCAGACGTCCCATCGCTCTCGCCACCGGGTTTGATCCACACAAACGCATCGGCCAACGAGTCGCCCGTGTTGGTGGTAAATCGCTCACCGAACCCGGTGCCGATGACATTGCACCAGTCGCCCCAGGCGTTTTGCTTCGTGGGTTGGACGCCGTTGCGGGCTTGTGGATGTGTAAGGTAGTTGGTTAGTTAGCTTCACTGGACTTTTAAACGGAAGGTAAGGAAGGGATGGAGGACGGCTCCGACCGCGCAGGGGAGGATAGCTCACAGGTATCAATGATGAAGTGGGCTGGGAAACCAGCATTCTGCAAGAGAGGCGCGATCGCGTTGATGAACTTCTTCTCGTCGCAGACGGTGTTGCTCTCTGCGTATGAGGGGCAGGTGCCGATCGACCAGGCGTTGTAGTTGGCGACGTTGGTGGCCAGACCGCGCACGGCGGCGGGGGACCCCGCGTTCTTGTATACTGATGCATAGAGCTCGGCGGCAGGGCCGAGGTTCGCGGGCCAGCCGAGCCATCCAGCGTGTCCTGGTTATTGGCTTGGTTAGATGGGGCGGTGCTTTAGGGAGTGATCTGTTGAGAGGGCATACCAGCATCTAGATACATTGCCACGTTGGGCAGATTCAGCTGCTCCAGTGCGTAGTCAACGCATTCGAGATAGGCGCTTTTGGCGTTGGCGCATTTCGGAACATTCAGGTTAGTTACGAGGTTGGCGAGACTGTCGGGTTCTGGATTCTGTTAGGGGCATTTTCGCAAGGTAATATGTCGAACAACTCACCGATCACGAGGATGGTATGCACATCGGAATACTTGAGGAGCTGGGCCCGGATAGAATCAATGTATGTCTTGTAATTTGCGACACCATTCTTGTCAATTGCATACTCGCCGTTGCTAGCCAGAGCGGCGCAGTCCCGGTCAGGCAGATCGTAAACCACAAAAATACCTGCAACTGGGGGACTGGCGCCGGCGGCGTTCTTCGCCTTGATGTCAGCTAGATGGGTACCCATGGACGGGACCTTGGCAGCTGTGTCTCTGTGTCTCGTGAGTAGCTTTTTTATGGATAAGATTAGTGTATTCACTTACAGCCATACAAACGATGGCACCTTTGCCACGGCACTAGCCTTCGCGACCAGAGAGCCCGTCAGGGATGGTATGGCCAGGCTTTGCACCTCCGATGCATAGTATAAGTTTGCGTATAGCTGGTATCCACTGAATGGGTTACCAGATGGCGCAGAGGTGATGGTTGCTGAAGTTGAAGTTCTGGTCGTGCTTGATCCTCCGGTGGTTGTGGTGGTGGCGCGAGTCGTAGTACTCAAAGTAGTCGAGGTGGTCGCAGTGGCAGGGACACATTGTGCGTAGTCTAGTTGGGGTAAGTATCCATTGCAACCATATATAAAGACAGACATACACGGGTTCTGAGTACTACACGCTGCTCCTGCCACGCAGCTCGTGGGTCCCGACCAATCAGCACCGCCACCTGGAAAAATCAGTCAAATCTAACGAAGTGAAATAACACGCAACTCATATTCTCACATTGTCCCCAAAGGGTCTGCTGAGCCTGAACAGCAGCAGCTGAAAGTAGAAAGTGCAGGGTAAGGCTCGAAGTGTACCGCATGTTGTCTGTGATGGTTTGCAACTACAGAACTCTGGCTTCATCCGGCATTATATAGAGATTCCTGCCATGAACGAAGCGGAATCGAATGCCGAGTTCCCGACACTTCCGTGTTTCATTCAGCATAACCATCAACGTAAGGAATCTTCATATATTAGCCGTTAGGATGACGGAGGGGCTGGCGGGTTCTCAAGGATCACAAGACCGGTCATCAGCTGCATGTCGGTAATTCAGCTTCGCCGGAGGCCATCGTTGCAAAGCCGTATTGCTCCGTAAAGAAGCTAACTCGACTAAAGTGGCGCTCAATGAGGTAGTTGCTGTCATAATCCGAAGACAATATAGGCCCAGGCAATAGCACTTTACCCGGACTCGTGTCAAGTGCATTCCGTTAGCAACGAGGATAGCCAAGACGTCCAGACCATTCTAGCTAATCTAAAATTCGTATCCTCAGGGTCTAGCAAGGTCGGATATTGACATCCGCATTCGATGAACGTCTGGCCTGACTTTCCCCGCATAAGCCAAATCACAGGTTCTCCATGGCCGTGCCCCTTTCGGCAAGGAACGACAGCCGGCAATTGCTGCAGCTGAGGCTGTCGGTTAAGCTTAATTATGGTGTGCTTTGCGCTTCTCTGCAGGGTTCGCGTCTTCAGGATTTACTCCAGGTTACTTTTGCCGAGTGCTTTTATTGGTGGGCTAAGACGTCTGTTCCACCGGTTCGGCGGCCCGCTCTCCCTGGCGATATCGACTGGCCATTAGTCTAGAAACTAGGATAGCGTCATAGAAATGCCAGGGCTTTCTGGTGATATTTGACTGATCATGTGCGCAGTGTCAGACTGGTGGACAATGGTGATTCTTTGACCAGTACATCTCAGCGATTTGCGCTGATTATATTTGTCATAATGTCATTACATGTTCTCTATTTACAAAGTCAGGGCACACCAATATTGACTCTTAGTGAGAGTAATAGTTTTGAGCCATCTGAAGATGCTCTTTTCTCAGTGCCGACGCATCGAGATCTTCGAAAGCCATACTCCAAATGGCCTGTGCTTCCGTCTTCAACGTCTTTCTAGCGGACTCGAGACCTTGCCCTTGTTAGTCTGTTTACCAAGTAAATGAAATTTAAAATGGAATGCAAGAAAAAGAAAGGGAACAGAACTGATAAACAAAAACAAGAAAGACTGGGGGGAAATGAAAACTCACCAATATGCTGTGCCTGCACTGGATACATCGCATATCTACCCAGCTCTTCCTCCTCAGCCAAATCGTTGAGCAATAAATCAACTTGACCTTTTTGCTTTGATTCCAGGAAGCTCACAAGCATCGGTACCTTCTCTCTCGGAAATACCATTGCCTGCGAGCAACAACCAAATGGCTCCTCGAAAACTCCCGGCGACGGAGGCAGAAGTGAAGCTTTCCCGGACTGAAAGAACAATATTACCAAGGCGGGATTCAGAACCAAAACCACAATGCACAGTGTTTCAATATCGATCCAAGTTCGCGCCGTTCTCCATCTCTTCCTTGCGAACAGCGCAGAGCTGGACAGAGCTAATCCAATTCCAAATATAATCCAGTGCTCGTTGTTTCCTCCGACGTATTGATTTGCCCATCCAATAGATCGCTCTTGGTTGAAAAGTCGCATGTAAAGCCAGGGGCCTTCTGCCGAAGATGCGATCTGCTTTAAGCTGGACAAAGTTCGGACGAGCCACCCGTCGGCGAGGATAATGTCATCCTCCAACATCGCCACGTACGGTGTCCCTGCCTCGAAGCATCGTCTTAATGCGTAGATATAATCGTAAACGCCTTTCTCCGAATATTCGCTCGTTTGTTGAAGACGATTCAAGTAAGCATGCTCTTTAGTCGACACATTGTAGGTAAAAACATCGTCGGCCAAATCGTGAACCCACTGCTTGTCCCAGCTTGAATGTGTTGATGCGTTGGTCTCGGCGATAAGAACGGCAAGGTATAAATCTTCTCTTTCGTGCGGTGTCAGACCGTGGACTAGGCTGCCTAAGGCGGTCTGATTCAGTCAGCATATCACAGGAAAAATTATTGACAGGCAGCGAGCGTACTTCGAGGTATTGGGTACTCCTTCTTTGCACTGAGCTAAACGCTGCGCAGAGGGCTGGGCGAGGGCCAGATTTTGAGTATTGATCCGGGTTGGCGGTTAGTCTTGATTGTACAAATTCATTGACTTCTCCCTTCCGATGTTGCGAATAACGCTCCTCAAAGGCATTTTCCCTGTCGTAGAAAACGCTACCCGGGTCGCGATAAAAGTGCTCTTTGCCGTACCAGACGAAGCAAAGAACAAAACTTAAAGAGATAATGAGTTTCCAAATGATAGGTCGCATGAGGAATAAGGCCTGGCAGCGAACGAGCAGGAAGCCAAAAGGTACATGGACGAGGAGGAAAAGGAGTGCATCTCGGACCCTTCAAAAATACTCCATATTGATGTGTTCTCCCTTTCCAGCCGCATAGCCTGGTCCGCCAACAGAGTCAGACTTGCGACTACAACTCAGCCCCATGTGTCCTGTGGTTGCTGATCTCGCACGGCCCTGTTCCGAGCAACAATTCGGACACCATTTCCCCAAAAGAGTAGGTGGGAGTTACTCTAAATGGAGTCGATATTTGCCTCCACTTGGATATCGGCCACTAATATACCATTTATTCTTCGCCCCATACCCACCCGACGTGAGGAATGTGGACTTTATTGGACAGTTCCAAGTCTTTGGAGTATGTCTCAGGGACCGCTTTTCGGCGCCCCAAGGCTTCCTTGGAATCCACTGTTTTCGGATGGTTCGTCCACACAGAACCGGCGGGAAAACATGCTTAAATTAAGACCTGTTCCCCATTATGTCATAAAATTCAAACTTTTTTGGGGATCTCTATCCCTATCAAGGGATATTCGAGATCAATTGACGCACTTCAGCACCCTCACCCTGTCGAGTCGAGCTTTTTTTTCTTGAACGTCTCTCCGTTGAAGAGGAATATCCCTGGTCATCTCACTGCGAAATGATCTCCATGCGAGTGATGGATTAACCTTGAATCGAGACGGTGAATTTGGACCAAAGATACATGACATAAGATCTCAATCTGGAGAAGAAATGATCGATTAGCCGTGTACCTGAGCAGCTTCAGAAATCCAATGGCCATGTTTCATACCGTAAATAGGTCTCGCTTGTGCCGGAAATCATAGGATGTGATTCACTTCCGTTGAATGCGGAATCATGGTCTCGATCATGTGTTTTCATCAAAAGATTGTCATCGCCAGGCGCAATGCAATGAAAGCGGGGAATTCCCGTTGATAAAAGCATTCGCCCCTTCCATCGGCTGCAAATAACTGCTTATCGATCGATCATCGTTCCGCGCTAGCCTGTCCAGGATCGGAGCAAGAGCCGGATTCTTTCTGGCGATGCGGGGAGATCTGAATTATTAATTCTTCGGGGCTTTATAATAGCGAGGAGCAGCATCTCCTGCGAATCGTAGCGTGTGTAAACGAATAACCAAACTTTACAATTTCACGTCATCATGGTTGGAATTGCGTTTCTCGGGGCCGGAATATTCGCCAAAGAGGGTAAACATGCTCACCTTGACAGACCAAGAGCGACAAGAATAGTAACAACGATTATTTAGCTCATCTTCCCGCGATAGCTGAGCACAAGGCCAACCTCCTCGCGGTGTATTCGCGCTCGACTCGTTCAGCCGAATCCTTAAAATCTGCGGCCGACGATCTCAGCATTCCAACCTCCCAGGTCGACGTTTATTCCGATGAGCAAGAACCTCTTGGCCGAGGCTTATCGCAGCTGCTCGATCGTAGCGATATCGCTGCTGTTATCGTCGTACTGCCCATTTTAGTCCAGCCTGACGTCGTACGACGCTGTCTAGCCGCAGGGAAACATGTCCTTTGCGAGAAGCCGATCGCGAAAGACGTCGCAGCCGCTTCGCAACTGATTGTTGAATATGAGAAGGAATTTCTGCCCAAGAGTTTAGTGTTCTCCATTGCGGAGCAGTTCCGTTATGACCGTGCCTTCACCCATGTCCGAGATCTTATTGCGGACGGAAAGATTGGAAGCCTGAACCATGTCCACGCGCGGGTGTGGGGGAATATTGAGCCCGGCAGCAACAAATGGTACGAGACCGAGTGGCGCAAGAACCCCGAGTATCAAGGAGGATTTGTTCTCGACGGCGGAGTGCATTTTGTCGCTCTAATCCGGTACATCTCGGGTCAAGAAGTCGTCAATACGACAAGTCTTGTCTCACAAACATATAAGCATCTCCCACCTCTGGATACGGTAAATGCGGCCTTGCGGTTTGAGAATGGGACTTTAGGTTCTCTGAGCATCTCCTTCGCTTCTGCGAAAAAGATCTTCGAGTTTATCTTTGTTGGCGACGATAAAGTCGTCACGGTTTCTGGAGCGGATGGCGGCTCGCGAATCAAACTCGAGGATGGAGATGGCAAGGTTTTGAGTGCCGAGGTAATTGACGGACAAGGTGTCTCGGAAGAGATCAAGGCGTTTCTTCAAGCTGCGGCCATTGGAAAAGCGGATTCCAGGGCCGGACCGAGGGAAGCTCTGGCTGATCTTGCGGTGATTGAAAGCATTTGTTCTGGTGGAGGAGACGTCGCTGTTTCGTTATGATGTAATTTTGTCACCGTACATTCAATGTCAATGTTTCCATTCGACTGACTACATCGTTCTGCTTTTGGAAGGAAGCAACCAAGTGGGGACAGAATTGCCTTTCTCTTCACAGGGTTCCGACCAGCCAACCAAGCATTTGAGGCGAAAGGAGAGAGCTGCCAGATTTCATCCTCTGCGGTTCTGAGCAACGTGCTGAGACCGTGAAATAAGCAATGATCCTTGAAAGTTTAACGGGATAGGTATTAAAAGACACTGGTCGGCCGAAGCCCTTGCGATTGCCAAACGACCGGAGGTGGTGATGATGTGGCAATTCTACGCGGGAAAATCAGTCTTCATCACGGGTGCCTCAGGCTTCGTTGGCACTGCGGTTGCCTTTCGCCTTCTCTCGCAGACCTCAATCTCTCATCTCTTTCTCTTATGTCGAGGCGGGCTTGCGTGAGCAACATTTTCCTTGCGACTCCAATTTACGCTGACCGAGCTCAATCTCAGGCATCTCGAGGAAAGATGGAGTAGATATCTACCTCCCAAATACATCGATTGCCTCCATGATCCTGAGTTAGTAACGGTCATCCAAGGCGATATCATCAGCCCCGATCTGGGAGCTTCCGAGACCGAATTGCAGTTGGTACGCGACCATGCCAACATCGTCATCCACGCCGCTTCGTCTATAAATCTTGGTCATTCATTGAAGTCACTGGCCAATCCAATCATCCATGCCAGTCAGAATGTCGCCAAGTTTGCTCTCGAATGTCCAGAATTGGAAAGTTTTGTCTACGTCTCTACGGCTTATGCGAACTCCTTCCTCTATCCAGAATCCAAGAACTGTGATCCTCGGGTGGAGGAGGCAATCTATCCACTCGGCAGGGGGAGGGAAACAAATCTACGACATGAGTGGATGCAGGTACAGAAATACGGGCACTCAATGGAATTTGGCACGTATAATTTTCCCTGGCCTTACGGGTATGCTAAGCACCTTGCAGAAAGACTAGTGACGGCACTCTTTGCAAAATCCAACAAATCCCTCCAACTGCTCATCGTACGTCCGTCAGTCATCGGTCCTGCTCAAAGCTTCCCTTACCCCGGTTTCAGTGTGCCCAGATCTACACCCACCACTCTTTTGGCCGCCGGTCTTGTTCTCTCCCCTTCCTTCACAATGCAGATGTCTTCTAGGTCAAATAAACCGGAAACGCAATCAAGCATTGACGAGGTGCCCGTGGACGTCGTTGTCGATCGGCTGTTGTGCCATCTCGCCATGGGTACTGTTGGGCCAATTCATGCGGTTACTGGGAAACGAAAGAGTTTCACATTTCGAACGTTCTGGGAGGAGGCCATTCCGTTGCGGAGAATACCATGGGTCCCTCGCAAGGCGTGGCTTGATGTCGACTGGCGATCACCCGAGTTGAATACCCTTGCTCGAATATATGTGATCTATGCTGCATCATACGACTTTTCCGATGAGAGAACAATCCGTCTTTCTGAGAATATGGGAGAGAAGGAAAAGATAGGACTGCAGCTCTTTCGTGCTGGCAATGGACAGGAGGTTGGGCTTGCGTCAAGAGAAGCCGAGATACTGGCATGTGCACAGTGTATTGCAAGACGTACCGTCTTCGGGTGGATCTTGTGGTGGTTGTTCTATTCTTCGTGGTTCCCTTTTTGAATATTTGAATTCCGTTATTACTCCCTCCCCTTTTTTTCCCTTTTTTTCGGTTGATTTTCTTTTTCTCTTCGCTAGAGTTTCGCGGTGATAACAATTCACCTTTTTTGTTTTTGTCCCTGTACTATAGACATCCTTGCTCCACAATAGCTTCCTTCGTGCACCCGAAACATGTTCACCCTTCTCCAAACAAGCGTTCTTATTAGCTTGTCTGAGCTTCCTGGGCTTCCAGCCCACTGATTCCTATTCCACGCAACATGACCCTGAAATACGAACCCCAACCGCTCAGGGTCTAATTGAAGTTACATCGCTCGCTAGTCACAAGTTCGGCGGTGGAGTCGAGGGAAAATAAGCGATCGATCGGCAGCCTGCCTGTCAAATCATCGCGCGGCCGATCTCGAACCCTTACGAACTCCTGTTTCAGCTATATCATCGCTTAGCCATGAGATCACCGTTTCATTGCAGTTTTGTATTTCCATTTCTAATAGCTGTCGATATGGAGTCAGTTCATGTTTCAGTGCCTTGTTGTTCATGTTGCATTAATTCGGTCGCGTACTTCAAGGATGACTATAAATATTAAACAACGCGCGCCTTGAAGACGGACTGCTCATCAGTGACATTCTATTCAATCCGTCTTGCTCTGTCTTCTATTCTCTCGATTGTTGAGCGATCAACCCGAGCTTGCATTCCCGCTCCAACAACCCCTTACTTCATCCACCACTCTTCAGGCACCCGGGCTACTTAAGTATACGCGCCCTTCCTTCCACATAAGCCATCCCATCAACAATCCAAACCAAACCAACTCACCCACTAACCTACCTCACCCCCCAGCCCTCCAACCGCACCATGAAAACCCCTACCATCCTCACCCTCCTCCCTAGCCTCGCCCACGCCCTCGTCGGCCTAGACTGGACCGTGACCGGCGCCCCCTCCACCGGGCTCAGAGACATCACGTTCCCGATCTCGATCGCCCACGCACCCCACGAAACAGGCTTCTACTTCGCGCAACAGTACGGCTTCCACGGGCTCTCGGACATCGGGTACACGGGGCTGCAACCGCGCCCTGACAACAGCGGCGCTAGCATCATCCACGCCGTGTTCAGCAGCTTCGTGCCGGGAAGCACCAGCTCGGACGAGAACTGCAGCGATGGCGCAGACGGCGGCGAGGGGGTGAGTTGCAGCGTTGAGATCGCGGCGTCCTACGAGAGGGTGTATCATTTGGTGGTGGAGAATAAGGACGGGACCACGACGTGGACGGGCACGTTGGTTGATGTCCAAGGTGGTAACTCGACGCGCATCGGGGAGTATACGTTGCCCGAGGGGGCGGGTGGGATTAAGGACTCCCAGGTGGGTTTCGTCGAGTATTATCCGTGGAATGGGCAGCCGAGTCATACGTGTGACTCGTTGCCGGCGACGAATGCGAGCTTTGGGGATCCGAGCTCGTCGGCTGAGGGGGTTAAGGGGTCGGTGGGCAAGCCGTATGAGTATGGGGATTGTGTGGGCAAGGCTGGTTTTGAGGTCGAGGAGACGGATGATGGGTATGAGGTTTCTGTTGGGTTCTAGATTAAAGAGGAGTTTGGGAAGCAGGGGCTGTGGCTTGAGGTTCTATACAAGTGGCTATATACTTGTCTTTGCTAGTTATTACGGTGCGGATATAAGCAAATCGTTCCAGGGCGGTAATTTCTCGATACATGGTGAAGGTCTTCCAAAATCTTCCATTGCTAGCTCTCCTTGCCCTTCTTTCTACGATGATGATCCTCGTTTTCTTCTCCAAACAGCCGGATATACCGACCAATTTGATGAAAAAAAGGGGGTTGCCACTTGTGAAAATCACAGAGCAGCGTGAGGTAAACAAAAAATTCCATAGCCTCTGGGCTATGAGTAGATAGTTCATGTAGTAAAGATCATCCATTCGGTTCGCTCTGTTCGCTCCGTTCGCTCGGTCGGTTCGTTCGTTCGGTTCGCTCGTTCGGTCTCTCCGTGCGTTATCCCCGTTAGCCATGCTTCAACTTGTCGAGGGCCCTGTCAAAATCTCTGTCCAAGTCTATGTTGAAGTCCCTGTCGAAGTCCCTGTCGAAGCCCAATATCATCCCACTTGTGTCGAAGTCTCGTTTCTAAGTTCCATGTCGAACAATGCACCATGTCGAAGCCCATAGCCAAGTACCGTCCATATCGAAGTCCATGTCGAAATCCATGTCGAAATCCATGTCGAAGTCCATGTCGAAGTCCATGTCGAAACCCATATCTATACCCAAGCCATATGTCCAAGTCGTATGTTGAAAGTATGTCGAAGGTCCAAAGGTATACCGAAGGTCGAAGGTCGAAGGTCGAAGGTCGAAAGAGGGTTGAAGAGGAAAGAAAGAAAGAGGAAGAGGGGGAGTGATCGAGGGGCTATTTATGCACCAGCGAGCAGCCCTCCCATCAGCTGACCAGGACCAGATCTGGGCCCTCATCACCAACCTCTTCAGCTGCAGATTCACTGCCTGACCAGTCATCGCCTGGCAGGAACATTCACTCAACCGACAACTTCCGCTAAACGGGCCTGGCCACCAAATTTCGCCCTGCGTCGGTCACTGCACAGACCTCGGGATTGCGAATCCCAACGCCACTTGCCCAGTTTTTCCTGGACTCTTCCACTATCTGCAGGCAGCCAGGTGAGTGAATCGCCCGGATTCGCTCTGTCAAGTTCCCTCCCAGATTCTTCATCGTTGACTGGATTGTCCCGACCATCGATCAGGACAGCTGCACGGCGTCCGACGTCACGATTGCTGAGCTCACTCACCCCATGCCCATGTTGAAGGATTCTCCTACAATCTTTAGGCAACCAGATTGGAAAGAGGAGCATGGCTTTGTTCTGCGGAGTTTCTCATTCCCGAATTCATCTGTCTTCTGACTTTGGTTCTTCCATACTCGACGTAGCACGGTTGGTATACCTTACTGGTGGCCGTGGGATTGCGCAGTTCATCATAGCCAGCCAATTCCTACAAAGCCTACATCAGCCTAGAGACGATGAGAAAACGTACGAATTACTTGATGGGAGAGCTCTCTATTGTCCAAAGAACAATTCAATTGGAGGAATCACAACATGTATGTAATTCAGGATTGCTACCCACCACCACCCACCCATTCGCATGGACACTTCAGCAATCCCTTGGCAGATGTAATTCACGAGGCAATTGAGTTCGCATGAACAGATGCACCAAGATCTAGACGCTAATGTTAGAAGCAGGTTCACTTCCATCACAGCTGTTCCAGGAGCAAACTCACAGATGTTTCCCTTCCGGTCCCTCCGACTGCAACAATCCACGATCGCCATGTTGACAATGAACGATCAGTGTTCCTCCCCTTTCCCACCACCCTATAACCCGAGCAGTCACCTTATATCCATGTCGATGTTGATGCTGATGTCGATCCGATCGTGATGTCGAGAAGTGAACGATCCTTGGCCCGCCCTCATTCCCACCACCCATAGTTCAGGTGGTTGCCTGATAAGTGTCGATGTCGATGTTGATGCTGATCGTCACGTCAAGAAGAAAAGGATTTATGCCCGCCCGCTAACCCACCACCCATAGTTCAGGTGGTTGCCTTATATTGTCGATAAAGAATGGTTGAAATATCAATATATCTGTATGTCGATACGTTGATGATTCGAGTTGACCGTGATGCTGAAACGATCGGTGTCCCACCCACATCCCTCCACCCTTGCGGCGGGTGGCTACCTAATGTTTTTGATGTCGAAAGCTCGAATGCTCAAATGTCGAAAGCTCGGAAGATTGAAATATCGTCGTATCAGTATGTCGATACGTCGATAAATCGAGTTGATCGTCATGTTAAATGAACGATCGGTTCCCACCCCTTGCCCTCCACCCTTGATCGGGTGGCTACCGTATGTTTTTGATTTCGAAAGCTCGGAAGCTCAGAAGGTTGAAATATCAATATATCTGTGTGTCGATACGTTGATAAATCGAGTTGATCGTCATGTTGAATGAACGATCGGTTCCCACCCTAATCCCTCCACCCTTGGTCGGGTGGCTACCGTATGTTTTTGATGTCGAAATTTCGAAAGCTCAAAAGATCGGAAAGTTGAAATATCGTCGAATCAGTGTGTCGATACGTCGATAAGTCGAGTTGATCGTCATGTTAAATGAACGATCGGTTCCCACCCCTTGCCCTCCACCCTTGGTCGGGTGGCTACCATATATTTTTGTTATCGAAAAGTGTCAATATGTCGAAAGGTCGAAAGCATGAAAGCTCGAAAGATTGAAATATCGTCGTATCAGTATGTCGATATGTCGATAAATCGAGTTGATCGTCATGTTGAATGGACGATCGGTGCCCTCCCCATTGCCCTCCACCCTTGATCGGGTGGCTACCATATGTTTTTGATTTCGAAATGGTATCGAAGTGTCGAAGTGTCGAAGTATCGGAATATCAAAATGTTGATCTGATCGTCTTCTCGAGAAGACTGATCGGTGCCCTCCCCATTGCCCTCCACCCTTGATCGGGTGGCTACCATATGTTTTTGATTTCGACAAGATATCGAAGTGTCGGAGTTTCGTAGTTTCGAAGTGTCAAAGTATCAGAGTATCGAAGTGTCGGTATTGAAGTGTCAATTTGATCATCTTCTCGAGAAGCCTGATCAGTGCCCGCCCCATTGCCCTCCACCCTTGATCGGGTGGCTACCGTATGTTTTTGATTTCGAAAAGATATCGAAGTGTTTTTGTCGAAGTAGTAGAGTATCGAAGTGTCGATTTGATCATCTTCTCGAGAAGACTGATCGGTGTACACCTTCCACCCATCCTGCTCGAAGATCCAGTCGAGCTACGCAACTTGTGTTGTTTGTCGTCTCCTTTGCCCATGAAAGAGGAGCCTATGCGCGTATCCACGAAATCAGCAAATTACCCAGAGTAAGCCATCAATTCCAGACTTACGATTTCCCAACCACTAATAGTCCAGCACGATGCTGCTTCAGCGCATTCCAAGCCCGTCCCAGCCACCCAACCAGGGCTTGTTCAGAGTTCGAATCAAGCTTGAAACCTGCCAGTAAACGATGTGCCAGAGAACATCAGTACCCGTGTCCAAATGAACTAATGGGGCTCAGACTCACAATTTCCAAATAATCGTCAGGAAAAGATATCTCTGCGAAGAGACCCAAGCCCATCCCGTCCACCCTCCTAGGCCTGGTCAGAAACGAGTCAAAGCCGAACACTGAGACAAATGAAGTCGTAAAGTTGTAAGTCAGCCAGCATTATCAAGTGTTAACATCAGCACGCAACTCACTGTTTCGCAAATCCAAGTCAAGTAAACACGTCGATTCGTCGAATCGACCCAAGCCCGTCCCTGCCACCCTGCCAGGGCCTGGTGAAAGTGCCTTTGATGTCGAAGTGCCGATTGGATATCGAATAGCCATGTCGTATGTTCTCGATCGCCGAAAGGTATGTCGAAAATCGAAAACCACCGATGGCCACCAATCTCGCGGAAAGCAACCAGATTCCAGGCCAATAAAAATAAACAACCAAGAATCAGTAAATGTAAGGCCGGATAACCAACACCTCGTCGCAGATAACCACCAAAACCCAAGTCGATAAAAAGAAAAGCCGACAAGCCGACGACGCAAACCAAGTAACAAACAGTCCATCGCCGAACCCACAGAAGAAGCTCGAGAAAGCCCAAATGCCCAAAGGAAGCTACCTAGCGCTAGCTAACCTATCTAGCACCTAGCTAAGCTACCTAGGACCTAGCTAGCTATCAAAACGACTGCCTAAGAAGGATGTCAGACCACCAAGCAAACAATGCCAGATAACCAACACTTCATCGCAAAGACTTACCAAAAATAAAGCACCAAAAAAGGCCGTCCAAGAGAAAACCGTCCAAGAGAAAACCGCTCAAACGAAAGTCTCCTAACGAGAACCAAAGTCGCCAACGGCAAACCCAAAAACCCAACAGCAGCTACCTAAGTCTATCTAGCTATCTGGCTATCTAGCTATATAGCTATCAACGGAAGCTAGTAAGAAAAAGGCCCGATAAGTACAAAATTCCAGAACGAGGTCCTCAAAACAAGTTGCACACGAGACTCCCAATATCAGCGTATGCTCTCAAGTTCTTTGGATGAGTGCAAGACTTACAGTTTCCAACCACCAGATCCAAACACACTGTCGCGTCGGGGCGACCCAAGCCCGTCCCTACCACCCTGCCAGGGCTTGGTGAAGTTGCCTTGAATGTCGAAGCAGCATCTAGTCGGTAAGTATCCACAAACGCGAAATCCAAAAACAAAAAAATAGCTCGTAAACCAGTCAACGCAATCTCAAGCGCAGAAAGAGTCAAGATAGTGAAGACCGTAAAGCGACCAACGCGGGCATATTGGAAAGTTGCACGGGAATCTCTCGATATCAGCAGCTGCTTTCCAACTTGGGACTGGATGTCAGACTCACTGTTTCTCAATAACAAAGTCGAACCAGAATGTCGCGTCGGGGCGACCCAAGCCCGTCCCTGCCTCCCTGCCAGGGCTTGGTGATGTTGCCTTTGATGTCGAAGGACCGTGTCGTCGATAGTCGGCAGAGCGAAAATCGAAAAAATCGTCCTCGGCGAGCAAGGAAGAAAAGGAAAGAAAAGAAAAGAAAGAAAGCCCCCAGACCCAATACCCAACTCCTCCCAAGTCCAACACGTAGAAAACATCAACACCCAAATCCAACCAGAATCTCCAAAGAAAAGAAAGCCCACATCCAGCCCGTATATCCAGAATCACCAGGAGAGAAAACCCATATCCAATCACAACCCAAAAAGCAGGAAAACCATCAAGTCAAGAGCCCCAATTCCAAAAACCCCCAAGAAACGCCAGAAAACTGGCCAAGAAAGGAACCAAACCCAGAGACCATCCAAAAGACCATCGACAGAAAAGAAAAGAAACCCAGAAGACTCCCATAAACCCAAACCAGCCAAAGAAAAAACGATGATAAGTACATTCCCACCCACCCACCCACCACAAGAAGGAAAAGAAAACTCCTAAGGTAAGCTGCGAAGACTATATAAGCTGCATAAATGATTCCCACCCTCCCACCTCAAGACGAAGTCTGTCGTGGAAGACCCGTGGAGGAAGAAGAAGAAGAAGAAAGAAAGAAAGGAAATGGGAAATGGGAAATGGGAAATGGGAAATGGGAAATGGGAAATGGGAAATGGGGGGAAAGGAAAAGGAAGGGAAATGGAAAAGGAAAGGCAGGAAGGAAGGAAGCCTGGAGGAAGGAAGGACCACGTACGGCCGGCATACGTCACACCCATCCCCGACTGGAAGAGGAAAGAAAATAAGGGAAAAGAAAAGAAGGGGGGGAAAGAAGTATAGAAAAAAAAAAAAAAAAAAAAAAAAAAAAAAAAAAAAAAAAAAAAAGGGAATGAAATAGAAGGGGGATAAGAAACTGCAGCAGCAGAAGGGAAAGGAAGGGGAACGAGCCTGGGCAGGGGAATGTTCATGACCATGGTAAGATCGGCCTCATATGAGACCCAGGGCAGTTACAAAAGAAAATACCTACCTATTCCCACCCACCCGCCGCTGGACAAAGGAAAAGGGGACATTTCCTCTGTACGAGGCAAGACAACACCCTCTCAAGGAGGGGCCGGACTGGGACTGTCCAGGGCAACAAAAGAAAATACATACCTGAACTGCCCATCCACCCTTCCCCAGGCGCATCTCCAGAGCAGTCCGCAGCAACCAGACCGAAGCCCTGAATGATGCGCTCTGACAATCAATGTTGATGTGCCTTTGCCCACCCACCCTCATCCAGACGCACTCCCCAGAGCAGTCCGCAACAACCGGGACCGAAGCCCTGAAGAGCACGCCAAAGGCACATCAACAGACGCATCTTCAGAGAAGTTTGCAACAGCCAGACAGTCTCTGAAGAAATGCGTCCTTGCAGCAACAAGGTGGTGTGCCTTGGCCCACCCAACCCACATCCAGACGCACCCCCCAGAGCAGTCCGCACAGCGCAGACCGAAGCCCTGAAGAGCACGCCGCCGAAGGCACACCACCAGACGCATATTCAAAGAAGTCCACAGCAGCCAAGCAATCTCTGAGGAAATGCGTCGTAGCAGCCGAAGGTGACATGCTTTTGGCCCACCCAACCACACCCAGACGTACTCCCCAGAGCAGTCCCCAACAGCCGGGACCGAAGCCCTGAAAAGCACGTCGCCAAAAGCATGTCACCAGACGCATCCCCAGAGCAGTTCGCAGCAGCCGAACCGAAGCCCTGAGGAAGTGCATCCTAGCTGCAACAGGTGATGTGCTTTGGCCCAACCCAACCCACGTCCGGACGCACCCCCCAGAGCAGTCCGCAACGACCAGACCGAAGCTCTGAAGAGCACGTCACCAAAGCACATCACCAGGCGTATCCCCAGGGCAATTCGCAGCAACCGAACCCCTGAAGAAGTACGCCAAGGGACCCAGAAGGATGTGCCTTTGCCCACCCACCCGACCCGGACGCATCCCCAGACCAGACCGTAGCCCTGAGGAAACGCCAAGGCACATCAAGAGACGCACCTCCAGAGCAGTCCGCAACAGCCCGGACCGCGGCCCTGAAGGATGCATCTCCTGGGTCCCAACACATGTGCCACTGCAGTGGAACAACGTATCTCCAGAGCAGTCTGCAGCACCAGACCGAAGCCCTGAAGAAGTACGCAAAAGGGAGCCCAAAGGGATGTGCCTTTGCCCACCCACCCGACCCAGACGCATCCCCAGAGCAGACCGTAGCCCTGAGAAAAACGCCAAGGCACATCAAGAGACGCACCTCCAGAGCAGTCCGCAACAGCCCGACCGCAGCCCTGAAGGATACGCCCCGTGGGCCCCCAAACATGTTCCACTGCAGTCAATCGACGCATCTCCAGAGCAGTCTGCAGCAGCCAGACCGAAGCCCTGAAGCATGCGTCGAAGGCACAGATCAACAGACGCACCTCCAGAGCAGTCCGCAACAACCAGACCGAAGCCCTGAAGGATGCCACGAAAGACAAAGGAAAGAAAGAAAGAAGAGAGAAAGCCTTTGTCAGACCAAGCCGACTAGGCAGCAGCAGCAAGGACTGAACCAGCTGTCTCAACTGCATGGCAGAAGAAAGAACCTGTTTCAAAAGTCAGTAGTCATGAACAGACAGAAAGGAAGGAGTGAATCTACTCATCTGGTATAGAAATCTGGCAAGGTGGAGTGGTGTTGCGTCGACTATGTTGGCTACACCTACAAGACAGGGAGGGGAGTTGTGGGAGGGAAGAGAGAGTCAGCTCAGAGCTGGGGGAAGATGGGCTTTTGGAAGAATCTGGTGTGACTCACAGTGTCTACGTGAGAATAGCATCATTTTTGAACTTATTTCAGAAAATTTCTGCTCTTGTGACGGGATATGACGAGTTTGGTATCATTTTCTCGTACGCAGTCATGTAACTGGGCGGATTGGCGGCTTGCTCTGTATTTTATACCAAAACCGTAACTATTTGGTAAAAGAATGAAGCAATTCCGACTACATGTCTACGTAAGGTTACATTTCACATGATACCAAGCGATGCTACAATTAAACATGACGAGAGTCCGCGTCGGATGGAAGATGATGGAGGCAAATGATTGAAATGTTACGACAGAGACGAACTGCCTCGGCATCGCCAACAAAGGCTTTCAGTTGGATAGCTACTCGTAGTATATAGCGGGCTATTCTGGGGATCATTGTGCATACAGATAAGCTTAAATTAGTCGCGCATTTCAAAACAAATCAAAAAGTATCTGCCCTGCATAAGTGTCCGTCCCCACTGTTTGTGTCAGTCCAAAGAATCCACCGGGTTTTCTCGCCCGAGAGAGTCCTCCGTCTAGAGTCTCGAGAAGGCACGATGGAGCTCCAGCTGTTCCTGATAAGGCCGAACGGAAGTTGCGCCGTTCCGCTGAGTAAAACGCCACAAGCGGTTGTCTTCCATGGCCGCTGGCTGTCCCCGAACGACGACTTGACCATTGACCACCGATGCAATGCGAAACGACCGCGGTTTTAACGGTGTGATCTACAACGTTCATACCTAGTCGGGACCTCTTCGGGGAATCCTGCATCCTGCGACTCGTCACTGCGCCCGCGCGAGAATCGATTCTCAATCATTCTGGATGGATTCACGACGGGGGCATTATCGACTAGCATTCTCTTTTCGCTCGGCAATTTCGCTTGAATTCTACACCGAAGACACACGGAATATCCTTCGGAGGCCGCTGCCTGGTTCCGTGACGAATTGCACGGTGGAGACGCTGATCTTTATTCTGTCTCGGAATTCCCGAGTGTCCCCTGGCGTGCTCATTGGCAGAATCATGCAGAACCAGTTTGATCTGATAAAAGTCTTTGGGGTGCAGATGGGGGGATGGGGAATGCCATGAGACTGCCGAGTCTGATGGGTCTGATGGAACAGACAGTCTGGAAATTCCGAATGACGTTTCAGAATCCAGCTGTCCAAATATAAGGAAGGAGGTCGCAAGACACTCAGGACGAGAAGCAAGACAAGACAACAGGACCTTTGCGGCGTAGACTCACCATGAACCTCCTCTTCCTCTCCCTGCTGCCTCTGGTGGCGTCGCAGTCCCTCAGCGATCTCTATGTCAACGATGCACCTTCTTCGCCGCGACCGTACATCATCCCTCACTATGCCGACTCGCACGCTGTCACCGTAGGCAGCCAGCTTTATCGCTTCACGGTGACGGGGCCTTCGTCCGACTATGCCTTCACGCTGATGAGCACCAATGCCCCATCCAGTGGCAGCCTGGGCGTACTCCCCCATATTCACCAGAAGCACTATGAGAATTTCTTCAACTTCAAGGGTCGCTTTCAGTTGTGGGCGCAGCACGGCGATGGAGAACAACAGGGACGGCTGTTGACGCAGGGAGACTACGGATCAGTCCCCAGGAACACCACGCATACGTTCCAGATCTTGGATCCCGATACCGAAATGGTGGGAGTCGTCGTTCCGGGCGGATTCGAGTAAGTCAATGGCATCTTGTCACTCTCAAACAGAATTAGCACGCTGACTTGAACGGTCGCAACTCACAGGGACTTGTTCTACGCTCTCGGCCAGAACTTCTCCTCCGCAACCAACACGCCCTACATTCCTCAGGCCAGCAACACCTCGGGCCAGGACTCCAACGCCGTTTCCGGCCTGGAATCCTTCGACGTCTACGCTCAGCTCGACTTCCAGCCGCGTCGGGATTTCGCCAACGGCTCCGCTCCCTCCGATGAGGGCTGGCATAGCGAGTCGGACTCCTTGGGCCAGTCAGGAAAGCCCTACTTCGTCGCCAACAACTACGGACCGAAGTACCTCAACTCGGAGCACGGCGCATACCAGATTGTGCAGCCGCTCGTCACCAACTCCCAGTCGCAGGACACCAACTTCACCATGTCCACTCTGATCGTGAGTCGACAGCGGGCGGCGGCGAAGGCCCCGACGTGGAATGCGGCCGGAGCGGCGGCGTTCGAGGTGCTGGAGGGATCACTGATGATCCAGATCGGAGACTACCCGGAAGCCCGACTGGAGATGGGCGACGTGGCGTTTATCCCCAAGCACGTCCCCTACCGGTACTGGAACCAGGGAGCCTATGCAAAGGCTCTGTATGTCAGCAGCGGCCGCGAGGGCGCCGACCAGCGTCTGATCCGCGGAGGCAAAAGCTGGGCCTATCCCACCTTTCCCCGATACTAAATTGGCCGTCTGTGCTAGAGCCCAGTAACTTCAAATGGCGCCATCGTGATTGGCAACCGTGGTGTGATGTGCCTCTCTTCGGATTGTATTTTTAGATCTCGTTGATAAAAATAAACCCTCGATGATTGATTCCGCGACGTGATTCGACTTCCGACCAAGTAGCGGTCGGTCGCAATCGGCGTCTGTTGACCCGGATAACCCATATTGCCCAAGCATGCAGGCCGAGGAAGCTCATCACCGGTCTAAACCATGACGCGAGGCGCGGGGTGTGAAAGGAGCTGTTTAGTTGGTGACTCCGCCGCCTAGTCCCGTACACTGCAGGACCAAGAGCTTCGGCGGTGCGGGGGTTGTTCTTGGCGACGAAGTATGGGCCGATCGACAGTGCGTAGGGGAGCAAGGGAGCGGAGAACAAAGAAGTCAGGAAGAGCAGGAATTCTGCGTCGTACGGAGGAGTTACGCAGGGAGGGACACGAAAGAAAAACGGTCGAAAAGGACTCGCAAGGCAGAGCAGCAGGGGGCGCGACGATCGAACATATATTTGCAATATGAAACCGACGGCAAGGACAACCCGACTGATAAGACCGGATAAGAAGGAAATGAAACCGGGCTCGCTAGGTAATCTGAAAGACGGGACTGGCCGTTCGAGAGGATTTATTCTTAGAAAACGGCTCGAAGCCATTTGGCATCCCCTTGCATATCCCAGGATCCCGGAGCCGGTCGCAGGTTCGTAGCAGGCCAATGACGATCGCGAATGGTGTGACAATGCAGGCGTCATTGCATAGGATCGGTGGTTAGTAGCGACGCCGAGAAAGACTACGAAATCCGTAGTTTCGGCCGTCCAGGAGGAAAGGTGGACATGGTCTCTGGTCTAAAAGTACGGAGCAAAAGCGAATGATCTTAGGGCCTGCAGGCGCACGGGACCGACGGCGTATGCGACCCGAACGCTTCCAAGGTCGAGGCAGCAAAGTCCCCAGTCCCACATCCTGGAAAGGCGTTCTTCATCTCCAGGGCGAATTTGTCATTGATGGATTCAGACAGCCGAGTCGATGGCGTCTCAAACAGATGAAAAGCCATGGAGATCGATGATGAATCGCCCGTCACGCCGAAACAACCTCCGCATCAGATCGCGTTGGGCCGAAAGAAGCAATATCTCCTGGACGGAATGGATCGTCATGGACCGTTGCCTGCGACGATGCTCCGCCAAGGGAGAGAGGGATTGATGAATCGACGCCAGGACTTAATAATCCTGGCCGGTGGAGCCGCGACTAGGGCCAGTAGATTATAGTTGACTCCTGGACGGAGTAGTCGAGAAGGCCGAGTCAGTAAGCTGGCAGCTCCAGACCGTGGAGATTACCAAGCACCACCCGCCAGTGGGAGGCCCAGCATTAGTGAGAAAACTCCGGAGTATTGCCATATCCACTTTGGCTGACTTTGGCTGGCGTCCTTTAATTCCTCTGCCAAGAATGGATCGACGTCCATGAACGAATGGGCGTGCGTTCCTGCGTCATTGTTCCAATGCTGCTCGTTTGCTGGTCGGTCTGATCACTGCGAGTCCACCGTATCACATTTGCTCGTCCCTTTTTTTTTTTTTTTTCTGGCGACTCCGTGAATGTCATTTTCCGTTTGCTGTTTCTAGACCCGTGATGCTCAGTTAATCAATCCGTCTTCGCCATTGGCCACGCGATCCAATGGGCCGGTTCTCCTGCCCCCTTGGCCCTGCCAGGGTATCCCCGAGTGGTTGCAGGTCGCTGCATATAAGTACTCCTGACAGGTACCTCGATCGACAAACGCTCGTCGCATTCCGAACTTACAATTGCTCCTGTTTCGCATCGGAATCCCAATTGGTTCGTATTTGAATTCTATTCACCTCTCCGGTCTCACTGATCAATTCCCCTTTTGTCCCCTCATTTTCCCATTCCCATTCCCATTTATTCCCCTTCCTCATCTTTCTCCCACCCGCTAATAGATGTCCGTTTCCTATCAGTGATCATGCGTTTCTCTCCCCTTCTCGGCCTCGTTGGCGTTGCCAACGCGGTCTGCCCCTTTGCGGACTCCAACGGCGGCCAGCATGAACGTCGTGATGCTTCGTCCGAAGGTGCTGCCGCCAACACCGAGGAATTCTTGTCTCAATACTATCTGAAGGACGATGATGCATACCTCACGTCCGATGTGGGAGGTCCGATTGCCGATCAGGACAGTCTGCAGGTCGGTGACCGAGGTCCGACTCTGCTGGAGGATTTCATCTTCCGTCAGAAGATCCAGCGTTTCGACCATGAACGTGTATGTTTCTGTCCCTCTCCCTAAAAAAAAAAAAAAAAAAAAAAAGTCTAGTATACAGAATGTCTAACATGCATCGTAGGTTCCCGAACGTGCAGTGCATGCTCGGGGTGCTGGTGCCCACGGTGTCTTCACCTCGTACGGAGACTACTCCAACATCACTGCTGCTTCTTTCCTCGGCAAGAAGGGCAAAGAGACGCCCGTTTTCGTGCGATTCTCGACCGTCGCTGGCAGCCGTGGTAGCTCCGACCTTGCTCGTGACGTTCACGGCTTCGCGACTCGCTTCTTCACGGACGAGGGTAACTTCGGTAAGACATTGTCTCTCTCTTTCTAGAAACATACGAGCAGCAATAACTGACTCACCTAGACATCGTCGGCAACAACATCCCCGTCTTCTTCATCCAGGATGCCATCCTCTTCCCCGATCTCATCCACGCCGTCAAGCCCCGCGGCGACAATGAGATCCCTCAGGCTGCCACCGCGCACGACGCGGCCTGGGACTTCTTCAGCCAGCAGCCCAGCTCCCTGCACACGCTCTTCTGGGCCATGGCCGGTCACGGTATCCCCCGTTCGTTCCGCCACGTCGATGGCTTCGGTGTGCACACCTACCGCTTCGTGACCGATGACGGATCCACCAAGCTCGTCAAGTTCCACTGGAAGTCGCTGCAGGGCAAGGCCAGCTTGGTCTGGGAAGAGGCGCAGCAGGTGTCCGGCAAGAACCCCGACTTCCTGCGCCAGGATCTGTTCGAGTCCATCCAGGAGGAACGGTACCCCGAGTGGGAGGTATGTCCAGTCTTGCCTTCGTTTCAATTGATTCCTATCGTGCAATACTAACTATACCGAATAGCTCGGCGTGCAAGTCATGGACGAGGAGGACCAGCTCCGCTTCGGCTTCGACCTGTTCGATCCCACCAAGATCGTGCCCGAGGAGCTGGTGCCCATCACCAAGCTGGGCAAGATGACGCTGAACCGCAACCCGCGCAACTACTTTGCCGAGACCGAGCAGGTCATGGTCAGTCTTTCCCTCTCCTTCCAAAAAGAAAGAAAGAAAGAAAGACTTCGATGCTAATACACCGCAGTTCCAACCCGGCCACATCGTCCGCGGTGTCGACTTCACCGAAGACCCTCTCCTCCAGGGCCGTCTCTTCTCGTACCTCGACACCCAGCTGAACCGTCACGGCGGTCCCAACTTCGAGCAGCTGCCCATCAACCAGCCCCGCGTCCCCATCCACAACAACAACCGTGATGGCGCCGGTAAGTCACCCCCTTCCTCCCCAATCCAACCCATCTAACCCAACCCAACCAGGCCAAATGTTCATCCCGCTCAACCCCAACGCCTACACCCCCAACACCTCCAACAAGGGCTCTCCCAAACAAGCCAACCAAAGCGTCGGCAAGGGCTTCTTCACGGCCCCGAACCGCTCCCCCAGCGGCCACCTGACCCGGTCCGTCAGCCCCAGCTTCCGCGACGTGTGGTCGCAGCCGCGTCTCTTCTACAACTCGCTCCTCCCCGCGGAACAGCAATTCCTCATCGACGCCATCCGCTTCGAAACCTCGAACGTCAAGAGCTCCGTCGTCCGCCAGAACGTGATCCTCCAACTCAACCGCGTGTCGAACGATCTCGCGCGCCGCGTCGCCCGCGCCATCGGCGAGAAGGAACCCTCCCCGGACACCAAGTTCTACCACCACAACAAGACCCTCAACATCGGCGCGTTCGGCCACCCGCTCTCCAAGCTCGAGGGCCTGAAGGTCGGGTTCCTGGCCAGCGCGCAGAACGCCTCGTCCATCAAGGTGGCGGCGGAGCTGAGCGACGCGCTCGCCAAGTCCGGCGTCGACACTGTCGTCGTCGCCGAGCGCCAGGTCGACGGCGTCGATCAGACGTACTCCGGGTCCGACGCTATCCAGTTCGATGCCGTGGTTATCGCCCCCGGCGCTGAGGGCCTGTTTGCGCCCGCCTCGTTCACCGCCCCGCCGTCGAACTCGACCGGCTCCGTGGCCACCTACTTCCCCGCCGGTCGGCCCCTGCAGATCCTCGTTGATGGGTTCCGGTTTGGAAAGCCCGTCGCCGCCCTGGGCTCTGGTGCGTCGGCGCTCAGGGGCTCCGGCATCTCGGCGTCCCGCGAGGGCGTGTATGTGGCGCAGGAGGTGACGGATGCGTTCGTGGATCAGATCAAGAAGGGGTTGCGCACGTTTAAGTTCTTGGATCGCTTTGCGCAGGATAACTAGATGCCTGCTATCAGGTCTGCTTCTGTTTCTGATCCGATATTTGTCGTGTTGAAGTGATGTGATGTGATGTGATGTGATCTGATGCGACAGGAGATAGACAATTGATGCATGGCTGATGATACATGGGCCATGGGTCTATCTGTCTTCCTGTTCATATGTATCTATCTATTCTAGAGTCGGGGTGTGGTGGTGTACTGCCCTACCTGTCCGATCTCTTGGTCTTTTTCTTGTATTTATTTTTGAAACGCTATTGATCTTAGCTATTACATTCAAACTTGATGTGGATTTCATCTGGTTTTATTTCTCTTGTTTTGTTTTGTAGATTGGGCTAGAGCTGGAGAGAGAATCTTGGTGCTTAAGTGCATGATGCAATCTACCCAGCATTTCACCACTTTTAAGACCTTCCATCCTCGTCATCTTGATCATCTAACAACTGTTTAATACATCGACTCTTCGAAGAAGATTCGCAGGTCTAGCCTGTAAAAGCAAACTGCTTGTATATTTATTTCTTTCACTCTCTTTCTGTGTCAAGCTTTCTCAATAGCAAGCATAAACAATACCACTAGTGTACATCCATCATCAAACAATTCTTTTCTCATCTAAGCCCCCGCTAGCAGATCATCAACAAAGCAAACTAAATTCATTAAAAAAAAAAGACAGAGATCAAAATATTAACCCCATCTCCTCCCACCAACCACTCCCCTCTCCAACGCAACTGCATCCTTCACCTTCAATGTCCTCTTCCCTGCGGTACTCTCTTTTCCATCCCTCCCCTTCTCTCGCGACCTCGGTCCTAAAATAGCCCACTCAGCCACCGTCGCGCCCACATCCTCTTCCTTGCCCTCTCCTCCTGCCAGTCCCTGGTTCCCAGAGATCAGCAGCGTCGCGTACCGCGATACACGCACAGGCTGGTCAAGGTCCACGCGCGTGGTGTTCCCGACGGGTATGGACACTTGGTTGTAGTCTTCCGTGGCGAGCCATGGTTTCGAAGGGGCGATGTTTGCGAGGTGGGTGACTACGGTGTAGGACTCGTTCTGGCTTTGGGTATGGCTGTCGTGGGAGCTGAGGAATAAAGACGCCGGGTTCTCGATGGCGTGGTCGTGGAAGAGGATGGTGGCGTTGACCGGCGGGGTCTGGGCCCAGTCGAAGTGGAAGCCCTGGACTTGGGCGTTTGAGGCAAGTTCCTGGTCGGAGAGGGTGACGGTGAGGGAGGTGAGGGAGGACGAGGAGGGCTGCCATTTTGTGGACGTGGCGCCGTCGACGGCGGAGATGGGGAATTGGCCCGCTTCGAAGTCGGAGGGGGAGTTGACGGGACGGCATTGTACGATGTTGTCGGCGATTGTGGGGATGGTTCCGATTTGGCGGTTGCGGATGGTCAAGGGACTGGAGCGGGGGAGGGTGTGGGTGGTTGCGTTGGAGTCTAGGCCGACGTGGACGGGGATGGACGAGTTGGCGAATCGAGGGTCGGCGGACGGCAGAGCAGGAGTGTCAACGGCACGACGGATGGTGGTGTGCGTGGAGTTGGAGCTCGCGGAGATGGGCCATCCACGCCAGTAGAAGGTGCGGTAGGTGATATATGGGATCTGTGGGGGAAGGTCCGGGTCGATGTGGATGGCTTCGTCTGGGAGCAGGCGCAGACCGAGGTAACCGAAAAGGACGACTTGGTTGCCTCCGCCGTGGCCGGTCAGGAAGGGGAAGGCCGGCCGGGTGCCGCCGTTGATGCTCGCATCGTCGATCATCTGCTCGGACATTTGGTAGAAAGGCGGCCGCACATAGGGGTCGAAGGAATATTGGTGGTAGGTGTATGCTGAGCAGCCGGATGGCGAGATGTCGTTGGCCACGATGGAGAAGATTGCCCAAGTCATAGCGGGACCGTCGGCGGATTGCTTGTTGGCATACTTTGCGAGACGAGGTTGACGAGGTTAGTAGGGTAAGTATGACGGAGACAGAAGCACTCACGTAGTCAAGATCATTCAGTGCGGTTTCAGCGCTGTAGTTATCGTAGACCAGCGGGTAGGTAATAAGCACGATGTCGGCTTGTTTGACCACGGCGGTGCCATTCATCGTGGTATATTCCAGTGTCACTCCGTCCTCTCGAAGCATGAGCACATTCTCTGCGATCTCAGACCAGGTCTTATTAGTCTCTATGTCGAATTGCTCGCGGAAAGCATTGGCGTTGTCGAGGGTCTCCGAAATAAGGGCCATTGTGAATCCACCAGCATCGATATGGTTTGCGTATTCGTCCTAGTAGAGCAGTCAGAATGAAAACGCAGAAAAGGCGCACTTGCAGACTTACAGGGTCAGTCATATTCGTCAAAGTCCAAGACGATCCATTGCGCTCCACCAGGTTCGAGTACAAGGTTGCCACAGAATCGTAGATAGGGAAATGCTCGTCACGGAAATGCTGCGTATTCCCACTCGCAACCCACTCGTATATCATGGAGAGTCCTATGTCCCCATTCAAATGATACTGGTAATCCCAGCAAGGGCCCGTAGCCGTGCAGTTACCAGATCGGCCGCTCGTCCAGGGATAGATCGCCGCGGACGGCTCGAACTTGGTACGGTTCTTTGCACCGGCAAACGATGTTTTGATATTTTCCTGCGCCTGTCCAAACTTTGCCACACGGTAGTTGGTCACTCGCTGAGCAGCCTCGGGATGAGAGGCGACAAGACCAGGCTGCATCCAAACATCGGCATCCCAGAAGACTTGCCCTGCGTAGGAATCGGAAGTAAGTCCACCGACTGAGATGCTGTGGTCATTCACCGGGGCTCCTGCGACCGCGGCAATACCATTTTTGCCAACGGTGGCCTGCAAAAGATAGTATACATTAGCGACGGCAACGATGGCCGAGTCGATGAGATGATCGTCTTCCGGCACCCTGCCGGTTTTGGGGTCCACAAAATGATCAACCGAGGCATCAGGCATGATCGTTGCCCACTCGGAAACATGAGCTTTCAGCGATTGCTGATAACCCGCGATCAACCCTGCGAATGCTGCTTGCTTCGCAGTTTTTCGCGGGTTGCCAAAGGCGTCGGAGGAAGCAGCACCGACGAACTTGGTAATGCGTACAGTTTTATTCGTTGCAAATTGGACGTTCACACCTTGGGCAACGGACGATTGGTTCGTGCTCACGTAAGGCTTGTTTTTGATCGCAGTACGCGTAGTCAAGTCGACCCCATCGGAGGCTGTCAAGTTGGCGTACACGTAGGCCGTGACATTAGAAACACCCCAGGGCCGAACCGCCGTGAAGATTGCATGGTCGTCCTGTCCCGATTCCACGAAATCTGTGCGCACAGCCGATCTACCATCAATGAGGTTGACCACCGTAGCATTCGTGTTCCGAGAGGGGGTGATTTCCATATCGACCACCGCCTGGGTAACATTCAGCTTGTTCGCGAAGATCCGATACGCGATGTCAAATGATCCCCTGTCGCCTTTCGGAACCCACTGATAAGACCATGACAGCACCCCGGCCTTGAAATCGTACGCAGACTGGAAGTTCTTGATGGTTTTGTTGTCCACAGTAGCATCCAAGTAGTCACCATTGCCCAAGTCAAGGATTAGCCCAGCCCAGTGCGGTACTCCACTAATGACGCTGTCCCAGCCATATTGGTACAACCACGGGAAGTTGGTCGAGTTCGTGGTCGGTTGAGAGTCGTAGAAACCGGCTATCGTTGCAAAGCTTTGCCGTCTCGAGAACAGAGGCCAGCCGCTAATCTCATTGCCGTTGTCTTCGCGATCGATTTCAAAGAAGGGGCCAAGACTGGCAACACTGATGCCAAGATATCCATTCGCAACCGAGCCACGAGCCTGGTAACGTCCTTGATCGAAAGCAGTGGTTTCAAGTATCCAGTTGTTGTCATCCCACGTCAGTCCATCGAACCTAGTCTGATACACATTTGTTGAGTTTCCCGCGGACTTTCGAGAATCATGACCGCCGTGGTGCCTGTTCAAGGCACCGGAGATGCGATCACTCTTTCCAGGCGCGCCAGAAGCTGCCAGAGAAAAACACGATTGCAGCAGCGCTGCTGCAAGTATCTGCAGCTTCGTTAGTTTTAAGTGTAAGTGTTTTACCGAGGGATTGGTGAAGGAATAATAATCACATACCTTCAACCTCATCGCGAGATCTCTCTACCAACAAAACTATTGATCAAAAAACGATGAATGAACATAAGAGAACCAAACACCAAGATATTTCAACCCTCGAGGCAGGCAGCAACAGCAGTTACAATAACGTAAAAAGCCCGCTTCGCTCGCGAACTATCCAGTCCCCACACTCGTATCCAAGACCGGGAAAGCAGACGCCGATCCAAAAACGCCCAGCCAGAAATGCCCTCTAGTCAGAAAGCCAAAAGAGAAAAAGAAAAAAGAAATCCGGGAGCCGGTCGGCCTAGTTAAAACTTAAGGTTACCCAACTCTACCTACCCTTGGGAATTTCCCTCGATCGCACCACCAACCGTATAGTCGCGGGTCACTGAATATGCGGGGTAACAGCAAGCCACAATCCCAACGTCACTTCGGGGAAAGGAATGCTCGGTTTCGATCTTGCGCAAAAAGGCAGAGTGGGAAGCCGGACTCGGATCCAAGGTTTTGCTTGGCCGATAATAGTCCGTCGGGGTTGGACGATCTCAATGACAGGGCGTGGAGGAAGCCTCTTGCATCATAGTGTGGGGTTCGGGGTTGCCGGAGCGCATCTGGGGTTCCGCACGCGGGATGAGTAGGCTCTAGACAGCGCCGGAGGGGTTGGGTCACGGTGAGATCGTTTGGGTTAGTATGGGAATTTTGTGCTCCTGGGTTTGAGATAAACTCAGATACCAATAACTGGAATGGGATGGCCAGGAGTAAGGAGTGGGATGAAGAGATGAAGAGACGAAGAGATGGAGAGATGGAGAGTCGACAGCCTCCGATTACGGGAGAATATTTCCACGGAAGGCCTCAGGCACAGTGCTGCCTTGTTCCAGGCCACCACCAGCCCATCGTGTAGTTAAGGACCAACTCTCTATTATTCTTTTCTCGTCACAAACAAGTACCATATCATCTCTATCATCAAACCTTCATGTAGAACAAACAATACGCCTTCAAAGAGAAAAGAGGAAAAAAGAAATGCATCCCTACCTCGCCGTCGCAATCTACCACCCTCGATACGGCAACTTCCAGCACTGGGCCCTCCACCTGCACACCTCCACCGAAGACACCATCTACGAAGTCGACGGCGAGCATCCGAGTTTCCAAAAAGTCACATCATCCGGCAACCCGCGCGACTCGGAGACATTCATCCACGCCATATTCGTGAGCGAAGTCGGGGATCCCGACATCCCCACCATCAGAGCGATCGTCGATGGCGCCCGCGTGGACAACGAGACGCTGGAATGGGACTGTCAGGAGTACGTCTTGGAGATAATAGAGGCGTGTGAGCAGGAAGCCGTGCTCGATGATCATGATCTGGAGTACATGGAAGCGAAGGAGACGCTGAAACAGAAACGGGGGCCGATGATTTGATTTGGTTTGATTTTGGCCATCTGAGCTGTCGGACCATCGAAAAGGCCGGTTTGGTATGGCAACGTATCAAGATCTGATCTGTCGATGGCTGCTAGATATCCTACCTCTGTTGATCAGTTGCATTTATCCTAGATGAACTAGCACAGGCTAATATGCGGAGCCCCTCCCCGAGCTCGGCTTCGAGAGCCGATATCAACCCTGCTTTGAGACGAAGATCAGGATCTCCGCTTGGCCTAAGGCGAACTCCCCACGTTTTCTCCGCAATTTTAGCTTTATCTCGTCAACATGGAAAGTGGTACGTCGTGAGTTGGCAAGGTCGGAGTAGACTAGTCCCGTTCGTCTGCGTATCAGGTCTGCAAGATCGGCATACTGGTTACATTCCATCTGATCAAGGGCAGGCAGGGTTAACAAGAAAATCGGGTCCATTGCGTCTCGGTCATAAGAAAAAGAAAAAGGCATGCTAATAAAATCACAAAGGAAAAAGAAAAAATCACAACCCAATCCGTCTCTTCGCTTCCTCCCTCAACGCCGCTGCTGTATCCCTCGTGCGCTCCATGGCCGACTGGTTCTCAACGGCCCTGCGCAACAGGAAATGGAGACATTCCTCGGTGGTCCCCCAAGCCAGACATTTAAACACGCCCGGGACTGCGCTGGCACCCACTGACTTGCCTTCTGCTGGTAGATAATCTCCGGCCTGGTGTTGTGCCACCAACCCGCAGCTCACCTCATCTGCCATGCCCTGCAATTGGCCCACCTCCACCGGGATCGTGGGCAACCCGTTCACGACGCGGTGCTGGAGCAGGGAAGATGCCTTCCGCACGCTTTCCCCATTGTGCGTGGCCACGAACAATCGCACGTCAGGGAACACAGGTGTACTCTCCGACTCGCGCAGTGGGAATTTCCGAGTAAGCAGACTTTCCACAATGTGGTTGTAGTTGCGGTCGGTGTCGGCTTTGGTGTCGTGGATGCGCGATCGAATGTCATGGGCAATGTATGCGCCGCGGACCAGTTTGATTCCCAACCCCCAGCCTTCCTTTCCGGCAAGACACAGGTGATGGTAGACGTTTTCGGTGGAGGATTTCAGGTACGCCTGGATGGTGTTGAACACCACGATGGCTCCCTGCCGGTTGAACTGCCGCATGAGATCGATGGTCCAGGCATCGATTGCCGGCTGAAAGACCTGCTGCTCGGCGTCGATCCACACACGAGAGTTCTGTGCCGCAGTCGCCGCGCAAAGCTCCGTGATGGCCTGCTTGATCTGCGGAGGAGGAACAGGGTCGCCACGCGCGAGAGCCTCGACAGCCGCGGGACCGGCACCGGTGAATCTGCGTCTGTCAGAATTGGGAAATCAAGTCGTGTCGAGGGTGGCCTCACTTGACGGCAAGATAGTCCCCCTCGCCAATCATCTTCAGGGTCCGCAGGTTCCCTTGCTTCCATTCTTCAACGGCGCTGTCTTCCAGCACTTTCTGGCTCACCGTATGCCATTGGGAATCCGCACCCTCCATCCTCGCAACAGACTCCCGAGCATATCCTAGAATAACACCCTTGAAACCTAGACTCTTCATATCCTGAACCGTCCGGCGCACCCCCTTCTCGTTCGACCCCGCACAGAACTGATTGTAGATAGTCGTGCGGAGAAGGTAATTCATCACCGGGTTTTTTGAAGGACTGAGCAGGAACGATTTAGACTCGACCACGTATTTCAGGATCGACACGCAAGGCCTCAGGAGCGGCGATGACATCACCGACGTAAACAGCAAACAGCGAAGAAACGTCTTCGTCGGCATCACCGAGAGAGGGGCCTTTTTAGGAGGCGATGGGGAGGCATGGAGCGGGATCGCATGGTGGGGTGTAGCTGACGATGACTTCGCCAATCCAACTGCTTTGGTCCGTGGATGTATGAGCCCGGACCGCTTGGGCCAGGAGATCTTGGGCCCCATGCTAGCAAAGAGTTGTGTAAATCTGGAGTTATCAGGACATCTCCTTGCTGTCCCTTACGCACTATATACCTTTCCTCGTGCTCGCGATACGCACTATGTGAGGGGTCGGTTGAGAAGCGATTGCCAGCGAATACGGAGGGGGTTACTGTAGTCCGGCTCGACGACCGATTGGTTTTTTGTCGTTTTGATGGAATATTTAGTTCCACTGGAGTCGGTCGGACTGGGTCATTTGATTGATTCAGCAGTCGTTGTAGCAGATAAGCTCGGAGGCACCTTCCGTCATGCTCGGCCGGGGATTCCGCCACATATCAATCAGTCTGCGGCCCGTATGTACACCCATACGGAGTATGCTTTCAACACGGCACTAATTGTCTCGGGGGCTATTTTTATCTATCGCATTCTGATTGACCGTCTAATTGCCATATCTAGCTGTTTACCTACTACATTCTAGGCCCAGTCCCGCATCTATTTCTCACCCCGCAAATGCTTCACCCCGTTAATCATCGAATCGGCAAACGCCCCTCTCACTCCCTGTCTCTCCAGCGTCAACAAGCTCTGGATGGTGCACCCCCTGGGCGATGAAATACTCTCCCTCATTAAAGCCGGGTGATCCCCCTCTTTCAGCAGCCCTGCCATTCCCGTGAGAACCTGCGCCGCCATCTCCAGCGCCTCCGCCCGACGCATCCCCTCCACCACACATCCATCCAAGATCCCATCCAGTGGGGTAGAGAAGATGGCCATCGACGCACCCGCCAAGTGACCTCCGATATCAAACTGGTTCGAGGGCAGCCACTTGACGGTGCCTATCTGCGAGAACATCCACGTCAGAGTCTCGGACATGTCCTCTGATAGTTCGGAATTCTCCTCGATGATAGTCAGAGACTGACGGATCCGCGACGCGACGTTAGGCATGGCTCGAGCGACAGTCATGGTTGGAACCCAACTTCCGTAGCGGAATATCTCCTTGATGTCGTTCGGTTTCATTCCCGCCATGATACTGATGACGAATTTCCCCTGCAGCGCCTGTGCGATACCTTGTTCCTGCAGGATCTCCTTTGCCAGGAATGGCTTGCATGCGAGCATAATGATGTCTGCTTCTTGGCACGCGCGTAGATTCTGCCCGTGTCCGACAGTCACCCGAGCCTCGTCGGCCTGGAATGTCTTCCGCAGGCGGTCCGCCGATCCCGCGCTCTTCGTAGATACAATGAAGCGAGAGATCTTAGGCGTGGTGCCGGATTGGAAGTCTTCGCGCGTTGCGTCCAGGATACCGCCGAGGATGGCGGACCCCATGTTTCCTAGATGATGAGTCAGTCGCGGGGAAGTGATGTAGTGGAATTGAGTAGACGTACCGCATCCGATGAATGCGATGGTGGACATTGTGTTTGTTTCTGTGTGGTGGACGCGGGTTTGATGGTGAGGAGGTAATTTTGCTTTGGGTACTCCGTGCAGGAGGAAGAAATGAAAATGATGGTCGATGACAAGTGAGTGGGTGTGGTGGATAGACTTCGGGAGTTGGGGCCGAGAAGCAGATAAAGAGCAAACGTCAAGATCTGAGGATCCACCCCTTGGAGCCATTGACTTGTTCCGTAGTACGGAGTACCCCTCCTTCAGTCCTTCATCGAGGCTCAGTGGGGTGGAAATCATTCATTTTGTGATGGTGAATGCCAATACACTACATTTAATCGGATAGCACTGATTCAGCTCGGTTTGCAGTGAATTAATTAATGTGTTGTTCTAAACCCCCATCATCTGGGCAACATTTCCTCGCTTCGAAGGCTGGGTGGGGCATAAGAAATCCGCAAGCAGGAATCGAAACAAACAAATGCAATAGCAGAAAAGAAAAATACCTCCCTCCAACAGTAGCCCAGTAACGTAGAGAGTAGAGAGAGAAAATACAAAAAAGAAAAGAAAAGATCATTGCCCCGGCCGCGGATCGAGCGGGAACCGTCGCAAATTCCCAGCAAAAACAAAACCACTCGACCACCCGGGCGGAAGGCGAGCCGACCTTCGGTCTGCTGTCTCTTGTCTTTTGCACGCATCGTAGTTTTGGCAATTTTTGTGGCTTTCTAGGACTCTTTACTATGATGGGATTCCCTTATTTCAGATATTAGCATGCTATGGATATATATTTATGTACCGTAGAGGGGTTTGGGGCAGTTTTGATCGGTGAATAGACGGGATGGGAAGAGTTCTCTTTGAGTTTGCATCATGGGGTAGCAATGTATATATCTCCGCCCAAGTCCCAGGGCTATCTTGATCTTGAGATGGTAGTGCCACTTATTTCATGCTATTATTCCACTGTTCTACGAGCAGAACAAACAATACAAATAAAAGCACATTACAGGAAGTAGCACAAACAATAGACAACCAAAGAAAGAGTCAAATCCACCCCAGAAGCTTAGCAGTCGATCACACACCTGTCGCTTATCTCCAGTAATCTGCCAGAATCCAGCCACCAAGTCAAAAGGATCGACTCGCCTCCCAGTCCTTAAAGCAGAGTAATATACTCCTTTCCGCTCGCAAACAACTGTCAAAAACCCAAACCAACCTGTACCCGGCTAGAGCCCCAATGCCCAGAGTCTAGCCCATAGGCCCTGTAAGCGCCCGGCTAGGCTACCTAGGGTAGGTCGGGTTGGTTGGCCCTTTCCCCCAAACAAAGAATCTCGACCACCGAAACGCACTATGTGCCACCCCATTGGAAAAGGATCTCAGACCCAGACCAGCCATGCTTGTAGCAGCGCGGTGGAGATAGGTAGCTTCCTTTGCTCCCGTGGATTGCTGGCTTTGTCGTGCATGCGTTTGTTTGTCTCCGTCTGTTCGGCCGATCTGCTTCCAATAATACTCGACTCGGGGCATTGAAGGATTCCGTGCGTGCGTCATAGTAGCGTGTCGCTAGATCTCGTCATCGCTATACCGATCGTATACCCATACCGATATCACCGATGAGAGGTCCGCGGGAGGTGAAACGATGAAGCGTCGCGACCTGTGAGAGGCAGGAACGATAATACCCTGACTATACAATAAGGGAGGTATGAATAACTACACCATCGGTCTTCTCACCGATCTAACAACACCGAATAGCGCGATACAAACAAAAATAAGAAGAGGGGAAAAAATGGCATATAAACTATCCGTCGAGGTGTTCGGCGACGGAGAAAACCCAGACGACCCATCGCACTGGGGCTTCACGATCAACAAGCCGCCGAATCCGTACGGCGACCTCCTGCATGTGCGCACGCTCGACGCAAAAGGGATGTTCTTCCAATTCGAACCACGGCTGAGAACGAGACTCAACACGCAACAAGCCCTCGGATTATGCGTGATCTCCACACTGACCGATCAGCAACGCCAGCGGGCCACGCAGATCGTCGCCAACGAAGAGGCGCCGAAGGATGGGAAGAGAAATTGCCAGGACTGGGTGCTGAGTACGTTGATCGCGCTGGAGATCGAGGAGCTCGTGCCCCCTGGGACGTCTGAATTCTGGAAGGAGATGATTGGGAAGCCAGCGCGACATGTGAGGGGGGCTGTAGGGACGAATTGGATAGCGCTGAGGAAGTTCTGACAGGGATGGGGAGGTGGGTTTGGATAAGGCGTTTTTGGCGTTCGGTCTTGCAAGGGGCGCGGGGAGGGAGACTGAGGATATGACAGGATGGCTCTATATGCTATCTAGATACACGTGTATCGCATCATTTCACGGTTGACGGTTTTCCAGTATTCGTATCCATCCGGGGGCAGGATGGACGTGGAGAGGTCGCGCCACTCTTCATCTAGCGTTGGCCACCGCAGGCCAAAGTATTCTCTCTCCGGCACGCTATACCCCGCCACCCCCCAGTCGATGATGCCGGAGATCTTCCCGTCCCGGACGATGATATTCGACTGGTCCAAGTCGCCGTGGGTGAATATGCAGGTTTCCGTCTGCCCAGCCCCCGAGAGGAGGAGCTCCTCGGCAAAGCGCGCATCCTCGTCCGTCTCCAGCGTTAAATTGGGCCTCGACCTCCTCAGGGCCTCTACCATGCCTATATTGAAGTCCTCGCGCGAGGCGAACGGCCCATAGTCATACTCCCTGTTCTCCCAGGGATGCTTGAAGATTACGTCCTGGCACGGACCGCCGTCGACGGAGCCGAAGAAGGAGCCCCGGAGCTGGCGCCATTGCTGTATATACCCTCGTAGTTCCCGCGCGAGAGCCTTCTTGACGGCGCGGGGCAGCGTCTCGGCCAGCTCGTCGCCGTGTATCTTTTCCATCACGATGAACCCGATCTCCGCGATCACATAAGCATTAAAGACCCGGGGCACGGGGACCGACGTCTGGTTCCTGACTAGAATCATCGCCTCCGCTTCCCCCATGCGGACCGTCTCGCCGACTTTCAAAATCGTCGCCGCGTCCAGCTCGAGCAAGAAGCACCCATTCAGCCGATGTGGGCAGATATTCAGACCCTGCCGGATCCGATCCGCGGGGACCAGCGGCGGCGGATGATCGCGCAGCGAGGGCGTGAATGTCACGCCGTCGGGTGAGGTCGTGGTGACCGCGCAGATCCGATCCATCAAGTCCGCCTCAATCGTCTAAGGTGCGTGAGCAAAAGAGAGAGCGTTAGAAGCGAAATAAAAACGGTAAGACGCATGGCGATGAGGCGAGGGTCACACTGACTGCCTCGTTCCTAGGCTCCTTCCACTGATCGGTATCGGCATCGTCATGTTGGATGGCTTGGCTCCCTTGTGGAGCTTGCATCGTGGAGTGAATCTCCGACGAGGGTGTGGCCAGGGGACGGCGGTTGGCGATGTCGTTGTCCGGTGAAGATGCCGAGGGTCGAAAGTTCGGAACTGGAGAAACAAAACCCGCCTGGCTAGACCAGTGAACCAAACCTCGACTAAATAGTCGGCAAGAGGCTGGTCATATCAGTTGACGGAATGTTAAGAAACAACGGCTTTTATGAGCAATATGACTCGGATAAAATTGGATTGTGAAGTTTCACTCAAACATGACAGTAAATATTGACCAGAATGCTACGCTAATCCAGGGATGTCTAGCTCTGAATGACGTCGTTTGGGATTCCATGTTGCCATCTTCGTACACAATGTAGCTGGGTATACTATTCTGATGTGAAAGTGGAAAGACCAAAAATGGCAGCCCGACGTCAATGCGCTACATGCTTTAAGGTTTCCAGTCGCCAAGTATAATCGTAGGACATATACACCCCATGCCACCCATATCGTCTATCAGGACACGGTTGTTTATCGGCGTAAGAGCGACGCGCTTCCTCAAATAACCGATACCAGCCATTTTGCTGGGAAATATTGCCCACTGGCGGCAACAAGATTGCGAGGGAGCCGTTTCACGGAGTGCGAGGAGTTGTTGGGGTATCGATGTAATCGTAGGACGTTGGATCGAGTATTCAGCTTCGTTATTCATGTCACTCGCGGGCGTTTGGCGTTCGGAAACCCGGATGGCCCACGCATGCGTTTTCGCTCCATCGCCTCCATTTCCTGCTTCATGATTCTCTCCTGCTCCGACATCTTCTTGGGCGCCTCCATGACTGGACCCTTCTTGCCAGCAAGAGGGTTCTTCTTCGCCGCCGAAGCAAACACATTCTTTGGCTTCTGACCACCACCGAACGACATCGATATTTTCGGGGCCGGCTGCGGAGCCGCTTCGACTGGGGCGGGGGCCGGGGCTGGGGATTCCGAGGGTGCATCGTTTTCTTCCGCGGGCGACTTCGACTTCGACTCGGACTCGGACTTCGGTTGTTCGGCGGGCTTAGGACCAAATCCGAGGTTCAGCTTGACCTTTTCTCCCTCCGTCCGTTGCAAATTTCTCGCCTCTGGATCGATCTCGTTGTCCTTCTCCGCGTTCTGCTGGGCCCTCTCAACCTGCTCCTGAATCTGCCGTTGTTCTCGCTCCTCGTCTCCGCGATCCTGGCGCTCCTTCTTCATGATCGCCTCCCGACGCTTCATGGTCTCCGGACTGCGATCGATATACGACACGAAAAGCCCCTTCTCCGTTTCCTCGACGCGGACCAACCCCTCTCGACCCAGGAACGCCGTAAACTGGGAAAGCGACGTCCACTTCGTAGAGTTCATATGAATGTGCTAGACCCAAAGTCAGCACACCGACCACTCGTAGAGAAAGCCCACCAAACTCACCTCCTTATCCGCAATAACCTGCTGATAGAACTGATTGACATGGACCTTCTTCTCGCCGTGCGTCGTCCTCAGCAAATCCAGGAAATTCTTCATAAACTCCTTGCTGTAATCTTCGATATACTTCTTGGGGTCTTCGCCGACGATAAGCGCCTGGCGCACATGGCTTTCGCTCTGGACGTGACTGGAACGGGGAAAACGAGCAAATTGTTAGCGCGCTGGTCCTGGGATTGGAGAATTCGAGGATTCAGGGCTGCGCGGAGACTTACCACTTGAAGCCGTTCTCGTCGCGCATTTGTCGCTCGCAGAGCTGGCAGTACCATCGCAACCTGCCCAAGCCTTTCTTCAAGACGTTAGCACCATCGTCGAGCGGAGTTCATGGGCTTGGCTACTCACGGCTTTCATCTTGTTGCTGAGCGCCTTCGTACTTCCGGCTGCTGCGCGAGGCATGTTTGCGACTGACAATGAAGATCAGGACAATGTAAAAAGGGAATAACAAGAGCAAAGAGATGGGAGACCGGGGAGTGTTGATGCGACACACTGAGGGTGGCAAGGATGGGAGCGACCGCTTAGATAACAAATCCACGTGATCAGATAAGACGGCCTTTCCCAAACCGGCAGCATACAATGGAGTGCCTTTCGTTTCTACGGACAGTTGAGTATCATTTTACAGTCAGATTGAATTATCAATGAAAGTTTGTACCCAAACAATGTATTAGACCTGACTCCCCACCTATCGCATCCTGGGGGAAATTGTTTTTTATAGAAAACGCCACCACGTAGAATACAGATGTCTTCGATAGAAGAAACTGAAGGGGAAAAAAAGAAAAAAAGAAAACCAACGGTGAAAACAAAAGGAAAGCTCCATAAGTGACAATAAAAAGGCCCTAAATCCCGCGAAGATCTTATGAATTTCATATCTCTCTTTTGATACTCTCTCAAACAACATGTCCTCATACAACGTTTGTAGGTGATTAAATTGGCGCCATCACATGATGTACTCGTGGATCGCGGATGGCCCGTTCTCGTTATATTCCACCCGGCTCATGAAGCCCTTGCTCAGCCCTTGGTCAAGAACGAAGATCACCTTGGAAGCAACCTGAGCGCCCAGGAAGACGGCTTCCTCCATTCCATGTCCGCCGCTTAGCGAGGGTTGGTTGCCGGGTCCGCCAGCATTGTTCATACCACCAGCGCCGCTGGCCCCGGGCGCGTTGGTGTTGCTCTGCTCTTTCCACTCGGAGAAATACTCTGGCGGCTTGAGCGTCTTGACTGATGTAGGGGTCTGAGAATGACCGGTTGAACGGTAATGGGAGGCCATGGCAGCATCCATCGAAGGAGTGCCAGGAGGCATATTGGCAGCCGCAGCGTTGTTGGAGTGAGTTGCAGCGACAAGCAGAGGGTTGACCCCATGGCCTGCAGGATGATGCATCGGGCCGGGCTGGCCACCGGGTGCCGGTGTGTTCGTCCCCCCGGTGGGAAGTGGCGTGGAGAAGTTGGAGGGAAGTTCGGAAGTGAAGATGGTTCCAGAGGGGGATAGAATAAACTTCTGTGTAATGGCACCGAGCAAAGATTGTGTAAATCCTGGTCATGATCATTAGTTAGGACCCGGGAATTTCGAGAGCAAACAACACTAACCCTTAATCTTGCTGCCGTTACCAACGACAATCAGCGAGTCCCAGAGCTCACTCCGCTTGCTGGCATCGGGCACAGCAAGGATAGTGTGATGAATCTGGGTCGCGATGTCGTTCAGAACACCGCTTGAAAAGCGGTCGCCGTTCTGCTGTTTCGGGGTCGCAGACAAAAATCGTTCCACTCCAACCTCGATATCTCGTGTTTGACGGATGAACTTCCCGGGACCGCTGGCGACGTTGTGTTCCGGCTCGATCCGCACGAACTCCTCATATTGGAATGTAGCCTTCTCTTTCTTGGAGTTCGGAAGACGAAGGGGTTTCCCGGCTTGATCCACCGCCCCCTTCTTCGTTGCCGTTTTATCACCCTTCTCCTTTTCGCGGTTGGCCAAGAATTCGCTCGTGTTGCCGCTAACGATGGCGGCGACGTCTAGCACTCCCTCATCTTCGTCTTCATTGTTTCCATCTTGGCCAGCCTGCGTGCCCTCGCCTGGTCCCTTCGGAGCGGCATCATTCTGGTTTCCTCCCGATGCAGTCGCTGCGGGGTTGGTGTTCTGTCGGGCGGTGGCAGCCGCGCCAGGAAGAGGAACTCCGGCAGGTAGAATCTCGGTGATGTTGCTTCTCTTGAGCTGCTCACACATCTCTCGCGTGAACCCCTTCGAACCCAGCAACTCCAGGAGTCTATCGGTCATGTAGTCTCCACCACATCCCTCGAGGGCGTTTCCTCTTCCATGTTCGTTCACGAGAAAATCGGTGACGGCGGTGACATCAACCTTGTCCTTCCCGACATCGACCACCGTGGCCGTCGAGGTGCCGTAGCCATAGCAAATGGCCAGGGCAGAGTCCATCAGACAGAACGCAGGCGTCTTGAACTTCTCAAACACGAACTGGGTGATCACCTCTCGATCGCGCGCCGTCCAGACGGGCTCGCCAATGAGCATGATCGGCGTGTGAAACGGCGGACTGAGCGTGTTGTGAATATGCGTAAGAAGAGCGAAGAAACACGGCCAATCGACAATGTTTCCATTCCGGAGCGGATAGACGGCTCCTTCATCTGACATGATATCCTCCTCGTAGTAGATCTGCTCCGCGGTTTCCTGCTTCCCCTCCCCGTCGGCTGCTTCCTGCGCGGCCGCAGGCTCAGTCTTGCTCTCTTGTTGCTCTTGTGCTGCGCCGTCGGGGTTCTCAGGCGCCTCCGTCTTCGTCGGGGCATCAGGTGCGGCGGATTCCGCATCCTTCATCTCCACATCGGCCTTGGGCGCGTCGACGCCATTGCTGACTTTGACCTCGTGTCGTCGCTCGCGGATCTTGTACGGCTCATATTCCCCCTTCTTCTCGGCAGGGAACATGCGTGTCGGGAAGCGGAATCGGGCGGGCGTGAACGACTCAGGGAGGCCCAATTGCGCCAGGGTCACCTGCGAACCTGGCGCAATTATCTGGAGAGATGGGGATTAGTTAGTGGTTCTTTAATTGCTGGGTGCCCATGACGAGAGTGGGACGAGGTGGGTGGTGGGACAAAGGCGGTCGGACGTACCAAGATATGCTCATCTTTGAATGGGGGCATCCTGGGCGATCCAGCGTGATGAGACTTGGGGGGGAATCTATTCGCAGTACTTTCGCAGCTACGGATGGCTCCGCGGTGTTTGCAGGCGACTTTGCGCGCCGGGAGAGGTTGGGCGGTCGCCTTTTTGGGTTAAGCGCCACCCGTGCAGGTTTGAGTGTTGCTGGCTGTAGGAACACCCCCATTATGCCTACCTATTCGTATATTAATTGTTCTCTGGAAAGTCCTGTATGAGGCATAGGATAAAGCAATAGCGGTCAATGGAGATTACTGAACGTGTTTTGATCGGGTTCTGCGTTCTGGCAGCCCACGGAACGCGCTCCTATGACGATCGTCTACCAGTAGTTATACGGTGCATTTCAAAATGTATGGCAGAAGTCCTGTAACATGAACCATGTTGCAAGACGTGAAAAAAGGTATCAATTCAACTGCTGTACTAAACAACACAGAACACAAAGCGCAAGAATAAAAGAACCCGCCCACCTGTCAACAAGCTATGGATTGAATCCCCAGCCACCTGAACTCCGAGGACTTTTCTTTCTTTCAAAGACAAAAAAATCAGGCAACATTAACTCCAGAACCAATTCCCTCTATGACCAGCACGAGCAAAACGGCATGAACTCCACGTATGTGTAAATCCCAGGGCATTTATTCAGGGGCGGCGTGGTATTTCTCGGTCGCGGAGCGGAACAGTTCCTGTTGCTGTCGCAAAAGCTCCTCTTCGGACAATCCGCTCTGCTCCATCTTGCTCTGCTTCTTTTCTCGAGACTGCGGTTGCAACACATTAGCACGTAGCCCCAATAGCTCCCCCGCGACGAGTTGACAGTCGCAAGAATTCAAGAATCCCCAAACATACCTTCAGCTGCTCCTTGTGCTCCTCTGCCACAGCGAGCACATCCTGAATGTAATCGCTAAAGCCGAGATCGCGTAGAGCCCGCTCCACATGCTCGCAGGCGATTGTTTTCTTGGCCTCCTTCTCGCTGATGTCGTTGGCCTCGGAGGAGATCAGGGTGATGAATTCAACGCAGCATTCCATAAGCAAGTCGCGTGCATCCTTGGAGAATGTCTGGCCGGACGATGGGGGGAGGATCTCGGTGATGATTTTCTGGACCGTAGCTGTAAATTGTCGCGATCAGCAAAGGCGAACCACGAACGCGATCAGGGCTTCGATGGGGTATATCGCCGCAAGACGAGCAGGGGTTCATCGCGTCGCCGATGAGATCGAGGCACGTGGAGAGTGTCGCCGGTTCATCTGGGAAATGCGCTCAATACACACCTTTAGGAAGCGACAGGTCATCGTTCGCTGTAGTATCGCGAGTCAGCACAGAACCTCCAAAGATGCCAAGACTTGGACTGATCAGACATACAACTGAACTCGCGATCCGACATGGTGAGAAAGGGGAGTGGGAATTTTAAAGAAAGCGCATAGAAAGACGCGGGGTTTCTGTCAGAGGAAGTTTCTTGGAAGATCTGGGAGTAAGCCGGGCGCTTTTGATCCCTTATAAGAATGAACTTGCCTTGAATTCCGGCGCGGAGGGACTCGATCGGGACGGAACAACGACGGGCGAACCACTATGGGTCGGGCAGAATCTCACCGCTTCTGCAGAAGGTATTTCTTCGCGGAGCAAATTATTTTTTCTCTTCTCATTCCATTCTCAGGAAATACTTTCCCACAACAAAAAAAGCTCGAATCTGGCTGAAATCCTCTCATGTTGGGGATTTCTTCCTTGCTCACACACTCTGTGTGGTCACTAACTGTAGCAATGGTACGTTCCTCTTTGTCTTTCCAGTTTTTGCTTTTTTACCATGATGAACATTGCTTGTCGCCCCTATCAGACCTTCTGTGGTGACCTACACTGTCCTAGCCAAACGGACTCACTGATAAAATCCTTACATTCACTTGTTTGCTGCCAAGTCATTCTTATGCGCTTTACTGACTTGCTCCAAGAATTTAGATATTTGAAACCAGCTGAAGCTTCCCATTTCTCTGTGCGGTGAATGGTCCAATACATACGAATTGGTGGTCAGGCAAATAGCAAATTTTGTTATAATAATGAAGATTCTGAAGGTACGGAATGACTTTACACTGTTTTTTTTTTTCTTTTCGTAATATGATGAACACCCTACACATTCCATGCTAAGTATGAAGGTGCTCTGCGCCTAATGCTTCTAAAATGTATTGCTTTTCATCTTTCGGCTGATTATTACCCCATCATGCTGCTTCTATATCATGATCACATTCTATGGCGGTATATACTAACTGTCATGTACAGATTTCTCGAAGTAGACGTCTATTCTTGGAAAGCTGCCAGGTCTTCGTGGCTCCATCTGTTTTTCTCGTCAGTTCGCTGCACAGAAGACAGTCGTAGAGGATAGAATAGCGCTTACCGTAGATATCTTCCAGTCAATGAGTTCGGAGCATCAATCACCAGCTTGGCAATAACATGACCGGGCTGTTCGGGCTTCAGCAAATTTCCCTCCTTGTGGAGCGTAGTGAATTTCGAATGGAACTCCGCGTCCAGATTGGTAGCGTGGTCTTCGCGGATCTCTCGCTGCATTTCGGTATCGACAACGCCCGGCTGAATCGACACGGACGTCACGTCGAGCTCTTCCGCCCCAAGAGTCAGAGCCAGATGGTTCATGGCCGCCTTGGTCGCGCCATACAGACCCCATCCCCTGTAAGGCGTGGTCGAGGCACCCGACGAAGTGAAGATAATCCTGCCCTTGGATTCGCGAAGCGCTGGGAGTCCGGCTGTGACCTGTAGCAACCAGTCAGTTAGCATTGCGCCATTGAATCCATATCCATTATTTCCGACAACCCCTCCATCCCCCCGCTTCGCTGTGCCCGCGACCAAAACCCAACCCAACAGGTCCAACTTACAAAAGCCACCAAGCTGATGAAATTAATATCAAACCCCTCCTTCCATTGCTGAGGATCGGCCTCAGCGATCTTGCCCACTTGTCCCAGTGTGCCGTGGTTGAGAACCATGCCGTCCAGGCGCCCGAATGTCTTCAGGGCCAGGTCGACGGCCTTCTGACCGAGGGAGAAATCCGCCAGGTCGCCGCTCAGCACCTCGACTTGCTTTGTGTACTGGTCCTTCAGTTTCTGGAGGGGTTCGACGCTGCGGGCGATGACGACCACGTTGTGGGATTGCGGCGCGTTAAGGAGGTATTTGGAGACGGCGAGACCGATACCTGTACCGTGGGTGAGGTGGATTAGCTTTTTGGGCTTTGGGTTGAGAATTGTTTATGGGCGATGGTAGATTCTAGAGGATTGAATTGAATGAGGTTGGAATTGGGATGGGAATTGCCTACCTCTGGAGGCACCGGTGACGATGAAAGTCTTGGGCGACATATTGGCTGAGCGGTGGTGGAAGAGAATGCGAGATATCGATTCGCGCTGGAGAATTTGAGAATGATACAAAGGAGAGAAGAAGTCTATTTCGGAGTATTTATGGTAGATGGCGCACAGTTGACCCGGTGTCAAAATTTAGGTAATGGCCGCGGCCGGCCACTAATGACCTCATGCGGTGTCAAGTGCCGAGAAGAAACGTCCACCATTCTGCCGCTCAAGCACATTGTTGGATCTATTCTGATACTGCGCGAAATCCCTTCATACCACGTGAGATTCCCAAATACTTAATTATAGAACGAAAAAGAAGTCCAGGATCCTACTACTCCGGGAATGAGTAGATGCAATTACCCAACCAGGTATCGCAGCACCTTATTCAGTTAGAGTATTAGAAATCGGTTTACGGTTTAAGATTTAGTGTTTTAGAGCCATGCAAGCTAAATCATGCGGATAGCTAATCTACGGAGTAGGGACGTTACTCCGTAAAACAGGCAAGGCCCCCAAACGGCACACGATCCGCGGAAAGCTAGCGGATAGGCGGACCGCAGCGGATAGAAGCAAGATATTTTCCTTTGGCGGTTATATACGGAGTTATTTCGCCATAAGGTGGGAACGTGGCGCACTGGTTGGCATCGTCCGTAGGGCGAGAATCGCACTACTCCGTGTCCGTATCATGATTCATGTTGGCCGGCGCCTGTCCTTTTTCATAACCGTCGATCATTGGTCTGATCGTATTCTGTGTTTCTAGTTTTACGGAGTATGGAAATAGCTCCAAAAGCGGGGAACCCAATCATAGATTGAGGATAAGGAAGCTTTGGGTTCCTACTGAAGTCATCATTGGGTAAGGGCTAAGGAGATCGGCAAGAGCGTCAATGGGATTTACTCGCTGAAAGCCCTGTGGAGATGATAAGACCGCCCTGACTTGCAAGGTCACCCAGAACTTGACGTTTCCATCCTGCTCATGAGTGTCAGGCGGTTCAGAAAGGAAAGGCGAGTAAAATCGAGTCAAATGCTTTATTCTAATCTGACTCGTAAACCACAGATCATTAAAACACATATTTGGTAGCCGCAGAAACTCACCATGTCAACCGTAATCCTAGGAGGGGGAATCATCGGATCTTCCATCGCCTATTACCTATCCGAATCCAAACAAGCAGGGGACGTGCACATAATTGAGTCATCTTCACAATTATTTAGCGGTGCATCTGGCTATGCTGCTGGCTTTCTTGCCAAAGATTGGTTTGCGCCTTCTCTTGCTTCCCTGGGCGAGCTTTCCTTCAATCTACACGAGTCTCTAGCAACAGAGCATGGCGGTGCAGAAAAATGGGGCTATATGAAAGGGACGGCGCTTAGTTTGGCTCCTCCTGTGAGCAGCAAATTCGGTGTTCATGGTGATGACTGGCTCAGTGCAGGTGCCAGTCGAGCCGAGATGGCGGGTGGATCGAACGAGTCGGCTACAGTTGAAGTCCCAGAGTGGTTGACTAGACAAAAGGGATTGGCATTGGAGAAAATTAGTGACGAGGACACTGCTCAGGTGTTAGTAAATTCCCCGGAAAGGAGGAGAACAATTTCACTAACCAATTCCAAAGGGACCCATTCAAATTGTCCGCATTTCTCATAGACTCGGCAATCTCTCGCGGTGTTCAACTTCACCAACCTGCCAGGGCCATCTCGCTTGTCACTGACCAAGAAAGCGACCCCATCACAGAGATCACAATCCAGAATGTCGAGTCGGGTACGGAAACCACTATACCATGCACAAACCTGATCGTGTGTGCCGGGCCTTGGACCCCACGCGTGTTCCATGATCTTTTTCCATCCTCTCAGCTCGATATACCCGTTTCCTCACTGGCGGGGTATTCTCTTGTTCTCCGCTCCCCGAGATATACACTGGATGACGAACAGAAACTGCATGAGGGCCGCAGCCATGCCATATTCTCTGAGAATCCCGGATCGTCCGGGTTCAGTCCGGAAGTTTTCTCGCGTCAGGGTGCTGAGATCTATATTGCCGGTCTAAACAGTCCTCAAACAAAACTTCCCCCGCGCGCAGAGGACACTGTAAATCTCAAGCAACAAAAGGACCTCGAAAGACTTAAATCAGTATCTATCCAGCTTTTGGGGAGGCTTACAGATGAAGCCGCGGAGTCAGGCGAAGGGAGCCCTAATATCGATGATTTGGAAGTTGTTCGTGAAGGATTGTGTTTCCGTCCTATTTCAAGATTGGGAGTACCGATAGTTTCAAGAGTAGGGGATAGTTCACTGGGAAGGGGCTTCAAGAGTTCTCACGAAGGAGGCGTGTTTGTTGCTTCGGGACATGGGCCCTGGGGAATCTCATTATCTTTGGGAACTGGGAAGGTTATTGCGGATATGGTAAGAGGCGTTGAACCTGGGGCGAATGTGAATGATCTGAGCATATAGCAAAAATGGAAAAGGAAAGAGGGAGGGAACCAGGGATTGGTATAGTAGTCCTGGCTAATAAATGTACAAAAAAACGAAAACATACAACAGCCGGGATTCGCTGGTGGTCACCCACCCAACTACTAACCGGCCGGCGTGAGGCTTAAGTACGGCTGAGCGGACGGGAAGCCCTGTTCTCCTCACCCTGTGGTCGTATGTACCATTGAAATAAAAGAAATGGAATATATAGGAAGACAGAATGAAAATCTAAATGAGTTTTAGCAAGAAATTGCTACTTCCAACCGTCTTTGCGCGGGAAATTCACGAGACTTTGAGGGTTTTTAGATGATCCGCGATATTATTTGGCTCATGTACAGACTCTCTATCTAACCTGGACCACCTGCGGCCTCGAGGGAGTCCCTGGGACCTCGGGAGGGAACGAGGGGTATTCAATAGGAGATTGCAAATGACTCAGATGGAAGCCTAAAAATATCTAGCAATGCGAGTAGCCTCGCGGATAATCAAGTTATTCGCTCTTTTTTCTTTTCCTTTCCTTTTTTAAAGGCAACGAGATGCTTCCGAACAATATGCTGGTCTGGAAAATAAATATCAAGCATGCCTCGGAAGATCATCAGATAATAGAAGGATGGAATGCACCGACTTCACCGAGAGTCTCTCCCATGCCACTGTGCAATCGTACAAAGAGCCGGATTTTCGGAGGAACCACGGGAAATGCGCAGTTACCATGCAGGCGCCACTGTTATATTCGCCATGCGGCTAACGATATGGAATGGGAATGGTTGGCATCTATCCCGGGAATGCTCGATTAGTACTCCGTACTATAGGCGAAGATACGCTAATAGATAAACAAAGATCTAGTCTTCCACTCCCGATCGTCGCAGTTTTCCCTTTGGTAGTCTGTTCACTGCTATCGAGCTTCTTAGCCGTATAACAAATTCCACATCGTTCCACCCAGTTGAAAAACCGCAATGCAACGCGAGGCAAAGGACAAGGAGCCCGCGACGGCCATGGTGGTTCATAGCATGCCTCCATCGCCACCTCCAGACGGAGGCATGCGGGCCTGGACGCAGGTTTTCATGGCCCACTTGGTTCTTTTCTGCACCTGGGGCTTTATCAATTCCTTTGGTTTCTTCCAGACATACTACGAGGAAAACATGCGGGTTAGCGCGTCACAGGTCTCATGGATCGCGTCGATCCAGGTGTTTCTGCTAAGCTTCATCGGGAGCTTCTCCGGCCGTCTGATGGATGCAGGGTACTACCGATGGTGTTTGATTGGCGGCTTTATCTTCCAAATAGTGGGTATCTTTATGGTCTCCCTATGTTGGCGCTATTGGCAGGTTTTTTTGGCGCAGGGAATCTGCTGCGGCATTGGCGACGGACTTTTGTTCTGCCCGACCACGGCCTTGATTGCGACCTACTTTGCGAAGCGGCGCTCTCTAGCGCTAGGCTTGGTCTTGTCCGGGTCGAGCACTGGCGGGTTGATCTTTCCGATTATGGTGCAGCAATTGCTGCCCCGAGTCGGATTCCCCTGGACAGTTCGCTGCTTGGGATTCGTCGTGCTCTTCTGTTTCGCCGTGTGCTTGAGTCTGGCACGAACAAGGCTGCCTAAGCGGCCTTCAGGGCCGCTCATTCAGTCGAGTGCCTTCCGAGAGAAGCCGTATTCTCTCTTTGTCGTTGGCATCTTTCTCTCTCTGTGGGCTGTTTACTTCAGTTACTTCTATGTGAGCTGATGTTCTTGATTGCCTTCGCTCGATCGACAGCTGACCCCTAAACAGATAGACACATACGCCGTCAATGTGATCGGGGCATCAAAGTCCGACGCATTGAGCATGCTGTACATCATCAACGGTATGGGAATTCCCGGACGCATCATTCCCGCTCTGTTCGCCGATCGCTTCTTCGGAATCCTGAACACTTACGTGGCCCTTGGGATTGTGGCGGGGGTTCTGCTCTACTGCTGGATTGCCGTAGAAACCTACGGGGGGATGGTTGCCTTTGTGGTCTGCTACGGTCTGATTGGGGGTGGTGTTCAGGGTACGGCGTTATCTTCGCTGCCGACCTTGACCACCGACCTCTCACAGATGGGCGTTCGCAGCGGCATGGTGCTATCCATTGTTGCATTTGCCTGTCTGACAGGGCCCCCGCTAGCAGGTGCGTTGATTGAGCACAAGAACGGATCGTACACGTATGCTTGTGCTTGGGGAGGAACTTCGTTGATTTTAGGATCGGGATTTGTGGTGGCTGCCCGATTCTTGATGCTACGCCAACAATCTTAAACATGTATCGTAGTAGTGCTTTTAGCCATTGAACCCTCGACTGATCCTTCGAATTATTTGGAATTCCACGGTGTGTTCATTGATTTTGATTCAACCGCAATAGTTGATCCCTTAGCCATGATTATTCTGTTCTTTAGGGCCCAACATGGTTATCTAGCACTCTGTATTCAATTAAGCACTCAAGTAGACCTACTTTGGGAAATATTCCACCGAGTACTAGATATTGGCCTCGATTACCATTCCAATGCCATCCAGGTAGACCAGGTATATCATATCATGTTGGCAAGTGATGCCCAGCAGCTGCGGCAAACGTAAGTGCTCCCCCGCTTCCAAAGGGGTTGGTGTTGTTTGCTCCTATGGGCATTTTGTTACAGCGTTGTCTCTTCTAGTTCGTATTGGTTCCTCTCTATCGACGAGAGCCCAACACCGATAGATTGTGGCTTGCTCGCTGCACATGACCCGAATTCTAGGATGTTGCCGAAAAGAAGCATAGCAACTATGCCTCACCAACGAGTGGCCATTTTGGCCGAGCGAAAAAGAAGGTCGATAAGGGGTAAATCCGTGTCACACGGACAGGAAAAGAAATTATTCAAAGCGTCAAGACAAGAAATGTAACAAAGGGTGCGGGGTATATCCCTAAACAATTAGGTGCTAACGCTGTAGCTAACCCGAAACAGCCCAGGCATTGGATGATCATCCGGGCTCACCGATCCTCGTATAAAAGTTTACTGGGCATGCAAGATGCCGACTTCCGAATTATGTCGGACGGGATCTAAGAGATACTAGTAAGAGGTCCTCCAATAGTTAAGCACTAGCTATGACGGCCCCGCGCACTACGTAAAGTACGTTCTCGACAAGTGACATTCATTTTCTGGCTACATAAACTAGTGTACGGATTGGGTTAAAGACTATTAGTCAAAGTACAATCTGTGTGGCACTGTAATTGGCATGGTCAATCAGTTGGAGGTGTCTGCAAGACCACCGCATCCGCTGGGCGAATGGGATCCTTGACCTACCGAAAGCAGTCTTAGCACTAGAAGGTGGGTGCTGAGCAGGGAAAGCAGAGAACTAGCATACCTGATGGTCCTTTTCCCATTCAACAATCTTCTCGAATCTTCGACATTTGTGCTTCGTGTCTAGTAGTGTGCATGATTAGTTGAGAGCATTAGCGAAAGGCAGAATCGGGCTGCACATACTGAAATTCGGATATGGGAATTCGTATCCCTGGACCCAGTTGTGCGTTATCACGCTGGTATCCCCGTTGCACATGATGTTTTGTCTCAGGATATCGATACAGTGATCTAGCCGGACATAATTAGTACCCTTGTCGCGCAAATAAACGAGTGACCTGCCTAGGTGCTTGCGGAGAGTAGCTGAGCTGTCTGTAAGACCTGGTGGTCTTCTTCCATCGACGTCGTAATATTCTTTATACGAATGCTGGCGGATCAGATTCAAACAATGTAGTTGATGGAATACCTCCGTTGCACCGAAATATGTTCCGTCCGCCAGCTGCACCGCGTTGTTGTTGGATTTGTTAATCGATACCATGATCTCCGGGCTGACGGAAACATGTCGAACTATCTCAGTCAGACTTATTACAATCCGATGTTGAAAGGTTGATTCTGACTCTCACCTTCTGTCAGTTGGCTCCAGGCAGCATCCAGATCAGGACCTGGGTGGCCCTTGTATGGATTGTCGCCCTCCTGAGCACCTTTGAACATGATCGTTTCATACTCAACTGAATCGAGACCCGGTCCTGTACGAAGTATGTCAGTTATACTTTGTGGAATCTGACAAGCATAGTATACCTGTGATCGAGAGTTGGCGAGCACATCGTTGATCGGTAATGACCACCTGTGGGTTTTTGAAAAGAAAGAATATTCCGAATAGCAATATTATGTACAAGGCCACGCAAATGCCAGTGAGGATTTGAAGAGTATACTTCCATCTTCTGTATCGCTCTTTCGATTGCAAAAGCAAGGCTTCCGTGTCGCAAGAAGGAACCTCTCCTATTGAGTCAGAGTCATGCCGAACCGGGAGATAGTCTTCCTTGAAATGAGGCATCATTGATTTCAAATTTGCAATTCACGCTTGAATATTAAGAATGAGAGTGGCAGAAGCTCTTGAATTGGTACAGAGAAGGAGGAAACCAACTAAGTAACTGTAAATAGAAAAGGATAAAGTATTGGCCTAGTCGGTGGATGACATAGACGGCTATAGCTCCTGATTAATTTTCCTCATTTTGGAGCCAAAGCACGAGTTAGCAATAAACGACGGCATTCATGGGCATGGTAGTCCACAAGAAATGCGGACAACAATGTAATGTAGCCTCACAATCTAGTGATAGGAATTAACCCCTAGCGATTATAATGCACATGATAATAATGCTCGTGACTCTCCAGGAGCCCCTGTTCCTGTCCAGGCTGTTCTATACAGCTGCTACTTTCCCTACTGAATTAGGAAAATCCAGTTGATCTTGCCGGATGCTGACAGACCAACCCCTATGATATCTGATAATATTATACACTAGTCCTTGAAAGTTCCATGGAAACCCCGCGCGACGTGGCTTCTGTTATCCCTGTAATTGAGTCATTTACATCTCCAGTCCCTTTTCTAGCAAGGCATCTCGGAATACATCTGTGCCGCGGTTTGCGATAATGCAAATGCGACAACTATCGGGATTGAGAGCGAGGTATTCATGTGGGCAAGGGGGGGGGGGGGGGGGGGGCGCAATAGACCCAGACGAATCGGGTAAGAGATGGTTGAAGACCATGTATAGCGAACTGGAGCAAAAACGTTGTATTGCAGAGTTACAGTGAAAGCTCGATGCGCTTGGGTAAGAACAGCATTGAGCGAAACTCGGCGCCAGATAAGTCCTGTTATGAGTCTGGGCTCAAGAGTGAATTGGACTGGCCTGTGAGCATTGGGTGAAATATAAAAGGCATGAACAGGGCCGTTTAGAACTGTCTTGCTTGCCAAAGCAAACAGCAAAACCTAGCCAAGTATTCTCTTTCAATCCTCAAGAAAAATTCTGTCTTCCTTTCATTTCATATCCATCAATATGCTCTTTGCACTCCTCTCCGTGGCTCTTATTGCCAGCACCATGGCAGTTCCTCTCCCGGAACCCGAAGAAGCCAGCACTCCCGTCATGCTGGCATACGACGCAAAAGATGCCCCCGAGGGTGCCACCCCGGTTATGCTGGCGTACGATACCGGCTCAGAAAAGCGTTCGACTCCGGTGATGCTCGCCTACGATGCGAAGGATGCCCCCGAAGGTGCAACACCGGTCATGTTGGCCTACGACGCCAAGAGCAAAAAGCGTTCGACGCCTGTAATGCTCGCCTACGATCCCAAGAATGTCCCAGAGAACGCCATCCCAGCTATGTTGGCGTACGATGCCTGATCGGAGGTCGATATGATATGGATGCATATCCTGTCATGCAAGCTGCTTTGTCAGAAGTTCCATCCTCGAGTGAATAAGGAGGGAATATGATGGAGGAGGCGAGAGAAATTTCCCGAATACTCAGTCAGACGGACGTGGATATTGGTTTGGGCGGATAAGTCGGGAAATTGATAATAGTGGCTTCATGTTTGAAATTAAGTGATATATTTGTTGTTTTGAACGGTGCATCACTTGAGGGTATTCTATAATCAACCACGATGGTTTTTGTCCGGGCGTGGTGGAGCTCGCAGATCTAGGACGAGGTTAGTATGATAGGTCGTTAAACAACTACGGTCTGTGGGCAGAGTCGAGTTGAGGCAGAGCCCAATGGACAAGACGATCCTGTGCCAAGGACTCCAGGATCGGTTAGAGATTGCGATGTCCCAGGCTAACAGAAATTGAAGCCCGGCTGAGCCGCCGGAGTTGGGGGACATTCCACCTAACAGATGGCAGTGTGGGCGATCACTTGTGTACCGTCATTCTCCAGGCTGACCTTGAGCACTTTGTAGTAGTAAGTATGGAGTACCCTCGCAGCTTCGATTCTCCTTCTATGCTATATTGCATAGATCACTGGCTGTATAGTTCTTACTCCCCGGGCTCGGGGACCACTCAAGCCCTTCTGGCGCCAGGATGTTTGGGGGCTTTGGCCCCCACGACGACGATCCACCGAAGACAAGCGCTATCACAACGCTGGTGGGGTGATTCATGATTCATGATACTCACCGCTACACCTTCAAGGAATCGTTGAAATATGACTGTTATTCTTTGTATTTTAGCATAGAGAACCTGCATTATAAGGGCACAAGTGACCACTGATCTTGATTATTCCCTCGCTCGCATAATACATTGAAACGGCATTCACAGAGCAGGATCAATCCATCCCATCCGTCGACCCCTTTGTCTTCCTGGTGGAGCAACCGGCATGTTAGCGGCTCTTTGTTAAGCTTAGCGACCAGTAGTAGTCAGCGAGACTAATTTACAGCTTATACCCGAAGATCTATTCCACGTTTTGGTCAATGGCGACTCGCCATTGGCGAGTCCACAGGAATTGGGATCTAGCCATGAGGCCCACTACGGTTGTTTTCAATTCGTCCTCGGTAAAAACCAAGCAGAGCCCCAAGTCTTTGTTTGTTTGACATTTGCCCTTCTGTTCTTGGTTTTACCTCTCTGCCAGTTCCGTGGCACCTCGAGTTCCAGTACTCTGCAGCATAAATCCCAAATACCAAGTATGAGGGGCCAACTCACAGCCATAGGGTGGTATGGCCTGTCTCTCCTTCCTCTTGTGAACGCTCTTGCTTTTCCCACGCCGGCTGCGACATCTACAATCGATGCAACGATACCAAAAACAACTCCTGAGCCTACCCAGGGGATCGCCCTTGTCCACGGACTCTTCGCTCGAGATGCTGAGCCTTCATACCTGCCCGCTAGTGAATGCGGTTTCTTTTCCAATTCTTCCTGTTAGTTGACCTTATAGTCAAGCTTTCTTTGAGCCTTTGTTCTTACGACATCTAGCAATCAACTTTTGCCAGGACAATTGGGACTGTCTCTTCCATGTCCCAAATAAAGAATACGGCGGCATGCGAGGCTGCTGCCCTCGTACGTCGTCCGAAAGCTGCATTGGATTTGCCAGTACCTGCTACGGCAAGCACGAAGTATCCGCAACGCCGTCCCTGCTCTCGAAAACCACCGATCCCTATGTGACATTCTGCACGTTCAAATCCTACCCCTATTGTGGCCCTTATACCTGGCCCGAAATTGGAGCCGTTAGCTTTGACTGTGGCAACTTGGACGATGGGACGACTACCGTTTACACCGCATCAACGGAGACCGACGATGACGACGACTATACCCTGATTCACGCCGTCTCTGTCATGTATATCGACGACGACACGCTGAAGTCTATCGCGAGTGTCAACCAGCCCACCTCAGTCTCGGCCACCACAACACCAGCCTCGAAATCTACTAGCACACCCGTCTCGAGCTCGGACGCCTCCGACTCCGATTCCGGGTCGTCTACGCCCACGGGGGCAATTGTGGGTGGCGTTGTCGGCGGAGTTGTTGGCGCTGTGGGCCTCATCGCTGCCGGCATTTTCTTCTGGCTACTTCAGAAAAGGAAGAGGGCCGATAAGTCTCCGCCTGCGTATGAGCCTGCTGTCGAACAGGGACCGGCCGGCACAGGATGGAATTCACCAGGCAAAAATGAGATTCCTGAGCTGGATCCCGCTGGTGTGGCGCCTGCTACGTATGAGCTTCAATCGAAGCCTGTTTATGCAGAGCTGCCTGCGACGCCGACGAGGCCGGAACTGCCATGAGTAGGATACACGGGATATTGCATTCTGTTGATTCTTGATTTTTAATATATGTATGCCTAATGAGAGTTTGTTCGGAGCGACTATAGACTATAATATTGATGATGGTGTTACTATTGCATAATTATTGAATAATTTACTTTAGATATGAAGATTCGAAAGATTGCTAATGGTTAGATTGTCCTGTCGGCTCAGAATACTCGTCTATGTAACCTATTCTTATATTGGCCCTAGTATTTCCAAGACCTGTCTGATTGGCGTAGGTTACGAGTGATTTTTGTAATTTCTTGCATGTTGATTCTGACATAGTATAATTAAATTAATCACAACAACAGACTAAAACCAGGCCCAAATTTCTCCAAAAACCTCCCCATCGGAACAACTCACTCATCTTCGGCCCAAGGGTTCAAAACAAGCTTGTGTCCGCTCACAGCATTCTGGCCCATCAGATCCAGCGCATACTGCGCATTGCTCAACCCTCCCTCAATTACCTGCGCTCTTGTCGGCACGACCAACCCACTCTGCAATCCTTTAGGCAAATACTCCTCAAAGAACCACCGAGCGATCTCCCTATTCGCCTCGTCCTCAAGCGCCCAGGTATACGGCGCAAACAGCCGCTGAACAGTATCCGGGACAGGATCCTCACCCCCGAGCAGAGGAATCAGAGTATTATACTTCCCCCCGCCAATCGAAGACAAATACTTCACCAGGATATTCGTCACAGGAGGCACCCCGATCGTATCAAAGACCGCATCAAAGGGACCCTGGCTGCGAAGTTCTTCCAAGATCGTCTCCGCCCCCGCCGTATGGTCGATAATATGAGCCGGGCCCAGCGACTCCACGAACTCGCGGTTCTGCGCCGACGACGTGGTAATCACTTTATACCCCGCCGTGGCAGCATACCTGACGGCCAGCCCGCCGCAGGAGCTCGAACCCCCATAGACCAGGACCTTCTTGTTCTTGGGTTCCGGGTTCTCTGAAAGAGACGGCCGATCAAGTCCCAGATGAATCGACAGCGCAGAGACCACGGTGCCGAGATTCACGATCGAAGTCGCAGCCCCTTCGAGCTCGACACCGGGGGGAATTTTCGAGCTGGAGGCCGCAGACGCGAGGGCTTATTTCTGATACGCCCCGAAGCGATGATCGCCGACTTTTTTGGACGCTCGGATACTTGCAACTCGGTCGCCGGGCTTCAGGCTGGTCACATTAGGACCGACGGATTCGATGGTGCCGGCGAAGGATTGGCCGAGGATGTTGGGGTAGGGGATGGGGTGGGTGCCGAATCTGAGGATTTTGTCAATATTTGTTTGGAAGAAGGTATTGAAAATGAAGAATGAAGTGCTCTTACTTCTGGATCTTGGCCTCGACAGGACTGAATCCGATCAGGTCGACTTTGACAAGGATCTCGCCATCGCCGGGAACTGGGGTCTCGGCTTCGTCAACGACGAGTTGACCGTGCTTCTCTTTGATCCAGGCTGCTTGGTTGGTCATTTTGATTGCTGTCTTTGCTTTGCTTGGTTCTGTGCTCATTAATGTCGAAGAGAAGCATACTGTGCTAGTCTACCAGTCTATATACTACAACCTGGCAGCTGGGAGATTCCATTTCGGCGTCAACCGTCATCACCATTAATAATTTTAACACCGAGGCCGAGAATATTCGTGATGATGTTTATGAGTCAATAGATTAATCAATTCGTATTTACTGAGTCACTCAATGGGGCTTCATTTCTCTTACAGATCTGGCATTGTCGATGACGTTCGGTGGCGCCGCGACGCTAAGGGCTGTATTTGGCCAAGAGCTGCTTATTGAAATTAATCAGCCTCGTCCTGACCGGAAAGCCGACAGACCGAGCTCGCTATTCGAGAGGACTGCGTTAGTGGACATATCTTCCACCGTGGAGACAGCCCTTCGAAACTAAGATGCTGTGGTGCATTGACCGATCATTCTGATGACATAATGGTAGATTGAGTATTCCTCTGATATAGATATCATCATGACATGCTTGTCCGCTTTTTTTTTTTTTTTTTTGATTTTGGGACCTTGTCATTATTTGATATTGGTTGGAGATGCTGGTCCTTTCTTGTGAGTTTCTAGTTAGGTGAGAGGAATGATGGCTAGTGAGAGGTGATGTGTGCATCTTGTTCGTACACCATGACTTCTACATAGATCTGATGATCACTTTGATTTTGACTTGCAACATTTTGAATTATCAAAATATTATCACATGGAAGTAAGTACAGAGCAAATAAACTGGACTGAATAAACTATTTTACTGAATGCAACGATGCTGAGGTGGTGATGTTAGAGGGATTTCGGAATTGGTAGTGAGCGCAAGTGCTGTGTTCAAATTGTTGCTAAATTCAAGAATCACATTTGATTCAAACTGTACCAAAAGCCCCAGCGCAAATGAGCTTAACACTCAGATTTAACAATTAGTGATACAGTATCAAGAATAAATAGAATGTTCGACATGGCTGATAAATCGACACCTCAGGCACTAAGTTAGTCAGCATTCCCGCCACGGGAGCTCTCCAGAATCTTCAATGAACGAGAGCTCCAGCGAGACTTCTCCGCACAACTACCTTTGCTACTCCATCGTCGCCCATCTCCCTCACTATCCTGTCCTTTAGTTCCGCTCGCCTCATCCTCCTACTTCCGTATCCTCTCCCCTCGGCGACACCCCCAGCGGATCTGACCCGGGCGCATTCACATCAACCACCATGGCCAACTATCTCGCGTCGATTTTCGGAACGGAGCAGGACAAGGTCAACTGCTCGTTCTACTACAAGATCGGCGCCTGCCGACACGGCGACCGATGCTCCCGGAAGCACGTCAAGCCGTCCTACTCGCAGACGATCCTCATGCCCAACATGTACCAAAATCCCGCCTACGACCCGAAGAACAAGATGAACCCCAGCCAACTGCAGAACCACTTCGATGCGTTTTACGAGGATGTATGGTGTGAGATGTGCAAGTACGGCGAGCTAGAAGAGCTGGTGGTTTGCGACAACAACAATGACCGTGAGTTTTCTCGCCCCTGGCTTTCTTCCCCTTGACTTCATCCTTGCTAACGTTGCCATTTGCGATCCGCAGACCTCATCGGGAACGTCTACGCTCGATTTAAATACGAAGAAGATGCGCAAGCAGCCTGCGATGCGCTGAATTCGCGCTGGTATGCAGCGCGGCCGATATATTGCGAGTTATCGCCGGTGACGGATTTCCGAGAAGCGTGTTGTCGATTAAATAGCGGCGAGGGCTGTGTACGAGGGGGGTTCTGTAATTTCATCCACCGGAAAGATCCCAGCAATGAGCTCGACCGGGACATTCGTCACAGCACGAAGAAGTGGCTGAAGGAACGGGGCCGCGACGCTCGCAGCGTCAGTCGCAGTCCGAGCCCCGAACCGACGAGGCGGAGGTATTAGAAGAGCCAGGCTGGCTAGCGGTTGTTTGAGAGGGAATCTGCCGTTGTTTCCATCTGGTGGGCGTTTGGGGATACTCGCCTTTCTTTTGTCACCTGTACTATTTCCTTTATATTTTTCTATCTTCTTTCCTGTGCTCATTAGTATGATATCAAGCTGTGATTGTGATATTCATGAATTTCTTTTATTGTAAAGTGACTACTCCAGAAACCAATTAAGCCCGTACCGGCGGAAAGTCTTGGCACTTGGAGAACAACGCGGGGCGCGTCGACCGCGTTTTCTTTGTCTCCAAAAAGCCTTCGTCATAGCCTTCAACCCTCAGAAAGCTTTGCATTTCAGCAACGCCAGGACGCTCGAAATCCAAGATGACAGAGAGCTATAATGATGGCAATCGCGCCTTCCTCCAAGCCTTCATGGCTCGATCGACCATGACCTTCGAGGAAGCGCAGACAGTCCTGGCAGCCATTTTTTCGGTCCAAGGTAACTTTTTCCCCGAGTGCTGGGCACTTCGCTTCGAACATCTCACTAATTGGACCTTTATCCTGGAAACAGAAGGGAGTACAATCTCCCCAGACGACGTAACAGAAGATGATTTCTCATCGTACATCTCGGCAGCCAACAGCGCGATCTCCCCATTCGACCTCGAAATCCGCAGCACGTTAACCCAATCAACGATAGACCCCGACGGGACTCAGGCACGAAGACCAGAGCGCATCTACGCCCTCGTCAACACAACCAGCGACCCTCTCACCCAGCTCGCGACGATCTACTCCGCCGATGAAATTGCCTTCGTGAAGCGCGTCCTGGATGCCATGTTCGACACGCACAACACGCGACGGTCCGAGGCCATGGTGGTCAGTGGGATCCAGGCCATTCAGCTGGCGAAGGCGTCGGCCGGGGACTCGGATCGTCGGGAATCGAACATGGACTCGCAGGCTCAGACGCAGACGCAAGGCGGAGCAGCGCAGTCGCTGAGCATGTCGCAGGCTGAAACGGTGCTCCGACAACTCGTCTCCGACGGATGGTTTGAGAAGAGCCGCAAAGGATACTTTAGTCTGAGTCCGCGCGGACTGATGGAGTTGCGGGGCTGGTTGGTGGCGACGTATAATGACGAGAACGAGAGGATTCAGAAGATTAAGTTCTGTGCGGCTTGTCGGGATATTATCACGGTGGTGCGTCTGCTGGCTCTTTACTATCTGAACGTTCTTGTGTTTGATGACTGATGGCTGGCTGATATAGGGACAACGCTGCGCGGATCGCGACTGCAAAGGCCGACTGCATGACCACTGTGTTCGGAATTATTTCCGTGTGCAGCAGGCTGAACAGTGTCCTGTCTGTAAGGAGCCGTGGCCCGAGGACAAGTTCGTAGGAGAGAGGGCGATAAATACGGCAGATCAGGCGAGGAGACGAAGCACCAATACGCAGCGACTAAGCGGCGTCGGAGCAAGCTCGCAGCTACCAAGCACAAATGTCAACGAGGAGGAAAACGAAGCCAGCGATTGAAATCTTGACGGTTGATGTGCTGTAAATCTAGCACTTGCCGGACCGCAGATCCTTCATCTTTCCTAACTCCGCAATGGCATCTGGAAAGCGCAGATAAGTACAGATGATTCACATACTGGCGGAAGCCTCGCCATCATCTGTATCCCGTCGAGACTCGACACCGAGAAGCTGCAGCCCCTACTTCTAGGGCTGACTGCTACAAAATCGTCACTTCAGGCGCGCCGGACTCTGAAATCATGCATGAGCGGGAAAGAATCTGGCGTGATTTCGTGATCTTCGCTCAGCCACAGCTCTTTTCAATCCAGGCTGTCATCACTGACATGAGGTCTAGTTTCTTGATGACTCTTACCCCCTGGGGATCATCACCTACATGAGGGCGGGGTGTGAAAGCCCGCAGAATCAGTGTCATGAATTGAAACTTAGTCGACTATATGACAAGACTATATGTTGATAGCCCACAATGTAATACCAAGATCTACTTTCCCTCTGCGAGTTCGTGAACAATTTTCACCACCTCCTCACACTTGGTAAACATAGGACAATGGCCCGTCTCCAACTCCCAGGTGCGCACCTGACATCCAGCATCTTGCATCGTCTTGATGAATCCTTTCTGGTAATCCAAAGGCACCGTCATATCCTGAGTGGAGCAGATATACCCGATCTGCGGGATACCGCCGTCCTCCGGCCGCCAGGCGACGTGCTGCAGCTTAGCGTCAAACCCATTCCCATTCCACCGCTGCAAGGTAGCGATGTAGGCGTCGGTCTCCTCGTCGGATCTCTCGGACGGGCCGACTACGAGGTTCTTGGGGTCTCGAGAAATAACGGTCCGGTCGGCGGCGAAGTCAAAGGCCAGGTCCATTAGGTCCCCGTGGCCATGCGAGACAACAACATCGACCATGGAGGTCCCTTCGGTGACGGCGAAACCGGCGATATAGACAAGCTGCACGATGCCTCCGGGGAGGCCCTGCGCACGACGGGTGGTAACCCCGAGGCCGTCGGATAGGGCATTGGTGCCAACCTGACCACCGTAGGAGTGGAGGAGGACTAGAACCTCACGGCCGGCGGAGACGAGACTCTCCACGTAGGTGCGGATCAGGTCACTATCTTCTTCGAGACCGGCGTTTGGGGGCCGGGTACCGTTCATCGAAAGAAGACGGGGGACGTGGACTTCATGGCCGAGGCGGCGGAGGGCGGTGGTGAATGAGGAGTAGGAAGATGGTTGGTGCCAGGCCCCGTGAACGAGGACGATCGTGGGAGTGGCCGTGACCGTGGAAGTGATATCCATAGTGACTGTTAACAGGATCCGAAAGGGGAAGGGCGAAAGAGAATTTAGAATGAAGAATTATTCAACGGAGGGGGAGGCTCTGGCACAGCACATTATATAGCGCGGGAGGGGCCAACTATCCTGGCAAAGAAACCCTACACTATTCCTTCTATGGGTAGAGCACTCCATAGCCCCCTTTAGCATCGACAGGGGTATGTAGAAAGACAGGGTGTCAGCCTTCGCAAGTTACAAAAACTTGATCAGTCTTATACAAAGTGAATCGTATAGCCGTGGACCCGCCTTCGAGACCGCGAGCGTATCCATTGTCAGCGCGGACGGAGGGTCGGGTTAGGCCTGTTCATAGATTGATGTAATGTGCATAGCTTCCTTTAAATGATAGGAGAAATGCCAATGAGCCGGAATAATAGTAATTATTCCAGATATTAACGTAAAGATTAAAAAGTCAACGCCCCTGTTTAGCCAACCAGCTGGTACCTGACTATGAAAGAGCTGCTATATATGTATCCTGCCGAGATTCGTCTCCGAGAAGCTACAGGCCCTACTTATAGGGCTACTAAATATAAGATTATTGCTCTGGCTATATCAAATTCTGAAATTATACATGAGCGGGAGAAGAATCATGTTAAACACTCCTAGTTTAGTTATGTCTTTGAATAATACAGCTCGCAACTTTGCAATCCCGATAATCTCCAGTTTCCAATTACCTACCAATCACAAAGAAAGAAGGCAATAGAAGAGCAGCCAGTAAAATAGATTCTGCACTCTCCTTTCCCCTGCCTTGAAAGTTAGACGGGCACGTGTTATTGGTGCTCTGGAATTAAGTCATGTTACTCCCAAACCCTAGACCAATTTCTGGGAGTCTTTCTCACGCTGGCTGTCATATTGCACAGAGGAGTCGAGTCACAGACCTTGCTGGAGGTCTCCGGTTGTTTCAGGCGTTTCATGGCTCTTTCCGCGATGCATGTCACATGTCTTCACCTATATAGCAAGTTACCTTCGTTGCTGATAGGGATCGTGAGGTCAATCATATTAGTTCTTTCTATCTCTCTCCTTACATTCACAATAAAACCCTCACAGAACCCAACATGGCTAGTCACATATCGTCGCAGACAAAGGATGGGCGGGCTCTTACAAATGAAGACTTCCCACCCGGTGATATCTACTATCTTCAAACGTTTCCCACCGAGCTCTTGATCAAAATATACTGCCAACTTGGGTCTTTCTCGACTGTATACCGGCTGGGCGCAACATGTCGTCGTCTTCAGTCTGTATGGGCAGAGAATACCAATATCATTTACAAGAGCATTGCACCCTTGGAGATAAGGTGCCATCGCCATGCGCGGAATCTACTCGCAGACCAGGGCGGGTCAGCCCCTGATGCTCCGGTGTCAGTCTGGGATGTCCAGCGGTTAACGCGCAATGTGTGCAACGTGAATCGAACAATGAAGGTCTTTGACGATGAGGTAGCTTGTCATGTATCCAGTATGTATACCCACTCTACTTACAACCCTATATTATTGAGCATTTTCTAATAAAGAGATAGAACACAGTATATCCCCTGATCCCGTAACGTGGGGGCGCAGGACTCGTCCACAGCATCTGACAGACACGGAGCGTCGTCGTTTCATCCGTGCGTATTATCAGATGTGGGGAGTCCTGATTCTGGAACTGGAGAAACAAAATGACCGAATGGATTCAATTTCTCTGAAAGACCTTGCGGTTATGGTGGATTTAACGGAGCCATGGTCCTGGATCAGACCAAATGTCAAGATTGGTGACGAGTCTATACTAGAACGCGACCCGGAAGAACGAAATTCTTTACACGAACGACTTCATCTTGTCCTCATGGAGGTGTAGGGGCGCGTCTACAATAGAAAAGCAACTTACAAAGGAAATATAGGGTATAACAAAGGAGACAGGGTCATGGGACATTTCTGTTCATTCGACTTTGCACAGGAGGATTTGATGGAATATGTTCGCGGATGATTGTTCAACACAAACAATTCTTCGTGCCCAGCAGAATGGGCGGTTGACACCGACGAGGATAGTTAGTGAGTTCCCCAATGTCTGACTGAGCAAGAGAGTGAGGAAAGATCTTTCTGGGCTGAGCTAACGATCTGAGGCCTTCACATGGTTTATTTTATGTGGTATGTGGTTTTTTTGCATCTGCTTCTCTGCCTCCACATTCTGTATTCCCCTGTGTTTCTGTACCTCTTTCAGTTGATTGACTGTTGTTTCGATGACTCTACCTATCTCCACTGGTGCATGCCGTTCTGGGTATTCAGCGAGCCACTTACCCAATATCTGATATGGATACTTATCGGACAAAGAGGGATGGGCACAAAGATCGTGAAGAAAATCAAATAAGGCTCAGAGTGGATCCTCTCTCTTAACTCAGGGCCATCTATTATGTTCCTGAGACATAACTGAAATTGCTATTCCATCATCTATCCAACATCACTGAGTGGCCTAGTCCAACATTACTGGCTAGAGCGGTCTCTTCCAAGAGTCCGATGTTGACACCGAAAATGTTCTTTGAAGTGTGCGTTCTTGATGGTCCAAGTTTTATTGTTTGTTTTGCTGCGTTCTGGTATTCGAAAAAGCCTAGCTATTAAAAAAGGAGAAAAGTAAAATTGAAAAAAAGGAAGAAATCCAAAAATAAATGTCACCGATGAAGTGACTGAACCAAGCTCCACAGGCCATATCCTTGAAAGATCCCTGAAAGAATCAACCACTTGCGGCTTTGAGGGCCACACCCTGCATCTTCCACAGTGTATATGAAGGCTCTAACATATACATTGCTCTTCCGGGCCCGCCGAATATACAAAAGTTATGCCTGATAATAAATTAATATAATGTAGACAGTTTCCTGCAGACAATGGGGCAACGTCTGTCAAAGTGCACCGACAGCGACTGCTCCACATCTTGACTCAAAGATTGAATAGGTCAACGCCCCTGTTTAACCAACCAGCTGGGACCTGACTGTTGAAGAGCTGCCACATCTGCCACTCGGTCGAGGGATCTAGCTCTGTGTTCTGCAAGGGTCCATCGACCAGTGCCATTTCATCCTGGAATAAAGCCGTGGGGGAGTCTTGGATCGTGAAAGAGTCAGTGGAGGGACCTTCTGGTGCGGAGAAAGGCACTGGTGGGTTGGCATTCGACGGAATATCTTCCGTGACAGAGTCGCTGTTGCTTTGGCTTTGAAACAAAGGCTCACAAAGTCGCTGTAGTGATTGGAGGAGGGTCAGGAGTCGTCCGAGGTGTGGATCTTGCTTGAAATGCGCCAAGCTTTCAGTGATCTGTCGCAGGAGGTGGTAGTCGCTGGCATCGGAGGTGCCGACTATATGACAGAAGACAACGAAAAACCCGCTCAGGGGATAGAGAAATAAAGTCCTTTGCGGCGTGTTAGTATTGAATCAACGAAAGAAAAGATGCCGCAAACCATGTTAAAAATGACGGGTAGGGATCATCAAAGCCCGGCATTTCAGAGGCGTGCTGCTGGAGGAAGTGAAATGCCTCGAGCGACTTTCGGGCGTGAACGAGACATTTTCGATATATGTGCGGTGAAAAGGAGCTTTTCAGGTGTATTCGATGGATCTCTACAAAAATCGCATAGTAGCAGAAATCGACGCCGATCCAGTCATACTGAACCATCTTTGGAAGGGCATCACGGTTCTGGAGACAAGCCATATTAGTCAAATTAACTATCGCGTGGCTCGAAACATGACACATACCGACTGTAAACTTGGAAGAATGGCCTGCATCTTGGATTCAAGAAGCTGGCATGTTTCTAACGCGTGGCTATTGGATAAACTTTCCTGACAGGAGGATATTGCATGTAGTCTCCCTTGAATTTGTGCGACGTCAAGTATAACGCTTAGCAGAGTATCATATGGAGAAGAGGGATCTAACTGAATAAGATCTGTTGGGGAAACTTCGAGGTCGGGTAGGGAAGGACCTCGATCGAGAAGGGAACTCAAAGTCCGATCGAGGTAGTAACACCAGTAAACGGCGGAGTGGATCTCTTGCTCGAGTTCAGATGTCGCCGGTACTCTGCAGGTCTTATGATAATTGAGTGAGGAGATCTGGCGAGCAGCATATGAGGTGAGGATCCAGCATTGGTTGAGTCTCCCTATGTGCTGCATGAGCAAAGCCTACGAGGCGAATGTCAGTTGATTGGACGACGCCCCGGTAGCCAGAATTAGTGTACTCACGCTTGATATCAAAGCCTGGACAGTCACGATATCTGGTCGCTGAAGTATATTAAACTGCTCAATGCTTCGAGTAGCAGCTGCTGTGTAGGCAGACTTGGACTGTAGAAGCTGGCTTTTTATAAGAGGGTTGTCGGTAGCTCGTGAAACTTGATACAAATGAAATATAGCTTTCACGTAAACACAAACGCAATATTGATGAAACAATTGGTTTCTAGAATCGGATTGCAAAAGTGCCGTGGCCATCCGCTCGTAAGTCTTCCGCGGTATGTGATCGGGCCATTGTATTCGCACGGCGTCTGGAGGACCTGCATCTCGTTAGCCACAGGTTGGAAAAAGCACCAAGACATTTGTACCTTGTAGAAGCATGAAGAGCAGCTCTCGAGGGGGCTCTTCTGGAATCGTGACCGTTGGGTCTGTGGGCCGGGGGTGCTCTATGGCGTTTCCTGACTGATAGGGCTCACTTTCAGCGACGCTACTCACCACTTGAAGTGCAGACCTGAGAATCGATTGTCGCTCTCTACTTATTAATTGACAATCGTCGAGCTCCAACTCGATAATGTTCTTTGCCTGGAGTGCATGATAATTAGAGCCATTGGCGCCCGGTGTCGACCGGACAGCCGCAGTTCGGGGTCTTTGCCCCGAGTTATGCGCAAATGCCTCTCGCTGTGGTTGCTCTAGATTAATTCTTCGCTCCGAGTCACCCTTCCTCATACTATTATTTATCGGTCGCACTCCATTGGCCGTATCTTGTGTCAAAGTTTCAGCCCGATATTCCCACCGGCAGTCTCTCGGGCTGTTCACTTGAGTATGAGATGTTTGCCCAAGATCTAAATCCATAATGGTTTCCCGGGGATTAGAGGCGCTACCAGCTCTTGTCAGTCATATCAAAATTATTAACTTATGTTTACACCTTCAGAGGGCTGGCAAACCTCTGAGGAGTCTTTTTCCGTGATGACCGTCCGCGACGAAGGCGTCGGCACTCCACATTGGCGTCCGAGCAATTTGCGCAGGGCGCTCGCCGGTTGCATTTGACCTTTGGAGCACTCAAGTTAGAGTCAAACTACAGAAAGAGTCCAGTTTCCTTAGATGAAGTAGGAAGCTCTACAACCTTTCGAGCATGGCATTGGTCACACTATTACCCTGATCAGCCTTTGCCTACTCTACCCACCTCTAATGACTGACGCCGGGGCTAGACCTACAGCAGGGAGGATGTCATCGGGACCCGCAATTATTTCAGACATTTTCTCATGATACTCCTCGCCTCGATGTATCTAGAGTGCCAGTGGCGGGGTGGACTCTATAGGCATTGCGAAGTAGCGGGAAGGCACGGGGGAAGCACGGAGTAGTCCGGAGTATAATTTGGCGATCTTGGCATTTCTCGGCGAAAGTATTATCCGGAGATCTGGCAGAATGACAATATCGTGACCGCCTTCTCGACTTTATTTATGGTTAGTTGCCACTTGCATGTCTGCACTCTATTGCTTGTCGGCCAATAAAGTTGGACGCTTGGCACAATCCGGGCTATGTTTCTTTGGTTTGGTTTCTATTTATTCAAAGCTTCATCGAGAGTCCCTGAAACTTGGCCCCACACATAGCAGGATCATCGAGGAAATAACATCAAGGCAAGAACAAGTGAAATTCTCCGCCAAGAGCAGATACGAATGGTGGCGCTCTATGACACCGAACTAATGTAGCTTACCTGGATCTGACTCGCTCGTTCTATCTGCCGTCAGACATAGACCGGCGATGATCCTGTTAGCTTGGTAGGAGACACGCGGAGTGAACGAAGTGCCCCCAAAAATCAGGATTTCGAGCCTCCGATTAACTAGGAACATTGCTAATACATGCCCCTTATGTCTTAGCTATATAGTGTGTCGCTTTGGCCAAAGCTAGCGCGGACAAGATGCTTCTTTACATGTCATAATATATCCCCTCGCTCTAGCAACCACTCTGTTCTCAGATTGCGCGAGATTTTTCCATGAAGAGAATCGCCAAATCGCTTCTATGAATCGTTTCAATCATTTATACTAATTTACTTGCTTTCTGTTTATGCGATTTTGGTACAACGGAACGATGCCACATGTAACAACCATGGCGAGCTTGCTGGCAGTGCTCGCCTTCCCGACATTCGCAGCAGCTGAGCTGCACAGGTTTACCTCGTGGTTCCCACGATATAGCTCCGCCCTTAATACACTCACCCACGAGGACTGCGCTGCAGAATCCAAAATATATCAAACAAAAGCTCTCAAAAATGCAACAAGTTACCCTGAACTCAGAATTTGGAAGGTTGATCACCACGCAACTCCTCTCATCAACTGCCTCCTAGAGAAAACGCCCGAACTCTATAAATCGACAATGGCGAGTGCTCAAGTAATGCTGGGTCTTATGCCAACTATTCTCGCAAGTGTCGGTCCGAGCATCCATGAGACAGCCATGCTTTTGGTGTATGGCAAGCGCCAGCTCTTAGCACTTTTGCTCATAGTGGGTAGTCCAGCTGTACTCTTCGATAATACGACTAGTTTTCGTCAACTAGTTGCAGATGCAATGGCAAGCAAAGACACAATTTCTATGAATCTTCTCTGGGGACCGAATGTCTTCATCGTTGGGGCTGAGTATCTTATGGCATCGATGGCCATTGCCAATATAGGCGAGCTATGCTTCGAGATAGCTATACGATCGGTTCTATCAATTGGGCAGGATGCACAATTCCTACCTGCAGTTTGGATCGCTGTGGGAGTTATTATACAGCTCATGGGGGCCAGTATTCTTCAATTTTCTCGGAAAAAGCCGAGTAGACGCAACCTGAGGCAGCATTATTTTCGCATTAAGATGTTTGAGTGGTTGAAGGGGCAGTTTTCGACAAGCGAGAAGATAGATACGATTGAAATCGAGTTTCAACAGTGCTCCGTGGCCGAGGTGGTTGCTCTTTGGGTTATCGGAGTGCTTGCTGTGTTCAATTTGATCTTCGGGACTCTGGTGTTCTCCAGTTTAATGTTCATCTCAACAAAAGATGCATTAACCATAGTGCTGCGATTCATGGCGTCAGCGATTGTTTGTCGGGTCATTGTTCGATATGAGCTTTGCATCATGCGAGCATCGGAGAATAATTTCAGGGAATTGACCTCACTGAATCGAGGACTGTCTTCTGAAAATCAGCATGATTATCAATGAACACTGAAAAATATGTTCAATTGGGAGTTCTATCATCTATCTTGACGTATCTATATTTATATTAACAGAATGAGTATATGACAATTGACAGCACGTTCAATGTACATGCCCGGGACGTCAGACTCCCAGAGCGATTTTTCTTTCTTTTCTTTCTCTTTTTGCTCATTCTGGCCGATATTTCTTTTTCTTCCTCTTGAACCATTATCCCACCAAATTTCTATTCTAAGATGGTTCCGCATAACCTGATGACTGACAGACTACCAGGGCAGGTCCTTACCATCATATCTCTCCCAACCAGGCACATAGATGTTCTTAAAGCTACCATTATCCTTGGCAGTGGCCGATTCAACGGTATTACAGACCGCCTCGGCGCCCTGCGGCACGGTAAGATCAGCGTCTTTCCCACCCATGTCACTTTGAAGCCACTATAAAACCGTTAGCACAATAGTCTCCCGAAAAGAAAATATGACTGACTCCAGGATTGATCGAAAAGAAAACAAAGCCCTCTTCTTGGTACGAAAGTGCATACTGCACCGTCAACGCGTTGAGGGCGGTCTTGCTGATCTTGTAGGCCGGGCAAGGGGCGTAGAGCACGTCCACGGCGTGAGTCAGAGACCCGTATGTGCTAGATCTGCGAGGAAGTCAGCATCCGGAAGCAGTCGAAGTGGGTTTCCACGAGCGTACATGTTCGCAATTTTCTTGATTTTGCTGCCCTGTATGAGGGGAAGGTATTGGCGGAGGACGTTATGCGTGCCGGTCACATTGACGGATAATTGGAATGCGAGGTCCGACCTGTTGGCGTTTTCCTATGTCAGATCATGCCACTGAAAAGATGAAAAGTCATACTTACATGTGAGCTAGCTTTCCGTGAGTCTCGCTGTGTACGCCGGCGCAGTTGATCAGGACATCTAGACTTCGCTGGTTCAATGCCGCTTTGGTCTCCTCGACCGACTGTGTAATGGACGCCTCATCTGCCACATCTAACGAGACAAACACAACAGTTTCATTGGACTGCGCAACAAGTTCGTTAAGATCCGAGCTGCATTTCCGCGCCGTAGCAATAACTAGCCCTCCTTCGGTACTGGCACGGGCAGCGAGCTGCTTCACCAACTCCAACCCGAGACCCCGGGAGCTTCCTGTAACGAGAATGTTTGACATGATTGAATAATGCTTGGTTTGGATGTTGTGATAGTTAGACGGTCAATAAAGGTTCTCTTTTCCCTAGGACTAGTTGAATGTGGCACATACTAGAGTGCCGAGACAGCCCGCTCGGATGTCCGAGACAAACGGGAAATGCCGCGCTCGGAGGTTCCACTTTCGGCAGTGGATTAGGTCGGCCTTCGTCTCGGAACTGCGCGTCCGAGCGCGAACCGATGCTGCAGAAATGCATGGGTCGAGTGGCTTGGATGACAAATGGAACGGCGAGTTTGTTGGTGTCAGCCTGATGGGACAAAGTCTTGTTTTCAAAACAGGGTGAGGTCGGTCCACAGTTCGTGTGGATCGTGCCATATAGTTAGAATTTTTGCTTTTACTTTGCACATCCGGACAATATACTAAGGTATCGTAACACAAGCAGCACCTTGCAAAAATCTACATATATTACGGTATATCCTACTATTTTCGTACACATTATTGAGCCCATTCCTATTTGAATCCATTCTCTTCCTGCTCAGCAGCAATACCATTAATATGGCCGAATCGAGAATAAGTGAAGAGCAGCATGCTGTGCTGCGATCGCTGCTTCGCCCTGATGAGATCATGACCCCGGAATCACCGGATTTCAAGTCAAGTGCTCAAACATGGGCTTCCCAAAAGCAAATGAACCCGAGCCTTGTGGTTCGCCCCACGTCTGTCGAGTCCTTGAGCAAGGTTCTAGCATATCTATACCCAAGCGGTCTAGACATTGGGATTTATGGACAGGGGTTCATGTCCGCATCTGCAAAGGATGTCCTGATTAATACGTCTGCATTTGACGATTTTCACTTCGACAAGCATTCGGAGTTGGTGACTATTGGTGCCGGACAGGCATGGTCTAAGGTGTATGAGAATCTAGGAGAGGTGGCGCCGGAATATGGAAGTAAGGATGTCTCGCTTCTGCTCAATTTTATTGTTGGTCATTCAAGACTAACGAATTCCTCAAGTCGTGGGAGCCCGCACCCCTTGTGTTGGAGTTGCTGGTACCATTGTCAGTGGAGGATTCTCATGGCTTTCCGGCGAGTATGGCTGCATCTCGGACCCGGCAAACATGTTAGATGCGAAGGTCGTCAAGTATGACGGGTCAGTCGTCTGGGCCTCAGCGGAGCCGGAACTACTGTGGGCTCTCCGTGGCGGTGGAGGTGGTTTTGGAGGTAAGTGACTTCATGATAGCTCTCATAAAAACTCCGAATAAGCTGTGGCTGACACTCAGATGGTTAGTGCTTGTTCAGGTTGTACTCCGAGTGTTCCCTTATCCTCAGGAGATCTGGTCCGGTCCGATTCTGGTTCCCCGGGAGCGTCTCGAGCAGGTGGCAGAAGGAATTGCGACATTTCTCTCCCAGCCGCTGGATCCTAAGATTACGATGTTTCTGTACATCGTCAGGAGGAGGCTGCTCGAGTCCATAGGGACTGACTCAGATATGCTAGTCATCCATGCTTTCGATGCCCTTGGTGAAGCACACGGTAGAAAACATTTCCAATGGGCGTTGGATATTCCAGGGGCTATTGATAAGACTAAGATTAACACCCTGGCAGGGGTTGCAAACTTGCAAGGTAAGATTGATGATCCTGTGTTTCTAGAATGGGACACTGACCATTTGACCAGATAAGGCGCATATTGTCAAAGGCTCGATGAAGCAGTTCTGGGCCCCTTTGCTGGTCAAGGAGATGTCTGCGGAGACCATAGTCAAAACCGTCAAATGGTCTGAAGAGATCCGAGAGCTCGACGAGTCCCTTGGTGATTGCACCTATATCATTTTTGAATTGCTTAGCTCGGTAAGTGAATGAAGAAGGGTCGCACGAGCCTGGATTAATCGACAACATAGCGTGAACCAGGTGGACCGATATCGAACTGTGCCTGGCCAAGGCCCGCAGGCTTCAAGCATATTCTGCTGTTGGGCACCGGATGCCCTGGAGATTCTGGCCCGGTTAAAGAGAAGCTTGCACGAGACCTTGCTTGCCAGGCAGCATATCGAGTTCTGGGTGAAGGCGCAGACTTTCACTACCTGCCAAATGGCTTTGAAGACTTCCATGACGCAAGAAAGGTATTTTCTTATTACCATCCGACTTTGCGGCTTCCTGGAAACTTTTCTCACGCATACTATAGACCTGGGGCCCTCATTTCGCTCAACTGCAGACCGCAAGGAACCATTATGACCCGAAAAACAAATTCAAAGGCGCTATCAACGTGGACGATGCTTAGATCGACACAGAATGACCAGAAGACCCGAGCTAATCTTCTGCTCTTTTGTACGAAAATGAATGTCAAATGCTCTTTATTACTTCTTCTGGAAGACTGAGTAGCTGTAGATGTAGTAGTTTATGAGAAGATATCAACTATAATTTCGCCTTCCCTACTCCTTGCTCCTTCAACAAGTTCACCACCTCCCGCACAGCAATTTGGCCCTGCTCTATGGCTCCATCAATAAATCCTCTCCACCCATCCGCCCAATCCGCACTTGCAAATACAATCCGGTCATGTGGACGCTGCAGTTCTTCCAAAAACCTGGAAGCACTTTTCGGTCCCCAACACGCCCAAACACCCTTGGCGTAGGGATCATTCATCCAGTCGTATGTTGCATATGCTTCAACACTCACGTTGGAGTTGACGCTTTTCTTGAACTGGTTTATGATATGCTGCGAGTCACTCTTATCCGTAAGCTTGCCGTTGTATCCGAAACCGATGGACCATGTCCCCGACGGACCTGAGGACTGAGTCCCATTATGGTCGGAGAAGGCGAATACGTATTCTGAGTCTCCGTATCCCGAACCTGTCCAGATCCAGCCGGGAAGTGTTTCGCGCAGCTTGAAGTGGATCTTTGCGCCTTTGTTGATGTGCCCTTGGGCGACTGCTGCTTGCCGGATGGGGGACAGGGGTGGATTGAATGTGATATCGCCGAGACAGTTCCTAATGAACGGTCAGTTGAGTAGATATGAATTCCAAGGAAGTTTGGAAACTCACAGCGGGATCGTCGAGACAATAGTCTTCGCCTTGAACCTTTCACCACGCGCAGTCAAAACCTCCACGCCTTTCGCGGTGTGCCGAATCTCAGATACCGCGGTGTCGAACAATCTATCCCCAGTATACTCACCCAAAATGGCTTCAGCAAAGGAAGTCATCCCCCCATTCCCCAGCTTGTACATTCCTGCCCTCTCAAACGTGCCAGCCATAGTATGTCCACCCAGCGCATACCACCGCAGGGCATCCACAAATCCTGTTTCGCCACACAGCGCACTCCCGAACGTACCAATATTCGACTCGAACAACTCCCTCTCACCCCGCGGAACTCTATCCCCCAATGCATCCAGCCGATCCTTCACACTCAGATGATCATACCTCTTCCACAACGCCGGCTCTCGCAACGAATCATGCGGATACGGCATCAACGCACGACTACTCAGTCCATCAATCGAGAACACCTTCTCCGCAATCCTCTCCACAGCCTCTGCACTCTCGGCAATTGAAACATCCTCAACCACCCCCTCCGCAGTCGTGAAAGTCTGCCTCTCCGTCTCCGCAAACCCCGCCGACGTCTTCAGATTCCGATGGAGTCCGTACCGATGCAGCTCGGCGTAGACATGTGGCTGGCCCCAGTGCACCCATGTGCCTCCCATTTCGATCTCCTCGCCCAGGACATTAGCGGTCCATGTGCGCCCGCCTATCCGGTCGCGTGCTTCGAGGAGAAGAACAGTCAAATCTTGTGTTTGGCATAGGTCCCGTGCGGCAATCAGGCCTGCAAATCCGGCACCGATAACGATCGCATCGTATTGGCGTTTTGTGCTCTGTGAACTTGGTTGTACGGAGGAGGTGACGAGGCCTTCGGTTGTGGTGGTCGGGGTCCAGAGGTAGCCTTCTTTTGAGCGGGACATTGTTTTTGTTTTCGTTTCTTTCTTTGTGTTCGAATAAGAATGAGGGAACGAATGACGATGAGGGATGAAACGTTATTATTATTCCAGCTGATTCCGGATAAGCAAAGCTGAAAATTGGTTGTACCAAGCGGGGGAGTTGCAGTATTGTCCGGCTCATATTGAAAGATGGGTTACCTCTGATTATGCATCTCGGAACAACATGCGCATTCCGAGTATCCATGCCAGTATAATGGATACGGATGATAGCCTTAACGGCATCGTAGCTTGCATATGCGATTGGTTGAGCAGTCCGAGCCGGTGCCGTCCCGAGGTTTATCGCACTTCTTTCCCTATTTGGGATGGTTCATCTTTGCGCTCTATGACGTTTTCACTGATGGTGGCTCCTTCTAGGGCTACCCCAACCTTAGCTTTAGCATTGAGCAATTCTAAAGCCGAGGAATGATCGTATTCCTCGGGATAGAGTAAAACTCGACGGCCGCTCAGCACTCGAATGAGCTTTCCGAAAGCCGTGTCCCTCAGTAATTCGCGCATGGTGAAGATAAGCGTGTAATTTTGATCGCCTCGGTCCAAAATATCCACTTGTGGTTGAATTGAGCTCGGAAGGATAGGAAATGAAAGCCATCTTGAATAGCGGTGTTCTAGTCCCTTGGCCACACACGAATAATCAAGGGTCTACCGCGGGTTCTGGTCGGTCAAATTCTGCAGACTATCCCTTGAGAATCCTACAGTCTCGATCCCACACTAAATTATCAAACGGTGACTGTTGTGCTAGGAAAGCTGTGAGCATCTGGCTCTTGACCCACATCGATTACTCGGTGCTTCGGAAAGCCGAACGCATTAGATTTGCCCGGCCGACACCGAATAGCGCACCGAGCCAGCATAGTTCCGAGGAGATTGGAGCAGTTTAGTCTCAACAACGACCCTCATTAGCGATTTTCCTCATCCGAGATGGTCTCGATGCGTGACGGAACTTGGCTAAGGTACCACTCGCTCGCAATCAGGCCCGCAATCCTGAAAAAGCGTGATATACATGTCTCGCTTCTTGGTCGGCAAACAGGGGGGTTTACATTAACATTTGAGCGGGATAACCGATTTTCTACTATAATCAGTTTGTTGAGGATTGGTGATCATCTCTGGATCTGGCTCATTATACACTTATACGTCGAGCCTGCTCTAAGCTCGTGACACCCGGCTTCAAGTCTGAGCCGTTTCGCCGGGTTGCCCTGTTACTTCAAAGCAGACAATATGTCGTTAAGCAGGAGTTTCGAGCATGATATACAGAACGAAGTTTCTTCTGCTCAGTGTGCCAATGTTGTCGACTGGGATGGGCCCGACGATGAGGCCAATCCATTGAACTGGAAAAGAAGTCTGAAGATAACAACTGTTGCGATCGTTTCAGTCTTCAATTTTCTCACGTATGTTTTGGATCCTCGCTTATTTTTCAGAGAGATGAAACACTGATAACACACTACAGTCCTCTAGGATCAGCCATGTTCGCGCCGGGCGTTCAAGAGGTCATGGATGAATTCCAATCGACGAGCCAGCCGATGTCGTCCTTCGTGGTCTCCGTGTATCTTCTCGGATTCGCCTTCGGACCTCTGATAGTCGCGCCGCTCTCGGAGATTTATGGTCGTTTGCCGCTATATCACGGATGCAACACGTTATTTATTCTTTCGAATGTAGCCTGTGCTCTGGCCCCTAGCTTGCCTTCGCTGGTGGGATTTCGGTTCCTGGCTGGATCTGCTGGATGCGCGCCCTTAGCTCTAGGGGCTGGGACCCTAGCAGATGTTATTACTCCCGAGCGCCGCGGGCTGGCGATATCTATTTGGGCAGTTGGTCCTGTGATTGGTCCCGTGGTTGGTCCGTACGTTGAATCAGCGGCAAGAGAATTACTTCCAATATATACGATGTGAACCCTGACTTGATTCATTGTCATCTAGAGTCTGTGGCGGGTTTTTGACCCAAAATGTCTCCTGGCGTTGGGTATTCTGGGTGATCGCAATTGCGGTAAGTATTTCTTCCACAGGAGTCAAAGTATCATAATAACTAATCCTCGCAGGGAGGCGTCTCCACTGGCGTGTCCTTTATACTCCTTCGTGAAACTTATGCTCCAATCATTCTTGCGCGCAAAACAAGGCGCCTGGCGCGGGACACAGGGAATACCGACCTCCAATCTGCTCTTCACAGAGACTTAAGCCCAATCCAGCTTTTCGCGACTACTATCATTCGCCCACTCAAGATGCTCCTCTTTTCTCCGATTGTCTCGCTGCTCTCTTGGTACGTGGCAGTGGTTTACGGGTTTCTTTATTTGCTGTTTACAACTATGTCGAAAATATACAGAGAGCAGTATCATTTTTCGGCGAGCATTGTAGGGCTCACTTATATTGGACTCGGACTTGGATCCGCCATCGGCCTACTAGCAATGGGAATGTTCTCAGATAAACTCTCGAACCGTTTGGCCACAGCATCGAAAAGCCAACTGAAACCAGAGTTTCGATTATCGCTCATGATTCCGCTTGCTCTCTGCATGCCCATCGGTTTGGTTTGGTACGGCTGGACGGCTGACAAGAAGGCACATTGGATACTCCCTATCATCGGAACCTGCTGGGTTGGTGTGGGTGTGGTAGTTTCATTTGTATGTGCCCACTCTTGTTTGTTCTTTCTCTCTCTCTCTCTCTCTCTCTCTCTCTCTCTCTCTCTCTCTCTCTCTCTTCATTGCTCCGGTATCTTTACCGCAGAGAGCTGACCTTTCTCAACCTCTCAGACTGGGGTTCAAGCGTATCTTGTAGACGCATTTACGACTCAAGCCGCGTCGGCAGCTGCTGCTAATACAGTTCTTCGCTCACTTATGGGCGCGGTTTTGCCGCTGGCCGGGCCATCCATGTACAACACGTTGGGGGTAGGATGGGGAAACACTTTATTAGCATTCGTTGGCTTGGTCATGCTTCCACTTCCCCTTATTTTCTTCAAATATGGTGAAAAGCTGCGGATGAAGTATCCGTGTGCGTCTTAATTGTGCCGTCAATCTGTCAGGTCATTTGCTGTTTTAAACCGTCGGAATCTTCTAGATCAATTCATAAAAGTCAACAATATTAGTAATTGACGTGGCCATCTGCCTTCGAATGCCTCCCCGTTCCATTTACAAATAGGCTTTCTGAAATCGATCGATCACATAAAAAAAACACAGCTATCAGGATTCCCTTAATATGTCCTGATTTGTGTCAAGTCCCCCTTCCCGCAATCGCATTCCAAAAAACAGATTCGAAGGTATGGCGTTTTTGTCACGCATTTTAGCCGCACACTCAGATCCTGCCACAGGAACTTGGACTTCAAAGGTCATCCCCGGCAATGCCCCTTTCCCACCGGAGATTGGATACGGGTATGGGAGATATTCGGATATTAAATCCAGTTGCTTTAGCACGGTTCCTTGGTCCCATGTTATGTGCTCGTGGTAGAGACGGTCACCTCGGATGTTGACGACTGCCATGAAGGGGATTTCAAGCTTGCAGCCAGTCGGTGAAATTCCGAGGATTCTGTAAATGTCAGCACATTGAATTGAACGCTCAAAGACAGAGTGGTGGAATCTTACAGCCAGTCGACTTCTGAATCATGAGTAAATGTCATGATGAACTCGTCTACAACACGGTCGATGCCAACTGTTCGACTAATAAGCTGATTCTTAACGTCTCGCGGGTTGGTAAAAATAAAGTTGTCTCGATAGAATCGAGTCAATTTGTCTCGTCCTATTCCCCCTGCTATCTTGAATAGGCTCAGTTACCCTGACTTTCGATGCGGAAGGACTTAAGTGTAGCACTCACGGTTGGGATATGATTCACATAAGGCTCTTGCACCATAGTGCTCATTGTTTGCTCAGCTGATCGATTGCCAAACTCAAAGTATGTATGCTCTTTCCAGATAGCCTCCAGATCAAAATAGGGACCATTCATGTGTCTTTTGAGGAAGGTCAAGTTTCGGGTATGAGAGACGCCCTCCTCCGCACAATTGAATTCCGAGGGGCTAGGGAGAGCAAAAGACCAGTCTTGTATCTCTGGATACTCGTATTGGATTATGCTTTCTGTTCTCCGCAGCTTCCAACTTGCCTTCCCTGCCACATGCTGCACCGTGGGAATATCATTCGATGCAAACTGTACGTCATCACCAGCTGCTAGATAGACAGCTGCCGCGGTGACTTTATTAAACCCCGCAAGACATTTCGCTTTTTCCCAGAGTTGAGAGCCGTATACTGATTAATTTTTATTAGCGGGAGTCAATGCAAACGAGTGGAGACAAGGGTTCCCTCTTACCAACGAGACCAATGAGGTCATGGGGTGTGCACCGGTCATGCTGCGCAAATGTCGCAATTGCTTGGTCAAGAACATATCCTCGATCAATTGCCGACTCTTGGATCTCGAGGACAGTATATCCCTCTTTGGCCCACTTCAGCGACGGTGAAGGAATACCATTGATTTGAACAAGTTGGTTTAAGGGGTTATCGGGCACTATAATAATCATACCAGGCCCCTTGCCTTTATGGGACAGAGGGGGGAATAGAAAGACCCCTGACTCTAAAACGCTCATATTTGGCACAGGGAGCGTCCTTGAGGGAGTATTAACTTGATCCATATGGACTATGGTAGATATAGTAATAGCTGTAGAATGTATGGTATATTGCGTTCGTGAGCGTTTTCTCTTATCCTTCCTCCTCAACATATTTATATAGATCATGTAACTATTTAACTCAATTTCCCCGCTCTGGTGAGAGTCTGTATCCTATTTAATCAATCAAAATTCTATTAACCTGATGAAGCCTATCTATTGAAGCAATAGGCTATGCGGGCGCTTTTCTAGTGAAGCAGAAGCTTACATCTGTACACCACATAAATCCCACAATCGCAGTAGATAATCAAAAAGTAAAATAAAACACAACTAAAAAGCAGCTGCCACACGCCTACCGCGTGTCTACCGCGCCATCCAGGGCGCCTCTGCTCCTTCTGCGTTCCCTTATTTGCTTATTCCATCCCTAGGTGCGTCCCCGGGGGTAGTGCGAGACCTCCGCACCTCCCTTTAAAGTTTTATGTAACCATTGTCTTCGTCATCTAGTTTAAGATCTTCTAGAAGGCTGCTAGGTTCCGGGGCCTTTTTCTCCTTATTCCCGAACTAGGCAAATCGGAACTGCTGGAGGAGGCTAGTTTGTTGTATATAATTAGTGATATAGCGGATTGCCTGCGGGTGATTTATAATTATGTTATAGTCTTGTATACGCCCACGCAGTCTCTTAACTAATTCAAGGCTTCCTATAAACTTCCTATAATAAGTGGTATACAGCGGGTACTTCAGGAGAACATATTCCGGGGTCTAAGACCCTAGATTATACTGGTACTTATCTGAGTCGACCTGCTTAATCTTATAGAGGAAGTATCGTAATCCTATCCTTATGGTGTGTATTTGTATGATAATCGACGTGTGCGGCTTGCTGAGGTGCTCGTATTACCTCAGACTCTTCTTACTGGGGGCAGGCAACAACCGCCGCGTGGGTTTGCCTACTTTCTGCCTCCCCCATTGAGAGTCTGTATCCCTGTCACTTGATGAGGGGCCAGTTCACATTTGCGCATACCCCTGCATCTCAGAAGTCCGAATCCTTCGAGTACCGGAAATATTCAAATGCTATTCGTAGGAGATAATGACTATCTAGCATTTATAGCCTCCGTAGACACAAACTTTTGAAATTGTTTGCCTCAAACTTTAGGATCCATAACAGCATCGTTACATTCATAAAGCCAAATCATTCCTGGTACTAGGGGTTGGTATTGTGGTATTCTTGTTATTCCATTACCCCGAACCTTGGCCCGTATTTCTCATTATATTGAACGACTAGGTAATCAAACATTTTACAAAGGTGCAGTATAAGGATATTGTGAATCATCAGATTGATTTCTCTTTTCTGGTGACCGTTTTGTTAGATTTATGGGACCTCCCATGTAAGCATACTGCCACGACATGCTTTCTGGTCTCAGATCTTGATCAACTTTCGAATATAAATAGGAGTATTATGCTTTGCGAAGAGATATAACCGGTGGGGGGGTGGAAAAGCTTATAGTTCTTAATCAAACAGGGTCAAAATATAGCCGGTTTTTCCAATGCCATCGAATCTAAAGAATCGGTCAGAAAATCTGTTCAAAATTTTCTTATGACTCGCTTGTCATGCCTCCAAAGCCCCTCTCCAAGAAGAGACACGAAGAGCGCATGTGCCAAGTTGTCTCGTCTGCCGAGACTATACCAGACACAGGCCCGGCATCGAAGTTCCCATGAAGTTCAAAAACGTGTCTCATGCTTAGCTCTGATGCTTTATGTTCCATTTGCAACCTATCGCTTTAATGAGCAGCCTCCATGAGTCCCTGGAGCATCGGCACATCCATCAAGTATAAGGTCTGGTCGTTATCGTCGAGAAAAGCAGAGGGTCCGTTGCTTATCATCAGCAATTCGGTCTCTTCCTGGAAGACCAACGGCTCGTGTGTGGCCCCCTTGCGCTCGGTTACGTAGTCTCCCTGGGCGAAAATACCGGTCTGGGGATGGGCGCCGTTGCCCTTGAGGATGAAGATTTCAGCATTGTCTAAGTGTCTGTGACGAGGGAGAACGCCGCCGGGCTCGGCGCGTACGATAACTGTGTAGGATTCGGTCTCTGGGGAAAGTCGGAGGATTTTGATCCAGACTTTTGGGGCGAGAGGGAGCCACGGGAGGCTATTGGAGTTGATGGTGTCTCCGACATCGTGGTTGTTGTTTGTAGGGTGTTGCATTGTGAGAGGTTCGTGAGTGGGTTTAACGGGCAGGACAGAACAGCAATTGCAACAGGATTATTCTGAGTAAAGTCAAAGAAGAAATCAAGCTGGCGAGCTTAAGTGCCTTTTATTAATCTATGTCTCGTGTTTATTAACTACAATATCTTGGTGCCATTCATTGTTTTACGGAAATATACCTAGTCAGCATTGACTTTGTCGTCGGTATTCCGAATCTAAAGACTTCTTTTTACCCGTTCTGTTCGGACTTCCGGACAGACTCTCGGGGGCCGACCGTGTATCTTCTTATACCCAATCCAATCGATGCATCCCTCATCCGAGAATGGCGGGAAATTCATAAAATATCCGAGGCACTTCAATTTACATCGGCTGTTACCCGGACCGTCGGTATTCGCTCCTACGCCGGTGATAATAGATGCGTCATGACAAGGGCGATCCGAGGTTACATGGATGAACTGTAAGGATTCAGGAGCCTCTGACGCTCGAAACTCTCCGCTCGATGACTCGCCTTTGGCTTACACGTAGGGAGTTTGTGAAAGACGATGATATCTCTCTTTTGCAGGAAAGATCAGGTGGGATTTTAACTCATGCAATCTTTGTCTTGCTGCATGTGACCCCACAATGTTGTCTATGAGCTCGTTCTGCAGATCAAAGAAACGCCATGCCCCAGAGTTCAAGGTTGATAAAGCACAACTTGAAACTATTCGGTATCTTTATTCTCAACTAAGTGAAAAGCCCCCAGTTGATCTTGACCAATTGGGTGATGGCAAGATCCAGGACAAGGACGAGGCAGTTTGTTGTTGTGAGCTCACTGACCAAGATCCTTCCCCGGGGTATTCCACGACCCAATTCTTTCTACACGAACAACCTAGTCACCTTGATCCCTGCCAAAGACTTTGACCCGCACAAAAAGCGCAAATTGGATATAGCGTGAACAGCAATCATGCTCCTTGGCAGGCTGGGGATGATGTGTGTAGCACGGCACAAACCCATGGGATCTCACTAGATATCATAATTTTCTAGGATCTAACTATGGGTCTTGAAGCAGGTGAAGTTAATGGAAGTTTTACAAAATAAAATATTGCAGATGCTGAATAAACTCATGAATCATCTAGACCTGTGTGTAGAAACCAGTTTTTCAATACCATTAAAAGGTGATCCATCGGGCTTGCGGCAAAGTATAGAATAGCAGGCAGCGCACAGAAATGGTACTTGAAGGCCTCCTTTATATAAACATAATTCGGCGGTGAAATCTATCAACTGCCCGGATGGTCTAGTGGTATGATTCGCGCTTAGGGAGCTATATATCTATATATAAATTTATATATGGTGTTATACATTAAACCCAAGCATCAATTGCGCGAGGTCCCCGGTTCGATCCCGGGTTCGGGCCCACATTTTTGCTTTTACTTTTTCTATCTACTATCAATCACAGAATGACTGGCTTGGGGGGCTGGCTCCGCTCTCTCCCTTACTACACACAGACAGCCCCTACTGTCTCTTGGCAATGTCTCCCAGGAGTTTTCCGAAGTTGCCAGCCGCGTTTGCTAAAAAATAGGGACAACATGCATGCACCGAGAAAACAGCTAAGTTCCATGCCTATCTGGTTGTTCAACTAAAGCGCTACTAGAAAAGAGCGGAAGGAAAATAACAGAATAAGTACCTAATCATCCATCAGTACTCACTGAGGCTGCTATTCGCTTGCCTGCTTGCCTGCCTGCCCCTCTTACTTTCTCTCTCTACATGCGCCCGCTCTTCTGCCGGACGTGATAAACCAACCATCTTTCTAGAAGAAACCTTTTTTTTTTTTTTTTGCGATCCACGCGTTGCAGCCACTATGGGGAGTGGCGGGGAATCTATAGCGGTACTATAGATCCTGTCGTGATGCACAGATTACCAATGCATAAAGGGAAGCTGAGATATGGTCTCATTAGTTGGTTGGTTACCGTCTTGGTCAGCATAAAATATGACCTTTTTCTGACTACTGTATTTAGAAGAATCTCATCATCTTCACAATCTTTCTTTCCAATCGTGGGCCACTTCCCCCTCTGATCCTTCTACAGGATGATCAAAAAATTTGGGCCCGAACCCGGGATCGAACCGGGGACCTCGCGCAATTGATGCTTGGGTTTAATGTATAACACCATATATAAATTTATATATAGATATATAGCTCCCTAAGCGCGAATCATACCACTAGACCATCCGGGCTATTGATGTCTGTCATCGACAAAGACTGCGATGGCGGTCGGGTGGGTGAGCTGTTCCCAAGTTTGTATGGCACTATATATGGCGGGTTGGGTACTGGAAATCCGTAGAATATCCAAGCGGGTCTTTTTTGGCCGTGTGCGAGAACGTCTAGTGCCCCGGCACATTTTATAATGTCTCTGGCCTTGGATTATTAGTATAAGAAGGAAAGGGTTCATGAGGGAGGCAAATTTTCCACTTTATTTTTTCCATTTAATTCATAGAAAAAACACCACTTTTTTTTTTTTCTTTCTGTATACCGCGATAACGCACGTCCCTTTTGGCATCGTGGTAAGTAATAATAAAAAATGTTCTAGGACAAAGTGTCACCGGCGCCTACGGGACTGCGTTGGCGATCAGGCGGGTGAGCTGCTCCCAAGTTTATATGGCACTATATATAGCGGGTTGGATGCCAGAACTCCGTAGGAGTTATAGACGAAACGGGGGACAGACCGACTGAAGAGGTTGAAGAAGATGGCGGTCTAGATACACGTAGAAAGGCCATATTTATGCTGACCAAGGCGGTGATTAACTAATGGAATATTCCATAAAACATGATCGAATGATATTGTCTTGTGGTAGGTCAGCGGAACACTCCGGTAGGTATACCGGGATTTTGTTGAATTCCTACACGCCACCCCAAGATGATGATTATTGGAATACATACCAGTTTTAGTAAATACGAATTCATACAAACAACAAAATAGATCGGCAACTCGCTTTCGTACAGAATCATAGAAAAAGTAGGCAACTCGCCCCTAGAAAGAACATATAGGTCTCATACAAAACAATAATCAACTCGATCAAAAAAAATGCCTTACTTAGCAACTCGCCATGTATTTCGAAAGAACGATTTCGTCATTCATTTGGACGATTAAATAGACGATTAAATAGACGATTGAATAGACGATTGAATAGACGATTGAATAGACGATTGAATAGACGATTGAATAGACGATTGAATAGACGATTGAATAGACGATTGAATAGACGATTGAATAGACGATTGAATAGACGATTAAACGGACGATTGTTTGAGGGTAACACGCAGTTGTTTTAATTTGTATGGGATTCTCTGCTGTCGGGAGAACAGATGAACGTTGCAGTATAACGAAATGATAATTTTGATGGAAAAACACAGTGATGGTAATCTTTCTGGTCGAATTCATGCTGTGCGGGCGAAACAGTAGATATTCTTAAACGCGAATAGCCCCAAAAGCGTTTAAATAGGAAAGGACCAAATGGCACGGTAGCCTTAGAGGCTCCGGGCTCATGACATGTGGACGGACCCGGGGACAGAACAATCGAATGATTCAATTGACCTGACTAAACAGAACAACTAAAGAGGTTGAAGAGGATGAGGTTCTACATAAACACAGAAAGGCTATATCTATGCTGATTAAGGCAGTGGCCAACTAATGAAACCTTCTATAAAACATGATCGAATGACATTATCTTGAGATAGGTCAGCGGAACGCTGCGGTAGGCATACCGGGATCTTGCTGAATTCCTATAGGAGTTCCATGTTGGTCTTTTGACCGTGTGAGGAAATGTTGAGCATCCCGACGCCTTTCACAAAAGACTAATAGGAAATATTCTATGTTGGTTAGGCAACCTACTATTAGTAGACTAGTAGAACGCATGGTCGAAAAGTGGTCTTTTATATACGCAAGCAAGATTTTTCAATTTCATGGATTTCTTTTTTTTTATTTTAAAAAAAAAAAATACTACTATACATACATCCTTCTTTCTAAATAAAAAAAAATGTGGGCCCGAACCCGGGATCGAACCGGGGACCTCGCGCAATTGATGCTTGGGTTTGATGTATAACACCATATATAAATTTATATATAGATATATAGCTCCCTAAGCGCGAATCATACCACTAGACCATCCGGGCAATTGGTGTTTAAAGCCTCAAATCTTGACTACATGATTGAAAACCAAAAAATTCGTACTCCGTAGCGTTGCCTTGTATCCAAAGCCACCATGATATACCAGCCACAAGGGCCATCGAAAAAGCAACACCTTGACCACCTATACCTACATCATAAACACTCTCCACCCTAGCCCAGACGCTGTCTTTAACATGTATAAGGGCAAGTAACGGTTGTGCACCGTACGATTTGCATGGCACGTGCTCCACCATCGAACCATCGCCGCTTTTGTCGTCCTAGTTGTGACTTGTTTAAAAGTGACTAGGAAGATAGATTCTGGTAGGATGGATGTGTAGATATCAACTAATGCTTGGTACCAGATAAAAACAGGTATGATAGGTGGGATGAAACAGAGCGAGCAAGAGGTCTATTCAAGTAGTAGTATTTGTAGGAATTACGAGGTAAGATGTCCGTATTCGTCTGAATAAAACGTTCAATTTCTGGTGATCAAGATGATGCAAGGAAGAAATCTAGATACACTCAAGAATTCCATATTTATGCATACAATTCAGCCGGAAATCGCTGGTAGTTCAACCATGGGTGGCCTCATGTTGCCAGGAACGTTCCGGTATGCTTACTAAAGATACCGGGATCTTCCACAGTATTAAATTGGCTTGGTACTAGGAATGATGGTTAGATGGGAATAAACATTTGTCGGACTATGCACGATTGGAGACCATCTGACTGGGGCTTGAAGATCGAGACTGGAATGTACCCCGTCCGTCAGGGTCATGTCATGCAAGGCGTCGTTGATACCACCATCAAGCCCCCCCCACCTACATGCCGACAAGAACAACAAATAACTCCTTGATAGCCAAAGCATTGACACCGAGCACCCACTAACCCCCAGCAAGATAGTATGCCAAGTATCTTCCCGACTTCGATCCTTCGAATCTAGTGTCTAGATTACTAGATTATCATATCCAGGGATCTACCCTAAAATTATTGAATTCAATTATAATTGCCAGTCTTTATGTGGTGGATACAAGATTACCAACAAGCTCCTCATCCGATTGCACAAATGTCGTCATTGCGTTGTGTCTTCCCACAGTTATCGACAGCCTGGAGGCCCATACTTGACAGCGTAGATAATAGAATCAATACCGGATCTATCGTACAGAATCGTCGTGTCAGGCTGTTTGACTTTGATCTTAAATTATGCTGAAACAATCGATCTTTGTAGGCAAGGACTATTGGCAATTTCATCTTGTGCAAAGTCGATTGAGCGAAGAACGTTTCGGGCCACCTCGTCAGATCCAAATCTTCTTGCCGTAAGCCCTCGCTGCTTGCGAATATAATTCTTTTTGGTTGCCTTGGTGCTATATGCCTACCATTAACTTGAAATTTTGCACATATTCTCATTCCACTGGTATTCATAGACTTGAGGGCTGAAATCTAGGACCCCGTTGATATCAACCACCTTCTATTAAATCCCATCGGCCTTTGAAGACTTTTGATCGTCTTCCTCCTGTACCAAACTCACTAGCCATGTCTGTGAAACAGCTTAGGTCATCTATATACACTCTGGAATCTGAGTTGACGTTGAACGATAGCACATGATGCTTCACCTTCCTGAGCTTACCGAAAGCACCAAACCAAATACAGTATGATCGATGAAGTCTTTGAAATTGACCTCAAATCCGACAACCAGAAAACTTGAACTAAATCTTCTCAATGTTGACCCTAATAAGGCTACCTATTCGATTCCACTTGGCGGGTTGTCTCTTTTTGGTGCCCGGACCTCCGACTTTGTTATAATGACGAGGATGAATGGAAGAGATGTACTACAAGGGAATGTGCAGATTGCATCACCCGATCAGTCTTGTTACTTACTTTGCGGTTCTCTGGAGGAAGCTTATGTTGAACCCCTGGGAGATGTCTTGAAAATAAGAAAGCTGCGAAGACGGCGAAATGATATAGCCTTCACTTTTCATCATGTTAGGCTCTGATGAATGCTTTTGAGAAAAGGTATAAGGATATTGGGAGCATTACAAGGTCGGAGTATAATGATATGGGTAGGCTTTCTGGGGCAGATACTGCAAAGCTTCTGTCACGCAAATTGTCTGTTGTTTCAAGAAGTTCTCGCTATAACCCATCGGCCTACAAGAGATTACCTGTGGGTTAAAGATTGATCAAGGCTCCGATACCGCTTTTGCTACATGTTAGGTCTGCAGCTGGTGTGGGGAACCGTGATATTAAGTGGCCAACAAACCCTGAAAAACGCCAGGTACTCCGTACTCCGGTATCCACCGCGACCATCCATGCCGTGACTTGAGTAGTATAACCGCTGGCACCGCATCAACTTGATCTAGATGATGACAAACAGCTGAAGCCCTTCTTGTCTGGACCACTTTTTCTTCTTAGGAATTTACTCCGGATGGTTCGCTTCTTTTCTGTTTCTCAAGTCTTGAACGTTGATTGTGACACGGGAGCTGGGGACCCCACAGGGCCCTGCTGATCTGCACTGGAAGCAGCTCTACTCTGTAGTCGAAGAAAACCGGGCATCCTGATGTTTCAAATGGGCTTATTGCTTAGTACTTACCCGGGAGAAGTTCATTTTCGAAAGAGGTTCTCCATATTCAATGCTCCATTAACCGATCAGATTTGTATGGCGTTCGCTTCATACATCCCACGGCAATGTACGCCGTACCTGGCGGTGGTATGACTGGCACATTGAGGTATTTTCTGCGGGCTTTTGCCGATCTTATTATCTCTAACGGCCAAGCCTCTCTGCTAGGAATCGCTCACCCACCGATCTTCACCTCTCAACGTAATTCCTCCAGTTTTCCCGCAGGTTAATATCGATAACGTTGATCTTTTCCCTCCCCGCCAATTACACGGACACTAACCATCTAATCTACGCCTTTCATGGGCCGGACTTTCACCGGCCGCCAAGCTGATCGTCGTCGCTGAAAAAGCTATCCGTTTATCAATCTTTCAGAACCCTGTAATTCCCTTTGTCATCGTCGTCATTCATGCTCTTTTGCATGCTGATCCGGCAATCCCGAGTTGTCTCTTTGGCCGTGTCTTACGATGTTGGATCAATCGTATATAAACGGCACATGGCCTAGTCTTAGACAGAGGATAACTACCAATCCATCTCAATTCTTCTCACGCCGTCCTCCTTACCCGCCACCAGCACTCTCTTAAATACCTTCCACTTCTCCAAAATGGTCCTCCTCCGTTCCATTTACGTTGCTACAGCCCTTCTCGGTGCCTGTGCGACTGCCATTCCTACCGGTCCCATCCGGGACATCGCCACTCTCACCGAGCGCTGCGTTCCCGACGATCCAACCTCGTGTGGATCCGGCTCCGTGAAGCGTGATGTTCCTGCGAAGCGCTGTATTCCTGACGACCCGACTTCCTGCGAGCCGGGCGACTTCAAGCGCGCATTCCCCGAAAAGCGCTGCATTCCCGATGATCCGACTTCTTGCAGCCCTGGAGATTTCAAACGCGCTTTCCCTGAGAAGCGTTGTGTTCCTGACGACCCAACTTCTTGCAGTGCTGAAGACTACAAGCGAGAGGTTCTGAGCAAGCGTTGTATTCCCGACGACCCGACCTCCTGCGGCGCTGGGGACTTCTAAGCGCGCTTCCCCCGAGAAGTGTGGAGTCTCCAGATTGGTCTCCTGTGGATGCGGTGACAAGTCATAATTGCACCTTTGTCGAATACCTTACTTGGGTTCTTGGCGATCATTACACTCTAAAAACCCATCTTTTTGGCCTGAATCTACGAAGTAGAGCGTTCCAAGAAGGGTTATATTTACGTGACTCATTTCTAAGAGGCTGAATCTGTTTAAGATACCTGTATCAACTCTAGTTCAATATTCGAAAGGGTTGGACATTATTTGTGCTTGGTGGGCGATACTTGACCTGTATTACGGTGTATACCTGAATTGATCATCATCCTGGCGGGAACCCTTTTTAGGAGGCAAAAAGAAACAAAATAATAGAAACTTCGAAAGAATGATCTGATTGGAGTCATATCTTAAGATTTCCTATTACTGAAGTCAGAGAGGAACCCGAAACCCAAAGGTCATAGACCCATCCAGCGCAGCTCTCGTTAAAACTAGCGCACTTCTGAACAAGGTGTAATGTTGGTTTAATTGTTGTATTCCAGTTTTTGTTACGCTAGTAGATAGACTGAGTCGTTCTCGTGACGCTACCTAGGTAGTGAAAAGTGGTCCTTTAGCTAAACTACTAGGGATATGATACTAGGTATACCTACAGTACATGTACAATATGCGAGTGCCAAGGCAACAGCGGTATCCAATTGGTCTAGGAAGCGCTGGGAGCCTAGATTCATGGCCAACGACATTCCTCCACGCAAAGTAATCGATAGGAAGAGACTTTCATATGTCCATTATATAATAGTTAGACATGATTTTGTAAATCCGTTCTTCTCAAGCCCTTCTGTCCTTTTGGTCTTTTCTTTTTGTCCTCCTCTACCAGCCTATTTGAAAAATCATTATTCCTTGCTTCCAAGTCCTATTTATTTCCATTTCAACCACCATTTATCAACCTCGGGCTTTTCTCCCACGAGAAGATATTGCGACATGCCAACTCCAAAGTCATATGTTACCTGGTTCGATGAGGATGACTGGATCAGCGCTGTCATTTCTTTCCCTTCCGGTTCAAAATGGAGAGTGGACACCAAAATTGGAGAGCACGAATATTACCAACCCCAGCTTGATGTAGAAGAGCTGGGGGTCCAATCCGAGGCACGCGGGTCGTTCATTTGCTCTAAATTATCAGGAGATGGTCCACCGAGTACCTTTCTGAAAGTTCGTCTCCAGTAAGTATCTTTCGGTCATAAGACAGTCTCATAAGAAATCACATTAGCATTAATTTTCAGGATTCCGTGGATTGGAACAACCACAAAAAAATCATCGATTCGTGCGCAGCAGGCCACTTCAGATTTTCCTCCAGGTTTTCATACTGAAATTGAAGATTTATCCGTTTTAAAAAAGGCGAACTGCTCTAGCACCCCTTCCCTCCTCGACTGGAAGGAAGAGCAGCAGACTAATGATGAATGGATACCAGGAGGATTTAAGCTGTGCATCCTTATGGAGCGACTCCCGGGGATAGATCCATCCGATGGATTTATAAATCGGACAATGGATCGTCCTGAACGGGATGCTCTACGAGCGGCCTTTAAGACAGCTTGGATGTGAGTTTTCGTCCAATCTTCTAATCTATCTCATCTCTTGATTGATTAGCTAACTTTACTTATTCTTTTCTAGCGATACTATCAATTGCGGACGGGTCCATGATGATGATGCATTACGTAACCTCCTTTGGGACAAGCAAGGTAACAAATGGTTGGTTCTCCCTACTTTCCTGTTTCACCTATCCATCTTTATTGACTTTGTTCTGTTTCGGTAGCTACTTGATAGATTGGGAATATTGCCATCCTCCGGGAAAGAAAGACATCTGGCATGACCGGGTATACATCTTTTGGAATCTAGCACGACTTGGGGAGTCCGAAAGAGAATCGGATATGGATGATTGGGAGTTGTGATACAACGAATATACTTGCCTGATATTATGAATGATATTTTCAGTGAACGGTGACTACCATTCTCGCTGTCCTTGGGCAGTTATCCTACACATTTGTCAGGCATAAACCTCAATACAAACAAATATTTCTTCACTGGCGCGATGAGACACGATTAATAAGTGCGTTCATCGCGATCTCTTGTGCTCTTGATCATTATACTGGCCAAATTACATTCTCCCCTTTGGAAGCTCTGCTGCAGATGGACTCGTCGCCAGATACGCAGCATCGGCAAAATTGACCATTCAAAGAAGGCTGCGGGCACTCAAACAATATGATCTGATCTTTTCTGGCCACAGAACTACCCGGCATGGACGCGACGATCAGAAGTCTTTTTTTTTGTTCGACTGCGTCATTCAATCTAGTATCTCTCTTTGTTCTTTCGGGCTCTTGTCGCTTGGCTTGACTGTCATTGTTGAATCTAATACCCGTTTCCTGTCTAACCCGTAAACAGAATCGATCTTCGTCAGGAAGAACCAGGCCACTAAAAACTCCCGATGCCGAAGTTTGGATCCGTTCCTGATCCACTTGTGTAAGCGAATGCTCAACCATTTTTAGAAAGGAACAAAATACTTCATGGACAAAATGCACAGCCTATCACATCTCAAAATATCCTAAAAATTTCCATTGACTAGTTGGAAAGACAATCCCCTAAAATTCAGCTTTCCATACAGTAAGTAAGCATGGTTTAGAGTGAACAGTTTTTTCAACACCTCCGCTGTGGATCTCTTAGACAGTAGTGCTCCGCACTCCCCAATCATCTTCCGAACCACTGTTTATACTTCATCTAGTTTTTAGAGTAAACATAGCAGCCCCTAACCCAGACGGGAACGATCGATCTCCTCACGAGGTTCAAAATATCACAGCCTTGTCAATCGTCTCCTGAACGCGTTTGACACCTGCCAGTCGCTATCCTATCCATCCCAACCTCTAGCTACGACTATGTTCTAGCTGCCATTCTTTTGAAAGCCCACATCCAGTCATTCTTTTACTTACATAACCAAACTGTCGCTCTCTACGCTTTGCTTTCTCGCTCGAGTAACACCGTCGCCTCCTTTCTGTATGCCGAGAACCTGACTCTTTGCGTCCAAATCTCCCACCAAACTAACCAACTCCAGCTCCCTCGTCACTCTTTAAAACCAAATAGCAAAAAGATCTCGTGCCAACATGCGCTTCACTCTCTTCTCCACCACCGCAATGGCGCTGTTCGCGTGCGTGCCCGCAGCCCCGATTACTCCGCGCAGCTCATCTATTCTTCTGAACTGGACCAAAGAGTCGGCCATCAAGACTGTCAATTCGCTCATGGGCCAGCTTCCCATGGATGCGCAGATCTGGAAAGTCGATGAGGACTCCGGGCTGGTCGGTGTGAACTTTAACTTGGATATGGAGGAGTTGGCGAAGACGGGACTTGTTTCGTTGTCGAAGCATAAGAATGCGAATATTAATATGAATGTGACTATTTCGGGGTTGGATTAGGTGGTTTGTGTTTGTATGCTTCTTGTTCGAGATGATGGTCTAGGAAACTTGGGGTATGGAAACGTTTGGGGATTAGGATATTCGATACTTCATATTGTTTAATTCGAAATTGTTGAGATCTTTTGGGATAGGCCCATTGTTCTGAATATAAGTAGCCAGATTCGAGTGATTGTTCCTTATGCTTATGCTTGACTTTATACAGCTCATGACTAATCTCGGGGTAAATTGGAGAAATGCAAACAGGACGAATCCAATTGGCCAGACCCGCTGGGTTGGGGAACTGCCCGAAAGAGGAAACATGACGTCTGCCCACTGTATCCCACATTTAAAGACACCCTGTAGCGTAGCACTTACCAATGAACCACTCCATTCAAATGTCAACATGCCCGCCCACGGAATCACCATCATTTTCTCCCCTTACCATGTCGGTCTCCGCGACCACCGCGTGGGCAACGGCCCGCACCGCCTCCGCTCATTAGGCCTCATCCCGGAGCTCGAAAAGCTAGGCGTAAACATCACAGTGACAGAGATCGACCGAGTGGATACCTTCGAAGGCGAAATCGGCCGCAGCTTCGAGATCCTGCGCCGCATTTCCAAAGCTGTCTCGGACGCCGTAAACAACCATACCTTCCCGCTCATCCTGTCGGGGAACTGCATGGCCAGCGCGGCCGTCGCCTGCGGCCTCCAAACCAAAGACCTGGCCTTCATCTACTTCGACGCCCATGATGATCTCGATTCCCCCGACGTTAATGAGAACGGGTACTTTGACGCCATGGGCCTCTCCATGTTGCGCGGGGAGAGCTGGAAAACGCTCATGAAAACGGTCCCGGGGTTTGAGCCGTTCGACTACTCCCGCTTCCTGTACTGCGGGTTACGCGATCAATCGGAGGTGCAGAGGCAGCGGGTCATCGACGCCGGAATGGTCTCGATCTGGGGTGATGTGGAGAAGAAGGTGGATTTCCCGCGGGAGTTGAAGGCGCAGCTTGAGAGGCGCTCTTATAGCCCCGCCTTGGTGCATCTGGATCTAGATGTTTTGGACGAGTCGTATGGCAAGGTCAATGATTATCCGTCACCTGGGGGGCTGTTTGAGTCGGACTTGATCGATTGTATGGATTTGGTGCCGAGGAAATCGACTCCGAAGTCACTTACAGTGTGCTCGTTTGATCCGAATGCGGGATATGGGGATAGGATTGCCGCAATTGGGATAAAGGCTATTAAGGCGTTTGTACTGTCGTTGCAGGATACTGGGGTTTTGTCCGGGAATTAGAAGTATCTTTAGAATAGGACCAAATGCAATTGTGGCCTAATCTATAAAGATTATGTTCGGCATAGTGGTCGTTGGAATCACCGCGGTCAATTGAACCACTTTGATCCACTGACCCGATAAAAATCTCAGGTGGTCGTTAGAAATTCAATTTCGAGAAGCTTTTGATGCATTCAAGTCAAGAATATCATGTCATGAAAAAATTGGGGACGATCCACTCGCTGAGCTCCGGAAAAGGCAAATTTTTCGTATTCGTAGCAATAAGATTCATAATTGGTCTATATGCATCAAGAAGCCCCACCGACATGAGGCAAGCCTGCGGTGATTGACGACGAAGGTTACACGAAAATCTTATCTCTTTCTATTATTGGACCTGACCTAAGATCCTTTTCCATGATGGACCGCCTTTTAATCTCAAGTGATTGTCAGCTCTTGCTTCTCCCAATCTTTCCCTGGCGACTAACATCCACCCAAGACCGTCCTCATGCCACTCGCCATCCACCTAGATAATCCACTGCCGGTGTACTCCGGCAATGAAGTCATCCAAGGGCGGGTGGTCTTCGAGTGCCCCAACCTGATCGACATCCAAGACATCCGGGTGACGTTTTCTGGCCGCTCCAAGGCCACCGTGAAGAAGGTTAAGGGCTCCGCGGCTCCCTCGGCCAGTTATCGCAGCAAATGCGTCCTATTCGAGAAGGAAAGGATCCTGAAGTCGTTGAACGGCAGCCCGCTCCCACCAGAGACTTACGAATGGCCGTTTCAATTCACCGTTCCCTCGCACGCTGAGTCGGGTGGGAAATGGCCTGAGAAACTCCCCTTCCGGAGCGATGTCGGTCATCCCTTGCCGCCATCTTTTGCAGCGGAGATAGGCGACTCTCTGCGCAAGTTGGAATGTGCGATCGACTATCGGATTCGGGCGCAAGTGCTGAAGCCTCAGAAGGGGTTCTTGGGGAAACGGTCGGCATTGTTCGACGAGACTGTTCGGTTGAATTATATCCCGCTGGCTGCGCAAGTAGATCGAGCTCGCGATTCGCCATCCTTGTATCAACAGAAAAGAGAGCAAATATTTACCGTGCGGAGTCTGCTGTTGCTTCCGGAGAATCGAGGCCGCAATTTAGGCTTCCAGGAGAAATTCCAGTCGTGGCTGTCGCCCAGTCGACTCCCTCGCTTTGATTTCCAGGTCTCGTTGACTTACTCCGCCCAGGTGGTTCAATCCACGCCACTGCCTTGTGTTCTGGAAATTGTGCCTTTCATGGAAAATGCTTCGGTTTCCAATGCCCCGGATATCTTGCTACAGTCTGTGTCGATGTTCGTTGTGAATCGCACGTCAGCTCGAGCGTCGCCGTCCATAATGGGCGCAATATCTGGTGAAGTTGACGAGCGCATCGAGATTCTGTCCAAAACATCAGTCAGAACGCCAGTATCGGGTCGAGTCGATTTGAATCAGATGTTTGGGCCACTCGTGTTCAAGAAGTCGGACGTATCGTTCAGCACGTTCAACGTATCCAGGCAGTACACACTTTGCGCGTCGTTTGTGTTTGAATGTGCCGGTAAAACTCTGGAATTTACCCTTGCCGATCTAGGTATCAACATAATGGCAGATGTCCAGGATTTCGGTGGACAGGATAAGATGTCCAAATCCGAGCTCGCCAGTCAAGATCTGGGAATTACGAATACGCCCCATTCCACCTCGCGGCAGAATGATAACGAAAGCCCTCCATCCTACGCATCTTTGTCTCCTTTGTCGACAAGAACGTTCGAGAAAGGCCCCGGGTGAGGTTAAGTTATCTTGATCTTGGTCCTTTTTGGCTGTAACGATATATTCTTTCATTACCTGTGTCTAAAAATGCCGAATTCTGATCCTCTGGTGTCTTCATTCTCGTCTCCTAGAAGCGTGCAATTTCCATCGAAAGCCTTACTACCAAGTCATGCCGAAATAACTACCGATATGGCCTCTAGCGTGATATAGCTTGGCATGACTTTGAAACACCCGCAATGTAACCCAAGAGCTCGGGGTAAACTTGTCGCTTTCCTGCATGCAGGCGTTAGCCGGATTCCCCTCCGTGGCGCTCTCGGATGCACGAGGCTAAATCAACACCCGTTCTCCACGCGAGCAGATTGGGTAATAGTGAAGAATAGCCGGCTCAAGGGTTACTCCCCCCGAGGCTATTCAGGACACTTCAGGCTATGATCGCGATCTCATGATTTCTAGTGGTGAAGCTGAAGAACCAGAATTAGGCAAAGATCCTGTCGTCACGCAAGCGAGGTGCTTGGACAATCGCGAGGTCTTGGCTTATACCAAGAATGGTGTAATTTGAAAGTGGCTTTCGTCAGAAACAACCTTCTCCGCACCAGTCTTAGGCTGTGACAATCATTCATCCTTCATGAACCCCTTGACATATCTGCCAATAGGATTGTCTCAGTACATCGGCAGAATTGGACGATCGACAGATCAGCCTAAACTAATCAAGAGCCGAAGCTCCAGACCTTTCTTCAGGCCTTTCACGTCCGGGGCCCCGCACATAGAACGGCAGCTAAGCTCTCAATTTGCCGGTGAGGGCATACAAAAGGGTGTTGCGATCGCTTCATTCACGCAGAAAGAGACCATCAACCAGCGCAATCAGAAGCACTCTCAATTCAATTGAACCTGAAATAGCAGTCCTTGACCATGGTCTCTTTCTCCTCCTTGCTTGTGGCGCTCTCCGCTGCCGTCGGAGTTCTCTCTGCCCCCGTCGAGCAAGCTCCAGAGTTCCCCGACCTATCCTTCAACGGAACTCTTCACGAGCTCGCCGAACGCTCCACGCCCAGCAGCACCGGCTGGAGCAACGGCTACTACTATTCCTTCTGGACAGACGGCGGCGGCGACGTCACCTACACCAACGGTGCAGGCGGCTCCTACACAGTGCAATGGTCCAACGTCGGCAACTTCGTTGGCGGAAAGGGCTGGAACCCAGGAAGTACCAGGTAAGTCCCCTTCCCTTCTCCCTCGACCCTCTCTTCTCCCCTCCCTCCCCCTGATGCCATTCCCAGAACAATCAACTACGGCGGCAGCTTCAACCCCAGCGGAAACGGCTACCTCGCCATCTACGGCTGGACCCAGAATCCGCTCATCGAGTACTACATCGTCGAGTCCTACGGCACGTATAACCCCGGCAGTGGCGGCACTTACAAGGGCACTGTGACCTCCGACGGCGGCACGTATGACATCTACACGTCGGTGCGGTACAATGCGCCGTCGATCGAAGGGACCAAGACCTTTACGCAGTTTTGGTCGGTGAGGCAGTCGAAGCGCACCGGGGGCTCGGTCACGACGGCGAATCATTTCAATGCCTGGGGACGGCTGGGGATGAGCTTGGGGAACCATAATTATCAGATTGTGGCGACCGAGGGATACCAGAGTAGTGGGTCGGCTTCGATTACTGTTTACTGAGGTCGGGAGCTACCCAGGGTAGTCAGCCTGCAGAAGTCCTGGTGGGTGATACGATGTCGAAAGGGCTAGCATTGGCTGGCTCTCGCGTGGGAGGCTGGATGTCTGGATGGATTCAGGGGTGAAGAGGTTTTGGCTGAGTTTTTGAGGGGCATTTGGGACGCTGTTACTATCTCTTCTCATCGTTTTGAATTGACGGGAAGCTTATTGATTGCTGGACCTGCTACTACGGTATTTGTAGGGCTACTAAAACTGTTCCTCGTAGGACACCATATCTTTCAGCCGTGTCTCGAAAAAGATCGGTGGTTTGAGCAAACATCGGAAATGCGTTGGAATACAGAATGTGTTGGAAAAATCAAATAAAAAACCAAACTGGTGAGGTGAAACTGACAGAAAAAAAGCAAAAAAGAACAGATGGTCCCAGAGAGGCTCGAACTCTCGACTTCTGAGTTATTAGCTCAGCACTCTAACCGACTGAGTTATGGGACCAATTGTTGAAAGACGCAAAATAATTTGGTTACATGACCCTTGACTACTTTCTAGCAACATCAATCTCATTCACCGCATCATGCAAACTATGACATACAAGGGGTTGAGCCCAGTGGTTTTTCCCAACAAAATGGGAAAAAAATGTGTGATTACTCATACTACGTGAGGGGGTATGAAAATGGTTGAGGAGTGTAATTAGGTTGTTCGAACTCGTATTGTGGATTTTATGCAGGAGCTTCGGCTTCTATATATGTTGCACTACATGCATGTATAGTTTTCAAACCCCCCCGCAGTACACAAATCGATACGATCACAATGACGAGACCAGAACCCAATTTGATAATTTTTTTTTTCCAGTTCAGGACGCACCTAGAAGGATTCTATTAGCAGAAGAAGACCCGTTCACTGGATAAGAAACCCGAATGCTCTCCGGTTGCAAGAGCGGTTGTAAATAGGAACCCATAGTAAGAAGACAGAACTAGTCATCCTCCTTGACAGAGATCGTGAGGGGACGAGGAATAAATTGTGTAGCCGCCAATATATACTACTGTATGATTAATCGAAGATGGGGCTAATATATTTTGGCCCTATCGATATTATTATAACAAGGTACCTGATGTACTCTACAGGAGGCTGGAGTTGGACCTGTCAACTCTTTCTAAACAATCTAGATCCTGGTAAATGTGATGCCTGCAGCGTAAGCAGCCTCGTATTTAGTAGCAGGTACCATGCGGGCAGGCATCTGATACCCCGAAAACGAGACCGAGCATGATTGGCTTCAATAGAGTTGCAGGATCAAAGTCTACCGTTTCTTCGGCTGAGCCTATCACGATCCCCCGTCGGCGCACGTCCAAATGTTTGGAGGGTTTGTACTGGTTGACTCAGCAGAGGCGCCATGCCCGATCGGGCCAGATGTGTTCAACGTCATTCTTTGTCTTTTTCTCTTCTCGCCCTTTTCTCTTCGCTCCTTTTCTGCTGCATTCTCTGCCTCTGAGGCCTTTCTAACCAAGCCTTCCATCGCCCTGAATATCCCAAACAGGATGAGACTACCTCCTTATCCATTGTTGTGCTCTTGAACCCTTTTTAGTATACCATGGAAAACCACACCCCCCCGGTCGGCTCCTTGTTGCCGGGCGGCCACGAACCCGACCCCCGGGAGGCTGACATTCTCGCTCACCACCTGGACCCGCAGTTCACCGCATCGTTACACGACCAGTACCAATCTCCGTCGGAGAATGGTAACGACAATGGAGAGTCGAGTAGCACCGCTGCTGCGCCCGAGCCTCAGTCCTCCCTCACGCTACAAGGCGGTGACGTCCACCGTGACCTCTACCGCATCGAAGCCAAGTCCAAGCAGGCCAAACTAGACAAGCGAGCCTACAGCTTTTCCTACCCTCACCGCGAGCCCGAGGATGCCATCGAGGAGGGCGTGGCTGCTCTAGAGCCAGGGAGCTTTCGACGCCATTTCATCCAGCATCATCGACATGCCGACTTTGATCATCCCCGCGTGACTACCTCTTTCGTGGACTTCTTGGACTTGTACGGAAATTTCGCTGGCGAGGACTTGGTTGATACCGAGGAGGATGATGAGTCGGTTGCCAGTGAGGACCGACGCCCTCGACACCCGGAGGAGGGCCCAAGACATGTCTCGGAACGCACGGCGTTGCTGGGATCTCGAAAACGGTCGCGTGTTGGCCAACCGGGAGATGCCTCCGACATGAAAGCCTTTCTGACCTTGCTCAAGGCATTTGTCGGCACTGGAATTATATTCCTGCCTAGGGCCTTTCGCAACGGAGGTATTCTCTTCTCGTCCATCACCCTGGTGACGGTCGCGATTATCAGCACAGCGTGCTTTAACCTGCTATTGCAATGCCGTCGTCAATACGGAGGCGGATATGGTGACATCGGTGAACGGATCTCCGGTCCTCAACTGCGCTCCCTCATTCTTAGTTCGATCGCTATCTCCCAGGTGGGATTTGTCTGTGCTTGTATCATCTTCACCGCGGAGAACCTGCACGCTTTCCTCCAGGCTGTAACCGCCAACCCGGATTTCCTCATCTCGGCTGGCTACTTGATCGTTCTGCAGTTGGTCATTCTTATCCCGCTGGGGTGGATCCGCAACATCTCCAAATTGGGCCCGATCGCCCTCATTGCGGATGCATTCATTCTCTTGGGCCTGGCCTACATCTACTGCTATGACCTTGCCGCACTGATGTCCCGCGGCATGGAGCCTACCGTCAAGCTGTTCAACCCAAGCTCTTTTACTTTGACGATTGGATCCTCCATCTTCACATTTGAAGGGATTGGGTTGATACTTCCCATCCAGTCGTCTATGAAGCAGCCGGAGCACTTCAATCGGCTTCTCTACCTTATCATGACCATCATCACGATTCTTTTCACCGCTGTCGGCGCTCTCTCCTATGCTACATTTGGCGAGAGCACGCAGACAGAAATCTTCAGTAACTTCCCGCAGACTGACCCTTTTGTGAATACGATTCAGTTCCTCTATGCCCTCGCGATCCTGGTCGGCACACCCATTCAGATGTTCCCCGCCGCCCGCATCATCGAGGGTAAACTATTCGGACCGAAATCCGGTAAACACGACAAATCCATCAAATGGAAGAAGAACGTGTTCCGCACCGTGCTTGTTATCTGCTGCGGAGTCATCTCGGCCGCCGGCGCAGGGGATCTGGACAAATTTGTCTCGTTGATAGGGTCCTTTGCCTGCGTTCCGCTGGTGTATATCTACCCCGCATATTTGCATTGGAAGGGAGTGGCTGAATCCCCATGGGCCAAGCGAGGTGATATGGTCATGGTTGCCCTTGGGGTTGTCTTCATGATCTACACCACCTCCGCCACGGTGTCCGTGTGGATTCAGGGTTGATTCGCTGGTCGTGTTGCCAGTGCCTCGCCGTAGAAATTGCATGCCCTTGCGTCCTTGTCAGCCCTTTGGATATTTGTCTCCGCCCGACCCTTGAACGAATCAACGACCCTACGAAGTACCCGGATATGATTTGACCACCTGTTTTCGAAATTACAGCCGCTTGCAAAAGCATCTTCCCCGTTCACGCGCTTAACGATCTCGATTTGAAAAGCATTTTACTAGACAAAGCTAATTCTTCCGAGCTTAGTTACGAATCACTTCATTGAATCCCAGATGCGGGCCGTTGTAATTGTATCGCAGTATATAAAAGAATAAAACAAGCTTGATCAGGCTTCAACGCTGTTATATTACCTTACCCTCACATTTTGAGCTCTACTTCCATCTACCATAATTCATAGTAAATCCCTCCTTAACCAAGGAGGGCTAGTTATCACCAGTCACCGTCACCAAACCGCCTGCATACGTTGCACAACATCAACCCATACCACTCCCTCTCTTCCAACCAAACACTAACTCAACGCCCTCTAAACTCCCTAAAAACCTCCTCTACACTCCTCCCTGCCCGAATCCCCTCCGCACACTTCTCATCCGCCGCCGCAATCCCCGGAATCAGATCCAGCACCTGCTCCGCCATCTCCTGCGGCAAACATACCACGCCATTCAGGTCCGCAATCAAATAATCGCCGGGCCTGACCCACGCATTAGGCTGATCACTCGAGTGCAGACGCACGGGCACATTGACCTCTGACGGTCGACACACTTCGCCGCCGGCTGTTGTGCCGACGGATTTGGCGAATAGCTATAGGGTTGTTTCTTGTTAGCTCTGAGACTTGACTTGACCCAACACACGCGGGGAATGGAGATGGAATATAGCTACAGCTATAGCTATGTGGATAAGGAGCGCTAAACTCACCCGGCCATCGATGATCACCCCCGCGGCGCCGAGCTTCTGGGCCCGGAGCGTCATCAGGCCCCCGTAGACGGCGTTTACTTGGGGTGGGGGCTGGGAGATGAAGACCACGCTGGATGGGGGGGTTTTATCGATCTAGAGAGTATTTAGGTTAATACATCGTATACTATCCGTGCGATGGTATGCGATGAAATAGCATATACGAGAAGTCACACATAATTCCCCGACACCTTCGGCGCCCCAACATCCGACTTCGGCACGAACTTAACCGTGAAAGCCTGTCCGATGAGCTTCGTCTCCCCGGCTTGGAAGTCCGGCGAGTACATGGTTAAGCCTTCGAGGAAGCCGCCGTTGGGGTGGTTGAGTTTGGAGAGGCCGTCTGCTACCTGGATTTATATTTAGAATGTGTTCTATGCTGGACGTGGGTGGTTGGGGTTAGAGTATAGGGAATGGAGGAAGGGGACTTACATCGCAGGCACCCCATTTCTGAAGCTGTTCGATGATGGTTTGTGGGGAGGGAGTAGACATCTTGGAAAGGAAAGGGTGAGAGGGGGTTTGTTGTTGAAGTTGGGGTTGTTTTGAGTTTGATGATAGGCTACCTTATTTGACTGATTAATTGATCAGGATACGTCATTGGCTTGCTTCACTGGAGGGAATGTCAAACGCGATATGTCGGGATAGCCGACGGAGTTCGAGGCCGATGGAGATGCTGTTGGGGTTAGCCGAAATGTCTTCGGAGCGGATCCGATCCTGAGCGCTCTCGGGTGATATGCGGTTGGGTTAGGTAAATTAGGATATATCCGATGGAGGTATACTACTGACAGCATGCCTGGTCTATATAGGATGGAGCATTTCTTACTCCGATTGGTTTTTGCATTTTTCTTTTCTTCTCTTTTCACGGACCTTGCTAGTAGTGCGACACCAAAATCTTGACTATATAGCCAAAAGTTCTCCTGATCTAGTCATATAAAATTGCAAAAAAAAGCCAAAATGACCATAACTGCCCCCAACGACACTCTATACCCCCCCAAACCAATCCCTCAAGGAGCCTGGGACACGCACCACCACATCTTCGAGCCCGACATCTTCCCCTTCGCAGCAGGTCGACACTTCACGCCTGCTCGCGCATCCCTATCGGACCTACAATCCTTCGAGAGGGGCCTCGGCGTTCAAAACGTCTGCATCGCGCACGGGCTGTCCTACGGGCCTGATTGTTCATCCTTGCTGTATTATCTGGGGCAGTTCAATGCCCCTGCCAACGCCAACGCCCCAGACCAAGAAACAAGCCAAGGCGAATGCCAAGCACGAGGAATCTGCGTTCTGGACATCAGCACCGTCACCGATGAAGTTCTGGACGCGTATCATGCCGCAGGGGTACGTTCCGTACGAATCGACTTCTTTCGAGAAAACGCGATGCATGACGTCGATGCTCAGAAGCGGTTGATTGAGAACACCGCGACGAGACTGAATACGTGGTGGCAGTCAAGGGTCAGGAAACGTCGTGGTCAAGATCAAGACCAAGACCAAGACCGAGGGAAATGGAGCATTCAAATCCAGCAACCTCACCTAGAGCACTGGGTGGTTCTGCGGGCCACTATCGCCGCATGTCCGGTCCCTGTCGTGGTGGACCACTTTGCCCTGGTGGCTGGGAGTAGCCATCGAGCTGGTGACAGGACCACCTGCATCCAGGACTCAGGATACCTGCGGGACGAAGAAAGAGAGGGACTTTTTGCGCTACGGGACTTGTTGAGGGAGGGGAATCTATGGATCAAGCTGTCTGCTCCTTATCGGTGCTCGAATCTAGCGCCGGGATACGAGGATCTGAAATGGCTGGTTCGGCTTTTGGTGGATGCAAACCCAGAAAGGGTGTTGTGGGGAAGTGATTGGCCTCATACGCAGAGACATGAGGATAGGGCTGGGAAGAGTACGAGTCAGGAGGAGGCGTTTTTGCAGGTTAATGATAAACGCTGGGTTGAGGGGTTGAGTCGGTGGATGTCGCAGAGGGAGTGGCAGCTTATGTGGGTGGAGAATCCGAGAGTCTTATATTGTAATGACGATTAGAGTGTTTGGTCAATATTGCGGAGGTAGGTTGCTATAATGGTCGTTGAAGTAAGGGTTCTTGATATTGGGAGGATGGTTTGAAGTACACGTGTTATAATGAGGCATAACTTGAATCCTATTCATCTCGGTTGTGGGATTCAGGTTGAATAAACTAAATGTCTGGCTGGGGTGCCCCGAAGTCAACGTCATTGAGCCATCCAAGATCAAACAGATCCCGAAGGATCCCCAACTCGTCGATGAGAGCGCCCGTTCTTTCCTGGGGCTCCATATTTATTGTCGTCCTGGGCTGGCCGAGATAAGCCCCTTCATTTTCGGTCATGTGTCACGATACGAGGCCCCGAGCTCCGTTGAGGCCACTTTCGATGCCTGCGCCAATCAGGCCGGAAAAGGCACTTCCTAGCTGAGAACCGGAAAAGAGAAAGGCACTGCGCACACCCATCTCCTTGCGTTTGTACCACGAAGAAATCAGGAACAAAGCTCCCGCTATTGTAAGGATTAGTTTATCATTATTATAAGGGTCAAAGAATGTGCTGGAAGAAAGAGATTTCTCACGGTAGAAAGCCGCTTCAACAAAGCCTAGTAAAAACCTCAAAGCATAGAGACCTCCAGCGTTGTGACATGCTCCAACGAGAGCTGACAGCATGCCCCAGATTGCCATGCAGGTCGGAAGATAGATAGATGGACGCAAATGAGCCAAAAATATGTTCGAAGGAAGTTGCATCAGCACATAGCCGGCGAAAAGAATAGCCACGGCCGTGGCGTATTGTGTACTGGTGAGATTCAGAGACGTTGCAATACCGGCAACCTTTGCAGCAGCGATGTTGTTCTGTAACGCGGAGATGAGACGTTAGAAGAAGACATAGGAAAGTGATAGTATAATCCGGGTTTCAACTCACCCTGTCAAGGTAGTTCATGACAAAGATAACCCAAACACATAGCAGAAGCCGTACATCGAGCTTTCTTTTTAGACGTTTCTCTGCAATTGCAAATTCCTCCGGTGACATCTGTTGAGCAGTGGCCAGCCTATTCGTACCATTTTTCTCCTTTTGGGAGACTGAAAGTTCAAGGGGCTGCACTGAAGCTTTCTCAAGATCAGCCATAATACAAATATGCCCGGGTTGCAGAAAGAATTTTGAAAAATATAGTTATAATATGCCTTAAGGATGAAACGTTTAGAAGTGATGAAACTCATAAGAGAGAGAAGAAGCACACATACCTCATTATGAAAGAGGACTCCTTATATACACCTTTCTCCTATTACCCCCTCCTTCTTTCCCCATGGGGTAGACTCATATGTCAAGACGGGAAGGAAAGGGAAGCCCACACTTAGTGGAGCGCTGAATAAGTCTGTATCTGGGGGATCAGCATTGGCACCATCTTGTCATGCAACGCAGGATGAGCGGTGTTGTTCAGCTGAGTGAGCGGAGGGCAGGAGTCGGCTCGGACTCCGAAAAGACGACGGTAGGAGTCCGGCCGAGGACTGTCACTCTAAGAAGGCCGCAGCGGCCTTGATCCGCCGGCTTTAGAATAGACAGAACTGACTGTCCCATGTTCATTCCCTCACCAAATGCTTTCTTATTGATAATATTGCTACTTTGACTCTAAATATTCTGTGCCTCCTGACGCAGTTTCTTCTTTTTCAATCGATCCCTTTTAGTCAAAAAACCGTCAATCTCTCCTAACGGAAACTCGAAATATCTACAAATGACTATCGTACACATGGGTAAGCAAAGAGACCAGGAATCATCCTTCATTATAGTTCCTACCCAGACTAACACAGTAACTATAACCAGTAATGTTCAAATTCCGTCCCGAAGTGACGGCAAAACACAAAGACAACTTCGTACGCGAACTCAAGAAACTGAAAGACCTGGACTGCATCAAGTCACATCGACTAGTTGTCGGTGGCCCGTCCGTCACAGATCCTATTGAGGGGAGCAAGGGATCCGAGTTTGCTCTCCTCAGCTTCCACGAGAATATCGAGGCATTGAAGGAATACCAAACCAGCAAGGAGCATCATTGGTAAGTGGTTCTGATATAATAGCGAAGAAATATATCAGATATTCTGATCTCCAGATTAGGGTGACTAGTACATACATGTTCCCATATAAGGAGGATCTTGTTCGATTTGATTTTGAGGTTGCGTCGGAGGATGAGCACATGTGGAATTTTCCTGTCCTTAACGGCACGACTACCCATTAGATATTTGTATAGAGTCTGAGCATTTTTCAAGAGCCTAGACATTGCGTTAATGAACAGGCATATAACAACAGTACGACCGAAAATATCTAGAACCCAGAGTAGAAGCAAGTATTATCAGGCTACTATGAGGCATATACGGTGCGACAGCGGCGAAAACAGGGCGGAGGTAACAGGCACAGAGGGGACTTACCAAAATCAACCACCAGAATGTCTACGAAGCGATAATTTTGAGAATTCCAATCATTTCATAGATCACAACGAATTTCCCAAATTCTCAATTGGTGGCCGTATCGGTTACGGTCCGAGTCCTTTGGCCTGCATTCTATCCCGAGCCAATCAGGGCCATTTCGGACCGAATCCGACGGAGGCCAACCGCATATCAAGACCTTCATCTATCTTGGATTGCATCTTTTAACTCACCTGATCCTGTTTGAATTTCGGTACTTTCTGATTAGTTTCTCCATTTGGTCGCCACCTTTTTCATACGTCACCGCATCTTCATGCAACAGCTTGCCATTTAATTTCTAATCCGGATCCCAAAATAAACATCATGGCTTCCAACGTAGGTAACGGATCAATCTCATTTCATTCAAACGTTCTAATAACTCCAATAGGCTCGGTACTATGCCAGTCCCGCCGAGGCAACTAAATTCGCCACCCATCTGCTCGCCAAATCCGGACTAAGCGAAGAAGACGCCAAGTCCATGGCGGAATGCTTAGTTCTCGCTGACGTGCGCGGCGTCGTAAGTATCACCACACCTCGCCTACACGCAATTACCCTAACGAAGCTACATAGGACACTCACGGTCTCGCGCGTCTACCCCAATACCTAGAGCGAGTCAGCAAGGGCCGGGTCAACGCGACACCCCGGATCCAAATCACCGAGAAGACGCCGGTGGTGGCGCACCTCGACGGCGACAACGGGTTCGGGTTCGTCGTGGCCACTAAAGCCATGACCGAGGCGATCAAGCGCGCCGAGATCTACGGTATCGGCATGGTGACCGTTAACCATTCGAACCACTTCGGCATGGCCGCCACCTACGTGCTGCAGGCGCTGGAGGCGAACATGATCTCGCTGGTGTTCACTAACTCCGCGAAGCAGATGCCGCCATTCGGTGGGAAGGAGGCATTGTTGGGTATCTCGCCGTTTGCGGCCGGCGCGCCGTGGCGAGTCGATTCCCCTTGGCTGGGCGCTAGATGCGGATGGGAATCCGACTACCGATGTGGAAGTCGCTTTGAATGGTAGTATGGCGCCGATTGGGGGACCAAAGGGATCGGGGATTGCGATCCTGATGGATGTTATGTCGGGGGTGTTGACAGGGGCGGCGTTTGGCGGGGAGGTGGGGGATCAGTATAAGGATACGAAGCCGCAGAATGTGGGCCATTGTTTTGTGGTGTTGAGGCCGGATGTGTTTATGAGTACGGAGGATTTCAAGGCACGCATGGATGTCTTAGTGCAGAGGGTTCATGGGGTTAGTCCGGCGCCTGGATTCTCGGAGGTGTTGTTCCCTGGAGAGCCGGAGTATCGGTTGAGTCTTCAGCGTCAGAAGGAGGGCATTCCGTATGCAGATGCTGAAAAGGCTATGTTTGCTAATTCGGCGAAGAAGTATGGGATTGATGAGCTGCTTTTGTCAGATACGCCACTTTCGCTGAGTTAGTTGGTGTTGAATATTTTTAGGCTGAAGCTGGTTCTTTTATGTTACATGTACAAATGCATCATATATATCTCGATTTTCGTGTTCCAAAATTAAATAAAAGCTGCTGCATAGATATCAAATATCTCCTGAGGATTCCAACCATCATAAACCACACATGATAACCTGATCGAAATCAATGAATGCGTTACATACACCAACAACGTATGTCAAGGATCCGTGAAACTAGGCCACAGACATAGAATAGTCTTGACTTAGCCAGATCAAATTAGACATGCTCCGCGCTTCAGCCGGAGCCGGACCGAGTCCGATAAATCACAGTCTATAACAGAAGCCGAGGGCAAATCCGAATTCCCTGCAACTTCAGACACATACCGTTGCCCTTATAAGCTAGAGAAGCGCATGCACAATACAATATCTTCGGTATAAGCAGAAATCCATCAACTACGCCATGGCCTCAAAAAATGAATTCACGTATCCCGAAACCAATCTCACCTGGAGAATCCTCAACCATGCCAACAAGAACAATTACGCTGTCGAAGCATACAACTGGTATGTAGAAATACTCAAGTTCCCTAGCCCTTAATAATGCTAGAGTTCGTAAAGACCATCGAAAATAACATCCGCTTTGTACAGCTACAACACCGACGGCGTAGTGGCCATAATCCGCGCCGCCGAACGCACCCACTCAGCAGCAATCATCCAGCTTTTCCCGTGGACTATGCATTTTCAAGGCCCTGAATTCATCCGCTACGTGGTACGAAGCGCCCACGCTGCGCTTGTTCCAGTAGCCGTGCATCTAGATCACTGTATTAAGACCGAGGATGTTGAATTGGCGCTGACTCTGCCGTTTGATTCGATTATGGTGGATGCGTCGACGCTTGATGAGGAAGCTAATATCGATTACTGCAAGCGGATCGTGGAGCGTGCGCGCGCCTTGAATATCACTATCGAAGCTGAGATGGGGCGCATCGAGGGCGGCGAGGACGGGTTGCCGACGGTGGATATGGAGGCCGTCATGACGAGGGAGGACCAGGCGAAGGAGTTCGTCAGGCGCACGGGGGTTCATTTTTTGGCGCCTTCGTTTGGAAATATCCATGGAGGGTATCCGGACGGTGGGGCGGAGAAGGCGTGGGATTTAACGAAGTATGTTATTTTCTGCATGGCTGTCTAGAGTGAATGAATGGAGGGAAGGTGCTGATGATGAATTATCTAGACTTGCGGCTATCGGGAAGTCACTATCCTCGACCACGCCGTTGGTTCTTCATGGGACGCATCCTGTCTCGGATGAGCTATTCCTGAAGACCATTCAGTTCAGTGTTCGCAAGATCAACCTGAACAGGACCGTGCGAGATGAATACACGAAATTTGTTGCTGAAAATGCGGGCCTCTTGGAGTTGACCGTGCTCAAGGTCCAAGCCGTGGAGATTTATGCGAAATCAATTGCAAGGATGATGGATGTCCTTGGGTCGTCAGGGCGTTATTAACAGACAACAAAATACATCAAAGAGCACACCATCGGGTCTTCTGTATGGTATCTATTTTTCCATCCTCGTTTTCTTCGCTACGGGCCAAGATAGGTCTTATACTTCCAAATGACGACAACATCACGGCACGATGGCCACACAACCACGTCACAGGCCGAATTGAATGAATCAAAATGACATATGGCACGCATTCTCCCTGAAAATTCTTCTTTCTCCTCTTTCCCATCATCCTCTCAACACCATCGAGAAAATTCTATCTAGCATCAACATTCAACATGTCTTCGTTGATATCCATCTCTCTCCTGTCCCTCGCTCTCGTCCAGTCTACGAGGGCATGCGAGGTCCTCACAGAGGTCTCGCACACCTTCTACGGCTACCCCGACAACGACCCTCCCGGTCCCGACATCCTCTATGACTGTGGTCGAGGCAACATAGCCGGCGGAGTCGGCACCTACGACGACCCGCTCACCTTCGCCACGGGAACCGGCGAGTTCGAGCAGTGCGAGATCATCTACGTGCCCTATTTGCATAAGTACCTGCGCAACGAGGACTACTGCGAGACCTGCGACAAGAACTGGGACAACGGCATCTGGCACATCGATGTGTGGACTGGCTCGGCGGACCTTAACGGCATGGAGGGCCAGATCCATTGTGAGAACTCTCTGACTCCACCACCGTTGTCGATTATTAGGAATCCAGGGGATGGGTTGCCGGTTGATCGTGAGTCGATTCTTTTTCCTTTACCTAGTGTTGCCTGAGTCGGTCCTGACGATTTTACAGAGTACCCGCTTTATGAGGCAGATGGGCGGGATGCGTCGTGCAATTTGGATCATGTTTCCGTGACATTCGATAGGGAGGATTATTGCTAGAGGGGTCTGGGTTGCTGTTTCTGTTGCTGCGTTTTTTACTGTCGCTAGGGACAGAGATTTCGAACTACGATCTGTTTTAGAATGAAGACTTACTCATCAGCCTAATCTCACTTTCGTCGTCTTCTGAAGCATATTGGCATGCATTTGTAGTATCCGCGTTACGCACAACAATTATTCTGGTTTCTTGAGATGCTGATGGATAGAAAAAAGCAGTGAAACGCCGATCTTACGTACATGACTGCAATCAACTATACTCCGAAGGAACGGCAGCCCTGAAAGCTATAAGATAACCAATAAGAGTACTACACTGCTGTCCACGCTACCAAGCAGGATATGACCTCACCGAATCCCCTAACTTCTTGTGGAACCTGAATCCAACGCTCAGATAGACCGCTTGGACCTCAACCAAGCTGGCAGTGTCCACAATCCTTGCATCCGGCGGGCTTCCGGGAATGACAAGCGCGATTGACTGGACCAGCACAGTCCATGCATGCTGGGGGAGGGGAAAATCACGACTAAACTAGGGGCCGTCGGATGCATTCTAGAACTTGATGGCGTATTCCCGGGCGGGAATAGTCGCCAGTCACAAACCCCGATCTGAGTCATTCCCGAACAAGATTATTCCCGACGATGCCGGGTGGCTATATATATCGGTCCGCCCTTTCTTTCTCTTTCTTTTTCTTTTCTATCTACTTTTAAACTTTCAATTCTATGTGTATTCAAATTCCAAGACCAATTGAATCATGCCCTCAACATTCACCGACACGGAGGACACCCTCCTACCTCCCTACAGCTTCCTAGATGACTACAGCGAAGGCGCCCACCCACAGCTCCTCGAAGCTCTTCTACGCACCAACGCCACCCAACAAATCTCCTACGGCAACGACTCCCACAGCGCCGAAGCACGTCAACTAATCCGCCAACACCTCCACGCCACCGACGACGAAGTCGCCATCCACTTCATCCCCAGCGGCACGGCCGCCAACCTGATCGGCATCGCCAGCTGCCTCCGGCCCTACGAGGCCGTCCTCACCGTCGAGTCCGGCCACATCGTCAGCAAAGAAGCCGGCGCCATCGAAGCCACCGGCCACAAGACGATCCTAGTCCCCGGGGTCCGGGGGAAAATGACGCCCAAGAACCTGGAGCGCGTCGTGCGCCAGAACCAGTTCTTCCCGCACTCCGCGAAGCCGAGACTCGTGTACATCTCGAACGCCACGGAGCTGGGCACCATCTACACGAGGGCCGAGATGGCCGCCCTCTCGGAGACGTGTCGGAGGCTGGACCTGCTGCTGTTCATGGACGGGGCCCGGATCGGGGTGGCGCTGAGCGCGCCCGGAAATGACCTGACGCTGCGCGACCTGGTCGACATGACGGATATTTTCTGGATCGGGGGTACCAAGATGGGCGCTTTGCTGGGCGAGGCGATGGTGGTGCGCAGTCATTTGGCCGACGGGTTCGCGTTCCATCTGAAGCAGCACGGGGCCTTGCTGGCCAAGTCCCGTGTCATGGGCGTGCAGTTTGCGGAGCTGTTCCGCGAGGACTTGTTCTTCGAGATGGCCAGGCATGCGACGGAGATGGCGCAGACCATCTCGGTGAATTTCGAGGCCCTGGGGTATGAGCTGGCGGCGCCGACGGAGACGAATCAGGTGTTTGTTATCTTGCCGGATCGGTTGGTTGCTCGGCTGGAGGAGAGGTTCCGGTTCTACGTCTGGGATCAGAGAGAGGATGAGACGGCCGTGGTGAGGATCGTGACTTCGTGGGCGACGGACAAGCTACAGGTGGATAAGTTTAATGCGTGGGTGAGATCGGAAACGACGGCATGATTTGCATTGCATCGATAGCGGATAGATACATGAACTACTAATTAATGAACACCTTAACATAATGCAGATTACATCCTAGGAGGCAATTCGATGGTCTTGTAGACACTATGGCTGGCAACCCTTCCAATATTCCCTCTACGCAAATATCGCGCACAGAAATTTCACGGCAAATTTCGCAAGATACCCCGCAGCCTCCTCATGAGGGGATTCAAGAATCTGCGGCAGAAAATCCATTCCCGGCGCCACAGACCCGCCATTCCCGACGATTCCCGTGTTCTCGGCCACCGACCGAAGCTCAAAGTTGGAGTTGCCATTTGTCACACAGGGGCTGAGCAGTTTTTCTCTCGTAACTGCTTCATGGCTTAATTAATTTGGTTGAGCATGGCCATGTTTTTGGGTTTTCTGAAACCCCTCTGTCTTATTCTTCTCAATCGGCTCAATTGATGGTCATTCAGTTACCAAAATGCTATAGAGACACTAATACAGACCCATATTTACAACTTCTAATCCACTATATCGAGATCTAGGTATAGCACCTTCAATTTATAGCTTCGACTCCCTCGCCGGGGCGAAATTAGATCCCTCACCCTTTCCAATTGCCTTCACGATATCATCCACGCTATTCAAGATCCACGTATTCCCCTCGTCGCTAGCCAACCATTTGGCCGCCTCTTCGCTCTCAACATCATGTACCCATGTTGAGTCCTCGATGGCCTTCCGCAAACCAAACACATGCGATAGCACCTGCGGTCCAACACCTGTTTGGGCGCGCAGACAAGCAATCGCCACGATAGACGTTGCTAATCGGCCTACATTCGCCCCCGAGCGTTGCGGATCGGACAGAAGAGCACCGTAGTTGAAATGCAGGATGTGTACGGGAAGATCCGGATGCGCGTCGCCTAGCTTACGATATAGCTTCGTCTCGAAGGGCCGGTAGATCGAGTCCCAGAGGTCTTTCCCGCGAGCACTGATTCCGGTAATATTCTGCGAATCAGGACCGCGGGTTGGCGTGCTGGAGAGCTGGTCCGTGATAGAGCCGGGGAGATTAGATTTGAAGTCGACAAGACAGTTTATAGTACGGGGGATGCCGTTGAAGCTGATACACTTTAGACCGACTTCGCGCATGAATTCCACGGTACTTGTTTGTTCTGAGGCCCCGGCGGTCGCGACTTTGAAGAGGGAATGGAGGGCCTCCGGGGAGTTCATGGTCATTGTGGCGGCTGTCTGTAGAATATGAATGGTTAGATGGGACTTTGCGCTAAATGCAGATATCATACCGAAAGGGCTAGCCATGAAGACTGAGATAGGCCTTTTGACTGCGCATATTGCTGGATCTTCTGGTAGAGAGAGCCGATTTGCGGAGGGGCGGGTGTTGTTTTGGGTCGCGCAGCAGGGGAGTTGATAAGGGCCTTGAGGCCACTGGAGAGTTTCGACATGTCGTAGAGATGCTTGTGGCCCGGTAGAGAACCAAAGTATGAAGAATGAATTGATGGGCGAAAACCGGCGATGATAAATGACGACAACAGACCTCGGCTTCAGAAATGCACTCCGATCGGCACCGTTGCGGCATCACGTGTTGCCCCCGATCGGCCACAAAAAAGGCCGAGTTTCATTGAGTTGTCACGTGATCTCTGGCCAATCAGCATCCTAGACGACATGATCTTTGTTGGAGTGGGTCCAAGGCTGTTCAATGACTGTTGGAACACACCTCCGTACACTAGCACCTATCTATGACGACTACATTTTACGAATATGCCTCAAAGCAAAGCATCCCCGGTATTCACTATGACGTGGAAAACACTTACTCGGACGTGCGCTCGCTTTCAATTACGGCAATGATAAGCGCCCGATCATGTCTTGGGGCATTGTTTGAGGCTGCTGATTGGCTCCTATATCAAAACCCCGCACCTCTGGCCATACTTCGTAGACAAACACTCTGCGCGCAGATTCTGCGACCTGGAAATGTTGAAGCACCAGCAATTGAGGGGCCGATGACCATTCCAGGGGTGCAGATGATAAGCAACTCGGGCGTATATAAGATGAATTCAAGCCATCCCCTCTTTCGCTGCTCTGCTCATCCTCGTCCTCGTCACGGAGCTTGGCTTTGCCGCCACCTACATCGCATATTTCATCATGACTTTGGATATCACCGTGAGTTCTCTCTGCTACTCATCGTTTAATCTAGTACTAACAATCCCAGACCTTTCATAATGTCATCAACAATGAGTTGACCAGCACCGAGAACACCCGTCATGGCATCAACCCGGCCAACCGCCAGCCGAACCCGCCGGTGCCGGTGTCGACCGCCGCCGACCTCGACACGGCTGTTAATTCGGCTCGCGCGGCTTTCAAAAAATGGTCGGGCACCTCAATTGAGGAGCGTCGGACGGCATTGACGGCTTTTGCCGGACTGGTTGAGGAAAACAGGGATGCCCTAGCCACGTTGCTTACCCGTGAACAAGGGAAACCCCTGGAACAGTCCCAAATGGAGGTCAGCATGGCTTTGCAGTGGACACGCTCTCTGATTACCCTGGACGTGTCCGACACAGTGGTGGAGGAGACGGAGGAGCGCAGAGTCATTCAGCGCTACGTGCCGGTCGGGGTCGTCGGCGCCATCGTGCCCTGGAATTATCCCATCCTGTTGGCCGTGGGGAAGATTGTGCCTTCCATCTACACCGGCAATGCTGTGATCGTGAAGCCGTCCCCCTTCACGCCTTACTGTGATCTCAAACTTGCCGAGCTGGGCACTCGCTGCTTCCCGCCCGGTCTCTTACAGGCTCTCAGCGGCGGCGATGATCTGGGTCCCATGATAACAGAACATCCGAACATTGACAAAATCAGCTTCACTGGTTCGAGCTTAACGGGTCGTCGCGTTATGGCTAGCTGCGCGAAGACCTTGAAGAGAGTTACCTTGGAACTGGGTGGCAATGACCCTGCCATTTTATGCGATGATATTGACATAGATGCCGTGGTTCCGAAGGTAAACTATATGACTGCCTTCAAAACATTTCTTTGGCTAATCTAGTTCCATAAATAGGTTGGAATTCTTTCGTTCCTTTGTAGCAGTCAGATCTGCATGATGATCAAACGACTCTACATCCACGAGAACATTTACGATGAGTTCCGAGACAAGCTCGTCCAATTTGTTCAGTCGTTCAAGATGGGCGAAGGAAACGAACCGGATGTGTTCATTGGTCCTCTCCAGAACGAAATGCAATTTGGGAAAGCCAAGAATCTCTTCGAGACTATCGAAAGAGATGGCCTAAAACCTGTGCTGGGAGGCAAAATTCCAGACTCAAATGGATATTTCGTCCCACCAGCCATCATCGATAATCCTCCCGAGACGTCGCGAGTGGTCAAGGAGGAACCGTTCGCGCCCATCCTGCCCCTGTTGAAGTGGAGTTCGGAGAGCGACGTGATTGATCGCGCAAACGACACCGATATGGGATTAGGCGCATCAGTCTGGAGCAAGGACTTGGAGCGCGCACAGCGTATGGCCAACCAATTGGAGGCCGGCAATGTTTGGGTGAACTCGCATTTTGATGTGATACCGACTATTCCTTACGGGGGCCACAAAGCCAGTGGCATGGGTGTGGAATGGGGTGTTGACGGGTTGAAAGCATACTGCAACCCACAGACATTGTGGTTGAAGAAGAGCCCATGAAGACTGCCCTGATGTAAATCATTCCCTTGCTTTGAATGTCCTTCATGTTACTTTCTCGGGAACATACGTTATCTTAAACTGCGGTCGATATAGGTCAATTATGTTTTCTGAATAGAACCTTTTATTGTTCAAGTATTCAATTCCCAAATTGAATTGCTCCTTCAATCAGCCCGGTAGTTAGGGAACTGTAGATTTGGCCCCCATAGAGTGTAATCCGCACTCCGTTCCCCTCAGACTAACGTCTTATGGAACCGCTTATTAAATCGTAAAAGGCCAGCTGTTCTACGTAACTACACAAAACGTGTTCTCGTCGTTGGTCTGAAAACGCTCTGCCACTGGCTGGTGGAGGACTCTAATGACATCCCAAATTAGATCTATGCAAGATGATCGTTTCCACGGGTCTGGAGCTATGAAATAGATTGAACATTAGCCAATCATTGGCTTGGCCAGTTCGTATTTGTCGACTGGCATTATTAATGCTTGGTGACAAATGCTTTGCGCTAGCCCCTGTCCTAACCATCCTGCCGTCGCTCTGTGCAATGATGAGATGTTGGCTGTCTAGTTATTCTCTCCACCATGGCGCGATGCGCAATGCAATGGATTACCAACCAACATGCGTGTTATTTTGAGTTCCATGGGGGACCGTAAGATTCGACTCAACCATGACGCAATGCTCATACAGAGTATAAAGCATCTCTGTATCCTTTAGTTCTTGGACATATTCAAAGCAATCAACTCCAATTGAGATCATACCCACCTAAGGCTCCATCTACCCTCCAAATAAACAACGAAATCTACAACACCAAACAATGACCCTCAAGTACCTCATCACCGGTGCTACCGGCGGCCTCGGCGAGCAAGTCCTCGCATACTTCGCCGCCAACCGTCCCGCATCTGAATTCGCAGCTGCGTCCTCGCGGGAGTCGAATCGCAAACAGTTCGAAGACCGCGGTATTGCGTTCCGTCACGCGAACTACGATGATCCGGCGTCGCTAGAGGCTGCATTCCACGGAGTCGAGAATCTACTTTTCGTGAGCACCAACGTGTTCGACAACGAGAAAAGACAAAAACAGCACGAGAACTTCATCAACGCGGCGAAGAAAGTCGGCGTGAAGCACGTGTGGTATACGTCTCTCGCTTTCGGCGGGTATGAATCCACTTCGAAAGCCGCCGTTCAGCAGGTCCATCTCATTACGGAGAATCTGCTCAAGAAGTGAGTCGCACGCCTGTTACCCCAGATGGATAGAGACGGGACTAACTAACCACCCACCACAGATCCGGTATCACATACACCTCCATCCGCGAGGGCGTCTACACCGACGCCTTCCCCGTCTTCATCAACTGGTTCCCCACGACCAGCACCATCTCTCTCCCCTCCGACGGCCCCATGGCGCTCACACTCCGCCACGAGCTCGGCGAAGCCACCGCCCGGCTGATGATCGCCGGCGGCCACGAGAACGAGATCGTGCTGCTCACCGCGCAAGAGGCCATTCGGCCGTCCGAGATCGTCGACGTGATTAACAAGACGACCGGTCGGCAGGTCAAGTTTGAGATCGTCTCGGGCGACGAGTATGTGCGGAGAAACGGGGCGAATGATCTGGGCGGGAAGCCGGCTGCGTTCTTCGAGATGGTGCGATCGTGGTGGGACGCGATTGAGAAGGGGGAGTTGGAGACGACGAGTCCCTTGATGAGTGAGGTGTTGGGGAGAGAGCCGGTCAAGGCAAGTGAGGCCATTCGCGACCTGTTGACGCAGAATCCAGATTTCACGTGGCATCAGAATTATGTATAGGTTTTGGGAGTGGGGGTATATTCCATGGTTTAGCTTGTTAGGAGCGAGTATGTTGGGGATGTTTTAATGTTAATATAAGACTGACCTGAACATAACAGTATATATAGTGGTAAATCCATCAAAACTTGCATCAATGTCAAATTTGCGATAGATATTGATAAAGCAGTTGTCATCAGGATATGCTTAGATATCTTGTAAGTGAGTACTAAGCTATTTATTTACAAGAGTATGGGGACGAAAAAAAAAAAACAAGAAGGTTGTTTGAATGGGCCCGGAGAGCACACGGAAAAATCAAAAAGAAAAAGAAATCTCCCCGACTGGGAGTCGAACCCAGGTCTCCCGCGCTTGTTCTCTGTTGAGTGACAAGCGGAAATCATGACCGTTAGACCATCGAGGAATTGATATATTAGATGCCTGAGACTTTGACTACATACATCAGAAGTCAAACTGAATTCAAAATTAAATTGTCTTCTAGTCTTCATCCTGTTGATATATTTCTAGTAATCTCTATTCTTGAGACTCTGTCCAACTCATCTCTGAAGTTTTCCCACCGGTTGCGGTCCTCCCCTTAACAAAAACATCGTCAAACGCAATCCATCACTGCAGATTACTGAACATCCCTCCATCCGCCAGCAACCCAGAGGCATTCACATACCGACTCATCGGCTCGCAAGCCAAGAAGACCGCCGGCCCTGCCATATCTTCCGGGCTGCCAATCCGACCCAGCGGGATCCTAGCCTCAAGAGCCGCCTTCTTCGTCGGATTCTTCATGTCATGATCGGCCAGCTGCGTGTTGATCGTACCGGGAAGCAACGCATTGCATCTTATCTGATCCTTCCCAAGAGAAATAGCCATAGACTGCATCATAGACAGCACCGCAGCTTTGGTGGGCGTGTAATGTGTCTGCAAGCCGCCTCCGACAAGGGCACTGACCGATGAGATAGCGATGATGGAACCACCGCGCCCTTGTCGGACCATTTGGCGAGCTGCCGCTTGACATGAATAGAACGTTCCCTTGACGTTCACGTCGATGCTGTGGTCCAGAAGAGCGGGCTCGATTCTAATTTGATGTGAGCTTGCTTGTAGATATGGGTATGTGCTATATTGCACCTCGATGACCACACGTACTTGAGCAATTCTGCCTGCTTGAACACGCCCGCGTTTGCAACAAAGACATCCAGCTGACCCCATTGAGCGACTGCCTCTTCGATCAAATTTTGGCTGGTTTCGGGACGTGTCACGTCGCCCGCAAGCTCCAGTATCCTGCCCACTTGCGCTCCCTCTTTTCCCATGGCGCGGGCCTCCTGGAGGAGGCTGTGTCGGTGGGCTTCATCTTTGGACAGACCAAGGTGATTGACGGCGACATTACACCCTTGACGGAGGAATTCTAGAACAATGGCTCGCCCGATGCCCGTTGTTCCGCCGGTTATGGCGGCGGTTTTCCCTTTGAGGAGGCCCCAGGCAGGTAGAGCCATTGTAGGAGAAACAGCTTGCGTAAATCCGATGAGATGGAAGGAATTGAAATAATGCAGAGTGATAGCTTTCAACCCATCTGGATTGAATTCTATACTAATACGTATCAGCTGTGTCTTCGAGAGGGGGATATTTTAGAATCCCTCGTCTCGAGGGCGCACGCCGATCTTCCCCGCATCACCGACTCGAGGGCTTCTACGAGTGAATTTGTCCCGCGCTGTATAACCGTCTGGTTCAATCAAGTCATACGCAGGGAAAATGTGACTTGCGAAGTTTTGCAAAAGTTATAAGAGGGCTGAATCTCGCCGCTAAGCCGATCAATCACGATCAAAGAACTGCCATTGCCCATCCAGGTTTAACTAACTACTAGTTACCATGGCCACGACAACCGAAGCCCCAAACCCCGGTCCCCAGACCCAGGTTGGCTTGACCTCAAAGGTCATTGCGAGTAAGTCCATCCGACAAACCTTTCATAAGTCTGGTTCATAACTCACAAAATAACCAAAGTCACGGGCGCAAATCGCGGAATCGGTCTTGGAATCGCCGAATGCTGCCTCTCCAACGGAGCAGCGCGAGTCTACTCAATCGACATCGGCGAGACCGGCGACGAGTTTGCGCAGCTCTCAAAGCGCTACCCAGACAAACTCTTCTCCATAACTGCCAACGTATCCGACGAATCTACCATCACAGCCGCAATCGACCAGATCATCGCCGAAGCAGGAGCCCTCCACGGGATGGTCGCCAACGCAGGACGAACGCACCACAAGGCCGCGCTGGACTTCACGACGGAAGAAATCGAATCGCTCTTCAACGTCAACCTCTTCGGAGCATTTTACACCGCGCGCGCAGCCGCTCGCGCGTTCATTAAACAAGGCATCAAGGGCTCTGTCGTGTTCACGGCGTCCATGGCTTCGTATCGTCCTAACAAGGCATGTCGAGAGACCACCCACGCCCTTCACCCCCTCTCCCTTGTGGATGTGGAAAAAACATGCTAACGACAGCCCAGCGCGTCCCTTCCGCTCCCTACGGCGCCTCCAAGGCCGGGATCCGCAACATGACGCATACGCTGGCCATGGAATGGGCGCAGTACGGCATCCGGGTGAACAGCGTTTCTCCCGGGCTTGTCAAAACCGCCATGACGTATTGGGTGCCGCAGCAGCCGGACTGGGAGCAGCAGATGAAATACTACGGGGGGTTTCCGAGGTTGGCGGAGGTGCAGGAGCTGGGAGGGGCTTACGTCTACTTGCTGAGTGATGCGGCGAGCTATACGACTTCGATTGATATTCCGGTTAATGGGGTTATTGGAAGTAAGTGGATTTTCTGTCCTTGAGTAGCTTGGGTTGTGTATTTGTGCTAACGATTGCAGTTTGTTGATATACGGGTCTGGGAAAAATCGTCTGGCTGTGGAGATGCGCTTGTTTGGTTGGTTGGGACTCTGAGGCAGTACTGGTGAAATGATACTTTCCATAGTACCATAGAATGCAATTCTTATTATTATGGTTTTTGCTTCTGAGGCAGATACTCGCTAGGAAAAAGTAGCCATTCAATGCGAAACCTGACTCGACCCCCCCTCCCCCCTCTTAAATCATATAGTATAATAAAAAGCGCATTTCGGATTCTAGTTGCAATGAATGGTTTGACACATGATATTGTGCACAATTGACACCCTCGACGCGAAGGCTCGGTTCAATGATCCCAGCTTTGACTATCAATGGCGACTATATAGTGACTTGGACGGCAATTATGGAGCGGCTCAGGGAAGGACGAACTGGTGACGGTGCTGATGGCATCCAGGCGTTGCAAACGGGGCCAGTAGTGAGATGAACACTGCGTTTATCTTTATTATGCAGGCAAGATGATAATCCATGAGAAAATGCCTGTGGATATGCAAACGCACGTGCCGCAGGATCTTTACCCCACGGGGAGGGGAACCTCGAGGCGAGGCCACCGTAGATCATCCAACACCCATCCCACAGCATGTTTCCACCTCAGCATCCAACTCACAGGAGAATACATCACCAGAAATATGGTTGCCTCCTCTCGTACAAGAAGCTTGAGAAATCGAAAGTCTCGCGGTCGTGGCCTACGCACGACAGATGGATGGTAAGGCAGTTCCGACTCTGGACTGAGTGGGTCTAAATAGCATCATTCTCTAGCCTTACGTGTCGCAAACGACACATTAAATGCGATGAGACGAAACCAATCTGTGGACCATGCGAGAGAAACGATAAGCACTGCCATTATGCAGCGTCGAATCCTCGTGGCGCAAGCGACCCTGAGATTGCCGTCGCTGATACACAACGATCGCCCGACCGCCATGAGCCTGCAGCAAAAGAGACTCACGCCCAGCCGTTTAGCCATGAGCAGCCCGAGGCGAGTGCAATACCCTGGACAAATGGAGATGCCAATGATATCGTCTCCTCGCAACCACCGTTGGACCAATCGCCGACTATTGTGACGCCCACCCATAAAAGCCCGATTGCGATCCACGGAGATACTACCCATTTCTCACCCCCAGACGTATCTGTGACATCTGCGTCTTTCCCTTCGCCAGACCCGACCGTCAATGCTGCTGCTTTTCGTTGGTTTGGCCTTCTCGCTAGCGATGCGGCACGCGAAAGTTCGCAATTGTCCGTAGCCCTGGTTGGGTTCGAGAACGAATGTGGTTCGCTTGACCGTTGTGAAAGCGGGGACTTGAACCAGCACACCTCACTTCAGTGTGCTACGCAGGTTTTAGATCTCCACACTTCCAATGGACAATTTGATGGTAGTGCAGATGCTGGCTCTGGGAACAGCGCTACTAGTCCGTTGGAAGAACGCCTGTGGCGGGCCCAGGTGCCAATCGAACTTCCTCCTCGAGAGACTTTTCTATTTGACAATTTTATCCAGCGCATAAGCCAATGGGTATACTAATTGAATTACTTTGCTGAAAGCCGTGGGATCTGACTATACTCCCTAGATTGATCTTTTCGACTCACTTGACCATTTCTCAACGCTAGTTCCGCATTTAGCTGTCGGTTTTCTGAATTCTATAAAACCAGTGGAATAATATCTCCTGACTGATATTTGATCTCTTAGATCCGCAATGCGGGCCTCATGAATTCCATCCTCGCACTATCCTGTCGACATCTCTCGCTCAATCCCCACCTAGATAACTCGGAACAGCTACCTAACGATGAACTAGAACCAGCTATCGAATACTACTACCAGACCCTGCACTACGTGCAAAAGGCTATGCAGTACCAAAGTTACAAGACTAGCCTAGAGCTCCTCGCAACAACGTTAATAATATCTACCTACGAGATGTTCGATAGTTCCTCCAACGCCTGGGAGCGACACCTCGAAGGAGTTTTCCTCATTCAACGGTCCCAGGTTATCCATGGCGAATCTGGAGGTCTCCAGGCCGCAGTCTGGTGGGCATGGCTCTGCCAGGATATCTGGGCCGCATTTCGCAAAAAGCGCAAGACGTGGACATTCTGGATCCCGCATAAACCCATACAGTCTCTTTCTCCACATGAATTGGCCGCACGCTCGGTATACATCACGGCAAAAGTGATCAATTTCTGCGCCCAGATAGGACGGACATCTGAAAGGGGTAGTCACGACATGATGGGGAAAGCGAACCATCTCCATGTCATGCTGGACGATTGGCAGGAACAGTTGACGATTGAGTTCTCGCCGCTGCCGTTGGACCTGGATGGCGTCTCTTCTGTCTTTAAGCCTAAACACATTCGTCCACCTGCGTTCGGTGTGTGCTAGATCCAGATTTCCATCGCATATTGATTTGTACAGGATGCGCTGACGATAATTGATGACTCCAAGCTGTCGCCATCCAGCTACATAGTGCTTCGAAGATCCTTTTGCTTTCACATGAGCCTAGTCCTGGTGGGCTTAGCAGCTACTGGAAGCGGCAAGTCGTGATTCAGCGATGCATAGAGACGATCTGTGGCATTGCCATGACGCTGAAGGATGACGCATCGAGCCTGATGTCCTCACAGGCTGTGTTTATCGGTATAGTCCACCCCTAGCTTTGATTGAAATTGACGTAAAGACACTGACTTTGTTTCAGCGGGCATGTTTACCCACGAGAGTCGCGCACGCGAGGCTATCCTAGATCTACTTGGCTCATGTCGACAGAGGACCGGCTGGCCCGTGAAACCTCTAGGCGAGGAACTGCAGAATCTATGGAACATGCACGAGAATGAGGATAGTTCGGATATCAGTTCAACTTTCTTACATACATAACCACGACCTCGGGAAACAATCCTACCCCAGCTCAGCGAAGTTCGATAATCCTTTCAAATGAACGCATTCTTAGATCCCCAACAACGCACCCCGAACATGTCCTCCCAATTGCACCTTCCACAAGCGATGCTCATTCAACGCGAATATCTCGCCGTTTCTCCCAAAGCAAAAGTTCGCCACTCCTCCTTCCAGCAGAATCCGTCCCAGCAACACTCCGCCCGGCGACCAGACATTGATCCCGTCGCCGCACCCACTATACACGTTTCCATCCTGATCGCATTTGATGCCATCGGGAATGCCCTTGTCCGCCATCGCGAAGAGTCGACGGTTCGTGAGGAACGGTTCCCCATGGTAGATCGAGACATCGAATGCGTAACTTGAATCACCAGTCAGTTTATCTCACCCCTCGATGCCCAAACGAAAGTACCGGAAAGAAAAACCTACATCGACGAAACCCTCGCATCATCCACCGACCCATCGCCCCCCAACCACTCCGTATCCGTCACATACACCGTCTTCTCATCCGGCGAGAAACAGATCCCATTCGGCTTGCCGAATCCATCCGCCATCGCTCGAATACTACCTTTTCCTTCCACACCCGACTCAGACCCAGACGAAGACGGAGGACACCATCTATACACCTGACTCGGCAATCTCGGCGGCCCCCGATACCCCTGCTCGAAGCCATACGTCGGATCTGTGAACCACACCGACCCATCACTATGCACGACAACATCATTGACCGAGTTAAACGGCCGGTCGTGGAACGAACCCACTAGCAGCTGGGCCCTGTACGGCGGCGTCAACGACAGCTTGTAGATCCCGCTCGCGGCATCGGCGTCGGCGTTAAGCGACCCCTGGCCGCAGATCAGGACGGAGTCGTCGCCGCTAGCCGCGTTCACGCCGCCATTGGCCATGGGGATGGAGGTGGGGAGTTCTTCGCATGACACAGGTGTGGATAGGTTTACGCGCGTGATGAGGACTTTTTGGCGCGGGGAGGGATCGGCTTCGTCTGAGTGGAGCCGGTTGCTGGTGACGATTAGTTGGTTGGCGCTGGGGAGGTAGATCCCTGCTTCGTGGGCGAAGGGATAGGTTTTGTTTTCGAAGAGGAGGGTCGATGTAGGTGTTGGGCCGAGGAGGGAGAGGAAGCGCGTGTCGTGGACGCGGAATGCGGTGGGATCGGGATGGTGGGACATGATGAGTGGTGTTGGTGTTAAAATTATGTGTGTCGGAGGCAATGGGTGGCAGAGTATAGACTTTATAAATAGAGAGGTATGAGATCTATGCCCGGGACTTTTGCGTGGCTCGTAAGTTCGATCGGGTGATTGGGAGAGGAGATGGATTGGCTTTTGAGTCACGGTGGTCCCGCAAAGGCGGGGCTCGTCTCGAGGGCATGAGGAAGCTATACGCGCAAGGCAACTTGAACCACCGTGGGGCTGAAAATCGACGATGATGGTTTTCTCATTCCGGTTTATTTTGCGGTCACTCGACACGGTTCCAATTGTGGGGGTCTTTACTATTTGCACCGTCTGCAGTAATGGGAGAGGACTTGACCTTGTCAAGGATGAATGAAACGGTCTATTCAGGACAAAAGTCGAAACTGCAACAACGAAGAACCATGAATCATGAACCATGAGCCATCTATATGCATTGATATATATACTATTCACAAGAAAACAAATGTATCATCACATCACATACATCACGTCACATCATATCAACCAGTCTATAACGTCCCCCGAAGATACTCACCCAAGGCCATGATAGCCATTGCCTGCCCATACGGCATCGCCGTCAACGGAATCAACTTGTAGAACTCCAAGCTATCACCCATACCCGTTCCGAAGCTTGTGTTCTGCAACTCGCCGGCAGCATCAACATAGCCTAGAACAGAGGTGATGGCTTTCTCCGCGACCTCGCGATACTGAGGCCCCAGATACCTCTTCCGGACGGCCTTCAGGATACCGTACGCGAAGCCCGCCGTGGCGGAGGCCTCAGCGTAGGAGTCTGCGTGGTCGAGAAGAGTGTGCCAGGCGCCTGAGGGGTCCTGAAGACGCTGGAGGCTCTCGCATTGGGCCTCGAGGGTGTCGAGGAGGTGGATGCGAAGGGGGTCGCTGGGCTGGAGGTCCAGCAGCTCGATGATCTCGGGGATGACGATGGTGATCCAGCTGTTTCCGCGGGCCCAGCGGGCATCGGCGAAGTTGTGACCGCCGTCTTCGAATGTCCAGCCGTGGTAGAAGAGCCCCGAGCGCGTGTCGAAGAGGTACTTGATGTGGACGAGGAACTGGCGCTTGGCTTCCTCGATGTAGGCAGGGCGATTGAGCAGCTTGCCGATCTTGGCGAGCGGGAGCACGGTCATCATGAGCGTGTCGTCCCAAAGCTGTTGGTAGTTCTCGGTTAGGTAGGTTGCGTGTTGCATGCCTCCGTAGCGAGTGCGCGGGAGGTCGTGCATGGCCCATTCGGCCCAGGCGTCGAGCCAGGGGAGGTAGGTGACGTTGCCTGTCTTTTCGTAGACGTAGGCCAGAGTCAGGAACACGGCCATCGTGTTGATGTTTTTAGTCGTGCCGCCTTCGGCGAAGCGAGCGGCGAACCAGTCCTCGATGATGCGCAGAAGGTCGGGGTTGCCGGTCATCTCGTAATACTTCCAGATGCCGTATAGACCAATCCCGTGCGTCCATTCCCAGCCGTGCCAGGATTTAGTGTCGATGACTCGACCGTCCTGCAGACGCAGCAGGAACTGACCGGTGGCATCTTTGATGTTGACCAGATTATTGATGAGCAGATCTACTTTCTCACGCACTTGCGGAGGCGACGGTTTGGAGGCCATGGTGGGAGGGAAACACGAGGTGCGAAACAAGAATCAGTCAAGCAAAAGAATAAGCAAAGCCAGTGGCGAGGCGTGTGACACGAATTCAACGCTTATCTGGCGGGCGAGAGGCTGGAGGGGCGTGCACTAATAACCATCTCCGGTGCGGAGTCACGGCTGATTAGCGGAAGATTTGCGGGCGTTTCTCCGCGCGGGATCCGGTGGCTCGGGCTATCATCGCCCGAGTTTCATGCGCCAAGTAGCTGCCAAAATGGAGGCAATATGGCGCCATTGGTCGTTTCCTTAGCGAGTGCAAGGAGTAGCTCCATCCTGTCCAATAGGCCCTTGGCGTCCCCCGACTTTTCGGCCCATCATCCCCGCGCTTTTGTCCCCAGACAGGGTCTGCTCCGGGATGGACCAGTGAAGAGGGCAGAAAACTGGGGAATGCTGTCCGGGGATAGTCGAAAGTAGTAGTAAGCCACACCGGGACCGTGCTTGATGTTCCCTGCTAGGGAAAGCGTAGATTTCTTTCCTGTTGACCGATATTAAAAACCTGCGTCTGCCCCCTGGGAGGACCGTCTGACTCGTCTCAGTATTTTCCTGCCGCTGGCACGTACCACAGAGGATCTCTAGCGGCCACTTTTGTTGCCCGTCCTCTTTTTCAGATCTTTTTTCCGTCATGGCTCAAGATAAGCCCCCCTCGGTGTCCAGCGAGGCCAACATTGACTCCGTGGCTGCGCCGACGACCGAAATGGGTGACTTCAAGGATAAGAAGGACATCTCGCATGTCGAGCGAGTGCTCTCTCCCAGTGACAACCCCAAGAAAGACGACATGGACTACTCAAGGGTCGACAGGGAAGTCCAGGAATATGCCACTCGTGGTCAAGTGGAAGTCGACGATGCCACCAGTAAACGACTGCGGCGGATGATCGACCGGCGTGTGCTGGTGATCATGATCTTGACTTATTTCCTCCAAGCCCTTGATAAGGGAACTATGTCGTTTGCTTCCATCATGGGAATCCGAGAGCAGACGGGTCTGGAAGGACAGCAGGTATTTCAACCGTTTGAGCCCAAAATATGAAAGGCATCGATGCTGACTGAACGCTGTCATCCAGTATTCTTGGTTAACCACCTGTATTTACATCGCCGTCTTGATAGTCGAATACCCGACCAACTGGATTATCCAACGAGTCCCCATTGCCAAATACCTGGGCATTAACATCATCCTCTGGGGTGCTTGCTTGGCCTTGCACGCCGCCTGCCATAACTTCGCAGGCTTGGTCACGGTCCGTACCTTGCTCGGTATCTTCGAAGCCGTTTGCCAGCCATCATTCGTGCTTCTTTCCAGTATGTGGTATAAGCGAGAGGAACAGGCCAGCACGGTCACATACTGGTAGGCGGCTCCCCCTACCTGATCCAGGGACATGGCATGATCTGAATATAACATCACGCAGGTACATGATGAACGGAGGCCAGCAGATTGTCGGAGGTCTCTTAGCATACTGCTTCAGTCTGATCGGAAACGAGAAGTCTGTCCAGTCGTGGCAAGCCCTTTTCATGACTTACGGAATCATTTCCGTGTTCTGGGGAGCGTTCGTCATCTTCTGGATGCCCGACTCGCCCATGCGAGCTAAATGCTTCTCCGAGGAAGACAAGCATTTGATGGTTGAGCGTGTCCGTGGCAACCAGACCGGTCTTCAGAACAAGGAATTCCGCTCCTACCAGATGTGGGAGGCATTCCGTGACCCTCAAATGTACTGTTACTGTGCCATCCAGGTGTTCACAACGCTGCCCACTAGCGGTCTCGGAGCATTTGCGAACATCATCATTACCGGGTTTGACTTCACCACCCTCCAGACCCAACTGCTGGCTATGGTGTTGGGTTTCTATATCATCATTGTGCTTTTGACTTCGGCCTGGTTGGTCAAGAAGACCTCGCAGAACTTGGTCGTCATGCTGGGCTTTATCATCCCGTAAGTTCCCATAACCCCCTTGTTATCTTGAATGCTTGGGCCCATTTAGGCTGACAATTTGTCTGTAGGTCTTTCGTCGGAACAATCGTCCTGATGACTGTGGAGAATCACAACATGGGCACCAAGGTCGGTCTGCTCATCAGCTACTACATCACGCTTTCTTTCTGGTCGGCTCAGAATCTGTGTCTGTCCATGGTCTCTCGTAACATTGCTGGCGCCACCAAGAAGTCTGTGGTTGTTGCCGCGACTTTTGTCTCCTGGGCCGTGGGTAATGCTATCGGTAAGTCGAGTGTCTCAGTCCATGAGAATAATTGACGGAATCTAATGAATTCAGGCCCCCAAGTGTTCCTCGAACGCGATGCTCCACGCTATTTCATCGCCTTCGGTGTCCATCTTGGTTGTTACTCGGCGATGACTTTGGCTGTTATCTTCCTGCGCTTCTATTTGAAGTTCCAGAACAAGAAGAAGGAGCGCTTGTTGCAGGAGGCCGGTCTGGACCCCAACGACGATAACCTCTCGCGCGCATTTGAGGACCGAACGGACCAGGAGAACCTCCACTTCCGCTACATCTATTAGGAACAATAATATGACGACAATGACGATGAATGAGTCGTATCTGGTGTCATTTTCCGTTTGTTTTTTGTCATGAGATATCCAATGTTATGCATAAAGAAATAATGAAACCTGGGCCCCGATCTAAGAGGCCTAGGTGTGCCGCGAGAAAATTTGAGAAACCTAAGTAGGCGTGGCAAGTGACGTATTCGATAGACAGGTCTCGGACTTGCGATAGATTTAGGCGATTATCCTGTGAAAGAAGCCTTGAAGCGTTTCTTAGAGTGCAAATATCAGGCCCCATGTGCCTTGCGATCTGCTTTAAAAAACACCGAACCGGGGCTGTTTCATAATCCCAAGCCCAGGGACAATCATCCCCTTCTCAAGAATTTATCTCCGCTCCGAGCAGCGATAACTTCCATGGGCATATGCATCAAAGATACCAATCGACTGTCTCCGGTACTTTGAGCTAGATCATGAATCTTCATAATCTCGCGTTCAAAGCTGCCTGTAGCATACCATAACGTTTCAAACAAGGTCCCAATAATATAGAAGTGAGCCAGAATAACAAAAGAATGGCATCGAAGAATTTCGGCCCCTTCCCTTGATTCTAACGAGCTAATGAACCCTGGTGAGAACATGTGTGGCCATCCCATGATTGCGGCGTCCTCAAGCTCCCTTTGCAAACCTGCATGTGCAGAGCCATTAGTACCGCCATCTGAGAAGACAAGCACGGCTTTGATTCGACTATACATTGAATCAAGTAAGCCGATGGTGGACTCTTGTTCCTCTATGAATTCGGGTTCGTTGAGTGGCATTGCAGTCTGTTCTCGAAGTTCTTCTGACTGGGTATCCGAGTCATTCTCAGCTGGGGGTACCATCGACTTCAACGTTCTGGAAAATGCTTTCAGTCTGGTGACCGATTGATGGGCTTCTTTAGCGAAACAAGCCATTCGGTTGGGTAGATTTTCTGGGACAATTTCCACGATATTGCCCAAGACTTCTCCATCTTTGGCATTGCTAAATATCAGCATCTGCCTTAGTGGACCGGTTCGAAGCTTAGTCCACTGTTGCTCAACAACAGAGGTCAGCCCCCGGACAAGGTATAGCCAGTCAAGGCGAGGTTTATTCAATGTCATCGTGGAGTCAGAAGAGGGAGTCTCATGGTTTGTGACTCCCGTATCGGATTCTGGCTCATTGACTGTGAGGTCCAAATTTTTCACGCGAAGAGACGCAAATGCGAAGGCCACCAGAAGCAAAGACCCAGCAAAAACAGTCTCTGCGTTTGATTCAGACAAGTTTTCCAAATCCCCCATGAACCCTTGGATACCCTTTTGATGATGCTCGATCACAGTGTGTAAGTAGCGATCATTGCTTCCGGAACTATTGTCCGCATTTTGCTGAGTACCCGGAGAGCCATGAGACTCTAATAAATTTGAATCGGGCTGGAACTTCGGGCTGTCTTCACAAAGCATATCGAGGCCTGTCAATGCCAAAATAAGGTGCATGATATACTCATTCTCCGCCGCGATCTCCGGAATGATTGTCTTCCAAGCACGCGTCTTGCCAGGGCTGAAAGATAACTGCTCTGAGATATTTGACATGAAATGCTGCAAGAGTTTCAGATCGGTCATGTTAATAGCACCGCTGTCATGGCTGGCTCCTGTACCGAGCGTTGTAGGGGCATCCTTGGGCTCCACCGGTCGCGGCGGGCCAGATATTGAGCATCTAAATGCTCGTGGCCATGTACTATCAAGACCAGAAACTGTAGCTGGCTCAGATGGACCTTCCGATCGGGGTTCTGATTGCGTTCCAATTTGTCTATTGGGAGAGTTCCGCGGTCGGCTGGGATAGGAACAATGACTGCTCCTCAGCGAGCAGGCGCCACAAACCGGTCTGTTTTCGTCACACTAAATCATAGGTAGTCAGTATCTTTATAACGATAGATGGATGTTCTTCAGAGCGTGAATTGCGTATCATCGTCGTATACGTATCAGAAGCCAGGATATTTGAATGTCTCACCTTGACTCGACGCTGCTTACACGTATAGCAGCCATTTCGGGACTTGGTATGACTGGCTCTTTGCTTTGGTCGCACGCGAATACTAGTTGTGCGAGAATTCGGGGCAGAATTTCCTGCGAACATTGTGGCCTTTACAGGTCGTTGAAGATTGAGGCAGAAGTGGCGACTCGCGTCGTGTTCGTTTTCTCGTGTTCGCTTAGTCAGGGATTTGCTGCCTGGATCTCAAGGCATAAACATGTCTTCTTTAAGCCAACAGCTAGCATGTGCTTTTTGTTTTGTTTTCCTTCGCATAAAGTAGTCCAACCTGAAAATATATGGGTATTGTATTCCTAAGATATATTTAAATATTATGATATTGACAAAGTTAATGGTTACCATGCGAAAAACCAGCTCAAATATCCAAAAGATTGCTCACAGCCGGGCCTGGATATCGAGGTCATAATCCGCAATCAAAGCATCCGCACAAGTCACACCAGTCACGTAAGCGGTTGCTTGGGTGTGGTTGTTTGTTAAGACAGGTACGACACTCATGTCACCGATGCGCAGGTTCTCAATGCCCAAGACTCGGAACTTGGTGTCCACCACCGCGTCAGCGTCGCCAGACTTGCCCATCTTCGCTGTACCGGTCATGTGCCAGCTAGAGCCGATGGTGTTCCTCCAATGCTCCAAAATGTCCTCGTCGGAATCCGAAGCGGGCGCAATCATCGTGGAAACATTGTCCTTCTTGAACGACTCGTGGTTGCACACCTCCATCGCCTGTCGGTAGATTTCGATGCATGCGCGTCGATCAAATGGGTGGGAAAGAACCTTCGGGTCGAAGAGAAGAGGCTCGTCTGGGTTCGAGGACTGCAGTCGAACTTCACCGCTGGATTGCTCGTTCATCAAGAACACGAGCAAGCAGACGTAGCTGTAGTCTTTCGTGAAGTTGGGGTCGAGGAGGTGAAGGGGGAAATGCGACAAGAATTCATACTGAGGCACGGTTTCACGCTTCATGAAGTCCTGGACTGCTGGGGGAAGGGCCTTGAACTCCGCCGAAGATGTGACGCGGTCCGACTTGAACCACCCACCTGCGATCTGGCACGAATGCTTTGCCCAGGGTCCGGTGCCGTCTTTTCTCCACTGTTCCATGGCGGCATCCATAGCGGCTGGGTTGCCGAAGAAGGCATTGCGGTCATTTGTCTCCGGTTTGCGCTGGAAGCACAACGGGGCAAAGAAATGATCACGGAGACCTTTACCGAGAGCAGGCACGTCAAGGACCACCGGAATCTGGAACTGTTGAAGCTCCTGCGCAGGTCCAATACCCGAATGCATCAAGATCTTGGGGGTATCAAGGGAGCCTGTAGTCAAGACAACCTCCTTGGATGCGAAAACTAGAAATATCAGTCAGCCTTGATTACTGTCTGACCTGCAGGAAACATGGCTTACACTTCTTGCCCCTGGACTCCACACCGACGGCCTTTTTGCCATCGAGAATAACTCGCTGAATTGGCGCCTCAGTCATGACCGTCAAATTATCAGGAGCGCCAAGCAAAAGGTCACTGGCAGTGACTCTCTGGCCCTGATGAGAAGAGTTGATAACAAGGGCCATTCCAAGAGGGTTCCCAGAGTTCTGATCCGGGTTTCGAGGAAGTCCCGCCTGCTCGAAAGCATCCATCACAAGAGGCAAGTCTTGTTCCCATTCAGCAGCGTAGCCAACTTTAAGACCACCGCGGGATCCATGGTCAAAAGTGTTGGGAGCGGCATATTTAGCATTCTTTGTCTCAGCGATAGCACCGCTGAATGATTCCAAGCTCTTGAATCGCGGCTGCATGCGCTCCCATTTGAAGAAATCGTCCCCGACCGCAGATGCCCATTGGTTATAGTCATCCCGGGCACCTACGGTATACACACCGAAGTTGATGGCACTGCTGCCACCCAGCACTTTTCCGCGCGAGTAGTCAATCTGGCGTCCATAGCATTGCTCTTGAGGGGTCGTTTTGTACCCCCAGTTCAGGTCACCATTCATAAATGTGTTCCATCTTTGACCATCGACCTTCAGGTCTTTGTCATCGTTGCGTTTTCCAGCCTCCAAAAGGAGCACCTTTGGTCGCATAGACGACCGAGCAAGCCTTGCAGCAAGAGCACATCCCGCCGGACCACCTGCATTTATGTTAATGGATGGTTTTGAAAACAATGACTTAAGATGAGGATTCATGAAAAGTACGAGTTTACTGACCACCAACAACAACAAAGTCCCAAGACTGGCTAGCCGAGCCCATGATGTGCGTCCTGGTGTGAATATTTTATATGATAGTTATACCCAACGATATCGGAGAAACACACCTGTTGGATTTGCAGCAAGGATGGTGATAAGTTGAAAAACTCGACAACAACGCAGGTAGGGGATGAGTGGTGGAACACGGAGAAATCGAAAACCAAAGCGCGGCTCACATTAGTGGGGTTCTGCTACTGTCTGATCGGCGGTGATTCCACCTATACTTGAACTACTATGGTACTAATGGCCCATGGGATGTACTAAGGAGCCGCCCTCGGTGAGCCGAGAGTCGGTGAGCAGTGATAAGGTCCATGGGGTTTTTATGACCTGTGGTTTGGATGTATCACTATTTAACTAGGTAACCCTTGACATATCCTACTCACTGCAATGATATTAGCAGTCGCATCCGCAGAAATCTGAAGTGCTTGTTGTTTACGGAGTACAGCCAAGAGGGACCGGCAGTAAAGCAAACCTTATCTGTCCGGCTGCATTTTGCACCCCCGAGGCATGGAGGTTTTCCGTCAATTAGTTAGCGGCTCCACTCCGGCTTACCCCAAAGCATCGCTTTTGCTCTCCGTACCAATTGATCTATTATTGGCAATCATCTCTTGCATCTGTTCAAGTTGGTTCAGTGTTTGAAACTACGCATACACAAACTCTCTCATATAGCAGTCATTCTTTCACCTTGTGCCTCTAGGCCAACAAGTATCCTCGCTTTGCGGGCCTGTTCTAGGAGTATACTCAGTGGGCCCGATGAGCTGCCTGAATCTCCATAGTCCAGATGCTGGACTTCACACGGTTGACGAGGGGGAAACATCCAGAATGCATACGAAGTACATTGTTGAGCCTTGGAGATAAAAGCGATGCCACGAGCCATGCAGCTGTTTTTGAGCCTCCAAAATGGCGCATGAAAACCCGGGCAGTATGAAACAGCCCATCTGAACCACCCACTGGGTCGAGGATCTGAGACATAATTCGCCGATCCACCACGTACTCCGTAGCATCCAATAATGTCCATTTTTGCATTGCTAGAGTGCTCAGTGCTCAGCGTTCAGCAATCCCTGCGGAGCGAATGGTGAAATGGTTCTTGGCCACTTCTCGAATCAGACATGGCTTTGGCCCTGCTAGGACCACTGGTCTGGGAGAGGCAGCGTACCACGGAGTCGCTCCAAATCCTCGGCTGGACTCCGGATAAGACTCGGCCCTGCAACGGGACCAAAGAACAGTCCACGAAGATTTTCAGGCGACAGATGACAGTTCTCTAAAATTAGCCGAACCCCGCGAGCCAGCATTGCATGATCGCAAGAGGGCAAATCGAATTTGGCCATCCTCTCATGTTTGCGTAGACGTACGCAGTAGTAGTCCGGACCATGCACCACGCAGCGTCGGACCCACAAGTTCGGCACATCCTTTCTCGTCTCGGAGTCCAGGAAGAGACTAGACTGTTTGCCCCACAAAAAGGAGAGAGAAAAGGCCCCTCGAGTCTCCAAATCTCGCTCCGTTCAGTGTTCAATGCTCACTGACCGTATTGCAGGGTTCAAACAATCATGCACAATGCTCTCCCTTAGATTAGTAACTCAGAGCATATGGTGCCAAACTGTTCCTTAGGCACTCAAACCAGGGGAAGATTCACCGCCTAAAGCTCCCCTAGAGCGGGCAGAAGAAAGTTCGCTCAGAAAGGAATGTGGAGCAAAGCTAGACTCCATGGCGCGGTGGAGGACGAGAGGAAGGTTTCTGAGGTCTTCGTCAGCACTCTTTTGACTTTTTGGATTCATCTGTTTTCTGTTGGTTTCGACTCCAATTAACTTAGGCATTCTATACTTTCATCCAGGTACGTTGGAGGTCCTTGGGAGAGTCTTAGGGTCCGGGGTCTGGACCCCTGCATGGCATGATGAATGTGGGCCTGGTCAAGGTAAAAAAAATATATTTTGCCTGCGTTGTTTGGCCATTTGCTGGTTGACCAAAAGCCGAGAGTCAACCAGACAAGATATCGTCGTCCAACCAGGGAGTCTTGGAAAAGGCTTTCTCAAGGATCTGGTCGATAACTGGTTTCTAATTTTTAAGTCAAGTTAAGAGGGGAAGAACATCGGGTTGTGGTCTGGGCAGAACCTAGGGGCCACGAACTCTCAACGAAGGTTCATTTTGGGGAAAATTAAGAAAAAGTAGGGTAGTGGAAATCTGCGTTACCGAGGGATACTTTGCCATTCTTGTATCGCAAAATATCAATTAGAGGAGATCATTGATTCGGCAGATTTAGTAGCACTACTCCGTACACAGCACGATTGTCCTTAGTGGAGACGAGAGGACGCGCATTCTGCTAATCGTCTGGAGAAGCTAGTGGATGATTATGTCTTGACGCTCAATGCTTCGGCCCTGTGTGAGATGCTCAAACCCATCTGTAACATCGTGAAACTTCCCATCTTCATGCTATGAACCGGCTCAACATCGGCTCCGAGGAGGCAGGAGTAGGAGTAAATCCTCGATTCCGTTCGTTTCGGACGAGAGGAGGGCGGTCATGTGAGAGAGGCCTTGGCAGCAGTTTTTGCCAAGCTAGTGCCTGAATAGGCTTAGTGCCTCGACCCCAGAATTGCCCCCCGGACTTCTTCTTAATCCTTTCCCTTCGTTCCTTGTCCGATCGTGAGTGTTCTTATGCTTCGGTCCGTCGCGGCTTTCCCTCGTCTCTCGCAATCCCAGTGACGAATGGTCTCACGAACAATGCGTCGAAGGCTTCAATGCTTCTCATAGCCTCTCATATCTCTACCTATATATCTTATCCCACCTCGACTAACTGCCCCCTCCTCTCATTTAAAATTCTACCCTCAAGGGATCCCTGCCAAAAAAAGCCTTCCATCGCAACCCCGCCTAGTACTTCCACGAAACGAGAGTATGGTGTGACTTTCCATACGAAGATACTCAGATTTCGATAATCCCTGTTACATTGCCATACCACGCCCTTGTTGTTCCCTGCGAACATCTACAAGACGAACCGAGGTGCCCTGAAATCAAGAGGGCAAGCTGTCGCATTGTTGAAACCAAGTGACAGTCGAGTCGATACGCTTTAAATCTAATACTATTCGTTCGACAGAATCATGTTCTATTATATGGCTGGCTTCCGCAGCTTCCGAGTTTGAATGACCATGGCGTTCGCTGATCTCTCAATTCTTGTTCGAGGAATCGTCAGTCCACCTTCATCGTGGTGTCTATATCAACCAAACGCCAAATTTACCTCATCACACTACATTGAACCTGAAAACAATCTGGGGTGGGGCTAGTACATTGTTTGGTCATGACAGATGCTCTTTCGACCCCTCCGGAGGGTCTCATCGGAGGCTACCAAGGCGGTAGCTCCGTTGTCAAGATTTTGATCGTTGTCTTCAGCTCCATCGCCTTGTACAATGCCATCGAGCTGGTGATTCTTATTTTTCTCACTTTTAACCGCTATAGTGGTCTCTATTTTTGGACCATGCTCATCTCTGATGTACTTGGAGTTATCCCGCACGCTATTGGCTATCTGCTCGAATTTTTCGCCATAGGGCCAATATGGTTAGCAGTCACCCTTTCCACAATTGGTTTCTACGCAATGGTTCCTGGTCAGTCGGTCGTTCTCTACTCGCGACTTCATCTGGTAGTCCAAAACCAAAAGCTCTTACGCCGCATCCTGTACCTCATCATCGTCGACGCCGTCATTTTGCTTATTCCCACCACTGTCCTCACATACTCTACCGTCTATGTGGGCACAGACCCAATTATCCGAGGATACAATGTCATGGAGCGCATGCAGCTGGCCTGGTTTTGTGCGCAGGAGATTTTGATATCCGGAATCTATATTTGTGAGACCGTGAAACTCCTACGTCTCAGACCAGAAAAAGACCCCCAACGCCACAAAACCATGTACGAGTTGATTACCATCAATATAATCATCATACTCTTGGATGTGGCTCTCTTGTCTCTAGAATATAGTGGCTTCTACACTCTGCAGACGACGCTTAAGGCTGCGGTTTACAGCATCAAGTTGAAGCTGGAATTCGGTGTCCTTAGGAAGCTTGTTTCACTTGTTCACACCCACCCCACAGAATCCAGCTCTACAGAGCATGAGGAATTTCCTAATTTCGTGGATCCGGAGCAAATTACAGGGGACATCACCCATGCCACTCCGGTTACCGAAAGAAATCGCCCTGTCTACCCATGGGCTGCGATTTCGATGGACAGCCTTGCTTCATCCGACCGAAGGTTGCGCCAGTCTCAGGAAACTCGACCCCCCTAATTCTCGAATCGTTGTCTGTGATGCTAAGCAGGAAACGCTATACTTTTGAGATTCATTCCACTTCGTGATTTCCTGAGGGACATCGGCGAGCCATGGATTCAAACACCCCAGACCAGGTCACGCACAGTTGTCGAGCCAAAAGGCTTGAAAATGACCTCACCCGGCGCCGGATGTTCGAAAAGACTAGGCTGACCGCAGAAAGCCACAACCCTCGAAATGCCCGTCGGGCGGCTGACCTTCAAACTTTGCCATGGTCCGCATATCATGCGACAGATCGTCTCCCGCTTCCAAATTGCACAATCCTGGAGACGTGATTGTGCGACTGTGTATACCACATTGGGATTCGACTATACTCCTGATATTGAGTCTGCTCCAATACCGGTTCTACCACGAAATGCACATGAAATAAACTTATACATATCATTGATGTTACATATTAGATTTTGTTTTGTATCATAGCGTTGATGTCAATACCAATAAAAACCTTCTAAATCAAATCTAGCCAATTTGCCAAAGCCATGCTAAGATCCGAGTACAAAATTGCCGAACTTAGTCTGGGAGAGAGCCCTACTATTGTTTTGCTTTCTCGTTTTTTTTTTTTTTTTTTTTTTTTTTTTTTTTTTTTTTTTTTTTTTTTTTTTTTTTATTAGAAGAAGAGTCCAAAAGCAGTGTGAATAGCCTGGTCGAGCACAGTGGAATCGATATCCGGGTCGATAGTCGTTAGGCTAGATTTAAGGCCTCTTCCAAGGCCGGACCTTGGCGGTCCAGGTAAGTGACAGCTTTCTTTCCCTTATTTCCTCTTCCTTTTATTTTTGTTTTTGTTTCCCCCTGGAAATAATATTCTAGACTCTTCTACGGAGTACACGTCAAACCGTTCGTTGATATCCGATATCCGATACTTACCGTCTTTAGGGAAGAAGCGTAACTATTACTAAACGGTAATTACTCGTACTCGGGCTTTTGTGGGTCATCGCAAGGACCATTTCAAGTCAGACTCGAATGGAGAAGTCCGATTCCGAATACTAATATTAATATCGAGATCAGGGCCAGGGCGGGTAGAAAGCACTAGTGGTTACGTAGCACTGAGTACCGGGTGGGACCCATAATGTCGCTTGTTACGATCTTAATTTAGGGACGTTGTCCTCCCAGGAGTCCCAGGACTGTGGCGCTCGAGGTATTCTGGTCGCACCTTGGGCGAAGGGTTACGGCCATGCGAAGTCTCGTGATGTGAATATAATGCGTTCTTCATCAATCTTTCTAAATCGGGGTATGAGGAGAGTTTCTTAGGTACATGGGTCCTTCATCATTATCAGACCGCCTCCTGATTCGACTGCGCGAGCACGATACGAGGTCCGTTTAGAACCAGTCTGGACTATACCCAGTCACTATATTTGTGGAACGGGCGCTTTTCCTGTGCGACGGTTTCATGTACTCTGGTGAACCTTCCGACCATCGCAATAACCCCTCTCAGTAGTACTTCGTAGAAGGGGTGGAAGTAGGTAGAATCATGGGATGACAATATGACCAGGTTTGATGAAGATGAGGCGTTATGATATCAAGGTCAATGCGGTGATCGGCCATATGCATGATTGGATCATATGTTATTTACTAGCGAAAAGACTAGCTCCTACGTACTGATTCTAAGATATGCTCCGAAGAGGATTGTTTAGCTGACCATCACATGCTGGTTTCAGCACCGCGTGGAGGTGCTGATGATGATGAGAGCAGCCACCATCCCGCGCTTGATCGATTGATGGCGATGGATAAGGAAACATCCACAAGGGAAAAACGACTTGTGGAGTCGAGTCCTCCACGATGAGGGTAAGTGGGCCAGGTGGTGCAGGCGTTGATTGGGCACCGCCAACTTCTGGGTTTCCAATCAAGGCGCAAATGCATGGCAGCCAACGGACTACCGGCCAGCGACCAACCATGTTCCAGCCAGACACCGTAACCTTTTTTCGCATCCCGAAAGTCATTATTGCGTCGCGGACTCCCTTCGGTTCCTTAGTTGGCTCGACGCTGGCCGGCCTTAATTTTGCTGCAATTGGCGGGAGCCGCTACCGGTGGCGGCCAATGTGGTGCAGGCTCTGCGCCTCCCGCAAAATCAGCACCCTGAAGGTCGATTTCTCCCCGGTAAAGATCGGTGTATCCGGATGTATGGCAAGCCCAGCTCTGGTGGATGGCTTGTACCTGTGCTTTAGGGCTTGACCTTTTCTATTGTTTGATTTTTTTAACAGGCAGTACTGTTTCGACAATCCCCGCCTCGGCTGCTTTTCGCAGGGATTCCGTTCTACGATCGAAGCCTACCAGGGTTGCCGTCCACCTGGTAGTAACAAGTCCCTGCATTTGCGCATACCATCATCGCGTTATTACATAACAAGCCGTCAACTTGAAGTTGGCCTGCTTCCCCGTGCTCCTCCCCTCTTTTATTCCGTTTTCATTCCTGGACAAAATTCCTCTTGCGATGACAGTCAGCTATCTGATTCGCATGTCCTCCTACGACTTCATATATCTCTGAAAAGCCTATTGTGCCCGCCAACAACGCCAACTCCTCTCGAGCGACCCTCGTGCTCCCGTATCCCGCAATATCCACCCCGAATCGATCGCCTCCCTCCCCGCTCGACGCAAAGAATCCGATGCCCCAATAATAATCGCTCGCATTTTTCCTGACTCGGGCCTGGGCAAACCCGCCACTTGATACCGTCACTGGAGGCTTGGGATGGCTTCGAACCACGACGAGGCCTCCTCGAGGCAAAGCATAGATGAGCACTCGCAGCCATCCAACTCCAATACGGCAACCTCTCCCCCGCCGACCACATCCCCCGGACCGCCAGAAGAGTCTGCCGCTGGCGCTGCCGAGAGAGTATATCCAATCCGATCGATTATTTCTGTCGATACCTCGTCGAACAGACAATCTTCGCGAGACGTGACTTCTCCCACAAGGGGAATTGGGACAGGAGCCAGACAGCTTTCTATCATTGATTCTCAAACCTGGGACCAGTTGCAAGCACAGCGGAATTCGACAATTGGGAACCCTCCTACCGGCAACGAGACTCCAGTAGCCTCCCAAGGAGCTCCAGGAATCCCTGTTTCGTCCTCGGAAAATACAGAACAACCGTCGGAGAGGCCGAGGATCGATGATTCAAATAGGACGTCTTCCGATGAGATCCGGTTGGGAAGAAATGAAAATCGGCCCTTGATTACCCAGCGATTTGAACATGTTATCACCGAACAAGGCCATGCGATCATAACAGGGCGATCCAGTGATGGCTTCATGGCCTGCGAAGATGAACCCATCCATACTCCAGGTGCAATACAAAGCTTCGGTGCGTTGGTTGCGCTGCGCGAGGAATCCGAGGGTATTCTCGCGGTTCGCCTCGCCAGTGAAAACACCAAGCTTATACTCGGGTACTCACCACGGAAGCTCTTCGGACTCGAAAGTTTCACCGATATCATGCTTGAAGACCAGGCCGACATCTTGCAGGACCACATTGACTTCATCCGGGAGGACACGTACGACCCCTGCGCAGACGGCCCGGAGGTGTTTGTGTTATCTCTTTTTGGACCCGTTGGCCGACCGATCCGGCTGTGGTGCGCCGTTCATATCAATCCCGCCAATAAAGATCTAATTATCTGCGAGTTCGAGTTGGAGGATGACAGGAATAACCCACCGCACCCTTCAGATCAGTCGGTAAATACGACGCCAACGGATACTCTGGGGGTCGACTTCACACCGGAGCAACTGGCTGCTAGCACATTGACTGTCAGCCAGCCTTTGCGGGTGCTTCGAAAAGCGCGCGGAAGACGCGGTGAAGCGGCTGCCATGGAAGTCTTTGGTATTATAAGCCAGATTCAGGACCAGCTTGGTCGTACCGAAACTCTGGATGCATTACTCAATACGACAGTTGGAATCGCCAAAGAACTGACGGGCTTTCACCGTGTCATGATCTATCAGTTTGACATCGACTGGAACGGTATAGTGGTAGCCGAATTGGTAGACCCTAGTACCAGCAAGGATCTATACAAAGGGCTTCATTTTCCAGCCACGGACATTCCTAAACAGGCTCGTGATCTCTATCGGATAAACAAAGTCCGTATACTTTACGACCGTCATCAGGTCACTTCTCGGTTGGTCTGCCGGGCCAAGGAAGACCTGGAACATCCGTTGGATTTGACACACTCCTATCTACGTGCCATGTCGCCTATTCACGTTAAGTACCTCGCCAACATGGGGGTTCGCGCTTCTATGTCTATCAGCATTGATGGACCGCACGCACTATGGGGTCTGATCTCATTGCATACTCATGGTGAACACGGCATGAGAGTCTCCTTCCCGCTCAGAAAAATGTGTCGTTTGATTGGAGACACTCTATCGCGAAACATCGAGCGTCTTTCATATGCCTCTCGCTTGCAGGCGCGCAAACTCATCAACACCGTTCCTGCAGACGCAAATCCTTCAGGGTATATAATCGCATCGTCAGATGATTTGTTGAAATTGTTCAATGCAGACTATGCCGCATTGTCTATCCGAGAAGAGATCAAAACTTTAGGAGGATCAACGCGCTCGCAAGAAGTTTTGGCATTGCTGGAATACCTCAAAGTCCGCAAATTCAATTCCGTTCTTGCTTCTCACAACGTGAAAAGGGATTTTCCCGATCTGCACTTCCAACCCGGTTTTAAAACGATTTCCGGTATGCTGTATGTGCCATTATCAGCTGATGGTATGGACTTCATTGTCTTCTTCCGCCGAGGACAGCTAACCGAAATCAAATGGGGTGGGAATCCGTACGCGAAGAAGTTCGTCGGGAACCATTTGGAGCCACGCGGCAGTTTTCAGGTTTGGAAAGAAACGGTTTTGGATCAGTCTCGTGAATGGACCGAGTCGGAGGTGGAGACAGCAGCCATCATGTGTCTAGTGTACGGCAAGTTCATTAAAGTGTGGCGACAGAACGAGGCCGCTCTACAAGACTCGCAGTTGACGAAGCTTCTTTTGGCCAACTCCGCTCACGAAGTCCGAACCCCATTGAATGCCGTGATCAATTACCTGGAAATCGCCTTAGAGGGTACACTTGACAATGAGACTCGTGACAATCTCACCAAGTCTTACTCGGCTTCTAAATCCCTCATCTATGTTATCAATGATCTCCTTGACCTCACCAATGCCGAAAAGGGCCAGAATCTAATCAAGGACGAATCGTTCGATCTGCCATTGACTTTCAGAGAGGCAACAGACATGTTCCAGTCGGAAACTAGGCGAAAAGACATCAACTTCACCGTTCTGCAGCACCCCGGGCTTCCTAAGGTTGTACTTGGGGATCAGAGGCGTGTCAGACAGGCCATCACGAATCTGATCTCTAATGCCGTTCAGCATACGTCTGCAGGGGGTGTCACTGTGGAAATATCTCGTTCTCCCGCCAACGCCGACCCAGGCACTGCTGTGGTACAGGTAGTGGTCCATGACACAGGTTCTGGGATGTCTCATGATACACTTGAGACTCTTTTCCAGGAATTGGAGCAAATTTCTGAAGTAAACGACAATGATATTCTTGATCAAGAAGAAAAGTCACTCGATGCAGTTATGGAAGAGCAGGAAAAGCGGGTCTTGGGATTGGGACTTGCGCTGGTGTCTCGAATTGTCCGTAACATGCACGGCCAACTCAGCGTTCGATCAGAAGAGGGCAGAGGCAGCCGTTTCCAGATTTCGCTCCAGTTCACAGTTCCAGAAGGTCAAACTCCGTCCAGTCGACGCGAATCACACATCCCCATCTGCACTATCGAGCCGAAGACGCCGCTTCAGTCGAAAGAGGAGTTCATTCTTGTGGACGGCCGATCTCCTCCCAGTGAAAAAAGGCGTAGTGGCGCCAGTCAGCGCAGCGGAGAAAGTGCGAGGGACTCAAAGAGCGACTCTGAATCGGTTACCAAGATGCCAGAAGACCCAGTGACAACCGAGGAAACACCAAGCAAAGACCCCGAGACACAAGCAGAGCCTGACGTCCCGCAAGAAGAACATGTCGACATCCCGCCCACTGATGAAATGCCAATCGCCCAAGATCTAGCTACTCTGGACCCACCGCCCAGTGTTGAGGAATCGGGTGTGCCACAGGAGACCTCAGAATCTGCTCCTGCGGAACCAGAGAATCCCCAGGTTGAACAAGCTCCTGAAACTCAAACCAGCGAGAAACCTGTCAAGCCTCCCACGCCAACTTCCCCGACTACCACCCAAACCCTCCGTGTACTAATCGCGGAAGACGATCCTATCAACGGCAAGATCCTACAAAAGCGTCTCACGAAAACTGGCCACTCCATGCAACTGACCCTCAATGGCGAGGAATGTGCTGCTGCGTATCGTGCAGATCCTGCAGCATATGATGTCATCTTGATGGACATTCAGGTACGTGTATCACCCACTTGACCCTGATTCTTGAAACCCTATACTAATATGATACAAAGATGCCCATCGTCGACGGCATGAAATCGACACAAATGATTCGCGAGTTCGAAAACGAGTCTTCAGCAAACGACCTCTCTCAAATCTCCCAGCGAAACGGCCGCATCCCCATCTTCGCCGTTTCAGCTTCTCTCTTGGAGAAAGATTCTCAATCCTACACCGACACCGGCTTTGACGGCTGGATCATGAAACCAATCAATTTCACACGACTCAACTTCCTTTTTGACGGCCTTCACTTTGACGACGCCCGAAACAGTGCCACTTACCAACCCGGCTACTGGGAAAACGGCGGCTGGTTCACGAAACGACAAACGACATGAAGTTATGTCACGTTCTGAGCGACGTGATAAAAGCATCTTTCCACTTTTTTCTATTGTTTTTGGCGTCGAATCTAACGAACCCTTGTATACGATATGGGATCTGATTTTGTTGGTGGCATTTTCTTCCTTTGTTTTTTTTTATCGGGATCATTTCTTTTCTCATCATGAGGCCTGAGCTTTTTCTTCTCTCACATATTTCTGTTTCAAAATATACCCCATGAGTTATCTTCTGTGTTTTTCTATTTTAACTTTTAACCATAGATGGTGTTTCTGCGGGAGTTGGAAGCCCATCGTGACGTGATATCTAGGGGTCCTTTTTATTTATTTGCAATGTTGCTTGTTTAACTTTGTCATTGATGAATGAATATCAATGCTATCTATCCTTATCTCTCTCTCTCTCTCCCTCTCTCTCTCCCTCTCTCTCTCCCTCTCTCTCTCCCTCTCTCTCTCCCTCTCTCTCTCCCTCTCTCTCTCCCTCTCTCTCTCTTGTTCTTCCCCCCTCCCTTCTCGTTTCCTTCATGTCTAAAATTGTATCTTATAGGGGTGTGCTGGCTTGCCTTGCATCCCTTCCTGACTATCCCGTGATCCATCCCGCTCTGTCCCAATGATCATGTAGAGTAATCCTTTGGCCTCTCTCTGATGAAGCAAAGGACGAGGTATTAGATAGTCGAACCGCTTCTGCTGTGTATGATAAAGCGATAAAGTACATTAGAGACTATTCTTGTTTCGGATACTTGGATGCAAGGTAAGATAAACAAATGAAATGAAATTAGTATATATAGTGAGTGGTTAGAACCCTTAGTGACGGACTACATAAATCCCGGGCTTACATGCCCCCCTACCCCCTCCCCAGCGTAGATCCTTATAGAATTGACAATTAGGAGACCTAGGTCTCTGATTGTGCTATGTTTTTAGACCTTTTTCCTCTTCATCTATAGTACATGCTAACACGCGACCTATTATTAACCAAACGCCTGATATGTAAAGCGCGAACCTCATGAGCCTTTGTTTAGCTCAAGGTATTCCGTCGCGATGAGATTGACGACGGGGATGACGACGAGGCCGATGGTGGTGCGGGTGATGATGATACCGCTCATTCATTCACCCGCCCGGCCTCAACACTTGCTCTCGTGAGTAACCACCACCCCCTTACCCGACCCGGATGACAAGGCCGCGCTCGGATGCCGAACCAACTCATCTAACGAGAGGGCCTGCGACGAAGAGCTGACGAACGTGTGCATCTCGGACGCCGGGGTGTGGTGGGTACCGCTTGCCTGCTCGTTCACGGACTCGTGGTATTCGTCTAGTGTGCACCGTCGGGTCCTCGTGCAGGTGCCATTGGTCCCCAACTCCGCCGATGCCAGACAGTTCTCGGCTCGGGAGTTGGGGGTGTTACTGCGTCGGAAGGGGTTGCATGCATGGGCGATGGAATGAGCACGGGAACGCGGACGAGATTGTGGATTGATAGGCTGTTGATCAGATGAAAGCGGGTCAGACGGGAGACTTGAGGAGATGGAGGGGGCTTGGACGAGATTGATGAGTTTGTTGAGAATGGCGAATTCCATCTTTAGCTTGACGCTGATGGCGAAGGAGCTGTACGTCATTTTGATCACTCGACGGTCTTGGAACTCCGTGATCAAGAGTCCTGCGTCCAGAAAGACGATGATGAGCGTCGTTGCGACGAGGATCTGGCGGACTCTCCGGCCTTGGCGGCCTTTGATAGAGATGACGGGTTTGAGACTCCGGAAGGCCTCGAAGTTGTAGATGCCGAGGATGATGTACTCGCGAGCGCAGGAGACGGTGACGACGAGGCGTTCGTAGATGAGACTGATTTGGATAGCACGCATGCTTGGCTTGAAGATTCCAACGAAGAAAATGATCTGCATGGGGATGGGAAATAGCAGAGTAGTGATGATGACGAGCCAGAGGACGTAGCGGGAGATGCGTTGGCTGGTGACGAGGTGGAGGCGAGAGTAGAGGACCATAACGAGGGCAGTGGACATGATGACATATCCAAAGGCAATGAGGACGCCCCAAACATATGTGGACGCGAGGTTGAAGAAAAGGATGATTTGGGCGACGGCAAACATCAGGAGGCCTATGACGCTGATGATCATACTCCAGAAGTAGCAGCCGCGGCGGTGCTTGAAAAAGTCGAAGATCCAGAAGAAGAGTTCGAGGCCATTGTACAGACCTATGGCAATGAATGACACGAGTAGCAAGACGAGGACAGAGGGCATCTCTGATGCCGGCGTCGTGGGATCCTGAGCATCCTGAGCCATACTGGCTGGGGCATCTGCTTACTCAAAACCAGAAGATTGAGTAAGACACAGGTGATTTGAGATTAGAGAAGTATAGAAGACATTTTTGTGACAGGGATTTGAGCACTTGGGCAGGGGGATGATGTACAAGGTAAATACTTTTGAAAACCAAGGGGGTGTCCTTGTGGCGGTCCTGTACAATGTGTATGAATGCGCGATAAAAAAGTACCGTAAGAACGGCAAAACTTAATCGGTAGTCAAAGCCAAGGGTTATGCTTGACCAGGCAGACGTGATGGATATCGATCCATATCATTTACAGCACGAGCCCCTTAGATTTGCTTATGGGGAGGCCCAGAACGTTTGTTCGGCCGATCCTCTTCGGGCCCCAACACCGAGTAGGAACCAAACTACAGCAATCGAAATTGACTTGCGCCTGCGCCTCGATGTAAACTTGGACGTGGTTCTAATTCATGGCTGTTCATTCATCTAGCAGCCCAACACTAGATGGTACAGTGGGTGAGTTGTAGCATTGATTGGGCGTTTGTGCGGTATTCAATTTCAAAATTTGGAGAAGCAACGAGGACATAGAAAACGATATGGTCAGTTCACCATGTTTAATAGCTTCAGCAATTGATGTCTATTGCGCACATGCTATATCGTTACTCCTTATGAGGCTCTAGCGGGCCATCAGCGAATGTGTTACCATTGCAAGGATGTGTCCACGAGTGCAACGATGCGTGGGAGGAATCAGTTTCCCCTTCCCTTGAAAACGACCTGGTGAACCATGGTTTGCGATAGTCAAAAGGGCTTGACCAATTGGATTCGGGGGAACGAGAACAAAGAAAACACGATGGGTTAGCAGATAGATCATTTTTCCCTCCTACTCTCATAGCGGTGGCGTTCTGGAGCCTGGAATCCCGCAGGTGGGAACCCGTCAGACTCGATCGAGATCATCCGAGGTGCGGATTTTAGCTTTCTATCTTCTTTGTTCCCCAAGCCGGCCCACTGGAGAAGACCATCGACTAGCCTTGCGCGGAGGGCAGCTGAAAGGACACGAGTGGAATTAGTTAATCAACGTTGTAAATTCCAAATTCACACTTAAGGGGCTGGAACCAACTCGGCCGGTTCCGTCCATGTAGCATGAGGATCTGCGCTTGAGGCCATTGCAATGTGTCGTCACCACTTTGGTGAGTCAAGTGCACCCACAGCAGCCACTGAAGGAAGTCCCAGTTAAGGGGGCAAAATAAGATGCCGAGGTGAAGAGAGCTTGTCTACTTTGACGAATGTCTTCCCTACTAAGTAGAGAGACCAGTGTCTTTCATGCTATTTTGTGCCCCGTACGTGCCAGTGTCAATGGGTCGGCATAATGGCTTGATTTGATGCCGAGAAAGAGGTTGATGACTGCACGGAGCAAATTGACAATAACCTACTTGTCCTTGGTTGTACAAGAGGAATGGGAGAGATGGCGAGGATGAATTGGGGGAAGGGAAGGGAGGACAGAGGAAGAGGAAGTGACAGACGGACGGGTGGTCTGTGCGGGCAGCTGACGTTGAGCATCGCCTTTCTGCCTTCTTCCTTCTGCTGTCTCGCCTCTCCCCTCCTCCGCCATCCCCTTTCCGGTCGACTGTTCCAGGGGATTGCCAAATCCCTCTTTATCGCTCACTTGAGGATGCTTTGGAGCTAGGCCTGCTAAGCTCATTCTTATCAAATCCTGCCCAACGCGCCCACAAACACCGTTGGTCATGGTGTCCCTGTGGCCCTTCAAGGTAGGCCGCCACTCTCGTGGCTTCGCAAACGACCCCGGCTAACCCATTTGTGCGATATCCAGGGAGAAGACAACTCTCCGGCTTCGTTCGAGAAGGCCCTTTCCACTCTTTCGACCAAAATTACCCAGACCACCTCCCGATTGGATACTCACCGCCAAAATGCCCGTCGTTTCAAAGCCCTTTGGACTCTGTACACCACCTTCGCTTACCTGCTCTACTCGATCATCTTGGCCCTCGTTTTAGGATGGGAGAATTGGGGCGTGAAGGAATACTCCGCGGTTGCTGGCGGTCCTGTCCTGTAATGACTTTTCGCCCTTTCGTCGCTTTTCCACCGACCCAGACTAACAACTCCGGTGCTTAGGATCTACGCTGTTCGCGCAGCAGCCAGCAAGTATTTCGACTATCGCATCGGTAAATCCCAACGGTATCTGGATGACCTCCAGAAACAGCGCGATGAAACCATTGAAAAACTCAAGGTCGCCACGAAGTACAACTCGACCCAGCAGCTGTTGGAAAAATACGCAGGGGAGTCGCCGACACCACAACGCGCCAACAAATCCGGCGACGAGAAACGCAAGCCGGACGCGAAACGCAAGCCCGCGAATCCTTCACCTCCCATCCAGCGAACCGGCCTCGCGCCTCCTCCGACGGCCAACATCCCCAGACCGACCCCCCCTCAATCGCCTCAACCCGCCCCCTCTCCCGACCTGCAGCTTCCTCCGTCCCCGTATGCTGGCTCGCCCCTGCAGCAGCCTGCTGCAAATACCCCGCAGCCGCAGTCGCCGCAACCGCCGCCTTCCGGATTCGACGAACCCGGATTCGCTCCCAATGCTTTCCCCAGTGCCCCGCAATATGTCGAGCAGTCCCATTGGTACGATCGCTTGCTGGACGTCCTCTTGGGCGAAGATGAGACACAGCCCAAGAATCGCCTCGCGTTGATTTGCACCACCTGCCGACTTGTGAACGGACAAGCGCCCCCGGGTATCAAGACGCTGGAGGAACTTGGCCGCTGGCGCTGTGGCAGCTGCGGATCCTGGAATGGCGAAGAAAGCGAGACCAAAAAAGTTCTTGCTGGCATCCGAAAGCCAGCCGCCGAGCGATCATGGGCTAAAGCCGACCCCGAGACGAATTCTTCGATAGGCGACGCCACTGACGAGGGCGTGATGGTCGCAGCTAGCGAGGATGACCTGGCGGAATCGCGAAGCTCTGATGGTGAGGTTCCAGTCGAGGAGGAGGAAGAAGAAGAAGAAATTGTGCCTGAACCCGAGCCTGAGCCTCAACCTAAGCCGAAAGCGACTCGAGGGCGTCCCAAGGGCAGCAAGAACAAGAAATGAGAGCGATTCCGGCATTTTGTGTAGCATTCAATTGGTGCATTCCGTCCTTCACTGCTAGCGTTTCTTTATATGTTCTTTAGACTATACGTCAGGTTTTCCTTACCCAGTCAGTACCTTTCTTGTTTCCCTGTTTTTCCTAGGTTATCATGAAATCATGTGATGTCAAACTACTCTATACTTGCAGGTTGATTTTCGTGATCAGAACTGTTCCATTGGCCTTGAAATTCATTATCTTTACCCTACATCTTCTCGCCAGGCAGACATTCTTAAGCAGCTCCCCTAACGTGGAGGTCAGACATCCTATCACCCTTATGCCAGGCTGCCAAAATATCCAGGTAATCCAACATTCCTCTGCCCCAAGGGATCGATCGCGCTGCCTTTATCTGTTCTTCCGGGGTCTGAACACGGTTCCAGGCCCCTTCACCATTGATATAGCCAGGAGTACAACCAGAGACCGCGGCGTAGGCGTAGGCGTTGCCCGCTACAGCCACAGCCCAGGCCTCCTCGGCTTCGAAAGTTGGTTCAAGAACCGGCCGTTTCGACGAACCCGCATGCTCTTGTGCTGCTGCAATAATTCGTGCCGTATGAGACGCCAGCACATCCATAATATGCATGGCATTCACCGCAGTCCCGGCTTGTGCGAATCCTGTCAACACGAGATTGGGAAACCCGTGGCTGAGCACCCCGTGGAGCGTGCCGGCTCCCTTCTTCCATTTGTCGTCCAGGGATACTCCGTCCCGGCCCTTCACCTCAATTCGGGCTCTGAATGCCGGGCCGCTGGCCGAGAAAGCCTCGAAGCCTGTTCCTAGGATGACTACATCGACATCGTACTCCTGTCCGTTGAATCGCACCCCGCGTGGCGAAAATCCATCAATGCCCTTCCCGCCGGTGTCTACCAGGTGCACGTTCGGCTCATTGAACGCGTCTAGATAGTCGTCATGGAAGCAAGGTCGCTTGCACCAGCCTTGATACCATGGCTTCAGGCTCTCCGCCGTAACCGGATCCTTCACGACGGCGTCGACTCTCTGGCGAATGCGCTCCTGACGCTGCAAATCCAGTCGGTTAAGGGTCTCGGCATACTCGGCCACATTTGTGGCTGTCAACGACTGCACTGCCGGTCCTCCAAGCACGGCTGAATACGACGGGAAATTCGTCCACCCGTCGTCCACCATGTTCTTCGCCGGGAGATCGGGGATCCGAGAGATGAACGCTGCCATGTTATCCCTGCGCTCTTGCTGCCAGCGACTTCTGCCTAGGGTGACATCCCGTCGCCATTCCTCCGGGTCGATTTCCTTCTGCCCACGCACGTCCACGGCTGACGGGGTCCGCTGGAAAACAAACACCTCGCCGGCCCATCGGGCTAGCTGAGGAACGACCTGGATGCCCGTGGCCCCGGTGCCTAGGAAAGCGACTCGCTTTCCGCGAAGAAGGCTCAGAGTCGGGTCTTCCGGAGATCCACCAGTGTATTCGTAGTCCCAGCGGGAAGTATGGAACATGTGTCCGCCATAGACGTCGAGGCCTGGCAGACGTGGTAGTTTCGGACGATTCAGGAATCCCGATGCCAGGATGACGAAGTCCGAGCGGACCACATAAGTTTCCTCGATGCTGTTACCGATGGGGTGCTTCCGGATCACGGTAGTGGACCACTCGCAACTATCCTCGCTCCAGACGCTTTCTTTGATCGTACTACCGAAGAGAGGACGACTCTGGAACCCATACTTCTCCACCAGCAGATCGACATAGTGTCTCAGCTCTGGGCCGTACGAGTAGCGATGCTTGGGTATGTACTCGATCTCATCAAGCAGAGGCAGGTAGCAGGCGCTTTCGACATCACACATCAGGCCGGGGTACCGATTCCAGTACCACGTTCCACCGAAACCCCAGGCCGAGTCCACAAAGACGAAGTCGTCTGCTTTGAACCCGACCGTTTGGATCAGTCGAACAGCGAAGGTGAGAGCGCTGAACCCGGCGCCGGTGATAACCACCTTCGTCTTGCCGCCGTTCGCTACTGGGGCGGGCTGCGACAGGTAAGGATTCTGCCTTTGGTTCTCGTCACCGCGGATCCAGGGGTCTTCTGCGAAATGCTTGAGTTTGTCGGAGAGGGCGATGTCGGCGTATTGTGTGGCCCCGTCGGGGCGAAGACGTTTCTTGCATTCGGCGGCATATTTCTCCAAAGTAGCAGCGAAATCAGCTTCTGGGGTGGCAATTGAGCCCAGTGTCGAGGGCTCTTTCTTTTGCTTTTTTTTTTTTTTTTTTTTTTTTTTTTTTGAAGGTGTTGTTTTTATTGATGCTGGTCGTCTCTAGAGAGAAAGAACTATGGCTACGGTGCCCTATGTATAGTATTCCGGATCAAAGGAATAAGACTAATGACAGCCTTCGAGAAGGTAGTATCTATCTACGCGCTGAAAAAAGCCACCGAGCAAATATCATCTGTGTGACGGTATTAAAAGGATAAATAGGCCAACTGCATAGGATGTTCACAGACTTCTTTGTACTGTACTAGGGGTGTTGGATATTTGAAAACCGCGCTTGCCGTGGCGGACTGCATTCAGTGCCACCATAAGCAGGGGATGACTTTACGTACATACTACACGGGCATACTTCTGAACCCCTGTAAGCTGACGTGTCAAGTCTGAATTCCATGTAGTAAGCTTCGGGGTATGCAACTATAGCACAAGGATATTGATTCTTTCACTTTCCCCTCCCCTTCTCTTGGAGACCTTCAAGTATGGCTCAAGCATAGGAAGAGGTATGAGCGTTGGACACAGCAAGACATGTAGTAAGAGAACAATAGTACTAGTCTAGTATACTCCCCCAAGAACATATCGAGTAGGGTTGGTGAGAATACCGCCTTGCCAGCTATATTTGACCATGTTTAAAACGTTTTTGAATTTGGAGCCGAGGTAGCTGTTACACAGAAATGCCATCCACCAGCTACTTCGTACATTGTGTGATTATAATAGCGGTGAGTGGCTTGTGTATTCTTAAGACGCCTGTGCAGGTTACACATAATAGTACGTCCTATTAAAATTCCAGTCACCCACCTACGAGCACGCCGGGCAATAACATATGACACCTCGTTGATTCTGCTTAGCTACAGGAGGTGTCGACGCTATAGGATGCGCCCTGTCTGTAGTGTATTTCTTCTTGCACACATATGAGGGGTAGTATATTGGCATAGACTTACAATAAGTAGGACAAAGAAACTGTCCTTGCCCTCGTCTCCGTAGATCATTTGAAGTTATAGATCGCACCATCTTTCGATCGGCTCCTAATATGCAATGGAAATTCCGGTTCGCACAGGTGGATAGCGGAAGAAAAAAAACAAGCTCACAATCTCATATCCTAGGCTAACACAATTATAAATCCATGAAATGTTCTCAGATATCAAGGCAAATATCAACCACTCAAGTCAAGGAAGCGAGAGCACAATCTCCTCTCACTTCACAGCATCAACAGTCTCGCCTCTCTCCTTTGCCATAAACCATTCAATAAACATATTAGCAGCTCTCACCTCCGCCTCCTCCGTTGACAAACACCCCTCTACATCAACAGTATCCACGTCATCCAATCTCACCTCACAACGATATGTCGCCTCCTGCCCACTAAACTCCCCCGGAACCCTCTGCACATTGAATCGTGCCTCCGTCACCAACTGCAACGCCAGGTTTTTCGGGTGCATCACAACCACCTCATCCTGCAGGAGCCGACGCAGATACGCCAACAGACCAATCCGCTCTATGAAGCGCTCGCAGGCCTCCAGGTTGCCGTTCGAGTCCACATAGATAGCCCCGATGATGCTCTCGATGACGTCCGAGAAGAATTTATCCGCGTTGAGTTTCGCCAGGGGCTCCCATGGATAATGCGTGCCGGAGGTTAGTTGGATTGCGATTTCGTCGCGAAGGGCGTGGTACCGGGTGAGGGCTCTGTCGCGGGCGAGTTTCATCTCGACGCCTTCGCATCGCATGAAGCGCCAGAGCTCGACGGGGGTTCTCTTGGTCCGGAGCGTGAAGTCTCCCGAGGGGGTTCGTTGGACGTCCGTAGATTCTCTTTCAAGTGCGAACTCCATGCATAGGAAGGCGAGGAGGTTCCCGTTCACGACGGCGTGCTTGATGCGCGTCATGTCGCCGGGGGAGAAGCGTTCGGGGGCGTGCTGGAAGATCGTGGGCACGATGAGCATGTCGAGGACGGCGTCGCCGAGGAATTCGAGGCGTTGATAGGATTGCGTGAAGGCGTCGTGTTGGCAGGAGGGGTGGGTTAGGGCTTCGAAGAGGAGAGAGTCCTCGTTAAACGTGTACCCAATTTGCTCCTGAAGGGGATCGTCCATGAGGTAGCGGAAGGTCTCCTTGTGGCGGATTGCTGGGAGGTGGGAGGTCTTGCCCTGGGGCTCGGGGCTCGGGGGTGTGACTTCTGGCAAGAAGCGATGGATACAGGCTTCGGCTTGGAAGTATCCGCCTTCTAGGAAGGCAGCACCGATCAACGCTTCGACGACGTCCGCAAGAACCTTGCTGGACATGCTTCGCCGGGCAGCGACGTGGATCATTTTCTCGGAGATCAGCGGGGCCGTCCATCGGCGTGGTGTGAAGCTCTTGCTGATGATGAAGGAGTCGAGACCCAACTCAAGAGCTGCGCGCGCAAGGCGGAAGTTTTGGACGATGGAGTTCCGCTTTTCGGATAGATAGCCTTCGTGCCAATTGGGTTGCTCATAGTACAGCCGACTGCTGACGGTGTACTTCAAGAGGGAATCCCCAAGAAACTCGTATCTCTGGTAATTTGTCAAGGCTAGGGCGGAGGGCGTGGTGATCGCTGTGATGACATGTTCTATGGCACTGAAGCCCAGGTTCTGGAGAATTGTCTCGCATAGGCTGGTTGCAATCATCGTTGCCTCCAACCGGTCCATGATGGGAGATATAAACAGTCCGAAAACAGCATTCGAGAAGGAGAGTTTATCCACAGTGCATGTTTCCGCTGAGATAATGCATAGTTTTGTGGACGTGTCAGAGCCGTCCAGACCATCCGGGTGAAACTGCTTATTGACGGCAAGGGTCTGTCGATGTAAAAAGTTTCGGCGGCGGGGAAGTGCTTCACACTCGAGTCCAACCATGTTAGAATCATGCTCCGACAAAACCCACCTCTTGAACAAGAATGGCTCGCCGTAGCGCGCTTCATCCCGAACAATGCCCATGGACTCTGAGCTATCATTGCGGTTGAAGGAATCTCGGGCTGGCTCATTCCCCTGGTATTTGTGAAGCCACTCTCCCAATTCGTCATGAGACAGCTCCGGTCCAAACAACGCTACAAAATCACGACCAGGTCTTAAATCCCCCCTCGCTGTGGCCTGAAGATACACTGCGGTTACTTCTCTCATATGTTCCACGATATCGGGTGGGAACACGGCCATTCGCTCTGGGGGTTCAAACGACAACAAGAATGTGGTCTCATTGTCCCAGTATAACGTCAATGGTAGCAAAGGTGGTAAGACAACCGGCACAGTCAGTTTCATATGCATCTCATAGCTCTCGTTGCCCTGTAATCGCACGGCAATGCGTGTCTGGTGGATGTCGGGGGACGACCACGAAGATGCCCAGTGCGCCCATGGGTCGTATTGTTCCGACACTTCCACTATGGCAGGCATCTCATTCATTTCGCACATTGTGAACTCTGGCTTTTTCGTCAATGGAAGGAGATTGTCAGTCACCAGTCCAAATTTGTAAAGAGCTTTATAGGCAAGAAAAGACGTTTCCTTGACCGCTGCTCGCTCCGAATTCCACCACTGCTCGCCGGAAGCTCGACGGACCGCTGGATGCACACAACTCGGTAGAGTGACTGTTGCTTTCAACTTCCCATAATCGTTAGTCTCAAAGGAGAATTTTGGCGCGTTGTCGGAATAAGCCTCGCGGGGAAGGATGGCACAGAAGTGATTGAGATGAGCGCACGCATCATTGGGGATCAGAACAGCACTAGACACATGTCAACAGGCAGAAAACGCAAGATTGGCAGGCAGCACAGTATATTCACTTACCCTGTAGAGTCGACCACAAGTCTTCCTCCTACATCCTCATCGAGCTCTTCTAGGCATCGTGCCTCTTGAAGTTGTCTCTCATCATCTTGATAAGCTTCGATCATTGCTTTCTCGAGGATCTGCCACTTGGACAGATTTCCTGATTCATCCATTGTCGAAAGCAAGATTGCGTATACCGACTGTTTCTGTCGAGCACGGCCTCGACGCTGCACGAACGACTTCAGGGTAGGCGGCTTGTCATAACAGACGACCGCCTTGCAAGCACTGATGTCTATTCCTTCTTCTAACACATCAGTAGCGATGATGAGATTTTTACGCCCATCACGGAACTCATCCAGAGTATTCTGCTGCGACTTCAGAGTGAGAAGCTCGCCGATGAGTTCCTTGCGTGAGTTACCATTGGACCAGCCAACGTAGGCAGCACACCGGAAGCGAGACTTGGTAGCCGGGTGGACAGACAACAGTCTCTCCATCACACTTACCGTGACCCTTTGCTTTGTAAAGATAATACCTGAGAACTGGGGATCATCCATGCTATCCAAAAACTTGATCAACGCCTCCATTTTGGGAGAGAGACGGAAATTTCCAAGAGAAATATCTGGTTCCGGCAAGCGATCCATAAAATCAATCAGGTAAGTTTTCTCTGCATCTGCCCAGTCCATCATCATAGATGATTCATATATCTTTGACTTCACCTGATCCTTAGACGCATGTATGTAATAGTCAGCAGCCCATCCTCCAAGTTCGTGGAAGAGGTGATCGCTGCGATCGAGCAGCTTTTTGATCTGCCCGTTGCAGTACGTTTTTCGGGATAAAAGCGTTTTCTGCAGGGTGGCCAGGTTGCTGGGATCTTTTTGAAGCTCTTGGACGTATGGGTCATAGTTGAGGTCCAACGTCTCCCACGCGTATCGAAGGGCATTCAGAGATTTGGTCCCATGTACTTCGTCCGTATCAAGCGGGGTGTACCAAATCTGCTGCAGTTTCGGTCTATTGCTATATTCTAGGAGCTCTTGTCGATGGATGCGAGGGGTCTTGCATTTTGAGTCGAGATTCGACTCGATAGTGCTAAAGCCGAGGATTTATTATGAGTGGACGACGATCCATCGGGAAATTTTGCAATACTTACAGCAAATCTATTTTGCTTGATCTAACCACAGGACTAGCCGTGAGGCCCATAATCCGAGGAACAGCATCGCGGCCCAACTTGGCCAGAGTGGGATGATAGAACTCCTGCATTATTTTATTTGCCGGGTGACGACGCATGCAATGGTGAGCTATAGTCAGAAATCAATCAGCATTGCTTCGGTTGTTTCATGTTTCATGCAGTTCATACCTTCATCGAATATAATGAGGCCTAGCTGAGAGATCTTCACAAATCCATGGGACATCGCATCTGCCAGGACGGCATGGGTCGAGACCACAACTTGAACGTCCTTCAATACAGCATCCCAAATGATTTGATTAGTCCAGAGCTCCACCTTATCTAGGCCAGTCAGTGTCCTTGCTCGCACAGCGGGAATATTTTCAGTGATGACTTTGTGCTGTTGACCACACAATGCGACCGTGGGCGCCAGGAACCAGATCAGCTAGAGACATCTGTCAGCCAATACTCGATATATTGGACCGATCACCGCATGCCTTTCCTGCATTATCGCTCTCCAGCTCTCCAGCAATTCGCAAAAGGGCTCTGCAATTCAAATATCAGTTAACGATGATCCATATGGACGAGACACGACAGGAAACAAGTACATGTTTGTTTTCCCACTCCCTGTATCCATCTGGGTTTATTAGCCAAAATTACACATGAATTTGCTGTCTCACAAAAGGAACAGGTCCCATACTGCAACAATAATATTCTCTTTCATGCTCGCTTCAAACATCTCCAGCTGATAGTTCCGCGGCTGGTAGATGGGGGCATCCTTGGCCACTGAGCTGGCGGAAGTCATCTTGAAAAAATGAACAAGAGGAATGACAATGCAGTTGACGGATATTCTAGCGAAGCATTCTAGGTTGAGGGCGTGGAGACGGAGTGGTGGATGCTCTTTGAAAGGCGAAAACCCAACCGATTGAAGTAGGTAGCGGGGTAAACATTAAATAATGAAGCGATCGACAGCAGTCAAATGGACAAACCCGCTAAGGGCCGACCGTTGATCTTATCACCGCCAAATAATGCTCGAGCAGCTTTGCCATGCATCATTGCCAGGTCTCTGCTCCATCTTCCATGAGATGACTGCTTCTATTATTTATTCGGGATGAGATTGAATCCAGGGGTGTATTCCAGATTAGAACTGAGGAAAAGAAATGATATTACGACGAGTAGTAAATAGGTAAGAGACTTAACAAAACCTCACAGAAGGTACCTTGATTGTATGAAAGATGACCGTCTGTTTCCCAACGAAATCTTCGGCATTCTAGACCGTCCCGTGACTGCGGCCTCAGGGGTTCCTCAGGCACCACCGTTTCCTACAAGGCATATTCAACTTCACCAACAGATCCATCTCCAGCCACAGTTCGCTGCAGCCACCAACTTTGACAGAGGCACTCAGCCTCACCAATCTGATATGGTTTAATGGCGGAGCCTGGAGCTGGGCGCTTAACGGCACAATTGATCCAATGAGCACATCGACAACGGGGTAGCATCTTATCAAGATCAAGACGGTTCAGAAAAGCCCGAAACCATTGTAGGCTGCCATGAAAACGATTCCGCAAGCTCCATTGGCTGCTAATTTCAACTCCCCGCCGACTCATGTCTGATACCGCAAGTGCATCGAGACTCGCTGGCCGACCACACCATCCACCAGCCATGCCAAAGCCAATGGGAGCCGGCACACTCGGGAGACCCTGGTCAATGGCACCCCCCTAAGCGATCAAGTCGCATTCGGTCACGGTCTAGCGAGGAGATCCATAGACTGCGCCCCGCGCCATTCGGAATTAGGTGCTGAACCATGCCCCTTCTTTGGTTCCGAGTGTACCCTGTGGCACTCATGAACCCCTGGTACGGTGGTGTATGTCCCAGGCCAGCACAGCGCTCAGCCTGGAACTGCAACCCCATTCTGTGAGAGGGATCGCACAATTGCGCCTTCGTACTTTTGCAGAACGCAGTGCAGTGCAGATCGAATCAGCCATAATTAGGAACAACGTCATGGGCATTCAGTCGGAAATTCGGGTATAAAATGTCTCTTCCATCCTCTACTATCACAGACGAGAAGGATCAAGAGCATCGTCAGCCGCCAAATAGTCAACAATCAGATTTTTCTTACCTCGTCGTTCAGCTTCGATTAAAGCAAATTCATACTTCTATTTTATTCCCCTCCCCAAACGATGGCTTACGCTCCACCTTGCCATCTCTCCGAAATCATCAACCTCTATCCAAAAGAGGAAAGCACGTGTATCGGCTACGCTCGCACTCAGGGCCGTAGATGCCGAAATAGTGTCAAGGCCGAAGACCGCGCACAAGCCAGCTTCCTACTGGAAAAAGCCACCAAACGACTCTGCGCCGGGCACTCCATCGACAGTTTACTGGAAGATATCGCCTATTGGGTCCTCTGCAAGCGATGGCATCGAAACAGCGATGTTGCGGGAATCTCCGCTGAGTGGCGGTCCCAGGTGTATCGGTATCTTGCGGTTCAAGCCTCGCCCTCGCAGCATATAAACCGCGATGTTTCTGACCATCGCTCCTCTACATTTGTCACCTACGAGGTTTCTCACAGAGACGTCAACGCTGCGTGGTCTTTGAAAGTTACTCGTCCTCTATCTACTCCTGATTCCTACCAACCCATTCGCGAGCCACCAAGGTCTCTACCACAGTCTCAACCTCAGAGAGAAACTCGTCCTCCTATCCATAACAATACTATTTACCCTTCATCCTTAACTTCTTCTTCCTCTTCTACCACCTCCACCCCTCAAGTACCCGAAGACCCTTCCTCCGATATGTTCGCCCGAACTCAGCGCGCCAGGCGAGTCCTGATGCCCACCTCCCGATTGAACCGCACGCAAATCCAGCCTAATCCTGTCCCTAAAAAGGAGCCCAGAACTGGCACCAAAGTCGAGGCCAAGGCTTCCTCGAGTTTGGCCCCTCTTCAAAAAGCCAACCGTGGTCCTCCCCTTCAATATCTCAAGGACCAGAACCGTATTCTTGACGAATACATGGACAAACTGCGACGTATGGAGCCCCCAGAGGATACGACGGATCTTGAGGAGGACACAGCCGCCCAGGAAGAGAGCCACAAGTCTGAGCTCGCAACCGAGTTGAGATCTATCTTGTCGGCCTCGGGCTCGGCGGCAGCTCCTTTGGCAAGCGCCAGTCGTGCTACTCAGACAAGTCCCTCTAGGGAGATTCTCGAAAGACGTCGTACGCTTGATGAGTACATTGCTGAAGTGAAACTCATGAAACCTGGCGAAGACGATCTGGAGACGACAACACATACATCGACCCAGGCGCTGAGGGACATCGGCATCCATCTCGATAAATACACTCAAACTCCAGAGCCCCCGCACGCTGTCGAGCCTGTCGAGGATACAGCGAACATAGCATCCGACGAGAAACCCTCAGGCCTGGAGATCGACCAAGCAGCACCAGCTCCGGAACCCTCCAAGTCAACAGACATCGTCCAGACCAATGAAACAGAGGACGTCGAGTCACCCTCGCCCTCATCCCAATCTCCCTCTCAGTCCCTCCTCTCCCCCAGCCCATCTTCCTCATCCATCACCACCCTACCAACGAGATCTCCCTCGGCGGCAACCCACCAAATCGACAAGAACAACAATGGCCCCAACCCCCAACCTCCTCCCGAAACCCTCGGCCCGCTCAAGGGATCGCACGATAGCCCATTCTACAAAAGAACTGAGCCCCCTTCACGTCCGTACCCAGTCCTGACCCTTGGCCTCGTCACCAGCATGGCCGTGTCCGAGGGTCTTGGGACTCTGGGTCGCTGGATGCGTCTCGAAGGACGAGGCTCTGTGGCTCTGTTCTGGGTGTTTGTGTATTTGTGGGGGTTGTCTTCTGTGGGGCTTTTGTGAGCCGATATTTTTATTTTGTGATTGCTTGCCTGCTGATGATGGGCATTGAAGAAATAGGGGTTAGGATCGACGTGGTTTCTAGATTGTGACTGTGATTATTTTGTGGACTATTACTTGATGGCGTTTATGGGATGATACCTGAAGCTTCCATTTCTTTTGTTTTCGTTTCTGTTTTGTTTTGTTTTTTTGTTTTTTGTTTTTGGCTTATTCGTTCTTTTTGGTTCAAGTTATTGACTAGTCTACTATTACTTCGACTGCACAAAAAATTGCATTCAGATTGATATTGATATTGTAAAGTCAAACGGATAGTGATACTCGTAGCGGGTGCAGATGTCAAGTGGAATGTAAATCGGAAACAAACGGCTCATGACGCATCAGAGACCGGCATATAACAAAAAGAAAAAGAAAAAGAAAAAGAAAAAAAGAAAACGGGGAATGAAACAGCAGCTAAGAAGCAGGCACTCTGCGACCACTGTCGGGGTATGTAGGGGAGATGAGCAAAAGGTAGATAGATCACCTGATCTTCGGCCCATCAAAATGTCTAGGTCACAACGTGAGTGGCATTTCAAACCCGAGGACAAGAACGCAGAACACCGCCCCCTCTCCAAGGCCAGAAACTAAACCCTAGCAGTATCACGCCGATACACCGGAGAAACGAAAGCACACGATTATAGCAAAGGAATGGAATGAAGTATAGGAGAAAGAGCCCGGGATGGGTCAACAAGATAACAGGTCCTAATCATAGTGAGTAGCAGATCACCGTGGGTTGAAAGGTTTCGACGACAGTATTTCCGTTCATGACACGACAGGTAGCCCATGCGCAGGCTCCGTCTTGGTCGCTTCTGAGCCGTCCGGTTGGTTCTCGTCCGCACGAGGGCGACGGACTCCAAAGTTATTTCCCAGGTAGTTTGCGTCCTCGTTAGGGTGCTTGCGCATCCCGAGACCGGCACTCGCTATCCGATTCAGGGAGTTCATATCATCGTTAGACCCGGCGGCCTGGTTCTGGTTGGGCTGGGGTTGCTGAGGGCCAGAAGAGGCGGCGTTGGCGGCATTCTGTGCCGACCCGGCGCCACTGGCGACGTTCAAATCCGTCCGCGGCTGGCTCAGGTCAATGTTTCCTGGCAATTCTGGAACCTCGCCTTGGGAGTCGAGTAGCCGAGATTGCAGGTTGATGATGTACTCGCGGAGCTGATAATTCTCGGCCTGCAGGGCCTTGAAGCCATCCGACATGTTATCGTACTCCTTGACTTGCTCCTCCAACTTGCGGATATAGCTTTCCTTCCGTTGACGGAATGCCCTCTGCTCAAGTTAGTTGGCTTCCAAGACCCCATATCTTTCCGGCGCGACACGTACCTGGGCGGCTCGGTTCTGGGCGGCACGCTTGGAGGTAGACAACGGTCGCTTGCCATAACTCTTCGGGGACTCCGGCCCCGTCGGTTCTGGTTGCGGGGGAGTTTGCGGAGGCCCACTGAGCATAGACGCCCCCGAAATCGCCGGGTCAATGTTGTTCTGGTCGCGCGGACTCGTGTTATTGGGTTGCATATGAGGGGCTTGTGGCGGAGGCGGTTGAGGACGCGCTTGCTGGGGATGTGTCAGATGCTGCTGAGCAGCTAGAAGCTGATCATGTAGCACTAAGATTACAGTTAGCGTCAATGCTACTTCCCATGCCCCATCTCGATGGCTTTTATTGTGATGCCCGGGGCTTCCGCATGCGCGATAGTCATGCGAAAACGCGCGATTTCTCTCACACACTCGCCAAGGTCGCGCGATCAGGGACACTTACTCTGATCAGTATGATCCTAGAGGGTAAATCCACAACATTAGTCACCTATCCACGAAATCAAAGCACATGCGTCTCATCGACGCGCGACCGGCGCGGGAGCTCTGGTCCTTCATGGTCAAGAACCAGGCAGGCGATCTCGAATCACGCAGCCGGCCGAGGCGCGACGGCGTGCTCAGAAGAAACCCGCTCTCGAAATCGCGTCGCCGAGGAAGTACACAATTGCGAGGGTAATGGTGACAGGCGATCTGATGACAAACCGCGACAAGCATAGGCTGCTTACCTGAGCAGAAGTTTGCATGCTTGGATGCGGCGCTGGGGCTAGTGCAGGCTGCTGCATCGAGAGTACCAAATCCCAAGAGACAACGAAGACGCGCCCGGAGAAAGACGCGACACGGTTCAATCCAAAGAGGACAGGAGGAAGTCAAACTTAGGCCGGCTAGACTACACAATTTCTCAGAAAGCGGCGGAGAATGTGTCGATAGATGGAGGGCGACGAGAGAGAGGCGATGAGGTAAGCAAAGAACACTCGGGGCAGCTTAGTCGTGATTTCGAGGGGGTTTTATGATGCTGACTAGTCGCTTTGTCCTTGGTGATAATGTAAGTTCGCTGGGGGGGTGATCTCGTAAGCAGGAAAGGGAAGAGCGAGGGGGGAAGATTAGTTAAAAGATCAGTCAGACTCGGGGGCGTGACGTGAGAATGGGAAAAAGGGAAAAAGTGGGTTGGGGGGCGGCTGGAAGTCGTGGGAAACTGATTCGGCGTCCGGATCTGGGCGGTGACCGTATCCATACGGTTCTGGTAATGAATGACGCCACCTCGTCCAGACACGGAGAGAAGCCCGCGGAATTCCAGCGCTCTGCAGGAGTTGATCTGGAGAGTTGATATGGATTTTATTTTCCTATAAAATTGTGAAGACGCATCCAGAGATACGAACTTCAGACATTTTTAAAAGTAACATCAAAACTCAGTGCACAAAACAATAGAATTGGAACCTTAGAAGGAATAATCCCGCAGACGCGTCTGGATGTTTTCCGTCATGGTATGAATACCGGCCAATGAAACCCGCCGAGACCAACTCCGCGGTCTCCGCCCCCAACCGCTTGATGACTCATCCGGCATGTTCTGCTGGCCGCTTTGGGCCGAGTTGACCGACCGGCGGGACAGGACCTTGGTAGGGAGTATGCTAGGGGCAAAGTCGCCAGCTTTTGAGGGAGCATGAGTTCATCAACAGAGAGAAAGAGAGGCTATATCCTCAGATTCTAAGTGATGAATCCTCGTGTTCGCGTCCCCAATGGCTCGGCTCTACTATATTACCATACCGTATTTCGGGGTACCAAACAGTGCCGGATGCTGACTGTTCTTATCCCCGAGTGACTAAAATTATGTTTATTACTAATCTGGGCTTATGCAGCGAAGCTTGGGAATAATAAGAGAAAGCAGGCGGATTTCCTATTTCACGACTCCATTAAGTCCTACAAGCAGGCTCGTCATGATGTACCTTAAACACCACCGTCAGGCATAGAAGCCAATCAGTGGGCGATAAATCATACTATTGCTGTCTTTCCTAGAGCTACAATAAGCGAGCTAGGATGAGCTTGATAGTAAGTCTGTAGATGAGTCCATCTCGAGACGTCGTGGACCAAAGCCATACTGGCAGGGCTTGCAGATACACCGTAGGCGATGGGTTTTATTGTAGTGTAGATACATATATCCATCGCAATTCAAAAGAATGATGTCCAGAGGCTTATACGGGTGGAATAAACAACATAAACGGCTGCGAATAGTGAATACTAGAGAGGGAAAGAAACAGAAGAAAATACTAAAACCTCAAGACATCTATCCCCATTGCACGCGTTCGCAACGTGAACCACCGCTCCTACTATCGATGGTACAGTGATATTACAACTAGAGGCGCTAGAAGATCTGGGGAAAGATGGCATACCGCCCACGTGGAGGGTTCGCGTCACCAGAACAACAGTGGCCTACCTCTTCGTGGACTAACCATCCGAGATAAGTATGCATGATGTCCTTTTGTCTCTTCAACATGGATGACACGGAGAGGGACGCCATCACAGAGTGGATCGAGGGCGTGGCCACCGATGATCTATCCCCCTCGGGTTCCACACGATCAGATATCACGGCCAACGACAGGTCCCGACAACCGTCATCTAGTCCGACCCGTACTAAATCCAATCTAGCATCAGCGACCCCAAAAATAAGATATCTTCACGAGTCGGCAGACCCGGGAAGTGAGCTTGCGAGAGAATTACTGGCATTGTTGACAGCGGAGGATAACGATGGCTGGGAACCAGAAACACACGAAATCGACAAAGTCTCTGCCGCGTCACATAAATGCGATGCTCAATTACGAAGCGAGAGCTCATGGGTTATTGAAGTCGTTCGCCCGCTACTACAATGTGCGATAGGAACACTACCGCTGGAGTGCTGGAGCGTGTAAGGCATCATCTGCCAGCTCGCTTTTCTATCGCTAACCCGATATGATTGTCAGTCAAACGGAAACTGTCGATCCCAAATACCAACCTCGATACACCGCGCGGGACACTTACAGCCGGAAAATCGACCTCGTGGTCGGTTTCCCAACTGATGAATGGCCGGACGAGTACGAAAGAATGGCTGCGCTGTCTTCAGATCGATGTTTCAGCCATATCACTCATCCACATACCGGAGCACGGTTTCTCGGACCCGGCTTCGAAATCAAGGCTTCTGATGGAAACTTGGTTGAAGCGCAAGTGCAACTTGGTGTCTGGATGGCGGGGCTGATAACCTGGATGTGGGAGCGTCGATGCAAAGGTGCTCTTCCGCCCCCAGTGGTAGGATGCATTAGCATTGGTGAACGCTGGGATTTTTACATCATCTACGGTGTGGAGATCGTGGGGTCTGCTCGACCTGAAGTACGTGTCTGGGGACCGTTGTCTGACCTGGATGCTCGTACTGGAAGCCGCAAGGCAACGACGTTGCTGGCTAAACGATTGCGGCAGGTAATGAAATATACTGAAAGCCAGTATTTTCAGCAGCTGTTGAAAGCATTTACTCCCTCCTAAGTCCAGACGACGGCTAAAGATGTGTTGAGATATATGAATACGTGCTGGACTTCTGATTAATGGACCTTGATGGATGATACCCCTTGCTCAAATCTTGTTTTTATCTGTCTTTCTTTCCTATATTCTATCAGAGATATTTACTATTGAACTGGTTGGGAGTAAATGTGTTATTAGTGGGATTACCACTACAAGGCTAGAAGCATCACAACTTATGGTGGTCGAATGTTTTTCACCACTTGTGGTATGCTGTAAATTCAAGCTCTCCAATGTTTGGAAAGGCTACCGAGTATATCTCTTGCGAAGAACTTTATGATACAAAACACAACTCATTGGCCGTCTGAGTTGTACCAATCCTCATATACGTCCACCTATTCTTTTACAGCCACCTACTGCTCCTTCTTCGTGTCACCCTGTACAGTCGACAGGGCATGAATAATAGACGAGCCGACATGTGCCGACTCCTTCCACCCCTTCTGGCGCATCCAGAAGCGCTCCGTAGAGTCCGTGCCATGGCGAGACCAGGTCCGAGCGTCCTCTTCCAACGTAGCCCGGCTGATCTGCGAGACCTCCTGGGACTGGTCGGTATAGGGGACCTCGTCGCCCTCGTCGTCACTGACCTTGGTGCTGAGAGTCGAATCTAGGTACCGCTTTCGCATGTTGTAGCGGTCCGAGCGCTCCTTACGCACGTTCGGGGGTTCGAGTTTGGCCATGGCGGCACGCACGGCATAGCGGACCGCGAGGTAGAGATGCTCGGAGAAGAAGATCGTGAGGAGAAGGGCCCAGCCTTGGATGGTTGTTGGCTCGCCATTGGGCCCTTCGTGGCCGGTACTGAACATATATAGCAAGGCGGCGCTGGTGATGCTGCCAACCCAGGAGAGGAAGCCGAGGCTTTCTAGCCATGGCCCGATGGTGTCGGCGCGTTGAGGCCAGGGCCGTTTGCATTCGACGCAGATTTTGAAGAAGTCGGATCGAAGCTCCACCCAGTTGTTGATCAGGAAGGAGACGGGAACCAAGGGCCAGATGGGTGAGAAGAGGGCGAGATATCCGAATTGAATGCACATCTCACGTAGATCATCTGTGACATCGTAGTCATCGAGCTCGGCCTCGTTGCGAACTCGCTTGAGGAAAGCAGACTCTTCTGGGGCGTCGTCGAACTGCGCGACAGGGGTGCGCTTGGTGTCCGAATCACTGTCCGAATCGGTCTTTGCCGATTGCTTTCGCTTATACTCTTTATATTTGCGGAGAAGATGCTGTTTGACCATAGGGAGGATGGCTTCCTGGGCAAAATTGACGACCTGAGCCGTCACAGTGAAATAAATGACCTGTTTTCGTAGACGGTCGGGATCAATGTTGAACTCAGTATGCATTGTCGCCGCATGCTCCTTGGAAACGAATGGCCGAACAGTCATCTGGAAAATGTCGAGATACGGCACAATGAGGCTGGCAAAGGGGACGTAGACAAAAGCTGTAAGGAAGATCGGGAGGTACGATGTGATAAAATTGATCACAAAGATTTTCTGTGTCAATGCCACATCATACGCCGGTTGGGTTTCGTAGTTCTCGTAGTCGTTGAGTCTAGTCGCAGCATTTACCAGGACGGTGCTCATGGTCGGGATGAGAGCAGATAGTAAAATAGTAGGAATGAAGATCTGCTTTGTCAGTCATCACTCAAAAGCCAAGGCGAATCACTATAGGGCTTACTAGATATGTCTTGAACGGCCCATTGTAAATCTCGGAAATAAAGATCTCAATGGCGAAACACGTCCCAATGATCAGGCCCAAGGCTACCGTTGAAAGCAGAGCAAACGGGACCTGGAGAAGCTGACGATACATCCGCCTCGATGCCGAAAATACACCTCGAACTTCGCCCGTACTTTCATCCTGGATCTCTTTATCTGGAATGAATTGTTGTCTCTTCGCGCGAACGGCCGAAGCCCCCTTTGTCTGCCACCGACAGCTGAGATCCTCCTCCTGGCGCTTCCAATATTCAACAAATATAACGCCCCAGAGAGAGTTAACTATGGTATAGATAATCGAGTATGACCCCAGCAGAAGCCAGCAAGAAAATCCGAAGACTGCCGGAAACAGCAGAAATTTAAAGTACGACTGCAAGAAGGCGAAATAAAACCCGACCTGCATAAAGCCATTAGCGTCACAGTGCCCAGGCTGCATGCCGGAAGAAAAAGTGGCTCCAACTCACGCTTTCTCCGAAGGTGTTCCGTATCTGATCCAAGTCCTCCGGCGACAAGAATGTCTTCTTGCTCCAATCTCTCATGCAATTGTTATTTGTATCGACATCGTGGAGCGGAAAGATTGCGAGCACATTTTCCCATTCCCCGTGTTTCGGACTGATCCCGGCGCCGCCGGCTTCCTTGGGCACTGTGATCATATGATATATCACACGCAGACGTTCGGATTCGGTTTGAGGTTCGGCGGAGGTCTCGGATTCGGGCTCGTCGTGGCGGACTCCGTAGAGCCAGTCGCGGATGCTGGTGGGAAATAAATCAGCACGGAGGGCATTGGGGCAGAAGCAGTTGCTAATGGCACTTGAGCGACTCACCGCGACTGGTAGACGGCATGTCGAAGGTGCTTCTTCCTCGATGCGCGGACGAAGACGAGCACGGTCGATTCATCTCCCTCCCTGACTTCGGTCTGCAGGCCTACCTCCGATAGTCTCCGAAGTAGCGATTCCAATTGCGATGTTGCTTGATTGGGATCTGGTGCAATTAGATCCTGCTGGCTTTCCAAACGTGTAGCGAGAGCTTACCTGTGCCACTGAAGTTGAATTGAATGACGTAGTCCACATGGTTGTTCTTTTGATGCGCGGGCGCATCATCTTTGGGCGCCGTGGAAGACATTAGTCACACTGTAGGTAGGATTTGTTGCTTTATTTATCCATAAGCTCCGTGTTTTTGATACCGTTCTGAAGCTATCGCATTCGTGCGAACGGTTGAAAATAAAAGGGGCGACCGTGAGATGCGGTCGGGGTGAGCGGCCAGCTATGACCAAGTATCCGATGACGACGTCACGAAGCTTGTTTGTAGGGTTAGCCCTGGAACCGACTAAGGCCCAAACCGGTAAAGTTGAGGTGACGTTATCCGCGTTGGCGATGGACAATTGGTCGATCTACCGGTGGATCCGTCGATATCATCATTCGGCATGGACGCTCCTTGCGTTGGCAGATCTTATCAGCTGTTGTTCTTGCTTTCGGATCTATTTTAGAGTGGAGGACTCAGCCACTACTGTCAGGAAGAGATATGCGCTCCTATTTACCCACGCTCCTTTGGTCCCGCTGATATCATATTATGTCGGATCTTGACTGCCCTTGCTCCTACTAAATTTTATGTATGCTTGTTCTTGGGTAACTGGTCTGTAAACCGTCCTACAACTGTTCTGCAATCATAATGAACTATGCTCTGCATCTATATCCATGTCTCTTCGAATACTCGGGGTTTCATAGCTAGCTACATGACTGACTGAATTCTTTCCTATGCTCATGTTTCCCCCACTTCCTGATAAAAATCATCCCCACATCCCCGCATGGTGTCTTGGATCCTTTGTCTTTTTTTTCAAGCGCATCCTGTTCGAATGCCCGTGTATACAATAAAAACAGAAGAAAGTAACATCACCTACCCTAATATTCTATAGACCGTATTCTACCTCAGTTTTGGTCTTCGAACTCCCTTACAACCCCGCAGTATGTCTTACAAATAAAGCTAGAACATCTCTAACATTCCTCAAACCCTAATATGATAAACAAAAACAACACCCAACCTTTTAATCTATCCCGGAATAGCAAACCAAACGCAATACAGACAACTCACACCCCCTGGGCCAAATTATCCAACGCGGGCCCCTCCACCATCATCTTCATCCACTCATGCATCCCGACCGCCCCAACCTGCTCATAGAACTTAATACTGGGCTCATTCCACTTCAGCACGCTCCACTCCAGCCTTCGCCCGTTGACCTCCAGCACCTTGGCCGCCAGGTACTTGAGGAGCTTGAGCCCGTAGCCGTTCCCCCGCGCGCTGGGCTGCACGTAGAGATCCTCCAGGTAGATGCCCGGCGCGGAGCGCCACGTCGAGTAGTTGTAGAAGAACAGCGCCATGCCGACGGGCTTGGGGGCGCTGGGCGGGGTGATCAGCGCGGTGTACACGGCGCCGCGCCGCGGTGGGGTGTCGGGGAAGGAGAGCGTCGCGAGAAGCGACTCTTCGGTGGCTTCGACTTCGTGGAGGGCTTTTTCGTAGTCGGCGAGTTCGCGGATGAATTGGAGGATGAGAGGGACGTCTGGGGGTCGTTAGTTGGGGGTAGGGGAGGTAGATGGGGGGTAGGGGAGGTAGATGGGGGGGTGGTGAGCGGATGTGGGGAGATGGTTTGGGGAGCGGGATGGTTGATGCTGGGGGAGAACTTGCCCTCGGGGGTTGCTAGGCGGAGGGTAGGTTGGTCAGACATGATGGCTGGGTTTGAGGTCTTTGGACAAGAGGTGACAGAATGAATGTTTGGTGGTTAGAGAGAAGATTAAAGATGATGAGGTCTACGATGGCGGTCGCCCCACTTTATAGTCTGGACTTGTGGTCCAGGTCTCGTTGCGACGCCCTGCCGTTGACATTCGGAGACTAAGCAAGTCGTTATGGAGCCCTACAAGACAACACCAATAGGCAGATATTATGTACCCAACTAATATTACAAATATACCCTAAGTTGATGGCGTGGCGACGTGAACCACATTAATCCTATTTCGACATGATGGCGGACATCCATTTTTGCTCATCCGTTCTAGATTCCTGTTAGCACGAGTGGACAAGAATATTGGGTAGGGCTGGGAAGGAAACTCACCGATCAAAATGTAGCAGCATCCCCAATACAGGGATGAGCTGCTTCTGGTAATTCTTATCCTTCTGCTCCAAGAACTGAAGGAGCACGTTTTTGAGATAGATGTAGTCGACGTTTGCGCCACCAGGCGTTTCGCTTCTCCGGGTCGATGGGCTTCGATCCTTGGAGACGGGAGAGGCGAGCGCTTTTCGAGAACCGGAATCAATGGAAGATCGCGAAGACTGGGGGTTTTGTCCCATGCGGGCTTCGTCCGAGAGAATCCGGTTGGATTTGCGCATCTTTTCCAAGCGGGTGTTGGCCTCCTCGACAGATCTGCGATACTCCGCCCTCTCTTTCTCCAACTCACGGACTTGCTTTTCGCTTTCATCCAGAGTGTCGCGGAGCTGCGCCATTGCCTGTCGGACGTCATTGAGTTCCTTGCCAGATGTCTCGGACTGCGACTCGAGTTGGTCACGTCTGCGCTTCCAATCCTTCTGGGATCTCTCTAGCTCTTCCTTGTCTTCTTCAGCACTCCGGAGAGCCTTCTCCGCTTCGCGAACCTTGCCTTTCAGTTCCTCCAGCTCGCGAGCTCGGCGACGGCTCTGAGCACTCGCCTCATCTTCGGCCCGGTCTCGCTCCTCGATGGCGGCTTCCATTCGCTCCTTGAAATCGCGGACCTTGGATTCGGTACGACCTTCAATGTCATTCAGGAGGCGGCGCATTGTCTCTCCCTCCCGAGTCCGTTCGTTCAGTAGACGGTGAGCATCCGCCAATTCCTCCTCCAAGCTCTCGCAACGTTCCTTCGCTTCCTTCATCTGCATTCCGATTTCGGCACTTTGATCGCGCATGCTGTTCATCAAGCTTTGTGCACTGGCATGTTGAGCAGTCTTGAGGTGAATTTCTTCCCGCAGACTTTCCAATTCCTGGTTCAGTTTGTTGGCCTGGTTTTCCACTTCCTTGATTTGGTTCTTGGCTGATTTCAGCTCGTCCTGAGCTCTTGACAGGTCAGAAGCAACTCGTTCCTTTGTTTCCACGGCCTCTTGCTTTTTGCTCTCCGAGTAACGCAGGTCAGATTGCGCAAGAGTCATCCGCTCCTCGGCCTTCAAGCGGCTGTCCGTCTCTTGCCGGATCTTTTGATTGAGCGTCTTGACTTCTGTGTCACGCTCTGACACGGTGGACTTGAGGGTCTTCAATTCCGCCCTCAGATCCTCCTGCTTCTGCTCTATGGTTCGCAGTTCTGTTGTCTTGCTCGTCAAGCTTTCTTTTGTAGTCTTGAGTTCTGCGGATTCAGCCCGCAAGTTCTTCAATTCGGGTTGCAACTTTTGCACGGTTTCCCGCAAATCGGTAAGGTCCTTGAACCGAGTGGTGGCCAGCTGCTGCGCAGCTGAGAGCTCGGTTTCGATCGTCGTAAATTTAACCTTGAGGCTTTCGTATTCCTCCTTCAGGCTACTGTGCGCCTTTTCGGAGTCTGCGCTCTGGGATGCATTGCTTGTGCGCAGATCAGTAAGCTCCTTTTCAAGTTTGGTGATGGTCTCTTCCAGGGCATTCTTCTCCGCGGAAAGAACCTTGATCCTGTCCTTTGCTTCGACATGTTCCTGGCCGAGATTGACCACATCGTCACGGAGAGATTCAATTTCCTCCTTCAAATCTTCTTCACCCTTGAGTTTTACGCTGAGTCGGTCAATGGCGGCCTCCTTCTCCTCAAGCTGGCTTGTCAGCGATTCAATCTTGCCCTGTAGTTCATCCAGTTTCGCAGCATTCTGATCAGGTTCTTCAGCTGGTGGCTGCTTATCTTCGACCGCAGCAGCGGGCTCTGCTTTGCTCGCATCTTCGCCACCTTTGCCACCCTTCTTCTTCTTCTTGTTCTTCTTTTTGCCTCCACCAGTGCCTGCCGTAGAATTGGCAGTGGCATTGGCAGCTGGAGGACTCGGCTCCGAGGCCTGGGTTTTACCTGGCTCTTCCTTCGGAGGAGGGATCAGGCTCTCGCGGAGCTCATTGAATTTGGTCTTTTCTCCACTCAAGATCTGTTTCTTGGCCTGCTGCCATTGTGGGTTGTCTTGCATACTGCCGTCAAAGAAATCGGTGATGCCCTTTAGCCTGGCGTCCTTAGTTTCCTTTTCCATCTCGGCCTTGACGGTAGACACCGTTTCTTCCGTGGTCTTGAGCTGGGAGCGAAGACTATCCACCAAATTCTGCAAGACTCCTAGCTTCTTCTCATTAGCTTCCTTCTCCTGCTTCACTTCATCGAGTTTCGACTGAAGCTCCGGTTGCTCCTTGTCTTTCTCAGACGCTGAAACTTGAGCCTGAAGCTGTTCGATTTCGCTCGTCTTCTGCTTCAAATCATCTTTCAGTTTCTCGACTTCGGCAGTAGCCTTCGTCAAGGATTCTTCAGAGGCCACAAGCCTAGATTTGAGCTCGTCGATCCCTTCTTGCTTGGAAGTCTTCAGCTTTTCGATCTCCGATTCCTGCGTGTCCTTGGTATCGCGCAATTCATTGAGCTCCCGAGTTGCAGTCTCCAGGTTCTGAACCATACCCTCGGTCGACTCACGTGCCACCGAGAGGTCGCGCTTCAGGTTCTCGGTCTGAGTCTTGAGGGTTTCGATCTCTTCTTGTTTTTCTTTCAACTCCGATTCCAATCGCGGGATCTCGCCGTCAAACGAAAAGAACTCCTCGCTTTCTTGCTGAGGCTCCGACTTCTCAGCCTGCTTCGCGGGGTTCTGCTTCGGCGAGAATATCTGAGCGAAACGAGACGCGGATGTCGGAGTCGGAGACTGCACGGTTATATCGGGAGAGGGCGAATTTGCGGCGGCGGTATCAACACTCAAGCCATCGCCCTCCTTGGACGAAGAGCCTTCCTCGCTCTTGTTTCCATCTTTCTTCAGATTCGCAACCTCATCCCAGGCAGCTTTCGTGGCCTTCTGAGCTTCCTCGAATTTCTTCTTGTAGTCATCCCGCTCGGCTGAGATGCGCTTCAGCTCTTCCACCACCATGTCCCCCTTCAACGAGATCTGATTCAAATATTCCGTCAAGGCCTTGGGATCGCCGATCGACGTAAGAGGGGTATTTTCACGGAGAGCGGCCTCGAATGGTTCGATGGAGAGAACGCGCGTATGGGCCATCCGGTATGCCTTCAGGAGCTCTAAGATCCGGCCGCATCAGTCAGCGTTATAAGTCGGATACGATCCGCAACGGCCACATCTCATACCTTGATACCGAGTTTCCATCTTGCTCAACTTCCGCAATTTCACCTTAACCTCCGCAGGTAGCTCGGAAGGCGACTGCTTTGTCTCCGAAGCGGGTGCCGCATCCTTTTCATTTAGCGACTCCTCCGCAGTGGACTTTTCCTCCCCGGCATTTTGCTCCGGCGTTCCCTTGGAACTGCTCGGGGGATCCTGCTGAGGAGTGGCCGATCTGCTGGACCCTTCGTCATCTCCGATGGCGAACTCGGGTTCGAACTCCGTCGGATCGGGGCCACGAACGGGGGTGCCGGTGTTTCGTCGCGGACGGTTCGGTCGTCGGCTAGGGGACAGGTTGCGGCTGGAGGGCTGGCGAGCGGAGTTGGATCGGGACAAAGAATCCTGGGCGGATTTTTGACGAGCCTGTTCTTCTGCGATTCGAGAGTCGATCGCCTCGCGAAGGCGCTGTAGAATAGAAAAATACAGGGTTAGCCAAGCGAACAAACAACCGACACCGACACCGACCGAGCGGTTAAGGCAGGCCGTAAATAAGTGATTCCGGCGGTGGGAAGAATCACGGACCAAACAAACGTACCTGAAACATGACCGTGGCGGGCCTGTGAGCCAAGGCCACAGCTAGATGGACAAACGAAAGACAGAAGGGGGCGAGGAGAAATGGGACGAACAGAACCAGGAGGAATAGGTGGTAGAGGGAGAAGGAGGAAGCATCCAGAGAACATCAGCGACAAGACAAGCCAGAACGCCAGCCTGTTGGGCGGCCAAGACCCGGCGGGCGGGCAGAAAAATGGCCGGAGATAAAAAAAATGGGCGGTGATCAGTTGCTCCCCCTGACAGCGGGCGGGATCTTGATCTATATCAGGAACACGCCTCCTTGTCTTTGTTCATCGCTATTTTAATTTCACACGCTAACGCTGTCCACGCTAATCATAGGGTCCAAAGGAGGGATCATCCTAACACCAGTATCCATACAGGCCTATCATTCCAGTGATTCCACTCGCTCAGGGCTGCACATCCACCGGATACAAACGGCTGACGGCCATTTTCTGTTGAGAGGATTTCCTGCGGGGGATGAAGAACCATATATTACTGTCTTTGGCAGAACTGTCGCCGTCACTTGATGGCGCCGAGCTTTGCACAATGTCCTGTTTCACGTACAATTGACGCAACGAGGCCAGGGCAGCGATTACAATTGCTTCCATCAACGCTGATGGTTAGCTGCGCCTTCGATTAGATAGTGGTGTAGAAGAAATACTTACAAGTGGCACACTCGATTAAACTCCACATCCACAGCCAGATAGCATCAAAATAATGGCGCGGTTCAGCCACAGCAGCTATGCGGATGACTGCAAAGATCGCCACCACTACTATCAGGGAGAAGAGGCCCATTAACTTGAGCTTTCGAGATAAAGGCATACGCACGTTCCAAAGAAGGGCTATTGGAAGTGTGGTTACTGGAATTTGATCAGTATGCCGTATCTCGACTCGGGTCTCAGGGAAGACACATACTCAGTACATCACTGAAGATATCCAATATCCCGTTGATAAAGAAACTCCGGAATTGGACCCTGACGGCTGAAGATGCGGTGCAATTTTCTGGATAGTCCTGTGTTAATATTTCAAAGAGAGTGATGATAGGCCAGGGAATCTAACCATAAGCCCATGCTGGATCCTTCATCAGGCACTTATAGTCAATATCACCTAAGCATCCTGCACAGCTTCCAGCTACCAGTATCACGACACACCAGTACCAGGTGTTCCATGGATAGAGGTAGCAACCGAGTCGACGGAAAAATATCAGGAACGACGCTTTCAGTAACCAAAGAGAGAGCATAAAGAAGAAAAGCCCGGCTAGTTGAGCGCGGAGCACGGGGCGAAGATCTTCCATGATCTCGGGTGTCGGCAAGTATTCTTTTGTGATCAATTGATGCTGGATATATAACGATTCTATCTGTGTTTGCCAGATAATCGCTTGGGCAAGGAGGGATAGCCATGCCAACACAGCCAGTACATCATCGGCCCAGAGGCGGCGGAAAGTGGAGATGCGGGCATAGATACGCGCAGTGAGGAAGATGCATGAGAGGAGTGTTGCTCCCCAAACAACAACCTATATCTGGTCAGAGAAGCAGGGATTCCCAGCGGAGAGGGTATTTACCATGAACGTAGGGCCGTTGACCTTGGCTGTTGTGTTGATCATGAAATCCTGCATGGCGAGATGTACCTACGCTGTGCATTTTCACTACATAGAGAGGGATTATGAATATCATATCTTCCAGTCGACCACATATCTACATTTAATAAGATGAACAAAGCCAACTGATGGTTATTGGAGTGATGGCATTGCAAGGATACTAGCATCACGCCACAACGTACTATCTGGGCTTTTGGCAAGACGAAGAAACCCAATTCCCTGGTAGGGCTTACTCCCGCCTCCTGCAGCTTGCAGTTGAGACGTACTGTGTAACAGAAACTTGATTGCATAAAGAATATCAGAAGAAACGTGGAGGGGCCAAGTTGCCTTTTGGGGGAATATGTGTAACCACATCACTCGAGGATAGCCAGGATAGGCTGCGGAGTACCTGCGGCAGAAAAAGAAAGAAAGAGGGCCAAAAATATGCACCAGCCATGGACCATGGCACTGCTAGTCCTTTCTTTGTCACAAACTGACTATCTTACAGTATCTACATTATTGTCCCGTAAGTTTATTCAGGTGATCCCTGAGATTCTTGGTGGGGCTTTTCTAGGTTACACTGAGGGGAAGCATCTTTGTGTTGCAAGAGAATAACAACCTTGTCCATAATCATATCCAGTGCGTGTCCAAGGAGGATGAGGGCCACAACACTGACAACTCTACCCGGTTTCTAGGTCAATGCGCAGACATGAGTGGGTTCAGATAGGAACTGGGGCAATGAGATATGATAAAGTAAGAAACAAACTGAGAATTCGTGTTGAAAATATACAGTTCCAGCGACAAAATAAATCCAATCAACACATAATATTTGGATTCAATCGACTTCGAATCCCATGATACTCTGTTCCTCAAACAAAGGTTCTAGAAATATGAATCAGGCTCCCCCAACAGGCACCGAACGCCAGCGACACGCCACCAATTTTAGGTTACTAGGATGGCCGAATGCACAACCATCCTGTTTAAAAGCTAGTATCTAGCCTGTCATGCGCATCTTACACCTGATTTACACCCAAAATAAAAAGAAATATGGCATTAGAGATAGGTAGGTGTTTTCATTTTATTCTTTACTTTTTAGAATTGCGTGGTCTATTTCTATAGAGCAGGAACCCGCGGCCCAAGGCGCTTAGAAGGGGCCTCATGCTAGGCTGATTTGAAACACAGCCATAAATGCCAACAAGCAGGCTCATTAGACTTGATCCTTGGGGTGCACCGACAGCTTACAAAGTTCTTCGCCCGGTAAAGCAGAGGAACTTGTTTCACATCTGGGGTTTAAGGCCCGGTAGTCCGGTTCTAAATACCGAGTTCTCTGTCTGAGGGTTTTATATCTAGATGAGGATAATGAGCACAGACTATACGCGGGAAAATATATTATTCTCAACAGCTTGTAAGGTTTAAAAAATGAATTTAGCAGCATAATGTCTTTGGGCTTCGTCCTCTTAGTAGCGATTCAGATCTCTCTTGACATCTGACTCATGGCTGATGTGAGAACGGCTGGTCTAAGGTCGCTTGGATGGTTTCAGCCTGACTTAGAGAAGGGACCACTTCTATAGTGACTTGTGGCCAGGTGCCTTGGCAAGCATAAGGATCATTACAGTGTTGGAAGCCATAGGGGAACAGCCAAGCGACCTGTTCGTGGCGTGGTCTTTGGGGCTGGAAGTCCAGATGATCTCCCTCCTGTCTGAGTGAGTCTCATTCTGCCTGCACAACCTGTGCCTGGTTAAGAGCAGATATGACGTCAGACAGGCCCAACGGCGTCCGCAGGGCGGCACTGCGGGTCTTCCCAAACGGGCAAGGCGTGCAGGCCGCAGCTGCAACCTCCGCTTTCTGGCCGAGGGATTAACGACCAGCCATCACGGTCTTCCCATGCACGTTTCGACTTTCTCCTCAGTCAACATGTCGACTGCAGCATTACCCCTCTTCGGAACCTCCTAGTATCCGCCGCTTTCCCGTACAGTGAGGTTGTTGGGTGGCATTCTCGTGCCTCAGTTTCCCCTCAGTTTCACCGGTCCAGCTCCGTTTGGCTCTAGCGGCCTGAGTCCCCATTCCGGGTTCCAGGCTTTCCAGGCTTTAGCCCTTGGGCTGTCTGTCAAGCGTCATGGCAGACGCCGCTGCCCTCGCGGATTCGTCTTCCTCGACCTCCGTTTTGTCCTTCACCACCTCGTCTCCTGCCATAGCCGCCAGCCTATTTTTGTCCTCGCCCCTTCCTGTTTCTCACCTTCCGCCCCCGCCAGTGACACCTCCGACACCATCAACCATGGTGGGGTGGATATCGTGGGTGTTTACCTTCGTTTTCCATGTCATTCCAAGCGTGCTGTACTGGGTCATCACTTTTTCTACCATCACACTGCCAACATGGCTTTTTACACTCTTTTCCATGAGCCTGACCTTCACCATGAATTTCACGACGCTGTAAGTCTGAAGATAAAAACAGGACCCGCCTTCCCTCGGTCTTGTATATTGCAGTATGCTAACTACGGAATGGAATGAACTGGCAGGTTACTGATTGTGCTGGCTGTCGTGTCGACCATCAGCTGGTTTATTCGATACCGGTTCTTGAACATGTACAGCCGCCTGCCCCCCGAGCCGCAACGCAAGGAACCCCAGCTCGATCTTTTCCCCGATATCCAAGAAGGTGATTCCAAACCGGGCCTGGCCAACTACTTGGATGAATTCCTGAGCGCCATCAAGGTCTTTGGCTACCTGGAGCGACCCGTGTTCCACGAATTGACCCGCACCATGCAGACTAGGAAGTTAATCGCTGGCGAAACACTGTTACTAGAAGAGGAAAAAGGCTTCTGTCTCGTCGTAGATGGCCTGGTTCAGATCTTCGTGAAATCCATTCGGGAGGGCAAGCTTGGTCCCGATGATGACCAAATCCGCCCCGGTCGCGAATCGTCCGCGGAGGAAGAAGAACATGAAATTGATGGGAAGCAAGGATACCAGCTCCTCACCGAGGTCAAGAACGGGGCCTCGATGTCGTCCTTGTTCTCAATCCTGTCGCTTTTCACCGAGGACATTCAGCTGCGGGATTCCGGAAGCTTATCCTCCAGTACTTCTAGCGTAGGCCCGGCTCCTGTCCGGTTAACCGATTCAGTTCCGACCAGTCCTCGAGGCTTAGGAGACAGTCCTTTCCCTGGCCCTACCAGAGGTCGTCAAGGGTCAGTTTCCCAAATTCATGGTAGTGGTGACTTTCTGCCAGCGGTGCCCCCATTGAATCTGGAGGATGGGCAAACCGCGTCGAATCAAGACCCGTTGCCCGACACGGGGAAGCAACGGGGAAAGAAGCGTCGAAAGTCTGTTCACCCGGACATCGTCGCGCGGGCCATGGTAGACACAACCATCGCGATCATTCCGGCGAGCGCGTTTCGTCGTCTGACGCGAGTTTATCCCAAAGCGACTGCACACATTGTTCAGGTTATCCTGACGCGCCTTCAGAGAGTGTCGTTTGCCACAGCGCATTCCTATCTCGGACTTACCAACGAGGTTCTGGGGATTGAAAAGCAAATGACCAAGTATACCACCCACGATCTGCCGAATGACATGCGCGGAGCGGCTCTGGACCGGCTCAAGGATAAGTTCATCAAAGAACGAGATCGTCTGGGCCCAGAGGAAGTGACCAAGGGTATCGCGTTGCACAATCCTTCTAGCGGACGAAGAAACCGATCGAATAGTTTCTTAAGAAAAGAGGCTGCTCTCCACGCAAAGATGACAGCACCGAAGCGTGCAGCCACATCGAGTGTGCAAGACACTGCCAGTGAGCGCGAGACTGCCGGAGTAAGCCCCGGTGATCTCTTGACAACCATCCAACTCTCTAGATTCGGCCCTAGATATGAACACCTAGCCCCTAAACTGTACAGCCCTCTTACCGAAAAAGAGCCCTCCCCTTTTCGGTCCCCGATCATGCCGACGCGACCTTCGACTTTTCACCGGAAGGAATCTGTTGACGAGGATGCCCTTTTCCGAGAATCGATTCTGGACTGTATCATGAAGGGTATCGGCCTGAGTGGAAGCACTCGCGATGTCCTGCGTAAGAGCAGCCATTCTGGGGATGCGTCCCCTAAACTGCTCTCCTATGATTCCCGGCGCCAGAAAGCAGTGTTCTCAAACAATGCGTTCGGCTTCATTGATCCTTATGATGGGTCGGGCGATGGCGAGACGGAGTCCATGATGTCCATGTCTGTAACCAGTGCCGGGGGAACTTCGCCTATTGTCAATCTGCGGGAAGAACTTCGCAATGATATAGAGATCGTCTACTTCCCTCAAGGCTCAGTCCTTGTGGAGCAAGGGGAACGCCACCCAGGGTTATACTATGTGATTGACGGCTTTTTGGACGTGGGAGTTCCTGTGTCCGACAAAGCGGAAGATCTCGTGGGAGCGTCCAGACCAGTTCATGCCCAATCCCGCGAAGAATTCTTCCCTGCACTGAGGCGGACCAACACAAGCGCGTCGCGCGTCCCGGGTGTGGCGAGCTCGACCAATGATCCCAAGAGAAAGAAACAGTCCCGGAACTCGCTTTACATGATCAAGCCCGGTGGCATCCAGGGTTACGTTGGAGCGGTCGCGTCTTATCGGTCATACACAGATGTCGTTGCGAAGACAGACGTGTATGTGGGTTTCCTCCCACGAGCGTCTCTGGAAAGAATCGCGGAACGGTATCCTATTGCGCTGCTGACCCTGGCCAAGAGACTGACCAGCCTTCTCCCTCGACTACTGCTCCACATCGATTTCGCTCTTGAGTGGGTGCAAGTAAGTGCAGGCCAGGTCATATACCACCAAGGTGACGAGAGCGACGCGATCTATCTCGTTCTGAACGGTCGTCTTCGATCCGTACTCGAGGGCGGCAATGGCAAGATGACTGTCGTCGGGGAATACGGCCAGGGAGAAAGCGTGGGTGAGTTGGAAGTCATGACCGAGTCTACTCGGCCAGGCACTCTCCACGCTATTCGAGACACCGAATTGGCCAAGTTCCCTAGGACTCTATTCAACAGTCTTGCACAAGAACACCCCGGGATCACCATCCAAGTTTCTAAGCTCATTGCCCAACGAATGCGAGATTTGGTGGAGCATCCACTCTCCGACAAGGGCAACGAGCGAAGTCACACTGGCAGCGTCCAAACAGCTACCTCGACCGTAAATCTCCGCACAGTCTGTATTCTTCCAGTCACAGGTGGAGTACCTGTAGTGGAGTTTGGCCATCGCCTGCTAAATGCGCTTCATCAAATTGGCGTCATGAACGGTGTCACGTCCCTCAATCAGGCGGCTATCTTGAATCACTTGGGACGACATGCTTTTAGCAAAATGGGCAAGCTCAAATTATCTCAGTACCTTGCCGATCTCGAGGAGAAGTACGGGATGGTGCTTTATATCGCCGACACCAACGTGAATGCTCCCTGGACTCAGACATGTATCACGCAAGCGGACTGTATCTTGCTTGTTGGTCTTGCTGATTCTTCGCCGAGCATTGGAGAATACGAGAGGTTCTTACTTGGAATGAAGACAACCGCCAGAAAGGAATTGGTGCTACTTCATTCCGAGCGCTATTGCTCCCCGGGATTGACTCGAAGATGGCTGAAAAACCGCGTATGGATCAATGGTGGTCATCACCACATCCAGATGAGCTTTCGACTGACCGCCGAACCCTCGAATACTCAGACCAAGCGCTTTGGCACGGTGTTGAAGCAGAGAGTTCAGGTCCTGCAGGCCGAGATCCAGAAATACACCTCGCGACGAATCCGTCAGACTCCCCTCTACGCCGTGGATGCACCTTTCAAGGGCGACTTCCACCGCCTGGCCCGTCGGCTTTGTGGCAGGTCGGTGGGGCTGGTTCTTGGAGGAGGTGGTGCTCGGGGTATCGCTCATGTGGGTGTTATCAAGGCGATTGAAGAAGCCGGGATTCCTATCGACATCATCGGTGGCACCTCTATTGGTTCATTCATTGGAGCGCTCTATGCCCGGGACGCCGACGTGGTTCCCATGTACGGCCGCGCCAAGAAGTTTTCAGGGCGTATGGGTAGCATGTGGCGGTTTGCCCTGGACTTGACGTATCCTTCCATCTCGTACACCACTGGCCACGAGTTCAACCGCGGAATCTTCAAAACCTTCGGAGACAGTCAGATCGAAGACTTTTGGTTGGAATTCTACTGCAACACCACCAATATCAGCAAGTCACGGGCCGAATTCCACTCGTCGGGTTATACTTGGCGCTACGTGCGCGCGTCCATGTCGCTGGCCGGCCTCATCCCTCCGATCTGTGACGAAGGCAGCATGCTTCTTGATGGCGGGTACATTGACAACCTCACGGTGGCGCGCATGAAGAGCCTGGGAGCTGATGTAATCTTCGCGGTGGACGTCGGATCTCTAGACGACAATACTCCACAAGGGTACGGAGATTCTCTGTCCGGGATCTGGGCTGTGATCAACCGTTGGAACCCGTTCTCATCATGCCCTAACCCCCCAACTCTGTCCGAGATCCAAGCACGACTTGCGTACGTGTCGTCAATTGACAATCTTGAAAGAGCCAAGAACACTGTGGGCTGTTTATACATGCGGCCTCCGATCGATCCATACGGGACACTGGATTTCGGCAAGTTTGACGAGATCTACCAGGTTGGATATGCTTATGGCAAAGAGTTCCTTGATAAGCTTAAGAGCGAGGGGTCACTGCCTCTCCCGGAGGAGACCGAAGAGAAGAAGAAGCTTCAGCGCACCATGGCACCTAGACGAGCAAGCATATGATCGCAGATCATTGCCAAGTACCGAACCAGCACTGTCGTGGTCATCTCAGACACAATGACAGAGATGTGGAGTTCCCAAGCATTTGATCCTTCTTTCAGCGTTTCTTCCGCAGTATACCCAACGCAGGTAAACGACGCATCTAGAGACATTTATGATTGTCTGCCAAATCATACCAAAATCTCAAACTCGACTACCTCGAATGTACATAGAAATTCAACATTCTTGTCAATCTATCTGACATCTTGTCTTTTAACCTCCTGTACCAGATTCAATCTCAAAAGAACCGATTCATCGAGCAATATATTCAATTAATATAATTAAAATTACCAAGACCGCAATGGTCGTTAGACATGACATGGTATCAGAAACGAAATCGACCCAAACATAAGCATCGAGCATATGTCTCCTCATAATCAATCACAGCATTAAGACATAACCTGAGAGGACAGGATCGGATGAAAATCCCAAACCCCCCTCACATCCACACCAGCATACACAACGTAAACCTGCTCACCACCTACTCAACTGGCCAAGTCTTTGCATACAGACAAAGACCTAGTCAGCGTGCGGAAGTAGATCGTGACGAAGTCTACTAGCCTCGCCCGACAGATAGCCAGACAGCCAGCCAGCCAGCCAGACAAGCAGGTCAGTCCATCTAAGCCTCCGCAACAGGAGCATCCGCGGGACCGCCGTGAGCACCGCCCGTCTTCTCGCGCACCGGAGGAGTAGGGTTCTCGCGACGGTAGGCCCACAGGCCCAGGACTTCCAGGAACATGCCGAAGAAGGTGAAGATGCTGGATTTTGGACGTTAGTTCATCCGTTCATCCATGTCGCTAGGGGAGGGGAGGAAGGGAAAAGAAGGTGACGGGAGGGGAACGTACAAAGCCAAAAAGATAAACGCCTCGTTGGCCTTCTTCTTGGAGCAGGATTCGCGCGCAGGAGAGTTCCAGTAGCAGTTTGATTCATTGTAGTCTTGGGCGGCGAAGATGAAGGATGTGAGCCATCTGGAATTTTCATCGTGGTTAGCAGACATGCAATGTTATACTGTAGGTTGAGGATGAACTCAGGGGAAGGGGGAGGGTGAGACATACAGATACGAAAACACCACGTCGATCAGCAGGACGAATTTACCCAGCGCGGTGGGCATGAACGGCGAGACGAAGGCGGGAAGGAAGAAGACGACTGATAATGTGGACTTTGGCTTATGGTCAGTATCCTGTACCTTGTCTGCAGTATGGACTTGCATGGCTCCACGATGTAGAACAGAAACAATGGGGGGAGAAGGGGGGGACGTACAATAACCTCCGTGAAGATCAGATGCTGACCGCGCGGACCCTTGTTGATGAAGTAGGACGTGATGCCCATGACGATGACGGCGCTGGTCCATTGCATAACGCGCGAGACCAGCTGTATGGGACGGGCCACGGCACTGGACACCATTTTGTTGGATTTTCCTGTGTTTTATCCGGTAGGGGTATTAGGAGGGGAAGATAGGGCTATTTGGTAGGATGTATGGATGGATGAACACGGGGAGCTGTGTATGTTGCTGCACTCAGCCCGAGTGGGTATTCAGAAGTAGAATCGAGGATGAGTTACAATCTATGTAGGGGGAGAGGAACCAGGAGCGAGACCAGGTTTTATAAGTCCAGCTCGTGCAGGCTACCTGTCTAGCATTGAAACCATATCACCAATCCGAATCAACCGATGGGGTGCATGGCTTCTTGCGTCAGAGTTTCTTGGATTTTTTTTTTCCTGGCATGATAATTCCGTCTAAGGACTCAAAAAAGAAAAAGAAAAAGAAAAAAGAAAAGGAAAAGCCCACCAGGGAGGATGGGTTCCCCAGATGCGTCATAATTTTATCTGCATGAAGTAGGCCGCCCTCCTTCGTCCTCAACCCTGGCTACACCACCTCTGAGTATAGCTCCCGACCAACTTTTCCAACGCATTCAGACCGAGCTTCAACCAATCCCCGACGCCAAGAAAGGTTGTGTGACACCCAAGGCCCAGAGTACATAGTCACCCACCGGGATTGGCCTATCACCAGGAAGCAGGTAGTTCGACTTGCACGGGAAATGGCATCCGGTGCGTTCCTAGGGCGAACAAGGACGGAGGATCGACCCCTAGCAGGACAGCCAGAGGGTGAGGTGGAAGGATCGGCAGCCTTCAGGTTTCCTGAGGGATAACAAGGGAGGAGGATCAACGGCTCACCATTGACGATCCGGGATGCCGAGAAAGGGTTGTTGCGTGACTTGCCAGCTAGTTTAGTAGGTATACTGGTGTACTGGATGGTCCCATTCGCCCTGGATCAAGCCAGTCGGCGTCCCACGGAACCGGGCGCCAGCATCCATGAATCACCCATTATTCAGACTTGACAAGGCGCTAGGATGTTGGGTGTTGACAACTGCCTAGACTAGGAGCCGATCGCTGATGCAGAAGCTTGGACTGCAGCGCTGTTCGATGACTTAATTCTTTCGTCGGATATCCAATGCACCCCGCATCCTGTCCATCTGAACAAGCGGTGGGAGGACCATAACCATGTAACAAGAAGAGATATGGAACTATGCACTTTCAGTCTTTCAGCATGTCCGACAAGAATCAATAGATCCGTGGACTCCAGCCAAAGTCAGGATCTGGACTCGGTCGGCCGTCAAATGGGAGGAGACACACCACGCCACGGGATCAGGCGATCTTCCAAGTTCCAGCCAACGGTCGCGACGATCATCACAGACTTTTCTTTTTTGTGTTTTCTTCTTCTCCCGGTCTAGATTCAAATGATCGGGATGTCGGCACTCCCAATCATCCATAGAATCCCCGTGGTCCTTCCCTCCATCTGACTCTCCCATCGGAACCATAACTCGACCAAAATCAATAGTCCAAAGTATATCCACCATCCACCTCACCGACCAAACATCGTCGCAAATCATACCAGGTGAACAGCTAGACCATACTATTGCTGGCCCCACAAGGCTGAATTCCCTTTCGCCGTATTATCAATATAAATGAATCAGGTAACTTAAGCATCCGATTTGCTTTCGATGACGTCGATAGCGCTATTCACCTGCCCATCCATGTCCTGTCCTGTCCTATCATATGAACATTCGGATGATTTCGATTGGGATCTCAACTGGCTCGATTTTGGTTCTGATTCGAATTCTACCAGATCCGGATCCGGATCATTCATCCTGGACGTGTGAAGTTATGGTTTCATCATCATTTCTGCTATAGTACGTCGAAGTATATACCTAGGTAGTAGTACTTTGTCCACCCATGCAAGATAGACTAACCCCCTTCAATCCAAAACAAATCCCAAAACAGTCAATTACTAAAATCAAAACAATCAGTCCAATAAACCTACCTACCGACCTTGCTACCCAACAAACCTAAAGAAAATTAAACCCCAGAATCAAACCCTGTCAACAAACAGTCAACTCACCATGCATAAATTCCTGTAAGCAAAGCCAATTCTGCAGGTCGGCACGGCCCCCTTCAAGGAGGGGAGGGAGGGAGGGGGGTACTTTCAAAATAAAGTGTTTCGGCCCCTTGCGTCCATCGTAGGAATATGTCTTAACAGCGCCGTTGGCGCTTATGGTTGCAGCTCTAGACCAAGGGGATAGACATGTCTTGGTGTGGAATGTAGAGGATGCTCTGGTTTGGTTTGGTTTCAGTTAAGTTGGGGGTGGGAGGGTACTGCAGTGGCTACGATCTGTTAGAGAGGGAGGGGGTACAGGGCTGAGATGATTATCCCGTGATGGATGGACAAGCTGCTGGTTTCGACATCGAATGTCGAGAAGAAAGAAGGGGGGAAATGGGTGGTGATACCGGCTGGATCGATGACTCTATCATCCAAAGTCTAGAGCGGAAGTCATAAATCCCATGAATATAGGACAGGGTTATAGTAATAAATATTGCATGGACGGAATAAACGGCGTATCTTACAGCCTTAAAGCTCACAATCAATCAATCTAGAATCGTAAGTGCAACTCCACAATGCAACCTCCCAACTACACCACCAAGTCGTCTCTCGTACATGATATCCGATCTCGATCCTGGTGAATTTTCCCGTACGCCAAACTCCCTGAGTCCCGTGTTTGATCTCCGCTTGGTCTGCCAGGACCCGGGCTGTGTAAGTAGGTGGTAGTCCCGATCAAGCATGGAACGTGGATCATGGGACATGTGGACGCCGTGTAAAACAGACTACGCAGCGAAGATCCAAACGAGAGGTTTCGATTCGTGACACGTGTCTAGTCTACCACGAGGTGATATTCCCCAGGTCGTGTTCCTGCGGAAGAGGCAAATTAGCAATTGGCCAATGCGATCGTGTAATGGAGATCAAGCTGGTCTCGGTGGGATCCATTACGTACCTTGATATATTCGCTGCCTTTCTCGAGATACTCTTGTCGAGTGACGGACGACTTGCCCAGTTCGGCGCTAGAAGCCCACTGGGCGGCTCCCTTCCAGGCATCGAGCACGGGGTCCTTGGCCCGACGCACGTTCAGCTCGGCGTCGACGGGCAGGAAAGCGCGGAAATCATTGCGGAACCGTTCGTCGAAGTTCTGGAACATGGTGTTGCCGCCGGTGAAAAACACGTCGCGCAGTAATTTGGCCTGGTCCTCGGGGTTGGAAAACCGCTGGTTGACCACATCTGCGGCAACCTCGATCAATCCTGCTTGGTCAATGCCGGCGATTGACGGCTTGAATACAATCTCGGGCACTCGAATGCGCTCGACGTTGAGATGCAGCTGATGGGCCTCGCGTTGGCTTTCGGGGTCAAATGGCCAGGGACCGCGCAGGAAGACGTGCACTAAGCTCTTAGTCCAGTCGGACTGAGCAGCCAGGGTGTGGTTTTCCGTGAAATCCGGATCGTATTCGAGAAGCTCTTTCTCAACCGTATTCAGCATCCCGCCGAGATCTTCCTCTTCCTCCTCGTCACTCTGTTCACCAGTTGCAACCGTTCGGTAGACACCCCAATCATCGTCGTTGGCACCGAAGTTGTCGTCGTCGCCACCTCTTCTTCGTTTTTTGGGACCGTCGGCGGCGAGGTTGGCCAGGGTCTTCATGCGCATTTGACTGGCAAGGGACTTGCGGTTACCAAGGTCTGCCTTGAACCTGTCGCGTTCCTTAATTTTTTGCAGTACGTTCTGCAACGGCATTAGTATTTTGAATGTTTAGAGAGCAGGGATAGGGAGCGCACCTGGCGATTTGCTCGCCTCTCTGCGAGCCAGTTGTCGAAATCATTCTCCCGCCTCTCTCGATCGAGGCGCTCTTCTTCCTCCTGGCGGGCTTTCTCTCGTTCCTTCTCGGCCTTTGCGCGCTGACGGGCCTCAACATTGGACTTCATGAGTCGCTGGTGGCGTTTCTCTTTCACGCCAGCCTCGTCCAGCTCCTCATCCGGGACGTCCAACAGCGGGAAAGACATCTCTTCGCTCGGCTCCTCGTTCTCCTCCACACCCAGATCTCGGTTTCTAGACCGCTTGATGGAACGTTCGAGGTCCCGGATCAATCGTTCAAGGTGAGCTTCGTCCTTCAGATCCTCTGCTTCCAGAACCCGCTTCATCTCCTTCTTAGTCTCCGATGCAAGACCGCGCTGTAGATCTTTATAGTACTCTAGCTCCTGCTCCTTCTTCATAAGCTTTTCCAGGCGCATCTTGGCGGCTTGTTCTTGCAGCCGGCGTCCACTCTCTTTCTTTCTCTCCGCAATCCGTGCCAGTTCTTCCTCGGACTTTTCTGGCACCACATGCTCCGTGAAAGGGTATTGAACAACACGATCCCTATCCTCGAGACCTGTCCAGTCCAGGTAGCCGCCTAGCTCACGGTCGTAGTCCTTCGAGACGTAACAGTGCTTGTGAACCAGATCCTCCATTTGGGCTTCAGTCATGCGCGCAGGGAATGTCGGGTATTTCAACTTCATCAGCTTCAGCAGGTACTCCGAGGCCTGCATGCCGCCCCAGTTCAGCCGGGAACAGTTCGACAGCAGTGCCTTGTTATTCAGAACGGGGATAACGTGCGTGGAGGTATGGGACGAGGAGACGATCAATCCGTCGGTTCCGCGATTATACCGGTACGAGAACAGCGAGTCGATTCCGTACGCGACGGAGGGCGCATTATAACATTCGAACAAGATCTCATTCATCACTGCGGTTATGTCAGCTCAAAGGTTCAGGAATCCTATACCAAACCTCGGTTTCACTCACTTCGCTTGGGATAGTTGAGGTTCGCGATCGGTTCCGTCATCACGATGGGTCGGTCGACGCCTCCGTTGGCTCCGTCTACTCCCAATTTGATGAAGGTATAATCTAGCAATCCCTCCATGACATCCCAGTTGCCGACGACACTCGTGCCGGGGTCGAAAGCGTAGCGCAGTTGACCGCGCGTCGTAGCATCCACGTAGGCATCGTATCCGAGAAACTGGCAGGCCTTGTTCAACTTCCGGTCCCGGTACCGGCTCATCACAGGGGGCACGATTAACTGGGGGTTTTTGTCGAACGACCAGCCCGCCTTGAGCAGGTTCGAGCCTACAGCATGACCACAGATTAGCAAATCCGCCAACAAACTCGATTCCACGTCGCCATGGTATACTCCAACGCACCATTATCGATCACGATAGCGCTTGTGTCCGGGTTGGCTTTGCTCCGCTCATAGCCTTCCGTCTGGGGCGGGTGGTAGCCCTTGAAAGGATGGTCCTGGGCATTGTAGAGCGTGGGAGGTTTCTTCGCGGCGGTTTTCTCCGTCGAGTTGATCCCAAAGCGGCCGGGCAGAAGGGTCTGCACCGATGTGATAGTCATGACGACGGTGGTCAGGCCAGCGGCGATTCAGGAGCTTCCGGGGCGGCGACGGCGGTTTACCGCATTGCAAGCCGGTCGCAAGCTGGGATGGGGAAGGCCGGGGGAATTTCGCTGGATGGTCTCAGGCGGTGTCTGCGGGGGCCGGGTAGGAAAGTAGGAAATCGTCCGGATTACCGGGGATGGAGGAACGTGAAGCTTAACCCCAGCTTTGCAATTGCCCGGCGCAAGTGGGAAGGGCTCCGGTCACCGCCAGCGTTTGTACTGCCAAGACCGTCTCTGGGCGTCCCTGCTGGGCCGAGACTCGCTGATACAAATTTATGTTGCTTCAAAGAATAATAGTTGACTACACAGTGTCTTCTAAAAAGTGAATACGGTTAAGACAATAGACATGAATTGTATTGTTTTCCTTGCGTAATTGGCTCGTAATCATCGCATTTCGTCATACTGGAAGAAAACGCCATTTAAGATGGCTCCTTATAATTCTCCGTGGCTAGAACATGGTGAGCGCTACTCAGAAATTAAGACGAAATAGACTGATATCATACCTTCCAAGTGGAAGAGGACGTTGGATTGGTAGTTCTTGAACATCTGGGCAACGAGCTCGACGTTCATGTTCTGAATATTGACCTCCTGCGGCGTACGTTAGTATCTGGATAGGAATAAAATGCTTCTCGACAGGGTGACAAACCTGGAGACTCTTGTTCATGGCCATGACGGACTCGTTAAGTTTCTCCTAGACCTTGGTTAATCATGGCGATATGGAGCAAGCCACCGTTGATAACATACAATGTTGTTGATGATTCGCTGGAGCAGCAGAGCCTGCTGATGTTCATGTGGACTTTCCTATACAACACGTCAGTCCCACATACAGCGAAAGCATTTCTATAGCCGAAAACCTACCATTTTTGCTTCAGTGTATATGTAGAGTGTCTTGCGTGCCGGAGGATGTTTGTTTTGTTGCTTGTCGGAGGGTCGCCCGATATGGCAGATCATGTGACCGTACCAGAGCTTCTCCTCTTTGATTCTGTCGACAAATGAAGATGATCAAGGCAGGAAGAAGACCAGTGAAGATCCCATATATAAATACAGTCATTGTCTGACCTCAGCAATAGCCTATACGCTGCATCGCGGGCGGTGTACCACTTTTCTCCCTTGGTCCTATCCAAGCAACCAGCCCGTCGGCTCTACCAGACTCCTACTCCTACCCCGACATCACCTCCGCCACGCAGACCATCCCACAGAGCCAACTCATCCTCTGCACATCCTAAGATTGACCTCTCACCCATCCGATCACAATGCCGCCTCCCACCCCCGCCGAAAACGAAGCCCATCAGCGGCTCCTCGACAGCCTTGACATTGCGCACGTCGCGCGCCCCTTCCGCAATCCACACTGGAAGCCCTCGCAGCGCCGCAACAAGAACGTCAAGCAGCTTATCTCCGAGAGCACTCGAAAGGAGGCCTCGCAGATGGCGACGCAGGCCAATTCTGGAGCGACGACTCCCCTTCCGGCCACGTCCGTCAGCACCGATGGAACGCAAACGCCTGCCGACGGCACCCCCCGGAATCCCAACATCGCCCAGGCGGCGCAGAACCTCTCGACGCTGGTCCTGGAGAAGAACGCTCGCGCAACGTTCCAGCCCGGTCCTGCCGTTACCTACACGAATATCGAATCGGCGCCGTCGCTGCACCCGTCGCAGCAGACTCGGTATTGCGATATCACGGGGTTGCCTGCCCCTTACACAGACCCCAAGACTAGACTGCGATACCACGATCGGGAGGTCTTCGGCGTCGTGAGGACGTTGACACAGGGTGTACCGGAGAGTTATCTGGAGCTGAGAGCTGCACATGTTGTGCTCAAGTAGAGAAGGACGGCGTATGCCATCTATTTCGGATCTTACGCGATGGTCTTTGAACCCAAAGGTTAGCTACAATATAGCGATATTCAATTGATAATACCCAAAGCTAACACATTCGATTACAGATGTCATTTGTCTAGTACGCGATATATGTACGGCCAACACAGTCAAGCCCTTTCCACCCACCGTGCCCCTCTCGAGACAGGTTCAAAGAAAACGCTCCGGCTTATTCGTGACCTTTATAATTGAGTCGATCTTCGCCTTGTGTGCTAAAAGCACTCGACTAATACCGACGCTCCACCGTCGGGAACGTCAGTTACAGCATCCGGAGATGCTGTCGCCGCGGCGTATTAAAAGTGAAGGCAGCCGAAGAAGGCTGGGAATATAAATAAGGGGGATAGGAAGGGAAAGTACAAGGGATGGGGTGCGAGCCCAAGGTTGTCCGGTTTTTCCAATGCTCTTTCTGCACATCGTAATGTACATTGCCATAAATCATGTATCATGGATACCGTTGGCACCTAGAATGCTTAGCTTTCAATTGTACAAGGCAGATATTCAGCTGTCTGGTCTTCATAAAACCTGCAAAGTAGGCCGAAGTCACTTGCAAAGCATGGTGCCAAGCAGCACTGGTGTAGCACTTTGGATTGCAATCCAGATGTTTTAACGGAAGACGGTGCTGAAATATCAGCAGGACACGCTAGATTTGCAGTGCGACTTGTCCACCCGACCGCCCTCTCCATCCGGCGTAGCGCCAGCCTAACACGAAAAGGGAACGTGGCAGAACCGAGCCAGAATTGTTTACTGACAAGTCCCAGGCCTCAGTCCAAGCCACGATATCATTTTCTTTTGGACCCAAATTAGACTTCTCGCCCGCTGAGACACTTTTTGCCTCCCTTCTCTACCTTAATTTATCGTTACTATATTAGGTTCACGGAAAAACCAGCAAGGGATTCTTCTCGACGGATTTCTGCACAAATATACCGCGCGCGGGAGTACATCCGTTTCCGACCTTATTTTCTATCGCCACGTAATTCGACAATTTCAACTTTTTTTACTGCTTCCTTTGCCTGGATTCCGTCGCATCACCTAGCTCCTTTTTTCATTTTTGAATACAGACTCAAGAATTGTTGACTATGCCCAATATGTGGCTCTCCGATAACCAGAGTAAGCATTCGGTCTCGACGCGGACGCTGGACTATTCAGTCAGGACGACGGACGGCTAACAAGTGTCGCAGAGATCGGTGTTATCTTTTGCTCCGGTGGTAGGTGACGCAAAGACCCTTGCAATCCGGCGCATCTTGCTCTGGGCTTTCGCGACTCGCGATCGCGTCACAGACCACTGACAGACATGTTCACACAGGGGGGCTATTCCTCTTCGGAGGAGTGTTGATGTTCTTTGATCGTTCGCTGTGCGTATACCTCATCCTCTACACACGAATACAAAAAACAAGAACAAGAAAGACTAACCAACCCCTTCCCTCTACTTTAGACTCGCAATGGGAAACGTACGCCTCCTCCAACCAAACCCCCGAACCCGAATCCCAAACTAACCAACCCCACAACAGATCCTCTTCCTAATCGGCCTCACCCTGATCATCGGCCTCCAAAAAACCATCGCCTTCTTCTCGCGACGCCAGAAGCTAAAAGGAACCGCGGCCTTCGCGTCCGGCATCCTCCTGATCCTCCTGCGCTGGCCCCTCACCGGTTTTCTGATCGAGCTGTACGGCCTGTTCATCCTCTTCGGCGACTTCCTCATCACGATCGGCCAGTTCGCAGGGAACGTGCCCGTCGTGGGGCCGTATATCCAGAAGGCGTTGGAGACGCTGGCTGGGGGCCGGAGTAATGCGGAGTTGCCGGTATAGCGGTATGGTATACGCGGAATGGATCAGGGGAGGGAGGGGATGAGGAGGAGGTGGTGGGGGGGTCGTTCTTTGGATCGGCGAGCAGAGAAGGCCCTGAACGAATTATGTTGTATGACTATGCGACCGATTTTCGAAAAAAAAAAGCTCAAGCGGATGTTGCATGATTAGATGGATACGATATGGACTCTTGTGGCCATTACGTCGGGATCAGCTCGTTTCCTAGGTCTGTTTTTCTCGGTTGAGAATGATGGATCTAGGACGGGTGGGATCGGTAAAATGGTCATGGATATGGCAAGGGACGTGATATATAATGTTAAGGATATGTAATTATTAATCTATGTTGCTGACAACCAGTGTTTGATGCATTGCTATTCGTCGATTTTCTGTAAAAGATAATGTCTGTGATATATGACGTGCATATAAGTAGCAGATGGTCAATCTGGATAGTCAATTCCAATGATGTCAAATAAGGAGTCAATCGCAAGAACTAGAGTCAGTTAGGCATACACAGACCTGCAGGCAGCCAGTAGAGTAATTGATCCGCCAGGGAATAAACAAAAGATTTGCAATCAACGAACGCTGCAGTCCTGAGTCTCAACCCTCGAGCGAATGCCATTTTGAAGAAGTAATTTAAGTGCGTACTAGAAGAAGTAGTAGTACCTATTGCACATGTCTACGAGCTATGCCTTAGATGTGAAGATGATAAGAAAATGGACGGGAATAAGAAAGACGGCGGAGGGAAGGCGGAAGAAAGAAAGAGATGGAAAACAGGACCGTCATCGTGATACAATATTCGAAGCTGGTACACTGTCGATTATGGCGACTAAAAACGACATCAAAAAAATTTCATTTCCCCTTCAACCTTCGTTTAAGCGCTGTTGATGTAGTCGACGAGGTTCTCGACGACAGTCGCGGCGTTGGGCAGCTGCACGGTGTCGGGGTGGTGGGCGATCATGACGCAGGACTTGGCCTTGACGATAACGATACCCTCCTTGCCCTACATTTTCGACAGATGGTTAGTCGGCAAATCCACATCGTCCGAGTGGAATCTATCGCCCCGTTTCGCAAAAGAAAAATTCAAGGTGACGGTGTCCGTACCTTCTTGCCGTACAGACTGCGCTCATCAGCACGGATGGTGATGAACTTCTCTCCTCCAACGGTGATACCGTTTCCTCGGGCGACGTCGGCGCTCGAGTAGGCAGACACGATAGCCTGGAGTTCCTGGGGCGAGATCTATGATGGGCGTTAATGGACATCTGTACGGAGTCGGAAGTCGGGGAGGGCCGGATGTGTCATACCGAGAAGCCGGGGGACTGGGCCTCGACACCGGAGATGTCGTAGCTCAAGATAGCGGCCTTGTCAAATTGACCGGATCCCATCAAGCTGCAGCATTATTGTGGTCAGAACAGCGATGCGAAATTTCGCGGGAGCGGTGGGAATGGTCCAGTGCGGGGTAGGTTGTAGATAGGGGATGTGGACGGTACCTGGAATCGACATAGCCTAGAGAAAGGGAAGAGCAGACGTGAGCGATGAATCACACGGATAACTGACTCGAGTCCAGCCAGAGAGAAATGTCAATTTGGGATCGTACCTTGCCAGATAGCGGAGTGAGCACCCATGATGACGGTGGAATGAACTGGTGACGGGAAAGGTCGGAAAAGGGAGAGGAGATATAGAGAGTGACGGCGGGGGAGGATGCTGCTCGAAAGCCGGTTAGATGGAGAGCGTAGTGGTAGGGAATGCGAAGAGGGCTTACTGAAGAAGGCGTGTTCAAGGGTGGAAGGTCACAGTTGTGGGAGGAGAAGAAGAGGAAGTAGTCAGCGTGAATATTATTAACTATTTTATTATTTTCGTATTATTATTATGATTTAGAGGGCAGCAGAAGGTGGGGTGGGCTGTGCTGGCAGAGCGACTTGACTTCTTGAGCCTTGAGAGCGCCTGCCCCGCCGATTATGTAACGCCATACGGAGTATTCCATACACTATTGATCGACTGGTCGCCCTGCAGCCACTGCCGGTGCTCATCGCCTCTGGACTCGACCTCCCCATAGGGCGGTTATTCCCCGTGTTCTGCATTGTCCTGCCTGCATATGATGCAGAAGCCTCACCTCTTCTCACCCGGCTCTCCAGGGCAGTCTCCTGTCCAAGTCCAAGCTCTGCGCCGATAAAGGCGGTGGGGGATAGCAGGTAACGGTGGGCACCGGATGGGCCCTAGTGACCTCCAAAGTCCAAAAGACAGCCCAGTCAAGTATAGCATAGTTCCATGCGCGAAACTAACCGCACTAGAGACTCAATCAAGTCCGGTGATCTCTTACCGCCTCTTTTTTCCAGCGCCGTCTGCCGGGTTGGGGTGTATACGGAGTAGTCCGTAGGAGATATCTGATTCCGATAGGTGTCCCAAGTCATGTGTCTGTCACGGGCGACGCTTGTCCTGTTCAGGCAGTCGCTTCGATCATCTGCCACACCGGAGGTTGGATTCCTTTTCCTCTCCTCGCCATCAGCAACTCTCTCACCCTCGTCCATATGTATCATGGACCAAACATATCACGTCAGAGCATGCGCCTGATGAAGTCATTGGCCTTTGCTCCTGTCATCTGCCTGCCCTCGCGGCATTGAGCTGAGTACATGCACGGGCTGCAAAGACAGGTGGGCCCCGACTTGAAAAGTTTCAAGTCTCAGGTTATGACCATGGCCATGGAGATGATACCGTAAAGTGTTCTAAGACAGAGCCTTTCTCATCTCGGACAATAAGTCAATGTCCATCATGTTGGCTCGGACGTGGCCAGTATTTGACTGTGTTTAATTTCCCTTATGGACTAATGACGGCCAGAGGCTAGATCCAAGCGAGCACCAGCAGTGGTTCTAGCCGCACACCCTTCGCAGATCATCCATTTTGAACCGGAGACGTTTTGCAACAGTGCGTCATACGATGGGCTTCTGGCACTGCTGCAGGGTCGAGTTTTGAAAATGTCCCTCTTGCTTCCAACGTCGGGCGAAAAGGGCTGTGACAAAATATCCGTGCTGAGAAGTATCAGCTTTCTTGACGATCCCTGGGCGACTCGAATTGTCCGAGTTCATTGGCCCATTCGGACGGGTTTCGATTAGTATGAAACCAAGTTACCCAAAGATGGGCTCCTTACCCGTGCTCGCAAATTAAATTTCTCCCGCTTCTGATGCTCATTTGCAGCCACCAAAATAAGCATCGTGCGCGATTCCCAATAGCACTGATTACTGTCATACCCAACGACCCCTCCAACACCCATGACTGGCCGATAAAAAATTGCCTCCGGGGTTCGTTACGCAAAGGATTTGTGTAGGCCCCTGGGCCTCGGAGGCGGCATTGCTGGTGTCTGGGATTCTCGTTGGCTGTCTTGCCGTTGTCGCTTCGCCCAATCTACAATTAATCTAAAATTCAACACTAGCCGGCCCCTACCACCCGTCTCAATTAGATACAGTATTCTGCGACTGAGGCTCCACAATGACTGTCGTATGCCTGGTCCTCTTTTATTGTAATCATCTCCTTTTCCTTCTGCACGGTTGATTCTTTTTCTCTTCTTGGTCCATCTACATTCGCCGTTTCTTTGGGGCCTTCTGGAAGGCCTGTCCATTCTTTTCTACAGAGACTGAGTCTCATGTTAACTGTCCCTGTCTTTTCCGCTCCTTAGCTTCCTTTGTTTTATTGTTTTATTGTTTTATTCTTTTTCTTTTTCTTTCTTTGTTCGAATTCTCCCATTTTTAATCTATTCGGATCGATACAGCCTGCCCTAGCATATATGCTAGCTTAGAGGATCTTGAGAAATGGCTAAAGGGATCTTGTCCACCAAATCACGCATACCGCAGTCCACAACGGCTATTTGCAGCCCTGTCTCTGAGCGTCCAGATGCGCAACCGCGAAATGACTTCCAAGATCTGAACAATGGAGCGACTAAAAACCGTCCACCAAATCAGGCCCACTGGGATTTCCAGCGCCCAAGGACTTCAGAAGGCCGCCAGCAAAACAAAAAGCCGCAACCCAACGGCTCTGGGTTCGATTTTCGCATTGCCGTGCCTCCTGCCGAGGCAGTTCCCTCCCCGGTGGAGTCTGAAAAAGGACATGGAGAAAACATGATCGGTATCGCTTTGGGTAGTCCTCGGATGGTGGAGACGCAAAATGTGATGTCACAAATGCAAGAAAAGGCTATCAACACTGTATCGGACACCAAGAAATCGCCACCAATTCAACGGAAGCCAAGTAAATGGAAGAAGATTGGCGGTCTATTCAAAGCGAAAAGCGCAATTACGTCCAGCACAAACCAGCCCTTCTATCAGGTCCGCTCCGACAACGAATGGCCGCTGCAGGGCTCGTCCCATTCGATTGACTACCAGGCTCAGCCGAAGTCCGAACCTCAGACTAAACCCATCTCAAACACCGAGGTTTGGCCATGTTTGGAGTCTGATACTCAGTCTAAGCCTCAGTCTGAGCCCAAAACAAAAGAAAAGAGTCCGCAGAAGACCAAAAGCAACCGGGATGGGCCTCGGGGCAGCCCCAAGGGCAATGCCAAGAACAGCTTCAAAACCAGCTCCAAGGATAGCCCCAAGGATAGCCCCAAGGAAAGCTCCATGGGCAGCCCCAAAAACAGCACTCCGAGCAGCGATCAAAATGCCGACCAGAAGAAACCCAACCTTGGACCGTTGTTGCAAGTCGATATCCCTGATGTCCAGATGGAACGATACAGCGTTATGTTTGGGGGCCTTCTAGGAAAGGACCAGCCCGCACCTTCGGATCGGCGGAGCAAGACAATGGAGGATATAGAGGCTCCAAAGGCCCAGGTAGTCCACTCATTCTTTCATTTCCAGTGGGATTCAAGATCATTAATTTATTGAATAGGACCCACCGGCTTCCCCAGAATTTCCCCCGCCTCCGCGACGAGCAACGTCACCAACCCGCTCGAAATCTCCATCCCCAAGTTTCACATTGTTTCCGTCTAGCAAGGTCAGCAAAGCCTCCAAGATTCTGGGCTCTCAGAATCTACCCCGAGGCCCCAGCCCTCTACACAGGAGCCAGACTTCCATGGCCGAAACTCGTCGCGGTAGCGCGGCAACGGAGAAGGATCACGTCCTGCTCATGGTACACAGCCCTCCAGCCAAGTCCTCGTCACATGGCCCACAAGACTCAGTGTCGTCTTTCTTATCTTCTACGTCTATCGGTTCGGATGATGAAACATTCATGCTGCAAAGGCTCAAGTCAATCAGAAGCTACGTGGATCCAAAGGGGGAGCCGGAATGGGAGATCCTCAACAAGAAATCGCCAACCAACGAGTCGAAGCCGAAACTAGCCCAGGCGCTTACCATCAACACCCAAGAGTTGCCGCCACCTGAGCCAGCCGACAATGATTCGGCATCATCATCACCGATCCTGACGCCTCTCAATGCCGCCCGCGACCCAGGCTGCCGGATTATCTCACCATCCGGAAGCAAGCCAGCATTCTCACCGGCCGAATCCGCTCGCATGCCGCTTGGCGATGACAACAAGGACCTCCACGCTACCGAAACGTTTGATGCGGAACCAATGGACACTATTCCTACTGTCGAGGTCTCCATCGCAAGATCTGTGTCCGTGTCCCGGGGCAAGAAACAGACGATCGTGCCGATCAAACCTCGGGCAGATCGGCTGACTCCTGATGAGCGGTTGATGGTTAGGAGAGCTAGAACTCCCCAAGTCACCGACGCTCATTACGGACATCGTCACGGCAATTCACAAGACGTGAGAATTGAGAGTGTATGAGCCCCGTGAAGCGGCTCCAGCTTTCTGCTCTTGATATATTTTCTCTCATCTTTCCTTTTTGACAGTTTTTTTTTTTTTTCTTTTTTTTTTTTTTTTTTTCTCTTTCCCTCCATTCCCAAATTGTTCTGCAAGGCGCTGGAAGTGGCCGATTCTTTTTATTCCCTTTTATTTTGACGGATTAACTGCCAATTCGTTCGTCGTTGACGACGCTTCTGATTCTTCTTTTTCTCGCGCATTTTCAGGTTTTTTGCGTGCGCCTTATTTTCTTCTTTCTTGCTTGATGATTTCCCCATACTTTATTCATTCTGGCGGTGTCTGGTGTGAAACCATGCTCTTATTCGATTTTGCTTTGTCTTGTTTTTTATTGCACTTGGTTGGGTTGTTGGATAGAGGTCAGGTGGATGGAGCTGTAGATAGATTGTTGGGTAGGTGATGATTTACTAGTTATCAGTGTATAAATCTATGAAAGATATATCGTATAACTATCTATGTATCAATTATCTCGCTGTCTTTCGTAGCTCTTTTAATATTGACATTCCAACCAAATATTATTTACCAGTATCAACAAAAGGCTCTATGGTGAATGCATGATCCTCTAGAACGCGAGAGAGGGGACAACCAAGCCCCAGAAGCTCAGCTCAACCAAATCACTCTTTCGCCGGATAATTCGCCGACTCCTCCACAACCTGCTGCTTCTGCTTCCCAGCCCCCAAGTCGACATTCACATTGAGCAAGTCCCACTCCATGCCCGGGTACGAATCACTAATGACCTTGATATTGACACGAAGCTCCGACGTCTCGGCAAGCACCAGGCCTGGGAACTTGACCGACGAGCGGACCGTCAAGGGGCCCTTTGCGTGAGGTTTCTTGTTCTCGCTGGGGTTCCTGCTCGAGCCGGCGCTCCCCGCGATGCTGCGCTGTTTATTGAACGACGGCCACGAGATGCGCTTCAGCGCGAGGAGATCGCCGTCCTGGCCGTCTGGGGTGGCGGTGCAGACGATCAGGAAGAAGCCCTCTGTTTGGGGTTTGGGGAAGCGAGGGGCGTAGATTTGGTGGTCGGGTTTTGTGGGCGGGTTGCGGCGGGTGATGGAGACGGTGATGCCGGTGGGGGAGACGGTAGGGACGGAGATGGAGAGGTGAGGGAGGAAAGAGGCGGCCTTGGTGAATTGGGCGGCGGTGGAGGAGGGGAGGTGGAGTTTGCGGGCGAGGGAGGAGATGGATGCCGGGGGTTGGGAAGAGAGCGCGGCGAGGGAGTCAGGGAGGGCACGCGGCTTCTCGCCGAGCTCGATGCCAGGGAGGATGGAGAAGGAGAGGTCTTCGGGCCATCGGGCGGATTTGATGCATTGGAGGAGGGACATGAGGAGGTGGCAGGCTCGGAAGTAGCCCATCTCGGCCATGACGTCGATGGAGGCTTGCAGGATACGGATTCCCTGGTCCAGGACGGAGGTTTGATCACCGACGTAATCGGAGATGGGGAGGTCGATTCGCGACATGTAGGCTTGGAGAAGGAGGAAGGCCTTCACGTGGGGATCCCAGAGGGGAAGGTCGCCCATGGATTCGACGGATAGGGGCAGGTTGCGGGCGAGTTCGGCGTTAATGAGGTCTTCGTTGTGTCGGACGGGCAGCTCGTCGAATTCAGTCGCAGAGCACATCCAGCTCAGCACGTCTTGGAACGAAGGGTTGGACTTCGCATGCGTCATCAGGAAACGGATTGTCTTGTGCGAGAGGTAGTAGTAACTCATGATCTTGCCGAACGGAGTAGGGTCGACATCGCCCGTTGCAGAATCAAAGATGACACACGACGATTCAGCCAGTTCACCGAGCGACTTGTCGACCAGCTCGATCATGAAGTCTTGAGCAATGGTTTGGGCGGCAATGGTGTTGTGCTCTTCAGCTGAAATCTCGAGACCGTAGTAAGACGGATTCTTGTGCAGTCTTCGGAAGAAGAATGTCCATGTCAAATAGTCCAAGGCGTCCTGCTTAGTTGCGATGGTACCAGCCGAAACTTCGGCGCCCAAATGGTTATCCAGAACCTTGTGCAGGGTAGACTCAACCGGAAATCCAGTATGCAAGAAGTGCTTGTAGAACGCCTTCTTCGAGTCTTGAGTAAAGATACGTGCAATACCAGACGAGTCGAACTGTGGACGTCCTGCACGACCCAACATCTGCAGGACATCGGTCAGGTCCATGTCCCGATAGCCTTCTATTTTAGCATCAAAGAATTGCGTTCCTTTGACCACAACAAGATGTGCCGGAAGGTTAACACCCCAGGCAAGGGTACTTGTCGCGACAAGGATCTGGATCTTGTTGTTTGCAAACAGTTCTTCGGACAGCTGTCGGTCAGATTCAACCAAACCAGCGTGATGCAACCCAATACCGAAACTGAGCGCTTCTCTCAAGGCTTCATCCTTGACTCGTGCAAGGTTCAATTGCAGGTCGTCCTCAGACATGCGAACAAACCGACGAGGGTTATCCTCCATACCGCAATAATTGATCAAATCCTTGGCGGTCAAACGGGTCTGTCTACGAGAAGCGACAAAAACAATCACTGGCTTCTCGGGGGAGTGATTCTTGATAGCAAGGAATGTTGGTCGGTTCATCGACTGCATGAGAGGGCAAAAGCCCCGTTGCTCAGGGAATCCATCGATGTAGATTTCCAGAGGCACAGGACGAACAGAGTGCCGGAAATTGTACAACCCTTCCTTGACTCCAAGCCAATTGGCGAGATCGGAGGCATTCGCGCAAGCCGTAGACATGCCCATCAGTCGTACAGAACCCTTTGACTGCGAGGCTATGTAATTCATTCGGGAAACAATGATTTCGAGAATGGGACCTCGATCACCTCCCAACAAATGGATCTCATCAATAATGACCAGGCTAACCTTCCGCACGTAGTCTCTGGTTTGCCAGCTACGAGAAATACCATCCCATTTTTCGGGCGTTGTGATGATAATATCAGCGTCCCGGATGGTCCTGGTGTCAGGGGTGTTATCACCAGTCAACTCAACCAATTTGAGACCCATCGCTGCGGTCAAGCGTTTCTTCCAATCCTGGACACGCTCGCGAACGAGAGCTTTCATGGGTGCGATGTACACAACCTTGGATCCTGGCTTTTCTCTGAAAGCCCACCACATGGCCAACTCTGCAGCCACTGTCTTTCCACTTCCTGTCGGAGAACCCAACAAGACATTCGCTGGGGTGTGATAGAGCATGTGGAAGATCTGAGTCTGCATCGGGTTGAAGAACTGGAACCGTTGTCCATACAACTCTTCCAGAATTGGGTTCTTAAGAGCCGACACTGGAAGCGGCTGCAGGTTGAGGAGATCTGTGTATACGCTCTCTGTGTCAGGACGGATCAGGTGCTGGAACGACACAGGAGTCACACTCTCCGCTCCTAGCCATCGATCAGAAATCGCACGAACGTATATCTGGCTTGGCAATGGATCCGAGAGAGGGATAGTGAAGTTCAGCTCATGATCGTCATGGAGTTTCTTCCGGCTCAGAATGAAGTACTCATGGTGGTAGATTTCAGATGTCTCCGAATTCTCAACCCAGATCCAGTAAGATTCCGAAGCGCCATGGTGCCTATCATTCCAGACGAAATCGGGGTAAATGCAAAGCCGGATGCGCAAAACATCACGATTCAATGGTGAGATCTCAGCTTCCACACTGAGGGTGGGAAAGTTGTCGATCAATTTCGTCAACGTCTTTCCCATGCGGTGATTGTGGACTAGCTGTCCGATTTCAGCGGTCTCCATATCTCTCATGGCCTCGATAGAAGAAGAAGGCAGCTTCTCATCCAGATTCTTCAAGACAGGTTGAGGCAAATCAAACTGGTGGAAAGGGTGGTCGAAAGGCCAGATCTGCTTCTCAATAGACTTGCACATTGACAAGAGTACCTCGCACTGGTATCCCCAGCGCCGATTCAAAGCAATCATAAATAGTGCACGGCAGATACGAGCCGCGTTTTGGGCCACATATCCTGAATCTGAAACAAGAGCAAAGTCCTCAATCTTGGCACGCGAGATGTACGACTGAAGTAGAATGTTGGTCTTTGCGTGGGGTGAGTCGTTTCCTCCCTCTACTTCTGTCTGGATTTCTTCATCGCGAAGCCTGTTAAGCTCCTTCGATTCGCTCTCTCGTGCTTGGATGTTGTCGAACTCGCCGCTCATACTGATCATCTTCAACACGTCCGCGTCACCGGCTCGAGGACGCATCATCTCATTGAAAATTTCAACGCTAGTTTGCAGTACATAGTACTGACTTGCAATACGGCCAACATCTTTCGCGCGAAGTTCTTCCGTCTTCTCGTTGTAGATAATCATTTGACTTTTTTGCAGAACCAGAGCAGCCTGGATGATAAGCTGGCGGCGTCGCTGGACGAGCATGGGATCATCTCTAATCTCGGCGAATTCAATTCCATAATTGCGCGGTTCGCGTTTCATGCGCACGAAAAGATAAGAATATCCCAGCCATTGCACTGCCTCTGGCACCGAAGTGACAGTTCCTAGAGAAATTTCCGCGTTGAGATTATCGACAAGTCGACTAGAAAACCGAGATTCGATCGGTTGCTGAGAAGTCACTGCCGAAAGATAGTGAGAAAGCTTATCGTGTGTTGTGCAAATAAAGCCGATACCCGTGTCCTGGAACTGTGGACGACCGGCACGACCGAAGATTTGCAGCACGTCCAGGATACCGAGGTCGACAAATTTACCCTCCTGGGGGTTATACAGCTGGGTTCCCTTGATGACAACGGCCGCGGCAGGGAGGTTAACACCCCAGGCAAGCGTGGCCGTACAGCATAGTACCTTGATTAAACCTTCAGAGAACATGCGCTCCATCAGATTACGGTCACTTCGGCTCATTCCTGCATGATGTGTGCCAAAGCCACTGGCGAATAAATCTCTCAACTCTCGAGCACGAGCATGTTTCATGTCTTTTAGAGCGTTCGAGTAGTCTTCGTGGTCTTGACAGCTGAAGAGGTTCTCACACCCATCCTCCGCAGCCATTTGCTTGAGCATCCGTGCTGTCATGACAGTATCTTTCCGCGAATGTACAAAGACCATGACCTGATGCCCCTCCTCAAGCATATCACGCACCTTCTCATAAGATACAATGTCAAGGTTCTCGCGAGACTGCTTGGAGTTCGGCTTGCCCTTGACACCAATAAAGTGTTGTTCAAGAGGAACCGGTCGAAAAGAACCGTCAAAGTAGAACAACCCAGCCATCTTGTTGACCCTAAGGAAGTCGGCAACATCGACATAGTTCGGCAGTGTAGCAGACAGCCCCACTATGCGAATAAGAGACTGGGTGCTCTCAACCTGACGCTGAGTCCGGGCCACGAGAGATTCGATAACGGCACCACGCTCATCATGAAGCATGTGAACTTCATCGATAATCAACAAGCGCACCTTCTGGACAAGTTCAGTGTCTCCAGTGCTCTTCCGCGTCACCACGTCCCATTTTTCAGGGGTAGTGACAATGATCTGGGTTTCCACAATCTCCCGTTTGGTCAGTTGCATATCGCCAGTCAACTCGCGAACCTGAATTCCGAGCCACGCGAGTCGTTTTCCAAGTTTCTCAGTGACTTCAGCAGCCAGGGCCTTCATGGGTGCAACGTAAACAATTTTAAAATCGTCCACTTGAACCGCAAACTCGGTCGCTTCCGGTTGCTCCAGCGGGTTTGGAATCGTATTTTTCCCGACGGCGTTCAGAATCGTCAGCATGGCAGCATCGGTTTTACCAGCACCAGTCGGAGCACAGATCAACATGTTCTCGTTCGTCTTGTAAGCGACTTCGTACAGCAGACTTTGCATGCGATTCAGAGTCTTGTAGCCCTTGAATGTTCCCTGGCACAGTCCGTCCAGAGAAGCAATCTCGACCAGTTTCTGATTAGCTGCCAGCGAACCAACCTTTGACGCTGGGATCTCGCATTCAGTGTACCGTTGTTCCTCCACCTGCTTACTGCCCAGCGGCAAACCATATTTCTTCCCTCCCAGCGCAAGAGTATTTCTCGTGTCATGGGTCTTGAAAACATGGGGGTACTGCGGTTCACTTCTCGACTGCGCCGGCAACAATGGGGCATGTTTATGGTCAAAGTCCTGTTGCCACAACGCCTGCTCCCGCTCCGCTTTTGTCTGCAATTTCCCGGACATCAGACCATCGGTTTGGGCCTCGACGCCATTCCGCATGCTCGACAGAATATCCGCCCGGTGCGCAATCAGCTCGATCACAAATTCCAAGTCGTCGAATCCCACGATCTCGGCGAGGGACATTTGGAGCTCGTCGTCGCCGCTGTCAGCAGCCAGCGCTGCGGTGATTTGCTGCACCAGCTCCATCACATCCAACCCGGGCTTTTGAATAGCGAGACCCTGGCATTTCTGTTCCAGCCAGATTTGGTCGTAGGATAGGCCATCTGAGGACAAGGCAAACCCGTCGATCTCATCGGAGCCGGCACTCGATTCATCGTCGGAACTGATGACATCCCAGATATCATCGACTGTCCCGGGCGAGGAATACTCGTCATCCAGGTCCAATTCTAAGTCGCTGCCGTAGCCGAGCTGGTCATTCGCGGGGTCCTTCGGGAGGTTCAGATCGGCAATGGCCTGGCGCATGGCCGCCAGTTGAGTCAGCCATTTCGACTCGACGGATCCAGGAGTTTCCATCTTCCCTGGATATTCGGTCGTTTTCCGTCAAGATAAATGAATGTTGCAGTTGCGTCAGGCCGAAGAAAGAGGCTTGAAATTGTCGATAAGTGTAAGACGGAAGTCGATACAGCGAAGAGCGGAGCTGGTTTATTTGAGTGGCAGAATAAACTACCGCCTCAGTGATATCTTACCGAAGGCGGTAAGCTTGAGGTCGCCGTGACTCATTTTGACTCACTTTGACTTTGCTTGAAAGAATTCTGGTAGGCTTACCCTGTCTACATTGTAATTAGCGTAATACTCTTTTCTGCGCAGAAGGGATATCATTTTACCGAACTTCTGTACTACAAAGGCGTACTGTAGTCCGGTGGGTGGTTGTTCCGCACCTTCGAGTTGACCGGCAGAATCGACTGGGGATCATCCTTACCGCCAACGCTAAGCTGACCGCTCACGCCCGACCGACTGCTTGAAACCTCGATCTCAAAGAAAGATAGCAACGACAACATGAGACATTTCAAACATCTCTCACAGTCGCAAAAAAGGCGATAATTTGAATTTGAAAACGATTTTATATACCCTACTCGGATGTGTCATTGATTCTTCATTTTTATACATTTCCGCTCTCCTTTGGTAGTAGTAAAAGCATACAAATATTTTCGCCTATACAATTTTTGTTATTTTCCATTCCAACCAGACCCAAATGGTCATGTGAAATTTGTGGTACTTTAGAGTTTTGGTCACAGGGTCACTAATCCATTTTAGGAAGGTAACCATGCCCCAGGCTCCCAGCATCATCAATGCTTCTTTCGCTATTCGGACCTAATAAACCGCGTTTACAGGGTTATCGTTCCTTTCTGGGCGTCTTCAAACTGATTTACTTGCCGAATTTGCAACTTTATTTCATTTGCTGAACTTGAAGGGGCTGCCGCATTATAAACACGGACTGAGTACCATTCGAATCTTGTGCCATTTCAGCAGCTAACCACCAATTTATGTTTACCTACGGAGTAGTGATGCCTTCGATAGCGTCATAACCTAACCATTGTCCTAGATCTCAATCACCGCATGCTTTTCTATGAGTGCAGCGACTACCAGAAAAACTTTTGTTCGACCATGCACTTCTCTTACATCAATCCCCCATCCCTGGCATTCTCATGAGGATAACACTCTTGTCATTAATCATCCCGATGAAATACAAACTCTATTATCCCAAGTTTGGAATAGGGCTGATGATCCTGTCGCTGATCAAACCGTACGGCGACGACACTGGCTTCTACGGGTAGGGCACAGATGGCGGCGATCTCGAAGTCGCACTGAAGGAATAGATGAAAGAGGGGCCACGCGATGGGTCCAGACCTTGTTGGCTTGTTGGGGGATGCTCATCTCCTACAGAGACGTTGTGTCCGGAGGATTCTGTGATCTATTGATCTAATACGAGAGATACATGATGTTGTAAATCTCAGCCTTGTGGACATCTCCGTAGTGGAACGTCAGAACGTGTGCCGAGTTGGATGCGGCACTTCGATATTGTTTCACGATAGGTATTTGCTCTTTGGGTTCTATCAATATGTACGGCAAATGACCGACTTGCTTTCTCCCGGAATTTAGCAATCTATTCGTTGAATAAGCATAACATCATATGCTAAATTTGATGTTGAAGCGAATGTCTTATCCTATGGTCCATATCGTCTTTATTTATCTTTTGTTTACCGCTATCCATGAGTGGGGATGGATTTATGGAGTAGGGTTGTTTGCACGGTTACATTACTAGCCGCAGAACTAGATGTTTTGTCTAAGACATGATTCTTATTATAACCAGCCAGTCTCGATAAGATGATTTTAGCGAATAACTGTACTTCATTAGCATATTAGTATACTTGCATCGTCAAGATAATGGCTGATAGATGTATTCAAAATTTACCAGGAAGTAAAGACACATATTATTATTACCCCTCTGGAACTGACGCGTATCAATAGAAACTGATTGATATCTAGAAAACCCCATATCTCTCCTCTTTAATCACATCATATCAATCTAACTAAATTACCAACCCACTGTATAAATTGAAGCCAGCTCATCACTCATTTATCCCGAAATCGCCATGACTCAGATTTTAATTATAGCCCGGACTGCTTTCAGGCGTCGGTGGCGTCGCTAGCAGCAAGACATCAATCTCGGGTCCCGTTATTTCTTACACGCCACTCGATGGCAAATGACACGATGTACGGAGTATGGTGTGTTTTCTGACCAGAGCGACTAAGATAGGTTATCCAGTCCGAGTTTTCCAGACAGTCATATGGTGCATCTACTAAGACGGCATCTACGGCGCGAGTCATGTCTTGAATCTAACGGTCTAAACCCAGCCCATTGCCCGGAGGAGTAGAACACAGTAAGCACCAACGCCCGGCAGCCGAATCCTCCTTCACCAAACTCGAATAAAATAAAATACCAAGCCTCAAGTGCGATGCGCGGACCGCAATACAGCATACCCTGACCCACCAGAAACATAGTGCCATCCACTCATGACCCGAGGAGCGGAATTAGATTATCAGTCTAGCAGCTTACGGACTGCGGACTACGTTCCTGAGGCATCGGAATCGGATACTGCAGCTGGTAATCTGGAAATCTGGCCCCCTCGACGCATACAGGCAACAGCATTCCACCCTCACTCTCTGCATCGGCCAGCCAGTCAAGTAACCCACGAGCCTCACGAATGCCTACTAGTTGTTGTTTATCAGCATTAGATCAAATTAAATCTCACCCCCTAGACCCGCGATTTCTCCACTTGCTGCTCGCTGGATGAGGCCGGGAAAGCTTGGTATTTTTCTTTTCTTTTCTTCTTGTTTCTTTGCGCTCGGTTCTTTGTGTGGTTAGATAAAGCGTTCCGTTTTATCCTGATTGATACCGGGACGGAGTATGCCTGAGTGAAGCTTTCATTCCACATCTGTCACCTGCCTTGCACCATTTCCGGGACTCGTACGCAGTATACTCCGTAGGGCTATCCAAGACACCGGGCTTGGATGGTTCGATAAACAGCCCTACTAGGTATATTGTGTCGGCCATTATACTTTCTCGATAACTAGGTAAATGATATTGATTCGTATTTAACGCCGTTGTGGCAGCCATGTCCCGAACATTCTCAATAAAGATAAATAGTCAAGCGGTGGTTGGTTTCTAGAGCAGTAAAGACAACCGAAGTCAAGCTCAGGTGACCAGTCACGAGGACAGTCTGCGATAACCTACCGTGGCTTGTTCACTGCTGGGAAGCCGCATCCTGGACGACCCGTCTTATCCCTGGAGGTGCAGATACGGACTAGGCTGGATTGCAATATACTATTGTGTACTGCGTAGGTACGAGCGAGCCACTTATCGATGTATATGGCATGGGGTGTGGTGAATAGGTAGTAGTCGACTATGTTAGTGATATCTTGGATTTTCATTCAAATCCATCTGTGTTCGCCTATTCAACTATTGACATAGGATCCTGCCTACACTCGTTTCGCGAGAACAAAGAGAGACGTATACCCAATCAGCTTGTTGAGTGAAAGCTTGGCCAACACCCCCATGGTCGTACAACCAATCAACTAGCTCCCCAGGCGAAGAGCTAAAAGGTAGCTGTAGGTAGCTGGCAGTTATGCATACCGAAGTGCCAGGACAAAGCCGAGACAATGAACGAGACATGTCGTACAACGACCATGCCAGCCGGCCGTTCCCTTCCCTTCACGAGGTGGAATACGAGTTGAGATGCAGATGAATTGTATGAAATTCCGCGCTCCTAGCTTCATGAACTCCAATGCAATATATGAACAATATTGGTGACCAGTGGTGATGGATAATTTCTAAACATGGAAAAGAAAAAAAGAAATCGAGTCCCGAGCCATATACAGCAAACACCTTTTGAACATGGTAGAAAATACGACGACCGGACGGTTCGTCCAAGGTGCAATATATGAAGACAAGAAGGAAAAAAGAAAACAAGAGGGTATTATGTACAAAGAATTACCAGAAGTAAGGGTTTCCGTAAACATCCTGGTAACACTGGAAAGCGTCGGGACAACTGCAAGTGAGACAAACAGTTAGCGACGGACGATCACGGAGTCGAAGATCACGATCATCATGATGCGGATCTGCAAGGCTGAACTGGAGACATCAGAAAAACTTACTAGACCGGATCCTGTCCGAAAATAATATGCCACGTATACTCCATCACGCGTGAGGTCACGTCGTCTTCCAATTCATTGTTCAGCACCCAGGCGTAGAACCATTCGTAATCCGTGAGCGGACGCTTGAGGACCTGGTCGCGCGAGACGGCGAATTGCGAGCAGCAGGGCACACCGACGACCTCGGGCACGTCGGTGTTGTTGAACAGCTCCTGCCAGGCCTGCGCGTAAACCTTCTCGGTGGATTTCCCGGGGCGGTGAGAGTCCCCGCGCGGCCTGATTTCGTCCGGACAACCCGGGGTTTCCTGGCAGCGAAGATTGGCGTATCCGTTCCGTTGAATAAAATCGGTCTGCAGGGCACGGATCGCCTGCACGTTGCTGTAGTCCATCGTATCCGTGTGCCAGGCGCCCGGCCAGCCGTCCTTGTGGCTGTGAAGGAAGACGATGGTCGCCGGGAGGTCGTTGTAGTGGTCCACGATGTATTCGAGATAAGCGAGACTTTCGCGACCCTTGTTCTTGGGGGTGTGACGAGCGGCGTTGGGATCGTCGACGGTGTAGATGAAATTTCGCCATCTGCAGTAGGGGGTGAAAAAAAAAAAACCCACGGTTAGTCCGCTGCACATCTCGCCAGCTGGCTTTTCTGGAAGATAGGATAAAACTCACTCGGCGAGCTCATTGCTGACCCATGATGTATCCTCCGCGGCCAACTTGGCCATCACAATTACTCGGTCATTAGGCACAATAATCGGTGTCGTTTCGTAGGTCGGCTGGGCGATCTTGACGGGCGGGTTCACTGCCGGGCCATTTGATCCCTGATTGGGAGCTTGCTGCTGCTGCTGCTCCTGCTGCTGAGAACCAGAGTTGCCGCCTAGGTTGAGCTGCCAAACAGACTGGGGCCGCGTATCATCCTGGAGGAAGTCGAGATGGCGCTTTATCAGGACGACGGCGAAGATAAAGAGTGCGGCCAGACCAACACGGTAAGATAGTCTCATCTCATAACATTTGTCGCGATGACCCGTTTAAGAAGAAGAAAAGGAAGGGAAGAGGAAAGGAGGAGAGGGAGGAGAGGGGAAGGTGAGAAAACGAAGGACAGGAAGATAAGAGGTGGAAGGTGTAAGGATAAGATGAAAAGTGTGGAAGCGAGCGGATAGGATGTTATTTTTCTTTTCTTTTTTTTTTTTAAATTAAGAAAAAAAAAAAAGAAAAAACCTTCCTACATGGAGGGAAGAAACAACTCCGAAAGGGAAAGATGGCCGTGCTCCGGATAATAATACGCAGGGATTTCTAGCGGTAATTAAGAGCTTATTATTAGATCCCTAATATAAAGCTAGACCGTTAAAAGGAGAGGGGGACCAGAAAAATCTAAGACACGATAAATGACGAGCGAAGGGACCAAACGAGACACGACGAAGGGGAAAAAAATTCAGAAAAAATCACCAACCACAGAAATGGACACGATGCGGCATGCAGAGGGAAAGAGTCTTATCGTCAGAGGGTCTGGTGCACGCGGATTGGTGGGATCGCGGAGAAGATCTGCAGGGGCGAGAGAATTGCCAGGCGGTCCTTTGGTTGAGTCGAGTCCAGTCGACTTAATTTACTTGGGGAGGAAGACCCTGGTCCTTGGCTTTCTGGCTGACTGGCTGTCACTATCAGACCTGAAACCTGCCGGGTGGAGGACTCGACCGGGTTCATATACGGAGGAGTAATTTCCATTCTTTCGCAGATTAACATTATGATTATTAACGACCACTCCATACTCGTCTATCAAACCCATCGACCCTCGCAATCTCGTCCAGAAAAGACCCTGAACACCCGCCTTAGTCATCCGATCTGCCCAACCCGACGGGCTCCGGTGTCACATCCTTCGCCCTGCCAGTGAAACGGTTCAAATCTGCCAGAGGATAAGTATCCATGAAGATCCCGTCTCCAATATGGTTACGATCCACATTGGCTGAGTCTATCTCAAACACTCCACCCATCCACTCCCGTCCTGACTGGGCCGCCGTCTTTGTCGGACTACACTTCCGTCCGCTCTGGTCGCACTCGGCGTGTCAGGAATCAGAAAATGCGGTTACTTCGTGACAGCCGAACCTGAAGATTCAGGGTCTCCGACAGGGATCCTTCGGTATAAATCATCTTGCTATGGCTCAATTCCCCGACGGCATACGAGGCCAGACGGCCAGACGAATAGAGAAAGACCGGTGGTGTCAGTCTCGCAAGCAACCCAGCAAACAGACAGACAGACAAACAAACATCGCCTCATAAATCCCGATCCCGAAACGTTAAACCAACTCCGCATCAACCTTTCGGCACCATTTTCGCAGGATTGACTATCTAGTTACCACCAGACGCTTGAACAATCACACCCGTCGACGCTTCGACCGACGGTTCAATGCAGATCTCCAGAGTTGGTTACTACCCGGTCGGGAGGGCCGCATCACGCTGTGGCCACTACTGTCTCCTGGATCGGGAGTAACTGCGCACACCTATTATCCGGAGATCGACACTCGTCCGTTCAGAGTTTCCATTCCATCCAAATAGTCGCCATCAACCTTGCTGCGGAGTCGAGGGATCATCGCTTGAAAGCGGGCCAAAGAATGTCCTCGAATGGACGATGCCATCTTGTCAAATGTCAAGTGTGTCGGCCGATGCGAATCCGAGCAGTGATCGGCCTGGTAGTCGCACAGGGTCGTACCAGACCAGGATGGATTGCGCAATGGGCCTTGGAACGCCGATGGAATTGTCGAATTTTCCACCGATAAACTGCGAAAGGGCCAATTGATCCTCTGGCGGTTTGATATGAAATGCGGGGTTCGCCATGGCTGATCGGCGGGTTTTTTACCTGCCCTTTGGAGTATTGGAGTGTCTATCCCTCTTGCAACAAACAGCTCAGTGACATAGCTCACATTCCTATGAAAACTATCTATCTACCCTAGTGATATCGGGACATTCAAGATCGTGTCTGGTACATTCTGTCCCGCTGTCGAAGGTGCCTGCACCTTGTCCGTCTTTCCGGAAACTCAACGCATATCCCCGAGGGCACACATACACAACCATGCGAATCATGTGCAGGGGAAAGTAAAAACAGAAAGAAAACATCGCAAAGACAAGGAAAAATCATGCAACTTCATGCCGAATCGCCAAAGAAACAATCAAAACATAATAAAGCGCCAGACCATAACCTCCATGCAAATAAAAGATGACCAAAAAGGAAAGGGGGGAACAGAAAGCACATATGTAAGTCAAGCCCCCAAATATTGACCAGAAATCAACAGCAGCGACCTTTCTTCTTCCGAATCTCTACTGCCTCATCATGCTCATCGCCAGCGCTGCTCGGCGGGAATCCCAACCAGCTGCGACGCTTGTCACCAATCCCCAGACGGAAACTGCCATTGTTCTCGATATTTCTCGCCACAGGCGACGAAAGACCCTCAATGCCAGACCCCGACCCCGGAGTCGCAACCACGCTCGCCTCTTTCTTGTTCCTCTCCTCCACTAGCTTGCGCGTGATCACCCGAAACACCTCCTCGATCCCCTCCCCATCCTTGGCGCTGATCTCATGACAGCAGTCCCATCCAATATCCTGCCCCCAGAACCCACTACTCCGCTTACTATCGGGCCCCTGCAACGTGGTACTCGACGAATGGCCCAGAAAGCCGGCCGTGGGCGGCGGCGTCGACGCCTGCGACGGATACAACTGCTCGGCGACATACGCGATCGTGCGCTCAAAGGGGACCCGCCGTCGGGAGGGATCCAGAGCGACGATATCGGACTTCGTCCCGACGACGTGGATGACGATGGGGTCTTCCTCGTTCAGGTTATTCTTCAGCTCGAGCAGCCAGCCCGTCATCTCCTGGAAGCTCTGCTCGTCGGTGATATCGTAGCATAGTAGACAGGCGTTCGCGCCGCGGTAGTACAGGCGCGAGATGCTGCGGAACCGCTCCTGGCCGGCGGTGTCCCAGATCTGCAGGCGCACGATGGTGTCGGACGCGCTGTCCAGGACTCGCTTGGTGATGAAGGATGCGCCGACGGTCGACGCGGTGCCGGCGGGGCTGAAGGCATTCTTGACGTAGCGCTGCACGAGGGAGGTTTTGCCGACTCCTGAACAGAGTCCTCCGAGTCAGTAAACCACCCACTATCTATCCTATAACCCAAGCAAGAAGAGAAGACAAATCCAAAAGAGAAACATACCCTGCGCGCCCAACACAACAATCTTAGCCTCGAGAGAAGAACTCATGGCGGGGTAGACGCGAAGGCGGGGCCGACGGAAAGCTGGATTCGCATGATCCAGCAACAGCAGCGACGGGGCGATCGAGAAAAACGGGAATGCGTTCAGGGACCCTGGTATTGGCTGATTGCAACGTGTGGGGGCAATCGGCGAGACAGACAGAAAAGTAAAGTGAAGTAAGCACCTAACAAGTGTTGGAGAATTCCCGGGTCTCCTTTTTTTTTGGGTTTATTAATTCTCAAATGAAAAGCTTCAGTAGAATGGAAAGTAACGCAAAGCAAAGCAAAGCGATCTAAACACAACACAAACGAACAAAGAACAGAAATAACAAAATAGAATAGAAGAAAACAAAATCAAAGGAACTCTTCCCTTTTCCTCAGTCAGGGTTTCTTTGGTCGAGAAAATCGGATTCGATAAAAAAAAAAAAAATCTCCGATATCAATGCATCCAACGCAAAGCGAAGAGAGAAAAGAAAGGGAGGGGGAAGGGAAATGGGGAGAACAGAAGTTCGCGGGGAAATTCTGAAAAAGAAAGAGAGAAAGAGCCTCAAGATTCAAGAGTCAAACAATCAAGTCAGATCAGTCAACAATCAACAGGTCAAGGCCCGTCGCCGTGAATAACACCCATGGACTGGACAGGATGAGGACGAGGAGGCGGAGTCAGATCAGCCGATCACTGCCGCAAGCGATCAGGTGTCCGATTTGATTCTTGATTTTCTTTGTTTCGGGCTGATCCTGGCGTCGATGTTGTCGGAGTATGTATTTTCATTAATTCTATTTCGTTTTCATCAAGGGGAGAGGAAAAAAGGACAAGAAGGGGGGAGAGAAAGTTTTGTGTGAAAAGAAAAGAAAAAAGAAAAAAAAGAAAATCAGAAACAGATATGTCCAAAAAAAAAAGAGAAAAGAAATGCGAAGAATTTTTTTTTTCTTGCCCCTACCCTAATGTACCTAACTACATTACCTACCCCATGGTGAATATTTCCAACAGGCAGGGGGTTGTGCAAATGACCCTTGCATTCCTTGGCCTGCTTGGTGGCTACCTGGACCAAGGACTGGCCGAGTGGTTGGATGGACATGCAGTGGACATGCAGCGGCAGTACCGACACGGCAACTAGGCAGGGTGCTGCATACAGATCCAGGCGACAGGGAGGGCATTGAATTAATTAATCAATTATTCCCGGCGATTAGCAGGCTTATTGGGCTGCTAATGCTCTTGAATGGGGGTTGGGAGTGGAACGGGTCATTCAGCGACATGACAGGTATCTCTGCGACTGATGGATTCATTCCGTGATAGGGATCCATCCGCTCCCTATCATGCACCGGGGAGAAAGTGGAAATTGGAAAACGGTCTGGAAGCCGTCGACTCCGTACTCCGTATTCCACGATCCAATCCATGGGTAACCGCGGCCTGAATTTCAACCGCCCCCGCCGGTATCCTAGCGCTCATGACATCATTCCCGGGGCTGATGATGCGAAGGCAAGTAACCACCGACACTGACACTGACACTGACGCTGTTACAATTACGGAGAACTTAGGGAAATTATGTACTACAAAGTGTCATAGATGATGAGACAGAAAGTGTCACTTCTTGTAAGTCTTGTGGTCTATTGATATGTCGACCGTCATAAATGTACATGAGTCCGTGTGGACGAAACCACTCATTGATCCGTTCCACGGATCAGACTCAGGGGGTAGTCGCGGAGTAAAACAAAAATCCAAATCTGATCAGACCATATAAAATAACACACAAAACATCAGGGGAATATCGTGATATAGGTCGGCACAACAGGCCGATGACGGCGGTGCCAATGCACGCAGCGACAGGTCTATCGGGCGGCATACAATGTCCAAAACATAACATCCAATAATAATATATGGTATAATAAAGGAAAGGAAATTTGCGATCCGAATCAAGGCGGATCACGGGTATCGATGTAGAACGTTATCAGGGTTGGCAGCCTGACATAAGTATTTTTTAGTGATTTTGTGAGAATTTTTCTCAAAACCCATCATCCGTCCCCAAGACATGCTGAAAGATTTACTCGGAAGGAGAGTAATCGGCAGCAGCCTTCTCGGGGTCCTCGGCGTGACCGGCACCGAAGCCGTACTCGTTGGCCTTGGCCTCGATCTCCTCGTCGGAGAGCTTGGGCAGCTGGTGAGCGGCGGTGACATAGCTGATGTTCTCGGTGTATCCCTTGGCGAAGATGATATCGATCTCTTCCAGGGATCGGTTGGCGGTCTCGGGGTAAAAGAAGTAGACGACAGGAATGAACAGAGCGTTCAGGGCAGCGAAGAAGAGGTAAGTACCCCAGCTAATAGAAGCGATCATAGGAGGAGTCCACATGACGACAGCGAAGTTGAACAGCCAGTTGCTGCAGGTCGAGACGGCGTTGGCCTTGGCACGGGTCTTGATGGGGGACAGCTCGGCAGGGTACAACCAAGGCAGAGGCAGCCAAGCGGCACCGAAGGCAGCCATGTACAGGAAGAGACCGAACACGGCACCCTTAGCAGTCTCGTTGTCACCGGGGATCAAGCAGGCGAAGGTAATAACCATGGCAATAGCCTGGACGAAAGAGCCACCCAGGAAGAGCTTGCGGCGACCGATCTTCTCAATGAAGAACCAGGAGAAAGTGGCGAAGATGGCGTACACAATCATGTTGATACCACCGATCAGCAGAGACATGTCATCGTCCTGACCGATATCCTTGAGCAGCACGGGGAGGTAGTAGATGACAGCGTTGCAACCAGAAAGCTGCTGGAAGATCTGGGAAGAAGAACCGACAAGCATTCTGCGAAGGTGCTGGGAGCGTCCACCAGTAAGCAAATCACTGAACTTAGTCTTCTCGGCGGCACCGGAACTGAAAAGAATCAACCATGTTAGCAATGTTCTGATTCACAATAGCAATGCAGGTTGATTGATGGATGACATACGCTCTGATCGAGTCGATGACAAGAGTCTTCTGCATCTGGGTCTCGTGGCTGTCCACCTCCCAGCCACCAAGGGCGGCAAGAACATATTCACCCTCCTGGATACGGTCCTTGGAGATCAGGTAACGGGGCGAGTCGGGAAGGTAGTACATTCCGACGATAATGATGATACCGAAGATGATCTGGAAAGCGATGGGGAATCGCCAGACGAGGTCATCGGGGCCGTAGTGAGCACCGAAATCGATCCAGTAGGCAATCGCAGTACCGATGGCAATCACACCACCTTCGATACAGATGAGCAGACCACGGTTGCTGGTACGGGAGCACTCGGCCTGGTAGGTCGGGATGGTGGAAGTGTTCATTCCGTTACCGATACCAGTGATAACACGACCGATGAAGAACTGAAGAAGGGGGATGTGGTCCTGGAAGGAAGTGACCTGGATGATGACACCAATGATCATAACAACGGCACCAGACAAGATCATCAGGCGACGACCGGTCGAGTCACCGTACACCAAGGCGAACAGTGCACCAACCAAACATCCTAATGAACATAGTCAGTAGGAGGATCTACCAGGAAACGGTTCGAGGGGACTAACCGAGCTCGTAGACGGCCGTGACAAGGGCCTGCATAACCGAATCATCCTTGGTAGCAGTGAACACGTTGTTGAAAGCCTCGTCACTGATAATACCGGACATGACACCCTCTATAGAACCTGAATTAGCGACGGCTCGAGGCAGTCTAGCACAGGGGTGGATAGCACTCACGGTCATAACCGAACAGCAAGAAACCCATGGTAGCAACGGTGGACACAGTCAGGGACAGGGGCTTCCCCGACATGCCAGCAAATGAAGGCGCCATGCTGGGCGAACTAGGATAGGATTGATCGATAGAGAGAGGTAACAAGCACGGAACAAGTCTCCAGGGTCGGTCGATACACCAGGCGAGATCAGGACTAGGTGTATTCCTGGGCGGTTCCCTCGGTGTTTGGCCTGACGCGGTTGAATGGAAGGGAGTGTTGACAGAAAGACGACGAGAACAAACGCGGAGAAGAGACGGGGGGGAAGGGGGGATTTTCTACTTCTCCATGGCCAGGCGGTCGTGGCGAGCATGCATGCTGGCCGGCAATCTCTTATCCCCCAAACTCACCCTCCACCATATTCTGAGCACTCATAGTCAACCGTACCATTGTTTGTTTTGTGGAGCAGGGGACTGAATGCATCAATAACGCTGGGTTAAGCATTTCTTTGGGGCGGTTGAAGGCCCACAGGTGGGTACGCTTGAGATGCAATAAGCAATGACATCACAGTGCCTCTTTATGGAGCCGAAGGAAGAAATGGGGGAGCGAAATAAAAAAGCGAAAATCAGAAAAAATTAAATTTCGAAAAAAAGGACCAAGGAAAAGGGGACCCGAGGGAAAAAGAAAAATCAATCGAATAAATGAAATAAGATCGTTCGGTATGGGTCCATCGACGCCACCATCATTGGCGAACCATCCGAAAGCATCCATTCCGGCCCTCCTCTCAGAAGACACAGCTGGCCGATTGACTCCTCCACCGAGGCAGTAGTCGGTAAAACTCCACCACCTGCTCTCGTCAACAGTCGACACATCTCCCATTCCATCGTCGCATAGGGAAATACGTGCGTGCATTGCGGGTGTTCTTACGGAGCACATACCAGACTGTGTGAGCCGTGAATGGCCGATGGGCTGGACGACGTGCCGGACCGACCTACTTGTCTCGGCCATCTCCAGGCCTCCTGGGGAAGGTCAAGCGAGGAACCTCTCTGATCCCACGGGGAACGTCCCTTGTTCTCGGGGTCCTCGGGGGCAGCGAAGGGCTGCTTTTCCCCTGCTGTTCCCAACATCCGTGTACGGAGGACAGGGTCACCAAGCAAGGTACGGCCTCGCGCATCCCCCCTGATGAGATAATCTTGGTTTTGTGCACACATTTTCTCGTTCTGTACAAGTTCCATTGTCCGTTCCATTGAAGTAGGTTTCGACTACCTAATCTTTTACCAACCAAAACTTTGGAATGCTTCATTTCCTCCACCGTGCGTCCGCCCTTCTACCTCTGCCGTACAGGTTATCCACTCTGTCCTCCGTGCGGCCGCTGCGGGTGCATTATAATTATTATTATTATTATTATTTCCTCCGTAAATATTTATTTAATATTTAATATTTATTATTATTTTCTGCCGTCCCGATCTTTCCTAACGGGTTAAAGCGTCTTTCTCGGTCATCGTTCGGGAAGCCGTTCCCGTGGGTGCTGGTGTCCCGACCACACCTAGCGTCTTTTCTCTGCAAGGCGAAACAATCCCTGTACCCAACGTATCCAATAAGATGTGTACTTTCAGAGCCAGAGTGATTAAACAGAAATGAATCGATATTGCTATACGGAATACTATCTCAATATTCGGATGACAGGAACAGAAATAAACCAAAAAAAAAAGGAGCACGTAAGGTGATAGCCCTAACTACTGCCATTCACGGCGTTACAGTCGGAAGGGTGACCGAGTTCAGACGGTAATTCGACACCAGAAACGATGGATGCATGGATTTCCCAGTTCTCTCCACTCTCCAAATCAGCTTCACGACGTTTGACTCGGAGGCTCCAATTTTTTCCCTCTCTTAGCATATTTGGTTCGATTATCATCATAATACTCGTGAGTTCTGAGCATACTCCGTCGGCTCTGGATTTGCGCCTGTCTCGCACTCTCGCATTCCCCTTGCGCTGTCAGATTTTTTTTCCATAGAGTTTCTGTCTGCGTTCTTTTTTTCTCCGTGTCCGAGATGAGCGTCGAGGCAAGGCAAGGCAACAATCATTTCCCTATTGTTGCTATCACTACGACACTTAGATCGTTCGAAACTCCACCCCAAACCGAGGGGGGAGTTTCTCCCAGGTCCATTGGTCCGTCTAAAACACCCGGTCTTTCTCCCCCATTCGCAACGCACTTAGATTAGCGACCCTCTGCGTACGTCAGGTTTCGTGCATATGCTGTGGTCAGCCGCGCACCGTAGTTGGCAGGAGAGCGGAGAGAAGCATGTCTTAGTCAGTGGTTGTGACCAGTTTCTTTTCTTCCATGTGTGTGTGGGTTTTTTTTTTTTGTTCTTTTTTTCTCGTTTCTGGCGGTCCACTCGGACAAAGGTCATTTGAATCTAGATAATATCTCTTAGCCGCACCAATACAGAACAATCATAAAACAAAAAACCTGTCTGACATCGGTTTTTACCCGACGCTCCAATCACCATGACACTGACAGACCAACGCGACGTCAGAAAAAGGCCGCCGACAGCAGTCCAGATCATCAAATTGCGTCAATATCAAAACCCGCCAAGCGCCAAGTACTTCAGAAAAAACAAGAAACGGCGAAGCTCAGGGCAGCAGCGTCTTGGGGGGAACAAGCGTGCGACAAGACCTCTCGGCAAACGCGAAAGTGGGGCAAAAGAGGAGAGGGAGTGGGACACACCGTGACCACAACCAACTTTCCGCTGAATCCCTCGAGGGAGATCCCGGTGGATCGCCACTTGGCCCTAAACGACGCACACCAACCCGACCATCATCATTCTGGACGGCCCAATCATCGTGGGATCGGCCTCCACCTCATTGGCCAAGTTGCATGTGCCTGCCCACACGCTCTCGGCCTCTCCTGAGCCGCTGACGATTGTGTGGCAGTAAATCCATGCGCCGGTCGAAAGTTTCTGCCCCTCCCAGGGTTGCCCCATCGTTGCCCGTCCAATGACCAGGCCTTTTTTTTGGATCGATCCTGCGTCAGTGGTCTGGGTTGCCCTCTTGGGTGAACCGCCCGGAAGTTGCGGATAGGGAATAATGGAGTCGGAGCCATCAGGTCGTCCGGAATCCGGAGAGACGGTCGGATCCGTACGATTCGGATTCGTTAAGCGGCTCCTGTTTCAGTAAAGCGACGGGGAGACTCCGTGCTGAGGTAATGGCTATTGCCTGATGTCTGAGAGGGGAAGGACCGAAGGAGGAGGCAGCCATCAAAAGAAAAGATCACCAACGGGCGAATGATAGAAAAGAAGTCGTCATTCCATCCAGCGAAGCCACCCAACGGAGCATGACACCTGCACGATGATGTTATATCTGTCAGTTCTGTCAATGTGCGTTTGAATCATCTACGCTGTACACTCGGATCCAAGGGCAAGATATCCGATGTGCCACCGTGCGCAGGGTCGACGAAGATGCCGTAAGCTATTGTCTCGTGATGGTGTGAGTAAGCCTTGTGTCGTCATTCCGCTTTGGCCCGGTCATATTCCGTCGAGTATTGAGCGTAGGGACCATCAGAAAAACCGTTCATAACAGCCGTCCATAGACATTATCGTAAGCACCCGGGTGTTAATCTAGATGTCTGCCCTCATCTTCTTTCGAAGTGGACCAGACAATCTAAGATTTTTTTTCGTGTCCACTACCTGTACATTAGTGTATGCAGCCCCTCAGATTTTGCAGGCTTTCCCATCCTCTACGGCATCCTAGTACACCAAACCGTGCATTCGGTCAGGAGAAACTTCGGCTTGAGGTTCCATCCCGAGTCGCCAAGTCGGCCGCAGAGCGTGTAGAAAACCGGCCCGATGGTCGTGAAGTGGTAAGATGCCGGTCGTACACGGTCGGTCTTGGCTGCAAATTGTCGGCCTTGGCTTCGAAAAAGTGTCGGACAGATGCCGCTTGATGTTTTAGCCTGCCGAGTCGGTAAAGGTCTTGGCCCAGGATCCGACCAGAGGATGGATTGGTCCATAACGTCAGACCGTCATGGACCATCGAGAAACGGTTTGTTTCGGAGGAAGGGAGGACACGAAATATGAAAATAAAAAAAATTAATAAATGAAAAAGAATAAAAGGAAAAAAAGAAAATTAAACCCAAGAAAAATGTCTGGATTCTGTTCGACCACACCGAAAAGATTCTTTCGCAACCGGTGGGAAAAATTTTCGTCGAATGAGAGTGGGCGTTAGTCATCACTTGCTGAAAGTGTCGGATGCCAAGGTTATCGTCGGTCGACAATTGCGGTAGTAGCGAAAAAGGAAAAGTGTTAGCTGGATATTAGTGACAGGGGTAAAAAGGTAGATAGGTGAGACGCAAAAAAGAAGGGCGAGTAGGCGACAATGCGAGGACTTTTGTACAACGCACTGAGGAACTGTTCGGATCAGGGGGTCGAGCAGGTCGGGAAGCCGATGGGTTAAATACACACTGGACTCGGCACGCCGGTGCCGATAGTAAGGGAGTCGGGGCTGGCATGCCGGAGGTCTCGGACCATCATGGTCACGAGCACCTGAAAAGAACACGAACTGGCAATTTGTATCAGGGGTAGCCTACTCAGGGGGTCCAATCATCTGTCTGAGACCGTGTTCTAGATGCCTCATAGCCACGAGAACAGACCAAATAGCGCGGATGTCTGAACACGTAGAGCGATCAGGAGACCACGAGCCAGGGGCAAGGCGCGTAAACATAAATGAAGAACGTGCGTTCAATGGAGGAAGAGTGTCCATGCGCGTGCATCTTGCATTTCTAGCTTCGATGGCAACATCGAACCTCTAAACGAATATTCCAAACCTGTTTTTGTTGGTCCGGAAACAGGAATCAATCGTCGACATCATCCGTAGCATCCGGTCATAGATAGCACCTACGACTGTAGGAACGTCAATCTTATGTCAGGCGGAGAACTGATAGCTAAGAATAGCCAAGATATCTTGAATGAGTTAAAGTCAACCATGAAACAGGCACATGATTATCAGTTCGCATCCTTCAATGGCATACTCCGTAATTCCATTCTTCACAAGTTTAATGATCCTTGCAGGAGCCTAGCCTGGCAAGTAGATTCGAATCTTCTAGCAGCGAGAACCCCTTAAGCTAAGAAGGCTTGATACCAATCGCCCAATCAGTCATGGTGAATTGTCACCGATACTGCTGGGCGGTGGGTAGAGAGGCCTTAGGCGCGTGCATGTGATGCTTCCAGAAGATGCATAGAAGCAGGAGAGATCAATGATGGCAGTCGCGTTGCACGAGTGTGCATTGCCTCCTGTCACAGCATGATCCAGAATGTGGACTCGCTCAGCCTTATACAGTGGGCTCACTATGGGGCAATAAATGCATATCGTGAGTCTAAAAATAAGGTCTAATAGACTCAGGACAACTCGCCACCGTGTTTGAAGCACGAGCCCATCTGTCATCTGAAGGAGCTATGCCCCGTACCCCATCGAGATCAGATGATGTAATTGTTCATGCCTTGGGGCCTGTATAATCTGGCAGCCATCCATGCTGTCTGACATAAGCTGTTTGTTTGCATAATTTGCACACACCTCGGCTTTGTTGCTTCTTTCTGTTCACGTGCATACCAGGCGTCCAATTTTAGAGTGTTGCATGCGGACAATGTTTTCGTCAAGTAGGTTGTTTATCCTGCATTATTGTTGATAACTGAAGTGAGACAATTCTAGCGTGTTCGATGGGAAAATAAATAAATGCAGGGCAAATATGGACAGATATCCCTTACTAGTTACATTGCAGAGCCAATTAATGGGAGATTATTGCAATATATTTTCTGTAGTCTGTCTGGCTGTCAGGCCTAGACCACGATCCATGCCTTGTCAATTATTTGATTGATCTGTCCTAGACTCCCTTGATGGCGATTTCGCATATCTCCGTAGTACAGATCGAAATGCAATCTGCTCTCCCTCTAGAGTGGCGTACCCCTGCATTCTTGAGACATGTACGCAGTACGGAGACATGTACATGTCTGTGCACGTACGGCCTTCCCGTCGTCAATCGGAGCTGTCGTATTCCAGACTGTTCCACGATCATGTTGAAATAGAACCTCGGTTCATTAAGACTGTCGAAGTATCCTGATAGCCAGTCCATCTTGAAGGCTGGTCTCGGCCGACACCCGTTCGCAGAACAGGACTTGCCTGCTCTGAGCCGATAGGGCGATAAGCCAGAGTCGCAGGGTGAAGATGATCTTCGAGGCAGAGTCGGCCGAGAGGGCGAAGATGACCCGACTCCCCCGCAATTCCCCAGGCGCTCACCTTCCGTCGGTCATCCTCAGCCAACGAGTGTCGCCCGATTTCTGCTCAGCCGCCTCCAATTCGCTCGCTGTCTATTAACCCGAGCTCTCTCTTGTTCGGATCTTCCACTGAAATTGAGAGGAAGGAGCGGTTAATTTACCTTTTGGCTAAGTCAAAAGCGCCACAGTGCGTTTTCCTTTCTCCCGAGAGCTTTTTCTTAAATCGCCCAACGTTTATAACTCCCCCTTCATCAATTCCCTCCTTACCTCTCAGATCAATTCTTAGTTTGCCTCTGAGTCGCAGCCATGAGTAACGGCAAGCTTACCGGCGCTGATGTCGCCCAGCATAACTCTCGCGAGTCGTGTTGGGTGATTGTTCATGGGAAGGCCTATGATGTGACAGAGTTCCTACCAGGTGTGTTTTGACTTTTGAACGGGGAGAAACTCCCATTCTCACGAGAGCAATTGTTTCTAATCGCTGTATCAGAGCACCCCGGTGGCCAAAAAATCATCCTGAAGTACGCCGGCAAAGATGCGACCGAGGAGTTCGACCCGATTCACCCCCCCGACACCCTGGACAAGTACCTGGACCACTCGAAACACCTGGGTCAAGTCGATATGAACACTGTCGAACGGGAGGAGAAGGCGGCTGATCCGGAGGAGATTGAACGTCAGGAACGTATCAAGCTCATGCCTCCGTTGGCAGCATGCTACAACCTGATGGACTTCGAGTCGGTCGCACGCAACGTGATGAAGAAGACGGCGTGGGCCTACTACTCCAGTGGCGCAGACGATGAGATTGTACGTGGGAATTGCCATAGAATGTCTTCTAGACTTGATATGCTAACGTTCAACTCCTCCCCAGACGATGCGCGAAAACCACTCCGCCTTCCACAAGATCTGGTTCCGGCCACGAATCCTCGTCGATGTCGAGAACGTCGACTTCTCGACCACAATGCTCGGCGCCAAATCATCCATTCCCTTCTACGTGACCGCCACTGCCCTGGGCAAGCTCGGCAACCCTGAGGGCGAGGTCGTGCTGACACGAGCTGCCCGCAACCACGACGTTGTCCAGATGATCCCCACCCTCGCCTCGTGCTCGTTCGACGAGATCGTCGATGCCAAGCAAGGCGACCAGGTGCAATGGCTGCAGCTGTACGTCAACAAGGACCGCAACATCACCAAGGGCATCGTCGAGCACGCCGAGGCGCGCGGCTGCAAGGGTCTTTTCATCACCGTGGACGCGCCGCAGCTCGGCCGTCGCGAGAAGGACATGCGTTCGAAGTTCTCGGACGTCGGGTCCAGCGTTCAGTCGTCGGGCGGCGACTCGGTCGACCGGTCTCAGGGCGCCGCGCGTGCGATCTCCTCGTTCATCGACCCCTCCCTCTCCTGGAAAGACATCCCGTGGTTCCAGTCCATCACCAAGATGCCCATCGTGCTGAAGGGCGTGCAGTGCGTCGAGGACGTCCTCCGCGCCGTCGAGATGGGCGTGAACGGCGTCGTCCTCTCCAACCACGGCGGTCGCCAGCTCGACTTCGCCCGCTCCGCCATCGAGGTCCTCGCCGAGGTCATGCCCATCCTGCGCGAACGCGGCTGGGAGGATAAGATCGAGATCTTCGTCGACGGCGGTGTCCGTCGCGCCACGGACATCCTGAAGGCCCTCTGCCTGGGCGCCAAGGGCGTCGGCATCGGTCGGCCCTTCCTGTACGCCATGTCGGCGTACGGCCAGGACGGCGTCGACCGCGCCATCCAGCTCCTCAAGGACGAGATGGAAATGAACATGCGGCTGATCGGCGCCCGCACCATCGCCGATCTTAACCCCAGCATGCTGGACGTGCGCGGCCTCGTCGGCGGCCACAGTGCCCCCGTCCCGTTGGACACGCTGACCCTGCGGGCGTATGATCCTCTCCAAGCGCCGAGGTTCAGCGAGAAGGCCAAGCTGTAGCTTACCTCGGCCCTTGTTGTTCAATTGCTATGACTGCTTTGATACCACTGCTTTGTCTAGTACATACTACGACCCATCTACTCCCTTCCTACCTATCTCACGACTAATAGGTAACCCATACCCCTTCTTTCGATTGTATATACCCATCCTATCTACTCAACACGTCTTATACGTTGGAAACGCTGCTGTATTATTACCAAGAAAAGACCTAAAGTCTAGAAGCAATGAAAGGAAAGAAAGAAGAAAAAAAAAACGAATCGACTTTTTATATATTATAAACATTAAACTATAAATTCAGTATCACATTCCTCTCTTTTCCGTACTCAAATTCGGATTCAAATGCATGACCGAGTTTTCAAACACCACCAAACACCCACGCACGCAGACCTAGCATGAAAATGCTTGCAAAAATTAAGTAACAGGCTCGAGTAAACGATAAACACGTATGGTATATACATCGCATCACATCCTCTCGTCACATCATCACCGGCACCCACTCACATCCATCCTTTCGCGTGTTCCTCCATTCCCGACCGATTCTCTACTTATATACAGCGAGAGCCAGTCAGCCAGTCAGATCGTCCAACCTGAGCCCGATAGATAGATAGATAGATAGATAGAAGCTCTACAGCTCCACCACCTGCGGCTTATTCGCCAACCGCCCAGAATCACCATACATGCACGCCGCATTAACCATCCAGCCACACCCCATCTCCTCGCCGCCCCAGACCTTGGCCCAGACGACGCCCATCAGGCCGTATCCCAGGACCCGCGTGGCATCCACCCACCCACTCAGGTCGAACAGGTCGCGCAGGAACCCGAACAGGGCGCTGGAGCGCGAGTAGCGCGCGCGTCGCCGCCGCGACAGACACAGCCGCTCCCAGGCGCGCTGGGCGCCGTCCCAGAACACCGGCTCGATGCCGTACGAGTGGTGGATGTGGCCGAAGACGTGGAGCGCGGGGCGCACGCGCCAGGCCTCGGCGAGGAGGTAGGGACACCCGGTCGAGTAGACGGGGGACATGTCGAGGTGGGATTGCGGCGGGGTGTGTGTGATGAGGATGTCGGTGGCGGCGGGGACGGTGCCGGACCAGGCGTCGTAGTAGGGGGGGTAGGTGAAGGCGTGTTCGGGGCCGAAGGACATCAGGGCGGGGACTTGGGGGGCGCCGTAGAGGGTGAGGGAGCGGGTTCGGGAGGGGGTGGTGGTGAGGGGCGATGTGGAGGATGCTGAGGGCGCAGAGGGAGGAGGGAAGGAGAGCGTGACGGAGGAGTGTTGGAGGTAGTGGACGTCGCCCCATTCGATGCGGGTTGGGGAGTCGAGTTCGTCGAGGGAGCGGAGGGAGGCGGTGGATGAGGAGACGGCCGTGAAGGAGGAGGCGTCGCGGTCTTCGGCGAGGCGAGAGCGCACGTCGAAGTAGCTGTCGTGGTTGCCGCAGACGACGACTTTGTGAGGGTGAGGCAGGGCGCGAAGCCAGTCGACGGCGGCTTGGATGTCGCGGACGCTGCCGTCATTGGTGAGATCGCCGGCGTGGATGAGGAGATCGCCGTCCGGGATGTCGGCCCATTCTAGGCTGTGGGTGTCTGAGATGCAGACGACGCGGATGGGACGGGCGTCTGGAGGAGGGAGTCGAGGGGGTCCGCGGAGTCGAAGGAGACATTGGTGGAAAGGGTAGAGGAGAGCTGTGAGAGGGGAGGAGATGAAGTAGTCGGGAAGCGAGCGGCGATTATAGGGGTTAGACATGGTGTGAGGAGAGAGGGGTGAGGAGAGGAAAGGAAAAAGGAAAAAAAGAGCGAAGGAGGTGGAGAGAAAAAGAGAGGAGAGGGGAAGGGGAGGGGAGGAGAGGTCGAAGTTGGATGCCTGCAAGTAAATTATCGGCCTTACCCACTTGACGAGGTGATGCGGAGGTGGGGATGCGGTGACATAGCCGCTGCCACCGCCAATGATCTCGCTGCTTCCCCTCTCTTGGATTCTTGTCTCTCTTCGCTCTTCTCTGGACTTGGGACATGGGATGGCAGCCAAGCACGGTCGCACGAGGTTCTGTCGGTCGCTCGACCGCCGTCTCCAATTGGTGTAAAATATTCATGGCAATGAGGCCACTTCAAGTAGGCATAAATAGCACAACATATACGGAGTAGCATCTTGGGAGAATCTGGTCTAATGGAATATTTACACATATTGATCTGACCGAGGCCATCGAGGCCCATGCGTAGACATGGGTTGGCCATTCTGAGGCAGTCAACTCAATTTCTTTCTTTCATTTTTTGTTGTTTTTCGGTTAGAAGATTCAATTATGAATTTGGCTACAGGGTACACTATTACAGCTTAAATAAACCAATTGAATAACCGTGTCAAGTAAGCCATAAATATTACTACCAATTTTTGTATTATAGCGACCAGTGATGCTCTCTGGTTTTGGGAGTGTGATTCCAAAACTAATTTACATATCAAAGGAAAATTAAAAATGAGTATATGTTTCAAAGATGAATTCTATTGTTCAACTACATTGTCCAGCGGACTAAACGGCCAATGCAAACCACTGCATGTGCTACGTTTTATAAGGCAGGTATTGAAGGTTGATGGATATATATTGGCTATCACCGATGCCTACAGACCGGACCATTTAGATTATAATATACTGAGAGTTTAAGTTCTAGACTGAATGATTTTGTTGTCTCTTTCTTTGCCATTATTATTGCCCTCTTCCTGTAAAATATGACATCCCCCAAACTTGAATTCAACATGTGACTTCCAGCCTGATTCCCAAGGCAGCAGATGAGTTCATTCGATGACGACACCGACAGATGACTCAGCAACGCCCAGACCGGCAATGGCCACTGGAGGTCAACGTCGCCGAGACCCTCAGAGGGCGCAGCATTGGGGGATCTTCATTATTACCTCAGTGATGATGAGGAAGGCACTGAGATACTGAGATATGGAGGGGAAGCAGGGAGAACCCAGCCATCACGATGGGGGGATTGGGTGGGAGACCGGGATGAGGGCGGGCATCCACCCTCCCATTGGGCTGGATCAATCCGACCTCGAGTCTAGACTCGGACGGAGATTGGCAGGATTGACACCACCACCTGCGATCGCGGATGCTTCCAATCTTGCTCGTGTCCAGTTATCCCCATCTCACCACGCTGGACACTGCGATCAAGTCTCGCGATCCTTCCCGACCAGATAGAATGCCGTGCGAAACCTCCCAGCCGCGTAGAAACAGCCGACTTGGCGCCGATCGCAAGGTATCCTCAGTCGAGGCCGGAAGCAGACAGGAAATGGCTGGTATCGTCATCACTTCTGCCTCCCTTTGCGCCCATATCTGCCAGGTCTATCCCGGGAGATGTCTTTTGATATCGTGTAGACGTTGAGACGATTAGATTTTTAGATTTTAGATTTTATTTTCTATTGATTTATCTTTCGGTTAAAAATCCATCACAGCAAAACAAGTCAATGTGATCTCTAGCGCCAAGTCGAGGAAAGCCCGACCATCGGAAGGACCAACCAAAGGCCAAACCATTCATGATTTGCCACATCGGTACGGGGTAGTGCCATCCACCACCTTCACCTTCTGGATGTTCCCCAGGGTTTGGAGGGCCTGTCACTTGCCGGCTTGTATCGTCTCTGAACGCGTCGTATCCCTTGACTAGAGGGGATCCGGAAGGGAGCTCAGACGCCGTAGATGTCATTCTGGGGTGGAAACCCATTCCTGTCCGATCAGATCTCCGGGTGTTGACATTGTTTTCGACCTCGTTTCTCCATATCGTTTGCGTCATACGCGCCTGCATCCATCTCCCGACACATTCTTCTGTTTCCATTACATGCCCAGCTGGCACCTGCCATCTTTCCTTCTGTCTGTTCCACCTCATGCTTGCGGCGCCGTTTCGTCTGCACTTCTCCGACCGTACTATCCTCGTCCCAGTCTAAGTTCCGGTCTAAGCCTCCAGCTCAAGCACTGGAGAGACGCCGAACAAGCAGAGAGAGAGCCACCAAACACAACCCCTCGCACAACCACCTCCCGCCGCTTCTCTCCGCCGCCCACACTTTCTTCTTGTTCCTCCTCCTTCTCGACTTTTTTTGCGCCAACCCGACTTTTTTGCCCCCTTCCTTCCCTTCTCTCGCCGTCTTCTTCATTCGCCCCTCCCTCTTCCTCCGGTCGCTACTTGTCTTTCCCCTGCGCCGTCTCTGATTCCTTATCGCTCGCCATGGACGGGGTCGACATCACCAAGGCCGTCCTGAATAAAGGGAAGCAAATGGCTAGCGTCGCTGCTTCTGCTGCCAATGGCAACGGCGGTAAGAAGAGAAGAAAAGGGACCGACTTGAAGCCGATCGTCACCAACGACGCCGCTTCTCCCGCCGTCGAACAATCGGCCACTACTGAGGGGTACGACCCAATCTTTCTTGTCTAATTCATCGTCGCTGTTTCTTCCTCATCTGTCTTTTCCGCCGTATTGTTCTGGTCCCTGATTGTTTGCTTTCCTTTTTGGTTTTGCATTTCTTTTTTCTTTTCCCTCTTTTTATCTTTTCTTATCATTCCTCTGCGTCGGTCTTGGTCTCCACTACGTTGGGCATATTTTTTTTTTTCTCTCCCCTCTTCTAACCATCATGGGTGGCAGGGTTCCCACATACGGCGTTCCGCCGTCGCGTTCTCCCTCCACGTCCTCCGTCGAGGAAGTCGAAACGACCGCCGAGGAGGAAGATTCGGAAGACTACTGCAAGGGTGGCTACCACCCTGTCAGCGTCGGCGAAACGTACAATAACGGTCGCTATGTCGTCGTGCGCAAACTGGGGTGGGGTCACTTCTCGACCGTCTGGTTATCCCGCGATACCACCAATGGCAAACACGTCGCCCTCAAAGTCGTTCGCTCCGCCGCCCACTACACCGAAACCGCCATCGACGAAATCAAACTGTTGAACCGCATCGTTCAGGCCAAGCCCGCCCACCCCGGTCGCAAGCACGTCGTCAGCCTGCTCGACTCGTTCGAACACAAGGGTCCGAATGGCGTTCACGTCTGCATGGTCTTTGAGGTCCTGGGCGAGAATCTGCTGGGCTTGATCAAGCGATGGAACCATCGCGGCATCCCCATGGAATTGGTGAAGCAGATTACGAAACAGGTGCTTCTGGGATTGGACTATATGCATCGGGAATGTGGCATCATCCATACGGACTTGAAGCCGGAGAACGTCCTGATCGAGATCGGTGACGTGGAGCAGATCGTGAAGGCTTACGTGAAGGAGGAATCCAAGAAAGACCACAAGGAAGACAATCGCAACGGGCGACGACGACGCAGGACCTTGATCACGGGGAGTCAACCGCTACCGAGTCCGCTCAACACCAGCTTCGACTTCAAGCACACCTCGCAAAATTCCCACAGCAGTCTCAGTCAGATGATTAGCGGATCGCCAGGTATGTATTGATCTGCATTCATCAAGTGCGGTCGCTCATTTACATCCCAGGTCCTTCTGCCAACGAAGGCACGTCGATGAAAGATTTGCTGGGTATTAAGGATGAGGATGAGAAGCAGAAACAAAGAGAGAAGACAACGTATGTTCACCGAGAACGCGACATACCCCCCCTACGTGGCTTGAATGCTAACATAACATAGGGATCTCTTGGAGCGCGAGGTATCAGGAATCTCGCTAGACAAGACATCCTCGAAAACGTCGAACGATGATCCCGAATGCGACATCATCTCCGTGAAGATTGCCGATCTGGGCAATGCCTGCTGGGTGGGACATCACTTCACCAATGATATCCAAACACGACAATACCGATCGCCGGAAGTCATTTTGGGTTCCAAATGGGGGGCGAGTACCGACGTATGGAGTATGGCTTGCATGGTATGTTTGGAATTCGGTCTTTGCAACGGGTTCCCCTTCTAACTGGGCTGTAGGTTTTTGAACTCATCACCGGCGACTACCTATTTGATCCCCAATCCGGCACGAAATACGGCAAAGACGACGATCATATCGCGCAGATCATTGAGCTCCTGGGTCCCTTCCCCAAGTCGCTGTGCCTGTCAGGGAAATGGTCGCAAGAAATCTTTAACCGCAAAGGCGAATTGCGGAACATCCACCGACTACGCCATTGGGCGCTGCCCGACGTACTTCGCGAGAAGTACCACTTCTCGGTGGAACAGAGTATGCAGATCAGCGAGTTCCTGCTGCCCATGCTGGAAGTGTCTCCGGAGCGACGAGCCAATGCCGGTGGCATGTCATCCCACGTGTGGACGAAAGAAACCCTCGGGATGGATGGAATCGACCTGGGGATAACCCCCGGCAGCAAAGGCGAAGGTATCGAGGGATGGGCGACGGAGGTCAAGAGAAGATGAAGCACCACAATACACCAAGGCTTCTAAAAGTGAGTCATATGACCTATCATTGAGTCTTTTATGAACGGGGGGAGGGAACCATTTTCTCTCTATTTTCTTTACAATATCTTATGGAAATTTTTGGTCTTCATTTGGCACTTTACTGGATGTTTATGAATTCTTCGACATGACCTGCATGCCTACCTGTTTTACACCCAACCTTGCTGTTATCTCTTTTTCTCTTTTTTGACGATCCATGCTCCCGCCTCATTCTTTTTTCCTACTCTTCGTGAACCTCCATAGAGTTCTGATTTACCCTGACTTTTCTAAACCTGATTGGTGCTCATATATCGACACTTTGTCTACCTCGAGACTGGCGCTTAGACACATTCAAAAGACCCTCCTCTCTTTTCCTTGGTTGAACCGTCTCTGTTTGCTATCTGATTTGATTTGTCCTTGCTTACGAATTGCTAAGCCTTCGCGACCATGTTTACGAGCCAACGCAGTATGGGATCCGGTGTGGGGTGTCATGGCGATAAGATGATACAATGACAGAGTTCTCTTTAGGGAATCTGTAAATATGATTTGAATGCACATGCTTCCTGGTCCATGTATCTGTATCTGTAACTGAATCTGTCGGAATGCTTACTATGTGCTGTTGTGTTCATTCGCTCTCGTCATCCAACTCCTCGCTCGGCAGCTGCGCAGGAAACCACCCGTACCGATCCAGATTGATATAAAACTCCCCCATACTGTCCATCAGCACCTCCACGCCTTCCCCTCGTAATACCTCCGCTTGACGTTCTGCGCTCCCTGGTTCTCTGGATATTAACTCGTCAGTTTTAATATTAAAAAAAGTGTCATGAAAAGCAAGATGACCAACCGATGCGATATCATCCCTTTAGAATTAATAACCCGTTGCCACGGCACATTGCTCGAGTTATAGTATTGCGTCGGGTCTGAGGGGAGATGCTTCAGGCTGACTCCGACTTGGCGGGGCCGTTGGGCTATATACCATCCATCAGTCACATTTTTGGCTACTGCTTATTGATCTTACGAGGTAGGTAGGTAGGTAGGTAGGTAGGTGGGCAGGAAATAAGATCATGACTGCTTACGTTGACCTAACAGGAGCGCGATCTGGCCGTATGTAGTCACCTTTCCAACCGGCACCTCCTGCACGGCGGCGTACACCGCGTTGATCCAGAACTCGGCTTCCTCGGAGCGGGGCATTCTTGGGTTGGTTGTTTTCCCGATATGGGGTTTTTGGGAGGGGTTTGGGTTTGTGGGGGGATTGGTTTATGGATTGAGAAGTATTTGGGGAAGTTAGACTTAGTAGATAAGGTACGGTAGGTTGGTTAGGTTAGTGGGGAAGGTCACCGGTGACTGCATGGATGTTGGATACGTGGGTAACTGGATCTGGTAAGGCGCCGTTTTTAGGTATAGGAAAGATTGACTAATCAGTGGGCTGTTTCACCTACTATCTTGATCCTTGACAGTGTTATGTTTATTTATGGCTTGACTAGTGTGTCAAGATGGACATGGCTACTGCACCTGTGCTGTGCCTTTCCACAGTCCATCTACGGGTCTCTTTCCCAACATGCCCCGTTATTAGAAAGGTAAGTAACGTCAACCGCCAGTAACGAGAATTTAAATGGATTAAAATGTCCGACAAGCTTTATATCCAGAGTTTGCACATTACTAGGTTTGGTAGAGTCTCGGAGTTCAGTCCAGGACCAGTCAGTGCTTTCAGTGGCTGGACGGGTCTCTAACGCGCGCTCGAGTAAAACAACGACAGGTGGACAATGATAATACGGTCTTAGATTCCTTAATTAAGGATGAAACTGGTCAACATGACCTCACTAACGGTGACAGATAACGGGCTGCTACGGCAGTTCTTGTTCTTGATATACGGTCTCATCGCTAATTTCTCATCCCTTTCCTTCATTGCACAATGAAACCAAATATGCTGCAATAAAATTAAAGATGTTAGGACTTTTCTCAGTTTACAACGCCTTATCTCAAGCTTCTCCTTTTCTCTTGCCCTGGTACAGTCAGACCAAAGATGAAGCCTGTAACAGGGAGTCTGCAGCTCAACCTCAACCACCTCAAGCTCCTCGACCTGCTCGACCCCCTAGACGTTCTCGAACTCCGCAACCTAAATCCCCTCAGCCCTCTCAGACCGACGATATCTTAGCCCTCACGGAGCAATTGGAGGAAATCAACCTTTACCATGGAAAAGATGACCAGAAAACTACACACAGCCCTACCTCGTATGAGACGGCCATCTCATTTTTCCGAGACGAAGTGACAGCGCATTTGAGCGACATCGTCCTTCAAGAGAGCCCAGCCCGGCTTATGAGCCTAGTTGACCAGGCAAGATCTGCCCGGGGACGTGCTCTAGAAATCAAGCCCCCCAGTGATTCCGGGCTACATACCCAACCGAAGAAACCCGAAGAGCCCACGCAGAATCCCAAGCCCGAAGTCCAATGCTGCGTCTGCTACGAAAAAGTCTCGCAGAAGAAAATCGTCCGCCTTAACTGCTACGACACCTGGTGCACCGGGTGCATCAAGGCCCTCTTCCTCAAGGCCGCAACCGACCAGTCCCTGTTCCCGCCGAAATGCTGCCGCAAGGAAATCCCCATCCATACGATCAAGAGCACCCTGACTGCCAAGGAGCTGAAGACGTACGAGGACGCGAAGATCGAATACACCACCCCGAAAAAGATCTACTGCAGTAACAAGTCCTGCGCCAAATTCATCCCTCCCGGGAACATCGTCCTGGGGGACCAGGCTGACTGCCAAGCATGTCGATCCAGGACGTGCGCGGTGTGTCAGAATCCTGCCCACAAGGGCCACTGTCCGAAGGACCCGAGTCTCTCGGACACGTTGAAGTTGGCTGATAGAAGGGGCTGGAAACGCTGCTATTCATGCGCGAGGATCGTGGAACGAAGCGCGGGCTGTAGCCATATAACGTGCGTACCGATCAGCTACCCTGGCGTGTCTATCGTTTGTCTAGTGACTTGTTGACTCTAATTATGGTGTTTCTCACGAGCAGATGCGTATGCGGCGCCCACTTCTGCTACGCCTGTGGTAGTAAATGGGCGACCTGTCACTGCTCAAAGTACTGGGCTTATTAATTCACCGAGACGACGTGCAGTCAGGGGTGTCCTATTCGATCGTCTCACTCGAATCGCCGGCTTTTTATCTCACAGTTGTGCGAGACTCTCGAGGAATCAATCACCATTCCGGATCTCTAGCACTGCTGTCGCAATTGGTAGGCGTGATTGGATTATGCGATACTTGTGGGAGATATGCTGCTGTGCTAGCATCAATGTTCCATCGCGATATGTGAGCATTGTCGATAGACTCTCATGGAATTTAGAGTTGAAGGGCAATTGTAGTGGTGTTTTCTAAGACTCTGATTGGGGTTTACGCTTGGGTTGAATCGTAGAACTAGCATGGTGTAGCATCGCAAAGAAACACGTTTGTTGAATTTACTCGAGGAATTCTACGTCTTGTTCTCTACCTGATAAACCCCTCTTAAACTGCCTATCTTGACCATCCATGTAGATACGCAGCTCTCCTCACCAAACCCCCCTACCCCTCCACCAAATAAAAAACCAAAAGAAATCTACAGATTCTTCTTCCCAACCAACCCACCCCCTCTGAGTCCCCAGAACAAGACCCCCACGACGACGCTGGCGCTAGCAAACACCGTCCAAAACGCACCCCTGTATCCCTCCATCAGCGCCAACTTGTGCGCCTCCGCGTCTGCTGACGCTGACCCCAACCCCGGCTGCAGATGCGTATGCTCCGTGATCGAAGCCGCGATGGCCGCCGTGACGGCAAGACCGACTGAGTTTCCGAACTGCGAGACTTCGTTGAAGACGCCGCCGGCGAGGGATTGGATTTCGGGCGGGAAGGAGTCGGAGATTATGATGTTGGAGACGGTGAAGAGGACTGGATGGGGGTTGTTAGTTTGTATGTATTCAGTGAGAGTGAGGGTTCTCGTTCATCGTAGGGTGTATGGTGATTCATTCAACTGGGAAGATCATAGTGGAAAATGGGGAAAATAGAAAAGGGAGCTAGACTAACCGTCCGGATTGACAGGGGATAGGAAAAGCGCCCAGAACGGCGCAAGCCAGAACTTCTCGTCGACCTTCACCGTGGCCATCAGGACCGGGGCGATGACGGTGACGAGGGCCGATCCCACGGCGAGGGTCTGGACTTTCACGCGGGAGATGAGAAATGCGGTTGCGATGTTGACGGCCACGCCCATGATGACGTGGGGAAGGAAGCGGATGGAGCTTTGCAGGGCCGAGAGGCCTTGGACTTGTTGGAAGCTGAACATGATGTCAAGGGGGGTTAGTGAACAGATACCTAGGCGGAATGGGTGAAATGGGAGAACATACTAAAGCGTCGTAAAATACTCAATCCCATTCAGCGAAGCCCAGCAGAAAAACACCGAGATACAGATCGAAGTAAAGGGCGCATTACGCCAGAGGCGGTTTGGGATCAACGCCGGCCGGTCCCTCCGTGACTGGTAGTTCATCCACAGCGGGAAAGCAGCAAGCAAGACGCCGGAGACGACGAGACAGACGATGCTCTGGACGTCGCGAACGCGCTGGTAGGACGAGCTCGTCATCGCGAGTACATACATGAGGAGACCGAGCGCTGCGCTCATGAGGACGGCGCCGACCCAGTCGATGTCCTCGAGTAAGCGACGATGCCATGTCTTCTGGGAGGGGTGATGCACCGACGGCAAGGACCAGATGGACGCCATGGAGAGGCAGAAGTTGATGATGGCCATCATGTAGTAAGCCCATCGCCAGCCGATGGTGTCGGTGAAGATTCCGCCGAGGACCAGGCCCAGGGCGTAGCCTAGGGGCTGGCCCATGCCGTTCATGGCGAAGGCCGTGTTGCGCCATGTGCCCCGGGGAAACGTGTTGGTGATGAGGCTGACGGCGGTGGGTAGGCACATGGAGATGGCGATGCCCAGGAATGTGCGAAAGAGAATGATTTGAAGGCTGGTTTGGGCGAATCCGACCCCGATCGTGAAAGCGACATAGAGAAAACTGCCCGTTACCCACATCAGCTTCGCGCCGACGACATCGGCAATGGCGCCGAATATGAGAAGGAGGCAGCCTGCGGCGAGGGCGTAGACCGCTGCTGGCCAGAGAATCAGGGCTTCGGAGATGCCGACGTCGCGGGCGATTTGGGGGAGTGCGGCGATGAGGATGCCGGAGCCCATGGTGTTTAGGAAGCTGACTCCGCTGAGGGTGATGATGACTGCAATGCCTTTGACTTTGGATACTTTGTGGTGAATCTCTGGGGTCTCGTTTTCTGAATTTGATACTTGCGTAACTGATGTTTCGGAGTTATTGCTTTCAATGGTACGGTTACCATTTGCTATGTTATATTCGTTTTTCAGATTTGGTGGACTCGATGCCAATTCGATGGACATCGAGTCCGTGTTTTGTAGAGTGACACTCATTGTGGACGTCATGTCTGAGCCAGTACAGATGAGGATTGTCGAAATGAAACACTAGAAAGAGTGCAAGAACCGAACCTGTGAATAGCTAAGGAGGGAGAGGAGTTAGTAGGTTATATAGGTAGTTGTCATGGTGCGGAATTAGGATAGAAGAGCCGACAGAAGTACTCTTTTCACATAGCGAACCAAATTTCGGCTTGACACAAATGACCAACCAAATTGACCTCTACCATGTAAGCTCTTTTCCATTTACCACCGAACAAATATCACTAATCACACTAGATCTTAACAGTAAGCATAACGACCAGGATGATGTGGGGGCGCGGATGCAATTCCGAGCTTTATAATCCGAAGGATGGGCCACGATTGCATACAAACGAGATAAGATTAGTCTTTGTTTCATCTAGCTTTCTGGTCTAGAACTGGAAAGGTCCCTATGTGCCGGTTCTCCTGGTTAGTTGTACCTTTTTCCAAGAAAGTATTCTGATGGAAATTCTATAGACGTCCTATTTTAGAGCATCTATTAGGGATATTCGTAATTCATGTAGTACATAAATTCTAGCACCGCCGAACCCTAGCTAAAACAAAAACAAGATTTCATTCGCCACCCAAAAGCCAAGTCATTTGACACCCTAACCACTAAACAAAGAAGGAAGAACCCAACCTAGGCAGTATTTCCTATAGGGTCGCTAAGGTACCATTCTGCGAAATCCCTAAGCGCCTTGGAAGTCTGGTCGCGGAAATGGTAAAGGCCAGAACAGCCCAGTATAAGCTTTCGACCATCAAAATATGCCTCGATTGCACGCCCACACTTGCCCATGAACGAGATAACCAAAACCTACAAAGGCACAGTCAGCAATAGACAAAAGTGGCCTGCGTGGAGGAGGCATAGAGTATTACCGGTGCAATCATATGATGGAAGCGTCGCTTCCTCAATTGGCCCAACATCAAGCGAAGAATAATCAACAGCTCTCCACGAAGAATGTGCTGGTTCTTCCCCTCTAGGTTGTTGTAAATAACCGCTTTGGTGTGAGGGAAGCTTCCCCCAGGGATATCTGTCATCCTAAATGTCCCAAACTCGGGCTGCTCATATCCATACACACTTTTGTACGGGGTATAATCGCCGACACTAGAAATTCACCGGGATTAGAAGAATGTGCGACCAACAGGACAGAGCTCAGCGGAAAGGCGCACTCACGATTTTCTGGACCATGGCATGCTGACCGTTTCAAATGGTGATTGGAAGGTATAGGACGACCAGTTGTTTTCAATCTGATATGCACGGTCGACTGGGTCGGTAAAACAGGGGTCCTCGTCATCCAATACTGAGTGGATGTGATTAACTCGATTATCCTCAGGCTCTGGGAGGCTGGAATGTGGCCTGAAGAAGAAAGGTTTGCAGTTCGAAGTTCGATCAAGAGTGACTTGATGGATTTCTATTTCCAAATTTTCAGCCTGTGATGCATTGAGTTCATGCGCTTCGAGAGCCTCAACTTGCTGCTCTAGTCGCAGCAAGACTCTGCGTCGCTCAAGGTGCTCCGGTGTTTCGACAGACATGTTTTGTGCTAGGGTATTTGAATCTGAATAAGGGATAGCTTGGTATGAAAGGAGTTAGATGTCTGGATGGGTTTAATTGGAGAATGAGTATCTTTTCTTTTATATCCCTAATATTTAGTCCTTGGTCATATCTATGTAGAATGATTGGAGTAATGTCAGAGGTCAAATGGGAGAGTGTTCGGGTCAGACCGTTGCCGGGAGACGCGCCGAGACTATAATAGAACTGCCCTACAGTCAAGTATGTAGGGTATTCCACATGATAATGTCTCCTGTGTTGGCTTACATCGACCTTTTTTAGGATGTAGTACTATACTGTGACAACAATCACTCTGCAACACACTTTCCTAACGCTCAAGGGTGCCTCAACCTCGAAGATCTCCCTGCCGTAATCGACGATGTCGCGACCCTGGACGTCTAAAATATAACTTTCTCACGCCTCAACCGATCAGAAGCAAGTCTTTCCTTGTTTTTGTGCTTTCGAAAACTCTGTCACAGCCTTATACTATTAGATATGCCGTCAATAATTCGAACCTGTCAACAGGGTCTCGCGTCTACTACATAGAATTCACCCGGCAAGACTGGTCGGACGGGAAATGTAGAGTCATTTCGGGTCAAGTTGCGGCTGCAATGTAGAAGGGGTATTCAACCTGTTCTCGAGGGATTCATTCTCCCCGACTCTGGCGTGCGCCTGCTTCCTGTTTTGCTGGATGTCGTGGTGGTGTAGTGTCGAAGGCTCAAAGCACCAGAGTAAATAAGACCAACCGCGCTATTCCATTTCTAGCGACCAGAGCTATCGGAGAAACCAATAGTCCGACTATCAAGATAACCAGAAGAGAATCACTTCCGCAGCTTTTACTACCTCCGCAATTAAAAAAACAATACACCCCCAATTCTACACCTTACGAACGAAAATGCCCTCCTCCCTAGCAGACTATCTCGCTAAAAACTACCTCACCGCTGACCCCAACACCGAGCGCCCGAAGAAGAAACGCAAGAAGACCAAGACCGCCGACTCTGCCAACGAAGGGCTCATCATCGCCGACGACGACCCGCCGGATCTCCGCACCCAAGCTTCAAACTTCGGCAACGACGACGAAGATGGCCCCTCGATCGAGACCTCCGGCCGCAGCGCGGAGTTCCGCCGTACGAAGAAGTCCAACTGGAAAGTGGTCGGCGCGTCCGCCGCGAACGATGCCGAGAAGGACGCCGCCGACGCCATCCTAGCTTCTGCGGCGGCTGAGAATGCCGCTCGTCGGGATGCGGGCGAGGATGAGGATGCGCCGGCCGTGGCGGAGGGAGAGGACGACGACGAGGACGGCATGCGCATGGAGTCTGGCGCCCGGGCGGGTCTTCAAACGGCGGAGCAAACGGCTGCCATGGTGGCTGCTCAAGAGCGAAGGAAAAAGGCCGAAGCGGCAAAGTACAAGGATAGTTCGCAGGCCGATCAGGCGCAGGAAACGATCTATCGAGACGCGTCGGGTCGGATCATCAACGTAGCCATGAAGCGGGCGGAGGCGCGACGGGCGGAGGAAGAGAAGAAGGAGAAGGAGGAGCAGGCGAAGGAGGCGCTTATGGGAGACGTGCAGAGACAGCAGCGGGTGGATCGCAAGCAGCAGTTGGAAGACGTGCGGGCGATGCCGGTGGCGCGCGGCATCGAGGATGATTCTCTCAACGACGAGCTCAAGTCGCAGCAGCGGTGGAATGACCCCGCGGCGCAGTTCTTGACGAATACGAAGGGTCCTGGGAAGAGCGTGACGGGTCGTCCATTATACCGGGGGGCGTTCCAGCCGAATCGATATGGGATTCGACCGGGTCATCGGTGGGATGGAGTGGATCGGAGTACTGGGTTCGAGAAGGATTGGTTTGGCGCAAGGAATCGGAAGGGCAGACTTGAAGCCTTGGATTACCAGTGGCAGATGGATGAATGATTGCATCATCCGATGGACATTGGAAGTCAGCATGTTACAACCACGGGATTATTCATTTTTCTATGGCAAGAGATGCTACGCATGATGGCTCTGGTGCTGGACACCGGAGGGCATACAGTGAATGTTGATGCACGTATTTACTAGTTAGCTAATTAATGTGGTCTGCAAGGTGATTGCAGCATGTCTCCGGAGTAGGGCCAGCGCTTTAGTTCCCCTTATCTCCCCTTATCTTGGTTTTGACATTCCATTCTTCTCTGCTGTTTTCAACCTCGGGCTCGGCGACGAATGCGGCTGATCCATTCCCGGGCGTGCAATACCAAGTCAGCCAGGGATTTCCAACAATAGAAGCCAAGACCCGTCAGCCTTGATGTCATGGCGTGCGCCATGCCCTTCTAGCCTTCGTTCTGCTGCGGATGATGCAGGAGGATCGAGTCATCGGGCGCTTGAGCGGGGATCAACAAGGCAGGTGATAAGCGGCTGGTTTGGCGTCATCACAGTCATCACACGGCGATGACTCAAGGTACTGCCACCGCGTGGGTTGCGACTATTGCCACGCAATGACTGGCAGGGAGACAATCTCCTTCCCCGATTCCTCAGATTCCTGCAGGCCACGACCAAGCCAGAACCATGACCCCTACTGCCACCGACGCCAATCAACAACCCCGTGCCTGTCCCTGTGGATCCGATTGATCGCCTCTATCGGGCCAGTCGAGCCATCTCCTCCTTGAACCTCGGGGTCCGATTGAGGGACAGCGCGCAACCATGGGTCCGTAGTGGCGGCAACAGGAGGACCCTCGGAGATGTTCTGGATGGCAGAGAGGGGGGAATGGCGTATCCAGGGGCAAAGGAAGAGACGTGAGATAGCGCCATCTGTCCAATTAATGAGACCTCCTATCATATCATCACCGGAACATTCCCAGCGTGACCTGCCGCAATCAGCATCGCCTCGCCCGGACCCCGTGCTTGCCTGGTTGCGCATGCGGAGGTTCTTCTATCGGATATACTAGAGTCGGAATACCCTTCTTCTCCCCTCTCCTTCTCTTTCCTTTTCTTTTCTTCTCTTCCCCTCTGCCCGTCTTTATCTTATTGAGGGTCGCGTTAAGGTTTCGTCCTTCACATTCCTACCTAGCATTAGACTAATCGCCTTGTTTGTTGCTCGCACGGAGCAGCAATAACCTTGGATCTATTACGGATTAGGGATCGATGACTGGAACAAAGTCGATCATCCGGTGACTCAGACAAAGACCAGACCGTTAGTGTCTTGTTTTGACGGGTTGCATCCTGATCCGTCGCGAATCTCCTGGATCCGCCTGTTTGCCTTTTCTTTATTCAGCACCTTCCATTATATTCCCTGTTCCTCGCGGTCTTCATATTCCCTCCTCGTATCGCGGCCGAAGCAGGCAAGAACTATCACCGCAGTATAGTTCGACTGCCACTATTTGCCCTTACTCCTTTTCCAACTATCACCTCGGAAGTATTCCTTCAACACCTTCTCACCATGTCTGGAACCATCGCTGTCAACGACTTGCGCGGAGCCGGAACCGACGCCAAAAGGGTTCATAACCACAAGGCAAAATGGGCATATGGTGGTCGAGCTGCTCTCCCTCGTCGGGAGGTCTCTGAAGTATACCCGGTGACTCGTCCCGCAGTGCCTTCCACTCATTATATGAAGTACGCTCTTCCTCTGGTTGATGAACGATGGGGAAAAAAAGGTTCTATGCTGACCTATCGTAGCCTTCATCGCGCCATGCAGCACGATCGGAAGGCAAAGACCAACCAGCTCGCCACCTCCGCCAAGATCGACCTCCGAAATGATATCCGAGAGGCGCTTGATAGTGGCCATTCGGACTCCTCCAGTGGCGAAGACGTCGATGACCCTGCATCCGCCCCCACTGTTGCCGAGGAGCAAACCGAGGCCGCCGATACGGTCGAGCACTACGAAGTCGCTGGCCAAACGATCCTCTCGGACGCGGTGAACCAGGCCGTGGAACGCTTCGAGACGAAAGAGACCGAGAAGCTCGTCAAGGAGTATGAGATAGTGTCCCACGAACATGAGACCTCCGGTGGTTATCTGGCCGACGACGATTTCGAGCTGGTTGACCGTGTTCGTTTGTAACAGCGCGCAGTCTTGTATTATTGATGACGTGTCTTTTGTCCATCTGGAGTCGGGCTCTGGTTTCTATTGCGATCACGATGGAGTTGGGTAGATTTTAATGCTACTGATGATTGTTCTTATGATGCTGCGACTTTCCTGTTTGGCTTGTCGATGATGACCTGAGTGTCTGTTTGCATTCGATGTTTTGTCTTTATTCATTAGACCAGTTGTTTTCATACCCCAGTCAGTGGCATATTATTAGTACAGTGCAGGCTATTATTACCCATATTGCTAAGAACATATTTTGATTCATTCTGAGTATTCTCCCAAATAGAATAGACCAGTAGAAGGGGTCATATTGAAAAGAGAAGAACAAGTGGTTGTTTGCGACTTGGCCGGAACCTCCCGTTATCGACGCTACAAAAGCGATCTGCAACGCCCATCTTCTGCAACATGCAACCCCAGACACCCCAGACCCCCACAAGTGCATGCAAATACTGTTCTGACATTTGAAATAATTTGTAACGATATCCTATCCCTAGAAATAAATCATCTCTCGTCAAGAAGTCGCGCGACGTGCGAGCGACCGGCCGTTGCTGCAGCAGTGGCGATAAGCGGATTGTTTACCAAACAACGAATCGGGAAAGGTCAAAAAATCCATCTCCGACCTCCGATTGAAGATTCCCTTCGACCCTCTCCTTGATCGATCTCTATCGCTCTTTTCCCACCCCACCAATTTTCATCTCTGCTATTTTCTGTTCTCTTTCCGCAAAGATGGACAAAAGGTCCGCGGAGAGTCCTATGGACTTCGAGTGGCAGACCCGGGCTCCGGGGGACGTCACCTCGCCTTTCTACCAGCTCAGCATGCAACATGACAACCAGAAGAAACGTGCGTCGACATCCCCGCGCGTTGCATCTCCATATGCCCCCCGTCACTCATGGACATCGACTCTAACTTCTCAAGCCACAGGACCCCATAGTATCTTCGATTCCCCGCCCAAGAAACAGATGCCCGCGCTGCGTGAACCGAACTCGCAACCTTTCCTATTCTCTCGACAACCTCAATCCCAACAGCCTCCCAGTACCCCCAAATCGGTCTTCGGCAAGTCGGCTGCCTTCATGACCCCTCGCAAATTCGATGTCGACTTTTCCTCCGGCCCTGAGAATATGTCGTCGCCGGAATGTGCAGACAACGAGGACACCCCCGAGCCGCCGACCAAGTCGGGTCATCGCAATTCCCTATTCAACATGTACGGACGGTTTGCGCCGAGCCCTGGACGAGGCGAGATCCCTCGCATGAACCACTATTCGAATGCGTTGGCGCGACGGGTGCATAAGCGGCGACGCAGGGATAAAGCGCTGGATCTGCAGCTGCGAAGGGAGGGCAGTGACGACGAAGACGAGAGCGACCATGATCGGCCGAGCAGCAGGGAGGAGCAGTCGTTGCAGAAGAAGCAGCCGAAGCGGGGACAGGGGCAGATGGGAGTCGAGGGCCAGCAGCCGGCGAGTCGGAGCTCGTCGTTTTCGGATTTCTTCGCCCTGTTGGAGGCGCATCCCAATATTCCGAGCATCCTGTCCTGGTGGGCGCAGCTGGTGGTGAACCTGTCGCTGTTCTCGCTTACTGTCTACGTGGTGTTTGGATTTGTGTCGACGATTCGCTCCGAGTTTGAGCAGGCTGCCGAGGAGGTGTCCGATGGCATCCTGGCTGAGATGGCTACTTGTGCCAGGAACTACGTGGATAATAGGTGTGCTGGACACGATCGGTTGCCCGCTCTGGAGACGGTCTGCGAAAACTGGGAACGCTGCATGAATCGGGATCCGGCGAAAGTTGGACGAGCTAAGGTGTCGGCGCACACGATGGCGGTCATCATCAACAGCTTCATCGACCCTATCAGTTGGAAGGCGATCGTATGTTTATGGATTCTCTCTTTCGCAATGATCGAGGCTAATTATTACTTACAGCTGTTCTTCCTCGCTACCATCTCCACTGTGACCGTCGTCAGCAACTGGTCCTTCCGCTCGTTCAGAAAAAACCGCCTGCATCAGCAAGAATACGCTTCAACCCATGCCTACCCGCAACCCCCACCTACCCAGCACAATCCGAGCATCGCCTACCAGGGACATACCTCGAGCTTCGATCGCAAGCAGGATAACCCGTTTTTGGTGGAACATTCCCAGACGTGGTCGTGACTTGACAAATCCGCTACATCGGAGGCCTGTCAAGCAGACCAGGAACTTTGACTCGTCAGATGGGCATGCTTCTACTTTCTCTGCAGTCAATTATTGCATCATCGGCGCCCCTGCTATGGAGTTTCGTTTTATTTCTAATATTCTTATTTTTTTTGGGATACTGAGACGGTTAATCTCAGATACAGCCAAGGTGTTTGTGATTCGCATAACAAAAGGACGTGAAGGAGTTTGCTTGCCCAACTTTTGGATTCTTAATCTGTATATATTTCCTACATAAACACGCATTGTATTGCAGGACTATCCTTGTTGTTCATCTTCTCGTGGAGTCGCAGTTCTGGAGTCTTGGCGTGGAGAATGACACTGGTATGACGTGGAGACGTACCGCCACGACCAAGGAATGACCACAGATTCACCACTCATCGCGAGATTCAATTGTCGTATTATCGCATTGGTCAACGTTAAGTATCGCTGACACGCCCTGCTGGATCTGCCTTGATCATTCTGATGTACGGTTACTAGGATGGGCTGACCTGCAGTAGCAACAACTATATAACAAACCTTAATTAATCTTGACAAGTCCAGATCTCCAGATCTCCAGACAGAACAGAATCGAGGCATTAGTGCTTGGACCAGATTCAAGATGCCTCCTAGCGTTTCGGTGACAAAGAAGAACATGATCGTCGTGTCCAACCGACTTCCGCTCTCGATCAAACGAGTGGATGACGGGTTTGAATCCAACCTCTCGGGCGGAGGACTGGTAACCTCCTTGTCCGGACTGACCAAGTCAACGTCTTTTCGCTGGTTTGGCTGGCCGGGAATTGAGGTAAAAGACGAGAATGAGCAAGAGAAGGTGTTGAAAAGCCTGAGTGAGCATAATGCCGTGCCTATATTCATTGACGAACAATTGGCGCACGATCATTATAATGGCTTCTCGAGTAAGTGACATCATGAGCGTCTTTAGCCTTGCGACTTATGAAAATAGATTCTTCCCTTTGGCCTATTCTCCACTACCAGTCGGGCGTGGACTTTGACGACGGCACCTGGCAAGCCTACAAGCGCGTCAATGAAATCTTTGCCGATATCATCGCCGAGGAAGCAACTGAGGACAATATGATTTGGGTTCATGATTACCACTTAATGCTGCTGCCTTCGCTTCTTCGCGAACGATTGGAGAAGAAAGGCAAGACCTTTGCAATTGGCTACTCTTTGCATACACCTTTCCCCGCGGAGGACGTCTGGAAGACGCTTCCTGTGCGGAATGAGCTCGTTGAGGGAGTTCTTGCGAGCGATCTTATCGGCTTTCACACCGACGAGTATAAACGTAACTTTGTCGCTTGTGCCCAGACAGTGTAAGTCTTCTAGTGATCTCGAGGTGCCTATGAGCTGACATAGGAACTGTACAGCGGAGCATCCACTGAAACAGAAGGCGAAATTCAATACAAAGACCGGACAATAATGGCCGACAAGTTCATAGTAGGAATTGATCCGCAGAAGTTCAGCGACGCTTTGCAGGACTCAGATGTCAGAAACCGGATTCAGGAGCTACAAGAAAGATACAAAGGCGTCAAGGTCATTTTAGGCGTCGACCGATTGGATTATATCAAGGGCTTGACGCCGAAACTGAAAGGCTACGACTACTTCCTGGACAACCACCCCGAGCTGAGCAACAAAGTAGTCTTGATCCAGGTGGCAGTGCCCAGCCGGGAGGATGTCAAGGAGTACCAAGAATTAGAGACGGAAATCAGCACGATAGTCGGAAAGATAACCGGGAAACACGGTATGTCTCTCTCCTCTCTCTGGCTGACATATTCTTGGCTCCCCATTCGTCATGCGCCGTGCCAATGTCGAGCTAACGGCGGTCTTAGCCACTGCCGACGGAACTCCGCTCATCTACATCCACCGCTCGGTTTCCTTCACGGAACTGACGGCGTTGTACTCGTTGGCCGATGCCTGCCTACTGACTTCCACGCGCGATGGCATGAATCTCGTCTCCTTTGAGTATATCGCATGCCAAGCCCAGCGCCATGGCGTTCTGGTTCTTTCCGAGTTTGCAGGCGCCGCGTCGTTTCTGAAGGAGGGCAGTATCACGTTCCACCCCGCCAATATCCCTGAGATGTCTGATTCCATCGAAGAAGCCGTGACCATGAGCGCCGAGGATAGGAAACGGCGGTATGAAGGGTTAAGAGAATTTATCGAAACCAACACCAGGTGAGTGCGGCGTTTGGCTGCCAGATAGATCACTTTCCCGTCCAGACTAACAAGGGCAGTGCCAAATGGGGCGAGGCCTTCATCGAAAGGCTATCCGAACGTCTGCAACCCTCCTGACGATATTTCCCCGCTTGCACGAGTCATAATTTAGCGCCGGTGCCTGTGTCCTTTCTGCTGTTAATAATACTAGTCCGTTATCATTTGCCACCTACCCCTCAAGACCCTGAAATTAGACCATGAAAACAGTTGATTAAGCTAATGGGCCAATCATAACCCCATCGCATTAGTAGGGCGAGAGATCCCACGTAGAAGCTGCAAAGCTGTTAAAAAGGCTCGGTTACACATAACTATCAGTCAGGTCCCTGACAATCCTGATATCTTCCGGGATAGCAGTCCAGAAAAGTACCCGATAGTGAACCCCTCAGGTTACATCTCCGGCAGCCAAGAGTGCCGATCTCTTGGGTTGATGATTGCTAAAGACCCGGTCCGTCAAACCAAGACGAGGCTTCCCCTACCTTGGGCGACACACACGAGCTAGCGCTGTAACCCAAGAAGCCCTATCTCGTGCTTCCTATTATGCAGCAAGAGCCGACAGCGAATGAGCCGTTTTCTGCTGTCCTCTGTCCTGCTTGGAGAACCTTATCTGTTGCGGGGAGATAAGTCTGAAGTCAATCAGGTGCCTGACGGACGGACTCTCCTGCATCTTTAGTTGGTCAGTTCCTGTCGTCGGTATACGCCACAACCCTGTCTACCTATTCACCCTCCCCTGCCCTGCCCGGCGGGTTGTTTCTCGCATCCAAACCCTCTTGTGTAATTTGTCTGAGTGGGGGGCAACCCGAGGAGAATTCTTTCCTTCCCCAAATGAGCTTCCTATTCAGCTTGGCCTGTCACTTGGCAGATAATGTTGTGATCTTGGCGCGATGTTGTGGAATGAGGAGGCGAGGCCGTCACGGCGTGGTATAAAAGGCGGCCGATGAAAGGGGAGGAGTTGAGATCATGCTGGACTGGAATTGACCGGCGTGCCCTTCCTCCTCTCTCTTTCCTTCGTTGTCTTTTGTCCCTTTTCCCTCCAGCTTTCTCGTTTGCGGGTTTGTTTCATACACCGGCAATGAAGCTGTCTATCATATCCTCCCTGGCGCTGGCCTGCGCCGTGACGGCGTCCCGAGAGGGCGAGTCCCGCATGGCGCACCTCATGGAGTTGAAAATGGAGCATCGGGAGCGTGCGCGCTCCCAGGGTCTCTTCAAGGTGAACAAGTATATTGACCTTGGGAGCGCCAAGTGCGTGGATGGCAAGGCGGGCGAGTATTCGTGCGAGAACGTCGATCTGCAGGGTTTCCTGAGTCACCAGGCGCTGGGAAGTAAGACTCGTGAGGGGAACGATGTGTGGGGTATGTCTTTTTCACTGTTCCTTTCTATTGAAGTGATCTGGGTCATGGTGATGAAGGTTGGTTGGCTAATTCTCCTGGCTATGTATAGGTTGGGAGTCCGCCGATGGCCGCGAATTCGGCGTTGTTGGACAAACCGACGGTGTCGCCTTCGTCGAGATCCTGGACGACGGTAGCGTCGAGTATGTTGGTCGACTGCCTACCCAGACTGTATCCAGCGTGTGGAGAGACATGAAAGTCATCAAGGACCATGTGTATATTGGTTCGGAGGCGGAGGGACACGGGCTGCAGATCTTTGATCTGACCAAGGTATGTCTGCGTGATGTTGATTGCCTTGCGTGCAGTCATACCAACAGGAAAATAGCAAAAGCACTGACTTACGTTCGATGTATTAGCTCCTCGACACGAACAGCAGCAACCCGACCAGCTTCTCGATCGAGGACGACCTGACGGCCTGGTACGACGGGTTCGGCAGCTCGCACAACATCGTCGCGCACGAGGAGAAGGACGTCATCTATGCGGTTGGCACTGCGCGCCGACTCGAATGCGCCGGCGGACTCTGGATCGTGGATGTCTCTGATCCCGCGAACCCTGTGTCTCCGGGGTGCGCGAATGAAGATGGCTACGTGCATGACGGTAAGCCAACCATACCAACCCCCTCTCCTCCCAAAGATGAAGACAAACTAAACCACCTCCCAGCACAATGCGTCGTCTACAGCGGCCCCGACACCAAATACACAGGGCAAGAAATCTGCTTCAACTACAACGAAGACACGCTCACGATCGTCGACGTAACCGACAAGAAGAACCCGATCCAGATCTCGAAGACGCCGTACGTCGGCGCCAGCTACACGCACCAAGGGTGGATCGCGACGCCCGACCAAGCCTACCTGCTCCTGGACGACGAGCTCGACGAAGTCGACGGCACCGGGGAGGCGGCCAACGGGCACACGACGACCTACATCTTCGACGTCTCGGACCTCTCGGATCCCAAGCACACGGGGACCTACCAGTCGCCGGTGCGCTCGATCGACCACAACCAGTACGTGCTGGACGGGCTGTCCTACCAGTCGAACTACGGCAGCGGGCTGCGCATCGTCGACGTGTCGTCCATCTCCGACGACCCGTCTGGCAAGGGCCTGAAACAGGTGGGTTTCTTTGACGTGCATCCCGAGGATGATGAGGTCGGCGGGGAGGTTGAGTTTGTGGGCAGCTGGAGTGTGTACCCGTATTTCAAGAGCGGGTATATTCTGTTGAATAGTATTGAGCGGGGGATTTACTCGTTGAAGTATACGGGTAAGTAGGGAGTTAGTCTTTTCCCTACTTTTTGTTTTATGCGTGGTTTTCCTGGGTGGAATTCAGGATACAAGAGTGTCGGACATGGCATGCACGTGGAAATCAACTCAGACGGGATCCTCGGGACGGAATAAAAAAAAAGAAACGGAGGGGAATACACAAAGATTGGGTTAATCATCGGACCTCGAAGAATGCACACCGTAGATTCTGGAAAACAAGAAAGATCAAGTCAAAAGTAGTATTAATCTCCGTGGGGACCGACCCTGAACGCCCTGTGAGCCTGATATTCAGACCATTCCTTAGTTTTAGGGGGGATAATCCGTGTGTTCCGTTTTTACGGGGGGAATCCGGTGGGATTTCACTTCTGCCATGGATGGAATTAATTAAGCTCAATCGAACCGTATGACCACGTGTGAGGGAATGTCTGTTATTAGAATGAAAACTCTCTCTTCTGTAGAATTTTCCAGAGACTCATGAATGCCAAAGGTTGTTGAAAACCTACTGGGAAACCAAATCCAAACTCCAGAAACGGCGACACTAAGGGAATACTCCGGAGTAACACTCTGCTAGCCCTAACTCCCACCCAAAGATAGAAACCAACGGAACCAAGGATCGCCTAGACCGGAAGATCCCTCGAAATCTCAGCGCAAACAAACCCCTATGAGGTAACGAGGGCTCAAATATGAGAACTGCAAACCGGAGTGGACCAGCACTAGCCGCGTGCAGTCTAGTCCGACGCTAAGTTAATTTAACCCGAACCAGAGCAGACGCCGATTCCATTCAAACACCTCACTTTGGGACGTTAGAGAACAGAGCCTCGGCACAGTCCTCCAGTTCACGATGCTTCATTTCGGCAGTTGAGGACTCCCCTTCAGATCTATCATGTCCAGGGCGTGCTTGAGTCATGTCGCAACACATCAAACATCCTCGGGACCGGACCAGAATAAAGTTTCGACGGAGTGGACCGCTCCCCGACGGTTTCATGTGGTTTTGGGCTTTTGGATGGATCGACTGGATTCCACTCGGACACGGATTCGGGGTTTCTGTTTAGGGCCCAGCAGCCTGCACCCTGCCAGGAACAGCCACGGCCAGGAACGCTATGTTCTAGTTTGAAACAAGCCAGTGGCCGTCTTTGTTGTAAGGGCCCTGCTGCGGCCTGTCTCAATTTTGGGTTTGAGTCTTTCTTTCCTTTCCCTAGGCAGAGTGTCGGCTGGATGATGCCGAGGGCCCTGCTGGTCCTGGGATCGGTAGATTCGGTACTTTGTTGTTTTTGCTCGACCGTGGGTAGCGGCTTAGGGTTACTGGCGTTTCCAATCTGATTGGTATGCGATTGCCATCGCGGTCCTGGACCCAGTGTTTTCAGGCACGAAAGTTTCATCTCGTGGTTATGGCTTGGACATGAGGACCGGGATCAGGATCGCAATGTGATGTCCGGTAGGCTAGTGACTGTACTCCGTGCGCCGGGCTTGTAGATCCCCTAGAGACTGGTCGACTGACTTGATCCCCCGGATCGAGCGGATCCTTTCTGATCGCTGGTGGAAAGATATAAAGACGACGGAGGATCCTGCTTCCCTGGTTGAATCATCCCATCCCATCCCAGCCCGGCTCATTCATCTGCCTTTCGTTTCTCTGCTTAGTATACTTGACGTATACTACACTCGTTTATCTTAAGAAATCCCCATCAGACAAAAGAAAGTCAAGATGGTTACTCTTCGCTCTATTCTCATCGGTGCGCTGGCCACGCTGGCCGTCGCCAGCCCCATCGCCGAGCCCGACCACTCCCTCGAGGCCCGTCAGCTCATGGACTCGAACGACCTGCAGAGCGGCCAGTGCAAGGACGTCACTTTCATCTTCGCCAGAGGATCCACTGAGATGGGAAACATGGTACGCTAGCCAATGGGACCAGCGAGCCTAGAGTATAGATATCGCTAATACAGCCAAACAGGGCACCGTCATCGGACCCCCCACCTGCTCAGGACTCAAGGCGAAGCTCGGCGCCGGTAAAGTCGCCTGCCAGGGTGTCGGCGGCATGTACACGGCCGGACTTGCGCAGAACGCTCTCCCGCAGAACACCGACCCCGGCGCGATCAACGAGGCCAAGAAGTGGTTCAACCAGGCGGCGCAGAAGTGTCCGGACACGCAGATCGTGGCCGGTGGTTACAGGTACCCCCTCCCCTCCCCTCCCCTTTCCCTCCTGCCCATATCCAAGCATGAGATGAAGGGATGGATGCTAACAAACCCCCAACAGTCAAGGATCCGCCGTCATCGACAACGCCGTGCAGGGGCTCTCCTCCGACGTCAAGGACAAGGTCAAGGGCGTCGTCCTGTTCGGCTTCACCCGCAACCTGCAGGACCACGGCCAGATCCCCAACTACCCCAAGGACCAGGTCAAGGTGTTCTGTGCGGCTGGCGACATGGTCTGCACGGGTACTTTGATCATCACGCCCGCGCATCTGACCTATGGCTTGAACGCCGGCGAGGCGGCTAGCTTCTTGCAGTCGAAGTTGAGCTCTTAGATTAGTTGAGCTTTTGGCTGGTTTTGATGCTGGTCTAGGCGTGTACTTACAGGATTTTGTGAGGCATGAGCTTGGGTATGGGCAGATGCAGAGCTTTTCCGTTGCCTGCTGTGCGGGTCATGGTTTGGTTGTTTAGTCTCTGTTATAGACTATAGTCTCTGTTTTTATGCGGGTATAGAAACAATAGATGATGTAAATGGGATCAATGATTTTTAAGGATGGATAAACTAGGGTTTGAATTGTTAGTAGAATTGTAGGTTCTTGGCCTGCCATGGTATGTGACTGACGAGTACACTCTCAGTCTGGAATCGACCACCAAGTTCTCCTAGATTGTTAAACCTAATTCCTGACACCCCCAACCCCTTACTAACCTCCAAAGGAGAAACAACAGGGCTCCCATCTCTAATACGAAATATAAACCCCAAGAACAGCCCCTCCTCCCTCGCGATATCCCCCCAAAACGAGAAACCCCGAATGAATTAGTTCCCACACCTGCAGGCCATATCACACCAACAGACCCAATCCAAAATCCCGACTCGACCTACAACCAACAAACGACCAACCCATCGGAACCATCCCACCCAATCCCCAAACCGTTTTTCATAGACGTCAGCACTAAGTTCGGATGCGCTAGGGAGAGACAGGCGCGTGGGCCGAGCTCGACAGGGCTAGGACCCTGCAAAGTGCATGCGCTTTGAGATACAATAGGGATAGGAAAGAGGGGTATATTGAATTTCATATGGAGATTGAAATTGCGCAGCAAAGTCGATTTGGAGAGGCGTTGGTGACTGGATCTCGTGGAGTCCGCTTGAGTCCGGGTATCACCGAAATCAATCGTACCTATCTCCGAGGGGTACTAGATCTGGAATTGATCGACGGGTTGAATGGGGTGTAGAAGAGAATGGAGGGATCGAAGGAGTGAAGGAATATAGTTTAATAAACGAGATGGGGATGGAAGGTATACGCGGCATATGGTTCCATTTATGTTACATTCATCAACTTACGATACTTCAACCGTAGTCCCAACTGCTCATGTAATCCCTGCACCGATATTATAAAGCGACCCACTGCATTACAAATAACCAACAGAACATGAGATTGCGGAGGAAGGAAGGAGGAGAAGGATTCTAGATCGCGGATGGCTCTGATTGCGTCTTGGAGTATAAGTAGGCGGTTGCTGTGAGGTGTAGTGTCAGATGTCAACGATCGAGATCCGATTGTAGCCACCTTCCCTACATCTTATATTTACTACCCTCCCATATTTAGTCTTAGGACTACTAACTTCCTCAACCTCACCTGAGCATATTCCCTGCCCCTTAGAATGTCCTCTCGCTCTCGAACCGCCATCCAAATCGCCAGTCCCGGCCACGCCGAACTGCGCTCCGACGTCCCCTACCCCCGCCTCCGCGACGACTACATCATCGCCGAGACACGAGCCGTCGCCCTGAACCCTACCGATAACAAACATATCGACGGCCTCGGAGCCCCCGGGACGATCGTCGGATGCGACTGGGCGGGAGTGGTCGTGGAGGTTGGGAAGTCCGTGACGCGGTTTAAGCCCGGGGATGAGGTGTACGGGGCTGTTCATGGTGGTGTGTTAATCTCTTCTTCATCATTCTCTACACAATGTTAAGCTGAATGGCTCTGGCTTGAGTCATTCTTGGCTGATGAGGCGGAATAAAATGCAGGTAACACCGTTGAACCCGAGGACGGCGCCTTTGCCGATATAGTCGTCGGCAAGGAACAAGGCACCTGGCACAAGCCGGCTAATTTGAGCTTTGCGGAGGCGGCGTCGCTGGGCGTCGGGATCATGACGGTCGGTCAGGCGTTGTATAAGATGATGGGCTTGTCGTTTCCGAGCTTGGATTCTACAGGGACCGGGGCGACGACCCCGGGCCCTTCGATCTTGATATACGGGGCTAGTTCAGCGACGGGGACGATTGCGGTTCAGATTGCCAAGATGTATGTTCTCTCTCTTGTGCATGATGATGCCCGAGTCCAGTATAGGTGCGAAACTGATACAGCCAGATCCAACCTCACCGTGCACGCTACCTGCTCACCATCCAACAACGCCCTCATCGCCTCGCGCGGAGCAGACTACATCTACGACTACAACAGCCCCGACAGCATCGATGCCATCCTCGCGCAATCAGCCACTAACCCGATAACCTACATCTTCGACTGCATCGGCAGCGAGTCCTCCAGCACGTACTGCAGCAAAATCCTCCCCGTGACAGGCGGCCACTACCACTCCATCCGGGCACCTGTGCCACCCGCCTTCAAGGAACTGCGGCCCGAGGAGAGCGCAAAAGCCACCACCGCGTTGGGATACACGTTGCTGGGTGAGCGGTTCGAGTTCCCCGGCGGACTGGTCTTCGAGGCGGATAAGGAGGAAGAGGAGTTTGGGAAGAGCTGGGGGAGAATTGTGGGGGAGTTGGTGGAGAGGGGGGTTGTGAGGACGCATGAGGTCGATGCAAGGGTGGGCGGGCTGGAGGGTGTGTTGCAGGGGTTGGAGGAGTTGAGGAAGGGGGAGGTTAGGGGGAAGAAGTTGGTGTATTCTCTGTAGGGATTGAGGTTGGAGGGATTTAGGAATAAGGATTGGACCTGAAATGCTCGGTTGTGTAAAGTTGAGTTGGCACTTGGGATAGGGCTTGTGGGTGCCTGGCAGCCTGGAGAGTGGGGATAGTGGGTGGATTTTAGGTCCAAGAGAAACGCCATTCTTTTAGCGAAGATTTCGAATATATTGGAAAATTAAATATGGACGTAACTGTGAACACGATCAAAATATCGTCAAAATAATTCCACACTAGGAAATTGCCAAACACTTACATAACAGCATGAAAAACCAAGATAAGAAGGCGAAATAAACTGCAACCATCAGAATCTGCATTTTCCCAACCAATCAACGCCCCTAAAAACAAGTGTCAGATCTAGAATGGGGAAGAAAATGGCGATCCGGCCAATATGCCGCCACCTCCATTCCTTATCACGACATCCCCAACAAATGAACGTGGGCCGTGCAGGCCAATCTGGAGAACCTCATCCCGCGCGTTCTTGCGTAATCGTGGAGTTTGCAGTGTGAAAATTGGCGTCTCCTTCAACCATGCATTCTCCCAATTCTAGCTTTATTCATTTCCTTCATTCTGATCGCTTCCATATTTGCACCCTATGCAATGTCGGCCCGATTCGGCAAAAATGGACTCACATTCCACAGCCGCTCTACAGCGGATGAGGAGAATACAACCCGAGGATCGCAGATGCCGAACGATGTTTTAGCCGAGCCATTGAAGAGAAGGCTGAAGTCGCGGCATCTCCAAATGATCGCAATCGGAGGTGAGTTATCTCAGCACTTTTTCCATCCGATCGGTCGCTAACCCACACAGGGATTATTGGACCGGGATTGTTGGTCGGTTCCGGCAATGCGCTTAACAAAGGTGGCCCGGCAGGATGCTTGATTAGTTTTGCATTGGTCGGCATTATTGTGTTTTTCGTCATGTAGGCACCCGATCTCGCGATAAGACTCGCGGCTGACCAGATAGGCAATCCTTGGGAGAAATGGCCACGGCGATTCCCGTGTCGGGTTCCTTTACCGAGTATGCGCAACGCTTTGTGGATGACTCGCTTGCTTTCGCTCTAGGATGGGCGTATTGGTATTTGTGGGTGACGGTATGTTATATCGATGTTCTTTCTGGAGCTGTACTGATCGTGTAGATTCTTGCAAATGAGTATAATGCCATCTCGCTAGTGCTTGGGTTTTGGACCGACGCTGTCCCGCAATGGGGTTGGATTCTTATCTTTTGGTTCTTGTTTCTCGGCCTGTCCAACTTGGGCGTTTTGGCATACGGTGAGATGGAGTTTTGGTTGTCACTGTGAGCGTCCTCTTACCTGATGTTACACGCGATACTAACCCAAACAGGATCAAAGTCCTGGCGCTGGTTGCCTTTTTCATTCTTGCGATTTGTATCAGCACGGGTGGAATAGGTCCCGGGCCCATTGGGTTCAGGTACTGGCGTGATCCTGGAGCATTTGCAGATTCTATCAACGGCGTCGCGAAGACTTTTGTTGTTGCGGGAACCTTGTATGCGGGCACGGAAATGTAAGCTCTCGCTGCTCCTTGAGTAACAGGGAGTTCCTGACGTGAACAGGGTCGGTGTTACTGCTGGAGAATCGTCGAACCCACAAAAGGCCGTCCCCACGGCTATCCGACAGGTTTTCTGGCGAATTCTAATTTTCTATATCGGTAGGTTGTCAGGAGACCCCCATATGGTAAGAGACTAACAGAATTCAGGCACCATATTTTTCATTGGTATTCTGCTCCCATACAGTGATGAGCGATTGCTAGGCTCCAGCTCAGACGCAGCCAGCTCGCCATTGACCATTTCGCTGAAGGACGCCGGCATCCTTCCGGCCGCTCATTTGATCAACGCTCTGATCGTAGTCAGTGTCATTTCTGCCGGGATTGGCTCTTTGTACGCCGCATCGCGAACTATGCTCTTCATGGCCCGCAATCGCAAAGCTCCGCGATTTATCAGTCGAACCAACGCCGCAGGCGTACCGTGGGCAGCCTTGATATTCACAAACATCTTCACCTGCATTGTGTTCCTTACCCTTTCATCAAGTGCCGGCAAGGTTTATTCGGCGCTGATCACCCTATCGGGCGGTAAGATTCCCTTTCAAGCTTCCTCTTCTCATGGCTAATCGTACCAAGTATCAACATTCATTGTCTGGGCTGTGATAAGTTTGGCACACATCCGATTCCGACAAGCGATGGCAGTGCAAGGAGACGATCCCGCCCGACTGCCCTTCCGAGCGGCGTTTTATCCTTGGGGGACATATTTTGCGCTGGCGGCCAACATCTTCCTCATTTTCTTCCAAGGGTATACGGCGTTTCTGAACCCGTTCAGTGTTGATGATTTTGTTGTCAATTACATCTTGCTCCCGGTCTTTGCTCTCTTTGTGGTGGTCTATAAGATTTGGAATAAGACGAAGATCGTCAAATTGGAGGAGATGGACATTTGGACGGGGAGGAGGGAGCTGGTGGATGAGGAGGAGTTTGGAAAGGCGAAGACGTGGAGATCGAGAGTGAAGGATGTTATTGTGGGATGAGGAAGCCATTGAACTGATAGATTTAGAATGGACCACAATATATTTGGGATAAGAGTCGCCCTGTGTTTGGCCAATTGACGATGAACGGTTGTAGAGGATGGACTGTCTGCGTTCAGAGTAGCCAAAAAGGAAGAGAATCTCGTGATCTGTGGCCGATGCTTCAGGATCAAACGGACAAGCCCAAGGCATGAATGGCAGCCTTACAAGGCGTCAAGGCTTGACCTGGAAAGACGTGCATACGGCAGGAGCACCCGAATGCTGCTCAGATACAGCAGATGTCTTCACGATATCTGATGACTGAGCACATTCAAAGCTAACACTACCCTCGTTTCCATCTATAACTGCTACTGCTACTCTTACTATTACTACCACTACATTTACACAACCCATCTCTTCTAAATGGCATCGGGCAGTGCTCACGATGTACGATTGACCCCCTGTTTACCTATTTCCCTGCAAGCTGATAAGAACATAGCTTATATGCTTCTTTTGTGGTGTTGCCTTCAACATCGCTCGGGTGCGAAAAGTCGAAGAGCCAGTGTACGCGTCATGGGGTTCCGACATGACATGGACAAGGAACCTGGAGAAATTCCCCGTCAACCTGAGCAACTGTGTTGGAAATCTCTGTTCCATAGGCGTATACGAAACCCCAGGGAAAAGAAAGGCTGACGGGGATCCATTATTGACTTTGGACGTACTTCCCGGTGACTACACTGCTGGTAGATCCGGTCCGCCCGAACACAGGGAAGTCTTAGTGGTAAATGAAGACACTGTGGTTCAGATGAATGGGACCTGGCCAGGGCTCGTCGAAAACATTGAACACCTCCCCGGTCCCTTTTGTTTCGCAGAGAACGCATACAATGGCGGCCAAATCCAACTGCGGGAAATGAATGGCTGCCGAACTGCCCAGTTTCTCATACCCTCGGATCCCACTATGCCGCCTAAAAAAGATGGACTTGAAGAGGACTGGGAGTATACAAGTGGCTATTTTCGTTCCGGACTCTGTAACGGATTGTGCATGGATACTATGTCCCAAGTTCAAGTGTATCCACCGAGGGGAGGTGTCAAGTACATAAATGCCTCAGAGGTTATTCCTGAGGTGAGGCATTGTCTTTGGACTTTCGGTTTCTTCGATCCCTCTATCATATGAAAGGTTCAATGTTAACAGAATCTGCCGACCTAGGGACCCATGAATGCACATGACCCTCACGGATCCACTCGTTTCTCCCTCTTCGGGCGTTCACCGAAGCGTCAAAACATGTCACTGCCATTCCATCCATGGTGCTTTGAAATCTTCTCCCGCTGCTCAAAATTGCATCTTGGCCGCGTCGCCGTAGATGGGCTCAAAGAATACTGTAAGGTAAAGGGGGGCTTCACCGTTTACTGCAATCTTGAGAACAAAGACAATCCCTGGAGCCATCCACCTCGCTGGAAACATATCCGTGGCCAGGAGTACATGGCCGCAAACCCACTTGATATTCCCGGGTTGGAGAGTCTTCTATCGTGGACACTCGCGGAAAGAAGTGAAAATTCAGTTTCCGAGGAATCGAAAGACCCCAACCCCCCTAAAGAAAGCGTTGACAAAGATAAAGCAGCCATGATCAAAGATACTCCCAATTCATTGCCTACATCAGCAAAAGGAAACACTTGTGCAACGCTGTCGCAGGTCATGATGCTTGGCACTCTTGATCTACTTGACATGAAAGATATTAAAAGCCTCAGACTAGTCTCGAGAGGCTTGCAACACCTCCCAGACACGATTTGGTGTCGCATGTTGCGGGAAGATATGCCATGGTTATTCGAGGCATGGAATGCATGGGGTTTTCCCGGACACATACCCTCACGGTGGGCATTTACCGCACCAACCGAGATGCGAGGTGTAATGGATTACCTCCGGATATATAAGCCCCTTGAATACCCTGACATCCTGATCGGCTTACGGCGCGAAAAAAAAATCGATGATCAGTTTATTGAGTCCAAGCGGTTTGGGTTCTGGCTTTCGATGACTATTAAAGATTACAACCTGCCCAAGGAGTTGGAGAAAACTAATTGGTATGCTGTATACACTGGTATCAAGCGTGATTGGCGCTCCCTCAAAGGACTTCAAAACCGCAAACGCATCTGGGGTCATGTTAACCGGATGGTTGAAGACATGAAGAAAATTGTAGAGAATCCGCCTTAAAGGTCTTATATCTTACGGGACGGATTCTCGGGAGAGTTGGGCATTCCATGTCTGTATTTAGGACGGCGTTTAGGTAGACTTTGATGATGAATCTTGGGCTCCGTTCTTTCATTCCTTGATATCAATGTACATACTTCCTTTATGCCGGGACTACAGAGCAAATGAAGTACTAATATCCTTTATCAGAGCTCTCTTTATCGGCGTTCGCGGGGTGATCCTGAAATTTGTACGATCGCGATCGACAAGGGTCGTCGATCTCAACGGTATGTCCTTAACGATCTGTCTACCTGTATCTTCAGCACGAGGAAATATTGGAAAAGGCGGTAGTATTGTTATAGCGCTCCCTCTCGAAAGCAAACCTTATCTCCTTTTTCCCGACTCCAAACTGAAGAAACTCCTGAAAATGATAGGCGGAAATATAACCCACCTTTCGCCATCCACCACCCTCCTCGGTGATTTCGTAGCCAGTCAACCTGGCTGCTTATATTACCATGATACACCGCGCCTCCCCGACTGGAGGAAAGACGAGAAGAGATAGATTGGGACGGCAGAGACGACAAACATAGCAGCGCGATGGCGTTGGACTGGCTGGCTGGCTGGCTGCAAAGGAGCTCTCCGATGCATTATCAAGACCAGAGACGGAGGTGAGCTGCACCCTATCGAATATAGATAAATGAAACCACCATCTGATTGTCGTGAAGTATGAAGGAGGGGGAGGACCGGGCCGTGTGCGGATTCCGACGGGGAAAGGCCGACGGTGGAGCCTCTCGTTATTGGCGGTCGGAGATCCCCTACGCTCATGGAAACAGATTGCCAGTTGAAAACCCGACAGGAAAACATGTCCAGACATACCGACTTGGTTGGTTCTGCGTGCGGATGCATTTCGAATCTACCCACAATATTCACATCGCCTGAGCCTACTAGCCATGTAAGGTGGGCGAAAAGCAGTCGAGAAACGGCCCTAGTACCTGGTCCTCCCCGCATTCGCAGCCCATCGAGATCAGCCAGATAGACACCGTGCTCGGCAGTGTCGGCGCTCATTGGAGGAGAGATTCCGGACTCCCTGATAGCCCGCCAACCCGTCACTTGTCTCGGTCGAATAAGCGGCCTGGATCTGCACGCTTTCTGCATCTGCCAGCTTGGCCGCCCCCTCTCCACCGGTGATCGGCATTTCTGCTGGGACCTGCATGTGTTTGGATTGCTGATTCTGCCCAATCTGCTTATCGCTGCTCTTCACGGGGACTTCCGATGTAACCTCAGCATCGTGGATGCTGGGGGTTGTGTGACCCGGGCGGGTTGGAGATAGGGGGATGCCGTGAGACGTGGTATATAAAGGGAGGGTTGGTGCCGGGGACTTGGGAAGGAATTCAGACAGGAAAAAAAAAGCCTATTCAGAGTCATTGCAGTCCAGGATAGCCCAGTCCATCTGAGTCAGTCAAGATGATGTACACCAAGGTATTTGCCCTCTTTCTGACCTACAATATCCAATCAACCTCTTCTACACATCGCATCTACCACAACCCAGCCCAGCGGGATATTAAAAACTAAAAACCCTCCAGATCCTCACCCTCACCACCCTCCTGCTCACCGGCGCCCTCGCCGCCCCTCAACCCGTGCCTCAGCCTCTCCCCCGCGCCTGCGACTACACCTGCGGCAGCAACTGCTACTCCTCCAGCGCCGTCAACTCGGCCAAGAACGCCGGCTACGATCTGTACTCTGACGGCGAGACGGTCGGCAGCAACAACTACCCCCACCGCTACAACAACTACGAGGGCTTCGATTTCCCCGTCTCCGGCACCTACCAGGAATGGCCGATCCTGAGCTCCGGCAGCATCTACAGCGGTGGCTCGCCCGGTGCCGACCGCGTCGTGTTCAACACCCAGAACCAGCTGGCAGGTGTCATTACGCATACTGGTGCTAGTGGGAACAACTTTGTGGAGTGTGATTCTTAGATGGTGGGTTGATATGAAGGGGGGGTTGGGAATATGAATGAAAATGAAGATTTATTGGGTTGTTTGCATTGGTGTGGCCCTGTACTAGGGTGATTGTAGATATGATGAAGTATATATCGAGTAGTCTCATAAACATGACATCAGAGCGCCCTACTCGTCGGACTTCTTAATCTCCAGCTCTCGAGCCAGATTGGATTAATATTTCTTCCATGGAATATTGATCCTGCGCCAATAGTTTGTTGGGTGAGCGCATCAGTCCGAAACTTGCTAGTGGCCACCCCTGAAGTAGACTGCTACAATTATGTTGCAGTGGCTCAGCGCTCTAATGCTGTATGCTGCTGCAATCTCGCCGGCCAGCCACTTTAGAAGATGTCATCAGAAGAAAAGCTTTGTCAGACGAAGAAAGCTCTGTGAGGCTTCGAGGAATGAGACACGCGGATGAAATTCCAGCAAATGTCGAGGCTGACGGTCGAATTCACCCGTGAGACCCTCTAAATTCCAAAAGGAGTCTTATTAATATTGTTAATTTACTTAACAATCAAGTCGTTAGCTATTTAGCTGTGGTTATCTCGCTTTTGTCAGCAGCGCAGCACACGGCGGTCGAATCCTGCATGGCCAAGACATGCACGATACGGCGGTCGAATGTTTAGTTCCCTCGGTCGACCGTGTCAATCACGGACTTCCTGTACATCTACCTCTCTCACCCCCTTAGTTGCTTGTTTATTCGTTTGTCATCCAGCTAGAACCAACATGTCTTTCTATGAACTCAAGACTATAAGTTGCAACTCCCAGCAAACCCCATCCTCTCATCCCGACGTGCTATCGTGACCCAGAACCAAGAATCATGACACACGGTTCAGATCTCGAGAGCAGCAACAAATCCGAGCTGGAAAAACACCAGCCAGGCTCGGCCATTGATAGCGAGCACTCTCCAGCCGACAACTCCCAAGAGCACAATGGCCCCGAGACCCCGCCCGAGTATGCGACTGGGATCCGACTATTCCTCATAATAGTCACTATCTTCGTGAGCACTATCCTCGTCTCCCTGGAGATCGGTATCATCGCGACCGCAATCCCCGGCATCACCTCCGACTTCCACCGACTCGACGACGTGGGCTGGTATGGAAGCGCGACTTTCATCCTCGCAGCCGCTGCCTCGCCGCTATGGGGCAAGCTGTTCAAGTACGTCAACGTCAAGTGGACGTATCTCAGCGCGGTCGGGATCTTCTTAGTGGGTAGTGTTGTGGCCGCTGCAGCTCCGAATAGCGTGTCCGTTATCATCGGCCGTGCCTTTCAAGGTTGGGGTGCCTCTGGTGTCCTCGGGGGCACCCTCATCGTCATCAACTACGTGGCTGCGCCGAGGAATCACCCGCTTCTCATCGGCACGTGGATGGCTGTCTTCATGGTGTCGACTATTCTGGGACCGGTCATTGGCGGTGCATTCACGAGCGAGGTCTCTTGGAGATGGTGTTTCTGGATCAACTTGCCCGTTGGTGGTGTCATCATCGTTCTGTTACTGTTATTCCTTCGCATCCCCAAGCACATCAAGAGTGCCCCGGCCACATGGACGGAGATCATCCTCGCCCTTGATATACCCGGGTTCTGCTTGCTGCTCGTCTCTCTCGTCTGCTTGACTTTAGCATTGCAATGGGGCGGGCAGACCAAAGCATGGAATCACGGCTCTGTAATCGCCACCCTGGTCCTTTGGATCGTCCTCACCATTGGCTTCTTCATTACCGAATGGCTACAAGGCCCACGCGCCATGGCCCCCTTCAGCATTCTCAAACAGCGCACGACATGGAGCAACGCCCTTTTCTGCCTCATGTAAGCTCGCTCCCCTCCCCTCCCTCTCACCACCCCCAGCCACACTAACCAACAATCCCTCATAGCTCCTACGCCGCCCTCTACCAAGTCATGTTCTACCTCCCCATCTACTTCCAGTCCATCCACGGGCAATCCGCCGTGAAAAGCGGCGTCAACACCCTCCCGTTCCTGGCCCTGTTCGCCCTCGGCGCCGTCGTCAGCGGCGCCGTCATCGGCAAAACCCGCTACACACAGCCCTACGAGCTCCTCGGCGCCCTCATCATGACCGCCGGCATGGCCCTCATCTATACCCTGGACGTCGACTCCTCCCAGGCCATGTACATCGGCGCCGAGGTGCTCTTCGGCTTCGGCGTCGGCATCTGCAACCAGATCCCCATGACCGCTGTGCAGGGCTTCTCGAAGCTGGAGGATGTTGCTAGCGCGACGGGGGTCATGGTTAGTAAGTATTTCCTGTGCCGTATCCGAGTACCCATGTCTGTATATTTGTACTAAAGTTCAAATAGTGTGCCAAACCCTCAGCGGCGCCTACTTCGTCGCCATCGCGCAGTCCCTCTTCGCCAACCGGATGCTGCAGACTGTTCTCGGGGGTGCATCGCACCTCGACCCGGCTCTGGTCTTGGGCGCCGGCGCCTCTGAGCTGCAGGAAATGTTTAGTGGAGATGATCTGACGGAGGTGATTGCCGCGTATATGGTGGGGATTAAGGACGTGTTTGCGTTTTCGTTGGCGTGCGCGGCTTTTTCGGTCCTCTTGTCGTTGATTATTCCGTTTAAGAGGCTGCCGGATCATGGGGGGTCGGTGGCGGAGGTAGAGGCGGAGGGGAAGGGGGAGGAGAAGGTGGAGGGGGTTGAGGGGGAGAAGTGAGTGGTTGGCTTGGTTGGTTGGTTGGTGGTGCTGGATGGGGGAGATGTAGGCGAGGTTCTGGAAGGGAAAGAAAGCCAATGCAACACTATCATTGTCAATATGGAACATTAGATTTAGAAATCTAATTAGTTTTCTTAACTTGCTGGATTGCTGTCTTAATCTAGTGCACCCAACCCAGCATGAGCAAGTCAATTCTCAAACCCGAAAGGCGCTAAACCAGTTGAATCGTGTACCATTGCGCCGTTATCCCTGTAAACATCCCAGGTGTTGAGCATATTATACATAGACCACGACAATCCTCAACCCCTCTCCAGGCCAACGCAGAGCTCAAACCCCGCCCCCAACATTCCTCATGATGCTCTCGAAAAACGCCATATCCACCCCCTGAAACGCCCAGTCCTCGCCGCCCGCTGCCAGCTCCGGACACCCGCCCTGCGTCAGCGGGGACGGTGTCAGAAACAGGCCCGGGTCGGAGAGGGTGTTTTGACACTGTTGCTGGTGCGCGGACGGTGCGGGAAATTCATTAGCGGCCGTGTCGGCGACGTCGAAGGAGAGTGCATTGGGGGTGTTGTCAGCGGAGGGGGTTAAGGCGCTGGAGTGAGTCAAGGAGGAGAGACGGAGTTGGGCTTGGGAGTCGCTGCCGCTGGTGGTCGGAGTCTCGCGTACAATGCGAATGATTCCAAAATAAGGAATATGCACGCGCACCACGCCCTCCTCCCCCTCCTCATCCTCTTGACCCATCCCATCCTGGCCCACCCCCGCCTCCTTCACGCTCACCCTCCCAGTCCCTTTCTCCATATCGACCGCCAACAGCGCCTTCAATAAATCTGCACTCTGCGCGCTCAGCTCATCCGAATTCAGCCTGTTGATCTCGCTCATATGCTCCTGCACCTGCTCGATCATGCCACGATCGCCGAGGTACTGGTTCGCGAGCAGATTGTCCGCCCCGTCGCGATGACCATCCATATGCGCAAGAAGCAGTGCCATGGCCGCCATCAGGGCGAGGAAGTCGACAGTGCGACAGCTGTACGCGATGCGGTTGAAGCTGCGCAGCGAGCTGTAGCGCGAGAGAACCTCCCTCGATGCGTTGACGCACGTGAGTCGCGAATACTCGTGTTTGCTGTCCGTGGGCGAGGAGGAAGGGCGCAGCATATAAGGCAGATGCAGCTGGTTGAGGAGGTTGAAGTGGCAGATCTGCACGACGAGGCGGCGGGTGTCCCAGAACACGGCTTGCAGGTCGGTCGAGGCGTCGAGTTTGGGCACGAGCCACCATTTGCTGGGGAGGCTGGTTGCGGCGGCTTGGAGGTCGAGGTCGATGGCGCGGGTGGCGGCGAGGTCGCGCCGGGTGGGCTTGGATGCGTTGCGATCGAGGATGCGGGACATGGCGATGCAGTGGAGGTGTTCGAGGCGGCCCATGGGGCAGTCGTTGGCGAGGAGGGTCTCGGGGGGTATGTTGTGGTCGGGGCAGCTTTGGGGGAGACCGAGGAGGAGGCAAAGGTGGCGGTCGAGAATGATGATGCGGAGCCACATGAGCTGGGTGTTGTATTTGCTTTTCGCCTGGGGGTCGAGTGTTTTGTATGGTATGTGGTTGTCCGATCGATGAAGGCCCATTAACTGAGCGACGCTCATGGCTCTCCGGCCTGCGACCCAGCTTCGGCGAAGGTTCCCGATGTTCACTTGGTACAAACTCTCGAGCATGATGCACTCGAGGCTCTCGATGCTGCCGATAAGGTCCTCGTTTGTCGTGACGTGATGGATGGCAACATCTGCTAAGCGTTCCATGATGACCCGGGGTGGTTCCGACAGGCCTTTAATCTCCTTGTGGAGATCCGGGGGAAGATGCTGTAGGAAAATGGCAAGCTGGAGCATGTATCTCGCGATTAAAACAGGATGCATGTTTGGCTCGGGGGTTGTTAGTAAACTCTCGGGGGGTTGGAGGCCGTTCTGGTAGAGGATAGAGTATGGCGTAGTCAATAATTCGTGGGAGAGGACGGAGGATTGGCGAGTAGCGTTGCAGATGCTCTCAGTATCTTTATGCGATGGAAGTAATCTATGCAAGAACTGAGATAGCCTCTCATATTTACGTTTTGCGATATCACTCTTGGTGCTTGTAAGATATTGCTGGAAACGGTCAGTAACAACCACACAGTACTAGGGAAAGGAACTGGAAGAAACAGACCTCGGATTTACGGTATCGCGAAGCCTCCATGTTCGTTGGCCGAGGCGTGAGAATACCAGGGTCTGCCGTCTCATTGGGCGTGACAGCACGAGTTCTGCCATCAAAGGGAGTGCCATCACTGCGGCTAGACCCAATATCCATAAGGACATAATCGTGGTCCTCGGGAAACTCTTGACTGATGCACGGGGAGCCGCGTCGTCGACAGCCGTTGCAGGAGGCACTAACAATGCGCGGATCGAATCTACATTTCATCTTCCGCCGCTTGCATTCCCAGCAGCTGTGGGTGCCTTTGCGTATCTTTCTCCGTTTGGCGTGCAAGTAGGCATCGTGGGACGGTGCATCATGCGGAGCGGACATTGTAGATGAGACATGGAATGGAAAGGTGCTCCGTAGTGTCGTGGTTTCGTGGAAGCGGTTGGAAAGAGTCCGACCAACTACTGTGTATTGACGTTGCGGTCGAAGAGGGGAGACGGCGGTCACCTGAATCGGGCCAAGATTAGTTAGTCCAGCAAATGCGCTGCGTTGCCATTTGTTGGACGATTAAATCTACTTGCACTAAGACGAATCCTGTCATTCGAGGTCTCCACTGGACTTGATCACCACCATACCACAATATATCCAACAAACTTCATCTCGTAATCCCAGAAAGACACAGGGTCCATTCAAAATCCCCTGAAATAACAATGCCACGACTGTCATCTTGCTGGGCGCCCGCGGAGTCCATCCTTTAACTCCATGTCAGCATCAGCAGGCGGACCGGACATAAACTTACGTCCGGTCCGTGACCTCGAACCAACTATGAAATAAAAGCTCATCATGACCATCTCAATCTGCTAATTTAAATTCCACCAGCCTGTATATTTTATATATAGCCGGAATCTTTCATTCTTTAAATTGGGCTCGATTCACATCCCCAACCCAATAACATGCGCCTCATCCTAACCGGCGCGACCGGGCTCGTCGGCTCCGCGATCCTCAACCACATTCTCTCCCTGCCACCAGGAGAGATCTCGCGCTTGTATATCCTCAGCAGAAGTCCGGTGCCGATGGCCGAGGGGAAGCCCAATGTGACCGTGATCGAACATAAGGACTTCAGTGAATACAGCCCCGAATTGATGGAGCAATTGAAGGGCGCGGACGGATGTATTTGGGCGCAGGGCATTTCGCAAACGCAGGTATCGAAGGAGTGAGTGTCTCTGCTCCATCTCATGATATGGGTACTCAAGTGTGGTGCGTTGTCTTCGGGACCTGTGCTAATACGGTCCTGAAGGGAATATGTCAAAATCACTCTCGACTATCCGCTCGCGGCAGCAAAGGCCTTTGCGGGATTATCGGACAAGTTCAATTTCGTCTATGTTTCCGGGGAAGGGGTATGTTTGCACCGACTTGGTTTATATCCATTTCACCTGCGCAGTTGGCTAACTATAGTTGCCAGGCCACCCAAACACCAGGGTTCCTCACGCCCCTCTTCGGCCGCACAAAAGGCCAATGCGAAGCCGCACTAATCGACCTCTCCAAGAAGTATCCCAGCCTGAGACCATACAGCGTGCGACCGGCGTATGTCGACCCCGCGTTTGACCCGCAGGTTCTGAAGCATGTGTTGCAGCGACCGGACCAGCAGACGCTGGGGAAGACGCTGCTGCGGAGATTCGGTGGACCGCCGTTTCGGGCCTTCCTTGCGGATCATGTCTCGCCGACAAAGGATCTGGGAGGGTTTCTGACGAAGTTGGCGAGGGGAGACGGGAAGCCGATGTCTGGGGAGGGGGTCAGTGGGGATGGATGGATTGTTTCGAATGTTGCTTTTCGGAGGGAGGCTGGGCTTTGAATGCGTGGGAGGGATAGAGGGGGTGGCATGATGATGCCCTGGGATTGATTGTGCTAATATAGGGAGGAATGGCGCTTAGGATATATGGTTTTGTTAGGATTGGTGTCATGTATGGATTTTCGGTCTTAGCATAGAGGTGAAGGAAGGTAACTAATTGAAGGACAATCTCAACATAGCGATTTTCTTGGGCGGACATCTATATCTTGCAATGTGCTATTTGGTTATTAATATGATTCAACGAGCAATGCACATTATCTCAGAATTCAAGGTAGGTTTAGTCACCCTACCTGGCCCAGCTCATGATATCTCGCTCAGTTGTCTTTCCCCAAAAAGCGATAACAATAAGATCCGCAATCTATGCCTAGAACTGAAACCTGTGTAGATTAATTCTATAAGCAATAATCAGTACACCAACCAAGACTCAAATGAATTATCGGTAGGCGGCAAGAGCTGTAGGTCTCGAAAACAAGCGATGTTATTCGAACAGTCCAGCCTCATGATGGTGTTTCGCCATCGCTTTCCCCTGATGTCTCAGAGGCCGAAATCTGTCCATCGCCAAGAGGAAGAGAGAAATATCCTTGGACTGACGAGGAGAATATTAAGCGAACGAAGGCGATCGATGAAGTTGTTCCCTGCCGGGACTGGTGAAACAACATCTAAAGTTTGTTTCTGCGCACCAAAATTGAGACCATGGCAAAAATAGCAGAAGCGAGCACCGGAAAGCCTCGGAAATTTCATATCGCAGACGTAGCAAGGCACGCACATGGGAGAACAATCCTTGAACCCAAGACAAAGTCCAAGAGAGACGGGATGGCGACGTATTCAAGTCGGATGAGGACTCAGTCGCCATTGCGTGGATTTACATGTGCTCATTTCCCTTCCGGAGCACCTCATGCAGGTCTTACATAGAGACCCAGGATCGTAGGATTGACCACAACTAGCGATAATGGCCTATGTGACCACATGCAGTCGAGTTAGTGCTTGTGTAACTGTAACCGTGGCCATGAGATGGCCAGGGAAACAACGCCCGTGGCGCTGCTCGCGTGAACTAAGAACCAAGAAAGTATAATTGCTTATTCATGCCCATAGCGTCTATGATCCCAATCTAGAAAGGATGTGACTGGTTGCCACCGGTGAAGACTTATTGCGAGAGGTTGGGTAATGGAGCTGCGCGAAAAGACAAGAGCTATCCTCTAGTCTGGTCTGGACAGCTGCTGTACACCTCGAGACTAATGCGAGATGCAGGCGTAGCTCGTACATGATTTAGTCGCCCATTCAGGGGAATCATGGCCACTCGTTCACCTTCCAGCTTGGGAGGCAGTACTTCTGTTGGATATTACGGACTGGACTGGAGGCGCTGGAGAACAAAGGGCCGACTGACTTGCATACTATCCACCCGGGCCTTCCGTGGGTCAGTCTGCCCTACACTGCAAACACAAGCCCCGCAACTTACATCCTACTGACTGCCAGCGCCCCGGAAGACAATGTCTCCGAGGAAAACAATGCACAGCTCTGAAAGAATTTCCCGGACTTTTGTCTCCGCGAACAAAATAGCAAAGATCACCTCACCGCGCTAACCTGCCAGGTACAGATCGGCCCACGTCACCTTCTAACGCGATCCAGCAAGTCCAATCCGCCACTAAGCTCGAGCCCTCGGGTTGGCGGAAAATACTCGTGCAGGACGCACGGAGAGTGGAAGGCGCTTTTGCCACGAGCGAGGGTGGTACCAAAGGGTACAAACCGAGGTAGTAAGCGTGCTCGTATCTTTGATTGGGATGAGCTGCCTGGGAGGTAGTAAACCTCGAACCGGGAGTAACTGCTGTCCCGCAGGATTATCCGGAGAATTCTGGTTGGCCTCGAAGCAAGCAAAACCAAGACGAACCCCGGTCAATCCGGGGAATCTTGTGAATAATAGCTCGTAGTCATTGGAACCGTGCTATCCAGTCGAGTCCTGCCTAAACCCAGCCGGGAGATTCTTCGGGACCATTGCCCGATCCGGACGTCATCCCTGGTTTCTCTCATCAGTTCATCAAATGTCGCCAGCTGCACAAGTCGGAGTCGCAGGACCCACGATTGGTGCCGATTCGCCGCCAGCTGCAGCCCGTAAAATGAGCCCAGACGCAGCTACTGCGGGGTATGCAGTGCAATTTCTGGCTTTTGCGGCTGGTGTCTCAGGCGGACGCTGGACTGACGCTAAACTAGGAGCCTTTGGGGCCGACTTCGCTTCGGGCCTGAGCAAATCCCCCAGAGAAAGGACAAATGAGGATGCGGGGGCGGGCCGGGGTAGGGCGACAATGTTACAGCACTAACAGGCTGGCTCGCCGACCATTGAATTCAATTTGATTGATGGAGCGTGTTTTTCTTACCTGATCGATTTTTGGGGACGAGGGTTTTCCGGGGCTTTCCCTGGTCAGGTGCTTGGCGCTCCTCCACCGTCCCTCGCGCATTCCAGCCAGAGACACTACACCTTTCTCCGTCTTGATGAGCCATTGGATTCGCCATGACGGCGACAAATTACCGCAAAATCTGGGAATACTACCTCATGGCCAGACACAGCGAGTCCAGAACAAGCATCACCGCGACGATCCTGCCCCCTCGACCCGGACGTTAATTAATTGCATCCGGGTCAACACCAATGCACCCTCAGGTCCAATCTAATGCTCGGAATATCGCATCTTATCCCATCTTTTGCCTCCCCCTTCCCAAAAACCACTAATCCCTTTCATGCTAATAATAGTCCCAGGATTAGACTCCCCTGGTGGAGGGCCTGGCCTCGGTCCCACGATGCCGCGGACATGTGAGCTGCTCTCTGCACCGGGCGTGTATATAAAGGAGCTTTTACCCATCCAAGAATCTTTCTTTTCTTAGTCGTTGAGAAGAGCAGAACCGATCCATTCTTTTGATTGTTTTCTCGTCGGATCTACCGGGCACTCGTTTACCCCTCCGTCCTCCCGCTGTATACATACAAAACCACTCTTCCCCCCAACACCCTTTATTTAATAATATTTCCTTTTGACACCATCGTTTGTCATCATGAAGTTCACTGCCTTGTTCACCCTGGGTCTGGCCACCACCGCCCTGGCCACCCCCACCAAGGTCTCCCGCGAGGCTTCCCTCGTCCAGCGTGATGCCGCCGCCGTCAAGAGCGTCATCGCCGGCATCAGCGACAAGGTCGACTCTCTGTCCTCCGCCATCGAGGGCTACAGCGGTGGTGACCCCTCCAAGGTCGAGTCCGCCTCCGCGGACCTGATCTCCACCATCAAGAAGGGTGTCTCCTCCGTGGAGGGCGGCGACGACCTCTCCTCCAGCGATGCCCTGGCCCTGACCTCCCCCGTGCAGGACCTGACTGACAAGGTCGACTCCACCGTCGACAAGATCATCGACAAGAAGTCCAAGTTCGAGGCCGCCGGCGCCGCCACCAAGGTCAAGGAGTCGCTCAGCGCCCAGTACGACGCCGCCAGCAGCCTGGCCGACGCCATCTCCGACAAGGTCCCCGAGGCCCTGGCCGACGTCGCCAAGGAGCTCTCCGCCGGCATCACCAAGGCCATCCAGAAGGGCATTGACGCCTACAAGGACGCCAAGGACTCCTCCAGCAAGACCGACTCCGCTACTGCCACTGCCTCTGCCACTGCCACCGAGTCCGGCTCCGCCACTGAGACTGATGCTGCCACCACCTCCGCCGCCGACAGCACCGGCACCACCTCCGCCCCCGTCATCCCCCACCCCACTGAGTCCGGCTCCGCCAGCCCCTCTGCCACCCCTACTCCCACCGGTGGCTCCGGCTCTGACGGCTCTGGCTCCGGCTCTGATGGCTCCGGCTCCGGCTCCGGCTCCGAGTCCGGCCAGCCCCCTCTGGCCACCGGCGCTGCTAGCAACAACCGCTTCAGCTACTCCCTTGGTGGCGCTATTGCCGCCGCTGCTATCGCTGTTGCCATCTAAGCGGATGGTCGCGATCTAGGGATGGAATGAATGCTAGCATGTCGTGCTACGGATGACGATGAGCGCCATGAAACCACGCTTGAAACGAATCAGGGGTCACTGATACCATGGGCTTGCTCTCGCTGTATATTCTATTCTCTTCCGGCTTTTGAAGTTGTATCAGACTGCGGTCTGTATATATGTTTGTTTGTTTATATATTCATAGTCTTAATAAAGTGATGCAATGCCTACTTGATTGGTCTGTAAGATGTTATCGTAGCTTGGATATAGAGACATTGTCAATGACAACTATGCATCAGTTGGCGCCGAAATGAGCATCCACTGCATCTTGGACGATGTGTGTACGTTGTCGCTGTAATCCCACCGAGAAGGCTCCTTAGAGTTCTGTTGATCAAACAAAATAGGAGTTCTCCTATAGTTCATTTAAAAGGGAATATCATTCGTTGTCTTATAATTGCCAACAAAATATATATTAAATGGGGAGTAACGCAAAAGGAAATTTAAGCTCTGCAAAGCTTCTACATCTTATCGAGTAACTCAGCCCACAATGAACAAGATATATTTACACACGTGGTTACTCAATTAATGAACCTCTATAGATCTAAATGTCTAAACCTCATCCACCCCCCTAATAATCGACACCTCCTCCGTAACCCGAATCCTCTTCCCCTTACCTACACCCCCCTCCTCACCACCACCCACCCCCCGACTCCCCCTCGACACATTATCCGACGCCATCATCTCATAATCATCATTCCCATGCTTCGACCACGACAACAACCGCTTACTATCTCTCACGGTCGACCTCAACCCACCCGTCGCCGGCTTCGACTGGGACCGCAAATGCCCCGATTTCGACCGCGACTGGTTCCGGCTCGACGTCGTGTACTCGGTCAGATGGTTGAACAGGTTCCCGAAGACCGGCTTCAGCGCTGGCACGGACAATGCGATCAGGGTTCCGGCTATCTCGGCGTTTTCGATCGCCATCATGGGGTTGTACGCCCAGCTGCCGTCCGAGGCCCATTGCCCTTTTGCGACGAGGTAGACGCGGATGGTGGAGATTATGATTACACTGTGGGAGTGGTTAGAGGTGGGCTGGGATGGGGGGATGGGAGGTATGGGAGAGGGTTGACTGCGTACAGAATACCAGGGAACATGACCAGCGAGAGCTGCGCTTTGCGTTTCATCGACACGTGCAAGTTCTTGATCAGGATGGCGGGGATGATGAACATGAGTACGTCGCAGGTCAACGACAACGCCGAGTTCACTGAGTACACCAGCCCCCAGGAGAGACAGGTATATTGGATGGGCTCGTCTTGCCAGGGGTAAGGCCAGAGGCCCGTGACGGGGCGACAGTGGAAGATGAGGAGGAAGAGCTGGGGGAGGTAGGCGGCGAAGAGGAACACGGCGGCGACTTGGATGGCGAGGTGCAGTTTGCCGGTGCGGCCGGCCAGGCGATGGTAGAATGCGAGACCGGAGAGACGGCAGAAGAAGAGCGCGGTGGTGTAGAGGACGTGGGCGACGAAGTCGAGCACTTCGGTCTCTCGCACGGTGGACATCGACAGCACGTATTGGATGTATTGCATGTGGCGGCCGCTGCCGAGGTCGATGAGCACGATGGAGAGGACGACGAAGGTGATGTAGATTAGCTGTGGAGGTGGTCGTTAGTGCTTGATGAAGGATCGCGGGATGATCTGATCTGATCTGGTTTGAGCAGTGGGTTCATACCATTGTGAGCATGGCTAGAATGTCGTCCATGCCGATCCTTTTCACCAGCCATGTCCGTGCATAGAGACGGACGAGCATCAGCACCCCCGCCAGGCAGACCATGAAGATGATAGCCACCTTGGCCGGGTCATCGCGCGACTCGGCCAGATACTCGAGCGAGACATCCGAAGGGATTGTCCCCGCAGCATCGGCAAGGAGGATGTCTTCTGGGATTGCCATAGACAGTGATCCAGCGCATGAGGACGCTCAATGGCGTGCGCTTGTCATTTCGTCTTACAGGAGTAGCTGGAATGCCACTGCACGAGCAAAGCGAGGGACTTCAACAAATATATTCTCTATTTCCCATTGCTATTAGTAAATTAACTTCACACATCCGCCGCAACCCCCCGAACCTCCAGCTATAAACTTCTCAAGTAAGACCCCTAACCCCTCATAACCGCGGACACGAGATAGCCCAGGCACCTTTCCATGGGCCACTAATCATAATCGCCGTCGTTGGTGGCCCTTGTGGAGTCGACGTCAAAGTTTAACACTCCCCGGGCCTACCAGAACCCAGAGCTGCGTAGCCGAGGCTCAGATCCTTGGTCTGACACACAATAGTTATATCTGCATGCAGGGAATGGCGCCAGAAGAATTTTATCTGTCGTCTAGATCCCCCGTAAGCATCCTATTTCCTGAGAGCATTCCACTGAAAGTTCTGGAATTTGATACAGGCTGAGAGATCCCAGTCGGCTACATCTGTCTACTCCGAGTAAACGCCGTGAAGTGAATTCTATAGGGGCAATGGGATTAATTAATCATATAAATTAAAGCGATGCCTAGAGTGAGGCCCGACTCGCCTGTATACGAAACTATTTGCACCGAAATGGCCCTAGTTAGAAAGCTCGGAATATTTTTTACGTAGTTGCTTTGGTCCGTCAAAGTGAGACACAAATGCCTCGGGATCCGGAGACAAGGCCATAACCATGGAAAGCCCAAAGCTTAATACAGTGGTGTGCAATCTCGGAGACTTTCGGATTTCGGACCTCGTTCAAGACAGATCAAAATGTGTCAGTAGTCTGCTGTTGGATGAAGTCATTCCCACCGCATTTGATATGCGGGATGATATCCTTCTCCCATTGACTCTGCATGATGAACAGCGCAGCGAATAGCGCAGATCAGCAATTTCCAAATATTTAATCGACGCCTGCATGCATCACGTGGGGACCACCTAAGCGAACTGGCCTGACGTTGTATGATCGATCCGCCTGGTCTCACTCTAATCCGCTAGTCTTCGTATGCAGTGGATCCCCTATCGGTTCCTCGATGCAGAAAAGCGAAAACACGAGGGCGGATATATGAATCCCACGGTCTTTCCCGCACGCTGTCTTTCTTCCAATCCCATCCCTTGATTGCGGTCGATCTTTTCTGTTTCCAGGGATTTACCTCACATCCCTTCTTTCCTTCCACTACGGTCACAATGGCCTCGAAAATGCTGTTCCTGGCCTTGGCAGGTGGTCTGGCTTTGGCCGGCCCTGCCCAGCAGAACCAGTCAGATAGTTTGGTGGCTGCTCAGGTTCTGAGTGACCCCTATTCCTATGATTTCCCTCGGCTCGGTGCCTCTGGCGCCTCCCTGTTTCCGATGCGCTTGTACAACGGGTTCAAGCTTGAAGAGGCCAGCATCGATGATATCCAGGAGCAGCTGGCGGGCGGAAACCTGACCAGTGTGGACCTGCTGCAGTGTTATTTGGAACGTATCTATCAGACGGATTCGTACCTGAAGTATGCATATCCTTTACATTAGTGTCAAGAATCTTGTTAACGAATTGGCTACAGGGCCATCCTGCAAATCAACCCCGATGCTTTCCACATCGCCAAAGCTCTCGATGCCGAGCGCGCCCGCGGTAAAGTTCGCGGTCCACTTCACGGTATCCCATTTATCGTGAAGGACAACATTGCCAGTAAGGATCGTCTGGAGACCACGGCCGGTAGCTGGGCGCTCCTCGGATCCATCGTTCCTCGTGATTCCCATGTTGTTCATAACCTGCGCTCCGCTGGTGCTCTCCTGTTGGGCAAGGCGGCCCTCAGCGAGTGGGCCGACATGCGCTCTAACAACTACTCGGAGGGGTTCACCGGCCGCGGAGGCCAGTGCCGCAGCGCTTACAATCTGACCGTGAACCCTGGTGGAAGCAGCTCTGGGTCCGGAGTTGCAGTCGGCGCCAACCTGGTCCCTTTCGCGCTGGGCACGGAGACAGACGGCAGTGGTACGTAGAAGCTGGCAAGATGCTTCAGATGCAAAGGCTAACAAGCACAGTGATCAACCCTGCGCAGAGAAACTCGATCGTCGGCATCAAGCCTACCGTCGGACTGACCTCGCGCGCGGGTGTCATTCCCGAATCCACGCATCAGGACACGGTCGGCGCCTTCGGCAAGACGGTTCGCGACGCCGTCTACGCTCTCGACGCTATCTACGGCATCGATCCTCGCGATAACTACACCCTCGCGCAGAAGGGACTGACGCCTCATGGTGGGTACGCGCAGTTCCTGACCAACAAGACCGCCCTCAAGGGCGCAGTCTTCGGTATTCCCTGGGAGTCGTTCTGGGCTCTCGGCGACCGCGACCAGATCAGCCAGCTTCTGGAACTGGTCGACTTGATCAAACAGGCCGGCGCGACTGTGATCAACGGCACCGAGCTCCCTCACTACAAGACCATCGTGTCCCCCGACGGCTGGAACTGGGATTACGGCACCACTCGCGGATTCGTCAACGAGTCGGAATACACCTACATCAAGGTCGACTTCTACAACAACCTCCGGGACTATCTGTCCGAGGTCAACAACACCAACATCAAGTCCGTCGAGGACCTCGTCCAGTATAACGCCGACAACTACGGCTCGGAGGGCGGATTCCCCAGCATCCATCCGGCCTTTGGCTCGGGCCAAGACGGCCTGATCGCCTCGCTGGAGAGCAAGGGGATCATGAACGAGACGTACTTCCAGGCTCTGGAATTCTGCCAGCGGACGACCCGCGAGGAGGGAATTGATGTGGCACTGAAGCATAAGAATCAGACGCTCGATGGTCTGCTGGTTCCGCCCGACGTGGCGCAGAGTATCCAGATTGCGGCGCAGGCTGGGTATCCTGCTATCACTGTCCCGGCCGGCGTGGGCAAGGAGTCCGGCATGCCGTATGGTCTGGCGATCTTGAATACTGCGTTCTCGGAGCCGACTCTGGTTCGGTATGCCAGTGCTATCGAGGATTTGCAGAAGAGCACGAAGACGAAGTGGCAGCGCTCGTTGCCGGAGTGGAGGGGATACTTGACTCGGAATTTGCCGGTTATCATGTGAGATAGGAGTGTTATTCTGGAGGCTATTATCTTGTATATTCATTCGTTGCTAGACATGAGTCAGTGAGCTCTATAGATATTATCGACAATCAACTAATATTTTGCAGAATATCAAAATAATATCAAAATATTTAATAAGGCCCCCTTTTCGTATGCCTCCAAGTGGGAAAATATTCCGCAACTAAAACACTGCAGTGCTTATTTTCTAGGTCGTTCAAATTAAGAGAAAGATCATCCAGCGAGCTCATTATAGTCGATCAAGTAAACAATCTCGATCGCATACTCTGTAAGTGCATTCCAATTATCCAATGGCGATGAAAATCTCTCATGCTCGCGTCTCTGACGTCATCAAATCAGCTGGCAGCCTTCCCAGCAGACAGCCTTGCTGGGAGTTCGTTCGTCGCACTCATTTCTAACTTCTGACCGAATGATCTGATTCCTCACCCCTCGCCGATCATTCCCCTGCATACGGAGTGGATAACTTTTCCAATACTAAGCCACCAAATCCAGCCCCCACCCAACAATACAATAATGCCTTGAAATACGACGGAGCCAATGGTGCCGAACATCCCTTAAAAAAGCAAACCGACTGACCTACCATATCGATCTTTGAATCTCAACTGTTGATCGGTTTGCGTTCCGCGAAGCAGACGTCGTTCGCTAACTTTCTTTTTCTCCTTTTGTTTCTTTCTCCCCTCTTTCTCTGCTATACACTGCGATTGCTCGCGACCATAGGTACATAATCAGATATCGCTATGCGTCTCCTCCCCACGCTATCATTTCTTCTGGTCTACGCTGGGCAGGCTTTTTCTACGATTCTAGAAAATGGCCACCCAAGAGAAGATCCGTATCCAGGGCAAGCGCCGAATATTTCCCTAGACGATAGCTGGAAACGCTACGGCCCGGACGCGTCGGAGATCGCGTATAAGGGCCGCTGGGATAGTAATTATGTCTCTTGTATGTATTTTCGTTCCTCTGGTTGAAAGACAGTCGGTTCTAATCTGGTTTGATAGGGTGGTCGTATGTTATCCATTTTCAAGTGACTGGCTCGGATTGGTCTGATTGCAATCGATATCTAGTATACCGGGGGTTAAGTTTGGGTTTACAGGGGACAAGGTATGTATGACTGCACGGTTGTAAGAAAGAGGGGAAATGCTAACGCGGAGAATAGTTGGCCTTGAGCTTTGGAGAACAGACATCCCCGGGGGTTCTTGTTGCTTATCGGTATGCTTTATCCTCGACCACTTGTTTCGTCGTTATTTCACTACACTACCTAGCAACTTGCAGATCGATGCTAACTGATCCGCACAATACTAGAATCGGCGGTCGCGACTGGTCCTTCTCCAACGTCACCGCAAATGCAACTTACCAGTTTGTCGGGCCGGGGACAGAATTCAATAATATCAATGCGGCGCGTACCAAGACATTCGAGTTGAGAGGTACGTATTCCGTTCCATTTGCTTCGAAGCGGCTTCAGCAGCTAGTTAGCTAACAAGCTATCTAAATAGTAACGAACTGGGGTTATGGATAAGTCTTCCCTCAGTCTATCTATCCATCTACCTACTGACATCCTCCCACAATCCAGATAGCAAACGTATCTGTGTCTTCCGATGCGAAGATCCGGAAAGCAAAGGAGTTTTCGAGAAAGATCGAGATCATCGGCGACTCGTGAGTTTGCCCTCTTCCGCTCGGAAGACCGCTACGGTGAAGCAAAGCACTAACGTGGCTGCGGATAGTCTTGCATCGGGCCAATATGGAACGTACGAAGGTCTTTCGTCTTGGGGATATAATTTCGCCGCTGGACTGGGCGATGCTGAGTATACTATTACTGTATATCTTCTGTCCTTATCGTGTCTAAGGACTCAATACTGATGGAATGGCAGGCATACCCTGGTATCTGCCTCGTTGATCAAAAATGCTACGGTGGATCTGCTCGCGGAATGGTATGGTCCTTATCCCTTCCTCTGCCATTTGTATCACCAGCGTGGGAATTGATATCTTCAAAACAGACTCACCAATGGACCTACGCTTCCGATGTTGGCAACCGCGCAAAAGCAACCTACGGCTCACACCCTGAGAAGTGGGACTTCGACGCCCATAAGCCCGCCGACCTGGTAGTCATCAACCTGGGGACGAACGATCACCGCGACCCGAACAATCTGCCCGGCGAGATCTTTGCGGAGAGCTATGTCGATCTGGTCAACACAGTGCATGAGACGTGGTCAGACGCGCAGGTGGTTTTGATGGTATGCTTTCCCGTTCACCTTAAAGAATTATCAATCGCTGGACCACGCTAACCATAATGACCAACAGTCCCTCTGGGGAAACTTCACCACCACGAGACCGTCCCACGAAAACGCCACGTCCAGCGACCTTTACGACTACGAATACACCTACGTCCAGCACCCAACCTACGTGTCCGACATCAAAAGCGTGTACGAGCACTTCCGCGACCAGGGCGCCGACTGGGTGCATTACTTCGACACGACGGGCATCCTGCAACACAACGACCTCGCGCCGCCGGATCACCCGACCGACGTCGGTCATCTCAAGATCGCGAGCCATCTGATGCAGTGGACCAAGATCAAGCTGGGGTGGGAGCTCGGAGCCACGGGGCCCGAGGTGCAGCATGATACGGAGTATTGGAATAATGAGGATAAGTATAAGAAATGATCCGTTTTCTAACACATCCAGTATAAAGTACTAGGGAAGGAAGAGGGAACAGATTATTTGTATCAAATGACATTGTATAGATGCAGCCTATATATGATACGGAAATGTAGGATACCGATTATCACATTGACTAGGCATAGGCCCATGATAGTGTCAACATGCTGATCGATGATCCGTTGATTTGGGTATTTAGAGGCAAACAGCAATCGACACTCGCTCCCGCTTGGGAGGTCCTTGTCGTGACTGGGGTTAAATACCCTGGTGAAATCACCAAGAGAAGGCAAATCGCTAGCTAAAATTCATCCCAATGTCGCATATCAGACAGACATCAAGTACTCTGCATCACATCATCACCGGAAAGGAATCCGCCTGCATTATAGCAGATCCAATCAAACTGATGCTGCTCGAGATACTCGGGATGAGTAGATGAAGAAGAAAAGAAATGCAGAAAGGAGTCGCGCAGAAGGTTTTTAAAGGCACGGGACTCGTGTGTGGGCTAACTGCTTCTGGCTAACACGGCTCAACCGAGAGAGGCTAATGTCTTGGCGTTTTAGTCGAGAGGCTGGGTTTCGACACCTGAGGCAGCGGGAAAGGGTACTCCGTCATGACATGTTACTCCTTTTAGTTAGTTGGTGTGTGCAACTTCTGTACGCGTTCTCACGTTCCTTTAACGTCAAGAGTCTGTACCTTAATTTTATCAAAATCCTATCGAGACATCGAAGATGCCATGTCAGTCTAGAGCAGCTCGGACCAAAGCACACAGATATGCTTCTCTTCCAAGTCCGTATCGAGTCCCGGGTCCACCGGCGGAATCACATACTCGCGAGAGTAGCCAGAATACAAGGATAAGATCTTCTCCTACAGTGGACAAAGAGAGCTATGCCTTGTCAGAGCAGATAGATGCAGGGTATGAAACCAAACCAAACCTCGCGGCCCCGAGTGTAAGTGCAGGCACGCACGAGGATGCAGATGCTGGCGTAGATGCTAACATGCCCGTTCCACCGGCAACTAGGACAAGTCCCGGCGCGAAGGCGCCGACTAGGCCACCCGTTCGCAGACGGGAACGGCAAATCGGAGGATCTCAGCGCAGGATGGCAGATCTCCAACCGGGGTTAGATTTCACAAACGTGGCTCTTCGTCCTTATGCGAATGTAGAGCGTATGAGAAATGAACTTCTCCGATGCTATCTCCTGTCGCCCCCGGCGAGCGAGATCCCCGAGGCAATATCTCCGTTCACGGTGCAGTATATCTCGTGCGTCTTAGCCACGTATCCGCGATGTATGCTGAGTGATGGCGGCCTTCCGCCGCTTGTCCATCGTGCGCAGGTCCAGGGCCAGGAAATGCCTCGGGCGCTGGCAAATTGCTTTAGTTTGGTGCGAATGTGGTATCAGGCGGTGCCGGGGAGCGAGGCGATGGTTGCGGGCATGGTGGAGCAAGAGATGGAGAGGTTAGCGGGCAAGGTGTGTATCTGGTTATGGTGATCGCGTCTTAAGGTGGTGCTGTAGATACTTGATCGCTAATCAATGACAGCCCCCGGGCCAAGGCGACTATATCCTTCTATGCACCTTCCAAGCTTACCTCCTCTACTCAATCATGATTTATTTCTCCCCCCTCCCGAACACGTCTGCCCTCAAATACAAAACTATGATCACGCTAAGCGAACTCGCCTGTCGGACCGTTCGCAACGGCTTCTCCTGCGCCGCCGAGCACTCGCATACCCGTCCTCCCTGGGAAACATGGATCGTGGCCGCCTCGAAGCGTCGTACCTTCGTCACAATGGAATTGTTCAGGATCGCGTTCAATGCTGGTCGGCTACTCCCCAGCTCTGTTACCAGTGAGCTAGGGGATATCTTTGCGTCGGGGAATAGAGCGCTCTGGGAGGCGAGCGACCGCGATTCTTGGGGCAGAGAGCATGATCGATACTTGCTGGACTGGGAGGACGGGATGCTAAATACATCGGAGCTGTACCGACCCGAGGCGACAGCACAGAAAGAGCGTGTCGAGAGGTGGGTGCAGTCAGTGGATGAGTTTGGGATGATGTTGTTTGCGGTTTGCGCGCATATTCGTGGGCGTTGAACATTCTCCTAGAACCTCATTCTTTCCGTTGAGTGCCTGGAACGTCAGGCATCATTTTGCGCGTTCTGGCAAGCAAGCATCCTCGAGCTTATCGAGAATCAATCCCATCGGTGATTCCCGTAGTAGTAAGGAATACCAAAAATGAGTGCCAAGGTTTTCGTCATCTTGGAGATGCTTGGAAGAGAGAAATCCCATAACGTATGTTGGAATCTCCCACTACTGCGTACGCTGGTAGATTCCGGTACTTTCATGGGCAATGCTGTCATGTGACCCTGCCTACATACGAGCCCACCGGGCAGGTCCTTCCCAGATCCAGCGGTCTGATCACGTGGTCAGACTTCTAACGCGCCAAGCCCCCGCCTCCCCATTTCCATTCCCTCTTCCCATCCATCCCTTCTCCACCTTCTTCCAACATCATCATCCGCAAAGGAAATATTTGCTCTTTGCCGTCCTCGCCGCCAGTCCTGCCATTCCTGTGTTTTCATAGGACTTTCCGGTCTTTATCGGATTGGGCATGTGCTCGTGACCAGGCCGCAAAAGCCCTTATCTTCTTGGCCTTCCAACATCATCTGTCAAGGAGTATTTGCTTTGCCGCTCTCGTCGCCAGTCCTGCCATTCCTGTGGCTTCATAGGACTCTCCGACCTCACTTGTTGATTTCGGTTTGGGCACGTACTCGTGGCCAGGCCGCAAAGCTCTTACCACTTTACTCGCATCTTATTATCATCATTCATCTGACATTTTACATGAGTCAGGGCTGCTCAACTCTTTGCCAAAGCCCGGGTGGGAGGGCTACTCGATTCATCGGGGGTTCTTTCTAATCTAGTGAATATTGAATACAATGGCCACCTCACAAAACCCGTCCTGGGTCTTGAAGAAGGCAGTTCTCGTTTATACACCCGATTTCGATGTTTCCTGTTTTGCTCGTCTTCGTATTGCCCATGATAAAACTGCCAACCAAGGATCCATATCTCTTTGGATTACGGCAGATCTCGCTAACTTGACCGGCAGATCACAGGTGCTGACGTTGAATATCCCTCCAGAAAGAATCGAAAAATGTGCATTAGCCCGGATAAGCAACGACAGCCTCTGTTCGCCTAATTTAGTTTCCATCCTCCGGGCGCCTGTCGCCAATGTTTCGGCCGTGTCAACACTTAGTCTGAGACTCAATACGACCGGCATCGTTCTTTGTCCATCTGAGCTGAAGTCTCTATGCCCAGCCAATCCAGGGGACTCGAATTTCCACGCATTTGCAAAGATCTGCCAGTCCGAATTTCTACGCCTTCACTTCTCCAGACGACAATTTGTGAATAACGAACTTGATCAGCTGGAAATTTTCTCCCGTTCCCTGCGAGAAAGAAGTCTTCAGACAGAGTCTTTTGACCATGCTCGCCATGGCGTGGTCCAGAGAGATTGGCGTGCCTTCAGTCTGTCGCTCGATCCACCACCATATTGTGAGGAGCCCGTCCGGCAGGTGAAGCAGGTGGATCCACCCTTATATAATGAGTCCGTGTCCGGGCAAGTGGTTGGAAAACGGCGCAGAGGTATTTTCTTATCGTTTATGTCCCTGTCATTCAATAGCTCATTAATAGTTTCTAGACCCATGGTCGTCCCCTGACGATGAAAATCGAAAAAGACTGCTCCTTCCATCCCCTCAACCGATAGACTCTCCCACCGAAGTGAATACGCCGACTACTCTCTCCCCGTCACCGTCCATCCGCCCAACTTGTTTTACGCGTGCTTCCTCGCCTGGCCGCACAGAACGTCACAAACTTATGCGTCTTGAACATGAACTCCGTGGTCTTTCCGACGATCTGATTTGCGAACTATTGATTCGATCAGGACGCCAACATCTGCTAGTCATTCCGAAGATTGTAGACAATGAGCTGCCATCCGAGTCTGAGAAAGTCAGTTTTGCTGAGGTCGGGATGATTGAGCGCCGCCTCAAACGATATGTCGATGAGACGATCGAGCGCCGCCTCAAATCACATGTTGTCGACGAGATTGTCGATGGCGCTGTGAGCGAGTATCGCGATCAGATTTTCGACGAATGCAAAACGCACGAATGCGAATTTCGTGAACAAGTCGACGATTGTAACTCCGAGGTACGCATTACGGCCAATGAATGTATGAGTGAAATGAAAGAACAGGCGCAAAAGCACATGCGTGAAATCGAAGAGCAAGCGCAACAATACATGAATGATATCGAGGATCAGGGGAACGCGGTTGAGCTGTCTACGAAGGAAAAGGTCGCAAAGCTCAAGCAGACCTCACTCGGCCCTAGCCACGAGGGTACTAATGCCAGATGCAGTTCCATTTAACTGGTACTAGGCTTATATCTTAGGATTGTCTTACCTAGATTCTTTATTAGGCCTCTAACGATGCTAACGTATTCCCACGGAAAAGTCCAGAGGACAGCCTTTTCTTCGGAAGGTGGTGTCAAGCCGATGTTGGCATGTGCGGACTGTTCTTAATAGTAACCAATAGAAAGGTTTATCTTATCAGAGCGAGTTTCTAGTAAAGGGCCCGGCATACCGAGGCTAGTAGTACTCGACTCGTCATCTGTATCCTCGCCATCTCCACGAAATGGGATGACTCAGCCATTCTCGGCGCCCTCGTCTAATGATCACCATTCTCTACAACTGCCGCGTGACTCCCTTCGAACTTCTTGTGATCCTTTGATATCGACAAGTTTTTGCGGTATCCACAGCTCTGCGCACTGCAAGTTGGATTGTTGTCGGGATAGCTGCGTAAGTTTACTTCTCCTCCGTATCCGGGCTCGTCTTCACACTGGATATCGCACACGAACATCCACACGAGACCTTCTGAATTGCAATGGGCGCGATCAATGCAGCTCTGGACTTTGCGATCTTTGGGATGCCCCAGCTTATTGTTTCGGGGCTGCCTCAGACGCCAGCGGGAAGGTGTTGGCTTCGTTGGTTTTTGCGTTGGGGGGCTTTTATGTTTCCGGATATTTCTTTCTTTATTCCTTTATTTTGACTTTTCTTACCAACTTCTTCTCTAATGGACGATACTTTATGGAGTGTTCAGTGCTTATTTGAGGTTTAGTGTGTACATTGCGAGTATTATACGGCTCTACTATACGGCGACTGTTGGTGTCAATAATGTTGGCATGCAAGTATCATCACACCCCTCCGCTCGCTCACTGAGGCTAACCTTTTCTTCTTGAACCCATCATAGACACTGTGAGCATCCCGGCATCTGGAAAATGGTCCAAATGGACATGACCATCATCTGCGCATGCCAATCGTGCCGAGCATGCTAAAATGCTCCCGGCAGCGGCGAGTAAAAGGCAACAACGATTCTGCTCCGGGCTTATACAATATCCTTTCATCTTCTACTTCGTCTGACAAGGCCTGTGCGCGGATACCCTCATGCGTGGGATAGGAGAATAGTGCTGAATGGAGGGTGTTCGGGCGAAGGACGTGGAGGTATCCCATAGGGTGAGTTCTTAGCTTGCCCAGCCTTGTCCATGTATATGGTCTATTTTAAGGTTTGATTTTACTGACTCGAGTTATATATGCTTCGAATATCCGCAGGGGTTATTTACTATTCCGTGTTAGAGGGGTGGGTTTCTTTGTTCTCGTCCAGCTAAGTCCATCTTTCATAACCCTCATTTAGACTATAGTTCCTGCGCCGCCTCCCTTTCTCTCTCTCTTTCTACTTCTCAGCATAATCTCCATAGCCCCCTACCCACTATCTCATTCAAACACCACCATGGCCTCCCCTGAATCCAAAGCAACAATCCTCCTCATCCACGGCGGCTGGCACACCCCATCCCACTACTCCGCCTTCACAACGTATCTCGAATCGCACGGCCACGAAGTCCACATTCCCCGCCTCTCAACCACCAACGGCGCGCGCCCTCCCACCGCAGACCTCTCCACAGACACCGCGCAGATCCGCACCTACGCCACCGATCTCATCTCCGCAGGCCACAGACTCGTCGTGATCATGCACTCCTACGGCGGGCAAGTCGGCACAAACGCCCTCTCCGGTCTGAGCCTGAAAACCCGGGCGCAACAAAACCTCCCCGGTGGCGTCGCGCGACTGGTCTACGTTACTGCGTTCGCGCTTTCCCCGGGGAACTCGATGCTCGGGATGGTGCGGGAGATGGGCGACGAGGCGCTGATTCCGGTGGCGTTTGCGTTTGACGAGGATGGGGTGGTGTGGGATCGGGATCCGAAGAATCTGCTTGTTGGGCCGGGGTTGGGGGATGAGGAGATGGAGAGGTTTGTGGGGAGTTTGGTCGTGTGGAATGGGAGGGCCATGGAGCAGGGGATTAGTGGGTGTGCGTGGAGGGAGGATGTGGGTGTTTCGTATGTCTGTACGAGGGGTGATATGACGGTTCCGGAGAGGTATCAGCGGACTATGATTGAGAGGATGAGGGAGGTGGGGAAGGAGGTCGAGGTGTTTGAGCTGGAGACGGGGCATTGTCCGCAGGTTACGATGCCGAGGGAGTTGGGGGAGGTGGTTTGTGGGATTGTGAGGAGGGAGGAGGGGAGGTGGGTTTAGATGGTTTGTGATGGGGAGGTAGGCTGTGGAGGTGTCTACAGGTGGTCTTTTTGGGCTGCGGTTGAGTTGAATCTGTAGTCTGTAGATGTTGAGGCTCCGAGGCAGTGATCACGCAGTGGAAGTGGCCCAGCTGACGTCAGCGCTGGTGACAAGTAACCAATTAGAAAAGAGATTCTACAGCAAAGGTCAAGATACATGTCTGGATAATAAATCAACATCACTTTTCATCCCCATCCCATTGCACTACTCCTCTCCTACCAAATCCCCCAGAAGTCCAACAAACTCAACCCCTCCAATCTCCAAAATGCCAACCTACACAACCAACCACGCCCCCTCCGTCCTCCAAACCCACAGCTGGCGCACCGCCACCAACTCCGCCGCCTACCTCCTCCCCTACATCCAACCGGGGATGAAAATCCTCGACATCGGCTGCGGCCCAGGGAGCATCAGCCTCGACTTCGCGCGGCTCGTCACCCCCACCGGCCACGTCACAGGGGTAGAATACAGCCCCGACCCGCTCGCAACCGCGCGGGGCCTCGCCGCCTCGCAGGGCGTGGACAACATCACCTTCCGCGTCGGCGACATCCACAACCTCTCCGACTTCGCGGACGGCTCGTTCGACATCGTCCACGTGCACCAGGTCCTGCAGCACATCGCGGACCCGGTGCTCGCGCTGCGGGAGATGCGGCGCCTCGCGAAGCCCACCGGCGGCATTGTCGCGGCCCGCGAGTCGGCCTCGCTGTCGTGGTTTCCACCCAACGAGGGCATCGAGGCGTGGGATGGTCTGACGAGGAGAGTGGCGCGTGCGAAGGGCGGGAATCCGCATCCGGGGTCTTGGGTCCATGTTTGGGCGGAGGAGGCGGGGTTTGCGAGGGATAGGGTCCGGAGGAGCGCCGGGGCGTGGTGCTTTAGTACTCCTGAGGAGAGGGCGTATTGGGGCGGGTCCATGGCGGAGAGGATGCGCGGGTCGGGGTTCGCGGAGATGGTGGTGGCAGAGGGGTTTGCGGGGGAGGAGGACCTAAGGGGGATGGAGAGGGGGTGGAGGGGGTTTGTGGATTGTCCACACGGGTGGTTTGGGGTGATGCATGGGGAGGTTTTGTGTTTTAGATAGATAGAGGGAGAGGGAGAGGGAGAGGGAGAGAGAGGAGATGGAATGGAGAAAGAAGATCACGTTGCTATATCGATATCGAAGACGGACAAACAAGTATGTAAAGTAAAACAAATAGGTATGTATGAAATCACTGCATGAAAACTGGACACGGACACCGAACCGCGTGGCTCACGGCTCACGGCTCCTGGTAAAAGTAAACAACCACCCCGTCGGGAAACGCCACTTTCTTGAGATCGTCTGTCGTCACGGTATCGGGGACCACGAATCTTGGGGATGGAACGGGCACACGTTAGCTGAGTGTTGACTTGGAGACCCGGATTCCGCCCCAACCCCAACCGCAACCCCAACCCCTAATCAATCACATTAATCAACGCGCTAGGGAACTCACGAAGTTGTATGGATCGGCGGAAAACTCCTCGTCGAGATGAACACCGTCTGGTTTGTGGCTCCCTTCTCTGCCAGCCCGTCCGTCGCTCTGCACCCCGGCGTCAGCATGAACTCGGCCTCGAGCGGTCTCGAACCACAAGAGCAGGAGGGGCACGGGACTCAACATACATCTGCTCAATCCATCTCCCATGTTGCTTGAAGGCATCGAGACTCTCATATCGAATAATGACCGACTGGAGAAGCAGCGTCAGCGGGGATCGACGTTGTCGCTAATCTCTATCTTGAACTCTATTTGGAAGCACTAAGGGGGGAGGAGAGAGGGATCTAGGGCAGGTCAAGACGAACATATATAACCATTTTTGGGGAGCGACGGGGGTGGAATCGGGTGTCCGGGGTCAACGGGAGGTCGCAAGAATCAGGATCCGAGTGCAAAATCCGCAACGATCGCCTACAGTGACTCGAGGCCCGAGATATCTGAAAGTGAAGTAAACAGAAAACCAAGTGGGGTCGACCTTCAACGAAGGGACCGAAAATCTGGAACTTACATAATCGGGCTAAGGGACAGTCCGAGTCCGTACTCCGTACGGACCTCCGTGTGTAGTTCGATCCGTCCATTCAAGGATATGGATTAAGGATGCCATTTTACCCGAGAGAAATATAACTACCGGACGGAGGATATCCACCATGGATGATGCAAATTGCGCCGAGTAACTTGACTACCGGCGATGTATGTATTGTATGAAAATATGTATCCCGAAAAAAAAAGATGAGGAAATTAAAAAAAAAAAAAAACCAATCCAACATGCTAAAACAAAATCAAACCCAACTCGGAACAAATATTCCCCCGAGGAGAATCCCGGTCAGGCTAAGAAAGCGGCGTCTCTCCATCTACCAGTCATCGGCGGGGGGAGAGTGAGCATCCTCGTAGGCATCCTGGTATCCTTCGCGGTACGCCTCGCGCTCAGCCTCCTCCTCCCTCTCCTTCTCCTCCTCCTCGTCGGAGCTCGAGTCTTTCGCTGCGAACCGTTAGCACCAACCCATACAACCAACCCTAAGGACAGCACGGAGGGGAAGAAAAACACACTCAGTTCGTGACCCAGCAGCGCACCACCGGCCAGACCGACCGCCGCGCCGAGACCCGCACCCATCATCATCTTCTTCTTCTCGTCCTTCTTGCGCTGGGCCTCCGCCTCAGCCGCGGCATTGGGGTCCATGCCGCCGTAGTAACCGCCCTGCGGCGGCGGGGGGCTGCCATAGTAGCCCTCCTGCGGGGGCGGGCTGCCGTAGTAACCGGCGGGAGGACCGGGGGGCGGGAGGTCGCGCGACCCGCCGGCCGAGTCCTCGAGGGGCGTCTCCCACTGCGAGCGGCCGGTGGCGGTCTCGACGAAGAAGCCGCGGCGCACGCTGGGCTCCCATTCCTGGACCCAGCCGTAGGGGAGAGGCGGAGGGGCCACGGGGGGAGGGCGGGCGGATGGCGGGGCGGAGCTGTAGGGAGGGCGGGAGTCGAACGAGCGCTGCGCTTCGTACGGAGGACGGTCGCCGCCCTCGTAGGGGGGGCGGTCGTAGGGAGGACGCTCGCTGGGAGGTCGGTCGTAGGGCGGGCGCTCGTAGGACGGACGGTCACCCTCGTACGGGGGGCGCTCGTAGGGAGGACGCTCGTAGGGCGGGCGCTCCCCGTAAGGCGACTGGCCGTAGCCGGATGGCGGTTGGCCGTAGGGGGAGGGGGCGTAGCCGCCACCGCCGTAGGGGGGCTGTTGTTCGCCGTAGTAGGACATGGTTGTGGAGGGGTAAGGGGTAGATGCGGGTAAGGTAGACAGGAGGACGGAGGAGGGAAAGAGGATAAGTGAGGGAAATTGGAAACGGTCCAGGGAAATGGACCCTTAAGTATTATTTATCTATTCTCAAACGGAGGGGGGGCAGAAGAGGGGAAGGGGGAGAAAAAAAAAAGAGGGTCATGTAGACTCCCCTGGACATGTTTACTCCGTACGGAGACAGATACAATAATAATACATGCTAGAAAATCACATCCCAATAATCAATTTCCTACAGCGAGAAACCCCTCCATACGAACCCCGTTGCGCCGAGAAAACGATTCGTCGGCCTTAGAAGGCCAGGCGCTATGGGACTGTTCCCCACCGTGTTATTAGTTGGGATGGAGAACTGTCAATAGTCTGGTTGTTTGGCGGAAACTGCAGATCCAGCATCTGGAGATGCAAGAAATTAGGCAGATACATTATATATTAACCCACGCCCCCTCCCCTGAATGATCATTTGCCGGTCCAACCACCGGGAGAGGGATGACACAGGGGGTAGACCGTCGCCAGCGCTTAATTAAAACAATAACAGTCCGTTTGAAACTGAGGAAAGCAGCCATAGCCCTATCGATTCACCTGATCTTGGGTGCCGGGACTGCAGACTCCCCTCTCAGCCCTCAGCCGACCAACATAACACCAGAGTGCTGTCAATATGACTTGTCCCTCCACCCCACCTCGGTAGGGATGCTAGCCCAGTCGAAACGCATCGAATGCATAGGGATTAGGGGCAAGATGAGTCGTCCCCTCCCTTCTAGACCGAGTGCAGTAAGAGCCGGTGCTATAATAAGGCAGCATGTTCCGTAAGGTATCCATTCGTCTGCTTGGCGGCAGCGACCGGAGATTGTCGGGCCAATCGAAACGCGGCGCGCGAGTCGCCGGCGCCGGACTGAGCCACACCGGTGTGTGACCACCGTGTCTGATTGGCTGGCGATGATCCATCAGCCTCACTTTGCTGCCTACAAGCCACAGCGTCAGCTCTCCTGACAGAGAGTGCAGTGTGGAAATCCATGGATTTCTGTGGTGCTCTCCTGGCTGGCGATGCGGTATTAACTATTAACATTAACAACTTGACGGCCACAAGGATTGCGATCGTAAACCCGTCGTCTGTCTTTGCAGCGATATGCAATACCACCTACCCCGTCGGTCCGCATCACACGATGTCAGGATAATTTCTTTCCTTTTCCAGGACGTCCCGGAGCCGGACTAGCCACGTGTGTCGCGGCGAGTGGCTGTGGCGGTGGTCCCGAAGTCCATCGAACCTCCGGGCCAGCCACACGACGATTCCGGAACCTTCCTAACGGTAAGGAATGGTATTGTTATTGTTATTATTAGGTGCGATGGGGAGGGAAGAGTCATCGGGGTGTGGAGACTGGATACGCTTGCCAAACGACCTCCGCTATTCCAGAACAGGTCCCCGCGTGGAGAAAAGAGGGAAGACGACGACGACGAACATGCCTCGATCAGGCAGGATGGTATAAGAGACTATCTAAATCTGTAACGTAGCGTCTAGGCAGCAGAGTTTAAAAAAACAAAAGTCAATCAATCTCAGATACAGTCTTGATTTCCATCCCAACTAAGGCCTGCCAAGGCATTGACACAAAAGACTTGGGCGAGTGACAAGAAAACCCTCCATATCATCGCCCCACATGGTTCCGTCATGTCTTTCATCTACATCAACGGACAATCTTACAAGGAGATGAAGAGGGAAAAAGGGGCTCCGTGAAGATCAGGACACTTGGCCTTCAGCCGAAATCAGTAATTACTTCCAGCGCTGCCGAGGTCGCTGGACTGGTCATTGCCCGGGTAGAAGAAGGCACCCACTCTGCAGAATGATCAGTACTTGCTTAGGGGGTCGAGTTCGATGCAATCAAACTTACGCGATAATCACATAGGCGGCTATTAGTAAAGCTCCCTCGAGGTAGTTGCTGCGACCGTCCAGAACCAGGAAATTGACCACGAAGGCCGTGACGAACAGACAGATGGTCTCGAAGAGAGTGAAGTACAAGGACATGTCCTTGTCCATGCACCACCCTAGAATGACGACCAATGGCGTGACAAAGATGGCTATAGATCATTAGCCACTCGTATTCACATCCTGCGGATTTGGTTAAACTTACCGATTTGAATACTGCTTCCCACAGACACACCAATGGACAAATCCATCTTGTTCTTCGTGGCCACGCTCACCGCAGTCACGTGTTCTGCCGCATTACCGACGATGGGCAGGATGATCAGGCCGATGAACGCCTCGCTGACGTTGGAGCTTTCAACCATCACTGGGATGGCGTCCACGAGGAATTCGGCACACACCGCCACCAGCGCCGTGGACAGCAGAAGCATGACAACGGCTGCGGTGCGTGACATTTGCGGCTGATGCTGGGGAGGCGCCGCTTCGGTGGTCACCGGATTGACGGCCGTAGGCATGCGCGCCGCGCCTCGGGCAAACTGCACTGCATTACCGACGGGAGGCTGACGGTTCATGTGGCTGGGAAGAGAGTTGGTGCGGCGCAGACCGGTTGCGTTGCCGGAAGGACCTGCCTGCGGGACGCCGTTGGGACCCGTCGAACTTGAAAAGACCGTGTTGGAAAGCAGCGAAGGAAAGGGCGGACGAAATGGGGATCGTCTTTTCGGAAGGTCGTTCGCATCGTCCAGATGAGCATCGACAGGGCTGGATTCAAAGCGAGCGATCGGGGACGATACGTAAGACTTGAGCTCCGGTCGCTTGGGCAAGGGGGTACTGTCAATAAATGCGGCTTGTTTCTCCGGTTCCTGAATCGTTTTCTTCTTCATTTCCTTGTTGTGACGCTTCTTGCTCTTGGATTTTCGCTTGGACGACTTGGGCCGACCGGTGTCCTGACCGAAGTCTCTCGACTGAGGTGCATTGAATCGGTGGTTGTCATTGTCTCCTTCGTAACCGTCTACCGCGTTGTTCGATGGCTGGGATCCTTTCTCGTCCGTATGACTGGACACCGAGTCGACAATTGAACCGATTCTGTCGCTGGCGCCTGCGCTTCGCATTTCAACTAGCGAGTTGTTGCGCAGCGACTGGGGCAGACTGGTATCCTTGGAGCTGGAGCTCGACTTGCGACGTCGTCGGTATTTCATAGCCCTCTTGATTCGTTTGGCGGTCGACCATGACGTGGTCGTGTCGGCAGACTCATCGGACGAGCTGCTCGACGAGTCGGACGAGTTCATGAACTCAGCCAGCACACCCGGATGGGATTCCTCGTCGATAATCTGCTGTGGAATGCTAGCATAGAGGTATGCATGGGACTTGAGCTGGAAGATAATGTACAGAATGTACACGAGGAGCAAGACCTGAGAGCATGAGAATGCATTCCCTGTGTGAATGTCATGAGTACTTACAACGCTTGTTCCACGGCTAACTTTAAGGGTGTATTTATCGGCGTGCCGACTGTCGGACCAAGAAGCATGGAACGCGGTCTGCAGATCGTTAGAAATAGCGGGGAAGGCGGGGTGTGAGACTGACTGGCAGGAGTAAACTCATAACGCTCAAACTGAGGAGACAGGCACTCATTTGGGTGACGGTGCTGTTGTAAATCTGTTATAGATTAGTAAAAATGAATATAATTCATTTATCTGCTATCTTACCTGTTCCTGAAAGCGCAAACCTCCCAAAAGGAACGCCATTCCCAGAATGAGCAGCAGATTGGCCAGGATAGAACCCAGCAGGGACGCCTGGACGATTCGAATCTCATTCTGTGGCTGTTAGATACTGACAAACGAAGAGTAGACAGGCTGCTTACCTTGACGAGAGCGATGCTAGATTCGATCAGATCTATTAGCCTAGTAGTCGAAAGCCACACATAGTAAACTCACATACTACCAAACAGGTTAGCCGACAATCTCCACACCAACAGCCCTAGAAGAACTTACAAGATAATCAACTCCACCGCATTTCCGAACGTCACGTTGATCAGTGCGCCCACGGTATCTCCCAGACGGCTCGCCACACATTCGGTAGCATGACTCAACAACCCTGCCAAAGGGATGATGGCGATCGCATTCATGGCGAAGATGACGGCCGGGTTCAGGCCAGCAGCCTGGACGGCAATACCCGCGGGCACAAACAGCAGCAGGACATTGACCCAGCTGTGGCACAGGGCTGTCTTAGTATGCTTGCAGAACCGGACACTGCCGTTTTTCATCCGGATCCAAAGTCCCGGGTTGGAGATCTCTCCATCTTTTTCACTACTTGACTCCGGACTGGCCGGGCCCTGGGCACCTGCATTCACTTGCCCATTTTGCTGCGAAGACGGACTGGCCTCTTCGTCGGGGGGTTTGGCGTCAGACTCGCCGGGAGAGGTGGTAGCTGTTGTACTGCCATTAGACGCGTGAGCTTTCGCCCACGAACGAATCCGGTCTAGATAGGAGAAAAAGCGGAGGAGCCCGGTCAGCCAAAAATGATCCTCAATTAAACCACATAGATTGCATGTTTCACCTGGTTGGGAGAGTGGGTAGGAGACGGGCATGGGGGGAGGAGAGGCGTGGCGTGGGGGGATACACGCAGTCCAGGATAGGAAAGGAGTCGGAAGACAGCCGAAAAGGAAAACTTACGCATGTATTTCAGAACAAAAGCCTGGGGATATTTATTGGGCACGGAGAGGTAATGGAACTCTCGATATGTTCAAATCTGCCGGGAATAGGGGGGGGGAGGTGGTGTAAGGAACGAGAGATAGATAGCAAGATAGATAGGCTGGATAGGTCACAAGAGGATTTGTTATAAAAGCAGCAAGTCAAGCTTCGGAGATAGAATCTGGGCGCGGAGATGGGGGGAAGAGCGAAATGACCGATTTATAAATGCGCTTGGCAGGATCCTTGGTTGAGGATGATGTTTGCCAAGGCCGGTCGATCATTTCTCGTCCCCAAACGGCTCTGGACCCATGGTCGGCTTCTTCGATTCTGGGCCATGTTGCGATGGGCCCTCAGTCTGCGCCACGTCTACCGTTATCAATCGCCTTGCCATCCTTCTAGATGGCTTCTGAGGTCATCTCTTATCGTCTGTTGCTATTTCTACCACTTTACGGAGTACACTAGCCAGCCAATCCTCCACCTTGGGTACATTCCCCATTTTTGCACCCGCCATCACAACATGCCTCACTCCTTGCCCTCTGACGGAGTACTCCGTAACCATCTGTAACCTCTGTTAAATTTGTGTATTGTAGATCCTGGCCACCCTCTGAGGGAAGCTGCATATCCAATCACCCCCGAGCACGCAAGACCGACGCCCCCATCATCGCTAATGTAAGGAGGCGTCCATTATTACTGCATGGAAAAGCACCAGCTCGCCCATTATTTTCGCCTTGACCTCTAAAAATAAGGCCCCAAGGTGGGCCAATGACGCCTCACCTCTGGGACGCCGATCCTGCCGCCCATTGGCCGACTCCATGCCAGGGGCTGTGGTGTCTCCATCTCGGGAGCGACAGTCCGATAATCCGAGGCCAAATTCTTGTTAACGTATTCCACAAGCGAGTCGGCACCACAAGCGAGCCGGCACCCCAACGCGTTTTGACCGCGATCAAAAACCTTACTCAATTCAACCACTAACCATGCCTCCAAAAGCGCGTCAAAAGTCAGGAAATTCAGCCGAGCAGGAGGGGAGGATTCTATTAGCAATCTCTGCTATAGAAAATAAACAAATTACCCAAATTGCTAAAGCTGCGCGTCATTATAATGTGCCTCGTTCTACTCTACAAGATCGGCTACGCGGAAAAACAAATCGCTCAGAAACACGTGCCAATGGTCATAAAATGACTCAAAATGAAGAGGAATCGCTTGTACAATGGATTCTATCGCTAGATCGACGTGGAGCGCCTCCCCGACCGTCCCATATACGAGAAATGGCCAATATTCTTCTTGCTGCGCGCGATACTACCCCAGTTCAATCAGTCGGAGTGAACTGGGTCTCCAACTTCATTAAACGACAAGATCGCTTGAAAACTCGCTATACTCGACGCTATGATTATCGGCGCGCTAAATGCGAAGACCCCAAGATTATCAGAGAGTGGTTTGATCGCGTACAAATCATTATAATGCAACATGGAATTGTACAGGAAGATATCTACAATTTTGATGAGACTGGCTTCGCTATGGGCTTAGTAGCTACTGCTCAAGTAGTTACTAGAGCTAATTACTACGGAAAGGCCTCTCTTATACAGCCTGGCAATCGAGAATGGGTTACTTCAATCGAGTGTATTAACTCAACCGGTTGGGCACTTCCTCCATGTGTGATCTTTAAAGGAAAGATCCATATAGAGGGTTGGTATCAAGATATCAAACTCCCACGCGATAGCAGGATTGAAGTTAGTCCTAATGGATGGACTACTGATGAGATAAGCCTTCGCTGGCTTAAAAACCTCTTTATTCCGACTACTACTAGTCGTATAACTGGAAGATATCGTCTTCTAGTTCTTGACGGTCATGGCAGCCATCTTACACCTCAATTCGACCAGATATGCAGTGAGAATAATATTATTCCTATCTGCATGCCTGCACATTCATCGCATCTACTACAGCCTCTAGATGTTGGCTGCTTCTCGCCTCTAAAGCGGGCGTACGGCAGCTTAGTTGAGAAACAGGCACGCTTGGGAATCAATCATATCGATAAGTTTGATTTCTTAGAGGCCTTTCCACAAGCTCGTGAAAGCGCTTTTCAAGCAGATACTATTCGGAATAGCTTCGCAGGTGCTGGTCTAGTTCCACTTAATCCAGATAGGGTACTCAGTAAGCTGAATATTCAGCTAAAGACCCCTACACCACCAGGCAGTCGATCTACCAATACAGCGCCAAAAACGCCTTATACAACTAGGCAGCTTGAAAAGCAGGCATCTACAGCAAAGAAGCTGCTTAAAGCGCGTACGCAGGGCCCTTCATCTTCGCTAGAGATGCGATTTAATAAGCTTATTAAAGGTCATGAATTACACCTTAATGAGCTTATTCTTGCACGCGAAGAAATCCGTGAATTACGCGCTTCTCATGAAAAGAAGCTTCAAAAAAAGAAACGCTCTACTAGGCAGCTAGCTATTACAGAGGGATCAGCTATTCAAGAAGGCCTAGAGCGATTTCAGCGCGAGAATGAGGTTGATGAAGCTCAAAATACGCTTCCTCTAGACCCTGCACTTTCTGCAGTTGAGCCACGCGTACGAGCGCCACCACGCTGCAGTAATTGTCATATTCTAGGACATAGACGGTTACAATGTCCCAATCGAGTTCCTAATTAGTTTTTATATAGAAATGCAATTATTTCGTTGATAAAGCCTCTAGTATTTGGTCCGCGGGCAGAAATTGGAGCGGGGGTGCCGGCTCGCTTGTGGTGCCGACTCGCTTGTGGAATACGTTATGCCCGGCGTTGCTGAGTCAGTAGTCAGTAGTCACCCTCCATGGCGTTCCGGCTCTGCCCTACCAGCAGGCAGTCAACCACGCATTCCGGGCGGTCATCTCGCAGGCAGACAGTACGCAGGAAGCACAGAGTACAGGTCACTAGGCACCAGCCGAAAGGCGGGTTACACCGGCAAATGCAGCCAGCCAGGTGGGTTCTTTGTATCGGATCGCAATTTTGCAGTCGCCGAATTTTGTAGTCTAGGATCGGATTGCCCGTGTCTCCATCGCACTAGTGGCCATTCGTGTCAGAATTATTTTAGGCCACTAAACCGCCTTTGTCGGGTTTCTTGGGTCTAACTGCATTCGGTGGTGGTTTCCTGATTTGACTCCGCAAGAGTCATGGCTGCGGTCTGCTCCTCATAGGGGAACAGACCCTTACTCATAATGAGGTCACACATCTTGACCGTCCCGTGATCGTCTCCCTAGACTGGATCCGGTTACACGACACATCTTGCCATGTCTAGACCGTGTACTCGGACACTGTGTTGTCAGCTGTGAATTATTGACGTCTTTAATTTATCATGCAGGCTGAATGTCGTCAGGCAATCCGGAGGGAATCGGAGCATCGGTGGTTGGACTGGGATGAGATACTGTTTTCTCTAGGAACGATATGAGCGGTAAGATATCTTATGAATGTGAAAGATAGAATCGATCTAGGAAATTTATGAGTTCTTAGATGTTACGTTGATATCTAGCTTGTGTCTGTCTTGTAATTGTCAACCCTTGCGGAAGAGGCGGGAAAGACTTCACCCGGCAGATCCTGGAAGACATAACTTTGCTCTTCGTAAATCGGGACGATTAGGTTCAGAGAAATCGACAAGACCAGCAGATGCAGAGGAGTAATAGTTTTTAATAATTTATCCCGCGGCACGAGAAATTTGTAATCGCCCCTTGCATTAATCCAGCCTTACCGCTTCGCGGATCGCACTCGTAAGGAACCATACGGAGGATTCTCTTGGTATATAAAAGTTTAATGGATCCATGTGATCGGGCTGCCAAAAGACCAGAGAACATATTGATCGACTGAGTGCGCTCACAGAAAAAGCAACTGGGGTAGTCTCATAAGTGATTTGAATATTCAATGTCCCCTGATGAATATATTTCAAATCAAGTCTCGGCAAACTCAGCTGCTCTACACCTCCAGGTATACTAAGTTTTATTGGCAACGCCAAAAACATGAAATATTCTGGCATGTTAGCTCATCCCAATTTATTTTGGTACCGCATTCTCCCTACCATGAATATCAAGTGGCCAGTCCAAACCGGATGATAGTGCATCTGTCAATGGCGTCGATCGCTTAGAACTGCATTACGTGTCTGAGCATATGCTGCAAACCCTTGTTCTACGTTTTCCCTATAGAGTGACACGTAGTCATAGAGAAAAGGAGTTGAATCCTTCTCAGACATGCTGCGGTATGCAAGGTGAAGCTGTTCGTGGACTAATCAGTTGGCTCTTAGTCGGGTGGAAGAAACACCGCCATAAGCTGCAGCGAGAAGCTGTGGGATAGGCTCTAGAATGTTCTATACCTTGTCCGTACTTAGTACAAAGTAAGGCTATTAAATCGTTGCCTGTTCGCATGATAGTATTACATCTGCTGGCTGCCTTATAAGATAGACAAGCTGAACGGGCACATCTCACTGGAAAATAGAAGCCTTTTTTCAGAGCACAAGCCCCTCAAAAGTAGCTCTCCGATAAAACGATTTGAACATTGTCGAGAACAATAATATGTCTCAATCCAAGTTTCTGAGCTTTGGATATTGCCAAAATTGACTCTCTGGATTATATATATTACAAGTTGTAAAGTCAACTTCGCTTGGAGGTCTTGCTGTAGGCTATGAGAGAGAAAAAAAGGTGGAGAGAGGAGAAAGAAATTATAGTCAGAAATAAAATATAACTATATACAAAGAGAATTTCAAACGTTATTTTGTGGTGCACTATAGCGCTCGATCAACGGGTTCTTAGATCCACCAGCGAAAGTGACATCCGAGAGAATAGATCGTTGATTTTTAGAAAACAGGTGCGATTTGAAGACCGTGAAAGACCAATTATACTAGAGACTTTTCTTAAATTTATTTTATCAAAATGCCCTTTTGGTAAAGACACCCAGTTAGTTCAATGTTGCCTCGAAAATCCTCAGCCGGCATTTGGCTCGGCACGCGTCATGATCTCAGGCACGGGAACCCGATCCGCATGCAGCCGTCGTCGATGCCGAACTCTCGGAATCGACTAACCTGCATGGCACTAAATCGCAAATCTTTGACCTCTAAAATCTGCAATTTGCTTCTATCTCAATGTAACTGATTGATTTTCAGCGACACGATCTTGTCTGTGGCTTCATAGTCTCATATAAGTGATGGCTCCTCCGGGGAGCTTTGGGCGATTGGCCCCGTCTAATTTGCGGAGGTATGTCATCACAACATTGGCATAGAATCTGTTAACTGAGGTGTGCAGTTTACTTAATCCATTAACGTGGAGAGCGCGCCTCGAGCTGGACTCGCGGGCCTTTCTGCTAATGCTGAAAGGCGCATTGCCACCGACGGTTGTGATCGCCATGTGAGTTTCTCTGCTCCCCAGAATCGAATTCAGAACGCCAATCTAACATCAAATAGCCATCAGAGCGATGCAATCGCAGATATAACTCTGACAATAGGCTACTTATCAGCCTTAATATCCGTCTTGTCTCAGGCATTAATGCCGCGCGCGAAGTTCATGAAGATCATGCTCTTCGACCTCCTATCTACCTGCGTATCAGCATCTCTCTGCTGCCTGGCCGTGTATTGCGCCGTCGAAGCGAGGAAACACAACACGCCCGCAGACGCCAGCGAGGCCGTCCGTAACGGCTTCAGCAGCGATGCCTGCGCCGTGTCCGCCATCTGGCTCATCTTCATGATTTGGTACCGTCGCACCGCGTCCGGATGTATAAATCCCATGCTGACGGAGAATGCAGGGCAGCTAATACCCTCCGCGCCTTGCGGCCCATGGAACTTCAAGATCCAATGGTTGCGTTTTCGATCTTCTGTTCCGTGACTATAACTCGCGCCGGTACCTTCGTTACTCTGTCCGAAGGGTTGACCTTTATATCACGCCTGCTCAAAGGCTTCATGATTGGGTTCGCTATCGCTACTGGAGTATCGCTCTTAATTATGCCGATTACTAGTCGTGGCGATGTCTTCCATGATGTCAGGACTTATGTGGCGCAAATTGATGCCGTGCTGAAGTCCCAGATCGACTTTGTAGCTGGGAGCTCGGATGTGTGGACTGGTGGAAGGGGGTTGTTGAGTCGGACAAGAACGGCGCGGAGTATGCGCGAGACTGAGAGCCCTAGAGACTCAGGATTGGAGGGGAAGCAGAAACGCCTGTCGGCGGCGATCACGAAGTTGAACGGCCTGCATGGAAAACTGCAGTCGGATCTGTTTTACTCGAAGGATGAGTTTGCTTGGGGGAAGTTGTCGGCGGAGGATTTAAATAAGATTGGAGGGTTGATGCGGAGCATACTGCTGCCTCTTTCTGGGATGGCGATGTTGCCGGAGATTTTGGAAATGGTCGTCAAGAATGAAGGCACGAGGGAGAACTCAAGAGATACCCCCGATGATGATGATGCTGACGAGGAAGCTTTGAAGCATTCGGAGATACAAAGAGTCGTGCAGACACTGCATGACCGTCTCGTTGAGTCTTCGAATTTGACGACGCCTGGTCTGCAGTATGTTCTTCTATCGTTCGAGTTGACGAAACGAAAGCAGCTCGAAAGAAATTTCAAGGCTCGGGGGGACGAGGAGTCTAGAGGCAACGTGCTGAGTCCGCTGGAACCTGGTTTCACATCTCGGTTTGAACATGAGCTCCGGCAATACTACGCATCTCGCAAACATCTTCCGCGAGCTCTTGCCTCTCTCGAGGCATTCTCGGTCTCTGAAAAGGTAACAGATTATACCTCGGACGACCCACGCACGCTTGCTGCAGACTCCGATGTGCGGCAGGAATTCTTCCTGATTCTCTACATGGGTCATTTACAGGACGCTCTTCTCAAGGCAACGCTGGACCTGATCAAGTTCGCAGATACAAAAATCGCCGACGGAACCATGAAGCGGAACAGGGCCATCTTTCCCAAACAAAACTCGATACGAGGATGGCTATCCTTGAACTCCGAGAAAAGGGAATCCGAAAGCCTTCCAGATCGCAGAACGTCATCACATGTTGATCCCTCGTCGGTCCACGACACCCAGCCAGGCCAATTCCCCGACCCCGAGCATCTGCCTCCGGCGAATATTTTCGAAAAAGGCAGCAACTTTCTCCGTGTCATCTCGCATGTCATTAGGTCCGAGCAAAGCTTGTTCGGGTTCCGTGTAGCCGCTGCGTCGTTCAGCGTTGGAATCCTGGCCTTTCTGCACCAGACACAGGACTTCTTTATTCACCAGAGATGCATATGGGCGATGATCGTGATCGTCATCGGGATGAACCCGACAAGCGGACAGACCATGTTCGGCTTCATGGCCAGGATCGCAGCTACCGTTATCTCGCTAGTCCTCAGTTTAATCGTCTGGTACATCGTGGACCAAAAGACAGCAGGGGTCATTGTGTTCCTGTACCTTGCCAACGTCTTCGAGGTATGGCAACCCCCACACTACCACTCACACTCCAATACTGACCATCCAAACAAGTACTACTTCTACATCAAAGTCCCGCAATATTTCGGCGCCGCTGTGATCTCCATCGTGACACTCAACGTCATCGTCGGCTACGAGCTACAAGTCCGCAAACTCGGCCTCGAAACAGCCACCTCCAACGGCCAACCCTACTACCCCATCTACCTGTTCGGGCCCTACAAACTCGCCGCAGTAGCCGCCGGCTGCGCCATCTCCTTCTTCTGGGTGATCTTTCCCTACCCGATCACCGCCAAATCGACGCTCCGCCACGCCCTGGGCCGCGGGCTCTTCGTCCTCGCCCAGTTCTACAGCTGCATGCACACCACCGTCGAGCTCTGGCTGAGCGGCGAACTCGGCCACGTAGACGATGCCCGCTCCTCATCTTCCAAGCTTGAAACGGCCCGCCACAAGGTCTTCAAGGAGGAAATGATGCTGCTGAACCAGCTCCGCATGCACAGCCACTTCAGCACCTTTGAGCCGGCGATCGGAGGCAAGTTCCCGAAGCGCGTATACGATAGCATTATCTGCGAGATCCAGCGCATGTTGACGAGCATGGCGCTGATGGCGCAGACGACGCAGGATCTGGACGCCCTGTCGCTGCAGACGCGTGGGGGCGCTGAGGCCCAGAATACGTGGGTCTCCAGACTGGCGGGGATCGCGCTGCAGTCGGCGGATTTCAAATCGCATGCCACGACGTCGTTGCTGTGTCATTTGTCGGCGGCGTTGACGAATGCGCAGCCGTTGCCGCCGTATTTGTCGACTGGGGAGTCGTTTCCGTTGGCGAGGGAGTTGCAGAAGATTGATGGCGAGCTGCTGAGTATTCGCCATGTGGATGATCCGGCGTTCTCGGCGTTTGTGGCGCTGGAGGTGCTGAGGTCGGTGGTGAGTTTTAGCTTGAGGGATCTGTTGAGGTAAGTTTATCGGGTGGTGTCTGTGGTGAGAGAATCGTGCTAATGTGTGGTAGTGATGTCAAGGGTCTTGTGGGGGAGCTCAGTTTTGACTTCCATGTTCGACGTAGCTTGGAGTATGCTGAGTCGACACGGTTGATGTCGGCTACTAGTTGAGATGTATAGATGATTTAGATATCATTAATATAGAAATAATAATGCCAATCCTATTAGTGCCTATCTTAGACCGAAGGACTGACATCGATTCAGTATTGTGTTTTATTTCATCGAAATAGAGTTGTCTTGGGGGTTCTGTGAGCATCATAATTTGAAAACATATATATAAGCCCCTCTCTTGACACGCCTGTTCTCAAATAATTTTGTTGCAAATATACCCATCCACTGCAGCAAGCATTTCATCGGATATATAGATCCCCGCCAGAGATCCACGCTACATATGCAATCTGACATACAGCTTGCTGTTTCACCATCAAGTTCCACCATAGTCCCAAAACAAGTCCTAACATTCCCAGGGCCGATGAGAAATGAGAATCAATGTCAAAAATTGTCCTACCAGGAAGGTTGACCCTTTTTGGATTAGTGCTCAATTTTCGAAAATTGGCCACCAGAAAATTCACGTCGATTTGCTCCGAGATTCCGCCGAATGTATTCCTTATGTTGAGCTTAGATTGACTCCGGAGTAAGTTTTATCCCGCTACAGGGACCAAAAAAAGCTTCCTGATATTTTTAGCCTAGAGCAGTTCTAGAATCATCTAGAAGGATAAAATTAAAACACGTTTGGTATATGGCCTGTCTGGTGTATCATATTCTGTCAATTTTGCCGTGGTCAATAATACCCGTAGGTCGAGTCCCCACATTTCGCCGGAAACCATTTGCTGCCCAGCGCCCGTCGTCCAAGTGACCCACTATCCTCCCTTTGTTTACCCCCAATCCTGTGCAGTACGCAGTACCCAGTAGTTCAACAACGATGCAATGCCTCAGACATCGACTGAAACAGTCTATCTTCAGACGAGCGCTTTCCCCAGCTAGGAAATTCTGGCACACAGGTGTTCGTCTCGACCTAAACGATAAACTAGAGGAGGAAACGCTGCGAGGATACTCGCCCGAGCAATTTTACCCCGTGAAGATTGGTGAAGTATTTCGCTCCAGATACTAAGTGCTTGGAAAACTTGGCTACGGAGGCCATTCTACAGCGTGGCTGTGTAGAGATTTGCAGTCAGTTAGTTCCAGACGGGTGATATTGAAACTGAGGACTGAAAAGCAGTAGACGCCATGTCTACGTTACATTAAAAACATACGAACAAGGGTCTAGCCACGGAAGACGGGAGAAAGAAATATACGAGTATCTTCGGGCTATCAAATCAAGCCATACAGGCTCTTTGCTTGTGCGACGCGCCGTCGATGACTTTCACATTAGTTCTGCGAATGCCTACTCCTACCAGTGTCTGGAGCATCCTCCGCTAGTGATGAGTCTCTGCGAGCTACGCAATCGGGCCGTGGGGAAGGTGCTTCCGGAGGAGTTGCTCAAGCCGGTGTTGATCCATATACTTCTTGCTCTCGACTTTCTGCATACAGAAGCTGGGGTTGTGCATGCTGGTATGATATTCTAAATGTGAAACCATGCACAGCCTGGATTTTCCATTGACGGAATCAGATATCCAAGAAAACAATATCATGCTGAGTGTCGAGGATGAGTCTGTTCTCGTCGACTTCGAGCAGGCAGAGAGATCTAGTCCCAGCCGACGCAAAATAATTGGCGACCGGGTGATCTATTCGTCCCGAGACCTAGGCATTCCAAAGGTGCATGACCGTCCTATTCTATCTGACTTCGGCGAGGCTCGCTTGAGTTCGAGCCTGGGGAAGTGGGAGGATGTTCAACCTTTGGTTTACCGGGCTCCGGAGGTTATGTTGCGGATGCCGTGGAATGAGAAGATTGATATTTGGAACGTAGCGGTTCTTGTATGTATCCTATCTCTCATACGAGGTCTCGTTCTGCCAAAGCTAACGATGTCCATAGGCCTGGGGTCTTTTCGAGAAGAAACATCTCTTCCGTGTCCGCGATTCAAACAGGAATGTCTCAGACAGCCACCATCTCGCCGGGATGGTGGCGATAATGGGCGCGCCGCCCAAAGAAATGCTTCGAGATAGCGAGTATGCGATGAAGTTCTTCGATAGTGACGGTATGCTTATATACTTCCCTATCTTCTTTTTATACTCAAGGCACAGCTGATGGTAGATCAGGCAATTGGATAGGGATCGCAGAAGTCCTTTCTGTATCTCTGGAGACGCTGGAGGCTAGTTTGCGAGGTACACAGCAGAGTTTATTTCTCTGCTTCATGCGGAAGATGCTTCAGTGGCAACCGGGTAATCGGACGTCCGCGAAAGAATTACTGGCAGATCCTTGGTTGAGATCAGGTTAGGGTGGGTTTCTGTTTTTTTTTTTTTATTTTTTCTAATTCTTTTTTGTTTGGCCAATGGGCGGAGAGATTGAGAGGGGAATTTTCGGTGGATTTTATCTAATGTGTTTTATCGCCACAGGACGAGTCACATCAGGGAACGATGGGCTCGAAGAAGAGTATAGAGACGATCTCAGAGGGGATGAGTCTCGCCTTGGATAAAACAGATTCGACTAGGCCGATTTGGGGACTATTCTGCAGTTCAGGTTAAATCCACGCTAAATCCATTATTAATTCAACGGTCTTATAAATGCATGATAATCAGAATTCTTAATTAAGACCATATATTAACACAATGATCTAAACAAAAGCATAACTCGTAATGTATAAGAGGGGAGATCTATGAAAAATTACACCAACCCACATATCGCTTAAGCCAATGCAACGCTATGCAAATCTAAGCAGAAGGAACGCCTCCCGTTCCAAACAGCTCCATCTTAATGCGATCGCCACTCACGCCCTTGCCCACCAGCCCGGCCTTCATGGCGCCCATGAACCCCTCGGGTCCGCAAACGTAGTACTCGGTGCTCTGGTCGTCCAGGAACAGATCCTTCTCGTCGTCTAGCTTGCTCAGGTCCACGCGGCCGGCGTGGTCGAAGTCCGACCCCTGCTTGTCGGCCTCTGTTGGGTGGCCCGTGAAGAACGTCGCGTGCAGGTTGGGGAACTTCTCGGCTAGAGATTGGATGTGCGGACGGAAGGGTCGTGCGGCGGAGGAGCGCGCGCCGTGCACGAAGTGGATCTTGCGCTGGGCGGACTTCGCAGTCAGGGTGTTGAGGATGGAGGTGAGAGGGGTGAGACCGACACCGGCGGCGATGAGGACGATGGGGTTTGAGGTCTCCTCGTCCTGCAGGAAGAAGTCGCCGAAGGGGTGCGAGACCTTCACGACGTCGCCTTCCTTGATCTGGTCGTGCAGGATGTTCGACACGTACCCCGGGTGCGCCGCAGCGTTGGGCTGGCGGGGATTGAGCCCGGATTCCCGCTTGACGCTGATCCGGTAGTGGTCGGGTTCGGGCTTGTCGGAGAGCGAGTACTGGCGGGCTTGCGGGTACTTGAGCTCCGGCACGAAGACCTGGATGGAGATGTACTGGCCGGGGCGGAAGGAGGGCAGGGGCTTGCCGTCGACCGGGACGAGGTGGAAGGAGGTGATTTCCGAAGACTCGGGGATCTTCTGGGCGATGCGGAACTCGCGGAAATCCGTCCAGCCGTTGGCTTCCTGGTAGAGCTGGGCTTCGCGGCCGATCATGAGGTTGGCGAGTTGCCAGTAGGCGGCGGCCCAGGCGGCGTGGATGGCCGGGGTGAGGGCGTCGCCGAGCACCTCGCCCATGGCTTCGAGGAGGTACTTGCCGACGATCTCGTACTGCTCGGGCTTGATGTAGAGGGAGGCGTGCTTGTGGCACATCAGCTCGACGGCGGGCGTGAGAGCGCCCAGGTCGTCGATGTGAGAGGCATAGGCGAACAGGGCGCCGGCGAGAGCGCGCGGCTGGTGGCCGTTGACTTGGTTGGCGGTGTTGAAGACGGTGTTCAGCTCGGGATGGGCATCGAGCATGTTCTTGTAGAACAGAGTGGTGATGGCCTTGCCATGGACCTGGAGGACCGGCACAGTGGCCTTGATGGTCTGGACCTGTTCGGGAGTCAAAGACATGGAGACAGGCAGGGTTGGATCTTCAGAGTGATTAGGATGATGTGACAGGATGAGGAACAGCAGAAGACGAGCGGAGAAGAGAGACGGAGCGCATATTTATACGGTGCCTCAATCACCGTGGAAATCCCGATGCGACTTCATCTCCGCGGAGCTCATGCTTTGCGTGTAACCGCTGGCACGATAAGCGGGTATTGCGGGATGATTTCATGTGGCCATTTCTGAGTTACGTTAAAACTCTGCCCTCCCGCTAAAAAGGTATAAAGACCAGTCGGGGACGGACAGGGACAGGAGACCGACTGGAAACCGACCCCTCAGTTTGGAGGGTGTCGTCAACAAGAATGGACATGTCACTGTGCAGATGCAGAGTACGTACAGTACAGCAGCCACTACGATCGTCTACTCCGGAGTCGAACGAGACCAGCCAAGCAATCAGCCCACCAAACGCCGATCGGAAGGAATAGGAGGGCTTGACTAAGAAATACCTCAAAAAGCGTTCTGGAAAAATCAGAAGACGTTGATGGGCCCATCTGCCTTTATCCAATCATGGAGCAGCATTTGCAATCACCGCCTGCCAGTTTGGAGAGTGAGTCAGAAAGAATTATTATCGTGACGAACCGCTAATAAATTATTCGCAGATGATTACGGCCTGGATCATTCCATTTTCCTCACATCGGATTGGCCCAACCAGTCAGCAAACGATGACCTCATCCGTGCATAAGGCCCGTACATAATCAGTGCCATCTGCATTCCAAGCACGAACACTTCATCCGGAATGAGGGATCAACAACCTCAAACGCTATATTGGCTGCCACGTCTCAGATACGCTGTGTGTCTTTATTGGCTCGATGCTTTACATCTGAACTATCAACTCTTGGCTGATTGGATTGCGTCCTCCGGGTTCCATGAATGCGAAAGCCACGAAACCGCCAGAACATGAAAGTATATAACTTAAACTTAACATTGTCGGGACGAAGCGCAACGTTTCGGTTAAGAAAACTGAAAAGAGAAAATGGTCCGTTCAACTTGATAGCGCCCTGGAATGCTAAAGTCTACAATTTGAAATCATGAAGCTACCAGACTGGTGAGACGCCAGTCATCTGCTAATGCGAGAAATCTGCAGGCGGCGAAAAACATCAAAATCTGTGACGTGTTCATGTCGCCCCGGATTAATTGTGTCGAGCGCTGTTCTGGCCATGATGTGACGGCAACTATCAGCTAGCACGGTGACAGGGTAGCGGCTTTCAAGCGGTCCGTGAGCAACAGCAGTCTGGCCAAACGTGACACTACCGGTACACTGTACTCGAAAGGGCCTCGATACTCGCACAATGAGTGGGAAGCAAAGAATCGGTTTTCAAACGCAAAATGCCTCCTCCATATTCCAACTGCAATCCGGGAAGATCATCTGAGTGGGTTTGTCGTCTTTGCAAGAAAGCGACGATAAACACAATATGAGCGAAGAAAAAATGTCAGCATCAGCGGAGAGGTCGAAAGGGGGCAAAAGTACTACTGGGAACGAGGAAAATCGCGAGACATGCCGCCCTGGACCTCCAGAGTGCGATTTGCTATTGGTGATATCAAATATGTCAATCTGGCTTACGCGCGGAGATCGGAATTAACGGATCATGCACCTAGCACATCGATTGAGGCAATTGGGCTACATTAACTCCGCAGACCGCAATGAAGAGATGGCGAGCCATGTCCCTTTCCCGCAAGTGGATCGTCACATCACGCATCACGCCGGTCACCGCTATGGCGTTTTTCATCAAGAATCCATCACATCGCGAGAAGACAAAAGATGTTACATCGAACGGTCAACAGTCTATTGGCTAAAGGACTATCGCTGGTTAATAATTTCGTTCGATGGTGTCGATGACACCGCGCGAGACGGTGGTGTTGATGAGAGAGATGGAACGAGGGAAAGAATCGAAAAGAGGGGGGGGTTTATACTCCGCCGGCTGCACATGACACCGTCAGCTGATACAGCTTCCCATTCCGCTGGCCTGAGGGATCAATACGGACAGGACCAGATCGCTGACTGCTGATAGAATGGAGAGGTGTTGTGGTCTGATGAGAATGTCTTCGAATTGATGATATCTATAACGCAGACCAAAGCGCATAAACTAACACAATCTATCCAAACAGAACAAGCGTCCACAAGCACGCTAAAAAGCGCAAAGAAAGGATCCTCCGTTCATCTAATCCAACTGAACCTCACACTCCTGCTTCCCCAAGAAGAGATCATCAAAAAGAATATGCCCCGTGTACGAAGAGCCCGAGAAGGTGCAGTACGCACCCACATGAAGAATATCCCTCGAGGTAGTGGGCCGATAGCTCCCCCTCACCTCGACCCATTCTTCCTGGTCGAACAATTGCTCGGACGCAATCGACCCCGCCGTGGAGTTCGAGCCGTGGTAGGCGAAAACGCCGCAGTAGTTGGCGCCGTAGTTGGGAGATCGCGCCTTGACGCTGAAGGTGTAGTTGGCGCCGATTGTGAGGTCTTTGATGGACTGGGAGATGGAGTTGCCGCGGTTGCCGACGGCGGTTTCGAGGTTCCTGTTTTAAAGAGGAGACGGGTCAGAATGCTGCTTGTGTTTGAAGGGGCGGGGCTGGGAATGGGAAGAGTCAAGGCTTACAGGTAGTAGTCGCCATCGAGGACCGGAGTTCCGGTGCTGATTTGGGCGACGTCGACTGCGCTCGCGACCCAGGGTGAGAGGGTGCCGGTCTCGAAGGACGGGTTTGCCAGCACGTTGCAAGACAGAGCCATTGTGGAGTGATGGTTGCTGCGATTTTATTCAAGGGAGATTATCGACTAATCGTTCCTGGCTTTGGGTTGAAGAAAAGGAGATAACAGGAAGTCCAACACCGGTCAACAGCATCCCTTTTATAGACAACCAGCCACTCAGGCATGCCATCTAAATTTCCTACGTGGTGAAAAACTAATCATACCTGACACTACGCCAATAAGCTTGTCACTGCTAGCTTATGTCTAAGATTAATTATAGCGATTGTCAGGACTGGAAGCTGCGGATGGCTGAACAAGGGTGACACAAGGGGTCGTGAAGGATTTTAGGGCTTACATCGCCCAGCCGCATTGGTTCCCTCGTATTTGATCCGATTGAGTCAAGCTGGTCCGCGGATCCCCAAAGTCTGTCGACTCATCCTGCGGCCCAGAAATCTCGGCGCGCGGGGCATGACATGCTTCGGGAACATAAAGACGGGGAAGTGGACCAGAGTGGTTATATGCTTCAAACAAACTCCATTTGATTTACGTCTTCACAACTTACACATCACTACCCTCTGACGTCATTATTCTGTCCCAACTACGAATACAGCGAAACAGTATGGACCATAATAATAATCCCACAGACGTAAAAGGGGAATGGGACCCGGAATTCAACGATCTACATGATTTGCTGCAGAAGAACATCGCCAATGAATCGGAAGTCGGAGCCTCAATCACAGTCAACATTAACGGTAAAAACGTGGTTGATATCTGGGGAGGATATCGCGACGCAGCTCGATCACAGCCATGGGAAGCAGACACGATCGTCAACGTCTTCTCGACTACCAAAAACATCGTCAATCTAGCCATGCTAGTACTGATCGATCGAGCCCTGCTTGATCCACACGAGAAAGTCTCCAAATACTGGCCCGAGTTCGCACACAACGGCAAACGAGATATCGAAGTGCGCCATCTCATGTCGCATACCTCAGGGCTCTCCGGCTGGGACGAGCATATGGAGCTATCGGATCTGTATGATTTCGAGAGCGCCGCGGCAAAGCTAGCAGCGCAGGCTCCCGCATGGACACCCGGTACAGCCTCGGGTTACCATTCCCTAACGCAGGGCTTCCTGCTGGGCAATGTAGTCCGTCAAGTAACCTCAATGACCCTGACGGAGTTCATCGCGAAGGAAATCGCATCGCCACTCGGCGCTGACTTCCAAATCGGAGCCAAACAGTCTGACTGGCCCCGAATCGCAGACATGATCGGATACACACAACCCGCGCCCACCGACTTGGACACCACCTCCATCGCATACAAATGCCTCTACAACCCCATGTTCCCATTCGAGATAGCCAACACGCCCGAGTGGCGGAACTCCGAGCTGGGGTCTTGCAATGGGCATGGGAACGCGCGCTCCGTGGCGCGGATTCTCTCGACGATCTCCAATGGCGGCGATGTGGACGGCAAACCCTTCTTGAAGCCCGAAACGATAGATCTGATCTTCCAGGAGCAGTCAATGGGTCCTGATCTGGCGTTGGGATTTCCGTTCCGCTTCGGTATGGGGTTTGCGCTTACGGCGCCCAATCTGTGGCCGCCTTACCTTCCTGCGACTGGGCGAGTGTGTTGGTGGGCGGGCGCGGGCGGGTCGATTGGTGTGATGGATCTGGATCGACGGATGACTGTTGCTTATACGCCGAATAAGATGCAGATGCAGGGGCCGGCGGGGGAGTATGTCGAGTGTATGTATAAAATTGTGGATGAGATGAAGTAGGAGGGATACTCTACAATGTTGGCCTATAAAAGTTTGTTTTGCGATCAGATGACCATTCTGTGGGAATGATGCAGGTATCAATGGAAATGCCATTCTGGAATAGCATGATGAGCCTGGGAATCAAGGGTCTCTTGGTCGGAGATTGATGAGACATGGACAGCTTTGTTCTTCCACGACTGGAATTATGCGTTCGTCATTGATACTAGGTCTATATCCCGAGCTGTCTGAAAAGGAAATAGCCTCTGACATCCAATGGTCTGAATGATCTTTCTTGTTACCACTTGCAAGAAAAAGGATATGTCCAAATAGAGACAATGGTCAACTTGTCAAACTTTCAGAAAGATAAGGTTATAAACTCAACCATAAACCAGATGAGACAAAACCTAAATAAGATTTGGATCAGTAAACAATTATCCCACAGAACAGGATCTGACTACACGGAACTCCGGGTTTCATTCTCGCAGAATCTGAAACTCCTCATCACCCATGTAACCCACTAATAATAGCATTGAGCTGAGCATAGACTTCGGATTGAACGACGATCTTCTACAGACAGAAGAGCTTATAGAACAAGAAAGCTTCGTGTAAAGGCACCTCCTCGAACAGACATCGTCCCCAAAGCGGCAAGGGACTGCGAATGAGCCAGGGCTTCTCAAGAAAGACGTCTCTGGAGTGGAGAGAGTCCGAGAGATCGACAGGCACGTTCAGGGGTAGTGATGCCTTGGAGCCTGAGACAGCACATGTCCACCAATCAGAATGGCCGGGCATCGGAGTGAGTGCTTTCCGGTATGTGTATTACCGTATTCTGGAAGGAATTGGCTGTCAACGAGACTGTCTTGATGTATTAGAGATACACCTGCATAGATCGCCCCCAAACCCCCAAAGTCATCGCAATCAAACTGGCACACGATGATCCTTCCAGATTGTCTTTTTGCCTGCCTGTCCTTCTGCACCACCACTTCCCCAATCAGGCAGTCACTTTACCCCTTCTGGTAACTCCTATCGAACGCCCTCAGGGTTCTTCACCCTCATGACGGTCTTCAACCGGGACCTGCGGCCCACATGGTCTTGTTTCTGTTTCTGCTCGTGTTCGGGGGCGAAGGGGAAGGCTTGACGGTCTTGATCCGTTCACAGGGCTGCGGATGCATTCTTATATAGTTGTTGGGCCCTCGGGTACTGGATGATGTGAGAGTAGATTTATTCCTTCGTTCTTACCTTCATTCGTTCATTACAACCCAACAGTCTTTCATTTATTTATCGCTACTCAGATGCGCGAGTTCCTCTCCTTAACGGCCCTCGCCGCCGTCCTGGCCTCGGCCTCTGCTGCTGCCATTCCTTCATCTTCCGCAGCAGGGGCTTCGAAGACTCTGTATGTGCAGATTTCCCCACATCCAGACACCAGTTCCTAACAGCAAACGCAGAATCTCCAACGCAGCCAGCGGCACCTGCTCCGGCCCCACGAATAGCAGCCCATCGAGCTACTGGCTCGCCGAGCAAGACCACAAGGGCAACGCACGCGGGTACGCCCCCAACGTCGACAACGCGAACTACCCCGTCTGGCGCAACGTGCAGACAGACTACAACGCCAGCGGCGACGGGTCCGGCGACCAGACGGCCAGCCTGCAGCGCGCGATCAACGATAACGGCAGCGACGGCAGCCGCCAGAGTAGCGGCGTCACGCGGTACCCGGCCGAGGTGTATCTCCCCGGGGGGACGTATACTCTGGGGAGTACGCTGGAGCTGCGCGTCGGGACGGTCATTACGGGTGATCCGTTGGATGTGCCGGTGTTGAAGGCGAAGGAGGGGTTTGAGGGGCAGGTGCTGGTGAAGGGGTATGATGAGGGGAATGGGAACCCCGAGACGAGTTTCATGACGCTGATGCGGAATGTTAAGTTGGATATGACGGCGTTGGCTGGGGATGTCGAGGTTACGGCGCTGCAGTGGGGTGTTGCGCAGGGCGCTGGGTTGACAAATGTCAAGATTGAGATGCCGGAGAATTCGAGCGGACATACCGGCATTGACATTAAGTCTGGGTCGACGATTGCGGTGACGGATGTGGTATGTTGGTCTTGATGTCCTGTCGCGATGTGGGCGAGTAAACTGGAGGAGAGATTGATGCTGACTGGAATAGGAAATCACCGGCGGAGCCACCGGTATCAGGAACTCCAACCAGCAAGTCAACTTCAAGAACATCTCTTTCAAAGGCTGCACTACCGCGTTTGAGGCGGCGGGTGGTCACACGGCACTGCTGCAAGGCGCCACCTTCGACACTTGCGGCGTGGGCATCGACATGACCGGTAATGGACTGGGGAGTTTGGTGCTGCTGGACTCGGCATCGATCAATTCCGGCACGGTGGTGAAGTTCTACGACTCATCCAACGATGGAGGCAAACGCAACAGCCAGCTTTTAATCCAGAACCTTTCGCACGACAACGACAACGACATCGCCGTCGACAACAACGGCAAGGTGCAGCTGAAGGCCACTAAGCAGGTCGATACCTGGGTTTGGGGCAACGTCACGCCCGGCCAGTACGAAACCGGCACCAGCTTTAGCACCTCGCGCCCTGACGTGCTGCTGGACAACGGCAGGTTCTTCACCAAGAAGCAGCCTACTTATGCCGAGTACGCGGCCGACCAGATCGTCAATGTCAAGTCCGTCGACGGCCACACCGTCAAGGGTGACGGATCCACGGATGACACCGAATCCCTGAACGCCATTCTGGCTGACAACGCGGCCAACTGCAAGATCACCTATTTCCCGTACGGCGTGTACATCGTCAAAGACACACTGAAGATTCCCACGGGGTCGCGCATCGTGGGCGAAGCGTGGGCAGTCATTGCGGGCGCCGGCGAGGCTTTCAAAGACGCCCAGAAGCCCAAGACGGTGGTGCAGATCGGCCAGCCCGATGACGTCGGGGTGATCGAGATCCAGAACATGCGCTTTTCGGTCGCCGAGATCCTCCCCGGAGCCAAGATCCTCGAGATCAACGCCGCCGGCAGTCAACCTGGCGACGTTGGGCTCTGGAACACGATCGTGACTGTCGGCGGCACGGCGGAGACCTCGGTCTCGAACGACTGCACCGACCAGGACACCTCGAACTGCATGGCGGCTTTCATGGTCCTGCACCTGACCGAGAGCTCGTCGGCCTACCTCGAGAACTTCTGGGGCTGGACCGCGGACCACAACCTCGACGACGGGCCCACCACCATCATCTCCACTGGTCGCGGCATCCTCGTCGAAGCGACCAAGGGCACCTGGCTCACAGGCACCGGGTCCGAGCACCATTGGCTCTACAACTACAACTTCCACCACGCGAAGAACGTCTACGCGGGCCTGCTGCAGACCGAAAGTCCCTACATGCAGGGCAACGGGGCCGTCAAGTTGGCTCCGGCGCCGTGGACCGCTGATTCACAATACGGCGACCCGAACTTCTCGTGGTGCGACGAAGGAGATGGCGCCTGCCGCAGCGCGCTGGCGACCAACGTTGACGGCGGGTCCGACATTCTGCTCTACAATTCGGCGGCGTGGGCGTTCTTCAACGGCGAGTGGGATGGCAGCTACGGCGACCAGTGCGACGGCGCCTGCCAGACCAACATGATGCGGGTGACAGGAGACCCGGAGAATCTGGTCTGGTACTCGATCAACACCCGGAAGACGGACGTGATGGTCCTGGACGGGGAGGACAATCCGAAGGAAGAGAACCACCCGGGCGGATGGGAAGCCATTATTCAGGCATACCGGCAGTTTGAAAAGGGAGGCAACTAGATTTTTGTTGTTTGCGATGTGCAGGAAGCAGTGGTGGTTGGTGGCTATTTTTATCTGCTTGTTTGCATTTTATCAATCAAGTTCAGATATGTCGTGGACATGAGTAATTAGCACGGCACGAGATGCTGGATGGAGTAATGTCTAGGCAACAGGTCAGATTGAAGATCAAGATCCGGTCCATCGAATTAAATCAATCTGATTCAATTACCCGAACAGGCCACAACCTTACATTGCTGAGAGCTTAGCTGATGGCTATGCACGATGCACCGCCATACCAACAACCAACCAAAACCAGCTATGAAGCCAAGAGAAAAAGAGAAAAAAGAAACCCGCATTGCCACAGCCAAGCCCCAACAAGCAGCGGCAACGTCATCAGGCCGCACTACGCAGCTTCTCGTCCCTTCGACGGCATTAATTTCGGCTTCCGCGACAGGTGGGTCGCCGTGCCGTCTTCCGATTGTCGCGGTTTTACTGCATCGCGCATCCTTTGAGCACTTATGATGCCATTCGCTCACTGGATGACATCGCAATTTCTCTACTGCGTAGGGATTTCATTGAAATCATAGCAAGGATCAAGCAGGGGCCCCCAGCCTGGTGACGTTGCGTCAGGGTCTCCTGCCAGGGCCTACGTGGGACGAATGTCGTACGTGGCGCTGACAGGGACCCTTGCCAACGAGACTCGACGGAGCACGGGATACCTGGCTACGGGCCTATTCAGTTGCTGCCTGGGGTGTTCTGAATCGTACCATGCACGAAATGACTAAGGGAGCCGATCTATACATAGAAACCCACAGTCCTTTGGAATTCGACTCCGTAATGCAGAGTAGAGTTCGGGAGGTCGCGGTTCCTGTGGCTCGGTGGCCATTTTATGCAGAACCGAAAAGATGGACAAGTGGAGGGGATTGCCCCGTCGTGGAAAGTGATAGGCACTTTCTCTGCACATGTGGACCCTTCTCCGATCGGCCCATGGTTCGGCATTGCCACATTAGCCTTGCCTGTGGACTCGTTGTGAATCGTGGGACGGGACTTGTGAAACGCCCTGCGATTGAGTAATTGTTTGCCGATCGACGCTCAGGCAAATGGAGTGATGGTCAGGGACGTATAAAAGGGGTCAGGGGACCTCCTTTTTTCATGTGCTGTTAATTTATATTCATCTATCTGTCTGTCTAGCGGTCCGGGGTACATACATCTATTCCTCATCCTACTATTTTATATCCACTACTTTATATCTACCTACCAACCAACCACCACCCTCAAAATGAAGTACTCTCTCGTCCTGACCGCTCTCCTCTCCTCCTCGGTCCTCGCCGCCCCCAACCCCAACCCCGACGGCATCGACAACATCGTCTCCGCCGCCGAAGGCATCGCCACGACGGCCGTCAACGGCGGTGAGAGCATTGCCTCCAATGTCGTCGACGACGCCACCTCCATCTACGAATCCGCCAAGACTGCCGGCGGCGCCGCCGCGTCTCGCATCACCTCCGACGCTGGCGAAATCGCCTCGGACGCCCGCACCTGGGCCACCGACCGCGCGTCCGACGCTCGCAGCCGCGCCTCTGAAGCCCGGGACCGCGCCTCCTCCGACCTCGACGACCTCCGCACCCTGACCGGCACCCACACCAGCGACGCCACGGCCACGGCCTCCGCCACCGGCTCCGACTCGGAGACCACCGCCGCGGAGACCGGCTCTTCCGCCACCAGCTCGGGTGCGTCCGCCACCGCTTCCACCACCGAGAGCTCCTCCGCCAGTGGCTCGTCCAGCGGCTCGGGCTCCGAGGCCTCGGCCACGTCGACGAACAGCGAGGGCGCTGCTGCCCAGGCCACGCCCGTCGGCTTGGGCGTTGGCATCGCCGGTATGGCCGGTGTGCTGGGTGTGATGGCTGCTCTGTAAGGGGTTGTCTGCTCTGCTGGTTTTGGGTTTGGTCGGATGGGATGGTCTTTCAAGCACGGTTTAAGTGAATCCCGGTAATAGAGGATTATTATCTTTTCCTTAATTGTACTTATTACTTTCCGTCTGATTTTTTGTTTCCTTTCTGTTCGTTTACTTTCGTATATCGATACCTGGTTGATACCTTTGTTTTATTTCTTCAATTCATGGCTTGGAACGGACTGTCCGAGCTACTTTACAACAAAACATTCTTATGAAGACATTCTATTGTAAATCTACATAGTGTCCACCGGATCTCGTATTTCGTAATCATTTAAAGTAGGTATTATTGATGATCGAAAGCTGTTGTAACATTGTATTATTTTTACTACTTATCGACAACCTCTTTGCACACCGAGGAATTTTCCAATGATGGGAGTGCGTTTTAAAAGCTTTGTCCAATAGTGAAATTGCATTGCCATCAAAAACACTCATGAGCAGGCTGGTGGAATAAGAGCTACCACTTCGCCTAGAATAATCGTTATTCTCATTCTGACTGCGTCAAGCTCAAGTAGAAACGAGGTCCCCCTCCCCGATTAGTTTGAAGGTCTTTTGGCTCGAGAGTTACGATGGCAAGACAATTTCAATGTGGCTTATGCACTGTTCATTGATAGAACCACGTCATTGCGTCTACCACTGCAATGAAAGACCTATCGTGTACTCCGTGCCAGGCCAGCGATTTCTTCATGGCGCGGAGTAAAATCCAAACAGAGTTCAACAATTGCATTGAGAGGACGTGTTTCCACTACCCGGGGTCTGTCGAATTCATCCTTTAATTGGTTGGGCTGCTGATCGGGCTCGAATGCCTTAAAAAGAACAAAGACAAAGATAGGATACACCACGTGTATCTATTTCAGCTCGACTTGGTCCAATTGGGAATCCTGGGCTGAATATGTTCCTGCTAGGATTTTTTTCCCTCGTCGTTAAGGTAAACAAAAACCGGTCCGTGGGTGGTCGCATCACCAGAACTATCGATCGGATTGATTGTTGATGGGATGCTCAAATTCTACTCCTTCGGGGAGAGGCCGGTCGTCGGCTGCTCTTGTCCTTGTCGCAAATTGGGGCTGAGTGGAGTATGTATTTGCATAGGCTCTTGCTTGCGACTAATGCATGGACGTAAAATCCCTGAGCTCTGTGGGTGGGAACCCCTCGGTCTCCCGCATCAACGTCTCCGATTGGTAGGTAGTCAACCTGGTCATCAACTGATTGTCGTCCCCTGAGAGTTATAGAGGAGGCATTTTAGGTTTCGTGGCCATCATTGCCGGTATATTGGCTGGAATGAAACGATTTTTAAAGCCCGTCAGTCCGACTTTGAACTCGTCTTAACCTCTGTGAGTGACAATTGCCAATCAATCTTGATGAGGGCCAAATAGAGACAACAGATAAAACCAACTCATAGCATCTACGGCCATAATTGAGGAATTGACCAGTATCAGATCACCATCGCTGTCAACGTCATAGATGAGATCAGGGCTGTTTAGGTACTTCTTGAATGGGCCCGTGAAAGTTTGCGGAAGGGGGCTATTGTATTGTAGATTGTTAGACTGGATACGTCTGTTGAATCCATTATTGCGAGTGATATAGTCATTGAGGAGCCATGGGTAGCTCGCAGCGAGGCTTTCGCCGCAAAATGCATAATTCAACTGTGCGACTGTGATCCATTTCTATGCGCCATCATCAATGATCGTAGGGTCGATCAGCAATTTGCTGTCGCTGGACATGGTATAGATCCGGCTTCGAGATTCCGTCCAAAGATCTAAGACCGATAACTGGAAGACCATTTTTATCGCCGTGTTGATTTCGGCGAGTCCCAGATCATCGCGAATAATTATATTGGTTTTCATTCGGATCATTGCTTCGTTCAGTCGAAGAAAAAACCATTGAGTCTCCAAGTCATTTCAATCACAGGAATGGTCTCTCGTGTGTGAGATTTTGATCGTCAAAGTCTTTTTAGTCTCTACGACCAAGAAGGGCCGACGAACGAGCCGGCCTCCCCGACGCCTGATCCACTCACTGACGGTAAAGTCTGTATACCTTCTCCATAAATATCCTTGTGGGTTTGAGCAGCGCCGTAGTATCAGCCTCCATTTCACCCACGCAACACTTAGTTTCTACGACGATGGAAACCTCGCGGAAGGGTCTAAGTTGGTATGGAAAGTTCGAACGGCTCCTTCAGAGGGACTCCCAAAAGCGGAGGTTCAACTTGGACAGGTCAAGTCAGGTTCCTTAGATGACTTTTAGTAAGTCACCCAGTTAGCCATGGGGTATAGGAAAGTCGGTAATTTTGGCGAAGATTTTATTCGAAGTGTAGTCTGGGGGTCGGAAACGGACCCCTAGAGCTGCTTTAACCCAGACACTGTACTAGGAATCTGTCAAGGGAAGTCTGGGAATCTCTGGATTGATGAGGTCCTGTTGGTGGTGGGCTTGGAGGAGAAACTTGACATTTCCTAGCCAGACTTTCTAGTTGACACGCCCAGTCAATTTCTCAATGGCAGGGATGGCGTCATTGGTCGTGGTAGGGAGATGTAATACACTCAGGATGCGATGATCGGGAATCCAGCGGCGGAAGCCCGAAATAGACGAAAAGGACGAAAGACGATAGCAGCGAATAATAATGTCTTGCTCGACTGGTGGCAGCGTTCTCATGGAACGCGTCCCTGGTTAAACGGCAGATAAAACCCAACGCTGGTAAAACTCGCTGAAAAGGACCAAATTGAAAGACAAAGCAGAATACAGGAAGCTGCTGGCCGGCCTGGACGACCGTGTTCTAGACGAACTGTACCATGATACCATGTAATACACTCAGGGTGCAATGATGAAGGTTTCGGGTATGTCACGACGACGGTGGCGCTGCAAAAAGGTCTGTAGCCATTTTGATGTTTTATTCTGTGACGAATTGGTGACTTTTGGGTTTTCTGGTTAATCATAATAATCCATAGAAGGCTTCCCGCCGACAGAAGAACTGCTAGACGTAGATATTTGTCCTCGTCTTCGTAGTGCGCGCCAGAGGACCTGGGGACGCCAGAGGAGAACCCGATGCGAAACCAATGCCTATTCAAACTTGTTAGCTAGAATATTTTTTCAAACGAACAGATTAACACTTACATTATTGAGGTTTTTTGGACGTTTCGCTTAACGAAGAGGTCTGATTGGACGAAAACCATAGGTTTTAAGCGTCTTCTAATCGACGAAGAGCCCTCTCGCTCTTATCACTTGGACCGATGAACCGTCGACAAAGAATACTAGTGAGCACCAGTATAGGGGGCTCGGCGAAGGTTTGCGTCCTGCTCTTTGGCGTCAGATATGAGAATCCCGTTGAACCTGAGACAAGGATTTGACGACCGCTAGAATGTGATAGGCAGCCGTCTTCCGCCTGGTTTGTCGTATCTTTTGAGGTACGTTGCGTATGGCTATTGGACACCATCTTTGATGAATTTGCCTTTAGTAGGCCGAGAAGAAGAAGTAGGAAGGGCAACGAAATGCCACCTCAGTATCCTTAAATAGTTATGTGGTCTCTTCTGCATTGACTGTGCTTTTTATTTTCTCGGCCTTGGTATCCATTGATGTACACTTGAGATAAGAGATCTTTCTTTTCGTAGTGGGATCGATCATTGGAGAGAAGAAAGAGAAGAAAAAGTTGACTGACATTCTAGTCCTTAGCTATGTTTCCCCATTCACTAGTTATACAAACATCCTGGGGCGAGACCTATTCACTTACAGACTCATTCACCTATAGTGCTTTGAAACAGATCAAATTTTATATTACGCTATGTACGAAATCAACGGTCTATACAGAGTACATAATATAAGCAAAATAATATAGCACTTAATCCCGCTCCTTCTCCGGCCCCGAATGGCCCGAATACGTCGACGAAGACTCATCGACCGTCATCTTAGGACCCGTGTACCACTTCCTCGCGAACAGGAAGTAATACGTCATGCAGGCAACCCAGACGAAACCGTTGATGACAATCGTGTAGTTCATATCCGATGCTATATCCAGAAATCCATTAGCAGATATTCCACCGCGTAGAGTAACGAGGAACCAAAGGAAAGCAAAGAGAGGAAGACATACGACTCGGATTCGGCCCCGTGCTCGGGAACATCGACAGCACCAGCCCAAACGCCAACCAGGCGACCGCGACCGCCGCGATGCCACGGCTCGCCCACCCGGTGTAGAACTCGCCCGGCACGAAGCGCTCCTTCCAAACGAGCCGGCACAGGATGGGCGTGCCCCAGGCGACGTAGTTGCTGGCGATGAAGAGCGAGAACAGCGCGTTGGCGGCGACCGAGTTGATCAGACACAGCAGGCCGAAAATGATGCAGACGACGACGAGGCCGCAGATGGCGCGCACGGGCTGGAAGCGGACGCGTTTGCTGACGTGGCGGAAGTAGCCGGAGAAGGGGAGGGCGCCGTCACGAGAGAAAGCCCAGACTTGTCGGGATGCAGCGACGATCTGATTAATTGATTAGCGGGTGGGATAGGGGATATGATGGGAATGGCAACGGACAAGACTGAGACCGATGAGGAATTGGATGACGATGAGAACGCCCATGAAGCCGAGGGCACCTCTCTTGCCGAGCGCGTCGTAGTAGACCTGTTGGTGTACCATGTCAGCTGGGTGTTTATTTGCAGATCATGGGGAATACTGAAGGTAATACCTGAGCCATCGGCTGTCCATAAACCGAGTTCAACGTCGCATTCACATCCTGATTCATAACCGCGGCGATGATCGAGAGCACCAGAAAGCCCAACACGCAGGCACACCCAGCCGACCAGATAATCCCCAAAGGCACGGCCTTCGCGGCATGCAGCGCCTCCTCGCTCATGTGGATGCACGAGTCGAAGAACCCGATCGACCAGATAGGCGCTAGGAAGGCCAGTACGAAACTCCACCCCGTCGGCCACGTCGTCAGGTTATCCACATGGCCGTAGACGTACGTTCCCGGGTTCAGAGATTCGCCGCGCGTGACTTTGCCGACGGGCAGGGCGATCACAGTGGCAATGATCATACCGATGTTGACGTAGATGCAGAAGGTCTGGATGCGCGGCATGATGGAGCCGGAGAAGATGGCACAGACGGCGTGCACGATGATAATTCCGACGTATACACCGTAGACAGCGCCGTTGGAGGCGGACCAGGTGCCGTCGCGCGCGATGGAGATGCAGGCGAGAAGCATGAGGGCGAGGGTATCTTCGAGGAGTTATTCAGCATGTCTTATGCCAGGCGAGCAGGTGTGGGGAGCCTACAGTCCACCGAACACATTCCCCCGATTAATCCCAGGGTATTGCTATACCCGACCAGGAAGCTCAGCGCGTTCTTGTATTTTCCGCCGGCGAAATAGTGCGTCCACCAGTAGAGACCGCCGGCTGTGGGCATCGCAGAGGCCATATCCGCCTGTGGCATCATGAGTCCGCGATCGCAACAACACTCGGGAGAAGAAATACCAATGCCAATCCAACGAAGAAAATGAGGATACTCGCGGTGAACCAACCCTGAAGCAGGAGAATTAGCGACATCAAAAATCAAAAACCGAACGTAACATACCCAGACCATACCGGCCGGACCGGCAGGTAACGAGAAAGCAATGGTCGATGCGATCGAAGGCACCAGCCCCATAATACTGAAGGCGACGGCGAATATTTGCACGGTGGAATACTGTCGGCGGAGTTCCTGCTTGTAGCCCAGTTTGGCTGAGCGAGTCAGTGTCAGTGGCCGGTATACATCGTCAGACTGTCCTGCGTGCGCACTCACCTAGAAGCTGAGAATCTCCCGGATCAGCCAGACCAGACTCCTCCGCGACCGGTTCCTGCGTTTTCGCCATGTTGCTGCGGGCAGGAAAAAAGGGATAGAAAGAATGACACGGGAAAAGGCCGTAACAACGACGGTGGGAGAAGAAGAGACGCAGAAAAAAAGAAGCAGAAACGAGTGAACCAGAGCAAGGCCGCCAGCCAGCCAGCAATAAGCAATGCAACCAGAAGCGAACCAGGAGAAAAGCGTGGGGTTCGCCTCTTAAGAGAAATGCCAAGGGGGAAACTAACGAGGTGGATCTCGCCGGCGCAAAGTTTAACGGAGAATGCTCGAGCAGGAGCCCCTGTCGATGATGTTATCTCGTTCTTCCGGTTGTTCCATTCCCAGGCCTTCTTCGTGTTCTCCTTTCCTGTGCCCCTGTCTATCAGCTCTTTTTTTTGCGTCTGTCAGTGTCAGTGTCACCATCTCTGTCGGTGTCACTCTGTGCGACATTCTGGAAATACACTTCCGTGGCGGAGGCCATCTCCACTCCGCCAGGGTGTCACCCTTGAACCTTCATCATTTGCCCCCTGCAACCCTTGGCAGACGGCGTACGCAGTAATCTGCTCACCCGATGCTAGTCTGGCCATATCGTGCCTTCTCCAGATAGGTGGACACGGGAGGGGGTGTTCGGGCCTCGACTTGGCTTGCATGATGCAGCACTTGCATCAGACTAACGGATCAAATTATTCTCAGCACTAACAATATAGAATAGTCATTATCCAACTTATCCAGCCAAGTAGCTTATCCGGAAATCAGCAAGTCGCCCGGCCCCGACAGAACAACGCTTAACGATCCTCCTACCCTGGGAACCTCCGGACTCTTCTCCGCCACGAGGTCCAGCCCACGATCCAATCCTCTCGAAATAATGCCAGATATCGATCCAAAGCAATCTCTCCTGCTCCACTGATTGGCCACGCCCGTATCCACCGTCGCGCCGATCCCTCCACTTCGCTCGAGTCCCAAATTTCGGCCTCTCCACTCGTTCCAGATATCCTCCGGACTCCGGACTGATGCGGAGGCCTCAACTCCGTCCTTTGTTGGTTGTCCAGTGTTAATTCAGCTCCTCCTCAGGATTTCCGGGAAATCAGATAGCCACATAACTAAGTACGGAACGCATAAAGACAACCTCTCCCACCAACCAACCCTTCCCTTCTCAGGAGTCCCCACGACCACTCAGATTAAGATTACACCTGCTCAGACCCCTGCACCGCACTCTGCCCCTCCCCGTGAACCGCATTATCGATATGGCTCAGCCGACTGGGTCGCTGGCCCCCTGTATGCGGCGAATGCGGCCGGTCCAGCGTCGTGGTGTCCGAGAACGACGGACGATGCATAGCGGAGTCCCATGATCCGGGACCCATCTTGGCCTCCCACTCGTTGAAGTCCTGTCCCGGGTTGACGGTATGGTATGAGAAAAGCGACAGCATGCCGTAGAACCCGCACGCCAGCAACGAACCCAGCAGAGGCCCGACCCAGTAGATCCAGTGGTAACCTGGGAAGCTGCGGTTGATGACGTCTGGGCCGAGGGAGCGTGCCGGGTTGAGGGAGCCGCCGGTGTAGTAGTCGCCTATGCGGGTTGGGAGGTTTAGTATAGGCGAAAATAGGCAAGGGGAAGGGGAAGGAAGCTAGGCGTACCGATCATTTGCGTGACGAAGAAGACGAGACCGATGCCTACGGGCGCCAGGAACGTCGACTTGTGCTTCACCACGGCCAGCATGATCACGACCAGCACTAGCTGCGCGGTCAGGAACATCTCGATGAACAGGCCCTGCGAGATCGAGGTCCCGCCGCCCAGCCGTGTCGCGACGTTCAAGTCGCCAGGGAACAAGGCGCTGACTACACCTGCCGACGCAATCCCTGCCACGAGCTGCACCGCGAATACGAGCCCTCCTCGGAGGGGCGACATGCCTCCAACCAGACAGAGTGCTAGAGTAACCTATGTGGGACAGGCAGTCAGGATCAGCATCGTATCACCCTCTCACCAGGTCGTGCTCTTTCGATCGTCCAAACACAGGAAGAAAGCGAGGCATACAGCCGGATTAAACAACCCCCCGGTGACGCGATAAAACGCCCACACGTTTACCATCAACGAGAACCCGAACGCCAGCGACGCATACAGGAGATTCGACGTATTCGGGGGGGCGCCATCCACGGGCTTCGGGGTATTGGCGACCTGGGCGCCCGCGAACGCAAAGAACAGGAAGAGGAACGTGCCGACGAACTCTCCCAGCATGGCGATGCAGTTGTTCCGCGCCGTGTCCTGCAGATGGAGCATAGGGAGCTGGCGGCGCGTGGTATCGACCACCGGAGTGGTCTGGCGACCTTCGTGCCGATGACGGCGGAGGAATCGTCGCGGGAAGGAGAACATGCTGGTGGATTCGCAGGTCGAAGAATGGGTTTTCGGCGCGGGGTGGGCAGTGGATGGAGTCGGCTCCGGTGCAGAGCGGCTTCAGCTAGTCTGACTCGATGGGTCGATCACCTATGCCTATATACGCCTGTTTTCAGAACGCCAACCGACGTCACGACTGGCAAAGTCTAGACCGTTGCCAGGCACCAGTGGTGATTTCAGAACGGCCCGGGAGCCCGAGGTCCATGATGATAGGCTGGATATTGGAATCCGTGGGGAATGATGATGGTGTGGCAATGTAGAGTTTGGTTATGGTGAAAGAGCTATGGACGAGCAGTAATAGTGGCGCCGTTGAGATCAGAGTGAGTTAAGACAAAGAAGTTGTGACTTCATGGCGTGATGGTTTTCTTTGTTTCCCGGTGGGGAATCGAGGGATATATACGGGGCGTGCACACTGCTTCTTCTATGGAATAAAGTGGATACGAGGACAGAAAGCAACGACTGGATATTCTGAGATATTCTATCGCGAGTAAGCTTTATTTTAAATCCTTACAAGCCCATTTCTGCCGTCGAGATGTGTTGTCGCTGTTTCGTGAGGCCTCCCCTGGGCAAGTGTATCCTACCGTTTTATGGGTGCTTGCTTCTGTCGGTCCTATATATTTTGATTTCATGCTGTGGATTGAAGCTGAATAAATGAGTCTCCTTGATATGTAAGTCATTCTTTGACCTTTAAATTATCCAGGTCATGAGCTGATCGCTGCGGTTGTTAAAGTGGCATAAAATGCGATAGCCGTTTTCAATAAACACAATCAAGCCAAATCCCAACCCAGACAAGTATTTATATGCCAATAATCTCTATGTGGTCAATGCACAAGAAATATCTAAAAGCTAAACAGTCCCGATCTTCTCTTCCCGAAAGGATAAACCACCAACGCCGCGACAAACAGTCCTACTGTGATCCCAATAGCTACCTGCACCATACCATACCCTAACACCTGCACCGACATATCATGCGTCGACCCGGTGCCCTGCGCCTGGTTCTGCCCATGCCCAGTGGCATTCGACCTCGTTTCATCCGCTGTCTCTACGCCCGTGACCAGCGACCCCGTCGCCGCTAGCCCGCTCGGCACGAGTACAAAAATCCCCGGCAGGATGGCTGCGGCGGCATGGCCATGCCAGAGCCGGCTGTACAGGTTGCCAATGACGCCGATGGTAAATGCGCCGACGGTGTTGGCTACTTGGGATGTTGTGCCGAGTCGTTTCGTGACGAAGTAATTGGTTACGTAGCCCGCTAGGGCGATTATGACCATGACTGGGCTTTGTTTCCATTTCCCTTGGTTCACGATCATCAGGCACAGGGAAAAGGCCACGACGAAGGGGAATCGTTGGAGGTAGGGGTCTGGGAAGGCGCCAGCGGTAGGGCATGTCGTGTCCGAGGTTGCGGCGCGGTCGATGAGCCCGTAGATGGTGGTGCCGACCGTGATGCCGAAGCCGAGGAAGAGAGAGTAGATGATGGCGTATACCATGCGGATGGATCCGGCTACGATCTGGTGGCTTTGCAGTTCCAGACTGCTGCAGAGGACGGTGTAGCCGGGGAGGATGAGGGCGATGGAAGACTGGGCAATAGCGGAGAAGCAGAAGAGGCGGTCGGGCGAGCCCTTGGGCCAGGAGGTGATGATGCTGCCGAGGGCTCGGGCGATGAAAGAGGTGAGGACCGAAGCAGAGACCTCGAAAACGTTGGAGTAGAGAACGGAGCGCGGTGCGATAACGTGCTGCATGACACCAAGGAGGCATCCGTTGAAGAAGATGACGGGCATGTCGATTGGGCGGGCATTGAAGGCGAACGGACCGACCATGGCGGTCGCGAGTCCGTAGACGAAGACAATAATCCATTTGTTGAACCGGGGACTCTTGTTCATGATCTCCTCGAGCTCGTGGATGGCCTCCTCGATGCCATATACGTCATGCACTACGTTCTTGTATACGTTGTGCGTGTCAGCGAGTCGCCCGAGGTCGACACCTTGTACGACCCGAACGAGTTTCACTTCGGCGGTTCTGGTCGCGGCGTCGTCGAACGACATGATCATGCAGCCTGGAACATACAAATACTGGCTCTCGACGCCGAGCGCCTTGGCCGTCATATGCATGTACTCTTCGAGCCGGTGGGTTGGCGCCCCGAAACGCATCAGGGCTTTGCAGAGCTGCATGATGTATCTTTGACGCGCGATAATCTGCGCGATCTGCAATGTCACCTGGATCTCATCTTCTAGACGCATAGCTCCACTAGAGTGCTTGCTCCGGCGTTTGGATGCGGCCGTCAGGACCTCGCTAGACACTGGTGTGCTGGCACCGCTGACATTCATCGACGGAATAGTGCTGTTTGCCATGGGGATGAGGGTCGGGGTGGATGTATTCTGTTGCTGTTGTTTGCGATACCATTTCGGCTTTTCTTTTCGAGGCGTCATTGTGCCCGTTCCTGGTGTGCTGCCAGAGAGTAGTGCCGGTGTACCTGGACTTGTCGACGAGAGACTGCGCTGATTATCTACCGCATTCGCGGTTGTACTCAGACGAAGTAAATGCGACAGAATGCCTCCTCCACCAGCAAACGCCGACAGTTCTGGATCTTCATTCTGGTGATTGGGGTGGCCAAGATGATGGGCACTATTTCGATGAATCTGTTCGTGGGTCATCTCGCGCACCAACCGGTGTGCCTCCGAGCTGGTTGAGCTCTGATTCCGACGATGACCACGAGAACGACCACTGCTATCACTGTGACCGTTTTGTTCACGGTTATGGTTTTGATTCTGCTCACGACGATGCCTCTTCTCGTCTTCTTCCTTTTCATTCACCTGACCCTGCGATGTTGTCTCAGACCGTGGCGTTTCAGATCCCACCAACGACGTCGTCGACTTCATCATCGCATCCTCATCGTCTCCCGGCGGTCGTCCCAATTTCGCTGCAATCTGCCTGGTCCGGTCCACTACCGAATGTCTGATCCCGCTGACCTTCGCCAGGAACGACGCTCTCCGCCCACGACCCGTCTCACTCGGCATCTCCCGTTGAGGTAACTCAGTCTGCCAGACGAGCGAACCCTGTCTCGGGTGCGAACCACCACTCGCTTCCGTGATATCCACAGACCCAGAGCCCTGCTGGAACGATGGTCTATGGCGAGACCGAATCTGACTCTGGCCATGACCTTGGAGGCGAGAGCCCAGACTAGGTTCATCTTCGGCGTCCTCCTCAACAGTAGGACCAGGCTCTCCCTCATCATCATCTTCGTATTTCTCATCGAATCTATCCTCTCCCCCTTCTTGTGTTTCTTGCTCCGTGTCTTCCGTATCCTCCGTATCGCCATACTCAAACCTCATATCCGAGCCGAAATGCACGCGATGAACGGGCGGGGATCGCGGGTGCGGTGAGCCCTGCGGCGGCGTCTGTGGCGAGTTCTGTCGCGGCGGCGAGTCGACATCTTCAGGGCTGGGGCTGGATGCTACGCTGCGGTAGCTGATGAGGGAGCTTTGGCTGATTTGGCTGGCGCGACGCGGTTCGGACATGGGTGTGTCCGGTTGGAAGGGGATGGGTCAGGCATAAATGATTGATTTTGTTGGTTGTAGGTCAGATGATGGAGGTGAATTCCTATTGCATTTTGCGGGAAGAAGGTCTTTTGAAGGTGTGGGTTCGTTCGGAAAGCCTGGAAGCTATAAATAGGTGACGGTTCAGACACCGAACATATAACAATAGGACATTCGGTTTACTGATAATTGTCCGGAAAAAACAATTTGAAGGCAATGAACTTGATTCACTTCAGGAACTTGCAATAATTTCGAAAATAAACGAGACGATTGAACGCCATTACTGCAGTCTCATTAAGTTGCCCTGGCTTAGACGTAACTCACGAAAAGCCAGAGCCCGGAAGTCTATGACGTCGTGGTGGGGATTGGAATGTTGGATTTTACTGCCTTCGGACGTTACATTCTCCCTACAATCGCTTAGTCCAGAGTGCGTGTCCTGGTCCGCTTTTCGGGATCTGCCAGCTAGTCATCTTTTATTTTTTAATCCTTCTCTTCTCGATTGGTTATCTTTGGTAGTACAAGTAATGTTGTGTCAGCCGAGGTTTCTTCTAACCAACAGTTGATGACGATGTGGGAACGATCCGATCGGATAGACTCGAGAATGAGAGATTTATATGAAGTCTAGAATCCCTTGTAGGGTCTAGACTCTGCATTGCATCACTTATAGATGAATAGAATTTCGCAAGAAACTCATAGGGCTGCGTATATGACATGTGGGTCGACATAAGTTCTGGCCGGATACTCTGTGGCCGAGGATCATGCAGGTGGGTACCTGAGATTGAATACTGATCATCCAAAATATACTGAATTGAATATTTTGCCTGCTATTTGGGTGATATCATAAATCCCCATGATTGCTATGTTATAGTTAAGTCTGCAATAACCTATTCAGGTAGGGTTCTGCTGGCAGAATACTCGCCCTACTAACAAATTTATGAATTGCTTGAATGATGGCTAGAATCAATTGATTAAAAAATTGAATTAATCGCTTGAATCAATTGGATATAATCAATTGACCTCATTACTTAATTGAATAACTTGATTGCTTGAAATACTCGAATCGTTTGAACTCATTGCTCGAATAGATTGAATTAATTGAATCCATTGCTTGAATAGCTTGAATTTTATCAAATGCCAGTGCCCAATGTCATCACATTCAATTGGGTCGGGGGCTGGGATCAGCACTTTCCAGACTTGATAAATGAGCACGTTTGCCGAGACTTCGATGCTTTTCTTAAATATGTCAATGAGAATTCGGTACCAACAGACATCCTTTGGACGACCAAGGAGCCTCCGCTCGAAGATCCGGTTCAGCCAGACCATCGATCGCGCCGTTTGTGACGAATGCGGGCTAAATTGGGAGAGACGGGCTGATTTTGGGAGCCCACGAAGTCTGTCAGTCCAAGACCACATCTTTTTGCTTGTATATTGCCCTGTACACGGTTGACCTGGCCTATGAAGAATTGATAGGTCTAAACATAGGTTATCATTGAATTACCGATCATAGACATAGCACGAGAGAAAGCAAAACGCTACCCAGATTCTAAATCTGTTTGGCCCCAGGATCTAAATCACCTATTGAATCTTCTGTGACCCTAACTAACATTAGCATATAACTATTATCATCTAGCGCACTTAGGATCTGCCTAGTCCAAGAAAATTGTTTAAGGAGTTGGGAAAAATGAAACTCTGACCTGTTGGCTGGTTAGATTTACGGTCTGCTAATCCACGGATATTCTACAACATCCTATGAAGCAGCCGGTCTTGTGTTTCTTGCATGATACTGTTGAGCGATAAAACTCTATTGTTTGAGGACAGTTGCTCAACTTGCAGGTCCGCGTCAGACGTATTTCCCATACATCTTTTCGACTGATGCAGGTGCATGCCGCAAGCTTTGTCCTTTGCGCCTTCTTTGTGCACGGCACTTCAGCCTTGAATATCGCATTTCAAACAAGAATCAGACATAGCGAAATCCAGCCCCTTTTCACTAGAGACCTTTATCCGTAGCTTATTTCCTCTGCAGTCACAGTTCCCGCCCCATATCAGAGTGGGCGAAGCAAAATGTTCTGCCAAAAGCAGAGTGGATCGGTGGATCGGTGGATCCTTAGCGCTGAGTCCAGCGCTTTATATGCTTAATCTGTGCTAGTGACAGTCCATCTAGCACACAACAGCAGCAACGTTGCGGTTTCAAATAAAGCTATCCCATCATCCATGATCCCTCCTCGCCTCAATAAGGATAGGGATCGACAACTACTAGGAGCCAGAGAAAGAAACCCCCGAGAACACACGTTCAACGGCCGAATAGCTCGGTGATGCTTAACTAGCCACGCGTAGCGCCGATGATTTTCATCCTATCACAGGCCCCCAGCCAGCGTTGTCCCCCACCCCTTGTGCCGTCCGGTCTTGATAACTTTAGATTAATCGCGGGACACTCAATCGGGGACGGTGGGTGTCCGACGGACTGCCGTGGTGTCGTGATTATTTTGATGGGCGGGTTTCTCCTCAGCCCTGAGTCGAGAGATCCAGGATTCTGGGTGTCGTTGTTCTTAATTTACTCCTTAGCCGTCCCTCCGCCGATGCTATGATATGGATTCTAGGGGAAATGGCACGAACGCGACGCACCCCTTTCCCAAGCCCGTCTCGACAGTCAATTATGGGCCCGAACTATTGGTGACGGTGTGGGTCGTGACTGGATTATCCATCGTGGCTGTCGTCCTGCGGTCTGTGAGCAATTATAAATTCGGCAATTTCCAGCTCAGCGATCTGGTGACGTTGTTTGGCTTGGTTGGCGTCTCTTGCGGATCTCTAGGTGCTTGTCTTGCTGATTTACCTAGGTATTGCTGCTTATCGCCGCTGCGATATCCAATGTAGCCGTTGACTTCGGATACGGACTGGCGGCTGGATCACAGGCACCGAGTCATGAATCCAACGCGCTCAAATATTCGGCCATCGGTCAGGCCATCGTCGTGCTGGCTGCGACGGCCGGACGCATCGGCTTCATTCTATACTTGATCGAGTTGCTCGCAGCTCGCACGCTGCATAGGATGGTGCTATGGCTTCTGATCCCGTTTCAAGTCCTCGTCAACGTGTTCAGTGTGTTCCTGCTCTTCTTCCAGTGCTCAGTCCACGTGGGAGAGCTATTCCACCCGGGACAGCAATCGCACTGTGAGTCCCTCGATATCCAGATCAAGTACGGTTATTTCCAAGGAGGTATGCATCCCCCTCCCCAAGCCATGCTCTTTTCCCGATCTAACCAATCCAAAGCATTCAACTCTGCCTGCGATTTCCTCCTCGCCGTCTTCCCCGTGTACATGTTCTGGCGCTTCAACTGGACCGTCCGGGTGAAACTCGTACTCGTCTCCCTCCTGAGTTTAGGAATCGTGTACGCTCCCCTCCCCCCCCCCCCAATCCCATTCCCAACCCTAACCCAACCCACAGCGCCATGGCCGCCTCCCTCGTCAAAACAATCGAATACCCAACCATCATGCTCTCGCGAAACCCACGCACCAACCGCGTCACCCTCCTCCGGTGGATGTTCATCGAGGCCGGCGCCGTGCTGATCACCGCCTCGATCCCCTGTCTGCGACCTCTCGTCGTGTACCTCTTCAAGCGATTCATCAAGCGCGCTCCCTTCCGACAGCATAGCCGCATCGACAATACAGCCAGCACGCACAGCATGGGTCTCAATGCGGACACGAGCACCAGCCAGCTCAACCACGACTGGAAGGCGAGGTGGATCACGCCGTATATGCAGCACGGTCTAGTGGGTGAGGATGGTCTGGAAAGACACATTTTGGCGAATATCACGACGCATATCTTTGCGGGGGATAGGGAGTTTTTGGATAGGCATACGGGTGGTGGTATCGTGAAGAAGGTGGAGGTCACGGTCGTGGCGGATGAGATCCCGCTGACGGAGGGGAATGGGTTATGATTGTTTGGCAATGGGTTTGGGGGGTTTGGGTTATGTGTTTAATAGTGCTGGTTCATGCGATATGGGTTTATGATTTCGGGTGTGTGGGGGTATATTTATGAATAATATTTTATGGTATGCCTGGTCAAATATCATTTCTATGTACTAGAGTCAATCTGTAGACAGATGGTTCAGATTGGTTCCGAAAGGGTCGAATGGAAAGTGTTACGAATCGTAAGCCTTGTTCCTGACAGATCCTTCTGGTAGAGTGAGTTCCGTATTGTTATGGACGGGCGTAGAGATCAAGGAAGGGCCACTATAGTGAGCATGACTAAATAAACAATCCAAATGGGTTATTTCAGATTAACCACTCGGCCAGCAAGTATCCAGACTTAGCAGTAAGTGCATTATTTGTAGCTCATATACTGCGACATTGTTGCAGTGATTGAAATGCCTAGTCGGCTTTCGCATAGAAGTCTTGGTCCCGACCACATAAGAGGACATGAAGGGGTATACAAACGGCAAAATACTTGGTACTTTGTACCTCAGCTTTCTCATATAGAAGCCGAAGGCATGGTGTGAATATTCCGGAAAGAAACGAATAATGATCAATATATCATGGCTGCAACTCTTGGCCGCTCAATCCCAATATATTGAGGGGTTAATTTAAACAGGGTTCTACATTCAAATATAGACTGCCTTAAGACCATAGCCATACTCAGACATAGACACATGAGCAAATAAATGAAAAACAAACCCGAATATCCCCTCACTCACCAAATCCCACCTCATCGAGCCCAGCCAAGTAGCCAGCCAAGCCAAACAACCACCCACCCCATCCCCGACCCACCAGCACATGCATCCGCATATCTCGGCTCGCAGCATCTACCGAAGTGAGGCGTGGCAATGGCAAAAGCCCACTGGCCGCCAGCTTCCGAGTGATCAGACAGAACCAAGTTCCCCGCCATGATAAGGCATCGATACAGCTAGCACCTGCATCTGTCCCGATCGGTCATTATGTGCATACTTACTTTCTTGCTGATGATGGCTGGGAGGAGTACGGATAAGTAGGTTGTTGCTAGGGTCCGGGTCGGCCGATCGCGGTTGAACCTTGAACCAAGCCTCGATCTCGGATCCTGGGCAAGGGCTGACGAACCGGGTTCCCGCGCAGGGATGGGTTCGTGGGGTGAATGGCTACTGGGGGAAGAAGGGGAGGGAGGTTGAAGCTACTACGTAGAAAGTGTCCGGGGTCTGGGCGACTAGGGTGCAAATTAAGTGGCGGGCAGAGGGATGGTTTGGTTACACGTTTGTTATTTTCTAGGTGGTACAGAGGGCTGGGTTGTTTGACAGAGATTATATTTAGATGTTGCGGATCGTTATACGGTTCGTGGGAGTCTCTTTATTGAAAGCAGAGGTGAATAAATAGGGGATAGAAAAGGGGTGAACGGCGAGATTTAAATCGAAAAAAAAAAAAAAAAAAAAAAAAAAAAAAAAAGAACATATAATACAGGATATACGGCGCAACGCGGCAGTAAAGAAAAAATGACCTTCATCCTATCCCCTGATTCCACACTGATCGTGTCCATCGTAGAATGTGTCATGAGGTGTACAAACTATCTATCGTTAGTTTTGCACAGGTGTCAACATGGTCGATCCACATCGACATATTCCGAGATACGTACCGAACTTTTTGGTAATATTCAGATATTTTCCATCGATCTTTACTGCGTATGTGTCGTTTTCCTCAGACGTGGATAGTACATAATGACCAGCACCACGACCGCCAATAGCATGACCAGCGTGGGCAGAAACATGAAGGTAAATAGGAACAAGCTCAGCCCGAAGGCGGCGTTCTGTCCGGGGAAGAATCGACGAGCCATGGTTTCGAGAGCTGTCGACAGCATTGATTACCGGTGTTCTCAGATACCAGGGATAAAGAATAGGAGGATTGACGTGATGAGCAGAGGTATCCGTCGAACTAGTAGGTCGTAGTGGTTTCGATGCGTGGTGTGAGGAAGTAGCCACTTATGACGTATTGAAGAGGTGATAGACACATATATATCCGTACGCAGTAGTGGATGGAGACTGAAGAATGAAACAAAGGTGGAATTGAATGGAGTCTCGGGGACAATGAAAGCTTTGTATGGCCGTTGATGAAAGGTTTCTTACAAGCCTGGTGAAGCATCCAGCCGGTCCGACATTAAGTAGACTGGTTAATTAACTGGGGATAGCGCATTGCATCTGTGCCAGCGAGGCCTACATTTCGATCGGTCACAGGGGTGGAAATTAAATTAATAATGGGTGCAGAAGCCAATTCCGAGCGTACCGAGAACGACGGATGGAGATGGAACAGCTCCATAATCTAGTCATCTGCCATCGTTCCATGGAAATTCTTTGTCGGAAGCCCTGCGATGGACGACAGGGAAAACAGGCATCGAAGTTCTGCATCCCTACGGTAAGGTAACGGACGGTACGGAGGCAGACCGACCGAAGGGTAACCGCGTAACTCCGCACACGGCGGGTCAACAACACGGAGGGCGTCCATTCAATGGACGGAGTGGAAGGATGGCCGCAAGGATGTGCCCGATTATTGGCGTCGGCGATTGGATGGCGTTGGCCGGGCCCCATCCGCCCCACCGGCACTATACCCAGTTGGAAATAGAAAAACATTCATGACGCCAGGAGCAAGGATGGTGTCGCAGGCAGCAGCATTTTGCTTGTTTTCGTTTCGTTGCTCGGGACGGGTGGCGCTGGTATATTCTCATTGCAAAGATACGAAGTCTGAATTCCTGTTCTTAGGATTTGAAAACCACAGGCAGAGTTAAAAAATTACGGAGAAGAGCAGTCGCAAACTGCACACGAGAGATGCATTGCGTCGCCGAGAATCCCCCTACCCTCGGCAGGACAGCTGGGCGGTATGATGTGGGGTTGTGCTTGTTTTCTTTTCTTTTCTTTTCTTTCTTTTCTGTAAGATAACACTTCGCTTGGACTGTGGTCCCGGAATATTCGACGGTGGCTCTAGGCAACCAAATATCATATATGAGGAAGAGCTGGCGCTTACCGGTGTTGGATATTACCACTTTAGGTAGGCAGGAATCGATGGCATACCTGGTCCTAGGGAGTGTGGTCAAACAAAGGGGTCTTGGTCATTTTAATACCAACGCGAGGAAATCAGAGTGTCACACCAACCTGCGCCATCGTTTCTGCTAGAGAGAAATGCAAACACCAACCTGGGAACAATTGCAAAAATGGCCATCAATACCGCGAATCCCCCGTATTACACCGAAGGACCAATTACGCGACGGCTGCCCTGTAGGGCTGAAGCTTGGCACGGCTCCTCGGCGCATTCCACGGTTGACTGAACTGTTTGGCTGGTATTCCCAATTTCCATTCCCTCGTCCTGTTCATTGGATTTCTAAAAACAGCCCTGGGCGCAATCGATCGCCGACGCTTTGTCAGACCCCCATTTGTGGGGGAATTTATCCCTTTACTCGCCAATCTTCTCCGTCGGTCTTTCTCTTTCTCTCCTCCCTCAGCTTCACTTCTTGTACCACTACAAAAATCATCCGTTGAGATGATGCCCGTTTATTCTTTCTCTTCTCCTTCCTGATCCCTTTCGACTTTCCTCAATTATATACCTTTCTCTAGCCTAGATGGCGCTCTTTTCGGCCTACGGCCCGCCCGATCAGTCGGAGACTGATAACCTGGGGGTGGATTGGGTGGTTCACTATGATTTTGAGGGTCTCGGTAGGTTGCCCTGCGTGCGCCGTTCGTATATATTCCATACTAACCTCTGTAGAGTTTACCCAGGCCATCGAAGAATTCCGAACCCTCATCCATGACCTCGAAGAAGCCAACCTCCAAACCCAGGTCCGACATGGTCATGGATCCTCGCTGCTAGTGTTCATTCGGGTACCCCGCGATCACCTAGGGAAAATGGTCCATCAGTCTCGGTACGCCATTCACCGTCGTTTCAAACCCAATTCCACACCTTCAACGTTCTGACAATATTAAATCAGCGTGAAAGATTGGTTGTATGGGATTGCTCACGAGCTCCCGGTGGGCGACGATCAGACCGTCGCCGACGCTGAGAGCCCCGCCGAAGAACTCCGATCGGTATACCACGCCGTGACGTGGCAGAAGTCGCTGGGAGGAGCTGGAATCACGGCGCAGCATGGTCCATGGAAGCATGTCACTGCTGCTATTCCGCTCCACGACCCGGCCGCCAATGCGGAGCTGTTACGGAAATGGAGTCGGTCTGTACTTTTGACGCCGGATGACTTGGATGCCATAAGAGCTTTGTATGGCGAGAAGGTAGGCAGCAGACCGTCGGACGTCTCTTTGTTTTACCTGCTAACGTTGATTGCGGATTGTAGGTCGCCTTTTACTTTGCCTTCATCCATTGCTACTCGACTTTCTTGTTCTTCCCTGCCGCATGGGGCGTCTTTTCCTGGCTCTATCTGGGCCCTTATTCCGTCACCTGCGCCGTGGTCAATTGTCTCTGGTGTATCGTTTTTGTTGAATTCTGGAAGATTCGCGAAACCGAGCTCAGTCTGCGATGGAACGTAAAAGGCGTCGGCGCGTTGAAGGTCAATCGTGTGCAGTACGTCTGGGACAAGGAGATCAAGGATCCTATCACCGGAGAGACGATGCGCGTGTTCTCGGCCCACAAGCAGCTTCTTCGTCAGCTCCTGTTGATCCCATTTGCTACGGTCGCAAGTTTAGCACTCGGCACGCTGATCGTCGCCTCATTTGCCCTGGAGGTTTTCATCTCCGAGGTGTACAATGGTCCCTTCAAGACCTACCTGGAGTTTCTGCCGACCGTGCTTTTCTCCCTCTCCCTGCCGTCGATCACCAACGTTCTCACCCGCGTGGCCCTCCGGTTGACCAAGTACGAGAATTACCGCACCCAGGATCAGTACGACTTGGCTCAGACGTCGAAGACTTTTGTTATGCATTTCATCACGGCATTCCTGCCCACCATTCTGACCGCTTTCGTGTACGTCCCGTTTGGCGCTCGCATCCTGCCGTATCTCGACGTGTTCCAGGTTCGAGGAATGTCCCACTCCCTCAACCCATCGCAAGTGCACATTGATACCTCGCGACTGCAACAGGAAGTTATTTCGCTGTCCGTCACCGCGCAGGCTCTCAATTTCGGTGAGGAGGTGGTATTTCCGTATGTCAAACGTGTGCTGTTGCAGAAATGGCGCGACTACCGAGAAAAGCGAGAAACATCGAGCCACACTAGGAACCATTCGCGACAGACTGACCGACTGCTGGCCGATTTACCCGAGGAGGCAAGCTTTCTCACGCGAGTTCGCAATGAAGCCGAGGCAGACGAGTACAACGTGCACGAGGATATCCTCGAGATGGCCGTTCAGTACGGGTATTTGGCCCTGTTCGGAATTTCGTGGCCCCTGGTGCCTCTCGGATTTCTAGCCAATAATTGGCTCGAATTGCGTGGTGACTTCTTCAAGCTGAGTCTGGAGTGTCAGCGACCGGCTCCTATCCGTGCCGACTCGATCGGACCGTCTTTGCAGGGGCTGGAGCTCCTCACGTGGCTAGGATGCTTGTCCACTGCCGCAATTGTATACTTGTACCGTGATGGAATGGAGCAGGTGAACACCACCTCCCTACTCTTGGCCATTCTAGTGGCCGAATGGGCCTATCTGGTGGTGCGGTTCGCAGTACACACCGGGCTGCAGAAGCTGACGGTGGGAATCCAACGACGAGAGTCGGCAAAACGGTATGCCGTGCGCAAGGCATATCTGGATACTTTCTCGGAATGTGCCTCCCCGCGCAACAAGAACAAAGTGCGATTCCAGGATAAGGTCAGTGTTTACAGCACCGCCACGGACGTGAAGACCGGGTCCGAGGAAGCCTTGCACGAGGGACAAAATGGCAATGGGCAAATGGAGAGATTCTGGTCATGGCCTCAACAAGAGACAGCGGACGCAGGCGTTCGGCTGATCAAGGCATTGGGCTCCGAGAGCAAGCCAGTAAAGGATGCGAAGGGAGCGTAGAACACTTTTTTTTCTGCATTCTCTGTTTTCTATCATTTTTAACACATGTATGTTAAGTGGACAATGAACAAGAATTTGACCGGAAAATCGGAAGTTGGACGACGAGAGCAGACTAGTGGGATTCGTCAACCAGGGACACATCAGCAAATCGGGGAGGCAAGCGATCGATCACAATGAGCGCTCGTCTGAAGCAGGACCTTCCGAGACTCCGTGATCCACCTTAACCCGGATTTGCGGCCACGGTTGACGATAGTCCATTGGCGCAACCCAGGGAATCCCCGCTCTCAGGAGGGGCCCACTGGATGCTTGGTTAGGCAGAAATGCAGATTCCCTGGCTTCGCTCCCCGTCCGGTTCATATTAAACCCTAGAAACCCCCAGTCCATTGTCGGAGGAGTCATACATCACAAAGCAGCGATTGCTTGCAGAAATCCACTTCAGCCCTACAGGGCAGGCCAAGCTTCTCTCCCCGTGGGCCAATCACCGCCCGAGACCCCGGCAGACCGACATTCTTCGCCCTCGCATAAAAACCTCCCTCTCTTTCTCTTTCTTCCTCCCTTCCTTGGACTTCTTTCCTTTCAACCCACCCCTAACACACACCTTTCCTCTTCTTTCTCGTCTCCCTCCGTCTCCTCTCCCTCCCTCCTCACCTCCCTCGGGATGAGCCGCGTCTCTTCCCCACTCCCTCATGGCCTCCTCGCAGCTCCCTTCCTCTGCCTCTTCCAAAGCTATCCGCCATGAGGAAACCGACGAGACCGACCATTCCCCCGTCGTCAGCTTTGTTCGCCACAAACGTTCCCGACGACATGAGCTGCACCTCGTGCATCCCCCGTGGTACCGCAACAGCCTGATGGCCAGCACCGGCTACCTGGAGTTTGCCAATGCGGGAGACTTCGCCGCCAATGTCTGGAACGAAATCCCGGTCCCTCGACATGCGATGATCCTGATGGCTATTGGAGGTCCCCTGGCCCTGATGATGAGCGTAGTAGCCATCCGCGATGGCTTCCTCAGTTGGCAGAACGTGCGGGTGCTACGTTCCGAACGCCAATACCTCAAATCTCTGCGCCACCACTGCCTGACCGCATCACCGGCCTCGATGGTCGACATGGACCTTGTCAATCTCATCGACATCCGCCTTGGCGTCGGGTTCCGCGAACTCGGCACCGAATTGATCGATCGGATCGCCATGGATATCTTTCTGGGCATTGGAGCTCTGCTGGTCGGTACGGGAACCCTCATGGCCATCTGGGGCGCCCACCCGCGCGTCTTCCACGTCAGTAACTTACTGTCTGGCTTTGTGGGAAACGCCTTCGCCGCGGCCTTTGGTGTCGTCAACGCGTTCTGGTCTGTGTATCTGTTCTGGCGGTTCCAACGCCACGTCACCGCCGTGGTGAATTCCCCGGCCGTGGCGTCGTTTCGGGATCGGTTAAAACTCCGCCTCCGCCGCTTCCAATGGCACGCTATTATCTCCGGCACGGCGGGCCTCGTCGCCGGTGCGGCGTCCATGGTCACCGCTCGCATGTGGTGGGGATACGTGGTGCTGGCGCCGTGCATGGTATTCCAGGTTGCCTGTAATCGGTTCTGGCGGGTCCAGCTCGGCCACGATCGACCACTAGCCTCGCCCACAAACCACACCTTGCTGCAACCGGGACTGAGCAAAGAGTGTACAGACGCCAGCGACGACGAGAAACACAGCCTCCTCCTCGACGAACTAGCCAGTACCATCGCGCTCTACAACGCGCTGGAACCCCAGACCTCCCGCGACCTCGACTGCACCTCGCTTGAAACCCTCGTCCAATTCATCGTCAACAACGACCTCTTCGATTCCCTGTGTGCCTGGCTCGCACACGATAAATCCGTCCCGGCCCCCCTGCACGAGACCATCTTCCGCTCGTCGCCGGAACACGACGAGATCTCGCTTGCCCCGTACAATCTGCTGCGCGTGTCGGAGTCCGAGCAGTCGACCTTGCGGGACCTGTGTCGTGCATTTCTGGAAGGCGAGGGCCGCAAGGTGCTGCTGTCTCGGGAGCGCTATCTTCTCGAGATGGTGGGATACACGGCGTATAGAGATGCGATTGGTGCTTCTTCTTCGTCTACACCGCTAGAATCGGTGTAAAAAGTTAGCGCAGCAGGACTGACTGTGCAGGCACAGATAGATAGATTCTGTCTTGAGCGATAGATCGATATTAATGATAATGTGAATAATGCATGTTGGTCTCGCATGGCGGAATTACCTGTCCGAAATTGTGCTCCGGATTGGGAGGATAAATAAACAGCCGTAGACCGATCAACCGTTCCTTGGCGGGCGTAAGGTGACAGCTGGCATTTTCTCTCTTAAACAGACGTAGTAGTGTCATTATAAAGGTCTTAGGGCGCAATTACATCATATTTCACCACCTAATACGCAGTGTGTGTTATTGCACCGTAGTCCTTCCTCGCTGTACTCAACGTCTACTGCTAGGCACCAAACCAGCCCCAAAAATATAGGCGTTAGTCTATGATATGGCAATTCCGATATGGGGAAATGCTAGTCTTGAGGTACGAGATGTAGAGCGATTTTCGGAATAAGACATTACATATTTCCGGCTTCGTACAGCCCATATTATTGACTAGTTCCCCACTACAGAGGGTACAACTACGTGAGGCACACGAAGATATGATGTATACACATCCAAACAACCCCTATAAAAGTGCCAAATAATATATAGATATACTGCATGCGCTCTTACCCCATCACATCTCTCCTCCTCTCTCCCGCCAATCCACCCCCTAAAGTCGAAATCTAAGAAGAAGCAGAGCACCCCTCCCCAGCACCCGACTCATCGAACTTATCCTGCTTGATCTTGATCGCCTTCGCGGTCCAGGTCTTGCCGCCGTCGGAGGTAGTCAGACCGTCGGAGGAAGCGCCCGTCAGGGTCAGAGTCTCGCCGAAGTTGGGGTCGGCGCCGCTCAGGTGGATCGTCATGTCGCTCCAGGTGTAGCCGTCGACCAGGCCGCAGGTGTTCAGGTAGCATTCGTTGCTGGAGTAGATCCACTTCGGGCTGATGGACTTGTCGTCGGATTGCTCGGACACGGTCTTGCCGTCGATGACGACTTCTTGTTTGATTTTGTTGTTTTCGACGGAGACTGGGGTTTTTTGGGTTAGTTCGTTGGAGAGGGGATGGGGGATGGGGGATGGGGTGGATGGGGTGGGAGAACGTACTGGTGAATTCGATCTCCGAGTCGTTGGGAACGGTCACGTAGGGTTCCTGCACCTGGCCGGCTGTTTTTTTTTTCTATTAGTTTCTTGTCTGATATGGCGTTTCTTGAGAAAGATGCGGTGCTTACACAGGTGGTAGGTGCTGGTAGCAACGCACCACTCCTTATCGGTAGCAGGGCAGCCCCTATACAACAATTAGCATGTACCCTAACACTCAACACTGCGCGAGAAAATATACTGGGCCTCCTGGTCAGGCGACCAGTTCAGCAGGGGCTGGAACAGGTCCTCAGCCTGGCTGGACATGGAGCCGGAGACACCGACCCAGATGGACAGCCACGGGGCCTCGGTGGAGCGGGTCTGCTTGACGCCGCAGGGCACAGGGGGCGGGACAAGCGAGTAGGTGGCCTTGGTGATGGCGACGTCGTCGCTGGTCGGGCCCAGGGTGAACATGTTACCGAAGTGCCAGTCGTCGTACATGCCGGCGGCGGCGGGGGCGGCGAGGGCCAGAGCCGTGGGGATGAGGGCGGTCGAACGCATACTGATTAGTTGAATATGCAGGCCTGCTGCGAAGGAATGGAAATTCGAAAGAATGAAAGAATGGGGGTTGGTGAAGAGAAAGAGTGACTTGTGTGGTTTCTTTTTTGGCCCTCGTGAGCGCGCCGGGTATTTAAATGTTTTAATCGGTCAACGGCCATTTCCCCGAGGTTAGGACGGGTCGAAGGGTTTCCGGGGTGGAGTATGCGAGACAAGCTCTGACAGTCGGCATTTAGAAGGTGCTTTAATTGAGTGTATTGGCCTATTAGGGGGACGTTGGGGACAGAGCCCGCGACGGTTGATGGGATTAATGTGTGGGATTGGGTTAGGGGTGCTGATCTGTTTGAGGTTGATGGGGACGGCGGGTTAGTGGGCTTACTGGTCGAGGGCGTTTCAGGAATCTTTGCCTCATTAGTTAAAGAATACGAGAGGTGTCTGACATCTGCAGGGGTCAATTGGGTAATGGAATTAAACTCAAGCAGTGTCTCTACTTAGCGGGATATAATTGTCCGAAATTAATCTAATTCGATCGATCATGTTGTGGTTGAACGGAGTGGAACTGCGGATGTGGATATTTGGACCTCCGAGTCTCGTGGATAGGGGTTAAAATTAACATCAGTTCTGAGTTTTCGAAGGTAGTCCGCAAGCGGGCCAATAATGATATGAATGGCCGTAAGCATGTGACTTGAGCGCAGTACGATGTAGTATCACGCAGATGCTATTGAAACTCTTGTTCTCAAGAAGACCCTTGCGTATCTTCCCGTTCAGATTCCAGAATTGGAACAATTCCCCCGATCTCAAGAGCATGCGCACTGTCTGCACACCTCAGTCCTTATCCACTTGGCATATTGAAGAGCAAGACATGCCCACCCGGTTGATAAGCCCTATCGGCCAAAACTATCCGCACGTCTGGATAATGTCGGGTTTTCCGAGAGGCTGTGGCTTGAAGGCGCCCGACGGATTCTGCCCCATTTTGTCGGAAAAGGAGGTATATGTTCATATTTCTCGAACTTGCCCTTGGTGGAAAGTGTTTTAAGACAAAGCCAGTCGAGAGGAACCATACCATTTCACTCGATTCCTTGGCTAAGCAAGTAATGTTTTCCGTCTTTTTGAACCTCTTGCATAGACGGAGACGTGAGCTTATAGCTAGGAGGTTCTCACTAGCTTGGCTATTTGAAAAAAGCAATAACGCCGGAGCTTCCGCTGATGACCCCCTAGTTCAATCTGAATGATGCATCATCGGCTTGACTAACCGCGTAACGATGCCGCTGGCGGTGTTCTTCAACCCGGTCTTAAAGCTTGCGCTGACGGGACTAGCAGCGACTTTCTTTCGACAGGCAGCACTATTCAGGCTCTCTAATGCTGTGCAAATCCAAGGGTTGCTGGCTTCGATAAATGTGAACCATCGATTAATGTTTACGTAGGTCATGCGAAGACTGGTCGTCACTGTGTTTCCGCGAAGGACACCCCAGACGGCAAGGTCGGCTAAGGTTAGTGAGTAACCGACGATGTGCGAGCGAAGTGTGAGATGGGATTCAAGATTCATCATGGGATGCTCTAGCTCTTTCAAGTCTGGTACAGCCAGCTGCGTGGATCGATGCAGCCACTCAGTTATCTGTAGTCATGAGCGGGTGGTCCATCGAAAATGGCATATTGCTCCTACATGTACCCGTTTTGACGCCGACGTGTCGAGATTATTCATTAAATAGCACAGAATTGCTGCATCGGTGATCCGCTGTCCTTTGCCTGTCGTAAGACACGCGCTCTCGTGATCGCGCAGCGATTCGACGTCCTCGTACTCGATAGGAATGTCATGTGCGGGGTTCCTGTGCGAGACATACATTGTGCCGAGAATGACTGGGAGAACAAGAGCCAGATCTGCCCTTGAGGCGATAGTGAGAATAGCCATTTTCTCTATTATCCACAGATGGAGGAAGTTGGAGTTGATGCCGAGCAGAGCAGCGGGGAAGTCAAGAAGTCAGACGGTCAAGCCAACGCTATCCCCAATCAAGATTTTGTCGGGGGATATCCTGCCGTGCACAGCCTCCCTATGATTATTTATCAAGATCGGCGGTTTTATTAATCAAGTTAAAAGTATCAGACGGTTTAAAAGGAAAGGTTAAGTAAAAGAGATGTAAAATAGCCTCGATCGCCGTCATCTAGTGAGATCCTCTGGTAGTCACTTGATAATCTACATTTTACTCTGCCGAGACATCTTGATAAAACTGATTAGTGTTATAGTCGGGAATAGGCCGAAGCGGACGAAGAGAGTTAAGGAACGGTACTCCAGAGCTATAAATTTGCATTTCATGAGGGTTGAACGTATTATCTCTGCTTATGCCCCTGCCACAAGCAAATACCTTGGAGAAAACTCTATATATTCATCTTATATAGACTATCAAGAAGGCTGAGATATGGCGCTTGTATGAAGTGAATAACACAATTCCCGGTGATGAGGAGCGCATCACTAGCTATGTGAAGTGTTGAGAGCCTTGGCTATTGCTACTATTTGTTAGGGAATATTCCCATGCTGACCACACACTATGGCTAGCACCGACTTTGGTTTAGTCTTTTTAATCCCTGATAGTGTGTAGGGCTTGAAGAAGCCTACATATATTGATGTAAATATGATACCTTGCGCTTATGCAATCCCAGCTACTAAGATCCTAGCAATGCTGATAGTGAATTCACGCTGGTGAATACTTTTGCCGCCTACTGTCTTTGCTTCACTAGATTATTAGCTACAGAGTCAAATTGATCATACATCATATAGTAGATAACTCCTGTAAGAATCCTAGTATATGCTTTTCCATATATCCCATCTTATTCTATCATTCTAGCCCGCTTCTCCATATTTCAAGTTCTTCTCGCAGTAGCAAATGTCCTAGCGGGCTCTAGTATAATAACCATGGCCCCTCGTTTCCCGTGGTTCGATGAACTGGAAAGTGATTTGAAGGCGCTGGTGGTTAGATGGACTCTAGAAATCGGTAATAGGGTGAAAGATATTATCGACCATGCAAAGGCCAAAAGCCACCGTCTGGCACATACCGAGCCCACATATCCTGGTCTGACGGTGACATCAATTCACCCACATAGTGTCAAGGCCACTTTTGATATAAGATGGGTCCCGGGAGCCATCAACTTGCGCACTTATGAGTTCAAGCCTATACCATCTCCCCTATGTAAGTTCAACAAAACTTGGCCGATATGGAGATACCTCGCTAATTGACATAGAGGAGGCTCTGGATGATTATGCCCTGGCCCTTGAGTGGGCTCCCAAAAAAGAAGCGAGCACAAAGAAGTGAGTCGTCGCTCCTGTCTGGAGCCTCTCACTCAGTACCGACCCATCGAGTTCCAAGCGGAGACTGGTGATGGGCTGAAACAGGCCATGTCCTACATGGGTAAGTAACTCAACAGTTGTTTCGATTAATTTCATTATTGACATTCCAAGCGATGATCCACCAAGCACGGAAAAAGGCAGGCAGAGAAAACACGATTGGGTGGGGAATAGCAATGAATAGTTGGGAATGGAAGTTTATCCATCTAAACGCGGACTCCACGGTAAGAACGACTATCAAATTATTTCGATCACGAAGGTCACATTCCGCCGAAGTGGTGCGACTTTGTCTTCAAGCTTGTATTAGACGGTACCTTTCATTATAGTGACAAGGCTCTGAGTTCAGTGGTCGGCGGTCGCTATCAAGAAAAATATAGGCAGCATATCAACCCCGATTACTTAAACGCCAAAGGCGACGTACAAAAGCGTGAGACAGATAGGGACGGAGAAGGACGTTTCAAAGCCTCCAATCTTGAAACCCAAGCGATGGGATCATTCTCGAGACAACGGATCGTGTCCCGGGCAATTGCAGGACAACCACTGTGTGGACAAGACCCTCCTTCAGAGCACAGGATACCGACGTGGTAAAGGTCCGCAATGCCTCCTATGATCTTAGAAATCGCAAAGACGGCGAAATTATTGGCATGCTGCATCTATTACTGATTACGCAGCTGCACTTAGCCCAACACTCACCGGAAAACGAACTCTGGCATCAGCCGGTCTCGAGATTTCGCCTACATGAGGTACCGCTTGCTTCATCTTCTCTGAGATGCCAGTTCTTTTACTTAAGGGGAGAGTTTAGAGTTCTCATTTCCTTCTTTCTTCTTTACACGATAAGTGTCATCAATCTGTGAATTTTCGGGTTTCTGTGTGCTTTTCTTTCTGAGTTGTTTCTGCTTCTGTTTCTGTCTATCGGAATTTGGCCTGCTGCTGGACAGCGCCACGATCGAGATTTGCTTTTATAAATCAACGCGAGCTTCTTGCAAGTCCTCAAAGAATAAGCCTGGTCCAGAGTATTAACGTGATCCCGATTTTATAGACTAGTTACTCTTCAAAGAGGAATTTTTGAACTCAGATATTGGCCCGTTATTCGAAACAAACTGACTGCTGATAAACTAAAGAGGGAAAAGATAGAATAATTTGCTCCGGGTCAAGAAAAAAAACAGCAGCTCACGACAACGTAAGATTGGCGACATTACCTTTACAGAATTTCGCCCACGTGAACTCGGATTCCGCTTCAACAGACTGTACGTGACTAGAAGTATCCAAATCTTCCAGCTGGCCGGTAGTCTCTTCGCGAATACTCCACATGTAGCGAGTGTAGGAACGACATGCTCTAGAGCTAGGAAATCGTATCCATTCCCGTTGAGGTTTGTCCGGGCCTTCTCCTATACTTTCAACATGGAACTATCCATTGAGTTAGCCAAGACCTTGACAATGGTCGAAAAGAGAAAAGAGGCATTAGAATGTCCTACCTCCAGATCTTTGAGAGACACGCCATGTATCTTTGCCGACACCCCAATAATGCGGCTGTTCGGAGGAATACTCATGGTGTTGCGTTGTAATGACGGGTTCTGGTTACCTACCGAATGGGTAGGATATGCGTTGTATATGAATTCTAACGCGATTATACTATCACCCTCAAAGAAGCCCGAGACCTCTTTCACTCTATCAATGCCGTAGCCGTTGACGTTTGGTCTAAATTGGACACACGCGTCTGGAACATCTTGATGCGATTCTTCATCGGACATTTCAGGTTTCGAGGACTGTGTCGGATTTTCTGTTGACTTAACCGGTTGAAGCCAGTCGGTGGTCAGATCCATCATCCATGCAAGAGAGCTCTGATACAGAATTAGCAACTTTGGGATGAGGATTCTGGCCAAAAGTGGTGGACCATGAATCAAAGGAGGAGGACAATGAAGGGAAGGAGACTGACGAATTTCTCATCTGGTGCTACCTGAATCTCAAATCTCAGGCACTGTTCAAAAGGAGGGCAAACCCAAGGTGAGCAAAACAGTTTACTCCGGTCGTGGTCTGTGCCGATAAGAACGGCCATAACATGCCCTTTCTCCCCTCTCATCGGACTGGGCCATGGTTCAATGGCCCGCCAGACGGTTAAGCACACGACTTTCTCATTTTCACCAAGATCGAAGACTTCGTGTTCATGCATCCACTGGCCTACAATTTCAGAGGATCGGTGATCATTATAGTCGACCCTCAACCCGGATATGCCATACAGGGAGCGAGATCTTCCCGGCAGACCGATTGACGCCTGAATTCTCCGGACCCCCTTGAGTGAGGCGTAACTTTGAACCCACTTCCTGGGGGCGAAGGCATTAACCGGCTTTATCATGAATGAAGATTCATTGTCACCTTCGGCACTTTCCGGTGACAGGTCGTGGTTCATCCTGGAATCCGGTGAAGAAGTGGGAAGGACTTGTCCACTCAATGATTGTGTAAGGACACCCAAGCTAGCAAACTGAATCCCCACAGGCTAAACGGAATCAGACAGAGTTTCAATAAAGTCAATCTTGGACCTACCGGTCTCACAGCAATGAGTCCAGTAATGAACGTCCCCTTCCGGGGTTGATGTTCATATCTTCGAATACATTCACTGGCAGTGGTGGTAGTTGCTCCGAAAGCTTGAGCGCGACCGGAGTTTGTAGAGAACTAGATTTTTTGTCAGCTCGGTCAAGTCGGGTTTTCAAAACAATTTGGAACCGGATACCTTTAGTCCACATATGCGCCTGTACCGGTAGAAGCGGGATTGTATGTAAGCCGAGACCTCGAAAGCTGTAATGCGCTCTTCCCCGGGACCATCAATGAGCATAGAAATTTCGACTCCACCGCTCAAGCCGAGCGTTTTCACACCCCCGTCAAGAAAGTGAAAACTGATTCCTGCCAGCTGCCAAGGATCAAAAGCACGATGTGATAAATGTATGTGCAACGAAAGTCTTGTTAGACAGTTGAGCAACACGCCACCAGGCCCGCCAAAGTCGACGTGAAGCCTCGGGGTAAATGTGTTGAACGAATTAGGTGGTTTGAGAGCACTTGCTTGTAAGACTCCCCAACTCGGTTCGTACGGAAACCATATTTTAGGTTCGACAGTCATGTTATTAGACGGGGTTTGTTGCCCGCCTTCATCAGCGGGTAGAGCAAGCCCTAAGCTGACGATTTTATATCGCTAAAGTAGTTGTTAGTAGATGGGTGATTGGGAGTAGAGTGACAATGTTACATCAAGACCTGCTACGAGAAAGCATCTCTTCGGGACCTTGGGAAGGCGCATGACCTTACGGGCGATATTCGAACCCCGTCCCTGGTCAATCCAGCGCGTCGATCCAATATTGCGTAATTTGAAGCTTAAACCAACTAGACCACCCACGGAAAATGCAAATTCAACTGCATTAAAATGCGAGGCATACGGAATTCTGAGACGCCTGGTCTTATCGTGGCCATAATATCCAAGCTTCAAGACACGCCCTTCAGGATATCCCGAATGCCAAAACCGCATACCGGATATAAACTCTTGGTCCCCAACTTGAATGAAAGAAACTTCAACTTCCCCATCGCCACCCCCAGTAGGAAATTCGAGTTGAACTGCCTTATAGTGGCAGGGGTCCGAAGCACCAACCGTGTCTTCATAGCCGTGTCCCGGAATATGCCCAGATGAGAAACACTTGAGCTGTAAACAGTCGGGTATGCCATCGTCGTACCTGTGGTCCATAACCTGATACGTATAGGTTTGGGGGTTTGTGACAACCCTTTCAAGGGCATAACCGTGTGAAGTTCTCCCAGGTGACGCCTCGCATCTTGCAACTTCCTCAAACGAGTCAAGCCGTTGCCATATTCGCTTTCGATTGCGCAGAGACTTGTTAGTTTTCAGCAACGACAATGTGCCACGGAAAAGTCGATACCAATCTCTCTGGGCCGAAAGATCAACACCGAGAAACGCCCCCTCTTGACCCGCTGAGAATCTGTCTCTCCAGTAGGATCTGGGAAGAGCATCAAAGGACATGATAGCTGCCAATTCACGGCAAACCAGCCTTAGCCGAAGCAGGTCGCTAAAAGGCAAATAGGACAAGATCTCGAAAGTGAGCTCAACGGACAGTTTGCTGAAATGGCGAGAGTTGCCACTCGCTCCGATCGGAATCAAGCCCGCCGCAGCGAGCCTTGGTGGCGCCGCCGCCTCCAGCTCGTCTAGGGACGGAACATCGAAGGGATCCTTCCTGACATGTGAATCCTTGGCGAATCTTTCTAAATTGAAGTAGCCTTCGGTAGAAACATCTTCCAAATGGGGTGCAGATAGAATCTGATTAAAAACTGACTCTGCAAGGTCAATTGCATGCGCATAGTGGATATTCCTTGAATAAAGCATCTTCCAACATGCATCATGTATGCCAAATCCCCAAGCGTCGCTAAGAATGGTAGTAGTTTTATGGATGAGTTCGATCCGCTGCGGTCTTTGTACATCCCGGTAGGAATAGTCACTATCGAGAGGGGCTTCAAGACCTTGACTGTATCCCGGGCGACCAATTCCAGAGAGGTAAGTGCTCTTTTCTCTCCCCCTTCTGTAAAGGGCCCGAGCTTGAGCATACCATGGTATATTCTGCTGTCCACCAAGAGAGTTCGCAAAGATGACTCCACAAACACTGCAGCGCTTGCTGCCTGACATTCCGGGCAACCTGATCTCGAATAAAGCGACCAATTAGTTGATTCTGAGAGCGAGTGAGTGCGAGGTGAAAGCGAAGGACGTCAGGAAACGAGCGACTGACATCCGCGCTTACGTCGGAGCGCTAGTCCCGAAGCGGCTTAGTCGTTACTCTTGCTGCCTTGCTGCCTTGCTAGACTTTGACGTCCTAACTCCTTAGGCTAGTCTTAGGCTAGTGCTAGTTATGCGATTAATGTGTGATGAAAATGGCATTTCGTTCATAATAGACTACATGCCAACGAAGGGCCTAATATCGAGTGTTTCACCGTCCTAAATACGGATATCGCAAAGTGTCCTGGTTGTCATCAACGGCCTCCAAAAAGCTCGGAATAAGGGGCTCGATCCCCCCTTCCAGTGCGAGGGAGCTCCAATCACGCAGGCTAAGCTCCTGGAACGGTCGATTGTGCACTTTCTCCATGTATTCCTTGAAGCTTTTCACAGGAACCCTGACATTGCTGGAATGGTGGAAAAAGGACACCCCGGATGGTGTTAACGACGGTCGGGGGGAAGCCTCGGTGAACCTTGAGATCACTAGCGTGGCGATATCCTTGGCGAGGGTCTCTACTTTCTGAAAGTCCAAGTATCCTTCCATTCTTGTCAGGCGAGGGGTCGCTCCGAGAGTGGCGGAATAGCGGAGAAGGGAGTTCAGTGCGTCCTGGGCAGGAGCTTGATCGCCGATAGGCGTACAGGGACGGTGGATACTGATGCTCGCGCCACTCTCCTCCGCCAAACGCTCGAGGAAGACTTCACTTACCCATTTTGTGGCGGTCAGACCATCGGATCCGTCTAGAGGAGGGGGGTGCAGAGACAATGAGACGGGCCCTAGGGACGTCTGCCCGGACTGGAGGATGACTCGCCCGGAAGAAATGTAATGGAGCGGAATCTGGGCTTGGAGAGCAAATTCGGCAAGACGATGGGTAGAGCCAAGATTCGGACCCTTCAAAGAGTTGTACGTGTTGAGACAGTGCCCGTTGGAGCCGCCATGAATCACTACGTCAATACATCGCTGCAGTGACGCCCATTTTGTGCTGGACAAGCCGAGCATGGGATCAAGAAGGGTTCCGTGATATACCGATATCTTGTCACTGGTGGGGAGGACATGTCCTTGCTCCTTGTCCACGGCGATGCAATGTAATCTCTGCACCTCGGGCACCTGGAGGAGGGTCTGCGCCAATACCCTTCCAAGAAAGCTTGTCGACCCGGCAAGGAGGATTTCACAGCCAGATCCTTGAGAACGCCGGGTCATCTCTCTTCTCGGGATAGAGCTCACGTAGTTCAGGACATTAGGTGGTATCGCTGTTTCTGCCAGCCAGTTTACCGACGTCGACGGTACTTCGGCCTTTCGCGCCTGGACCTTGACTGCCATCAACGCGAGTGTGCTGGCACTGTAAAGCTCTCGGAGTGTGAGCGAAACCCCGACGGAATTCCGGATAGCACCTTGCAGTTTGACCAACAGTAGCGAATTTCCTCCGAGAAGGAAGAAGTCGGACTCCGGCTGGATTTGCTGACCAGAAAGGAGATTCTGCCAAAGAAGCTTGAGCTCACCTTCACCCAAAGTTAAGCGTTTCGATGGTTGAGTCGTGGCGGTTGGAGCAGTCCATGGCATGGCCTCTATTCGTTTTCGATCAACTTTGCCGTTTGGATTCCGAGGTAGCTCCTCTAGACAGATAACAGCGGCGGGATGCATGTACTGCGGCAAAGGAAGACTGCTGGCGAGATGTTGCAGCTCAGCATGACTGGCCATTTGCCCAGGGTTCAGAGCAACGAAAGCGACAAGTGTTTCTGAGTCACCTTGGTCCTTCACGCACACGATCGCAGACGAAAGCAAATCCGGGTGACAGTTTAGCATAGTAGAAGCCACGTCTTCTAGATCGATGCGAAGCCCGCGAAGCTTGATCTCCGTGTTTCCGTTCATCCGACCCAGGAGGATTAGAGAGCCATCCTTGTGTAATTGACCTTTGTCGCCGGTGTGGTACATTCGAGTCCATCCTCTGGCTATATCTTCAGGTAGAGCAAATGGATCTTCGACGAATTTCAGCTTAGTCTGCTTCTCGTCAATATAACCCAGTGCAATTCCGGCACCACCGACACAGATTTCTCCAGTCTCTCCAGTGGGGACAAGATTGAAGTCCGGACCCACTATATAAAGAGACGTGTTTGAGATTGTTCGTCCAACACTGCGTGTTTCTTCCAGTTCTGACGCAGACATCGTCTGGAAAGTCGTGCATGCGGATATCTCGGTCACACCATAGGAGTCTTGCACGATAGGACAGTTCTTTCCCAGCCGAGCGAACTCCCGTTTCAGTTGATCCGTAAAAGGCTCACCACCCAAACATGCCTGCTTCCATCCAGTGTATTGAGAGAGATATTCGCGACCGTGCTGGATCATGACAAGGTACTCCGACGGAGTGGCCAGCGTGAAGCTGACTCCGTGATCACGCATGATTTTCGCTATTTCAACTGAGTCTCCTCGTACTTCCTGAGGCACGATAACGAGCTTTCCACCGTTCATAATCGCATTGAAAGTCTGGGCGAGCCCCATGTCGAATCCCAGCGAGCTTTGCTGTAGCACAACCGTCGAGCTATCTAGACCGAGTTCTTTCTGCTTGGCCGCTAAGTAGTTGATAAAACCAACTTGAGGCAGACAGACTCCCTTGGGCTGTCCCGTTGACCCGCTTGTGTATAGCAAAATGGACAGAGAATTGCCATTGATATCGTCACTAATTGATTCCATAGGCGAGGCTTCAGTGAAGAGTACCTCGGAAACGTTGATAACGACTGAGGTCTTTAATTCGGACGCTATTTCAGCCCTCGAAGACATGCAGATAATAGCGGTCACGGCAGCAGCCTCCATCATGGCCTTATGTCTTGCCGGAGGGAGGCTCAGATCTAAGGGCACGTATACAGCTCCAATGCGGAGAATGGCGAGCATACTCGCCACCGAGCTCACGGAGGGGTGGCACAAGACTGCGACTTTATCACCAGACGCAACCCCTCTCTGGAGAAGAGCTTTTGCGATATGAGTGCTTTGCGCGTGAAGTTGCGAGTAGGTAAACTCCCCTGTGTCGTCCGTGACGGCGACCCTATCTCCGTATTGATCGGCCATGTTCTGGAACCTTTCTGACAGCGTCGAAGGCCAGTCGTGACATTGTCGAGGACCACGGTGAACAGAAAGACCATCCTCATTGACCGGCTTTACCGAGGGCAGACTGCTCTGGACAGAATGTGACGGATCCGAGGACAGCGTCTCCAGTAGACGGACATATGTATCCATAGTTAATTCCGTGGCTTGGGGCGAGTACAAATAATCCCGACAGTTGAGTTCAACTATACAGGTGCCATCCGCGCAAGGAGTGACATGGAAGGACATATCATAGGGTGCATTTCCCATCACACTCCGATCGTAATTGAGCTCAAAGTCCTCCACTGACATCCTGGTGATCTCTCCCACACGGTAGTTCAATGCAACCTGGAAGAGAGGTGTTACGTTCGATGCTCGCGGGATCTTTAGCTCATCAATGACCAAGTTGGAAGGAATTGAGGAGTTTGAAATTGCCGTCAGCACCTTGGAGGACGTGTTCTGGAATACGTTGGTAAAGCTGTCCGTTTGCTTGACATGGAACCTGAGTGGCAACATATTCAGGAAATAGCCGACCGTGTTGACGAACTGCTGATCTTTTCGATTTGCGTCGCTCATACCGATACATAGATTCTCGATCTTTAGCAATCTAACAAGAAGGACCTGCAGTGTTGCTAGGTGGAAGTGGAACGGCGTGCCCCGGAGACTGCGACTTGTGTGCTTGATCATGTCGGCGACTGCGATGTTTATGTGTCGCGATGCTGTGTGCATCTTGAAATTGTCTGTCGCCTCCCGCGTGTTGCTTTTAGCAAACGGAAGGACAGGCATAGCCTCCGGTGGTGGTGAAAGTTCATGTTTCCAGTACTCTAGCTCTTTTGCGAATGCTCCATCGTCAATGGCACAATTCAACTGTAGCGAGTAATCGACATACTGCCCAACCTCACACAGTGGGCTTCCTTTGTAGAAACACTTCACATCATTCAAGAATGCGGACCAACTAGCCCCATCCATGACAATATGGTGGTATCCAAATATGACTGTGTGCTGGTCCTGTCCCACCGACACTACGGTCACTCGAATGACTTCGCCCTGTTCCAGTCGCCACTGATAGGATGCCAATTTGTCAAATTCCTCTGACACAGAGCCTTGCTCAGAACTTGTGACATGATTGAAAAAGGGTGGTTGCGTTGTCAAAACACCCTGGAGGAGGTCACCAGTGTTTGGATCTGTAAAGAAGGCTGTGCGCAGGGACTCGTGCCGGAATACCGCTTGCTCCAGAACCCTTTGGAACTTTTCGAACTGGAAGTTTCCATGAACATTGTAGGATATCACGACATTGTACTGGTTTGGGTCCGCCATCCAATGGCCTGCGAACCAGATCTGGGACTGATCAGGAGACATCTTCTCCACACGGGTAAACCTTGTCTCTGTGATGCTTGGCTGCAATTCGCACCAGGATTCAGAAGAAGGGGAGTCACACGATGATTGTGAGCTACTGCTTTTGTCCAAAAGGTCTTTACTCGAGTTGTCTTGTTGAGAGTTGGAAGTAAGTGTTGTGACATCTGTAGAGTCGCTCTCTTCCACATACTGATCTTCCTTCTGTGGCACTGAAGCATGAGTATCTGGCTGGGGAATAGCTTTCTGGCACAGCCCTGCGACGGTAGCTAGTAGCGCATCCATTGCGGAAATGTGAATGTCAAGCTCCTTCGCAAACCATGTCTGGATATCCACGGCAAAAAGCGAATCACAACCAAGATCAAGAAGCGGAGTGTGTATATCCAATGTTCCTGCTGGTAGTCGGAGCATTGATGCAATCTTGTCTGCTAAGCGTTCCAGTAGCACATCAGATGTATTTTGTTCCGGCTCCGATTCTTGTGACTGTTTTTCTGGATGAAGAACTGATGACGAATGCTCTTCCGCCGATTGCTCTGGTCTCACCTGATCGACCTTGGTAGTGAAGTGAGAAAGTAAAGGACTTGAGCTCCACGACAATTGACAGTCTTGGTCACTCTGTAAATCGACTTTCTGCAGTCCAAGAAACACCTCAGGATTCTCTTGCCTCTCGGGTCTACCTGCTGCTATCGCTTCACGAAAGCCATGATGTAAGTCAGTTTCAGAGAGAGGTGAATACCCTTGATGAACCATGTGCTGGATAGCCTCCTTGTCCTGCCTAGCAAAGTAGCCAGCGTCGACGACTATACCCAGCGACAACATGGACCCCACCAAGCCTCTCTTCCTCCGCCGTTGAATGACACCTGACATGAATGGCGCAGAAGCATGATGTGACACCTGCTTTGGTGTCCCAATGACCGACACAAGGGATGTAAAGAGCACGAAAAGGTCCAGTGTTGGGTTAGAAAACAACCCGTCAAGGTACATCGCTGCGTCGATCTTTGCGTTTGGGACAACCACTCGCTCGTCTTCGAGGGTATATTCACACCCTTCGTGAGACAGAGCCAAAGGAGCATAGCAGACACCAACAATAGGTGGTGAAGCTTCCTTAATTTGGCCAAAGGCGGACAGAACGGACTCTTTGTTTGAAGCGTCCATCTTCATGACCTTGACGGTAGCTCCTAGACGATTCATTTCCTCGAGCCAAGCTTTGTTCACGCGTGGCCTTCTATCAGCGAGGACAAATGTTCGGGCGCCGTTTCTCGCCATCCATGTCACAACTGACAATCCCAGTGGTGATACCATGTCGATCATCCAGTATGTTCCGGTCGAGGAGAACATAGGGAAAGGATCTTGGCATTCACTCTGCCTCATTACTGGAGCAAGACTTGTCCAGTCTACCACCCTGGAATGATTGAGTGATCGGTTGCTTGATGAGGTCTCTGCGGATGGAACAAGCTCCAGGTCCACTCGTGGAAGAGTCGACAAGCTGATGCATGTTTGAGTATAGGCTTCCGCGATAAGCTCCTTAGGAGTTGTAAGCAACGCAAGCCGATATAAACTCTCAGGATGAACTAAGATCTTATGATAGAGAGTGCGAAGCCTAGTTCCAACGTTGTCATCGCAGCAGGATAAATCGACGAAGTTTGACAGTTTTCTTGGCAGCACTCGTTGAATCATCCGTTGCGATGCGTGGGGATGGATTGCGATCCACCCTTTCGGCGGATAAGTACGATTTGAAGTGACAAAGTACACTTTTCGATCAGTCTGGCGAACTTGATGGATAGCAGTGGCGAGTAGCTCATCAGGCTGATAAATTATCATAGGCCCTGATGATGACTTCACCAGCAAGAGTGCTAAGCTGAAGCTGGCAATCGCTCGCAAATTTTCTGGACTCAGATCATCTCCGTCAAGGGAGATGGTGTGAACACTATCAGGATTGACTTGAATCACTGATGAGATGTTTTCAGAAAAGCCGATCATGTTCTCACTTCCAGTGGTGGCTGTTCCCAGCCAGAGATACACGTCCTCAGAAAGAAGAATGGAATACATGACCTGGACATCAATCGAAACTGGCACATCGTTCATTGCCAGAGTTGTGACTGGAACATGTGAAGAAGAAGCAACTGGGCTGATCTTTCGGCACTCCGAACTGTATCGCTTATTTCGCTCGTGGTCCTGTACGACACGTGGAATACGTAGCGTGGATCCATCCCAGTACAACTCGGGCTCATTTGTCCAAAGCGTTTTCCCATCCATCAGCGTAGGTAATGAGGACCAGGTGAGACGCAAGAAGACTTCGACTATAAATGCAGGTGGCACCTTTGTCACCGTAGACAGTTCCAGCAATTGTAGGTGGGCATTGTCGCTGGCTTTTGATCTCATCGCTCTCCCAACAGCCAGGCTGACTGCCATGTCCCCAGCTGTCAGCCAAAGAACATGCTTGGACTTTTGCACAAGCTCTTTGAAAGCTATGACTTTTTCATGGAACATAGAATTGGAGAAGAATGGCTGGTCAAGCTCAGTCAGAGAAATGATTGAATATTCCCCTGGAAGGCTCTTCAGCTCTAACTCGTCAAGGTCTTCCACAATCTCGGTCGTGGCACCAGAAGCAGCGAGAACCCTTCGAATGCTATGAAGCAAGCGCGATACCGGGAGAGTTTTACCTCCAATGAGGACAATAATATCAGTCGGTGGCGCCAGCCCGATCGAACTCATCGGCTCTCGAAGCATCGCAACGGTGTCATCCACCGCCTGGGTGACTATTACCGAAAGATCACCCTCATCTGGAAGAGGCGAGCTGGGGAATATATGATCGATGCCCGCAAATCCCGCAGACCGTAGCTGTCTGTCGCATTGAACAGATGCCATTTCTGGCCACGCCTGCATGCTTTGATCGTAGCCTTGCCACCACTCGGGAAACAGCCCAAAGGTGCATAACAAAGAACTCGGGATGCGACCAGTGACTCTCGCAAATATAAGGTAACCACCTGGTTTTAACATCTTGCGGCAGCGCTCGAAGAGACTGGTGGGGTTTCCAGTTGCCTGGAGCGGATTGGCAGCGAGTACCATGTCATACATGTCGCTGCCAGGCTCTGGGATACTGGCGGTGGTCAGATCAATTAGCCTGGCTTTCAGATTCTGATGCTGAATGGAAAGCAATTTCATCTGTTCGCCAAGTAATGTTGGATCTGAGCCACTTAAACAATAGGAAGCATAGTTGCCATTAAGTTCTTCCAGGATTTGCTGTGTGGCTATGCCAGGATCGGAGCCAAGCTCCAGGATCTCCATGTGAGGGTGTTTGTGTACAATGCGCTTCAGCGTGTTACATATGTTTACCTTCATTTCAGAAAGGATCCCCCAACTCTGGTATAAATGCCCAAGACTACCAACACCATTCTGCAGGTCAAAAGGGTTAACCTCTCCTCGCAGTATAGCAGGTAGTGCTTTGCCCAGTGAATGGATTGACTCCAGATGAATTCTGTTCCCCGAACCGGTGACTTTCTCCTGAATACTGTCCTCAGATCCACCTGATTGATAAATTGTGGATGGAGAGCCCGAGTCCTCGGTGGTAACAATCCGGCGAATTTCACGGTACAGGTGTTGGTGATGAGGCATAAACCCAGGTACTTCGAATGGATCGATCTCATACAGTGCTTTTTGGAAGTAATAGAGGGCAACCATGTTTGCTTCATCTAACCCTGCCGACTTATTTTCTGAACCGCGGTTGGAAGGAATCACCGGATACCCAAAAGGGTCAATTTCCCACACCAAATGAGAGAATATATTTCGGTCGGTAGATTTGTCAGGATCACGATCACTTTTCATGACCAAGCCTTCTATCTGGACCATGGTGCTTCCACTTTCACTGTGGAACGAAACATCGCCCACTACCTCACTGTCCCCAGACGCGGTCACAAATGCATCGATTTCGCATGAAGAACTCGTTGATACAAGTCCAGGGGTAACAAGAGCCTGACGAATCTCCATTGGATTAAATGAAGTCCACATTCTCTTGCTGAGGGGCGAGGCAAAGGCGCACAGCATTGTTTGGAATGAGGACTCCAGCATAGCGGGGTGAAACGAGCATCCTGAAATGCCTGTTTCAGGACCCCATGAGGCAGAGGCAGTTGCGTGACCTAAACCGCGCTGGATCGAAGTGATGTTGCGAAACGGTCCAGAATAGCCGGTTCCAGCCTTTTCAAATGACTCGTACATGGCAGCAACATCCACGGGTGTGAGGGTGTGGTATCGCTTCTCTCTTGGCGGCAATCTGTCGGAGTCAGGGAGGCTATCGTCAAGACGAAGTGTGAGGCGTGCAGTGCACAACTTTCTCATCATAGAGCCGTCGATATTGCAAGCATAACAGGCGGCCTCGGCATCAAGTTTTGAGTCCGACATCTGGTCTTGGAAATGTATTGTAGTGACATATTCTATGCCCTGGCAATCACTATCGATGATCAATGGGTTCAAGGCGACAAAGTCATTGACCTGGAGTAATGGGAGACATTGGGTCTCAGCAGCAGAGCATGCAGCGGCCACCAGCGATGAAAAATAGAAGGCCGCTGAGATAATGCATTCACTGTTGTACTTGTGCCCTTGCACCCATGGAAGTTGCTCCGGGTGAATGATATTTCTCCGGGACATTTCGTTTCCTATGTCGTTAATACATCGCCGACCCAAAAGCGGGTGCAATTCAGGACTTCCGACGCGATAGTTTCGGGCCACACGAGACTCTCTCCAGTACTTGTTCCTGTGGTCCCATGAGTATGTCGGCAATCCCTTGATCAGCTTCGGAGACTGCTTGCCAAAAGCTTGGAGAACCTTCCCGATATCCAAGCGTTCAGGAACCCCTTCCCAGAGGCAACCAGCGGCGCGTGCTGCAGCTTTAAGATCATTGTGCCCCCTGTGAAGGAAGGAAGTGTAAGGGATATTAGAAATCGATTTTGACAACAATGTATCCAAGACAGGACCACGGAGAGCCGGGTGAGGACCAATCTCAACACATACACCAAGGCTCCGGGCTTGCCCAATAGTCTTCTCAACTGCCTGTGAGAAGAGCACAGGGTTGACCATATTATCAACCCAGTAATCACAAGAAAATTGTTGAATGTCCAGGGTTGCACTGTTCCCTGTGACACTTGAGACCCATGTGCAATCACTTCTAGGGGTCCGCACATGGATGTCGCATGCCTTCAGTGACTTTCGATATGCTGCAGCACAAGCCACCATATGGTGTGAATGGTATGCTGCATCAACCTGTAACATTCTGGCAAATGTTTTCTTCTGATCTAGGAGTGCCTTGGCTTCGAGAATTGCATCGTAATCGCCCGATAATGTGGTGCTCGCGGGCCCATTACTCGCGGCTGCCACGATTCTCCCGGAAAGGGATGCCTGGAAACACAGCTGAATGGCATCACGGAAAGAGAGACCAACAGCCAGCATACCACCCGACTGGGCAGGTTTAGTGTTCAATCCACGGTAGTAGGCTATCTTCATGGCGTCCTCAGCCGATATGATATCGAGCGCATAGGCGGCAACTATCTCGCCAGATGAGTGGCCAACAACCGCATCCAGACTGATTCCACATGCGCACATAAGATCGTATACAGCTATCTCAATCGCAGTCGTTACTGGTTGGCTGATTTCTGGGTTCGACAGACGCGATGATTGTTTTTCCGCCCTAAGTTCTTCTTGAAGAGACCACGAGGGCCCGTCGCAAAGGCTAGCTAGAGCACGTTCACAACGTTCGATAGAATTGCGGAACACCGGAGACACACGTAGAAGTTCCTGTCCCATTTGAGGCCATTGCGCACCTTGTCCTGTAAAAACCCCCATGATTTCTTTTGGTTCGGACGAATGCTTCCGTGCAACAGTCTTGGGTTCACTTCCTTTGCTGCCTTTATATTCCTCAATGGCCTGTTCCAAGCATTGAAGAAGCTCCTCTCTGCCTGATGCCGTGATTGACACCCTGAATGGTAGAATGGATCTTTTGGCGAGTGTCCATGCCACATCATCCAGTTTCATCCCTTCGTTCTCTTTCACGTACTCGGTGAACCTCTCGATTGTTGAACACAAGGAGTGCTGGGTGTGTGCCGAGAATAAGAATGGGGTCGGTATGGCATTTGTGTCAGAGTTCAGCTCCTGAGAGCCACCGGTGTCGCTTGGCGATTGGCGAGGGATGTAACTCTCGATAATGGCGTGAGCGTTGGTCCCCCCAAAACCGAACGAATTCACGCTCGCCCTCGGGGGATGACCAGGGGCAACGAAGGGCCATGGTACGGTTCTTGTTGGCACGCTAAGATGCTCGTAAAATGGAGCAATGCTAGGATTGAGGTTGTTGAAGAGTAGGTTAGGTGTAATGGTCCGGTTTTTGACGCACAGAATAGCCTTCAGCAGACCGGCAAGACCCGCACACCCTTCCAGGTGGCCAATAAGGGTCTTGATGCTTCCCACATGCAGTTTGTCGTTCGGATCAAATGTGGCGTCCTTTGGATAGAAAGCTTGCTGGATTGCCTGGGCTTCCACGGGATCTCCAGCCTGAGTCCCAGTGCCATGACATTCGAAATATTGGCATCGGTCTCGGACGGGGTCCAAGCCACTGCGTTCGTAAGCCTGTCGGATTAACATTGTCTGGGCCTCCAAGTTGGGCATTGTAATCCCTGCAGATCGGCCGTCCGAGTTGACTGCAGTCCCCCGAATGATGCATCCCACGTCGTCCCCATCTTCTAGTGCTTGATCCAGCGTCTTGATTACAACCGCTGCGCACCCCTCTCCTCGAGCGTACCCGTCTGCATCTCTATCCCACATGCGACATCTTGAAGTTGGAGACAACATGTGCAGGTTAGAGTGACTGAGGTAGGTGTCGGGGTCGAGAAGGAGATTAACGCCAGCAACAATTGCAGTTGTACATTCCCCATTGCGGAGGCTCTGGACTGCTTGATGCAATGCCACCAATGAGCTTGAACAGGCTGTATTGATGGTCATTGACGGCCCTTTGAGGTCAAAGAAGTAAGAAAGGCGATTTGACAATATACTCGGCGATGTACCGGTGGCATGCCACCGACTAATTGTGTCGAGATCCCGAGTTTGAATGTCATGATAGTCTGAAGTCATCGCGCCAGCAAAGACAGAAGTAGACGATCCGCGTATCTGCTTCAGAGTATATCCTGCTGCTTCGAGAGCCTCGTATGTTGTCTCCAGCAAAAGACGCTGCTGTGGGTCCATGGCCTCTGCTTCCGCCGCGCTGACTTTGAAGAATGAAGCGTCGAAGTGGAGACCGCTGTCGTCCAGCATATAGGATTTTCTCGGGACGTTGGTGGGGCCATTATTCTCGAGATTGCGATCGTGAAAGCTGGAGAGGTTGAATCTCTCAGGGTCCAGATCGCTCAATACATCTTCTGGGTTGCTTAGTAGCTCAAAAAGCTGGGAGGGCGAGGTTACACTGCCTGGAAATCGACAGGCAGTCCCGACAACAGCAATTGGCAAATTCATCATAGTGAACTGAGCGTTGCGGGGGGAGGGTTTGGATAAAAAGAAAAGGACAGGCTGAAAGACAGGTATAGAGAACCGAGGTATTTCCAATAGAAGTGTCAAACAATGGCCACATGCCTTCTTGGCCGTGATTTCTAGAGAAATACAGATCCTATATATATGCGAAGCGTTCACGCTTTTTCTGATCATCGGCGAACCTGACAGCAGTTAACAGCTATCCATTCCCCATCGGGCATCTTCCATTGGGCTTAATACAATAGTTTTCTGTAATCCAATGAGAGACTACAAATCATGACTACTGTCGTGAGTGGCGCTCGATGTCCCATGGATCAGGTACGAATCATCATGTGAATTCAGCTCTAGTCAAACTAGTTGAAGCCATTTCCTCATCGGTCACAGGCGTCTTGCATTTTATGCCGAAGACAATGCGTTGCCCACCTGCAGAAGATCTTCAAATTTGAAAAATCAGAGAGTACGAGCTAGAAAGCTTGGGTGAAGCTTATCACATGCTTGACGTTGTCATGTCATGTCATTCAATGATTAGTCGGACTGAATTGAATTTTTTCAAGTCGTCTAGTCCGAGATCGCCCGGAAATGGCTCACTGTTCCGACGTTCTAGATTGAATAGAAAGTGGACAACAGCCAGCCACTCGGTTACACTATCCTTCGTGATATAGTTTCAATAAAAGCTGGCGCTAGGCCGACTAAGTGAGGAGTGGCTACTGATGAAGGTGTATAATCGTATTCGCATGCTTGGCGCACTCTGTTGAGAACATTTTTTGACTTCTGTACAGGACTCGGTTGGCTTCATTTGCATCTACTCTGGCTCCGCGGCGGCGCAACGACCGCTGGCGACCCGAGAAAAGCCCCATGAAAGCGCTGGAATTCTGGTATAATGCATCTCCCTCTCTCTATTGGGAATTGTCTGGCCGTTGGCGTACTTGGCGGGCGCTATACGGCCGCCATACGGACTGTCGCCATGAACTGTCGAAACGCTATCCATGGAGGGTTGGTCTTTTGATCGGGCCCAAAGGCTTTATATCAAACCACATACAAAGCTCCTGATGACCTGCGAAGGATGCTGTTTATTTCCACCTCATGCCTTGACCGCAGAGACCAAAGCAGGAGTTCCCCAAGCTCCTAAATTCTTACTCTACTCAGAGCCCATACAAGAATTCAATTGCCAGACCTCCAAGCAATGGCAGACTCTCAGAAACCCGCAACACTGCTGTCAAAGCCGTTTTATGTGCTCAGTGGTTCCTTCAACTTCTCCAACCGGGACCACGCAAGATGGTGGTATAGCACAGCCCCGATGTTCGCTGCCATGATGGCAAGAGCCAACTACGACGTTCACGCTCAGTACAAGTTCCTCTGCATCCACCGTGAGGTGTTCATTCCAGCATTGGGCCCGTATCCTGAAAGGGGTCAGCCCATGCGCTGGAAGAGCCATCTGACGCGCTTCGGTCTTCCCTTCGAATTGAGTTTCAATTACTCCAAGTCGCTGTTACGGTTTGCCTTCGAACCCCTCGGCCCCCGAACAGGAACAGTGGAAGACCTGTTCAACACTCAGGCTGCCGGTCCTGTTCTTCAGGTCCTCAAAACCATGGTTCCGCGGCTGGATCTTGAATGGTTCGATCATTTCACGAAGGCATTGGTCGTATCCGACGAAGAGACCCGATCTCTATACGAGGCAAACATTCCCATTCCCGTCTTCAAATCACAGATTATCCTAGGTGCCGACCTGGCGCCGTCCGGGGACATGGTCTTGAAGGCCTACGTCTATCCTCGGATCAAGTCTATTGCGACCAGCATGCCGAAAGAGACGCTCATGTTTGACGCAGTCAAGGCGGTTGACTCGGAGAGAAGACTTGCCCCGGCATTGTCGATCTTAGAGGAGTTCATGGCTGAGCGGGCCCCAACCCTCATCGGCCACTTTCTCTCCTGTGATTTAGTCCAACCCTCTGACTCTCGAATCAAAGTCTACTGCATAGAGCGCCAACTTAACCTGGCTTCCATAGAGAACATCTGGACTCTGAATGGGCGACGAATGGACACAGAGACAATGGAGGGACTGCAAATGCTCCGGGAGTTGTGGCAGCTCTTGCCCATCACGGAGGGTTTGTGCCCACTGCCGGACTGCTTCTACGAGCCCGGTACCTCGCCGCACGAGCAGCTTCCCTTCATCATCAATTTTACACTTTCCCCAAACAACCCTCTTCCCGAGCCTCAGATTTATTTCCCTGCATTTGGTCAGAACGACAAAATTATTGCAGAGGGCCTGGCAACGTTCTTTGACCGCAGAGGATGGGGTGGCTTGGCTCAAAGCTATCCAACAGACTTGGCGGCGTATCAGTAAGTCTTTCTCTTGCATCTTGCTAAATGAATAATACTTACTTGACCCACAGTACGGATGTCTACCTGGGCACCGCAAATCATCTGCAGGCGTGGGTCTCGTTCTCCTATAGGGAGAGGAAACCATACATGAGTGTCTATCTCCACGGTGTCGACACTTGCGGTGTCTACCAGGAGGCAATTTCTGTCACGAAGGATAGGGCCACTGATTCTTAACTCCGTTGAGGTTTATCTATTGCTCCCTTATTCAAATCAGCTTTCCAAGCGAGTAGCGACATTGCCTCTCCTTGTCCGCCATGTATGCGTCCAGGATTCAACATCCTGGTATATCAAAAGTTCCAACAAATGCCATTTTGTTGTATTACTATGCTGCATCCTATTAGATTGTTCTAAACCTCCTTGCGGTACATTCATAATTTTCGTGTTCTACATTAGACTATCGGCTCTAGGTCACGGTAATGCATTTAATTTGGATGTGACCGAGCTACGGATGTGACATCTGAAGTACTGAAACTATTGATGCTTTTTTTGACAAATCATATATCTATCAGAGGTGGTGGGACCGGAATTTGGTTGTCGGAAATGAATAATCGTATTAAGATGAGCGAGGCATGGTTTCTCTATTAAATCTCCGGGGTCAGCGGACCAAACACGAATTCAGCTGCACAAAGACTTTGTAATTAGCTCCATGAGGCATATGACATTCCAGGAAATATGGCATTTGTGGCGTTTCAAACACGATCCTACCCCCTGACTAGCCTTGAACCCTTCGTTGCTCGTCCTATCAGCCTATCATGCCAAGGGACGACAGGAATCTTAATTCTGTATACGATCAGTCACCGTGAACTTCGTGATGAGAAGTTGTTCCTTCCGTTTCAGTAACGCCTGGTGGTATACTAGATAATTAATCCTCAGAAATCTGTTTCAAGGTTCAGTTACAGTTAACACAGCGTCAAGGCAATACTACTGAATATTTACAAACAAGTACCAAGGTGACGTTAAAGAGCATCTCTTGAACAAGGTTTGAAGAGTCTCCCTCTTTCTAACTTCACCGTATCACTTGGTTGATTTGTTATCCAAACGCGCTCGCGGGGAGTACATTATTGAAGGCTGGGCGTAGCTGTAGTACAATGAGGGCGATTGACAGGCAGCGAAAGGAAAACATAAAATAACCAGGATTCACTAGAAGTTGCCTCTCTAACAATTAACGAGCTAATATATAGCTTTTAAATTAGTTAGTTGATGTAGATCAGGACATATGAGCCCGAGGCTTTATTTGACACCAAATGACAATCTATGGTTCATTTAAGCAATAGGAGATATGAACTCTCATCTATACGCTGGACCATGTATATGCAATTCCTCCTTGCTATCCTAAACCTCTACAGAGTCATCGGTCTTTTCTCGGTGGAAAATTCCACAAAGAAACAAGAAAAGTGGAATCGTACTCAACAGCATGAAAGTGACGAGTGTAAAGGCCCAGCCCCGACCCATGGCATTCAGCATGGGGACAATAGCGGCCGACGCCGCGGCCGAGAACAACGAGCGCACCAGGTTGTTTGCAGCTGTTGCGGCAGCCGGTTGAGTAGGGTGCAAATCCACCAGCAGAGTTGATGTGGAACTGAAAGCACCCGTTTGGCCCATACCGATGAAGAAGAGAAAGACCTCAGGGGCAGCGAGAGGCTGCCCGAAGTGAACCAGCCAGCCAAATGCTAGTATGGTCAGACTGCCCATCACGACCAGTGGGATGGTGATTTCACTGCGCGCTTTCGGGCAAGACACGTTCTCCCTTTCGGCTTGCATTTGTTCAGGTGTGGCATTTGGTCCTGTTAGCTTCTTGGTAGAGCGTCGGAAGTTCCAGTCTAGAAGGCGACCGGTCACGAAGGAAGATAGAATGGACCCGGTTCCTGTGGTTAGGTAGCAGAGGCCAATCTGGAGGGTGTCTAGATTATATTCTGCGGTGTATATTTCTGTTATCGACGCAAGTATAGTCATAGTGCTGCCCAGAATGACACCGGTGACAAGGAGGACGATGATCGAGTTAAGATGGAAGACGACTTTAAAGGGTTTCAAAGGATTGGGTAGTGCAATTTTGTGAGACCTTTTTGGTGGTTCTTTGTTCCCAGACCGGTCAAGGCTGCTTGATGAAGTCGACGCGTTCTTGGTCGCTTTGTTGCGGTAGAAGTAGTGAATGAAGGGACGGTTCCATGACTGCGCAGGAGAAGAGCCGTCCCCGACGACATTACGAGCGGTCTCAGGAAAGAAAAACAGGAGCGGCAACAAGTATAAACCAGAAACAATGGCCAAGAACCAGAAGATTGACCTCCAGCCGAGGTACTGGGCCAGAAGACCGCCGATGGTAGGGCCGATGGCCGGTCCTAAAAAGTTGCCAGCCATGACAATCCCCATGTACGATCCTCGCTCCTCTTTGGTGCTGACATCGGCGACGGTGGCCGCCGACAGCGCCATGCTACTACTAATACCCGCACTTTGAAGGCATCGTAGCACAATTAGAGCGGCATAGTCTTTTTGCAAGGCGAGTCCAATGTTCGACGCGATATAAATGATAAAGCAAATGATATAGGTAGGTCGACGGCCAGTTTGGTCTGCAAAATCACCAAAGAACATGGGCGCAACGCCTTGGAAGATCTAAAAGATATTACCATTAGCATGCTACTCTGACTTTTCCTGTAGAATACTTCTTACTCACCATGTAACTGGTGACAGTCAAGTTAATCAAGGACGATGACACGCCCATATCTTCGGCCACTGTATTCAGGGCCGGAAAATAAATATGCGCAGACAACGAGGAAAAGAAACTACCGCCAGCTGCTGTCAAGATAATACATCTCTTTTGCCACTGGCTGAAAGAGCTGTGAGGCCGAGACATGGCCTCAGCAAGCGAAGACTCCGAGTTCGAGCCCATCGTTCCTGCACTGGTATAGGCATGAATCAGATTAAATTAGGCGTCACAGCGTACCACCAGACAACTCGCTTTCAACCAAGGCCTTTTTGACCCTTTCTTGGCTGTCCTTGAAGTTCATTGACTAGCCTCTGGAGTAAAAGCGCACGTTAAAAAGATTTGTGCTCATACGGTGAGACGGGAAGGCTTAGCCCTGGGGGGCTGGCCTGCAGGAATGTTCGATTATTGCCAAGGATCGGCGGCATCCCAAGCTTCTGCAAGGCTGGAATACTTGAATCCCGGGAGAGACGAGTAGGAAGATCATTTCCTACTTGGTATTAGGATCGCCGCGTGCCTGTGTCTCGGTGTAGCGATCCGGCAGGATCAAGACACTATATAAAGCAAGGTCCTCATAGTCCTGTTGCGAGCCTACAGAGCAGGTATTGTCATGATTGCGCGACCTCCCTCTTTGCTGGAGCTGCAGAGAGATCCAAGATCAGTCTGTGGAATCATGATGCGTTCTCATGTCCAATCATGTGGTTGCTGCCATATTTGTGGTGGTTTTCGCCCACATTTGATTGTTAAATGCCTGATGCGTTTGAGCCAATCATTATGCCACGCCAAAGCTTATGCTTCGTGCTGGGCTAAGTTAAATGGCCTAATCGTGTTTCATCCACGCCCTCCATTTCTGTTGCATGAATCAGCCTAGATCAAGAGATCCTCACATGCCACATGCAGTATTTCTTACTTATCATACTTGCCAAGACATGACGACGCAAGGGGAATAACGCACGGTCTAGTATGATATGATCAGAGAACTTGGATCTATAGCGAAGTTAGCATTTCGTAAGAATGCAATCCTGGGTTTCCATGATTATTCCGGGAGTCCTCCCAGGTCATTGGTTCCGGGGTCTACGACATTTAAAAGCACGCCTCCTAGGAGCAGTCAAGAGGTTAGAATCTGCAAACACCTTTTCTCAATAAGATCGCCCAATTCTTTCTTTGGTAAAAGTGGCACTTCCCAAGAGACTAAAGCCAACCCGCCATCTATTCATCATGTCTACTGGAAGTCCCAACCCGCAATCCGTGACCATCATCGGTGCAGGCAATTCTGGTTGTGCCTTTGTAGCTGATCTAGCCAGCCGTGGATTTTCTGTATAGCCACCCTGATCACCGCGGTACTCTTCCCATGATCCAGGATAACGGCTGCCGGTTGAACGCGAGGGGATATTTTATCAGTGGAAAGTTTGAGATCAAAACTACCTGCGATGCTTCGCTGGCCATTAAGCATTCTCCCTTCCTGGTGTGTAGAAGTCCCTGCATATGGCCATGAAACCATCCTACAGATCTTCAGCCAGTTTGACCTGAGCAAGCACACCCTCATTGTTAACTCTGGCAACTTCTTCTACCTTGCTGCCCGTCTGAAGATTAGATGTCACACCATTCTCGAAGCCAACACCTCGGCCTATGCCGTTCGTATCACCTGTTCGTATCACCGGCGACACCGTCTTCATCAAGGGTATCAAAAAGAGCCTTATCATATGGGCCGGGGCCCCCACTATGCAAAGTGAGCGCCAAAGCCCCCAAGCCGAACTCGCTTTCCACCAGCAGGTTCAGTCTATCTTCTCACCGAACTTGGTGTGGTGCAAGAACCTCCTCGAGGTTGGACTGAATAATGTTAACCCCGTCGTGCACTCCCCTACTATTCTCATGAACGCCGGCTGCATCGAATCCACCGTGGGCGACTTCTACTTCTATGGTCAGGGTATGTCGCCCGCTGTGTCCAAGGTTATTGAAAAGGCAGACCAGGAGCGACTAACCATCAGTCGTGCCTATGGCTTCGAGATTGTCGACGCCACGACCCAACCCAGCCAAAACTACCAGTACGACCGGGAATTCCGCAACTTCCACGAGTTCGAGTAGCCTCAAATTCTATAAGAATTGGAAGGCAACCCCTCCTCACTTATCAAGATGATTTCGAAAACCGGATACCTGATTCGAATCATGAATTATGAACCTCATTAACGGCTTGGCGCCCCACTGGCCCGCTTGATCTTGCATCTAACATGTCTTATCGGGATTCAACCATGTTGCATATGAACTGTGAAAACGTTGAACTCGGTTTCAAATTATCTCACCGCGCCTATTCGTCGCTCAAACGGGTAAGTGGCGCTGCCCACTTTATATTGGTCCCATGTACATATGCGGTTCAGCGAATATTGACCAATGCATATGCTGCATTCCATGGGACTATCAAGAGGGGAAATCATCCTTGAAAAAACCTGCATATAACGTCAGTGATCGTCGTTCTGCATTTCTATGCGCTATTTCTTCTTCTTGCCTAGAGGTGCTACAATTTGCCTAACTTCACACTTCTGGCTCCTTGGATCAATCTGATACTTTCACAGGTTTTTGGTGTATAGTACTCTGTCCTCCGACCATCTGCACACCTGCAAGGTGGATGCCCATTGTCGCCCTCATGGTCAGGATTTGAAAACATACTCTATATGTACGAGGTGCATCTACGTTTAATAGTCGACCTCAACAGTTGCAGCACAGGACCCACTCGAGGAACATTCCGGAAACACTCGAAATATCGTCGGGGAGGGCCCTGAACCGTCGGCAAGCCGAAGTACTCCGTAAAATTCAAATGCATCATGGTCTTTCTTATTCGGCATCTTGAAAGAGTCCAGTACATTGATCCTCGGAGCGTGTTTTCTGAATGGATTCAAACTCACTATTCAACCACTGGGACAATGGCCGTTGGTTGAGTACCTGTAGGGCTTCTGATCGGACCGTGGTCATTTAATCCATAATACAGATCGCAGATTATTTCTCCCTTTACGAAAATCTATCAGCGATGGGGTACTCACCAAAGTATCACGCTTTGCATTCACATATTAAACCTCAAGTATTGTGAATTTCTCTCCGTGGCGCTTTGAACTCCTTCGGACTAATCATAAACTCGAAAAATATTGCAGTCCAGAAAGCTAGATAATAGATTGCTCACGCGGCAAATATATTATTCTTGATGAGAAGAAGTAAATCTAGTGAGCTACACTGGATGTACTCCGTAGTATGTGCATTACTTTAGCCTAAAGGCAAGGCAGAATCTCATCGTACTAGACCGAGAATGGTCTAGCCACGTTTACTCTTTCCTCCCCGGTGCTGCCTGGGTTAGCGCCTTACCGTGCCGGCGTCAAGGCTTCTGTGAGGATCCTACCATCATGTGTATTTGATCGTAGGCGACAACGAAATAGATGTTGATGTCGTGCTTGGCAGCACATCACACTGGAGCTCAAAACACCGCCATCCTTGGTCAAGATGTCTTTTCAACCACTCCCATGATAAATCTAGCCACCAGCCTCACTGCCAAGGAACCGCACAAAATACGAGCTTTCCAATGATATTGAGTGTGATGTGATTCCTGTGGCGCAGCAGTCTTCTTACTGATTCCATATCATCGATTATCTTTCAGGCTTCTGATCTACTGCATTTTCGCCACATAAAAAGCAAGTATGGCGCGTTCAATACTAAAGGGCGCGAAATCACGGAGTTGAGTAGGCTTGCCTATATCAAGAAACGCATCCATTATTATTCTTTCTTCCAGCACGATTACTGATTTTGGGTATAATGATAAGATCCGCCGATAGTTTTCCGGAATGTTTTATTCCGAGTTATTAGGCTAGTCCGTGTCATCAGAGTGCCATTCGAAATACAGATGGCAGCGTTTTATACAATGCTTCTACACCCTACATCGGACCTCATGTTAGCAGCTCTTACACTATTCGAAATGCAAATGGATCCATCCTGTATAACGCATCAGACTTGTGTATGTGGGTGGTTCCATTTGACGCGGATCCCGACATTGTGAGTACTTTATTAACTCGTCTAACTATTATATTATGCTAATATTGGCACAGGCTGGTATAGGAGCAAGTGACAAAGACTCGCATATTCTCCGATCCATATCCAACTGCAAGGGGGAAAACGAGCATAGCCGGGACAACGTGAGATTTGAATGACCTTACTAATAATACAATAGGTCATTCTAGCCTTCTTGATATTCTCCTGGTTCAGCTTCGTCACCACTATATTCACGATCTTTTTCGTACGTAAAAGTATGATGGAGGATCTGCTGAATGATTTCGACAATATACTCGTTAGCTATGCCTCGGTCCTCCGAAGATTCTTTCTGCGTTGGAAGAATACTGACTATCCCGGTCCTGGCATCTCGAAGCAAGCGTGCTCTCGAGGACTCATCATGCTGAGCGACCAGCAGCTGGTGACAGGAACGGCAATCCTCGTGGTGTCCTTTGCGAAACACAAATCCATGACCCAATATCACTTCGAAATAGCATGTACCCTGGCCTGGATGGCCTACGCCGTTCATGATACCATTATCGTCGCTGCCCTCGACCACATTCGCGCCCATCCTGAAATGAGATGGTGGCGAGCCCTGTGGATATCTATTCTTTTCCCCATGCTTTTCGTATCGCAACTGGTGACATTCCATGACAAGTTCCTTTATGTATGGGGTAACAGTATTCAATACATTTGGGACGACATGGAATCCGGATATCCGCGAGTCAGTCTTTTCCTCCTAGTGGTCCTTGTTCTCATGGTGCACGGCTACATCAACACCATGTACTCGCTTTATCCTGAATACCTCATGTGGGTGGGTGTCGTGGGAAGCTACGTTAGTTGCGCGCTCAGGTCCCCGGGTATTCTTTACTTGATTGTGAAAAGCAAATATGAGGCAAGCCCACGGTCACAGAAACCGCTCTGGTTGGCTCTCAAAGCCACCACCTTCTTTCTCTTCATTATTTTCTTTTCCATTTATCAAATCGTGGACTCTACGCTGTTCTCCACAGTCCGACTTTACATCGTACTCATTTGGGGCACTATGTACCTCGTCGAACTCAAGGGTCGTGCCCCTCGCGAGGGCCTACAAGGCAGTGAGAACGAATGGGGATTCGGGCAAATTCTACCCATTGTTCTTTTGGCGTTAACTTTCTTCGGTATAGGAGAGGTTTATCATCGTGAGCTTTCCCTGTTCGGTCAGCTAAACCATGCCCAGCTAATCTGAACTAGGCGATTTTTCGAACGCAAAATCGATGTCGGATGACTCTTTTCAAGAGGGAGAAGTAGCAAGGAGCGATACTTTACCTGAGGAAGGTACCAAGAAAGACCCGCTAACACTACTTGAAAAGTCTCTACTTGGTTTTGCTCTGTATAGACTCTTTCTTGTGGTTTCGGCTGCGGCGATGCTTGCTGGGTTCACTAAGCTTGCTGTTGTTGATGGTTATGTGGTCTAGCCTGGCTTTCTTTCCTTTTCTTCCTTCCTTTTTTCATATATATATATATATATATATCCTTTTACGGTCTTCTGTTGCATTGTTTACGCAATGTTTCAGACGCCTTTCGTTATAATTGTGGAAGATTCTTCTGAAACAGTTGATAAACTATACCCAGATATATATTTTCAACTCGCAAGACGGAATCAAGCACAAACTACAACACTTGAAAGTTACCGGAACACACAAACGTTTAAAAAGACAACAGAATATTTCTCAAACACATCTAAGAGCACCCAAAGTAAATCTCTTATGTCACAGATCCTAAATGGCATGTTCTTGAATTGTACCGAGTACAACTTCTCAAAGTAAGGAGTTGAACCCATATATTTGCAGTCTAACCACAAGGAGTCGGCCCGGAGCATCCTAAAAGGGAATAACCCGATTAGGGCGACGGAAATATTTGAAAGTTTCAAAACAAACATCTCCTAAGATTGTGCCAAGGCCAACTAGTGGATTACATGAGCTATATAACATACTGTGATTGGCTTTTGCCATGATATCTTCGCTGACTAAGGGCTAAATTGGAACGCGCTTTGTATTATTTGGAAAAAAGGACTTGAAAGTTTCACCACCCCGAAGGAGTAACCCAATTGATCCCAGAAAGAAACTGTCCCAAAAAGGACTCGACCTCAAAGCTCACCCAAATGGAAACCGAAAACGTCATATCTTCTAGATGAAGAAGTTCAGAAGGAGAAGTTTCGAGAATTGTTTTGCCTGCACTTCCTATTTGAAATCAACAGAAAACAGTCGTCCAAATCGGACTGCGGACTTAAGTCACCTGACAATTTGTCAGCTACGAGGATGATGTAATGAGCCATTCACACTCAGTTTCACCCCTAAGAGCCATCTTTTTCACAACAAGTATATATAGAACACTGATACCCCGTCTTGTTGAATCCAAAAAGCATCATCAATTGAATTGAGTCAAAAAAACATCCAGAAACATTCCATTCCAACCGAAGCCCCTTTCTCCAACCAACCATCCCGAGCTAAAAACGCACCAACCACAATGTCGAAAATCGGCGTCTTCCCCGCCGCCGGTGGCCTGGGATCCAGCATCGTCAACCACCTGGCCAAAATTGTCCCCGCGTCGCAATTGATTCTCATCGCTCGCAAACCGGAAAATCTGAACGAGTTCAAGCAACAAGGAGCCACGGTTCGACGGGCCGATTATGAAGACCCTTCTTCCCTGGAGGGCGTGTTCGATGGGGTGGACGTGTTGATGCTCATTTCGTATGCGTCGTTCGAGATTGACTTCCGCGTGAAGGTATGCCACTCGCGATTTATCCGATCGCTGTTCCTCCTTTCGAAACTGCGATTCCACGTCAGTCAAGATGGAAACTAACGAATGCCCAGGTCCAACGACAAGCCATCGACCTCGCGCTGCGCAGCGGCGTCCGACACATCTTCTACTCGTCGCTGGGCTTCGGCGGCGATCTAGAAGACCACAGCGTGGCGCACGTGATGGGCGCCCACCTCGCCACGGAGAAGTACCTGAGCGAGCTGCAGGCGCGGGACAGCAGCGCCTTCACGTACACGTCCATCCGCGAGGGGCTCTACTCGGAGTCGTTCCCCATCTACACCTCGTGGTTCGACCCCGCCGATCCCGTCAGCGAGATCACCATCCCGCATGACGGGTCCGGGCCCGGCGTCGCGTGGGTGAAGCGCGACGAGCTGGGCGAGGCCACCGCGAAGCTCATCGCCTCGTATGCGACCGACCCCGCGGCCTTCCCGCACCTGAACAAGAACCTCCTGCTCTCGGGTCCGTTGGAGCTGTCGCTCAACGAGACCGCCGACGTGCTGGCGAAGGCGGTGGGCCGGCCCGTGCGGATCCGTGAGATCTCCGTCGACGAGTACGTGAAGCTGCCGCAACATGGGGATAAGCACACCTATCACGGCGTTGATCTCGCGCGGGAGTGGGCGACCGCGTGGGAGGCCATTCGTCGAGGCGAGGCGGCCGTCGTGTCGCCGCTGCTCAAGGAGATTCTGGGCCGGGAGCCCGAGAGCTTCGAGAAGACGGTGAGCGACTTGACGCGGTAGTTGGTGTTGGTGGTTTGGGAGGGGATGGGTACACACACCTATGGTGGGGGGGTTGGAGGGGCAAGTTGAGGGTATTCACGGCGTCATTTAACTTTTAATAAATTAATTTCCTCAATCCCCCAGCGTTGCTGGTCGCTGTACATCGACGTCATCCCGTCAGCCTCTTCACGGCATGTACATCGCGGGCAAATCCTGAGGATCTACGGGAGTCCCAACCAGTAGCACAGTCTCGTCGTGCTGTGAGGTAATCCAGATCACGCCCTTCCAAGACCGACCATCCGCCGTCGGCCGCAACGGCAATAATCATACCCGGAGCAGGAACCCCAGACACACCGTATCCACGCAACCCAGCCTGCCGTGCTTCGGCGCAGTGCATCCGTCCGTAGTGGCCGTCCCTAGGTGCCGACCACGCTTGGATCTGGGGAAAGTCGGTGGTCAGAGCTTTATCGTGGACCTGAATCTGGCTTCTGCCCTAGTCCTGGCCGGTTTACCCAATCGGGGATTTTTGAGAATATTCCCCTTCCCCTCCTTTTTCTTGTCCCTGGCAGATCTTCCTCGCCTCAGGCAGACCTTCGGCAGATCCTCACCCACGCCACCGTCTTCCGTGCAGAATTTTCTCTCCCCCTTCCCCCCCGGTCTCGTTCTGCATACTCGATCGGGGTAATTTTTCCCGCCGTCTGCAGACACAGAAGACAGAAGGTTACCCCGCGGGTGTGGGCAGGAGGAGCCAGCCAGCCAGCCAGAGATTCCCTCAACAATGAGGTGGCAAGGCGGCTTGCCGTCAACATGAGACGATCATCGGGAGAATGAGGATGCAGGTCATTGTGGTGACTATCCGGAAGCTGAAATGCCGTGGACTGGACTGGGCTGGGCGGCGGGGCCTGCCGATGCGAGTTTTCCTGCACCGTGCTTATGTACGCACTACGTGGTGCATGCAGGTCAGGATTGGTTAGTGTGGCCAGATCGGATTGACGGAAGCCACCGTTGGCGTTAGCCTGGCAAACACGGAATAGTCATCATAGCCTGGCTAGTTTGCTACGGAGCCAGGACCAGGACTCGGCCGCCAAAAATACTCGTTAGGGCTGAGGGCTGCTGGTGCCCTGTTGTGTACGGAGTACATGCTGGCCTTTTTTTTCTCCTCTGATAATGCATGAATATTCTAATCAGAAATCCGGTTCTCATCCTCTAGACAATCTCCGAAACCTGACTCGAAGAAATTGCGTCGCCCGCTCAGCTGGACAGTTCTCGCACCCTGACACAGACACAGCCTCCTTGTTTTTTCATCTCTCGGTCGGATGGCGAGCGTGAAGACCTCTCTCGGGCGATATGTCGGGTGTGTCGCACGTCGAGAACCATAGAGCGGGGGGGATATACTCTGTATCCTGGCCTTACCGGATCACACCACTGGGTGGCATCGTAGCAGACCCTGGGAGTCCGGCATCCGGACCGACTTGCAGGACCGTTGGGACGACGGAACCTTACTCCTAGAGGTTATTTCTCCATGGTCAGTGCTCGCGTCCCGAGGACGGGGCCACTTAGCATAGGTGGATTAATAGTCTGGTCTCTAGTAAAGTATGCGTATGTCGACTCCGACGCTCCGTAGGACTTGGAAGTGGGAAAAAAAGCGAGACGGGGGGAATATGCCCCGTCTCGCTAACGAGCATCTCGTTCTTCTGGACGCATCGGGTATGCTAAACCGTACCTAGCCGCACCATTGCCAGACGGAGTAGTAGCACTCCGTAGTAGATCGGGACCCGAGCGGGTGGGCCTGACCTGACGAAGATAGTGGCTACGAAGTCTACGAGGTCGCTGGGTCTGATTGATTCAGGACGTCGAGGGGATCAAGGCACGGAGAACAAAAGACCTGACTAAACCGCAAACGCTGGCTCGGCGCTTTCCGATATCACCAGATCGGTCACGAGTCGTGATGGGATGCTGTGCCTTTCCGATGTCTACCTAGATGCTAGAAGGACGAGACGAGAACGATGTACGGAGCCGTGTTGTACTGCCCCTTCCGGTCGTTTCTCCCTGCTGTCCTGGCGGCGATGCTTTGAGATATTCTCCGAGTTGACCCTTTTCTGTCTCCACCGGGGGATGCCCGATCCACAGCTGGTCTGTGTGTAAATAATAGCTCATTTGTGTCAGACAGTCAGACTGGGAGGAAACTGCCCAACAGGAGAATTTACAAACCAGGAATGTCAGCGACCAGTGATTGTTAATGAGCGCGATGTGATTGGAAGAGGACGCTCTGATGCATTGTACTTTGTGAAATGAAGGGATTCCGCAGGCAGAGTGTTGCTTCCCCGCTGGCTGGACCGTGGCGGGCGAAAGGGGAAGTCAGAATTTTCATTCTGTGACAATCGTCGTCTTTCTGACGCGGAGGCGAGATACAGGGATAGGGGGGAGTATGTGCTAAACGGTTGCACAAGAGTATTATGTGGTGGTCATAGTACGCCAACAAACCTACTACAAGATACAAGGTAGTAGAACGAGCTACTTGATACTGAGTTGCCACATGGATAGCTACGGAAGATTCCGTGAGGCCTACGCAGGTGTAGGCTGGACACAATTCGGATACATGGAAGCCAGAACAGAGACGATAGACCAAAGAGGCAGCAGACGCAGCCACCGAAACGCCGCCCGAGAATCGTCCAGAGAGTCAGGGATAAAATCACATCCGTCCAGGCGCCCAGGCAGGAAAGGAAAGAATCGGAGCCGAGACTCGGCCGGAGAGGCTTGGCGGGGCATCGGGTCCGTAATCTTCCCTGCCAACGGTTGTGCATCGATCCATCCCAAAGCCAGACCCACCGCTCCCGTCCCTCCACGCTGGAACTTGCTGAACCTGCTGAACTTTCTCCGCCTCCTGACTGGCCGACTGCCTTCCATGACGCCTCTCGTCGGAGCCGGCCGAGTCTGGATGTCTTCCATCCGGCTGGGGTGATCTCAGTTGCGCTTCACCGGGCTGGCTTGCAATGCTGACTCTCGCCTGCCAGACTGCCGTGATGCGATGCCTGGGAACAAGGTTGGCGAAACAGCCCCAGCGGATGATGCTACTTTCGATCATGGACCATCATCGCGATGGAGACTCCCGACGGATTTCGGATCGGCCTCCTATTATTCTTCTGGCGTTGAATTTTTTATTTTATTTTCTTCCATTTCATTTTATTTTTTTATTCCTAGTTCCATTACATCACGCGCCTCGGCTGGCGTTCGGCCCTTTTGACAGCTGCACGGCCTTTATAAGACCCCTCGGGCATGCTCGATTAAGAATCTTCAGATCCATGGTTCTATTTCGAGAGCTCACCATTCCATTTCCTATCACATTCATAAATATATCCCGTCCACCACTTGCCACCTGCAATTGTCCTTACCTGGATATATCAGAACATCATTCCATCGATTCGCATTTCGCCTCCCGTGCCTGACAGCCCAACCCTATTTGCTGATTCCTCCAAATCTGCTACCCCCTCATCGTTCTATGATCATGAGCAGCATGGCCTACCCCAGGGCGGATCCCACGCCATTTACCCTCGATGACGACGATCGCATGTATATGAGCCATCAGAGTCCGATGCAGCGCACCAACGAGTCCTTCCCCGCTCCCAAAGGCCCCGATCCTTTGTCCAGCAACTGGAACTACGATAGCGCCATCGACCTCTTCTCGCTCAACACCATGTTGCCTGAGCCCTTCCCCATGGAGATGCCCAATGACATGATGGGCATGGACGCCAAGGAGTTCCCTGCCGACTTCTTCGCTCCCCCTCCCGACATCAGCGGGTTCACCATCTCCAACCACTCCGGTGAAGACTGCGCTTCTATGTCTTCGGTATGTGATCCCCATATCTCCTGATCAAAAGCCTGAACCTCAGCTAACACACCACCACAGGACCTTGAAAGTGACGATCAGTCCTGGTCCCCCACCTACGTTGCTCCCGCCGACCTGCCCAAGCCCATCAACACCACCGCGTCGAGACCTACCACTCGTCGCAGGACCAACGTTCAAAAGCCCCGCGAGGTCGTCCCACCAACGAATCCTCGCTGGTCGTCCAGCCCCGAAATCACCCCTCAAGAATACTCGGCTCCCATCACCACCTCTCCGCAACCCGCCCCTGCCTCCCCGCCCGCCTCCAACCGCAAGATGACCCGCAGTCTCTCCGGGGACTCGCAGTCCAGCACGGGCCCGGCCACCACGACGGGCCGCAACGCCGCCAAGCGCGCTGCCCACAACATCATCGAGAAGCGGTACCGCACCAACATGAACGCCAAGTTCGTGGCCCTCGAGAAGGCCATGTGCGGCGGCGTCCAGAAGTCCACCAAGGGCGGGTCCGCCTCGCTCAAGAAGTCCGAGATCCTGACCAACGCGATCGCCTACATGCATGAGTTGCAGGAGGAGAATAAAGCCATGCAGAAGGAACTGGCCATGTATAAACAAGGTCTCATTCCCAATTGGGACGTGGGCACCTACCAAGTTAAGAGAGAGAGGTAGATTTCTTTGCTCTTGCCCCTTGGGCTTACTCTTCCTTTTCTTCCTCTTCTGTCATGACCGTTATGCTCTGTACTATATTTTATTCTACTATTCTCTACTAATGGGTTGAGTTTAAACTCTCCTATCAAGTTAATCTGGTGTTTGTTGCGAATGGTGGGGGCGAACAAGGTGCTTGGGTTTTTTCTTTCAGATTACAGTGGATTATTTGATATACCCGGATAAAAAGTTTGGACTCGGAATAATCTCAAACTCAATTCTCATCATTACAACTCTCCACCTGTAAGCACACAGCCTAGTAAAAAAAAACTCTTCTTACTGCATATCCCACTGCATAAACACTCCTATCCTCGGCCCCCCTCCCAACAGAGTAAAGACTAAAGCATACATGCACCCGACACACGTACTCCTCCCCCCGTCGCATGGCACACGGACGCCCGTTTCCCTGTTTTGCCTGTTTTCGATAGGTAATCGAATGGCATAGATCCCTAGTTTCGTTAGCGCGTACGGAGTAAGTAGATGTCGATGTGGGAATGACCCACTTGCCTCCCTTGGCATAGTCTCGGCCGGCCGGCCTCCTATTATTAGGTTGACACTTGACACGTGAATTCGGTGGCCTAGACCTGATCGGGAGGTCACGTGGTCTTGTCAGGGGTTGAGTGGGGGCGAGGGCGAGGGCGAGGGCGAGGTTGTTTGTCTTTGTCGGTCTGGCTGGCTGGCTGGCTGGATATCTGTATCTGTCCGATGTGATATGTCCATGTCCACGCTTTGCTATTCTCCAACTCTGGAGGCGGGATTGGCTACAGCATGAGCGTTGCCTGGAAGCTATCCATCCCCCCTATCTTAATACCACTTACTATCTATCATCGACAATGAAAGTCCTGAAGCGACGCTACACAGACTCACCAGACTATCGAAAACATACTTTGGCTGACTGACCAAAACAAAGAGTATGCCATGTCTGCGGAGCATTTCGACCTATCGTGAACTCAGCACTTTGATCATATCCCGCGGCGCACGTGCCCTTCTATCCCGACCGTTATCCGTACCGTTGCCGATAAGACGTGTACATCTATACTCGAGATACATATACGGAGGACAAATTGCGGAGTACGGCCAGGGGCTGGCTGGCTGTCTGTGCGTTTGAAACCGGGGAATTAGACAAAGACGAGGCTGAGACGGGCTGTGGAGGGTGAAGTTTGTTGAGACTAAGACAGGGACTGTACTTTGACATGTCTTGTCTTGTCGGGTCGGATAGAGGGATGGTGTTCTATAGATCAGATTTCTGGGCGGTAGGTGCTTGCTTACTTGCTTGCTTGCTTGGATACATACATGGGGTAGTGTTTAGAGGCGTGGATTAGGCTAGCACGGTATTGTCTTGTTCTTCTCCGCCGTCAACAATCAGACCGTACACCACGGGCGGAGGATGTATCATGTCCCGATTCCTCCAAGCGGACCACGCAGACAACTACCACTACCCTTTCGGCTGCGGGCATTCCGCAGTACTTTTGTAGTGGAGTAAGTGGAGACCAGAGCCGTCTCGACTCTCGATTGATGTGATGCGATGTGATGGCCTCGGACAGGTTCCATGAGCTACGCGTTTGAGGTTTGGTGCGCGATTATCATGAGGATCTACCTGGTCTGGACCTTCGTGAAGACATTTTGGGGGTTGATGATTTTTTCGGCGGCGGGGTGTATGCAGGGGTGTATACGGAGTAGAGGATGCAGATTTTAAACTTCGTCGGGGTTGTGTTTTTGTGTTTTTGTTTGATGTTTGTTATCTCGGATGTGAGAAGCTTGGGATGTTCTGAGGGGTTGGATTTGTTGAGCTATCTGACTGAAGTGATGATCGTCCTCTTCTGGGAGTTCAGTCTATTTCTGAACCATCCACCCCATGTATTGAGCAAGGCCTTGCTCAACAATTCAAAGCTTCGAAGAAGCCATACAAGTCGAGGGTAACGGTTGGATTAACCCCTCAAAATAGAAATTAAACGCAGCTGTTCCATTTTCAGCGTTATTAGCTCTCAGACGATGTTAGCTTGAGTTTGATATCCGTATGGTCGCGTGACAATTGGCATTTTGAAAAGTGTCACTATCATTTCTTCTTTTCAGGAAGCTCGTGTTTAGAGTTCCTTTGCATGGGTCTTAACCTTTCATGCTCTCATACGGTGTCTAATTATCTACCCTAGCCATCTATCCAACTTGAACATCGCCAGTGCCTTGGTGGAATGTAAGATCGGAGCATAAGCTACACCTATATGGCTGTATCAGCACCCAGCTTCTATATACATTTAAGGGTTAATTGTAATCATACCACGGTCTTGGTGGCCTAATATTCTATCCTCAAAGAATATCCATGAAATTGATTCCAGGTACACGCATGCAGCTTGTCTGTGAGAATCCCGCTGGCTCTTGATCGATGACAAGCCTGTGCCAAACTAATCGATCGAATATCTTTACTTTCTTTGTCCATCGCGTTCATCAATTCTGTTGCTTTGATCAGATCTCTTGGTTGGTCTTCATCTAGACAGAGGCTGTCGGGTCTGGGTCAGGCTTGGGCCTGGAGGGCGCATAGCTTCGAAGGGATTGATTCCTGGGGCGTGGGAGGGACGCTGCGGCGAGAAGACCCCCCCCCCCCCCCCCCCCCTCCTTTTGTTTGATGATGCCCTAAGATGCACATGAATAGCCTGATTGATGATGATATTCTTCGGCGACGATAGCAGAAATGGGATTCCCAATTAGCTCCTAAAGTATATTGCAATCCGCCACAATTTCACAGCTAGAACCATAACCTACAGCCTCGCGGTGATCTTATCCAACGTATCCGACAAGGCATACTCGCTGGCAGCCTTCTTGCTCCGAACAGACTGCGCCTGCTCACGAGTCACGTACCTAGCCTCAGTGGCGGGATTATACCCTAGACCGCTGATCTCTGCAATATCCTTCTCCTCAACCACGATATCCGAATTCCTCTTGCCGTCCGCACGCCTATACACCGTAACCACAATCGCCCCGCCAAGACCAAGATTATGCTGCAAAGCGACATCCGTCTCCCTGACCAAACGGCCGTTATTCGCCCATCCACGCAGCTGCCATGTCAGTTCCGCGCACTGCGCTACCCCCGTCGCGCCCAGGGGGTGGCCTTTCGAAATAAGTCCGCCCGACGGGTTGACGATGGGTCCTTTGCCGCCGTACGTGATGTCTCCGTTTCGAACGAGGTGGTGCACCTTCCCGCGCTCGCAGAACCCCATGGCGTCGAGCGAGATGAGCTCGTTGGCGGAGAAACAGTCGTGGAGTTCGCAGACTCGGATGTCCCGGGGTGTGGCGCCTGCTTCGCTCAGTGCGGCGGCGGTGGCTCGGCGTGTCATCTCGTACCCTACTAGGTCTAGAGCACTGCCGGAGTATAGGGCCGGGCTGTCTGTCTTGAGCGATTGGCCAGCTATCAGGATGGCGTGGGACTTGAGCTCTGGTCGCGCGTCGAGGAATTTCTGGGATACGATGATGGCAGCCGCGGCGCCGTCGGATGTGGGTGAGCATTGCAGCTTCGTGAGTGGGTAGTAGATCATCGGTGACTTTTGGATCTCTTCTAATGAGTAGACGTTCTGGAACTGGGCGTAAGGGTTGCGAGATGAGTGCTCGTGCGAGATGCGCGCGATCTCAGCGAAGTCTTCAACTGAAGCACCGCACCTGCAGCCATTGTCAGTGAAATGCCCCAACTATCGATCAGAACACCAAAGAAAATAACAATCACTCACTTCTCCATATACTCCCTCCCCGCATTCCCAAACATCTGCGGATTCCTGGGAGCATCATTCTTCCCCCAGGCCGATTGCATCAAATCAATGCTCAAGTCCAACGGCGTCGGTCGATCCGTGACATTGCTAACCAGCGGGCCTGCATTCATCTGCTCGAAGCCCACGACCATCACACAGTCATGGGCCCCGGACTTGACGAACGTCCGCGCAAGATGCAGACCGGTCGACCCGGTCGCACAGGCATTGTTGGTATTGTAGATCGGGATATCGGTCATGCCGAACTGGTAGAAAACCCGCTGGCCGCTGCACGTCGACCCGGATGTGTAGCAGGCCACTCCGGCCTCGACGTCGTCGTAGGTGATGTGCCCATCCAGCATGGCCTTGACGCCTGCTTCGAAGGCCAGCTCTGTGTACATTCTTGTGGCGCGCGGCTTGAGGAAGGCTGCCATGCCGACGCCAAGGACGTAGGCGTTGCCTTGGGTGGTTTGAGTCATGTTTTCTGAGGATCTGGGTTGATGGGGTTGTGAATGATAGGGTATGTGTGGTAGAGGCCTTTTTGAGGTTGCTGAAGAGCGCTTGATCATACGAAGCCTCCGAGGCTCGGTCGGTAAGGAGCAGCCATCCGAGGTTGAACGACATGCAAGGAGTTTAACCCCCGCATTTTCCAGATGGAGCTAACTGAGTGGGCGGCTATTTTATTTCAACTCAATTGACGCTTTTATTTATGCGAGAGGTCTTAGTTCTGACGTGGGACATTTCTCATCACACTCGATGTCCAGAATACGTCACCGAGAACTTCGAGGTCTGCGGGATGTACGCAAATGGCAGCCTCGTTTGTAGAGAAGCACAGCCACTACCAAGTCTTCTTCCGAAATTCCGCAGCAGCAATCGGGCGTTAGAGGGCAATGCACATGATTCACACTGTGTGAAGAGACTGTACTTTTGCCCCGTTGCCTACCTGCATTCCGGTAACCTAGACATTCCGCACCAATGCGACTGATTGATGTAGTTGCCTTGGGCTAACTAATGCTTCACCTAGCCCGACACTAAATCGAAAGCCAGCGACCAGGGGAGAAAGAAACCGCAGCAATTTCTAGATGGCAGTGCCATCCCAGGAGCCACCGATGCCCACTCATATGCAGCTCCAAGACCAAGCAACGAAGCTACCCAGCCTTGCGGAGACTAGAGCCGTCCGACCGAAGGCCGAGAACAGGCAGCTATGCTCGCGGGTAGGGCTGCCTGGACATGAAGAAAGCTCTTCTACCAACGAGGTTGATGCTTCTCTCGTCCAACTGGGCGAAGTGGCGTCGACGGGCTCTACTGGAAGCTGTGGCTGAGGCAATCACTTGTAGCCCTGTGCCCGAATGCGCCTTCATGGGTTGTTTTTGGGCATTTGCCATTGCCCTTCGGTGATTCTTTGCGGTGAGTGATGGACAAGGAGAGGTTTAGCTGGAAAGATAGGTACTTAAGAGCGTTAAGTCCCAGGGAGAAAGATCCGTTCAAATAAAATCTTCAGTTGGACTGACAAAATGCCGGAAACGAATACCTCAACTTCGTATGTGGTTCTGAAAATCATAACATTTTTGGATGTGGACTAATGTGGCTGATACACTAGATCAACTCAAACAATCCATTCAAACCACACAAGCCCCCCGAAGCCCCGCAATGAAGAGAACATAAATCGATACCTCGAGTCACCGACATGGTCGGACCCATACCACTTCCAGGCGGGAAGTGGGAGCCAAGAAAACCGACAGCAACGCATTGCTCAGGAACTCCGCAAACTTGACGAGACCTTCCGGAGATAGCTACCCTGACCTTCGATGCTTATGCAGGATTTACTTGGTTTGGATAGGTGGGAGTTAGGTCTATGTTATTATGGACCTGGGAAGACTTGATATATAGACTGTTATTGGTTACGCTTGGGGCGTTTGTGTCTTTTGTATTCAGTCGATAGATTGTTCTCCATATCGTGCAGGAGAATGTCAATGTTATGAGCTTATTTTTCACCAGTACCTCAACAGCTTTGTTGTGATAGTAAAAGGGCCTTTGATTCATCTACCAGTCAATGGATAACAAGTGCACAGTCTCTAGATCATTATTCAGTATTACTCCAACTTTGTCAGTTTTGCGTTGTCTCGTAGCTTTATTGATCATGTTTCACAGTACAGGTATATGTGAAATGACAAAGTGGAGTAGACACAGCGAGTGACGTAAGGAAAGCAGGCCACTTTGCTACTAGGTCGGATAACGTCGTTGCTGTGGTTTTGAACTCAAGCTTCAATATCACTGTTCGCGGGAGAAAAGTCGGCCAAACTATCTGAGGCTTGAAGCTTTCATTTCTTCGCCTTCCTCGTTGTTGTTGCTTAAATGATAGTCAGCAGATTATTGCTCTAGAGCCAGCTGCTCTTTTTGAAAACGCCCGTGATTAATTTCTCAGGGCACATTAAGCAGACAAATCCGTCACCGTTTATATTCGGACGGTCAGCTTCACGATTATCTTGGTATTTCAAGACATTGGCGTGATTTCGAGACCATGTATATTGAGATATAGTGAAGCCGGTAGTTTATACGCTCACGATGTAAACAGGAAGCTATCAGGGAGAAATAAGACCCAAGAAAGACATACTGCCAAAAAGGGGTTCGATTGGTGGCACCTGACGAAATGTACAGAGCAGGGTTAAAGAATAATTAGCTTGTTAGCCCTCACTGATTTGAATCGATTGTAGAAGCTAGATTCAGCAAGATTTTGCCCACAATTTTGAATATTCCTAGATATGATTGAAGATAACGTTGGGTTGTTCATAGTAAGCCGAAGCAGGAGCAAAAGAGGTGGCTTGAGAAGGCTATTTATTTCGGACTTTTTCACAACACAGATCAGTGAGGCTCAGAAGGGCTGCAGAATCTATTAATCCAGTTAATACTTGCGTGCTTTTGCGGTGACATGTTAAAACTACAATCAGAATCTGGACGGATAAGCAAAGATGGAGGTGAGACAGAACCAAACCAGGAATGGCAGGTGCCAACGGATTCATGGATAGTTCTTCGGTTCTTCACTAGTGCCAGCCATATGGCCCCACAACCTGCAAATCCAACAGCCCAGTGTGCCAGTGGCTCTTGCAACAAACCTGCCAAACGCTATCGACGATAAGCCGGGCGACACTTCCTCACCATTTGTGCAGACAGTTATCCCTGGAATCCTTTGGACGTCGGGCGGTAATTAACTTTGATTAATTGCTCATTTGACGCCATTCGGGCCCAAGGTTGCACCGAAGCCTCCCTTCCCCTCAGCCGGCCGCTTCCTTCGAGGCACGTTCGACGAAAACTTGACTACGTCGCATCTGTTTTATGCAGACAATGGAATCATTTCGTACGAGTGATGGCGGTGATACAAGCAAGGGCTGAACCCCGCATCAATCGCAGCCCCTGCGTCGGCGTACAGGGGTGTTGTCGAGTCATCATATTCCAGTTGTGCAAGGGTGAGATGGAATACGCTTCTCCTCGATCGATATAAATAAATGACCGAGGGGATGATGGCCATTACCTAACAGGAACCGGATTCCGGGACGATAGAAACGCCACAATCGTCAAATGATTGAATCGAATGCGAAATAAATGAACGATAAGACCTTGGCGCACCGCGAAGCCTCGGTTAAGTCATGCTTGTATAGAACAAGCTTAGTCTTGGGCGGCCTTAGGCTTATCGGTGGCCGGCGGACTGCCCGACCATCCGGGGTTGGACGAATGAGCGCGGGGCGACGACTGGGGCGTTGTCGTGATGGCGAGGAGGCGGGTGATTCCCTGATTGGAGGGGATTTGGCACTATTGAGCCGTGCTGGGGAAGGTTACATTGAGTGATTTGGCGGATTGGAGTTGGGACTGTCGGGTAGTTATGATTGCAGAGGATTTCAAGAAGAGAGAGAGATCAGATCGTCCGAAACTGCGACCGTAAATAAACATCCGCCCCTGGCATCAAGGCAGCCAATCAGCACATGACCAGCTCTCGGGAATGCTGGGCGTCTTGGCGTCCCAAAGAGGGTGATAATAAACAAACTCCATGGACTATTCGTCTCGACGATGAGCGGAGGATTTGGCTCCCTGCTCAGACAGTGGAATTATTGAAGCAGATGTGCTACGTTCTACGGTGGATGAATGACACCACCTCCCCGTACGCTGCGCAAGCCGGCGGACCGACTAAATATCGCCGGATTGGACCATTCTGCGGTGGAGCCTCCCCTGACGATCCACCACGATAAGCCCCCTCAAATTCAATGTGACGTCGAATGGGATGCCCTGGAACAGATCCAATCATGCTCGCTTGCGATCGGCAGGAACCCGTCGGTCCTCCGGTTCTGAATGGATCGAGTAAAACTATGCACATCACTGTCTGGCAGCTTCCGTTAAGCGGGTCTAATCTCGAGTGAATGCAGCGTCCCCATGCGGATCACGCGATGGCTGGGGCTCGTTGCTATTAAAATCCATCCCCCCTCTCCTCGCTGCATCTTTTCTTCACCCTCCCTCCTTTCTCTCCCTACCCCCTCTCTCACCGTCCTTTCCCTCACCTCGGGCGGACCATCCTTCATCATGCGGTCCTTCATTGGTCGTGGAGCTCTGTCGCTCGCGGCTCTCACCCTCCTCTCTTCGTCGGTGGCTGCCGAAGTCTTCGAGAAGCTGTCTTCCGTTCCCAATGGTATGAGCCACGGTCGCTGTGCATGATTGACATGTGAGATGAAGAATGCTGACGTCCCAAAGGCTGGGTTTATTCCGGCACCCCCAGTGGTGACCAGGCCATTCGCTTGAAGATTGCGCTGCAGCAGGGTGACACCGAAGCCTTCGAGAAAGCCGTCCTGGACATGTCGACTCCCGACCACCCCGACTACGGCAAGCATTTCGTGGACCATGACGAGATGAAGCGCATGCTTCTGCCGCGAGGAGAGTCCGTCAGCTCCGTCCAGGGCTGGCTGGAGTCTGCTGGCATCACCAACTATGAGCAGGATGCCGATTGGATTAACTTCCAAACCACCGTGGAAAAGGCCAATGCCTTGCTGGAGACCCAGTTCCACTGGTATAACAACAAGGAGAAGGACATCCGTCGTCTGCGCACCCTCCAGTACTCGATTCCCGAGTCGGTCGCGGGCCACGTCAACGTCATCCAGCCGACCACCCGCTTCGGCCAGATCCAGGCCGAGCGCACGACGCTGCGCTCCAAGCCCAAGCACATCGACGAGAACTGGCTCTCCAAGGTGTCGCAGAACTCCTCGCACTGCGATTCTATCATCACCCCCGAGTGCTTGCAGGATCTGTACAACATCGACTACGAGGCCGATGCCAAGTCCGGCAGCAAGGTCGCTTTCGCCAGCTACCTGGAAGAATATGCGCGCTATGCCGATCTGGACAAGTTCGAGCAGCGTCTGGCTCCCTGGGCCAATGGCGAGAACTTCAGCGTCGTCCTGTTCAACGGCGGTTTGAACGACCAGAATGCCGCCAGCGACAGTGGTGAGGCCAACCTGGACCTGCAGTACATCGTCGGTCTCGGTGCTCCGCTGCCCGTCACGGAGTACAGCACCGGTGGCCGTGGACCGCTCGTTCCCGACCTGAGCTCCCCTGACCCCAACGACAACAGCAACGAGCCCTACCTCGAGTTCTTGCAAAACATTCTGAAGCTGGACAAGGACGAGCTGCCCCAGGTTCTCTCCACCTCTTACGGCGAGGACGAGCAGGTGAGTTGTCCATTATTTCCCCTGTCATGTTACACGAGACTAATTTCGAACCAGACCATCCCCGAGAAGTATGCTCGCACCGTCTGCAACCTGTATGCACAGCTCGGCAGCCGTGGCGTGTCGGTTCTGTTCTCGTCGGGCGACTCGGGCGTCGGCGCCTCGTGCCAGACCAACGACGGCAAGAACTCGACCCACTTCCCGCCGCAGTTCCCGGCCGCCTGTCCTTGGGTCACCGCCGTTGGCGCCACCACCAAGACCAACCCCGAGCGTGCCGTCTTCTTCTCGTCGGGCGGTTTCTCCGACTACTGGGAGCGTCCCGAGTGGCAGGAGGAGGCCGTCGACAGCTACCTGGAGACCATCGGCGACAAGTTCAAGGGTCTGTACAACAAGAAGGGCCGTGCCTTCCCTGATGTCGCCTTCCAGGGCCAGAACTTCGCCATCTACGACAAGGGAGCTCTGGGAACCGTCAGCGGTACTTCCTGCTCCTCCCCTGCCTTCGGCGCCGTCATCGGTCTGCTGAACGATGCCCGTCTGCGCCACGACAAGCCCGTGCTGGGCTTCCTCAACCCCTGGCTGTACAGCAAGGCCAAGGACAGCCTCAACGACATTGTCAACGGCGGCAGCACCGGCTGTGACGGTCGCAACCGCTTCGGCGGTACTCCCAACGGAAGTCCCGTCGTGCCTTTCGCCAGCTGGAATGCCACCGCCGGCTGGGATCCTGTCACTGGACTGGGAACCCCGGACTTTACCAAGTTGCTGGAGGTTGCCCTGGCCCATTGATCGTCGATAGCATTTAAAACTTCACATTTGCGAATACATACTTAACTAGATGAATAGCAATGACACATAACGACACACAATCTTCCACCAGGAAATCACTAAATCAATAATACGCCGGATCATAAATCCTCGCCTTGTAGAACTCCGCATCTCCCCATCCCCTCTTATCCTCCTCCACCTCGGGCTCCTCCTCCGCACTAAACGACACATACTGCCCCATCTCGTTCTTCGCCCCTCTCACCCACACATACTCCCCGTCCTCACCCTGCACCAACGACTTCAACTTCGTCGTGTTCATCAGCATCGCAAACTCCCCACTCGTCTTGTTAAAGCTATACGCCGCACTCGTATGCGTCAGCAACAACACATCCGCATGCGCATAGCTCGCCGCCAAATCATGGCCATTCCGCGCTCCACTCCCCGGCAACTCAATCTTCCCTTCCCTCCCATCCACCCGCTCCAACCTCATCTCCCTCCCCGTCCCCTTCACCCGATACTTATACAGATACCGCTTCCCGATCGCCCACAGGAATCCCTCCTGGGCGTCAGTACTCCCATTCGGATCCCACAGCACCCCATGCGCATGGTCAACCTCATACGTCGCCACCTTCACCACCGAGTCATAGTCACTCACCCTTCCCGTCGGCGCATACAGTGTTAGACTGTGACTCGCCGAGCTCGCCGCCACGAACGCCCCCACGTACGGGATCCTCTCCAGCGCATGCGGATTCCCGCCCACGTTCGCGCCCCACAGGATATCCTGTATGCCGGTCCGCGCCCGCCCCTTCTGGATGTCCACGACGCCGACCATCCCGCGCGATGCGGCGACCAGCGCGACCCACCCGTGCGCTGCGGTCTTGCGGATCCGGACGTCGGAGATGTCGTGCCAGGGGTTGCTGCCGAGGAGGGAGTTTGCGGCCGACGGGTCGAATTCCCAGTGGATGGTGGATTGGGTCCATTGGGTGGTGCGGGGGAAGATGCGCACGGTTTGGGATTTTTGGTCGGCGATGGCGAGGTGGGTTGCTGTTGTTGAGGGGAGGAGGGGGGCGAGGAGGGTGAGGAGGGTGAGGGGGAGGAGGTGCATTTGGGTGGTTGGTTGAGTTGGGTTGGGTTGGAGGTTGTTGGAGTGTGGTGGTTTGGGGGGTAGAGGGTGAGGATGGTGAGGTTTATATAGATTTCTCATTATGGGATGTAGTAGGAACATTCGATAAGGGGTAGACACGCACGCCAAGTTCGTATTCTTGATTCACAGCACAAGGCTATACTCCAGAAGATGAATGTCTAATTTCAGATCTGCACGGCACGCGAGATGCTTCCTGTACGGGAGTCTATAGTTGGGGGCGGCTCGTATAGGAAGTTGGCTAGCCGGGATGGGTAGAGTTCGTAACGGATCTTCGCTGGATAAGATCTTGGCTGTGTGGGGATTGGATCGTGTCTGTCAGGTACGAGGTCGATTCTGGGGCGGCTTACTTGGATTTAAGTGGTTTGCTATGTCTATTTTGAGTTGGATGTGGAGGATTTTTAATTTATAGTAGGAGGGCGGCAGGAGGAATAATCTACTGGGTCCCAGATTACGATGATCGGAATGATTGATAATATTCTAAACAGATCAACTTGACCTGCGCCCTGAAATATATGCATTCTACGGCTTATATTTATGCCTGTTTGGATAAACTCTGTTGAATAACATTTAGACGTGGCCCTTGGACGATCACATTATGCCCTCCAAAGAAACCTACTCATACTATATCTAATCGTAGTAACATAGAATGTATATTCTTTGTTCTTACTGATAGTTAATGGAAGCACCCCCATCCACCAAAATCTCCTGCCCCGAAACATAAGCCGACATATCACTTGCAAAAAACATGACCGCGCCAGCCAAATCACGCGGCCAACCCAACCTTCCCAACGGTACTCTGCTCTCCAAGAACGCCTTCTTCCCGCCAACCGCCAAGTCCCTTTCGTTCATCTTAGTCTGGATCGTCCCCGGAAGCACACAATTATATCGGATCCCTCGCGCACCGTACTCCACGGCAAAGGATTTCGACATCGCCAGCAACGCAGCTTTGCTGGGGGCGTAGTGCGTGAGGTTCGCGGATCCAAGAAGAGCCGTGATGGACGAGATGGATATCACGCTGCCGCCGGAGCCTTGGCGGGCCATTTGCTGTGATGCGGCGCGCGTCAAGAGATATGCGGCGGTGTAGTTGACGTCCATGTGGTGGGTGAGGAGAGACTTGGTGACTGACTCCGCGGGGGCAAATTCGCAGATCCCAGCGTTGTTGACGAGGACGTCGATTCGTCCGAATGCCGAGACCGTCTGGTGGATTAACGTGTCCGGCGCGTCGTCGGCTGTCAGGTCATGGCCGACAATGAGGTGGGTGGTTGGTCTGCCATCTAGAATGGGAGTTGGGATTTCGTCGTGAAGTGAACGCGCCTCTTGTTCGGTCTGGGGCGTTCCCAGATGGTGCAGAACCATGGATGCTCCTTGCTGGGCGCATCGGGCTGCGATCTCTCGACCAATTCCGGATGAGCTTCCGGTTACGAGGATGACTTTGTTGCGGAGTAGATCTGGCATTTTCAGGGCCTTTGACAGTAATGGCTCGATGGAGGCAGGGATTCGAGTACTTGTGGCAAGAGGTAGCTAGGCGTGTCGGTAGTCCATGGTTATATACAGCTTTAATTTGGTTAGTTCCATATACCCAGACGCGTTGACCGGTCTCATACTATTCCAATGGCCCAATACGTGTTATAAACTGGGTAAATGACCATAACACAGCCATGAATTATGTTAGTAAAATGTTTGTGAACTGAATATCGCAATGTTTATCTTTCAGCCACTAAACAGGTAACAATGGGGACAAAAGCATACAAGCCGGCTATAAGAACTACTCTAGCCGAACCCATCGCCGTGCAGAAGTACTCGAAGCTTCAATGTATCCCCGCACTTTGCGAACAATTCCATCTCCGTCCAGACCAAACCGCTTGAAATTCGCATCTCCGGCCCCGGAGTACCCGAAAGAGTCCATGGAAACCGAGGCGGTGCATAGCCGGGCCCAAATCGTCGAAATGTACGCTTCAACCGAGATGACATGGCGACTGGCGGAGAGAGTCGAACGTTGGTACTCCCCCGACTGCTTCTCGAACAGGCTGATGCATGGCATGCTGACGACTCGAGTCAAAATGCCGACTTCGCTCAGCTTGAGCGCCGCGTCGTGGGCAAATTGTAACTCGGAACCACAGGACACCAGGGTTACTTGCGCATTTTCATTCTCCAGTACTACATAGCCGCCCCGAGCGACTTTGTACCGGTCCGTAGTGAGGATTCTGACGCCCGGAGGATCTCGCGCCAGGGAGAGGATGCTTGGTTGGTTAGACGCCCCCAGCGCACACATCCAGGCTCCGATTACTTCTTCCTCATCGGCAGGACGGATGTACAGGAGGTTAGGCATTGCTCGAAACAACGAATCTACCTCAACTGGCTGGTGAGTCGGACCGTTTTGTCCTTCGCCAATAGAGTCATGAGTCGCGATGTGAATCACCTTCAGATTGCTGAGGGCACCCATTCGAATTGCTGGGGCTGCGTAGAGGTAGAAAATGAGGAATGTCGCCGTGATGGGAAGAAAGGTACCAGGGCCAAAGGCTGCTAGACCGTTTGAAATGCCTGCCATGGCGTGCTCACGGATGCCATAGCGAATAACCCGGCCGTCAAAGTGACTCCGGCTGAGAATTCGGCTGGACTGGTCTCCCATCTGGTTGGAGTTCCACAGGTCGGCGCCACCGGCGAGCATCTGGGGAACCTTGTCCATCAAGGTGTTAAAGACAAACCCGTTGTATTGTCTTGTAGCCTGCGGTTCCGGAGGTGTTGTCATCTGCTGAAGCAAGTCTTGGACGTTAAACTGGCCTTTCATGCGCTTCTGCAATTCTTTGGCGTCTTTGGGGTAGTTTTGAGCATAAGACAAAAGGAGACAGTCCCATTCTGCTTCCAAGGCTTTTCCTTGATCCACTAGCTGCGAGAAAAAAGCCCTGGTTTGATCGGACAGGGTATGCGTTTTTGCATCTTCATTTCCATACAGAGCAGCGTCTTCATCTGAGTAAGTTCCATGATGTGACTTCGCCGTGCCTGCCGTTGCCGTGCCGTATCCGATGGTCGTCCGGATGTTGATGAAGGTGGGTTTCGACACGCTCGCCTGAGCCAGTTTCAAAGCGGCCAGGATTTCGTCAACTGAACTGTCCCCATTCCACACATCCACGACATTCCAGCCCAGGGCGCGCATCCTGCCGTTTGTATCTTCGGAGACGATCCACGAAAGAGGACCATCGCAGGTAACCTGGTTGTTATCGTAACATAGAACGAGATTGTTAAGACCCAAGTGCCCAGCAATTGCCATAGCCTCTTGTGCTACACCTTCCTGAAGACAGCCGTCGCCGGTGGTACAATAAACCTTCGACGTGATGATCTCGTGGCCCGGCTTGTTGAACTGAGCCCCCAAGCTTTTGGACGCAATAGCCAGTCCCACTGCATTTGCAATCCCCTGGCCCAGAGGCCCAGTTGTAACCTCGACTCCGGGCACTTCTCTTTCAGGGTGCCCATGGCATGAGGTTGACTTCCATTGACCGTCCTCTCCCGGGGATTTGGCGCTGGCGTACAGCTTCAGCTCGTCGAGGGTCATGCTCTGATATCCGCAGGCATAGAGCATTGTATAGAGTAGGATGGCGACATGACCATTGGAGAGGACAAACCGATCTCGATTGAACCACTCCGGGTTTGACGGGTTGAATTTCATCGTGTGACGCCAGAGGGCGACGGCGAGAGGAACCATGCCGATGGCAGAGCCTCCGTGGCCACCGCCGTTCTGACGGCAACAGTCTATAATCATCTTTCGAAGATCTCGAATGGCTTGGCCATCGTTAGAAAGGGTATTTGCTGAGGAGGGTACATTCCCGCTCATGATGGACTGGACAGTCATTGTGGATTATCGAAATCGATTGAGGATGGTGTTAGATGCGCATAGCGGTTCGTCACTTGATGATGCGATACTATTATATCACAGGATACTGATCACACAGACGTTCATTGAAACTTGTCATGTAGAACGACATGACATATAGCCGGCGGCTATATGCTGACATGCGCTTGGAACTACAACGTAGGAAAGGGGCGGCTCAGGAGCACTACTTACCTGCAATATTATAAGAAAGATACTCTGGTCGTGATGTTCGAGGACACGTACAGCCTCTTATTTACCTCCTAAGTCGAATCCCTTTAACAAGAATGCCAAACGAACCCAGGGCCATCATCATCGGTTGCGGAGTGGCAGGTATCGCACTGTCTGCACGCCTCAAAAAAGACCTGTACTTCAACAATTTCACCATTTACGAGCGGGAGCCCGAGCTTGGCGGCACCTGGCACCTGAATACCTATCCTGGTGTCGGTTGCGATGTCGACTCCCATCTCTATTCATTCTCCTTCAATCTGAACCCGAACTGGTCCAAGCGCTTTGCCGAACAGCCAGAGATCTTGGAATACCTGAACAGCACGGTCGATAAGTTCGGTATCCGACCCCATGTCGTATGCGGCATTGAGGTGATCGAGGCTCGCTGGGAAGAGTCGCGCGCTTTGTGGCAGGTACAGCTTCGAGATGTCCAGAGCGAGTACTCATTTTGGAAGGAGGCAGAGATTCTAGTGTCGTGTGTTGGAACCATCTCTACCCCAAAGGATTGTGATATCCCAAAGCAGGAGGTCTTTGACGGCGAGATATGGCACTCTGCGCGCTGGAACCACACATATGACCTCCAAGGGAAGACAGTCGCTGTCGTCGGCAATGGGTGTTCAGCCGCCCAGCTGGTTCCTCATGTCGTTCGAGTCGCAAAGAAGGTCTACCAGTTTCAGAAATCTCCCCAGTGGATAACCAGCAGGATCAACCGGGAGTTCACCACGTTTGAAAAGTGGTGCTTTGCGAACATCCCTCTGCTTAACCGCCTATACCGCTTCAAGCTTTGGAAAGATACTGATAGCTTGCACTCGCTCTATCTGTCAGACTCAGATGCTTTGATTGCCCAACGAGAGAAAACGACGAATGTCTCGGTCGACTATATCAAGGAGAATTCTCCTAAGCAGTACCACGATATTCTAATCCCCAAATTCCCACTCGGCTGCAAGCGTCGCATTTTTGATCCAGGCTACCTTGACTGTCTCCACAAAGACAATATCGAACTTACAACGGAGCCTATTACTGAATTTTTTGAACACGGTCTCCGAACATCTGAGCGAGAAATCCCCGTTGACGCTGTTATCCTCAGCACCGGTTTCAAAGTCCAGGAGTTCCTTTCCCCAATGGACATCTACGGTCGACGCACGTCGCTCAACGAGCACTGGAAGACCACTCGCGGCGCACAAGCATACAAAGCTTCCCTCGTCGCCGGCTTCCCTAACTTCGGAATTGTTTTCGGACCCAACGCATTCCCGGCCCATAACTCGGTTATCTACTCAAATGAAGTGCAAGTGGAGTACATGATCAAGGCCATCTTCCGGCCGATTCTCAGCGGTCACTTCACAACCATTGACGTCAAGGAAGCCGCCGAGATCCGCGACGCAAATACCGTTCAGGCAAAGCTGAAGAATATGGTTTGGTCGGGCGGCTGCTCGAATTGGAACCTGGACTCGAACGGACGCAACACGACGAACTACCCCGACAACACCTGGATGTTCTGGTATCAGCTTTACTGGCCCAAGTGGGAGGACTTTAACTTCTCGGGGGATACGGGGCGGCGGCCAATGAGTCCTCTAAAAACACTCTCGTTGACTGCAATGGCTGCGGCGGGCGTCATTCTGGGAACTATATATGCCTCTGAACATATTCCCTGGGTTTCTGTTTTGTAGTTGTACTTATCTCGCTAGCGGGAAGATTGCTCAATTTGGCTTATGGATATTCACTGATTCCTTTCCGTAACTGACCGATAGCTATAATTCCCATGGATAGCTGAGTTTCAGGCTAGGTATTTTAGAGCTCTTCCTTCCAAATAATCGACAATTACCGATTGCAACGCACGTCAAGCAGATTCCACACATACCGCCTTGTCGGATAACTGAGTTCAGAGATCGTCTATCTCGAGATGATCTAAATCTTTCGGACAGCATTTGGCAGTTCGACGCCCAGGTTCTTTGGGAGATATCTTGAATTATCTTATCTCAGACTAACAGAGTATATACTCGCAACATTGCATAACCGGCGCTCTAGGCTAACAAGCAAAATCTAACACCTGTACATTCTGGACGCACTTTCCAATATCCCCGGCAAAGACTGAATGATGAGGGTCCTTCTGACAGTAATAGTCCCTATCGGCCACGTTCTCGAATATCGCCACGAACGAGTGACTATATCCATTCTAAATTCACAGTGAGTGGAAATAGCCGAGGGAATAATCGCTTCTGGTTAGATCTACGTACCTGAAGACCTTCGTTGGAAATATCTTTACCCCCTGTCAGAGACTTGATGTAAGGCTTTTTCGTTTCGGGATGAATACAGCCCTCCTTCAGGCCCAGCATCCGTTGGCAAACCTGTGGTTCAACATTAGCTCGGGAAATCTCCTTCGTTTGATTATTTGTATCGATCTTGGTTTCTCTTATTGAAAGAGATACTATTATGAAATGACAGACCTCTTCGACGTCGAGTGACGAGACGTCTGGTTTGAATTGTAGCATCACGATGTGCGTCACGCTCATGTTGATGAAGGCGAATTTGATATTTCACTTGATTTGAATATAATGAGATTGTTTCAAGTCGAAAGATTAAAATATCATTGCTACTACTGAGGTTTTCGCCTTGTATATGCCGGCTACATGGACTCGGAAGGGTGGTTACTGATGCCTCCTTATATACCCGGAGAGTCAGACAATTGATTTATCATCATAAAATGCGAGATTGTCAACACCCTTGCAACCACTGTCAAGAAGGAGTCTATCATCACGCCATTGGCCTTGGTTGGCTCTGGATGGACAGAAGGGACAAAGAAATTTGCCGGCACTAACCCAGCTACGACGGAATTTTACGCATGGATGACGTTGGAAGAGAAGAGAAATTGAAAGACATCCCGAACTCCCACCTACATTTCTCTCACTCAAAAAGACGGCCAGTATCAGCGGCCTGCAATGTTGAGAAAATGGGCGGCATTATGGGCCGTCACGCTACCGAGTTTGTCCTCGGCGGATACTACGTTAGCCAGAACCTGCGAATGATTTGGATCATGGCGAAAACTTTCAAAGTAGAGATGAAGGGACTGGATGCTGGTAAAATCAGTGCAGCAGTATAGGACCTCTGAGCCCTAGCAACCAGGGTGGACCCTGTTTAGCCGATAGAGTATAGATGGCCTTGGCTTGAACTCTTCTGTGGAGCCTAGTACCCACCGTCGGCTATATCATGCACGCAGAAGGGTATATGAAGTGGAATTCAAACATGACGTAACCGTATATAAACGTGCATTTATCCATGGTGATTTGATTTCAAATCTACACCTGTGGGCCTTTGTTGGTTTTGCTTTTACCCCGTTGAAGACTAATAAATGCACAATTGAATCCCCCTTCAATTGCCAACCTCAAATCGAAAATCCCTTTCAACCAAGCTCGATAAATGCACAATTGAGCCCCATCTGAATCACCATCCTCAGATCGAATTCCCTTTCACGAAGATCAATATCAACCTTAACAATGCCGACTAAAGTGTTCGTGACCGGAGTCACTGGATATATTGGAGGTGATGCCTTCCACCTGCTTCAGAGCTCCCATAGCGAATTCGAATTCTCAGCGCTGGTCCGGGGTGAAGGCAAAGCCCAACGGATCCGCGAGAAATATCCAAACCTGCGCATCGTTCTGGGCGACCTGGATGATGCCGACAAAATCACAGCGGAGGCCTCCTGGGCAGATATCGTTATTCGTATGGAACCCCACCACTGTTGCGTTCCTCGACTAACCCTGGAATCAGATACGGCAGATTCATCCGATCACGTCGGAGCAGCTAACGCCATTGCCAAAGGAATGGTCGAAGGCCACAGTGCTGATCGCCCTGGATACTGGCTCCACACCGGAGGAACCGGCATTTTAACATACTTCGATTCCGAGGTCCGAAAGGTGTCCGGTGAACACGATGATAAGGTTTTCAATGATGGTGACGGCGTGGATGAGTTGACCCATCTCCCTCCAGCGGCATTCCATCGAAACGTGGACCAGATCGTCCTGAACACCGGTACTGAGCATGCCGCAAGTGTCAAAACCGTCATCGTTTGCCCTCCTACAATCTACGGCACAGGGCGAGGCCCTGTTTCAGGAAGGGGGCGCCAGGCATATGAGCTGGCATCCTTAATTCTGCAGCAAAAGTACTGTCCTCGGATCGGAAAGGGCCTGGCTCGGTGGAATAATGTGCACGTTTACGATCTGAGTAGGCTCTTCGAAGCACTTGTTGACGCAGCCCTCGATCCATCCAAGAAGAACAGTGCTGAAATCTGGGGTGCCAAGGGTTATTTTTTGTGTGAGAATGGGGAGCACGTGTGGGGTGATCTCTCGAAGTACATTGGAGAGGAAGCCTTCAAGCTGGGTTATCTTGCGCAAGAGCCTACCTGCAAGGAGTGGTCCCTGGAAGAAGCTGTCAATTCATCTGCTGGCTTTGAGGCTGCTAGCTGGGGATGGAATTCGAGAGGAACCGCTGTTCGTGGTCGCAAGTCTCTCGGCTGGCAGCCCAAGGAGCGGTCTCTTGAGGATGAGATTCCTGATCTCATCCGTGCTGAAGCTGCTAGACTGGGTTTGTGAGTCACTTGAGATGACCTTATTGAGAAGGAAAGATGGCGATGGAATTGTTCTGTGTCCGGGATTCAATTAATAGTCCACATAGGCCCAGCAGTCAAGCTATGCGTCTTCAGGCTGCACAGGCAATGATATAGACTCAACGTACTACAGTATACTCGTTCCCATTGTATAAATACTCGAAGCCCGTTGATGATTAAATGGACATAAGTCAGAGCAGTTCCCTTAGGTCTGATATATAGTGATACTGACGTACAATGACTGACCATTTGCCTTAGCTAGGCTTTTTGATGTAGTCGTTCACATGCTAGAAATGGTTTTCGCACAGGTGAAAGACAATGTACAACAATATTGGAGATTTGCAATCAAGGAGGCTAACACGTCTTTTAGAGACTTCAACCCTCATTGAACACAGAATCAGGGAGGCCTCCGCTACGTAGGTTGACGTGGTTAAAGAAGAAAGTACAACTTAGAGTCGCGAAGCCGTTTTTCTATTCAGGAAAAGCTCATAGATCTCTCTACCTATCTCATTTAGCAAGTGATTACACACTTTATAAGATCTGCTGGCTTCGCTAAAGTAGTTTCCAGAGCCTTTTCCGCATTCTTAAGGTCAAAGATATGCGTTATCAACGGTCGAAGATGCACTTGGCCATTCTGGACCAGGTTAATGGCCGTTTGAAAGGTGTTCGCGTATCTCCACACTGCCAACAAGTCGACCTCATGGACGGCAGCCCTCCCTATTTGCAAGTTCTGAGTCGGGCTACCCATTCCCACGAGTACCACCTTTCCACCCGGAGCAGTGCAGTTGATACCGATGTTGCAGCAGGACTCCACACCAGTACACTCAAGCACAATGTCAGCCGCTCCCAGCCCTTCAGACTCCAGTATTTCTTTCGCGACATGACTTGCAAACCCCTCTTTCATACTCCCCATCTTGGACTGGTCAATCCGGTATGACGCCGTGGCTATTGCTTTACGCGATCCGCTCTTTGCCATGGCAAAGTCTAGACGAGACTGGTCGATATCCACGATGCCGACCCGGGACGCACCAGCGGCTTGAGCCAGGCTGGCACATAGCAACCCAATAGCGCCTGCGCCTAATATGAGCACCGACTGACCGACTGTCAGGCCTGACCGGCGAATAGCATGCAGTGCGACGGACAGGGGTTCCAGGAGAGCACCCTCCTCAAAGGAAATTGTGTCGGGCATTTTGTGCACAAAGAGAGCCGGGTGGTTGTATAGCTCCTGGAGAGTTCCTTGAATTGGAGGCTCCACGCTCGCAGAACCAGTAAACTTCAACTGTCGGCATAGGTTGTAGGAGCCTGAACTGCAGATATCGCATTTTCGACACGGACGCTGGGGCTCTACCACCACACGATCGCCGATTTGAAACTCTTTACCGACGTTGCTGCCCACGGCTGTGATTTCTCCGGCCGCCTCGTGCCCGAGGATAAGCGGTTGGCGCACCATGAATATGCCATTCTTTCCACTGTGGTAATAGTGCATATCCGATCCACATATTCCGGTGGCTCGAATTCGGACCTGGACTTCATCTGGACCGGGAATGGTAGTTTTGCGTGTTTGTATGCGCATATCGTGAGCGCCATGAAGGACTGCCGCTAGATGGGTATCGGTAGTCATTTTGAGAACGGTTGAGTGAGGAGAAAGACACTCGATAAGTGCAAGTAATCTGATTGAATTTTGAACGCATTCAAAATCTTCTTCATCTACCGTGATATAAGGCATTGGGATGTCTTTCGGCTGTATGCCGTCTAGAGAGCATTACTTATTGCCGGTACTGAATAAGCGGCGAAGATTAGATATTCTCCTCAACCTGCATAAAACCTGCCGGTTATCAGCATCTTACCTCCAGTTACATACGCACTGGCCTCACTAAGAAGGTTAACAGCCGCTCTTGCGACACAATGATATACAAGACGGATTGAAATACCCTCAGGCGGCCTCCTGGTGGGTAGAAGTTCAAAAATCGTGACCGTTTATTTGTAGCTGGGTATATACGGGATGTACTCTCGAGATGGACCAGATGCGTTGAGTCCGTCTACAAATCTCTCGCAAGGTGTATATGCCGATGGAGATTCAATTGACAGCGGAGATATTCAAATGGCTAGTTGTAAAGAGTCCTAGTAAACCCTTCTTCTCTCAAAGGCGCGGCCGGGAATTTCTCAGCTCTGTATTCATAGCAGGATCAACCAGGATCTTTACGTGAGCCGCCTTGTTATTGATCAATTCCAGAAATCCCTTCTCTACCACCTCATTTAGCGAGACAATCGACGTGATCATGTCCTCGGCGGGGGCGTTTCCAGACTCCAGTGCTTGAAGTACACCAATAAAGTCCTCCATGGTGTAGCAAATGCCACCCATCAGTCGTTTTTCAAAGCAGACAAGATCATTGAGATTCAGCTGCAAGGGCTTTTCATGGACTGCTACGTTGAACACCGTACCCCCCGGCCGAACAGCCGCAATGGCAGTGTCCAACGTGACCTGAAGCCCAGTGGCATCGAAGACCACATCCGCTCCATCCACGTTGATGTTATAAATGGCTGAGAGCACTGGGTCCTCGTTAGACTTTTCCGAAGGGTCGACCACGACATCCGCCCCAAATTGCACTGCCATTCGCTTGCGGGATGGAGTCACTTCGCTCACAACGATCGTGCGGGCACCCCACACTCGGAGAAGCATCACGATCGCCAAGCCAATGGGGCCTGCCCCAAGAACCACTGCCGTCTGTTTGATCTGAAATCCGGAGAGCCTGATGGAGTGCCAAGCCACCGCGAGAGGCTCCAGAAGCGCACCAACCCGAAGAGAGACGGAGTCAGGGAGAATGATGCAATTAATCGCGTTGACCACGATCTCCGACGCGAAGCCGCCGCCTTCGGCGCTCATTCCATACGAGGCGTATCGTTTACAGATGTTGCGCTTTCCAAGTTGACAAGTCGTGCATGGTTCAGTTCCATAATGCCGGTCATCGAGGGCCGGATTCACTGAGACCTTGGAGCCAGCTTGAAGACCGGTAACTGCAGACCCAAGTTCCACAACCACTCCGGACATCTCGTGGCCCAACGTTACGGGCAAGCTCTGACCCGTCCATGGATGTCTCTCGCCGGGCTTGGGTGGGAAGATGGGCCCTCCGAGATATTCGTGGATATCGGACCCGCAGATTCCACAATACGCAACCTTAACACGGACCTCATTTGGACCACATGCGCTGCGGAAATTAGAGATGAAATTTCAAGAGGACATGACCCTATGTGGATCTCATACCGAGCGGGGATTTGCTCAAGCCTCGGGTCCTTCTGTCCATAGTACCGAAGGGCGGTGATCGTATGCTGGGGCGTGTCGGCCATGAGATTCTAAGTACTAATTCAATGTGTTTTCTGCAGATTATTTCCCCTCCCTCCGGCAGCCAGCATCTTATAGAATCCCATGGTGTTTGATTTCCCCGCACGAAGGTAGTAACCCTTTCATTTTGAGGACATGGTGTGTACTCCGGAGTAAGTCGCATTTTCTGCTCCGGGTTTATGCCTCCTCCGAGGCCCGGCTATATGTGATTACAAATCCCCCACTCCCCACCTTTTCACTCTCGCCGTCCAACATATCCCCCGGATTTTGTGCGGACCTCGCGCGACTTGAAATGTTGTCTTGATGATCTTTTGAGCAGTCTCATCAATCCGGGTGGATGCACGGGATACGAAAAGGTACCAGCAAACCTGCTCGGACGCGTGTCCGAGCCGGCAAGGCATGTAAACGATGTAACCAGAAACGCATCAAATGCGATGCCATGCACCACATGCCGTGCACAAACTGCGTGCAAAATGATAATGCCGAGTGTATACTCCGCGAGACCCGGCGAGGGACATATATCCGCAAGGGGCAGGTTCAGGATGCGGCAGAAAGTTCCGAGCTTCCCACTGCCTCCACTCAAGTGGGAACTAGCACGACAGAACCAGAACCGCTTCAAGCCCCTGAAACAACTACGGCAATTACCTCCGTGCCTGTGGATGATGTGGCGTCCCATCAGACCACCGATGCCCACCATGCCGCTGGCGCTCATCAACCTGCTGGCGAAACAGAACCTGTAAGTAACCCTCCTATGTCAGATCCCGACAACAGTCACCCTAACAAAAATTGTTTGAAGATTCAGACGAATCCTGCCTCTCTTACGCAATCGCCGGCACTCACTCAAGCCTCAATCCCTCATGGCTCGACACTGGCTACTAATTCACCGTTTCAACGATCATCGGCCGGCTCAGAGGACATCACTTCCAATTATCGAGATATCTCCTGGTCAACCATGTTTGATCATTTCCTAAATAGCCGAACGGATGGCAAGGATTTTGTAGACAAGTGTTCCATCACCTACCTTGGGGAGTCATTCCCCCTGGCCATCGTTCTAGATGATCTGAACGAAGGTGGTCGTCCAAAGCTGCATCATCCAGGACCTCCGTTCCCGGAATCGGAGCAACTGACCGATAGGTCGAGCCAGAATCAGTCAACACACATATTGCCGGAGGACTTGGAGTTTCTGCGAACCAAAGGCGTCTTCGAATACCCGGACAAATCCCAGCTAGGTGTGTTTCTAGATGTCTTCTTGGAACGCGTGTATCCCCTTTACCCAATCGTCAATCGCCATGAGCTTATACAACAGCACGCAAATGGGGATATTCCATTAATCCTGCTACATTCCATCTGCTTTATTGCGGTCACCTTCTGTCCTCTATCGGTGTTGCATCATGCCGGCTTCGCCTCGCGTCGAGAGGCTCGCTTTTTCTACTATAAAAAGGTTAAGGCTCTCTTTGATTCTGGATATGAGATTAATAAGATCGTCATCCTCCAGAGTGCTATCTTGATGTCATTCTGGGGCGGAGGTCCCAACAACTACTGGAATTTCTACTCCTGGATCAGCACTGCAGTTACTATGGCCGAAGCCCTAGGAATTCATCGGTCGACGGCAACGACCAATATGCAACCAGGAGATAGAAGCCTGCTCAGGCGGCTGTGGTGGATCTTGGTGACCCGGGATAGTGCCTGTAGCTCCTTGGTGGGTCGACCATTTCGCATAGACCTGAATCAATCCGACACCGAAATGTTGACAATTGGGGATTTTGCCCACGATGCAATGACATCGGACTTTCTGGAATGCCCCTCCCGTCAAAGGTATGCCCGATACCAGATCGAAATTGCAAAGCTCTCTTCAATCCTGCGCGACATCGTTATGAGTCGGTTCTACCCTAAAAGACGGCCCTTCACACCCGACACGCTTCAGACGCGACTGAAACAGTGGCGTAAGGAGTTGCCTCCAACATTATCGTGGCATGATGATATGCCAGATCCTTCCAATCCCTTCTCCATGACTCTGTCGGTTCAATACAATCACCATCTGATTTTGATATATCTGTGCCGCTGCCCGGGCGCCAACCTTCAAAACAGCGATGATCACGATAAAGAGGAAACTATGGCTACTGCAGCGGAGCATATATCAACCGTGGCATGCACGGCTGTCACTAAATCAAACATTCTTACCATGCCTCACGAACTATTCCATGGTATCTTTCTGGCACAGGCTGTCTTCTACACAAAACTTAAGAGCCCAAACAAATTATTAGCGCAGCTTGGTCGGTCTGCGCTCACCAATTGCCAGATGGTGCTTCATGCCACATGCGAGTGTTGGGATCCTAGCCCATGGATCATGCAACTATTTGATAGCCTTTCATCCAGGCGGTTGGAGAGGCAGCCCTTGAACGCAGCGCCAGGGAACCACCCCGAAGGAACCGCCGAGATATTAGGGCTGAGCGGGCCATCTGGCCCAACGCCCGAGGCGGGAGTGTTTAACGGCCTGTTGGGCTACGATCCCTGGCAAAGCAACCCCATGTTGTCATCCTTGTTTGATCTACCACCAGAGCTTTTGTTGCCTGAATGATTAAGGAGCCGTTGCGATATTAGGCGTCATTGAGCTCCAGAGCAGCAGGATAGTAAGATTTACGGCAGAAAGAATGAGAGACGTTACAGGACAGAGGCCATGTCAGTCTGAGAATTAATGCAAAGCAGTAGACCATCTACTGACTGTCTATGTAGTTCCTTGATCTTCGGTGTCACCCATCTGTTTAAATACTGAAGTATCAGCACCAACTGAGCATTGTGCACATTCATCATGGATACAGTCACAGGCAGATCGGTTAAATAGCGTGGACCTCAGCGCACGAGGAATGTGGCGCAGTCTCATTTACCCTTGGCTGGCTGCGTCAGACACTGAAACAAAGCAAATCTTGTCTGATCGAGAAAGTCGATTGTTTACCAGACACTGGTACAGTGGCGTTTTAAAACTGTTTTGGCTGAGACATCTCGTTTGACTCCACCTACACTGTCTACTACAGAGAACCACTACGCGCTTGTATCATCTGGAACAGATTCCATGCACAGGGAATTTTGCAAGATGCCCTGAGATTGCTGGCGCCAGATCTTGACACATGGTCCCCTTTGGCGTTTCTGAGACATCGGGCCGGCGGAGAATGAGTGGGTGGATGATCGCAAATTACTGTCTCTCTATTTCACACCTTCAGCAGTATACAATTAGCCTCGAGTAAGTCTGGTAAACCCAACTCATCAGATAATATAGATGTGGGCCCTGACAGAAACATAACTAATCGCTAAGGTGTACAGTGGCGAGGGGAACGCGAAAATACTGTTGGATCATATTCACAGTAGAAGACCCGTAAAGGTGTATTGAATAACCAAGACGAACTGTGTAGGTCGCATTTGGCTCGATGTATTCTTTTTCACCTCAAACCCATAAGTTGGTATACCGCATATGACGTCATACATAAAACCCAAGACACGAATATACTGCCACCTCACGCCAGACCGCCCCACTGACCGCCGCCTGAGTCATCTGTTGATTCCGCCGGACCGGAAGAACCTCTGCCCGGTGTCTCTTTTGGCGGCGGGGCGGTTTTTCAATTGATCGCGGGGTGGCCTCGACCTGCATTTTTTTCTCCGATTGTGACTCACCACACTTACGTTCCGGAAAGGCGGGGGATTCTCTCTATACTCCAGACCCTCTTTTCACTCGGCAATATGGCAACCATGACCGCCGACGAGCGGTTCGCGCTCATCTCGGAGAACCTTCAAGAGGTCCTCAATCCGGATGTCATCAAGACGATCCTCGCCGAGGGCCGCAATCCGAGAGTTTACTGGGTATGTTGATTCGCTGGGGTGGGCTTATGAGGGATTGGAGGGGTTTGAGCTGATGGTTTGGGATTTTGCGCGCAGGGAACAAGCCCGACTGGAAAACCTCACTGCGGATATTTCGGTACGATTGCTTGATTGTCTACGATGCGATGCGACTGGGTGGGTTTGCTGATGGTTGTATCTTTGTGCAGTGCCGGCGGTGAAGATCGCGCAGCTTCTGGCTGCAGGCTGCGAGGTTACTGTTTTGGTGGCGGACATTCACGGATTCCTGGACAACTTGGTTGGTTTGGACGGTCGAATACACATCAGAGGGTGGGCGCTAACGGCTGGTAGAAAGCGCCAATTGAACTCGTCGAACACCGGTCGAAATACTATGAATACACGATCACCGCCATGCTGCAGGCCGTCGGCGTCTCGACGGAGAAACTCCGCTTCGTTCTCGGTAGCTCCTACCAGAAGACCCCCGAGTATATCATGGATGTGTACAAGCTGTGCTCGATGGTCTCGGAGCACGATGCTAAGAAGGCCGGCGCGGAGGTCGTCAAGCAGTCGGATAACAGCCCTCTGTCGGGACTGTTGTACCCGATTCTGCAGGTGCTTGATGAGGAGTACCTCAAGGTTGATGTGCAATTCGGAGGTACTTACGCCCTGTCTCTGGTCTGCGCGGGGTGTTTGGAGGCTGACAGCAAATAGGTCTGGATCAGAGAAAGCTTTTCGCCGCCTCTACGGAATGGCAACCCAAGATGGGCTACAAGAAGGTAGGCACCCAACACATGGCGAAGTTGCTCTCTCAGCTAACATCGTTTCTAGCGTGGCCATCTCATCAACCCTCTCGTCCCCGGTCTGACCGGTGGTAAAATGAGCTCCAGTGAAGAAGGTAAATCGCCATATCTTCCGCATCTTGGGACCAGCCACTAACCCCATCCAGACAGCAAGATCGACCTCCTCGAGTCAGTAGACAGCATCCGCAAGAAGATCCGCAAGGCCCAGGCCGCGCCCCAGCAGACCGAAAACAACGGCGTCCTGTCCTTCGCCCAGTACGTCCTCTTCCCGGCCCTGGCCCTCAAGACCGGCACGCCCGAGTTCCGCGTCAGCCGCGAGCGCGATGGCCTCGAGCCCCTGGTCTACAGCCACATCGACCAGATGGTGAGCGACTACAAGAACGACGTCGTAAGTCCCTCAATCCACAAATACACAATATGCAAACGCTAACCCCTTAAAGCTGACCCCTCAACTGCTGAAGCCCGCCGTGGCCGACGCCCTCGTCGAACTGACGGCGCCCATCCGTGCCGCCTTCGAGGCCTCCCCTGAATGGCAGGACGTAATACAGAAGGCCTACCCGCCGCCGCCCCAGAAGGAGAAGAAGAAGAAGCAGAAGGATAAGGGCTCGCGCTACCCCGGGGCTGGGGCTCCCGCTGCTGACCAGGCGAAGCCTGCCGACGCGGAGCCGACGAACTAATTTACTGCTAGACTATATTTCATTGGAAGATAGATGCAGGTTATCTACATCACGAATATAAGGCTAAAGAGTTTTGATGGCTGTGCGTTTATTACGATAGAGTGGTTGGATATCCCTTGGAAATTCTGTGTGGATGTAGGCGTAGTATAGACTAGTTGGTACTATGGGTGTTTTAGGTGCGAGATGCAAGATGCCAAGCCATCGCTGCGGGCCTTTTCTATGTATCGAGCATCTCATGTAAGGAATATCGGTCTTTCAAGTCCCTCCACATGAAGTGCATATACAAACCTGTTAGGAACGCCTGACCGGGGTCAAGAACCATTCACTCGCATCCAGTATATGGATCGGTAAGAATTCATAAAATCATAATACCATGACCGAAATCAATTATACCCGGCTTTTTACTCCGCCAAAAGGTAAATCCCCCTCAGAGAGAACCCTTCTGGCCATTCTCGATAAATCCATCCTCCTACTCTGCATCTCCCCACCACGAAAGTCCCGCGTCCAGATCACCAAGACTCTGCCACAGATCAATCCCCTCCAGAGCATCTACAGACGGCAACGCATCGTCACTGGTCACCGCTACCTCCAACTCAACTCCCTGTGCACTTTCCTCCGACCCACTGACCCCTCCAGACACAGACTCGACGGGATCCGCTCTCTTCTGCTCCAGCCCCAGTACATACCGCGCAATGAGCTGGATCTCGTGCACGTTGCGCTGAGTCCGGGGCCATAGCTCCGCCAGCGCCTTGAGACATCCGATGATCATACGGAGCTGGTCTCTAGCGATCGCCAGGTCCTTTCCTTTGAGGAGGAAGTTGCACGCCGATAGGAGCGCCAGGGTCCCTTCGCTGATCATGCACGTGAGAAACGGGGTGTGGTGGAAGGGTCGGATTGGGAGGGCGAGGAGCCGGATCTGGGCTTCTACGGATCGGAGGACGCGCGCGGTGTGCACGTTGACGAGCTCGGGTGTTACTGTCTCGGGGAGGTGGTCTCTCGCGCAGCTGGAGACGTGCTCGACGGGGCTGAAACGGAGGTCGGATAATGGTCGGTGCATGCCGATAATGGATCTGGGAGGTTGTAAGGGTTTGGATGATGGAAGAAGGGAGGGGTTGGGTCCTACACGTGTATTACTAGATGAGCTTGGAATATGAGCTCGTCTATCTCTCCTGTTTTCGTCAGGACTTGTTTATGTTCCTGTGGTAGGAGAAGCAGCCAGCCGTCGACGATGGCGTCTGCGGCTTGGATGATGTCTAGGGAAGCGGTCTTTCCGCATCGAGGGACCGCGGATATTGCTGCTGCTGCGCATCTGACTGCCCCGATGAGGTACGCGAATGATGAAAAGGGTGTTTCGCTGAAGTCGAACTCGCGGGAGTCGAATTCTTCGAGTGTCCTTGGTTGTGGGATTTTCTGTCGCAGAACTTAGCAATTCCCGAGTTACTTCTTTGTTGATATTGGTCCGAAAAGGTAGCTTTTACGGCTGGATATAGCAGAGCTCTACTTACGCCTGATTCGTACTCTGATTCCTGACAGGGTAGATCCACAGTGGCATCGATATTAATCACCGTGAAATCCATCGTCCCCAGCGTGCCGGCATAGTAGCCGTCCACGACGTAGAGTGACCACCAGGTCCGCCTCCACGATTCAATCAAGACCGGATCTCCGTGTCCGTGCTCGGTAGCGAATTCGCGACGAAACATCCCAATTTCAACAGCAATGGCCACGGCGTGGTCCATTTCCTGCTTCGACTCGGTCTTATACTCATACCAGAAGAGCGCACTGGAGTAAAGAAGTCGACACTGGACCATAATTGGATCTTTTGGCGACGCTTCCGAGAAAGAAGTCTCGACCAAGCTCCTTAGCGGATCGGACCATTGTTTGAAGCGATACAGATGGCCAATACATCGCATCACCGCAATCAGCGGCTCGAGATTCAGTGGCTTCCTGTGGTCTTGGTAGAACCTGGCCAGATGGCTCCGAGGCAACGCCACGGGGTGAAATTTGTGGAAGTTCTCATAGTATGCGTCAATCAGAGTGTCGTCATGAATGTTGTGAATTCCCGTGTTCGGGATTACGGAAGCCGCCAAACCCGAGGGCGTCGTCGCGTCAGCAACACCGACGCCATTCAGAGAGGCCAGGTTGCCGGCAGGCTGAGGGACAGTCGAGACTTTTGAGTTGTCTGTCGAGGAAGAATCGCCATTATCCGTCGAGGATGCAGCCGCGAGGCGTCTGCGTTTTTCCGTAAGAGCTGCCCGGTCGAGGCCCCCTCGGCGGGACTCGGTGTAGTAGCATTGCTTTCCAGCGCGGGTGCAGCGACCACATTCCGGTCGTTTGTTGTCACATTTCACATGGCGGGAGCGACAGGACAAGCAGGCAAGTGACGAACGGGAGACCTTTTGTCTCTCGGGAGCTAAGGCATCGATGGAAACCGTCAAGTTGGCCATCGGGTTGTCTGTCGTCGGGAATGAGCGAAGGAAGCAGGATCAGCGGGTATTGGGGACTGCCAAGCCCGCAGGTCATTACCCGCGCTAGGCTTTTTCGAGAGTATTTATACAACGTAGATTCACATCCAAATCTCTATTCCAGTCAATCATCTCATTTCAATATCTTTCTCAGATACAGTTAACTTTTGAATTTTAAGACTTTCAATTCATCCTACAAAATGCCTAACAGAATCGTCATCGCCGGGGCAGGGTTCGCCGGAGTATGGAGCGCCCTCTCTGCCAAGCGTCTCATCAGCTTTCATGGAAAAGACGAGGATATCGAGGTCGTTGTGATTGCACCTGAGCCTTCCCTCGTCCTCCGCCCTCGACTCTATGAAGCCAATGCATCCGGCATGACCCATCCTCTCGGTCCTCTTTTCAAAGATGCCGGCATCAGTTTCATCCAGGGTACTGTGGAGACCATCCAGACGGAGGATCAAACCGTCAAAGCGCGACTTGTGTCTGGCTCCACATCCACGATCAAATACGATCGCTTGGTATTAGCCGTCGGAAGTACCGTTTCTCGTCCCGGACAGGTCACCGGTGTGACAGAGTACACATTCGATATCGATGCACTCGACTCGGCAACTAAACTCGAAGCTCACCTCCAGAACCTCGCCTCTCTTCCTTCAAGCCCAGGTTGCGATACCCTCGTCGTGTGTGGAGGCGGATTCACAGGTATCGAGCTGGCGACGGAACTACCGAAGCGCTTTCCCGACGCCCAAGTGGTTCTGGTTGAAAACGGATCCGAAATCGCTTCGGGATTCGCACCCAGCTCGCGCACTGTCATTCAGAAGGCCCTCGCCGATCTCAATGTGGAGGTCAAACTCGGATCATCGGTAACATCTATCGATGGCGATGGTGTAACTCTTGCATCGGGCGAGCGCATCGAGACAAAAACACCCATCTGGACCGCAGGAGTGAGAGCAAGCCCATTGACGAACCAAATCTCGGGACCCAAAGATAACCTTTCCCGTCTGCACGTCAATGAGAACCTGCGTGTTCCGACTAGCCCCAATGTCTTTGCCACGGGTGACGCGGCGTGTGCCCGCGCAGACACGAACGGCCATCATGCGCTGATGTCCTGCCAACACGCTCTCGTTCTAGGCCGGTTTGCTGGCCACAACGCGGCTGCAGATCTACTGGGTGATCAAATGATCCCGTACTCTCAGCCAGCGTATCTTTGCTGCCTTGATTTGGGAGGATACGGGGCGGTGATTGCGACGGGTTGGGAGAAAGAGTTGAAGCTTCAGGGTGACGTGGCCAAGGGGGTGAAGACCCTCATCAATCAGCAGTTGATCTACCCTCCGCAAAACGTCGAGGAGGCTATGACTGCGGCACATCCGATTGGGCCGGACTCTGACCAGTTGCTTGATCAATTGCTTGCTGTGGTGGCGTAATTGCACAGGATATCGGATCAAGGAGGTGACAGCATGTAATGAGGCTAGTGGAGGCAGACAGAGATGCTGTGTTTTATTGTTGTTGGTTTTGGTAATTTTGTTTGAGTGGCTATTCTGTGTACTGATAAACAACTAATTTTTGAATAAGCATTGATTCTGTTAATTCTGGGCATATTCCGTATCGAAAGAGTGTTTTCTGACGAGAGGAAAAAAGCAAAAATGCTCCGCAAGATCAATCGATGGGATTGTCTACTCGGTGGGGCAGTGGGGCCGACCAACGCTAGTGCGGGAAATGGCAGGCACCCGCCGACTAGTAGATGCAGCCTAATCGTACTGTAAACATCAATCCATTCGCTCACTTCTCTCTCTGAATTTAGCATTTCCCTTTTCTCGATAGTGACAATGAGCTGGGATTTGAATCTATGCATGAAGCCATCTGAGACACCAATTGTTCCCTTTTTCTACTATGTCTCTCCCCAGCCTGACCAGTTACCATCGCCATCCCTGCCTATCGAACCATGCGACGGCTTCTTCACCTTGCCATTGGAGATCCATCAGATGGTTTTTGAACTATGCGATCCTCCGACACTTTTTCCCCTCATGCATACATGCTCTTATACTCGACGGCAATGCTCGAATCTGTTCTGGAGGTCCCTGCGCAACGTCTGTTTTCAACTTGAGCCTATGGACTCGGTATGGGACGGGCAATTCTGCCTATTATATCACTGCCCCTCGTTCGCTTCCCACGTTACGCAGATTGATATCAGCTTGAATCTTGATCAGATGAGTTCAACCAAGGACGTAAGACAGGGGTTCTGGGACAGAATCCGGGAGCTATTCCCGTCAGTGAGCAAAGTGGTGTTGACTTGCCCAAATCATATACCGAATCTACTTGCTGGCGACATTGTGACCCTACACGCTGCGATGGCGTTAGTATTTAATCTTGCCCCGCCGGGTATCACACCTCTCATTACATTAGAAGAGTTAGACACTACTGTCCTGTGGTCGATCGATAGTCAAGGGGACTGGCACGCCGCTGAAGACCCTTGGACCCCGTTACGGGTTTTGCTGCCCCCGAAGAAATTACCCCCGGGCATCCTGAGCGATTTTATACGCGCATGGCAGATTACAAGTCTGATATTCTGGGGGCAGTTAGGGCTCCGTTGGCTTCGAAGAGAGACATATGCGCGGTTTCCCACCAACGGCCAAATAATGTGTCCGGCTTACAACTGCGATCATACCTTTCGAGACCGCCAGTCGTGGCGGCGCCATATCTTTAGATCCCTCCATGATCCTGTCAGGCTCTGGCACAGAGAATATCCTCTTTCGTGTGCCTGGGATACTCCCGCTGAAGTGAAAACTATTCTTGATGCACGGCAGCAACGTATTGATCGTATGTCGAAGGAGGCTAGGGCCTTGACAGCAGGACTTCGCCACCGGGCGGGTAGAGTTGAAACGACTCAGCATAAAACATTTAAGAGAGAACTGCGCGATCAGATGATTCTTTACGGGTATCTCATACCTGGTATGGAACTGAAACACTCGACGCTGTGGAACGAGGCTGATGAGCTCTTCTATGCCGACCATTACGACCATGAGCAATGGGAGGAGAACAATATTGATCCGGACGATTTCAACGAGGAGGATTATTTCGAGGAGCATTTTGATGAGAAGGATTTCTTATGAGAAAGGCAATAGAGTATAATATCTTATCAGCGTTAATTCGGATATTTGCATCTCAGGCAACTTGAACGAGCAAAGGTAGCTAGGTGCTTTTTAGGTTACCTACAACGTAAATCTTTCGTTTCTTTTCTTTCTCCTCTATTCTATTTCTCAAAACAAGGAGCTATCCAAGTATTATCAAGTGAAAAAGAACTCAAATCGCTCTACACAGGAAGGAGAAGTGGTATTACGTGCACACATATTCAGGATGGTGCAGTGGCTCCGACTCGCGGGGGGGCACCCGGGCGGGCGCCCGCCCCAGTGCCCTCAACGGCCCCTACGCCAAGGCCCCTACGCCATCGCGGTCGAGCCGCTGCACCGGGAAGCGGGGGGGCATCTTTTTTTTTTTTTTTCCACCTGTCTTTTCTCTTTGTTCTTTGCTTTCGTTCTTGAGACATTGTCTTAGTACGTCTTGATTAATACGGGATTTTATTCGAAGGCTTTTCTTGGGTTAGGGAGAATTGAATGCTGATCGAGTTACATGATAACTTCACAAGGTATAGGTCCAGAGATGTATGATCATCAAAGAAATGATATTTGTCCATCATTTTGAAAACAGAAAAGGCTCTTGTCGCTATCTGAGAAAGGCTTTGTTGGACATTTCCCATCATAAGTCGATTGTCTTTCTTAGTAGGGACGCAGGGACGGCAGCGTTCATTGACATGATTGTGTCGTCATCATCAATGACAGGCTTTGTGGATGTCAGACATAGTCAATGTGCTGGGCTTTTTCCACGTTCAGGAATCTTATTGACGTGAACGCCTGGGGAAATCAAATAATGGGAATGTCCTGGTATTCCTTAGAGGCCCGCACAGTGATAAGAATGAAAATATAAAGTAGTGAATGACCTTTATACGGTATGGTTTAAGGAGCTTACTCCTTCTAGGCCCTTTCGGATCAAATCCCCAGAGTTTCTTTCAGAAACAAAGAAAACAAAAAAGAAAAATAAAATTCCTTCGATTTTTCGAATAGTTTCACAATGTGGGGAAGGTTCATCTATTCTATGGAAGATGACTAGACACCTAAGGTGAGGCGGGGAGAACTCTAATGTAGTATCTTGCGTTGAGTGAGGTGAGAGGCGATGGAAAAAGACTGACGATTTGACCAAGGCGATGGAATTCTTAGTAAGGAAAAGAGATCACTAACCTATGACTATGAGCGACAAGATGTGCTTGGGATCGAAGTCCATGGTGTTTGCTTTTATTTGACAAGAAGTAGTAGATGGCTGATTGTTAAAGGCGCTACTTCTGGGGACATGAGACTGGAAAATGGCGGCTATCGTGATGAGACGCTGGCATTAGAAAGGACAAAGCTTACCAGGTTGCGAGATAACAGATGGACGAATGGGATCCCAAGTCTATGATGTTTGAGGCGCCGGTTCTCTTTGTCTTCTCGCCCTCGCGTCTTTGTCTGCCAACGACTGCAGCAGTTTCAGTTGAAAGCACATCTAGCCTTGTCGAGTCTTTGGTAAAGCTTGAGTTGAAGGGGATGTGCGCGCTGATCCTTGGCTCCGTCTATGAGATCGTTGATCATCTCGAATGTCCAATCCTCGAAACTGGGACGCATACATCGGGGGATAAGGCCACTTGGCAGAGATAGAGGAATACACCGGAAATGACAGAGTCATCGCACACGTGATGGCATTGTACGAAAATCTATAAAACCCGGCCACATTCGCTCGAAAAGACGGGGAGAAGTAACAAAAGTTGAGTAAACGAAGTTAAGCAAACAAGAATACCAGTTTGTTTTCACCACCACCATCAATATGTTTCTTCCAATTCAAAACCTCTCTTGGATCGCAAGCGTCCTGGATGAGAATCAAATCCCCCATGTACTCGGATGGGACGCAAGTTCTGTGGTATTGGGAGTCCCCTACGGGCCGGATGTAAGTACAAGCTCTGTTCCAACATGTCCCCCGGTCTAACAACTGATCTTATAATCTAAACCTATAGGAAACGCAATTCATCATAGAAGACGATTATCTCTCCGCCGCTATGGATCTGGCCTCCAACGCCGGCTTCGTGCGATGCACCGACGGAGCGTGCAGGGTTAATCATCAAGAAACCCACTCCACGCAGATCCCCGACGGGCATTTCCACACTGAAACATTCGGAGGGACCGTCATCTTCATGTACAAGAAATCGCTCACCTGCTGGGGGCTGCCCGATCTGCCCGTGCAGGCGCCCGACGCCAACGACCGCAATTTCATGCTTTCCAACGACCCCCGTCTGCCAACCAATTGGGTTCCGGAATTCCCCCCGATCAAGATCCTCACTTGGGTGGGTCTGATCGAAACTCTGATCTTGCTCCAATGCCGTGATGTGGATCATCTGAATGACATGGAAACCTCCTGGTCTAGCCATTTCTATTCCCTCCACATCCGTCGCGGGCCATCCCCGGTCAACGAAACGGATCTTCAGCCTCACTTCCGCCCCTTTTGGCGGCTGTATATGTCGGAGCTGAGGCCTGAGACTTGGCCTGGGGTTGCTTTGCAGGACGCCCGGCGACGCCTTCGTCTGAGGCTGCTTGCGGACGGGAATATGCCCCCGCCTCCAGATACCATCGCCTTCCCGGACCCTGCGAACATGGAGATCCGCAGGAGATTCCCTTATTTGACTTTGGATCCAGAATTAGCGCGTGACAGAAAATACCGCTTATTGACTTTGGATCCGGAATTGAGGCGCAGTGATACATGATCTCACATCTTGTTTCAATTACACGAAGAGGCGGGAGAAACCGATGGAAGAAAGCAGGAAGGAAAGGAAGGAAAGGAAAATTGGAAAAAAGAAGGGAAAAAAAGAAGACAGAGGAAAAAGACTAGTACTGCGAAGGTAGATTGAGAATTGATTGATTTATTTTCAAATAATTTCGTATAAATGGAATCTCGTGTGCTCTGGAAAAGGTACCAGGCCCAAGACCGGCCGGAGTTTCCTCAGATAGAACGCCGTAGGGGCTAAGTCCGAGACAGACTCTCAATCCCGCAGCCACCATAAACGCAAATCGGGAGGAAAGACGTCAAACCCAACCAGTCTCCGCGTGGAGATTCTCCTGGTCCGGACCTTCCATTCCATTCCATCTCCTTGGTAAAACCCGTGGCGCTGCATGTGGTCTCGTGAAGCAAACACACAAAGTAACAACCCGCATTCTCCATCACCCATCAGGCTCTGGACGAGAATGCTGTCTGATGGAACAAAGATAGGAGAAACAGGAGAATGAAGGTTCAAGGAACGAACGGGAAAGGGGCAGCCAGGCTTGGGACTGCTGTGCAATTCCGCTTTGCTGGAGAAGAAAAAGATTCAAACGGCTTATAAGCAGGCTCCCCGCGCCCTTCCAGTCCTCTCGTCTCAACATTTCCCCTGCTGCTCTCAAACAAACACCATGTCGTTTCAACAGCAGCGAAGAGCTGCAGTCCTGACGCTAGACGCCCTGCGAAGGATACCCTTCCTAAAGCAAGCCAGTATTGCCTTGATTGGGGGCTTTGCTGTTCGTTTCTACCACCCCCTCAGAGTCACGGAAGTACAGTAGCAACCTCCCTCACCCCATCCTGCAAACGTGAAATAGCACCGAGCTGACCTATTCTGGAAGGACATTGATTCCCTGGTTCATATGGAACCTGGTCTGATAGATCGCATCAATAGGATTCGCCCCAATCAGATTGCAGTCGGGCCAACCGGCGTCTCTGAATTCGTCAAGAGACAACTGGTCATTTATGACCGTCAGCTTTTCCGGCACCACGGCGATCTTTTCCAGGTGTGGGTTGCTGACGAGAATGGGCTACATCGTCACAACAGGATGGCCGGTCTGTGGATCAATCTGGACTTCACACCGTCTCAGCTGGTGAGTGTAAAGGAGACTCCTTTCCTTCTTGGGTGCCATGATGCTGACAGTCTTTTCGTCCCTTTCCTACCCATTTTCGCCCTTCCAGTTGGACTCCTTCCAGCGGGTTGGCTGACATTTGCAACGCCGAAGGAACTTGCGGTTCTGAAGATTAGCTGCTGTCCACAACGCACTTCGCCGGAGAAAAGGCGGAAAGATGTCGATGATGCCAGGGCTATGGCACATTTGGTCCTCGCGAATGGCGAGCCATATTTGTCTGCTGCGCTAAGGGAGGTTGTGGATGAAACTCTGGGGGACTTCGTGCGGTATACTCTTGACCCGATTGATGTGTGGCAGACGATTTTGGGAGTGTGATGAGTAGGAGAAATCTCGGTTGTCTGATTCATTCATGTGCAATTCTGAGTTTGTATGCGTGATTTTGGCAAGTTTCTTATGTTTGGGTAGATAGGCTCTTATAGAATGTTCAAATTGGCTCATGAGAAACTCACTTAATAGCTATCTGAATAGGTTGTTTATCGCAATCAATAGGTATTAGACCGTAGAGCGTGGAGCATGGACAGAGGACTCCTTGACCACCGACTCGGATAATGTTACGGTTGAAGACGTATCCGAAGTCCCATCCATTTGCGTCGCTTGTTCTCTTAAGTACTCACAGTACTTGTTCAACAAGCGACTTGTTTCCCATTGAGATCCTTCGTCTGCCGCACACTCGAACAGTCTGGCCAGATCGCAGAGCTTCATGATGCCATCTGCGGATTGAGGAACAGGCAGCACGATCTCCTCTTTTTCATCGCAAACACGAAATTTCCCACCCTTTTCATTCCCACCATAATCAAATAGCAGGATCTGCAAAGCGCTAAGATCGCCATGTGCCGCTGCCTGGCACAGTGCGACTTCTTTATAATCGCCGTTATCACTGTGGCTTGAGCGTAGCTTTTCTGCCGCTCTGATCTCAAAGTATCGCTCGATCGGGGCCGGAGCCTTGTCTTTCTCTACGGTCGCATTCAACTTCTTCACTAGCTCACGGACTAACGCTGTTTGGAGCAGAGACGCGAGAGACTGTTTCCGCATGTGGGTGATAAACATCCCAGGGACAAGCCCCCAATGGCGAGATGAGTAGAGAAGCTCTGCCAAAATCGACTCCAGTTGCTCTTCATCAGGAGGTTTGGAGGAGTAGTACGTGTGCATGCTGAGTGTGTCTTGCAGATGGGACGACGACCTTTGCACCTGAATCCAATAATCCGATGCTATCTCCCAGAGCAGCGCAGCCAAGTTGGCAATTCCCATCGCCAAGACAAGCATTTGACCCGTTGAGTGAGCGATGGGTTCCGTGGGTAGTCCATTCGCCGAGATTATACACTCGACAGATATGATCGCGATCACCGGACAGCCGAGATGAATGGCGGACCAGTATACCAGTCGCAGCGTAAACAAAAGTAAGGCCTTGGGGAGCTTCTTTGGGTCGGTGCGATACACACGGGAGATTTTCCCGCCACTTGGAAAACGCGGTCGCAGCATCGGTCCGAAAAAGTCAACTTTGTTGTCGAATGGGAAAAAGTTAGGGCAAGCATGTCTCTTGGACAGAAAATACTGTCGTTCTCGCTCGACCGGCTCTTGATTGTGATAGAGGCCCCGTCGATGCAAACAGCATAGCATAGAAAAGAATACCACCGTTATGTTCGCCACCGTGTTTCATATATCCCGAATGTCTCAATAAGGGCGGCTTGGGTGTCATCTCCCGTTCTTGGGGCATGATTGATCCCATCAATCCAGTACCATGCAGCGAAGCTATTTGCGGCCAGACAGAGTAAGTTTTGCAAGAGGAGGATTGCATCTGGCTGGAGTTCATATCGAAAACCCGTGTCGGGCTCGTTGCGCCTTTCATACAAATTATATGAATCCTGCAAGAAGAGCACAACAATCAAGTAGAAAGCGATAAGAAAGTCTGCAGGAGCGCATCGTGATCTAATCAAATCGACCAGAAATTTAGCAAAAATAACACAGCAGATCAGGAAGCAGCTGGTCCGCACGCGACGTAGAGATGCCCATGATCCGTAGCCGGACGCCCGTAAGAGAAACAATGACACCGAATGCAGATACAAGCCCAGGCGGATTCCCAGGCCGTATAGCTCCCCTTCCGAGCCTGTGCTGATGCTAGAAGCGGAAGCCATGGTTGACCCTGTGTCAAACTGAGGTGGGGCAACGAGGTTGAAAGGTGACATATCGTACACTCTTCATCTCCTCACAGGGCTGAGTCAATGCGCTGTGGCTTTGTTGGTTTGTAGGCACACTTCCAACATTGCCAAGCTCTTTTCGGCGAATTTTTTGTCACCAAAATGAGATCAATCTTTTTGGTCGGGTGGATAAATTCAATATGTAGTCTAAATACCAGCCTTGTATCTATCATCAACCCGACGAAATTCCCTTTCCCGGTTTTTGATGTTAAATAAATGATGGCAAAGCCGACCACCACCTTTCAGTCTTTATCGGATTATTTTGTCTAATGGGGTTCGACCGCCAAAAAACAACTATTTCAGATGTATCACTGTATTATTATGTCCCAATCAAACATTTATAACATACGTAATCATATCCTTCTATGCAGTTCCCAGAAACCATGCCCCAAATGCGAGCAACGATCCCAGTTCCATGCCCCCGAATGTTCTCCCAGCTGCTCCGCTCGACGCGGTAGTCTCTGCAGCAGACGCGGTCTCGGTCTCAGTTGCTTCAACATCGGCAGTTGAGCTAGAGTCCGAATCAAAGTCCGAGCTCGAGGTTATGGAGGCATCGCTCGACGTTGTCTCGGAAGTCGACCGGCCGAATTCGCTCGATGTGCTCGTCGACGTCTCAACTGCAGTGCTTATTGAAATGTCACCAAGTGATGAGGTCGATGTCGACGTGGTCCTGGTTGAAGCCGCAGAGGCCGTGCTCAGACTCGAATCCACATCGGTAGAGCGGCCAGTCCCGCTCGTCACATCCGCTGTGGGAATCGCCGGAGCGTAGGTGGTTGGAAGTGTGTCGTCAGTGTTAATCGCGACGGTTCTGTAAGGAGTATTGATGGTGATCATAGTCGGTGTTCCGGTGCACCGTCTACAGAATCAGTAACTGATGAAGATAGGGCTACGGCAATTGGAACAAACCCCAGGAGATTGGCACAGCATCCGATAAATACGTTCCCATCAAAGTTGCATCGCTGGGCAATTCCACATCCAACTTTCAAACAGTCAGCACTTTTGTCTGCCATTGTCCATCGCCAGGGCAATCCATACCACCGCCTTCATCATGACCGCAGCAATTCTGCGCGCATCCGTCACCACAGCATCGCCCGATAATGCATCGTCCGCCGCCAGGGCATGTGTCTCTCTTCTCGAGGGCGCCGTACTCGACCGTGGAGAACTCCTGCTTTAACAAGATGGGAAGCTCGTTGTCGCTAGCTTCCTCGTCCGCCACGCATTGGTGAACTGTCGCGCTGGTGATAAGAAGGAACAGGGCTCGATCGAACATCATTTTGAACGAATTAGCAGTGATTCGCCCTCGCAAGTCTGCTATTCTTTCCGCAGCTTCGAACAACTGCTTGAGAAAAGGAGAAAACAAACTGAAATAAAACGGACCATCTCATCCACACATACTTATACCACAGAACCAATCCGACAAGTGGGCCAACACTCGTATTCTCCTCTTGGCGAGCCCAAATCTCCAGCATCAACCAGCGCTATCACACACGGCTCGATAAGGTCGAGCGAACTGCTATACTATTTCTGGGCCACCGGCGAACTTGGCGCACCGCGAACCTCGTGTTCGGGGCCTGAGCATCCACTCACTGTAAGGCTGGGAGTGGTCGCGTGGACGGGAACTTTGTTATGTCGAAGGGGCCATTTGGATATTTTCCTGCAAAGCCATGAGGTCAGAGCTGGTGCGTTGGTCCGTAAAGAGCCTCTTGGGGTGGGCTCTTTGGGCTTGTCCTGCTCGTGCCTGATCTTGATCACATGCAGTAGTCTAATGGTTTGTTTTATCCAGCTAACTGGCTTCACTAGGGTTCGGAACTTGCTGGACATCGCTTCGAGGTGGAGTTGGGATCGCCATCTCCTAGTGGTTCTCGCGCTTTGATACCTAAATAAGCGACCCATGTAATCAAAATAAGATAGCGATCATCCCACCAGACATAGAATAGTGACTCACTCGCTGTTAAACCACAATCTCCCTCCCCTCAATCAAATCAAATGTCGGAACAGTCTGGATATCAAAAGAACCCTTCCCATCAAATCGATGCTGATCTCGCTTCATCTGACAGTACCGCATTGCCTCATTCCTGATCGCTTCCCACTCCAACATTTGTCTCCCCACCATCTGCCCGTTCGCCTGGACCCTCTCCAGCGCTTCCTTCACCCAGCCCACGCAGTTCCATCCCGGGGTATCCTGTCTAACCGGCGTCTCCCGTAGAACACCCACCAGGTCAGTTTTATCGATTATCTTCGCAACCATGATCCGCACGAGCAGCATATCCGTCGGCCCAACCGAGCGCGTCGACTCCGCGAAAAACCACTCCCAGGTGCCTTCTGTTTTCGGGCGCTCTTTCGCTTCGTAGTGTAGACATACGCTGGATTTTCTTTCGGTTTTGGGAGCAATCAGTAGGGCCCAGTGGTAGCTGTGTACTTGTTAGTGCGAATGGCGAAGGAAGGTTAGGGCTTGATGGACCCATGGCAGTTATGCTTACATATCTTCTTTCCCGGGCATTTTGGGCGCTCCTGAGCGGGCGTGCAGCGCGACGTAGAGGCGATCTTTATTGGAGGGCATTGTGAAGGAGGGGTGGTAAATTGATGGCGGGCTCAAGTGAAGTTGTTTGGTGAATGTTGAATGTGCAATAGGCAACCTCTGCCACGTGATGTTGCTGTTTGTCTTGTACCCCGCCGTGGATGAAAACCTTCTTCCTACAACATGTTGATTTGAATTGGCCGTTTCAATCATCACTTGTCGCCATTGGTCATCGTCAATGTTTTCGCAGGACGGTTTTCATGTCTTGCCCAACGGTTGAGCGACATTCTAAAAGACTCATGGATGTTTTGAAAACAAGAAGTGTGATGCATTGGCTGGTGGATTCTTGAAGGTACCTGTTGCGAAAAGAAGCTTATCTCTATGTGCAGTTTTCTCGTGCTATATACGCATTGCTATTGATCTAGGCTTTCTTATCATCCACTCCTCCTCCACCTTCCGCCTCGTTCTCCAGCCTCTGCGCTTGGATCATTTGCGCGATCGCATCCTCCGTCTTCAAATATGTACGGCTCCCCTGCAGAAACCAAAACCCAATCGAGACGACCAGCATCACCCCGAACACGGCAATCGCATAATTCATATCGCTGGCGGGCGGGTTTGGCGATTCGGGAAAGAAGAAAAACACGGTCGTGATGGCGCAGTAGATCAGACTGACCCAGTTCACGGGTGTTCCCCATCGTCCCAGCTGGAATGGGCCCGGGGGAAGCTTTTCACGACCGACGACAAGTAGCGCCGCGATGGGGAGACCGTATGAGATGGTCAGTGCGATGGTGCTGACGCTGAGGATGGCGTCGAGGACGGTGTTGGCGAAAAGATAGAGGACCCCGACCAAGGCGATCAGAACGCCTTGGAACCAGAGAGCCCGCGCGGGAACCTTCCAGGTGCGATCGACGTGCATGAGGTAGGGACTCCAAGGTAGACCGCCATCGCGCGCAAAGCCCCATGTCAGCCGAGAGGCGGTGGTTAGGATGCTGATTCCCTGACCAAGACCGTTGAAGATGAAAAGCGCGATCAGCGTGGCGCCGCCTTTCAGACCGACAGTTTCCAGCATCAGTTCGATGAATGGGAGCCCAGTAGGGGAATCGAGAACTCGGTCGACGTTTTGAATGGAGAAGAGGCAGACAATCATGAAGATAAATCCGGTAACGGCGCCCAGGAAAACGGCCAACCAGATGACCTTTGGAGCGTTTTTTCGTGGGTTGGGAATCTCTTCCACCATGTGGATGACCGCGTCAAAGGCTGTCAGGCCGTACGCGGCTTGGACCAGGCCGGTAAACCAGACGACGCCGTCGCTCCATCCGGTCTGATTCATCCATTTACCGAACACAAAAGATGCGGGCTGGAATGAAAGGTCGCTCTTGACGCCAACAGAGATGAGCAGAGCGAGCGAGAGAACGACAAACAGTCCCGTAAACCACACTCCGACAAAGTTGTTCAGCCAGGGTAAGACTCTCTCGCTGCGACATCCGACCACGTTGATCACTGTCAGAACGAGCACGCAGCCAATGTACACGACGAACTCCAACCACCCTGTTCCGGCGCCTTCCCAGTTAGGGTTGAACATGACCTTCATGCCGAGGAGAAACTCGGTCATGAAGGCGACCTGGGAAGCGGTGAGGGTCCACCATCCGAACGTGTTGATCCAGGCGCACATGTACGAGGCAAACCGGCCAGTCGGTGTGTCCCACAGTCGAAAGACCCAGTAGGCTTGGCCGAGTGCGGTCGGCATGCTGCTGGCGAGCTCGCCCAGCGACACGGCCACGCAGAGGTTACACACGGTGACCAGACACAGACCCCAGAGGATGGTTATAGAGCCTCCATTGGTCAATCCGCTGTTGAGGTCCTGCGCGAAAGTGGAATAGGTACCTTTTCTCGGTCAATTAACGAAATTCGACGCGGACCAGTTGGCACATACCTAGAACACAGAACGCGAGCGCCAACATGCTCCAGAGGTCAAACTTTCGCGTCAGGGCCTGGTCATGGCCCATAGCCGCGAGGTCGCGAGCATCTTGCACACTCTGATCGACCGATTCCACCGGTTTGATAGAATGAGGGTTTGTTTCAAGGTCCATCCGGAGAGAAACAAGAATTGAGCAATTCAGCCGACAGGAAAATAAATGAAATCGATGGACAAGGAGCGAACCCAACTGTCCATTTTCTGCCGTCACTTATTTTGACAGTTGCAGAGCTGTCCACACAGGAGGGGCACGAGTTCTTATGGACGCCGTGTCCTATCAAGACTGCACACGACGGGGTATTTTGGTTCCCCTCACGAAAAGCGCATGGATGGATTGGTCGGTTATCAATTGGGGAAGTTAATCAACAGCATTGGTCACGAATGATAGTCCGTGATAGGCGTGAGATACTCAATGAGGGTTAGCAGATTTTTCTCTATTTTTCTCCGATTTGCTCCTCGGATAATTCCGCGCTGAACAATTTAAATGAAATTGTTTTGCGGGGAGGAAATTGTGAGTTTGTGTTGGCTCGGTAGGACTTCCTAAGTGGGGATGGCATTAGCGCTTGTCTTTTCCATGGAATCCGCCCCGGTTGATGTCACCTTCCACCTTCCACTTCGCCTTCGCATTGCCTACACTGCCATGATGGACACATGGACGGAGAATACTGCAGGAGTGCAGGACGGGCCACAACTCCCCTCCCTCTTGGACTAGGCGACAGCGTTCTCTGTGTCGCCAAACCCGCTCCATCTCCCCGGCTCTCCCTTGCAGTCAACTCGCCACTCCCGATCGGGCAGGTCTATGCGGCCCTGATAAACCCCGTGTTGATGATCGTCGATCCCATGCATGACCGCTTCCTTTAGATAACAATCTACCTATCTCCTGCAGGATGAAGGGGCCGATACGACGCGATAACAGCCACTCGGCCCTTGACGGACCCCGGAACCGAACACACGGCAAATGATCGTGACGTCCAGTCTCCACGCGACTCGTTCGTCGCACATGGCTTTACTCATGATACTCCGTTCCTAGGTACCGTCATAGAAATGCCCAGATCTGGCGAAATCTGTCAGAAAGTTCTGAAACAAAAATCATACGTCGAGAAATACGGCGAATTGACAGAGCTCCATTCATCCCTATCAACCATTTTACTCTTTCCTGTCAGAGCTCACGAGGAATCTATCACTATACTATTTAACAGTAGGTAGACCTTGGGCGGCTCCTTGCCCTAATTATCAATGACTAGGACGGCTTGTCCACTAGCACATTTGACCTAAACTCTCTTTTTAAGAGTCTCCTCAGCGGCCTATTTCGATCTTTTTTCATCCACCCAGGATGTTCAGCGAGGTCTTTATTGTCACAGCCACTAGGATTTTCAAAAAAACCTTTCAAATGTGGTGCTATCTGATTCCACTTGACTATTTGTGGAGAAGGTACAGAAAATCAGAGAGAACATCCAGCTCTCGATCAGGTCGGCCTGCATCCCGTGTAGTGCTTGATGAACAATCTGACCATGGTATATAAGCGCCCAGCCTTCATCTCACCTTGCCAAACCTTTGCCTATACGTCTTTCATTGGTAGAAGCTCCTCCTCCAAATTCCCCTGCAAATCCCTTCAATAAACAAGACCAAATGGCACCCACGAGGCTTCTTCTGACCGGGGGCGACTGGATACATGTGAGCCGAATAACATCCCAGTACGCGACACTGAGGCAAATATCTAACACGCTCTAGCGGTGGCACTGTGCTCACACAACTTCTGAACTTGACGATCCTCCAGAGCAAGGACTTGAGCATTTCTGTTCTGATTCGGAAAAAGGGTAGTCTGGTACTTATCTTTCTAAAGGAGTCACGCCCATCATCTTTAAAAACTTAGAGGAGATAGATAATCTCTGATATTTTCCTAATAGTTATGATATTATTATCTGTGCTACTAATTCAATAAGTCCTACGGCAGCCAAAGTATTAATTTCAGATCTCACAGATATAGATTCCCAAGATAGCAGTAAGCCCAAATATTTTCTCTATATTAGTGGAACCTCGAGCTTAGGCGGCTGGCTTATTATTGAATAAATCTTAGAGTCTAGAACTTTCTCTAATAAATATAGTATCTATAGCTACTTAAAAGCCAGGCGATACCAGCAGAATACACTTCGTATCAAGCTATTCCGCTGAGTGTAGTCATCGGCAACCCAGAGTTTGAACTCAGGCATCTATCCCAAACCCAGAACAAGAAATGATACTTCAATAGCGGGCGGCGCCATGGCAATCAGATTCCAAATCTCAAGACACGGCGAGGTCTCCGTGGAGAACACCAGGGGTCTAGCGGGGAGGTACGTTGGTTCTTCGAACATGTAATGGGCGCACACTACATCTTCCTGGAAGCCGCGAGGCACGACAGGGAAAAAGAAGAATTCTATGTACGTTGCCTAGTATTTGAGGACAATAACCATCTATTCTTCGTGAAAGGGACATAGCTAATCCCACTAATCGAAGGCGGGGTCTCGTTGACGATCACAGAGAGCCACGCCGTGCCGTGCACCTCCATGCTTTCCCGGCTATGCGAAATGGACCGCCCCGCTCGCGCAGACAACTGGGATTGTGCACACGAGGCCCTCGCATTGGCTTACTTGGTAATGAATCGGGCGGCTAGGAAATGGGGAGAATGTGGGTACGGAGAAGGTCGCCTTACGTGCGAAATTCGTTGGCTTCATATCATTGAGTTTATAGACTCGTTGGTAGCTCGGCGCAGGAATGAGCCTCCTGGGATGGAAACCCAGCTGCGTATGCGTCATAGGAGGTTCCTAGGGACGCTCAAGGAGGAGTATGGCATTGCTACAGATGCAATTCCTCCCAAAAGGTCAAAATGGCTATATTGGAGCCCAAAGAGTTCTCGAGCGGTACACGAAGGGTGGCCTTGAGGGTTGAAGACTTCGGTGATGTACCGGAGGCTTGGATCTCTCGTTCTAAAGTGTCCTGTCGTTTGAATTTTTTTCGCACTGTTTCAACGGTTAGGTCGTATCCCGCATAGGGATCCAATAGGGCACTATGACTAGCTGATTATGGGTTACTATTCTACAAATCTATTGAGTCGATTTCAACTTTCCTATGACGGCATTCAATGTAATACAATGTCCACCGGATTTAGCCTTTCGATATATTATAGTTCTATTCAAGTTTAGAAAGGGCGCTTCCTTTAGTTATTCTCATTCGCTTTTAGTAAATTATGAACGAAATTCAACTGCCATTAAAAGAATTTCATGGCTCAACGCGACGGGAGCAGAGTTTGCTGCCTGGGGCGATAATCAAGATAGAGCTTTCGGGACTAAATATCTCGGTAGGATGATACATGCTTAATCCCCTGTATAATCTGCATGCTGGCCCGGGAATGTCGCAGTGGCGATGCACCGCAACCCCAGGAATACAAGATAAGCCCCAATCAAAACCACGGCACAGCTTCGAAGTACCGTAATACTAGAAGGATCTAAACGGAGCGAATGAAATTGCGTCTTTCCGCTGTCTGACCATCAAGGGATGAGACAGTAAAAGGATCGCGATTCGGACCGCTATGAAACATCATGAACAAATCCCTAGGGGTAACGGAAATGGATCTTGTTTTTTACGACCCGAGAACACCAGGAAGCGGACAAGGCTAGCTTAAGCTAGAGAGCTAAGTGTATCCATCCCCGGACAAGGGGTATCTTGGCGCGTGGGAGTGGGGGAGGCGTGGCTCTCAAGTATTCCACGAGCCCTGGGAGATGACAGTCGTGCATTCACGTGGAGGGGGAATCAATTTCTGAGACCAGCCATCCCAGTAAATTGAGCATCCTCTCATTAGCTCTCACTAAGCGGTGACCCCCCCGTCAGACTCAACTATGTAGCCCCAAGGCACTGCCGCCCTGGCATGCAGCCCGAACCAAGGGGTCATCTGCAAGATAGACAAAGAATGTTGGATAGCCGCCCAGCTGAGCTCCAGAAGTGGCTCAATCAGCAAGGGCGCAACACCCCCTGCCTGGAGAGTGTGGTGTGTTCAAATGGCATCAACTAACATCTTCATGTTATAAGATAAACACCTGCGTCGCATCTTTCTGCTAGCATGCTCTATCTCTTCACAACCTCATAGCATCTCGCACCAATGGAGAGCGTATTGAATCTGACACCCGAAGAAATCGCCTACTATGAGGCACATGCGGATGATAACCGCCAATCGAGCAAAACTGCCGCCAACATTGTCGGGATTGTGCTCACTCTTGGAGCGGTGGGAGCACGATTATTCGCGCGATACTGCTCGAGGGTTCGATTGAGCTGGGATGATTATCTTATTTTTCTGGCTCTGGTGAGCAACCCCCGGGAAAACCGGCAGAGGAGCGCGCAGGTGCAGCTGCTAATGAACCATGGGGTAGATGGGCCAACTTTCGTATGCCATCTTATTATTCATGTCTAATGCAAACGGTGATGGTCGACACATGATTTTTGTTAAAAACTACAAGCGCTTTGTACAGGTATGCCGTTCTGGTCTTTCTTTGTTTGTTGGTGGATTTGTCCCTGGGCCGAGAGGAACTGACCTCTTCGCGAAAAGGAAAGCGCCGCAAATGCAATCGTGTACGCGATCACCGTCATGGCCACCAAGATATCCATCTTGTTTCTGTATCGTCGTATCTTCCCAACAAGATCACTCGTGCTGGGTGCCTATTTCGTCGGCGCAACGGTCATCGCGTACAACGTTGCTTTAGCATTCGTCGCGGCCTTCCAGTGCGTGCCCTTTTCGTCGATGTGGACAGGAGAGCCTGGGAAATGCATCGGTATCTCCGTGCCGTTTACGATTTTCGCGTGAGTTCACCCCAGGCCAAACTGCTGACCCTCAATCTGACGATGTTACGGTGCAGCGTTGTAAACGTGGTCACGGACTTTGCTATCTTGGCGCTCCCCGTCAAACCCGTGTTGAAGCTGCACATGCGCAGGAACCGCAAGATCCAAGTCTTGACCATCTTTCTTCTGGGCGGGATGTAAGCCGTTATCCCTTTGCCCCGTCCCCGCGAGGCACCAAACTAATATCTAGCACCAGCGTCTGTATCTTCGGCATCATTCGCGTAGTCGCAATCGCCACCATGAACCCCGTGGACACCAGCTGTAAGCAAGACAGAACCCCCCCTCCCCCACAATCTCTCAACGTACTGATTATCCCCAAGACAACGCAGTCTTCTTCAGCATCTGGTCCTATCTCGAAGTTTCCGTCGGAATCCTAGCAGCCTGCCTACCTACCTTTGGACCCCTGTTCGCCCTCCGCAAGCGAGATCCGCTGCGGATCGAAACTCACAGTTCGAGTTCAAGCCGACTGTGGAAGCTGATCAGCTCTCGGGGACGAGAAACGGAACAGAGTAATTTGGTGAATACAGGGAACTCGGATCTTAGTGACTCCTGGCCGGAGGTTGGAACTTGCCACACTGGCACTATACAGCTGGATAGTCTTTGTGAGGGGAGGGAGAAGGAGCAGGGGCAGGCACCTGGGTCGCCGAGTATTCTGGTACAGAAAGACATGCATCAAAGCGTCAAGTTTGTTTAGTTTGTCTTATATCAGGATTGGATCGATGGATGAGTCTACTCAGATAGTCTTGTTTCTTGATCCTGGACTCGAGGACCAGACGAGGGTCCACTAATCTCTAGTGCCTGCTTAGACTGCTGTGTATTATACCGTAGTCTAAATCTTAAGATTAGATTTATTTATGTTTAATTTTCCAAATTTACCATGAATGCCAAACAGGCCGAAGGTTTTGCTAAATATGCCATTGTCCAAGAGATGGCAAATGCACGGATTGGACTGGATTACCTTAGGCTAGAGTCTGAAATAGCTCAAATCCCAGGACCGAGAAGAATACAGAATGGATATTAATCGTTTTTGAAAGAACAAAACCTGAAAGATATTCCATGAAGGGTGGCAGTATCGTAGGCTTCGGCCAAACTGTTATTCTTTTATGTTCTTGACAAATGGATCTCCCAGCTAGCATCAAATCAACGATGTCCTTTTACCCAAGGCGCCCAAGCTCGCCGATTATTATTGGCAGCTCTTCAGCCTCACCCGCATTGACCCCTCCACCATAACAGGGCTTCAACGATCCACGTCATCCTCCGTGAATACTGCGTCCATCGTCTATTGCCATCTACCATCGATCGCTGTATCGAAATAAACACGTACGGCGAAAGAAATCTACCGCGGATGAATCCGCAACATGCCCACCCACGATGACTACGCGCTGGGTTGGGTCTGTGCACTGGCCCTGGAGATGACTGCGGCGATCGCGATGCTCGACGAACGGCATCCGCCACTTCAATCTCCGGCTACGGACGACAACGCCTACACGCTCGGGTCAATCGCCGGCCATAACGTGGTGATCGCCGGTCTCCCGTTGGGGAGCTACGGGACCATCTCGGCGACCCGGGTGCTATCCCACATGCGATCCACCTTTCCGCGGCTCGAGGTGGGCCTGATGGTGGGCATCGGCGGCGGCGTACCTAGCAAGAGCCACGACATCCGCTTGGGCGATGTGGTGGTGAGCAAACCCACGGGGTCGTGCAGCGGGGTCGTGCAGTATGATGCTGGAAAGGCCCTCCAAGGGGGTCGGTTCGAGCTCACGGGCACTCTGAACCAGCCTCCGCAGCTACTGCTGACCCATCTCTCGCTCCTGCAGGCAGAGATGATGGCCCGAGTTGGGGAGGCTGGAGGGTTGATCTGGTCGGGGGTGCAGCAGGTGCTGGAGCGGAATCCGGACCTGCAGGAGAAGTTCGGCTCCCCTGGTCCGGATGAGGATATCTTGTTCCTGGCGAAGTACCCCCATGGGGCCGAGGGAGGCCTGCAAGACTCCTGTATAGGGTGCGATCGACATGAGACCGTTTTACGGACCCCTCGACCGTCGATGGAACCCCATGTTCACTACGGGATTATCGCCTCGGGAGACCAGGTGATGAAGGACTCGGAGGCTCGGGACCAGCTTGGTCAGGAGCTTGGGATCCTGTGTTTTGAGATGGAAGCAGCAGGTCTGATGAACCAGCTCCCGTCGTTGGTCGTCCGTGGCATCTGCGACTATGCCGACTCTCACAAGAACAAGGAATGGCAGGGCTACGCGGCCCTCACCGCGGCGGTATACTCAAAGTTATTACTGTCGAGGCTAAAGCCCAGGAGTTTGAAACAGTGGAACAAGCGCCGTGAGTAGCAAGCGACGTCACCCTTCGGGCAATCGATGTGCTAATGGCCAGCATTGGACAGGTGAGATGAATGCCGAGGAAAGGGTGTGCTTCGCAGCGTTGTTCCATTCGGATCCACAGGAGGACAAGGACGCATTAAAGCGTCGGAAAGGGGAGCGCGCGGCAGACACCAGCGATTGGATCCTGGACACAAATGAGCTACGCCAATGGCTCGGGGTCCAAGGAATGCCAAACACCATGCCCAGTCTCGACCTGGCGACAGGCGACGTTGATCTCAGGGCGAACCTCTTGTGGCTGTACGGCAACCCGGGCACCGGAAAGTCGACGATGGTGATCACGATGGCCGAGGATCTTCCCAAGCGCTCTTTCTTCGACAGCACCAAGTCCCTGGCGTATTTTTTCTGTGACTCTAGCTCCGCAAAAAGACGCAGCGCGGTCTCCATCCTGCGGGGACTCCTGTACCAATTGATCAGAGGCCGCCCGGAATGGATCGAGATGCTGTACGCCAAGTACGAGGAGAAAAGGGACGCCGTTTTCTCCTCGTTTGATTCATTGTGGTCGGTGTTGATGAGTATCGGGGCGGACGCAGCCAGCGGAGATAAATACTGCATCATCGACGCGCTCGATGAGTGTGAGCCCGAGTCTCAAGAGATGCTTCTCACTCAGCTGAATCAAACCTTCCTGAGCCCCAACCAGGCGAATGGCCACCTCCGCTTGCACATCCTCCTTACGAGCCGGCCCTATCCGGAAATCGGGCGCCATTTGAGCCGATTTAGAAACCAGGAGATCTCTTGCTATCCCCGACTAGCTGCAGATCTGAAGCTCTTCGTCCAGTCCAAGGTTGCTGAATTACGTGACAAGAACCGTTATTCCGAGAAAGTCGCCTCCCAGGTCTCCGAGATCATGGAAGACAAAGCCGAAGGAACCTTCCTCTGGGTGGGAATCGCGTGCACGGAGCTGGCCTCGGTGCGGTCGAGGGACGCAGTCCAAACTCTCCAACGGCTGCCTCGAGGACTGCACTCTTTGTATCAAAACCTCCTTGAAACCGCCTTCACCCATGACGGTGGCGACGAGCATCAGACGATCTTGCAGATCATGGGTGTCGTGGCGATTACCCAGCAGCCACTCAGTGTCGCCGAGCTGGCGGTTGCATGTAACCTCTATCCAGATGAGGACCGGGAAAGTCGCCTGAACTTTACGCGCGAAGACATTGAGTTGTGTCGTCTGATGGTCATTGTGCAGGATGGGATTGTCCGACTGCTCCACAAGTCGGTGAGAGATTTCTTGCTCCGCCGGGGGGAGGACGGGGGGCAGCTGATTCACCATCTGAGGGCGCACGCGACGCTGGCCTATCGCTGCCTCGATATCTGGCTGGACAATCATGATTGTCTGCCGCCATGGGGTGAGCCTCGGTATCCTGAGGATGGGTTTCTCCAATATGCATCCCAGTACTGGGGAATCCACGCCCATCACGCCCAGTCCGAATTCCGGCTGCTGAAACGACATGAGAGCTTCTTCCGCGCAAAATCCAAGGCCAGAACGGCGTGGGCCACCTGGGGCGCGCATATCGATGCGGACCTTGCCAGCTCCGATGAACTATCTTCATTGCATTTGTCTGCAGCATTTGGGATTGTTGGGCTGGTGGATTTCGCTTTAGATCAGATGCAGCACGGTCGGATCCTCTCCAAGTGGCTAATGGCACAGCCCCGGTTTGACGACAATCTCTTTGTCGGCAGTGACTTGCCTAGCCCGCTGCAGTTGGCAGCCCGGCGAGGGCACGTCGAGGTCATGACACTACTGCTGCACAAAAAGGTGAGCAGAATGATAATCCGAGCGCAGGTAGTCGAGGAGGCAGCACAGCATGAAGAGCACGGTGAGCAGATGATGGCGATCTTAATCGCGCAGGGTGGGAGCGAAGTCGAGATTGACCAGACTGTTCTTGAAGCTGCGGCTCGGAATCAATCACATGGGCGATCCATTCTGTCGATGCTTCTCGACCGAGATCCGAGCATCTTGATCAGTCCGAATCTCCAGATAGGCGTTCCCAAGAAGCCGGTCGTGACGGGGCTAGCCATGTCTCGACTGGCCGAGTTGTATGCCGGTGGAACCCGGCGCCCTCGTCAACCCATGATCAACGAAGAAATTATTCACGCGGTCATCAGAAATCAGGGGAATGGGTCGGCCATAATGGGTATGCTACTAGATCGCCTTGGGAACAGAATGCAGCTATATGACTACGTGTTGGAAGATATGTGCGCGTACCTGGACGCGAGGATCGTGCAGCTCCTTCTGAGTCGAAACGACACCCGAATTCTATTGACACCTAGCTTGATCAGTGCGGCCATGCGCAACCGCTCTCAAGCAGGCGAGATGATGGCTGTTCTGCTCGAGCAATGCAATCATTCCGGTGTTTCGCCCCAGCTGATTCTTGAAATGATGTGCGAGGTCGCTAGCCTCGACGTGATCATAGAATTCCTCGACCGACAAAAGCATCAGCTCTCGTTAACCCAGGATGTGGTTTCTCACCTCAGTAAACGACCCGCGCTCGGGGAAGGAGCGATTCACCTTCTCTTGGACCGATGCCAGAAGCCAACGCGGGTCGTTGCTAGCCTGATGTTCTCTACATTCGGCACTGACATAGTTCGCACTTTGCTCGGGAAATACGACCAGGTCACACTCTCAAAGTTGAGCATCAAGGCAATTTCAGACAATCGAGTGGGAGATGCCGTGATGAAGACAGTATTGCTTCACTCACCGGCAGTGAAGCTAGGTCAAGGAGAGATTGCATTGATTTGCCAGAGCTTCAATCTCGACGTGATCCAAGTCATGCTGAGCCAAAAGCGCGGCATTGACATCACGCGAAATACTGTTAAGCACACCTACAGGAACAAGAACGGCAAAGAAGTTATCATGGCCTTGCTTCGGCATCGCGGTATGGGTAGAACAATGCCAATGGATGCCATTCTCAAGATTTGTCAACTGTTCGACTCCGAAGTTGTTGAATTCCTCACACAGCAGTGGCAGAAACTAGTATTGACCCCCGAGGTCATTCATGCTGGCCTGACAAACGAGCAGCACGGCGAGAGTGTGATGATGACAATCGCTCGGCAAGCTGACCCATGGCTGATAGATCCCAAGTCTGTCGCCTCACTTTGTCGCCTATTTAGTCCATCGGTGATCGACCAGCTACCGGGTATCATTGTCTCCGAAGTTGTTGTTTATGCGGCAGCACAAAACTTCCTGTGGGGCAGAGATACGGTTGCGTTGCTGCTCACCAAGTGTAACCAAGGGGTTCACCACCTAACCACAGATGCAGCTGTGGTAGTATCCGAGGTCTTTTCTGGAGACTTCGAGATAACCACACTTCTCGATCAAAGCTTCTCTTCAAAAAAGCTGGGAGACATGTCAATTGAAGGCCCTGAAGACATCGCCAGTGCGTTAGTGTTCGGCGACGCAAATCACATTTCCGTCTTATTCGATCAGCCAGACAGCCCTCCAGTGACCGAGGATATTCTGGTCTATGGCGCCCAAAATGTTGTCGATGGAAAGAACGTGATGGTGGTACTTGTTGATAAATTCCAAAATCAGCTTTACCCCAGCAGTGCTGTGCTTGAAGCTGCTGCAAGTAACGAAAATTTCGCCAAGGAGGTAATGGAAGTCCTCCTAGATTGGAAGGGACATACTTTCCACATACACGAAACACTTGTCACGAAAGCAGCATTTAATACCCACAGTGGGGTAGATGTGATCGAATTATTGCTACATCGATTTCCACAGCATTTGCACCTTCCGGAGTGGATACTTGAGGCGGCGTTCGTAAGTGAGAAGAGGGCTGAAGATATAATCACGCTGCTCTGCGACTTCAGGCCCAGCAGGACGATCAGAATTACTCCATGGATTGTCAGGATAGCGTCCGCAACGAACAGGGACAATGCTCTCTCTCGGATTCTCAGCTATCCTCGGACACAGGTGAGCATACAGCGGGAGGCAATGGCAGCAATCTGCCAGCTTTTTGACTACAGCCTTGTCAAATCACTTCTGTCTCATCTTGGACTCGGAGTTATACTCACAGACGATATCATTGAAGCAGCCGCCGCGAACTGTGTGCATGGAAAGGAAGTTTTGGAATTGATACTACGGCACCAGCAGCCCACGCAACAAACGGTCGAAAAGGCTCTCACGGCCGCCGCCGCCGCCGATGTGAAGGACACATTTGCCTTTCTCGTTACGTGGTGGGGTAGAAATGTTCCTATTACTGAGGATATCATATGTGCGGCAGCAGGCAACAGGTGGGGAAGATGTGAAGTGTTGTCATTCCTTCTTGACGACCTCAACTACAGCGCACCTATCACGGAAAGAGTCTTCGTCGCCGCTGCTCAGTATGGGAAAGAGGCAGTCTTCTTTCTTCTTCATCGACGCGGTCCAACTTTGGTCACCGATAACATCCTCCAGGCGGCAGCCAACAATGAACTCCACGGGAAATATCTACTGGACCAATTCCAACGGTATCAGCGGAAGATTTCGGAGGATAGGAAATAGGTTTGGTAACAAGCGCTCTGTATACCTACGCCATTGTCCTTCTTCTTTTTTCGCACATCCGTCGAGCTGAAGATCCGCTCCCAACGCGCCGGCGGTTGCGTTGCTATCTAAAAAAGAAAGACGGAAAGGAATTTGCGAGTGTTAAGCCACTCCGTGCGTTTTTGCGCGCGTGGTGGGCCCAGGAAGATGACCATCTCTGAGGCCGAGGCCAGGCCGTCAATGGAAAGCCGAATGGCGAAGACTTTTTACAGAACGGTGGATTATGTGATGCCTAACGAGCAAGCAGCGCCAGGCAAGCGGAAATCTCCAGCATAAGTTGTCCTTGCACTTGGTATGTCCCGAGGAAACCAAAGGCCACCATGCACTGGCCAATGTCAGTCCTGATATTCATGATATAGACTAACCTCTAAGCCAGTTCGATCACGGCCTAGACCTCCCACGGAGTGCCTAGACCCGACTATAGCCAATCTGAGTCTGGTTGCTCAGCCCACGCGTCCTATGTAATGTAGATATAGGAATATTCCGGTGTTCCTATCTGAAGCGGTTAGTCAATCATCTCGGATGGCGATATGAAGCTATCCGATTGCACGGTAGATGATCTATATCCACTCCGTGCATTGCAGTGAATCAAGACTCTACCGGCATCAACCAGGATTAGAGGTCTGTTCATCAAGCACCAGAGGTCTATAAAATCCCCCGTCACGATCCCACGTTCGAATTGCCTTCCAAACCGACCCCAACTTTTTCAAGAATACAATTTCCTAAACCTCTTCCACTTGGTAAGCTCTAACATCCCAGTTCCCCCAGTTATACCATCAACCCTTACCTAACTTGATCTTGTCTTCCATTCCGTAGGACTAATCATGTCTCGAATCCTCATCTTCATCCTCCTCTTTACCCTGCTGGCCAGCGTCATGGGCCTTCCAATTCAAGAGCTTGAGGGAAAGTCCCAGCTTGCGCCCGGACACGTTATCATCTCGAGCAATCTGAAAAGCGTCAAGATTCACGCGTGGTCCGTGTCCAACAAAATCGACAAAGAGCTCAACGTTGGCCCCGGCGGCGGAACCTACCTCGAGGAGTACCGATTCAACCCGAACGGGGGTGGCATTTCAATCAAGATGAGCGAGAAGGGCAATCTCGACAACATCATCCAGTTCGAGTACACGCGCAAGGACGACAAGATCTGGTGGGATGTCTCGTACGTCAACCACAAGGTCAATTCGGGCTCGGCGATCGTCGCGGCGGGCTTCTCGGTCACTTCGAACAAGAAAGATTGTCCGCAGGTGCACTGCCGTCCGGGCGATGAGAACTGCCAGGGCATCTACCACAGCCCTTACGATGACTGGGCGGCCTATGGATGTCCTCTTGATGCGATCTTGCATATGAAGATTGGTTAGTAACTAGCCGTTGTCCATTGGATACGTTCGTCTGTTTCGGCAAGGTGACTTGAAGTATTGGCGAGGAAATAGCCTGAGTCGTTTGATGAACTCTAGGCATCTGTATGGGCTTTTCTAGCTTATGAATGCTGTGTATGTACTTCATTTTGAATATCTTCTAGATCATAGAACTGTGTCTCATTCATCCTGAGGCGCACCATCCTGAGGCGCACTATTCTTTGACAAATATTTCTTTGTGATCATCCTGTAGGAAGATGTCCGTGTCGAGCTGATCGCAAAGAATGTGACGATAGACACTAGAATATAATCACTGCCTCAGCAATTTCACATAATGTTCTTGACGTGTATCCGGTCAAGGTGATCAACTCATGAACGACTCGCAGAAAGCTATGGACGCCTTGAAGAGACCAGCGAAGCGTCAATAATCCGATACAGGGAACATACGGATCGGCAACTGGACCAGTTAGCCGAACCATGGCCGGCAAAAAAGGTGGGAAGCTGTTGGCAGTGTCGATCTCCGAGTCAGCGCTTTGTCCTTGTCTCGGTTTCTGTTCGTTCTTGTCTTGAACTTTAGCCCACTAACGTGCGGATATACTTCGCTTGTTCCTTCCTCATTTGGAGAATGGTTGATTACGAGGCGAGGCAGACCAGGACACACAGTTATGATTTATCTGGTGTCTATTCATCTTATCGATGGTGAAGTTCTAATATGTCATGGAACATTGTCAATGCCGCTTTCTTCTAAACATATCTCCGTGACCCCTACATAAATGGGAGAAAAGCTCATCCTTCATCAACATTATGTGGAGTTGCCCCAGCAGTACAAGTCAGGTTGATATGCTTATCCTGGATGTTTGGAGGCCTAAAAAAGCGCAGGATTTGCGGGAAGATCAGGTTTCAGATTTTGAGAGAGCTTCTCATATCTTCCCTCCACTACTGCAGAGCTTTGTCGGGTTTGCGCCGCGTTCTTTTACATTTTTTCTTTCTGGTCTAGATTCTGGTGATATCGACCGCGGATAGTTGAGCAGTAGACCCACCACCCGCTCCCTCACCAAAAAAAAAAAAGAAAGACAAAAAAGCAATTGGGATGGAGAGGCGGGGAATCGAACCCCGGACCTTTCGCATGCTAAGCGAACGTTATACCACTAAACCACATCCCCAATTGGATGTTTGTTTCAACCATTTAGTGACTTGTGTCCATGCACTCAGGATAACAGAGAATGTGGGTGCGGGTGGCACCCGGTGTCCTAGGAGATCGTGATGAAAACATAAGATAGTCATTGCTCTTGTTAAATAAAGTTTCTCCATATCCTGAATGATAATTTGATATCGTTTTATTGGATAGAGGGTAGAAGTACTCATAAACACTTGAATGGAGCTGTGTATTGGAGCGATAACAGCTGCCGAGGTAGGAAATATATACTTGAGTGTGAAGTCACTTTGCATCCAGTGATAAATCTCACCCGCAATCCTCAGTTGGTGTGAGACTGCTCGGTCTGAGCGGACCGCGCGGACCGAGATTTCGGAAGTGAAATGATACGGGATGTGAACATGTTGCCAGGATTGTTCACGAATATGCGGGCTCATTTCTGACCCAGCTCGAACTGATTGGCCAACATATAGGAGCCAACCCTCTAGCCCCCCTGCAAAACACACACAAATGCAACAGTGAGGATGATCCAAGTTGCGCACTCGGATCCTTGGGAGAGGCAATCTCCGAGTGCAATTGATCCTCGGAGCGCCTCCCCGCAACTAGGCTGTTCTCCGCAGCTGATCATGTTGGTGCACACCTATCGGATGCACCTCTCGGTCCGTCGCGGATGCTTCCCATGCTCCGCAATCTCCCTTAAATGCTTCTTAGACGTAGTTCTAACCTGTATAGGAAAATCCTTGAAGCATAGAGGTAGATAGATAGCGAAAGAGAGGGAAGCATTTTGGTTATATTAGAATGTTGCGCCTATATTAAGGCTCTTCTCGGATCGCTCAAACGTCTTAGGATGTTATAGAACTGTATAATATGGCAGAACATACTATAGCGGTAAATTCAGCAGCTAAAGGGTCTAAAATCTAAATGCTCTGACTATGTAAAATATAAAGGAATGTGTTTCTTCACTGGCACCTATTTAGTGATCCTAACTCCGATATAAAAGTAGGGAAGATGCCAGTATCCCTGAAAAGGGATAGTAAAAAGAGGTAATAATGAATGTAGTTTGTTTTCAAGAGGATAACTGGTCGTTAAGATCGGCGTAAAAGAAGGTTAAGAAGATATGCATTCAAGACAAGCGTGCGGGGATGCGACTAGGTCAATGAATAATGAGCTCGATGAGACAGGCATGTTCAAGTATTTATTGGTCTTGATTTCCTGCTGAACGAAGACCCAAACATATGTTTATAACACCTCAGCTTCTCAGGTTTTCTCACTCAGACACGAAGTCTCAGTTTCGCTTTACAATCTTTCCATCTTCTAGTTGACATACACCAGACCCTCTAGATCCCATCATGTCTGTGAATTTCGACCCTGTAGCTGAGTTTGGCTTCACTGCCATTACTCGCAACGTCCAAAAGCTGCTACCAGCTCCCTCTTCACCATGCTACCCACTTTCTCCCATCACGCCGTCCTCGGACATGATTCCTGGGTCCCCCCTGTCCCAACGTGTCCAGACCTATGCCCGCGAGAACCTGGCCCCGGAGATCTTTAACCACAGTATGCGTGTTTATCACTACGGAACGGCGATACGCATGCAGCAGTTCCCGAACTGGATCTGGACCGAACGAACACAAGAAACTTACTTCCTGACCTGCATGCTGCACGACATCGGTCTAAGCCCTGAGGTCTTGCACAAGACCCGCCTGAGCTTCGAGTTTTGGGGCGGCTTCAATGCCTTGCAGGTCTTGATCGATCATAAGATTGCTTGTGACAGAGAGCAGGCCGAAAGCGTGGCTGAGGCGATAATTCGACACAATGATTTTGGGGAAGACGGCATGATTACTACGATGGGGCTGTTGACTCAGATTGCGACTACTTTTGGTGAGTTCTCGTGTGTGGCCTTTTCATTTCGTTTATGGGTCTGAGATTCTAATGTCTATGATCGGGATAGATAATGGCAGCAAAAACTCCTTCCTGGTGCATCCGGGCACGCTGCAACGTGTAATTGAGGCATACCCTAGGCTTCGGTGGAACGAGTTTGTTGTCAAATGCGGTGCGGGCGAGTACGATGAGAAACCTTGGTGTCATCTCACGAAGCTTGATAGAAAGGCGCTCTTTGAGGAGTTTGCCGACAATAGGCTGACAGCTGCTTATGACAACTGTGACGACCAGAAAGCCAAGAGCTCTTTCTGAGGGTATTTCAATGACCATGGGAGACCGATGAGTTAGGGCTGGGAATTTGTCGGCTGTGAAAACGCGGAACTAGGGTTGGGCTCAGTGTAGCAAACACAATGCCATGATGCGTTTCCATAGCTTAGAAAACCCCTCTTCTACAGTAACTTGCCTATGATCGATAAGAAGTGGCACCATGCCAATCATTTAGGCTCGTGCAGATCGCATTGCGGTTCCTAAACAGGCAATTTTCCGATTCTCCAGCAAAAAGCAACCCTACCCCTCGCTACATTGAAGAACCGGTTAAAAAGCCCCTTGGCAGCACATAATGACGTCTACCCAGGGGTTCAATTGTACCGATTTTTCAGAATGAAGCTGGTCCTCCGAGACAGACCCCCGAAAGTTCCTCCGGGGTGTGGCAATACCCCAGAAATCCAACTGACGATGCGGGGAACCTCCGGTGGAGTCTCCGGCATGCCCTATTTATTCCGTGCCTGCATCCTCGCATGCCACTAGGTTGAAGCATGCCAGCTAATAGATTTCTAAACCATGAGTTCTATATTTGTTTGGTCGCTGATGATACCGGCGGCTTTGGGTACTCTCCAGCCGCGATTGCAGGATGGTCTTGCCCGGACTCCGCCTATGGGGTATGTCTCCTGCCTGCTTAACAACATCAAGCTAACAAGATAGGTGGAACACCTATAACCACTATAACTGCCGCCCAAATGAAGCCATTGTGCGCTCTAATGCCAAGGCATTGGTCGACACAGGGCTTGCGGAGCTTGGGTACCACTACGTCACTGTAGACTGTGGCTGGACGGTCTCCGAACGAACCGAGAAGGGATTAACCTGGAACGAGACTCTCTTCCCTGAAGGCTTCCCGGCTCTGGGCAAGTACTTGCATGACCTAGGTCTGCTGTTTGGAGCTTACGGAGACTCGGGTATCAAGCTGTGTGGTAGCCCGCCTGATAATATTGGGAATTTGTGTGCGTTTAACTCCCGTTTTTCATCAATTGGCACTTCTAATTGTACTCTAGATCATGAAGAGGAAGATACGAAAGCCTACGCCTCTTGGGGTGTTGACGCTCTGAAGTGTGAGTATGCCCATAACCCGACTCAAGTACTCGAATACTCACCATCCTCAGATGATAACTGCTTCTCCGACGCCGCAACCGATTACCCAAACGTAAACTACGAACCCAGCACCTCACCCCATCCTCGATTCGTAAAGATGGCAGATGCTCTCGCACAGACAAACCGCTCGATCCTCTTCCAGGTCTGTGAATGGGGGATTGACTTCCCAGCTCTCTGGGCTCCGTCCATCGGCCATACCTGGAGAATCGGCAACGACATTCTCCCCGCGTGGCGAAGCATCTTCCGCACACTGAACCAGGCAGTTCCACAGACGAGTTTTGCCGGCCCAGGCCAGTGGCCGGATCTAGACATGCTGGAGGTCGGCATCGGGGCCTTGACTACCCCGGAGGAACAGACGCATTTCTCGCTCTGGGCGATTCTGAAGAGCCCGTTGACGATCGGCGGGGTGTTGAAGGACGAGAACACGAGTATCGGCGAGGAGTCCTTGGCTATCTTGAAAAATAAAGATGTGATTGGGTATAATCAGGATAAGCTGGGGGTGAGCGCAAGCTTTCGTCGACGATGGACAGACGAGGGCTATGAGGTGTGGAGTGGGCCGTTGTCGGGTGGACGGACCGTGGCGGCGTTGATTAACTGGAAGGACGAAGCTAGAGATTTGACTCTGAACTTGCCGGATATTGGATTGCAGTTTGCTGGGTCCTTGAGGAATATCTGGGATGGGTCCACTGCTCGGGATGTAAAGTCTTCGTACACGGCCAGGGTGGAGCCTCACGGTACGATTCTGGTTGAGTTGCAGGACACGATTGTCTCCCGCCAGTATCCGGCAAAGAGCTTCGCGTCTTCGAATGGGTAAGTCGATCTCCTGGGTGTGTGATCCTAAGGCTGATGATAATCCAAAGGGCATCGACGACGTTCAAATCGATCTACGCGAACACGACGAGCAGCAAGCATACCCTTACGATCAATTTCTCCGAGCCAGCCTCATCATCATCGAAAATAACCCTCGAAACTACTGCCGGCAATGGAACGATATCCAAGGCAATCCCGGAATCTAGCGAGCAGGTATCGCTCAACCTCCCTCTCGTTGCCGGATCATCCAACTCTATCACAATCAAAAACTCCCCACCAATCGAGTCCATCCAAGTCAACTCACCCAGAGGGACTTACTACCCCAGCACAAATTTCACCCTGGGAGGAAGTGCTCGCAAGGACTCCTGTGGCTCGGGCTTCTGTCAGCCCGTCGGCTCCAGAATCAGATACATCAGTCCGAATGGCACAGCCCGCGCCGTCGTCCCTGCCACAGCTGGGTCTAAGTACATCGAAATCGACTATACCAATAACGACGTCGCTTTCGACTCCGCCTGGGGCTGGGGTACCAACACCCGCAATCTTACCGTGGCGATCAACGGCGGCAAGCCGGTTCGTGTGGAAGCGCCGTTGAGTGGCCGACACAGCGAGCTCTTTGGGCCGGGCTTAGGATGGTGGGATACTGCGACGATGGGAGTCCTCACGCAGGGATGGAAGGATGGGGATAATGAGGTCGTTATTGGGAATGTTGGCGGGGAGCAGGGATTCGAGTCCTACGGGGCGGATTTTGTGGGGTTGAAGGTTTATAGTTGAGCGTGGTATAGGGGGACTTCGGGCCAGGTTTAATATGAGTTTGGTGATTCTTAATTCTATTGTTTGCCTTGTTTCTAAAGGCAGGGGAAACTAAGTTAGGCCTTCTGATCATAGACTCCAAACTATGGTCCTTTTCTACCAAAGCTGAGATCTCATCATCCATACATTTGTTCTCTAACCGGTATATTCGCAAGGCTTCTACAACGCACCCCAATACTCCCAGCCAAGGTTCGTATTCCTCCCCAATCATTATAGCGGTCTCTTGTTTTCCGTATTCACTTTCTTGGCTTAGATATTTATGCCCCACCGACCCCTCGGTCTAGTATGTTGGGACCCGCCAAAAGTGTTCCTGGCGCGAGGCTGGTATTTAAAACCAACGTTGCCCACAGTTGACATTTGTCCTTTTCAACTCACTTGAAAAAAGAGGAATCAAATCGTGTCGGATAGCCCGAGCCGAAAATCATACAAGGGGAGTTGTCACTGTGGACAGGTGAAATACTCGGTTTCGCTTTCTCCTTCTCTAGAGGAGCAGGGCGTTGCTGAGTGCAATTGTTTGTTGGTCGTTCCTGGTGAGAGAAAACACATTTCTAACTGTTTTGCATAGGCTCCATCTGCCAGATTAATGGATATCTGTTTGTGTATTCTACCACGTCGGATGTGCAGCTCGAGCATGGAGACGGTGCCGTGACGGTTCGTTCAATCCTCGAAGATATGCGTGCTACAGCTGCCTGAATAGCGCTGACTCTATACAGGAATATGCATTCGCATCTAAGAAATACCCTCACTACTTCTGCAGCAAATGTGGAACAAGCATGTATGCAAAGTCCACCGTGCCGGAGAATAGCCACGTGATGGCTCTGAATGTACGTAAGGCTTCTCAGCCCAGATCATCGTCGCTGACAAGTCTAGGCCCGGACTCTTCACGATGTCGATATCAAGGGGTTGAAAATGAAGCAGCTCGATGGTCGGAGCGTTTAAAATCGGGGTATTATTGCTCCTGGCTTACTGCATTCATTCTGGGGACTTGTTTGGGGAAATAGGCTTTAACCGGCTGGTAACCTTTGTGATACAAGCTCATTGAGGCAGATTCTAGCCGAAGATTGGTAGCAGAGGAGACTCCACCGTTGAGTGGGGTGGCTTGCTCTGGTTTTGTCGGAATGAAGGAGTTCGGATCTGTACAATTTGATTAGCTGACTTGAGCAGCGGTGAGAATTCGTCATTTATGCATGAGGTGTTTGGAAATTGAGGTAGAATAGAGCGGCCGTTGAGTAATAGCATCCGATTTTTCGGGGATTTTACCTGAGCAGGGAGGATATATTTTGTCAAGCAATTATTGCAGGTGATCAATATGGTCATGTCAACCTATTTAATTACTCAATATTTTGACACAGCATCTCAGAGTTCCTAAATGGATGAAAAATTTGCTTCCTGCGGGTCGCCACATAGTTTGGATCATACTGCTTCGGATATTATGCCCTTGCATAGACAAGCAAGGGCAATGCTGTCCTTTGCATCCGCGCTGAATGGTCAAACCATTGTGGCTCGTTGATTGAAACTAATCTGTTGGAATTGAATTCTTTGCGTCGTATCATGGCTGTTCTATTCTGACAAGCACTATCATATAGATGGGGCCGGGCCTTCCAAAAGTCCGAATTTACCACCCACGGTATTACCCCACGGCCAATCTCTATATTACCCCACGGCCAATCTCTACCATCTACAGCAGCTGTACCTGTTCTTATGCACATTCCTTGTCCTTGCGTTGTCTCAGTGTAACAAACTTGGCTGCCTTGCTATAGCATGTGACAGGTTGGGATCGGTGGTGCTTTCATATATATCCGGGTCTTTTTGCCAATCTGCCGACCTCATGGGATCAGGCCCGTTGACAATGTCGCTCGATATCAAACCTAGTGAACGACCCACTGAGGTGGAAAAAATTCCTGATGTCCCGCTTAACTCTGACGATGCTTTGCTTCAAGCTCAGGGTCATCGGGCTGAGCTAAATCGGTCGTTTTCCTGGATAGGCGCGATAGGATTCGCCTTCAGGTATTTCTTTCTCCCGATTCCCTGGGCGTCACTGACCCGGATAGCATTTCGAATGCATGGCTCGGATATGCCGCAACTATAGGATCAGCCCTGCTCTATGGAGGAGGTCAAACGGCTTTGTTTGGGCCCGTTCTTGCGGCAGTGGCGACTTCGATCGTTTTCCAGGGCCTGGCAGAGTTATCCTCTGCATTTCCGTCGTCGGGTGTGAGTTATCTTTAGCTATTCTCTTGAACTATATTAATGTATAAAAGGGCCAATATCACTATACCTATATCATGGCTCCCAGCTCTATTCGCAATTTCCTGGCCTTCCTGGTAGGTATTTGTAATATCCTCGGCTGGTGGATGGCCCTTGCGTCGGGGACCATCATCGTGGCAACCTCGACCTTTGGCCTCGTGCTGTTCTGGTACCCGGAATTCGAGAGTCAGCAATGGCAGGTCTATTTGTGCTATGTCTTGACGATTTTGTTGAGCTGTAAGCCCCGCACATTTACCTCCTTGCCGTGCAATTTCTCACGGATGTTAGTGATTCCGGTCTTCGTTATTCCTCAGAAGCGCGTCGACCATTTGGTTAATTCGGCGATGGCCCTATCCATTCTTGGCTTCTTCGCTACCATTATCACTTGCTTGGTAATGGGCAGAGGCGATTTTCACCCCGAGATGATGACGCAGTACGATGGCGCTAGCGGATGGTCGAGAGTTCCGGCCTGGTTGCTGAGTATCAACCTCGGTCAGTATGCCTACATGGGCAATGGGGCTGTCACGCATATTGCCGAGGAGATGCCGCGGCCAGGACGCAACCTGCCTTTGGTATTGTGTGTAGCCAGCTTCGACTAGAAGTATATATGAACTGACTCGCTCGGTTAGAAACATGGCCCAGCTTATAGGCGTCGTCACCGCCATCCCGTGGACCATGGTCATGCTCACTGGCGTCAAAGATATGCCTGCCGTTCAGAAATCGTTTTTCGCGTCCATGGAGATGTTCTACCAGTCGACTGGGAGTAGAACGGCGGCGACTATCCTGCAATCCTACCTTATCCTGCTCTACTACAGTCCGTATCTCCCACAACCCTCACCATCCACGCTAACAGAAGCACAGCCTGTCTCCCCAGCCAGTGGATAACAAGTAGCCGGATTGCCTGGGCGTTCTCGCGCGACGTAAGTCACCCATCGGCTTATTCAATCAATTCAAGACACTGACGGTCCAGGCCGGTCTACCTCTCTCGTCATACTGGAACCATATCTCCCCCAAATACCACATCCCCGTGCGCACCACCTTCCTCTCCGCCGCCTTCTGCCTCATCTACGGCCTCCTGTACATCGCCAGCACCGACGCCTTCAACTCCATCATCAACATGTCCTTCATGTTCCTGACCTTCACCTACGTCGCCCCGCAGACCATCTTGCTCTTCGGCCGCCGCAATAGTCTGCCCAACCGGCCGTTCAATCTGGGAAAGTGGGGAAATGCAGTGAATGCATTCGCCAATGTTTGGTTCCTGTACACGTTGGTTTTGGTGTGTTTTCCGACGCAGTTGCCGACGACGAAGGGGTCGATGAATTAGTGAGTTTCCTCCCCCCTCCCCTGCGATTTGGTTTTGTTTGGGTTGAGGGCGTGGTGTGGTGATGAGGCTGACTGGATTAGTGGGGCTGCTGTGGCGGTTGGGGTGTTTGTGCTGGTGATGCTGATGTGGGTGGAGAGGAGGAAGAAGTTCGCTGGGCCGAATATCGACTGGGATATGTTGAAGAGGGCGCTGGAGTAGATGCTCGCTTAAGAGTATAGTGTCGGGGTTGTTGGGATGGGACTGTTCTAGAAAAGCTTGTTTGTTAGGTAACTGGGTCAAATAGCATTTAATAAGAGTTAAGACTTGTCCTCGTGTTTGTTATGGTCTAGACTGCTGGTCGTGATAAGTCCATCGAGTCAATGCAACATACACGTCGCGCGAAGGTGTTACCGGATCAGGAAGGTCGGCCAGCAGGCCTGAAGATCCTGGATGGACTTGGCACTTCGCTGCTTTCTAAGAGTACACGACGTACTGCTGACTGCAGGATCAAGTTTAAAGAAGAAACAAAGCATGCATCCTGTACTACTATATGCTTTATGTCTAGCCTCAATCCCTAACTCACCGCTTTCCTTCCATCGCCCCTACCAAGCCCTAACTCGCCTGTTTCTTCATCCTCGGCAACCCCAACCACAGCAGCAGAATCCCACCCGACAACCCAATAATAAAAGGCTGCAAGACCTGCACCCCCTTTGCCTGAGCAATCGCCCCCACCGCAAACGGCAGCACGGCCGCTCCGCCGCCTCCAAACGCAGCAGCAAACCCGATCGCGCTGACATGCAATGCTCTCGGGAGCAGCTTCGTCGCGACGACCACAACGCCCGGGAAGAACGGACCCAGGAAAAATCCCTGCAAGGAGACTGCGATCACGGAGGCGTAGAAGCTCGGGACAAACCAGAGCACAAGACCGAATGCGATGGCGAGGAGGGAGTAGATCTACACTCGTCAGTCAGCATTCGGAAAAAGGTATGGCCAAAGAAGTAGGGCCAGGGAACACAGACAACAATCGCCATCTTCTCGCCGATCCTCGGCGTCACGAACCCCAGCACCACCCGTCCAAATGTAATCCCCAGCCAGAACCCCGTCGCCGCCATCCCGCTGGCAAACGGCTCGGCGTCCCGCACGCGCATCATGAACGTCACGATCCACCCCCCCAGCGCGACTTCGATCCCGACGTAGCCGAGGAGAAAGAACGCGCAGATCCAGCTGACTCTGGCGTAGGGGGCTTTGAACAGCGCTTGTCGCAGACCCCCGTGGTCTTCGTCGTTGAGTCCGGCTTGGAATTCGACGGCCGTCGAGTCCCAGAAGAAGAACACGCAGGTTGCGAGCTCGACGGCCGCGCAGGCGATCTGGACCTATTAGCCAGGTCAAGAAGACCCCGAGGGGTGAGCGTACCATCACGTAGTAGAAATAGTACCATCCCACCTCCGCCTTGGTGATCAACGACGTCGCGACCAGCGGACTCAGCACCGCTCCTACGCCGTACAACCCATGCAGAAAGCCCAGTAACTCGTTCGCGTTCTGCATGTTCCCGATCCAGGCGTTCCACGCGGAGTCTGCCAGGCCGTTGCCGAAGCCTGCGAAAATGAACGACACCACGAGAACCGGGTACGGCGGGTGCAGGCAGTTCACGATGTACGCGATCAGATGGCACCCCGGAGATATCCAGGCCACGCCGCGGCGGCCGAATCGCATGTGGATTTTATGATTGAGCACTGCGGCAAGCGTGTAGCCTCCTAGCGGGGAGAGGAAGACGAGAGAGACGATGGTGTAGGATAGGTTGTAGTGTGTTTCTAACTTTTGCGGGCTTAGTTGGTGTTAGAGTGAGGGTTGTCAACTTACGTATGGGATTAAGGGCTGCGGATGTTAGCTACCGGTAAGGTGTGGGATGTGGGAGCGTACACCGTAGGCTGCGTCATTTGCTCCCATTACGAGGAAGCTCCAGAAGGTGGCGAAGACCTTCCATATATTCGGCCGTGGGTGGTTCCATTTCTCGGGCTCGGGGGTGGAATTGGGTGCCTCTGGGAGACACTTCTGCTCGAGATCCCCTTGGGAATTGGAAGTTGACATCTTGTGGTTTTCGGGTCATGATGGCGGACGGCAGACTGATATTCTTTGTCTGGGCGAGCTGTTAGGGTTGCTGGGTGAACTTCCTAATTCGGCCTGGGGGTTTAGGCTAATAGCAGGACAACTGGTCATATGTATGTCATGTATATTGATGATCCTTTGTTCTGGCACTCACAGGCCTGCCAGAATGTAAATGATGTTTTGAGATGTCCAAATCCAGGGCTGAAGGACATGTCACTTGTCAATCCTCATCCACCGGACTGTGTAAGCGCGACCGCTGCAGCCCCCATCCTTTTATCTCTGGAACAAACAAGAAAAAAATCATGAAACAACCCAGTGAATTGAATAGAATGATAATTTTTTTTTTTTTGTTTTTTTTTTTTTTTTTTTTTTTTTTTGATTCATGGGAAAGATAAGACTAAAAGATCAAACAGTAACTCACTGAGCATAAGGTAGTACTCATCATTCATAGATGGATGCTGGGCGATGCCTGTTGAGAGGCAGCCCAATCCGGTTAGGGCTAAACGAGAACGTCCAGTTCCAGCCCTAACCGATTCCGGCTAGGCGTATGCGAGAACTGGCCCCTTTCTAGATCGTAGTCTGCTATATCCTCAGGGTTTTCATCCAATAGGCAGGATGATGTTATCTAATTTTAGTTTCAAGTGTCTGCTGAAATTGCCAATCTTATTTAGAGCCCTTGCTAGCAGGCTTCCGCGTTTGATCGAAGATTTATTCAACTTAATCCCAATCCTAGAAGATGCTAGGCTGAGGCTTGTAGTCTCCACTGTAGAGGTTCTGGTTAGAGCCATACGATGCTTGGGGGCATTTCATGAGAGGATTTGTTGATTGGCTATGGCCTTCTTACTTGCGCATCGGTAGGACTATATTGGCATTTTGGTGTGGTTACTATCGCCTAATTCTATAGTCTCAATGGATACATTAGGCAGAAGACGTACCATATATAAGCCGGATATCCTTGCCCAACATTTGAATGAATACTAAAACAAACAACTCTCTATCCAGCAACATGGCGACCCTAATCCCACTCATTCTTTTACTTTTCTGCTCCTTCTCCTTGGGCCAGTACTTCCCATCCACCCCGCAAGGTCTCAAACACATCACCTCGCACATCCCCGGCGCCTCGCTCTCCTACAAACAGGTACCAACACCACACCCCTCCCCTCACCACACGCATTCTAACAACCACCAGACCAACATCTGCAACTCAACCACCTCCTACACCGGCTACATCCACCTCCCCCCAAACCCCACCGACGCCTCCCCCCACCCCAGCAACATCTACTTCTTCTACACCGAGTCTCGCCATGACCCCTCCTCCGCCCCATTAACCGTCTACCTGGGCGGCGGCCCCGGCGCCAGCTCCATTTCCTCCATGTTCACCGAGGTCGGCGCCTGCACTGTCAACGACGATTCGAACACCACAGCGCCTAACCCCTGGGCGTGGAATCGTGTCTCTAATATGCTGTTTCTCGATCAGCCGGTTCAGACGGGTTTTTCGTACGATGTGCTGACCAATTCGACGGTGGATTATACCACGGCGGCGGTTGTTCCAGGGGAAATGGAGGGAAGTGTGCCTGGTGTGAATGCTACGTTTGGGGTGGGGGTGTTTGGATCGGGTGATTTGAATGGCACGGTTAATTCGACGACGACGGGGGCGAGGGTGTTTTGGGATGTGTTGCAGGTTTGGATGGTTGAGTATGCTTTTCCGTTGGGTTTGGGTTGAGTGGCTGTGTTTGTTTGGATGCTGATGTTTGACGCAGGTTTCCGGAGTATAACTCCACTGATAACCACATCAATATCTGGACTGAGTCGGTGAGTGTACTATTCTCTCCCCCCCCCCCCCCCCCCCGGCACACCTGAAGGCTAACCCTCGAAGTTCGGCGGCCGCTACGGCCCATCCTACACCTCGTACATCCTAGACCAAAACAAGCGCATCCAAGCCGGCCAGCTCGACGCCCACCAAATCCACGTCGACTCGCTCGGCATCCACAACGGCTGCAGCGACGTCGTCACAGAGGGCTCGTTCTACCCTGAATTCGCATACCGCAATACCTACGGCGTGAAGGTCATCTCGAAAGAGATCTACGAGGCGTCGAAACACAACTTCACCAAGCCAGGCGGGTGTTTGGATCTGGCGCTGCAGTGTAAGGAGTTGGCGGATAGGCTGGATCCGTTGAATGTGGGGAATGATGTCCAGGTAAATGAGTTGTGTGTGTTGGCGAATCAGTATTGCTATGTTAATGTGTTGGGGGGGTATGTGGCGTCGGGGGTGAGTTTTTCTTCTTCTTCCTTTTTTCTCTTTCGTCTTGGTTGTCTACAGAGCGTGTGATTGTTGACCAATTTCTGTAGCGCGACATTCACGACATGGCTGCCGTGGAGACCGTGACTGTTCCGTCGCCGTACAGCGATGGGTTCTTGAACCGTGCCTGGGTGCAGGAGGAGCTAGGCGTGCCAGTCAACTTCACTGCGAATTCCAACACGGTCTACAACGGTGCGTTCTGTCTAACCAACCGTATTACCTTTCCCAGCTGATTTCCTAGCCTTCGGTACGACCGGCAACGCCCTCATTCTCCGCGGAAACGCGATGGACGAGTTCGCCTCGATCCTGGCCCACGGCGTCAAGGTGAATCTGGTCTACGGGGACCGCGATTATCTCTGCAACTGTATGTCTCGACCCCTCTGCTCTCCCTGGAACTGAACAGTAAAAGCAAGGGACTGACATGAATCAGGGATGGGCGGCGAAAACATCAGCCTCTCAATTAAACACAAACAGTCGCGCGCGTTCCAGCACAGCGGATACCAAGCGCTCATTACCAATTCCTCCTACGTGGGTGGTGTTGTTCGACAGCATGGGAATCTTTCGTTCACGAGGGTGTTTGATGCCGGTCATGCTGGTGTGTATTTCTTTCCCTATCCTGTCCCCTGTCCTGATGAGTGATGAATAAGACCTTGGCAGCTAATCTCGAACATGATTTAGCCGTCGCGTACCAGCCTGAAACCTTCTTCCGCATCTTCTCTCGCATCATGGCCTCCAAGGATATCGCTACCGGCGAGGAATGGCTGATCGATGACTATTCGGAGACTTATAGGACGCGGGGCCCGCATTCGAGTTTCGGGGTTAAGAATGTGATGCCGGAGCCTGCGGAGCCGGTGTGCTATACGCTGGATATGATGACTACTTGTACGGAGGGGCAGAAGGAGGCGTTGGTGAATGGGACGGCTGTGGTGAGGGACTTTGTGGTTGTTGAGCCGAAGTAGCGTTGGGGAGTGTGCTAGATAGCTTTTACCTTCTCGGACTGTATTATTAGATAATTCTATTCTATCCTTGATCAGATGTTTATTCAAACAGAACTTTTACGCCGTCTTCATCGTCTAGAATCGCTTTGAGCGTTCTCACCCTCAGATCAGCAGGCTGTCGAGTCGCTGCATCAAACGCCGCTGACTCTTCTATCTCCATGACACGCTGTGCGGCCTCTGCGGCATACGCAGAGTCCCAGACGATCTCTCTCCGTCTGCAGGTAGAGAGGAGATGGATTGCTCGACGGCGAATGCTGGCATTGCGACATCGCTGCGCAGTAATGAATAGAGGTGGGACGATTCCCAGCGAGAAGGAGAATGTGTAGTTCCTGGGTGTGGATGTCCTACTATCGTTAGTCTTGTCTTTTCGGTCAGGACTGCAAGCACACCTCTTCGACTCGGAGATGTAGATCTCACACAGACCGAGTATCGTCTCGAACTCGTCCGAGAACTGATCCCAGGCCGTTTCGGGGTCAGACGGTCGAATAGTCAGATACATCTTTCCAACGAGGTACCAAATGCGGAGAACAGCATCATCCTCCTTCATCTGCGAGGACCTCTCCGGGTCCGATTCCGCATTGGCAAACCGTGCATGCCACGTTTCCAGCGCTGACAGCAACTTCCCCGACGCAGACCTCCCACCCGATACCTGCGCACCCATCACACTATCCAGCTTCTCCCTCAAGATCGCATTCATCAGCTCATCAAGATCCTCACGCAAATCCCCCTCCCCAGGACCAGCATCCTCCCCCATCACCATCGCACCCGGCGTCCGGATCCCATCCTCACCCAGCGTCTCTCCAACCCCCACCCCCAACACCTCCACAAGCTGACTATCCAGCCTCGTAAACAGCGCCCGGATCACCCGTCTAGACACCACATCCCACGCACTCCCCTCCATCTCCATCTGTCTCAGCAAATTCAGCCCCGACGCGATATGTATGATCGCCGCCCGCCGGCACCCCCTTAGACACTCGAAGCACGCAAACAGCACGCTACAGACCAGCGCTACATCATGGCTCTGCCTCTCCTCCTGCCTTCGAGCACGCAGCATCCCGAGCGCTTTTCCGTACTCTCGCGTCGCGAACCGCATCGCCGAATTCGTCGCCTCGATCCCACCCCGGACTCCACCTCCACCTCCATCCCCAGGCCCAGGGGATGTGCAAGTCCTCCCCTCCCCAAACTCATACACCCGCTGCAGCGCCCCAAACGCACAGATCGCATGTCCCAGCACCGCCTCTGACTGCGACGCCCGCAGTACCGCGTGGCAGAACTCGACTGGGAATAAGCGCCCGCGCGCCTCGTGGACGAAGAAGTTCAGCGCTTCTTGCGTCTGTGGACACCCGGTCCTGGCCCCGGCTAGTGAGGCCGAGGCCTGCGGCGCGGTGTAGATTACCATGCGGAGACCCGGTCGCGGGGGTTTCTTGCTGGGTGTGTATGTGCAGACTCGTTGGGCGGATTGGCATCGTTGGCAGTGGGGTTTGGATTCGTCGCATTTGACGCGGCGGAGTCTAGGGGTTTGTGTTGGTTTGGTTTGGTTTGGGAGGTAGGGTTGGGAGGAGGTGGCTTACTTGCAGGTTCTGCAGCCGGTTTTGGATCGGCTGCCGCATGTTCGGAGGTTTGCGACCATTTTGGATTGAATTGGATTGGGGGTGAGGTTGTTGATGACTGACTAGCTGGGTTGGGTCCAGGCGCTGGCGATGGTTAGTTGCATAGATTGTGGTTGTCTAGCTGTCTTGGGCTAGTCTGGGGGGATTGTACATTCGGTAATCTGCAGATGCAGCCAGGGTTTTATTTTTATGGATCTTTTAATACAGACTCGATTAGATTTATTTCTGCAGCATTTACTCTCGTGGATTTTTTGTTTTGTAGAAGTTCATGTTCGTTGTGATATGCTGCTCAGTGTCGTCGTCAGATTGCGGACCGTCAGGCATGATTATATATCCTGACGCGACCTTGATATGAAAAGAACATTAACCTTTTTTTTGTTTCATTTTCGTTTGTCTGAGCAAACAAACAACACTTTGAAGTCAAACCGAGAGCTTAATTGATATATCTCGTATTTGCGACCGCACTGTTGATTCAGACGTTGGATAGACCACTTCTGGTACCCGTATACCAACATCAACATTTCTCACCTCTTCAATTACCTTCTTATTTTTTTTTTTTCGATTATTTTTTATTCGAACCTTTCTAAAAGCTGGTTCCATTCAAGTATAGATCGACAAACCAAAATCCCTATCCTAATCCTACGCATCCACCGCAACCAAACCCGAGAAAGTAACCCACAAGGCTGTCAGACAAGCTGACTTGGCCGTCAGCCTCGTCAGGGGCTGAGAGTACGTGGTCTGTATCTCATTCCTTCGTAGGTACCGTACCTATTCACCAACTTCCCTCTACATACCGACAAAACACAATTTACAAAATCAATCAACCTCTACTTCATACCGACCCTCCCGAAATCCGAAAACCATGAGTCTCCGCTCCACCCTCTCCATCCCCACCGACGACACGGACAACTCAGGCCCAGCCCTCTCGCTCTCTCCGCCGGCCCGCAAACCCGCCACGCGCAAGGACCGCCGCATCACCAGGAAGGGCAAAGAGCTGCAGCGTAAACACCTGCGCGAGAACCAGACGGTCGTGCGATGGATGCCGGACGGGAACGGGTTCTTGGTCTCCAAGGCGTTCAACGTGCGGGTTTTGGGCATGGATAGGATGCTGACGGTTACGGTGCCGGTGTCGTGGAGGGGGGTTGGGGGCGTGGTTGTGCTGGGGGCGGTGGTGTTGGGTTATTTGGGTTTTGGACGGGGGTTTAGTTGATTTATGGATTGGTGGGTTGTGGATGATGTACTACTACGGGACATGTACGAGGATAATTGTACATATGAAAACTCATTCATTCCCAAGATTATGTAGACCAGCGTTAACCGTTGACCGTCCGATCGAGATATAATACATTCAATTCAACGCAGGCCATTCTCATAAGGGTATTAACGTATTAGATATAACCACTGTACAGTCTCCTTTTCTTTGCTTTGTTGTTCCACTCCGATCAGATCAGAGTGACTTAGGCAACAACACCCATCAGGGCCGAGCAGGCCAGCATGGCCAACAGACCGAGGCCGCTCTTGGAGATGGGCTGGCTCAGGGCAATGGCGGCGGAGTCGCTGCTGGTGGAGCTGGCGGAGCTGCCGGTGGACGTGCCGGTGGAGGAAGAGTCGGAGTCGGAGTCGCCGGTCTTGGAGGGCACGGAGGCCGTGGCCGTCAGGGACGAGTTGCCGCCGCTGCAGAAGAACTCGCCGTCCTTGGCGCCCTGGTCGCGGAAGCAGTCGGTCAGGTCCCCGGCGGACTGCTCCTGCGCCAGACAGTACAGGCCGCAGCCGCTGTTGTACTCGGAGACCTTGGCGGGCTTGCAGCACTTGTCGAGGATGTCGGTGGCGTTGCCGGACTTGGGCAGACCGCAGGCAATGTCCTTGGTGGGGAGCTCCCAGATGGAGCCGGTGCAGGTGGCCGACGCGGAGGTCGCGGCGGAGGTGGTGGAGGCGACGGAGGTGGTGGCAGACATTGTGATGGTTGTTTGGTAGAAGTGATCGATTAGATTAGGATTATGGTAGTTGGTACGGGGTATGTAGAGGAGAGGATAGGAACGAAGGACTGATGGAGTGAATCGATGGAGAGAAGAAAAGAAAGAAAAGGAGGACGAGGAAAGGAGCTCCCATAAAACATGGGCTGACCTTCAAAGTCTGAAATCCTTTGCCCCACTCTATATTTATCCCTCACAATGCGCCTTGGCCGGGATGCCCCATTGGCCGTGGACTCCCCGCCGATCGGCATTGCTGTCTCACTTCCAGGATGTTGGAGTGACTTGGACGGAATACTCCGTTGAAGACTGCGTTGTTCAGTGGCTCACTACGGACTGTACAAGTAAGGGCCTTGGACTGGCTGCACTTCCCACTGCCCGACTGCCTGACTACGTCGACAGATCTATTAATAGGAAAGTATATGCTACCTGGTGCCTCACAGTATCTACCTGCCTGCGGGAGGTACCAGGTACTCTGTGGACCGATCCGATTGGCCGATCGGGTCCACCCCGTGACTCCATAAGGTTCGATTATCGAAATGAACAGTCATTAAAACATGGAATAAAATTCAAGATGAAATTGGAATGCCCTGTTTCGGTTTCATAATCTGTCTTACCCCATAACCTGCTGGCCCTAGTGCTGTACTCCATTCGCTTCCGCCACCGTGCATTACGCTGCATTAGCCGGCCCCTCCGACATATCATTTCGTAGCTCATACCATATCCTATCCGTCGTTTCGGTCCTTTTTTCGTCGGAATGCGTAGACAAAGCGACCAAAGAAAATCACCGACTCCCCCTGATCATCTTTGCCAACAGCGTCCTCGCCCTGCTCTCTCCCCCCTCAAACGCCCACCTCGCCACCCCCTGCGCGGCATTCGCATGCTTCTGCGAAAATATCGGCCCTCCCCACCCCTGCGCCCGGCACAATCCCACCGCCCGCTGCAGCAGCTCCCGTCCCACTCCTTCGCCGCGATAGCGTCGCTGCACCGTCCACGCCCGGATCACGCCCACGGGGAAACACATCTCCTGGCCGCGCACGAAGTGCCTTGCCCCGCGAATATGCGGCTCGATGCCCGCCGACGTGTACACCGGCCGCAGGATCAGCACCCCGATGACCTCGTCGCCCAGCTTCGTGATGAGGATGTGATCGCACACGCCGTCGACGCGCCGTGCCCCTGCGCGGTGTCCCGATCCCTCGTAGAGCCATTTCCAGGTCCCCGTCCGCTCGGCGTGCTCGAGGTAGGAGGCGGTCAAGTATCGCACGGCCACGAGGCCTGCCATCACGCACCCGGCCCAGGTGAGGACGACGGCGGGCCAGTCGCTTTGGTTGCGCAAGAGGACTCGGTAGGTCAGCGTGAGGCAGACGGCGATGGTCGCGAGCCAGAATGGATGCAGGATGATTGCTTTGGCGGCTGTTTGGTGTTGCTGCGCGATGCTGTCGGCGATCAGGCGCAGTGAGGCGATCTTGTCGGTTTCCGTCTCGGCGACGGTGGATGTGAGAGGGCGAGGCTCTTTGGGAGGGGTCATTTTGAGGGTTCAATAGGGAGTCTGGTGGTAGTGATGTTGAAGTGCGTAGGTAGGAAGGTAGGTAGGTAGACCTACCTATGGGTTGGTTGTTTGGGTCGATGAGGTGTGGGTAGGCCTGAGAAACCAGGCCTCGACATCTTCTTCCTCTTCTTCTGTCGGAGTACCTGCAATACCTGCAATTATCCAGACTCATTCTAGTTCTACATGCCGGATTCACGATAGGGCTGAGTAGGGGCTCCCGGGTAAGCTTATTTAGTGCTTGTCAATCGCGTCAATCGCGTCAATCCTGACGATCGGTACTTCATTCGACATCGATCACCAATTATCTCCAACCGGATCCCAGCAAAAGTGGACATCTGGTGATGCCTCGTCCATGGTTCTTCCGAACGGACCTCGCCCATTGGGGTTATCGCCCGGATGAAAGTTGGAGTCAAGGATGTGGATGCCGATGTGGCACAATTACTCGACGTCCTGGCGCCACTCAATTCAATTCTGAATACTTGCTAACTGCCAGTGTCCTCGAGTCATACGGATACAAGTTAGATGTAACGACCTTCGACGTGATTTCTGCTGAGCAGCCCAGCATGTGAGTGGGAATCTAGATTTACCGCTGCCAGATCCGCCGTTCTCCAGGTTGATGTCACTATTATCATGGCCATCTCGCTCCCGGTGAACTGAGCTCACTCCACAAACCATGCAGACCGGTACACGTGGTGGAAACGACGGTTGTATCTCGTTTCCCCGGAGGGAGCTCCTTCCTTTCCCCAGACGGGGTGTTCGTCCATTGAGCCTGCTGCATCCGAACAGGTGACCGGTCCAAATTCACTGATTGGCCTTTTCCCGGTCAGTTGGGCTGTCGGTGGCTGCTCAACCGACAGAAAGATGGGCGAAAGCTTGGTAAAGCTTGGGAAGCTTGCGACTAGAATCTCGGCATGACGATGACATGTAACCCCATCATCTGTCCTCTCCACGTTCATATTTCTTCGACTCCCCGCATCTTTCCCTTTCTCTTCTTATCTCAGCTTCACGTCGCATTTGTCTCGGTTATAGTCAGTCGAGCAAACCCTTTCGATGACAACTACGCTCACCTCGGGCGGCAACGCCGTCTTTCCCAACTACAACAACGACTTCAGCCACGTCGAGGACCCCAATGAGCGCCGTCGTCTTGCCCTCGCGGAAATCGACAATGCGTCGTTCGGATGGCGCCACGCTCGTGCGGTTGTTGTGGCCGGCGTCGGCTTCTTCACTGACTCGTACGATATCTTCGCTATCAACCTCTGCTCTGCCATGCTGGGTGTCGTCTACTGGCAGGATTCAGCCTCGCGTCCTGGCAAAATCCCATATAATTCCGACACGGCCATCAAGGTCTCCACCTCGGGAGGCACGGTCCTCGGCCAGCTGTTCTTCGGATGGCTGGCTGATATGATAGGACGAAAGCGCATGTACGGATTTGAGCTGATCATCATCATCCTGGCCACTCTGGCGCAGTCTCTGGCTTCGGACTCACCCGGTCTCTCGATCACTGGTATTCTGGTCTTTTGGCGCGTCCTGATGGGAATCGGTATCGGTGGAGACTATCCGCTGTCGTCGATCATTACTTCCGAGTAAGTTTTCGTTGGGGTTGAGTGCATTGTTGAGCACTGTCCAATGCTGTCCAGATTCGCAACCACCAAATACAGAGGAGCCATGATGGCTGCCGTCTTTGCTATGCAGGGGTTCGGTCAGTTCGGCGCCGCGATCGTTGCCCTTATTGTGACATCTGGATTCAGAGGGTCGCTGGAATCCGCAGCCTCCGTCGGTAAGTGTTCGGGGGTGTGTCAGTTGGCCGTTGATAAAATGTGGCGCGTTGTCATTGGGTTCGGTGCCGTTCCTGCCTGCGTCGCCCTCTACTATCGGTTGACGATCCCCGAGACCCCTCGCTACACCTTTGACGTCGCCCGTGACATCATCAAAGCCAACGCGGACGTGCGTGCGTATATGGAAGGCCGCCATGAAGGACACCCAGACGAGGTGAAGCGCATTGCGGTGCTGCAGGACGAAAACATTGAACTGGTGACCCCGAAGGCAAGCTGGCCGGACTTCTGGGCTCATTACACCCAATGGAAGAATGGAAAGGTTCTTCTGGGCACTGCCGGCTCGTGGTTCTTCCTTGACGTGGGTGAGTTTTCGTCTCGGGAATATCCAAGGGAGTAAATCTAACAACCCAGCGTTCTACGGCCTCGGACTTAACAACTCGATTATCCTCAGTGCGATCGGCTGGACTGGAGGCAGCAACGTATATGAATACTTCTACCGCAACGCCGTCGGCAATCTGATCTTGATCTGCGCGGGCGCGATCCCCGGATACTGGATGACCGTAGCCACGGTGGACACCATGGGCCGGAAGCCCATCCAGCTTGGCGGGTTCGCCATTCTCACCATCGTCTTCATCGTCATCGGGTTCGCCTACGAGCCTCTGAAAAAGTCCAACAACGGTCTCTTGGGCCTCTACATTGTCGCGCAGTTTTTCTTCAACTTTGGCCCCAACGCAACCACCTTCATCGTCCCGGGCGAATGTTTTCCTACGCGTTATCGCTCGACCTCGCACGGGGTCAGCGCCGCTGCTGGAAAGGTCGGCGCGATCATTGCGCAGTGCGTCTTCGGACCGCTGGCGCATCGCGGCGCGCACGAGGGCAAGAGCTCCAGCGATACACCCTGGCTGAACCATGTCATGCAGATCTTCGCTCTCTTTATGCTCTGTGGCGGACTCACCTCGCTCCTCATCCCGGAGACGAAGCGCAAGACGTTGGAGTTTATGGCTGGGGAGAATCTGAGTTCCGGTTCTTCGTCTGTGGTCGAGGGTCCATCCGGCGATAACAACGATAAGAGCGAGACTCCGAAGACTGTTACTACTACTACCGGTGGAGTGCAGGTCTGATAGGATACATTGTGTGCTATCCGATGATGTGGCGTAATGAGATGTAGGTAATGGGGTTTGGTGCTGGCTGGCCATACCGTAGAGCTAGCTGGTCTGGCCTGCTCGAGTTAGGTGAGCTTCTGCTTTTTGATGCTTTTTTCGGAAAAGGTAGTTAATATTCATGTTGAAATAAAGCAACCTCGTCATGGTTACTGTTGAAAGTGCATAGTACATCCAGGTGTCGTAGTCCTGTGCAATCGACTTGCTACACAGATCTTTTCTTTTTCCTTTTTCAAGACCATATCGATACAATGGTCTACACCAGTGTAAATGCACACTATCAACTCCCACGGGGCGTAATGCAACAACTGAAAGTAAAAATAAAACAAAACATTATATAGATGTATCTGTATAGTATAAGTATAGGTAGGTATAGACAATGAATATCCTCTATCGCCACAAATGCACCGCTGAAAATCACCGAAAATCCCAAGACACATAATCCAAAAAGTGTCGATATCTGACCGCGTCTATCAAAAATAAAACCGCAATAAATGCAAATATAAATGCATGTAAATGTAAGTAAATAACTTTTCCAACATCCCCCCCTCAACAATCTCTATCGCGTCGGGTATATATTCAAATCATTTCCAATAAATGGAGGGGTATATGTATATGTATATGTATGCGTTTAGACGTATATGCGGATGAAATGGAAGAAAAGACGACACGAGGGGATTACCACCCGCGCTTCATCTTCCAGCGCATGATGAATGCCGCGAACGGGTAGAAGGCGATGGAGATGGCGATCCAGGTGAAGAGGATGCCGAAGTCGAGGCCGATGCGCGAGTGTTTGCCGAAGAGGATGGTGCGGAGAGCTTCGACGACTGTTTGTTTTCCATTGTTAGCATTTATTGCACGAGGGGGTAGAGGGGAAGGGAACAGGGACATACTCCGATGCAGCGGCCAGGCGTAGCCCCAGCGGAAGAACCCCGGCTCCAGATCGAGCGGGTAGAACCCCGTGGCGACGTTCGTGATGACCCAGAAGATGAGGAACATGGAGCTCCAGGGGAATCCGAGGACCATGGCCATGTTCTCGCAGGGGAAGCCGAGGGCCGTCATGCCGACCCAGTTGAGCATCCAGAAGACGACGAAGGAGCCGTGGCCATAGGCGTTGGGGTTTGCGGCGGAGACGGTGTCCGGGGCCGGGTCGTTGGAGAAGGGGATCTGGAAGGCCAGCGAGACGAGGGAGTAGAAGAGCGAGAGGAAGAAGTAGGCGGCGATGTTGGAGAGGATGCGCCAGGCGAGCCACTGACCGGTTTTGAGGGGCGGGTGGTTCCCCTTGATGAATTGCATGTGGACGGGCATGAGGAAGGGGAAGTTGAAGAAGGCGATGATGATCAGGTAGATGAGGCCGATGGTGACGGCGGGGGTTGCGACGGCGGGGGCGAACGGGCGGAGATCGATGGTGGTGAAGCCGATGGCTGGGTTGATGGCTTGCGGGACGCGGGAGATGTTACGCGACTCGCCAGCGACGGTCTGCACCCAGCGGGGGCCGAAGTCTGCCAGCACGGCTCGTTCCAGGGCATCGAGGGCCGGCGTAATGTAGGCCATGTATGTGTTTTCGTCGCGGGCGCTGATGATGACGAATTGGGCGGCGCCTGTCGGGTCGTAGGAGGCGTTTCCGTTGGAGACGGCGGAGCGCAGGAGGGCGGAGGCGTTGGCGTTCACGATCACGGCGGCGTAGGCGTGTTCGTCGTAGACGCCCTGTCGCACGGCCATCGGGTCGTAGTCGAAGTCGGCGGGCGATTTGACGGCGAAGCCCACGGTCTGGCTGTCGGAGTTGAGCATGGAGGACACCATGTCGGTCACGGCGGGTCCCACGATCGGATCCTGGTCCTGGTTCTGGTAGGGGTCAAGCTGGCCATCGAAGTCGACGACCCAGACGGGGAGATTCGGGAGGTGTTGCTGGACTTTGAATTGCGACGACCAGAACAGCGACAGGACGCAGATGACGAAAACACATAGTATAAGCACTGGTCGCTGTTGTTAGTGTTCAACTTTCCGGATGCGTTATCCACCACGGGCGGTTGCCATACCCATGCGAGCCCATTGGAGAGCCACCGTTCGTCGGACGCTTTTCAGGGCAGGATCAAAGAACGAGACCGAGGCGGGCGGCGCATCGATCTTCTTGCCCTCCTCGGCGGCGCCTACTTGTGTTTTCTCGCTGGTGTCGCTCATCGTGATGGCGATTAAGCTTTAAGCTTCGAGGATCGGCAGCGAACCGGAAGTGAGAGTGAAACGGTGTAACGCCAGGGACGAGAACTCAGGGCAGCCGAAGTCTTTAATAGAAATCCACGGATGGGGACTTTCACGAGGGCATGGCGTAATTAGTCAAACAAATGGGAAAAGAAAGAATGCCGTCAGAGTCTGATCGGAGAATTGTCTCTTTACGGCTTCCGGTTTATCTCCGCTTCGGTCTTCGGCCTTTGCACGACGCGGCTTACCTAATGGTACCTAATGTCGGCATTTCGTGCCGACTTCGTCAGGTACTGTACTTTGTTGTCTTTTCAGTAGTAGTCAATTCTTTTACTTGGTGAACCTGAATACTGACGCATTTGTCAGAATTGAAAACAGCCAACTCAACTCAATCTGGCCCACAGAATACTCGGTGACTTCAATGGAAGTGCAATCGGAGGAAGACCACTCCGTTCAAACGCCCCAGCGAGCGCCCTACAACTTCCTGTGGGGCCGACGGCGGCCGCCCACCGAAAGATTTCCGACGGACGGCGGCCTCACGTTCGTCGCCATCCGAAACCCCGTGCCCGTTCCGATCTTTATCTGATCGCTGTCTCAGCCACCCCGTCAATGGCTCACAAATAAATCAGCAGCGCCTCGGACGCTCGTATCCCAACTTCAGCCCGACCGTTCTCCACCGCGATCGTCTCGCGATCCTCCTCGCCTTCTAGCTCGCAGCTTCCGTCGCCAAAGGCCTGGCCCCCAATGCTGATGCCTTCCTGTCCGACGACCGTCGCTGCGTCGGCTGTCAGTCGCTTGGCAGACACGGTCGAGCTGGATGGGATTCCTGTGAGGGTGATGTTGATGCTGCTCCGGGTTCCAGACGCGTAGTAGTCCGAGTTGTACAACAGGACGCGGGTGGGGTGGCCGTCGCCATCGTAGATCGCGTACCCGGCATAGCGACTATCTCCGGCGTCGAGCTGCGTGATCTGCGATGCGCCGGACAGCGCCAACGCCGCCGTGTAGGCGCCGTAGAACGGGGCGTTGACGGAATCCTGCCACCAGCAGTATTGGCCTGTGGTGCGTCTCAGCGATCTGATTTGTGGGCCAGGGCCATGGGGCGGATGACTTACAGTTTCCGATCGTGCCTTGGTGGAAGAAGAGTTGCTATTGGACGTCAGTCTCTGCTTTGACGACACGTGGACGGGCAAACCCACCTGGATCCCTTTCATCGTCGACTGCATGATATAGTCTAGAATCCAGAGCCCGGCGCCATATGTCGGGCTGATCCCGCCGCCTCCTTGCGTGGCTGAAACATCTGTCAGCGTTGTCGAAGCAGGGCATGAAACATGGCTTACCGGAGTTGGTTTCTCCCATGATGAAGTCTAGATTCAGCTGCTGCGCCGCTGCAACCTGCGACTCAAAGGTAGCGACCCCGTCGACAATATCCGCGTGGTCGATCAATCGGCTCAGATTGGCGTTGGACGAGGACTGCGGGTAAAAATGATGGCAGAAAGAGCGCACATAGCCCGTGGAGCCAGTTTCCTCTTCTTTGGCTGCCAGGTTCTCCGCGGTGAATGACTCCGTGTCGAAGAATACGCCAGCCTGAACGAAGGATTGCTTGTTGTCCAGACCCTCGCTGACGGATGTCTGCCAGGAGACCTGCGATGCGGCGTCCGCTGCAGCCGTCCAAGCTTCTCCGTGGGCGATGGGGTCGCTTGATTTGAAGACTGAACCGTTAGGACTCGTTCGGATGAGTGTGGTTTGGCTTACAGTTTGGTTCGTTGCCCAGCTCGATCGCATATAAATTGCCCACCTTCGACTGGACAACCTTGGCTGCAGCGATAGTGTTCTCGACGTCGTCCAGTCGTCGGTTGAGTCCTACGACCCATTTAGTGTTCCTCCTATTGAATCAGTTCTATGGATGGTGGTACCAATCGTAACCTCGCCCTCGTACGAGCCCGCCAACTCCATAAACCGGTCCCCGAAGGTAAGAGAGTCTGGTGCGTCGTCGGGCGAATCAACCGTGTAGTCCACAGCGGACTGCAGAGAAGCGTCGTATAAAGCACGATCCCTTGTATGGTAAGCATATAGCAGCAATGAACACGGTGATTTCTCACTGTGTCGTCCCGCCAATTCGGATTGGCGGTTTTGCTCCCAGCACGTCTTCGAGAGTGGCGAGACATGCGTTTGTCAGTGGAAGCTTTTCGATGTAGTCCGGGAACGCGAAAAATTCAATCCTGAAGAATTAGCGATGGAACACGATTCCTTGGGAGATACCTACGAAACGCCCACTGGGGTCGGATCGATCTTGTTCCCCCCGGCAGGAGGAGACGAGGGTATTTCGAACGTGAGGGCGTTGGTCCATTTGGCAGATATTAAGAGCAGGGGAGCTATTAAAGAGCGCATGTTGGGTACCGTTGGTTCGAGTGATTCTTCCTGTTCTTGTCGATGTATACTAATTCTCTACAGAGTGTATACTGCCCAACCCGCAGGGGTTTATTTATGTAACGCTGAGGACAGGAGCTTAGCGATGCTCCCATCGGCTAGTAAATAACCGAGTTATCCTCGTTTGGCTTCATTCAAAAGGCACACCGACGTCATCGTGGACCGAGATTTGTTCTATGCCAATCGATTTGAGACCTCGTCGAGTCTGTTTGTCTTGGTGAACTCTACATCCCATCAGTCGGAGTCGACCGTCTAGCGCCGTCGATCAGGCGGGGATCGACCGGCGGGGATGCGGAGAGTCCGAGACGAACATGCGAGTTATTCCACCAAACATTATCTTCGATGCGGATGGATAGATAGAGAAGGTATCGAGTTGCGGCGGTCGCATGTTGGAAAATGTGCTGGATGATGAATTTCCCGCAATCATACCACTCCGCACTAATTAGGGCTATTCTATCTTGCCATCTTGACAAGGTCGTTTGTCACACTCAAAATGACATCCCCAATCATTCACATCCTAGGAGATGACCCTCATACGACACACCGGCTGAACGCATGTGCCTACCAACAGTCCGCCATAACCACTTTTAATGGGTGGCAGTATGTCGCATTCTATACATCGAGCCCAACAGCCGCCCGGCGCGTCACCCTTGCTCGCCGGGCCCTTCAAACCCAGTCCTGGCAATATCTAACCTTCAACGACTACGAGCAAACAACAGATGACGGCCATAATACCATCTCGATCGGGATCTGCCCCGGAGATGCCACCATCCACCTCTCGTTCGACCATCACTGCGACGTCCTGAAATATCGAATCTCTCGACTCGGTCTCGCCGCCGACACAGACGAGTCTAGCTGGGTAGGCGACAATTTCAGCCCGATCCAGAATCACCTCCCAGGGCAAGGTCCCAGTCCTCTGAAGGATGTCACTTATCCGCGGTTCCTCCCTGCAGGGCGGGATCTTTATTTCGAATGTCGGATTGGGAAGTAAGTTTACGTCTCTCTTCTAAACAGATATCGTGCATTAACAAAGCCCTAGAGCCGGTGCTGGCTCGGATATCCTTCATCGCTACACCCCAGCAACAGCACAATTCACGTCCCTGGGAACCTACCTCGTAGGCCATCGATGCAATCCCTACCCCAACGGAATATCCTTCCATCCAGAAACCGCCGCTCTCCACGTCACCTGGACAAACCGCCACTTCATCGACTACGACGGCGCAGACGACCAAGACTCCACGGCGCATAAAGCGCAAGCTGGACCCAACGGGCCCGAGAACAACGAGGGGCTCTATCACTCGTATAGCACTGACGGTGGAGCTACATGGCTTAATTCAGCCGGGGGATTAGTGGCATCGCTATCCCCCGAGACAACGACTGGGTTGGATTCTCAGGATGCGCGGCTCCGAGTGAAGATTATTCCGCGCGACAGTGGCATTATGAACCAGGAAGCTCAGTACATTGATTCCCATGGTGGTGTGCATGTGTTGAACCGTGAGAATACGTCCGGACGGGAGATGTGGGTTCATTATTATCGGGATCCCGGGGTGGGTGGGTGGTCGTTCTATGCGGTTCCTGGCGTCTTTCCGACTGCCACGGGGCCGAGGGGGAAGGTTGTTTACTGTGGGCGGTCGAATGTGGTTTATTTGGTTCTTCCGGGGAATACGCAGGATGGGTTGATTATTGCGAGAATGAGTGGCCTGCAGTCTTTGGACCGGGAGTTTGAAGTAGTCTGGCGGAGGAGAGGGTATGTAGGAGAGCCGTTGGTGGATGAGGAGGCTTTCTTACATTTTGGCATCTTGTCTGTCTTTACTATGTTGGAGAAAGACCCTGCGGAGAGGAGGATTGCTGTATTGCAATTCGACGTGGACGAGTTGGCAAAATAATCAACTCAGGCAAAACCAGTCATTTGTGTCTGAACATAGCGCAATCGAATATGAAAGAAATACAGTTCTTATCCAAGAAAGCCAATTCCCTCACGCGTGCTTATTTTCCCGCTGAAGCCACCGCAGCCCTAGGAGCGGAATTTCCACCAACAGCAAACCCCCGATCATTCTCCCAAACACCCATGTATGGTCGATCATTAGTCTCGGACTCTGTTGGCCCGAATGTCTCGCAAACCCATTCGCCTATACCCCACATTTCCCCGTCTTTCATGTGCTGGTACTTTCGTCTGTCCTGGGGATCGTCATCGTCGGTGTTCTGGTCATAATAAAGAACATCACCCCGTCGCGCCTTTTTCTTCTTCATTCCATTGCAGGTTCAGCTGAAGAAGCCCATAATGCCGATTACTGCGGATAAATCGGTCGACCGGCAAGCGTTGGAGAATACCACGCTGACGACTAACAAGCAAGGGCCGTGGTGGAAAGATGCCGGCCTGTGCAAGTTGAACTTCATGCTCTTTTTTCTGATGTTTAGCGAGTTCACACAGGGCTATGATGCGTCGTTGATCAATAATGTTCAGCAGTTGAAGGTCTGGCAGAATGGTATGCTGTGCTGTTAACTTCCTGGTATGCGCTGGCTAAGGGACCTAGATTTCAACCACCCTCATGGGAGTCTCCTCGGTGCGATGAGCGCTATGTACTGGATCGGTAAAGCATTCGCAGACATCGTTGTGTATGGATTCTAACAATGGTAGGAAATATCGTCGGCGTGGTGTTCATCTCTAGTGTCTCGGACAGACTCGGTCGACGGTGGTGTCTTCTCTTCGGCGCCATTCTGTGTCTCGCGGGAACAGGCCTCGCTACGGGAGCCTCGAATGCCGGTCTTTTCATCGCCGGTCGTCTTCTCCTGGGTCTAGGTGGAGTGGTTGTCGCTGCTATCGGCCCCGTCTGGATGGGCGAGTTGGCCTACCCTGATCATCGAGCGACGGCTACGGCCATGTCCAATACCACTTATAGTGCAGGTGCTATTCTTTCCGCTTGGGTGACATTTGGATCGTTTCGGATGACCAGTGCCTGGTATGTATAGCCTGGTTGAAGCTTACAGGCCGAAGGTCTAACCCAAGGATCATGGTAGGGCATGGCGAATCCCCACCGTCTTCCAGGCTCTTCCGTCTGTGATCCAGGCCATCGGATCGTTTATACTTCCTGAGCAAGTCTTCCGCCGTATGACACAGAATGCATCTAACGCAAGCAGATCCCCCCGCTGGCTCATCAGCAAAGGCCGCGAAGACGCCGCCCTCCAGATCCTCGTCAAATACCACGGCAACGGCAACCCCGACGACCCCGTCGTTCAGTTCGAGTTCCAGGAAATGAAAGAAACCATCGAGCTCGAGATCGCGGCCAACAATACCTCGTGGAGCGCGCTGTTCAACTCGCGCGGTAACCGCTGGCGATCGTTCATTCTCGTCTGGTGCGGTACGTAGCCCCCCTAGTATTCTCCCATAGCTACATCCTTCGCTAGTCAGTAGTCTAACCCGCCAACCGCCCAGGAGTTTGCAAACAATGGTCCGGCAACGGCCTCGTCAGCTACTACCTCGGCAGCATGCTCAAGTCCGCCGGCATCACGCGCGAAATCGAAACCACCCTGATCACCGCCACCAGCCAGATGTTCAGCTTCGCGTGCTCACTCGCCTTCGCCTTCCTGCCGGGCCGCGTCGGTCGTCGACCCCTGCTGCTCTGGTCCATGGCGCTCATGTGGGTCGTCTTTGCGCTGATCACGGCCTGCACGGGCGTCTATGTCGAGACCGACAGTCAGCCCGCTTCGTATGCCACTGTCGCGTTTATCTATTTGTATAGTGGGGTGCATAATATTGGGTGGACGGGCGCGATGATGTTGTATGGTATGTTCTTTGGGTTTAGGTCATCGACGCCTGTTGTGGTGGTCGTTGAGTTCCTTTACCTGGTGTGGGTATAGCTGACTGGTTGTGAAGTGGTTGAAATCCTGCCCTACTCGATGCGTTCAAAGGGTATTGCGCTGTTCTGGCTCGTTACGGGCGCGACGGGTGCGTTCAACACGTACGTCAATCCGATCGGGATCGATGCGTTTGCGTGGAAGTATTATTTCTTCTATGTGGGGTGGATTATCGTGCAGTTTGTCGTGGTGTATTTGTTTTTCATTGAGGTGAGTGTTTTTATTCCTGTTCTAGTGGCTCGGTTCGTGATGGTGCTGAGGGGACGATGCTGATTTATCTAGACCAAAGGGCCGAGTCTCGAGCAGATTGCGCTGCTCTTCGATGGGAAAGATGCCGTCGTTGGTCATGTTAATCCGGTGGCGGAGGAGTTCTTGGATGAGAAGAGGACGGGCGAAGGGAAGATGGAGACGAGGGAGATTGAGGTTGCGAGGTAAACTGGGTTTATTGTGTGAATGGATGGATGGTCTATTTTTCGTTGCGATTTCTGTATGCGTTCTCTTATGCGGTGGAATTAGTTACTCTCTACCACGCTCTCGATAATTTGGATTAATTCCTCGGGCCGACTGAGAAACGGACAATGGCCTGCTTGTATTGTCGTCGTTGCCAGTCGTGCTCCATTCTCCATCGCATCTTTAACCATGCCCTCCTGCAATCCTATCCTGATCGCCAAATCCTTCGCACAGTGCACGTATAGGCAGGGAATGTCTTTCCACGGAGCATGCGTCATTACGCCCATGGCAGCCGCCAAATTGTGCGTCACGTTGTCTCTCGCCAGGCACTCTGCTTTCTCCCGTTCGATGTCATTGTAGAATGAGTCTGGCGCGTTCTTTGCAAATACAGTGCCGTCGTTGTTGTTCCCCAGGTCGACTTGGCACTGTAAACCGTATTTTTCTATCACAGAGGACAGTGTTGATCCGGGTTGAATTAGCCACGCAGATAGGTAGACGATGTGGGATACCCCCTTCGGTTTTTCCTTGGTGTTGATGTATAGGTCTGGAGTGATGGCCTCTGAGGCCACGATTCCCCCGTACGAGTGAGATAGGACGAGGATCGTATGGTCATCTGCCATCAGCTCTTCTGCTGCTGATCGCACCGCCGCGACGTCATCGGCTAATAGCGCCTGTGGGGGCCGAGTGTCACCGCAAGTCGGCAGACGCGGACATCGCACTGTAAACCCGCGCTGGGAGAGTGAGTGGCTAAAAGCATCCCAGGCTGGCGGGAGGAAGTAGGCGCCGTGAACAATGAGGACAGCATTGGGCTTTAGAGATGGCATTCTGACAGTGGCTGGATGCGTACTCGGTTGATCTTGGTGGTGGTGTTATATGAACCTAAGCTGGTGGATCCTAGTCTCGTGCCGGTAGTGTTGTGAACCAGGAGTTGGCACAGAATACGATGTTATTGGCTATATCGTCAGGCTGGCTCTCATTGCAGGATCAGCTGGTAAGTCCTGTATTCGGAAAATTCGCGGCGATCAGGGTTGATCAGTCGCCCCTTTATTCTCCAACCATTTTACCATATTTACATCTCCTTTCTCAATGGCCTCTTGTAAGGCACAGTAGCCGTGCTTTTGAATATCGAGTCCGTTTTCTTCCAAAAAGAACACGGTAGATCTGTCTCCTCTGGTCACTGCCGATCTCAAAACATCGGAGAGTTCCAAGCAGAGCGCCCGTCCCAGTAGACTCCGGACCATGCGGTATTGATGCTTTTCGCAGGCCAGCTGGAGAGCACATCGCTGGGAGTTGCAAAAAGCACCTCTCGCAAGTAGAACATCCACGAGATCCTGGTGGTCGTTGGCAACCGCAGCATAGAGCGCATTGCGCTTGCCATGTTGGTAGTTCACGTTAACACATCGCGCGATGAACAGTTGAACAACCTCCATTCGACCATGTGCTACTGCATCGGTAAACGCATTTTGAATGACGAGGATGTCTTCCTTTTCGTACCCCATCCGATACAGGGTAGATTGGTAGTAGTGCTCTCCGTATATTTCCTTTTCCTCTTCAGTCAGGGGAGTTGGGCGATGGAATCTATCGTTAAGCCTTTGTGGAACCGGTCGAGCGTTGATGTTCACTTGTAGCATGTCTTTCAGAATATTTGACACGGGCGCTGGGTTCCCGCTGATTGCGGCGCAAGAAAGAAGCGAGTCGTGGCGCTCGGGAATGTCGTATATCTGGAAGATGTTCTTCAGCAGATTGTACAGATGTTTATTTGCCTGCAAAAATGCTGTGATGTCGTTGCGGCAGCATAATTCCCTGGCGATAGAGACCAGTAATTCGTTGGGTATTTGAAGGAGGGGCATTTTGAGTTGATGTGATGTGTGCTTTGTGAGATGGAAGAGGAACCTGCAGCGCTAAAGTTATAGGATTGGCTGGCCGCTTCAACGCCAAGATTCTCTCATTGCATAAGTAATCAAAGCCTTACATTGCATGATTAAGTATCAGTCTGTATTACAAGGAATTCATATCACTTGCACAATCCTCCTGCCTTTCATCTATCCCAAAGACATCGATATGCCAAGGTATCATGACGGATGATTTCTCGGTTTCCAGCTTCGAGCTCAACAAGTACTATGCATCTCAAATCTGTTCATCAGGCAAATCCCTCTCACTGGCTTCTGGACGTTCACTCGCAGCCCCACTGGATCCATTAAACACACTAGCGCGCATGAGCCTTGCCCGCTGTCGAGCTCTCTGGGCTCGGAGATTATTCTCGTGAGTCTCGGTAGCAGGAGGATCACTGCGGAGAAAAGGCGAAGTATTCCGGCAATGAATACAGTGGCGTACGTCCCCATGCCAGAGAAAGCACGCACGATACTCATCCCTAGTCGGAGGTTGAGGCTGCGCGGAATTGGACTGCGTGTAGTTAGGAGATCTCCATTCCGTCGAAGCATATGGGGAAATGAAGCGTTCCATTGCCAAGCGTCTCCTCGCATTGTTCCTTTCAGGCCCTGTAGTATCTTCTCCATTATTTCCAGAGTCATGATGGCGTCTGTTCCAGCTGCGTCGAGTCTCTTCGAGCACATCGGTCATCGGGCGGAAGAGTGATCTGGCCAAATCCTCAACCCGTCTGCGCTGTGGACTGAAATCTTCTGAGACCATCTCACGGTCGATTTCATCCTGAAGTGAAGCCTGGTGGCGTTCTATTTCGGCTTTGATCTGAGCATCATCGGGTGCACCTTCGGCCTGGTTTTGGGCCTTGGACTCGGCTGTGGGTAGGGGGTCGGGGAGTCTGATGCCCATGACGACAGATCGCGGTTTTTTATCGAGCTGTATCACCGTCTTTGTCAGTATGTTTAAGCAGGGATCAGTCTAGGACTTACCTTAGAGAGTTAGGATTGGTCGCATTTGTTTGGGAGAATGGGACAGGAATTGGCTGCTGGAGAGATAAGCAGCAACTTGAAAGGAGGAAAAGCTAAAGAGCGACTAGAAGACAAGGATAGATAGCAAGTGGAAGGCCAGGAGGAAGAACAACTGGAAGGTAAAGGTGAGAGTAGAGGGGTCATGTGAGTAAGGCCTGGCATTCACTGCTCAGGCCACCTTCGCTTCACTTCACTCAATTCCCATCTACTTTTATGTCAAAGTCAACGCGTGGCTCTTTCACCTCGAACTACGTACTACTGGGATTATCAAAATTATGACATTGTCCGATCTTTCATAGGCTCTTGGCTTGATTCGAGGCTTATATACTTCTCTCACTGCTCGAAGATCTGCCATCCTACCATTTCATCCGGCGAAGGTCGTTCCAACCACATCAGTGGACTTTCCATCATTCAGTCTGAGTACTTTTGACGGTCAAATATTTACCCATGAAAAAGAGCTGGAGATGCCTAGGCTAGCTCCTTGAATAGGACATTCGGTATGTCCCTTTCCAATATCCTCATTGGCTAGTTTCACGTATAAGCAAGACGTTCAGGATATGAGGCAGGGTACTGACGCAGTTGAACAGAGCATTCATTCTCATGTTGATGAAGCATTTGAACGGCATTGTCTCCTTGCAGAAGTGTTGAAAGATTTCCTTCCCAATCAAATCATTCCCCGACTCTAAAGTGTCTGAGAGGATGGAGTGCACAGCAGCCCATCCCTCGGGGTTATTTTCTAAACCAAAAGCGTAAAGCATGAAACCAATATTGTTTTGTATCAACGCATGATGCATTCTGTTCCACAACATTGGGAGTTCTTCGGTGGAAACATTGTCAAATTTGCTGATGTCAAATCCCTGCTCCTTGAGTGAAGACCCATGCAACCTCACCCCGGATAGGTCTCGGATTGCGAACCCTTTAATTGACTTGGTCTTGCGGCAGAGGCGCACGATTGTATTCTGCGCATGGAACTCGCAACCTATTCCGTGACGTCGGAGAGGGTCTAGCGCCAAGGGAAGAAGACATGAGATATAGCTAGATCCGTTCGTGTCAGTCTATAATACTATCACACACTTCGGGACGAAAATTGCAGACCCTTTGAACCATTCTATCTTACGTTCCGCCGTTTTCAAGTCGAATAATATTTCAGCATATGTCGCCTCGCCATTACCCGGTTTTTCCATCAACGCAGAAACAAGAATCAAGCTCTCGTCATTTCGTTCGGCTCTGACCTCGAGGCTCTCCCTTAGCACGCAGGTCAAATGTCGAGCTTCACTTACGTCTTCCTGGCTGCCGGTTATGGCCGCGACCTCTCCGAATATCCACAGGTCGGACGGAAGTAGCTTCCGAAGTACATAGGTCATGTCTACAGCAAGAGCTGCAGCCCAGCATGCCAAAGCCCGGAATCCTGATGTTATCAGGCAAGCAAGAGAGAATTTCTCCAGCTCAAAACCTGAGACAGACACAGTTCGTATAGAGGTCTGGGCCTTGGCGCAATGAGGGACTGATTTTATTACTTTTGCTTCCGGAAAGAACCTCTGGACAGCGGGGAGTTGTTGCAAAAGGCATGGCACGATGATACTTTTGTCAGTGCTGATATCCTCAATTTCGAACAAGTCCCGAAGGGACTTTGTGAGGTATTCAAATGGCCCAAAGACTCGGACAGAGGATCGTGGGAGCATGACAAACGAGATGCCCGGATATATGATATCCGAAAGCTCAATCGGTCCCAGGAAATCTAATAACTTGTCTGCAAAGCACGTTCGGTGGAACTACATGTGTTATACCAGCCATAGTTAGCCTATGGCTGCAACTAGGGACTTGGTATACATACCGGATGAGTGGGATGGCCTGAAACGACCGACTGTTCCCATTCAATAAATGGGGAATTCAGGTTGAGCATTGGTTTCTTAGCCCCGTATTCCATCCATTTTTCTAATAGTTGACGTCTCCACTCAGCTCAGATCCACTATACATCCCAGAACGATCAGGATGGGTTTCGTACCTAACATGATTGCAGAATTCCGCAACTCGCTGACGATCGATTCTTTCATTTTCTCATTGCAGTCTAACCAAGAGGAGATGAAGTCGAAGATCGTGCCCGGATCATCATGTTTCACTTCCAGGTCTGCACTGTCCAGAATAACAGGTGCTATGAAGTCGTTTGGCCGCCCAAGAGAACGGTTCCTGTCACGTACACAAAGCAGTATTCGTCGGGTGGTATCGCCATCTTTTGAAATACAAGCTTCATATATCTCAGACTGACCGCAAGCACTAATAGTAAGTCTCGCCAGTTCCTCATTGATTAGCTGTGCAATCAGGCGCTTTGTCGTCTCTGCTTTGGCCTGAACACGGTAATCCGCAATGCGAGTCATTGTGTATTTCGGTATAAAGATGAAGTCTCGCTTAAAAGAATCGGTCCTTGCAAGATAGTTCTTCACGCGGTGTACGGCACACCTCGAAAGTCCTGACTAGCGAGTCTGTTCCTCCCTAGATAATCAGATATATCTGCTAGGGGGCCGGGAAATTACCTTCTGTTCAGTCACAGGACAAGGATTAAGGTCTGTTTCAACTATGTCAAGGTTACGCTGCATTTAAGCACGGCCCTTCTTGCAGTTATTACGACGCTGGCAGGTGCTCGTAATATGTGGCACATCTTGCGAATTGCAGACTTGCAGGACTATGCGAGGTGATATGTGCATGCAGCCTTAGCTCAGTTGTCCTGGTAATCAGATGTATCTCATCATAGCCCTTGAGAAAGAAGCTTACAGTTTAGTTCCCCAATGACGCGCTTATATCTATCCATGCAAGCTTATTTCCGCTAAGCTTAGCTCTCTCTTCTCCCGAAGCTGAGCTGGAAGTCTCAGGGGCGAATTTCTTGCAGTGCAGAATTCCTCAGCATGATATCCGTCCTACTATTGGCTCGAGTCTACTTGATATCCTTTCAGCGATGGGCTTACTGGTCTTCAGAAGGCAATCTCAAAGCTAACTGCGGTTGACTCGCTACTCTCTCGTATAGCCTCTTCGGTTGAGACTGAAATGGTTGTTTCTTCGCCTGCATACTAAATCTTGTTCCAGGCACAAGCAATCTCTTCAAAGCTTAAAAGACAATCTTATCAGCTGAGTATCACCCCTTGCATGTAGAAGCCTATTCTGAGTCTTCAAGTGTTAAACAAACAGGCTTTCTTCATCTCTCAACTTTGTTTGTTACATGCAAAATAGGCCAGTCACTCGCATATTGTTGCACAGACCAGGCTGGTTTAAAAGCCAATTAGCTCTATCGAGCATTGTCTATTCCTCAAAGGTGCCATCTTGCCGAAACGCGTAATACATTTAACTCCAGTCTCTTCAAAATGGCTTGGAAGGTATGGGTTCTTCTATATGCAGCCCTCTTCGAATTAAGGCCAATCTTTCCAAATGAGAGTAAGCCTGTGCTATAATGGCGTGATCATTGAACAAATTATTTACTACAGCTTGTTTGTTATGAACAGAACCACAGTATCTGCACTGAGGTGCGACAGATTCCATTGCCCAAGCAATTTTCATCTCTGAGTGTGAGTTCCTCGGACAATTTTGACGGACGATCACAACCGGAGCCCTTCATTGCCGGCTTCTGGCATTCTGCTACCGGAGGATTAATTGCAAGACAGACTAGCAGTCGGTCTAGAAAGTGAACTGCTACCCAAGTCTATCTCACCTATAAAACCGCATTTTAAACCCGGCTAGGACAAATACTTCGTGTCACAACGGACTGCGAGTCTACAACCGGTCCCTAGCTGTCGAGATAGCGCCCTTTGCAGTTCTTTTAAGGAATTGAAACATGAGAAAAACCGGCTATACGCGCTCTAACTTGAAGAAAACTTGTCCTTACCTTCCCCGAGGCATTTCGAATAACACTGGTGTCCATTTTGCAAATTCGGGCTCACTCATTTCGCTCATGCTCTGTTATAGACCAGGCATGCTCACCAGTTTGTCCAAATCCGGTCGAGAATGAAACCCAAATATTTGGACCCAGGGGCCTCTATCAGTGCATTATCAAATCAGTGCAAAGACTTAAGCTTGCCTAGCCCCCTCGAGCACGCTTTGACACTTTTTCTGTCCGGTTTGAGTTTCATCATCCGTCCCATCGGATATACCACGGACCTCATCCTTTAGATATTATTTGTCGCCACAGCATTCTGGCCCAACTCTTGTCATGGACATGGTATTCGCTTTCTTCTGTCTCTATATTCATTCCGTCAGTCAAATTTATGAGCTTGTTGACTCAAAAACTTGATTACATCGAGTGTGATATCTTTAGGAGTAAGTCAGTTGTATGATGACATATCTCATGGCAATTTTAATACAGCCGAATCGATCAACTAGATTTGCAAACTCAGGAGACACGCGGATCAACTACAACCAATTAGAGATTTGCCGGCTGCTCAATGAACAAATCAGTACTCACTCTGACGTCTTGTCAAGTCATATGTCGTACATTTTGAAATTGCTAACGGACGCGTGCAAAAACCAAATCAAATAAATCCCTTCCTTTGCAGACTAGCAAAACTGATCCTCCCACCGCAGCAGCAGCAACTCCCACCCATTTCAGGAGCTCAATACGCATCCCCTGGTGAAATGATTTCTGGAGTGACTCGCGATCATTGATCCGTGGGAACGGCTCACTTGGGACCGGCTTTCCTAAGAACTTGCACAGAGGCTCCCATCCACTCCCTAATTCATATTCGAGCAGTTGCTCGGGTGGCGTAATCCTCCGCACAAGGTCATAATGCTCCCGGTATGTTCTTACCGCGTTGTCATTGATGTGCTCTATCGAGGTCCCACCAAAGAGTCCTTCTATCGATAATTTGAGGACCTCTCTGAACGGACTGAATCGCCAACGGTCAATCCTAAGCTTTCGATGTTAAGGTCTGTGGCTCAGATCTCTCCAATGTTATGCCCATGCTCAAGCACAATCTGTCTGACGTACCATGCTAGCCACACGATCTTCCTATCGTTCATTACAGTCCCCACAACGCTCATGAAGCTCTGTTTCCATGACTCCACGTCGCGCGAGACGAGAATCACTTTCGCGTCGGGGTACACTTCGCGCAGCTCTTCCGCGAAAGCAATACAGGGGATGTCAGATACCCCGTTGAAATTGCCAAGAAGGCGATCCCAGATTCTTCGCTCGCGATGGAAACTGTCGTTTCTATAGGAGAACTTGGCCCCGAGTAGATGACTCCAGAGCTGGAATTCAATGGGCAAGGAAACGAACATATCTGCCCCGTGGTAGCAGTTAATGCCAAGTATTCCAAGGGCTTTTTGCATTGCTATGTTGGAGATATGTTAGTTATGTTGTATAGTTGAGCTTAGCATAGTTTCGCTCTGGAGTCTGAGTTGAGGGATTACTGTAGCTTGGTTGAGGGAGAAAATATGCTCACACATGGTGCCAGTACGAGACATGGAAAGGTTTAGAACCTCCATCGGCACGGTTCTTTGTTTGCTCGTCATACTGGGATCCTACGAGCTCGGTCAGTACAGCTCCCTTGGCATTTTGATGGGGTGACGTACACTACTGGCTATCTTCTCCGCCATGGTATACGTTTGGAGGGCAAATGGATTATGTTCACCACCTTCTTTGGGACCATTCACTAGAGTCTGAGATGGATAGACTCATGACATCAAAATCAAGGGGCTGCGACATACATTGCAGGACTTTCACATTCACCGCCTGAAGTTCCGGTTGGTGCCACCTGATGATGCAAGGGGCTCAAGCCATGTATCTCTATTAGGGAATTTGCAAAAGAGTCTTCCTTTCGCATTCATGGTTCATCCTCATCAAATCCACGGGTCCTCTACCAGAGCGGGGGTCTCCGGTTGTTTATATAGCTTCGAGTCATGTGATGGTACCTGTATAGATCCTCTTACTTCTCGCGCAAAGACCCCTCTGTCTATATTTTTCCAATGCTTACCTGCAACCTGATGGCAGCTCCTCCTCGGTGACGCGAGGTCGCCAACAGATTACTACCATGTCGTTGGTCTTTGAAATATTTGGCTATTCGCCAACAATCGCCTTGGTTCTCTTCCTGTTGCTTCCTCTCTTAGCAGCCTATCTTTACACTCAACTTTACTATTACCGCTTTAAACAGCACGCATCATGGCCACAGCCGCAGCCATCCCTCCTCTGGGGTCATTTGAAAGTCATGCACCAGGCTATACAAGAGTGTCCTCCAGGCGCACATAGTGGTTTGTCAGACAATCCCCTTTCTACTCTAGACAGATGCTGAATTAAGGCGTACAGATGCTGCCCTGACAAAGATATGGGAAAGCTTGGGAAAGCCATCTGCATTCATACTCGACCTCCGGCCAGCTGAGCGCGTTCTCTGTATCGTAGCCAGTCATGAAGTTGCCGAGCAGTTCGTTCAGCCGTCGAAGCAATTTCCGTACAGCGTTAGTAAATCGCCGACCATGCAGCAATTTACAGACCTCATTGGTAAAGGGCCGATCATTACGCGCGAAGAGATGGAGTGGAAGATGCTTCGCAAAAGGTTCAACCCAGGGTTTGCGTTCCCTCATTTGATAGGCTTGCTGCCGGTCATTCTGGACAGGGTCTGGAGATTTATGGATCAGCTCGACGTTCGCGCTCAGTCTGGTGAAGTATTCAGATTCGGGGATCTGTGCAATTCTGTGACATATGAAATTATTTGTGAGTTTGGTTTTTCTATTCATCGAGTATGAACTAAACCGGTGTGATACAGGCGCAGTGACTTTGGGAGTCGATTTGAACAATCAGTCAGACGTGTCAAGGCAAAGCGAGATAGGACGTCTTTACTGGAAGCTTCTGTCAAGTTACCTCGATGGCGATAGCGCCATTTTCTGGACTGATCCACGCATTAAACGACGTCGGAAGGCTCTGGCGGCAAAATTGAATCCTCTCATCAAAACATACGTTGAGGAGAAATTCTTCGACTCCCACGGCAAACCTCTAACGGATGACACGGTCCGCATTTCAAAGACCATCGTCGGCCTTAGTCTGCGCGGAACCGAAGAACTGACCCCGGACATCTTAGACTCCACATGTGATCAAGTCAAAGTATTTCTCTTCGCTGGACAGGATACGACGAGCACTCTACTACAATGGGCAACATACGAGCTCAGTCGGACTCCACATGTCCTCAAGGCTCTTCACGCCGAGCTGGACAGGATCTTCGGGCCCAACTCAGGTCCCGGTGACATCCGCCAGAGGCTGATATCTGAAGGTGCAGTGGTCATTGGACAGATGTCGTATCTTTCTGCAATTATCAAAGAGACACTCCGGCTGCATCCACCAGGCGCAACGGCACGGATGGCTGCTCCCGGGTCCGGAGAATCGGTTCGACTGACGGACGGTCAACAGCTGTACATCGACGGGCTTATTATTTATAACTGTCTTTCTATGGTTCAACGCGATACACTCGTCTATGGTGAAACGAGAAATGATTTCATGCCAGAGCGCTGGTTGAACAAGACAGAAATGAGCTCGTTTCCAGCTACCGCATGGCGTCCATTCGAGCGTGGTCCCAGGTCTTGCATTGGTCAGGAGCTGGCCAATATTGAAGCGCGAGTCATCCTTGCCTGCATCGTGCGACGGTATGATTTCTCCAAGGTCGGCCTAGGGGAGACTGATTACTCGGCAAATGGTGAGCCGACTTTGAACAACAAAGGGCAGTATAAAGTGCTTTCGGAGCTTTATGATGTAAGTTTTCCATGATTGGTACTATTTTTGAGCTCGAGGAATGCTGACACGATGCACAACAGGCTAGGGAGGTGACCCTTAAGCCGGTAGATGGAATGAGGATGCGAGTCAAGTTCAGTCCAAAAGTCCACGAAGCATCTGCCTCAGAAAATGTGTATCGCAACTAGGGGAGCAACTTGCAGAAGATCTAGATACCTAAATCATACTGTCTGAAGCCATTTTGCAATCTGTCTAGCCCTCTGTGTACCTATGCACACCTAGGTTATTTGAAGTGCTCTGTTTGAGCAACATCCGTTCTGTCCAACAACAAATAACTTTGGGGTAAGATTTTTCACAGTAAAATGTAGACAAGTACTATCTTGGAAATATGAACTTAAAGCTGCTGCTACAAGACAGCAGTCTGTGGATGAAGCCATAACAAATAAATAAATACGGAGAATGGAATGCTCCGATCATTTCTCCATTCGGAAGGGATTGTTTGCACCCACATGACTAAGCTGCGCTAACTCATCACGTGCCCTGGATCTGCTAGAGTTTGCACTGTCTGTCCATCCTTCAAACGACGCAAACAGCGTCATACCAAACTATCGCATTTATCAACTTATCGCGACTTGCGCGACTCGACCTCGACAGGCTGTCGGAGGCGTTTGGCTTCCCCTCTACGTGCCAGCTTCTTTGGATCACGAGCTTCAGGGTCGCTTTTTATCGCTTGGAGCACCCAGCTAACCCAGAAGCTCTATCTTGTCCTTGATCTAGCAAGGGGAGGGCTGCGAGAAACGCGCGACTCCGCGAACAGCTATCTATAACCATTGCTTTTGAAATTTCACGCGATTTTTGCACTTTGCTCAGGAACCTGATCGAAATTTGTGCTAGGATTTGCGTCATTTGAATTACATATTGCAATTGGAGCTTGCTCAAGCCGCTGGCGCCATACTAATCATTATCCGCGGTCCGGTTAGGGGATCTACTTTCAAGCAACCACGCGATTTTCTATTCTTAATCGCCTCAATACGATTAACCCTGTTTCGCGTACGCATAATCATTCATACGGTCTCGCTGCAAGTTATTCAGGCGCCATCGCGCATCCTTAATTCGTGGCCATGACGTCTACATCCGCTCAGAATCAGCATCCTCCGTCAACTTCGGCCGCCGAATTCTCTCAAAACCAAACGGCTCCATCTACCGGAATCGATCCTAATTCGAACCTCGCGACAAGCGGATACGCGCCAAACGAGAACCAACTTGCCGGACTCGTCGAAGCAGCCACCGCGGCAGCTGGCCAGGATGTCTCCGAGTGGGCGGCCGCGGCCGCAGTCGCTGCAGCGGCAGGCGCAACAGGACACCAACACCATCTAGATGGATATGGACCCGATATACATATCGACGACGAAGGCTTTGGCGATTCAGGTTTCGGGACGAGTATGGGCAATGGAAGGCATTTGCGAGTGCCGGGGTCGGGTGCCCCGAACGACCAGGGCCAGTCCTCTGGCTTGTCCAGGAGTGTGTCAAAGAAGAGGAAAAGAGGCGACGATCCGCTAGATCCGGCATTAGCAGCATCCGGGGGTGGAATTGGTCATTCGGGAGGCCACGGCCAGCAGTCGCATCACCATCACTCTCATAGCTACGGTGGAGATGGTTTGGATATTCGAGCTGCGCCGCCGCAGTCGCTGTCCGATGCCCGCGCTGTCGGTCTGCATTCCGCCGCGGCTCTGTTCCGCCAGCCATCCAGCAATAAAAAGTATACGCGTCCACCAATGTCCAAACTTTTCACGTCCTTAGAACTCTCGCCCGAGAACTTCCTACATCTCCAAGCTGCAGCCAAGGGATACATGCTCGATGATGCGCACCCAGAGCGCCGGGAATGCGTCGGTCAGCGTGGAAAGGGCGACACGGAGATGGTGAAGCTGAGGCTTTGGAATTGCGTGCGCCATTTCTTGGAGGCCGAAGGCCACGGCGAGCGATTCTTTGGCGAGAATGTGGCCAACGAGGACATGGGCCCGAGGACCTACATTTGGCCCCGCGACCAACAGAAGATTATTTCGCTGGTCATCCCCCTGCTGAGGCGAATGGTCACCAATGAACGGCAACGGCAATATGCCGTCGAAACGCGAAAAGGTGGAACGGAGGAGCGCCGACGACGGAAGACGGAGGAAAGCCTTCAGAATTTCAACAGCGCCAGTCCTCCCAGATTCCCTGTGGAAGAGCAGTTGCAAATGCATGCGCAACCAAATCTCCCCGAAGGATACACATCCACACAAGCCCCAATGTCGGGAACGCAAACGATGCCATCCACCTCACAACAATTAGACATGGGGTTGACGGATCTGTTCCTGGATGGCTACACGACAGACTGGAATGAAATTGCCAAGTCATATGACTTGTACAATCAAAATTATGAACTGGACAATCTGTGGTATCTTTCAGGCCTTCAGCAGCCAGATTGGCGCGGACTAGTGGCTGCTGTTGACAGTCACTATCAAATCATCCACAACGGTGACTATGACTGTCCAACGCCCTGTGAGGATGAGAACGTTTGTCGTATACTAGAGGCAGATACCACATCTGACTTGCGGTGGCGAATTGGTGGCTCTCATAATCGGCCCGCCAGAAATGAATTGTACGCTTCATCCCCATCCCTGTCTTTGTATACATGAGACGAAACATACTGACTGAACTCTCCCTACAGTGCAAGCAGCATTACGCGAGATGTCTCGCGCATAATTCGCGACAGCCTAGCTGGCAAGCAACCGGAACATTCGTCTGGTGACGATCAAGCTCAGTCTCAACCCTTCCCGCCCCTTAGCTTCCCTCACATGGCAAACAACGAGCCCTCTGGAACGGCCGGTACTCAACCTCCCCTTTCTCTTCGGATCAATATCCTGCAAGGAGGGAAGCGTATTCTTCCCCGGTTCGACTTACCCGCGGGCCAGACCCGAGATCTCGAGACCCTCAAACAACTCATCACTCGTCGCTTCCCTGGACAATTACCAGGCCTTCCCTCCGAATCGGCCTTAGATCCCACCACAGGCAACTGGAACTCCTCTGTCCAGTGGAAGTTCAAGGTCTGGCTTCCTGGCGGACTCACTCCCGTGCAAAACGATGGTGAATGGACCATTGCTCTCCTGTCCGCTGGCAACGTCGACTGGATGGACGGGGATTTACGAGTCCTTGTCGAACTAGAGGGTGTCTAATGTACTCCCTTTTCATCTCGTTTTATTTTTTTTCTCATGTAGGTGTGTGTACGTGTGTCTGTTGTCTGCAAATCTCACCTCGGCGTTCTTCTAAATGGCTCTTCATTTTCTTGCTATGTATGGGTTCTTTTCTATGGTAAAAGCCTGCTGCACATAAGTTGTTCCCTTCTTCATTTCCCACGCACTCTACTATATTGGCATTTTTTCCTGTTCTATTTCTATTTGTTTCTTAGTTCCTCTTTTTCTTCAACCATACCCCTCTATACCAATTTCAGAAACGAAACTACCCTCCACGAGATACTATGCACGTGCATGTTGATTCAGCTGAAGGACTCAGGGAAAACCTAATCGGATACTTAGTTTAATCAGGTCTCTTAATGAGATGATTTATCACTGGATTTGTTTAAATCCCGCAGCTCAGTATGATCGGCATTTAGTTTACTCTTCAAGAGCGTGTTATTGGGACGGGTATTCACCCGCCTGACATTATATATAAATGTTACTGTGGGTCACCCGGGCCTTTTTAGGCACATGACCGCGCTTCTAGTTGCGATGATAGTTATGACAAACTATGGATTATTCTTCAAGTTCAATAAGTTGTGTCTGGCTAGTCTACATATTATTTTATTTTGTTTACTTTTCATGGCAATTTATTTAGGTTTGTTTTGGTGCTATTCGTGAACAGGGGCGCAAACTTAACACAATAGGGCTGACTATCTAGGAAGCTAGGTAGTAGGCAGGTACTACATAAGATCTCGAAATTATTGGTGAAGCTTAGAATAAGCGACCTTCCCTGTCCCGTGCACTAATTGTTTTAAGATTTAGTTTGATTTAGTATTGTACCTAAGATTATGTTCAAATAATAGTCTTAGTGATCAGCCCTATCGGGCCAGGGTGGTAGCCTACCTACCCAGTGGCTGTCAGATGGCCTGTCCATCCATGTTGTGGTGTAACCCTCGACCGTGAGGGTAACCTTTCTCGAATGTCTGTCTTAGACAAGTCTCCAAGGATCTGCTCCCTGCGTAGGCATAAAGATGGCATAGTCGCTCGTTGAAACGATCATTCGCCACATCTCAGCTGTAGATTGTCCTTCGGGTGACATTTTCGACACACTTTGTATTGAAAATATAGCTGTCGCTACCACCACGGTGCTTCTGACCAAAATGCTCGGTCAAGTCTCCGCTCGGATGACGGGTCAGGCCCTGTCTGCAACTGGACTCCTGGGAGAGGTCCTCCAAGCCGAATCGCAGAGCAGGTGAGAGTCGTGTAACGCAGTGTAGCACCTCCCTGATTCAGCCTTACGGACACCCTTGTATGTTTGCCCAGGCCAAAGGCGGAACCTTGCCTGAAGCTCTGTCGACAGATATACCGAAGAATTTGTATCGTTATCCGATTAACCCTCGGCAGGTGCAGCCCCCGTGTCGCTACCATCTCCATCAACCACATTTAGTCGCACTTTCTTGGCCCTGCGTTTCATTTCACGCTTAGAAAGAGGCTTCTCTGCTTCAACCGTCTCGGACCCCACAGATGCTTTCCTCTTCAGGCTGTCCGCATTACCCTGTGCCCCGGAGGCTTTTTTCTGTTTGGAGGCACTCTTCTGACCGTTTGCCGGGGTGTCAGATTTTGGTTTGGGCTTTTGCCCTCCATCAACAACGTCGACAATCCCGCGCCAGCTGGTCCGCTTCAGTTTGGCTAGAGCGGTCACTTTCCTGGCTTCCTCACAAATTGCCTCTTTCCCACGCTCCTGTGACAACCCCCAGACGCAAGCCAGATTGATCACATCCCATGGTGCCCGTACAGCCAAAGCTCTCCTGGCCTCGCTGGAGATGATAATGCCCCTCCCGCGTGTCGCCCGGATCAATGACATGGAGTTGCTGATAAGGTTGCGTCGAGCATCGGTACCGCTTCCCGTGATGCCAGGACCATAGCAAATCTCAATCCGAATTCCACGTGCGATAGCGGCAGAGAGCATTTTGAACTTAAAGTGGTAGGGTTGTCGGACCGAGAAATCCACGGAGATCACATCGCATTCCAGGTTGGTACAGGCATTCAACAGAGTCTTCTCATTGGTGGGTCGCAGTGCAACGAGATCATAGACTTGAGAAAGACTAGCGAGACGTTGGTTTTGCGCTGGGTCGGAGAGGGTCAGGTTCAAGCGGTTCAGCAGCGTCAGGCCCTGAGGCACGTTCTTGGGAGCAGGTGGGGGAGTAGGATTCGTAGGGAGCTTTCCGGTAACAGTCTGCGAGAGAGCCACAGTTGTGTAACCGACTGGATAGCAGGTCAGGTTAGTTCTTCATGTGGCCACCATAGCGCATGTACATCACTCCCGCGGGAGTCAGGTCGTGTGGCCGGAATTAAAGGCAATGACGTACGTTCTGCAAGAAAGCTTAATGTAGGAGAGATCTCGGGATCATCCGGGCTGTAGGGGACATTGAGGTCATAAAACATCTTGGCTGGGATAAAAGCCGCGGGGACGCGCTTCCTCGGTGTCTGCACGCTGAGTCGATCTGCTTTTTCTCGCCGGCGATCCAAGTTGCAGACCGAGAAAGGCAAGTAGAAAATCATCCCGGCGCATCAACTCGTTTCTCCGCTCCGAGGCCGGTCTAACCCGATCAGGACAGCACCTCGTCCGCCCGAGTCCCGTGACCGCAAAGGCGGAGCGAAACGCTCTGAGCCATTCTGATCATCACCTAATAGACATCTCTCGTCCCCATCGTTACTACTCCAGGGCGATAGCACGGCTGCACCGTTTGGACGACCTCACCTGCCCCTGGTCTTGCAGCTGTTGTTGTCTGTCCTCTCGGCTCAATTCTTCTGTCGCGACTCTCTTTTTCTTCTTCCCAGCCTTCCCTGCCCCCTCTCTACCCCGCCGCATTTTATCGTCGATATCCGATTGTGGGCTGACTCTGAGCCTGCTCTCCGGCCGCCATCATCATGGCGCGCGTCTATGCTGATGTCAACGAGCATATGCCTCGGTCGTACTGGGACTATGACAGCGTCAACATCTCCTGGGGCGTTCTGGAAAACTACGAGGTCGTTCGCAAGATCGGTAAGGCAAAAAAGCAGCATCCCTACCCTGTGGTTGCCAATGGCGTTCTTGTCGTGTGGTTCATGGCGTAGTGTGTTGTTCCGAAGACTGACAGTCATCATCCTAGGCCGCGGAAAGTACTCCGAAGTCTTCGAGGGCATCAATGTGGTCAATTACCAGAAGTGTGTCATCAAGGTCCTCAAACCGGTCAAGAAGAAGAAGATTAAGCGTGAGATCAAGATTCTTCAGAACCTAGCGGGAGGCCCCAACGTGGTGGCGCTGCTGGATGTGGTCCGCGATAGCCAGAGCAAGACCCCGAGCTTGGTCTTTGAATACGTGAACAACACCGATTTCCGGACGCTCTACCCGCGATTCTCCGACTATGATGTTCGTTTCTATGTTTATGAACTGTTGAAGGCCCTCGACTTTTGCCACAGCAAGGGTATTATGCACCGTGACGTGAAGCCTCACAACGTGATGATTGACCACGAAAAGCGGAAGGTTCGTGTTATCTCTGTTCTCGCGGTGTTAGACCGTTTTGCTAATGTGAGACTTAGCTTCGTCTTATCGACTGGGGTCTTGCCGAGTTCTACCACAAGGGCACAGAATACAATGTCCGAGTCGCCTCCCGATACTTCAAGGGCCCCGAGTTGCTTGTCGACTTCCAGGAATACGATTACTCGCTCGACATGTGGTCGTTGGGAGCAATGTTCGCATCCATGATCTTCCGCAAGGAGCCTTTCTTCCACGGAAACAGCAATTCGGATCAGCTGGTCAAGATTGCCAAGGTTCTCGGAACCGAAGAGCTCTTTGAATATCTCGACAAATACGAAATCGAGCTTGATCCCCAGTACGACGAAATCCTCTCCCGGTTCCCTCGCAAGGCCTGGCACTCGTTTGTCAATGCCGACAACCAGCGCTTCGTGAGTGAAGAGGCTATCGATTTCCTGGACAAGCTTTTGCGATATGACCACGCTGTATGTCTTTTTCCTCCTACCTACTCGTTTTTCGTATCCCACATACTGATCCCTGCCTGTAGGAACGACTTACCGCCCAGGAGGCTATGGCTCATCCTTATTTCGCTCCCATCCGGTCAGCTGAGACGCAGGCTAGAAACAACGTCGCCTGATTAGAAGGAAGAGTTTCTACGAGCACTGCTGTCGGGATTTAACGACACTCTTCTTCGCTCAGCGTGACCTTCCTGCAATTTGATATCCCCCAATCTGGTCCGAAATCTGAGTTCGTTCTGGCACTAAAACAGAAAAATTTGATATGAGACCAAATCACTATATGAAAAACGAAAAGATCAAAAAAAGAAGGATCAAGTGCATGCCATATGTTCCGTTATTCCACCTTGGCATGTACCGCAGAATACAACGTGGGAGCGATGAGTTATGGCGTATGGATGGGGAGACGACCATGATGACCAGATGACATACACCTAATATGTTTGGGCACCGAGCCCATCAGCTCGATCCTTTTGGCGTATCCAGCGAGTGAAATTACCAAATGAGGTTGACGCGATTCCTGTTCGATTTCTTTTCGTTCACTTTTCTCTGCATTCTTTCCTACCAACCCATCCATTTTGCTACACCATCACTTCCTCAGCTGTTGGATTGATATTCACGGGGTTTCCTTTTCTCTCACTCCACATGTCCTCCGCTCTCCTCTTTCTCCTCTCGAACCACATATCTATCTGCACGTCATCGGTAATTGATGCGTCATTGACCGGCGTGAGGGGCTACAGTTTGGTGCTTATATGATTCTCTCTGGGCTTTCGTTTCAATTAATGCATTGTGAATTTCACCCCTTCTCCTGGCCTTATCGTTATGCAGATCATATAGATGAAGTTTTCCTGCTACTAACATAGATGAGTATTCTCTGCCAGCCGGCGTGTGCGTAGAGCTTGGTATGTTTAGTGTTTATAGGTTGTATAGTAGATCGTCCGTGCAGTACAACCACGGGGGACGGGGCTGCTATCGGCATATCAGTCACGTGACATGACTCACTCGACTTCAATATTTTTGGCTGGAGAAACAAGTGGAAGTTCACCCGCCAGAGCCACAAACAGAATCTGGGCAGCCATGCTTGCAATTGAGGCCTGACACCGAGACTGGCACCAGTCATCCCGTTCCCTTCGAGTCATACGCGATCGCTCCTACTCCGACAGCCTCCAGCGACCTCCACCGCGACCCAAAGCTCCAATCATTCTCCACCGCCGGCCTCTCTCAGGGCCCCGCACCGCCAATTCTCTGATTCGTTCCATTCTTTGCTCTGCGCGCCAGGAAATTTAATTGCCCGCCGTGCGCACAACGACCCCTCCCCCTCCTTGCTCTCTATCGCCGTTGGAGTCACCGGTGGTCAAGATACTTATCCGGCAGTTCGTGGCGCGATCGGCGCCCTGGAGATTCACTCCTCCATTATCTCGATCATTTTCCAGGATGTCTGCTCCCCAGAATCCCGGTGAGTTGCTTCTTGCTTCTTGATTTCCTCCTCTTTTACTATGACTCAATGGTGTCGAAGTGTGGAAAATGGCGCAAATGGCTAACAGTGGTTCTGGTGCTTCTTTTTTAGCTGGCGAGCCCGCGGCTCCCAAGATTGATACTCCCCCTCAAGCCGATGAGCAAACGAGAAATCAGGACCCTTCTGCCGCCGCGCCTCCCAAGGTGAAATCCGAGAAAGAGTGTATGGACCCTCTCGTTCCCCGTGCCCCGTGCCCCCGCGGGGCCTAGACACGCCATGTTGGGGCCTGGTTGATGTGATCTGACACGTGCTTGATATCCTCTAGTGGAGCGTGAGCGAAAGAAGGCCGAGAAAGCGAAGAAGTTCGCCGAAAAGCAGGCTAAGGCTGCTGCGGCCAAGCCCGCCGCTCCCAAGGCGGACAAGAAGGCCGGCAAGATCGAGAAGGAGAAGACTTCCGATGCCTACGATCCCAAGATCATCGAGCCCGGTCGCCTCGAATGGTGGGAGGAGAAGGGCCTCTTCAAGCCCGAGTTCGGCCCCGACAACAAGGTCAAGCCTGAGGGCTACTTCGTCATCCCCATCCCTCCTCCCAACGTCACCGGTTCTCTTCACATGGGCCATGCCCTCACCAATGCCCTCCAGGACACCATGATCCGTTGGCAGCGGATGAAGGGTAAGACCACGCTGTGGCTTCCGGGTATGGACCACGCGGGTATCTCGACTCAAAGTGTGGTCGAGAAGATGCTCTGGAAGAAGGAAAAGAAGACCCGTCATGACCTTGGTCGTGCGGCCTTCACAGAGAGAGTGTGGGACTGGAAGCACGAGTACCACGCCAACATCAAGAATGCTCTGCGCAGAGTCGGTGGTTCGTTCGACTGGTCCCGTGAGGCTTTCACCATGGACCCCAACCTCTCCGCGGCCGTCACGGAGACCTTCGTTCGTCTGCACGAGGAGGGCATCATCTACCGTGCCAACCGTCTTGTCAACTGGTGTGTGGCTCTGAACACCTCTCTGTCTAACCTGGAGGTCGAGAACAAGGAAGTCGAGGGTCGCACCCTGCTCGACGTCCCCGGATACGAGAAGAAGGTCGAGTTCGGTGTCCTGACTCACTTCTGCTATGAGATGGATGGCACCAAGGAGAGAATCGAGATTGCCACCACTCGACCGGAAACCATGATCGGTGATAGCGGTATTGCCGTCCACCCCGACGACAAGCGCTACCAGCATTTGATTGGCAAGTTTGCCAAGCACCCCTTCGTGGACCGCCTGCTTCCCATCGTGGCCGATTCCGAGGTCGACCCCGAGTTCGGTACTGGTGCTGTCAAGATCACCCCGGCCCACGACTTCAACGATTTCAACCGCGGAAAGGCCCACAACCTTGAGTTCATCTCCGTGATGAACGACGACGGTACCTTCAACAAGAAGGGAGGTCCCTTCGCCGGCATGAAGCGCTTCGATGCCCGTTACAAGGTTATCGAGCTCCTGAAGGAGCAGGGTCTCTATGTGAAGTGGGAGCACAACCCCATGAAGATCCCGCGCTGTGCCAAGTCCAACGATGTTATCGAGCCCATCTTGAAGCCTCAGTGGTGGATGAAGATGGAGAGCCTTGCGGAGCCGGCCATCAAGGCTGTCGAGGATGGTGAAATTCTCATCCGCCCTGAATCCGCCTCGAAGAGCTACTTCCGCTGGATGCGCAACATCAACGACTGGTGTTTGTCCCGACAGCTCTGGTGGGGTCACCAGGCTCCCGCTTACTTCGTCAAGATTGAGGGTGACGACGGTGACAACAGTGACGGTAACCTGTGGGTTACCGGCCGTACCGAGGAGGAGGCCCAGAAGAAGGCCGAGGCTAAGTTCCCTGGCAAGAAGTTCGTTCTGGAGAGAGATCCCGATGTTCTTGACACGTGGTTCTCGTCTGGCCTGTGGCCCTTCTCTACCCTGGGCTGGCCTAACAAGACCCACGACCTGGAGAACTTGTACCCCACGTCCGTCCTGGAGACCGGCTGGGATATCCTCTTCTTCTGGGTTGCTAGAATGATCATGCTCGGCATTAAGATGACCGGCAAGGTCCCCTTCAAGGAGGTGTACTGCCACTCTTTGATCCGTGACTCCGAGGGCCGTAAGATGTCCAAGTCGCTGGGTAACGTCATTGATCCTTTGGACGTGATGGAGGGTATTGAACTCAATGACCTCCATGCCAAGCTGCTCCTTGGTAACCTGGCCGATAAGGAGGTCGCTACTGCTACCAAGTACCAGAAGAAGGCCTTCCCCAAGGGTATCCCTGAGTGTGGTGCCGACGCCCTGCGTTTTGCCCTTGTCTCTTACACCACCGGTGGTAAGTGATCACTATATTCCCTGATCGCCATTCGATAATTGTTTTTAACTCTTCCCAGGTGGCGATATCGCCTTTGACATCCAGGTTATTCACGCCTATCGCCGTTTCTGTAACAAGATCTACCAGGCCACCAAGTTCGTTCTTGGCAAGCTGGGCGACGACTTCAAGCCTCAGGCTACTCCTTCCAAGACTGGCCGGGAATCTCTCTCGGAACGCTGGATCTTGCACAAGTTCAACACCGCTGCTAAGGAGATGAACGATGCTCTGGAGCAGCGTGAGTTCTCCGTTGCCGCCATTGCCGTCTACCAGTACTGGTACAGCCAGCTTTGCGACGTGTTCATCGAGAACTCCAAGTCTCTCCTGAACCCTGACGCCCCTGCCGAAGTGCAGCAGTCCGCCAAGGAGACCCTCTACACCACTCTTGAGGGTGCCCTGACCATGATCCACCCCATCATGCCCTTCGTTACGGAACACCTCTGGCAGCGTCTGCCTCGCCGCGCTGGCGACAAGACCGTCTCCATCATGACGGCTCGCTACCCCGAATACCAGGCTGAGTTCGACGACACCGTCGCTGAGACCGCCTACGAGCTCATCCTGAACACCTCCAAGGCCGTCCGGTCCATCATCGCCCAGTACGAGCTCAAGGTCAAGGGCGACGTCATCATCCAGACCTACGATGCCACCAGCCACAAGACCATCTCGGACGAGATCGCTAGCATCAAGTCTCTGGGTGGCAAGTTCCTTGGCGAGCTCAGCGTGCAGGGCCCCGAGATCACCGACCGCCCGGCTGGCTGTGTCGTGACTCCTGTCGGTTCTTCCGCCGCCGTCTACCTCCGCGTTTCCAAGGAGGTGGCTCTTGAGCAGGAAGAGAAGGCCAAGGCCAGCCACTCGCGGTCCCAAGAGTTTGTGCGTCGTCAGCAGCAGCTTGTGGGCTCCCCCGCGTGGCAGGAGAAGGCCAGACCCGAGGTGCGTGAGTCGGAGGAGAAGAAGCTTCGGGATGCCCAGAGCGAGTTGGCTCGCCTGGAGGAGCAGATCCGTGAGTTTGAAAAGCTGCGGATAGAGTAGATTAAACGAGAGCCTTATATTTTTTTCTTTAGTTAAAATACAAAGATTTGTTTTTTCTTTTTTTTCTGCTGGGCAAATTTTCCCCAACCGGGAGTAGTTTGGGTTGGAGAATTCTGCGTATTTATTGACCGAGTGAGTCCATGCACATTTTAAGATTATTTAAAAGCACCACATTTCAACTCCCATCGAGAAGTGATTAATTCTGAATTCTCATACTGGAGAAAGTCGAGTGTTGATCCCCATTAAGCTTATCGATAAGCGGCGCCAAGACAAAATTTCCGCCAAAACTTTTCGCTCCGCTTTTTCTTTTTGGATTTTGCCAGTCCAGCAACCTCATCACATCTTTCTCTCCAGCGAGCAGACTGCCTTCGTCATGATGCTCAGAGAAGTGTAAGTGCCATATATCCCCCGGTCCAGCCTTTTATTATGTACAGTGTGATCAAGATGCAATTTGCTGACCCAGGCCCTTTTCTGCGACAGAAAACCCAAGAATCCGCGCACGGCGCGCATTCTGAAAGCCAAAGAACCTCAACTCATCGAACCCCCCAAGCGGACTCTTTTGATGCACGGCTCGAAATGTCCGCTGCCCCTGCACACCGTTCTCAAGACTTTCCACTCCCTGACTCGCCCGAACTCCGTCCTGTTCCACAAGAAGAATGAGAGCATCCACCCGTTCGAGAGCGCCGAGAGTCTCGAGTTCCTGGCCAACAAGAACGAGTGCGGCATCGTCGTGTTCGGCAGCAGCAACAAGAAGCGCCCCAACTGCGTCACCCTGGCCCGCATGTTCGACTCTAAGCTCCTCGACATGTGCGAGCTGATGCTCCTCCCCAACCCCGACGGCGAGGATATCCCCGCCATGAACAACCTTACGATGCACGTCGGCGTGGGACTACGGCCTCTGATGCTGTTCTCCGGCAGCGCCTGGGATGATGCTACGTCGGCGCCGCACGCCCTCGTCAAGAGCATGTTCGTGGATATGTTCAAGGGCGAGACCTCGGATAAGATCGACGCCGAGGGACTGCAGTATGCGCTGATGCTGAGCGCCGATGAGCCCGCCGACGGCCTGGCCCCTGTGATTCGTCTGCGGTGGTACAAGATCCGGACGAAGCGCAGCGGCCACAAGCTGCCCCGCGTGGAGCTGGACGAGATAGGCCCCAAGTTCGACTTCAAGGTGGGCCGCATCCAGGAGGCGCCGCGCGACGCCATGAAGGAGGCCATGAAGCAGGGCAAGCGACCCAACGAGGAGATCAAGCTGAAGAAGAACATCACCCTGGACCCCATCGGTGACAAGATGGGCCGGGTGCACCTGGCCAAGCAGGACCTGGGCGGATTGCAGACGAGGAAGATGAAGGGATTGAAGCGACGGGCCGGCATGGAGTCCGACGAGGAGCAAGGGGACGAGGACATGATGGATGTGGACGAGATCTCGGAGGACGAGGGCCACAAGCGGGCCAAGGTAGCATAAAGGATTGACGTTGCGACGCATAATTTTGTTTTCTCTTTTCTTTCCGTTTCGCACCCCGGCGTTTTCGGTGGATTTGGTCGACTGACACCTCGTTGAGAGATATATGAACCTGCTCGTGGAGTTGCTGTGTATAGACACTACCCTATGAAAAGTGATATCGAACAATACGAGTCTATCGTCTAGACAATCTCTGTATTCTCCCTGTAATCCGTGATATTCGCTGTTCTGCCTGGCCACGTGACCATGACGTTGGCTTCTCACATGCCGAGGAACTTTTGGCGGATGCTGCGATGCCCTTAAATGCCGACTCTCCCCACCCTCTTCTCTGCCCGCTCGTCCGTCGCTGGTCTTCGGAACTCTTTTTCTCGCTTGTTTGTCATTCTCTCCATTCTGGGTTCTATCCTCCAGCTCATGATCCTCACCCCGTTGGCTGTTTCTCTGTCGGCGAACTAGTCTCCGACTACTGCTGCCCCGACCGACCTACCGAGGTCCCGAGCGCGCAAAGACACCATGGATGCACTAATGGTAGGATACATCGGCTGTCCCGACTCACGATACGATTCTGATTGCTGTGTAGTCTCGTCTGGATGCTCTCGTCACAAACCCTGATCTGGCGCCGCTCCTCTCGTTAGCAAAGGGTGTGCGAAATGGCGCAGTCTACGGCGCAAAAGTGCGGTTTCCGCACGCTCTGGTGTATGTCTTTCTTGTCTTGTCTCATTTGGGCCTAAGGATATTGGGGTATACTTTTGGAAAGCAACCGGCTAATTTATGGCTTCTTCTTGCTTAGGATGATATTTCTCTTTCGGTCCGGAACGTAAGAAGGTCCTCTTACCCGATAAACTGGGACCTCGGTATACTGATGCAGATGTGCAGCATCCGTGAAAAAACTAAGCTTGTCCTGAAAGCCACGCGCCAACACGCTCGGAACCTAGCAACCTTCGCATTCATCTATAAGAGCGCGATGATTGTCCTGCGCAGTGTCAATCCGTCCGCGGTCGGGAAGGAGGGTCGGTATGATAGTTTCTTTGCCGGTGCGCTGGGAGGGTATGCGGTGTTTGGTCGGCGCAAGACCAGTGTCACCCAGCAGGTAGGCAAATTGCTGAAAAACGGTGTTAATATTTGGATATGACTTGCTAACTGCGGGCTGGCAGATTGTCATTTATGTCTTCGCTCGTGTGGTACTCGCTATGGCGAAGCTCTCCGTGGAGCCCGGCATGCACCCTTTCTCCTCCCTCATCACCCCCGAATCGCGCTCCGAAATCCAAAAGAACGCATGGCCGGTCTTCGCCAGTCTGAGCTGGGCGTTCGTCATGTACCTTTTCCGCTGGTACCCCGAGACACTGATGTCGAGTCTGCGGAGCAGTATGGTGTATATGTAAGTTTTGGTGTCAACTTCTCTTGCAATCTCTGCTAATCCATCTATAGCTACGCCGACTCGGATCACTGGGACTCGTTCCGCAACCTCATGATACATAACAAGTAGATTTCTCGGGCTCGGTGTTTCCTACTATGTCTTCTGTTTCGACGGCGCGGTGTTCATAGTTTGTTCTTCTCTGAAAGGGGCGTATAGAGTTGGGTGCATACACGTCTATTCTTTTTCTTTTCCACCTTCACTTCTTGTCAATGGTTTAGTGTATTATGATTAATCCATCCGGTTGAAACCGATCCTACATGATCATTATGGCGTGTTTGACCAACTGTACCGTGGAAATCGCAAGGAACTGCTAACACTCGCAGAGCGAATAGGAGTCAATCTCCGAATCAGTTTGAGTTACCATCGGATCTATACTCCATCTCGACTCTCTCCACAAGCTTCAGTTTATATCATGTTGATGTGAAACGTCTTTCAGCATGAACTTGCCGCATTGCCGTTTTCAACTATTGCCACCATCCGAATCATTAATAGCCCTTATCGTCGCCATATTGATACTCGATTTAGTCGCTTTTTTAAACACATGGCCTCCTTCGGTCTTGTGCCTCCTTGACCTGACTGTCTTACTGATCGGTTGCTACATAGCTTACATATTGTTCCTGCTCTACGAGGGCTTCAAGAACAAAGTCCCCACCCACAGCCTTTCTCGGTCCGACGAACAGCGGGAATTCGACTTCAAAACTATGAGGGAAGAGGTGATCGATCGCAAAGGGGACATAGTCATCACTGTCATTCCTCCCGCCATCCCACCCCTCTACATCTTGGAGCCCACAACCACCAACCCCCGATGTTTCAAAGTCTCCTCCAAGACCTTGACCCTCGGTTCGAAATATTTCCAAACCATGCTGAACCCCCGCTGGTCGGAGGGCAACGAGCTGCGCGAAACCGGCACCCTCAAGCTCTGGCTCCACGATACAGGCCCAGACACGTTCGCCATCCTCCTCAATCTTCTGCATTCTCGATTCAGGCACATCGGCACGCTCTCGACCATCGATCAATTGACCACGCTCGCCGTCCAGGTGGATTACTTCCAATGCGATACCATCTCGGCGGCGTTAAGCCAACGTTTGATCCAGTGCCTGGATCAGAGTCGCACCACCGTCGTGACGACCGCCGATGCCCGCTGGGTGCTCGTCGCCTGGATGCTTGCTGACTCCAAGCTGTTCAGTAAAGTCACTCGGGCCATTCAGCGCCAGATTCAAGGGGAGTTTGATTCTCTGCGTCTCCCCATCCCTCCTACGGTACAAGGTAAGTCAGCCAAGCCAGTCCTTTACTGCACAAACACAGCCCCGAGTTAAATCGAGAGTCCATTCTCACTTCCCCTTCTCCACAGCCGCCATCAACAAGGGCAGAAGCAACGCCATCGCCGATATCCTCTCTGCCCTCTCCGCCCGTCTGCAGCGTCTACAATCCGGCCCAATCCTCTGCGGCTTCATGTGCCACTCCTTCAAGCTGGGCGCGTTCATACGCCAGCTCACCGACGCGGGCATCTACCCCGGGGACTTCGCCCCCGGCGAAGACCAGTACGACGGTCTTTCGGTCGATGGGGTTCTGGACGCTTTAGGCCAGATCAAAGACTACACGTGCGTTGGCCGGGACGAGCGTGGGCGTTTGACCTCCCTGGGTGGTCGGTGTTCTGGGTCTTGGGGTAGTGGTTTGTCGGAGCTACAGAGTGTCCATACAGGGAGGCCGGGGGGGTTGGTGCTGAAGAAGTATCGGACAAGCTAGCTGGTTAGATGGTGTAGGTTAGGGTAAGGGTAGAGGGAGGGGATGCGCTGGGTGCTGTGAGATGAGGTTTATGTGTCTGTGTTCTTGTTTATGATTCTTCTCTAGGTTCTAATTAATGGGTTGTTTGTTTGCCCGACTCGACTCAGAGTTTGCTCTTCGGCTCGACGAGTCTTTCCACCTCCACGAATTGGTAGTAGAATTCCAGACTCTGCGGGTTCAGCAACGTCCCGGACGCCTTGATCTTCCGCCCAGATACAATCTGCTTCACCGGTAACTCGACCTTTTTCAAGTTAACCGTCGTCTAGTACAGTCAGCACAAGCACTCTCCCAATACAATCCTCCTAGTAGTAGTCGATAGTAGGACCAGGACAGAAAACATACCGGAATCTCAGGCGTCTCAAAAACATACTTGGGCACATGTCTCGCGCTCAACGCCTTTCGAATCGCCTCTTTGACGCGCCCCGCCAGTTGCGCGCTGAACTCGAACCCCGGCCTCATGAGCACGAACAGCATCACGGCCTCGTCGCTGTCCTGCGGTCGTCGCTGTCCCACGCAGATCGAATCTGCGATTTCACTGGGAAACTGCGTGTCGAGGACGTTGTAGATCTCGCTGGACCCGAACCGGATTCCGGATGGGTTCAGCACGCCGTCGGAGCGGCCGAGGAAGAAGATCTGTTTCGTGACGGGGTGGATGCTGATGAAGTCGCCGTGGGTCCAGACGTCTGTTTTTGGTGGTTAGTTTAGGGTCTAGGTGAGCGAGTGAGCGAGAAAGGGAAGAAGTGCAGTGCATACTGTCAAATCGGGCGAAATATGAATCGAAATATTTCTGCGCCCCGTCTTCGCCGAGGAATTTCACCGGCATGGTGGGAAACGCCGCCGTGGCTACGATCTCTCCCGGGGTGCCGTCGGGGACTTCACTGCCCTTAACGCCTGAAGCACCCTCCTCGGCCTGGTCGAAGACCGCGATGGGGATGCCCAGGCTGGGTCCCTGGCATCCACCGACATATAGAGGCGAGAGCGGGTTCTCGAGACCGAAGCAAGCGGCCAGATCCGTGCCGCCAGAGATATTGGCAAGTTGAGCGTGCGCGGGAAATCCGTCGTCATAGAACCATTCGAACAGGGACTCCGAGAGGACCATGCCGGTGCTGGTCACGATTGACAAGTTGCTCAGGTCGGTGATCTCCCGGGGTCGAATGTTGTGCTTGCGCAGCTCGTGGAGGTACCGTGGGGAGGTGCCGAAATGAGTTACTTTGTGCTCGCCCAGGAGCTGGATGAGGAACTTCACATCGGGGAGGAACGGGCTCCCGTCGTAGAGGATGGATTTCCCGCCGAATGTCAGGCCCGCGATGGCCGAGAGGTACATGATCCAGCCGGTGGTAGTGTATTGGAGGACGGTGGACTTGGGCCCGTGGTCGCGGTGCAGCCGTGCTTCTTTGCTCGCGTTCAGAAGATATCCGCCCACGCCGTGCACGATGGGCTTGGGTTTCCCGGTGGTACCGGACGAGTACACGACCAGGAAGGGGTCGCGGAATCCGATACGGACGAACTCCAGCTTGTCTGACGATGCTTTGGAGAGGAATTGAGACAGAGGCTGGGTCTTGAGCAGTCCACTCACGTCTGCTGGCTGCTCGAAGCGAGGGATGGAAACTACGCCTTCAAACTCTCGGACGTCTCGAAGACCATCGACGACGTCCTTGATCTTTGACCGCAGGTCGATCCGTTTTCCATTGTAGATCGCGGCGTCGTCCACAAAGACCCATTTCGGCTGCAACTGAAGCAGTCGGTCGAGGATTCCTTTGATCCCCGTATCGGTCGATGTCGAGGAGAAGAGCGCACCCAGAGCCGTCGTCGCGAGGAGAACCACGAGCGTGTCGATGCTATTGCTAGCGACAACGGCCACCCGATCTCCTTTGGTGACCCCGGCTGCTTTCAGGGCTTGGATCAATTTCCCTGTCTTCGCTCTCAATTGACCCCAGGTAAAATCGATAGATGGCTCAGATCCACCCTCGCGGATTTGCGTTAGGGCAATCTTGCCGTCTTCCTTGTTGAGGGTGGTGATCTTCGAGTGGCCGTTGGCTGATTTCTCCGCGGTGAAAAGCATGTTCTCGGCGAAGTTGACGCGGATTCCATTGAACCAGTCAGGAACGCTGTCGATTCGAGCTGTCTCGTCGACGACGGACGTGTAAGTGCCTTCGTGGATGATGCTGAAGTAGTTCCAGGCAAAATCCCAGAAGGCTGCTCGGTTGTTGATGGACCACTTGTAGAGAGCATCATAGGTCTGGGAAAGTTAGAGCAGAGCCATACACAGTAGTAGAATTGATTCATACTGCGAAGTTTAGGTCTTTTTGTTCTTCCAATGCCTTCTTGAACGCCCACATCTGGGTGGACTGGGGATTCGGGTGCTCCCATAGTTTCCTAGGGAGTGTCGATGGAGAAGTCATGATTGGGTGGGACTGAGAATTCGACTCGAAATATGAGTTTTCAGGTTCTAGATATGTCTTCTCAAGATGAACCGGTAGATTCTAGATATACGCCAGTAGAAGTAGAAGCAGTTACTCATCAGGGGAGAAGAGAAGCCTCGGCTGTCCAGCGGAATTCGGCTGCATTTCCGCAATGCGGGGAAATGCTCTGGTCAGCCTGCATAGTGACACAATTGTAATCAGAAAATCTCAAATCTGGATTTAATATCTAGAAGGTACTGCCATCTAATTCCTTTTTTTTTTTTTTTTTTTGGCGTTAATCATAACTCTACTCTTCCGCCCATGCCTGTCCGCTATTGTAAAGCTCCTCCGCCGTCAAATCTGCCACTTCGCGTGGCCTTGTCCTTACTCGCCCTATATTACTGATTTAGCTATTATTGCACTCTATATATAATGTCGAACTGACCCATTTTGATGTACCGAAGACTCCTGCCTACGCAAGCGCGTAGACACCACCATATGGCGGACGCCGCTCTTACAATGATGGCTCCCAGAGCCTTGAAAAGTCCCTGGGAGGGAGCCCTCTTCTTGCCTCCATGGCTTATCAACTCCTCCGGACTTGCTGCCTTATACGTGATTGGCAACAGGCTTTGGCGGGCATGGCTTAATTGCAGTATTAGCACTGATATAGCCATTTTCAAAGAGGAGAAATATAAGGAGGAAATAGGTGCATACTGTCTGTAAATCGACAGCCCTATGGTATAGAGCACAAGCGCCAAAAATACCCAGTAAACGGGGTTTAGGAAGTTGAGCATGAGTGCATCATGCCGGGTGTAAGTCGGTGACGGTGCCGCCGACGGCGCGGGCAGGGGAAGTGCCGGCATTGATGGCTCGGCCATGGTGATAGTAGTGAATTTATAAAGTTTCTATAAAAAGGAGTAATGGATTCTCTCTAACGAATGTCTATTTGGAACGAGCGAAAATTGTTGCAATTATTACAGTGCTATCTACGGTAATCCCTGTGTAGTTGGAAAATATTCCGGATAGCCTCTTTAATATTATTTCGAAGAAAGTGCATTCCATCTCTAGATGAGTTAGTCTATTGTTATATCAAACAAATCATACCGTCGGCATACCTCGTGTGGCATTGAATACCATAGTAGCCGATGGTGTGTACCAAATAGAGAAAGGCTGATCGCATTATGCCCGGGGATGCTTATAGAAACTCCTGGATAACAGTACACTTTCAAAGGCTTGGGGTTCGAATGATCAACCTATGGAATCATATAGATGTGACTGAGCAGCAAGATCACCAACTCTCAGAAGCCATCTACGAAAAGAATCTGTTTGTACTGTCAAGGCGGATACCGGAGGATGTAGACCGTCACTTCCTTATTTGGCAGGTGGAAGAATCATCGTGGAAGAGGATAGCCGGAAGGAATCACGTCATCCTGGTTTTCTTCACTTTGATCAGGGGTGGCTACTCATTGGGCCTATTCCCCAAACGGTAGAGTTCATCATCCTACCACTGTAAGAGGTCTCGCATCGCGTTTTCATGTGGAAGGGGACAGGGTAAGCCTCTTTCATATCTGTAATGGGCTGTGGGAACCCCCTGGCCTTCTCGCAGCATCCACAGGCAGGCGTGCAGTGGCCTAGATGTATGAATCGGGCATTGGACCGTGGCTTTCTGCAGCATTGGCAGTCTCTGCCGCAGCATCCCCCTCTCAAAGCACAATCCCACGTCATGAAGGGAGTCATGTACCACGTATCGCGTGAGAAACGATAAGAGTGCAATGCCCGGAGAAATGGACCGTCCCATCGGCGTAGCTGGTAGCTCAGCAACCTGCCAGAGACATAGCGATACTCTACATCCAAGCGGCGCAGTTCCTTGTTGATCTCCTCCATCCTGCGGTTGGAGAAATTGGCGAAGATCCCTAGGTCTTGGATCAACTGTCGTCGCTTTTCCTGGAGGGCTGCCTCTCGTTGTACCACGAATCGTATCCGATAGCTATTGCGCAGAAAGTCGTGGAAGGCTTGCCATTTTTTCTCGGACATCCCGAGGATTTCATGCTGTCGCTTCCGTAATTTTTGCGCGTCTTCCCATCTCCCTTTTTGTTCCAGCCTGTCTTCTCTCTTCTTGAACAGTGGCTGCAAGGGCCATGCGAGTGCCCATTTGAGGTGCGTCAGCATCGTGGGGTTCGTACGAGACGGTTCGTTCCTGACTTTCTTGTTGTATGCGCTTCCTGTCAAAGCTGGATCGAGTCATTGGTGGATCTGTCTGGATCGGGTTAATGCGAATATTTGCAAGAGAAAAAGAAAGAAAATAAAGAATTTAATGAAGGATAGAAATGGGGTAGAGAGTCACTGGCAAACTTTGCGTTTCCAGGGTACAGTCTTCATCCCGTCTAGATCCCGTCAGTATGACTGCCTATCCACGAGATCGAATAGAGATCGAACAACTCGTGGATTCCTTCGCCGCTACCGGCCCATAAGACTTTGCTTCTCCGTTTAGCCATCCATAGATTCTATGATTTCTCATAAATCAAAACAAATGTTGGCTGAGGAAAGAGAAACGGGCCAATCAGACGAGCCAAGAAGTCATGCCTCAGGCTGCAGATCGAGGCAAACGCAGCAAACACGAGGCGTCCGAATGCGAGACCGCAGATTATTTGCCAATATTGGCTGATCCCATCCTCCCTGTCTTCGCTGGCTTGGATCTCCTTTTCTCCCTCTCCCTTGCTATCCTGGGAAAGGGACTGTCCGGCAAGATGGGCACTTCAGAGACTCGCCTCGAGATACACACCCCGGTTCATCGGGAGCCACAGCCAGCATTCTCTGATCCGTTCGGAGAAAACCAGCGCAGAGAAGAAAGCATGGCGTCCACTGAGCCCGAAATAGGGGCCGACGTGCAGGAAAATCGCTCAATAATAGGATCAGAAAAAACTCGCAGTCGGTTGAAAATTTTCCTCATCATGATTGCCCTTTCGGTAAGTAGATCTGTTGCACGCGCGCCAATAAAAGCCCTAAAGCCCATGGACCTGGAGATCGGCCCGGAAATATATTGACTTCGGTTCTAGCTAAGCCTGTTCATCTCTGCGCTTGACCAAACCATCGTGGCCACTGCAACGCCTACAATCTCTGCCGAGCTGCACTCGGGAACGGGCTACGTCTGGATCGGAGGCGCCTATCTCATCGCCAATGCCGCCAGTTCGAACATCTGGGCCAACTTTTCCGACATATGGGGTCGCAAGCCGATCCTCTTGTCGGCGGTTGCCCTGTTCTTTGGCGCCTCCATCATCTGTGCCAAAGCAGTTGACATGTCAATGCTGATTGCAGGTCGAAGTATACAGGGCATTGCAGGTGGTGGATTAATCCAACTGATCACGATTACCATCTCCGATCTTTTCAGTGTCAGGTATGCTCAATTGTACCCGTCGGAAACCTCGTTCGGGCACTCAGGATAACAATGTGTATAGACTTCGCAGCCTGTTTCTTGGACTCATTGAGTTTATCTGGGCAATCGCAGGCGCCCTGGGGCCTCTGGTTGGTGGTTCATTTACCGAGACTATCTCCTGGAGATGGATATTCTGGATCAATCTGCCAGTTTGTGGCACTGCCTTTGTTCTGCTTTTCCTGTTCTTGGATATTCACAACCCCAGGACCGGGGTTATAGAGGGGATCAAGGCCGTCGACTGGTTTGGCAGCTTCTCCATCCTAGGGCTGGCCGTCATGGTCCTCCTTGGTCTGGATTTTGGCGGAGACATCTTCCCTTGGGATTCACCCAAGGTTATCTGTCTGATTGTCTTTGGATGTCTGATGACACTGATTTTTATCTACTGCGAAAAGCGCCTGGCAAAGTATCCGCTCATGCCCCTGGGCATATTCGGGAAGCGATCGAACATTGCCTGTTTTTTCGTTGCCTTTACGCATGGTTTTGTAAGTCCAAGAAAACCGATTCTACGTGTCCATCCGTTTCTAACAATTGCACAGGTCTTCCTTGGGGCTGAATACTATCTCCCGCTGTACTTCCAGTCTGCCCAAGAGGCTAGTCCCTTCCGCTCGGGTCTTTTGATCCTGCCCTTCGTTCTGACCGAAGCTGCTTTGAGTCTGGCAGCTGGTCTTATTATTCACAGTACCGGCCGATATCTCGCAGTGGTTTGGGTCGGCACGACCCTGGTCCTTCTCGGAACCGGATTGTTCATTGACTACGACGCCAGCTCCTCCCTGGGCAAGATCATCGGCTACCAGATCGTAATCGGCATGGGATGCGGACTTCTCTTCTTCCCGCCTCTCCTGGCTCTCCAGAGCAACGTGCGACAAGACGAGACCGCGTCGGCGACCGCGACCTTCGGCTTCATCCGGAACATGGCCATGGCGATGTCGGTGGTGATCGGAGGCGTGGTCTTCCAGAATAGCATGGACCAGCGCAAATCCGCGCTCCTTGCCTCGGGCCTCTCGTCGACGATGATGGAGGAATTGACCGGGTCCGAGGCTGCCGCCAACGTGATGCTCATTCGGTCCCTGGACGACCCACTGCAGCGGCAAGCGGTCAAGAATGCATATGCATGGAGTATGCGCAACATCTGGATCCTCTATGCGTCCTTGGCGGCTGTGGGGTTCCTGGCCAGTGCATTTATCACCAAGCAGCATCTCAGTCAGGAGCACGTCGAGACCAAGACTGGGCTGAGGGAGAAACAGTCTCCGGCTGAGTCCCGACAGGAGACTCCGCCGACTGAACTCTAAGTGGGGACACAATCGGACTCTACTAGACAATATGGAATTATGTATCTAATCTTTGGGGATATACTCGTTGCCGAGGCATTTATTTAGCATAAATATACTCCTGACCAAATCGCTTACTCGATCAACGTTAGTCATTATCGGCCTCTTCCGGATCAGCTTAGCGTGCACGTCCTCAACGGCGACTCCCGACGGACGCTCTCTTTCTTTTAAACACTCCGGTGTACAAGGCTGGTCCTTGTCTCGTTTCTCTCAATTGTACATTCTCAACCTGAAATCTACCCATCACTGCCAATCCATCATGGCCCCCATTCTCTCCTCCCCTCCCCCATCCCTCCATCTCACCCCCGAACCTCTCACCCCGGACTCCTTTGCCCCGTTCGGTACCGCCATCGTCTCGCCTCTTCCCCGCCATCTCTCCGCACCGCCAACAGACTTGTCTTCTCTCCCGCCTCACAACCCGTCTCCCGAGCTAGCCAACCAGTCCTCCGCACTTAAATACAGCCCCGTCTCTCCGCTCCTCGACCACTATGCTGGTCGATGCCCGAGTGGTCGCGCCGCCTCCGCCCGCATGAGCATGTTCTGCTGCTTTCCGCGACAGCTGCGAACGGTGCAATCGAAGCTTTCCAGCACGAAGACAGAGACACCCGTCTTTGACGTGCGCATCCTCGAACGCCACCCCTTTACCACGCAGACTTTCATTCCTATCGATTTATCGAGCCAGACGCATGCCGGCACCCGGGGTGGTGGCGCGGACGACGCGCAGGACGAGCCGTTCTATCTCGTCGTGGTGGCCCCCACGCTCAAGGGTGAGTCTGTCACCGCGCAGACGGAATCCGGCCCCACCACTATCCAGGATACGCCGGATTTGAAGAACTTGAGGGCCTTTGTGGCGCGTGGCGGACAGGCGGTCACTTATGGAGCTGGGACGTGGCATGCCCCGATGGCGGTGGTGGGGAAGCGGAGGGTCGATTTTGTGGTCGCGCAGTTTGCGAATGGGGTTGGGGATGAGGATTGTCAGGAGGCGGCGTTTGGGGAGGGCATTGTGGTGGAGTTGGGGGAGTCGAGCACCTCTTCGAGCTCTTCGAGGGGAGGGAAGGTCGTGGCGAAGCTGTAGGTGGGTGTGGAAGTATAGGAGGAAGGTAGGAAAAAGCAAGGGTATGGAATGTTGGTGAGGGGGGATCAAGGAACCCAAATTGAATTAAGTGGTATCTGGAACTCTTCAAGCAGACGATATTGTACATATTTACATGCATACGAACGAACGAACGAACCGACACGACTGGCTTCTCAACAGCTTCCCTGTATGCTTTGTCGGACGGCCCGGGCCATATCGATGGTCTCCGAGGGTAGACCTGCCAGCTGGGCCACCTTCAAGGCGTGGGACTCGCGATTGACCCCCTTGCGGAGTCGGTGGACGAATGAGAATGACCCCGAGGGCGTTTCCTTAACGTCCGTGCAGTATCGGCCCAGCGCCCCGAAGTCTTGCGTCAGGTCTGCAAGGGTGTGGAAATGGGTCGCGAACAGTGTGCGGCATTGGTTGCGGTAATGCAGGTGATGCAGGCACGCGAAGCTCACCGCCGTTCCGTCCTCCGGCGTCGTCCCGCGCCCGACCTCGTCCATGATCACGAAGGAGCGAGGCGTGGCCTGCTTCAGGATAGTGGCCGTCTCGAGCATCTCGACCATGAACGTCGACTGGTCCCGGAAGAGGTCGTCGGCGGCCCCGATCCGGCTGAAGATTTGGTCGACGATCCCGATCTCTGCATACTCGGCGGGCACGAACGACCCAACCTGTGCGAGAATGGTGATCAATGCGTTCTGCCGGAGGAATGTGCTTTTGCCGGCCATGTTCGGCCCCGTTATGAGCCAGATGCGTTCCATCCTGCCTAAAAAGCAGTCGTTGCTGACGAAGCGACGCCCCTGCTCCTCAAGGCCGAGCTTAACCGTCGGATGTCGTCCACCCACAATCTTGTGGTTGGTGCTATCTGTGAGAATGGGCCGGACGAGATGCTGCTCTTCTGCCAAAGTCGCGAAGGAGCACGCAACGTCCAGCTCGTCCATTACTGCGGCGTTGCGTCGGATCTTCACAAGGTTCAATATCACCTCTCGGCGTAGACTCTCGAAGATTGCTTGCTCCTCTTGTCGGATTTGGACTTTAACCTGATCGGTTCGTCCGCCGAGTTCTGCCCAGGCAGGGAAGTAGAAGGATCGGGTAGACTTGGTTGATGAGATATTTCGCGTGACTCCCAGTTCCTCCAATGCCTCCTGTGAAATCTTAGCGCCCTTGACATGGCAGATATGCCCAAGACCAGGCGTCCATTTGAGGGACAAAGCGGACGACCCGACCGCCTCACGGAGTGACTGGGTCAAAGTAGTTTTCTCATCCTGCAATTCCGCCAGTGACTGATGGAGCTTGCTAAGTGCTGGGCTTGCATCGCGCCTCATGATCCAGGATTCAACGTCAGATGACTCGTCGGTCGCGGCATTTGACCGATCGCCAGTTTTGGATCTCACTTTCTTCGGCAGCGCTTCTAGATCCGACGGCACGCCCTCGTTTAGAGCCACCTCTTGTGCGAGCGAGGCCGCCTCCGCAGCCGTGTCGTCGTCGATTCGCTGCTTCTGCTGAAGACTTTCTTCGTCGATGGCTGCCAGAATCCTGTCTGCCAGCGCCGACGGTCCATCCAGGTGCAGTCGATTTACCATCGTCACGAGGCTGAGGGCGGATTGGGAACTGCGGTCGTTATGAATAGAAGTAGACATGGCGCTCCTGATCTCTTTCGATGCCTCAATAGCCCGAGACAAACATATCAGATCATCGGGATCCCCTCGTCCCAGGGTAAACTTCTGAACTAAGCGTTGAGAATCGTAACTGCGTTTCAGTAACTGCATTACGCTATCACGCAGCTCATTGGCAGAGATTAAGCGTGAAACAAGGTCCAGTCGCTCATTGATTACCTGTAAAGAAGTGGACGGCGATGTCAAGCGATCTCTCAAGAGACGTGCTCCGCTTTTAGTTGACGTACGGCGTACTGCATGGAGCAGACTGCCTTTCCCAAACCCATCGCGAGCCGATTCGAGAATTTCTAAGCTGCGTAGACTATTACGATCAATATTCATTGATTCATTCAAGTGGCGACGGCGTGGGGGCTGAAGTTTCATGTTTAGCCCTTGAAGCTGCACTCTGATATACTCCAAGAGGCTTGAACCGGCAGCCACTTCCTCTCGGGTGAACGATTCCATTGCCTTCGCGTCAATGGGCGCTTCCAACATAGAATCCCACTGGGCCATTGGCAAAATTCCATCCCGGAACTGAAAAAGCGTCATCAGACGCTGGTCGTGCCCGATCAGCAATTGCAACTCCTGTCCAATCAGATCCTTAAGGCCTTGGTCAACCAGTATCTCACGCGCACCGATTCTCGCAATGGCCGACGGGAGCGACTGCGCTGTGGTGTACTGTGTAAAGAAGTCGCCTGTCGAGAGATCTAGCCAGGACAGGCCTACATGCTGTGATGCAGACGACAGCACATGTTGGTATGAGCCTCCATCAGGGTGATGCTCTAACTGCGTTCGCAGCGCCGGGATGTCGATGTATATAGCCAGCAAGAAGTTGTTCTCCGAAGGGTCCATGAACTTCTCGTCAATTAGTGTACCAGGGGTTATGATTCTGGCCACTTTCCGATCAAACAGAAGGCCTCCCGAGCGCGTCCTGTCGTCCGTCTCATTGGCAAACTCCTCGCTAATTGCTACGTATTTGTTGAGGTCCTGCACGAGTGTCTTTAAGAAGCGATCTAATTGGAAAAAGGGGAACCCTGCCATGGGCACGGGACCAGCACTGGTCTTCTTCGAAGCAAGCTTCAAGTTTAGCAAAGGGGCGAACTCTTCGGCTTGCTCAAAGTAAAGCTGGAATCTGGTCAGACATTTGCTTCATGTCACGTCATTTCACCTTGTTTTAATATCCAGGCCTACTCGGCATCGATATCCGTACCTCATAAAAGCCTCCTACTCTTGTCAAGATCACACAGTTCTTGAATTTCTGCATGTTGTTTCGGTGCCCTTGCACGACTGTAGGGTAGCGCGGTGCATCGTCCACGGTATCGACAAACGGCTCCAATTTAAGCACGCCTTGCGGTAGGTCCTTCAGCTTCACAGTCGATTTTGTCTTCGCGCCTCTCCTGAATGTTACGTAGGATGTCGGGATAGGCGTCGCGACGCGCAGCGATGGGCGGGCGACACAGGAGCTGGTCGTGCTGTGCGCATGGCGATACGAGCGGGAAACATCGATCCCAGTCGTCGAGTAGGAGCGGAAAGAGGTCAGCCGAGGGATGGAGGAGCCATTAATGCGCATGGTCCCGAAGTCAGAGTGTTGTGGAAGGTTGGAGAATGAATTGCCCGCGTTGGGACAAACGCCGCGGGAGTGCGGTGATGTATACCTCAGGCTGCCACTCGCCAAACCTTCCCGCTCCGCCACCGAAATCTGCTGGCAGAACTTCCCGACGCTCGACGCAACTCCTTCTCAACCACGCAACAATCCCAGGCAGCTTGCGACTCTACACCACCAAGTGAGCTTGCCTGCTGCAGGAGGATGCTTCAGGTTTGTGAAGCCTACTAGAAGATTTTTACTCATTCCAGAATTCATTTCTTGTCGCAGGAGTCTCGACGCGCCGGTTGATCCCAGAGCTCCACCGAGCCATCCCCGGCCGACTTGAACAAGTCGTGACACGATTTTTTCTTCTTTCTTCTTTTTCCCTTTTATTCCCGTCGAATCGTTAATCGCATTACATCCTAATCAAAATGGCGGACCAAAATATCTCACAGTACAAATACTCGGCGATGTCCAACCTGGTTCTCCAGGCGGACCGTCGTTTTATTTCTCGCGTCAACGATGAACCGACCGGAGACCCGGAATCCCTCGCAGGTCGCATCAGCATCCGGGAGATGGGCGGTAACGTCGCACGCGACAATGCGCCGAAATCGAAAAAGAAGGCTGTTGGGCCGACAGATATCGAGCGGGGCGCCATCCGAGAGGGCGAGGATGTGCTCGCCCGAGAACAGAAGAAACGCCAACGCGGCCAACCAGCACAACTCCGGGGCCAGGGCATTCTGTCCGCCGCTGACGCCGTCGTCGAAGGTCTGAAATATCGCCCTCGTACACCGGCCACCCGCGCCACATACGATCTCATCCTCACCACGACCGCTGGCCATCTGGGCGATGTTCCGCACGAAGTCGTTCGAAGTGCCGCCGACGCCGTATTAGAACTACTCAAGGACGAGGAAATGAAGGAGTTCGATAAGAAGAAGGAGGTGGACGATCTGCTCGGAAGCTCGATGGATCCCAAGGAATTTAATGAGCTTATGAACTTGAGCAAGAAAATCACCGACTACGACGCACAGGACGATGACGAAGATATGGACGACGGCTTAGAGGGCGAAGGTGAAGAGCTTGATGAACGACAAGGCGTCGCCGTTGTGTTCGACGAAGAAGACGAAGACGACGAGCGCGTGGGTACCGTCGATGAAGTCCGTGACGAAGACTCGGATGAAGAAGATGCGGACCAGCAAGACGCACCTGGTGTTGATGAGACAACGACCGAGAAGGCGGATCTTGAAGACCTGGATGGCAGCGAGGAAATGGTCATCGATGGTGGTGTGTCTCGTGGCGAGGATCGCCGAGACAAAGGACTTCATGTTCCGGCCCGTGAAATCGACGCCTACTGGCTCCAGCGCCAGATCGGACAGGCTTACTCGGATGCCCATATCCAGCAAGAAAAGGCCACCGGAGCCCTTGAGATTCTAGGTGGTAAGGGCGAGGACGGCGCGGAGAAGCCGCTGCGAGACGTCGAAAACGACCTCATGGACCTGTTCGATTACGACCACCCCGACCTTGTCGCTAAACTAGTGACCAACCGTGATAAGATTGTTTGGGCAACTCGCTGGCGACGGGTGGCCGAGGATGCGGATGCGCGCAATCTCGTCGAAATTGAAATGGTGGAGGCTGGGCATCGTGCTATCTTGGATGAAATCCGGGGCAAGACCGCTCGCGAAGAGGAGACAGGCCGACCCGAGAAGAAGATCAAGCTTGATCTCATGGACGTTGATGTACCGAACGCACCTGCTGAACCGGAGCAAAAGCCGGCAGACGGTGGCGTTGTTGGCGGTCTTCAACCCAAGAGGCTGATTAACCTGGAAAACCTTGTTTTCCACCAGGGCAACCATCTGATGACCAACCCCAATGTCAAGCTGCCCCAGGGCTCCACCAAGCGCACGTTCAAGGGTTACGAAGAAATTCACGTACCACCGCCGAAGGCTAAGAGGGACCCTGGCGAGAAGAACCTCCCGACGACGGAGTTGCCCGAGTGGGCTCGCGTCGGTTTCGGGAACTCCAAGGAGCTCAACCGCATTCAAACCAAATGTTTCCCTACTGCCTTCCACGACGATGGTAACATGCTTGTTTGCGCTCCCACCGGGTCCGGAAAGACCAACGTTGCCATGCTCACGATTCTGCGAGAGATTGGAAAGAATCGCAACCCTGAAACCGGTGAAATCATGCTGGACGACTTCAAGATTGTTTACATCTCTCCCCTAAAGGCTCTGGTTCAAGAGCAAGTTGGCAATCTCGGCAAGCGTCTTGAGCCGTATGGCATCAGGGTGGCCGAACTTACTGGTGACCGCCAGCTTACGAAGCAGCAAATCGCGGAGACCCAGATCATCGTCACGACCCCCGAGAAGTTCGACGTCATCACGAGAAAGGCGTCGGAGACCAGCTACACGAAGCTTGTGCGCCTGGTGATCATCGATGAAATCCATCTGCTTCACGATGAGCGAGGCCCCGTCATTGAAAGCATCGTCAGCAGATCCATTCGCAAGGGCGAGCAGACCGGCGATCCGGCGCGTATCGTTGGTCTTAGTGCCACCCTTCCCAACTACCGAGATGTGGGCAACTTTCTGCGAGTGGATCCTGTCAAGGGTATGTTCCACTTTGATGGGTCGTATAGGCCGTGCCCGCTGAAGCAGGAATTCATCGGTGTCACCGACAAGAAGGCCATCAAGCAATTGAAAACGATGAACGATATCTGCTACAACAAGGTCCTCGAGCAGGTTGGACAACGCCGAAACCAGATGTTGATCTTCGTTCACTCCCGGAAGGAAACGGCCAAGACCGCCAAGTACATCAGAGACAAGGCTCTTGAGATGGAGACGATAGGTCAAATTCTGCGCAGTGATGCTGCCAGCAGGGCCATTCTGTCCGAAGAAGCCGAATCGGTTGACGACGCTTCGCTCAAGGACCTGATGCCATACGGCCTTGGTATTCACCATGCTGGTCTGAGTCTTGCTGACCGTGATTCGGTGCAGGCCCTCTTTGCCGATGGTAGTATTCAGGTCTTGGTCTGCACGGCCACCCTCGCGTGGGGTGTCAACCTTCCCGCTCATACCGTCATCATCAAGGGTACTCAAATCTACTCGCCAGAGAAGGGTAGCTGGGTCGAGCTCAGTCCCCAGGATGTGCTACAGATGCTGGGTCGAGCAGGACGTCCTCAATATGACACATTTGGTGAGGGTATCATCATCACGTCCCAGTCCGAGATTCAATATTACCTCTCTCTCATGAACCAGCAACTGCCCATTGAGAGTCAGCTCATGAGTAAACTCGCCGACAACATGAATGCTGAGATTGTTCTTGGAAACATCCGAACGCGGGATGAGGCCGTTGACTGGCTTGGTTACACCTACCTGTTTGTGCGCATGCTTCGCTCTCCTGGTCTGTACAGTGTTGGAGCGGATTACGAGAACGACGATGCGTTGGAACAGAAGCGTGTTGATCTCGTCCACTCTGCTGCTACCATCTTGGAACGGGCGGGTCTCGTCAAGTATGAGAAGAAGGCCGGTCGCTTGCAATCCACCGAGCTTGGCCGGATTGCCTCCCATTACTACATTGGCCACAATTCCATGTTGACGTACTCGCAACACATCCAGCCATCGATCACGACCATTGAGCTTTTCCGCCTATTCGCTCTGAGTGATGAGTTCAAGTACATCCCCGTTCGCCAGGATGAGAAACTCGAATTGGCGAAACTCCTAGGCCGTGTGCCTGTGCCTGTCAAGGAAGGCATTGATGAGCCCCACTCCAAGATCAATGTTCTCCTCCAGGCTTACATCTCAAGACTCAAGCTCGACGGTCTTGCTTTGATGGCAGACATGGTCTACGTCACCCAGTCTGCCGGACGAATTCTGCGTGCGTTGTTTGAAATCACTCTGAAGAAGGGCTGGTCTTCCGTGGCGAAGACGGCTCTTGATCTTTGCAAGATGGCCGAGAAGCGGATGTGGCCGACCATGACACCGCTTCGCCAATTCCCCTCTTGCCCCCGGGATATCATGCAGAAGGCTGAAAGAATCGACGTGCCTTGGGCCAGCTACTTCGACCTTGATCCTCCACGTATGGGCGAGCTCTTGGGCATGCCCAAGGCCGGACGAGTTGTTTGTGACCTGGTCGCCAAGTTCCCCCGTTTGGAGGTGCAGGCTCAGGTTCAACCCATCACTCGCTCCATGCTCCGGGTCGAGTTGACTATCACACCCAATTTCGTCTGGGATGAGAGCGTGCACGGCAATGCTCAGGACTTCTGGATTTTGGTTGAAGACTGTGATGGCGAGGATATTCTGTTCCATGACCAGTTCGTCCTGCGGAAGGACCACGCCGAGGCGGAGATGAATGAACACCTTGTGGAGTTCACCGTCCCCATTACGGAGCCCATGCCTCCCAACTACTTCATTTCCCTTGTTTCTGACCGTTGGATGCACTCGGAAACGAAGATCGCCGTGTCGTTCCAGAAGCTGATCCTGCCTGAGCGCTTCCCGCCGCATACGCCTCTGCTGGACATGCAGCGGGCTCCCGTTAAGGCGCTGAAGCGTGAAGATTACCAGCAACTGTACCCTGATTGGCAATACTTCAACAAGATCCAGACGCAGACTTTCAAGTCTCTTTTCGATACGGATGATAATGTCTTCGTCGGTGCCCCTACCGGCAGCGGTAAGACGGTCTGTGCCGAGCTTGCTTTGCTTCGCCACTGGTCTACGGAGGATGCCGGCCGGGCTGTTTATATCAGTCCATTCCAAGAACTCATTGACCAGCGACTTGCTGACTGGGAGAAGCGATTGGCGAATGTTGCCGGTGGCAAGAACATTGTGAAACTCACCGGTGAGACAACTGCTGATTTGAAGCTCTTGGAGCAGGCGGATCTGGTCCTCGCTACACCTACTCAGTGGGACGTTCTCTCCCGGCAATGGCAACGACGTAAGAACGTGCAGTCCGTGCAACTGTTCATTGCGGATGAACTTCACATGCTGGGAGGCTACGGTGGCTACATCTACGAGGTGGTGGTCTCTCGGATGCATTCCATTGCTCTGCAGCTCGAGAACGGTCTGCGTCTTGTTGGACTGAGTGTGCCCCTTGCCAATGCTCGCGACATTGGCGAGTGGATTGGCGCCAACAAGCACACCATTTACAACTTCAGCCCTCACGCTCGCCCGGTGCCTCTCGAGCTTCACCTCCAGTCCTTTACCATCCCTCATTTCCCCTCCCTCATGCTCGCGATGGCCCGACCCGCATACCTCTCAATCTTGCAGCTGTCTCCGGATAAGCCTGCGCTGGTCTTCGTGCCGAATCGGAAGCAAACGCGTTCGACGGCCATGGATATGCTGGCTGCCTGTGCCATTGATGACGATGAAGATCGATTCCTTAATGCCGATGTCAACGAGCTGGCTCCTCTCCTTAACCGGATTCAAGAGCGAACTCTCGCCGAGTCGCTTTCCCACGGTATCGGATATTACCACGAGGCGTTGAGTCCCACCGACAAGCGTATTGTCTCTCATCTGTTTACGATTGGTGCCATTCAGGTGCTCTTGGCCTCGCGCGATGTTTGCTGGGAGCTAAACCTCACCGCACACCTGGTGATTGTTATGGGAACGCAGTTCTTCGAAGGACGAGAGCATCGGTACATTGATTATCCTATCAGCGAGATTCTGCAAATGTTCGGCAAGGCTTCCCGCCCGGGAGAGGATAAGATCGGCCGCGGTGTCTTGATGGTCCCGGCCGTCAAGCGTGAATATTACAAGAAGTTCCTCAACGAGGCTCTGCCCGTCGAGAGTCACCTGCAGGCCTATCTCCACGATGCTTTCGTGACGGAGACCAGTACCCGGACCATCACGTCAACGCAGGATGCTGTCGATTGGATGACGCACACCTACTTCTACCGTCGTCTGTTTGCCAACCCTAGTTTCTACGGACTGAGCGATGTCAGCCACGAGGGTCTCAGTACTTTCCTGTCTGAACTCGTGGAGAACACACTGAAGGAGTTTACCGAAGCCAAGATCATCGATCTGGATGAAGAGGACGACAGCGTGTCTCCCTTGAACGCGGCCATGATCGGCGCCTACTACAACATCTCCTTCATTACCATGCAGACCTTCCTTCTCTCGCTGTCTGCTCGTACGAAGCTCAAGGGTATCCTCGAGATTGTCACTTCTGCCACGGAGTTTGAATCCATCCAAATGCGTCGCCATGAGGAACACATTCTGCGTCGTGTTTACGACCGTGTGCCAGTGAAGATGTCCGAGACCGCGTACGACTCTCCTCACTTCAAGGCATTCGTGTTGCTGCAGGCCCACTTCTCGCGCATGCAGCTGCCCATCGACCTTGCCAAGGACCAAGAGGTCATTGTCAGCAAGATCCTCAACCTACTCAGCGCTTGTGTGGATGTTCTCTCGTCAGAGGGACATCTAAACGCCATGAATGCCATGGAAATGTCACAGATGGTGGTTCAGGCCATGTGGGATCGGGATAGCCCCTTGAAGCAAATCCCCCACTTCGGTCCGGACGTTATCAAGGTCGCCAACGAATACAAGTATGTCCCTCTTTCTCCTGAACTCGCCAGTCCCTGTATCAATACTAACCCGATTCCTTCGCGCAGTATTAATGACATCTTCGAATTCATGGAGTCCATGGATCCCTCCGAAAACAAGGATTACCCTACCCTCATCAAGCGACTTGGCCTCGACAACAAGCAGCTGGCACAGGCCGCGGCCTTCACCAACGAGAAGTACCCCAACATCGATCTGGACTTCCAGGTGGAGGACCCAGAGAGCGTCACTTCGGGCGAACCGGCCTACCTCAAGGTCAAGATCGAGCGGGAGATCGAGGAGGATGAGGAGCCCGACACGACGGTCCACGCGCCCTTCTACCCCAACAAGAAGATGGAGAACTGGTGGCTGGTGGTGGGCGACGAGAAGACCAAGAACCTGCTTGCCATCAAGCGTGTCACCATTGGCCACAAATTGGAGCTGCGTCTGGAATACATCGTGCCTACCCCTGGTGAGCATGAACTGACGCTGTACTTGATGAGTGACAGCTATGTGGGCGTGGATCAAGCTCCTACTTTCACCGTGACTGCCGCGGAAGGTATGGAGGAGGACAGTGAAGAAGAGGAAGAGGAAGAGTAAATAATGTGTATTGTTATTTATTTCTTTTGATCGTTTATACTCCAAAATCATTCTGTTGGCATTTGGTTCCGGAGTGGGTTTGTTGATTTGTTGTAATTATATGAACTGACGTTAGACAAAAGATGAGTTGATTTATTTATTTCATCCTAACCTTTTATCAAGACTTGAGCGTCCACTTAGTTGTGATGGAAAGCTACGTCAATCAAAACCATCATGAATCTCATTACTATTGTACAGTTTCAACGACAACAAACTAAGACCTGATAAACTACAAAAGGAATCATCCCCGGGTGTTTTCAAAAGGGTATCATATCACAACCATCACCAAAGCACCTAGTATCCATCACGCTGGGCACCCACAGTGCGAGAGCCATCCAGATCAGAATCCACCCTCGGGTCCACCTTGTTCGCGACATCGCTACCATGAGGTCCGGTAGTCTGCGACGCACTCCCACTACCAGGCGCATTGGTATTGTAGCTACTGCCCGCCGCCGAAGACGAGTGGACCTGAGCACCACCACCCTTGCCGAGACTCGCCTGGGGATCAAACGTCTTGGTGGTGGTTGGTCCGTTGCTTCCCGAGGCATGGATCACGCCCGCGCCGCCGATACTTCCCTGTCGCACCTCGTCGTAGAATCGGCTGATGTCGTCCTTTGCCTTGGCGTTGGCCTTATCGTTGTCTCCGCGCGGGTCCGCCTTGTTGGCTACGTTGCTTGGCTTGTCGCCAGTGTTTTGTGGCTGCGAGGTGTTGACGGTGCTGGTCCGTGGGGAGATGCCATCGTCGCCCATGGGGGCATTGTAAGTGGGCTTCTCGTCGCCGTGCAGGTAGGGACCGGAGGTGGTGGTGTTAGCGCCATAGCCATCAGTGTGCGTGGTAGTGGGGGTTTGGTTGTAGGTCTGGTTGGTAGGTTCGGCATGGGACTTGTTTGGAGTTTCATGGTGATGACCGTGATGGGTCACAGCCTCCTTGACCTTGTGGAGGATGCCAGACATGTTGGTTAGTGGATGGTAGTGGTAGGTAGTGGTAGTGGTAGAATGAGAAGTAGATGGGATGTTAGCGATGGTTGTCTATCGTTGTGTGCTTGGATGGTAGAGCAGAGTAGAGCGTATAATAGGATGGAAGGTGGCGAAGGATGGATTCGCCATCAATATATAGACGCTCCCTCTCGAGGAATGTGCCGTGACGCCATGGAGGACAGTGAATGGGAGTATACCTCCTGCGTAGTAGAAGTGACACCAATGACGCTGGCCCGTCAGTCCAGGTGGAGCACGTGGAGCGGCCTCCGACGTCATCGCCGGAGATCCTGAGATCATCTCCAGCTTCTCTCCGCCCGCCAAGTCTCTGGGGATGCCCTTCAATGGATCAAAGTCATCGATCTCCGCGGTCTGCGCTGACTTATTACATCACTAGAGCCAAGGGCCAGGTTGCACGAAGTATGGTTGGTCCAGTATGGGATCGTGCTCAACCCCGTCGATTCTATCCGTGAGTGCCATCCCTGGTAGTGGTCGGATGCCAATGTCTAACGATCAGAATTATGGGGTAATTTCTTTTATCTGTGGTGTCTACTCTACAGCTCCATATCGAATGCGGATTTTCATTTGTCGTTCGGATGACCGAGATATATATACTTCACGAGTCGCCTTCGATGACCCTCAGACTACTTTGTGCTACTGCCGACAGTATTTCTGTGCTCCAGAAGTCGAGTAACAAACCCACTATTGCAGCACTCTCTGTACCAGTTTCACGGGCACCACCGAATCATCCAGACCCAACGCACCCCGGTACATCATCGGGTAGACATAAGATGGAAGGGACCACACGAGGAATGCGCCGACCCACACATATCCCACCGCCCTTTGCCTTTTTGACGGCGTTTCAGTCTTGTGCTGCGGTCGAATGAGACCATGAGCAGCCCTGAATAGCTCTTCGACTATGATTCCGACTATTTGCGTACAGAAAAATCGCATAGCTCCCGAGTCGTAAACAGGAATTCCCGCCGAGATGTCGATCAAGAAATGCATGAACCCCGACACGGCAAAGACCACACCCATGCGAGTGAATTTGGCACCTAGAGTATGCGGTTGGATTTTCATGAGCTCGTATGTCAGATATCGCGAGATGGAGTTGAGCTTGTGAGTGTTTGATTGATGCCACGAACAACTAACCCGGTTAGTATGATTCCACGGATCACGACGCAAAGACAATACTTACCTCCAGAATCCACGAAGAGTGTAAGCGTCGAAGATTGATCCGTAGAAGGGTGGCCAATCCTTGGGATCCGAGACACCCAGCAACACGCCGACGACGGCAAAAATGCAGTATATTCCACCTTGAGTGCAGACCAGACCGATTGCTGCACCAACCACGCAGCCAACGCGCATGAGAAGCTCTTCGCTCGAAATCTCACCCAGACGGCCAAAAACCGGGATTTTGGCTAGGGTGTAAAACCGCGCGTTCACTTCGGGATCGGCACTAGCACCTAGTATGTCCAGGAGAACATAGCTCACAAGAATTCGGGTGGCCATGCTACGCAGGAACACACTTCGAGTCGGGATATATTTTGGGTCGGTACTTGAGAAGCGCGGTACATTTTTGACTTGCTCGCGTGTCCCCACAAATCGACTGTTCCATGTGCTAGACAGACCCAATGCGAATCGCCGCATCCAGAACCTGTTTCTTGGATTCGAGTGGCTCAATTCAACAGTCCATCGTCTCAGAAGCACAAGGTCGATGTATTGGAAGAGAAGCGTCACGGAATGACCTCCTACCAAACTTGCCCAAGGACTACGCACGAGGTAGTCGATTGACGTTGAGATGCATTGCCAGACGCAAAGCGCGATAAATGGGAATGCACCCCATCGAAGGGCAGAACCGGCTGGGGTAAAACTAATGACGCCTGCTGTGACTATGGTCTGGATGAAAACGAGAATGACAGGATGTGCATACCTCCTGGGAGGTTTTGGAATGAAGTAGACGGGGCAATTACTCCGGAAATATAGGAAGAACAGATGGTGGTAGGGAAATAGGGGACCCAGAAAATAAGCGGTCTACTACGTCGATTAAGTACGGACAGGTCGACCTATTATCTACCGAATGGCAACCAAGATATTTCTTTGTCTCTACGGAGTATTACCAAGCGTTGGTTTAGCGTGTGTTGGAATTGCGATACCAACAGATCCTGATCCTGGCATTGGGCTTCCGAGCACCTACGCCTTACACATATATAAATAGCACTCGGAATACTCCTAATCCGCAGTCTTGATAAATTAAATTCCATGTCTGTAATGTAGCTTTTTCTTCTATGATGACCAACAGACCCATGTTGTACAGCCCGAGCAGCCAATCAGCGGTCGCCGGGCAACGCGGACCACAGACTTCCCAATCGGGCCACCCGGTGTCACGGGGCCAGCCACTAGGCGTCGATCGCGCTAAACCCAAGTGGGCCAAGTGGTGTGATAAGGAAGGGGACCTTCTGCTTCTCCGCATTGCAGCTCACCTCCTCTTCTCCTCTCCTCTCCTCTCCTCTCCTCTCTTCTCTCTTTCTTATCCTTCATTCCCTCTTCTCTTGTTTTGAAGACATCCCAGCTCTTCGTCGGCATTGTCAATCCCCTTTTCAAGAGCTTGGACATGACCATTAGATCAATGAAGTTCAACCCAGAGTAAGTTACCAGCTCTCCGTCATTGCGGGGAAACAGGCAGTTCCTGGAACTCTCTGCTTCCTTTCGTCACCCACTCCCAAGGACCTTCTCTTCCCTGGAAATTGTGTAATTAACTAATTTCCTCCAGGGTCCTGCTTGGAGCTCCTCGCCGATCAGGCGCAGTCCCCAATTCCTCCGGCACCCTCGCAGTCTACACTCAGACCTCTTACTCGTTCGAATCTCATTCGAAGACCAGTGAAATCCGAGTGCTGGACATTGCCTCAGGTCGCTCTGCCCTAGTCACCAATGATCCCGGGGCGAGCTCTCCGCAGTGGCTGGACAATTCCGACCAGATCGTTTGGCTGAAATCGAAGGCCAATGGCAACACTAGCTTCATTATCGGCGATGCGCGTGAAACGGACAAAACATACACGGCGGGCACGGTCCCAGGACCGGTATCCGATCTGAAGGTCACGGTTGTCGAACCGGGCAAGATTGGTTTTGCGGTGACCGGCAAGGCGAACCCGGACGGGTCGCTGTTCAATCCCCACGATGCCAAGAAGCCTCTCAGCACGGGAAAGCTGTATACCTCCCTGTTTGTCAGACACTGGGACTCGTACATCGAGCCCCAGAGGAATGCCATCTGGTATGGCTTGCTTCAGCGCGCTCCGCTGTCCCCGGCTACTAGGCACGCCGGCAAGTATTCTGTTTCGGGACTGACCAACTTGATCTCGGTGTCTGGCTTGGCTGGTGTTGAATCGCCCATCCCGCCTTTTGGGGGATCCGGGGACTTTGACATCAGTCCCAGTGCAATTGTATTCGTGGCGAAGGACCCGAGCTTGAACCCTGCCACGCATACCTCCTGCTCATGCTACTACTGCCCCATGTTCTCCTGGACCAGCATGGAAGCATCGCAGTCTAAGATCTGTACCGTCAAAGGTCTGGAAGGAGCCATGTCGTCTCCGGTTCTCTCGTCGGACGGCAGTTCGATCGCTCTTTTGGCGATGCGCGAGGACGGCTACGAGTCGGACAAGAACCGTATACTATACGTTCCCAACCCGTGGAATGGCGAGATGATCGAGGCGTTTGGATCGTCTGGTGGCGAGGGGCTTTGGAATCTGAGTCCATCGGCGTTGACTTTCGCCAACGACGACAAGTCGCTGTTCGTCCAGGTTGAGGAGAATGGACGCGGGGTGCTCTACCAGTTTCCTCTCGCCAATATCCGTCACTCCACCCCGGATGTGCTCAAGAAGATTACCTCCTCGGGTTACGTGACGGAGGTTTACCCGGCATCATCCAAGTCGTCTAGTCTTCTTGTTTCCAGTAATAGCTTGGTCGACAATAGCGTCTGGAGCATCGTTGATCCCGATTCTCCCGATAACACGCGTGTCATATCCTCCATTGGCCGGGCCGGAGCTAGCTTTGGACTTTCCGCCGCCCAGGTCGACGAAATCTGGTTCAAGGGAGCCGAAGACCACCCGGTCCATGCCTGGGTGGTGAAGCCGTCTCACTTCAAACCAGGAAACAAATACCCGCTGGCCTACTTGGTCCACGGCGGACCGCAGGGGGCGTGGAATGATCAGTGGAGCACGCGATGGAACCCGGCTGTCTTTGCCGAGCAGGGATACGTTGTCATCACCCCGAACCCTACTGGAAGTACGGGTTACGGACAGCCATTCACCGATGGGATCCGCGGAAACTGGGGCGGTAGACCCTATATTGATCTGGAGAAAGGCTTCGAGTACATTGAAAAGAACCTGGATTACGTGGATACCAGCCGGGCGGTGGCTCTTGGAGCGTCGTACGGCGGGTACATGATGAACTGGATCCAAGGTCATCCGTTAGGGCGTCGTTTCAAGGCTCTTGTGACCCACGACGGGGTCTTCTCCGTGCGCTCGTTGCTGAGTACCGAAGAGATGTACTTCCCCGTGCACGATCTTGAGGGCCCCATCTGGAAGGTCCCCGAGAACTGGGACCGATGGGATCCGTCTCGACACACTGGCAACTGGCAGACACCGCACCTGATCATCCACAATGAGTTGGATTATCGACTGACCATCGCCGAGGGGCTGGCAGCATTCAACGTTCTGCAGATCCGCGGCGTGGACAGCCAGTTTCTGACATTCCCGGATGAGAACCACTGGGTGCTGAATCCCGAGAACTCCCTGCTGTGGCACAACACCGTCTTCAACTGGATCAACAAATATGTCGGACTTCCTCCGGTCACCAGTCCCCCGGAGGAGAATTTGTCGAACAAAAGGAACTCGCTGGAAAAGGGACTGAGTAAAATGGCGCTTTCATAACCACGTTTTACTTAGCCTAGGTTCCCTTTCAATGGTGCCGGAGATTGGAACATAATGATCTTTATGCTAGCTGGAATTTGACGGTATATTATCCTCGGACAATGGCGATTTAATACACCATCCCTTTGCTGTATGCGCGGAGACAAAGGCGCAACAATGCACGTAATTCAAGTGGATCGACACTGAATGGGGACTTGACACAAAACCTCATTTGGGAGTCTTTTTGTCCATTGTCGACGATCTTTCAGAACACAAAGATAAGATCTTTCTTTCTCGTCGCATCTATAATTAATCTCTTTCTCAGGAGTCTCCACCCGCAACATAAAAGTCACCACCATCCACCGTGGTTCATCTCGTTGCGAAGTGCTTACCACGTTCAATCTAATCTGTCGCAACGATATACTTCAAGTTCATCTTTGCCTTTGCAGAAATCCTCTTCGCTGACGGATATACTTATAAAGCGTGCCTACCTCCTTTCAGGTAAATAGATCCAGGCCCCATCCTCATCACCGGCCTCTTTCATTTTCATTGTCTACTGTCATATCATATAGCTACAAAACTGCCGAAAATGATGGGCCGGGGCAATCGTTCCACTCGCCCTTCCCGCCTCTCGGTCGAGCCTTCGACGCCCAAATCCAACGAATTCCAGTTTGTGTACTCACCCGCAACCAGTATATCGAGCTGCATGTCGTCAGAGGTCGACACTCGCTGCACTTCCCAAGTCGACCCGCTCTTCTACTCCGTCGTGAATCATCTCCAGACACCCCTTTGCCCGCTCATCTCCAGCACCACAGGCCTCCAGCATCCTGAGTTCCCTGGTACCATCCTCGCCTACCACCTACTGACCTCGCGCCAGCTGGACGATCTGGCCCGCCATTACCACCAGATCTACCCCCCGGTAGCTGCAACTTCTTATTACCCCATCACCATTCCCCCGTGGGTGGGCGCCTCCGACGAGTCCGACGTCAACCTCGACACCAAGCGTCGCCGCTTCGGCCGCTTCATCGGGCTTCGTGGTTGTGAATCGCCCGTCCAGTGTGATTACAACTTCGACGACGATAGGATGGATACCGACCCGGACGTTGCCATTCCGTGCGATCCGCTGCCTCTGCCTCAGTGCGAGCCTCAGCAGGCGGCACCGCCGGCGGAAGAAACTGAGGCGGAGATGCTGGCGCGCATGGATCGCGAGTGGCAGGAGTGTCTGCTGCATGCGCGACAGGACTCGGATGCTGCATTGCGGTTGAAGATGAACGGGTTCTGAGTTGGACGTGGATTGGATATTAGAGATTGGGTAATTGGGTAAATTTAAATATCCTTTTTTTTTCTTAGAAATTCTTTTAGCCTTTAAGCCAGCGATTTTACTCTATGATACCTTGTCTGTCTCCGTATACTACCTAGGAATGGAAGAACCAATCAACCAGTAGCCCTACAAGATGCAACACCTAGTCCAGAACGGACTGTAGATAATGAATTCCTCCGTTTAGCCGTCTCGCCCGTCCTGCGGGGTAAACTCTTGGTCTTCAACTCCATGTCTCTCTTTAGCCGGCGGATAAACACGCTGCCTACTAGTATATAACCTGACCATCGACACCATAAACACCACCACCCCATACCCATCCTCATCCCATATACCAATCCAATTCACCCAACAAACGCAATCCAATCCACCAAAATGTCTATCCCACCCCTGATCAACCACATCTACACCGCGGACCCCTCCGCCCACGTCTTCAACGACCGAATCTACATCTACCCCTCGCACGACCGCGAATCCACCATCCCCTTCAACGACAACGGCGACCAATACGACATGGCCGACTACCACGTCTTCTCGCTCGACGTCCCCGGCGACCCCGCCTCCGTCACCGACCACGGCGTCGTCCTCTCCACCCCCGACGTCCCCTGGGCCTCGAAGCAGCTGTGGGCTCCCGACGCGGCGTCCCGCAACGGGAAGTACTACCTGTATTTCCCGGCGAGGGACCACGAGGGCGTGTTTCGGATTGGGGTTGCGGTGGGGGAGAGGCCGGAGGGGCCGTTTAGTGCCGAGAGGGAGTATATCAGGGGCAGTTATAGTATTGATCCGGCGGTGTTTGTGGATGAGGTGGAGGGCGGGGGCGATGGGAGGGGGTATTTGTATTTCGGGGGGATTTGGGGTGGGCAGTTGCAGTGTTGGTCGAGGGGAGGCTCATCGTCAGGAGACGGGCAAGGGGAGTGGGAATTCGACGCCTCGAAGACCGGACCGCAGGAGCCTGCCGGGGCTGGGGAGAAGGCGCTGTTTCCTCGTGTGGCGCGCCTCAGCGAGGATATGTTGTCGTTCGACACCGATGTGAAGGAGCTGCAGATCCTGGATGAGGCCGGGGCCCCCATCGCGGCGGATGATCATGACAGACGCTTCTTTGAGGCTGCCTGGATGCATAAGTATAATGGGACTTACTACTTCAGCTACTCGACGGGCGATACGCATTATCTGGCGTATGCGACGGGGAAGAGTCCCTGGGGTCCGTTCACGTATCGTGGTCGTATCCTGGAGCCGGTGCTGGGATGGACGACGCATCATTCGATCGTGGAGTTTCGGGGCCGTTGGTATTTGTTCTATCATGATTGCGAGCTGTCCGGGGGTGTGAGTCATTTGAGGAATGTCAAGATGAGGGAGATCGGGTACGATGAGAAGGGGGAGATTTATTTGAAGGAGTAGATGGGATTGACAGTGTATATATGGATTTGATGGAGTTAATGGCTCATTCCTTTCTCCCAGTTCTCTACCACTAGGTTCCAGTACTTCTCGCGACTGCGCGTCCGGAACGTCTTCCCCCATTTGATCATCACTAGGAAGACGGCGGAACAGGCCATGCCGATGAAGGCGGCCGAGATGAAGCAGTTCTGGTATCCGAGGTTGTTGATCCACGGTGTGATTCTGGTTGAGGTTAGCAGATGATCGCGCAAGATGGAAGTGAACGCACCCGTAGCCAATGGCAAAAGACATCGTGTTTCGCACCAGGATGATGCTGGCCATTGCGTCGCCACTCAGCTCCCGGTAGCTGTCCACCATGTAGTTGACGCTGAGCGTGATCCCACACGTGTTGGCCATGGCCAGAACGCACATGGCAACTAACAGTCCGAACCAGTGGACGTGGTGGGCCGCGCCCACACCCCAGAGAATGAGGGCCCCCGGAAGTATGATCAGGCAGATTGCAAAGGGCCAGAGACGCTGCTCGGCTTCCATGACTCCGTTGTTGCGGCGCGCCAGGCGAATAGTCAGCCAGTCGCTGAAGCGGCCGGTGAATAGGGATCTGTTGACTTGTCAATGTGCTGCCCTAGAGTCTGCGCTGGTTATGTGCATACCCGAGGACTACCCCGATACAGCATGCAACGTAGCTAAGTCCAACCATCGAGGAACTGCATTATGTCAGTTTACGCTTCGGGTCTCGGATGAAGAAGTATACCTGAAGTTGTACGGCGCAGAGCCCAAAATTATCGAGGCAGTGGCATTCAACACGTTAAACCACACCAGATAAGACCCGTAGGAGAACCCCGCGTAGAAGATCACCGGCCATGATAGATAGTACAGCGTGTGGTAGAGCCGCCGAAGCATGTTGTTCCTGGGCTGTCGAGGCCCCCACAGAGACAATTTCTGGAGATACGTCTTCTTCGTGTAGACCGTGCCGTATGCCGTGTCTCCTTGCGAGTCAGCAGGTACCGTCTTTTCCGGGTCGCCATGCTCCGAAGTCGTGGTAGGCGACTCAACGGCACCCCCCGGTGTGGAATGAGCCGTGCCACGCGAATAGCTCGTCTCCTCCATGAAGAAGAACAGGAACACGACAGCACAGGCGCAGAAGATGGCAGGCCAGTAGAACACCCATTCCCAGCCGTGATATTCGGCGATAAACCCGCAGATCACCGGCGCAAAGTAGTTGCTCCCGGCGAGAAAGAAGGCATACAGAGCCATGTATGTCCCCCGTTCGTGGGTGAAATACTGCATTTCCGTCAGCAAAGAAGGTCTTCAAGTACGACAGAAGCAGTCCTACCACATCCGTGACAGACACCTCCGGAAGAGCTTCAATTGGGGCCGTGAAGAACCCGGCAAGGATGCTGCGGCCAATCCATTGCCCGTTGCTAGTTATGAAGGGACTATTTCTGTCAGCGTCGTTACTGTGATGGTTTAATTGCATGCTTACCCCCATATCAGGGCACACTATTCGCAGACACCATTTGTAGTCAGCTAATCAACTCCAATTGGAAGGTCTCGAAGAGTCGTACCGCGGCTCCAATCAGAGAAAAGATATAAGTGAACCGTTTGCCGTACTGCAATGCAAACGGCTGCCAAAACAAAAGACTCCAGCCTGCCAGCAGAAACAGATACCCCGTCCCCTCGTTCAACGTACTGACGCTGACGCCTGTCGCTTCAGAGAGAGGAACCAGAACCGAGTAGACGACCGAACATGCGATTCCATTGAACATGGTGTACCTTGGCCGATATCAGCGGATGCTGTCCTTCTCCGCGTCGGAGACTCTGTCAACTGAATCGACTTACACGCTAACACAGACGGTAGACAGCAGCTTCCGTCTCGGAGACCAATTCAGAGGGTCGTCGGGATCATTGGACGGTTGCGGAACCAGAACGATGTCACTATCGCCGCGATCCAAGTGACGACTCGCCATGACATGGTCCAGATCCACCAGAGTAAATGTCCCCGGGACAGCATCCCGGTCCACATTGGGTGCCATGGTGTGTGTGGGTGGGTGGTGAACAGTCAAAAGAGTAGAAGGACGGGTTCAGCTGGCGGGATGACGTGGGGATGGAACAAAGGGAGAATAAGACTGAGCCATGAACTCATCGCTTTCCAGCGGAAGAGACGCGGAATATAAACTCGGACCGGCATCGAATCAGGACGCAGCGACAGGTGGGTGGGATCAATCCATCCCTTGCATTCCAGCTGTTGATATCGACGCTTTGGTCACGCTCCACTGTTGGACTCTGTGCCACCTCCACCTTTCAGCCCACATAGTTATCTGATAAACACGCGGAAAAGAGTCCGCTATGCCGAGGGATCCAATGACAATGAGTGCTGAGGGGAAATCCGGGTGTTATCGCGAGGTTGTAGAGAAGGAATGGATCCATGATAAGTTGGAGAGGAAGCGGGGTGGCTGCCAATGGCGACTGTCGCTCTCGTGCGGAGTCGCCGGCGGTCTTGGAAGAGCTTGTCGAGGAGCTTAGCAGGACCCTACGCTGGACACCTTCCATTCAATTCTGGTCCATAATTCTGGTCCATATCTGCAGAAAACCCGCTGCAGTCAATGCAATTGAAATATGAGAATGTAACTAAAACTAGTCCGCCACCAGGAGACAAGACCGAGAAGATATGTTCAGCATTAGGCACATATGATACAATCCGGTCAGCCCGGATAACGCCAGACGCAAGAAAAACAGATAATACAAGGCTAGCAATTTCAGTTGGACGCATTCAGATCCCTCTCAACTCGAGCTACCGGCCATGTTGTCATCGTCCCCGAGCTCCGTGATGACATCCTTCAGGATCTGAATCAATTCATCGATGTCGGGGCGCTCCGCCGGTTCCACCTGCAGGCATTTCCGCACGACCTCCTTCACGGTCGGGCTGATCGACGTGGCGCCGTCCTTGGGCGCTTCCTCGCCGGCTTTGCCTTTGCCCTTGCCGGTGCTCGGTTTCTCGTCGGGGAACCTCCAGTCGCCCCCGAGCACACACATGCTCAGACTGCCTCCGGTCTCTTCACTGCGAGCCTCGAAGGGGCTCTTGCCCACCAAGCACGCGTAGAGCGTGCATCCTAGGGACCAGATGTCCACCTTGGTGTCGATGACGGACCCGGTCTTGACGTCAAAGAGTTCGGGCGCCCGGTAGGGCATCGTACTGTGCTCCGCGGCGGTATCTTGGACCGCCAACGCCAATGAACGCGAGGTAATGGCGATGGGACTGGGGGCCAGCGAGCCGAGATCCATCAAAATCGGGGTTTGTCCGTCATCATCGATCATGATGTTACCTGCAAGGGTCTATTAGTCGGGCGTTATTTGATCGTGGGGATTGAAGTCCGACATACCGGGCTTGATATCTCTATGCGCATACGGGCGCAAATCGCCGTCTTGGATTCCTTCTTGGCTTCTCGTAACCTCATCATCCATCAACGGCTCATTCTCCTCGTCGTCCTCGTCCACCTTCTGGCTGGCGCGTCGCTTCGGTTTGGGCATTCGCATGCCAACCTCTGCATCTGCCTCCTCGCCCTCGCGTCTGACGGCCTTCGCTTTGCGGGTAGTTCCGGCGCCGCTCTTCACGCGGTACTGGTGCATCGATCGCAGGGCCGTGGCGACTCCCAGCATCAACACCATCAGTCGCTTTTCGGGGAATCGGGTATGATTGACCAAGTTGGCATTGATGGAATCCTGGAGGTTTCCGCGCTGGTAGTACGGCAGCAGGATGTAGACGGTCTTAGAGCCGGGATCCCCTCCATCCGATCGGAACTTGGAGCCTGGCTCCGTGGAGACGCAATGGTCTATCGAGTGGATGACATTCGTCTGGTTCGTAAATAGGTTGTAGGCCTCCACCTCTTTCAGCGCCTGGGAGACGGATTCCTGGCCGAACGGACATCGGATTTTCTTCAGCGCAAACAGCTCGGAGGTGGATTTATCTTGCACGAGGTAGACGTAGGAAAAACCGCCCTGTGATGTTTTCGGGATGTCAGCTAGCTACCTTCGGGGGAGTCCACAGAAAACAGGATGACGGACTTCACCGAGCAGGCGCAGCAATTTGAAGCTGCGGTTGTTGATCTTCAGTTGCGGCGTGCTGGGGAAACAGCACATGCAATCGGTGAAGTTGTATAGCAGGTCGAAAAAGTACTGAGCCATGATGACGACGGTCGGGGGTTCTGGCGGATCATTCAAAATCGGACGAGGCGACCGAGCAAAGCCGGAGAGGGAAGGGAAGAGCGAAAGCGAGAGAGCCCGTGGCAGGACGGGGAAATCGAGGTGACGGAGGAGCTCCACCGGCGTGGATGGGGAAAAGGTGGTCCGGTAAGGGAGAAGGAGAGAGATGAAGTGAGAGAAAGCGAGACAAGTGGCCGCAGGACAGGTAAGGGGCCAGGCAACGGCCAAGACCGGTGGTCTACTACTGATGGGGATGGGTGTTGATTCGGGGAATTCAGGCAGTCCTTCAGGTTGGGAGTATTCATTCAAGACTGACGAGACTCTGGCAGTCAATACTAAGATATACTTGGGTATACCACTCGGTAAGGTACCTGTAGGTCCTGATAGTTCAGGCAAGAGCATCGTCTGAGGCAGCGATACCGTATGGTCCGTGTTCGTTACGGTCCCCCGCCAATCAGACGTGCAGCCACTAGTCGCTCCTCATCAGTCGATGTTCCCAAGAAGATCAAAATCATAACAAAAGATTAAATTGCAGTGGTTGCAGTGCCAGATCGCTCGCTATATCTCGACGTCGCTCCATCTCTGCCAAACCCTCCACTCCCAAAAGTGGATTCCCCCCCCCCCCCCCCCCTCGCTGCCCAACTGTTCATCCAGAAACAATCCTCCGAGCAGGACGAACTAGTCGACACGATGTGCCCGCGTCGATGATCCGTCATTCTTCCTCCCCTCTGCTTTCTTTGGCTTTCCTATTGCCTCCTCGCATGATTCCCTTTGCTTCTGTTTTTCCTTTCCTTTCTTTTCGGGGCTTTTCGTCTGACCTGTCCGCCTTTTTCGGGTTCTCCTTTTTCTTTCCTTGATTAAATAAAACCCACCGACATCCTTTGCCTCCCTCCTCTTTCTTCCCCGTTGTGGGCCTCTCTCTCTCTCTCTCTCTTTCTCCCTCCCTCTATCGGTGTCGTCGCCCAACACACCCTCACAAAATGGCGCCCCTCGATGACGTCCAGGTCGGGGATCTGGTGAATGTTCCCGGGGGCATGTACGGCACCGTCAAATACCTGGGAGGCGTGGCCGGGAAACCGGGCAAATTCGCAGGAATTGAACTGGCGTCGGAGCATGCCAGGAGGGGGAAGAACAGTGGCGATGTCGAAGGCAAGAAGTACTTCAACACGTCCATGCCGGGCTCCGGAATCTTCGTGCCCATGAACAACAACAAGTACGTCACGAAACGGCCCGGCGCTCCGGCTTCCGTCACCGTCAATCCGCCCACGCCGGCGCGCCCCGTGAATTTCAGCAAATCGGTCGGCCCCAGTCCGTCGGTGCGGCCTCCGCGCATGAGACGGCCCTCGCTGCCCCGTCCCGAATCCCCTCGTGGTCCTCCGCCCTCCAAGCTGAGTCTGGCCGGTCTGCGCACCCCCTCCGCCGCCTCGAGGGCCGGTCCCAGTCCCAACGGCTACCCGCGCAGCCCCGTCAAGCCCCCGTCCCGTGCCTCCGATCGCCCTCCCTCTCGCGTGAGTGGTGTGAGTGCCGCCGCCGACGACGATGTGTCGTCCTCGAGGACGTCCGACTTCGGCCGCAACAATGCCATGGTCGCCGAGATGCAGGAGTTGCGGGACCAGACGAAGAGCCTGGAGAGGCAACTGTTGGACCGCGATAAGCAGCTGGACGAGCAGGCCCATACGCTGGCCGACTTTCAGCGCACCTTGGAGGAGCTGGAGGGCTCCGATGCGTTATCGATCCGGGCGCAGTTGCGCGAGAAGAACGAGAGAATTGCCCAGTTGACGGCGGAGTTCGACCTGCACCGAGCCGATTTCCGGAGTACCCTGGACACGTTGGAAGTGGCGGCGTCCGAGACCGAACGTGTCTACGAACAGCGCTTGGATGAACTACTGCAACAGAACAAGGAGCTCCAGGACCGCGGTGAGGATGTCGAGGAGGTCGCTCGTCAACTCAAGCAGCTGGAGGAGTTGGTCTCGGAACTAGAGGAGGGCCTGGAGGATGCTCGACGTGGCGAGGCTGAAGCCCGCGCGGAAGTTGAGTTCCTTCGAGGGGAGGTGGAGAGAACAAAACTGGAGCTGAAGAAGGAGCGTGACAGCTCTGCCGCAACGCTACATGAGGCTCACGCGACCGCGGACGGTCAGCAGCACTCGCGAGAACTGGACCAAAAGGACGACGAGATCCGCGGACTAAAAGCGATCATTCACTCCTTAAGTCGGGGCGATCCCAGCTTGCCGGCACTTCAGCAGAATGGCTACGCAACGAACGGCGGCCCCGAGCACGATCCAGATCACGTCTCGCACCTGGAGCAACGGGTGCAGGAATTCGAGCAGATCACGGAGCGGAAGACCTACCGCATCGAAGAGCTTGAGCGCGAGCTTCAGCAGCTGCAGGTCAACGGCAGCGGTCGGACTCGCAGTTCTACCGTCACGGCCGCGCCCACCCAGCACAAACCATCCGGTTCGACGGGAAAGATTGGAGCCCCCAATACGGTCAACCATGCGCACCGACTGTCGGATCGCACCGTGGTGCCTAGTGACTGGCATGATCAGCCGCAGCATGAGGAGCAGCAATATCAGGCCTACCCGGGACATCTTCGTCGCCCGTCCGACTCGTCCCGTCATCGCCTAGAGACCATGCACGAGTCCGACGGTCGCTCTGACGACGGCGGCTCGTTGTGGTGCGAAATCTGCGAGACCGGCGGCCATGACATCCTGACCTGCACGAATATGTTCGGCGCCGACAACAAGAGCAAAGCCTTTTCCAAGGAGGAATCCCACAACGAAGTGTCGGCGGATGAGAAGCCCACTCCGAGTACCTCCACTGATATAGACACAGCCTCCTCGAGCCACGAAGAGAGTACCACGCCCCAGAAGACCGGACGAGACGCCGCCATGGAAGGGATGACAGCAATGACAAATATGCCCCCTTCTTCCTCAGCGGATGCGGTCGCCGGAAAGTCCAGCGGAGTCGTGGACGAGACGAAGTGGTGCGCTCTCTGCGAGAAGGATGGTCACGAAAGCATCGACTGCCCGTTTGATGATTAATCGGGTTTGAATGTCGATTGATGAGACATGGTCATTGATGACCCCAGTCATTTCTCCCTCTATAACCTTTTTCGATGCTCTTCGCCCTGGTGATGCGAGATGGTAGTCCTTGAGCGAGTTCATTCTTCTTTTCTACCGACTCGGTGATTTCTTTATTGTCTTTAATCTCACGTTGTATCTCCACGCATCTGGAGATCGCGGATCCTCTTTAGAGCCTTGCAGAATCGTTTTTTCGGCTGCTGGCTGTTGTCCTGATTCATTTTTTGATATCCTCTCTTTTTTTTTTTCAGTTGGGCGAAATTTCATAGAATGCCTGCCCGGGTCAGCACATTGGCCGGCCCACCTGTACTGCATATCCGTGTCTATAGCTCTTTTCTTCGTGTCTTTCATTTCCGTGTTTCTATGGTCTGGATGGGTCGATCTACTCTCCTCCGGTCCCCTCATCTCTTTCCCTCTCCAGACCGTTTTGTCATCTAAATTCTCATTTTCTGCTCATCCCCCTTTCTTCCCTCTTTATACATATTCTAGACTCGGTCTAGACTAATTCAGATAATTCAAGACCATCCCACTGTGAACTCCTCACTTGGTTATTAGTCTGATTTACAATATCATCAACATCGTGATATCACATTTTCGGATCTGCCACACCGGGCTCTTCCGTTTCGTTTCGTTTCGTATCGCTTCGCTTCGTTACAACATCACCCGTAGATCAAGATAAATAGATAGTAGATAAAACCCCTGGCCTCGACTAGTACGTCCCCTACTCGGGGAATCTAGTCGGCTGCACAATCTCCCCCTCCTGGTATCTGCTCTCCGCAAGGGCGCCGCACGCCTTGCAGGTGCGCTTCTCCTCGTCGCCGGCAAACTCCTCGACCACCGCCTTGACCTGCGTGCCCAGGTCCGTGCAGATGAACTGCTTCTCCCACACCACCTGCCCGCAGCTGCGACAGTACCACCGCATCACGTCCACGGCGTCCTTCTCCCGCGGCACCTCCATCACGACCCCCACCGTGTCGCGGAACCGCACGGGACTGTGCGGTGTGTTCGCCGGTAGCAGGAACAGCGACCCCTCGTGGATGGGAATGTCCTGGAAGACGGCGGGCGAGACGGAGGTGTCGACGGTCTTGAGCAGCATCGACCCGCGGTGCTGGTAGAAGAACTCCGGCGTCGAGTTGATGTGGTAGTCGGTTCGCGCGTTGGGGCCCCCGACGATCATCACGGTGTAGCCGGAGGTGGCGGGCGAGGACGGGTGGTAGACGCAGTAGTTGTTAACGGGGGGTTGGAGAAGGTGGGAGTTGGTCTCGAGCCTGTTGGTCTGGCATCAGTGGGATTTTCTCTCGTGGGATCGACCCGGAAGAGTGCTGCGGGGGAGGGGCAGGTTAGGAATTGTGGATAGACGAGCTGGTACTACCATTTAGGGATGTTGAGAGCTGGTGGAAGCATTGCGGCGGGTTCCAGGTAGAGAGGATGGTATCTTGACAGAGTCGAGGTTCGCAAGTGGTCGATATACTGAAGTACTCGATCACTTCAGCGCCGGGATACTTTTTGTCAGATGATGCGCATCCATTCCGCCCGGAGATAACAAACAGCCTAAAGTCCGGATCGGAGCGGAACAACGTGCTCCCGGTCATTTTTCTCCGGCCGCATTTTTTTCTTTCGCGGAGATCCAATCGCGGTCAAGAGCATCACCACCGTCCAATTCTTTCATCACGGGGATCCGGAGAGTCTCCAGTTCCGTCAATATGTCGTCGACCTCGCAGCCCCCCCTCCGGTTTACTTCCCACAAAAATTTTGTGTATCGCTTGGTCTTCGCGACCTTGACTGGCCGAACCGTGCACATTTCTCAGATCCGCCCTTCGTCTGATAACCCCGGTCTGACTCCGTACGAAATTTCGTTCCTCCGCCTGCTGGAGGCCGTCACCAATGGATCGCAAATGGAGATCTCCTACACCGGAACGATTCTTGTTTACAAGCCGGGTCTCATCACCGGCAGCGCGAGCGGTGCCGGTGCCAACAGCAGTGGTGTCATCAGGCATGAGCTTCCCGCTGGGTGTACCCGCGGCGTCAGCTACTATCTTCTGCCTCTCTGCCTTCTTGCGCCCTTCTCCAAGGCTCCTATGCGAGTGCTCTTTACGGGTCCCGGAGTGATTACGTCGTCTACGCCAACTGGCGATATGTCAGTGGACAGCGTGCGCACGGCCGTCCTGCCTCTCTACAACCAATTCGGAATTTTCAACAACATCGAACTTCGGGTGCTCCGGCGATCTAATCCGGGTCCGCATGGCAGGGGTGGCGGCGGAGAAGTTCAGCTTGTCTTTGGTCACCAAGTCCGCCTGCCGAAGACCCTTCACCTGATGAATGCCGGCAAGATCAAGAGGGTTCGCGGCGTGGCCTATTCCGTCGGCGTTTCGGGGTCCAACAACGCACGAATGATCGAAACCGCGCGTGGGATTTTGAACCCCTTATCACCCGACACCTATATCTTCTCTGATGTGTCCCCGGCTCCACTTATGCCCGCTCCCGAGAAAACCAACGCGTCGGCAAAGAAGAAGATTGGGCTTGGATTTGGGCTGTCTCTGGTGGCCGAATCGTCGACTGGCTGTCTATTTTCCGCGGATGTCGCGTCTCCGCCCTCGGGTGGACAAGCGCCTGAGGATATCGGGAAGCAGTGCGCCTATCAGTTGCTGGAGGTCATCTCCAAAGGCGGCTGTGTCGCGCCGGCCGCGGTGCCCACCATGCTGGGACTGATGACTATGGGATCGGAGGACGTTGGTCGCATCCAAGTCGGTCGCGACGTGATCGCCGACGAGAGCACGATTCAGTTGGCCCGCGACCTGTCCAAGTTCGGAGCGCCTGGTTGGGGTCTTCGCGACGCGGCCGGGGAGAACGAGAATGGCGACGTCATAATCAGCGTGGTCGGACGAGGCATTGGCAACGTCGGCCGCAAAGTCGCCTGATCGCAGACGGTCAGAAGAGAGGGCTTCACCACCATTGGCTGCCCCCTGTTCGTCTTCTCGGGAATTTGATATCTTGGTTACAGCGGTGTTTCAGAAAGCAGCCAGGTTGCAAGGGACCCGTCGACGCATCCGACTACCTCAGCGAGGGTCCGTGTGGACCCGTTGGGGGACAGGCCGAAGAGAAGGGGTTTCAGATTTGCACGAACGACGGCGACCCGGACACCACGTAAGCCAGGTGAAATCATTTCTACCTGCCTAACTTTGGACGGTCGGGCTTCATTTGAAGGCGAGGGACACCACGTATGCAGCCAGACTTTCACCGCTCCGTTGATTGGCCCCGAGCCACGTGGCGGCGTTCGCGCCAAGCGGACAACAACAACTTGCTTCACCTGCAAGGGAGCGCAATTGAAGTGAAACACTGTCACCGCTGGAGGAGAAAATGGCTTGGGACATGGCATTGGATTGGGAATGGACGGTTCGGGGGTTTTGTTGCTGGCAGTTGGGCCTCATGACCGGGGGATCGGTGTGCCTTCCCCCTTGGTTCAATCTTGTATATAATACTAGGCAATCCACGCCGGAATTTTCCTCTAATTTGGTCTCTCTACTTCTTTCCTCGAATTCACTACCTCCCCAGTACCTATCTACCTAATCCTACCTCTGACAGTCACTCCGGAACCCTCCAGCACCGGCTGACGTCGCGGGAGGAAAGTTCCGCTACTTCGCCCATCGCAGCTTCCCTTCTCGGCAGGTACGATGTCACGACTGTGCGCGCCTTCCCTTTTCGACGACTTCACCCTCTTCCCCGCCCGTTTTTCGCCTCCCAATACATTCCCGCTGCTGCCTGCTGCCTTCCTCCCTCTTTCCTTCCTTCCTCCACATCTCTCTGCTTTCCACCTCCCTCCTCCCACTTCCCACTTCCACCCCCACGATAGAACCAGTAACGCCTTCCGTTCATGACTGCCAGTCTCCCATTCTCGAGCCCCTCGCATGCCAGTAAGTCCTTCCTCCAGGCTGCTGCTGATATGTGGACTCCCTTAGGCATCCGCTCAATCACGGACATGACTTTGTGGTGGCTCGACCACCCAAGCTGATACTAACGCTTGAGATGGACTTCGGTTCACTTGCAGCTTATCCATTACCACCTCCTGGCAGAGCATCTAGCCTCGCATCGTGGCAGGCCCAGTAAGTGACAGAGCTTGTACGTGCCATCCGCTCCTTCCAACTTGGACACGTTCTGACAAACTCAACAGGCTGGCTAAAAAAAACTTCCGGCCACACCGCAGGCAAGCTCCCAAAAGGGACATGCTCTGGTGAGACGCCACTCCCTGTGATTGCCTTTGCTGTGTGCTTGATTTTAATCTGGCACAGTCCTCAAATTCCAAGCCACACGCCACACTCCGGTCGCCTCCGCGCCTTCGTGCCTCCTCCAGGACTATCCTCAGTAGATAGCCCGGCACCGTGGACAGGCCCAGTGAGTGACAGAGCTTGTGAGTCATGTAAGGTCCGATCTTCTGATCGATCAGTTGCTAATGCTCAACAGGCTGGCTAAAAACAATCGTCCACACCGCGGGCTTAGCTCCCACACAGGACATGATCTTGTGAGAAGACAGCCTCATTCCTTACTCTTGCTGTATGGTTCTAACCAGCATAGGCCTCAGACTCCACGCCACACACGATCCCATGCTCATCATCGCGCCTCGATCGAGTCTTCGTGCCTCTCTTGCCTCCCTCAAGTCTTTGCCTCTCTGCAGCCTGGCACCGTGGACAGGCCCAGTAAGCGACAGAGCTTGTATGCTTTCTGGGTTCCACCTTCTGGATGAGAGGTTTCTGATAATCAACAGGCTGGCTAAAAACAATCGTTCACACCGCGGGCTTAGCACTCTCTCTCCCACCAGACCGTGAGTAGCTACCCTTTCGTACGAGACGATCATCTGCTGACTATGACTGCAGGTACAACCCTTTATCCGGTCGAGAGGCAAAAGACAAAAAACAACAAATCAAAAAAAAAAAAGAAAGAAAGAAAGAAAGAAAAAAGCTCAACGAGTCTCACAGTAGCTGCTCCGCGGGCAAGCCCAGTAAGTGACAGAGCTTGTAAGTACACCGCTCCTTTTACTATGGGCGCCCTCTCTAACGATCCCTCTAGGCTGGCTAAAAAAACTCCGCCCGCACCGCAGTGAAGCGATTCTTACTTCCACAAAGCGTGAGTAGCTACTCTTCTTCCGAGGCGATTATCCGCTAACTATGGCTGCAGTTTAAAAAATATCAGTGAGACTCACCAGTAGCTGCACCGTGGACAGGCCCAGTAAGTGACAGAGCTTGTAAGTTTATCGCTCCTTCGATTGTAGACGATATCATTAACAATCCTCTAGGCTGGCTAAAAAAACTTCGTCCACACCGCAGCGAAGCGAGCCCTCCCTCCTCAAAACGTGAGTGACTGTTCTTTGCACGAGGTGAATGTCTGTTAACCATGGCTGCAGATAAAAAAAGAAAGGGGAAAAAAGAGAGAGAAAACAAAGAGAAAAAAAATAGTGAGACTCACAAGTAGTTGCACCGTGGACAGGCCCAGTGAGTGACAGAACTTGTAAGTACATCGCTCCTTTTGCTTTTGTTGAAGGGATTCTCATTGACAACTCCTTCAGGCTGGTTAAAAACACTCCGTCCGCACCGCAGCGAAGCGAGCCCTACCTCCTCAAAGCGTAAGTAGCTGCTCGCTGTCCGGAGTGATTGTCTGCTAACTATGACTGCAAGATAAAAAAAAAAAAAAAAAAAGCTCAGTGAGACTCACAGTAGTTGCCCCGCGGGCAAGCCCAGTAAGTGACAAAGCTTGTGAGTACATCACTCCTTTCGCTTCTGTTGTGGAAATTCCTATTGACAATCACATCAGGCTGGCTTAAAAAACTCCGCCCGCACCGCAGCGAAGTGAGAAGCACTTCTTCAAACCGTGAGTTGCTGACCTTGTAATCAAGGGAGTATCTGTCTAACAAGTCATCCAGCCAACAATTCTTCGATGGAGAGCATTATGAGGAGTTTGAGGTTGGTTGAACTGGTTGGGAATGGGTGTTCATGTATTCACAATTCATGTACTAGATCATGTCCTGGCCGAGGTTTTTACCTTTCGAGGATGTTTCCCTTGGCCTAGCGGATAACTATCGCGACCCAAATGGGAGGACTAATCTTTGTTGCTCAAATCAAAAATGGTAACAAAGTCAAACCATCCCCGATGAACCGTAGGTCGTAGGTAGTGGGTATCTCATATAATCAATGATATTTCATGAAACCAAGACCATCAAGAGACATCAGTAGAGACTCCAAACCGCATCCAGAACCGTCACAATATTCCCTATCGTAAGATTCCATAAATAGAGCGACCATCGTCGCGTCCCAAGCAAAGCACAGACAGAATCCCAGACGCAGGCACGATGCGCGTAACCACCACCTCGCGGAACGAGCCAATCGGCCAGATCCCCAAGGCGACCAAGAAACCAGCCAAGGAGCCTGCCGACTGCCCAGCCTTAGGCATCTTCGTCGCGTTGCGCCCCTCGATATGCTAAACTAGACTACGTGCGTATACTATGACCTGTCAATAGCGGTACAGGGGCTTTTGGAACTACCTGATTTACTTTAAGAGAGATGGAGGATAGTGAAGTCATGCCATATTTTGCTGATCTATTTCTAATTTCTTATTTCCTTCTATCATCTGTAGGTTATAGGGGATGACCGAAACCCAAAGTCAAGCGTTGTATGGAGCTTGAGCAGAAAGAAAAGGCATGCGAGGGTAAGTGCTGATGCGAATGCAAATGAAAAATGACAGGTATATATAGCGAAAAGAACATAATCACAAATAACAGAAGTCCTGAACGCCTTGCCGATGCCGAGTCAACCCTTGAAAACGAAGATCAGAAATGCAGATGAAAGAGGAAGAAATAAATAGAAATAGGAAAGGCAGGGATGCCGGTTGTTGAATAAAGATCAACGGGGTATAGAGTCAACAGAAGTAGAACAGAAGAAAGGAACAGGGCATGTAGGTAGGCAAGAGGCCAAATAAACATCATCATCAAAGCAGAACAAAAAGAAACGCAAAAAACGGGAAGTCAAAAGAGATAAAAGTATGAGGTGGATAGCAAGCTTATTCCGAGACATCCTCATCCTTGCCGGGGAACATGATGTCTTTTCGAAGAACAGCCCGAACATTGCTGACCAGAACAAAGAGGAACATGCAGACGATGCAGATCGACATGGCGGTGCCGAACCACTTGATGCCGGGGCTGTTCAGTGCGTTGGCAAGAGTGATAGTCGCCAGGGTGAATCCGGTGTTGGGGAAGACCATGGCCCACCAGTTGAGGTGGAAGGCCTTGGGCGGGGAGCGAATGACGGCCACGATAGCAATGCAGAAGAACCATAGACTGAGGGCCCAGAGGAATACACCGCAGACGATGGCAAGCAGCTCGATAACATGTGCCTCGGCGATGGCATATTCTTGATCCCACACTTGGAAATCCTCGGGCAGACCCTTGGCCATGCCGACGAGAGCCAGAGCCGTGAAAGCGGGGGGTCCGACGCAAATAAACATGCCGGGGCGGTGCTCGCTACTGGGCAGCCCGCTTTCCATCAATCGACCAATGTAGTGTGCATACATCATAAAGCTGATGGAGAATCCCAACCCCTGGAAGGTAATGCCGGCGAGGACCATGGAGACGGCGGAGCGGGCAGGCTGTTGTTCGGCGATGACGGAAGCGATGGTGCCGCTAAGCATGATGGGGAAGGCTGGAAGAATCCAGGAAGGCATCATGCTTTGAAGGCCATACTTATGGGAGGAGAAGACGAACGAGTATTGGATGACGGCAGTCGCTAGAGTACAGACGCAGTAGATCCAAAACAACACCTCCAGGGCGATTATGAACGAGATATCAGCTCCCTCGCCGAAGTATCGGTATAGGCCGGTGATCATGGTGGCAATAGACAGCCAGAAAGTCGGGAAGAAGAGACCTTCGCGGTCGTGACGCAGAGAATCAAGGAATCCACCGTGGAGGATGAACCTCGTGGCCATTGTGGAACAAACCCCAGCAAAGAAAAGAAGATTGATGATGTAGACCGCTAACCCGATTTCTTTCAAGCCGGGAAAGGCATTGGGTTGGCTGGCAATGAGAAGCGCCAGCCCACCCGCGCTCATGGTTAAGGTATACCAGGCCCAGGTGAAATGACGAAGTCGTTCCCGGATGCTCACCGGACCCGGCTTTTCCACCTTGGGCTCGATAATGGCAACGTCCGACTGGGATGATCCTGGAGGGATGTAGCTGTCCAACATCATGAGTTCACGTTGTTCCCTCTTTTTTTTTAAACTTCGGTGCCTGGATAGGAAGGAGGGAAGGGAAAGGTCGGAGATACCCGAGGAGAGACAGGTGTCAAGAGAGGAAGGAGAAAAGTAGCTGCAAGGGCTGGAGAGGGAAAAAGGCTGTTGTTGGTATAGAATTGAGTGAGGAGATCTGCTCATATGTCTCCAGAAGAGGAGCAACCCGTCAACTTATATCCCCGACGTAGCCTATTGTTCCGCCAGAGGGAGCGAGAAGATAAGAGAATAATCAAAAAAAGAAACAACAAGGCCCTCTAATGCAGCCGAAACGCTGTATGCAGCCAAGTGGACAAAAAGAGAGAGAAGATATGAAAGAAAGTGGATCTGAGGGTGGAAAAAGAAGGAATACCAGGTAAGAGAGAGGATGAGAAAAGAGTGCAATTGGTCAAGAGTAAGATCTATCACAAACGACATGCATCTGTGCGAAGGCCTACACATATAAGTGCTGCAACAGCCACCCCCATGATGCACATGCGCCAAACAATAGGGCATCATAGCCTTCAGGCTGCTATCAATTGGCCATCCATAGTGGAGTATCAGAGGGCACGCCAAGAGGCGGACAAGACCAGCAAGAACGCACACATCAACATTGGTTGGCTCGGTCTGGCGATGAAACCTGTAGATTCAACCTTGATGGGTCCCAAAAAGGGTCATCCGAATCCACCACGGGGCGGGAGGCGTAGGAAACGTCCACGCCTGTGCATATCAGGGGGTGGAAGGGCTTCCGTGGGCCACAGTCAAGGGGCAAACAGAGGAAGATCCTCGGGGCAAATGGGTCTAGTCCTGGCATGGAAGAGCGGTTATCGATGCCTGGGACGACGGAAATGGTTCATGATCTTCGGTGGGATGGCACATCCAGAACTTCAATCTGCCAAGAGCACATAGTTCTGGCGCGGGTGGGTCACGGTGCAGGCAAAACGTCAACAAGTATGTACTCTGCATACGTTTGACCCGACAGCAGGAATGAAGACGTCTTCCCAGTAGTTTACGCGGTATTTGGCAAGCGCAAGGCGGTTGCAACGACGTCAGCGGCAGTAGGCGCATATGAATATGAGCAATCCGGAGTGTCGCGGCAAAATTAAAAATATCATTCGGGAATTTTAAAGTAAGAGGCTATGTTTGAGAAATATCGTTATGGAATCCCGGGCAGAGAGGCCGAATTTTTTCGACCGCTGCGCGTTCCCTGGGTCGAAGCCGAATCGAGCGGCGAAGAATGGAGGATCACCCGTGGGATCCAAATGGTCATCCAAACTAATCCGGAACCTGGTCCCTTATTTTTAACTTTTTGTTTTCTTTTGTGTTAAAAAGATTTTTCATTTGCCTCCTATCCTTCCTGACAGAGCAAGAGTCGGGCCGAAATGGCCGTGCCAGCTCGTCAGCAAGAAAAACGACCAAAAAAAAAAAGACGGGAGAAAAACCAAGGAGTCGGCAATCAAGCGGAAACCCGAAAGCGGTGCAAAATGGTTAAAAAAGTCAAAATTGAAGCGCCAAGGGACAGGATCCCGGCCGCGAAGCCGATGAGTCGAGCTCCGAGGATCGAATCAGAGAGATCAGAAACGTCGTCGGCTGGAGCCAAGGGGCGCAAGAGTATCAACGTGCGCGGACGTAACCAACCCGTTTTGCCCACGGAGAGGCGGCCAAGCCAGAGATCGACAGCGCATCATCGACGGGGAGGTCCGCTGCCAAGCTTTGCCAGTGGCTGTGGTTGCTGGTAGAGACTAGAGCCAGAAAGCCAAATCAGTCATCCGAGATAAGGAAAGGGGGCAGCCGAGGGATGCGATTAGCGCTGGAAATGACTAAAAGAAGGAATGGTCAATGGTTCACTGATCTCAGACTGATCGATCTACAAGAACAGACGTCCGAGGTGATCCTTGGTCCGGTGAAACCCAAGCACGAATACTATACGGAGAAGTGCTGTTCGCAATCCTCCAGATTGCATTGATTAGGTGGGTCATCCCTGGCCGTTGACATGAAGAATGCAGAGAAGCATTCCAACCCCAAGAGAGGATGACACCGATGACGATGGAGAGATGATGCTGATGATGGCGATGATGCTGGTGATGACGAGGAAAGGAGCGGGCGAAGCGAGGGAAAAGCACGAAAGTCTTGGCGGAAGGCGAAGGGTCACGGGCTTGGCAGGTGACTTTTGCTGGAATTAAAATGCTGCCTGCCTCCTTGCTATACATAGTACACTTCGTACAATCGAACCTTCGATTGTCCCGACCTGCAGCTTATCGTCAGGGCCATCCCGGCTCGCTTCTCTTGATCTACGCCGAGCCAAGAAAGGCTGTGTCTTTCCTACTATTCCCAGCCGACGTGATGATGAACCTCTCTAAAGCACACCATTGAAAGCTAACGATCCTCGAAACCTCCCGATTTCTCTCTCCCGTAAACTCCATTCGGAGAACAGAATGTTATCAATTCTCCTCCGCGTCCCCAGGTTCCCTCCTCGCCTCTCTCTCTCTCTCCAATTCCCCACTCCTTGCATTCCTGGAGCGCAGTGGGAATGTTCCATGGCCGTTACGCAGCCTGGCATCTGCCAAGACCCGCAAGAGTCTCGTCTCCAGCCAAGAGGAACCTTGGATGATCACGTCTCCACCGCTTTTGCCCCTCTTTTCTTCTGCTCTCGGTCTCTCTTTCTCTCTCTTTTCTCTTCTCCTCTGCAGAGGTTGGGTACTGACTTGGCTAGGGGCCGGGCCTTCCTTCAACTTGCGACATTCTTGGCGTTATCAAATTCCAGCCAACTCAATTTGGGTCGAGACGGTCTAGGGGCTCTCGGCATCGCTATCTCATCTTCAGTCATCATCGATCACACCGTGGCGCATGTGAACCTGCAGCAGGAGCAACAGACTTATGATCTCTTCGTCGACCGAGTTTTGTATAGACCCCCCTGTGGTGTTGAAAAATGAGGAAAGGGGGAAGGAAATTTGAGACTTTCTTTCCCCTCTCTCGATACACCTCCCTCCACCCCCTTGCAAATGACAATTTCCCCTCCATTACCCCCCACGCTCCTTATTTTATTTGGTTTTGGTTTTTTCTTCACGGCATTATCGATCGGCTCTTTGTGCAGTGCTTTCATGCAGCCACTAATCTAACCTGCAGCATCCAAGTCCGCTACTTGATTACGGTCTTGGAATCTACGCGATAGCCCCTCATGGGTCCTCCGTAGTGCTCCGTACAGCCTGGAAATGAGATGGATGTGACGTCTGACGAGGTCCCCCCATCGTTGCCGGTCCAATGCACCCATGCCAAGGATCTACGTTGAAGAAACAGACCGGCAGAGCGTTCACCCTGAGACGAGGGTCCATCCATGCTGTCTTTCTCGGGCCCCCTCCCCTGTCGGACGGGATGAGCAATTACCCTGAGATTAACCCGGGCCGAATCGGGAAACTAGGACGAATCATGCTAGAGAGATGTCTGCCTGCTGGCCGGCTTGAAACGCAATTCTCCTACGCGGGATCAGCATCCTGCAGCCACGAAAGTTAATCCGTGCAGACATTTCCGACAGAAATGAATGGATATACGGCCGTAGTCATATTGGGCAGCATCCCGATGGCGGTCCCGTCGCAATGATTAGACATCGATTGACGAAGATCCTTATCAAATAAGAACTTTGAAACAAATGCGTGCTCTTGTATCAAGTCACATATGGAGATTCGTTATTATCCGTGACCGCTGAATGCATCAAAACGGTTAACCAAGGCCCCTTGTCTGCAGGCCGACTCCATAGCTCCAAAAAAACGGGTTCCGCGGCAATCCGACCCTATCATGTGTTCCGTGGTCCCAGTCATGTATCCACACGCGCCGTGTTGCTAGATATCGATGGCCGTGTATGTTCTTAGAGATATACAGGAGGGTTGGAGAGACGGGAGAAATTCGATCGATTAAAGGCAGGGGGAGATAGACGAGAGGGGAGGGGGAAGGATCAGGGGAAGAGTAAGACGGAGAACGCAAGAGAGAGAGAGAGGAACGAAGATGAAAACAAAATAGAAAATAAAAAATGACAAAAGAGAGGAAAGGAAATCGTTTCACATCATTCGGTAGACCAAATCGGAGGCCAGCTCTGAGGTCGTGTCCATCAACGCTCGCAACCCGCGCGCCGACGGCTTCTCTGGCGGGTTCGAAGGAGAACCTCCCGTCGGCTCGATTGGCGGACAATATCTGGCGAGGTCCCGCACCTTGCACGCCGCATAATGAATCACTAGCTTGCGTAGTTCGTTGTCTCGAAGCTGAGTGGCCGACGTGGGCGAGATGGGCTCGAGACGAGTGGTCTTGGTATAGGTGTAGTGGAGCAGGTCGAGGACCATTCGGGCCTTCAGGGTGGTTTGTTCATCATCTTGACTGTCGGTCTGGGCACCGTCGGGGAAAGCCAAAAGTAGAAGGTCCCTATGCAGCTTGCGCAGGCATAATTGGGCCAGTGCTGGAATCAAATAGCGCGTCGCAAAGACGTACAGCTTGGCGTGAAAGATGAGATACGGCAACCCTGATCGGCTCGACTGAGTGGAGAGGGCACTGGGAGGTCTAGTGCCCTCGAATGCGCGCGGGTCGATATAGTCCATGGCGGTAAACTCGTCCCACAGGCTAATGCCTTTCTCGTGGTGGCTAGAGAAGTGCTGTTTGGCGAAGGAGTTGTCGATCATGGGCCCCGTCTCGGCCCCCTGTTCGTAATCCCGCTTCGACTCCTGTTTCCTGTCCATCTTGTCTTGCTCCTCCTCCGGTGGAGTCGGGGCAGTATGCTCCCAGCTCTCAGTCATCCCGGACGGAGCATTGTCGGCGGGATCCGCGGTGTCACGGGGATCCGCGGACTCCAGACCCCATCCATCTTGTTCTTCAGCGGTCTCTGCTGCATGAGGGTCCTGTCCGATGTCAGGGTGCTCTGGAGGAGGGGTAGACGGCGGGGTCAGGCCAGTAGTTGGCTCCTCCGTCGAGGGACCATTCTGCTTCTTCTTGTCTTTCTTGCCTTTCTTGCCCTTTTTGCCTTTTGTCGCAGATGCGCCTGCATTGGAGTCCCACGGGTCCCCCTCCTCTGCAGCCGGGGTGGTAGGTTGCTGCTCCGCTGCTTCTTCTGGAGAAATTGTTGGATCTAGATCCGGGGGTGCTGTCGAGTAATCTTCGGGGGACGTGGTGTTGCCCCCGAATTTTTCATGGGGATAAGCTGCGTGAGGCGCACCCTCGCCGTGATGTAGGCCCTCGTTACTCGGTCGTCCATGTTCCGGGCCTCGGGACTCTTTATGGTGCTTTTTAGCTGGCGGCAGAGAGAGCGCAATGGGTTCTTCAGAGAACACACCCTTGAAGGGGTTGTTGACCGGCTTTTGCTCCTGCTCCTCCTCGCGAGATCCTGGGGGAGGTACACGGTAGTCGCCGGTGTATGCATATTCGCAGAATGCCACAAAGGTCTCGACATCTTCTTCCTCAAGAACAGCGATATGATGCTTGGATTCACGCGTCTGGCCGCTACTCATCAAATGATCTAATGGTTTGGATACATGGCGGGCAAGACCGGACTGGACGGTCAGCTGGGTGTGATTGGCGCCGACGAGGAACGTAAACGGCGATGAATGGATGATGCTATATTGCAAAAGATTGGAGGCGTCAGTGGCAACGCTATGGTGTTCGGTATAAGGAAAATATTGACACGAATCTGGTGGCCCCAGAGGATGAAGGAGAGGGAGGGAGATGAAAGAGAAAGAGAGCGAGACCAGAGACGAAGAGGGAGCCTCCCCCCCGAACAGTCACTTGACTTACCTGCTGAAATCCCGTTCAGCCTCCATCGATAACACTTCTTACGGGTTTACAGTTGACAAACGAATGGCGAAAATAAAAGCCAAAAGAGTGTAGGTCATCCTGGGATTTTCGGATCTATACTGATTAAATAACACTCGAACAGCATTACTCCCTCCACCGAAATTCCGATTTGCGCCCTCCAAATGCCAGCCAGACTAACCAAGCAAGCCCCCCGGTCAATGCCGTTTCAAGCGCGAAAGCCGACTTAAATGGGGCAAGATGGTACAATTTGCTACGTGTGCAGCCCTGAGGGGGTTGTCAGGGGGGCGAATCGACCACCAGGTTTTCTCTTTATTACGATGCCAACAGGAGGATCCCCCTCTTATCGCGACAGTCCAATTCCCTAGCCACTGGGCTTTGAATTCGAGTGCATCAGATCCAGCGAGAATCGTCCAGTCGCGCTTCATTCAGCATTCAGGCTGAAGGATGTCCGAGCTGCAGCCCCAAGGGAGGCGTGAGGGGAATAAACGTGGGCACGTTGTTGCTCGCAGCTCGGTGTGGTCGAAATGGTTATTCACGACGCATGATTAATTTAATCCCAACACTTTGGCGGGATATCACGACAGCGCAACAGTCCGACGATGCACGCTACTGCGTCGTACTGCGGGGGAGTCCCAGTCGGTCGAAGATGAAGCCCGTGTGGATCGTTGGGTGGTTTTGTTGCCCGATGCACCCAACGGGGGGCGACCTCGCGTGATGGAGCCCGGCTAACGATGGTTCCTCAAATCCTTCCGTTCATATGATATCGCCTTGGAATTCTACAGGCCTAGGGGTGTCTGTTCCGAGTGACTTCTCCCGCAGGTGGCTAAAGAAGGGGATTGGTGCTCCTCCGATCTAGCGGTCAGCCGGTGGATTCACGATGGATTCTCTGTCGCATTTCCAGGAACCCGGATGGTGCAGGGGAAAAAGGGGGCGGGGAATCAGATCACGTACTCCGTTACTTGAAAATAGATCAGTCAGTTTCTGTCCTGCAGTATTAAAGCCTATCTTGACACTCGACCGGAGAACCGCTTCTAGTCTTCGGGTCGGTTTCCAGACCGAACGGAGCGGTCTACTACTTGGAAGTTAGAGCTCACGATGCGGTGAGTTCGCGCGTTATCCATCATCTGGATTGCTTCAAGGCCAATCTTCTACCGACTTCAGCATCCAATACGGCAAAGAGGGTTCTGGCTCTCGTACCGCAAGTCTCAATCGCCCTAGTATTCATTATCTGCCTGTTGTGCAGATCAGGACGTCCAAGATGGCCCCGTCATACGCCGGAGTATACTCAGCAGAAATTTCCATGCAATGACCCAGTATAATCTCCCCCATTTCTCGTATCCCCATTGTCATATCCTGTTCGAAATAGGGGAAGGGAATCACACACTCTCGGATATTCCGAATTGCTTCCCCGGATTCTCCAACGCATGAAGAATCGCTGGATGTCCACATGCCGAGCGGGCCATTAATACTTAAAAAACTCTTGAGCCCCAGAGGATGCTCCACCAAGTAGGAGCCGTCTCGCAGTACCCACCAACTCCAATCCACAATGCATATCCTCGGCATTGCCAATGGCTCCCTCAACGGGAACTCAGAAATCCTCCTCAAGGCCGCCCTGACTGGTGCCTCGAAGTACGATCCCTCCATTACTTCGTCCTGGCTGCATTCTCCGTCTGTTCAAGTCCCTCGGAATCCTGCCCCGCTGCAAGGCGCCCAGGACGTGTCGGCAGGCACGAACGCCGTGATGCGCAGTGCACAACCAAACGCCGACACGGACCTCGATGATCGGGCCGCCGTCTTGAACGCCATCCTCGACGCCGACGCTCTGATCATCTCCACGCCGATATACAGCCACCAGCCGGCAGGGATGCTCAAGGCGCTGGTGGATCGCATCTTAGGCCCCTTTGTGGATGCCGCGCTGGCGAAGAAGACGATCGAAGGTCGAGAATCGGGCGATCCACGATTCCAGGGTAAAGAGATTGATTCGAGACTGTTGAAACCTAGGGTGGTGGGTTTCATGGCCGTCGGGGGATCTACCATGTCTGATCAGATTACCATGGCGCTGCCGACGCTGCATAACCTGGTCTATTCGCTTCATGCGAAGGTCGTCGACCAGGTGGTTTTCCAGGGCTATGGTGCGCCGGGCTCAGTGTTGGTGACTGGGACAGAGGATGCGCCGGCGCGAGCCCAGCAGCTTGGGAGGCATGTCGCGAGTCAGCTGGGGAAGACGTTCGACGAGGCAGAGTATCTAGGTCCAGTGCCAGAAGGGGCTTGTCCGTTCTGCCATTTAGCGAAGATTGATTTGTTCTGCACAAGGGACAATGCCGTCGGATGTGTGACCTGCGGGGCGGAAGGAAAGCTGGAGGTCGGCGAAGACGGAGTGATTCGCCCCGTGTGGAACGAAAATAGCTCCATCTCCAGTATCACCATGGCAGGCAAGGAGAGGCATATTGAGGACGTGATGAGAACGGGGAAGCAGGAGATGCAGAGGCTACAGTCCGATTCGGCTCTCCTGCGCAAGCAAGAATATTGGCGTGGAGTACGAATCCCCGTTGTGGCTCTTCCCAGTAATCGCAATTTCTCTCAGCGGTTATAAAGGAGCAGATAGATATGAATTGATGGGATAGAATCCAGAACTTCACTAAGGTTCCTACCTAGAGTTGAAGTAATGGGTATAGGAAAACAACAAGTATGAAGAAGCCCGTTGATTGGGCGTTTGGAGACGATCTAGCCTGAACTGGATTAGCGGGGCCCACATCCGTCTCCCCGACCAACCCCAATGCAGTTGATGCAGGAGGGTGGATGGACTTTTAAAGAGTTTGTTATGCAATCTGCCATTATCATCTAAGCCTATTGCTTCTTTCGGTCTCTTGACTTGCCCTATTTCTTAATATTATCCCAGCGTCAGAAGTCATACTCAAATCGATTGAAAGATGGATCACCGAATATATATTTATCAATCCAGTCCTAGTTCTATATAAATCCTCTATATATCAATTGCCCATATCAAGCAACAATTACATGCTCCCCTTGTGGACCCAACAAAAGAAAAGGAATCCATATCCTCAACTCAATGCACCAACCGCAACTCCGTCATCCCCGGCTCCCACTCCTTCAACGCCTCTCCAACATTATACCAAAAGCGCAAGCGCACGCACTCTGTCCTCGCCGTCTCAATATCCTCACGATCAAAAGCTCCCGCCAGCTCCCTCACGCCACTCTCCACCCGCACCGCATTCTCCTTCTTCAACTCGGCGATCTTGGCCTCGGCGTTCGGATCCGCGCTGACCTCCTCGATCGTCTCCTGCACCTCCATCACCTCCATCAGCGTCTGCGCGTCGAGCGCGTGTTTCGCCGCCCCGTCCTCCGCCGTGACGTCGATTCCGTGCATCTCGCGCAGGAGGTACTGCGCCCGCAGCAGCGGGTCCGCCAGCGTGCGATACGCCTCGTTGATCAGCGTCGAGAAGGCCTCCGCCCGCCGCTTCGCCTCCCCCGGCGGGTACTTGTCCGGGTGGCTGACATTCTGGAGCTGCAGGAACTCCCGACGGAGGTCGCCCAGCGAGATGTCGAAGGGCGACCCGGGCGGCGGCCCGGAGGGGAGCGTCTGCCGGAAGATGGTGTAGTGGTTGGTGATGTCGGGCGCGATGCCGCGGCTTTCGGGGCCTGCGGGCGCGCCACTGTCGTTGCTGGCTGGTGAGGTCGATGCGAATCGACGGCGGAGGGGGGAGGTGAGGTGGCGAGTGTCGGGGAGTCGAGAGGTAGGTCTGCTTGAGCTCTGCGATTGGGATCGCAATTGGCAGGCGATGCATGCTCCGCGAGCGACGCTGGATGTTGTGCGCGGTCTCCTCGCGGGACCGGAGAGGGAGAGCCGCTGGAGCAGTCTCTGCGGGCGAAAAGAGGTCGGCATGTTTGCGTATGTGGTAGGTGATTGCAAACGATGTCCTGGAATATGGGATGAGAGATGTCCTTTTTTTTTTTTTCGCCGTCAGTCGCCTTCGCTGATGTAGAAGTTATGGCGGATTAGTCATGCGGTCGGCCTCGGGAAACAGGCGGAGATCCGAGCGGCTACGTCATAAGTCCGCGGAAAGTCCGAGATTCTCGCGATGGATTCATATTGATTGGGGGTATTTCTTCGTTCATCGGCTTCTATGGAAATGGTAAATGGTCGGGCAAGCTAAATGAACACCCAAATAGTACCACCGACTCTTCTCCATCGTCTTCAGCACCTAGGTCTGCCAGGTCTCCATTCTTGTACGGCCTCGGCGGTTTATCTCAAAACCGTCACTGGAGAAAAGAATCTGGTGACGATTCATTCATCCAGGCTTGTCCAGCATGGCCTCTTGAGTTCATCATACCCAACAATCATGGTCTGGAGCTCTTCGCAGCACACAACTGAGCCATCGAGAAAGATATTCTGAAAAGGTCCCGTGGTGTCAATTGCTTCACTCAATGCCCCAAAGCTTGACTGTACGGTCGTGTCCGGAGCTCGCAATCCACTTGGCATCGTCGCTGATATCCGTGCTGAGAACATTGCCCGCATGCCCACTCAGCGACTTCACCAGTGACCAGTCATCCGCACTGAAGACATTGACGTTCTTGTCGAACCCACTGGTCACGAAGAACGTGCCCGACTTCCGCGGTTGCACGGGTGCTGTCGACGCATCACTCGAAGTCATCGTGGCGCCGTCGACTTCCATGCCGCTGTTCTGTCCGTCCAGCGACGGCAGGTAGGATGCTGCCGACTCCGTTCCCTTGTACCATCGAACATCAGACACCACACTCTTGTGCGCTCCGATACCGCCCGTGTTTCGAACCTGGCGCAGATCCCAGCATTTGACCCATCCGTCGCCGGAGCCCGACAGCACTCGGTATCCGTCTACGCCCCAGTCCAGGCCGTAGATTTCGCGAATATGGCCCTCAAGAATCATCACCGTCCGGCCCGTCCGCAGATCCCAGATACGTCCGATACTATCCAGTCCACCGCTTGCCATAAGAGATCCATCGTTGTTGAAGGCACAAGTGTAGACCTCTCGGGAATGGCCTTCCTGTAGCAGCAATTCGGCAGTCGTTTCCACGTCCCACAGGCGCCATGTTGTATCGTAGGAAGCGGAGGCGACGTACCGACCCGAGGGGTGGAATTCCGTCCGACACACACGGCCAGAGTGGCCGGAGAGAGTCGCCAGCGGTTCATCCTTGTCGAGAGACCACAGGCACACGTTTCCTTCTCCGCCGCCAGAGACCAGGTTGACGGTCGATGGGGACACATCTGAGGTCGGCAGCGTAGCACCAGGGAACCACGACAGACCTCCAACCCGATCCGAATGCGCCTTGAAAGACCGTTTCTCTTCCAGGTTCGGCACCGACAGCAAACGAATTCCACCACCCCAGTTTCCAGTCGCGATGGTCTGCCCGTCCGGCGCAAATCGACAGATACTGACGGGACGATCACCGGCGATCTGCGACCCGTAGAGCTCGAACCCTTGCAGCTTCTCCTTGATTGCTTTGCGATGTTTAATATGCGTCCTGAGTGGTATCGTCGACTCCTCTCTCAAGCGGGCCACGCGCGTTTTTGCGCGGGGCAAAGAGAAATGCGCGATTGCCTTGCGAGCGTTCAGGAGATCCTCCGACCCCTCCGTGTAGAATTCTTCCTGCTGTTCTGCCTCCTCCTCATCCTCGTCCTCAAATGCCTCTGCCATGTCCACATCTTCAGCCCCCTGTCTCTCCGCCAGATCCGTCAGGAGCTCTCGCAGTCGGTCTCGTCGGTCCGCGGGTCCTTCGCCGAATAGCGTGATAGGCTCTCCAATCTCTCGCAGCCGAGCGCGCACTCGCGTATCGTCGGTCGGCACAGCCATGGCGGCGGCCCTTCGCTTTCGTTCGAATTGGGATAGGATGGCGGAGGCTCTTTCGGCGGGGATGCCCGCCGCTGCAGAGGGAAGTTCATAATCGCGGTCGACCGCTAAAATATTCAGCACGTTAGACGCCAGTGATTCCACGGACTGTAGAAATGGGGTGCGGCCACTTACGCAGATTGGCCAGGTCAATGCCCATGTCGGTATCCTGCCGTTCCATAGTAAATTAGAAACTTGTGACTACACGAAAGCCACGCAACACGAGGGCATCCTTACCTCGGCCTCCTCCACGTACGCCTGTCTCGAAGGGTGCATCATGATGGGCAGAAGGGTCGACTCAGTCGCGACAATTCCCGGGGCTCGAAATCAAGATTGGAGATAATTCGGAATTAAGATGGACTGCAGAAGTGGGAGGTCAAAAAGAGTGGATCGACAGAGAGGTTGCGGACGGCGGGACGAAGAAAAGGAAACGAATTCGATGGACGGACTGTTGGCGTCGGAGAAAAAGAAAGATGAAGCAAATGCAGGTCCCCAACAAGCACCTCGCCGAGTCTAGTATCCCTGTTCTTCAAGTCCTTCAGTCCCAGAGAAAAAGAGAAAAGAGAGGAAAGAGAAGAACCCAATGAGATAAGATGTTTAATCCCGTGGGCGGTCAACCGCCAACTTTCCTTCCGTCAAAAGATTTTCGACTTCTTGAAATATTCCCAACTTTTTCCTCTTCCCTCCAATCGGTGGGTTGGATATATTTTAGAATATCTCTCTCTATATAATCTTTCGCCATGCTGCTCTCCCCCGGAAGAGCCTGCAGTTCAGTCTGCAGGACAACCACGGCCGTTGATCGATTGTCCTTCTTTTTCTTATCTTCCTCCTCCTCTTCCGCTCACCTCCCATTCCCTTCAACCTCTCGCTCAAGGGCTTTCCACTCGACTCCTCGTCGCCGCTTGGATGCCCCTCGAATCTCCTACCGCATCGCCGCGTCCGCGTCCGGTAAAGGCCGTCGATTCCACCCGGCCAAGAACACCCACGATTTCACCCCCGACCTGTCCGCCGTCGGCGTAGCCACGGACACGACCGATCCCGCGATCCGGCGCAAACGGAGACCCGACAGCGGCGAGGACGCTTTTTTCGTCAGTCGCGTCGGCCATGAGGATCCCCGGCCCGTCGCGTTCGCCGTAGCGGACGGCGTCGGCGGCTGGGCCGAGTCCAAGGTTGACCCGGCCGACTTCTCGCACGCCCTTTGCTGCTACATGGCCCAGTCGGCGCTGGATTGGGAGCAGCCCGCGGAGCAGCTGCGCGCAAAGAATCTCCTACAGGCGGGCTACGATCAGGTCGTCGCGGACAAATCGATCCGCGCCGGCGGGTGCACAGCGTCTGTGGGCGTCGGTTCACCTGACGGACGCGTTGAGCTGGCCAACCTAGGAGACTCGGGGTCCGTTTTATTGCGACTCGCCGCCGTGCACCATTACTCGGTCCCGCAGACCCACGGCTTCAACACCCCCTACCAGCTCAGCATCATCCCGCCGCGCATGCGCAAGCAGGCCTCCGTCTTCGGCGGCGCCTACCTGGAGGATTTCCCGCGCGACGCGGCCGTCACGAACCTGCACATGCAGCACGGCGACGTGCTGCTGCTTGCGACGGACGGCGTCTTCGACAACCTCAACAACCAGGACATCTTGAAACTCGTCACCAGCCGGATGGTGCTGACGGGTGCGTGGACGGCCACGGGGAGCACGGGCATCAAACCCTCGGATGACTTGGACCAGCTCACCGGTCCCGAAGGACTGACGGCGTTAGTCCCTCCCCCCTCTTCTTCCTCGGAGAAATCCCCCAAGAAACAGGAAGACCAAATCCACACGCTCCAGTCCCTTGTCGCAGCCACCATTGCGGGAGAGGCCAAGCTCGCCAGCCTGGATTTCCGACGCGACGGTCCCTTCGCAAAGGAAGCGCAGCGGTACTATCCCGGAGACTGGTACCGCGGCGGCAAGGTCGATGACATCGCGGTCGTGGCTGTCGTGGCCGTGGACGAAGGAATCAGCGTATCGTCATCATCTTGAACGCACTGCAACTTGAAATCATACCTTTCTCTCGCGCCCGCTCTCTTAAAATTTCCTCTTCCTGTCTTTTTTCACTTTCAAGATCACTATATAAAAACCACCGATATGATACACTACACGGCAGAGAACCCGAACCGCACAGCACGGCGTACAATAACCCTGCATTCACGATCTATATACATAATTGCTTTTTCTCTTTTCTCTTTCATCTTCCCGGGTCGGTCTGGAGTGTCTTTTGCAAATGGGCGGTTGACTTTCCTATCTTCTTCTTGTCTCTTTTTTTCCTTCTTTCCTTAGTTTTCTTTTGTTCGGTACGGTCTGGTCTGGTCTGGTTTGGTTCGGAGAAAAAGAAATTCTGGGTACATCGGGAAAACCATCAGTGATACATTAGTTATAGACGATAGAACGTTCCCTCTTCCTATGTACATGGGAGGGCGAACATGAATGACTTTAGTAATTATACCGACATCTGCACCTACGGTGTTCAACAATCAACATCGTCGTGTTAATAGAATAGAATAGAATAGAACAGAACAGACTGTGGCTGCTTCCTACTCATTCGTGTACTGTGCACATGTGCAATCATGGAATGGCTGGGGGAGTTCAAGACCCCTGAATAAAGTCCAAATTCAAAATGTGACCATCAACCAGGCGATGCAGATGGAGATAACAGTCTTGATCAGAAACACAAAAAAGGCAAAGCAAAAAAAAACAATACATCCAGAAACCCCCCATTCATCAAATATGCTTAAGCCCATGGACTTTTGGCAGAAAAGGAGAGTGGACACAGGGAAGAGAGTACCAAGTTCATCAAGAGCACCGAGATACTGACTCACATCTAGGGTTTGTCGGGGTTCAAATATAGATGACCAGATAGAAACTGATGAATGGGGGGCTAAGATATTGCAAAACACGGGTTTAAAAGACTTTTTCTTGAATTGGTGAGATTTCCAGCTTCATTTGCTCAATCCCAAAAAAAAGGAAGAAAAAGAAATTAGAAAAAAGTTGAGAGATACAAACATTGCCGACACAAACCAAGATAAGAGACAAGAAAGAAAAGAGAAAATGACGCAAATTAGACTGCATGCCAGTACGGGGAAATAATTTGAAAAGTAACAACAATGAACAATAAAAGAGAGACAACCGAAAGCGGGCAAGCCGCTCATATCTATGCCGCAGCTTCCGCAGTCTTCTCCTCGGTTTTCTCCTCAGACTTTTCCTCGGCCTTTTCCTCGGTGGGTTTCTCTTCCGTGGACTTGTCCTCATTCTCATTCGTCTTGTCTGCCGTGGGCGCATCATCCTTGGAGGCCGGCTTGTCGGATTCTTCCTTCGATGGCTCGGGGGCTTGCGACTTCTCTGCAGCATCGACATCGACCATCGACTCATCCTGGGGCTCGGCAGTATCTTGCTTGCTCTTGGGCTCGTCCTCCTTCTCTCCCTCAGTGTCCGCCTTGATGGGAGTGTCCACACTGTCTTCTTTGGTGACACCATTGGCCTTGGATTTGTCGTCCTTGTCCTTCTCGCCGGCCGGGGTGTCTGCATCAAGGACCGTCTTCCACTTGGACAAAAGATCCATGGCACGACGTCGGAATTGGAATTCCTCATCGCGGGGGATGGAGCTGAGTTTCACGATCATCTTCAACACCTTGTTGATCTTGGTAGCACGGATGATGGCAACCTCCAAGTCGCCATAGTTCTCCAACTTATTGAAGTAGCCCGACATGGTGGTCATTTCTTCCTCCTTCGGGGGCTGGTCGCGCGAAATGAAGCCCTTTTGGAGCTTGTGGCGAACGAAAAGAACTAAGCTGGATTAGCAAATGAAGCACGGAGGCTCAGCGGTACGAAGGGGTACGACGTACTCTCTTTCTCCTTTTTATCCTTGGCCTCCTCCGGATTTACCTTCTTCTCGGGCTCCTTGGAAGCCGCAGGAGTTCCCTCTTCGGCCTCCTCGCTAGCCTTGTTGGCCTTCTTGCTGCTGGCGGTCTGCTTGGCCTTGCTTGAAGCGGGGGCCTTCTTCTCGCTGGCCGGGGTCTTCGGAGTGGTAAGCTTCAACTTGGTGCCGGTCTTGGGTGTTTTAGCAGGCTAGATGAGAACGACCCAACGTTAGTTCGTCGCTACATCCAAAAGTTTCGCAGGTCTCATCGGGCAAGCTCACCTTCTCTTCGCTCTCGGTCTCGGCGTCCTTCTTGCGCTTCTTGGAGCTCTTCGATTTCTTCGCGCCCTCGCCTGCGTCTTCCATATCCACGTCCTCGTCGTCGATGATTTCCATGCTCTTGCGCTTGTTCTTCTTGGCCTCTCTTTCGGCCTTAGCGGCAGCCTTTGCGGCCGCCTGAGCTTCGCGCTCTTCCTCCTCCTGCTCCATGGCACGCTGGTGATCCGCCAAAAGGTTCTTGAAATACTGGAGGTCGTGGCCCTCGCCCGCCACGGCGTAAGCGGCGAGGAGCAGTTTCGACTTGCCCTTCTCCGATACTTGCTTGCAGGCTTCGGGGTCAATGGGGCTCAGGTCAGTGTTGGGAATCCAGGCACTGGCGTGGTCATTAGCCCACCTACACGGCGTAAATGAAGCAGGAGCAAGACACTCACAATTCGTTGGTCTCAAAGAACATGATGGGGAAGGTCCTCTCGTGGGCGCGCTTTCCGCCATCGGCGTAGTCTTCTCTGTAGCTACCGTCGGGTCGGCGGGCAGTCACGGGTCGCGAGCTCAAGAGGGTCTGGGGAAGGATCTCTTCGTCGCAGATGATAGACGGCCACGGGGGGAAGCTTCGAAGACGCGCGAGAAAGTACTCGCCGGGTTTCGCGTCCAGGTGGGTGACGCGAATCTGCGACTTCTTCCGGCTGAGCTTGGACTTGTGTTCTGGGACGTTACCCGTGGATTTACGCTTGGAGCCGCCAGACTTCTTGGCCGATGCCGGAGTTCCGTTGGCTTCTGGGGCCGCGGCAGCTTCAGGCTCAGCCGCGGCGGCGGCACCCTCTTCCGATTTCTTCGCGTCAGTAGACTCGGCAGGCGCGCTGGGTTGCTCAGCCGAAGCTTCGGATGATTGCTTCTTCTCATCAGAGGCGGTCGCATCATCTGGGAGGAAAATTCGAAGAACGTCAGGTCAGCTCCCATGTCCAATAACAACACGCACGCGCACGCCTCTCCAAGACACACGGCGGTTCCAAACCGCGACGGGGGACCTCTGGGACGCTTACCAGATGGCTTTTCTTCCGATCCATTGGCATTCTCAGCCTTTTCCTCCTTGGAAGGCTCGGGTGCCGATTCCGTGGCACCGGCTTTGGACTCAGCGGGAGCGCGCTCAACGGACGACTCAGCAGCGGGTGCTGCGGCAGGAGTGTCTTCAGCCATGATGCGCAACGGAGCTCGATAAAAAAGTCGAGATAGGAGATAAAGGAGACCGGAGCTTTATCAATGGGGTGGAGGAGGGATGGTGGGGAGGGATGAAGTGGGAATTTGGGGGGGAGGAGAAAGAAGGAGAGGAAGGGAAGAGAGCGAAAGAGAAGTGGTGGAGAAGGTCGCGACGGGAGGCGGGAAGTCGAACAACGCGTGCGCTTCTTCTTCCGGCAGGGGAACAGTCACCGCAAATGACGCACCCTCCAGCGCAACACAACGCAAAAGAAAAAAATTCGGGTGGTTTCACCCCCGACGTCTAATGGCTCGGTACGTCGTCGGCTTTCTCTCGACCAAGCAGGCGCCGTCCGAGATCAATCGTAACCTCGTAGGCCTCTCACGCGACGTGCAGCAGTCCCAGGCGCCAAGGACTCTAGTAGACAATCACAACCACCAAGGGGTCGACAACGTCCCGATCGATGGATTCGGGCGAGAACAGAGGACGTCAGATCACAGCCCCGCGATCAAACTGATGCCCGCGATGATCCGGTCGGACAGAGAGGATGGAAGATAGATGAACGGCAGTTGGCAATGTCCAACCGATTAAACGCGTCGCTACTAACCAACCACGACGATGACAGAGTCACAGCGAGAGAAAAACACGCCGAGGCAGACGGTCTCAGTCGCCTGCAGGGTAGACTGGGGAAAATCTTGATGGAAATGAAGCGCAACAGGCCTAACAGCTCTTGATGCGTCCGAGGGGTTGCCCGCAGTGATCGACGTAGAGTAGACACCGGAAAAAGCAGTCACGGTTTTGTGTCCTTGGACAAGACGACAGGGCAATGAAGAAGATTCCTGGGGATCACGTTCAGAGAAATCATTGGAAATGTTTCGAGGGAAGGGGAACAGACTAATCCGGTGGCACAAGCAATGGCAATGGTTGATGTCAACAGTAACACCCGAACGGCGAGCGACAAGGAAGGCCCCACGATCGCAAATGTCGGGCGACGCACGGAGTCACAGGGGGCGATTGCGAAGGGAAGATCGTTCAATTTAAGTCGGATATGGAGGGGAACGAAGAGGAGAGAGGAAGAGAGGGGGAGGATTGGGAAATAATTGCTGGGGATCTCCCCGTCTCTCAGCATTATTCATTCATTTCCCTACTTTTCCCGCCTCGCATTCACTCCCGACGCACTGCTGGAATTTTACTTGATTTCTACGCAGTCCGGACCCGTGTGGCTTGACAAACTGTTCAATAAGGGATACATCTAGAACTCTTCATCATATAAAACTTAACATTGGTTAATAGATGCCAGATACTAAGACCGGATCAACAATCTGGAGGTGGGGGAAGGGTATGTATGAATCATCACATAAGGAACCGAATTAAATCTAAATCTTCATGCCATTCGCGAGAAAAGAGATTTCCGATTCTCTATAAAAGAAGATGGCAAGCTTGCAGACCCTGTGGCCCAGGAGGGTTTACAGAAGAGCTGGGCCAAATCGACCTAATTGTCCTCTACAGACCTCAAGAATCTAACGGTCAACACACATGAAGTTGTCAAAATAAAAATAAAGAAGAATAAAAAAGAAGAATAAAAAAGAAGAATAAAAAAGAAGAATAAAAAAGAAGAATAAAAAATAAAATAAGAGACTCCTGGATACTCCGTCACGATCGTATCAGGTGAGAATGGTAAATCATTAAATTCGGTCCCCCCGGAAGGCGGCCTATATGTACATGCGTTCAAGATAAGAATAGAGGCGTCACGGGTCGTGGGATGGGGAAGAATATCATTATAGAACATTGTATCGGCGAGTCAGGGAAGAATCCGGTACTCCAAATCATCGCGAGACGGCAACAAATTCCGGAGTCGCCTCGTCATCGAACCATCCATCGGCGCTCCCAAAGCCGTCCGCCGGTTCCGGCTTATGTATACGGACTACCCACAAGAAATAGTCCTCCAACGGTAACAGATTCAGCAGGATTCCGTTAAATCTCCACCCGAGAGCGCAGACGACTGCCCCGGCTATAGCGTCGAGAATGAAGTGGTTCGCAGTGGCGACGATCGCCGCCAAAATGATAAACGGGTATGAGAACCCCAAGAGCAGACAGGCCAGCCGCCGCCATGACGGAATCCGCAGTCCAAAATACCGGGTCAGCCCGATTGATCGACGGTGATGCGCGGGCAATGGGATGGTCATGATGGTCAACCCGATCATCAGAGAGTAGCCAAAGTGCAACGAAGGCATGGCGGCTTCATCGCGATCTCAGTTAGCCAGCGAACCAAAGTTGAGTGAAACGTCGAAAAAGTCTTACCATATTGATTGCAAAATCGATTCTCCGTCCACACGCTGCCTGCGCCGTTCACCCCGTGCACCGTGTCCACGAAGCCATAGCTACGTCCCAGTTCTCCATCGGGACCCTCTGCAGTCTTGTCACTCAGCAGGCGAGGTGGCATGCAAGGCCACAACGTAAACACCACAAAGGCGAGAAGATTGCACACGGCCAGCGTCCGCCTCCGAGCTTGATACAGAAGCGGGCCGGCGGGGGAACCGCCCATCATGCCTCGCGGCTTTCCGGGTTGCGACTCATCGAATCTATTGCGGGTGGTGGTGTAATAGTAAAGCCAAACAAGAAAGGCTATGGTGCCGGGAATGTGGATGAAGGAGTATATCCAATTGGTCCATGTCATAAGCTTGGTGTGTCGCAAGAAGAACTGCTGGATCGGGATCTCCCAGAATATCCCGAGGCTTTCCTCGATACGAATCAACTGCAGGGCATGTTTTCTCGCCACGTCCACGGTTCCCTCCCGCAGGGTGACGGCAGTGAAGGCTCGGCCGAGTTGATATGTCTACATCGGAACTTCCGGTCAGTATCCTATCTTGCCCCAGGGTCTCTCACTCTCACTCTCTCCGACGGTACTGATTGTAGGCAGATCGACAAAACGGCAGAAGAACATAAGAAGCAGGAAGAAGGAGATTCGTACCCAGTATACCAAGGCCCAGTACCAGCATTCGGCGAGGAAGGGGAGTTTGCGAAGCAGGCGACTCAGGAAGCGATCCTGGAAGACGAGGGTGTTGGGCGAAGTCACCTCGACGGAGTAGGATAACAGACCGATCTGTCGCTGGTGCCACGATTTCAGCTCGGGCTGCAATAGAGACGGCGAGGTCGAGCGACGAGCCAGCAGACCATCCTTGGCGGTTGGCGACGCAATGCCCGATTCCACCGAATCGGGAGATCCGTCACGAGGCCAAGCGCCTGACCGGCGACGAGGACGGCGCGCCGAAGAAAAGGAACTGGCGCTGCGATTTATCCAAGTACCGCCAAAGAGAAGCACGACCACCACCAGGGGCTCCAAAACTGCTCCGGCGCCCATGACGGGATATCTCCGGGGGGTGGGAAACGAGAAGGGAGACAAGGAAGAATAACGAACGATACCGAAGGGAGCTCGGGTTGGCGAGGATTGTCTATCTATACAACGGGTAGGGACAATGGGAGGGTCAAAGAAAGTGAAAGAGAAAGCTTCGGCATCCTACTGAGAGAACGAGCCTCTAGCCAGCGGGTTGGAAGAAAGCAGATGGAGTCGGGGACAGGCCAGGCACAGAAGAAAAAGAAAAAAGCAAGGCCCAAGCCGACAAGTAACGAAGGGTCGGCAGTACTAAGTATTGGAGTTATGCACATTACGATCAATAGACCTGGCGGGTCAGGCTAGAGGCGGCCAAGACGCATACTCTGGTAGGTCCTCCGTCCGTAGTAGACTACCTACCTACCCTAAGGTACCTACCTACCTTAGGTACCGTCCTACTCCGGAGTAGGTACCTACAGCGTAGAGGAGAAAACCGAGTTGACCATCTCACTCGACAAAGTCGTCAGGCACGCTAGACCCGGACGGGCAGTTTGCCAAGGAAGGAGCGCCGGAGGACGTCGGATGCCGGACAACTCTGGCGCCGACGACCCTCCAGCCCTAGTGGACCCGACGGACTAGAATTATGCACGATGCACAAGGAGAAACCAGAGGTGTCGTGGACGTGAGCACTTGCCGCCCCGAGTCTGTCTACTCCGGAGTGACTGCCCAGGCACCTCTCAGGCTCTGCATGAAGGTGTGAACCAATCAGCCCCCACCCCGTACCCAACACTCGTGGGGCGGAGGGCAACTTCTTATCAATGCCAACTCAGAGGAGGAAATGCAACAATATTGCCTCGGCGGAAAGCAGATCCATTGGCTGGGCTGTCAGCCCTGTCGCGGTGGAACTGGCCAACTAGTGGACCGACCGACTTACTAGTCCCTACTAGTCCAGTGGTGTGCTCGGCTTCAGGATCCAGTTCCTCCGTCGTCCGTCGTCCATCTACGCCGGACGGAGTATGGAGAACGCAGTGTGTTTTCCGAGTATCCACCTCCCTTGGACCTATTCGCCAACATCTGTGGTTTATACTTGTTGCCTGTTTGCCTGTTGGAAGTTGGAACTATCTTCCAGGGCCCAACGTGGAGGCCAAGTCTGCCATCCATGCAACCATGTTCCAGGCAGCATAGTAAAATCGAGATACTACTGCGTAGGTTGTGAATCCCCTTGATAAAAGACGGGCCCTAGCTCCGAATACGAATCCGAATTCCAGGTTGATCTCCCCCGCTTCTTCTGAATGCGATCGGCACTTGGCGCTTTACATGCTACAGTACTAACGATAGATGTACCACATCCGGAATATGCACGCATTACCTACTCCGTACTGCGTAGTTAGTAGTGCGGGATATCTGACCAGGAAATTCTTGGCTGGGCTGGATCAAAAACCGCCTTTCCGAGGTATGTCTAATACCATATAATATTTATATGCTCTCCCACGCGGCAAGCATGCCTTGTCGATACGTGATATGCCATCTCTCATGAATCCATGGGTGGAGGCGAAACAAATCCGATCTGATCTGATAAACTTAACCTCCTTTCCACTCCGAGGCTGTCGGATTCGGAACCTCTCGGTGCCGACCATCTCCGCCACCTCCGAGGGTTGAACCTGTCCATCTCCAGTGTTTCAGATTCCGATCAAGCAAAGTCTTGGGGGCGGATGAATAACCTACTAGTGTCATTCCGTACTAAGATTTATGACGGGGGTGTACTAACTATACGGAGTGGATATGCGCTCGCATAAAAGCACGCATCGCTCCCGTACGGAGTAGCTGAAGGTACGCCACCAGACCCTACGATTGAGCCGTGACAAGATGGGGAAGACTTATCCGGATGATTGACTCTGCAGCTGGGATCCCGATGATCAAGCTTGTTTGGATGTCGGGCTCTGAACTGTTCGCCCGCTCTGCTCAACCGATGACGTCACCGAGATGTCGCCATGTTGACTTCATTGCCTGCGATCCAAAAATGCGCATTACTGTATGGAGTAGTCGAGGGTATGACCGTTGCACTTGGTTCACCATCACTGGCGCTCTGTCCCACGAGTGAGGTAATGAGATAACCCTTACGTCAGTCAAGCTCACACCACAGCTGGCGATGGACATCCGAACCTCTCAATCCAGCCCAGTTGATACTATATAGCAGAGCTACATCTCGTGATGAATGCTAGGCTATGAATCAAATCAATTAATGGAATTCAAATATCATTGACCAATAAAGCCCTCGATTGAAAGGATTTCTTAGTACCAGTCCCGTGGAAAATCATATACATATTCACAATGTTCTCGGTGCCTCAAACCACCACTGCCGCCAGAAACATCCTTGGTCTCGCCTCGCGGCAGGCCCCCAAGGTCGCTGTGTCGACATTACCTTCCGCACGAGGTTTGTCGACTAAGAAGAATGCGGATCACGACGTGACTTTGCTCCAAGACAAGAATGGGTTCGGTTTCGCCCGGTCAAACCCCAGACCCCCCAAGCCAAGGACCAAGGGTGTCACGGAGATCAGAGGCCCTTACTACTCGGTATGTCTCATTAATGTGTCTTAGTATAGTCTCCGGAGAGGCGAAGCTAAATTCAAGGTGTATTCCAGGTAATGGGTAAGAGATACCTTGCAGATGTGCTGGAAACGTAAGTTAGCATCGACCACAGAAATGAATGAGTCTAACAACACATGCAGCATGGGAACGCATGTGGACGGCTTGAAGTTCGCCGGTGGTTCATTCTCTCTCTTCCAAGAGAAACCCCTGAGGGAGTTGATCGAACTTGCACATGAGCATGGAGTCTATGTATCAACGGTAAGTCATTCGTGTCGGCTCGAGTAACGGCCCATGGATTCTAATCGCTATATGGCACTGCACAGGGCGGCTGGGCCGAGCATCTTCTCACGCACCCAGACCCTAATGCTGTGTTCGACAAGTACCTTACCAAGTGCAAGGATCTAGGGTACGTTGTTTCTCTTGGCAACCCCATCCCTCACTCATCGGATTCTAATTTGATTGTGATCAGGTTCGATGTGATTGAGTTGTCCTCGGGTTTCTTGTCCTTCCCGGAAGACGATTGGCTTCGTCTAGTCGACAAGGTCCATTCTTACAAGCTGAAAGCGAAGCCGGAGTTGGGAATCCAGTTCGGCGCGGGCGGCGACACCCCAGCTTCTGGTCTCGAGGCAATTGGCACCTCCGACCCGGGCAAGCTGGTCAACCTGGGCCACAAATTCTTGAATGCCGGCGTGGAGCGCCTGATGATCGAATCCGAAGGGATCACGGAGAACGTGGAGTCCTGGCGCACCGATGTGGTGTCCCGGATCATGAAGGAGCTTCCCTCCGAGCGCGTGATGTTCGAGGCAGCAGATCCCAAGGTGTACAACTGGTACATCCGAGAGTTCGGCATTGACGTCAACCTGTTTGTCGACCATAGCCAGATTGTGCAATTGTCATGCTTGCGCCATGGAATCTGGGGCACGGCCGACACCTGGGGAAAGATTGTATCCTTCCGGCCTTGATTGATTCGCAGCCATCCTGGTGTAACGTATATAGTGTATTTGGCAAATATAATTGAACGACTGATGTATTCCAAACTCCGTGTGCTCTGTAGACTGCTGTGTAGATCTAAGAGATGGAAAGAAAGGCTTAGTCAGCTGCGGAAGCTGCTCCGCGGCGAGTCCGGGGAAAGCAGCGCAAACCTTCCATCTTCCACCTGCCAACCTTCCTCTCAACCGCCTTCTCAACCGACCGTCGCGTCCCATAGCTCCAGTCCAATTGATATCTTGCAAAGAGATGTTGAACACCGGTCTCAGCTGGTCTGGCTGGGGTCCCGTTTCGATTTTCCAGCTGTCTGCAACAGCTCGGCCCCGCGATTGGATAACTTCGATTCCCCTCTCCGAATCCGACGAGCTTTCTTCTTAAGCGCAACCCAATCCTTCGTATACCATCATGCCAAGGGCAAGCTCTGCTTCGGGGGCCAGGTTGCGGTGCAGGAGAGCTTGCGACAGCTGCAAGCGGAGGAAACAGAAATGCAACGGGGAGCAACCATGTACGATATGCGTCCAGCGCCACAAGGAATCAGAATGCCATTTCTCGGATAAACCAGCCCGCCTACTCAGACCGAGCAGTCAATCGAAGGAAACAATGCTGCTCAGTGAACATATGGTATCGACACCGCAGAGGCAGACGGCCATGGATCGCTTGTTGAACTCATTGGAAGACCAGAGCGCCAATCTCGAACAACAGGCTGCAGATGATAAAGAGGGCGCAGCACCGGTCCCGAAGGTGGCTAGGCTTCTTCGCGATGGCCAAGGGAAATTTATGTACATCGGAGATTCCGCGAGTTTATCCTTCCTGCAGAGCGTCCGTCGCATTGTCTCCTCTTCGATCGGGAATTGCGAGTTCACGGAGGATACGTCACGGCATTCAATGCTCGAAGCCTTCCAAAGTAGCTCTACCACGCAAACTGGACCGTTAGTTCCACCTCCCAGCAACGATGAGGCCCAGCGCCTGGCTCGTCAGTATGTTCTAGCTACTAGTCCATTGCTGGATCTGTTCGACCTGAATGAATTCCATCCACGAATTGCCGATTGGGTCGAAAACCCCACCGGAGATGAAGACACCGTGAGCTCCATCTTCTACCTCGTTCTTGCAATCGGCGCGCAAGTATCGGACACCAATCAGACCCTGGCCGAGCAATATTTTGTTAGCGGTCGCCAACTAGCATTTTCGGCATTCACCGAAACCCCCAGCAGTTATACCATTCAGTCATACGTTTTAATTTCCATGTATATGCTGGGTGCCTGCCGGCGCAATGGCGCATTCATGAATCTTGGCATTGCACTGAGAGCCGCTTATGCTGTTGGTATCCATAGGAGAGATGCGAATGCGCTCTTCTGCACAAGGGAGCGCCGGGCTAGGGAGCGCGTTTGGAAGAGTCTGCGCATGATGGACCTCTTCCTCAGTGCCTCTTTAGGTCGCCCTCCTGCTACCTCGGACTTTGATTGGGAGCCCCGTGAGGACAATCTACCCCTAGGCGAGCAACAGCGCCTTCAACCCGAAGAACAACTGTCTCTGACGGTGGTTTCTCTATGTCGTATTTTCGAGCGAATCCTTACCGAGGTTTACATGAAGCAAGTCGTCTCCCTCAATGTGGCCGACACGATTTCCAATCAACATCGAGCCTGGGTCCGAAATCTCCCTGCTTTTCTGCAGATGCAGACGGAGCGACTCGACACCAATTCTCTCGAGACCACCTTAGCCGCGGCCCATGTCTTCGGCTCCTACTATTGGTCCATTATTCTTCTGACTCGGCCGTTTCTAATTTTCCGGGTGTCGCAGTATGTGAGAAATAAGAGTGACCCGGGCAATTTCACCGAGTCGAGAACGAGCAGTTCCCGCGTTGCCCTCTTCGCCGATGCGTGTGTCTATTCGGCATTGAGAGGGCTAAACATTGTTGACGGGCTCTCTCAATACACTTCTCTACCGCGCCGACTGCCTTTTCTGATAAACTCGGTTTTCAACTCCGCGATTGTTCTGGGGGCAGCCTTCTTCGCCGACTACGACAACTTACTCCCCCTTGAAGAAGGCATGGACAAGGCGGAGAAATTCCTCGGACTCTTCGTCCCCCATGACCCGCATGCATGTCGCTTCTACCAAATCATCAAATACCTCCGCGCTGCAGTGGCCGAGTACGTGCGTCGACGCAACCGCCAATGGATGGACCGCCGCAGCAGACAGGTCGACCAACTCTTCGGCCAAGTCGGACCGGCGAATGAGAGCAACGACGACAATATCCCAATCACTCGCCCAGGTGAGCCCGCCGTTCCTTCGCCCTTGTCCCCCGAAAAGTTCTCCGGCCCCCTCCCCTCCCAACCACCAGAACCGACGACCTCCGCGGCCCCTCAGCCCGACAACGACATCTGGGACACCCTCTGCGGCGGAGCCGAAGGCGCCGCTGCCCTTCCATTTGACACAGCCATCTCGACCCTCACGACCACCGGTATCCCCATTGGTTGCTCGCCAGGCGGCACCATCCCGTCCGGACACCAAATGGCCGATCGATCAGGCATGCCCGATGCTCGCGGCCAGACCCCGCTCTCGGACGTCATGCTCCCAGATAACGGTCTTCTGTACATGGCCGAGGATCTCCCCGTGTTTGGAATCTGGGAGGATACCTGATCTTTCTCCTATCTACATCATTGCCATTTCTTTCACCCCTATCCCTATCCCTATCCACCGGTCTCATGCACACACGAATAGCACCTGGACCAATTATTGCTAATCCGCCCACACGGAAGCGGACCTTCCCCACCTCTTTCACGACATCTTGATGACTATGCCCTCCGGACAGTTTCATTTAGACCCTCCCGGAGTTGATGCTCGATTCGGCAGGGCGCTGGTGGCGTTTTGACGGTCTGCCGATTCTACTCCTGACTCTCGGAATCCGGGACGAGATGTACATATAGTCTATCCTACCCTATCCTATCCTATCCATTACATACCTAGACAACCTGGACCCTTGTAGAAGTGACTATTGCATACATTTTGTCTGGAATCAACGACCTATATGTACCGTACATACATACCAGAGATAGCAAGGAAACAGGAGAGACGACGAGCAATACGAAAAAAGAGAGGGGAACGGAGAGATGAGACGAACAAACGCAACCATGATTAAAGGTAAAAAAAAAAAAAAAAGAAAAGAAAAGGACAAGCAGATGTGGCAAGGTGCAGAAAACAGGTCCTCCAACCGGTACCAGCACAGCCATCATAAAGTATAAGACAGGAAAGAGCCGACATGGTGAGATGAGTCGTCGGGAAAGAAGAGGTCCCGAGTAGACTGATGGAATGGGTGAGACAAAGGAAACTGAAGATAAGGGCATATAAGAGAGCTGCCGCTGTCTTCCAAAATTACGTAGTGTTTCAAAAATGGAAAAGAGAATGGGGGGAAAGGAGACAAGAACAGGTCTAGGTCGCTGAGGCCGCGTTAAAAAAAGGCACGAAAAGTGAAAAGGGAAAAAAAAAAGGGAAAGGAAAGTGTATGAGCGGATAAGAAAAAATTATTCTCGAGGCATTTCTTTCAGAAACCGGCGATGAAGCAGGTGGGCCATGACTAGAGTTTAGAACGCATTACAGCGTGAGAGGGGCTGAACAAAAGAGCCACAACAGTTCATATCCATGTTGCGCGTGCAATTCCGCCAGCGAAATCCGAGAACGAGGTATAGTAGAAGTCATGTGCCGCAAAGGAAAAAAGAGATATATACAGCAGAATTGGAATCAGAAGCCAAACGGATTCGTAGGCGCTAGAGAGGATGTTAGTCAACATGACACTGGGAATCAACAGAAGGCAAACAGGTGGGAGCTTACTGGCTTGAGAAAGGTTGGCCTTGAGACCGGTTGGCTGGGGAGCAAGCTTCTTGGGAGCCTCGGGCTTGACGCCAAACCTGATCGACGGAGGCGGCCCGGTCTTTTGCGGTTGCAACGGCGTTGCCGTGGGCTGTTGAGGAATAGGCGGGATCGGAGGCGGCGATGCGTTGTAGGGCATACCACCAACACCATTCAAACCGGTGGGCTGAGGCTGCAAGGCTGGAGGAAGCATGGAATTGATGCCGGTTTGCATCGGCTGCTGCATCTGCGGTTGGAAGCCTCCAAAGCCAGTGGGCTGAGGCATAAGTCCCTGGAACCCAGGCTGTTGCTGTTGCTGCTGCTGGATCCCAAACTGCGACTGCGGCTGGAAGCCAGTCGGTTGCGGCATCAATCCGTTTTGGAATTGGTTCTGAGGCATAAAGCCGGTTGGTTGGGGCTGAAGCGACGGTTGGAAGCGCTGCTGGTTGAGCTCGGCGAGGCTCTGTCCGGGAGGCGCAATCTGCGGCCCTGCTTGAGGGATCCCTGTAAGCTGGGGCTGCAGCGGAGTGGCTCCAAAGGAGTTCGGCTGCTGGGGGAAATTCTGGGGGGCCGAAAGGGGTCGCGGAGGCGGAGGTGGCAGCAGAGAGCTCTGACCCAGGGTTTGCGGGGCCTGAGGGCGTTGTCTCGCGGCCTGCTGGAAGCCGGTCGCTTGAGGGCTGAACCCTTGCTGTCCGGGCTGGCCCAGTTGGGAGAAGAACCCGGGGCTGGCCCCGGTTTGTTGTGGCTGCTGTGGCGGAGGTTGAGACACAGGCACGGCGGTTGGTTGGGGTTGAATCATGGGCGCAGCAGCCGGCGGGGACTGGGGTGAAGGAGCAGGCTGCGCAGTGGGAGTGGGCTGAAGCGGAGGATGAAGGATTGATAGATCTGCCAATGCTCCGGTCAACTGCTGCTGGGTGGGCTGGGTTGGAGTCTGAGTCGGGGCAGGCGAGGTCGTAGCAGGGGGGGAGCTCGTCGCAGCTGGCGCGGTGGTGGCAGGCTGTTTCGGCTGCTTGACTTCCCATGCGTCGTCATCGAAGCCTTGTTTGACCGGCTTTTCGGCCGCAGCAGAAGCCGGGGGGGTTGCGTCCTGGTCGGACGAGGTGGAAGTGTCCTTCTGCTCGAAAGCCTTAGGATCAACCACGTCGTTGGTCTGAACGGCGGGGGCCGGTCTGCCCTTGCGAGTATTGTTGCGCAGCGTGCCTCCTGGTCCAGAAAAGAGGCCACCCGAGGAGCCATCCTCGCCGTTGGCGATCACTTCTTCGCCGCCGAAGCTCACATTGCGCGGCTTAGGTTTGCCGCCAGCGCGGTTGAACAAAGTGTCCAGATGGCGCATCACCCGCAAGATATCACCCTCCTTCAACCCAAGCGTTCGAAGAACCTCGGGAGTGATTTCCGGAAGAATAGTCTCGTCCATCGAATCCTTGATGAAGTTCTGGGAGTACCGCTCGCACTGATGAGGACCAACACCTGCCTTGAGGAAAAAATCGAACCAGTCATAGTCCGACTGCTGGATGGAAGCTCCGGACCGTTTGGCCTCGCCCGAGGAACGAGTGGGCTCGGGCTCGAGTTTCTGAGACCGACGGCGAATGTCTGATAGAGGCTTATCCTCGTCCAAGGACACACCAGTGGCCTTTTCCACAAATTCCAGATCCTCGACCGACATTTTCGGGATGGGCACGGCGATTTTGACGCCGTTCGTTTTATGGAGATGGATCTTGCCGTCTTGGAGGCCGATGAACTGAGCCTCCACGGTAAACGTCTTGGTCCGGTCGGTCCATTGTCTCGTTTTGTTTGGATCAGGTTCTATCGATGCCATTAGCATGACCGACAACGGCGACTGCTGTAAATAAGAGAGACTTACTGGATTTATGGCTGCTTCGGCTGTCGCGTTTCTGTCGTCGCAAAGAAGGCAATCGTCAGTACATCCAGCCTTTCCAAATGCGATTATAGAAGGGTGAATTATGAAGGGGGGGGGAAGAAACCCACCTCGGGACTCCGCGAATCCTTAGATTCGATAGTTGACTTGCGCAACGCCTCCTTGGTCAACCTGGACTCTTCGAGCCGATTCCGTTCGATGGCGGACAGACCGGCATCCAATCCGGGGGACTGGCTGGACGTGACGCCGGTGATTTCCACATAGCTGCTGGGGACAACGCCCTCTTTGCCGTTCTTCAAGCGCCGGACCATCCACCACTCGTCAGATTTGGTATCGTCGAGGACGATGACGTCGTCACCCTGCGCCACGGTCACTTCGTCCTCGCCCTGGGCCATGAACTCGTACACCATCTGTCCCTTCTTCTGACCGCCGCCACCGGACCCGGCCGCGATCACTTCCCTCAGGCCTTCTGCGCGGTAGGCGCCCGAGATTTCACCCAGGGCGGCGACAATCTCGCGGGCAGTGTCCTTGGCTCCGGCGTGGAAATCGATACTTCTGCTGGGACGGACCATGTCAACGAAAACATGTTTGCCCTCAATTGAGTAGTGCGACAGCTTATCTGCAGTCCATTCCTGATCCTCGCCGTCATCTTCGGGCGAGATGAAGATGGTGCCGGTGGCAGCGTTGATTCCCAGAGTTGTAGGCTTCTTCTTTCTCTTGCCCATCACCTCGATCATCTCATTGATGTTATAGATGTGATATCCGGAGGGCGAGCGCGGTGCCGGCTGGCCAACTCGGTTGTACGGGGGAGACTCCTGCACATGGCCTTTGCGCTCGCCTTCCTGGATTGAGGCAACCCTAGGCCGCGGGGGTGGGGAAGGCTCCGGCGGGAGATCGAAACGCACGGGAGAGGAAATCTGCTCCGACGGAGGGCGCCGAGGCAAAGCCGGGGGCGGCGGCGAGGGCTCGCTTCGATAGCTTTCTTCGGGCTCGTAAGACGGTTGAGGCTGAGGCGGAGGTGGCACAGTTCGGGGAGCCGAAGGCTCCGTGGGGGATGCATGCTGCTGGTGAATGATGTTCGCAATTGCGCTGGCCGCCGAATTTTGGGGCGTGTCGACGGGAGGACTGGCAACGGGCTCCGGGGCTTCCTCTGCCGGCGCCGCCGCTGGCCGTTGCGGAAGACTAGGAGGGGCGGGCTCGGCCGGAGGAGACGAGATGGCAGGCGTCGTTGGAGCATGGGCGGGCTGCGCGTCTATCTCGATGTAATTTGCAGGGGCAAAGCCGTAGTCCGAACCAACACCAACTAAGGTCCAGTCCGGATCCGCCGTATCGTACACCATCAGTTCCGCATCTTCCGAAAAGGATACCTCCTCGTCGGTTTGGCGAGTATAGTCGTAAAGCGCTTTAGCCGAGTGAATTGGTTGAGCCTGTAGATGAGAATGGACAATGGCCCCGGTCAGCAACTGCTAATCCCCATACCCGGATGTTTCTCTCGCTCCCACGAACTACCCCTGAGTGAGAACAGCCACCAACAGCTTCCACCGGTCTCTCTCAAGGACTTCCGGCCACCATGCCATTCTGCATGCGACCTGAACAGCCAAAGGGAATCTTCAACACGGGGATTCTTACCTCCTCAACGTAGTTATTCGGCACCAGGCCTTCAGGCTCGTCCTCGTCGTCTCGCTCCGCCTTCTTCTTGGCCTTCCACCAGGCATCCTCCGCGCTTTTCTCCAAAATATACAGTAAATCACCTTCGCGCAGCTCTAATTCCCCCTGCGCCTGGGGGTGGTAGTCGTAGAGGGCCGAGTATACACCTAGGAAACCCATCTTGGACAGCGATCGCTAGCAAAGCGGCGATAAGATTTCAAGCAGCTGCGGAGGGGTTGGCTGCAGCAGGCAGCGGTCCGGAACGAACAGGTGTCACAGAGCGGGTGTTGGGCTCCAATCTGTCAGGGAGGTGAATGAACGGTAAATCCGGAGGTTGGAAGTGGATGGGCCGGTCGGGGGGGGGAAGATAGTCGAGGGAGGGTGGAGGACACCGACTGGCTTGGCAATTCCAGGTACTCAAGACCAAGAGTTAATTAAAGACTAGTCCTGGATCTAGCCCACGAGACGGAGGGGAGGGCAGGTGAAGGCACGACCAGGAGATGATCGGGCAAGGAAGGGAAGAGAAGGAAATCCGGTCGAAAGAGTGGGGGAGTGCGTGCGTAATGGGAATTAATAGGGAGAGAAGACGATCGGGCAGAAGAAGAGAACCAACTGGAGACGGTTCGCGATGGCCAGAAGGCGGTCACGTCACGTTTTCTGCACCCCTTTTGGATTCATGGATTTACTTCCTCAATTCATGTAGTCCCTGCTATACTCGTTACTCGCTATCCTCTGGTGTTTAATGAGCGCCGATCGACGGGAACGCGGGCCTGAGAGTGAACAGGTGGTCACTGTGTATACTAAATATCCTTGGACTACAGGAACATCATCATGCTTCAACTTATTAACACTGGGGAAAACCTGGATATCAAAAATGCACACACGCATACACTCAAATCACCATGTAGAATTGCTCCATTTGGAGCTCAGTGTCTTCAGCCTGATCACCCTCACCCTCGAGGCTCTGCTCGGGGTCATGGTCTCCTGTCGACGCCGTCTGTTGCCTCTGCCCAGCACCATCCTTCTGCCTTGCCCCTTCGGCCTGCTCGCCTTTCTCTGTAGACTGGGTCTGCGTCTTCCCCGTCGTCTCTACCGTCTCGGACTCCTCGCTGTCGGTGTCCACAATCCCGCGCAGTCCCCGTTCTCCGTTGGCTAAGACGACCTCCAGTGTCCAGTCCTTACCCTTGGCCCACTCCTCCATTTGTCGCTTCAGCTCCTCGACCTTCTCGGGGTCAAGATCGTACTTCTTCAGCTCCTCGCGCGACAGCCGTTGGATTTCCCCGTTCTCGCGTTTGGCCAGGGTATCGACCTTCTCTTCCCCGGCAGAGGCCACGCGGCCCTTCTCAATCGTCTTGCCCTCGGACCCAACCAGCTTCTGAGCCCCCACCTGGATGTCTCCAACGATGGGGAACTCCGGGGTCTCTGCGGATTCGACCAGTCGCTGCGACATATGATATTTCTGCATCGCCTCCCATTCGGGCACCTCGTCCGGCGTGAGGATCTCTCGACAATCAATTGAATGCACTTCTTCCTGCTGCGGGGGCAAGAACGCGACGTCGTTACACAGACGCGGGGTGTAGATCACCATCAGGTAGGAGCAGGTGGTGAGTTCCTTGATCCAGCCGATACGGTCCGTCGATTGCGGGTGGCAGTGGAACTGGACCTCGATCTTCCGGTTTCTTCCCGTGAGGTCGCAGCGGGTGCCGCCGTCGAGACGCTGCACGAGGTACCGCGAGCCCCCTTTCGTTTGCAGCTCGGCGAGAGCCGTGGTCTTCTTGCTGTCCGTGTCCTCCGCCTCGTCATCACCGCCTACGGACCGCGGAAACCGGCCGAGGATGAACGAATGCGTAGTGGGATCCTCCATGGGCGGGTAGTTGGGAATCCCGCTCCCCGAAGGCAACGCGTGAAACTGCTTCACCTGATTCTTGTAGCAGAAGGAGTAGGACCACCATCCCGACACATAGTACATGCATTTGCCCTCCATCTCCCGCAGCAGCTCCATCCCGCGATCCGTCGCCCGCGCCAGTTCTCGTTTCTCTTCCGCCTCGGTCGATTCCTGCGTGCCGTTTGATTTGCTCGGGTCTTCCCTGTCGACGTGGGGGATGCGACACAGGTATCGCTGACCTTCGAGGTCCATCTCCTCGTAGGAAACCAGCTCCCCTTCCTCTCGCCGCAGTCTCCCTCCCGTGCTTCCATGAGAGCCACCGTTCAAGGCAATTTGGGCCTGGTTTTGACCGAAATTTCTCTGTTCGTCGCTGAAAGTAGAAGATTCGTCTTGTTGCGAGTAGAGCAGTTCTCGAGCATGTGATTCAAGGAGATAGCCTTCGGGGAAAAGGACTTGATACTAGAATTGGTTTCTTGTTAGTCAACATCCTAGACATCAGGCAGCAGAAAATCTGCGTACTTGAGGAAATGCGAGAAGATCGTCGTGTATGTTGAAGACCTTCTTGCTGGCCCAGGCAGTGGAACTGGCGCATGCCAGCACTATTAGCGGCGCGATTATCCCGGAGCCTCCAGGCATATTGGGTCGAACGCAGAGAAGATGACGAATGGCAAGAAGTAGCAGAGTAAGAATGGGACTATGAGATTCTAGTGCAGCTGTTGCCGGTCTATCGCGATGCCGGGCGGAGAGACGATCTGGCCTGTTGCGAGCTTCCCGGCGGGACAGCCCCAGGCCGTGGAGCTAAATAGGGATTGGAGGGTTAGAAGAGATAGCGGAGAATACCGAAAGACCAACGAGAACTACTCTAGCAGCAGCAGACGATCAACAATCCGGGGTAACGAGGAGAGTCGCGAGGAAAGGCAACGCTGGCCGCTGCGAAGGCCGCCCGCCGTCCAATCGGAGCGCGACGCCTTATCGAGTATCACCACGTGCTGGGGGGTCGAATGACGTAAGGTCTTAGTCAGGCGTTTGCATTTCTACTCCGGAGTACTGCTACCTAGGTAGTTACTCCCTACTTTACTGCGTACTGTATTGAGAGATTATGGTTGATTATTGAGAACTAATGAGCCATCAGGGGATTTTAGAGCCATTGAGCCATGCGATGACTGACCCTGAATAATCTGAATAATCTGAATAATCCGACCCAATCGACCAGTGCGGAACCAACCATTGCCAAACCACCACCGCAACAGGCTTAGCGCTGCTGACGGCAGCGTTTGTCATCGCTGAATTTCTCCATCGTCGACCCTCTTCAGTCACGGCTTATTCGAGAAATTATAAGACGTGACAAAACCTCGCCCAATGGCTCGAGTCTTTTCTACCAAGTTCTCGCTGCCATTCCGCACGGGTATAAAGAGCCGTCCGTCGCGTCCATGAGGCCCTTTCTGTCTTTTTTCATCGGCATCACAGCTATCCTCCTTCCACTCTTCTATACTTATAGATCTACTCCACACTACTCGGACAACCTCCAGCCTCTAGTCTCCAAGCTGCTGCAGCGTCTACACCTGCAACCCCCCACGACCATCACCATCAACGACCTTCCGTCCATCGACCTCTACCCACCGCCCGTCGTGGTCCCCGTCACTGATATGGCCGTCCCCCGCGCAATCCGCCAGGTCTTCCTGGCCATCGAGCAGGCCGAGGGCGCCGGCGCACGGGTCCGCCGCTCCATCGGCACCGCCAAGCTGCGCAACTTCAGCCCCTTCCTGATGCTGGACCACTTCACCATCGGCCGCGGCGCCGGCTTCCCCGACCACCCGCACCGCGGCCAGGAGACCATCACCTACCTGCTCTCCGGCGGCGTTGACCACGAGGACTTCGCCGGCAACAAGGGCACCATCGGGCCCGGCGACCTGCAGTTCATGACCGCCGGCCGCGGCATCATGCACGCCGAGATGCCGCACGAGAACCCCGACGGCTCCCCCAACGTCGGCATGCAGCTGTGGGTCGACCTGCCCAAGCACCTGAAGATGTGCGAGCCGCGCTACCGCGACCTGCGCGCCGCCGAGATCCCCGCCGCCCGCGTCGACGACGGCCGCGTCGAGGTCAAGGTCATCTCCGGCCAGTCGCACGGCGTCGACTCCGTGCGCGACCTCGCCTACACCCCGGTCTGGCTGCTCGACGTCACCATCCGCCCCGGCGGCCGCATCGCCCAGCCCCTGCCGCAGGGCTGGAATGCCTTCGCCTACACCCTCGCCGGCACCACAGTGTTCGGCTCCAACGACTCCACCCAGCTGGTCAAGGAGTTCCACAACGTCGTCTTCGACCAGCCCGGCGACTACGTCGAGGCGTCGGTACCCGACAACGCCGAGTCCGAGTCGCGCTTCTTGCTGGTGGCCGGCCAGCCGCTGGACCAGAAAGTCGTGCAGTACGGCCCTTTCGTCCTGACCAGCCAGGAGGAGGTGTACCAGGCCATGATGGACTACCAGACCGCGTCGAACGGGTTCGAGAGGACCCGCGGGTGGGAGAGTGAAATCGGCAAGAGGATGGCGTTCTAAACCTAAGTGATCAAAAAGGGATTTGTCTTAGACTTTGTTCTCTTGTGTTTGGGTTTTGTTATGATATATGATACTCCTGTCGGGCGTTAATTTGTGTTTTTTCTTTCTTTTTTTCTCTGGTTAAATAGCAGTGTACAATGTATTTATTCGCATCGGTTTACCAAACGAAAATTAGGTGCGACATCCTCAAGCCGTTCTACTCGAAAAGTTGTAAAAAGTCTAGCTATCGGTCAAAAATCTGATTGAATCTGCAAAACAACGCTATTTTGGGTCTTTTAAAATAGAAACATGGTTACCAAAACAAAATAAGAAGCAACAGAAGAGACAAGAAGATATTAGAAGAAAGACGGATCGTCGCTCCAGACCACTTGAACAATCCAATTCCAACCAAAACTCCATTTGATGGCAATCGGGAATTTTTGAAAAAAAACCAAATCCCGTTCTTGTCGGGATTGTAGACCGATGCAGCCTAGGTGCATTATCGACGACGCCCTTCAAATACCCACCAGCCAACATAATAAATTTAGGCCAAAGAAGGAAGACCTGCTCATAACACGAATATAATCTACATGGCGGGTGAGCGCCTACGCCCGAGGGAAGGCCGGTAGAGGATTTCCTGGGTGATTTTGTGGTTGCGCTCTGCCAACCGGGTGGTGGAAGCGTTTATTTGGCGAAATGCAGGTCGTAGCCCAGCCATCTGCGTGCATTCACGCCGTCGACATCCAACCCGGGGGTGCCGTAGGTCAAGGGGGCGTAGAAACAGAATCCCCAGAAGGTGAATCCGAGGATGACCAAGGTGGCAATCCAGCCTGCAACGAAGGACTTGGTGCCCATGCGCTCCTTGGCGGTAACGAAGCGGCCTAGAGAAGTGGAGGCCTTGGCCTTGCCCGAAGGGTCATCTTCGCCATCGGTCGAGCCTCCGACCGAGACGGGCTGGAGGTTGAAGATAAACTCAACCAGCGCTCCCGTCACCATGGCCGAGGCGAGGTGGGCGGGCAGGTAGTGGTGCAAGAAACGCTGACGGCCCATCAGCCAGAAGGGGAAGTAGTGAGCGGCCCAGCAGAGGAACAGGAAGCCAGTGCTGTTGTACAGGCGGGATCGTGCTCCAGCGCCCCAGACTAAAAGATTAATTCCGTTAGTTTCGTGAACGCAAGGGACAGACGATTCAAGTCGGTACTCACTTTCTTCAACGGCATCCACTCCACGACGAAGGGACAGCTGATCCGCACCAATGACGCCGGCAAACACCGCCAACAGACTGCTGGAAATCCACCATCCGATGGGGTTACCCAAGAAGTAGATCTGCTCCCGAGTATCGTTCTTGGTCCAGAAGCTGACACCGCGCAAGAGGAAGGGCCACTGGAAGGGCTCGCTGGCGTAAGGGTGGCTACTGGTCAGAGCGTTGTTATGGAAGAACATCGCCCGCTGGAGTTCCAGGTATTTCCGGAAAAAGGGCAGCTGCTTCACTTTGCGCTCTTCCTTCTGCGTACGAGGGCTGCCTTCTTCCAGCGACTCGATGGAGTCGACAAACCACAGGTTGCTGCTCTGAAGAACGTTCTTGTTGCCGTTGATCTCCGCCTGTTTGAATCCCCACTCGGGCAAGGGAGTAGTGTGAGTCCACATCGCCACCCGCGTGGGAACATGGATCAATTTGAAGTGGCTGGAAAGGGTGCGGAACTCCTGTCGGGACTTGCCATTTTCGATCTTGATTTCGAATAAAGTGTCGTTGCGTCGGTCGCCATTGGCCACCTCCTGGGAGACGGTGGTAAATTCCTGGTTGGTCGGGTAGTACGGAGAGGCAACGTCGTGCGTCAGGAGAACGGTGTCGGTGCCCAAGTGACGGAGCTGGACAATATCGCCGTTGTGGACGTTGTGGCCCTCGCCCTCGTTGTCCTCCAAGGGAACCGTCGGGATGATCTCCCACTGGTTGTTGGTGTCGTTGTAGGGGTATCCGGTCACCTGTTGGCCCTGGCTAGAGATACGGCCATCGTCATAGCGGAGGGGATAGGTATCCCAGTGACTGTGCAGGAGCACCTTGGTGTCCTTGTGCTTGATGGTGATGGCGTCGTGGTATTGAATGTTGATCGACTGGGCAGACAGGACATTGTCGCTGAGGGTTTCCTGGAAAGCCGGGGTCATGAAGTCATCGCCAGGACCGGAGCGAGTGAGAATGGCGAAATGAACCTGGAACCAGAACAGGTAGAAGAAGAAGGGGACCACGATGAGAGCGAAACCACGGGCCACAAAGTGCTTGGTCCACTCGACCATGCTCAAGGCACCGTTGGCACGTCGGATGTCCAACAAATTCCACAAGTCGACCAACACGGCAGCTCCGATGGTGACGAAAGTGAACACGCCGACGTACTTGGTGGAGATGACGCAGCTAAGGGAAACACCGGTCATCAGGAGCCACTTCCACCACTTTCGCCCGAACGCCTCATGGCGCAGCTTGTAGAAGCGCACGTAGCAGAGAATGCTGAGTGCCATCGTAAGGACCAAAGAGGCATCCAGGAGGATGAGTCGATCTTCACCGATGTGCGCGTTGTCGAACAGGACAAGCCCGGCAGACAGAACACAGGCAGGCAGCGAATATCCAGACTCCCACATGATCAAGAACACCACCGGGACGGTCAGGGCGCCGAGAGTTGCGGGCATGGCACGGAGAGCCACATAGGGGACATTGTGCTCGACGTACGAGTCGCCGATGTTGTCGAACAGGAAGTGACCGTCATAGCCAACCAGCCAGCCCATGAAAGCGAAGAGGAGCTTGCCGAACGGGGGATGAACATCGAAGAAATAGGTGCGTTGTAGGTAATAGGATGCGAACTAAACAGACCGCGTTAGAGGCAATGTCTCCCAGAGCACGAGCTGGCTCGGAATATCCCAGGTCTTACCTTGCCGAAGTGGACTTCATCGAACACCACCTCCGCGGGGTATGAGATCTTATAGAATCGGGTGATGAATGCCAGCACGGTCAGAACGGTTATGGCCAGCCGATAATCCCATTCTGACTGAGGCTTGGGGGTTGCGGATCTAGACAAAGGAGAGGCACCGCCGTCCAACGGCGCAGGAGAAGCCTCCTTCTTTCCGCCTCTCTTACGGAGAGAGGGCGAAGGAGACGAAGACATGGTAGCGGGTAAAGATTGGATAACGATTGGAGATACCAGCTAAAAGTACTGGAGGGAGGTCGCGGTAAGGGGTCAGCATTCGCAGTTCCAGCCAAACCAAAATAAAAGAAACGCAGCAGAACCACTCACGGTAATTACGACAAGAACATGATAGAAAAGGAGAGTCGTGTCTTTTTTTCTCGGAGACGGGGAGAGGGAGAGAAAGACAACGGTGATGGGGCCAGATTGCGTGTCTCCGGCCAAACACGCGGAACGGAAGAAGGCGTGGGTCCGAGCATCCGAACATGTGAACAGGAGAGCTCATTCATGGTCAAGCAAAGATGCCTTGGTTGGCTTCAATTTCTATGGACAAAGGACTATTCAAAAATAAGAAAAACCCAGCCAAAGGCAATAGATGCGGTAAATCAACTCCTGACGCTCCCAACGGCCCCCAATGCCAGTATGTACAGGTATAGAGCCATCAATTTGACGATGCAGCTTGGGGAAAAAGAAAATCACCAAAAAAAAAAGCAAATAAAGCAAAGCAGACCAATTCCGGACTTCAGTCCCGATCGGTGACCTCCAAAAGATCTAGTTCAGTTGTCACAAGAGATTGGAACTCCGCTCGAGAGATCCCCGTAGCTTTCGCCAGACGGAACAAGCTCTTGATATTGGAGCCGATATGTTGCTTGACTCCCACTTCGCACGCGGACTGGCTTGCCGCCTCCCTTTCCAACTTGGCGACGGCGTCGGAGCTTCCAGACGAGATGGACGAGGGTCGAGGGTGGTTTAATGGCATGGCGCTGTGCCCGTTTAAGCCCTCGTTGCGAGGCGCCGGTTCCTCCGTCTCCGAGTCGTTGATCTGGCGCTGAAGAAGGCTAGCGAGTATGTCCCCATTCAAAGAAGATGATCCCGGCGGTTGTTGCTCCTCCGGGTCATGGTTGTCCATCGCCGGTTGCACTTCGGCATACCGAGAGAAGTATGCCGCCTCGGAGGTCTCACGTTGCGAGTTGGGAGCAGGCGTTTTGACCGACGGAGTTCTGCCCGGCGTTGCGTCGTACTGCGCCCAGTAATCGTCATCGTCGTCGTCTTCTTCTTCTGCCTCTTGCGCAGGCCGAGCAGCGGCTTGTTCGTGCTTCTCGGCGGACTTCAGGGCATCCTCCAGCACCTGCTCCTTTGCCCGCGCATTGGCCTCCCCTATGGAAATCGACCACTCCCGATCATCCTCGGACTCGCCTTCCTGGGGAAGCAGCTCTGCGACTCGCCATCCGGGTCCTCCACCTTCCACGTCGGTGGGACACCACAGATACAGAACTCTTAGACTGTAGTCGTCCAGGAGCATTCGAGACTGGAGGGTTTCCTCGTCGATCCGCTTGTACGTCACGGGGATCTCCCCGGGTAACTCAATTTCGCCGGAGACGGGATGGGGCTCAAAGTTTGTGCCGTCCACCAGTGCCTGAAGACGTTCGGCTTTCCCTTCATTCCAGCACAGCAACTGCAGCCATGATTCGGTCGGCGATGCGGAGACGGAGCTGAAGACTTGCACTCGTTGACGGAGGATGGGCGAAAGCAGCGATAGAAGAGCCGGGGGAGGACGAGGCGATACGAAGGCCGTGGGGAGACACGCCAATAGCGGAGGGAGCAGCTCTCTGGGATCGGGGGGAGGGATGAGTTCGACCATCGTGAAAGCGGGGGATTAACGCAGGGTGGCAGAGAGACGTTGCAGCTGAGGGCCAGTCAACAAAACGATGTTGATGCTGAAGAAATCCGGGACCTTATCGAAGCCAGTGTCGGCGGTGAAAATGAATGGAACGTCAGGGTCAACCGAAGAAATCCCACGTTGACGAGAGCGACAGACCCAGAGCGACGGCGTTGCGCCTGCAGCGTGCCATGACCCCTTAATAATTTGCAGCAACAGGCCATCTGTACAAATGCAACGCTTTGCTCCCTTCGTCCGAGCAAAGTTGCGGGGTTGCTTTCATGCCGTTTCCCCTCCGCCGCCCCGTATCGCCGTATCTCCTATTATCTACGAACCATCCCCTGGATAGCATCTACAACTGCAGCTACAACCACCTCCTCAGGGAACGGATGATTCTTCATCGACTCAATTCAGCTGCTTTCGCTTAATTTCCGCGGCTTGCGCCGTCGCCACAGACACGCGATGATCGCCACGATTACCGACAGCACCAGTGCGCCCCCAATTCCGGCGCTCAGCCCGATCACCAACGGCTGATGCTCCTTCACCCACGATCGGGTCCCGTCATCATCTCCGTCGCCGTCGCCGGCCCGAGACTGCGCACATTCCTCCCCGCCTCGCCACTGACACGTCATGCTGTCGCAGCACTGGGCATCGCGCTCGTTGCATGCATCCCCTCCGCAATCGCACGCCTCTCCCGCCTCGACGATGCCATTGCCACATTGGCCATCGGGCACACTGGTTACGTTGCCGCCCTCGTCGGCGTCGCGCGCACTCACGAGACACTGGGTATTCGTCCGGCGGGACCCGAATCGCGAGCAAATGTTCCCGATGGTGCATGGGGAGAATCGGGTCATGCCCCGGTTCGACGACGGGTTCATGATGTATTCCCCATCTGCGTCGCAGGTGGATGTGGAAAGAGGACAGCACTGCGAGTCATCGTCCGCGCCCGACCGACAGGTGCTGGAGTCGCAGTCATGAACGGCGCCGAACGTGTGAGCCGATTCGTGTCTGGATGGTTACATGCAAGTCAGTCATTTTGCATCATAATACAGAAGAAAGAGGGGTTACGTACGCAAACACCTGCCACTCGCTCTGAGATCGGGCGATCACATTGGCTCCGGGCGTAGTAGCGCGGTACCCCGAGGCGCCCGAGTTGCACAACTCTCCAACCCAGGAGATCCCCACGGCGCCGGTGTTTGGGCACCCCGTCAGCAGCGACCAGTATGCATTGTCATCATCGATCGAGCTTCGCCAGGATGAAAAACGGTCCAGGCGCCAGCTCAAGTCGCCGCTGGAGCAAGGCGCGTTCCACTGCGAGGAGCCGGAGACGCTGTCGGGACACTCGGTATCGCTGATCGTGACGTTTCGGAGCCCAAGCGAAACGTTGAAGCTGTTCTCAAACACCACCGACGCGGTGTTGACCACGTTGATGATGTTCCGCCGCACCGCATTGGTGGAATTGAACTCTGCCGAGTAAGTACAGTCCGTCACCACCCCAATATACGCGATTTGTCGAGATGTAGGACAGCCGGACGTGCTTCCGATCGTGTCTGCCAGGCTCATGTCCTCCGAGTCATCATCCCACCCAATCTGTCGACGGTCCAAGGAAGCTATCGACGGGGAGATGCACGATTGCTGGAGTGAGGAGTCGTCGTGGCCTGATACGGAGGGCGCCGAAGCTTGATGGACCAGCATGTGGCCTGTCTGCTGGTCCTGCTCAAGTTGGATCTTGTATTGTTTCGATGAGATAGCGAACGTCCCCTCGAACAATGGCTTGGCCGTATCTTCCAACACGATGAGCCTTGCCCAACCGACTGTCGCCCACGGTCTGCCCGCAGACCGCATCCATACGGACCCTTTCGTAACATGATACGTCGACTGTGTCCATGGTTCAACATCCCGGATGTTTCCATGTACATTTATATACTGAACGTAGGCATCTTTCGCGGTAAATTCTCGATTTGTTTCTAGCACAAAGGCCAATGAAGTATTGCTCCCTTCGATATCGGCAGTGATATTAAAATGCGGCGACGAGCCAGAGTCGGGAAAGGTTGGATGGGATGTAGAGTTGACCAGGCGAAACGGAGTCTCGGCAAGACGCGCTGAATGACATCAGAGCCGTCGGTTAGCCGGGCCATCCGCAACGGGCAGACAATAATGTACACTCACCTGTCACACCGGAAGTCCATGTTAAAAGTGCAGCTGAAGCAGCCAGTAGATTGCGTATCTTCATCCCAGATGATTGATTGTTTAAAACTCTAGGGGAGGGCCGTTTTAAGTACTCCGTAGGGCCCGTCTTGGTATTAGATCAGGGGTTTAATTACGGAGTAGTTCATGGGGCCGAAGCAGGCTGATCACCCAAGGCGTACTCCGTATTTATAACCATCGTCTGTCGCACGAGCAGGACTGATAAATTCCTCCGTTGGATCCGTTGGAGCAGGCGTTGAATGATCGGGTCCAGCTCTTGAACAAGGCAAAAAAATAAAATAAATGAAGACGGTATGTACGTGCATGCAATAATTCGTCGTCGTCGTCATCGGTCCTGGGCATAACCTAGTCTTCTGCACGCTAAAGTTTCGAGAGAACATGACAACTACACACATCCACCGATGTGATCATCTCCACGGAGGGAACCGATCGCACAGCCACCTGGAATGAGCGTGGGCTGAGCCGCTGAATCCGAACGGACCGTGGTCATTCTCGGAGATAGGACGAGCGCGAGCGTGCCAAGTGCAAATGCTGGGACTCCACGATGTCAGCAACGTCTGGTACGAGGCTTGGCAGATGTGATCTGAAAGACAGAACTCATGGTCATCAATTCTCCCGACACTTGGCACACCGCAGCAACGCGTCTCCCATGTCATCAGCCGGCATGGACTCCAGCAGCGCAGAGTAGATCTGGGGATTGTGACGACATGGAACCATGCGGTAGATCTAGGGATTGGAGTCTTTTCTGGAAATCTCCACCGTGTCCGTTCTTGGCTTGCCAGACGGTAAGCAAGTCGCATTAGTCTGGAGTAGAGACCGGGAAATCTTGTTGCCTTCGTTCACCAACAGGGCTGTTGGAGGATGAATAATGGAATCCACTGGGGATACAGAGTGTGTCCGTTGGTTGGTAGAATTGACGGGTCTTGTCATCAAGTCCACTTGCACAGCCATGCGGTCGATCGACATCGGACTAAGCAGTTCGTAGTACGCAGTATACTAACTGCCCATGCTCACAGTATATATCTCGGAGATCGCTCCAATGTCCGGACTGCATTCGTCGCTGTCCCCATGCCATCTCACTAGGCACGGTTAACTCTGACTCGAAGGCCATGGAACCTCAATCGACAGAGACAGACCTTCACACAAGATCTCATCATCACATAAACCAAGATGTTCCTGGTCTCCCAGGGACTGACTACCTTGCTGGCAGCACAGATGGCAGGACAGAGCCAGCAGAACCAGCAGGCGCAGCAACTGCGGTGAGATGTCGCGGGGAATAAATACGAACCGAACGGAGAGAACCGAGCTGGTTGTTCATTGCCAGAAAGACCGAGGATGAGCAAGGATCAGGGGCGATCTGCCGGACCGGGTCGAACCAATAATCATGAATGTGACCCTGTGAAGAAATCTCGGCCGGGCGGGGGAAACCATGCATGGCTGGACTAGATCGTCACTAGTCGTTATCGCGACTTCGGCGAGTTTCCATTTCTTGCCAAAAAAGACCGACACGTCGGTTCTTCGTCACGTCTTCCGACCGCGCCATGGATTGATTGCACTCAAACCGGGGAGAGAGAAAGTGTGAGGAAATTAAGAAAACAAACACCAGGGGAACTCATTGCTACCTTTTCTACCATGACGGAAAAACCCCCTCATCTCACGGCCATCATGGCTGACGAGCCTGGTGTGCAGCCCGGCCAGACAGATGCAGATGGCCAGGAGGAATTTCTTCCGGAAGAGTTGAAGGAGCTGGAGAAGAGGGTCCGATGGAAAGCTGATCTGCGACTCTGTACAATCGCGGGGATTTTGTGCAGCCTCAACCTGCTCGACTCGGGCATTCTCTCGTCAGCCTCGGTGACCAGCATGCTGAAGGATCTCGATCTCCAAGGCACGCGCTACTCGGTCTCCATCTTTATCTTCACCATCGCCAGCGTGGTCTTCCAACTCCCGTCCACGATCGCCGTGCGCTGGGCCGGTCCTCGGGTCTGGTTCTCGGCCATCACCGTCTGTTTCGGCCTGATCACCCTGTGCACGGCGTTCATCCACACCTGGCAGCAGCTGGTTGTCCTGCGCGTCCTCCTCGGCATAGCTATGTCCGGTATCTACCCGGGTCTGACCTACCTCATTAGCACCTGGTATACTCGGCGCGAGCAGCAGCTTCGGTTTGCCTTCCTCCAGTCAGGCGAGGTCACCGTGCTGGCCACCGGCAATATCGTGAATTACGCGCTGAACCTGCTGGATGGGCGCGCCGGGCTGACGGGATGGCGCTGGATGTATCTTGTGCAGGGGCTGACCACCTGCGTTCTTGGTGCCCTGACCTACTGGTGGATGGTTGACTTTCCCGAGAAGGCCGACAGAAGCTTCTACTTCCTGTCCACAACGGAGACGCGAATCGCTGTGCGGCGTATCCAGATGGACCGTGGCGACGTCGTGCTGGAGCCCTTTTCCTGGCGCAAGATCGCCGTCCATTTCCTCGATCCTAAACTGTACGGGTTCGCCTGCATGTTCTTTCTCCTGAATCTGGTGTCGACAGCGCTGAGCTACTTTCTCCCGATTATCTTGCAATCCGGAATGGGGTTCTCCAGCAACGAATCAATTCTACTTTCCACGCCGGTAGGTCGTGTTGGCGTCTTGTTCCTCCTGCCTTCTCCCGTTCTAAAAATGGATCGTTGACCGTTCTCAACCAGCCGTATTACTGGTCCGTTGTGCCCGTTCTGTTCACCTCCTTCATTGGCGACACGTATGGCAAGCGCGGTCCTTTGATCGTCTTCAATGCGCTTTGCCTGGTGGCCGGGTTTTTGATGTTTGGTCTGCCGGCCTCGGGCCAGGTCACGGTGCGGTACATCGGGACCTTCCTGGCTACCGGCGCATACATCTCCAACTGGGCTGCATTGAATGCGTTCATGGCCAACAACGTGGTCGGGCAGTGGAAACGAGCCACCACGGCGGCCGCTGTGTCGGCTTGCAACGGCCTGGGCGGCGTGGCGGGCAGCTACATCGTGCGACAGCAGGAGGCGCCGCAGTATGCAACGGCAGTTTGGGTGTCGGTTGGGTAAGTATCGCGACTTCCAAGAGCTCTAGGAGTGAACGGCTATGGACTAAATGGACTAACGGTTCGGTGCAGATCGCATGTTCTTATGATTGCCATCGTCGGGGTGTTCACTATCTGTTTCTATATCTGCAATAGAAGATATGACCGTAATGCACAGGCTTCCCAGAGCACGGTATGTGGAGTCTCATCATCTAGGGAACGTTGGCATTCGACACTGACTAGGTTTCCGTTCTGCAGGTCGGCTTTCGATACACCTATTGAATGCCGTGGTGGCGTAGAGTTGCAACTGCCGGGATAGAAATCCGTGAGGCGCGTGGAAAGGATTTGAAAGTAAATGAAATCGTAATGCTTCTGGCCTCATGAACGCAATGTCTCTTCCAGTATCCATCTGTCCCATCGTTCTCCGGAATGGCGTGGCAGGATCCACTTGATCGCGATCGAGGTGGGTCTGCCATGGCAATTCCGGATCAAAGGCAGCTGAAAGACTGGAGCCCTGACTCGCAAGCCCAAAGTAAGATAGATGAACTTTTATCCTCGGTTGTGGCTCGCTTCCACAATTCAGCGACGGGGCCCGCATCGGCCCCTTGCAGGTCCGACAGTATCTATGGGACATTTCGATCTCGCCATTCGCATCGTCTCGATCTTATCTCAGATGGGTCCAACTGTTTCTTGGCACATTCTTCCTTATCGCACACTCTTCGCTTAATTTGAATGTTGGACTGGATTGAGAGCGTTTCAGGCTTTCAGTAGTATCCCGAGTGTGGTGATTAGTGAGTGGAGATGCCCCTACGGAGTACGGAGTACAGTAGTACTAGTCTCGATACGCCGCCATGTGTTGCTAGAAAAGTGTGGATCCCACGGCACTAAAATCGTGTGTTTTGATGTAGTCTAGTCCTTGTTGAATCGGGGCTTGTAGACGAAAAGAGCAGAAAAGCCCGTTGAATCATGTCTCTCGATGTTCCATGCTTCGCATAGAGATGCTCTCTGGATGATCATCCGGTGTCACAGTTTGACTTTCCAGCGATGGATTCGTGTCCAGAGGCCATTTATCGGTCTCGGCGCTGTCACCCAGTCGTGCAAATCCAACGACTCCTTTGGTCTTGTGTTGACTGGTCGTGTACCGATGTCGCTGTTGGTTTTTGGGCTTGGACGAATGCTTGCTCATCAGCTGACGGGGCAAGATCCGTACGATCAATGGCCAGATGGAAGGCAGACACGCGGCAATGATGATAATCCCTCCCTCCAGAACAGTCCAGATCCCTAGGTTGACCGATGCCCCTGTGGTGACGGTTAGCTATCGCAATGCATGGTCCTACGGGATTGTCCGAAGTGACATACAGGTTGGATCGGTCATGGCATTCTCTTGGAAAAAGATGGTCATGCGCAAAATACTCGCCACGGTGCCCCTGGTGGTTTGGTCAGTCTGAGAAAACACGATGATTCTCTATCGAGGACACACTCACAATCCTCCGAGTAAAAAGACCGCTGTCAAGGCTAGTTTCTGTCCCATCCGAGTATGGAGTCTCCAGACAAACGGCATAGGCATCACGAGTATCACGACGTCGGTCAGGATGTTCGGGGGCGAGACGTATCGGTAAAACGCCTGCTGGTCAAAACAGGTTCCTCCTTGGATCGTCTTATCCCAGGTATATGCAACGGGCGAACACTGGAATATGGCGGCAAAGAAAACACCGATTCCGTGGCCCATGACGATCAGCCCAACGGCGTAGGCGAACATTCGGGACTTGAAGGTGTTGAAGATGCGAATGTAAAACAAGAGGATTGAAATCTTTGCCGGCGTCACGGTGAACGGAAAATCAAGTATTTGGTTTGCATACAGTCCCTGTGCGATTGTCAGCGATGCGACTGGTTCGAGGGACCATGTAGAAGCAACCTTCTCTAAGGAGACCAATTTTTGGGGCGTCTGCATGACATATTCCATATGGTACCCCAGACCCGCTACCTTGAGCACTGAATGACAGTTAGTACTCGATTCGCGTGGCAATTGGCATGTCACATACAAACAATATACAAGGCCGATTGCCCAAGACTTGCCACCTGCACACACGAAAAGAATGAGCTGCAGTCAAAGCATCAAGCGCTGGGATTATCCCTACCAAGGCGGGCACGATCAGATAGTCATCCAGAGCGCATGCCACTCTCTGCATGTATCGTGTGTAGAATCGAGCCACTACGATCAAGATCTGCACAACCGCAATGGCAATGGCCACGCCCATGAGCGAGTCACCGCAGTAAGAAACATCGACATTCTGATCGCTCATCTTCCCCGGAGTACAGGGATCTGACACACAGACACCGAGGAGGCAGGAAATCCCATCCTTATGAATTTTCTGGGCCTCCGCAGCTGCTGGCCACGATAATTACATAATGTCACGGTTAAAAGTCCAGCTTCAGGACCACGGCTCACGATGAAGTGGATGGGGCTGCGATCTTTGGTTCGCAGCGAAATGCGCCTGATAATCTCCGCTGCTCTCCACATGCTGGACCGGCCTTCAACCAACCATAGTCCATGTTCTTCAGCGCTCAATTTTCCAGTATCCCAATTCCTGTGAAAGTGAAAGCACCACCGGGCAGTCCGGAATCCGGACTAACGGCGCTTGCGAATTATGTGGTTGAGCTCTCCACAGGTGCCTGTCCTGGCTGTGCTGGATTCCCCTTTAGATAATAACCTGTTGATCTCAGCTGGCCTTTCCAAACAACCTTTTCTTCTCTTCTCTTTTCGCCTCTTGGTCGGCATTTGACAGTACTATACTTTCCCGGGTTGTCTCCAAATATGAGTGAAGATCAAAGTGCCACCGGCACTTCATCCCTTGAGTTGCAGATCGCGGCTTTGACACAATCCGTGCAATCCAACCAGGAAAGCATCGGCAATGCCACTCGTTCCAACGCCATCAAGGCGGCCCGAGGTTTATTGAGTGCTTTGGTGCCTCCACCGGAAACGGTGATCCAAGATGTCGCTCTGGTACGTTGGAGAGACACCTGCTTTCGATTGAAACCCCAGAAAATATAGCTGATGATGCGAACTGTCACAAGAATTGCGCATTGCCCATGGCCCTCCGTATGGGTGTCCAATTGGAGGCATTCAAGATGATTGCCAGCAACCCCAGTCAAGGGACAACATCGCAGCAAATCGCGGAAAAGTCTGGGGGCAGCGTGATTCTCGTCGGTATGTCTAGACCCCTTTGCACATGCCCACCTCCCCATGCAGGTGAACTCGTACTACTCCAATGCCCGTGAAGAACCATGGTCCCACTCAGATCTTGTCGATCCTCCAAGATCTTCGCTGTCTATACCTCTTCCTGTTGTAGATCGCCTTGTATACTGACAATAGCCGAAGATCAGATCATGCGACTGCTCACAGCCGCTGGGTATGCGCTCGAGGACGATGTCCAAACATACAGGCCATCCCCCCTCACAATGGTCATGGCAGACCCCACTATCGAAGCCACAACCAGAGTCTGGTAAGTTCCTGTCGATATTCTCATAGATGTGTTTGTGTTGACTCTCCAATTCTCAGTTTCGATGTGGGCCATTTCTGTACCACCAGTGCCCCGGCATTCTTCCGTAAGAACAACAACCAATATCCCAGCTCTGCTAAGGACACGCCTTTCCAATTGGGCTTGAACACAGAGCTCAGCTATTTCGACTGGCTAGGCCAGAACCCAGAGCCGGCCAAGGATTTCCAACAGTGGATGACCCTGAAGCAGCAAGCGACTCCGAATTGGATTGACTGGTTTGACCTGCAAGGCACCATTGTGAAAGACTTCCGAAGCGAACGCGCAGATGACGTGTTGCTGGTGGATGTTGGCGGTGGTGAAGGCCACTATTTGCATGCATTGAACCAAAAATTTGCAGATCTCCCCGGACGTCTGGTTCTACAGGACCTGCCCCAGGTCATCTCGAGCATTGCGGATCCGCCTCAACGGACAGAACTGATGGCTCATGACTTTTTCACGCCGCAGCCGGTGAAAGGTATGTTTATTTGCTAGCCGGTTCACGCGTCTACTATTTCACTGGCCCCGAATCCCTGCAACTGACTATTATTCTATGACACAGGGGCACGAGCATATTACATGCACTGGATTTTGCATGACTGGCCCGATGACCAGGCCCGTATCATCCTAAGCAATATTGTCGAATCCATGGAGCCAGGGTATTCCCGTCTTATCATTAACGAGCAGATCATCCCCGATCGAGATTGCGATCTTCCCACGGCCTGCATAAGCATCATGATGATGGTTCAGGTGGCCGCCTTCGAGCGAACGGAGAAGCAATGGCGTGAGCTCCTGACTTCAGTGGGGTTGAAGGATATAGCTTTCCACCAAGCCCCGGGAGGTGGTGAGGGTATTATTGAGGCCATTCGATAGATCATTATCGCCAGTGTTTTTGGTCAAGAGTACATCGCATAGTCAGAGTAATACACCGGCAGAATCTGCAGTAGATCATCGATCGAATCGCTCTGCCACTGACAGAATCGTCGTTGACCATGTGCAGGCGCAGCTTGCGTTCTGCGAGAACATCAAGTGGCTGATATGGGTAAACTAAGTATATCGGGAGAACAACATTTTCTGTCTGCTAGGTCTTGCTTGCACTACATAAATGCATACACACATCAACGAGGTGCCCACGGGGTATATGATAAGTTAAATAAAGGCGCCACTCAAAAAATTGTTGATACATACTGGAGCAGAATTGAATCGAGTACGAAGGTCCCGGTAGTACCTCGGGCTAATTCAGTTCATTCGATCATTCTGCTCCAACTTCCCAACCAACCGCTTCATTCCCGCCCACTCCTCGGCCGGTACATCCTCAGGAGTACCACTGAGACCCTTTCCGACTTCGAAGACCGTGACGACACCGTCTAGACCGCCAGTGGCGATACGCTTGCCTTCACGTTCCTCCCATGCAACCTTGTTGAGACTCTGCGTCAGAATTCCCCCGCGGCCCTTGGAGGGTGACGTTCGCACGACCGGGACCTCGCTGTCCGTGTAGAGATCCCAGACCTCGAGGTGCCCAGCACCATCGACGAGAGAGAACACCCCCGGGCGATGAGGAGACCACCGTGCGTCGTACACCACATCTTCCCGGTTGATATCGAGGATGGGCGTGACAACCTGCGCAGTAGCCGAAGTGGCGGGCGCAGTCGTCGCCGGTGGGCGGACACGCCACAGTTTAACGCTCCAGTCCAAGCTCGAGCTCAGCATCAAGTCGCCGAGATCGACGGGCCCGCGGGCCGGGTGGAAAGCGGTTGACATGATGGGGGCCGCGTGGCCGCGGTAGGCGAGACGGTGGTCTGTACCCGCCTTTGCGCCTGCTCGATCATACCGATGGCATGGATAGATGCCTCCTTCTTCTGTACCTACAATAAAGAACGTCGGATCAGATTGCGGGAATGACATGGTGGTGGGCGCGAGGTCTTCGGTTTTTGAGGGTGGCGGTGTGGACAGCTCGAGGTATTCCTGAGGCTGGGAAAGCATGTCAACTGTCCAGCCGCAAACCACACCGTCGGTGGACGCTGTCAAGATATTGTGGGCATTCTGTGTGCCGATAATTGAGATGCTGTAGACCGGATGGGTGTGTCCAGACCCGGTCAACGGTGTCTTTTGTACTGGTGCACCTCCGCCAGCGCGTGACGATCGGGTATCCCAGAGCAAGACTTGGCCGGAGTAAGAGCCACCAACAATGAGATTGGGGTGAAAGGGGGAGAACTTGGCGGCCAGAATATCGGAGGTAGAATGAAAAACGTACTCCGGCCGAGAGTGGAGATGTTGGTTCCAAACCTGGACCAGACCGTCTGGCTCATGGGGCGCAGAAGGGTTTTTGGTGTATGCAGCTAGAACAAGCTCTGGAAACTACACGCGGAGGATTAGACACGCACACTCGAGTGTATATATGCGTTGGTTGGGCTATAGCGGCGACTTACCTTTGGAGAGAAGCTGATGTCGCTGATCATACGTTTCTTACTCCATCGCTCATCCCAGAACTGGCAAACTTCTTTGATGCCTCTCCTTTTCTTCCCATGTTCATCATCATCCTCCAGCTCGCCATCGACCCCCCCAAGCTCGTAGTCTGCTAGTACGTCGTATTCTTCGTCCAGCGCTCGCTCGATGACCTTTGCGGACCGCTCCACAAAGTCCAGGAAATCGTCGGAAGAAGTGACAGCCTTGAGTTCGTCCTCCTCAAGCATGCGCAAGGGATAACGCAAATGAGAGGCTTCAGAAGCGACGTTCTCTTGGGGTTGTTGCTGGGTGGCCTGGATTTCATCCTCGATCTCCTTACGAAGCTTCTTGCGAATCTCCTCGTCCCGCTCGCGCTCTTTTTTGCTCAGCCGTTTGCCAGAACCCGCGGGGTCCTGGAGATCCTCCTCTTCCGACTCTGCCGCCGAAGCATCTTGCGGATACTGCTTCAAGTCATCCGTCTGCACACCTTTGCTGTAGGTGACGATCTCCGGTTTAGGTTCAGGGGGCGGCGGCGCTTCAGGGCCGGACGGATAGGGCTCGGCTCCGACCGTCTGGACCGCAATTGATTGAGAAACGGGTCGCGTAGGCGGGCTGAACGCTTCGGTGTTATCGCCGCTGAGTTGACTGGCACTCAGCACGGAATTAGGTCGGCTTCCTTTTCGCGAGGGGCCGTCGGCGTGGCTCACGGAGGCCGACCCGGGCCGATCCACGAGACGGGAAATCAGGTCATCGAGCTCTGCTCTGCTATCAGACCGGCTGGGAACAGGCGACACGATCTACAGAGAGCCGGGGGTTAGCAACGGTGGCCTGCACGGGCAGGACATTCGAGCGGTTCCGTACCTCAGACGCATCCCCCGTGTTGGCGCGCGTTTGGGAGAACTCCTTCTGGCGCAGCTCCCGCTGGCGCTTGAGTTCAGCGAGTTTGGCCCGTTTGGCCAGGATCTCGGCCTTTCGCTGCTGCATGGAAGCCATGGTGCGGTGGGGGGAAGCTCGGGAAGGGAGAGAAGGTCTTCTTTATTTACCCCGTCGGCGCTGGCCTTCCCCGTCCCGCCCCAAATTCCGGGTCGGCGGATGACATAAGCACAGGAGGGCCGGCCGGAAAAACTCGCGACAGGAACTTCGTCTCGACAAGCTTCTGAGCATCCCGATTGCCAGCCATTGACCCTCGATTCCCTGTTCCGGCCCCTTCACTTCCCAATTCCCTCGTCTTCTTCGATTGCCGCTCCGGAGTCCAGGGTTTTCTCAAAATGGCCTCCACCCAAGGTGTCAATGTGAGTGTCCGCATGGACCCCCCCCCGTTTCGATAGTGGTCCCTTGATAGGTGACTGACATGCTCCTCCTACCCACCACGTAGGTCCTGCGCTATTCGGCTCTCGTAGCCGGCCTCGTCTATGGTTTCTACCACCAGTCCTCGATCACCTCCAGCGCTAAGCGTGCCGACGCCGATCGGGAATACGCTCGCCAGGAGCGCCTGATCGAACAGGCCAAGGCGGAATGGAAGAAGAAGACGGCACCCCAGGAGTCCAAGGCACAGAACGGCGGAGGTAGGTCACGGTGATCTTTCGATCGCATCTGATTCAATGCCGCCGGCGTATCCGGACAAGGCGGCGTCGTCTGCGCTCCGACACTAACTGGTACTCCCTCATATTATAGTCATCACGGATCCCGAGGACAGCCGGTTCGACCTGGAAGCATACCTGAAACTGAAGGCCGGAGAGAACTAGAGTATACGATCGAAGGTGCAACATGAGAAGAAAGATGGTACGGCTTTTCTTTAGGTACGAAGATCGTACCTCCTAGGGTACAAGAAAGAAAGATGGTTCGGGGTCATCCCGATTATGTATTATTGTTTGGTCTAATTTCCCCGAGTCGTGTCCTTGCGAGCGAAAGGAATGATGTTTTTTCTTTTTCTTTTTTGCTTTTTACTTCGTTTAGAGATTCTCTCCGAGTCTTGTACATACCCTGGGCTGCCGTGCATCTGTACACTACAGTTGGACCAGAAGAGCAAGTGATTCTGTTGTATGCTGCCGTGTCGTTGCTGAACTCTTTGTCCCGTGCGCGCCCTTGGAACATCACAGCCTTCCCCCACATGTAGCTCTGTAATCTGTAAGGTCATCGGGGCCATTGTCGAGTAATAGGGCCTATCCCTTCAGTGGCATTAAGCCATCTTTGTTGGCGCCGGTACCTCCTTGATTCGCCATCAGAATGGTAGCCTGGGTTTTGATCGGATGTCATGGTGTCGGAACCTATTCTCCGCTTTAAGCTGCATGCTTGCCGATTAACGCCATGATCTGGTCCAGCCCATTTTGGAGATCGCCGTCTGTTTCAAGGGCCGTGGGGATAGGTTTCGGGCGAAGGAGCATAGTATTTTCGTCCCATGTCCATCCACGGGCTGTGAACTTCTGTATAATGGCCGGATCTCCCTTCTCCGCCAAGTCTGGGTCCAGGCCGAGGTAACTGGCAGCCGCTGCCGGTCGAATCGCCTCGTAGGCCCCGCTGACCTCTTTGAGCGTTTTTTCCTGGAAATGAGCTAGAAGTGTTGTTAGGGATGTTTGACTTGTAGAATGCAAGGCTGACTGACTTTCAAAGCTGTTTACCACTTGTTTCAGTGGCTCGGACCACGGCAGCTCTCTAAGAATCTTGTATACCTGTTCATACTCCCGCTGCCAAACGGCGCGCAGGAGTACCAAGCAGTTCTGTAGGGACGAGTCTTGTTGGGATAGGTTTGGAGGCATTCGTTGCGTCATCGCGCGAGCTTCGTATCTATCCCAGAGGATAACGGTCAGTCATTCGACCAGTGTGTAGACCAAGAGGAGCCGACCGAACGTACATTTGATCCGTGAGAAGGTGCGCAAAAAAGAAGGTCGAATAGAAGAAGCTCAGAAGGTTCTGATCATTGCTTTGTTTGGAAGACGAGAGTAATAGGGCGTCGCCTTCATATTGGGAGAGGGTGTCGTAGAGCTCGGACGGGGAGCGAGCCGACGAGAAGACGGCGGTGATGCGTTCCGCGGACAACGGGGAGTCCATGATGGGCAGTCGAGAAGGACCGAGCGTTCGACAATCAGTTGACGATGAAGAAGACGAAGAGGCTGAACGAGGGCATCTACAAGTCGGATTGTGCGGGGAGGCGGAGGTTTCCCCAAGACAATACCGTCATGGCGGTAATTACGGTACCTGGCGCCAAGGCCGGCCGGAAGAGACCACCTTGCGCAGCTCCTCCATCGACATCGATCTCAGTTTCACCTCCCCTCCTCGACGGTTCAAGACTCGACGGGAGCCATCTTCTTCCGTCTTTCCTCCCAATTGATCTTTTGTTCTTTTGGACCCCTGGCCATTATGGCCGAAGCGCCCGTCGATGTCCTTCTAAAGGGCAACTCCGGCAGGAACACCCGCGGCCTGCTGCGGATTATCATCCTGGCGACTATCGCCGCTGCCGCCGTGTCCAGTCGATTGTTCAGTGTTATCCGTATGTGCTGAGTGTTGATGATGGCAGTGGCTTGTGTTCCTTGTCTCAGGTCACTTGCCGTCCTCTCAATTGATCGGAATGCTAACTCCTGCTTCCTAGGATTTGAAAGTATCATCCACGAATGTATGTTCCATGTCCATCAACCGTCCCCGTCTCTGATCCGCGTGCTGGAGTCTCGCATGAATCAACACCGAATACTCCTCTTGCTTCTCGATGTCCCGCATTAACTCTCAACCTGTGCAGTCGACCCTTGGTTCAACTTCCGAGCCACCAAATACCTCGTTCAGCATGGCTTCCATAGCTTCTGGGATTGGTTCGATGACCGTACGTGGCCCTTTTGTTGACGATGGAATCCCGAGCTCGGACAACAAGCGATCGCGATTCCGCCTGCTCTATCGAGGAATTCTTGCTGATCGATGATATCTGCGTAGGAACATGGCACCCTCTGGGACGTGTCACTGGTGGCACTCTATACCCCGGTCTCATGGTGACGAGTGGAGTGATTTACCATATCCTGCGCTTCCTGACCATCCCTGTCGACATTCGCAATATCTGTGTCCTGCTTGCTCCGGCCTTCTCCGGTCTCACGGCATTCGCCATGTATCTGCTCACTTGTGAGATGTCCACGTCTCCTTCTGCGGGTCTTCTTGCCGCGGCTTTTATGGGTATTGTCCCCGGTTACATCTCCCGATCGGTTGCAGGCAGCTACGACAACGAAGCCATTGCGATCTTCCTTCTGGTCTTTACCTTTTTCCTGTGGATCAAGGCCGTCAAGAATGGCTCGATCATGTGGGGCGCATTGACTGCGCTCTTTTACGGCTACATGGTTTCGGCTTGGGGTGGGTATGTCTTCATTACCAACCTGATCCCGTTGCATGTCTTCGTCCTCCTCTGCATGGGACGGTACAGCTCCCGCATCTACATCAGCTATACTACGTGGTACGCCCTGGGCACTCTGGCTAGCATGCAGATTCCGTTCGTCGGATTCCTGCCCATTCGAAACAGTGACCACATGTCGGCTTTGGGTAAGTCGGTTCTCGAGGAGGGATTGGAAAACATGCTGACTCTGCCGGACCAGGTGTTTTCGGTTTGATTCAGCTTGTGGCGTTTGCCGACTTCGTGCGCGGCTTTATTCCCGGCAAGCAGTTCCAGCGACTTCTTACTGCCATGATCATTATCGTCTTCGGCCTTGCTTTTGTTGGACTGGTCGTGCTCACCGTGTCCGGTGTCATCGCCCCGTGGAGCGGTCGGTTCTACTCTTTGTGGGATACCGGCTACGCCAAGATTCATATTCCCATCATTGCGTCGGTGTCGGAGCACCAGCCTACGGCCTGGCCCGCATTCTTTTTCGATCTCAACTTCTTGATCTGGCTGTTCCCTGCCGGAGTCTACATGTGTTTCCGCGACCTCAAGGACGAGCACGTTTTCGTCATCATTTACTCAGTGCTTGCCAGTTACTTCGCCGGTGTCATGGTTCGACTTATGCTGACCCTGACTCCCATCGTGTGTGTTGCCGCTGCGCTGGTGCTCTCTTCTATCCTGGATACGTACGTCTTTGCTCCCGCCGGACCTAACCCGCGGGCGAAGGCCAGTGAGGAAGCGGCTTCGGATGGTCTCCGCTCCGCAAGAACCCCAACCGTCGGCATTAGCTCGTACCTGTCCAAGGGCATCGTTACGTCCTCAGTCGTCGTCTATCTGCTTCTCTTTGTCGCCCACTGTACCTGGGTCACTTCCAATGCCTACTCCTCGCCATCCGTCGTTCTAGCAAGCCGGATGCCCGATGGTAGCCAGTTCATCATCGATGACTACCGTGAGGCGTACTATTGGCTTCGTCAGAACACCCCTCAGGACGCCAAGATCATGTCCTGGTGGGATTACGGATATCAGATCGGTGGCATGGCGGACCGCCCGACCCTCGTTGACAACAACACATGGAACAACACCCACATTGCCACTGTCGGCAAGGCCATGAGCTCGCGTGAGGAAGTCAGCTACCCTATTCTCCGCCAGCACGACGTTGATTACGTGCTGGTGGTCTTTGGTGGACTGCTCGGCTACTCCGGCGACGACATCAACAAGTTCCTGTGGATGGTCCGTATCGCCGAGGGTATCTGGCCTGACGAGGTCAAGGAACGGGACTTCTTCACCGCGCGCGGTGAATACCGAGTGGACGACGAGGCTACCCCTACCATGCGCAACAGCTTGATGTAAGTATCCCCCACTTCTGATCGGCCCATCATGATTCGGCGCGCGTGCTCACGATGAACCATAGGTACAAAATGTCCTACCACAACTTCAACTCCCTATTCCAGTACGGCCAGGCCGTGGACCGTGTTCGTGGCTCCCGCCTCCCCGCCGAAGGGCCTCAACTCTCGACGCTTGAAGAAGCGTTCACCAGTGAAAACTGGATCATCCGTATCTACAAGGTCAAGGATCTGGACAACCTGGGCCGTGATCACGGTAGCGCCATGGCTTTCGATCGGGGCCAGAAGCGCAAGCGGGCGACCAAAAAGAGAGGACCCCGTGTCTTGCGAACCGAATGAAGGACGGAGTCTGTGATTCCCTCTTAGCCTGGTGGGACTTGACCGAAGTAAAGAAGTCCCTCCAGTTCATTCAGCCCGCTGTATTCTTTTGAACCAACAATTCCATTTTCTTGTATTTTTGACCGCTGATTTAGACATCCGGTGTAGACTTTGGTCCAAAAGAAATGCTATGTGAACACAACATACCGGACAGATCCACTATAGCTACGTAGACACTTGCCAATGCTTCGCATGATTAGAGCAGGGTGGTGGTATCTTCGCTTATTCAAAATGGTTAATATACAAATGATGCCAGGCCCAACAGATTCGGCGGAGAGGAGGGTCTCATGAACAAGCAGCGTGCCGGACCTCCAACTGCGTACTTCCTGGAAGCAGTCGCGCTCCGGAAAAGCCCCATGCGCCCCGGGGTTCGTAACTCCCATAGTCTGGAAGTGGGAACTGCCAGTAGCCAAACCTCGTTCTGCCTGCTCCATGCCGTGCGGAAGCCCAAACTAAGAGATAACGATTCAAGGTCCTCCAATATACTCCATATCCTTGTGACACCATAGCTGAGATAGTATTTTAACAAACTCTCCGTTGCAATTTCCTCGAGTCCATAGCCAGACGGCGGCGGTATGCTTATTGCTTCTTGGATTGCGACGAGGCGGGGGTTTCGGGGACTTTCACGTCGGAGAACTCATCCTGGCCGACAGCATGAATCGTGTAGGAATCTTTCAGACCCGATTGTTAGCAGCGATTCGGAGTCGGAGAAAAATTGCCTTGTCGGGGGATCCTCTCCAATGACCATGAAGAGTAGAAGGTCGGATCGTGAACGTACAGACACCAATGGTGAACGCCACGAGGGCAAGTCCGGTGGCGGCGTTCTTGAACAGATAAGGACGACGGGCACGCAGGAGAGCGGCACCAGGGCGCGCGTCTTTATTGTAGTAGGTGGAGTTGAAACTGGAGAGGGCGAAATTGCGTGGTTGATTAGTTCCGGTCAAGCCATACATGCGGGATAGAAAGAGAGGCAGAGGGACTTGGTTGAGCGGATCAACCGGTCAATCCTCAGTCCGAACGTACATTCCGCTAGCCATTGTGATGTCGAGGTCGAAGTTCAGTCCGAAGGGGAGACAGCGAGAGCGAGAAGACGATTAGTTCCGCATCGGGCGAAATTGAGGGAGCGTACCGTGACTGCCGGCTCGGCCAAACTGCGGCTCCGGTCGGTCGTCCATCATCGGCCGTTCGTTCATTCATTCATTCATTCATCCTTCCATCCTTCCATCTCGCGCTCCCCGTAGTCTTGCCTTTTCAACCTTTCTCTCTTTGTTGCCTGCTCCTTTATTCTCCGGGACCTTTCCGGTCCCCACCTATTGACCTTCTTTTCTTTTCTTTTCTCTTGTGATTCTTTCTTCCGCCTTCCCAACCCGCCTTGATCTGTGTATATGACCGGTGCTTTGTCGCACCTTCTTAGACGCCGGCCTTGTTTGCCCTGTCTTTGATCCTTAAGTCCATTCCGCCGTAGTCGACTTTTGCCCCTCTCTCTCGTCTTCAGTTGACTCTTGCGCGTCCTCAATCCTCCGGTCTCCGAATTTCTTTTCACCTTGTCCGCGTCGAACAGGGCCTTGTCATGGCCCAGCCCGAAAACCACCTGGTCGACCAGATCGCCCAGCTCAATGCCGCCCGCAATCTGGTCCTCGGAGATGCCGCCTTCTATCCCCAAATCGTGAACGGCATTCTTCCGATTATCGGTGCGCGTGCGCGATTGGAGTTGCGACGATGGGGGGCCGAATTCTTAGCGGAAACGTTCGCCAGTCCGGCGCTGGCTTCGGACCAGAAGGAACAGTTGGCCGCGGATGTGCTACAAACGATGCGGGAAACATTGCTACTGCCGGAAGGGGATCAATTGGCGTTGACACATATAGTGCAGACCGCTGCCAGCTTGTATCCGCTGGTGTTTAGGCATATGTAGGTCCAGCCAGCGCTTGTGCTTCTGTTCGCTCCGGGGAGCTTTCGTAGATGTCTGCTGCAAGACGCAGGCGATGGCTTCCGGGTGATGAACCCGTGGAATGGGCCCTGCAGCTGCTAACGCATGATCTATCACAGCATTAATCATCCGGGGGATCGAGAAGCCTGGGAGAACATGACCGCGATCAAGCAGGAAATCCTGCGCAGATGGGACAGCTTCCTCTACCCAGTCAAACTCTGCTGTATCAAGTTCGTGCAGCGCGTCGTTCAGGTGCAGACCCACGGTTTAATCTCGGACCCAAGAGTACGTGCCAGGAAGCCCTGAGTTGGTGTAGAAAAAGCTATTGACAGTCGTTCCCTAGCGGCCGGACCAAAACGAAACCTCCCTCGCCATCGTCCCTCGGAATCATGCGACTCTGTCTCTGCCCAATCTGGAGGCTGAGGCTTCTGGTTTGCTGGACCGTCTTTTGGCTGTGTTTCAGGAGGAGTCGAGGTAACACTGGCGCTTTCATTGGATAGAATGGGAATACGCTGCTAACCGTTTGTCCAGTGACCCCCTCCTAGTGAATGCCACCTTGAACAGTCTTTCGGTTCTCGTTCGAACGCGACAGTCCGTGGGAAACAAAATCATCAACGCCATTCTAAATTTTTTCCCCTCGAAGCAAGCCCGCTCTCCGGTGACTCCTACCGTTCGCGTCGGCGTGAAGTCTATGGAACGGACCGCAAGAGCATTGATGATCAACATATTGAAAAGGTGAGGGCGCATAACGATCTCTTGATGATAATGCGATTCTAACCCCCCACTCCAGAAACCCCAGTCATCCGCTTGCAGGGAAGATGCAGCACTACATGGATCGCTTGATGCAGTCGCGTTTGGAGTCTGTCGATGATACCTCGCGTAAGCGCACTTCGCCATCTGAGCCCACTGATGGCCTTGACAATGCCAAACGCGCGAGACTCGATGCCGAAACACCACCCCTGTTGAAAATACCTCCAATGCCTCCCGGGCCGAATAGTTACGCGCAACTCTTCACCCTTACCGAAGATGTCGGACTGTCATCCTTCGATGTCACGCAGCTACCCGCCGACCTGCTTGTCAAGATCGTCATCCCTCTTCTTGGTCGTGTCGACCAATCTTTGCTGAACCAAGCTGTCGATGTAGGTTCAACCCGCAACAAACAATGCCCATCTCTTTCTTTCTAATCTGCTTTCAGGCCGTACGGACACGATACCAGACACTTCAGAAACAGCAATCATCGCAACCTGCTGCGGAAGAAGACGATGACTACGAGCCCGAATATCAGCCGATGGATGTGCCTGAGCCCGCGCCTGAGGAGACCGGTGCCCTAGCGGAAGAAGCAGACTATGAGCCCGATCTCGTGTCCCTGGGCCCATTTGTCCTTCCTCAGCCTCCCCCATTGAGTGAAGACGAAGCAGCCGATGTGGGACGGAGCGCGGTTGGGAGGGTCTTTGGTATGCTGGCCTCTAGCGATACAGCACCGAATGCGGCGAAAGGAAAGACCCAACAACAATTGGGATTTGCGCGACTAGCAGGTAGCACCTTCGACCGAGATGCCTGGGTGACATTGCTCACGCGACTCGCAACAAGATCGCCCGCGGGGCTAGAAGTGCAAGCCAAGAAGGAGGATGCTTCGAAAAAGAAGCCGACGATATCAGATTCCATCCGGGAAACATTATACCGGTACATCCTCGAAGATTTCAGGGCTCGGGTGAACGTCGGTATCATGTGGTTGAATGAGGAATGGTACAACGATCGTGTTCAGATGAAGTTCGCCGCCTCTCGGCGAACCGACGACGACGAAGAGACGTCGGTCCCGATACACTACGACCGCTGGGTCCTACGGCTCCTGGACGGTATCCTGCCGTATCTAGATTCGCGCGACACCAAGATCTTCATTCGCTTTTTGAGCGAGATCCCCGAAGTGACCATCCCCATCACACAGCGCGTGGCTAGCCTGGCCAAGGACCCCGAGAGAGTCAATCTTTGCGTCCACTCCCTACAGTTCGTCTCCTCTCTGGCCCCATTTCTATAATTTTCCATCCACCTGTCTATGACGAGCTAACCCCTGGATCAGATACCTAATTCTCTTCCGGCCTCCCGCCCGAGAAATGTGCCTGACTACTCTAGAAGAAGTCTATCAGACCTGTGCGTTTCCTAACTTCCGTGTTTATTTGGGACCCTTCGTACTAACCAATTGATCCCAGACGAGGAATCTCGACCAGCAGCCGGTAAAGTCCTTGCTAAATGGCGTCCACAGAAGGGCTACTCCCAACCCGGTCAACAATCCACCCTTGCGACCCGTTCAGTCCCACAGGAAAGCAGCAACAGCACCACAGAACCCCCCGCCTCAGAGAGCACCGCGCAGCAATCATCAAACGCCGCCGCTTCCTAAATTTCTGTCTTCTCCCTGCCATGAAAACCGACGCGAAGGGTCCCATCCTTCCATACAATGATCTTCTCTAATCTGTCCGGTTGCCTCTATCGTGATAAACCAATCGACCCCATGTACTTTAAGCAGACTCGGTTGATGATACCACCTACCTATCTATCAGCTCTTTCTTTTCTGCGATGCTCTTCCTTAGTTGCCTACCTACCTCCAGGGGACTGGTTACTTGATGGATACAAAGGCGTGAAAGGAGTTCCTTTTTTTCTCTTGGTCCGGGTCCGTGACCGTGAACGTGTATGTATGTGTATTTGGAATAGGACCAGCCAGTCGTCCTCTTATAGTAGTATCAATTCCACCTCCCGAATTTAAACTATCAAAGGATGACATACTCTGTACAAGATACAACAAAAACAAAGCCCCTGTGGCATATTACAAGCGAGACCTCAATTCTATTCTAAGCCTTCCTATGCAAACTCAACTCACCGAAGAGACAAAATAGGGAAGACAGCCAAAGACACAGAAAATGGCACATGAAAATGATAATCAATGGACAGGACAGGACGGGCACTGTGTCGGGTAGATAAATATGTATCATGATTCGAGAGTAGAGCAAAAAGAAAACACCATAAGTGATGGGTAATTATTGAATCAAAAAAAGAAAACAAAGCTCCAATGCATCCGTTCGCCCATATTCACATATCTCAAAAGACAAAAAGAAATAATAAAAAGGCTAGCTTTGTTCATCTCTCTGTTTCCAGTCATACATGCCAAGCCGTACATACATTAGAAAGAGAAAAAAGAGAAAAGGCTTCTACAACACCTGTTTGGACCCTGTACAGGGAGAAAGAAAGAGAAAGGACCCATCCCTAAAAAAAAGAGCAAATGTGCAGTGTCAAGACGTTTTTTATATGGGACTTGCTATCGGGCTGCCATGGAATTCGAGCCTGACCCGCCTAGTATCCCCGCTGATTGATGCATTGAATTGACCGGTTTTGTTGCTAGGGGAGGCGAGGAGTTCGGACCCGTTGAGTGGAAGAGACCAAGTCGTGCAGGGGTTGGGGAATAAGCATTGCGCGAGGCCCCTTGAGGCGATCGATGATCGACGGTGCCACCATATGCAGACGGCTGTGGTTTTCGTACATCAAGTGGTGAGGAGCTTAGCGATCGAAATCCAGTCCGTCGGTCAGGATCATACTCGGGATTTCCAAATGGCCCGAGTTTTTGATGCGGTGGTTCCTGTTCTGTGCCGTATGGGGTATTATTTGTTGAGGAATTCGCAGCCGACAAGTTCTCTGCAATTGTAGAAGCCGATCCATTAGGCGCATTGATGTCCACGACTCGCTTCTGGGCCGCTGGAGTTGTGTACGCAGGGGCCCGCGAGTCCTCAAACACTCGACTTTGGGGTCGTTGGGGTATTTGCTGCTGCTGATGCTGTTGTTGTGGATGGTGGTGATGGTGATGGTGATGGATCGGATGCTGCGGATTTGCCCAAGGAGTCTGTTCCAAGAATGCCTCCTCAGCGGCGCGGAAGGCATTCGAGGACATGGCCGACATCGTTCCACGTGGAGGGGCATTTGTCTGAGGCTGAGTGACAGGGAATCTGGTCTCAATAGAAATCTGCGCACAAGTGTCAGACTCAACTCGCCAGTTCCAGTGGTTGGGACAAGGAATAGAACAAACTTACGCCCATCTTCTCCAAATCATCCTCGAGCTCGGTGGGACGTGCGGCAGGCAGCGAAGGCGCCGCCGGAAAGCCAACGTATTTTGCGACACCGGCCATGACTGATACTTCCTGGTTGTACGCAGTCTGCTGGGCGATCTGCTGCGAACGTCGGGTAGGAAACGGAATGTAATGCTGCGGGCTGACCTCGTCGGTCTTGAATCGATCATGTTGGATGGAGTAAAACTGCTTGCTGATGGAGCTCGAGTGTCTTTCGCGGATATCGCGTGCCCGTTGGAAGTAACTGCTGTGGGATTGGGCCCGCTCTGCTAAGCTCTTGTTCAAGAGAGTTTTTATTCGGTACTGGAACAATGTGTGTTCGTAGTTGATCTTAGCATCCCGATATCGCTGAACACATTCAAGCTGCCGCAAGAATTCCGGATGTGTTGGGTTGGGGCCGCTTAGCATTTCCAGTTCCCGATTCAACTTGGAAATTCGCTCGTCATAGATCCTGGAAGCTCCATTAATAATCCGAGGTTCATCCGACGAAACCAGAAAGCGAATACTCACTTGTCACGTAGGGTTGCAAATTCACGTTCCAGAACCGCCAGCGATTCCATGGCAGACATCTTTTTCGCCGCTGTGCAACAATGTCAGCAGCCGCGCGAGGCAGCTAGTATAGGGGACGAGCGCCATAGCTTACATTCTTCTTCGAGCTTGGCAGCTGCTTCACCGTCGTCTGCTTCTTCTCCACGCTCTGCATCGTCATCTCCCAGGTTATCGTCGGCGCCACCTTCGGCTCCGGTTTCAGCGGCACCGTCCACTTCTTCGTCGGCATCTCGAGTCTTCCTTGTTTTTCGTTTGCCCTTCTTCGCCTTTTTACCTTTGGCTGGAGGTGCGGGCAGGTCTGATTCAGGTACGTCATCAGCAGGGGTGTCATCCTCGTTGGGTTTCGTGGATTCTTCCACGGGTTCGGGAGACAGCGCAATGTCTTCCGCCGGCGGATCGCTTAGTTCGCTCTTCACGGAGCCGCGACGCTTCAGAGGAGGTTCATCTTCTTCGTCAATCTCAGCGCTCACGTCGTCCCCGGACTCGAGCCGTTTCCGCTTCTTATTGAACCCTTCCGAAAGAGTGGAATCTTCCACGCTGGGAATTTCGTCAGCGGGCTCGGCGACCCGGTTGCTTTTCGAGCGAGGCTTGCTGGGAGAATCATCGGCCACTTGTTCGTCATCGTCTTCGACGTCATCGTACGTGGTCGACTGGGCCAACTTGCTGGGGCTAGGTCCGCAATTGCCTGCGCTCACGACAATGTTTGTTCTCGAGCGAAGATTGTTAGGAGAATCCTCAATCCGCTCGGTTTCCGCCTCGGAGTCGTCCGGGGCTGTTTGCTCTGGCTTCGGAGACTCGTAATCGGACGGAATGTTCTCGGAGAGATCATCGATTTCACTCAGACTACTCGATCGTCCGTCATCATCAATAAGCGAATCATCTAAATAGGGATTTTGTTCGCCATTGGTGGCGGCAGAGTCGGCCCCAGTTGGCGGACCAACGGAATTGGCATCTCTGCTCTCGGCCACCTCCATGAGTAATGGAGAGTGGTGCGCAGGAAGTTGAGGGGGGATTTTTTTATATAAAGGCGACGTGCGAGGAGGGAGGAATAGGCGGGAAAATAATCGGCTTGTAAAGAAAGAAAAAAAATCAACGGCTAAGGTGAAGGTGTGGTCGGAGCAAAACCTAAGTTAATCGAAGAGCGAGTTAATGACGATGCACCAAACATGATCCGAACATTCGAAAGGGATTTGGGTGCGGCAGAGGGAGTGAGGGGAAGACATCAGGGGAGTGTTCAGAGAAAGGAAAATCAAAAATCAAAATTGAATCTAGGGGAAAACCCGACGACAGGCGTTGAGCGTGGAGAGGAGCGAGAAGCAGCAGAAGGCGGTGCGGAGATTTGATCACACCCCAGAGTCAATCAATCGTTCACGGGTTATCGCTCCCGGCTTGGGCCCTGCGAACTGCGCCGGCCCGACTCTCGCTCTCACGTCCTGGTCCCCGGGCCAGAAGGCAGGGCATTATCGCGTAGAGATCGAATGGGTCCATGAGCTATTTTGAACACCGGAGCAAAACGTACCAGTCAGCAATGCGCCAACCGCAAAAAAACCCCCCAGCGATGAAAGCGATCAAGCGTGATTTCTGTAGCCACCGCGGTCGCAGAAACAACGCTCAAAATTGATCGAGCGAGTATAAATAGGCCAGACAACCCTCACAGTATAACAGCATCAACGGGTCTCCTCTGGTATACCGACACCGACCGGCCCTATAGTGGGAGGACCGAGCGAGCAGCGATGAGGGAGGTGGAGGAGGTGGACTTCACGAAGCGGGTAATACGACGACTGCACTGCGGGAGACGGGCGGCATGGACAGGCAAGGCGTTGACGTCAGGAGGAAGAGGAATTCCACGGGCGACGTCGAACAAAGCGAGAAGCGAGGAATTCAGCGATGGGAACGAACAGGAACAAGCATGCAGGCCTTCAGCGCAGCCAGTTGCAGAGGGGAAGGAGAGGGAGACGAAGAGCCAAAGAGCGAGACTGCCCGAGCGTCACGCGGCATTCCGCCCGTCTCGCTTCTGCCGGTTTTATTCCCCCCGCCTCACCGCCTGGAGACTCGGCCTGCTGCGGTCGCTCACCCTTCGCGAGGCGCAGGCACGTCGCGGTAATTCGAAAAAATTATCGTCTGTCATTCCTCATGTCGGCGACTGCGATTTCCAGCGGATCGGGTTTTCTTTGGCGGAGGCAGGACGTGAGGCCCTCGTGATGTTCCAACTGCCCTCCGTCGCATTTTCCACGTGACCGCCATCGGCTTCCGTCGCCAAGACCCAAAAAAAGAAGGGAAGAAAAAAAAAAAAGAACCATCAGGTCGAAAAGAAAAAGGTAACACTTCCACCAATTCTCATTCATTGATTGAATGGTTCTTTATTTTTCCGGTTAGCTGGCACTGACAGTCGCAAAGGCTTCTTTTCACATCCTCATACAAAATGGGCAAGAAATCCAAATCCCACTCGGAGAAAGCTCCGCAAACGGGCCAAACTGAGGCCTCTCTTCCTTTCCTGAGCGGAAAGGCCTCTGTGGATCCGAGTTTGGCTTCGCTGTTTGAGCAAAGTGTGAGTTTGTTTTCGCTCTTTGCCCATTGCTCTAGCTGACGATATCTGCGAATCTCTAGGCGGGTCCAGTGAAAGCCCCCCAGGTTCCGGCACCCGTTGCGACGTCAAAGGCCGAGACTCTCGACGATGAAAGCGCCGAAAATGAGGAGGCAGGGTCGGCCGAGGAAGACGAGGTCATGCAGGAAGCTTCCGAGCCCGTGGAAGCGTCCGAAGCTCCCAACCGGAAACGCAAGAGGACAAATGGAGAAGATCTCGAAGAGACATACATGCGTCGCATAGCGAAGGAGGAGGAGAAGGAAGAGAAGAAACGTCTTTCGGAGAAGGCGAAGCGACAGAAGGTTGAAGAGGAAGAGGAGGAGGAAGGTAGCGACGAGGACGACTCGTCTTCCGAGCAATCGCAAGATGAAGCAGAGAGCTCCGACGAGAACGAGGGCAAAATTGCCCTCCCGAAGCACGAGAGCCAATCTGCAGATGCTGGCTCCCCAGAGATCGAGAAGTCGAATCGAACGGTCTTCTTAGGCAACGTCTCGAACGAGGCCATCAAGTCTAAGACCGCCAAGAAGACCCTTTTGAAACATCTCGGATCGTTTCTCTCAGGGCTTCCTGAATCTACGGGGCCCCATAAAGTGGAATCGATCCGTTTCCGCTCCACGGCCTTTTCGGGCGGCGGGCATCTCCCCAAGCGAGCCAGTTTCACCCAAAAGGAACTAATGGACGAAACCACGCCCAGCACCAATGCCTACGTTGTCTACAGCACCCTACAGGCTGCGCGGAAAGCCCCCGCAGCTCTGAACGGCACCGTGACCCTCGACCGACATCTGCGTGTCGACAGCGTCGCGCATCCCTCGCAAACCGACCACAAACGGTGCGTTTTCGTCGGCAACCTCGATTTCGTCGACCACGAGACCAACCCGGATGAGGAGGAGAAAAAGAAGAAGAGGAAGGCCCCGGCCGATGTCGAGGAAGGTCTGTGGCGGACGTTCAATGCCCACACGACCCGTTCCAAGGAGAGGGAGGCCAGCCGAGGCAACGTCGAGTCCGTTCGGGTGATCCGTGACCGTGCCACCCGCGTTGGCAAAGGCTTCGCCTATGTGCAATTTTACGACCAAAACTGCGTGGAGGAGGCGCTCCTCCTGGACGGAAAGCAATTCCCGCCCATGCTACCACGGAAGCTGCGGGTTTCCCGGGCCAAGAAGCAGTTGAAGAAACGCGATGACAACAATGCTCCGCCCGCCAGACTTCGGGACTCCGATAAGACGCTCCAGGGCCGTGCCGGTAGGCTGTTCGGCAAGGCCGGGGCCGCCAAGGTGAAGGCAGACGCAACGAAATCCATCTCGCAGAACTCCATGGTATTCGAGGGTCACCGCGCGACTGACGATGGCTCGTCTCGTATCCGAGTCAAGACCAAGAGCCGTGGTTCTAAAGGCAAGCCGAAAAACCGGAGCAGTCAGCGGGCAGCGGCCTACAAAGCGGCCGGTGGGCGTAAAGGCAAAATGGAGAACAAGTGATATCAGTATGGTCTAGTATTTTTTTTTCTTTTTCTGTATGTATTTTCGGTCAAAAGTATTGAGCGCCTAGAACATCATCAATACAATATCCAGAGGATTCGGCGCGTAAACAAATTCCTTGTACTGTTGAATAACGATCCATATAATGACGTCATCGGTGCAACAGGCAGAGGGGCCAAACAATGAATCAAAAGGGTGGCATTGGCACATTACCTCCTTTTTAGCTTATGTTAGAGATGAATCCTGCCTTCTGAGTCACATTTGGAGGACCATCAAGCTGGCCACGCTTTTCAGTCGATAGGCAGCCATCAAAGTACCGCAATCTTCAGCCACCTTGAGTTCCGCCCGGAGCGCGGGGGTGCGGAAACCTCCAGATTGCCTTCATCTCGCCAGCTTACCCCATCCCTCGATTCTACAGACACCCGCGTTCTCCGGTTTTTATCCATTGGCTCACTCGGCGAGATATCAGGCTCGCGGGCTCGTCACCTGAATAAGCATAATTACACCGCGTCTGCGGGGGCCTTCGCAAAGCTCCGTGGCTTAACCGTGGTCCACAGCTCTAGAAGTGGTATCCTGTCAAAAGTCACCTATCGCGGTAGATGATGCTCCCTATGGTCTCATCGGCTATGAATCGATTTCGCATCCAAAGAAGGTCACCTTCTACCAATGAGTCTTCCCCTGGTGCTGAGGAACCACATGCCACCGAGCAGGAGATTGAAGAGCCGTATTTTCCGGACCTCTACGATGTTCTCAAAACCCGGCATATCCTGCGATGGAAGGTAGTGCCAGGAGGGTTGCCTCTGGAAATTGTGGATATGATTGTGGATGCGGCCGAGTATTGGGCTTCGGTGGTATCGGAGATGCGAGGACAACGAATCATACGACAAGACGGGGATCAAGTGCTCGTGAGAACAAGTCCGTTATGCTATGATGAGAAGGTAAAATATCTCCCTTCGTTTCATGCAGTGTCTGTCTTGCTGGGACAGTGTCTATCTTCCTCTCGGTTTATGTCTAACAGCCTCTTAGACGCTGGGCAGCCCGTCGCCAAAACTACTCCCGCATCGGACGATCCACCCATGTCGGAAGATTATCTTCTTTGTCCGTTCTCATGATCAAGGCTGGGGTGGTGGTCGTCGAGCAGATCGCAGTCCATTTCAGGGATCCAATACCTGGTTTGATGTCGAAGTGGTCCACTCTGCACATGAGGGCACCCCAGCAGAGGCCTCGACGCTTCCAGAAGTAGGGGATGATGGGATCCGATTAAGAGCCGGCCATCCCCTTCTAAACCCAAGTAGCTGCAAGCTGCAATCGAATCGGACGTATGTGAGGGACGCCGAGGAATACACGATCACCTGGCACTATCTCGACCGCATCCCGGCCGACTCCGCGGAGGCCGAGGAGATCGAACGTGCTCAGGGACGGGGACGGGCCACGCTGGATGGTAGCCAAGTCTGCACATTGGGGCTGGGCGATGCGATTTCCGTCTGGGGACGAGCTCGATATGGAGGATGGACGAACTATGTGGAGCAAGTGTCGGTGCGAGTGTTCTGGGCGGTATAAGAGCCAGGGCCTATCAGCCAGTACATATACAATGTACAGAGGGTAGAATACTCCGTAACAGCCAGAATCCAACATGAACAAGGATGACCAACGAAATGCGTGCCTGTAGATTAGGGCAGCGACAGGGTTACCGGATCGGGAAGGGCACGAGGAGGCCTGGGCGTTCAGGCTGCGAAATCACGCAATTTCGCCAAGACCACCCGATCGTCTCGTCGGGGCTGCAATATAAGGAGCCCGTCGTCCTCGACGCCAACTGCCTCTGTTTTTGCTCGAAGAAAAGCACAAGATGTGATCCTCGACGGCTCTGGGGCACAACGGTCGTTTGTTCTGGCCTTTGTTCGTCTCCTTCTCCCCCGTCATGTCGCCGTTCAACCTTCGCCCAGTTCCCCGAGCACGCGGCCAAACGCAGCCAGAGCGATCTCCGACGGAAAGCGCACCAGGGATTTTCCCAGGCTCGATGAGTGGGGCAGGATGCGTCGGTTGCGCAACAGTCGGTCTGGCAACGATGGACTGAAGGCCGCCGGACGAATACGGGCGAGTTCTGGATGTCTATCGCCTGACCTAGAGGAGAGTGGTTTATCGCGCACTTCGCCGACTCTCTCGCCCGAGTGCGCGCACGACTTGCCCGCGCGACGGTCATTCGCCCCGTTCCGTCCGCCTGCTTGAATTCCTCTCGTTCTGCCCCTCCCGTCCAGGCGAGCACAATGACGCCCATTAGCCTGTTTCGCCGAGAATAACGCCGTGCTTTTGCTGCAGCGCCCCAAAGCACCTCCTTGGCTCCCGTTAAAACCCCCCTGCGATGTCCGTCCTCGTCAGCGGTGTTTTCACCGCTCCAGCACGGCGCCCTAGATTCTTGTGGCCATCTTTCTCGTCTCTCGCTGTTCCGTTTCTCCCAAATACAGCCCATTCTACGCGCCAGATCGCCTCGAAAACCATGAATTCTCCTCAAAATTGCAGTGCAGTCGTTGTGGGAGCCGGCCCCGCCGGCTTGGCTGTCGTGGGGAATTTGCTGGAGCAACTAGGAGGGAAAGTTGCCTGGATTGACCCGATCTTCCAAGGGGGTCGAGTCAACCGCAAATACCGAGAAGTTCCTAGGTGAGTGTGTCCTCGTTCCGGCCGCCTGTGATATTGCAGGGCGTCGGATGAGGAGCGCTCTCGGCTGACGTGCGTTGAATCAACCCAGCAACACCAAAGTGTCGCTATTTCAAGCATATGCCACCGCGGTTCAACCATTTCGTTCCGTCATCAACAACACCCGCATTCCCAGTCCATTCTCGACGATGGCCAAACTTGACCAGGAGAAAACCTGCCATCTGCACCATGCTGCGGATATGCTCAAGGGTCTGTCGGACGGCATCGTAAAAATGGATCAGGTGATGGCCTATCGGGGAGTTGTCACTGCCGCCAATTTGGCTGAAAATGTCAGTTCAACCGTTCCGAAAGAATCCCCGGAACTTGGTGACATGCTGTAATTTCGGTGGCTAATCTCTGCACCAGACGTCGATGTGGACCGTGCGGATCATGCGTCGAGACTCTCTCGACGAGTTCGAGGTGGCCACACCACGACTTATCTTTTGCACAGGATCGTCGCCGTCGCAGGTCTCGATGCCCGTTTCTGGACTCGATATCCGGAGACTGGACCTAGATGTAGTTCTGAAACCCAGTGATCTTGTCACGTACCTCCCCCGCGATATACCCCAGACGGTCGCGGTCGTCGGGGCTTCTCATAGTGCCATTCTTGCCCTCCTCAACCTGGTAGAATTGGCTCGCAGCACACACCCCCAGCTACGAGTGAAGTGGTTCACTCGCCATCCACTCCGGTATGCCGAGTACATGGATGGCTGGATCCTCCGAGACAACACGGGTCTCAAGGGTCTAGCGGCGGACTTTGCTCGCCAGCAATTGGAGGACGAGCAGCTACCCCAGTCCGAAGCGGGCCGGTTCATCACGAAGGTGGACTGCGGGGGAGGCCAAGAGATGGCGCAGTATAAGCAGCACTTGCCGTCGTGCTCGCATTTCGTCCAGGCCGTCGGATTCACCCGGGATCCGTTGCCCGAGTTGTCTGTCGACGGCGAGTCTTTGCAGTTGGAGTTCGACTCGGAATCGGGCGGCTTCCATGACGGGAAAGGACGACCGGTTCCGGGCCTCCATGGCGCAGGCATCGCCTTTCCTGAACGGGTCGTCGATCCGCATGGCAACGTCGAACACGCCGTCGGCTTCTGGAAATTCATGAAGTATCTCCAGCGCGTCTGTCCCCAGTGGGCCGCGTCCCAATGAGTCGGCTCTAATTCTCTCGTCATCTATAGACCCAGATTGTCTATGTTCATACAGGAGTATATATGAGCCTTGTCGATTCACTGAACCTCATTTGTATCAGATCTATACCTAGGCACTTCATTTTTCAATTCAGCATATTCAACCTAGCGTTACTTTGTCAAGGTGTATATACGAAGAGAGGTCCGTAGGTCGCCCTCATACCGAGTCCGCACTGCCTATATAGTGTATCCCGTAGCCTGTCACCGAAACGGGACGACGCAAGGACGACGCTCCTGTCTTCACATGCATCTCCCACTCCTTTCTCCGCTCGTACGGACCAGTTACTTATTTCCACGCTGCCGTCGATCAAGACCACCCTTTCAAGCAGGGAAGCGGCATCGTTTGCCCTCTGTCGGGTACCTACCGCAGCTCACGACGTTACGCGGGGCTCCCGTCGTGCAACCTGTCGAGATGCCATCTTGCATGCACGCATGCATCACTTCTCGATCGGTCTACGTTACTCAGAAATCAATCAATCAAGACTCGGACAGGGTCTAGTTCGATATCTAACCACCACTTTCGAAATGATTGCGAGCTCACGGGACAACATGCCTCTTTCACCCTGAACCCCGGCGTTGTTCGCTTCCAAGGCAGCTACCTACGCACTACGCCGTAGGTCCGTACTAGACCATTACTAGGTCAAGTAAGGACGTGAGCAGTTCGGCCTAGTCCGGATGGACATTACGCCGTACGCAGTAGATACTACTAGGTAGGTAGGTAGGTACCTTAGCCATCTAGTAGTCCCTGACTCCCTGGCACCTGCCCGGCTCCCTACGGGATCCGGTATCATCTACGGAGGCGATACTCGACGCCAGCGGCCAGAGACGCTAGTCAAGACTCGAGAGGAGATACCCCAAGCTGATAAGGCCACTCCGGTTCGACGGTCATCCATCCCTCATGCCGATCATCGCCCATTGCCCCAGTTCTTGGAGTTTATCACAATCTTACGGGGCACCTCCCTCTCGACTCTTCCCCCTTTCTCGCGGACTGCCGAGACGGACTGAAGTCAGAGCAGAGGACGCAGCGATGATCGATTGGGGGTGATTGGCTCGTGTTTCCCTCCACAAAGGAAGAAGGAAAGGATGAAGTCGGGTAAGTCTACCGTTATCATCCCACACTAAGTGGCTGAAAGACTAAAAGTGGTCCCCCTTTTTTTCTTTCCCTCCCTTTCCCCTCAGGATCATCGCGGAGCACCCACCAACCAACAATCGAGCTGACCGACACCCTGTCATTGGGACGGTACGGTACCTTACCTAAGGTACGTTACGGAGGAAATATTTCTTTCTTTTATTTTATTTATTTATTTATTTATTTGCCCTGGGTCCCTCTCCGAGAGAAATTACGCAGGATGGTCCAATCCGCCTGGCCCTTACTTTACCCAAGACCGGCGTTATTTGTCGCTCGGGGGCCAGACCTCCAGAACCGCCGTTTAATTTCCCCTCGACCGCCCTGTGATTGGCCTCGGACTCCTTCCCCTCGGGTGGATCCCTGCTAACGGCGCTCGGAGGATCCACGCAAACAAACAACTTAAATGAAAAACTTATCTTCACTCGCTCCAGTTCCCATTACCGAGCTCACGGCCCTCCACTGCTGGGCTGATCCATTCCCTCTCGACTACGCCCTATCCAGTCGTCATCTCCGATATCGTGCTGATCCAACGTAGAAGATCGTTGTCATTAATTGTATTGTTCTTGCATGCTCGACACTGATCGGTCATTACAGAGAGTCCACATATCTACATAGTAGTAGTACATAACCGTACAAAAGCCGGCGGATCCAACCCGTCCGTCCTTCAATCCGCGGCGTTCCAGAAATAATAATAATGGTAATGGCAATAGGCGGGAATGCAATCCAAATCGAATGCAGGGCCCGAAAAAAGAAGACTTCCAGAAGGAATAGAATGCGTTGCTTTCCGAGGCAAACAATGAAAGAAAAAAAAAAATAAAAACGTCGAAAGGCCCGAGGAACTGCGGAGCTCGTTCACTCAGACAACGGGGGAATATGAAGCGAAAGGCTGTGGAAGAAGAAGAATGAGGGGGCATAAGAAGAGAAGACGTAGAAGCGATATATAGAAGGCAACCGGATCATAACCATGCGATTCAGAAGAAAATCAAACCCAGAGAGCAGATAACATCAAGTGGGGAGTTTAGAAGACGGCAACACCGGCCAGAACAAGGGCCATCATGGCACCAGAAACCCGGGTGGTCGTGCCGGCATTCGTGTTAGGCACCACGGTTTCGGAGGCGCTGGCAGTAGCGCTGTTGGTGCTCGAAGCCTGTGCGCTGGTGCTGGAGGCGGCGGCGCTCGAGGAGCCAGTCGCAGAACCGGTCGAACTAGCCGATCCCTCGCCGCCAGAACCGGTCTTGGTGGAAGTGCTGGAGCCGGTGCTAGTCGCCGTCGACAAGGTGGTCGGGGTCTCGGTCTTGGAGGCGCTGGAGGTGCTGGAGGTGCCGGAGGTGCTGGTAGTCTTCTCGCTCGACGAGGTAGTGGTGGAAGCCTCGGTCGTGGTGGCAGAGGTAGTCGACGCCGCGGTGGTCTTGGTCGCCGAGCCGGTGGCACCGGCGACAACGAAACGAGGAAGATAGTTGACCTCGCTGGTGTCGTCGTCCGAGATAATCTCAACGGTGTAATCGGGCTGGGCGGCAAGATCGGACGAAGGAGTCCAGGTGAAGCTGCCCGAGTTGTCGATGCTCTCTGGTGAATTTGTCAGTATACAAACTCAAGCATGCGGCGCAGAGGCCAGCATAGAAGGACGACTCACTAGCAATCGCGGTGCCCGAGTTCGGGGTCAGGACGCCACCCCATTGCAGACGCAAGGTCACGGTTCCGCTGGTGGTCGGGTTCCACTTCAGAGTGGTGGGCTCGCCGGCCTTGAAGGAATATCCATCGGCGGGGATATTGAAAGGGTTGGCCTTGTCGGCAGCGGCGGCCGCAAGGGTCGCAATGGCACTGAGGGTCAAGTAGAAGATCGACGAACGCATTGTTGCAGAGGAATGTGGTATGGTTTAATCCAAACAAAGTAAGCGATTAGATGATGAGGTCGGGAGGTGTTTATCGAGCAGGCCCGGACAAGTTATTGACAAGCGGGAATTATGTATGATATGATGTACAGTAATGGGGATAACTGTGGGATGATGAATCCAAGAGACGATGTGAAGGAAGGACGTTGAATTCAACAAGATCGAGCAATGATTAAAAGGAATGTAAAGGTGGGGAACAATGTACTCGAAGGATAGACGAGGGCGTGGGAGGAGAGGTGACAGGGAAGGAGCGAAAGGAAGAAGAAGGAAGGGTTTTTGGGGGGGGAAAGGCGAGTCTATGTATACTACCGGGTTTGGTAGGAGGGTCTACAGCGAGCTACCTACTGCCTACTGCAGGTACTAGGCAAAGGCAGGAAGGCAAGAATTAGATACTCCGTAGGGACGGACCCCCGACCCTGCACAAGGGGAGTGGAAAATCCACGAGGGCCCCAAATACCATCCGTACCACATCCATACACCCACTAGGGCACCTCCGGACGACCAAGGGAGTGGAGCGATCACCAATGAAAACCCGAGCAGCGGGGGCAAATTAAACTAATCGCCCTAGTCGGGACTAGTGCCCTGCATGCGGGCCCCCAATTTCATGGGAATCCCGGTAAAAGCCCGGTCCGGATGCACATCTGGAGGGTGTTAAGTTGTGACCAAAACCTTCGCCTCGGCTAGTCGGGTTTGCCAGAAAGTTGGGCCTGGATTAGTACGGTGGCGACGAGAGCGCACGATTCGGACAATACTGGCGGTAGCAAAGCAATAGTTCCTTCTTGACAGCGCCACTGGCGGTCTTTTCGCTTTAGCGACTCTAAGAATAACATTCCAGATTACGGAGTAGCACTCCCAAGATAGCACCGGCGACTACGGAGTTAATCCATGGGCGGAGGTAAACTCAGTAGATTCATTTTTTCGTGTGGTGGTTTATTTGTTTATTTTTTTCCCTCTTTTCATTTTTTTTTTCCTTTTTTGCTTTTTCAATTCTCGGACATTTTGACGGACGGCATGCAAAGGAAAATTCGACAGGACGTGGAATTCACTGTCGCCCTTGCGGATTGCATTGGTTTTGTAATTGGCTGACGACAGGACAAGGGGGGTAGCATCCATGCGGCCTGGGTCCGCAGGTGGTACCGTATCTCGTACGGGAGGGATGGGCGACGGCGTGCGACGGTACTGCCACCACTCCGGAGTCCTCTGCCTGCTCTGGGAACAGTCCGGTCAACGCGACGAATCGAGTAATCCTGCGACTAAGCCTCCTCGTGACTACAGTCGCCCCCTGTTAAGCGTGTTTGCCTGTTTGCCCGTGGGATCGGATTTCCACCGGAGTGGGTGGTTCCTGCTGACCCCCGATCTCCCGATCGTCTGCTAAATCCCTACGGTACTCCGTAGGAGTATGGACTATGGAGTACCTCCTCCGTGCTACACAGCTCATTGCAATCATGTCTTAGATTTCGTTCTTTTGACCCATAGAACGTTGTTTGGACTCTTTCGTTCTATGGGTCCTCGATCTAAGCTTGAATCGTCCTCAACTCGCCGGTCGACCAACAAAGCATGAAGCCACGAGTTTACTTTCTTTGTATTTCTAGGAAATATAAAACCCAAATTACGAGGACAGGAGAGCTGTGCTCTCGTTCACATCATCCGACATGCTGACCGTTCTCAATTCTGCTCCCAACTCTATAGATTTCCTCAACAAGATCATAGGGCCAATGCTGCAGAGGGCTCTTATTTGCGTGTTAATGGCTTCGGCGACACGTTTAACGAGTGCCTCGATCAATACTATCATCATCCTGGCCCAGAGTTAGACAGATGTGAATGATTGGGAATTCGCAATATCCGTGTGCAACCCATATTCCCTAGTAGGTAGGGTCAAGACGCGTCGGAATTACATCAAAGAGTTTCCCTGGCTTAACCGAGGGATTGTATCTTCTGGCAAACATCTTTTCCGAACTTCTGAGCAGCTCAGTGATTTGGTACCCCGATCCAGCTCGCGGGTTTTGGTCAGAGAACTAGAGCACCTTTCTCTTCGTCTATAGGAGTAATAGGAGTAAAGAAGTAATCCGAGTAAGTCTCGAGATCAACTCTGAGACTTGGTTATACTATACTTGTCGCATAACTGCTGCATCAACGTACAGTGTGCACTCATGTGCAGGTACCCAGCAAGGTATGATGTTTTGGGTTGATGGATTTCCTCATCTCATATTTATATATTCATGTTCCCGAGGTGGGTCCAACGGTCATTCAAACGTTGCATCCTCCGTAGTACCATGTCATACAGGATCCATTTGCGAAGCCGAATATATATTGTTGTAAATGATCTCATCTATAATGAGCCGTTTGTTGAAACACAGTATCCCCACATTAACCTTTAGCTTCGAAGGTTGTCGCAATAACTATATACACCCATTCTCGAAACATGGTCTTCATTCGGCCAAGCGTTTAAATACAACTCGTCGCGTCATCTATATGAGCACCGACCTAGCAATGTACAATTGAGACATCGATCCGGTTCGGCCGGTTGACGTTTTCTGAATATGCCGTGGCTACTTAAGCAGAAGTCGTACTACCCTCCAACGCCTGCCCTGGCACAGGTGCGCTCGACACGCCCTGGCTCCGAGTCGCAGCTTCGACATCATTCCTATCGTCCGTCTTCTCTACGGGGTTGCCCGGAGCCGGTTGAGCTTCCAGATGACCGTTTTCTCCCAGCCACATGATTGCCTCCATGACCCTTCGATCGTCGTCCTCTTTCTGACGACCGAGAAGCTTTGAATTATATACGTTAGTGGAAAGACCTAAACATGCGGAGGGAAAATAGCATTCGGTACTCACCGCTTGAAGCAGTCCTTTGCGTCCCTTTTTCTCTACAGGCTTCGCCTTGGCTGCGCGTTGGGGCGCCTCGTGTAGGAATTTGCACTGATCCCCACGTAGGCAGCGTCCATTGCGGGCAAAGTGTCGACATATCCGCTTCTTCACTTCGCGGGCGGGCGGGGGAACTCGCTCGGGTCCTTCGCGGCGCGAAGATATTTGCTCAGGGGCCGAGTCATCGTCATCATCACTGTCATCGGAGTCAGAGTCGGAAGATTCTGATCCACTCGACGACGTCCAGTCACTGCTATCAGAGGCGTCGGAAGACAACTCGGCAGGTTCGGATAACTCTGCCTGGCTTTGCTTCGTGCTTCCAGCTGGGAGAGTAATAGGGCCCTCGGCCGTTTCCGTGTCTCTATCGGGGATCTCATCATGCTCAGACGGCTTGCCTTGAAACCCCTGTGCCGAGTCTGGGGCCGTGGCGGTACTGCCTTGAGCTTCGAGTTGGGTTTGGTCTTGCCGAGGGGATGATATTGTTTCCGTGACAGCACCTGTCGTCCCTTTCTGTAACTGCTCAACTCGCATCCGAGCCCGCTCGGCGTCGGCCTCTGCCTTTTCTACCCGTTTCTGTTCTTTCATGAGCTTGCGTCGCAATTTGTCTGCTTTCTGTTTCGCCTTTGCCGCTGCATCTACCGGGTCGGCGGAGCTTGAGGCTTGCTCCTTCGGACTGCGAGCGTCCTTCTGGGGTCGTTTAGCCTCCTGCTTCCGCGAATCCTTCTGTCGTAGGGCTTCCTCCCGTGCTTTCTTTGCCTCCTCCATGGCCTTCTTCTTCTCTTCAACCCTCGATTGAGTCGGGAACCGCTTCTTTCGCTCTGCAATCCAAGCCGCAAATTCCGCAGGTGTCTGCAATGTGGCCGTGCGCCCTTTATAGGTAAACTGCAACGGTGCCGCGACTCCGGTTCCGGCGGGTGCTAACCTCGCCTCCTCGTCCACGTCATCTTCCTCCTCGCTAGACTCATGCTCGTCGGTCTTCGGGGTCAGGCCCAATTGATTATGCTTTCTCTTTTTCTTCTTCGGCTTTTTGCTAGTATCCACCGGCGGAGGTGGCTTTGAGGGCAAAGGGTTGCCAAAACTTGGCACGGGAGGCGGCGCAGGAACACGGGGGCCTGTTGAACGAGGCTTTCCGAAGGCTGAGGTATGATCGCGCTTGTTTGGATGATGGGATGGTCCGGAGCCCAGGGAAGCCTGATTACTATTATGATTATTGCTGTAGTTGTTGAACGAGCGCGGTCCTCGCTGGTTTCCATGAGTCGCTGCGTGGCCCCCGGCGGCAGAGCCTGCATTCTCGAAACCCCAGCGCATTGGGGGGCCCATCATTGGCGCTGGTGCCGAGGCTGCGGTATGCTGAGGGGTAGGCATCACCGGGGAATACATAGGCGCCGATTGAGCCGTCGGGGGAGCGTAGGCTGCATCGTAGCTCGGACGACGTTGATAGGGCGCGCCGTGAGCCGCAGGAGGTTGCGAATATGGCTGATGCGAGGCGAAAGCAGCGGCATTATGATGATTCTGGAAATTTTGGGATTGTGCCGGGTTAAAGTGCGGTGTTGGCATTGGCTGCTGGGTAGCCGCCATCGGTTGGGGAGCGAAGCCTGCATAGTTCATCGGAGTGTAGCCAACAGAGGGTGTGTTCGTCGAGGGAGGCATGTAATGACCCCCCCGGCCTCCTCCTCGATTCCCATACCCTCTCCCGCGACCTCTATAGTTTCCTCCACCGCCGCGACCACCTCGCTGGCCATGCTGATTCTGTCCGTACTGTGAAGGATAGGGCGCATGTTGTTGGCTATACGATGGCTGCTGCGTTTGCTGCCGAGAGGGGGGCGGCGGCGGCGGGGGGAAAGAGAATCCCTGAGGATTCATTGCGCGAAGATCTTTGTCGATCTTCAAAGTAAACGGGCATAAACGCCATCATCACTGCATGCCGGCAGACTCGAAAGTTCGTCGTCGGTCTTGTTCCACAGCACGAAACTAATGCTCTCTGCTGCTCCAAGTGGAAAGTTTTCCCGCGGCCGAAAAGGCGGAGGACCCATCAAGTCACGTGTCTGGGTTTTGTCCGGCAGAAAAATAAAACGCCGAGCGGATCGGCGGTCGGCGATTGGCCAGGCATTTCATGAAATTCATCGCGATTCGATCATGGACTTGAGGTCGTCGAGAGCGTGAACATGGAAGTCATTCTTCGTTCTCTTTTCTGCCGTGTGTCCGTATTGCGATAGAAGTCCTTCGTCCACCTCGGCGTGGTGCTGGAGTCCACCATGTTTATTCTTGTCAGTTGCAGCGCCCTCCCATGTCTACCGAGTAGCTTGACCTGACCGATCCCGTGCAGACAACCATTTCAGATCTGATTCAGATCGCCCCCGAGGACTTCTCGAAATATAGTTCGGTGGCCATCGAAGATAACATCAACGAGAAATACGCCAACAAGGTATGCGATTACCCAATTAGCTGTCAGGAGTGCCGGCTAACAACCATGTGCACAGGTGATTCAAAAGATTGGCCTCTGCATTGGCTTCTATGATTTGCTAGAATCGTCTGATGGACTGATCGGCCATGGTACTGGCCTGGTTAATGTCAATGGTATGTTGTACCCATATTACCCATTGATCGGAACCTGCGCTGGCTGTAATTCGAATTCTGATACTAATGATTCCACAGTCAAATTTCGCCTGATTGTGTTCCGGCCGTTTAAAGGCGAGATCATGCTGGGGAAGATCGCCAGTGCTACGGAGTTTGGGATCAAAAGTATGCATCTACGTACCGACTGCATTATCGTGTGCTTACTTACTTTGCGCAGTTGGTGTCGAGTTTTTCAACGATATCCTTGTGCCCCCGAATCTTCTCTTAGACGGGGCAAGATTGTAAGCGAGACTCCGATGAGTCAGATCCCTCAGCCTGCATCGCTAACCTGGCACAGTGACTACGCGGATCAAGTCTGGATTTGGGAGAACGAAGACGGTTCGACCTTTTACTTTGATGTGGGAGAAGTTGTTCGATTCCGCGTCGAGACGGAAGAATGGCATGACCAGATTCCCAATGCGCCAGATCTCGGCGACAGCACCGCGAACGAGCGAAAACCACCGTACTCGATTATTGTGAGTCCATGCGTTCTGTTTTCGCTAGCGACACAAGCTAATCCGACCACAGGGCTCGATGCAAATGGCCGGATTGGGGCCCATTTCATGGTGGTAAATCAGAGAGTCTTTCGGACTTTCAGACTTCATGCAAGGACCGAGAGTGCGAGAGGGGTCCTTGGCAGGCATATGCACTCCTCTTTTTCTTTTTTTCTTTTTTTTTTTTTTCCCTCTCTCTCTCTCTCTCTATTGTGATCGTCCGGGTAACGATGGACAGCGTCCAGATGTAACTACCTAGCTAGACATGGATAGTGTCGGCATGGAGGAGGAAAGGGCGTATACTCCGCAGGCCGTATAGACCCCGACGGATGATAACTATAGATTGCTATGGCGACACTGAATAATCAGAAAGATTGGTCAGAACGCCGACGGATGACGACATCCAACGCCATTTCCCCGGAATGCAGGGGCTCTTCTCCTCTGGTCTGTAAAGATTGCGATTTGCGATCAATCCTCACAGTCGGTTAGGGCCGGAAAGGCGATGACACCCGGTGGAGACCCGCCTGGACGCTATTCTGGAACTGCTCCACGATGGCCCTATGGTTCTTCGTTGCGCTGAGGCAAAACGTAAAAGAAATCCAGGCCGAGAAGAAAAAGAATTTTTTTCCCTCTCCTGTTCGTGATTCAGATTAATCATTCCGCATTATTTATTATTCTTTATCGACATCTGTCTCACCGGACGTCCGTCGCTTCTGGAAAAAAAACCCCACTTACAAATCAGTTCCTCCCTTGGTGAGATTGATATAAATATACATCGTTGTACTTCGACTGCTCCAGAATTTCCTTCGATCTATTTTATTTGATTCTGGTTAATTATACCTATTTCCCTTGTGACTTCATAGCAGGAGGTCCGACGGAGAGCGGAAACAGTCACCCTTTAGACTTTGGATTTTATCTCCCTTCCTTTCGCCTCGTCAAATTTCCTCAATCCCACCTTCTCCCTCTCTCCAATCAATCCCCGCAACAATGACGGCCGGAACGAATTCCTCCAACGGCGAGTCCGCGCAGGATCGCCGCTTCGGTACTCTCGCCGTCCACGCCGGTGCCCCTCACGATCCTACCACCGGCGCTGTTATCGCCCCTGTCAGTCGATCTCCTTGCGATTGATCCTTCTTTTCCGGACGGTCGCATTGCTGACTAGAACCTCCAGATTTCTCTCTCCACCACCTACGCGCAGACGAGCGTCGGCAACCCGGTCGGCGAGTACGAGTACACGCGCAGCTCCAACCCCAACCGGTGAGTGGCGCTGATCGCGAAGAGCAAGAATGAGAGTTGGTGCTGTGTTCTGGCTGCTAACCTCCGATCAGTGACAACTTTGAACAGGCTGTTGCGGCCCTCGAGCATGCGAAATATGCCCTGGCCTTTTCCTCCGGTTCTGCCGCCACGGCGAATATCCTCCAATCCCTCGCTGCGGGCTCGCACGTTGTTTCGGTGTCCGATGTGTACGGTGGAACTCACCGATATTTCACCAAGGTCGCGTCCGCCCATGGCGTGCAAGTCACCTTCTCGCCGACGATTGAATTGCACGTGGAGGAGCTGATTCGGCCCAACGAGACCAAGTTGGTGTGGATCGAGACCCCGTCAAACCCGACATTGGGTCTGGTTGATATCCGCAAGATCGCGGACATTGCGCATCGTCATGGCATCTTGGTGGTGGTGGACAACACCTTCATGAGCCCTTACATCCAGAACCCCTTGGATCACGGTGCGGATATCGTGGTGCATTCGGTTACCAAGTATATCAACGGTCACTCTGTATGTGATGCCCTCTCCTTCTTCATTCTCCCCGTGAATCGTTAGGCTGACTTTGGTCAAGGATGTCCTGATGGGTGTCGCCGCCTTCAACCTGGAAAGCTTGAAGGAGCGCCTCACTTTCCTCCAGAACGCCATCGGTGCCGTCCCCTCGGCGTTCGACTGCTGGCTGGCCCACCGTGGTCTGAAGACTCTCCACCTCCGTGCGCGGGAGGCCACCACTAACGCTACGGCCGTGGCTAAGGCGCTCGAGGCGTCCCCTCACGTCCTGTCCGTCAACTACCCTGGCATCGACTCTCACCCCCACCGTGCCATCGCTATCAAGCAGCACCGCCAGGGCATGGGCGGCGGCATGCTGAGCTTCCGTCTGAAGGGCGGACAGAAGGCTGCCCATCTCTTCTGCAAGTACACCAAGGTTTTCACGCTGGCGGAAAGTCTGGGAGGTGTCGAGAGTCTTTGCGAGGTTCCCTCGAGCATGACCCATGCCGGTATCCCCAAGGACCAGCGGGAGGCCGCCGGTGTCTTCGACGACCTTGTCCGCATGAGCTGCGGTGTTGAGGATGCGGAGGATCTCACGGCGGACGCGCTGCAGGCCCTCGAGAAGGCCGTGGCGGCCAGCGCCCAGGAGAACGGTACCAAATAAACGAACGATGAAACTGGAAAAACAACGGGTATCCAGGACCTTGCATGAATTTTTAGAGCAATAGAATTATCCAAATAGGTCTAATAGACTAAATTAATGACGATATGGAGTTACTACTGTTTGGCACCGACCCCCTACCTGGAATATCATAAGTGTAACACCTAGGATACAGAAATAACACTGAATTCATGCCCGTTCGGCCACGCATCAGGGGAACAAACCCTGTCTGGTCTGGTTTTCTCAGGCAGTCGATGGTTGAAATGAAGCATCACGGCCGAGGGTGCTTAGTCATCCACACGAAGATGCGAAAATCTCCAAAGAAAAAAAAAGCTGCGACAGTCTTCCCACCAGACTGAGAATTTGGAACAGTCATCGAGAAAGCGGGAATCGGTGTGCACCAGGGATTTAGTCATCTGCACCAACATTGAACACCTGACAAAACTTGAGACTTGAAAGACGTCGGGCTCTGGAGATCTTCTGCCATTTCGTCATCTGTCCTATCTATAGGAACCCCACGTTGATAGATATATTGTCTGTCTGGTAAGTGCTGTGTTGGCGCGACGTCATGCCCTAGAATACATGGACCATTTCTAATCGTTGGTTTAGAGATACTTGTGGTGCTTTGAGAGCCTAGGAAAAAAAAAAAAAATTACAAAGGGTGTGACAATGGCATCCGCGTTTAGTTTTGGGTTTTCCGGAGACGACATCGATATCGATGACTCGGAGCTCAATGGCATTGAGGACGGAAATGTGTCTCTTCCTCAAGACAACAAGAACGAGCTCCCTAGCCTTGTGGAAGCTAGAAAGCACGACATGAAAGAATGGGTGAGTTTATCCGGGTTTCTTCAACCAGTGTAGAAATGCACAACTGGGCCGTTTTGCTCGTCGTGCAGCTTTAGAGTCATGCTGCTCAGCTGGTCACGCAATTGGGTCAAAATCCAGGGGAAATTGCTACTCTACAGCCCTGCCCTGCCGGCCCGTTAGAGCCAACATGCAACTGACCATGTATAGGTCTCGACTCTTCCGTCTCAGATTTCATACAACCGGTTGGAATTGAACGGACTGCCAAACCGCGCCCAAGGGAAGCCCCTCTCGCTCGCTCGCCGTGAGGTCTTCGATATTCGCACTCAGCTCATGGCAGAGGATACTGCGGACCATGAGAATGAGCAACTAATCGCCGGCCTTGAGAAAGGTGACATCAAGCCACAGTTCTATGAAGGCGGGTTCAAGACGTGGGAGTGTGCTCTAGATCTCGCGAAGCTGGTTGTCAGCGAGGATCATCTATCCGGCAGCGCTGGGGAGTCATTAGAAGGCCGTCACATCATAGAGGTGAGCGTCTCTTGTCCGACAATTGCAGGTTCTCCGTAAGCTGATCAATCCTAGCTGGGCGCTGGGACCGCCGTCCCATCCTTGGCTTTGTTTGCGCAATTGTTTTCTGAATCCACCCCGTCGGGTTCTCAACGCAAATCACATTTTACCTTCGCAGATTACAACTCTGCGGTTCTTCGTCTGGTCACACTGCCGAACCTGCTCTTGACGTGGAATCATATCGTCACGGCCCAAAACTCCCCGTTGGCCGAAGCCACTTCTCCAGAGGGCCAAACGGAGGAAGAGGAGGAGCTAGACATCACGCCGGAGCTCATCGAAAGTTTCGAGAAAGACCTGGCCAGCCGAGGCATTACGATTGAATTTGTCTCTGGCGCATGGTCTCCTACTTTTGTGGACCTTGTGCTGTCTTCCCCAGAGAAGGCTAAGAGTAGAACCTTGATACTTGCCAGCGAGACCATCTACTCGCCCGCGTCATTAGGCGCCTTCTCGGAGACCTTGCTGGCGTTGCTGCGTGCTACCGAGGCGAACACGCAAAGTAGAGCGTTAATAGCGGCCAAGAGGGTCTATTTTGGGGTCGGCGGTGGTGTGGACGAGTTTTTGGAAGTGTTCAAGGGGGTCGGTGGAGGGGAATTGGAAGTGACGGAGCAGCTGAATATTAAATCCGAGGGAGTTGGCCGGGTGGTTTTGGAAATTGCAACCAGAAGCCCCCAATAGCGCGAAGCATGGATCAGCCATGATTGAGCGACGGCAAGTGAGGAGGCTTGAAGCTCTTCGTTTGCTTCAAGCCTCGCGTCCACGGCGGGATATACAAGTGACACAGTCGACGAACAAAAAACCTTAAGACTGCCCTGATATATGTACAAGTCACTGCTTCTCAAGCAAACAAAAAGAAAAAGAAAGAAAACCGAATCGATTTTATCTAGTCATATAGAGACACAACCTTTCCGTCCTGCATCCGGGCAACGCGGGACTCCTCCTTGTCCCGGTTTTCACGCTCGTAGTGAGCAACCACATGGCTCAGATCCACCACCGAGCCAGCAGAGACGTTGTAAGGGGGAGAGGAGTTGAAGCTGGCCCTGTTGTTATCGAATATTGGTAATTAGTTCGTATTCATTGACCAGGGGTGGGAAGGGGGGAAATCGATCGAGAATGGGCGACGTACTCGGGCTGCTTCAATTCGACAGCGACTCTAGGACCCTGACTGTGGAACAGATGACGGTCATGGGCGGCCTTCTCCATAGCAGCAGTGTGCACAGCATTTCTCTGCTCAAAGACCCTCTCCGAAGGGGACCACTTCTCAATGAGGCCGGAGATCCACGACTGCGAGCCAGACTCCTGGGTAGACTTGCTCAGGCGGTAGAGGACGTAGCTAGAGGCGAAGGCGCCCAGGGTGACATAGAAACTGCGCTGTAGGGTGCATCCACGTCAAGGTTAGCGCCTGATACGTTGGGAGATCAGGAGATTGGCATGGAAATGGTGGGGTTGAACGCCAATTGGAGAGGGGAAGGGGATCGAAGACGTACGCCGAAGCTTTCATTCACAGGTTCGGCATGATGACCAGCGTGAGCGGCGTGGGAGCCATAACGTCGAGGGGGCTGATTCCGCAGCATCAGCCGCGCCGAAGCCACCGATCGCCTGGAGAAAGACATAGTGTGGAGGGAGACAATTGGACGGCACCGAATAGATTCGAGATCCCGTCGTTCGGATTTGGCGAGGTTGAATGGAGGCTCGCGGCTTCGAGGCGGAGGGCACGTGATGGCCAGATCGGGTCTAGCGCTCGACGTGGTCTTGGCGCCCGTCTTCCTTGTTCTTTCTTGCTTTTGCTCTCTCCCTCTCTCTCCCTCTCTCTCTCTCCGCCTCTCTCCGCCTCTTTACCCTCGGATCCTTCATGACAGCCCAATTGCTGGCGGGATCTCCCTATCTGAAACCTACCCCCCCGGGGCAAGGATTGCGGAAAAAATTCCTTTTCGATCGGAGGTTGGGATGAACCACCGTGCATGGACCGACGGCATCGCCTGGGCGGGTCGCTGCGTTGTCTCGTCAATAATGGCCCTGCTACACCGCACTTGAAATGGTGCTGATGCATGACCAACTGCCTCATTTTAAGATGGCGCTTTCCACCGTCCCCCATTCGCTCGCTGCCAATTGGGCTCCTTCGTCTGCCCATTCATGCAGGCTGTCGAACGTCTGGATATCGAGGGCGACATGTCAGCGATCTGTATTTAGCGTCAACTGACCCCACATGTCCTGCCTCGGACACCACCCAGTCTAGGGAACATGCGGTACGCATAGCAGGGCCATCAATTGTTTCCCTCCCTTCCCCCCTGATTTGCCCCTCCCGGACGTGCGTGTGTCATGATTCACCCGTCACAATCTCTATCCTGCCACCTCGAAACACAGTCGTTGATGCCCAATGCTTACCACGGCGGAAGATCATTGGACCCTGCCTGGTTGGGGATCCAAACACGGCGGTCCACACCCATTTTCCCTTGACGCGCCAAACTGTGAGTATTCTTGCTTCCGGCCTAGCTCCCAGTGTATTCGCAATGGGTATCAATTCTTTCTCTCCTACGGATCGGACCGCTTTCCGCCTCACCAGCCCCGAGGGGGCTGGATGCAGTGCTTTCCTGACGCGCCGGCTTCTTTTTTTGGGCGTTTATGTGACATAGGCTCCTAGCTGGGCATCTTTTCGCTTTCGCCCTCTGTTTCTTATTTAATCTTATTCTTCGAAATCCAAGTACTTGAATGTCTACCAGTTGATATCAATCCTATCCTTCCGAACTTGTCTGCTTGCTTGAAAACAAGTATTTGACAACGGGCGTGGTGTCTTCGTGTATCCTTGCTATTTGCGCCCACTCGCCGACCCCCCCTGCTCTAGGCGATTTTACTTTCCTGTTTCCTTCACTCTTTCTTCCGACCTTGTATTCTCCTGTGTGGCACGCCACCCCCTCCTTCTCTTTTTTCTTTTTACTTTCTTTTCTTTTTATTTTTATCATTCCTGCCCAGTCGTGTGATCGAAGGCCTTACCCGCTTCTAGATCCGTCATAGTCGGGCCTTTGCTGTCTGTGTCCATATCAGTTCGGAATATATCTTCTGAATCCGCTGAGCGCGCTTGCAAATGTACCGCTGTGAATCATTTATCTTGATCCAATCGAGTTGCTGCTGACGGAATATCTAGTCCACTGGAAACACGTCTTCTGCCATTCATTGACCTTGGGCACGCATCACTTTTCCCCATCATGGCCCCGTCAGGCAAGAAGGGCAAAGGCAAGGCCAGTGGTAACAAGAAGAATAAGAAGGGAAAGAACCAAGAGACGTCTGAAACCCCTGCGTCCCAACCCGAGCTTCCTGTTGAACAAGAGGAACAACAAGAGCAACAGCAAGAGCAACAGCAGCCAGAGGTTGACACGGAGGTTGCCCCTCCACAAGCAGAAGCAGAACATATCTCTGACGCTCTTCCGGAGTCTGCACCGGAGCCAGAGCCTGTATCAGAGTCGGTGCCCACACAAGACCCAGAACTGGAGCAACCACAACCTACGGTCGAGGAGAGCTCGACCACTCCTGAAACTGAGAAACCATCCGAGTCTCCAATCAACCCTGATGATGGTGATGGTTTCGCCCAACCCCCAACCAGTCCCGATCCATTCAGTCAAGAGCCAAGCGTAAACGATGTGCAGAAAGATTCCCCTGAAGCTGCCGCGGATTCGAACTGGGAGGAATTAGGGCCGTCCGAGTCATCTGAGAAGGTCGACGCGAGTCAGGAGCACAACGACAACTTGGATGGACAAAGTGGCACTGCAGAACCCACCGAGACACCAGTCACTGCACCGCAGAGTCCGGTATTCCCGTCGGCGCCGAAATCGCCGTCGTTGACAGAAGCTCAAAACATCGCGGTATCCCCTCACTCAAACGGCGAACCCTTGGAAACTGATTCTCACGGTTTTGCTCCGTCTAATCCTTTCTTTGAACCTCCTGCCACCTCACCCGTACACCGAGCCCCTTCACCTGCTTCTAAACCCGCCTCACCCGAGCCCCCGTTTGCTTCGCCTACATCTCAAATATTTCAGCCTACTGAGCCCGAGCCCGAGCCCGAGCCCGAACCTCAAGTGGCCTCGCCTCCTCTTGAGACCGCTTCACCGACCTTCAAAGCTACCTCTGCCGAACAACAAGCTACCTCCCCCGAGCCACAAGCTGCCACTACACCGCGGGCTATTTCTCCTGTGCAACAAATAGGTTCGCCAGTTTTAAAGCCCGCTGAGCCCGCTGAGCCCGCTGAGCCCGCTGAGCCCGAGCCTCAAGTTTCTTCACCCCCGCAGGAGACTACATCGCCGGCCTGGAAGCCTGCCGACTCTGCCATCCCCGAGCCTCAGGCTGAGCCAACGACTCAGACAGAATTGCCTGCATCTCGACCTGCGTCTCGACCTGCATCGCGCACAGCATCTCGCCCAGCATCTCGTCCAGTATCCCGGTCTCACTCGCGGTCCATCTCACCACTGCAACAGACTACCTCGTTCCTCCCCCCTGAAGCTTTACCCATGGACCATCCTCCTGCAATGATGCAGGATACTGTGTACCAGATGGAACAAGAGCCTTCTCCGCCGCAGGAGTACTCTCCCCCCTATCAGCCAGTCTCAGCCATGCCGCAACAAGCTTCACCCTTCCAAAAGACTATCTCCCCGACTATGAAGACCAGCTCCCCGGTGCAGAAAATCTCTTCGCCCAAGATCAGCAGTCCTCTTGCGCGTGCCGCCTACATGTCTCCGATGATGTCTCCTCATGGCACACCGCCCGCTCCTCCTCCCCCGGTTCCCAGTGCACCTGCTTCGGTTGCCCCTAACTTTGCTGCCGCTTACCACTCCCCAGTCATGAGCTCTGCTGGGTATTTGCCGCAGTATGCCTACTATCCTCAGCATACACAACCAACTCCGCGCGGTTCTATTGACCCCAACTCCGCTACGTCTTTCCAGGCCTTGCGCGATTTGGGATTTGCCAACGGAAACGGAGTGAACCACAAGGGAGCGATGTCACCTCCTGAGCATGACGAACCGATTGAACTGCTGCAAAGAATCCAGGATGCCATCCCAGACATCAACCGTCTTCTCGGCAGCTACAAGAACACGAAAGGCAAGCTGCAAGCCCGTGAGGTGGAGTTCAAGCAAATGGCGACTCAGCATGAGCAGGCATTGATGCACAAGGACTTCTACATCGAGGCGCTGCAGAATCAGATGAGAAAGACGGCGAACGAGAGCGCGGAAGAATCTAGCCGACTGAAGAACACGATCAACGAGCTCCGGATGGAATTAGGAAACCTCGAGGAAAAACGGAAAGATCTCGAGGAACGATTCGAAGACTCCGAGAAGGCCAACGAGGAGCTATCGCAGTCGAAGGTCGATCTCGAAGGAGAGGTCAAGACGTTGAACGAGAACATGCAGGAAGCGCAAGAGACCCACGAAAAGGAGCTGGAGAAGCGGAAAGAAGAGCATGCCGAAGCCATGGCGACGCAGAAACAAGAGTTGACCGAACTGTTCGAGGAGATCAAGGCCGAGGATGAGAAAGCAGCGGCCGAGGCCTTGGCGGCACGCGAGAAAGAGTTGCTCGATCAACAGGACGCGATGAAGGCGGAGCATGAACAGGAGAAGCAGCAAATGCAGGATTCCTACGACACTCTGCAATCGGAATACGACACCAAGGTGACCGAGTTGGAGTCGACCCAGACCGACTTGGAGAACAAGCAGAGGGAGCTGGAAGACACTCGAGAGCAACACGCCAGAGAAGTCGAGGACCTCCAAGCGACTCATGCCAACGAACTGGAATCCCTCACGAACAGCCACAACGAGAAGGTCGCCGATATGGAGGCCCAGTTCAGCGACAAGGAGCAACAATGGGCTGATGAGAAGGCCGACATGGAGAAGCAGTTCTCCGACAAGTGTGAAGAGCTTGCCAACTGTGAGCACGAAAACAAGAAACTGGAGGAGGCCGGTGTTGTCAGAGAGAAGCAGCTACAAGTTGCCGTGGAAGGCATGCGCACCACCATTGACAACCTGGACAATGACTGCGACCGATTGAGGAAGACCTTAACCAGCCTTGGGGAAGCAACCGACCTCAAGAGCGCGAAGGGCGATGGATTCTTGTAAGTGATCAAATGCATTAAGAATGTGCTTTAGTACCCAAATTTCTTTGCATGTTTCTTTTTCTTTTACATCTCTCTTGTGATGTTTCTTTTTCCTTCTCATCTCTTTTGACCATGATGTGAACAAGAGCTATGACTCTTAAGAACTCTCATTCGTTATTGATCCCTTTCCTTTGTCTTGAAATCTCATTGCTACATTTCATTCATTTTGGGTTTTTTTTTTTTTTTTCCTATTTTTCCTATTTGTTTTGTTTCGTTTCCGTTTCGTTTTCGTTCTATATGTTCTCTTGCATGCCCTTGCGCTGTCATTTCTAATAGAATTATGATGATCATGATGTCAATGACGATATGTCGGTAACGTTATAAATGTACCTGCTCTGATACGTATTCGAAATCTAGTTTGGACTGCTTCGGCCAGCTTTCTCGTCTGATTGTCTCCTTGTCCAAGGAGCACTTTGCGTACCTTCCAATTGATCCTCCCAAGGACATCCTCTCTAAGATTCCACCAGAACTGCCATCCTTCCTGGATAACACGCCGGCGTCGCGCGAGTTGCGAGCTGCGTACGTGCAGCACGTCGTTTCGAAGACCCTGACCTACCGCATTTTCCACCCGTTCTTGTTCACTCTGGGGCGGAGATACGACAAGGCCGACACCTTCTTCCAGCTTCTCTCGATGGATATTCGCCGCAAGTCCGTGAGGCGCGAGGCATTCTGGCGACAACAGACGTTGAAGGCTGCGTATACGACCTCGGATGCTAAGCAATCGATCAACGTCGTGGCCGCCGTGATTGTCGACGAAATCACCAACCACCTCAAGCATTTTGCCGACCCGCGCCACTTGGACACGCTCGTCATGGACGTCCGGAAGATCGTGAAGCTCGCCGCCGAGACGTGGCGACTTGCCCGAGTCGAGCGAGAGCTCATCCTGGCATCGCTTCCGGCCCCCGATGCGGACAGCGTTTCCAACGACGACTGGGATGAGTACGGCACGGCGAAGGAGGGCTGCCTCAGCACGAAGGACGACCCCAGCCGCCATGTCATTCTGCGTACCTTCCCTCGGCTCACGCGAGAAGCCGCGCACGAAGATTTCGCCGAGGATCCGGAACGTGCCAGCCCATGCACCTACTCCCGCGGCGGTATTTTGTACTCGGACTCTCCCGTCGTGATGGCCCGACTACAAGAACTGGCCAAGAAGGACTCCACCAGCGGCGACGAAGGGGTGTCTCGCCGCGGCTCGAAGGCACGCGGTCGGGGAAGTCGCGAGGGCCAGAAGTGTGCCGCCGAGGAAGACTCCTTCCTCGGGGCCGCTGGCGACGGGGACTCCGTTCAGGTTTAGTAAAGCCGATGCGATGCACGGGTCAGAAGTGTGATCTATCAAGGACTTGCGTGTGTCTGTTTTCATAAGTACGGGGCTGTTTCAGGGCCCCGTCATCCACTCGTTTGGGTTTCCTTTGTTTCTCGCGTCGTGGTGTGTAATTCATTGGCTCCCTCGCACCTGGTGCTTCCCTATGTTGTTGTTTCTTGTTCTCCCCGATTTCTTCCTGTATTTTCTAGAACCCTGTCTTTTCGGGTCCATGTATGCTCTGACGGTGCGTTTTCAGCGATATAATTGACGAACATGTATAATCCACGATGTGTATCTCTTTTGTCATGTATAGCTTCTGAGCGTGAAGCTGCGTTACGAATGTCTGTTTTTATTTTATTTTATTTTTTTAAACCAGCGAATACGATTTCCTGTACCTAGACCACTACCAATCCGAGAGAAAAATGCAACGATAATGAGAGCCGTGGTGCATTGCTTGGGACGATCGTCGAGGTCGACACAGCCACGGCTCATGATGTCAGGCCTCGTCAAAGCTTGTTCCGACATCTTCGCGACGGCGATCAACTCGGCAAGACGCCGCCCCATTCCACTTGGGGAGCACAGCCTCGCACAGGGCTGACTTGGAGATGGAGGGTGGCTATGGTCGTCCTAGCATGCATTGTGCATACAAGGCGGATGGGATTTTCCATGTCGGTAGATGGCTACCTGGTTCGATGATGCATGCTTGGATACATGGGTGTGAGAGGATGCAGAGATCAGAGAGACCGGACCAAGAGATCGATCTAAATATAGATAGAGAGGGAGAGAGAGGGAGAGAGAGAGAAATGGAGACCAGTCTGACGGCGTTAGGCTGGATGAGGAACCCGGAAGCTAGATCCATGGGTGGACGATATGCTTCCCCGTCCTAGATCCATGGATAAGACGGAGGAGACACTAGACAGAGTCCCTGGATGAGAATTGAAACCAAATCAATCGGATGAAAAACGACGGACTAAGGAGCGACGAAACGAAACGGGCGACGGGCCCAATGCAAGGCGCCCAACGTGCGACGGTGGATTCTCACTGGCCCCCATCTGCCATCATCCTCATGTAAGGGATTCCTTTCATTCCGGAGGAGATGAATCTCACGGGCGGACGAGAGGACGATTTCGGGGATGGTGAGGGCAAGATGAGAAATGGCGATGGGAGAGAGAGAGAGGAGAGGGAGATGACGGAGGGGAGAAGAGGAAATTGACCACCGTCATTTCTGCTATTCTCTCTCTCTCTCTCTTCAGCCGCAAGGCGTCTTCGCCCTTCAATTCCCCTCTTCCCGCCTCGACTCTTTCCCTCCTCTTCTTCCTCTTCCTCCTCCTCTTCTTCTTCTTCTTCCCCTCCGTCTTTCCCCTTCCCGTCTCTCGTCTTCTCTCGTCCTCTCGTCCCCCTCCATTTCCATTCGCCTCTTCTGCTTCTTCTAAAAAAAGAACCTCAACCAGAATCCCCATTGTTCCTCCGGGCGGAGCCTCATCTGCTTTCTCCCCTTTTCCACTTTTCTGGCATTCGGCCCTACCAGGCACCCTGGAGATTCCTTTCCCTTTCGCTGCTCCACCGAAGAGTTCTTCTTTTAACCATCCTAACACCGTCGCTCTTTTCCTGTTCTCTTCCTCCACCGTTCTTGTTCTTCCTTTCTCCCCCACGTCCCCCCCCTTTTTTTCGATCTGTAATAATCCCTTAATCTCCGCCCTCCACAGACCGCTGGCGCCTGCATACGTCATGTCGGAGAATTGATGCCTACTGTAGGAAATCACATCCGTCGTCTTCATACCATGCCAATTCTCCTAGACATGCGCGCACGGTCTCTTCTTCCGTTTCTTGAATGTGTTTGATCGCTCCTCCTCTGCCGTCGCACGCTTCGCCCCGAATCTGCCAGGAGCCAATTCTAAAAGAACGTTATCGCAACCATGTCGACCCTATCTCCCCAATTCATTCGCGATGATTCGCCCGCCAACATGATGCTCCATGACGCGAACCTATCCGATCCTTATCTGTCCGCCACTTTGGACCCGGAGGAAGCCTCCTTCAAGGCCATCAGGTTCACCCCGACGAACGGTGATGAGCACGTCTCGTCCCCCATGGACCTCCATGCCCCTGGCGACTACAGCCAGGAGGACCACCACCACCCCGCCTCGTATTCCGATTTCCTGAGCCCCGTGGATGATTTCTCCAGTGATCTGAGTGCCCACACTTCCCCAAGCGCCGCCTATCTCCCCGTCGGCTTTAACGCGGATCTGCCGCCCGACTCCCATGCCTGGCAGCAAGACATGCACACGGTCATCTCGGACACCAGCGAGTTGACGTCCTCGCAGGCGACCAAGAACCCATCCCAGCTGCTGACCCCCAATCTCACCAACAACCCGACCCCCTCTCCCGACGTGTCGGCCACGAAAAAACCAAATCACTTCGGCGCCGGACCCAACCCTCCCCGGTCGCTCTGGTTGAACACCAGTTCTGCCATGGACAGTCTGAGTGTCCACGATGCCCCGGACTCGGCCCGAGCGCGGAGTCCCATCGTCAAGGTGGAAAGCTATTCTCGAGGCGACTCGCCCGTCCGGGATACTTTCTACACGAGACGACGGCCCAGCCAGTCCACGCATCTGTCCCCTGGCGGTGCAGCCAGCGAATTGGAGGACGAAGGTATGGAGGACACCCACGGCTTCAGCTTTGCTCCTTCCGTCTCACGGACATACGACGGGTCGTGGGTGCCCAACGCATCGACCGGCCAGGCCGGCGTCGACCCTGTTTCGCGCGACGACACGTACGTTCCGAGCCCGAACCAGATGGATCTGAGGCGCCAGCTGGACGAAAAGAACGCCGACATTCGCTCCTGGTCGGCCTCCGTAAGCGTGGCCAATAGCGAGGCGGGAGACGACGTTCCCTCGCATCGCGGCCGCCGAGGCCCCACGGGCACCAGGCGTCGAGCCAAAAGCGCCGGCGATCCCTCGTCCCAGCAGGACTACTTCAATCTGAAATCGGCATGTATCCCGGGGCCAGGGATTCTCGTCCATGAGATCAGCGATGACGAATACAGCGAATACGAATCGATGATCGAAGGGAGCGGATCGGACTCCCCCGCGGTGCCTGTGGACGAAGCGCGGTGGATTGAAGATGACCCCGAAAGCCCGTCCGTCCTCGAGCAACAACTGTCGCAGGAGGAGGAGCCATCTCCCCACCAGTTCCTGGGTGCCCCTCCGTGGCGGGACGCCTCGCACGATCCCACCCCGCGAAACGCTCGCTTGCAACCCCAGAGCTCCACTGCGGCCATCGTGGAGTTTCAGCGGCGGGCCCGGGATATTGACACGGCTTCGCGCTCGGCAACCTGGGGCACGCGGCCCTTGAGCGAGGCCGAGGTGAACAGTATCGTCGGCGCTGGTGGCTCGTTTGAGAACTTGTCAATCGACGGTGAGAAAGGCAAGAAACATCAGCGACGAAGTAGCCTTCGCAAACTTCTGCAACGGAAGCCGTCCAACACTCTCAAACGGCATCTGTCAGACCTTTCCCTCGCGCTCCCCAACCCCGATGGCGCCGGCAAAGGCGACGAGCATAAAAGTCCCCAGAGAAAGGACAGTTTCCCGCATCGGAAGCTAAGCCTTGGACGTTCTCGGTCGCCCAGCCTCAGCACCGGGGGTGCCGTCATTGCCATAGCGGGCCAGATGGCAGCGATCGGGGGCAAGGACTCCATGCGGGTGGCGTCGCCCAGCTCGTCACACAACCCCTGGTCCTCTCTCAAGGCCCGGGGAAGGAGCAGGAGTGAGATCCCTCGAGCGTCGGCCCCGGGACTGATGGACTTGATGACAAGCCATGGCGGGCCCCCGGTCGCCAATATTGCATACTCGGCCCAGCCCAGCAGCCGCGGTGCGTCGCAGACCAGACCGGCGCAAGAGCCCGTAGACGATGACGACGACGACGATGACGTCGCGGATGAGAAAGCGTTGGTGATGGAATTCCCCGTTCAGGCGCGTCTGCCGGTGCCCACGCTGGATGGATTTAGAACCCAGATCTCGCAGCTGAATCCCCGGCTCCAGCCGGCATTGATCGAGCGGTTTGCCAACGAGCAACTTCGCCGGTACAAGAAGCTGGTGGAAAGCAAACTCAGCCATAGCCGTGCCATTCAGCAGCACAAGTGTGCCTCGGGTAAATACTGCTTCGCCCAGGGCGGCGAGGCCACCCTCTTGGCGCCACGCGCCAGTCCCCAGGACCCGGACGCGGCGCACACCCAGTTCCAGATTCCCGGGCATGGCGAGACCGACGAGGACCCCCAGGCCCTCGGGGAAGGGGCCGTCACCGCAGCCCAATTCCCCTCGGGCGTGCCATTGCCCCCGGTGAAGCGCCTGCCGGCCGAATTCGAGTGTCCGGTGTGCTTCCAGGTGAAGAAGTTCCAGAAACCGTCGGATTGGACGAAACACGTCCACGAGGATGTGCAGCCGTTTACCTGCACATTCCCCCACTGTACGGATCCCAAATCCTTCAAGAGGAAGGCTGACTGGGTCCGACACGAGAGCGAGCGGCATCGAAAACTGGAGTGGTGGACTTGCACCGTCCCCGATTGCCACCACACGTGTTATCGAAAGGACAATTTTGTGCAGCATCTGGTGCGGGAGCACAAGATGCCCGAGCCCAAGATCAAGAAGACCAAGTCCAAGGGGAAAGGGGGTGCCGATGCCCAGGAGGAACAGAACCGCGAGCGGGAGATCGAGCAGCTCTGGGACCTGGTGGAACGGTGCCGCCACGATACCCCGAAGGCGCCCAAGGAGGAGCCGTGTCGGTTCTGCGGCAACATCTGCAGCAGCTGGAAAAAGTTAACGGTGCATTTGGCCAAGCACATGGAGCAGATTGCGATGCCTGTCTTGGGGCTCGTCAATGAACGCGATCTCTCGGCCAACCCAGGTCTGATCTTACCGGGCAAGACCGATCTGCCCACCACCAACTTTGCTCCCAATCTCGGCGGGACCAGCGCCGACGTTTCGATGAATTTCACGCAAGCACCGTACCCTGCCGGGACGGAGAACGGGGCGCTGGCGGTCCCTTTCACCCCGACCTTCGTTCCCAGCCTGACCAACGGGTTCCTCTCTGCTGAGCCGGAGCCGATGGACGCGTACGAGGATGTGCCGACCACATACGGGGCGCCACCGGTGGGACTGGCGCCAGGGGGGCACTTGGACCAGTCGCGATTCGTGCCCGCGCATCAGAATTCGGTGACATATCCCCCTCCGTTCAACGCGGGCCCGCGACCGAGAGCCTCCAACCCCAACCTGAGCGTTCTGCCCGAATCCTACCAGGTCTCCATGTCTCCCACGGAGATGCATCCAACATATAACCCCCCGCAGGGACCGCCGTACATGTCATCTGTAGCAGCCAGTGGCTATCCCAACCAGGGTCCCTTGGTCCAGAACATGGGCTTTGAACCTTCGGGGGGATATCCAGCCCAGCAGCTCTGAGCCGGGACCTCTTTTCCCCCGGATTCCCTCTCTGCGCGGTTTATCTAGAGTTCTTTCCTGTACATGATACCCGAAGCACGGACTATGATCAACTTGTTAACGGCCTGTTTGAGTCTTCTCATGTGTCAGCCACGCCTGGTGGCGGGCCTGTTTCAGATTTTTTGCTTTTTCTTTTTGTTCCTTTTTATTATTAGTATCTTGGGTGATTTCTTTTCTTTTTCTATTTTCCCCCTTCTTTTTGCGGGGGTCTTGTCCTTCCCCCTTTTTTTTTTCATTTCTTTCTTTCTTCTCTTTTTCTTTTCTTTTCTGTATTTCAAGTGATGCTGTATTGGATCTGCATGCCTCCACACATATACCCATGAATGATACCTCCCGAGTTGGACCGCAATGTCGCATGCTTGCAATCTTTTGGCACACCTTTTGGGACTTCGGTGCTTGGGAGTGGGTCCCATCCCTTGATTTGTATGCAAATTCCTGCTGTACGCTTCTCCATCCCAATTTCGCAATACCGAGAGAGATTTCCACGGTGACGTGATTGGCCGACGGGGAAGATGCAGGCGACTAGTCGTAGGCGACGCACCTGTCAGGTTGGCATCAGGGGGGGGAAACGCCGCAGAAATGAGACATCACATCGGCCGGATGTGCGAGCGTCGTCTTCCGGATCCTGGCCGGGACGTTCCGTAGCGACTTGAGCGACTGAATCCGGATCGACTCTGATTCCTGCGATCGACGCCCGGGATGGTCCCCAGATGATGGAGGGCCCATCATATTGGCATGCAACCGCCGGCGTTCCCTTACAGGCACAGCCACGGGTCGTACGTAAGTTGATTCGAGGAAGGGCATGAGGCCTTCTGGGCCTGCAGGGCGCCAATCACACGGTCGGGCCTCGACGCCTTACGTCGCGCGAGGTCGTTGTTTTTCCCTTCTCTGGCATCTGGTCGGATTCTTCCGACAGTTGGGGCTGACGAATGACTCCCTTGGCGCCTCTCTTGTTTAAACTATCGCATGGAATCCCGAAAGGGAGCGGCCGAGAAAACCAGCAAGCGAGAGAGCCAGAGAGCCAGTGAGCCAGTGAGCGAGAGAGTGAGAGAGAGTCTGCAGCCAAGCACGTCGCCAACCTGCGGGTGCCAGCCAGACGCCGCTCCAGCGTCCTCTCGCTTCCCCTCTGACGTGGGACAGACCGGTTGATCCTTTCTTTCTATCCAGCGCTCCTCGACGCCCATACCGGAACACGTTATCGCGTGGGGTTGGCGAAGGAGGTGAGCACCGGTCGATCGTCATTTATCTGGTTGCGTCTTTTTGTTGTCCGTGTCCGTTCGGCCATCCTATCTATCGATCTATGCCCCCTATCATGAAACTTATCCCCGCAGGTGACGATCATGAGTTAAATCTTCCTATTTATTTATTTTCGTTTCTTCTCTATCGTATTCTTTTTTAAATGAAAATTCTTTCTCTCCCCCTCTTCGGTCGGTGGCTTGATCTGATCTTGCTTTTCCCGTCATCGCCTGCTGACGTACCGACGAGGTAAACTTCGAAGGGATTGGGAAATAAACAGGAGAAAGAACGCGCGAGGGGAAAGGAGAGAGAGGGGAAAATAAAAATAATAATAGAAAAAGAAAAAGAAAAAGAAAAAGAAAAGAAAACAGGCCAGGGACACAAGCAAACAGACCACAGGCCGAATGGCTTGTCATCGCATCGAATCCCTGCGACATTCAGCCGCGTGCAACTCGAGTATATCAACAGCCTTGCATCCTCCATCACGCTACACTCCTCTTCCCTCCTTTCTTTTTCTCGCTCGTATCATTTGCCTTGCCTGTCCGTCCTTCCTAGCTCGACTTGATACTACTTTCATCTCTTGTCTTCGTCTCTCTCCACTATAGCAATGAGTGTATGTCTTCTAAGGCTTCGGTGATATCTCATCCCGACCACATCCAGAATGCTAATCACCCCGGCTCCTTCATCCAGGATTCGGCCTCCAACCATTACTGGGACAGCTCTGGTGATGTCCTGCAGGGGATCATGGGCACTCGCGTTACATCCACGTCCTCTCACCTAGAGCCCCCGTCAGACGGGTTGGCAACGTCGCCCGAACTGCCTCTGGGGGACCCGGCTTCTTTCCTTGGGGTGCAGTTCAGCTCGGATCCGGACATTCTTCCTCACGACCATGCGTCTGTCCTGAATCCGTGGCCACTCCATCACAACCTGCCATCATCGCCGACTTCTCATCGGTTCGACTATCTCCAGTATCGTCATGCCCGACTGGGAAATAATCAGGATGCCTGGAGCCCGCTCCAGGTGACCGGGATGCCGGTCAATCCGTTTCACTATGGCATTCGGCATCTAGGCGAGACGCCGCAGATGGGCGGGCTTGATCGCAGGTACTCCACTGGCCAGCAAAGCACTCCGTCCGAAAACGAGAGTCAGTATACAGGCATTCATCCATCCGACTCGGGATACGGTACGCGGAGTTGTGCCACGCGCTCGGTCACAACATCATCCCAAGCATTTGAGCCAGCCTACAGTCCGTCCCTTGCTCCTCACGAGCCTGACCCGGAGGACCAATTACCCGATTGGGACCTCAATTTCCAACCGTCCGGGGAACTCGGGTATGACGCTGTCGAGAAGATTGAAACGCCGTCTTTGCTCTGCCCCGATGTCATCGGATGCGATTACCCAGGGTGTCCGTGGACTGGCAAGTGTCCGTCCGACAAAAGGTGTGCTTCGTCGTCTTCCCCCCCCCCTCACCGAGTGACCAGGCTAATCGAATTCGGCAGGAAACACGAAGCAAGGCATCGAAAGCTGTTCAAGTGCGATGAACCACACTGCACTCGAAAAGAGGGCTTCGGGACGATCAATGATCTCTCGCGCCACAAAAAGTGCGTTCACAAACAGGATCCGGAGCGCGGCCCCAAAATGCTGTTCATGTGCTTCGGGCATAACTGTCCACGCAAGGACAAGCAATGGCCCCGATTAGACAACTTTCGCCAACATCTGACACGAATGCATCATGATGAGGACATTGACGATTTGCTGAAAAGGTACGTTGCGTTCTAACTCGGTCGCTGTTTGAATCCGGAAGGGGCAGCGTATATTTAACCATGTGCTATATAGATCGCATGATTGGTATGAGACTTGTGTCAAGCCTCGGGAAATAACCTCTTCCATCGCCGAGCATCTGTCGGAGGTGAAATATGCCCTGGAAGCGAATCAAGGTCCCATGCTGAAGTGCACGATGGGGCAAACCGCTCTAGACAGTATCGGCATCGTTCAGAGCGAGCAGGTCTCCCGTTCATTCGGGAATTTGATGCTGGATTCTACCCATGACACTTTTGCTGCGCACAAGTCCGATCGTGGCCAAATCTCACGGCAGTCGATATCGGAGGCTTCGCAGTCCACCGACTCGGCTGTTCCGAAGACGGCCAGTATGGAACCACCGGCGACAAATCGAAAACCATCAATATCTACCAGTCGAGGGAATACTCGACACGATAGGATGGAGGACATGGTCACAGAGGCAGCTGTGAACATGATCAATGCCATGACAAAGATCATGGATAGCAATCAACGAAGGCGAAGCCAACAGGCGGATGATGCAAGTGAGATGGGTGATCCGCACGCCGGGCTGTCCGACCGAAAGCGCGAGGTATTACAGAAGATCCTATCGACCGCTTTGGATCACCTGTCGAGTCACTCTGACCCGGCCAGCGTCCATGTGACGCAGGTCGATGACGCGAGCAAGAAGGGATGGATTCAGTGTGAATTCTGCTCGAAACGCACGCGCTTGCGATGCGAAATGAAGTAAGGAACTTCGTTCCCCGCTGGCAGAGGCGATTTCTGACCTGCCACCCTCAAGAAAACACAAGAAGCGCCATGAGCGGCCGTATGGCTGTACTTTTCACAAGTGCAGCAAGACCTTCGGCAGCAAAGCGGACTGGAAACGTCACGAGAATTCGCAGCATTATCATCAACAGAGCTGGCGCTGCACCTTGCATGATGTCACGCAAGGAGGCTTGCAATGCGCTCGCTTATTCTATCGGCAGGAGGTTTACACGCAACACCTGAAGAAACACCATCACGCGGGCGAGGATGACGTGCGGGCGGCAATCTATAAAAACTGCATCGGTCAAAACGGTCAGTCGCACCTCAACGGCCCGTCGCAGTTCTGGTGTGGTTTCTGCCGGGATATTGTTCCCCTCGAGAGTCAGGGACTAGCGGCTTGGAACGAGCGTTTCAACCACATCGATATCGAGCACTTCAAGCAGGGGGAACGGATTGGGGATTGGCTTCTCCCCTCCGGGCATGTCACCAAAGATGGGGCGCGTCAGGAGGAGAAGAGGAAGGCCGTGACGGATGCAACGGAGGATGACAGCGAGCCCGTCGTAGACGACAATAGCGACGACAGTTCCGGGAGCGACATCTACTATTCCGACAGCGATGGCCTGCACGACGAAGCTATGGTGATCAGCCAGGAGCATGGGCGGGGACTATCGTTTCAGCCCTTTCAGGATTGTCTTCCGGATAGATCTTCCACTGCGGCCTATCCGTCGATGGGCTCGACAAATTTGCGAAAGCGCAAGCTGCCCAATCTCCAGGCCACCCCCGGCTTTATTCACGGTCGCAAAGATCGAAGTTTGAGTATAGAGAAGAGGTCCAGAACTCAGGCCTCGTCATATAATCTGGACACTACGAGAGGTGCGACAGAATGACATAGAAACACCAATTCGATCAGATGGCCCGGTCCATTGCATTCACTTTCTGTGTCCCCTTGACGGTAGACCCGAGTGCCCAATAGGCATCAATTGAGCCGACCATGTAGCCCTGGTTGGATAGTGTGCATAAATCTGAGATTGTGAGGCTAGGTGCGTATGTGTTATTCCGTAAATGATAAGATAATAGCGAGAATTAAAATGATTAAAGAAGTTGTAAGAGAAAAGGGGATTGAAATTCCACACGGACAAGCAACGGGGCTGGGTATATATAATACAATCAAGGGGGACTTGTGTAGGATTCCACCGAGTGTCAGAAACCACTTTTAATTTTTCGAGCTGGTCAGCTCCCTGGCCTTCTTTTCCAGCTCGGCAACCTCTTCTGTCATCCGTCAGTTCGTTCTGCCGGTAGATTGGGTTGTGAAGGGGAGATAAATGATCAGCATACGATTCTTTTCGAGCTTGGATTCATCCATTTCCAGCTTCAGCCACGACCAGTAGAGAACCTGGTAGGTGAAGATAGCGCCTAGAAAAACCTTGGAGAAAGGGCCCACGAAGAGCTTGTACCGTGCCAACTAGAGTGGTGTGAGTCTGAGTGTTCGAAGGCAACATTCCAATGCATAGGTCTGTCGACCGCCAACGCTGTTCTCCCGAGGCGACTAAGGCGGGATAGGAGAATGCCCGCACCATCGGGGGTCGAACAGCGCTGAGACAGGATCCTACTTACACCTTCTGCAAACGAGCTGGGCTTGTTGGAAACGTTCAATCGCGGTCGAGAACTGGCAAAGGATCTGCGACTGGCAGAGAATGCCGCGGGAACGAGGCGCGAGGGGACAGCCCGCGACCACATGATTGCGTTGGGGATAATTTCAAATTGAAAAACGAATGGAAGGGAAACGCATGCAGCAGCCGGGGAATCCAATCGGATCTACACCGCCGACTCAGGATGCTGAGGAAGGAGATAACAATAACGATAGAAGTAGCAGTAGTACGGAGTAGTTACAATTGACGGGGTTCGCCGCCCTAGCGCGCTGAGTCAGCCGGCACATGACAAGCGACTATCAAGAGGCTGAACGGGGAGTTCGAACCGGCGGGGACGAGCCAAAAGGCGATAAGCTTCGAGAAGCCGGGGCAAAGCTCCATGTTCCTGTCCATCTTTCTTTCCTCCTTCTCGCCGGCACGCACACCTCCTGCTCGTGGGCCGAACCCCCGGCGAATTTCGGCCGGATTGGGGTCAAACGACGCGCCGAGAGCCGGGCTCGGCGGCGAGTCCTACAAATGATGTCTTTACGGCCGGGTTGACGGGGGTCGCGGGGGCAGCTTTTGGCAGCCGAAAGACGTCGTTAAACGGCGCGCAACGAGGAGTTGTCTGGCCCGCGCATCCCAAAGGGAGACGCCGCCAAAATGACGCGGACGGAGGCACGTGCGCCCTGCCATTGGCCGCCCGCCCGTCCTGCGCTAGGCCGGTCCGGGCTCTAGCGGTGGCTGGTGCCGCCCCGACCGAGCCTGAGGCCGCCCGGTTTGCTGTGGCTGAGCGCGACCCGGCAGAAGGCGCGAGTCTTTCCGCCCTTCGATCTTCTGGTCCCACGGCCGTCTTGTTTGTCGACCAGCATCGTCGCTACCAGCTTTCCTGACGTCCTCCCGACTTGCCCGTCTTCTCTCCCTGTGCTTGGTTTGGGCCTTCGAGTTGCAATCCCTCCCCAACCGCTGCATGCGACGCGTCCCCCTACCCTGGACGTGAGATTTTCCGCTCGTCGTTCTGCCCCCGGGGCCCTGCGCATTGCGCTTCGCCCCTCCCCAACCCATTCCCTCCTACCTTATGGTCACGGGCCGATCGCATCGTTTTCCAAAATTGGCGCTTCTGCGCTTCCTGGGCGCATCGTTAGACCTCCATTGTTGCCCTCCTGTATTCAGGTAGCGGCCTGCCATTGTTCGGTGGTCCGTTGAACGGGAGGTATTTGTTTGGGTCTCCGTGAACCAAGCATACTATCAGGATCCTGATTCACTGATCCCCTATTCTTTCATCTACACTTCTCTCAGTAAGCTCATTGCTCAACCTGCCTCAATGCCCACGCCTGTCGTCGGGTCTAATTCATCCTCACCCCCCCCCCCCCCCCCCCCCCCCCGCTGTTTGGCTTGAGGCGAGATCCAACCTGCTAATCTCGTAGGAACCAGGAAGAGTCCTTGAGCCCAACTCATTTCCCCGTGACACGATGGCCCGTTTCAAACGCTCAATCGAGGAGATGGCCAACAAGTCCGATTCGGACGACGATGACTACAGCGACCACCCCGTCCGTTCATCTCGACGCTCAGCATCCAAATCGAAATCGAAAAAGAAGTCGAAGCCCGCAAAGAAAAAGGCCCGTCGCGGATCAGACGACGACATCGTGTCCGACGAGGATCTGCTGAGCGATGCAGATGAGCTCTCCTACCAGGAATCCGACGACGAGGAGGAGGAGGATCTGAATGCCCAGCGGAACGCCAGAGGATTGGTCGCGCGAAGGGCCGCCACGAATCGACCGGTCTACAACGAGGAGGAAACGAGCAGCGTGGGGGATGAAGACGATGGGGATGACATGGAACCCGCTTCTCCGCCCAAGAAACGCAGGAGCACGGTGGTGAGGCTGAAAGTCGGCGATGCTCTGAAGAGACAGCCGCCCGTGGACAATGGGAATCGGCGGATGACGCGCCGCACCCGTGGCGCATCGGAAGACATCTACGCTCTGACGAACTCTGGACGACACATGGAGATGGTCGAACGTGCTACCCGCAGCCCGGAAGCCGAGGCAGTACGCCGACCTCGCCGGGGCTCCCATCCCAACAAACAGCCCCCCGTGGTGGAGGAAGAGGACGAGAGCCAGACGAAGCAAGAGGAGTACATTGAAGAGACGACGATGGAAGTGAGGGGCTCCCAGCTTGAGATCATGGAGAGCGACGTCCAAGGTAGTTTCGAAGAAGGAGTTCCCGCCGCGGCAGGTCAAGACCAGGAAGCGCCTGGCGCTGATATAGGCTTTGTCCCTGAATCGGAAAATGGAGACACCAAACCCGATGATGACGATGACGATGATGACGACGAAGGCCCGGTGACAAGGCGAAGAAATAGACCCAGTCGAAGCCAGCATGTCGCGGAGACTGAACAACCGGAGCAAGACGACGCTGAAAACCAGCATCCTCGTCGATCGAGCCGCAAGAAACCGAACAGCTCTCAACGCAAACGACAAGACGACGAGGAAAGTGATTTCGAACCCGAAGAGGAAGAGTCCAACGACGAAGATGAGGTATCCCAGTCAGGCAAATCACAACCTTCCCCGCGGAAGGCAAGCCAGGCTCGCGATGAGGAAGAGGAAGAGGACAGCGTTGTCAGCCGACGACCGGGTCTGCGCAAACGACCATCCCGATCCCGTGGACAATCCGAGGCAGGAGCTGATATCGCGGAGGAACTCGCCGAAGAACTGGAGGATCTCAAGGGTGGCCGGCCGCGGAGGCGACTACAGACGGACATAGTCTACGAGAAACCTCGGCGCAGTCGCAAAGATGTGGACTATCGGATTATCCGCCCCGATCTCGTCTTGCCCATCGAGGAGGCCGAGAATGAAGTCAACGAATCCCCTTCACGCCGTGGCCGGGGAGGCGGCGGCGGCGGCGGTTGGCAACGCACCCTGTTCCCTACCTGTGGACCTTTCGGCGGCGGCGGCCCGTCTGCTATTCTTGCTCCGCCTGGGGCTCCGGCCGCCACGGGAGGCGTCGACAGCGACAGTAGCGACGACGAAGTTATGCAGCACCCTAAAAGTGCCGGCGGCGCAGGTTCGGCTCCTGGCCCGCATGGTACTGGCCTGATCAATACGCAAACCCACGCTGCCGACACTGCGCAAGGTCCTTCGGGAACGCCTGCAAACCTCGGTAAGGTCAAGGACAAACAGACACTGGCCGATGCGGACCCGCTGGGTGTCGACGTGACCGTCAATTTCGATAGCGTGGGAGGCCTACAGGGTCATATCGATCAACTCAAGGAAATGGTTTCCCTGCCGTTGTTGTACCCGGAGATCTTCCAGCGATTCCACATCGTGCCCCCGCGGGGTGTTCTCTTTCACGGGCCGCCCGGAACGGGTAAAACATTACTGGCAAGAGCCCTGGCGAACAGTGTTAGCTCCGAGGGCCGGAAAGTCACCTTCTATATGAGAAAGGGCGCAGATGCGCTGAGTAAATGGGTAGGTGAGGCGGAGAGGCAACTCCGACTGCTCTTCGACGAGGCACGCAAAACGCAGCCGAGCATTATCTTCTTTGATGAAATTGATGGTCTGGCACCCGTGAGATCAAGCAAACAGGAGCAGATCCATGCATCTATCGTTTCGACTCTTCTGGCCCTCATGGATGGCATGGATGGCCGTGGTCAAGTGATCGTCATCGGAGCAACGAATCGACCCGATTCTATCGACCCTGCTCTTCGGCGCCCGGGTCGCTTTGATCGAGAGTTCTACTTTCCCCTGCCCAATGCCGATGGCCGCCGTTCCATCCTGGACATCCACACGAAAGGCTGGGATCCTGCCCTTCCTGGTGACATCAAGGACGAGCTGGCGGAGATCACTAAAGGATATGGTGGTGCCGATCTTCGCGCGTTGTGCACAGAGGCTGCCCTCAATGCAGTCCAAAGGCGGTACCCCCAGATCTACAAGTCCGATAAGAAACTTGTCATTGACCCGAAGAACATTGACGTTACTCCAAAAGACTTCATGCTAGCCATCAAGAAGATGGTCCCGTCATCGGAACGATCCACTTCGTCTGGTGCATCGCCGCTACCTAAGGAAGTTGAGCCCTTGCTACGTGATCCTCTTCGTGATCTTAGGAGCCAAGTGTCTGAAATACTTCCCCAAAGAAAGAGATTGACCGCCTTGGAGGAGGCTCAGTTTGAGCAACCCGAGGACTCTGGGAGCTTTCGACACGAGCAGATGCAGCAAGACTTCGACCGTTCGCGAGTCTTCCGTCCTAGAATGCTGCTCCGCGGGCCCTTGGGCATGGGACAGCAGTACTTGGCAGGCGCTCTTTTGCATTACTTCGAGGGACTACATGTCCAATCGTTCGACCTCCCCACCCTCCTCAGCGACTCAACTCGATCCCCCGAAGCAGCCGTCATACAGCTCTTTGCGGAGGTGAAGCGACACAGACCGAGTGTGATCTACATCCCCAATCTTCAAAGTTGGTCCGAAACCGTTGGACAGGCGGTTACTTCCACGTTTCTTGGGTTGCTACGATCGATCCCCCCTACCGACCCTGTTTTGTTATTAGGGGTACAAGAATCGAGCGGCGAAGAGATCGATGCTAGCTTGGTCAGAAACCTATTCGGGTTCTCAAAGCGAAACTTCTTTGAACTGAAGGCGCCGGGCCACACCGCACGACTGGAATTTTTCACGAAGGTAATAGAGTATATAAAGACGTCGCCGGCGCATTTCCCCGACCCGGAAAATCGCAAGCCGAGGGTGCTCGAGACACTGGAAGTTGCGCCGCCGCCGCCGCCCCAGTCTGACGCTGCGCCCTCCAAAGAACAGCTCAAATCCCAGAAAAAGAAGGACCACCAAACACTCAATCTTCTGAAGATCCGCATCCAGCCTATCATGGACCAAATCAAGAAATACAAGCGGTTCAGGACTGGCGTGATCGACGAATCCCAGATCCGATACTTATGGGAGGAAGACGACCCGAACATTGTCACAAGCGACTTGCCCATTGAACAACGAAAGGCTACGTTCCGACCGTTTGAAAAGGCCCACGATAAGTATGGAGTCCTGGGACTTCGGGAGACGGTTTCGGGCAAATTCTTTTACAATATGGATATTGTGACCATCGAAAAGCGCCTCTCCAATGGCTATTACAAGCGACCCAAGGACTTCCTGGCAGACATCAAGCGAATGACCAAGGATGCACGGCAACTAGGCGACCAGGAGAGGCTCCTCCGAGCCAATGAACTCCTGTCCAATGTCGAAGTCGACGTCGCCACCATCGAAGTAGCGGAGCCACAACTGGTGACGGAGTGCGAAAATGTCTATCTGCGAGAATTGGAGCGCGAAAAGGTGGCCATGCAAAAGGCCAAGCAGGCTGAAGAAGAGGAAGAGGCATTTACCGGCCGGCAGGCCGCGAACCACAACGTTCCGCATGGTAATACGGAGTCCGGTCCCTCCAGTGGACCCGTGGTGCTAGGTGAATCCTTCCCAGTCATGGCGCCGAGCGGTGCAGCCAGGCCGGTCACGCCGACCCAGCGCTCGAACGCGAGTTTCATGACCAACGGGTATCACGGAGGCGGAGGATCGGATCTCAACGACCTGAGCACCCATGCCCTGACGAGCAACGGGTCTCACGAGTCTCGACCGGACGGCGACGGCGACGTTTACATGACCAATTCCGAAGATCATTCCGGTGAGAGGGGGACGCAGACCAGCTCGTTTGGTCCATCTGCCCAGCCAAAGCCGCCATACTCCCACACGGCACCCTCGCAGCAGGTGCGACGGGAATCGGGTCTGTCGAGTCTTTCACAAAAGGGACCAATGACCCCGATGGCCCCCGGATCACAGCCACACGACTACACCAACGAAGCATCCACGACCCAGACAACGTCCGACAAGAAGTCATCTGAGCAGTCGTCCGTTCCTCAGAATTACACGCAGAGTCCTGTGGCGGGCCATGGGATGAGGCATGAATTCCCCGATCTGACTCAATACCCGGACCGTGTGTCGCAGGAAGAGCATCTTCCCGACACGCAGCAAGGTGACAATAGCAGCCAGCCATCGCCTCTCCCGCTCGGAGGGCACTCGGACTTTGATCATCATGCGCCCAATGCAAGCTCGCCTCCGCCGAAGCCGCAACCTCCGGTGCCTCTGTTCGACGCCTCGGCAAAGCAACCGACTCACGCGTCCACCAATCTTCAAAATCTCCTGAACAACGAAGATCTTTCCCCCAAGTTGATCCTGGATCATGATTATGTCCAAGAGCTGCATGGTCAACTCACCCAGCGCAGTAGTGGCTGCTCTGTGGAACAGCTGGAGCAGATCAACACCGCCCTTATGGATTACCTATGGAGCATGCGTGGCGAATGGAACCGTAGCAGGGTGGCTGCCGGCATCCAGGAAACGTTCAACGAGGTACTGGAAGATATGCAGGCAATGCAGGAGATTGGTCCCATCAGCCAAAAGACCAAGGATCAATTCGATCAATTTGGGCTCTAGCCTTACGATGCCGAGGAGATTTACACTCAATGTCTTCTTTCCCTTCTTTTCCTTTCCTTTTTTTTTTTTTTTTTTTTCTTGGCTCTTTGATTTGTGAAGTGTGGCGTGGGCTTTGGATTTCGAGATGCGCCAATGGTTTGAAGCGGCCAATGCGACCCATGAGGAAGATGGCGGGCGATGCTGGAGGCCTTTTATTTCATTGTCTCCCTTTTCTGTTCATTTCTTTTTCTGTCTACAGTTTTTATCATTACCCCCTCATGGCTGTCACTTTCTTCCTCTATACCTGTTTGAATAGTCCTTTCATCCACCAGCCGAGGTCTCCCCCTTGTCTTCTTTTGTTTTGTCGATTGGCTGTTATTGTGCGGAATTTCAGGATTGGCGGGCGGTGTTTTTCTCTCGAATTCATCTGACTATTTATCATTATTATCATATATTCATTCTGGTTGATGCTGCCATGTAAAGTATGTACTGTACAAATAACCCTCAGGCCGACATGATTCCGCCCGCCGTGACCGCCCATGTGACGAGGCCAAGACACCAGGCTGGCCTTTCCCGAAGGAGCTTTGTTCAGCGTCGACTTGCCCGACTTCTGTCAATCATCTCTCCTGCCAGGCTGTCGCGCCTTTCTACGATCTCTTCCCTGTCGGCATTCGTTCTCTTTTCCCTGGCGCCTTTCTCCCTTCCGCCGCGAACCCTCGACTCTTTTCCAAAAACGAACGAAACATATTATGACCCTCTAGGATCCCCGCCCAAACAATACTTCCACCTCTCGCGTCCACTCTAGCCGTTTCTCGATCTAAGTTCCTAACCCAATTACACCTTCTTTGAGAGCGAGATGGTCAACTGGTTGAATCTCGCCGTGCCATTCGCCTACCTTGGCGTCTTGATTGGCTCCCTGGCGACCTTCTCTTCGTTATACCGCAAGCGCAAAGCCCGTATGTGAAGCGCGCCCAAGTGCTTTCTCGGAATCTTGCTTGAATTGCAGGACGTGGTTATTTATACTAACGTCTCGTGATCGTCTAGAGAAGGCTTTCTCCCTAGAACCATGGTTCCCGCCCCACCTTCAACGAGACATCTATTTCTCCCTGCTTCACCTTGATCCGCCCGCCTCGTCCAAGGAGAAGAAGGCCCCCGCAGTGCCGGAAACGGTCCTCAAGGCCGCTCTCTTGAGACGCGCGACTGAAGATATCAAACGGGTCCTGGCTCTACGAAGTCAGAAACAGGCGCTGGCCATGTTGCTTCAGCGAGGCAGTGTCGGGGATGATCTGTGGCAGCGATTCCAACGAGCTGAGAAGGAGATGGAGGACGAGGTTCGGGACGTTGTCTCTGAGGTAGGCCCGCTGCACCCCTGTCGATTTCGCGCCGCGGCGCCAAAAGAGAAAGAGAGAAAAAAAAAAGCATAGTACTGACTGGATTTGGGATTTCTTGTAGGCCAATGCCTACCAGGCTGGCTGGGGTCAAACGATCTTCCAATCCGCCAACGAGATGATGAACAACGCTATTTACCGCCAGCGAGTTGAGGCCCAACAGTCCAAGTTCGACGAGGAACGCCAATGGTGGGATCGTAAGAAGAGCACCATCCAAGAAGGGTTTATGAAGGAACTGGATGCCGAGGGCTCCTCGCGACCTTCCGAACCTGCCCCGGTGACTCCGACCACTACAAGCAGCTCGACCCCCGCAACGAAGACGCCCGAGTCCTCTGCGGCCCCATCGTCCGTTACGGGCAGCGATGATGATGCGGTTTTGGTTGAAGCAGATGAGCAGAACGGGACCCCAGGAACCCCCGGCGGCAAGAAGAAGAAGAAGGGCAAGAAATGAGTCTCTGGGTTCTGGATGGTTTCTTTTTTCGTTCTTTCCTTTTTATCCAATTCGCCTCATGCATGATAAGGGAGCTTTCTGTTGATGTCTTATTAGTTTCCCCCCTTTTTTTTCAATATGACCCCGGAAGGTTAGATTTTCTTTGCTTTTCTTTTCTTTTCTTTCTTTCTTCTCTTTTCTTGATCATTTGGATTCTTTCGAGTCTGAATCAATTGTAGCACTTAGGCTTGAACACTCGGGTTCTGGAAAACTCGAGCGTGTATTCTAGTGGGCATGGTTGGAACTGCAGCTCTTTCGCCGAGCGTATTTCAAATGTGACTATGGAAATCAAAAGATCATAAGTGGAGGGAGGGAAAAAACAATTCATTATATAGTACACAGAAAGTCCGCTCTTTTGCCTGATTTATGTACACACCAATGCAGCAGCGCCGCCCTGATTCGATATAAACGCCGTTCTCTATATGCTCTATGGCGTCCGGGGCCATTTTTGGTGGAAATCGCGTATGGATCAAGAAAAACGCCGTGTGCGGGGAACCCTTCCCAAGTAGATTCGATTCCATTTGCCTCCCCGAAGGCTTTTTTTACAATAACAGGTCATCGTCTGCCAGCGACGTGCTGAAATCGACGGCCGCGACGCCCATCTCCGTCGCGGCCCCGGCGATGTCGTTTTCGACGCGACTCGGTTCAGCGGCCGACCGGCCCATGACGACGCGCAGCAGCTCGATCATGATTTCGAGTTGGTACTGCTCCCGCTCCTGCGGCTCGAGGGTGTCGAGGGTTAGGCCTCGGGCCTGTAGAGCGGCGAGTTTGCGCTCGCTCAGGATCTCCACGAGCCGGTTGACGTGGGCGATGTTCTCTTTGCTCCGCGGGGTGGAGGAGAGACGGCGGAGACGGCGCTTGGGTGTCTCCGCGGGCACGCCGGCCATGCGAGCCACCTGCAGGACGATCAGGCGGGCCGTAGTGTCGTCGGGGGCGATGCCGAAGATGGCTCGCATCGAGCAGAGGGCGACCAGGGTGCCCGCGGGGTCCTTGGAGAGGCAGAGACAGCGCACAATTTGGTCGTAGAGCTCTTTGGAGAACTCGTCGTGCGCGACGGCCTTCCCGCGGCCGGAGAGCTGGGAATACCAGTGCATCATCTCGGCGTAGAGATGGCGAGCGGATGGGAAGCCCGACACAAACGCGGTGCGGCCTCGGTCGTATTGAAGCTTCCCGCAATCCCAGAGGCAGGCGTACGTCTCGAGATCGGGCTGGATGAGAGCCGACATGGATTTGAATTTGTTCCACAGAGATCGGATGTCCTGCTTCCGTAGCTCGGCGTACAGGAGGTGGTTCATGAAATAGGAGTTGGGCCGGATCTGCGCGTCGTCGAGGCACTTGACCAAATGTTGGGTCATGTCTTCGTCGCCTCGTCGGGTGTAGTGCAGGAGAAGGATCGAGAAGGTCTCGATGTTCGCTGACGGCATCGGTCGTTGCATGAACTTAGGGATACGCGCAGCGCTCACTTCATGGTTTACCTCCACTCGAGGAGAATTTACAGACGGTTTCGCACGCGCCCAAACCGTGTCGATTCGCCGTTGGATCATGGCCCAGCCGAGCCGTTCGGCTTTCTCGCGAGAAGAGGTATTCGTTTCACGAAGCCAGGCAGCGATCAAGCCGTTGAGGTGCTTCGGGTCGGGGTTGACCCCTCGCTCGTACATCAGCTCAATCACCATCGCCGCTGAATCGACCTCGCCCATGCCAATCAGCTTCTTCATCCAGCTGGCATAGAAGAATCGATTTTGGAAGCGGCGAGGCAGGACTGTCAGTGTCGCCAGTGACACCTTGTTCACATCCCTCTCCGAGATACTGGATGCCTGAAGATTGCCCGCCAGACCGACGGCTTTCTGGTAAAGAGAAGTTGAGTCATTTGCTGAATCTTGGCCGGTGACCATCATGTCCTTGAACACGGCGATGGCGAGGCTGAGTCGGTTTGTTTTCAGGAAGCCAATACTGATGCGATCATAGTCCTCCATTGTCATAGGTTGATGCTCCAAGAAAGCCTTGAGTTGCAAATATAGGGACCATGCCTTGATCGCGGGCTCCTTTCCAGGTTGCCTGCCCCAAGCTAGTATCACCGGTATTAGGATGCGAGCATCGCGCGACTGGGTATTGGCCAGAAAAGCCAGGGCAATGTCCTGGGCCCGCTGAGGGTCGCCTTCTGCCGAGAAAATCTGTACTCCAAGTTTCCAATAGGCTTCAAGATCCTCTTTTTTCTGGGAAAGGCTGCTCTGGTGTGCCTCCCATTGGTCTAGTGCCGCGTCTGTCTTGCCCGTTCCCTGTATAGACTCGATGTAGGCAAGAGTATGTGGGGTTGAGAGGGGCTTTCCGACAGCAAGGATATCTTCTGCTAGTGTTTGAATATGAGCTGCTCGCGAAGGTGCTGAGGTCGTAGTATTTGTGGAGTTCCATAGTAGATCAAAGCCTTCTTCGGGTATCGATTGAACAAAACCGGGGACGAGCTGTTTGCAACGGCGATACCATTTCCACAGTTCCTGTGCAAGTAGTTCATTGGGTCTACCTTTCGCAGACCGTCTTAAAGAGTCGTTGAATTTGTCGATATAAGCTCCCTGATCGGAGTCCTCCAGCACAACCTCATACGGCTGTCTGACAATGGCCGTTTGTGCATCATCGTCATTACCCTGCGTCTGCCAATTCTCTTCTTCCCTGGCTAGACCCTCGAACTCTTGCCGCAACGCATCGTCGAGTTTCTCATCGAAGACCTGATCCAGGCTGTATTCAGGATCGCCCTTGCCATGCTCTTCTTCGTACTTTCGAAGAGCTTCGAGCGCGATCGCTCTATCCTTCTCAGGTAGCCCCTGTATGAACGGACTATTAGGACCGTAAGGGCCTTCCTTCAATATTTCTAGCTCGTCATCCAGTTTCGCCAACTCCTCCTGCATGTCCCTCCTCTCGTCACGGTCCTCGGCCTCCGGATCGACCCTTCTCCTCGTTTTGCTTCCACGGGTCACCTGTTCGTAAAAGCGAATCTTGTCGTCGGGGCCGCCATAATTGATAGAGCGTGGCGCTGCGGCGGAGAAGGCATGCGGCCGCAAAGGTGGAATCGTCGGGCGTCTGCGGGCCACATGCTGATACCACCGAGCTCCTTGAACAGCCTGGCGGAGCATGAAGAGTGGGCGTTTAGTTCATCGGACGGAATGGAATATTAGGAAAGGGGGAGGCGCGTTGCGATCAAGTGGCGGGAGGGAGGCAATGATGAAGATGAAGATGCGAGAAGCTCCGCGGCGCAAATTCCCCATTCCGACCCGATCCGGTTTAGCGCGACACGAGCTCCGGGTTTCCCTTTCGGACGATCCCTCGTCGGCATTGTTCGCCCTTCATCGACAGTCACTCCCCGTTGCCTTCTGCTCTCTCGCCTCCCTCTGGGCCATGGATCTGCTAGAGGACACTCAGGCCTCGTCAAAAGATGGCACCAACTCCCAGGTAGATACCCCCAGAACCGCATTGCGCCGCCGCAATTCCCGTTAACCCATCCCTAACACCGTCCAGGGCGTGTATATCTACCGCCCTACAGACTCGTCCAAGGTGCACGGAGACCGGCCCTCGAAGCGACGTAAGGTATTGCCGCCAAAGCAAGAGCCGGAACGGAATGCGCGCCTATTCGCTCCGCTGCTGAACGGAGACGAGAACCCGGAGTCGGTCGACTTGAGATATAAAGCCTATGAACACTTATGGGGGGCCCAGGAAGCGAAAATCCAGGTCAGCACGCGCAAATCCCTGTTTGCCAGAATGAATGCTCGATGGGGGCCTGGGCTAACGGTAGTACAGAGAGTTCTGGACGAGGCCGACTCGGAGGTCCTGGAAAATGTCGCATCTTTCGTTAGGTCGACATCGCCTAAGACGTAAGCAATATACAACGACTTGCCTGCGACTAGATCTGACTCCAGATAGATATGACGGCTGCATCCCTTCCGCGCTGGTGACCGTGGGATCGAACGTTTCGTCTCTTGGTCGCCTTTTGGCCCGACTCAATGATCAACTGATTTCGACGAATGAAGGAGGAGTGGTGATGCTGGAGTCCGGGGATGCGCCCAACCTCAAGGCGACACTGAAGAATACGATACGAGCTGCAATCACGAACACCGAGGGAAACGACGGTTACCAGTCTTTCTTGAATGATCGAGATGTAGGCCTTTCTCCCTCGACCGACGGAAATGCGACAAGGGATTAACCGTGAAGTAGGGACCACGATTACTTGGATATGATCTCGATTTACTTGGAGACTATGTACAAAGAAAGGGTGTCAAGAAATTGGTACTGGCCTTCCGAGATAGCGAAGCCTTTGATCCGAACATTCTAACGGACCTTTTGTCTTTACTAAGGTGAGCCGAATGCGCCAGGCAATTGCAAGACGAGAAACTAATTTCTTAGCTCCTGGCTTGACCGGATCCCTTTCACGCTGCTGTTCGGTATCTCAACCTCCATCGAGCTCTTCGAAGGAAGACTGCCCCGATCGACAGTCGCCTTGTTGAAAGGGAAATATTTCGAAATCCACGAGGCCAGTAACTGCGTTGATCGCATCTATGAGCGAATACAGGCAGAGGAGGACGGTCAACTTTGGATAGGGCGTAATATCACCAACATCCTGTTAGAAAAGTCAAGCGACTTCTTTCAGACGCCGGAAGCTTTTAGTCGAACCGTCAAAGTACTTTTTCGCCTCCCCTGGTATCCCTGAAGCTCAATGCTAACACAGCACAGTATGCTTATATGTCGCACTTTTTCGCGAATCCTCTAGCCGTGCTTCTTGCGGACGATCGAGACGAAACCAAGTTGCAACAGCCCCGGCTATGTGAGGCAATTAGGAACACCTCATCTTTCCGAAGGTGAGAAAGTTTCTTCAGTTCGATGACAAGCATGTCCCTAACTAACATCTGTGTAGATATTGTGAGGATCTTGCCGATCAGGGCCACTTGAAGCAGGTGCGCAGCCTGCTCGAAGATGACCAGAATCTGTTTCAAGAAAGCCTGCGCCAACTTGGAGCTGGGCAGCAAAGAATGCGTGATATGTTTCAGGCCGTCAAGGTGATCCATTCTTGTCTAAAGGAATTCAACCTCGTCAAGAGGACAGGAATATCTGACCTCTCAATTCTGGCCCTTTCTGGAGAGTTGTTGGATTCGCAGTCCGTGGGGGACATCCTCCAGACATTCAAGACTCTCGACTCCACCCGACTCAAGGCACTTTTCACGGTTCTCTCACATCATCTGATGCGAAATCCAACATTCGCCAGAACTCAGCAGGACCTGGAGGACTTGCTAGAGAATCATCAAAGCCCTGAGCCCCTCCGAAGTGAGTATGACAGCCGCCACTCCGTCATGGCAACAACGGTTGTCCAACAGCGGGTAAAACTCAGCAAGGGTAAATCCAAGTTGTCCGAACAGGACATCGAATATACAAAGATTATAAACCGCTTCCTCAGCCTTTCGGAGGCATATTTCCAGGAAAACCTCTTCCGGCCGCAAGACCTCTTCCTACATGAGGTCTTCCTTGTTGACATGAAAAACCCATTGAAGGAAACATTTGCTCCGCGCCCGCGCTTTTCCATTGAGCGCGCATTATCTAGCCCCTTCGATTACTTGGTATCGACTTCGGAGACCACGGAGACGAAAGTCTCGGCCAAGCAGCCTGCTACGGCCATCTTATATCAGCTGTACCTTGAGTCTGGATCTCTCGTGAACATGCACGACCTTTGGCATGCATTCCATGCGGTATTCGAGAGCGACCAAGGGGACCGCTGTGACGAGCGCCTGACCATGGTCTTGTTCTACCGGGCTCTCTCGGAGCTAAAGGCGCTGGGTACGATCAAATCCAGTCGCAAGAAGGTCGACCATGCCGCGAAGACATCATGGATAGGTCTTTGATTGGCCATACGCAGCATATAACACACGGAGAATAACTATTTTGTATCTTAGAAAAAGGGTATCATATATGCATAATGAACAAATCGTCCCATGGACGCCACGACTTTCATCGTTGTCTTCCCCGCAAACGCCGAAAGGTCAAGGTGATCTAGCGCCTCTGTAGGATCGCATAAAATAGAACTCATTAATCATTCCGACATGGGTAATTGGATTATATCGTCGTTGCCAAGCGGCCGCCCACCGTCGCTCAGCACCATGGCTTCCCTCCGGCGCCGCCTGACAGCCTGCTCCTCGGCGCTGCGTTCGCGCAGCCGCCGCCCCGGAATGTGCCTCGAACCAGCCGTGTCCTCGCCGTCGACCATCCACACATCACTGTCTTCGTCGTCGGGGTCGTTCTCCTCTATCAAGCTGCCCATCAAGCCGTGTTTCCGCAGCTGCTTGGTAGCCTCCGGATGAGATGTAAGGGTGCCGAATATGGAACTCATGATCGAATCGTCGGACCACCAGGTCTTCATCAGAATCACGACGTCCTGCCGCCGGGATGGTTCCGCGAGGGCGCAAGGGAACGGATACTTGTGGAGCCAGCGACTAATCACACCGGCCTCCAAAGCGGCCGGAATGTTCACCTGGAGAATATGATTGAGCGTGCTGAGGGCCTTCTTTTCCCCAAGTGGTCTCGTTTTCGGAAATATGGGGGACACGGTAGTCGATGTCTCTTCGACATGCTCGTCCAGGAAATTGCACAGACAATCGACGATGGCGGTGTACGTGGTAAGGTCCTGTAGTCGTGTACAGACGGAAGTTCGAGCCACTAAAGATCCGGGTGGTTAGGATTTAATACTTCTTTCGGGGACGTGCATGGCCGGGTTGGGTAAACTTGCGTGCTCGATTCGAGACTAGAAAGTGCATGGCGCTGAGCGCTTTGTTCCGTCGATCCTTGTTATTGCTGGCTAGATCCTCCAAAAGCAAATCCCGAGTCTCGCCCTTGGTCGAGCGTTCGGCGATGATGCGCAAAGCACTAGAGAGATTGTTAGTTGGGCTTCGGCTTGACGGGGGAGTTTTGATGTCGTCATACGCCGCGCGGAGATCATAGTTGGTGCTCTCAGAGAGCTTCAACAATGTTTCCAACTTAAGAGCTGAGACTGGATCAGTTTTGCACGCAAGCATCGATCGGTAAAAAAGTCGGCTGACCATCTTCTGTGCCCTCGCTGATCATCCTATCCTCCTTCTCGACATGCTTGATCTCGGTCAAATCACGGACCCGGCGGAGGTCCGTGGCGATTCCGCGCACGGCGAAGAAGAGAGTGACACCTGCTAGGTTAGCGACATGTGCCGATTCGGGAGAGAGCCCGACATACCAAGACACAGCCAGAGCAGCCGGTCATTCAGATGAGAGGCCATGGCGACGACGTGAGAGAATCGTGGGACGTCGGCGGGAAAGCGGAGAGTCGCAAAGAGAAGAAAAGCGGCGGCAGAACCGGCGGCCTGGAAGGCGGTGTGTCCACTTTTTTTTCTCGCCGTCGAAAATCATGGCGTCCTCCAAAAATTTCGGCGGAGAAGTCAAACGTTTTCGCCTCAACTTCCCCACGCAGCCATGCCGCCGTCACAGTTGAAGCAGCTGAAGGCTTCCCTCCGGGACACCGGAGTGCTTGGGCCGCAGCAGTCGAAGAAGAAGAAGCGCCAGGATGCGAAATCCGGCGTCGGCGCGCAGAACCGCGTGCAGCGCAATGCCGCTTTGCAGGCCGTTCGGGACCGGTTCAACCCTTTCGAAATCAAGACGACGAATACCCGGTCCAAATTCGATGTCACTACCCGCGATAGCGGCTCCAAGGCTGCTGGTGGACAGGCGAGACCCGGTGTGACCAAGTCGCTCGGCGAAGAAAAGGTGAGCTGAATCGCAATCCTCGGCTGATCATTGTGACTTATCTGTGGGATCTTTCCAGAGACGCCAAACCCTGCTCCGAGACATGGAGCGGCGAAAGAAGGTCGGTGGTCTTTTGGATCGTCGATTCGGTGAAAACGACCCGACTATGACCCCCGAAGAGAGGGCCGCCGAACGATTCGCCAAGGAAAGTCAACGGAAGCTGCGCAAGGAGTCGATGTTCAATCTCGAAGAAGATGACGAAGAATTCCAACTCACGCATAAAGGCGAGTCTCTGTCATTCGGGGAAGGCGCGCCCCTGGATGACTTTCAGGAGGGTGATCTGGGCGAGCAGGAGGACGACATGTCGGATTCCGAAATCCCCCGGAAGAGGAAACGCTTCCTCAATGAAGACGGCGAGATGGAAGAGATCGTGGATGGCCAGGAGGGAGAAGATCAGCCCGAACGGAAGAAGTCGAAGCATGAAGTCATGAAGGAGGTGATTGCCAAGTCAAAATTCCATAAACTCGAGCGACAACAAGCCAAGGAGGACGACGATGACCTTCGTGAAGAACTCGACAAGGGCCTTCCGGATCTTTTCGACATGCTGAGGGGAATCAAGCCTCCGCCGAAACCTGAGCCACCCAAGGATGACCTAGCATCAATGAATCCAGACCGCGCCGCCCTGTTGAACACATCCGGCGACAAGGATACCGAAAAAGAGTATGATCAACGCCTGAAGCAATTGACCTTCGACAAGCGCTCTATGCCAACAGACCGCACCAAAACCGCAGAAGAAAAGGCCGAGGAGGAAGCACAGCGACTGAAGGCCCTTGAGGAGGAGCGTGTTCGACGAATGCGTGGCGAAGATTTGAGCGATGAGGACGAGGACGAGGAAGAGGAGGAAGAGGGGGAAAGTAGCGATGGTGGGAATGAAATGTTTGAAGAGGAATCTCTCCCGGACGATGCGAGGGCCTTCGGGTTGCAGCAGACTGCAGACGAAGAGGATTCTCGCCCGGACCTCGGAGTCGAGGATGAGGACGATTTCATCATCGATGATGATCTTGTGGAAACAAGGTCTGATGTCAGTCTATCAGTTGGTGACAGTGACGAGGAGGGTCTTTCTGCGGACGAATCCGAAGAGGAAGATGATGAACTCGTGGATGGGGTCACTCTCCCCGAAGAAGCTGGCGCCGATCCAGCCGAAGAAGCAGCCATGCAGAAAGGACTGGCGTACACCTATCCTTGCCCAGGAGACCATGCCGAGTTTCTTCAGATCATCAAAGATGTCCCGGTAGAGGATATTCCCACAGTCATCCAGAGAATCCGAGCCCTGCATCACTCCCGTCTCCAGAGTGGTAACAAGACAAAGCTTGGGCATTTCGCGGCCATTCTAGTGGAACATGTTGCGTACATGGCCGAACAACCAGAGCATCCTCCCTTCGCCATCCTCGAGAACATTCTCCGGCACGTCCATTCGTTGGCAAAGACACATTCCGAGAGTGTCTCTTTGGCATTCAGGGCGCGACTCCGCGAGATCGCAACTGATCGCCCGCTCAACCTTCGTCCCAGCGACCTGGTCGTTCTGACTGGCGTTGGCACCATTTTCCCTACCTCGGATCATTTCCACGCCGTCACAACCCCGGCGCATCTTTGTCTTGCTCGGTATTTGGGACAAGGGGCCGTCAACACCCTCAGTGATTTCGCTACGGGGACGTATGCTGCCAGTCTTGTGCTTCAGTACCAGACCCGATCGAAGCGGTACATGCCCGAACTCATCAACTACGCCCTCAACGCCCTCGTGAATCTTGCTCCCAAAGAGCTGTCGAGTGATCTCCGGCCCTTCCCCTTGCGGTCACCCCAGCAGTCTCTGCGACTCGCCACTTCTAAGCCTATCACGTCCCGCAAACTACAATTCTGGGATGTCACCGGACCGGGCTCTAATTCGAAGGCTCAAGAAGAGCTCAAGCTGGCCCTGATCACCACTCTTGTCCAGCTTCTCGACACCGCCTCCGATCTGTGGGCCGACAAACCATCCTTCACCGAGGTCTTCGAGCCCGTGCAAGACGTGCTCCGTCATTTGAGCCGAACTGGTCTCGCTAAGGCGTCTTCCACCGCGCGTGACAACCTGCAACTCACTTTGGACAAGATCGAGCGGCACCTCTCGGAGTCCCGCCTCGCTCGCCGTCCGCTCCTCCTCCACTACCACCGACCGCTGGCCATCAAAACGGCGATTCCCAAGTTCGAGGAGACCTTCAACCCGGACAAGCACTACGACCCCAACCGCGAGCGTGCAGAGCTCAGTCGTCTCAAGGCGGAGCACAAGCGCGAGCGCAAAGGCGCCATCCGCGAGCTGCGCAAGGATGCCAACTTCATTGCGCGCGAGCAGCTGCGCGAGAAGAGGGAGCGCGACGCCGAGTACGAGCGCAAGTACAAGCGGCTTGTCGCGGACGTGCAGAACGAGGAGGGTCGCGAGGCCAACGCATACGAGAAGGAGAAGAGAATGCGTCAGGGCAAATGGTAATACTTTGGGTGCTGGGGATGAGTCTGCGTTCACCCTTTTCAACGTCACATTATGCCATTTTATTCTTCATTGGTGTACATATACACATTCTAGTCATAGGTTATTGTTTGGTTATGATGGTACAAAAACAAAAAGAATGCCTTTTATTTTCACGCTATCTGAAGTATCACTTGTAGTGTCAATGTACTTGCTGTTATATTCAAACAAACCCCTGTAATAAAGTATTTATATTTATAGTACGCGCGAATGCTGTATGCCCCGCTAAATGTTTACTTACTATTTACATTCAAACTGCAGCATCTCGCAGTTCCACAACGACGTGCATTCACTGCGCAAGATCTATCCCGATGCTGATCAGGTAGTCGCATCGTCTCTGTTGAACGAGGGGGGCGGTCTCCATCGCCGTTTCGCCCGTCCTGATAAAGAGTCGGCGATGTTCTTCATTTTCACCCCATTGTGTCCACTCCGGGGTCCCCGGCCGACGTTGCAGGTTGGGATCGAAGGTTTTGATGAAGCTTGTCCAGTAGCCTTGCATGACCGGAATGATTGGCGCGTTCGTGGTGAAATAGGAGGCCGGGGGGTTGTCATCCGTCACATACTGCGGACCCCAGATGGCGTTCACTTCGTGCGTGTGGGCCGTTCCCTCACCAGCGGCGTCCGAGTCTGGGTCCTGCACGGCGAAGTGGTAATTCCAGCTTTTCACTCCGGCCTGGGCGTACACGGATGACATGTCCATTCCGGGGCAAGTATATCGCATTTCTCCGTATGCGTTGCTGGTCGGGATCCAGTAGGGCTCGGCCTCCGGAAATTGGCGCGTCTCATTTTCCTGGAGGTACATGGCGTTGATGCGCGCAAGGTGGCGAAGTTGGATCTCGGGGAATTGGCTCTGCAGGAAGGTATCGGCTTCACCAACAGTCGAGATATTCTTGGGGGCAAAGACAGTGCCCTCATTCGTGACGTCGCCGAAGATGACCGGGACCTTAATGAATTTCCCCTTGTGGAACAAGCGATATGTATAGTCGGGAACAAGCGTTCCATCAACTACGGGGCTGTACATAAAGAGCGGCGCTTCTTGTGCCCTGGGGAGAGGGGTGTTTGTGTTGACAGCTTGGAGAGCCGCAACATCCAGGTTACGCAAGCATGCGAGGGTATCCTCTTCGCTCGCGCAGCCAGTTCGGATCACCAGGTTATTGTACGCAAACTGACTTTCGTTCACGGTCAACATGCCGGAAAAGCTCTGGGATTCTGCGGCGGCTGCATGGAATAAACCGTCGTCTCTCCCGCCATACGCGGAGAGGAGAAGCGTAATGGACGCAGCGCCGGCACTGACACCGCCGAGAACCACATGGTTGGGATCACCACCGAACTTATCCAAGGCAGCTTAGCCATGGCCCTTTGTTTACAAGAGGAGACGGCTTACCTTGCGGATGTGTTTCTGGACCCACTGCAGGGCTTTGATCTGGTCTTTCAGACCGTTGTTCGAACTCCCTCGTTTTTCAATCTCCTCTCCGGACAAGAAACCATACGGACCGACACGATAGTTGAAGGTGACCACAACGATGCCCATATGGGAGGCATGGATCAAGCCCGAGGCGTCGTAGTCCGCCTGTGCATCCTCGTTGAAGCCACCACCTTCGATCCAGAAGTACACGGGCAGCGGTTTGGTTGCATTCCGGGGAGCTTGGACATTGATAAAGAGGCAGTCTTCCGACGTCCCTTCAGGGACGACAGACTCTTCGGTCGGGATACACAGCGGACCATGCTATAACCGGGTGACCGTTCAATACATGGGCGGCGAATGACAAACCCGGTGGGGATTGAAAGACGTACCTGGAATGCATCCTGAATCCCATCCACCTCCTCCGGATCCTGGGGTGCGGAAAATCGCAACGGGCCTACGGGAGGAGCAGCATAGCGCATCCCAAGCCATTGGACGATGCCATTGGGAAGAGCTTGTCCCTTGTACCGCGTGTATCCAAGGTCAACCACGGTCCTCTGGGCGAAGACACTAGACAGAAGGAGGGCACTCTGTGCCAACCGACCCGCGCGGACCATTTCTGCTGTGAATTGGAATTTTCGACCGACCAAGAATAGGCGAGACTAGAAAAGCAAGGCCTCGGGCTCATGCGCACACCGCGCCACCAGCGGTCCTTCTGCGCCCCTTTTATAGCCATATTGGTTGCGTACGGATGGAGAAATCGCGTCGCGGAAATGGCGTTCTCGCACGCATTCCGACAGTAGGAGAGTCCAAATAATGCCGAATTCCTTACGCCACTTCCTGCACCTGAGAGGGGGTGGGGGGAAGGAAAATAGATCGACATGCGACTATTGAAAGCCTCATTATTGCCTGTACCAGTCATTTTGACCGGGATGTTTACCAGCGCCATCCAGCGGCCGTTACATTCGGCCTGCGGATGTCCCCAGTCAAAGGAGAAAGGCAGGGGACCTGGCGAGGCCGTCGCCAATCACGGGGCGGCATTCCAGAGGCCAGTGCTGGCTATGAGGTAACCATTCGAGTGGATCGTGAATCGTGGACAGAAGGAAGGAGGAAGAAGTAGAAGACGCAAGGAGGCGGGCGACTCGTCAGGTGGAGCCGCCTGGCCGCCTCAGGCCAACCAGCGGCCCGCCGAAATCTCCGCATTTCCATCGTCTGCGTCCAGTCGAATCACTGCCCTCCACGCGATCGAGCTTGGTTCTAGCTTGCATCAGTGCCTTTTTTCATCCCGTCTCTGCTTCTTAATTCTTTGTTTCTCTCCCCCCGCGCTCCTCCCCCTGAAAACCTGAAAATGGGTCCCCCCAGAGACCCCGCATCGGGGGAAAAGGTGGATCTAGAGGAAGAGGAGGATGACTACATGTCCATGGTCATCGAGGAGCCCCAGCAGAAGGAAACTTTTGCGCAGAAGAAACGCCGACAGCAGCGAGAGGTAGGTACGGTAGCCGCAAGCACCCCCCGTATGATGGAATCGGGCTAACTAGTGTCTTTCTGTGCGATGCAGGCCGAGGCCCGCGCGCGAGTCCCCTCGAAAGCCGAACGAGCCGCCCAGGAAGCTGAGCGTCGCGATGCCGCCCTGACCACTAGCACCCTAGATCCGTCCAACAAAGGATTCCAGATGATGGCGAAGCTAGGATTCAAACCGGGACAGGCACTGGGCAAAGACACGACGGATAAGAACAAGGCTGGGGACGACGCTAACGACGCCCACGCGAGTCAGTCTCGATCCGAGCCGCTCAATCTGGTTCTGAAGGAAGGCCGGGGAGGCATTGGCTTGGACAGCGAAAAGAAGCGCAAATTCCGCGAGGAAGCCGAGGAAGCCGTCAAAAAGATCAAACAGGACGAAGGCGACTATCGCGATCGCGTACGTCTGGAACGGGAGACGCGACGCACCGAAGCCCAAGTGCACGCCGCCCAGAAAGTTGCCGAGCGACTGGATACCGAGGCTGAGGTCGATGGGGCAACTTCCACCACTACGAACAATGAAAGCTCGCGCGATCCGCAAGATCCTATCACGGACGAGGGTCCATCAGAGAACATGGGAGAGAAAACGGGCGCCGGCCGCCCCAAAACGAAGGTGAAGCCCACCTCTCAAATCAATATCCTATATCGCGGCCTAGTGCGGGAGCGAGAGGAACGCGAACGGTCCCTACAAGCGCGACACCTACTCCAGTCATCTCTTCCATCCTCATTCTTCCCGAATACTCGATTGCCGAGTTACGACGATCCCACCCTTGAAAGAGAGGACAAACAGGCCCTGGCGGTGAATCCAGAATCGTCGTCTATCCTGGAGCAAGAGTTAGAAGAGGAGGATTCCGCGTTGGATGAATTCAACGCACTTGATCCTGGCGAGCGGCTGGCCCGTTTGGTTCGGTATCTACGGCAGGAGCATCGCTACTGTTTCTGGTGCAAATGCAGCTACGAAACTGACGAGATGGAGGGATGTCCCGGAATCACCGAGGAAGATCACGATTGATGACTTGAATCACCATGTACATTACAGCACCGGGCTAGGAAATCTTGAAATATTGTACATCATGCATTGAATCATAGGCGGGGGAGTAGATTAGGGTTGTATAATTGTATATACAATCGGTGGTACAAGGTATTTGGGGAGAAAGAAAGAAAAAAACCATCATTCTCTGGAAGGTCAAAGAGGAAATGAAAGTGACCGAAAGGAGAAGAGAAAAGAAAAGGAAAGAAAGAAAGAAAAAGGGATACAAAGGGGTTTGTTCGAAAGGTACCTATAAGTCATAAAAAGGGAATTGAATCAGGAAAAAAAAGAAAAAAGAAAAGAAAAGAAAAGAAGAAGAAGAAGAAGAAGAAGAAGAAGAAGAAGAAGAAGAAGCAGAGAAAACCATCAACGACTAAGATGGAGATCGGAAGGCGCAAATGCAAAATGCAAGGTTCATGCCGTACCGGGAGCCGACAGACAAGCAAGGATCGAGACTACTCGGGAGAAGTGATGGTCTCCATCAATTGATCTAGCGACCGATTGGGGAGTTTTTGGAGGGTCTGCATGCAGCCGGCGCAGATGCGCAGACAGCAGAACACGCATCGAAATCGCACCTCTCGGTCGAATTTCTGGCAGGTCATACATGGCAGCGGGTACCAGGCATTGTTAGCCGCCGGCATGGACCGGTGGCCCTGGTAGCACGCAAAGTGAAGCTTGTTCAACGGCGCCGCAACGGGCTCGATATCCGGCGGTGTCCAAGGTCCATTGTTCTCCTCGCTGGACATCGGCTCGATGGGCGCGTCAGTCCCATCCACGTCCGGCTCGGGCTCGGGCTCCGGAATGAAGTCTTCCAACGGATCATCCGTATCGTCCGATTGCCCGTGGTTTGGACTCGGATCGCGGTAGGGGAAATAAGTATGGTGAACCTGGGCATTCGGAGAGCGATCCGATCCGGGGTCGGCGGGAAGCTTCGGTTCTTCGGTCGGAGGCGGCGTTTCTTGTAGGATAACTGGAGCGGCCGGTTCCTCGGGTTTAGGCACGGGGACTCGAGGAAACCGAGGAAGAGGTCGGTCGTTGAAGTCATTGGCGTTGACGGCGGGGGGCGAGCTGGAGGGCGGCCCCGACAGCGGGTTCGGCGGCAACTCTTTCTCTTGCGGTCTGGCGGAAGGTAACACAGGTACAGTGTCGGTAGGATACAATGAAGCAGCTGGCAGCTGGACGGGATGGAAATCCTTTTGCGGCGAGGGTTCAGATGTCTGTTGCTTCTTGAGCCCTCCTTTGATGGCGGAAAGCGACGGCATCCGCAGCCCGCGGGGGCGGTTCTCCTTATCGAGGATAGGCATTTTTATTTCTTCTCTTTCTCCCTCTCTCCTATTGCGTTTGTTGGTGTTGCCGCTGCAATCCGGTCTTCTGGTTCTGATTTATAAAGGAAAGGATGACACACGCCCAGCGCAGTACTCGAATAGCGGTTTAACTTGATTAATCAGAGAGACGGGTGCGGGAGGATTAGGAGTCTGAAGGGAAATAAAGAGAATAGAAAAAAAAAAAAAAAAAAAAAATAGGCCGGTTGGCTGCTATGCACACCAATCGAGAAGAAGCGATCTGAACCGAGAATCAAAAAGAGCGTGCAAATGAGTGTGGGAAAGGAAGAATGCGGACTGGTCGAGAGAGAGAGAAAACGAAAGAGAAGTTAAAAAGAAAAGTTCCCAGACCAATCGGGGGGGGGGGGGGGGGGGGGGGGACACTAGCATGCTGAGATACAGGGGAAAAAGAAAAAAAAAATAAAAATGAAAAAGGTTAAGGCGATCCACAGTCACGACCGGAAAACTTGGAACGGGGTCGATCAAGACAAAATCAAGATTCATTCATTTCGGTCTGTCTAGCAAAGGATCCCAGGCGGACCCAGACGACGATTGAGTCTCGAGTGCTGGCAGGCCGTATACTCCGTAGTACTTCCGCCCAAGCATGCATGACGATCGTTATGTAGTCCTCGGATTGTTTCCAAATTTTCCGATCGAAGGCGCAAGATCAAATCAGATCCGTTTGATCCTCACGGTGGATCGTCGGCGTGGCTGAAACCGGATCTGAAACACTTGCATCCAGAATCATCGTGATGTGACAGTGGCAAGTAGTATTTCCAAACATCTATCCGTTATCTCGCTGCCAACGCCAATTTGGGTCTCCAAACAGACAGATTGCCCGGCCCTGAGAAGATACGCAGCATTCTGGCTCGTCCTCACTGACGCCGCAGCCCACGGGTTTGGAATGCCAGCGAGGAATCATGGGCCGAGCAGGGAGAAAAAAGGAAAAGGAAGGATCTATGGTAATGTATGTATATAAGAAAGAAAGAATGAATGAAAGAAAGAAAGCAAGAAAGAGAATTCCGGTCCCGCCATGCGAATAGGGAAAGAAAAAATGAAGATACAGTAACAAAATGAACTTCTCAAAAGTGAGTGAACGCATCCATCATCGCTGTTCCCATCCAGATGCACGTAAATCCAAAGTCGGACAAAAACCAAACCGAGGCATTCCCCTTTCTGCGCCGGCATACTCCCGGGGTGTTGTTATCATACTTCCCCGCGTACAATCGCATCACGACGTGGCCTCGGTATTCCCTGCGGTGCCCGTAATCTCAACCGAGCGGGTCTCAAGCTCCTTGGAAATCAGATGTTCGTCCTTCTCCTCCATGGCCGCCTCCGGTTCGGCCTTCTTGGTGGGTGCTGCCACCTGGCAGTCCTCCTCCGATTGCGACGGGGTCGGTGCAGGGGCGCGCGATGTTGATCCTTCTGCGGTCGGGCTGGAAGGCGCATCTTCCACATGTTCGGCGGATTTATCCTTCTTCTCCTCATCCCCGATCACCGCGGCCAGGCTTCGGAAATTGAACATCGGCTCGGGTGCCGAGCTATTGGCATCGCTGGCCCCAGCATGGTCTTCCGACATTGACTCGACGATCGACGAAAACGAGGAAGCGCTAGAAACGTGTCGTAGATGAGACGGCCTCGCCGGTTCTCGGGGCGAGGGCTGCATGGCCGAAGGCTGGCCTTCCGCATTGGCGGACGGAGAATGAATAGGATTTGGACTTTCGGTGGCGGCGGCAGCGCCAACACTTGTCGGTTCACTGGACATGCGCTCCACCTCCTTGCCCTTGCCGCCGGCTGTGGCTTCTTCGCCAGCGATGGAGGACGAGCTGCTGATCACCCTTCCCAGCCCCGTAGGCACATCGAGAGCGGAGCCGCTCGCATTGTTACTGTAGAGTCCGGTTTTGCGCGCCACCTTCTCCGCCTTTTTAGCTTCTTTCTCCCGTCTCTTGCTCTCCTTCCTGATCTCCTTCTCCTCTCTCTTGCGGCGTTCGTCTTCGCTAGCTAAGCTCAGCCGGATTGCTTCCATCATCATCATTTCCTCCAGATCATCGATGCGATTCCGTCGCGAGCTGTTTCGCGGCGGTGCGAGGGGACCCGCTGCCTCCTCGTTAGAATCGGTATCGTTCCCGGTCCCGGTACCGCGGCGGTCGGTTAGAAAAGCAAAGGCCTGCAGAGCTGGAGAGCCTGTACGACCCGAGCCGCTGGGGGCATCTGGTGCTCGTCGCATAACACTCCGCCGCCCGAGGCTGAAGTTTCGCGATTCATTTCCATTCGAATTGGTATTCACAAGGTACGCTGCAGTGTGGAGAGCAGTAGCCGCGGCCGACCTGCGTGCGGCGTGTGCTCGAGCGTTTGCCAGCTTCTGGGCCCAGTCGGGTCGAACCTTGTCGGTCGTGATCACGGTGGGGTCACTGGCAGACAATGAGGTAGCGCGCCGGCGGCCCACGACGGCAGCAGCGCCTCCGGAGGAGAGAGAAGATGTAGATGACAGAGGGGAGGCAAAGTTAGGACGCGAAGTTGGGTCAGAGGCATAGGCCAACCCCCGGCGGAAGGGCGGAGGCACATAGGTCACGCCAAATTCCGGCTGCACACAGAATGGACAGGCAGCAGGCTCCGAGATGAGCTGACAGTCTTGGCTCTCAGCACGGTCGCCCTCGGGGGTTTCCGCTGGGGCACCCGCGTCGGCATCCCCATGCTCTGGCGGATGAGGGTCGGGGCGCTTTATTTGAACGAAACATTCAGAGCAAATAGGCTGGTCGCAGCACCTTGTGCGATTGAGATACGGCGGATAGTATAAGAAGCAGATGGGACATTCTGTCGCATCCTTGTAAAGATACGCCTCAATAGGTTGGCCGTTGACAAATGGATCTCGAGGAAGCTGAAGTTCGCGGGGAGATGGATCGGCCTGTGAGCCATATTTTGACGTGGTAAGAGACGCGAGAGTCTTTGCCCTGGTTCGAAACAGCGGTGAACTCGAGGTCCCGGAGGTAATTGGTGACGAAGAGGGCAAAGAATGGGCTGGGTTGGATGACTGGGATGCATCAGACCCATAAGATTGTGACCTCGAGGTGATCGGCACGGTTAGGTGTTGGATAGCTTGCGAATCCGCCGACTCCTTCGGGTCATCGGTGGATTTAGGAGGGTTTTTATAGTCCAACTCGAGGGGAATCTCGTCCGGCGGAGGGATCGGAAGACCACGCGCCGCCGCCATTAGCTGATGCTCGGTCCAGGAATCTGAAAAGTCGTTGAGTCCTCGCCAGAAAGGGGCAAGTCGTCGTTCGATCTGCGCCGAAAAGTCAACGTCGGTCGAACGAGCATTCTGGGGACAAGATCAAGTTACCATGAGTTGCCGGACAACGGCTTTGTTGAAATCCTCCGGGCCCGTGTAGACACCTTGCGTCACCAAATAACCCCCATCCACATGCTCCTCTCTCATACTACGTTCCCGTTCCTTGACTCTAGCGGCCCGTTCTCTCTCCAACCGGCGAGCCTCTCGTTCCTGTCTGGTCTCTCGTCGATGTTCAAGCGTCGCCACGTCGCGCTCCGAGCTTCCGCCTATTCCGAGGATGGAGAGATCAGGCCTGCTACCTCGTGTGGACCTTGAGCCCTCTGCGTGGTGTCTCTCGCCGTATGGCGATCTCCCATGGCCACCTGCAGAGCTCCATTGATGGCTTCGGCGATTCGCGGCGAGAGACGGTCGGCTCTCTTTCGTTTGCGAATTACCCATCTCGACCGAGAATGGGAGGGGGGAGGGTTAAAGGTTACAAGGAGGAAGGTGGCGGGAGCTAGATAAGCGAAAACAATTGATAAGAAGACGGCGTGAAGAAGGGCGAATACCGGAGGTGAACAGGGCGGACAAGAGGATGAGGTGTAGGAATAGCAGGCAGGTGACAAGCAGGCACAAGAAAACACCCAAGACCGTTGGTTGATCCGGCGGAGAATATCAGAAGGAGTATCAGCCAAGCGACCAGGGTCGGAGTGGAGAGTAAGCTAAAAGGGACCCTCAGTTGCTAGAGCGTGGAGCGAGAATGGGACGGTGAACAGGTAACAATAAATTCGACGTGGCCATGTGAGCGACACGAAGCTGGTTGGCCTGTTGGGAGCGGCAATGAGATCAGAATGCGGGCTTTAGTTAACCGCGGGTAGAGGGAATAGGCAGGAAATGGGCCGAAGATAGGGATACAGTAGGAGACGAATGGGACCGGAGGGATTTATTGTTTGTACATAGATTGCATTTAAGAAGACTGGATTGCTTTCAGAAGCAATAACCACAGCCAGTGATGGCCAGTAAAGGGAATGCGAGATGCGAGGAATAGAAGGAGAAGAAGGGAAGGGGGAGAGAGGAAGAGAGAGAGGGAAGAGGAAGAGGGAGCGAAGTATGACAGCAAGCAAGAGAACTGGAAAGCTTTCCATGGAGAAGGCCGATGAACGGTACAGTATCGGTATCCGTATTGATACCGGTAATCCCAGTACCTGCTAGGTAGTAGGCCTGCAAATGACAGGTCGCGCGCCCGCCTGGATACATGGGTGCAGCGCCACCGCATGTGGACCGCAGAGTCTAGACTGGCACTGATGGGATTTTGGTCTTTTGTACCGATCATCTTGAACAAAAAAAAGAAAATAACAATAATTCTACCTCCTTTATTGTCAACATTATTACCGCTCTCCTCGGTTTGAATAACGTAGACCAATCGGTTGTATATGTCATTCCAATGCCTTGCAATAGAATAGACATAAAACTCCGGAGTACCTAGGTAGATACAGTAGGTAGCCCTGGAGGTCCAGGTAGTACCGAGGCGCAGTATGATACAGTATGGGCTGGTAAAATACATTGCACTTCCGCTGTTACCATCCTACGGAGTAAATCCTCAGGCACCTAAGTGTGGCTAGTGGTTGGACCGCCCTGCTACGCCACATCTCCATTTGGGTTTGGTCCCAAAAAAAAAAAAAAAAAAAAAAAAAAAAACCATCCTGTCGCCGAAGTTGATTGCTCCTGCAACCCGGTTGATGCATCTTGACTGAGTCGAGACTTGTCAGAGTGATAGGCTCTCGGGATTAGGATGTATTGATTTTATTCTTTCGTTCTCACTTCTCTCACTCAATCCTCGTGAGTGTCTTTCGAGCTTATTAGTTCTCGGTTTGACTATCTCTCAATGTCCCAAATGACGACCGATACCCCGACTACCAAACGCCTTCACATTACCCCTTTCACGCCAGAACTCCTCCCGTCCGTGTTAGCTGCCTCGGTCCGGCCCTTGGCTACTGAAGTCTCTTTCCACTGCATCCCAACCTATCCGGAGAATAATTACGGCTACGTGACCTTGCCTGCAATGGAGGCGGATAAGGTGAAAAAGAAGCTCAACGGGTCCATTCTCAAGGGGCGGAAATTCAACGTGGAAGAAGCTCGGTCGCATAAGAGACCTCGAGACGAGACTGGGGCCGAGAACCCGGCGTCCGATCGCAAATCATCCTCCGACAAAAAACAGAAAAAACGCAAGTCCGAGGACAATGTATTAGATGGCTATGAGCTCCCGTCGGATCGCAAGGTCAAACGAGGCTGGACCGAATCGACACAGCACAAGGGCGAAAGGCGCAAGGATGAAAAAAAGAAAGGCAAGGACCGGAAATCGTCCAAATCTCAGGCCAAATCCAAATACACCGAAAACCCCGAATGTCTTTTCCGGACAAACATCCCTCCAAACCGACACTCGCCCGTCGACGAGAAGCAAGAAAAACAGTCTAAGAAAAAGAAGAAGCCCTCCCAGGAGTCGGTGGTTCATGAATTCGCCAAGACAGTGACTCACCCAAGCTTCCTTCGGTCGACCGGCGAGGAGGCAGCACCCACATCTATCTTCGTAGAGGGTAAGGGGTGGGTGGACGAGACAGGGAATGTCAAGGAACCAGCAAGCGATCGCATCAGGAAAGCCGATTATAAACCAGGGCAAGTAGATGGAGCCAAGCAGAAAGGTCGATCAGCAGAGACGACTTTGCCTAGCGGGAAATCCAGTTCCAAGAAGCCCTCCCCGAAAATGGAGGAAACCGACGAATCGGAAGATTGGACATCCTCCAGTGGCGCTACATCATCTGACGATGAGAGTATGTCGTCTAGTTCGTCGGATTCAGAATCGTCTTCGGGTGATGAAGCGTCGGATGGGCAGACCAAGCCTGAAACAGCTGCTGAGGCCCATCATGGCGGCCACTCGGACGCGGAAGCAAAAGCAGATGGCAATCAGACTTCCGCCGAAACGGCTGAGAAGTCTCTCATGCCAGAAGTCCACCCACTAGAAGCGCTTTTCAAACGGCCTGCTCTAGCCTCGGCTGAACCAAAGGTTCAGCCCGAGCCGAATGCACAATTCAGTTTCTTTGGACAAGATGATATAGAATCCGAGGACGAGACGGAAGAACCGGCTGCACCGCAAACACCTTTCACAAAGAACGACCTGCAAAATCGAGGACTAAGGAGCGCCGCCCCAACGCCTGACACGGCTTTGTTCAATCGGGCCGTGAACTGGAACATGGATGCAGCCGAGGCCACGGACGCGGATGATGCATCGTATAGCACCACCACCACCCCGGTTCCGAAGACCGCAAGTGGGTCGAAGGAAGAATCTGATTTCACGAAATGGTTCTGGGATAATCGTGGAGACAACAACCGTGCCTGGAAGAAGCGAAGGCGGGATGTCGCCAAGGAACAGCGACAGCGGGAGAACAGGAAGAAAGGAATGAGAGGGAAGTCTTAGTTCTAAGCCATAACTATAATGCAAGTCTCCGGCACGACATGCCTCCGTGTGCTCGGGGTCTTACTTGATTTTTGCGTAGTGCTCAAGGGGTGTATGTAGCAAGACGTGTCCAAACGAAGCTCTTGAAAACAGGCAACGCGATGTCACCTGACGCCAAGAGTCCGGGGATAAGCCCGCCGCTTTCGACTCCGTCGGCATTTTATCAATCGAACCACTAACGATAGCCATCCCACGCCATCCCAGAACCAGCAGGAGGGGGTACAAGGTGGCCCCTTCATCTTGGGTTAGCTGAATAACCATGTTTCGAAGCCTGTACGTGCGTCTCATCCTTCTTTGGTTCGCATTTTCCTCCTGCGCATCGCTCGCATTAGCCTCCTGTAAGTGACCATTTCGCGACCGGGCATCATCATCTGGATATCGCACCTCAGGTACAATCGATTCGCTGACGTGTGTCGCATTACAAAATAGCACCCGCATCCTTCTGCAAATGCACTTGTTTCTCCAACAGCACCATCATTCCTCTTGACCCGGTCAAGCCGGAGTCCACGTCGATCGATGGCGTGTTCAATTCCCGCAGTCGCAGAACCGCCTCCGACGATCTCGGCAACGTTTTGGACCACCGGGCCAGCAACTATCGGCCCCTAAGCTGCAATGACTGCAATCGGAAGTTCTGTCTAGGATATAACTTGCCCACCTGCAAAGGTGCCAAGGAGGAGGATGTCTTCACCACATGTTTCCGTACGGCCGACCGTTCCGCTGTTCCCTTTGCACTGTTGCATGTCGGTTTTAGAAATGATTCCCGGTCTGAAATGGCTAACGTATAGGTTGATGCGCAGAGAGAGATTCACGAAAAGACGAAGCGATAGTTTTCGTCTTCATCATTGCCACCAGCGGGCTTCTGGCCTGGGCTGTTTTTAAGCCGTGGGTGGAGAAATACCTTGAGGCATGTGTCTATGATTTGCGCGAATCCTCCCCGTGTATCCAGCCCAGCTAACTTGATCACAGAAAGCTAGAGAGCGGCGGTCTTACATACCGGTTTCCGGCAACGGCAGCCAGTAACGCAGGGGTTCATGGGATGCTGGACATGACGGACTTCTTATTCACGACACCCACAGGGAGTATATAGATAGGTACACATATCTAGTATCAGCCGTTGCTGGTATTACACGGGCTGAGCATGCAATGAATTCAATGAACTACTCTCCATCGCATGTAGAGTTCGAATGGGCGCTGGGAGCTGGGCCACTGGTCGGGCGCATGCCCGTCAGTCTGACGTGACCAGACGCCAGCGCCCTGAAGCTGCCTGGCAAGACAATGATGTCTGTGAATGCAAGATCGAATTGTTTAAATTAGCTCAAGAAGGGTTCGATGGCCTCCACTGTCGAGGCTTTGAGGGCCGTGATCATTGGCGGGTTTTCCTGTCAGATCCAGGGCCCACTGCGCGACCCTGCACGCTAGTCCTCATGGGCCTTAGACCAGATCGCCATTCCTATTCTTCGTCTGTTGCGGCTTCTTGCATACTCCGTACTCATCAGTCTCCATCATCCATCCGTGGAGGTCCAGAAGACGTCGATTCGACCTATATCCACTGCTGCCTTGGGTCGAGGACGAGGGCCCTGGTGGGGAATCCCTGTTCCCGCTACAACCCTGTTCCTCCCCGGTCGAACAGGACCACCAAGGAGCAGTGCCTGGTACCGACTCTGGGCAGGGGAGCAACCTAATCCCTCGCCACCTTTTTTTTTTCTTTTTCTCCTTTCCCCGTCCAACGAATCACGCGCTGGGAATGACTAGTCGGTGTGTTCAGAGTCCCTCGGGAGCTGAAATCCGCCAAGTGCGCTCTCTTTCTTGAAGAGATTTCCATGGATTCCTTGCCACCTTGGCCGTGGAACTAATGCAAGCTCTGTCAGCTGCTGGAATCGCCGTCCGCTCCACATTCCTATTTCCTCTTCGCTTTCTCCTTCTTTTCCTCCCTTTGCTCTATTCCCGCTCAACTCTCTCGATCCCAACTCCGCCCACCGCTACTTTCTTTACTGTCATCATTCCCCCGGCCGAATCTCACTTTACTCGAAATCTGTCTTTTGTGGAATCTTCGCCCTTGAACTGCTCGCTATACATCACACGCGGAGTCTACATTGTCTGTCCCGGTGAAGCTTGTCCAGGTACAATCGCATACTAAGGATAAAAGCCCCAAGTCACCAAAAAGCAAAAACAAGCGTGTTTGTGCTGGGAGTCTCATCTGAAAGAGGATAGAAAGGCCCTTGGAAATAAGAGCTTTGGAAAGAAGACTCTGGAAAAATCTTGGAGGACTAGAGAGAAACCTGACACCTAGAAAGAAGAAAGAACCCAAGAAAAAGAAAGAAAAAAAAAGGGATCCGTTGGCGATCTGTTGTATTGTGGAGGACTTGCCGTAAGAATCTTGGATGATTCTGAAGAAGATGGTATTGACACAGCAGGAAAGACCAACCGCCTCGAACGATCAATTCCCCACCACTCAGCTATTTCTTCTAGGTGCGCCGATTCTCACTGTTCACTTCTCCTGTGACAACTGCTGACCCTGGGCTTCCTTAGCAATATGTCGTGTTGCGGAGCCAATCGCCTTGACTTCGATCTTCCCATACTCCTGGGTGATGGTCAAGGACTTCCGCGTGGCTGACAGCGACAATGCTTCCTTTTACGCCGGTATCCTCATCTCCGCCTTTTCGCTTGCCGAAGCACTCACCGGTATGTTCTGGGGAAGCCTATCCGATCGCATCGGCCGCAAGCCTGTGCTGCTTTCTGGATGCTTTGGCACTATACTTTCCCTTCTCATCGTGGGGCTCGCCCCCAACTTTTGGATCGCTCTATTCGGCCGGGCCCTAGGAGGTATCCTGAACGGAAATATCGGGGTCATTCAAACTATGGTCGGTGAATTGGTCAAGCGACCCGAACACGAACGTAAGTACGCTTCTCTTCTCCTCTTCTCAACTGGTAGATGAGACCTAGCTAATTAAAGGACTTTCTGGGCACAGCTCGGGCCTACGCCGTGATGCCATTTGTCTGGTCAATCGGGACAATCATGGGACCAGGTACGTATTTGAGAAACCCTCTGCAGCTGGTAGCAGCAGCAGCGTGAGGAAAGGTGTTAATGACATACTCTCTGTCAGCCATTGGAGGCTTGCTAGCAAGACCCGCTGAAGGTTTTCCCTCGTTCTTCTCTCCCGACGGCCTGTTTGGAATTTATCCTTACTTGCTACCAAATGTCGTTTGTTCTATATTACTACTTTGCAGCATGCTGTTTAGCTGGCTCTTTTTACAAGAGACACACCCCGACATGCAATCGGCTGATTGTGAACGGGATATGAATGACGTGACTGCCGAACGGCCTCTTCTGGTATCTGCCGGTGCCACGGCGAATGCCGGTGCCGACCTACGAGTTGAATCTTACGGGACTTTTAATCAAGTCCGACTTCATCAGGATGAGAATTTGATGGTGTATGCGGATGGCTCGAAGTCGGAAGGAGCCCCCACAAAGCAACCTATCTTCACATGGCGAGTCACCATGCTCATTATTGCGTTGGCTATCTTCACTTATCATTCAATGACGTTTGATCATCTGCTGCCCATCTTTCTTCAGGATAAAAATGTCACCGAAATCTCCACACTGGGCACCTCATCTCTCAGCTTTCCGGGCGGAATTGGCCTATCCACTTCAACTGTCGGTCTAATCATGTCTACGGATGGCATCATCGCGCTCTTTATCCAGAGCGTGATTTTCCCGGCCCTGGCTCGCTATCTGGGAGTGTGGAAACTTTTCGTGGTGGTGACCGTTTTGCATCCCTTGACTTATTTCATTGTCCCATTCCTGATATTCCTTCCCCACAAGGTCTTATTCGTCGGGATCTACACGTGCTTGGCCCTTCGCAACGTCCTTTCCATAATTGACTACCCCGTCTTGCTGATCCTTATCAAGCAAGCTAGTCCTTCGGATTCAGTCCTGGGGAAGATAAATGGCCTTTCTGCATCTGCCGGCGCCGCCTCGCGCACTATTGCCCCTCCTGTGGCTGGGTACCTGTACAGCACCGGTTCTAGAGTCGGATGTACTGCACTGGCGTGGTGGGGGAGCACTTTCGTTGCCCTCATTGGCGCCGTGCAGCTATGGTTCATCCAACCAAAAAAACATACCTCTGCGACTGTACGACCGGCTGGAAGCTGTCACTATGTTCCCGACGAGGCTCAGCCGCGGAAGGAGAACGTTCATATCATCGTGGCAGAAGCCGATCCCAGCCCGCGTGACGCATGAAGTGAAGGATCCGGGGACATTCAAGGCCGGTCTTCGATCTCAGAGTTGTTTTGTAATCAACCTGACCAGGCTATCGCAATGGCACGGTATATGCTGGGGTTGATCTTTGCTGTTTCTTATTTGTTGATTTCCTTCATTTTTGGAGCGTGTTAATACAATTGCATGGAGTTTCTGGCGCTGTAGATAAATGTCCTCATACAGCGGGGTATTTCTTAGAGCGATTTGATTTGATTTGGTTTAATCTTCCTCCCTACGTAACCACGTAACTATTTACTATAACTAGTACCCATCAAGGCGGTGAGGCGCTGTAAGATCTGCCATCGGACGCCGCCTTTGACTGCGACCACGCTAGGCTGGGATAGGTTTAGCTTTGTTTACTCCCCCATCCCGGCAACGGATGAAAATAATAAACTCGGCGATTACTTGCCTTCCATCCTCGATCATCTATCTTGACTCTCACACGACTGTGGCCTGCTCTCATCCTGCAAATAATTGGACTGGCTGGTCTGTGAGCGCCTACGACATACAAGTCTCTTGATTTATCTTGTAACCTTCCGATACCTCCATCTTCTACTTCGCATCTTATCATGCCCCCACCTCTCTCCCCCTTAACTCCATCGCATCAAAACTCGCGATCCTTTTCGCCAAGTCCCGGCGATCTGATTGCGCAAAAAGGAGTTGACCATGAAGATATGATCCAGACCCATGCTTTTGAGAATGCGCCTTCGAGTCCTATGAAAATGGTCGACGATGCAAACATCAGCAACCAGGACAACCTGAGCTTCACACCTTCGCGCGAGTCGCAGGGACTAGACCAGCGAGAGGATGATTTTGATGATGACTTTTCGCAACCGGCGTCTAGCTCACCATTTATGGAGCAGGGTAGAGATTGTACGGCGGACCTCCAAATGCTCCCCCAGCGACAACCGTCCCTCGACGTGGACAAGCGCTTGAGTACTACGCGCAAACGTTCCTTTGAGCACGGGCCTGAAGACCACGATGAAGAGGAAGCATCGGATGGAAGATTTAGGAAGAGTGCCAGTCGGCGGGAGGTACCAGACATTAATGTCTACGCCGACGAGGACACCAGCTTCGGTGCCGAACAAAATCTGAATCTCGAAGGTGTGGAGCCTGGAACTGCCAATAGTATGATGGAGGAAAAGCATGACGAAGGAATGAGCACTGTTCTTCGTGGGAACCACAATGACAGCATTTTGAATGAAAACGAAAACGAGCACTTGCCCCAGGCAGATAATTCGATGATTGACGATTCTCACGACTTTATGGATGATACTTGCCTCAGCACGTTCTCCGCAGTGCCCAACGCGGATATGACATCTTTTGCAGGGCTGCGTGGAGATTCCCCGTTCAAATCTGCACGGCCTCTCCCAAGTAGCCCAAGCAAAGTCGATGAGGTCGAGACTCGAGAACTTGACCCAAACACTCCACCCATTGCTCAGAAATCCCCTAGGAAAGGCGCCCTCCTTGACATGAGCTCCCCAATCGGATCGCCAACTCCAAAGAGGAGAGAACCCAGAGCGGAGGACAATGTCCGTGGAACCCCGAACTTACTCGACTTGACCGATCAGCAAACCTTTTTTCCACGGAAGCGCTACAGCATGCAAAACGAGCGATATTCTCCATCGCGGCGCTCACCGTTAAGAGCTGCGCGGGAGCCGATCAGATCCTCACCCAAAGTATCGCTGCTGGACTTCGATATTCCCGCCGCCCCAACCCCTCGATCTATTCCCACCGTCACTCCTCGGGAGCTGGAATCGTTGAAATCCAGGTTCCTCTCCGAGATTTCCTCCCTCAAGGCAACGCTGAGTGGGAGGGAAGCAGAAGTGTCCAGCCTCAAGCAGGCCGTTGCCGATGCCGAACGACGAGTTGGTGAGGCATTGGAAGAAGTCCGCAACGAGGCTGCCGGGAAGGAGGCACTTGAGATCGAGCAGGTCGAATGGCAGCGAAGGGGGCAAGAAATGGACAACGTGTTGCGGTCCGTGAGAGCCGAGATTGTTGAGGGCGACCGCGAAAGGGAACAGTTGATCAAGAGGATGGAGGAAGCAGAGAAGGACAGAGAACACTTGGAAAGCCGGATGGCCGAATTGGAGGCTCAGCTGAGTGCAGCCCGCAGCTCGATGTCCAGCAACACCCCTCAAGGAGCTTCCCACACCAAGACGGCGGAGGAGACTGCAAAGGAAGTCCAGGACGCTGTTGAGAAGATGGCAGCCGAGCTTCACGTCGTATACAAAAAGAAGCACGAGACGAAAGTCGGCGCGTTGAAGAAGAGTTACGAGGCGCGGTGGGACAAGCGAGTGCGCGCAGCCGAGGACAAGTTGAAGATCGTTAACGAGGAGAATGAAGGCTTGAGGAGGGAACGAGATGCGGCGCTGTCGGAAGCGTCACGTCCCAATCCCGGCCCCAGCCCCGGCACTCTTGCCCACGAAAACGAGGAACATGAGGCGGAAAAGCAAATCCTCCAGGCACAGATCAAGGGCCTGCAACAAGAGATGGCAACACTCAAGAATGACGGCGAGCGGCTGCATAACGAACTCAGGATGGAACGGGCCGAGAAAGGCGAGCTCGTGGCGGCCGTGGATGAGTGGCTCGCAATCCAGCAGAATCAGCTCCCATCTCAATCCCCGGGACCACAAGACGATGATCAGCCGGAGCTGCCGTCAACGGAAACCAGCATCTCGGATGGCTTCCAGCGAAGTCTTGGTCGCAGCGGCTCCAGCGGTATCCGGCCTCCCAGCACCGGGTCGTCAGGGCCTGGCGAGAAGAAGATCCCCAAGATCGCCGCAGCAGGGAACCGTCATGTGCGAGACAACAGTGGCGGAAAGTCGGGAATTGCTGTCTTCACTCCGGGTCGCAGCGGCATCATGGGCTCCATTGAGCGCATGGGGCGTGGTGGCAATTAGCGCAGGGACCTCGCCTATGATCTCGCATCGCGATGTGTATCTCATGGGCGATTTAATCAGTTGCTCCTCACGAACAAGATGACGCCCGGTCTCCGAAGCCTACGAGTTCCTTTTTTGTTTTGTTGATTTGTTATTTCCCGGGATTCCTCGGTTTTTATTTTTTTTTATTGTTGTTTCGTTGATATCCCGACGGAGGCGTTTCATGTACATTGATTTGAGAGAATTAATAACCTATGGAAATGGGATCTGCAGAAGATGCAATTTGCGATTGAATTGTATAGTCTCGACGGCATTCTTTCCCCTGTCAGCAGGTCGGGTTCCCGCGACGGCAGCCCGAACCCGGCACGCTGTCCGATTTCTGCGAGGACTCGGCGGCAAACCAAATAAAAAAAAAAAAATAATAAAAAAAAGTCGGAGTGTCTCGCTGGCACGGCGTAGTTGAAAAGCAAAGGGAAAAAAAGGCCGTTGATCTGGATGAGCCCCGGGACTCCGCCCCTAAAGGGCATTCTCCATTACCCCAGGTTCTAATCAACAGCAGATATCTTGGCGATGCTTGGGAGCTCCTATAGAGCGCCAAGTTCCAGGCTTTCGGCTTACGGAATACATTGAGTAAGTCCATTGAAAAGAGGGGGCACGAGGTGGGGGGAACCCGGGGTACTTGGAAATCTGCGACCGGGGGGTTTCCTGCGATTTTCGGCATTCTTGGACGTTCTTGGAGTTCCATGGTTTCTTGACAGACAGAAAAAGAAATCCCGATTTTGTGAATGGACAAGCCTAGTCCCACATCGGTATCCGCAGCCCCCCGTTCTATTGGCTGCTCCGGAAAATTCCCTCGTGGGTCGTCGCTGGCGATCGGTTTCACAGCCAATCAGCAGCCATCGTCGACTTCCTTTGCCTTTCGCTCCCCCGCGTGCCTTCCAATCTCTCGTCTTGTTTCTCGAAGTTTGGCTCGTGACTCTTTTTTTGGACTCTCTTCACTTCGGATCCATCCTCCGTAATCCATCAGTTCCGAGCGATGTCTTCCAAGATTTCGTCTTGCTTTAGGAGTAGTGGAGGATCTACGGAACACATTGATGACGTCGCTGGTACAGGCACGTGAGAAATCGCTTCAACATTGAGCGTCCCCCCGTAGTGAGGGACTCTGGGGAATGTATTCATCCGTGGAAGTGGGAGAAACTTCTACTCCGGAGTACACTGGCCGATAGCGATTCATGACTAACTGCATACGATCCTGACAGCTTGGAAAGCATTCTTGGTGATGACGACACCCTGCAGGTTTCTTCCTCTGCCCGTTCCAGACCAACCGAGTCGCCGACTAGGTTCCTTGAAACCTCCGATGTTCGCCAGTATTCTACCCCCTTAGTCTAGATGATTCGAGTTAGGGGCGCTTGAAACCGGGCCACCCTTTTTTTTTTTTTTTTTTTTTTTTTTTTTGCGGAGCGTTATTTTGTAGACGGGGTGTTATTTCAAGCCCTGTCAAGGGTTAGTGAGTTCTCCGTAAATGATTTCCCGCTTTAAACCGATCGCGTCCGCTGTACGTCAGCTGTACATGGATATTTTGGATATTATTTTCTCTTCGCTATACGGAGTAGACCCAAACAGGGTCATTCCATACCACAACATCTGTTAACCAATTGGGCATATCCTTCTTCATGCGCTAGGTTAGGAGTACTACTGTGTACAAATGCAGAATCCGTCCATATACCGGCACTCACATACGCAGTAGACCCAAAAGAGTGAAGCATCACGTGGGAGGGTAGTATCCTGCTCGTTGTGCAAGGGCTTGACCATACTTCCTCGAAAATGTCTTTGCCTTGCTTTCGTCATTTCATGCCTGGGATTTTGGGATTTACCAGACCATACTGCGTGGTGCACTCCACACAGAAACTTGAAAAGTCCATGTTGATTGACGCTTCTGACAGCTCCACCCGACTTTTCATTCCTTTCCCCCTTCTTTCTCATGCTTTTTCTTTGTGGCTGTTCCCTTGTGCTCCGTACTCCGTAAGGATTCACAAACAGGGTCTAAAAATGTAGCGTTCTTTTAGTGTTACTTTAGAGCTGTTCCGTGTACGGAGGAGTACTGGTCGGCACCCCCGGACGAATGATTTATTTTCATTGGTACTCCAGGAGTTCTGTTCTGACTTGCTCCGAAGTAAGAATTCTGCCTTTGAACACGGGCCTTTTTTGTACTCCGTATGAGAGTCTGGAGAGCTTTATTTAGTTTTCGTTTTATTTTAATTTCTTATTTTTTATTCACGGTGTGCAATGCATCCCAACGTGCAAGGGGTTTCTCTTTTTGGCAGCTGACGGCGACCCTTGTCCCATAGTACAATCGTTGCGGAGTACGCTGTAGTCGGGGCTGCCTGGTGTCTGGCTAGAAGAAAAATTAGCTGGAATCACGGGCCCAAGAACAGCTGTTTCAGACAAAAAACAGAAACACATGAATGATCTTCTTCATGAGCCATTAACTCTATCATGATTAATCATCGTTCGTGGTCCTGGTCCGCTTTTTACTCGCTAGTATGTACTATGTACCAATGTACCAATGTTCCAACGGACCAAATCGTCAAATGTCAGAGTAGTGAACAACCGGTTTTGGCGATCATGGTGTATAATTGTGTATTAGCATTCTCCGTGTACATAAACGCTGGCATTTAAGCACGATCAACGCTCGGATCGATATCCCAACCCTGGATCGGGCTCCTTAGTACCTCTCTCAAGGGAGAAATCGGCGCGAGCCTCGGCTCATTCTTGTAACCACAGCGCAACTATCGGCACCTAGAGTAGGTGTACTCTACAGTGTCTGCCTCGGTATTCTGTCAAGCCACAGTATGTGCCACGGTCTGCCGAATTGGAGATTTCAAGGCCAGAGCCTGCCTTACTGTGTGGTTGTGACAATTCTCCCAACGCGTCTTTTGATTTTGGGTTTCTGATGGTAAATTTTATCAATTGGATTTCCCACGCAGTACACATGGAGGAACGGAATCTTTTCCGATCAAGGCAATTTTAATAATGACGCATTTTCGAATCAAGAAAAAGGTCCATCGCCTGCCGCGCAGAACCAGACTAGCCCAACTGACCAATGGCGGCATGCCTGATTGGTTCCCGGGGTCCTCCGGTGGTGGCCAGGCGCAGTAACGTGACCGGGCCGAAACAAATCAATCGGGCAGACTTGGTTGGCGGTGGTTGGCGGTGACAAGTGAAGGGACGCAGGTCGTGCCGGGTGGGGGGGGGGGAATAGTATTGGCTTGAGCAGCTCAGTCGGGAATAGTGCCGGTCGGAGGGCGCTAAAGGATCCACCCAAACTCAGTCGGCCTTAGTCACTGACTTCCAGGGCTGGGTCCGATTATTGAAGAATGAATTTTTTTTTTTTAAAAAAAAAAAAAGAAGAAGAAGAAGAAGAAGTAGAAAAAAACGAAAACAAAAGAAAAGAACACAGGAATAATACCTCAATTAATCCTCAGGACAATGGATATCACGAAATAATTCAACCCGGAATGCAATCGGTACCGCGGTGGAAACGGCCAGTACCTTGCCGGTGGGGATGATTCATTGCGCATCGACGTGCGACTGGCCTATTCCGATTGCCTGTCCGTCCCCCCGCCGAACTTGGCCCGCTCCTAGACCTTTTTGAGGGAAATACTTGTCCACGGACTGGGCCCCCTCTTTCGCGTTGATTACTATTAGTTGCTGCTCTGGATTTGATGGATGGACGGAGGTCTTGTGGCTCTGGTCTGGGGGAGGCAACCTTGACGAGTGGATCCGGGGCTCATCATCATCCCCAACACCCACACGCCTCCTGACTGAGGATTCACGGGGCGGTTTTATTTAAACATTGCTTCTCCCCGGCCCCAGACCTCGCTTGGATTTCGTCCTTGGGACGAAAATCTTTGGCTGTGGGTGTGATCTTGTTAATAAAAGAAAGAAAGAAAAAAAAAGGAACGAAGTACATTGCATATACACACTTTTATTACCCTCACATTCCTAGTACCTTGCCTTTCTTTTTTTGAAAGGGAGAAAAAAAAAAAAAAAAAAAAAGGACCAAAAAAAGACACTCTCCACTCTTACATCTTCTTGAATCCATTTTTTTTCCCTTTCCCACTCCATCTTTCCTTCTCAATACAATCCGACATCTTTATAGGTAGTACCTATATACCCGCCAATTTTTGATTCGACGAATGATCCAAATCAATTGATTCCCAAATCGTCAAAATGAGCGACCTCACTGCCTCGTCAACCCCGGCGTCAGCCCCTAATAGTACGGTGGAAACGGAATCCAAGGGGAAACGGAAATCTTCTACCGCCGGCCTCGCCGCTAATTCCCGTCCGGTAAAACGACGGGCCTCCAAGGCATGCTGTTGCTGCCGGGCTCGCAAAGTCCGCTGTGATGTCGTGGAGAATGGCTCGCCGTGTACGAATTGTCGCCTGGATCAGGTGGAATGCGTGGTGACTGAGAGCAAAAGGAGAAAGTTCGTCGCCCTCAATAGCCTGCATGCAGATCCGAACTGCCCGCTGATATTGACCGTCTTTTGTCGTCGCTCAGGAAATCACGCGTTGAGATGGACAATACCAGCCATCAACCCGGTCAATCGCCCGCCGAGGCATCGGAGGATGGTAGTAATCTTCTCAGGAGACTCAGTGAATGTCATGGGCTCTCTGACGTTGCGCCCGCTTCGCCATCGCAACGCTCCGTTGATTTGGACCATGGACAGCACATGCCGCATCTATTGTGTTCGTCGTCTCCCCTGTCTTTGATTTCCCTGGTGGCATTTATTGACCTGAATCCCATGCAGATCAAAACCAGGCCAGTAGGATAGGCGCCGGCGAGCGCTATCGAAGAAGAATGGCACCAAACCCGGCCGTGCCGGCCACTATGCCGCTGCATCATGTGACCTCGCAGATTCAACAGCTGTTAGATCCTTCCTTTGGCAACGATCGCTCTGGGGGTATTGTTCTCCCAGACTATATCAGGGGACTGCCGCCTCGGCTACAGAAAGAGGACATTGACTATCTGGCCATGAAGGGTGCTTTGACGGTACCCGACGTGGGATTGCGAAACGAATTGCTAAAGGCTTACATCCACTACGTACACACGTACATGCCTCTCCTAGACCTAGAGGACTTTCTTCAGACAATCGCGCAGAACGACGGAATTCGCCGCATGAGCCTGTTGCTTTTCCAGGCTGTGATGTTTGCAGGAACGGCGTTCATTGACCTCAAGCATCTACATGCCGCAGGCTACCCGACTCGCAAGGCCGCGCGCAAGGCATTTTTCCAGCGGGCCAGACTGTTGTACGATTTCGATTACGAGGTAGATCGGATCTCGCTTGTTCAATCCTTACTCTTGATGACCTACTGGTACGAAACCCCCGACGATCAGAAGGACACCTGGCATTGGATGGGTGTCAGTCTCTCCCTCGCACACACCATCGGGCTGCACCGTGACCCTGGGAATTCTCGCATGGGTCTTCGGCGCCAGCGGATGTGGAAGCGCATCTGGTGGAGCACATACACGCGCGACCGCTTGATCGCTCTAGGAATGAGGCGCCCAATGCGCGTCAAGGATGATGACTGTGATGTGCCCATGTTAACCCTCGATGACTTTGAATTCCATCCTTTCTCCCCTGAAATCATCAGCATGGTTGGCAACTCCGAGGTCCTCCAAAGTGTCAATCACCAAAAACAGCTCGCCCTTATGTTTATCGAGAAAGCCAAGCTTTGCCTCTGTGTCAGCCATGTGCTTTCCGCCCAATATTCGGTTCTGAGTCATAAATTCGGAGGAACGATGGAGACGACCATGATGCTGGTCCCCAAAAAGTCGGCCGCCGAAACGTTTGAGGTGCGACAGTGCGATCAGGAACTGGAAGATTGGCTGGCCCATCTTCCTGCTGAGATCCAATACTCGCCCGCCGCCCCCTCCAAATTAACCGAGGCCCAGGAAGTTCTGCATTCTCATCGCGCGTTGCTCAAGATGGTCTACTTGACCACGTCAAGCGCCCTTCATCGTCCCCAGGTGCTTCCGGCTATTCCATTTCCGTCTACGGATGCCGAGCTACAAGAGATTTCGAGAAACAAGGTCCGATTTGCTGCCGTGGAGATCACCAACATTGCTCAAGATCTACACAGCTTGGATCTCACCCGATATTTCCCCACCACTGGCGTGACGGTGCTTCTGCCCGCGGTGATCATTCATCTTCTCGACATCAAGTCCAGCGACCCGACTATCCGAATGACTAGCCTTCAGCGGTTCTACCAGTGTATGCGCATCTTACAACGCTTGCGGGAAATTTATGCGTCCGCCGACTTTGCCACGTCATTCTTAGAAGCCGCGATCCGCAAGGCCGGCATCCAGCTTACCGTCTCCCCTCAGGACGTGCAAACGCGTTCGGGAAGTACGCTCGACACGGCTGCGCGCGTCAACACCCTGACTCCGCCTCCGGATTCTCTTGCCCAGAAAATCCCCGATCTGACGTACCCGAAGTCGGACGCATCCGGAATTGCGGCGCTGGCCGGCGAACACGATGCCGCATTCGCCTCGACCCCTCCACCCTCGGACGGCAGTGAGAACGGCAGCACCAGCAACCTCAATTCGAACTACGCTCGAGACGCGTTCAACATCCCGAACTTCAATCCTGAGCTCAGTCTTAGCGAGCTTATGGACTTGGCCAATGATGCCGAGGTGACGCAGAATGATTTCGACGCGCTGATCAACTTCGACGATGCCGGTGCGGACCTCTTCTCGGCGGAGGAGAGTCTCCATCCCAGCGGCAGCTCTAATGGAAAGAGCTTTGGGTTCGGATTAGGTTCGATGGATAGTATGCCCGATGTGCTAGGTTATGATGCCGAGAACAAAGGCGTGGATCTGACCGGGCAAGCCCATAGCGATCGTGGCGGTCTCAGCACCGATCTTGACGCTGAGCTGGGACTGAATCTTTGAGTACCAGATATCGGCGATATCTGGTGGTTGAGGGAGTGGCGACTGAATGTGTACCAACTAAAACTTGGGTATATGGAACTGGGCTGGATGAGGGGAGTTTTTCTTTTCCTTTTCTTTTTTTTTTTCTCCTTTCCCTGTTTTATAATATCTATATTGTATATTTTATCCCTTTCTTTGTGTCATGACTTGCTACCTGTCTTATCTATTCATCCATATATACATATATATATATATATGCATACACATCCATAGAGGCGACAAATTAGCCGAGATGAGAAATGAATGACTCCTTTTTTGACGATGACTGCGCCGTGAGCACCAAGCAAAGTCAAGCTCCACCGACTCGCCTTGTTCTGACGATCCCGTGAGCCTTGCCCCTTCCGGCAGGTCGTTCGATCCCGTTCCCCTCTTCCTTCTCTTCGTCGCTTCTCCTCTCCTTGTCCATCCTCTTAGTTGCTCCCTCCACTACTCGCTCTCCTGGCCCAATTAGCTCCATCTATGGTTGGCTCGACTCCCGATTTCTCTACCAAGGCAGTACCCGATGCTTTATTGAGATCAATCCTGGGAGGCCGACAGGCGGGGATGCGAAATGGCGCCATATGCAAGGTGAACATTGCACCAGCCTCTCTTGTTCAGTAGCGCTACTCACTAACCCCCATCAGTCAGCCCGATGCCAACCTTTGGGCCCTCGGAATACTACCTTGTTATCATGCCGGCCGGTTTATAATCATCCTAGCTAACTTCCAGTAACATTCGTCTGCTTTCCCCTCACGCTATGTGGGCCATTGATCAATCCCGGGCTCCGTCCCATCCCCCAATTTTTTTTCAGGGCGTTTCCTGATGTATAAAATGGGGGATCGCCCCTTTCTCCCTCTCCTCGTCCTTGGGACTGTCCATTCGGATGCGGAATGGTCTTTTATTAGATTCTACCTTTCTAGCACCGTGCTTGCAGCGCATATTTATACGTGCTTGATCCATCTTCCGTTCCTAGAAACATGCGCGTATACAAAGCGCTGCTGCTGCTGCCGCTGGCCGTACCCGGTTGGGCCGGGTCACTGAATAGACCGGTCTGGGGAAAACGACAACTTCCGAATGATCCCACTGGCGTCAAGACTATTACGACCCCTAACAACGTTACCATCAGGTACAAGGAACCCGGAAGCGAGGGCGTTTGCGAGACCACGCCTGGAGTCAAATCATATTCAGGATACGTGGATCTTTCGCCTACATCACATACCTTCTTTTGGTTTTTTGAAGCCCGCCACGATCCCGAAAACGCCCCGATTACTCTCTGGTTGAATGGCGGTCCCGGAAGTGATTCCTTGATTGGCCTTTTTGAAGGTTAGTTCTGTTCATTTGGCGTCCAGTACTCGTGAAGAAGAAAGCTGATAGGTATGATACAACCAGAGTTGGGCCCTTGTCATGTGAATTCTAGCTTCGAATCCTATCTCAACCCTCACTCATGGAACGAAGTTTCCAACCTTCTTTTCTTATCGCAGCCACTGGGTGTCGGTAAGATCAATTTCTCGAGCTGAAATGCCATTCCGTCGTAGCTTATTGGCTTCACGCAGGATTTTCTTATAGCGACACGGAAAATGGATCCTTAAATCCCGTAACCGGTGTGGTCGAAAATGCGACCTTTGATGGGGTTAAGGGTCGCTATCCCAAGATCGATGCTACTCTAACAGGTAAGCCTTCCCTAGCTCCCCAGTTGGGGCGAGGTCGTTCTGACAGTGCGGAAACCCTTTAGACACTACCGAGCTTGCTGCGTATGCCACATGGGAAGTGCTCCAGGGCTTCCTTGGAGGCCTCCCGCAGCTGGATTCGAGGATCAAATCCAAGGACTTCAGTTTGTGGACGGAAAGCTATGGAGGGTGAGTCCTTCCTTGGGCAGGTTTTTGAAATGCTTCCGTATGCTGACCGCATTTGCGTTTGTCATAGGCATTATGGACCGGCTGTAAGTCTTCAAACCGAACCGTCTCCCTAATGGTGGCTCACAAGAGTAGTTCTTCAATTACTTCCATGAACAAAACGAAAGGATCGCCAACGGGACGGTCGATGGGATTCACCTTGATTTCAATTCTCTCGGCATAATAAATGGTATCATCGATGAGGCCATCCAAGTATGTTAAAAGCGCACCCGATGCCTATAAACATCCCACCAGCGTTTGTCTTGGCTGCTAATGATATTCTTTTAGGCAAGCTATTACCCCGAGTTTGCAGTTAATAACAGCTACGGTATCAAAGCCGTAAGTCTTCCTCCCCACCAATAACCCTAGCATGATCTGAGAGAAGACAGACATGGCTTACCACTCCGGGAACATAGGTTAATGAGACGGTTTACAACTACATGAAATTTGCCAATACCATGCCAAACGGATGTCAAGATCAGGTTGCTCTGTGTAAGCAAACCAACAGAACGTCATTGGGTGATTACGCCATCTGCACCGAAGCAACCAACATGTGCAGAGATAATGTTGGTATGTTTCAAACAACTGTCCTAGTCTCTTTCGAGGACAACCAACTAATCCCCTAGACAGAGGGACCTTATTATGCCATTGGGGAACGCGGTGTATACGACATTCGACACCCATATAATGTAAGGACATACACCCCCACCATCCATTGAAGAGTTGGCTTCTAACCCAAACGACCTCCTGGACAGGACCCAACTCCTCCCAGCTGGTACAACAACTACCTCGAAAAGGACTCAGTTCTGAATGCTATTGGCGTTAACATCAACTACACCCAATCCAACGACGACGTATACTACGCATTCCAACAGACAGGTGACTTTGTGTGGCCCAACTTCATCGAGGATCTAGAGGAGATCCTGCGACTCCCCGTGAGGGTATCTTTAATATACGGGGATGCTGATTACATCTGCAATTGGTTCGGAGGCGAAGCCGTCTCTCTTGCGGTGAACTACACGCACACATCCAAGTTCCGGGCGTCGGGCTACATCCCCCTGACTGTGGATGGCGTTGAGTATGGCGAGACGCGCGAGTACGGTAATTTCTCCTTCACTCGAGTATACCAGGCTGGCCACGAGGTCCCATACTATCAACCTATCGCCTCTCTTCAACTGTTCAATCGGACCCTGTTCGGATGGGATATCGCCGAGGGAGCGACCCAGATCTGGCCCGGGTACAGCACCAACGGAACGGCAAGGGCGACACATACCGAGTCCTATGTGCCGCTACCCACCGCTTCCCCAAGCGCCAGGGTTCTGTGATTCGGCTCAGAGAGCTTGTGCTGTGTAATTGGCGATGGTGTGCGTGCGATAGAAATGAACATAGGAGATAGCAACCGAAAATCCATCCAGCTGTGCGCATGTTCACCGTCAGCATGAGATGGGAAATCCTTTGACAGCTCAATCCCTTTTCCTACTTATCCAACCTGATGGACCTCCCCGGCCAAAAAAAACCCCCCGTCATTACGCATATTGACCGCCTCTCCCTCCATGAGGGGAAAAGCCGAACCGAAAAAGCAGAAAAATAAAATTCATTGCCAATGGGTACTCTGCCACTATAAACAGGCCGACCTTGATTCGCGCCCACGAAACAAGCAAGCTAAAACTCGACCACAAGTGTCCGTAGAAAAAAAAATATTATATAACATCAAAAGCAGTCAATAAACTGCCCACAAGAAGAAAGCCATCTCGTCATGCCGTCGTTGCATGAGCCTTCCGCAGCGGCGGAAGTGGATTAAAAAAAAATACATATGTAAGAATATAACCAGGAAAACTCAAGCGACGGGAACATGCTTCTCATCCTTGTTTTCGGTTGGTTGTTGATCCTCCAAGGGGACGCCCATTACATCCTGAGCGGTCTCGTCGGAGAATTTGAGATCATCTTCCATGTCCGTGCTCTCCTTGATCTTGAACAGGATCACGGGGGACGCGATCAGAAGGCTGCCGACGAGCAACCCCCAGCAGGAAGCGAATTCTGTCATGAAGGGCGTCTCGACTCCCTCCATCCTATCAATCAGATGAACATTAGTCGGGGTTTCCCTTGAGCGATGGTTGCAGATCATTCCACTTACCGCCACATGCCTGCGGCACCCGCGGATTGAATTCCTTTGTAGAAGCCCGCAAAATTGGCCAACTTGCGACCATTGTTGCTGAGTGATCCCATGAACCTGGATGTAGACGTATCGAGTCAGTTAAGTCCAAAATTTCAATAGATCCGAAGTTGAGGAAGAAAACACTGACCAATAAGCGCACGTCTGAAAAGCGGCGTCATAGAATCCGTAGAACATGTAGAGAAACATGGGACCGACGTAGCCACTGCTGCTCCAATCCTTGGCTTCCAAGACGGTTTCCCGGGTGTACTGTTTCTGGAAGGCATAGCCGCCGCCCCAGGTGCCCATGGTGAGGGCGAAGAGGAGGAAAAAATTGAGCCTGGCGCGCATGGGACGGGATAACCACTTGAGGTCAAGGGTGAAGCCGAAGACGAAGGCGCCAACCATTTGCATCAGCCAATAAAGCAGACTGTTCAACGACCGGGTGCGAACGTTGAAATACGAGCCATTGACGCTGTTGAAGTGGTATCCGTAAAACCAGTTGCTCGCCAGAAACATGGGGAAGAAGAGGACGATGTAATAATCGGTCCGCAGTGTTTCGTACAGCCCGAGGAATTCGGACTTCCAGGTAGGATTCTTCATCACAATGACATGCGAGCCATCACTGCGTTTGACGTATTTAGAGTCGGAAAGAGTCCAGGCGAGAGCGAAGCCGACCGCCATGAGGACCATGAAGGCGATATAAGTACCGTCATTAACCCGCCCTGCGTCCGAGTGCATGTTCTGTCCCAGGGGGATCTGTGCAGTGTTAGGGCTTCCGATTGGATAGAAGTGAAAAAAAAGAAGGGCACTCCCGACTTACCAAACTGCCGATGACGCCGCCTAGGTTGAAAATCACCCAGAAGATGGAGATGAACTTTCCCTTCTCTTCTTCCTTCGGGTAGCTCATCATGACTGCACCCTGGGCGCACCACAGCAGGCCGCCACAGACACCGAGAAGAGCACCGGCAAAGATGAGGAAGCCGGCATTCTCATTGTGATTGTACGACAAGAGCGATGCGACATAGAGGAAATAACCGAATCCGCCCAGAGACAGCGTAAGACGGAGACCAATACGGTTGGCAATGGAGCCGGCGAAGAACCCAACCACGGCAAATGTGCTGTACAGGGCAGTGTTTGCATTGCTCACGTCGGTCTGGTTGACTTGGCCACCACCACCAAGGCCGCTGACGGCATTGAACATGCCCGGGCAGAGGAAGCAAACAAAAGAGACCAACACCAACTGGGTCTCCGGCGAGGCGAACCAGGGCAACTTCCACGGTCCAATCTTCAGCGGTCTATACATCCACGGCTTGCCATTGACAGAGGAGCCACCGGCCTCGGCATCTATGGTGCTCGTAGGAACCTCCTTCTCGGGTTGACGCTCTTCGCCGGACGTCGAGGACGCCATTGTTTCGGTATGTAGACGAAAACGAAGGAGCTGAAGAAGAGTAAGAGGTCGTCAGATTCCAGGTTGTAGTGGGTTGTATGGATCAACGGTTCTTCAAGTGCTGTCGGGGAAACCGAAATCCATGCGTTAGCCAACAACTCGCAACTTCAGAAGCTTGAATGCACGGGTTTGAGGCCAATATGTATGCGTATAAATATGTGTAGATATATATACAGATCACACGAAAAGAAGAAGTCCTCGAGTGATCAGGATTCGTCCTGAGAGCAAAGAACAAGGGAAAAGAAAGATGAAAAGAAAAAAGGACGAAGAGAGAGAGAGAGCGAGCAGAAGTAACCAAATGCTGGTGGGGGATAAGGACAAGAGAAGAAGAATGGATGACAACAAACAAACTGCCAGGAATGTTGTTTGTGATGAATCCGGAGGGAGGGAGAGAGGGAAACAAATAAATTCTCACGCATGCGAAAGTTGACTGACTATTTTATCTCGCAGACCCCATGTCGAGGAATTTTTTTTTTTATTTTTTTTTAGTAGCACTTATTTAGCTCGGGAGTTAGCTGATGGGACCACCCAAGATAGGGACGGCGAGTGTCTTAGTCTTACGAGATGCTACCAGCGGGAGATAACGGTGGATAAATATTCTTTCGAAATACCACGCTACAAGCGTCAAACAGGAGATGACGGAGTCGAGTCAAACTGGGGAGACAATCGAGGGATTCAACCGGGGACACGACGTGCCTGGTCGATCCTCGAGATACTCTGGCCCCCTCCCAGCGATTCTCGCGCATTTCCGATTACTCCGTAATTTGTACGGGCTCCACTCGTGGAGAAGATGATGCGGAGAAAAAAAAAAGGTTGCGACACTGCGAGGCTGCCGATCGGGAGGAGACGAAAAAAAAAAGGCAAAAGAAAAGAACGGAAGAGAAAAGTGGATCGGAGAAAAAGAAGGGCGAACAGAAAAAAAAGGCGAGAGTCAGAGAAAGAGAGAAAAGGAAGTGGTTTTCCGCAAGCGAAGAAATCCGGTGGTTCGCTCTTACCCGATTGGGGCAGTCTTATCGCCTGTTATCTCCTCGTGACAAAAAGAATTGCAACGCCGGCCGCGTTGCCACCCGAAGAGACGGTGACATCGGCCGCTTGCAACCACGCCGAATGCGGGGGTGGTATTCTTATTTTCCTTCTTTCTCGATCCCTGTCCTACGCCGTACCTCCCGTGCCTCCCGTACTTGCCGAGTTCCTGCCAAGGGTCTACAGAACACCGAGTCAAGGATGACCGAAGGAAGCAGATCCATGCCGTGTCTTGCAGGGTGGCAAGCTCCGTCAACGTGGTAGTTTGGTGTGCTTCATGCATATATTAGTATCAGGTACCTGGGTCGGTAGGTATGTACCTGTAGGTTACCCAGCTACCTCCCTCGGTCGGGAGGTACCTGATACTCCCCAGATTACTTACTGACCATACCGGTACCTCCGTCGTATGGTCCTGTACGGTACGGTACGCGGCGTCTCCCCCGGATCGGGACCGGCTGAGTCAGCGGTGAGTCAGCGGGCGCATGTCACCTTGAAAAGCCTCATGCTTTTCGACGTCACATCTGCCCCGTGGATCCCTTGGACGGTCGTCGATCGCCTTTGGCCCTAGGGACTGCCATGCCTTCTTTCCGCCATCTTCGATGTCACCATGTAATTGCCAGGTTCTCTGTCGGGGTTTTCCGTCCTGAAGGTTGCCGCCGGAGTTCTTCCTTTACATTCCCCATTCCATCCATTCCTCTCTCCGGCCATCTCTCATCCTTCCCCTCTTCCTCATATGAGGCCCACACCCGCCCCTCGTCGTCTCACTTTCTCGTGGCTTGACCCAACCTCTTCCCGACTATCCTCGCAGTCATGCCGGGCAAAACCTCTTCCCCTCCTCGCATCACCAAATTCACCAACTGCCGCATCATCCGAGGCAATGATCTTATAGAACAAGATGTCTGGATAGATTCTCTCTCCGGCAAGATTCTTCGGGCCCAGGAGGCCTTTTATGGTCTGCATCTTTCTCCCGATGAGGTCATCGACTTGGGCGGCCGCATCTTGGCTCCCGGCCTCATCGACGTGCAACTGAACGGTGCCCAAGGCTTTGATTTCTCCGTTCCTTGTGCCTCGAGAGAGGAGTACGAAGAAGGTTTGTGTATGGTCAACAAGGGCCTTGCTCGCACCGGTGTGACTTCATATCTTCCAACTGTCGTTAGCTCTACCCCAGAAGTGTACTGGAAGGTAGGTGATCTACACCGGCCCTTTTCCTCTCCCCTTGAAGAAGGCTAACGAGACTGCCCAGGTACTCCCTTCCCTAGGACCACCGGGAAACACACATTCTGCGGAGGATGGAGCAGAATCGCTGGGTGCACATGTAGAGGGCCCGTTCATTAGTCCGGGTCGCAACGGTGTCCACAAAACCGAAGTCTTGCAGGCTGCCAAAGACTTCGAAGATCTTATCGAGTGCTACGGCAAGGATAATTTGACTGGCAACGCCCAAACGGTGAAAATGATCACCGCTGCTCCAGAGGTCGGGAACATGATCGCGAATATATCGTCCCTGACTTCCCGGGGTGTCATCTTTTCTATCGGTCATTCTGACGCCACGTACGAGCAAGCGATGACGGCCACAATACAAGGCGCGACCATGATCACCCACCTATTCAATGCCATGCGACCTTTCTATCATCGAAACCCCGGTATTTTTGGTCTGCTGGGTCAGAACGAACGCCGTCGACCCTTCTATGGCGTGATTGCTGACGGTATTCATCTTCATCCTACCTCCATCCGCATCGCGTACAATGCCCACCCGGATGGACTCATCCTGGTCACCGATGCTATGAAGCTCTGCGGCCTCCCGGATGGCATCTACGAGTGGACTAACGGCGAGCGCATCGTTAAAACTGGAGCCCGTCTAACTCTCGAAGGGTCGGACAAGATTGCCGGCAGCTCCGCCACCCTCATCGAGTGCGTCAACAATTTCCGCCGGTGGTCGGGAGCCTCGACCGCAGAGGCTCTCAATTCCGTCACAGCCACCCCGGCACGTCTCTTGGGGCTGCAAGGCATTAAGGGCTCTCTGGATAGCGGTGCCGACGCGGATTTGGTCGTGCTCAGCGACGAGACAGATCCCTACTCGGGACCCACTTTGACGGTTGATCAGGTGTGGAAGCGTGGAGTCAAGATCTTCGATACCGAGAAAGGGGCAGCCGTGGGCCAAGCGTGAAGGTGCAAATGGATTGGGCGAGCTTTATTATCTTCGGGAGGGGGGTTTGAACCGTGACGAGACCTTTTTTGCTTGTGTCGAGCGTTGATTCTCTCCCATCATATCACAGGTGATATATAACTCCCTGAACTGGCTCTATCGTTTTCTCTGAGTGTGTTTTTTTTTTTTTTTTTTTTTCTTGGCTCGCTTGCCTGATCTTTCGTTTTCGAAGCACATTGCAAAATAGACAGACGTATACCATTAGACTAAACCCATCCATCTGAATGACACAGACACCAATGATTTTAAAACAGAAGCGTGACTTTTTCTATGGGTATTGTTTATTGATCGCCGACCTCATTTTAATTGTTGCTGACTCAATACTTCATGTAATTTCTTTCATTGTAGTCTATCTGGTCTATATTTATACGTCTTTTACAATAACAAGGCCAACTGCACATCCAACAAAAGCATTTTGTGAATGTATGGAATTGTACAAAATCATGCGCTGGCAACAATCAATCACTGACAACCAACCAAAAGAGAGACAGCCACCACACAAAAAGGAGGGGGGTAAGTGAGGGGGCAAAAGAATGCTTTGTCTTCCTTTCTTCCTTGTCAAACACATGGGCTGGTTGTACATTTGGTGTCATGAATCATGTACGGTCGTAGGGGTGATGTTGTACACGCCATGCAAACATACATGGGATTACGCGCAGGTATTTCCGCCCCCATCATAATTTTTTTTTTCTTTTGTTTTGTTTCTGGATTCCGGAAGCCACACATGTTCAAACCCCTAGCTTAATTGTCGAATTTTCGAATCCCCTGTATGACGAGGCCCTCGAAAGACAAGAGATCAAATAGGCAAGGCAACGAACAATGTTGCAAGGGGCATTTACAGCCGGGGCTGCTCACGCTTCCATCCGGCCTCTTCGGCGATCAACTCGGCAGCACGCTCTCCAATGGCCAGGACAGTCAACATGGGGTTGATGCTGGGCATATCGGGGAAGACGCCAGCGTCCGCAACGCGGATACCCTTCAAGCCACGGACCTTGAGCTGAGGGTCCACAACAGCCATGGGGTCGCGCGTCACATCACCCATCTTGGTGGTACCGGCGGGGTGGTAGACGGTGTGGGCCACCCGACGACCGTACTCGGATAGCTCCTCATCCGTTTGGACGCTGGGGCCCGGAGCGACTTCACGCTTGATCCAGTCCTTGAAGGGCGCCTTGTTGGCGATCTCACGGGCAGCCTTGAAGCCCGCGACGATGGTGGCAGCATCGTAGCCCTCGGGATCGGTGAAGTAACGGAAGTCCAAGGCAGGCTTGATCTGGGGATCGGCGGAGGTCAAATACAGGCGGCCACGAGAACGGGGGCGGGGAATGTTGGGGGTCATGCAGAAGGCATTGGTGGGGGAGTCATATCCCAGACGGCTCGTGTTGAGGCAAAAGGGGATCTGGTAGCAATGCATCATGACATCGGCGGCGCGACCGTCAGTACCGGCGGCATTGGGAAGCTCTCGGCGCAAAAAGATGCCGGCGTCCGAGTCCATGGTCGTCTGGTTGGGGGGAACGGGCTGGTTGAGCTCCCAAAGAATGATACTTTCGGGGTGGTCCAGAAGGTTCTCACCCACACCGGGAATGTCCTTCACGACGGGAAGACCCAGCGAGCGGAGCTGCTCCTGAGGACCCAATCCGGATAGCAGCATCAGTCTGGGGGTGTCCACGGCACCGGCGCACAGAATCGTTTCCTTCTTGGGGCGCAGGGTGTGCTTGGCTCCAGACTGCAGGGTCACGTCAACCCCGGTGACGGTGTCTCCGCTGACATTCACGCGCGACACCCAGGCATTGGTGAGAATGGTCAGGTTAGGGCGCTTCTCCTCCCCGCGCAGGATAGGGTGGATGTAAGCGACACTGGCGCTGCTGCGACGGCCGTCGTCGGGGTTGTAGGAGACGTTGAAGAAGCCGACACCTTCAGTCAATTCGCCGTTGAGGCGGATCTCCCGGTTGAAATCGGGAATGACGGGAATGTTCATGGCAGTCGAGCAAGATTCGATCCAGTCCTTGCACAGCTGGTTGCGGTGGCGGCTGTGGACGGGCTGGACAGTGTTGCGTAAGCTGTCCAGCAGGCGGGTGAAAGTCCCGAAGGACCAGCCCTTGCAGCCCTGCTGCTCCCATCTCTTGCAGTCATATTCGAAGGGACGGAAGGAGATGAGAGTGTTGTGGCTAGAGCAACCACCCAGGACCTTGGCACGCGAATGGCGGATATGGCTGTTACCTGTAACACAAGAATCGTTAGAGCCGACAGAGGGGAAGGACGGAGAGATTCGTGCGATTCCGATCATCCGGACGAGGCATGACATCGGCGAGATTTGTGGGACCGGAGAAGCATGGAGGCCATGCGGTGCGACGTACCCATGGGCTGTTCGGTGGTACCGTAGTCATAGTCCAACTCGCCTCCCAGCAAGTTCAGCCATTCTCTCAGGTTGAGAACGCGATCGTCGTTGAAATCACTGGGGCCACCCTCGATGACCAGGATGCGCTTGTTAGGCAGGTATTCGGCCAATCGACTGGCGATGACACAGCCCGCCGTGCCACCTCCGACGATGACATAGTCATAGCTGTTGACGTCGCTGGCGGGGAACTCGTTTGTGGTGACCATGATGAATGAAGATTTGAGGTCCGAAGCGCAGGAGAAGGGAGGAGAGAGAGAGAGAGAGAAAGGGTGGGGTGGGAGAGAAAGTCAAAAAGAGGAGGGTGTGAGAGAGAGAAAGAGGGTGGGAAGGGGAAAAAGAAAAAGAGAAAAAAAAGGTTCTTTTAAATCGAGAACGCAAAGTCAAAAGTTGCGGTGATACTTCGCCGATTCGGCCGTTCGGCCAACCATCAGCCCATTTTTTTTTTTTTTTCCTTACCGTTTCTCATTCCAAATGTCGGGCTCCGTCTGTCTCTTTTTTTTCCCTCATTCTTCCCTGCTTTCCTGCGTTTCTGCCGGGCTCCATCCGATATTCCCCACCTTGAGAAAAGGCACCAAACCGAGGGCGATCGCTGACTGGCCGAGATGCATAGACATCCCCATGCAGTGGGCCCGCGTCGGCGTATTAGATAATAGATAATGCTACTCCGGAGTACACCTCGCGTGTGGTCTGATGCCGCTCTCCAGTCGTTACGCGGGAGGAACTGTGCAAGTCCCAGCGAAAGGTGAAAACGGAGCTGCGGATTGATCCAGCCCTCGCGGTTTCCAATTCCCAAAGGTGGCCGGTTCTTTTCAACCTCGTCTCTACTCCCGCTCGAGTCACGACGTCACATCCACGCACTAACCGGCGCCACGATGCCACTAAAACACTGGTTAATCGGAGATTCACCGCAGAGGGAATCTTTTACCTTCTTGGTGTCGCGGGAGGGTGTATGCCCGTTTGAGTAGGCGGACGATGGACTGGCGGATGGGAGGAGAACAAGGCCCAATCGCCATGGACCATACGGAGTATCCACGGATGTCCAGGTGAAGAGGATCGATACTCCGTAGATATGGAATGGAGAGGATGCAAGGATCGGCGGACGATGAAACGGGTCCAAATGGGATGGCGGTGAGAGCAGCCTGAAGACTGACGATTTGGAGTTGATTCGGTCTGTGTTTTTTTTTTTTTTTTTTTTTTCCCTTCCTCGGGCCCTGCAAACTTCATTTCCCCGCCACTCGTACTTCTTCATCTTCTCATCTTCTCGTCTTCTCATCTTCTTCCCTCTCTTATCGTCCCGATCTAACTCTATTGGAATAAATCCTTCCACCGTCAACCAAACCCCCCGCTTTCCTTATACCCGCCTCCTCTCTCTCTCTCTCCCCAACCCCCCTCTCTCTAGAGCTTCCGTTCCCCTCTTTCTCTACGTCATGTCCGTCGCCCCGCGCCAGCTCTATTATAACGGTCAGGTCCAGTCGGCCTCCTCCGGCAAGACTTTCCACACCGTCAATCCGTCCGACGCATCTCCACTAGCCGAAATTCACATCGCCTCGCATGCCGATGTAGATTCCGCCATTGCCGCCGCGGACCGCGCCTTTCCCTCCTGGTCCCAGACCCCTCCTATCGCGCGCACGCGCATCCTCCAAAAAGCCGCCGCCCTGCTGCGAGAGCGCAACGATGAAATCGCTCGTGTGGAAACTCTGGATTCCGGAAAGGCCTTCACCGAGACGAGTACCGTTGATGTCGTCACGGGTGCCGACGTGTTGGAATATTATGCCAACCTGGTGGGCGGCGGCGGTTTGAACGGGGAAACCACCCAGCTGAGGGACGATGCTTGGGTGTTCACCAAGAAGGCCCCGTTGGGTGTCTGCGCGGGCATCGGCGCCTGGAACTACCCCATCCAAATGTAAGTGCTTCCCCGTGTCCCCCCTCGGGGAAACTCAAATTGGATTCTAGGGTGCTGACAAGCTTGGGAACCAGTGCGCTGTGGAAATCAGCTCCTTGTCTGGCTGCGGGTAACACCATGGTATACAAGCCTAGTGAATTTACCCCGCTGCATGCGCAGACCCTCGCCGAGATTTACCGGGAAGCTGGACTTCCCGCTGGCGTCTTCAATGTCGTCTACGGGGCTGGCGATGTTGGCGCCTACTTGACTACCCACCCCACCATCGCCAAGGTCTCCTTCACCGGCCAGGTGGCGACGGGTATGAAGGTTGCCGGCTCGGCCGCAGGCAACATGAAGTACGTGACCATGGAGCTGGGAGGCAAGAGTCCGTTGATCATCTGCCCGGATGCCGAGCTGGAAAAGGCCGTCGACGGGGCCATGATGGCCAATTTCTACAGCACGGGCCAGGTCTGTACGAATGGCACTCGTGTCTTCGTGCCCGCGAGCATGAAATCCGCGTTTGAAAAGTTGCTCCTGGAGAAGATGCAGTACATTCGCGCCGGTCCCCTCTTTGACGAGGCCACCAACTTTGGTCCGCTGAGCTCCGCCGCCCACCTCGAGAAGGTAACCTCCTACATTCGCCACGGCATCGAGACCGACAAGGCCACCCTTCTCTACGGCGGACTCGGCAAGCCGCAAGTATCCAAGGAGCTGCAGGATGGATTCTGGGTTCGACCCACCATCTTCACCGACTGCAAGGATGACATGAAAATTGTCAAGGAGGAGATCTTCGGTCCCGTGATGTCCATCCTGTACTACGACACCGTCGAGGAAGCGGTCAAACGGGCCAATGCCACCGAGCTCGGCCTGGCAGCCGGTGTCTTTACCAAGGACCTCAATACCGCTCACCGTATAATCGACCAGCTCCAGGCAGGTATCACCTGGGTAAACACCTGGGGAGAGAGCCCGGCTGAGATGGCCGTTGGCGGCTGGAAGAAGAGTGGCCTTGGCGTCGAGAATGGCCGCAAGGGCATCGAGGCGTGGGTGAAGAACAAGAGCACCCTCGTCGAGATGAGCGGTGAGGTTGCCACGGTGTTTGCCAAACTATGAGCGTTGTACTATCAAAAGATTCAATCCCTGCCTAAGATGCAAAACTAGTTTCTAGTGAGCAAGGATATAAAATGAATGAGATAAACCCAACCCTAGGTGTATACACACACACATATATATACTGGAGTATTCTCAAGCCTCTGCAAAACTCACCATTTGGTAGAATAAAGTGCAGGCGCCGAAAATTCCACGCAACAAACATATCTTTTAATGTGTTCGGTTTTTGACGGTTGGAGAAAACGTAGATCAATCGGACCAAAAATAAAAAATAAAAAATAAAAAGCCTTCCTGTTTATTTGATATACACTAAGCAAAGCCAACGGATTCTAATTTAGACAGCAACACCAAAGGATCAAGATTCTATAAACATTGACAAAGCGATAGGCAGACTTTCACATAGCAATCATAACGATAGGAACTCCTTGTGATGTGTAGGGAGGAAAAACGCTCGGAGGGAAAAAGAAAAGGACAGAGCAACAAGCTAGATAGGGGGGAGATAAAAAAAAAGTAAGCCAATCAAGGAACGAAAATGTGCGTTGACTTGTCAGATATACTTGTACTTAAAAATAATCCCACAATCGGTCTGTAAAACACCCGTGAGATTTTCTTACGTACTCGGTATCTGGATCAGCTTCATTTGTCATGATAGCTCAACTCCTGCACAAAACGCTTTTCAAGACACAACTCTAGTGCCCATCCGATCAAACATGAGTTCATCTTTCAGGGTCGAATCCAAACCACTGATAGCAGAATCGACCATCCGAGAGGACATGCTATCCGGTGTAAGCTCGTCATCCTCAATCGTCTGGCTGAGCTCCGTGTTGATCCTCAGATCCTTAGGTACTTTGGTTGGTGTGCACAACGGGGTAGGCTGCTGGTGGGATTTGACCACCCCGATAGGGGCGGGCACGTAGGTTCTCGGACGATAGACCAAAGGAGGACCCTGCGTTCGTGCGTCCGTACCAGAATTCTCAATGGACTCGAAGTACCGGACGGTCTTAACTTTGAGCTCCAGGGTTGCATCGCGGTCGCAAACGATCAGTGGGTGCTGGTGTAGCTGTAGGGCAGATAGCGTCCACATATGGTTCACGCCACCCTCAAGACCCTTTTCCACTGCCAGTGCCTTGTGAGCCCCAGTTGCGACAATCACGACCTCTCGTGCCTCCATAATCGTCTGGATTCCCACCGTCAACGCCATTCGAGGAACTTTATCGATGTCATTGCCGAAAAACCGAGAGTTGGCTAGGATAGTGTCATAGGCCAGGGTTTTCACACGGGTACGACTGCTCAATGAGGATCCCGGTTCGTTAAATGCGATATGGCCGTCGGGTCCGACGCCACCCAAGAAGAGTTCAATACCGCCGTAACGTGCAATTCGCGCCTCAAAAGAGGCACACTCTGCCGCAAGGTCTGGGGCGTTCCCATCAAGAATGTTGATGTTTTGTGGCGCAATATCGACGTGCGAGAAGAAATGCTTGTACATGAAACTGTGGTACGATTCAGGGTGATCACGAGGCAACCCGACATATTCATCCTGCCTTTGTTAGTGTCGCGTCCGTATCACATTGCGAGGAGAGGACTGGCAATACCATATTGAAGGTTACGACATGTTTGAAAGAGACGTCGCCCGCTCTGTGACGGCGGACAAGGGTCTTGTAGATGATTTCGGGGCTGCTACCGGTTGGGAGGCCAAGGACAAAGGGCTGGCTGTCGGTTGGTTTGAAGGATTTGATTCGACCTAGTCGTCTCGAAAGAATCGGCCGCGATTAGACGGGGAGCAACCAGTTGAAGAGGAATCGAGACATGACTTACTGATGATATAGTCAGCAATATACTCCGATGCCTCCGGGGCATTCTCTCGAATGATGACTCTCCTAAAAGGCACATTAGTTCCACGCTCGCAGGGAATACCAGGCAGCTGGCGAAGAGAAGTGGTGTGCCATACATGGCGAGTTTGTGACCAAGCTACGTCACGAATAATGTGGGGCGTTAGGTCAAGAGGAACAGGGAGAAAGATATCGGTCAGGAAGAGGGTTGGGGGGGTCAGAGGAGGGCAAGTGCAAGCCGTCACCAAAAGGGAGACGAAACAGGAGAGTCTCTTGGTCTAGATAGGCAGAGACCGGCAGTCGTAGTAGATGGGGTGGGTGTAGATAGACGAGAGAGGGTCTGGGTCAAGTGATGGAAGGTTGGGGGGACTCGAAGCTTTTGACGGAGCGAGGAAACGAAGAGAAGAAAAGGGCGAGAAGGAAAGCAGGACGAGGGAAGAAAAGGAAGGAGATCCACGGGACTCCGTTGCAATCCAGGCGGCCAGTGAATTCCGGAATTTGCTGTGGAGGGTGACAATATGATGCCGCTACTTTCTACTACCTCGTTGGCCATTATCGGGCGGAAGCTCTCGAATCTACCGGAGTTGTGGAGGGGCAGTGGCAACGGATGACGCAAGCCCGATGCCATTGTTCATCTGTCACGAACCGACAGAGTTCCATTTCATCATCAAGAATGACAACGTAATGTTGCAGAAGGAGGTGGCATAGGGCAGCCGGTCCCGGCGCGCGAGATAAGGTACTGCGCCCATGCCCCATGCGGTATCGTTGCATTCGGTGGAGCTCGGGAACCCGGGGAAGAGTTGAAGGGCAGGTGGCAGGTGCAAGTGCAACCCTCCCGGTACCGTACCGTACGGTACATACATGCATACCGTACCGACCGTATCGTACAGGACGAGTCCCGCACGTGACTGCGGGATCATGGGATGCCACGGCCTCAGGCTGCACAGACTCCGGATGCGATACACCGGAGGCCTCGAAGGTCCCTCCTGTGCTTTACCGGGTTTCTCCTCGTCATCTCCCGTTCTTGCCCTACGATCCATCCGTGATGGCAATGTCCTTCGTCGTCGGTCTCTCCTAGGATTGCAATTGTCCAGATCGTCGGCGGACCATCGAGCTTCGGCTACCAAATACCTACTAGTGCCTTCTTCCTCCCTGCTGACCTCTCTCTCTCTCTCTCTCCCTCTCCCCACAAATTTCATCATGTCGCGCCGTGACCACCTGCTGTTCCGACCCATCAATCTGCGGGTAAGCAAGCAGCAGCACCCTAATCATCCACCTACCTCCCCTCCCGTACTTCGGCATTGGAATTAACCAAAAATCCGACCTGGCGACTCAGAGCTGACGGTAGAATGCTGATCCCTGCCCCGTCTTCGGTCGAATCCTAGCTCGCCTTGAGGTAGCTTGTATCAACCGCTACGGTCTATCCGTTTCTGGCACCTGTCAGCTCCGACATCGTTTGCGGCTTTGTCTCTCATTCATTCCTCTCCCCTCCCCACCACCAACATCAACATCCTGTGACTGAACCCACCCCCCTCCTGCGTGGGCCACCATTCGCCCTGCCCGCCTTCCTGGAATTTGCAGAGGTTCGCCTCACCCTAGGGCCCTCATGGCCCCGAAGGAGGACATGCTGCCCCCTGGCTGGGAGGATCTAGACAGGTAGGACCTTGGTCTTGGCATGACCTCTTCCCTCCTCTCCCCGGCGGCATTCCTCCGCAACGTGCTCTTTCCTATTGCGGCGTTCCCACTCCTGGTCTCGTTGCACACAATGATCGTACGCGCTAACGGCTTGAGCGTTGTGTTTGTTCGACAGGCAGATGGGCCAGCTGTTCATGATGGGCTTTGACGGTACCTCCGTCAGTCCTCAGATTCGCTCCCTGATTGAAAATTACCATCTGGGCTCCGTTCTGCTAACAGCCAAAAATTTGAAATGTATATTATTCCCGTTTGACCCGTCTTTCTCTTGAGCATCGCCGCGCGGAATGGAATTCTGGCGCCGCGAATCTTGCCCGTCGTTCAGATCCAGCGTTCTAACCCAGGTATAGCTGCAGAAGAGGCCACGCAATTGGTCCTCGAGCTGCAAACGATCGCCCGAGATGCTGGTCATCCTGTGCCACTGCTTATTGCCCTGGACCAAGAAAACGGGGGCGTGAATAGCCTATACGATGAAATCTATATCCGACAATTCCCCAGTGCTATGGGCATTGCTGCGACGGGCTCGAAGTCCTTGGCCCATGATGTTGCCGTGGCTACTGCCCAGGAGCTTAAAGCCGTCGGAGTGAATTGGATCCTTGGCCCCGTTCTAGACGTCTTGACCAACGTACGAAGTCAGCCTCTGGGGGTTCGTACTACGGGCGATGATCCCCAGGAGGTATCCCAATACGGCGTGGAGTTCCTGAAAGGCTTTAAGGAGGCCGGCCTGGTGACCTGTGGGAAGCATTTCCCGTCATATGGTAATCTAGAGTTTCTTGGCTCGCAGACAGACGTGCCTATCATTACCGAATCGCTGGAGCAGCTCAGCTTGACTGCGCTGGTTCCGTTCCGGAATGCCATCGTCCATGGGCTAGATTCGATGATGGTAGGGGGCGTTTCCATGTCATCCGCCGGGGTGAACGTCATGCACGCTTGTTTGAGTGAGCAGGTGGTTGATGACCTTCTCCGGAAAGACCTGCATTTCAACGGCGTAGTCGTCTCGGAATGTTTGGAAATGGAGGCCCTCACTCATAACATCGGGGTAGGCGGGGGCACCGTAATGGCAAAAAACGCGGGCTGCGATATTGTTCTTCTCTGCAGGTCATTTCCGGTCCAACAGGAGGCCATTAACGGGCTGAAACTCGGCGTGGAGAATGGTATTATCGGTCGGCAGCGCATTGAACAGTCGCTACGCCGGGTCCTAAACCTAAAGGCAAAATGCACCTCCTGGGAGCAGGCCCTTAGCCCTCCGGGCCTTCCCTCCCTCACGCAGATGCAGCCCTCGCATACCAGTCTTTCCAAGAAAGCCTACAACAGCTCGATCTCCGTCGTTCGGGACAAGCAGAACTTGCTTCCCCTGTCCAATATCCTAATGCCAAGCGAGGAACTGTTACTATTGACTCCCCTAGTGAAACCGCTACCGGCCTCGGCCGTGTCCCGCTCAGTCATCGAGCACCTTAATTTGCCTCTGGACACGGTGGCGGGAGATCGGACGGCCTCTGTTCTAAGTGGCGAAAGTGTTTTCAAAGAGCTGGGAAGGTCTCTTTCCCGGCAGAGAAGTGGCCGTGTATTACACACATCCTACACGGCCAACGGCGTGCGCCCTATCCATGAGAGTCTCATAGATCGAGCTAGCGCAGTAATTGTTGTCACCGCAGATGCTAACAGAAACCTCTACCAACACGGCTTTACCAAGCACGTGGCGATGATTTGCCGGTCACAGTTTACGCCAGCCGGGGAAGCTCGAGAGAAGCCTATGGTAGTCGTTGCAGCCAGCTCCCCCTATGACTTCGCCATGGATCCTTCCATTGGAACTTATTTATGCACATACGACTTCACCGAGACGGCGCTGGAAGCCCTTGTCAAGGTACTTTATGGAGAATTGGCCCCAATGGGCTCCTTGCCGGGGTCAATCAATCGGAGTCAGAAACTCCATCAAGCGCGCCAGCACTGGCTCGTAGAGAATTGGAATGAAGAGCGGGATGCCCACGCTTTGGATTCTCTCTTGGATGCGGTCAGAGCGGACTGTACTCAAGGGCAGCGCTCGGAGCTCCTGGGTGTGACATCTAGCAGCTTTCTCCTGCGAAGAGAGGATGTTGATGAGGGGCACTTCGTTGTACGCAACAGCAGCACGCAGGCCCTCTACGGATTTTGCTCAACATACTTTTTTAGGTCCACGGGCACTGGCGTGATCGGCTCGTTGATTGTTGACCCGACGAGACGAAAACTTTCCATCGGAAATTCTCTCCACAACCGAGCTATCCGGACCCTCCTCCAACGAAAGGGAGTAAGGAGGTTCCAGCTTGGTTCTCGCCTTCCCGGGATCTACCTTGGCATTCCGTCCGCCAACCAGGTTGAGCGCAAAAGGTTACGACAATGGTTCGCGAACCTGGGCTGGAACACTGCCCTTTCGCGACCCGTCTGCAGTGTATTCCTGCGGAATCTATCGACATGGACTCCTCCGGACGGGCTGGTCCAAGGTCTGCATAACGCAGATGTGGCCTTTGATCTCGTTCACGGGTGGGATTACGCCGATCTGATCCTCGATCACATCAAGACGAATTCCAGGCAGGGGGTGGTAGATATCTATAAACTGGCCCTTGGGGGAGCGCCTCATTCGGGGATCATCAGGGCTACACGACCTCAGGATGGAGCAATCCTGGGCAGTGTTGTCATTTACAACGGTCGGGCGACTTTGGCGGAGCACATGCCGGCCCTCAAATCTACACACGGTTCAACTGGCGGGATTTCCTCGCCGGTGATCTCGCCATCGGTTGGCGAATATGCTACCGTTATGCAGGGCCTAGTTTTGCTGGGAATCAAACAAATCCGTAAGCAAGGAGCCGAGGCTGTTATCATGGATTGTGTGAGTAATAGGCATCACCTTCTCCTTTATATGAGCCTTTTGGTTAACAGTTATGGTGCAGGTTGATGGGGACGGCAATTTTGATTGCCTGGCAGGGATGGGCTTTAGCACGCTGCACAGCTTTGAGGAGGTAAATTGCGATGCCTCAACATGGACCATGATGACGGCTTCGTAGTTTTTTTTTTTTTTTTTTTTTTTTTTTTTTTTCCTAATCCCGTCTTCTTTCTCTCCTTCGTCACTTTTTTTTTATCTTCTTGAAAAGTGGCACATGGATTTACACTAGCAGCTCTGCCTTGGTACATATGATATCCATTCTGTATTGATTCTACGGTATTCGGATACCTTCGGCTTCCTTCCTTCCTTTCTTTTTCTTTTCTCCCCCCTTCTCTTTGTAGTAAAGTTGGCAGTGCAATTATGGTACCAACTCCGCGTCTCTTTTTCTTCTCGTCATCGTTCCGTGTTCGTGGGAGCTAGATCGATCGTGGCCGATAGGCTGAGACAATCAACCGAGAGCTGGCCGGCGTGGATCGTGGGCACGGGACGTCTGCTGGAGCATCATCCCTAGATCGAAATTAAGGTCCCTAGGAACCAGTGCCACTGCATTCGGGACCTCGGGGCCAAAGTTGGGCCCGTTCAAACTCCAAAGGTTCCAACAGACTGCCGGAGCCAATCACTGCCGAGAACAGGGACGTTTGCGGATTTGCGAGGGACCGGGCCAAAGTGGGCCGTCGTCCACATCCAATCCTCCTCGCTCCCTCCGATTGAAAGGTGAAGATTGAATAGCCATGGCATAACTGGGTAGACAATCGCAGGGATTTCGAGACTGTTGTCCTGTCTGTTCGCCTGTCCCTGCCCCGCCGGAGTACAAGGTACCCTGTAGGTACTCTATACTGCAGAGTATGCAGAGTCTGTAGGGTGTACTGCGTAGGCCTTCGAACCACCCGGTCGGATGACGCCGCAGCACGTGATGGCCTGAAAATCCGTCGACGCGACCAACCGTTCCGGGGACGAATTCCTGTCTTTTTTTCGATTCGAGGGGACCTCCGGGATTTCTGCAGAACAGACGATGGAGGAAGAGAAGAAGAAGAAGAAGAAGAAGAAGAAGAAGAAGAAGAAGAAGAAGCCACTGCCGCCACCCGAAATGCAAAGAAAACAAGAGGGTTTCACCAATTTGTCTGGTGATTTACCTGCCAGTAATCTCGATCACATGTCATCCCCCCGACTGTGCCCCAGGGCGGGAGGTTGACTTTGGACGTGCCTCCATCGTGTATCCCGTACCTTAACAATGGTCTTATCTCCCTCGGTACCCGGACTAATAATACGAGACGTGGGCCAGAGCGAGAGCGAGAGAAAGCGCCAAAAAGAAAGGAAAGAAAAAAAAAAAAAAAAGACGCCAGGCAGACACCAAGAAATAGAGTTACTGCCAATAGGAGCGGTCTCGAGCATTGACTGCCTCCGCCGCGAGCGGTCCTGGCCGAATTAAGGCGCGGCTGATCCGGCCTCGCCTGGCCTGGTCTGAGACATACAACGCAGCCCTCGGCCAATCACGCGTCCGGAGCCCGCCCCCATCTATTGGGCGACAGGCAACTAAGCCAACTCCGGAGGGTGTGCAGTTCGCAGGATTTACTGCAGGAAGTTGGAATGCAGTCATCTTCCGGAGGAAAGGACCTGGTACCTACGCAGTAAGTAGAGGTAGGGAGGCACGGCGTATTCGTACCTACCGTCCTTATGGCGGCGATCTTTGGAGTTGGACACCGGAGGCAGCCCGTGGCCAGGCGTCGTCTGCGAAAGAGGCACTCTCTCCTGCATCTTCGAGATGGACGGAGCTCCGACCACCGTTTTGGGTAAGCTTTGACCCCGGGGCCAATCAATGCCCTCGTTCGGATGTCGCCTCTTCCATTCCTCTGGAGGAATCGCCCTACTGTGGATGGTGCATCCCTAGTACTCAGCACTAACCACGGTTCTTATTACTAGCTAGTACTTTACCCGGTTCCTACGGCGTACAGGGGAGAGATTCTGCTTCCCTTGAAAACCGAACGTCCCTCTACAACCTACCACTCCCGCACCCAAGTAGGTACCTAGATACCCAGATGCACGAAGCGAGTGGCTGAAAGAGCTTATTACCACCCCTAACTCCACTCGCATCCCTGCTGGTGGTAGATTGCAGCCCACTCCACCGACCCCGGCCGCAGCATTCAGAGGAATAATGAATAATGAATAACGATCATTCCCCCGGGTCGAAGTGGAGCCCCCTCCCAGTCGGGACTAGCGGGCATATCCAAAGCAGGGCGTCCTAAATCCTAATGCGGCAGGTCCGTAACTGCCAAACCGGGGTAGTCTAGCATGCAGACGCCGTCCATCTGACCGTCATGATTTGGGACGGTACTTACTCCGGAGTCCGAAATACCTGAGGAGGGTCCCTACTTTACCTACCATAGGTAAGTGTTCTGTTGTAAGGTCCGGACTCCCACGACGGGATGTACCACCAACGGCATCCGCATCCGCAGACCAGCCAATCCACAACGGATATGTTGCGGACACTAAAGCACGTCCAACTTGTTGGCTGGTTCCCCTGTTCTAGAATGTTATTTTCCCTCCAAAGATCAAGGGGAATCATGAGCCACACCGCAGGAAATCGGTGCCGACGAAGCCATGAACGAAGGCTCATGGAAATGATGAATGATTATGCGTTGGTTTGTTTTATTGCTGGTTGACAAACTGTTGAGTAAGATGGTAATCTATTGTCTGCCCTGTATAGTTTCTTTTAATTTCTGTTCTTTTCTTTTCTTTTTTCTTTTTTGACCCTCCATAATCTCTTCTTGAGATGAGAAAAGGAAAAGGTAAAAAAAAAAAAAAAAAAGGAAAGGAAAAAGAAAAGTGGGGCGAAGCCAATGAAGAAGATTCCGCCTGCGGTCGGGGGGCTCTTTTACTCTCCGTCCTTCGCCTCTTGCCTCTTCCCTCTCCCTTCCAGATAAAGAGGGGGGGAACCTCAAGGGTGGAGGGGTCAAGAGGGAATATTCTCCGCTCATCGCTGTACTGTTTAGGGGTGTAAAACGGACAAGAAGAGAGAGGACCTGGAAGAAAGAAATGAAAAAAGGAAAAAAAGAAAAAAAAAAAAAAAGCGGTTTCCCATGGGTAATAACCTTTCATCTCACATCCTTCTCCACTCGCAAATGGGCTGTCAGCCTGTCTTCGTGATCGCATCCCCACCCCAAGCATCGCTCGTTATTCGCCGGGCGCCTTTGGGTCGGGTCTAATCTCGAACCAGGGCCGAGAGTCCCCAGGCCCAAACCCTCAAACCAGAGCGGCCCTGCCCTTTTTCCCTCGCGCTGGCTCCAGCGGCCCCCCCGTCGCCGGGTCCGTCTCCTGGTGTCTTGTTATCTCCATCACTCCAATTCGACTAGGCTCACTCCGGATCGTTATTCTTGACTTTTAGCTGCTGCTCTGAAAACCTACCACGATCCCCACCCACCAGTACTCCATACCATCCTGAACCTCGGGGGAATCCGATCCACTCACGACTGCTATTACAACGCCTACTGCTACAGCTCACTGACTATTATTCCCTTTCCCCCCCTCCCCCCTTCGTTTTCCTTTTCTCTTCCTTCGTCCGTTACCCCTCCTCAATTGCCCTCTCATTCCGCTGCCTCGTTGCTTTTCCTTTGCCACTATCATTCTTTCTCCCACCCCACCCTCCGTCCTAACCGCAGCTTCCTCCATGTCCTCCCCTCTTTAACCTGCCCTTCCCACGCTTGTGACTTCTTTGCACTCTCCCCTCTTCCCGCCTTCGTCGCCGGTCTTCTTACCTGCCGTCCCTACAACCCATCTCACAGTAGCGTCTCTTGCACCGTCGCCTCCCCCGGTTCTGACGGGTCCCAAAAAGGCCCTCATAGTTCGTCGAGTCTTGTCCGTCCCAGTTGAACCCGGCCCTCGCCATGGAGGGCTTTGACACCATGGCGATGCCATACCTGGCCAGCCCATTATCGCTTGGCAATATCCAGAGCGCAGATTACCTTAACTCGATGCCCGGAATGGACATCCCGGACCAGCGTTCGAATTTCGACTCGGAAACATTCGTCAGGTAGGCTACCAAACACATCTGGCTCTGGTGCTTTCTTCACTTGACCATCATCAGACTTCTAATGCTTGCCTTGGTTCAGCGGGGATGACATCCCTTTTCCTCCAAATGGGTTGCCGGCGACATTGAAGAGGTTCCCGTCGGGTTACGAGGACCCTTTCACGGACATGGTGACTCCGTTTGAACCTGCACCCCCCGAGCAGTCTGCGGATTCCTCCATCGATCACAATAATAAACTACTAAGCTTTTCCGTTCCAGTTTACAGCTTCACCCTCCTGGACTATTCATTACGACGGACCTCGTTATCACTTTCGGCCCAGTTGCATGGCATGTTCTTCCTTGCGGAGTCACCCTGGACCACATCCCCCGCCGAGAATGCTCCGCCCCAACAGGGTGCCGAATTAACGTGCTACCGCCGCAATTTATTCCAGATTACGGGCTCTGTCACCCTTCCGCGGAGTTTGCGCTACATTATGACAGAACAAGGCGATCGGATACCTATTCTGGCGCAAGAGCTTACCGTTTCCGCCACCGAGTCGGTGGAAGGCAATTCCGTCAAAATCATCTCCGTTCCCTGGAAAACCCCGGCGGCCAACGGAAACCCCCTCGGTGAAGACGGAAACAATTCGGCGAGCAGTAACCCCAAGATCGAAAAAGAGCCCCCTCCGATCCCATTGGATATAATGGCCGGCCAAGATCTCGACACCGACTACGCTACGTTCCCCATCGCATGGAAGCGGCTTCAATTTCGAGTCGCAACGGCCAACAACGGCCGCAGAAAGGAACTTCAGCAGCACTTCGTCGTTCGGCTCAAGGTCGTCGCCACTCTGTCTACTGGTGCCAAGATTCCCATATGTGAAGTGCAGTCAGGGCCTGTGATCGTTCGAGGCCGTAGCCCGCGCAATTTCCAGTCCCGCAAAGACTTGCCCTTGAGTGGGAGCGCTGCTGCATCCAGAAAGAGTGCCCAAGCCTCCCACTCCGCATCGGCCAACCGAGCTTCCACGAGTGAAGCCGCTTTGCGCTCCAGTCAGACAGCGGCCAAGGCCAAGGCCGCCGCGAAAAGTAGCTCTCCGGATACCACAATGTCACAAGCTGGCATTATTCCCCAGCAGGCGTCTCCGGATTGGAACCAAGCTTCTCGGCCTGCGAGTGGCGCGGTTCCTTCTGCAGCCCTGCCCCACTCATCTGTATACTCACAGTCTAGCCCTGAATTCTCAAGACCGACGGAGAACCAGCGACGAGCGAACTCCGTTGCCGCTCCTATAAACTTGTCTTTGTTGGATGAGGATGATAACGGTGACGCCCTCAACGTAAATGATTCGATTGGATCTACTTCCTCTTATATCAATGACGTCCTGAACAAGAACCCGGGTGCTCAAGGATCTGCACCGCCGGCGAAACTGCGCAAACTGTCCCATGGCCTTTCCCAAACGCCAACACGAGCCTCGTCATCACTACCATTGTTAAACGCCACGAACTTACAGCAGCCCTTCGCATCCACTCTGCCGTTTCCTAACGAGAATTCCGACCTTCTATATGAATATTTCCCCCTTGGATTGGATGATTGGCAGGCGCCCGTCGATGCAGTTTACCGGCCGCATGTTGTGCATCACACCAATATGCCGGAGATGAAGTTTGTTGCTGCTCGAGGCCGGAGTAAACGTTATTTCGCAGCGGAGGATGTATTTTGAATTTCGGCTTCTGAACTGGCATCAATTTCGCCAAGGAAGCCCTCGAGCCAAGCATCCTTACGCTGGCATTCGACGTGCGCCTGGTTCAAGCCGCGCATTTGTGTGGCAGGGGAATAATTTTATTTTTTTTTCTTTCTTCTCCATCTGGATGGATTTGTTTTGGATTGTGGGGGTTCTTTTCCCCTCCCCCTATGGCACACATGCATGTGTCTTTTTACCTTCTGGTTTGGGGCAATGGGTAGGGACGTGCCGGGCATAGGACCATCCAGGAATGTATTGTTATGGGAACAGTGTTGTTATGGACTGAGGGGTGGATCTGGCGCGATGGAGTTCAGGATACTGGGTGAATCGTTTTCCAATTCGGTTTTGTTTACATATATTTGATTGTGTTATGAGGTCATGTTCAACTTGGGCCAAAAGTTTCAGATCCGCGGTCTTCTGCGGGGCTTTGATAATCGACTGGCCATTTGAAAACCCTCGTCTCTGGCTCCGCCGGGAGTTGATATTAATTTTTTTTTCTCCCTTTTTATTATTGTTATTATTTTCCTTCCTATTATCTGCGGATGGGGTGGTCCACTCTCCGAAAGGACAAGGGGCATTTACAGTCCCAAATTCATTTTTTCTACACATGTCTGTCGCGCACAGGCTTGAAAAAAAAAAAAGGGTTTGCTATATCATAAACCATTCAAAGGTATCCTCCGCCAACAATTTATTTCTAGTCATTACAGAAACCCAAGCCCCGCGCCGCCAATGGCCTCAAGATCTGCCTTGATTTCCCATTGATTCGCCCCAACCCGACTGGCTAATTCACTTCGGCGCGTTGTGCTCAAATCCAGCCATCGACTGAGGAGGGCACCATCTAGCATGCCTCTCCCTACGCTGCCATCGCTTTCAACGGCCCGGAAAGCCCGAGGATTCAGCCCGCAGGGATGTTCTAAAGCATTTGTCAACTGGGATTGAAGAGCGGATAAACGACGATATGACTCTTCGGAAACGCAGGTCACCAGGCCGACCGAGCCGTTTTCGGCGGTCACAAGTACCTGATGGCGTGACACTTGAGTGTCGAGGTCCATTTCATCCGAGCTGGGGCTGACTCGCTCGGAGGAGACCATAGTGCGCGGTAATAGAGTCAATGTCGACACGAAGCTGCCCACATGGAATTTGCTCCGGTTGAGAAGTTTATCCCCATTCGATGATTTGGGATCTGATAGGCCATTAGCACGATATCTCGCGAGGCATGTATCATATATCGCTCAACCTTGGGGTCTCGGGCCTACCTTCGGGATCATATTGCAACACGTGGAGATTGCAATCACTGTCGGTGAATAGAATAAATAATCGGTTGCCATCGGGGAGAAAATCCGCTGCCATGACTTCACGATAGTCCAGGTCCTTCGCGAAGAGGCTCATCTTGTACGGTTCCTCCTAAAGAGTCGAACAATTATGACATTAGCGGCTCATCGGTCGTATCGACGACATGAAGCAGACAACTTACCGAGTATCCTGCGAACCAAAGCCCTTTGACGGCGTCTCCGATTATACACATTCCGGTACCTTTGAGTTCTTTCACGACACTAACGTAGCATTGCACATCCATGAATGCTACGGGTAGGAGGCTGCCATCCTCCTTGAGGCCTCGGACCATACACTTCTGTCCTTGGGCGACGACCAAAAATCCCTGGCCACCAATCTCCGATAGCGCAGTTACTGCTCCTTTGACTAACTCCTTGCCAATGAGTTTCAACTTACGATCGGTCTCTGGCTTCTGAGGGTCGGGGACCACTCTAATCACCTCAAAGACATAGATGCAGCCCCGGGACGCTATATCCTCGCCTCGTGCATATGCGGTCCCAACCACAACCAAATCCTTACGTTCATGCGTATTTTCGGATATCTCCAGGCTCAAATTTTTCATCGCGGTCACATGCTCGGCCGGACCTAACGTGTAGCTTTGGGAACTTATGTCAGTTGCGCAAGACACGACGTCATGGTTTCACATCCTACCTGTCAATGATGGACCACGTCCTGGGGCATAGGAGCCGTAGCGAGCTCTGATGCACTTCGGGGGGCAAGGATACCACTGTAACGTAATCAATACTGCTATCTTCCAAAGCTGAATGGACACCGACCTTCGTTGCGCCATTCAGGATGTAGTTCGTCATCCATAGGTAGTTTGAAGCTCGTCTTGTGGCAGCTCCCTAGAACGTACGTCCCAGAGGAGGTAGAGTAAGTTAAGTGGTCAACCTGCTCGCCTATGGATATCTTCCGCAGCGTCCATGGATGATCGAAGTTTGTATCACGGGGCAACTGGCACAGCCGCGCAATATTCTGTTCATTGTTCAGTATGTATGATTATGGCACCACAAACAGATTTGTAGAAGATACCTTTGAGTCCAGCGTGATGAAACCCATACTGGCACCTCCAGCTTTACTGAGGATACCTAAAGACCGTGTTGAATCACCCCCCAGAGGTATGAAATGCGGTCGGCTTGCCGATGTCTTGAGCATAAGGCCGGCCGAGGATCCAGGCACGAATACAGCACTAAATCCCGAGATATTGGGGAGCATTCGCAACAGCATCTTCTGGTGTGGATCACCGGAATCAACCGTGCCAACGGTAGATGAGGGTTTTGGTAAGACATGATTTGTTTCTCTCAAAAGTTTCAAAGTCGAAGATCCCCCTGTTTCAGCCAGGCTTGAAAAAGGCTTATAAACCGAAATGTCGTTATTGACAGTTCGGATCTGCATTCCGTGTCAGTATTTCCAAGGCGATAATAGAGCAAGCAGTTCCGGGGTTCAGACCAGTAGGTAAGGACTAGTGTGCCACTCATCTCCAAGATCTGCAACGACAATCTCAGCCAGAGCCTCCCGCGTAGTCGACCGCTTTGGTGGCTCGTTCGACAGCGTTGGAGATAAGCAATCGACGCCTTCCATAAGCGACACTAACGCCTGATCGGAAAGTCGGTAGATCTAACCCTTCTGTAAGCCCCATGTCCACACAGGTAACTTTCTATAACACTTCTAAAGGGGAGAATGGAGTATGTTTTAGAAGGGACCTGTCACTCACATATAATCGACAATCCAAACTGAGCAGAAACAAAAAGATCTCGCCCTTGGGTGGCCCATCTAGGGCTGGGCGTGCTACCTCAAACACCCCGTCTTTATCACAATACAAACAGCAAGACAACCATTTCGAACCCAAGCCAGCCGGACCTTCATCCAGCGAAACCTCGTCGAGATCTCCACTATCATCTGCCTGGAGAAGTAGTAATGTAGAGTCGTCTCGAAGGATCGCAAGATAAGAACCCACGAGGCTGGCGCTCACAGCTATGCGCTCTTCACTGGTGTCCTCATCCCACACGGGATAGATCTGAGCCAACCCCAGGTCTATTTGGTCAGCAAAATCCATGGACCTCATTGACGGGCAAATGACTCACCAATGTCGTAACTCCGGACTTCGTTTTGAAGGACTTGAACCACGCGGTTTTTGCTTCTTAGCGTCTCGATTTGAACGGTGGAATCACCATTGGGATTGAACTCAGGCGCTTTAAAGGGCTTAAATTCCTGTCCTTCCACCCGAAATATGACTGATTCCTCTTTTTCGGCCACAGTGCGTTTGGAGAAGATAGCATAGTGTCGCCAATCCGCTTGTCCACCTCCGTCGGATAAATTCCCTTTGTCGATAACAGATGCAGTCCAGACGCAGGCGGCAGAATCAATCGTTTGAGAGGCGAGAACCAATGGTTCAATTTCACGCTTCATCACCACCACGCCGCCACTCCTGTCTGACCCCTGCGATGATACGAGCTGCAGTGTGGGCGGAGGTTTCTCTGCACATTGTTCGTTTTCCTCTTTACTATTCAAAGGAGATTGACCCAGGGTAACATCATGCAGCGGCCCGATATTGAAAAGCCTGTCATGGATTTGAAAATTGCAGTGTCCAAACATAGATGCATCAGTAGAAGAGAGACGACCGTCCGTCGGCGCGTCCTGGACGGTAGAATAGAGATCATCCTCGTAGGCATCATCTTCAAGTTGATCTTCCTCTGATAGGTCTCCAGAGTTTTCATCGAGATACCTAGCCTCGGATCGCGTCCTCTTAATACCCGAAGACGAATAGTTCCAGCTAAGTAGCACCGAGTCCGTATCCTGACTGCCCAAAAAGATTCTTCTATTACCAAGAAAAGATGCTGATGAAGCAGCAGATTTCATGATATCGCCACCGGCATGTGTAGGTACTAGGTGGACCGAGATACCAGACACCGACCTTCCATCAAGCTTGAATTTAATGAGTGCCATAGCTCCGTCAGAAAGAGCCAAAACCAAATCACCATTGCTTTCATCAAGGCGTTCAACGGCGCCGCCTTCAAGCCGAAGTGCCAGGTCCGATTGGTCCGTCATGGCAAACGCTGAAGCCTGCTTTGAAAATTCGTTCACCCCCACTGCATTGGTTTTTCCTGCCTGGTCGACATGAACGAGTTCGTTGGAGCCGATAAGCAAAGCACCTCCGACAGGGGGTGGAAGGGGCATCACTTTGAACAAGTCACTGGGCAGTTTGGACACCGAGAGCAGTGTAGTGGAAGCTCGCTGTTCCAAATCTAGCGTAAACACGGTGTAGAAAACAACATCTTTTCTTTCGGAAAGAAGTGCATTTGATGTTGAAACCTGTGAATACAAAATACCAAAGGTTGGCTCCCTATATTCATATAGAAACGCAAGGCTTATCGGGTGTAGTATCGAGGGATCTAGTGCAGTTAAAGGAAGGACGAAGGAAGACGCATACGGGGTCTGATGAGCCGCCTCATTCTGTGCTGTCCCGTGGGAAACCCCCACTCCGGGGCCAGTGCCATCTGATCGATTCTCCTCGAAGTCGGAGTTGTAATCGTCCATCACCAGGTCGTCCCCTGCCTGGTGGAAAGGAAGGATGGCGATATTCTTAACGCCAAAGTTGAAGACTGCGCATCTGCTGCTCGGATCCACACTAAGAATGCTGGCACAACTGCTTAAATCGGGTATCCAAGGACTACGGGTCAAATCATCTCGCTCATAATAGTGGATGGAAATGGTCGAAATGCCATGACGCTCTGGGTCCCATTCAATCAAGCTAAGTTTGGCGTTTCGGAAAGCAATCAAGACAGCTTCTCCCCCGCTCTTTGTATTTAGAACTTTGACCCGGCAAAGGTCGGTTATTATCCCAGGAAGAGGGTATTCTCCTTCCAGTACCAGCTTGGATGCTGCCTGGTCTTGGGCGGTTCCCGGTCCTGGTGTGACTTTGACCAAAGAAAATATTTGGAGCAGGGAGGTCCTCGCAACCACCAGGTTGTTGGCTGTCGCGCGCACGAAGGGGATTGCCAGTGAATGAGTGACCCCGGTGGGAGGCAGTAGTTCGGTATAGCACTGCATTTGTGGATCGCAAGCAGTTGAGGATACGGATGTTCGGTGCCCTTGGTCAACCCTTCCCCATCAACCTAAATGCTGGATGCCAGGGCAAGATCGGCCGGCAAAGAAGGCAGAGGGAGCAACGGAAGTTGAAGATTGGAGGTCAATTGGAAGTCAGCCATCCGACTCGAGCAGGTCAGTCTCGGGAAGTTTGGACAACGCCGCTTCCTCCTTTGTCAGTTTCCAATTTCCTTTATCGCCGCCCGATAGCTCCCACGTGACCGTCCGCGGTGCGCTCGATGACGTAAGGCGCACCAGCTCCGGAGTTCCCCAAGTGTCGCGCTTCTCTGCGGCAAGCCTCTCCCCATCCTTCGACTCCCATGATCGCAACGTACTGTGGATGGACCCCCCACGGAGATTCTCGCCTATTCGTTGAATGACTTGAGCTCCATATGTCGCCTCAGCCTTGACAAGATGGTGCTCCTGCAAACCTCCCTGATCTGGGTTGTATATGCAATTGTGGTTGCCATTTTGATCCTGGCGGCATCGTTTCTAATATATACTTACCAGACTCCTCGAGACCGGTCTAATCTAGTGACTTTGACATGTATTGCTGCCATCTCCACCCTCCTCGCCACTGTTCTCTTGCTTCCAGTCGATATCGCCCTTGTCTCCTCCACAACCTCCTCGGCACTTGGTCGGAGGAAGGAATGGGCTACTCAGACCGAAATAGATAGGATTCTCTTCTCCTTGAAAATCTTATACTACCTGCTATATTCCATTGACGCCCTTCTTTGTCTTATTGTGGTTCCCTTCACGTATTTTTGGTATGAAGAGTACGATGAAGTGGCTGCCCAGGCGGGCGAGCAAACAGCCGCACAGCAATTCTGGGCGGCTTCAAAGTACACAATGTCGTTCATTGCAATATCAGTCGTTCTATTCCTCGTCGGCTTTTTTGTGCCTGTCGCAAAAGAAGGTGCGGATGGCTTGGACTTCTTCAAGCACTTGCTGTCGGAAAATCGTAAGCTTGATCTTCCTCTTCCTTTCCCCATTCTGAGCTCCCGTTTTGCTTCTCCTTGCTGTCCTTGTTTGAGGAGACTAAAGAAATTCCGCAGGCGGCGAACGGACCCTTACCTTCGCACTTGGATTGCTGATAACTCTCGGCATGTTCTTGTACATTTTCTACACCTCGTTTGGACTTGCTTTTCTCCCGGTTAGTTTGATGAGAACCACGCCATCTTTCTCGGCCCCATATTTTAGAGCAGACGCAGCCGCGCAGCTTGAATCCAATCGAGAACGCCAACGCCAGTTGGAAGGCCGTTGTGGAGGAAACCCGGAACTGCTGTCTTCAAAGGATAGACGGGAGCTGGATTCCCTTTCTCGAGAGGAAAGAACTCTGATTAGACGGCAGCGACTGGCGGATGAAACTTCCGGAACTAGCCGGAGTTGGCTTGTGAACTCATGCCTGAAAATAAAGACGTGCCTTCGCCCCTTCCAGCTTCTAGGTGGCATCACGTTGTTCTTGACGTCCTTGGTAATATGGGTGTCCATGCTTCTGACGGCGACTGATAAGGCCAAAAACTCATTTTGCAAACACCATTGTGGCTATATTCTCGCCAACATCAAGATCTTCAACCCCATCAACTGGATTTTGGTCCGAGCTGCAAAAGTGTTTCCCGTCGACTATGCTCTTTTCACCACCCTTGTATTGTTTCTATTTTACAGCTCGGTCGTTGGTATATCTGCCGTTGGGATTCGGTTTCTTTGGATCAGGATATTCCAAATCCGGAAGGGCCATACTTCCCCACAGGCCCTTCTTTTGACAACGGTTATGCTGATGTTGATCATCCTGGCCTTGAACTACTCCATACCCATGACTGTTGCGCCTCAATACGCCACGTTTGGACCGCAAACATTCTGTGATCGCAACCAAAACGCATTGGATGAACAGCCAGACTGCACAAATGCTAAACACCTGGTCAAGCCATGTTCTGAATTCTCACAAAACAAGGGCGCAAAGCAGGTCTGCACACCGAGTGTTGCAAGCACAATCCTCAACCGTGTAACACTTAATTTCCCCTTCTTTGGCGCAATACTGTTCTGGGCCCAATTTCTCTTCCTTGGTAATATACCTGGTTTATGTGATTCGATTTGCTCAGAAGTTCTAACATTATCTCATTGATTAGGCATTTACCTGGTTGTTCTAGTCGCCTGTCTTTTACGGTCTCCGAGATTGGATGAGCAACAACTTGACGAGGATGCCGAAGAAGCCGAGGAAGAAAGCTTACTGGCGAGCACTGGTCGACACTTTGGTACAACCAGGTGAAATATCATCGTTCTCAAGTCCCTTGCTCTCCCATTCCAGTGGGACAAGTGAGTGGTTCAATCTAATACATGAATAAATACCATTAGGTGGGTGACATGACAGGTCTTCACCCCGCTCTTTTAGCCAAGTCACGATCATCATGACTGAGCCTTGGAATGCTGTGCAAAATCCGAATCGGAAAGCAGATGGTTTTGCTTGGGTCTAACACTTTTTTTTTTTTTTTATGTGGACTGCAGCCGGGGCAGTACTTCGGTTTCCTCGTAATTGGGTTTAAGGCTTCATCCGATCATTCAATAAGGCAAGGGCGCTTTCAAACGCCTTGACGACATCCAGATCTGCCAGTAAATAGTTAATCATATCTTTGCATCTCGAAAGCAGAAGTCTATTTTGTCACATACAATGCTGCCTTCTCTTCTCTAGGCTCTCTTCTGAATTTTGCACGTGTTGCATTTGCGTCTTGAATCTGTAGGAATTAGGCACACCAACGCCAACTAAATACTTGAACTACGGGTCCTGACCTCTTGAGTGCTCTTGTTTCGTCCCGGACGACGGTTGTCTGGGACCAGGCCGTGAAAATCTGGGCAGCATCAGCAACGAACGACCTGGCAACAAAGAGTTATTGAAATACCTCAAGCAGCTTTGCAATCCGGGCTCGCAACTCAGTTTCAATGGCTCCATGCTCTTCCATGGCGTGAACATAACTTTTGTGAAGTTGCTCCCAGTCGAAGGTTCCAAGCTCTCCGGTCGACATGCTTAGATCTTTCGGCACAGCATATTGTTGTGATCTTCTCTGAGATGCTGGAGGATAGTCTTGATCAGAGCCGGATGGATTTGGGTCGTGCATTCCTCCCGGATGATCCATGATCACTGGCTATGGCTCACATTCAACAGTGATATAGCGAAGAGGAACTGAGTCGAAGGGAGGAGACCAGAGAAAGGATATTATAATTGGATACTTACCAAGGTACAGTACCTTTGACGGCGGTGAACTGATACCAAATATTACATGATGTATGTAAGGAGGTATGTATTGTCATATGTATGGTACCAGTAAGGTACCTACCTAGATACCAGGTACTGCGACTCTCCGGACCTCTCTACACACCACCCAAACGGTGGATCTCAATCGGTCTGGATGAGTATTCGGAAGGGCGTTTCAATGGAGATAGAAATGGGCGTAAACAACACTAGAATTGATAACTAACTGGAATGATCGATGATCAACAACATGCAGGTGAAGGTAGGCAACTCGGAAGGTGTTCTGGGGTGGCCGGCGGGTAGGTGGGTGGTCAGGTGGTCTGCCCACCGCCCTGGCAGTACTGAATGTGCCAAGTGGTATTTGGTATTGTATCCGTACATCAACAGTACACCTGCGTCACTCAGCCTGCAGACCGTCAGGTGATAAAGATAACTAACTACCCAGGTACCTACTCCGTAGCTACCGTACGGTTGGCGAACTTCCCTTGCATTTGAAACTCTCCCAAACCTCACTCTCATTTCTTGGATCTTTCAATAGTCAATGTGTCGCAAGTCATGAAGGATCCTAACTCCTATTCTTTTGGCTTTGATATGTCACCCATAAGATCATCAGTTACATTCACTGAAGCGCCTTGGAACTGAGCTAGACCACTAACACTCAAGCACGAGCTACGACCACATAACACTGCCTCTGAAATGAGTTGTCACGTCTGCAGTCGTGGTCTAACACTACGCCAACGGCTCTTTTGCCCTACATGCGCCCGCAGTCAACTCTACCACCTGCACCATGAGAATGTTAGGATTCTTCTCGAAAGGGAGTCTATCTCGCGCCAAATTGAGGATGCAGTCACATTTGACAGCACTCGGAATCTCTCATCCGCTCAATCCGATAAAATAGCAAGCAATCTTCAAGAAAGGCAGTACAGATCATGGATCATTCAGACCATTATTGACGAAAGGTCCAAGTCGTCTGCCAGAACAAAGAGCCTTGCAAATCAGATCGAAAGGATGAAGTTGGAGATCAAGGATAAACGACGTGACATTTCACATCGCAGGCGAGAACTAGCCCGACAAGACTCAGATGCCGAGTCTGCCAACTATCAACTTACCGAACGGGAGGCTACGATGCTGGCTGGGATTCAGAATAACACCAAAAGAACGGACCATCTCTGGCACTCGCAACATAGCAAGACTGCGGAAGCCCGGATCTTCCTTTGTCGGGAGGCCGCAAACCTGTACGGCTTACGCCAAAAGGTCAAGAAGCGGGATGGCGAACTCAAAGAGACATATTGTATCGGCGGGGTGCCCATTATCAACTTAAAAGATATAAATGGAAAGTTATCTCGACCTCACCACCTTATGTTTCAATTAATAATATTTGAACAGGCGCGTCACCAGCTCAGATTTCAACCTCATTCTCTTACATTGCCCATCTTCTTGTACTAGTTTCGAATTATTTGTCCCTAAGGCTCCCTGCCGAAATAACTCTGCCTCATAGAAACCACCCCACCCCTTCGATACTGTCACCTGCTGGGTCGTACAGTGCACATGAAGCAGGTTTCGCTGTGGCACCAATTAGTTCCGCATCACGACCGGGAGATTTCAGGTCTCATGGGTCCCGTCCTCGTCCTCGACCTCTCCACACGGACAAAACACTCCCGAAGCTGGCCAGCGAAGACCCGGCAGCATATGCCCTTGTCCTCGAGGGGGCGGCGTTACTGGCTTGGAATGTCTCGTGGCTGTGCCGAACCCAGGGGCTCAATATAGCGTCGGATTCCTGGGAAGAAACATGCGACCTAGGAAGAAACATGTGGCAGCTACTATTTGGCTCGCCTGCACAACCCTTAACTCTGGTGACAGCAGTTACCAGCCGCGAAATACAACCCAAAACGAAACTCTCCAAGGAACTACCGAAAACTACCATCCAGAGAACTAAGTCATTTTCCATGCTTGGGCATTATTCGCATGGCACTGTGCATTCATTTCTGTGCGCTTCCGAGGGCGCGGAATTCACGCGAACCTGGAGATTACCATCGCCAACTAAAATCGCAGACAAGCTGAAGTCGGTCCTTCTAGGGGAAATGGCAAGCGCAGAATGGGAACTACTGGAAAAGAAGGAGTGGGATGATGCGGCGCAGGACATCGTCTACCCTCCTTCAATCAATGAGGGCGATAGGTCCCATGACCAGGTCAGCCCTTCAAGCACCGCGCATCCCGAAGGCAACATCGTGACTGCTGGCGAACCGTTCAGATCGAACGGGTTGAAGGGAACAAGTGGCTGGACCAAATTAAGAAATAGATAAACCTATTGGTTCTTACTCCGTTAAAAGGTATTTAGAGACTCGTAGGCTAGAGGGCTCGGCATCGTTCTTACTAAGCAGCCGGCAGATTGATAAGATCATTATCGTAAACCGATGCGTGTTCGAACCATCTCAAATTGTGCCATTCCTCCGCAACATGCTTTCTGCCTGCTACGTTGGAGCTTCGTCTATGGCCCGGCCACCAACCCAGAGCAATTAGCAATCCTGTTCCACTCCCCCCCTCTTCTTTGGTAGATTCCAGGGATTGGTTTTCTCCATTCACTCATTCGATCCCGCGGTCTCGTCAGCCTGAGCTGAGATACTACACCCAACTCTTGGCTTCTGGGTCATGGACGTACAATAAATCCCGCACAAGAAAGGCTACACTCGGTTGATTGGGATCGGTATGTCCGAATACACGACATGGCACCAGCGCAGGATGACAGAATCTGGTGAGTACCGTAAGAAACCCGACCGGCTCCTACGACCCGGGGGCTACACAACCAACCCATGAATAGACACTTTGTTGACAGGGATATGGGGCTATTGTAGGCTTCCACCAGACCGCTACGTCGCTCTCGAGTCTATCCGATGCTGCTTTGCGGGCAGAGCTCTCTCGGCGGAGCACGGCTCGAGGCGTGCGCGATGAAAAGCCCGAGTGCGGCTCGTCGGAACCGGGGGTTTATAATACACCAATACATGTCATGGCGCTTTTTCTCATCCTGGCATTGAGCACGTTAGGTAACCACCGGTCCCCTCATTATGTTCATGGCTCGTGTTTAACCCATCTGCCTCAAGCGTGTTCGTTCCCCGTGCTGGCTCGCCGATTCCCGCGCCTACCTATACCACGTCGTTTTCTGTTCCTGTCTCGGCATTTTGGAACGGGGGTTTTGATTGCCACGGCTTTCGTCCACTTGCTTCCCACGGCATTTGTCTCTTTGACAGATCCATGCCTCCCAAGGTTTTGGAGCGAGAGCTACCGTGCCATGGCCGGTTTTATCGCCATGATATCCGTCTTTGTGGTTGTGGTCGTCGAGATGTTTTTCGCCATGAAAGGGGCAGGCCATGTCCATGGAAGCGAGTATGATCAGCTGATTAGCGATGTTGGTCTCGAGATCTCTCATGACGGTCAAACCCCAGATCCCAATTACTCGATGCTCGAGGGACAGGATTCAGTGGCCAATCACATTCCGCTGGACAGGATTCCGGGAAGTGAGCCGATGCCTAGCACAGCACGGCCGCCAATCTCTACGTCAAGACATCCTTCAAGCGAGGAGGGCCAAACATCCTCGAAAAACACGATGGAGCCAAAGGAAGATGACGACTTGGACTTGGACGATTCCAACTCCCATGATGTCTCTTGGATTAGTGGGCAGCGGGACTGCCACCCTCGGGGCCGTCCTTCACATGAATCTGGGTTCCATCCACAGGCGGACGCAAATCGACACCTGCAGAATCCGCAGCGCCAGTTGCTCCAGTGCCTTCTTCTCGAGGCGGGTATTCTTTTCCACAGTATATTTATTGGAATGGCTCTCAGCGTCGCAACCGGAACGTCATTCCTTGTTCTCCTCGTGGCTATTTGTTTCCACCAAACTTTCGAAGGGTTTGCTCTTGGATCGCGTATCGCATCTCTGATACCCGACCTTTTTTCTCCGTCTTCCATGAAACCGTGGCTCATGTCTCTTGCGTATGGGATGACCACCCCTATCGGGCAGGCCATCGGTTTAATGTTACACAATCTTTACGATCCTGCGAGCACAGCGGGCCTACTCATGGTGGGTATCACCAATGCTATCAGCAGCGGGCTTCTACTTTTTGCTGGGCTTGTAGAGCTTTTGGCGGAAGACTTTCTAAGCGACGCAAGCTATGCAACGCTGAGAGGCCGGCGACGTATTGAGGCCTGTGTTGCAGTAGCTAGTGGGGCTGTATTAATGGCTTTGGTTGGTGCATTTGCTTGATTTCTAGATGGCCTCACTTGCGACCTTTTTCCATACTTGGAGATTTGGGGGAACTGGTGTTGACTATATACAATACAAACTGGGCGTCGCTTTTGTGATTCTACCGCCGTCCCCCAATGTGTAGATTTATTCACTTGTTGCAAGCCTGGGGCTGTTACGATATCAGCCGTAACCCGAATGACCCTCACAACCTGGCAGCTACTTGCATTCGAGACCCCGGAATTTTGAAGTACTAAATCGACCGGTTTCGGCCTATAGAGCTGTTGTTGCATATCGTGGGAAAACCCAGGTTGGCTTTGGTAGCGTAGACGATATTCTCTACAGGACCTGGGATCAGCCGTTGATTTCGTGAGAGCTGTTGAATTTGGAACTAGCATCTCATCTACGGGTGGGTAAGTGACTAGATAGAAGTTCGTACAAGAGTACCCACTCATATAGGCATTACCAGCGAATGCCTTGGGGCACATGCTGCAAAGTCTGACCTTCAGTCATCGACTACTCGAACTAGAAACACAATAGCCTGCTAATCATGCGAGAGACTCAACCACCATGGCACTAGCACCTCCTCCGCCATTACAAATGCCGACACAGCCAACCTTGCCGCTCTTCGCCTTCAGAACACCAAGCAGCGTAGTCAAAATGCGAGCACCGCTAGCCCCAATAGGGTGACCGATGGCAACGGCTCCGCCATGGATGTTCACCTTTTCTTCCGGGATGTTGAGCAGCTTCATGTTGGCAAGAGCGACGACACTGAACGCCTCATTGATCTCAAAGGCATCCACAGCATCCTGGTTGACACCAGCATGTTTGAGAGCCTTAGGAATAGCAAGTGCCGGAGCAGTCGTGAATTTGCTGGGCTGCTGAGCAGCGTCTCCCCACCCAAGGATTTTTGCGACGGGCTTCAAGTTGAGCTCCTTCAATTTGGCTTCCGAGACTAGCACCACAGCTGCAGCACCATCGTTGAGTGGAGACGAGTTGGGCGCGGTGACCGTTCCGGATCCAGGAATGAACGCCGGTTTGATACCGCGGAGCTTGTCAGGGTTGAGCTAAAAAGTTATGTTAATGCTGGTAATCCGAATTGAGTCGACAGGACGACGGTGAAAGGGAAGGACCGGGGGGTTGCTCACGTTCTTCGGTTCCTCGTCTTGCGCCACAGTCACGCCGGGCTTGCCCCTGAACCCAGGAAGGTCGACCGGTGCGATTTCGTCATTGAACAAACCGGCCTTCTGCGCGGCTTGGGCCTTCTCATATGTCCGGATGGCATAGTTGTCCTGCTGTTCCCTGGTGAAACTATGGTCCTGGGCACATTCCTCGGCTTGCAAACCCATGAGTTCCTGCTTGCCTGCATCCGTCAAGCCGTCCTTCATGATGCCATCCACCAAGCTTTGGTGGCCATATTTCGCACCGGATCGGAGATTTGGAAGATAGTGGGGAGCGTTCGACATGGATTCGGCACCACCAGCCACGACGACGTCGGCGTTTCCGGTCATGATACTCTGGGCTCCAAGGATGACGGCTTTCAGGCCAGATGCGCACACCTTGTTGACGGTGGTGCACACGGTGGATTCTTCAAGGCCCGCACCGAGAGCGCATTGTCTAGCAGGGTTCTGACCGACACTAAATTGGAAACATAGGGTAAGCAAGTATTCAGTTAGATGTGCCGGGAGCCAAGGCTTACTTTGCGGAAAGAACGTTGCCGAAGAATACTTCCTGGACATCGGACGGCTTGACTCCTTCAACTCTGCTGAGAGCAGCTAATCCCAAGCGGAAGTTAGCACATCGAAGCGGTTAGTCGGCTAGAGACAGCTTTTCCCATACATTTGATCGCGTGGGAGCCAAGCTGCGGGGCAGTCAGGCTCGAAAGAGAGCTGCATAAGACATCAGAGCGAATCTAGGTTTTGCCGTAGGTTTGCAGACACTCACCCCAGGAAGGAACCCACAGGGGTTCGGGCAGTCGATACAATGTAAACCGGAGGAAGAGAAGACATGGTGGGCGAGAAACGACAAGGGCGATGGTCTGGCTCTAGGGGGAGGAGAGGAGAGACGAGATGGAAGCGCCCCTCCCTTCTTTTTAAGCGGCATGCGAGAGCGGCGGGGCCGACAAACAGCGCATGCCAAGCTTCGGACCTCTCGAAGCCGACCTCAGCAGCTCTGCGCCCTGCGGCCAGGAAAAAAAAGCGACACCACGGGCGACCTTTTCCAGCAGCCCAACCCATCGTCCGCGCGCCACCATGGATGATCTTTACGACGAGTATGCTCCTGCGAACCCGATAATCTACCCTATTATCCCTAGCCGCTGACAATTTTCCTTGCACAGGTTTGGCAATTACATCGGCGAGGCCGCCGACTCGGATGAGGAGGCCGAACATGACCAGGCCCGACCCCCCAATTTCGCATTTGACGAGGCCTTTGGGGAGGAGGAAGACGATGCCGACAACCAGGAACAGCTGATGGAGGTTGATGGTGAGCACCCCCTCCCCAATTCTCAGGCTCCTCTGCCTCAAGGAATCCTAGTTGACCACGCGTAGAGGGCCCTTCGAATGCCGTCATCCTACATGAAGACAAACAATACTACCCTAGTGCCCAGCAGGTATACGGTGCAGATGTCGAAACCTTGGTGCAAGAAGAGGACACGCAACCTCTGTCTGAGCCTATCATTGCCCCCGTTCAGCAGCGGAAATTTGCCGTCGAAGAGGCCGAGCTACCACCCGTCCATTTCTCTCGGGAGTTCATGACAGAATTACTCAATTTTCCCGATCAAGTAAGAAACATTGCTCTTGTGGGACATCTACATCATGGGAAAACGGCCCTCATGGATATGTTCGTCATGCAAACACACGATCTATCTGAACGCCTGCAAACACGAACAGGCATGCAAAGTGAGGAGCAACTCCGGTATACTGATGTTCATGTTCTCGAAAGGGCTCGGGGGCTTTCAATAAAGTCATCACCTATGAGCCTTGTTCTCCAAAGCACAAAGGGGAAATCTCATCTGTTCAACATCATCGATACTCCGGGACATGTGAATTTTGTGGATGAAGTAGCTGCTTCTTCGAGGCTGGCCGACGGTATAGTGCTAGTTGTTGACATTGTGGAGGGTGTACAGGCAAACACCGAACAAATGATCAAACACGCCGTGCTGGAGGACCTGCCCTTGACTTTGGTTGTGAATAAGATGGACAGATTGATCCTAGAGCTGAAGATTCCGCCCAATGACGCTTATTTCAAATTGAAGCATGTGATTGAGGAAGTCAACACAGTGATTGAAAGCATTTTGCCCGGGCAAGGCGAAAGCAGGCGGTTGAGCCCCGAGAAAGGAAATGTTGCTTTTGCCTGTGCGTCAATGGGTTGGTGTTTTACATTGCAATCATTTGCGAAAATGTATGCGGAGACTTATCCTCAGATTGAGACCGCGGACCTCGCCCGTCGCCTCTGGGGGGATGTTTTCTTCAACCCTCGGAGCCGGAAGTTTACGCGCAGGGGTGTGGATGAAGGCTCCAAACGAACGTTTGTAAATTTTGTTTTGGAGCCAATCTACAAGCTCTATTCTCACACTATCAGTGAGAGCGCCGATGATCTGAAAGAGACGCTTGCAAGTGTGGGTATTAACCTAAAGCCCTCCCAATTGAAGTCGGATGCGAAGGTTCTGCTGAATCTAGTCTGTGAACAATTTTTCGGTCCCGCGACCGGCTTTGTGGACATGATCATTCAGAACGTGCCTTCTCCATTAGAGGGTTCTCGGAAGAAGCTAGAGAGACACTACACCGGGCCTCTCAATACTAAAATAGCCGCCGCGATGACTGCGTGCAATGCGGATGGGCCACTTGTCATCCATGTCACCAAACTGTTCAACAACTCCGATGCTTCAAGCTTCCATGCCTTCGGAAGGATCATGAGTGGAACCGCCCGGCCTGGCCAACAGGTTCGGGTTTTGGGCGAGGGCTATACCCCAGAAGACGAAGAAGACATGGTCACTGCGACTATATCAGATACCTGGATTGCTGAGACGCGTTACAACATCCCCACTAGCGGCGTGCCAGCAGGAAATTTCGTCCTCCTGGGCGGTGTGGACAATTCCATTGTCAAAACGGCCACACTTGTTCCTTTAACACTTGAAGATGGAGAGGATGCATACATCTTCAAGCCAATTCGGAGCATGACCGAGTCCATCTTCAAAGTTGCTGTTGAACCGGTTAACCCTTCAGAACTACCCAAGATGCTTGATGGTCTCCGTAAAGTCAACAAAAGCTACCCTCTAATTACAACCAAGGTAGAGGAGTCTGGCGAACACGTCGTCTTGGGCACCGGTGAACTTTATATGGATTGCGTCCTCCATGATCTTCGAAGATTATATTCGGAAATGGAAATCAAGGTCTCGGACCCTGTGACGCGCTTTTGTGAGACAGTCGCAGAGACGTCGGCCATCATGTGCTATTCAATCACGCCGAATAAGAAAAACAAGATCACAATGATTGCGGAGCCGCTGGACGATGGAATCGCAGAGGACATTGAGAGCAGCAGAGTCCGCATCAAGGATCCAATCCGGAAAGTGGCGAAATTCTTCGAAGAGAACTATGACTGGGATAAGCTGGCAGCCAGAAGCATCTGGGCCTTTGGGCCGGACGAAATGGGCCCTAACATATTACAAGACGACACACTACCATCTCAAGTGGATAAAAAGCTCATTGGCAGTGTCAGAGACTCCATTACACAGGGGTTTAATTGGGGAACGAGGGAAGGTCCACTATGTGAAGAACGTAAGTTTTCATCCTTCATTTCCCCAAGCCTTACGGGCCCAATGCTTTAATTGAAGGCTCTGAGCTCGTCGTCGACAAATTCTAACGCGGAAGATGACAGCAATCCGGAACACCAAATTCAGGCTCACAGACGTTTCACTTGCCGACCAAGCTATCTACCGAGGCGGGGGCCAGATCATTCCCACAGCTCGGCGCGCCGTTTACTCTTCGTTTCTCATGGCATCTCCCCGCCTGATGGAACCAATCTACTCTTGTGCGATGACAGGGCCTGCAGATGCTGTGGCATCGATGTATACAGTCCTTTCGCGCAGAAGAGGACACGTGCTTGCCGACGGGCCAATTGCGGGCACCCCGCTCTATTCGGTGCGCGGGCTAATTCCCGTCATAGACTCGTTTGGTTTTGAGACGGATCTTCGAATCCATACACAGGGCCAGGCTTCTATAAGTCTCGTGTTCGATAAGTGGAGTGTGGTGCCAGGGGATCCATTGGACCGAGAGGTCAAGACCAAGCCCCTCGAGATGGCACCTGCAATGGCCACCGCTCGAGATTTCGTGCTCAAAACGAGGAGGCGGAAGGGACTCGCGGAAGATGTCACCGTGAGCAAATTCTTGGAGCCGGATCTTTGGAAAGGTCTGAAGGAAAGTGGCGTTCTAGACTCGTGACCAAAAATAAGACGAGAGGAATCGAAGCACCTTATGTTAGAAGGTCTTGAGTTTCGTGCTGTTGTATTAAGGAATTTTTCAATGAAAAGGGCAAAGTTCAATGGGATCGTCATCCTTTCCAAGCGGCGTCAAGCCATGCCATGACGGGCGCGTTGAAGCCAGCTTCCTATGATGTAGTGCGCAGAGACTTTGCAACTTTACTGACACGTTTCCAGCATCTTAGCAATGACACCCATCAGAGTCCCATTCTCCAAGGCAGCAGCCACTCTTTCTTTATCAGCTAGTTGCTTGTTGACTTCGTCGGCAGTACTGTGGGTCCCTTCCTTGATTCTTGTGTCGACGCGAAAGCGTGGTGGAAGAGACTGCTCGAGTCGAACACGAACACCGAGCCCTATAACGGTAGCCAAACTACAGTGTGTGATCGTCGGGGTAATAAGGACGGTCACCGTCCGAAGAGGCGAGTTTGGGACATCTGGAAGCGTTGGCACAATCGAGATATCCGGAAGCGAGACAACGGCAAGCGCTCCCAGGGATATCGGGTGCTCTGGGTCAGATATCGTCGACACAAGATCTGGGTTGGATCTGTTAGACATTCATTCATCTGTGCAGTTCACCACAACCGGGCCGCTTACCATATATCTCTTGCTCATCAATAGGCTCTTCCATCAAGTCATCATCATTGTCCGATTCCGCTGACAACGGAGGGCTGGTCGAGAGGAGGTCGATTGGATCTGCAGGAAGCGCCGTAGCAAAGACGCCGGTCTTCAAGACACCGGGCTTGTGGGACACTGCGGGACGCAGCCGTGTGGGCAGGTCGGCGGAATTCAGGATCGTGGGGTTCGAATTTTGCACCTCGGACGCCATGATAGCTAGATTTGGATGGGAAGACCGTTGTGCGTGGTAAGAGAATCGGGCTCCACGGTGCTGAAGGTTGAGGGGCAAAGAGCCATCCGTTGGAGTAATAACTATTTTCCGAGTAGGTACTGCGGAGGTCGGCAGAGGAGGTAGTAGATGTAGGGAGGTAAGTTACTCCGTACCATCTCCTTTCGCCCGCCGTCCCGATGGAACATACGCAGTACATACAGTGCGCATACCTGGTAGGTACGCAGGTATCACGGTAAGGTACCGGTACGGTACCCCGTAGCGGCCCTCAGTACTTCGCAGGAAGCAACTCCCTACGGCGTGGGTAGACCAGACCTACTCCGATATGTATGTAGGTATGGTATGTCTCTCCGGAGTCGAATCCTTGCGGTCGGTCCGTAGTTGTCAATTTGTCGTCGAGGTTGGACATATCAATGCCTCGCGGTCCCTTGTCACGATGGCCCTCCGCCGCCGGACGGTGGGGAATAATCCCTCGAAACCTGGTTTCAAGTAGCAACCTTGGGAGTAGACGAAGAATAAGAATTCCTGGGATCGTCGATCGTGGACCTCGACCTTGACGCCATAACTCTGGCGGCCGCTACGGGGGCAGCGCGAGGCGGCGGCAATCCTGCGGCCCCTCAACTTCCGAGGCGATCCCTCTCTCGCTCTCTCTGCCTTTCACGCACACCCGCTTCAGCCTCTCGACATGCTTGCTCTTACCCCCCGTCATCCTTGAGTCGCCATCCACCCCTCCCTCTGTATTATTGACCGGTCGCCGTTCCCATTCAACCGTTTCGCCTTAACCCTTTCCATTTTTCAGAGCAATGAGGCGTCACGCGGCCTCTTAGAAGCAGCCAAGGAGGTGGTTATCGCATGTCCCGTCAAGGCCTTTTTCCGGAGATCGACTTCCACATGCGAAATCCATTGCGTTGGTGGGCCTCCGATTCCCCAGACACTTGATTCTCTTGCTCCTCCCTCTCCTGTTTCCCTCCCCAAACACCCACTTCCCAATAGCCTTCGTGTTGGTGCTGAGCCCCACGGCAATCTCCCACCGCAAGCCGGTGTACCTGTCGCCCGTGCGCATTATTCCAAATACTGATTGCCAGATGTGATTGTAGTCCCAATCATTTGCGTGTCAGTCTTCGAAATCAACGAAACCCGCTTGAGATACCCATGGTATTGAACCACAATGCAGGCTGGATAGGCTTCTAGCGCCCTTTTGACTGTAAGGTACGGTACAATCTGCTGGTCCCTCTGACCGCAAGCATCATGGTCTACCTTCTATTAATCCGACCTAATGCTTTACACAGAAGCTCTCTGCCCAAATATTGCTACGTCTTGAGACCGGGGTATATTCTCGGTGGTGCACAAAGCTTCGGCCAGACACCCGAGTTCCGTACGTCGAGATAAACGGCGTCCTCAAGGCTCGTTTCAAAGTCTCTTTGTGCGCATCCCTACAGGACTAGGACCCCGGTGGGCTTGGTCTTCCAGGTGTCCAGCCCATTCGTACGGGAATTGTAAACGTGCTCCGACTGGGGTCAAGAAAAGCCGGACGCTCCATCGAGAGTCTGACTCCATTCGCATTCAGTTCGAAGTTGAATTGGTCTAAACCCATTCTGCTAGTCCTTCCCCTCCGTCTCTCTGCCTTTGCTACGCACTACCACTGTTACAATTGTTGTTCTCTTCCCCCTCCAAGGTTGGTTTTATCTGGACGAGGCTGGCCTTGCAGGTATATCCTCCGTTTGTTCTATATATCCAGGACTTATCTACCACTGGTGTGTGCTTTGTTCCATATACTTATCTGGGCTGCCCCGGTTTCGACGTCGAAATGCAGGGCTATTCGTTCACAACCCCTGCGGAACCTCCCAGAGAAGGCCATAAAAGTAAGAGCGCCTGCCTACTTTCGCTTATATTGCCAAGCATCTCCTGTTTGAGTTGAACAGGCCGATCATTCGTTCAAACCAACCACTGACATCTACGGTCTAGATTATGTATTCGTGGATGAGCACAATAGGCACAAAAGACTCAAAGGTATGCTATATCGTTGGCAGATGCATGCTGGGAGTTGATTACTAAGACCTCTAAAATCTAGTGATGCGAGCCTGCAACGGCTGCAGAAAACGAAAGATCAAGTGTGACGCTGCAACAACAAACACATGGCCGTGTTCGGCATGCACCCGCCTTAAATTAGTATGCGTGCCTCCTACTATTGGACAGGACAGCGACTTCTCCATGGAACCAACTGTTGAGGCCGGCCCGGCAGGTTCTCTCGGCGGACATGATGCACCGGATCCGTCACTATCATCCTTTTCTGTGTCGCAAGCTTTAAGGGACAACAGCCAGCCTGCCGTGGGAGCCATTCAGCCGTACTCCGATGCGCTGGGAATGTTCCCGCAGTTTTCTCATTCAACCCCGCAGCATCCCGGGGTGTATGAGGTACAATCGCCGCAAGTTTCTGTACCAACCCACTCTTATCAACAACCGCAGATGTTCTCTTCCTCTCAGGCACAGGCTTTGGCGCCGGTAGATAGTAGCATTTTTGGGGAGCCTGAGTCGACCGCTGAGGATCTCAGCGATGTCCTTGGGGAGCTCAAAATAGACGAGACTGGCATTGGTAAGGTCGACAGCTGCAGACTACATTGGCGATGGCCGAATTAAAGAAGACTACTGACTATTCGCCAGCTCCTTATATCCGGCAACAGCGGCGAGAGGGCGCTGAACCGGAAGTTCCAATACAAGATGAAGCCGAGGGAACGCTCCCTCCCCTTAATACCGGGGCCGGTTCTACAATCCGAATTCCCCCAGAACTCATGCCAGCTGACGACGAGATTATGAATTATTTAAAAATTTATTTTAATGACATACACCCCTATGTACCCGTGGTCCATCGCTCCCACCTTTACTACCAGTGGCAACACGAACGTCACCTGATCTCCCCTCTTCTTCTCGAGGCAATGCTCGCCTGTTCAGGGCGGTTATCAGATGACCCTGCCCAGGGTGCCCAGTGGCTTGCATTAGCAAACAGTGAGGATGACCCCTCCCCCCTTTTCTTTTATTCTTCTTCGATACATGGCGCTGGCCCGTTGATCCCATATATTGACCATTTAACACGATCATGTCTAGGGCACGAATCAAGCTTTATGGATGTCCCTCGCCTAAGCACGATTCAGGCGCTACTCCTCCTCCTAAAGGCAAGGGAGTCGCTACCGAAGAAAGGCTATTACTATCGCTCTTGGCAAACTGTGAAGACTATCGTCTCAATGTCCAAGGATCTGGATATTCATGAACATTACTATACGCATGCGGAGAATCGTCCGTGCGATCTAAATCCAATAGAATGTTTGGTGCAGACGAGAGTATGGCAGGCCCTTTTAGTTGTCGAGGTGATGATTGGTGCACCGCAAGGTATGAATGAACCATTTCTTCCGCTTGGCATTTGCCGTGTCTTAACGTTTGTAGGTCGGTCTGATTATGGCGTGGATCCTGATACTGTCAATATGAATCCGGAGCTGAGTAGCAAAGACCTTGACCAATTTGAGAATGACAGGTCCAGGCAGTATGCCTATTTCGTTCAGAATGCCCGTCACATTCGCATCATTACCGACATATACCACAAAATCAAGAGACAAAAAGACTGGGGTGCAAACCCTAAATTTGTCGAGAAGAACCCCCTGTTCACTGATTGGCTACAAAGTCTACCTCCCGATCTACAAGTGAACTATCCCGCCGATGGGTCCCCTCCTTGGATACCTTCTCACTTCGTGGGCAACATGCATTCACATTGTCATCTAGGAATTATCTTGTTGCATCGCCCCCAATTGCTCGCATCCAACAAGGCTTTTGCAACCGGCGGGGGCGGAAAAATGCACATGGCTCTATGTTATTCCTCGGCGAAATATATCTGTAGGCTCCAGGAAGCTATTTTGGATCGTTTCGGTCTGTCTGGTCTTCTTTTCATGCAGAGGGGTATCAATTTCGCAATATACTGCATTCTGACATGCACTATGCTGCACTTGGTGAGTCCTCATTCGGCTGGCGGTCATACTCGTTTCGTCGTGGGCTAATGACTTATAGGTTGCCATAACGTCACCTGACCCCAGCTTCCACACCGACGCGCGAGATTACTTCACAAGACACATGCGTATACTTGAGCGGTGCTCTTCGGCTTGGCCAATGCCGGAAATCCAGGCTCAGATCGATTCTCTACGTCTCGCTTTCTCCGCTGATATTAGTCGCCCTTTCGATCTCAAATCCACATTTCCTTATGGGAGTCCATCGGAGCCATATCATCCAAGCCCGCCGCTTGATTCACATTATACCCCCCAGTTGAACAATGTCTCTGGCGGTGTTCCAAAAAGAGTGGGTTATACGACCTACCCAGTAACACCTCCAGTCTCAGCTTGTACTGAAGATTCAAAGTCCGATTCCTCTCAGCTCCAATCATTAGGGATGATACCCTCTCAGACTATGTCAGGCCATTCGATGGACGTTCCATTGGTTGATGAAAATAGCTGGGACCCTACTCGCATCATAAAGTAAGGAACTCGCTGCTTCTTATGCCCCGTTCGAGATTACTGACAATTGAGCAACGTAGCCAATGGGACATGGCGTTTTCTATGGGATCATCTTCGGTAAATACGAATTCGCCGCCCATGCCCTCCCAGCGCGTACAAAATGCGTTGTATCCTGTTCAATATGGGCATCCAGCAAAGATACCTTCAGTTCCACAGCCGCAACCATTATCGCAGCCTCAGTTCAGTGGACAGCCAGTTGTGTTCACAGCGCGTGATTGGCAGCAAAGTGTTGCCAGCGTATTCGATCCCAATGGGTTAAAGCGGCGATGGAACTACTCGGTTGACCTCGGAGCAGAACATAGTTCAAAACGTCAACGTTGATTTTTGAGGTTGTCTCGGAGGTGAAGCCCTATAAAATGAGGGGAACTGGGAAAGGAGCAAGTCTGATCCGGGCCAATTTCTTGTAGTCCCTCGGCTACAAACGAGCACATTTGGGCCACTCGTCTTGAATATTGACGGTTTCATTTGGTGCACTATTCTTATTTTGCTTGCATCTCCAGGACAGTTGGCGGGTCTCGGTGTCTTCGATTTTTATTTGTTTCTTAAATAGGTATACCCTTTTTCCTAAACCAATTACTTGCGTATTCTGAGCAGATAAAAAGAAAATTGACATTCGCTCCTTGGAATTTTCGAGACGGGCTGCATGCATATCGGAAGAATAGAAGACGAGGGGGCGCCCAAACTGGGGTTTTGATGAAGACGCAGTTAAATTGGCGCTCGACCCTTCCATTCAGAGCTTACAATTTTTACATCGGTGAAGATGGGTGATGCAAGGCCGAAATTTTGCAACGACCCAGGGCTTGAGTCGTCCACATGCAAGGCAATGAGAAGGGTTAGGGTGACTTGGTGGATAGGCGCATTGTCGCCATCCATGAGACGTATTGAAAGGAAGCCAAAAGCTATTCCATGCAGCTCCTCCGGCAGTCCAAATCAGATGTTGTGCTTGAAAAGGCCCGTGTTCCGCTACCCAGCGGTTTCAAAGACGCCAGCTAATTGCGCCGGTTTAAGCCTATTCGCTCTTCACGGGAGCGAACAATCCTTGCCTTATCGCCTGGCAAAGGCTTCAACTCATCACTGGGGTCGAAATTAACACGGGAGGCGGAAGTGGATTTGGCATGGTTGCGTGGATCGTTTTGCTCGGCTTGCTTGTGTAGTCGGGCTTCTTCGAAGGCTGCAAGGTCTTCGGATGTTATAGCGATAGCCGTGGGCTTTCGGCGTATCATGTTCCGGGCGAACGGAGCAGCAAAGGCGAGGCAGGTCGAATCTTGGGTCGTTTTCCTTTCTATGCAGGAAGGGAGGCAACGGAAAGCAGGCAGGTGCGTCGGCGAGAAAGCGGCCGTCGCCTCGACGCGGGTGATGTGAGCGCGGTCCACGTGACCCTGGGGTTGCTCCGTCGGTTCAGTTTTACTGCACTGCCATCCCGCCTGTCCCCAAGTTTTCATCAGCACCCCCATTGCCAACAACGATGCTCCAACATCGTGCCACCCTTTGGCAATCCCGGTTCGGGAGACTGCTTGATGGGACATCGCCGCTTGTCCGCCAGTTCTCTGCCTCCCAGGGACAAGCGACGGACGGTCCCCGTCAGCCCCGTAAGTTCTTAGCCTTCCCTGCATTCTCCATGTCCCCCAACCAGCCAACGTTCTGCTTTCTTGCTTGCATTTCTGACAACGTTGTTAAAATCCGCATAGGACATGACAACATAGATCAGTCCCGCTTCCCGAGCTCCCACTCTCGCTTGCAGAGGACTGGTGTTCAGGCGTCGACTTCGCGTTCGAAGCCTGCGAACTCTGAGCGCCCCCGCCCTCGACGAGTCTTCGACGCCAGATCACTCGCAGCCCCTCAGGCCGGTGGTCAGCCTGCGAACGTTATTAGAAACCCCCGACTCCGGAACCCCCGTAGTGGTTCCCCGGCGTACGGACGTGGGTCTCGGCCTCCTACAAAGTCTGCCGCTTTGAGGAATAAGAAAGGACCTCGCACACGAACCGCAAGGCCACGGGATCTGGATGAAGGAGAAGACGTGCAAAAAGTCGAAATCGAAGAAGGCTATCGCAAGCTCGCGGAGAGAACGAAAATCTCCCCAAGTCACTATAATCCCAAGGCTCCCATGCTCTCCAATCTGGAAAGAACGTGGCCTTCTTTTCCTACCAATTCGGGCGCCCATCACTCCACGATTATTGATAAGTTGCTTCGCATAAGTGATCGCACGCCAAATGGTTATGTCCCACCTCAGGAGCTTGGTAGACGGCTCTTCAATGGTCAATATGTTCATTTTTTGGACGAGGAAGAGAAATCGCAAGCCCTAGTGGAAGCCAGCAAACTTTCACAACAGCGTGCCGATGAGTACTCACAACGCAAAGGCGACCTTGTGGAACCCGAAAAAGTAGAGTTTGAACAGATCAACACTGATGACCGGGGAGTTCTGTTGCAATCGTTGGTTCAGGGGAAATACACCAAAACCGAACCTCTCGGCAAGGTTTCCGTGGTTGACGGAGTCATTCAGAATCTTGCCAACAACGAGACCTATCAAGCAGCTGGCAAGAGCTCCCAGTTTGTTTCCAAGCTTGAATCTCTCATGGCGTCCAGTCGTCCCATGAAGCGTGCGTGAAGACATACTGGGGGTACCTGCACAAGCAAGGATGTCTGAATGTAAATTTGGTGGTTTGTACCTGAAGAAATAATGTACAATAGCAGTCTAGATTCTATTTTGTTTTCTTCCCTCTCTTTGGCCAGTAATGTTAGCCAGCTTCCTCCGTCTATCTGATCAAAGACAGGTATGGCCCCTTCGAAAAGTCTGGGGAAAGCCGACAGGAATCCTGTCACTCTGGTTCAATGATGTAGAGTAGAAAGTCGACTCAAGGTCTTTCAGGAGGTACAGACTGAATGAAGTACAAAACAAAAGGGCATTGCACTACTTGTCAGTTCGAACTAAGTGCGTTCCATGCTCTTCTTTGCTGCCTCGAAGAGATCCTTCACCTCTCTCTGTCCCTTCTCGGTTAGTTTTTCCATCTGATCCTGGGCTTTGCGGACATCGTCAGGCCTAGCGATCTTTTTCTTTTGCATTTCCTGCAGGCGTTTGTGAACAACGCCTCGTGATTCACGGACTGCGACAATAGATTTTTCCATTGCGGACTTCGCAGCTATGACAGTTTTGTCACGAGACTCCTTAGTAGGGGGTGGAATGGGCACGTTGAGCTGTAGAGTATTGTGGGGATCGGACTGAGGGGTCAAGGACAAGTTGGAGGAAACAATGGCGGAGGTGATTGGTTTGATATGCTGCTCATTCAACGGCACATTAGAATCAGAACCCCCGAAAAGTGCGTGTTTTCCCACCAAAAAAGAAAGATCAAAGATTCGTAGACTTACCTCTTCCTCTGAGACCAGAATAGCTACCAACCGACCACTTTTAGGGATAACTTGCGCCAGATCGCCCAGCTTCACTGTTTCCTTGCTTCCTTTGCTGAACTGAACACGAAGGTTCTCAATGGCATCCGTGCCGAGTCTGCCACCCATGCGAAGCTTGGAGAGTTCATCTTTCAATCGGGACACGGCGGCTACAATTCCCTCCTGCAACTGGGAAAGGTCAGATGGATCTTCAGACGTCACAGCTGTCTTCGCTGACTTGGCCTCGGAGTCCGCAGTGGGGTTGGGTTTGCCCCGGTCTTTCTTCTTGAACAGGAACGGGGTACTCGAGAAGCTTTGAAACGGGCTTGACGCAGGTACATTAGGTTGGATCGGTCCATGTCGCGGATGTATCACTAGCAGACTAGAAGGTGAGCATAGCTTTGGAATTCTGCGGAAGGCGAAAGATGCGTGGAGGTGCAGCATTCTCCCCAGCGAAGAGAAATTTCGTTTTGTCTAGCAAAAGGAACGGGAGAGACAAGAAAGCAAATGCAACAAGCGCGGCGGTATGCAACAGAAGTTATGAGACCCGCGGAGTGCGAATCAAGTGATGATTAATCATCTACGAGCTTGGACCCCTAGCGTGATCAGTAACAATCTACAATGGAGTACCTAGAGCTCGAGCCTAGGCCAAGAGCACCGACTGGTGAGATGATCAGACCGACCCCGCCGGTCTCCCTACTGGAATAAAGCTCGCAACGAAGACATCAACAGGAGAGGGGGAAAGTTTGACGTGATTCTCATAGGTAAAAATATTTTGACCTCTATTCGTTAAAAACAAGAAACTGCGACATGACATGTGCTTAATTTTCCCCATTCTCCGTGCAGTATGAAATCTTCCTTGGGCTTTTTATTGTTTTCCCCATTTTGTTTTCCTTTTTTACCGGGTGGCCATGGCCTTGGTAATGAGTCGCTTGAGAGCAAGCTCCTTCTTCTTGAGATCCTCGGGCGTGGAATCCTCAATTTCAAGCTGAGCCATGGCATCACTGAGAGCAGACTCAATCTTCTCCTTGTTGCCGCGCTTCAGCTTCACAGACATGGTGGGGTCCGAGACAATCTCCTCCACACGGGAGATGTAGGACTCGAGCTGCTGGCGGGACTCGAACCGCTTGGTGAAAGCTTCGTCGCTGGACTTGAATTTGGCAGCATCTGGCAATTGGTAAGTATTACAATTCATGGGTGGACCGCGGGGGAGTGGATGATGGCTTACCCTCGACCATCTGCTCGATCTCAGTAGTGGAAAGCTTGCCGACAGCGTTGGAGATGGTGATGTTGGCGGTACGGCCGGAGGACTTCTCGGTGGCGGTAACCTTCAAGATTCCGTTGACATCCACCTCGAAAACGACCTCCAGAGCGGCCTCTCCCGCCTTCATGGGGGGGATAGGAGCCAGAGTGAACTCTCCAAGCGAGGTGTTATCGGCACAGTTAGTACGCTCACCCTGGAAAACAGGGAACTGAACGGTGGTTTGGTTGTCCACCACAGTGGTGAAAGTACGCTTCTTGATGGTGGGGACGGTCTGGCCACGAGCCACGACGGGAGCAAAGATGTTTCCTTCCATGGCGACACCCAGGGACAACGGGACCACATCCAGCAGCAGGAGGTCCTGGGTCTCCGCGGAAGAGGCCTTTCCGGAGAGGATACCAGCTTGGACAGCAGCTCCGTAGGCAACAGCCTCATCAGGGTTGATGCTCTAGATACTCAATTTAGTATTCAGTCAACCATCGCGGATCTTAACAGGGACGCACCTTCTCCAGCTTCTTGCCGTCGAAGAAGTCACTGAGCAATTTCTGGATACGGGGAATACGGGTGGAACCACCAACGAGGACGATCTCGTCGACCTTGCTCTTCTCAAGACCAGAGTCCTTAAGGACCTGCTGCACGGGCTCGAGGGTGCCGGAGAAAGACTTGGCATTGAGATCTTCGAAACGGGCACGGGTAACGGAGGAGTTGAAATCCTCTCCGTCAAACAGAGAATCGATCTCAACAGTAGTCTGGGTAGCGTTAGAGAGAGTACGCTTGGCACGCTCGCAAGCGGTTCTCAAGCGGCGCAGAGCTCTGGCATCGCCCGAGAGATCCTTTCCAGTCTTGCGCTGGAACTCCTTCTTGAAAAATTCAAGCAGGTTAGTGTCGAAATCCTGTCCACCAAGGTGAGTATCACCGGCGGTAGCCTTAACGGTGAAAACACCACCCTGGATGTTCAGGAGCGACACATCGAAAGTACCACCACCCAGATCGTAGATCAGGACATTACGCTCCTTGTCAGACTTTCCAGAGCCGAGACCATAGGCGATAGCGGCAGCGGTAGGCTCGTTGATGATACGGAGAACATTGAGGCCAGAAATGGCACCGGCATCCTTCGTGGCCTGACGCTGGTTGTCGTTGAAGTAGGCGGGAACGGTGATGACGGCCTTCTCGACCTTCTTTCCGAGCTTGGTCTCCGCAACCTCTTTCATCTGTCAAGATGTATTAATACGCAGCCCTTTTTCACGGGAAGACACAAGAGCAAACTCTACCTTCATCAAAACCATGGAGGAAATTTCCTGAGGAGTGAAAGTCTTAGTCTCTCCAAGGTAGTCGACCTCAACAGCGGGGTTTCCACCCTGGTCGACGACCTTGAAAGGCCAGGACTCAACATCCTTCTTGACAATGGGATCGTCGTACCGCCGACCAATGAGACGCCTGGGACCGGTCAGAATCTGACGAAGAGTCCGAGAGGGTAGAGAGAAAACAGGGGCGCCTTACTTGATATCAAAGATCGTGTTCTGCGGGTTCATAGCAGCCTGGTTCTTGGCGGCCTCACCGATCAAACGCTCCTTGTCGGTGAAAGACACGAAAGACGGCGTCGTGTAACTGCCCTGCTCGTTGGCAACTGAATAGAGCCGAGGTATATTAGCATTCAACCATTCATGGACAGGCTCGCATCATAACATACTGATTTCGACATTGGTGCCCTCATAGTTGGCGACGCAAGAGTAGGTCGTGCCTGGGTATTTGTGTCAGTAAAGTGGTGCTTTTCTCGTGGATAGACCATTTAATTACCAAGGTCAATGCCGATGGCGCCTTCGTAAACCTCGTCCGACATTGTCACGAAAGAAGAGGTGGGAATGGGATGAAAATTATGTGAGGGTTAGGGGTAGGAAGAAGACAATGAACGGAGATGTGAGGTTTATAAAATGCACTCCGGGTGATTTAGGTGGAAGCGCTTAAAAAAATTTGTAAAGTTTTTTTTTGGCTTTTTTTTTTTTTTTTTTAGAGTGAGGGCAAGGCAAAAAATTCTAACCCACTTTAATTTTTTTTTGGATTTTTTTTCTTTTCTTTTTTTTTTTTTTTTTACTCTGGAACGCCCTTGTTCTCACCCTAAGCCGGTAATTTAACTGTAAATTTCCTCGGCTGGAGGGGCAGCACCCCAAAAGATTCAACATTACAATACACAATGGTATCATCACGAAAGTAAAAGGTCAACCTAGGTACGTACGGAGTATGTACAGTACGTAGATACATTACCTACTACTTACCCACGTAGGTACTCGGTAGTCACTCCCAGCATACCGGTTCTCCGTAGTCGACGGGTACGTACAGGTATCTACGGAGTACCGTACAGTACATGCAAATCCATGGTCTCGGGCTGCAATCTCATCCTATCATATTAGCTTCTGGTCGGTGTGGTGGGTATGGGTCTTCCAATTCTTTCGAGGTTACTGCGTACGGAGTACTACCAGGTAACGGAGTAGTATTAGTATCTGGAGCGGAGTAAAGACTAAAGACTCGGTGGTCGCTCGTTCTTCGGCGCCAGAATCGGCGTACATAATCGCAGGCGGGCTTGAACCGTCTTACAGACAGGAGAGACCCCGCCCGAAAAAAAAAAAGTTGAAGGGAGAGAACGTCCTTCGTACGCAGTACAGCCTACTGGATCGATTCCGATTCAAACCTAGCAGTGGATACATCCCCTCTCCCGTAGAAAGTACCTACTCCGTAGCCGGAGAGAATAGACCCAAGGATGTGAAGCATCCAGCATCGTGACACCTAGTGGAGGGAGGAGGGGCAAGGACGAAGAGATGCCACCGAAAAGAGAGAGAGAGAGAGAGAGAGAGAGAGAGAGAGAGACGTATGTACCTACAGAGTCAAGACGACGAAGTGCCTTGTTCCCCAGAACGAAAGTCTTCCCTTCGGAGCGCTTCTACTCCGTAAATCCTTGTTTCTACCTAATACTAGGTAATGAGGAAGACCTACGGGAACGTTCTTGGAGCCTGAGGCATCAAAGTGGATAGACCCTCCACCGTCGTTCCAAACAACAAAGATTGAAGTCCTTCGCATCCTGACAGGCACCTTTCCACCCGTGTGCACTCGTCCCTCCCTCTCACTGTCCCATGAACCTCGCATCCCACCTATGTTATTATAAAAGCCACTCGCGGTAGACGAAAGAGAAGGGCTATTAACTCCTGGTCTATTCCATAATATTAAATTCTGGTATGGTGCATTTGCACTAATAAATCAAGTTTCGTTCCCTTTGCTCCAATTATCAGTCACCTCCCTCACCGGTTTCTAAAACCTCCTGTAAGGCGCCATAGTCGCCTACTTATTCCAGTCTGCTGTTCTCTGGATTCCTTTGTTCCTCACTAACATCCGTGAACGATCGTATAGGGAATCTGTGCCTGTCATTGCGAACGACAAAGATCACTTCCCGATGGATATCGACACGACCAGAAGGAACAAAAAGCCCCGGCTTTTACTAGAGTCTGAAAGGGAAAGGCTTGAGGAATTCATTGACTCCATTCACTATTCCGCCAGGTATATAAATTCATGCGGTCCACATAAACGCTCGCTCAATGTGTGCAGATATTCAGATGATCAATTCGAATACCGCCATGTCCAGCTGCCCAAGAATATGCTCAAAAAAATCCCAGCCGACTACTTCGATAGCTCAAAGGGCACATTAAAATTGCTCTGGGAGGAAGAATGGCGGGCTCTTGGTATTACACAGGTATGTAGAATTGGACAGCATTCCAGCATCTATGGAGATCTGAAAAGCAGAGACCATCTAATTGGAGACTAGAGTTTGGGCTGGGAACACTACGAGGTCCACGAGCCAGAACCGCATATTCTTCTCTTCAAGTGAGTTGGGAGAGATCCACTCGATTCTCAATGACATTTCCTTATCCGCCGCCCCCTACTTACAACCGATTCTTTAGGCGCCCTCTGAATTACCAACCGCCTGTCTCTCAGTAAATAAAAGGCCGGATACCCGATCACGCGCGCCCCGAAATCTCGCTTTTCCCGGTCAACGGAGGAAGGTGCTACCGCCCAGCAGGATGCGACATGAAAATGAGATTGTTTAGGCAATCGGTTGCTCCATCAAAACTGAGGTTCTGCAATGAGATATGGTTCGACAGTTAAAGTAGACCCTATCTGCTCCCTATGTCATGGCTGCCTTGGTCTTACGCTTTTTGTTCACTGTTTGTATCCTGTGAGATGGGACTTTCAGATAATGTTTTTGGCCAACCATTGCTCCCATTGGGGGGTGGTGAAACTGCTGCTGATACCTGGCTCCTCAATGCCCTGGACGATGGTGTCAGTGTTTCAATCTCAGAAGTCTCTTCCTCGCGCGACAGGTGCCATACATTGAAGTACACGGTCGGGGAGACGTGGACCCCTACTACCCGATCTGACTGTATTACGTGTTAACATTGTATAAATGCATCTGAAATCCTAATTGCTTTTGCAGACTTACTTTTATCATCAATTTGATATCGTCGGTAACGCCGTTCCCGGCATTCAACTGCCCTTGGATCGCGGGCGTTTCTCTAATTGTCAATAACCCAAGTACCTCGTTCTCGTCCACACCAACACTCCCTGCAATCCCGGAAAGTTTTCTGTATGTTGCGTTACGAGTTTCGCCCAGGACACTGACGTCGAAGAATTCCTCTTGGCGTTTGTAAAGAGCAGCGCTAAAATCCCAAAACTTGTCCGGTGCGATTCTCAGAACAGCAGCGGCAGCTTCGTGGGTGAGGGTGGACGACGGGTGCCAGGGCTGGATGTGCTGTCGAAATATAACCTGCAACTTAGACTGATAGCGTTCGATAATCATCGGTTTAACTGAGCTGTAAAACGTATTGAATAACTTGGCAGAAAACTAAATAACACCTTAGTGGGCCACTTCCTATGCATCATAGGGAATTCACTGCACACTGACAGGGCACACATAGTCGAGATCTTCCATTCGCCCCGACGTCAGTTCGTGTGATATGCCGCTGGGATCCCCGGAAACATACATAATTCCAGAGTGTGCTGCGCTGGCTGGGACGATGAACCCAGTAATCTCTGACCTGCAAACTTCGGTGGTAAGGCCATTGCTGACTTCGAAGCTATATGGCTTTTCAGACTAGATACGGCTGAAGGGGGAGGGGGAAGAAGGAGATAGCGAGGCCTATCACGAAATGACCAGGGGCTTGATGATGTAATGCGACAACTGCATCTCGGTTTACGTCATCGTAACGCCGGCAATCCGAGGGGCAGCCAGTAAGAAGAATACTAGTGGGCTCTTGCTAGATGCATTAGTCGGTGCAGCTATTCCAATCTGGTCTGCTTTATACATCTAGTATCCTAGTCTACTGGGTTTTGCTCAACTAGAAAGTGAAGGTCCGGAAGTGCACACGATCCGACAAACATGTATCTATTGTACATTGAGTGAATGGGGTAGAAAAAGGATTGGAGAAAGACAAGCGAGATGTGCCGAGCAACACAACAAAACCACACCATCTGGGATTAATCGCCTTTTTGATCTCATTTCTGGGTTCTGACCGTGCCGACGCCAGCACTGATGACGCCTGGTAATTGTTCCTGCCCAACATTATACAACATTCCAATAGCAGCGCCCGTCGCTAAGAGTACCAAGATAGTAATCCCCGCAACAAGGAAGAATGGAGAGCTGATATCTCTCTTCTGGCATGCCGAGCCCCCCCATTTTATTTTCTGGATAGTACCATCGTCTTTTCGAATGGTAGTTTCCTGACATTTGCAAGCATAGCAATCACTAGGAGCGTTTTGGTCTGAAGACCCGGATTTTTTGTAGCAATAACCATGGCCCGAACAGTTCCTTGTCATCTCACTGCACGAGGAGTTTGATGCATAACAGACTGGGGCCACATGTAGCGGGTTGGATTCAAACATGGCGCCACTTGTTGAAATGGTTGTTTTCGGCAGTGTGTCCTTTTTCTGCACTGCCCTAGATTTCAAGGCCATCATTCCCCGCTGCGTATTGGGTTGAGGCAGAAGCACCGCTGTGGTCAACTTATCCCCCGAAGAGAGCGCATCCAAGCCACGCAGAACAGAACGTAGTAATTCGACCGTGAAGGTTGAATCCTCATAATGATTCGGAGACTGCGAGCAACGTTAAAAAGCAACTCGGCCGAAAACCCAAGGGTACCAATTACCTGCAATGAGATTTTGAGAGCCGCTGCCGAAGTCCGCTCATTAACCCACGACTCCACCATGCCGGTTCGGCTAAGCAATTCTGATTCCAATGTATCCGACTTTTGGAAAATGGAGCCATCTGGGATACATTGTTTTCCGGGCTGCTGCGTGGAGAAGTTAACTTGCAGGCTCTAGTATTGCTAGCACCATAAGGAGTCATGGATCTAAGAGCAGGGCAAATGTACCTGTTGCATATCAGATGGAGCTCCGTTGCCGATATGGAGCGCGCAATGTCTCGTTCGGGTGTTGTATACGCCGTCCCCTTCCGTCAGGGGAGACGGAAATAAATGGGACAGTAAGCTATCGGAGGAGACTCTCGCAAGCAAGTTTTGTTGAAATTCATTTTGAGTAAAAGAAACTTGTCATGATAAGCATATCTTTTGCAGTGGCTATAGCTAATGGCTCCGGCATACCAATTTCGGGGTCTACCCCCTCCAGAACAAGGAGGTTTCGACTTATATCGTCGCCTTCGGAACTAGGGCCGAACAAAGGGGCCGGACTTCCCCCAAGACTGTTCAACATTTCGATCGTTTCTTGATCTGGTTCTCCCGAAGTTAAGGACACCTCGGATTCCATCCGTAGACCCAATATCCGCTGTATCACATGGTCTGAAATGGCCGAAGGTTTGAAGTTATGTGGCAGATGGGCATCACCGAATGCAAGAACTAAAGCCTCGGGAGCCTGGGTTCCAGACACGGCTGCCACTGACAGGGCTAGTATGCTAAAGAGATGTTGCATTTTGGAGTAAGGAGAAGTGCGGTGGTTGGTTTTCCGATTGATTGTCGAGAAGCAGCCGTCGTAGGCTTGCTTGTCCTTGGCTCCCGAGATGTTGAGAGGTAGCATTTCAGGCGGTGTCTGGTTGCCTCATGCACCGTGTCACGTGTGGCGGCGCCACGGAGTACTCACCGGCCAAGCGGCTGATAGGTAGATAAGTCCCTGGCAAATCAGTTGGTCTTTTGCCCAGACGGTACGGATGATTCCACTGCCAAATGTCTTGCCCAAGCTGACCGGATATGCTTTGTACCCACTTGTCCCTTCAAATGCCATTTCTCAATGTTTCGTCTAAGGCGTGTCTTCCCATTTTCCCGAGTGGTATCCCGGCCTAGTCCACCATTGCCTCAGGGCAGTCTCTTTAAAGTTCGTCATGTAAAACTTCAAAGACCGTGGATCCGGTCAGTATTATAATATCATCTCGCCTTGCGCTCACGCTAACTTAAACGGCAGGACGCTCTTTAAGAGATGTTTTATCTACGGAGTCGCGTTTCATCTATGGAGTTCATTCGTACTTTTGCAGTTTGACGAGGACGATGAGACACAGGAGCTTCTTGTTGAGGGCGCGAACAGAGGCCAGGAAAGGAGAGACACGGACGCCAACGCTGATACCCAAGAATCTTCGGATTCAGATGAAATGTTTGTTCCTCTGGGCTGGCCCCAGATCCGCGAAGGTGAGCTTTACGCGGCGTCGGACCCCGAATGGCAGGAATTTGTCAAGCTTTCTCGAGATCGCGAAAAGCTTCAGGCTCTCAGAGGTATGGTTAATCAGACGGCCTTTCTACAGCATAAACTTACTCGCTCAGATGAACTGGCCTCGATTGCATTGACAGATGCATCCCGCTCCCATCTACTCTCGCGCATTCTCGGTGGTCCTCTGACCGTCACGAGAACCTGGCTTGTACATCAATTTCCGTCCCGGGCTCCTCCTACGTACAGCCGTTCCGGGTAAGTCATACTTCGGAATTGTAATAATAACATTTGCTCACGCTATACAGGCTTAACATAACTGACGATGGTGTCTCGTGGACCTCCAAACCAATGTCAGCAGAGGATGGGGACCGACTACTGAGATGCGCCCGGCCACTCCATGTGACACTTGCCATCAAGGATGCTTTTATGGTCATCTTGAAGAGGCAGACCGCACGACTTCGTATGGCAGGTTCTGGTCAGGAACAACTGCAAGAAACAACGGATTCACCGTCCCAGAAGAAAGAGTTCTCGCGTGATATCAAATCCTTAGATGGGCTGGATCGCATACCTCAATCCCGGAGTCCACCGTCTCATGTTTCTCGGGAAGGCGCATCGCAGGAAAATACCGAGTCTAGTCTGTATTCGTCCATCCTTCGTGCCACATTACAGATGCTACCGCTGCCGAAGTTTGAGCCCGATTCCGATCTATTCGCCGCGAGTCTGGCTTTTCAATCCCGACTGCGGGATTGCAAGGCTCGAGAGAGGCACACTCCTCGTCGTGGCGTATTTTACTTTTCTGGGCCTGTTGGTCTCAGGGGGCCCAAGGGGTTTTGCAGGGTTGAAGTACAAGGCGAATATGATACAGTGGCGGCGAGCTGGAGTAGCGTTACAATGCAGTTCAAAGACCTAGGCCTTTTTAAGCAGAAGGCCCGAGGTAGGTCATAGTATACTGCCGTTGTTGGGGTCAATAGTCCTCGGTGATTCGTAGATGCGATATACAGACAGACATACATCAGCTGTTAGTATGTTACAAACACATTTCACATGGACTGAGAATCCATCATGGTATCTGGCAAGTTCTCTGCCTAACATTTGCAATCCGCCGGTGACTGTCCCCGCGATTGCATTAAACTTTGCGCCGCATTCGGGTGGGGCCAGCAGCTCCCCAGTCCCCGTGAAGCTGCAACGGCTCTGTCGAAGCCAGAATCCATCGCCATACATCTGTGCCAGAACGCCTACAATGGATCAGCCAACCTCCACCAAACCGGTCGTTTTTTTCGACATCACACTAGGAGGTAGGCTTTGGAAATACATGAATGCCGGCCTTCTCGGGATAGTAACTAACAATTGCAATAGGGGAACCCCTCGGTCGCATTAAGATAGAATTGTTCGCAGATACTACCCCGCGGACGGCGGAGAATTTCCGCCAATTCTGCACTGGAGAAAGCAAGAACTCTCACGGACGACCGCAGGGCTACAAAAACAGCAAATTTCACCGAGTTGTACGTTTAGAGAGAGCTTCGATTCCCCCCCAGGTATTGTTCGGGGAGCTGACCCGGCTTTCAAAAGATCAAGGATTTCATGATACAGGGTGGTGATTTCATCAATGGCGATGGCACGGGTTGCTGCTCGATCTACAACACGCCCAGGTTTCCAGATGAGAACTTTGTGCTGAAGCATGATCGCGCCGGGTTGCTGAGCATGGCAGTAAGTCAGTCAACAGAAGAGTAACAAGGCTTCTACTAATATAACCTGTGTAGAACTCAGGACCCGACACCAACGGCTGCCAGTTTTTTATAACAACAACAGCCACCCCTTTCTTGAATAACAAACATGTGGTTTTTGGCCAAGTGATTGACGGAATGGATATTGTGCGAATGATCGAACATACACGCACAACAAGGGACAAACCAAACCAGGACGTTGTCGTGTCACAATGTGGGGAAATGTGAACAACGGCTTGTTCCAGGTCTTTCGTTGACGGCTACAAAAGAAGAAAAGGGGAGAGGTGCAAGACTTATTTGAAATTGCATAAAGACAAAGATTTCAGCTTGTTTTCCCGCTTTGGTGCCGGCAGCTACCATAACCCTACAGCTTAAACTTCTGAAGGTAGTCGGAGGCCAGGTTGATGGCCTCGTCAACCTTGTCAGGGTGAACACCATTACCGATTGAAGTAGACCCCTTTCCTCCAGCCTTGCCACCGATCACGCCGGCAACAATATTGGCCCACTCACTGGCAGAAGCGCCTTGATCATCCATTGACTGTGGGTTAGAATGTCAATATTAGTCCATTGCCCTTGAGAGGTTTCGGGGGCGAGAGATGACACTGGGAATAGAAGTACATACCTTTGAGACATAGCAACCATGAGCGACACGGCCCTGGTCCCCATCCGCGGCTAGAACATAGACCGTCTTGTCTTTCAACTTCGACTTGACATGGTTCAACGATTCACTGACAGCCTTCGCATTTGCAGAAATGGGAAGTCCGGTAACAAGCCATGACTTGTCCTGGTTCTCCGGGGCTTGGAAAAAGGCGGTTATCGTTTCGACGGCCTTCTTGGACTCCAACTTCTGCTGTGCCTTCTGTGCGTCAAGAATCTGTTTATTGATGCTTGTGAACCGCTCCCGAAACTTGGTCTTCTGCACAGCAGAGATAAGTAGCTGATTCAGGTCAACTTGTATCTGCTTGGCCTCCTGCTCTTTCGCTGGGCCCAGAGCCATCGACTGCAAGTGATTCAGGCGCTGCTCAAAGTCATTGGCAACACGCTGGACATGGTGAGCATCTTCACCTGTCACTGCAATGATCCTGCGGATTCCTTTCGCGATGCCGCTTTCCTCCAAAATAATGAGGTCCTTGATGTCACCCGTTTTTTGGACGTGGGTACCACCACAAAACTCGATACTAACCTTTTCCCAGCGAGGGTCATTGGCATTCTTGAGTATCTCGTCCAGTTCAACCCCGACCGAAACAACGCGAACAGGGTCAGGATACGTCTCGCCAAAAACAGCTCTGACCCCCGAGATTTGACGAGCAGTCGCAAGAGGAACTTCCTGTGAATAAACGGCACAATTTTGCCTTATGTACTCCGTAGAAAGTTCTTCGATCTTCTCCAGTTCTTTTTCTGTAACTGCAGACTTGTGGGAGAAATCAAAACGGAGCTTTTCGGCGGCAACAAGAGAACCCCTCTGTTCTACTCCCTCACCGAGAACTTCCTTTAGCGCGAAATTCAAGATGTGCGTCCCAGTGTGGTTGTTTCTGATTGGCCATCGGCGAAGCTCGTCATACTCACAAAGGACCGAGTCGCCAACAGCAAAAGAGCCGTATTTCAGAAAACCAGTATGAAGAACATATCCTCCATAAAGCTGAACATCACCAACCTCCAATTCCGACTGTCCATCAATAACAATTCTGCCGGTGTCGTTTTCCTGACCACCTTGTTCAGCATAGAAATTTGTGCGATCAAGGATAATTCCGAGTTGCTCCCCGTGGGGAACACTTTCCGTGGACGAATGGAACGATTTGGCATGGTAAATTGCCTTTATTTGGGCATTGATATTGCCCTTGGCAAATTTGGCAGCATCGTCCGTCTTGGAAACGTCGGACATTCTTTCCAGGGTTCCGAGGTCATGGACATCAAGTTTGACAGCATCTGCCGCGGTCTTTTTCTGTCCTTTGCTGGCTTCTTTTGCTCTAGAGCGAGCCTCTTCAAATTCCGTGTCGTCGATCTGCAATCCACGCTCTTCTGCCATGATACGAGTCAAATCAACGGGGAATCCAAAAGTGTCATACAACCTCCAGACATCAGCGCCGTGAAGTTTGTGGGCCCCCTTTGCCGCGGCTTGTTGAGCATAATTTTCAAACTGTCGTTCACCACGATCCAAAGTTTTCGAAAAAGAGACCTCCTCCTCGTCAAGAATTTCCATGACATCATGCTGCTTTGTTCTTAACTCCGGAAACATATCACCAAGCTGATGAACTATGGTTGGAACAATTTTTGAAAAGAAGTTACCGATTTCAACTTTGAAGTACTTTCGAGCGAAACGGGCGCCCCTGCGGAGAACTCGACGAATGACATAGCCACGACCCTCATTGTTTGGAGTTACGCCGTCCGATATCGCGAATGTCAGAGTACGGACATGGTCTGCCACAACGCGATATGCGGTATCGATTCCATCAGAATCTTCGGTACCAAATCGGCCTTGGTACTCCCGAGCTCCCGTTATTTCCTTGATGACCTGGAACAAAGGCGTAAACACATCGGTATCATAGTTTGACGATTTGTTTTGCAAGATCGAGACCAGTCGTTCGTATCCCATTCCAGTATCAACGTGTTTATTCGGGAGGGGCTTTAAAGAGCGGTCCGTTTCGCGATTGTACTGGATGAAAACGTTGTTCCAGATTTCAATGACATTGGGATCGTCCTGGTTAACGAGGTGAGAGGCGTTACGGTCACCGATTCTGTCAAAATGGATTTCACTACAAGGTCCGCAGGGACCTTGGTCGCCCATCTCCCAAAAGTTGTCCTTCATGTTTCCAGGAAGGATATGATCTTCGGGGACGCCGACCGATCTCCAGAGGGCTTTGGCTTCCAGGTCCGGTTCAAGTCCGCCATCCTTGCACCCTTCGAAATAGGTAACATAAAGACGTTCAGGATCCAGCTGGTAGACTTTAGTCAAAAGCTCCCAGGAATACTGAATTGCTTCCTGTTTAAAATAGTCACCGAAACTCCAGTTCCCGAGCATTTCAAAGAAGGTCTGTCCAATGTAAGCTTTGTTCTATTCCGTTTTATCCTGCCCTCTTGTTTCCTTGGGTGGTCAACCTACATGGTGATAACTATCCTTCCCGACATCGTCTAGGTCCTGTACGGGTATTAGTTGCTTTCCCGGGGTGGGGTTGTTTTCTTGCCAGGCAGGTATTGTCTACTAACGTTGTGCTTTCCACCGGCCCGGATACACTGTTGACTGTGGTTAGTGAGAGGTCTTGGAGATGAGCAGGGCATGCAACCAACCTTTTGGGAATTGACCGCACTCTTCAAGGTCGCAAAGTCTGAATGAGGGTCCACGGTGCCTAGAAAGATCGATTTAAATTGGTTCATCCCTGCATTGGTAAATAGCAGGGTGGGATCCGACAGCGGGGCAACTGGCGACGAGGCAACTGGGCGCGTAGCAGCATTAGTGGCAACCATCAATCAGTTGGCATGGAGGGTCGCAAACCGAAAGTGTGGCCATTTTCCTTGAAATATTTGATGAACGCATCACGTACGCTCTGCGCCGTCCATTCCGGTTCTCCCTGGGCTTGTGAGCTCATTCTGGCGGGTGGTGGGCTTTTTTTGGCGGGCAGGATGGCAAGTGGGGGAGTGTGAAGATGGTAGAATGTTCTGGGGTTTGACCTAAAGGGAGACAGCAGATGAGTCAAACCCAGGTCCCCATTTCTCAGGATCCTAGGGGCTCGCATCGAGCAACCCCCCTCCGCAATGCCTTCGATTGCATGCAATTGTATTTTAGCACTGGGAACCAAGATTCAAGTCTAATTATTCATGTGCAAGGCCCGCTGGAGATTTCTGCCTATTGGTTAGTCCGACGGATTGTGGTAGATGGCGGCGCAGCATGATGGCACGAGAATTCCTCACGGCAGAAAGCGCCCCGCAGACAGCGACCCTGACGGCGATCGGCCTTTGGCGAAAAGGTTCAACGACCTTCACATAGGTATCTCTCTAGATCTACATCCACCTGCAGTGGGCCGTATCCTTTTTTAACATTGCCGCCTTTATCAGATCCTGTAGCAATTTACGACCATCGTACATATGCGCCAGGTACCGGTGACGAACCGCCAGGGTCACCTGACATGATGCTGCTGGATGATCAAAGCCACACGCTCTACGTCCAAGACCTCGATCGAGAACTCGCAGAAGCCGACTTGCCGGGCGATTCGGTGGTATTTCTACCCGGCATCGAGGAGAAATTGGCAAGCGTACCCAGGTTATTGCTGGTGAGCAACAAGGAGAGTTGCAAGGAGCTGATTCCTTATCGGGAGCCCGTGTCTCTCCTAGAGCCGAACAAAAATAGCAACGTTAGAAGGGCTTTGATTGAGACCAGGGAGCGGGCTAGGGCGAGTCAGGCGGTACGGGTATCCCCTTGTTCTGGCGTGTCTGATGGCAGGTCATCATCGTCTGTGGACGATGTATCGGCCCATACAGACAGCCTTAATGAAACAGACGGTGAGGATATGATGGAAATTGACTTTGTATTTAGTTCATAACCAACTAGGTAGTGTAGTGAACTAGTTTTGATTATCAAGCTTGATAGTCGTCGCTCAAAAGTAACCCCGCCTTGTAAGGCACTATCACCATGAATAATATATAATATTCAACTAATAATAATTCGCGTGTGTAATGTCACCGGCGCTTATCTCAGCGCGGAATACAGAACAACCGGACTACTGAAGGTCTGTAGGGTTGCTAAGGCATTCAGAATTGATTGCTGTAATAATATTATATACGGGAAACTTTTCTTTGAAGGAGACTACCGGCTTGATTTTTAAGAGATTAAATAATTAATTTTATTTATTTTATATCTATCTTTTAACTTTTTATATCTCTTAATATGTAGTAGGCAATCTATAGGTATATTATAAATATTTTAAATTCTTTAATATATTTATGTAAGATATTTAAATACCTAAATTAAAACTTTTATAATTATTTTTTATAATTTTAATTATTTTTCTCTTGCCTTATTATTATTATATTTATATATAAGTAATTTTATAATAAATAAGAATATTATATTTATTAAATATTTTTAAATAATCTTTTTTTTACTTTAAAAAAAGTAACTTAATTTTTTAGATTAAATAATAATGTCACCGGCGCTTATCTCAGCGCGGAACACGGAACAACCAGACCGCCGGAGGTCCGCAGGGTTACCGAGGCATTCGGGAACCAATTCCCGCGAGAATGTTATAACAGGAAACCCCTTAATTAAAAAGATTACCTGCTTAACCCCTAGGAGGTCAAGTAATTAATTTAATTTATTTTATACCTGTTTTTTAATTTCTTATATCTCTTAGCGTGTAGTAGATAGTCCGCAAGTATATCGCAGGCGTCCCGAACTCTTTAGTATATTTATTTAAGAAAACTAAGTATCTGGAATAAAACCTTTGTAGCTATCTCTTATAGTTTTGATTGTTTTCCCCCTGCCTTACTGTTATTATATTTACGCGCGGGTAATCTCGCGATAAATAAGGATATTATATTTAATAAATATTTTTAAATAATCTTCTTTCTGCCTCAGAGGAAGTAATTTAATTTTTTATATTAAATAATAATTTTTTTTTATTTAAATACTTAAAAATTATTATTTTGAACAGTTCTCCAGCTATTAGAAGGCTAGTAGTTAGCTTATAGTCTTTCTGCCAGTACAGATAATCTTTAATATATTAGTAATATTAATAAAGATCCTAGGGAAAAATAAAAAAAAAATTTAAATTTAAAAAACTAGAGATTTTTAAAAATAAGAATTTATATTAATATTTAATTTTTATTTAAAACTTAAAATATTATTTTAAAAATAAACCTTGCTCTTTTTTTAAGAAAAAAATAAAAGTTTTATATATAAAAATATATTTATTAAAATTTTTTTAAAATTTATAATATTTAATATGCTCTAGGGATCTCCAGGGAATAATATTTAAAGATTTTAAAATTTTTTTAATAAAATAAATAAAAAATAAAAAAAACCAGAGATAAATTTATACTTATAATTTTACTTGACTAAGGCAGGGCCCTAATTAATTTATTTAAGTTATATTAAGTAAATATATTTTTCTTACGGAGCTTATATAAAAGGATATTAACTAGTTTTTTATTAATTATTTTTTTAAAATATTATAGTTAGACTTACAGAAAAATATTAAATAAGCCCCTAAATTATTAACTAATAAAAAATTAAAAAACTTTATTAAAGTAGATACTCTGGCGGAATAATATAAATAACTAGTAAAATAAGATAAGGAATCTTATTAAATATTATATTTATATAATAGATTATCTTCTAGAGATAAACACTCCTTTTAAGGAAGAAACTTCTCTTAAGAAGGAAACTTTTTTTAAAGTAATTTTTTTATTTTTTAAAATAATTTCTCTAATTCTCAGGGCGGCAGTATACCGCATATAAAATATAAGTATTCTAAAAAAAGAGGTAGTTATTTTAAATAATAGGCCTCCGGAGAAGAAAAAGAGTATCTAAGTAAAAATAAATATTATTTTATTTATAAAAAAAAAATATTATTTCTAAAATTATTATCCCCAGGGGGATAAAAGATTATTTATAAATATAATCTCGGGTAAAACAGAATTCTTAATAATAAAGAAAAAGGGTAATTCTTTTTTTTAATAAGAAGACGCGCCTCTAATCTTTAATATAATTAAATCTAATATTTTATTATAATTCCCTCTTTTCCGTGCGGATATTTAACTGCGTATAAAAAGAAAATAAATTATTATAAATATATTATTAAATATAGGAGCAGATAATAATTTTATATTATATTATTAGTTAAAGAGGCGAGACTTTTAATTTAATATTAATTAAATATTAGCCCCTGTCTATTTTATCAGGAATCAGATAGTATTTTAATATAGAATATTATAAAAAAATATAAAAATTTTTAATTTAAATAATAATATATACAGTTATATTATATAATTTTATATTATTAATATAATAAGTTATAATATTATACTTAGCAAAAACTAGATAGGTCTTATAGATCTTAATTTTAATATTATTATAGAAATCTGGTAGTACTGTAGTAGTTTACCTGTGGTTAGTTTAGTATTTTACTATTAATTTAAATAATATTACCGCGCTAGAAAATCAGGGATATTATTTAAAATAATTATATTAAACTAGGAAACTTTTAGTTTTCCTGAGTAGTATATCTAGTTTAAAAAGATATTTTTTAAGTAAAAGATAGTGTTTATATTAATAGGATTAATAGAATATATTATTTTATTAAAACTTAGTATAAAACCTCTATATAAACTTTTATATAATATATCTTATACTAAGTTAAAGGCGCTGCGAGACTATTTAAATAAAATAATTAAAAAAAATAAATTTAGTCTTTTAGTAGACCTGCTGCGGCCTTTATTTTTTATATTAAAAAATCTAATAGTAGTCTATAATTATACGTAAATTACCGGGGGCTAAATAAAATTATAATTAAGAATTACTATTTGTTTTTATAAATTAATAAAATTATAAATTAGTTAAAAGGTACTAAGATCTTTATAAAGTTAGACTTATATAATATTTATTATTAAATATATATCTGCCGAGAAGATAAATAAAAAATAGTTTTTTAAACTTATTATAAATAATATAAATATATAGTAATACTATTCAGACTGTATAATACTTCCTTTATATTTTAGGCTTATATAAATAAGGCGCTGTGAGGGATCCTTAATAATTATTATATTATTTATTTTAATAATATTTTTATTTTTTTAGAGATAAAGGAGAAACATATCTAGTATATTAGTAAAATATTAAAATATTTAGAATACTATAATTTTTTCATAAAGATATTAAAATGTGTATTTTATATAAAAAAAATCTATTTCTTAGGCTTTATTATTAGCTGAGAAGGGATTTAATTAGATTTTTTTTAATTAAATATAATTACCTAGTAGCCAGAGCTATAATTAGTTTATAATATTTAGGTATTCTTAGGATTTACTGGATTTTTTAGAAGATTTATTTATTAATATATAGTAATTATTGTTCCCCTTACTAACCTATTAAAAAAATTAAAAATAAAAGAATAGTTCCGGATAATATCTAAAGGGTATATTATTTTTAAAAAATTAAAAAAAGTATTTATAAAACTACTAGTGCTAGGGTATTTTAATCCTGAATAATAATATTTTATAATTATAAATATTTTAGATTATATAATAGCTAATATTTTTTTATAACTCGCAGATAGATTATAAGAATCTTATAGGTGAAAAATTTAAAAATTAATTATTTTTTATTTAAAGAAGCTTAAAAATACTAAATAATAATAAAAAATATATAATTAAGAATTATTAATAATTATTAAGTATTTTAAGGTATAATAGTATTACCTTGCAGATAAACTGTAGGTAGTCTATGTGTAAATTAATTATATAAATTTTAGATATTTCTTTATAATAAAGATTTTAAATATAAGATAAGTCTAATAGACTGAGCTACTTGCGGTTTATAATTTTATAATTAAGTATAAGCTTGGCCATAGAAATCCCGCAGATATATTATTAAAATAATAAAATTACTGGCTAAGTATTAAAGAAAAATAAAATATTAAAATATTATTAATATTTTAAAGAAAGCTATAGCTGAGAAACCTCTAAGAATTATTTTTATAAAATAAAATAGATTTTAAGAAATTATTTTAAAAAATAAAAAAAAATCCGGAATTCTTGTCCCTAAAAAATAATATTAAAGTTAAAATTAATAATATTTATGTTTTGGATTATATCGCGTTATATAAAAGCTAAGTTAATATCTAAACTAGTTTATAGAAAAATCAGACTAGTAAATAAACAGATAATAATTATTTATAAAAATATTAACTTAATACACAGATAGATTCGCGGATAGATTAGACTAGTAAGTAAACAGGAAATAGTAATATCTTATAGATAAGTTTAATTAGTATGCAGAGTAATTATAAAAAGACTAAATATAAATCTAGTACTGGAGGCCTTAAAGCCTTAATATAGTAAGTATAGTTTAGGGATATTTTTATATAATATATAATTAATCTATAATATTTATTTAGTTAAATTATTTCTCCGGAGGCTTAGAGCTTTAATAAAAAGGGCTTTATATAATATAAAAATATTTTATATATATTTCTAGATATTGTGCTGCGGCAGGAGCTATTATATATTTATTATAATAATTTTTTTATAGGATATTTCGGATAAAATAAAATACTAAATTTTATTTATTAATGTTTCTGGTAGGATCCCATACTAAAAAATATAGCAGATTATATTATTAATTATACTATTTATTAGTATAATAAGGTCTTATATTATTATAGGTATAGGCAGTTAAATCTCTTACTAGTCCCGGAAAAACTATAATAATTAGTAATAGTTAATTTTATTATAGGCTTACTACCGGTAGACGGTAAGGGTTTTATCTGTGATATAATTCTAGTCCTAATAAATAGGTTTACTAAAATAGCGTGATATATCCTGGTATAAAGTATTATTAATACTAAATAATTAGTTAATATTTTTATAAAAAAGATTATCTGCAGATATAAAATACCAAAAAAATTAATTAGTAATAAAGAATTACTATTTATAAATAGATATTAGAATAAATTCTGTTAGATTCTCTAAATTAAATATTAAATAAGTATAATATTCTATCCCTAGACTAATAGTTAAACAGAATAGCAGAACCAGACCATAGAAATATATTTATATTATTATATAAATTTTTAGTAAAATAATTAGGCAGTTTAGCTGTTATTTATGGAATTTATCTATAATAATTTAATCTATGCCTTTTTAGGCGTGTCCCCGAACCAGGCGCTAATAAACTATACCCCTATAGTACCTTAATTATCTAACTATAAAACAGAAATACAGCGCGAATTAATTAAATAATAGTAGGAATATGTGAATAGTCTCTAAAAAAGACTAAAGAAATATTTCTAGTAAATAATTAAAATACAGAAAAAATACTATAATTATTATTATAAACTAGTAATATTCTAGATTAATAATAAGGTTTTACTTAGTAAAAAAAACTTATTAATATAAAGGCCATCCAAAAAGTTAGATAGTAAATATATTAGATTATTTAAAGTTATAAAACTTATTAGAAAACAAGTTTATTAACTATGCCTGCCTAAACTATAAAAATAGGTTTATTTAATTTTTTATATTTTTTTTAAAATTATAGATCTAGCAGACCAGCAGTAAAATACCTACGGTCTAAAAATCTATTAAAATTAATAATTAAGATAAGTAAGAGGTAAAAAAGATTATTATATATTAAAATTAGTAAGGAAAAACTTAATATTTTATTAAATAATCTAGGTTTCCTAATTATAAAAATACATAGAAATTTATAGATAATTTAGTAAATATTTCGGAGGCCCTAGATATATATAAAAATTTAGGATTTTATCACTTTTCTTAAAAACAGAGATAATATTTTTTTATAAGACTTTTTTATTTTTTTAGCAGAAAGCAGACCTCCGGTAGTCTGCCTACGGGGCGGTAATATATTTTTTTTTTATTTTATAGGATTAAAAGTTTTAATAGTATATTAAAGGCTATAAATTAGTAATAAAATATAAGAAGGAATAGCCCGAAAGCCTGTTTTTATTAAATATAAAAAAAAAGAATTTTTTATCTTTACTAGGCTTTATTTAGTATCTTATTATCCCTAATCACAGGTATTATTTTCTCTTATACTAGATTAAAATAGGGCAGATCTAGCGCCCCCTGCTATAACTATATAAAGTAAAATATATTATAATTTAAGGACTAATACACCTAAAATATCTTATTTTTAATACTCTAGTAATAATACTTAAAAATTTTTATAATTATAATAAACTGCTTACATATCTTTAATAAACCTTTGCTTCCGCGGGTAGCCTATATCTTATTTATTTTTTTCTGTAAAGAAACAGGAACAAGCTTATAAAAATACTTTATAATTATATAGTGCTCGCATACTTTAGTAATATATAATTAAATATATATTACCTGCGATTTTAACCCTAGTACTTTTATATCTTAAAAATATTAGATTAAAATAGATATGGCTTCAGAGGGCTCTAGGATAGAATAAAATAGTAATATAAAATAGCTCTAATTTTTAAAGAAGGCCGGGAGAAATTAAAAAAATAAATAATAACTAGTTTAAGAGAACTTTTTATTTAAAATCTTAATAATACCTCCCTGGATATTTTACACGGAGCTAAAAATATTATTTTTTAATAATAAAAGAGATATATTAAAATATTTTAAATCTTTATTAAAAAAAATAATAAAATAACTATTCCTAGAAAGACAGAACAAAAATAATATAAGATCCGGAAAAAAAAGTCTTATATTTTTTAAGATTTTTATATCTTAGTTATTTTTACTGTGGTATAAATTTAAAGATATATAAGATCTGCTTCCCTGCTTAAATATTTTTTTCTTTATAAGATTAGATATATTAGTAGAAGTTGCGGCCTACAGAAAAATTAGTATTCTATTTATTTTTTTATATAAAATAATAGTATACCGAAGCTAATAATCCCTTAGGCTTAAAAAATAATTTACTATCTGAAAATAGCTCCCAGGCGCAGGCTAACAGGTCTTTATTAGTAATAAAGCTTTTAGTAGTAGCAGCCTTAGTAGCGCGGCGGGTGTCTCTGGCGTGTTATATAAGACCCTATATAAGTAAGAGACCTCCTTAACTAAGAGAAAAATTATTTTATTAACTTTAGTAGTACCTTTATAAGTCAGCCGCTTGGCAGTGGTAACTTTATTTTTTTTATAAAAATAACAGCCGGCTAGCTTAATAGTATTTTTTAGCTTTTTAAAAACTTATATATATTTAAAATTAATCCTGTACTAGTCTAGCTTATATATCACAGGGCTCCCGCCAGGATTTTAAAAAAAAAACTTATAGGAACAGGGGAGAAACCCCCTCCCGAAGAAAAGGCGAAACAGATGCGCTTCTGTCTTTTTAAGGCTATAATAATATTAGATAGTAGAAAAAATAAGAAAACCAGTTAAAAAATTAATTTTTATATAAATTAATATAAGATCTGTCGCCAGGGCAGTACGGAATCTTATAATTAATTTTTTTTAATATAAAGAATAAACGCGAGAATTCGAAAGAAAGAAAGTTTAATTTTACTAAGTTTATCTATATTATTTATATTTATAGGGGATATTAGATAGCCTTAGGCATCTGTAAAGTGCCCAGCTATCTTAATTTTTATATAGTAAATTAATCTTTTATTAAATATTAAAATTATAAAAATTATAAATAAGCTACAGAGATAATTTTAAGTATAAAATAATTTTTAAAATAAAATAAAATAATTCTGTTTTATATAAGAATATTAAGACGGAAGCACAAGATATTATACTAAGTATCCAAAGACAGCTGCTTTATTAGAAGGGATATATTTATTACCGGCGCTTATCTTAGCGCGGAATACAGAATAACCGGACCACTAGAGATCTGCAGGATTACTAAGATATTCAGGAACTGATTCCTACGAGAATATTATAATAAAAAACCCCTTAATTAAAAAGATTATCTGTTTAACCCCTAAAAGATCAAGTGATTAATTTAATTTATTCTATATTTATTTTTTAACTTCTTGTATCTCTTAGCGCGTGGCAGACGGTCTGCAGGCGTATTGCAGGCGTCCCGAACTCCTCAGTACATCTATCTAAGGGAACCAAGTGCCCGGAATAGAACCTTCGTGGCTGCCCCTTACAAATAATCTTTTTTTTAAATACTTAAAGATTATTATCTTAAATAATTTTTTAATTATTAAAAAACTAATAGATAGCTTATAACTTTTTTATTAGTATAAATAATTCTTAATATATTAATATTTATAATAAAAATTTTAAAAAGAGATAAGAAAAAAAATCTTAAGCTAAAAGAATGAAAAGTTTTTTAAAATAATAATCTATATTAATATATAATTTTTTATAAAATTTAAAGTATTATTTTAAGAATAAACCCTATATTTTTTATAAAAAAAGATACAAGTCTTATATATAAAAATATACTTATTAAAACCTCTTTAAAATTTATAATATTTAATATATTTTAAGGATTTTGTCAAGGTGCAGGCTGGCGGGTTGGTAGAGTTGGTACAGCAGGGGCGGGCAGGGCAGGCGGTCTGGCTGGGTCAGGCGGGCTAGGTTCACAAGGTCTTTAATTATTACTACAGTCAGGTTATATATAGGATAATAAATAAAATATAACTTAAAGAGTTATAATAAAATCTTTAATATTTAAATTTTTAAATAATCAGGAGATTAGGATTAAGGATAAGTTTTTTTAATTTAATAATTTTATTTAATTCTGGCAGGCTTAATAATACCTTTAAGTTTATATTATAATAATATTTTTTTTATAGCTAAACTTTATTAAAGTTAAAAAGGGCCAGACTTATTAGGATACTAGTAATAATAATTCTAGATAATTTATTTAATATATTTTAAATAACTAATAAGCTTAGTAATAAAATCTGTATATTTAATTTACTTTATAATATATATTAAATAAGGGCAGCCACAGCCGCGGCAGTCTTAGAATAAGTTAAAAATATTTTTAATTTTTTATTTCTTAAGTTTATTAATTTTAATATAAGATAAGAGAGAGTTTTACTAGCTAAATAAAATATTTAAGTTAATAAAAATAAATAGATTTATATTAAATATAAAATAAATTTTTATATTAAACAAGAGTTCTAGATAATAAATATATAAATTAATAATTTTTTTAATATAATATAAATTTAAAATATTTTAATCTAGTTTTTTACTAGGCCGCAAGGTCTTAATATATTAAATATTTAATTAAATTAATTAATTTTTTTTAAATAGGCGGGTAGGGCAGCACTAGCAGTCTATTTATTTAATATAATAGGTCTAGGTAGATAGTATTTTAGCTTAGGTAAATTTAGTAATAATTTATATTTTTATAATAAATTATTTTATATTTTATACAGTAAAGCAATTATATATATAATAGTTTTTTATTAAGACAGGTTCAAATTTTATATATAAATAAAAGCTATAATTAATAAAAAATAAACTAGTCTTAATTAAATCAGAGTATATAGTATTTAAAAAGAATTTAACTAAAAAAAGCTAAATACTTTAATTATTTTATAAATAATTTATATAAGCTTAAAAATATTATTTTGATATAATATTTATTTATTTAGTCTGGCTATTAATCTCAGGATAATATATAATTAATAATTTACTTATAATATCCAGGTATTAGATTAAATATTTTTAAAATTTAATAATAAATTAAAATCTTTAATTTAATATAACTATTCAGGGCAGGCTATACAGCTTTTATATATATTATATATATATTATAGTTATAATAAATATATTAATAATTAAATTATAAAAGATTAAGTATTTTATTTTAGTCAGGCGGTCTATAATAATTAAAATAATATTATAATTTTAACTCTTAAGCAGATATATAATAAAATCTATAAAAATATTTTATTAAATATATTTAGATATAAACAGGGGTTTTAGGATATCTTATTTAATTTTATAAAATAAAATATTTTAATAATAGATATAATAATTCTAGATTTATTAAATTATATATTAATATATATTAAATTAAAAATATTTATAAATAAAAAATTTATATATATAATTTTTCCCAGAGTATTTTAATGCGGGCTTATTATATATTAAGTAAATCAATTTAGTTTAGAATTTATTATCCTTAAAAATCTATAAATAATTTTTAAATAATAATTTTTTTTTATAATAAAAACCTTTTAAATTTTATAAATTAGATTATTTTTTTTATATATTTTTTTTAAGTTTATCCGGATTTCAGGCAGTAGCTATAAGTTTTATTTATTTTTAAAAATAATATTTTAGTAGGTGCAGGTTATAAGAGTAAATAAGATTAAAAATTTAGGAGTTTTTACTAGATTAGATTTAAATTTATTAATATTAAAATTCTTATACTTTAATATTATTTAGCTTTAATATTATAAATACTTATCTTTCTTTTTAAAAAAATCCTTTAATTTTTTAATTAAGCTATCTAATTTAGTTCTGTATTTTTTAGAGTAGTACATAATTTTAAATTTAAATTAAAATAAAAATTTAAACTAATAGACTTATTATTAGTTTAAAAATTTAGTTAATATAAAATATTCTAGATTATAATAATTAAAAATAATTTATATTAAAGATAGGGCTCTTTCGAGTTTAAAACACTATTTTTTAAAATATTAAATAATAATAAATAATTCTTTATTATAAATCTTATAATTATACTCCATGGGTGAGTATTTTTTTAAAAAAAAAATAAAATATAAAATTTTATTATTATTATACTAAAATAAGATTCTAGTAAAAATATAATTAAAAATATTAGTTTCCAGAATTATAATATATATTTAGTTAAAAGATTATAAAACTAGAGTATTGGTAAAAACTTTTTTAAAATAATTAAAAATTTTTTAATAAAATAAAGTTTACTTTTAGGATATTTTTTTATAAATTAAGCTAATAAATAAGATAATTAACTTTAAAAAATTTTAAATAAAATAATAGTAAAAATTACTAAATCCTAAAAATACTTAAATATCTATAATATAAATTAGAATAGGCTAATTAATAATTATCTTAATTTTAAAAAAATTTATTTAAATTTTCTTATAATTAATAATTAGATCTAGAAACTTAGTCTTAAGAATAATAAATTTATATTTTAAAAGTTTTATAAATAAATAGGCTTCTCGCAGCTTTTATAGGACCTAGCAGATATAATAAATATATTTAAAATAAATTTAGTTATAAATTAGGATATTATCTAGATAAATAGTATAAAAAATATTTAAATAATTATATAAAATATTATTAATATAATATTAGAATATCCCAGGGGCTTTAATTAAACTAAATAATATTATTAAAAATTTAAATAAATGTAGGCGGGTATAAAATATAATTATTTATTTTTAATTTTTTTAGATATATAAATTATTAAAAGCACTTATAATATTAATTTTTATAAAATAATATATTTTTTTTAAATTATTTAGGATTTCTTTTACCAGAGATAATAAATAATAATTTTTAATTATAATTATATTTAGGGCTTAATAATTAATATAAAAATATAAGCCTTTATTAGATTTGTTAATAAACAAAATAGGAAATATTATAAAAAATAAATTTAAATAAATAAAATTTTTTTATAAGTTCTTAAATAATTATTTTTAAAAAGCCTTTAGTTTTTTCCAGGATATATTATATAGAAGACCGAATAATAATCTTTTACTAGATTCTAAAATAATTATATAATTATAGTTTTTGTGTAGGGGTAATTTATTTACTTTTTTTAATAAAAATATATTATTAAAATCTTAAAATTTTATAAAAATATTAAAATTTTAATTAAAATTAAATATCTCTTATACTAGAGGTTTCTCAGGAAATTTTTTATAGATTGTTTAGTTAATTTATTTTATAATAATAATAAAAATTTTTTTTTCTTATTTTATATATACGGCATAAGCTTTTATAAATATTATATAAATATTATAGGTCTAGAGGATCTTTAATATTTTTAAGTTAATTAAGCAGGCTTAAATAAAAATATTATATAAAGCCTAGATTTTCTAGGGATAAAACAAAATATTATAATATTTTTAATAATATTAATTATTAAACTAGAGAGTATACTTAGTAAAATTTATTTTAAAATTATAAATTTTAAGCTAAAAAAGTCTAATTATAATAAGAAAATATATAAACTAAATAATTAAAAATAAAATATTTTTTTTAATATAGTTATAGGTCTTTAGGATTATACAGATATAATAAATAATAATATTAGTTTTACTTTTGTGATTATTAAATTTTATAATTAATTTAAATTTTTTTAAAAAATATAAGATTAGATTTTAAATTTTAGTTTAATTTTTATTTATAATATAGGATATAAAATAGCTAGTATTAAATATAATATAAGTAATAATTTTACTTTTACCGGGGTTTAGCATAATAAAAATAACTAATAAGTTAGTTTTTTAAAGTTTCTTTTTAATAAAAAGTTTTTTAATAATAGCTTTATAGATTTAGTAAACTTATATAAAAAAATTTTTTTAGTTATAACTTAGGCTAGACTAACCTTTTTTAACTACTTATTTAGATCTAAGAAGTATAAGTATTTTATTTAGGGAATTATTTAGGATTAAAAAATCTAAAATAATAATAATACAGGCAAGCCTTATAGGATAAAATAAGACTAAAATATAAAAAAAAATTATTTTTAAAAAAGTAAATAAAACTTTAGAGAGGAGATAAAATATATAATATAATTAATGTAATATAAGTAATTATCTAGTTTAAGATAGTCTTTAATTATATATTAATTTAATTTATAGTAAAAATATTTATTATAATTTTTATAAGTATTATTTTTAGGACAAAGAGATAAATAATAAGTTAAAAAAAGATTTATAATATTAAGATTTAAGATAATAAATAATAATAGGCTAAAAAGATTTATTAACTAGATTTTAAAGATAATAATTTTAAATATTTTTAATTAAAGTTTATAGACAAGTATTAATTCTAGTTAAAATTAGGGCAGGCTTTTAAAATTAATTATAAAAATATTAAATATAATAATTTTTTAACTTTTATAAAAAAATAATAAAATTAATATAATTTTTAATAAATAAATTTTAATATATTAATATAATTTTTATTTTTTAGTTAATAACTTTCTTAAAAAAAATAAAAAAATTATTTTTAGTTATTTTTCCCTTTATAACTAGTTATTAGAATTTAGTAAAAAAAATAAAAAATTTTTAGTTTTTTTATCTTAGATTATATAAAATATTTTAGGTATTATAAACACAGTTTAGGTTTTTATAAGTATAATTAAGTATTTTTAGAATTTTAGTATAATTTTTTAATTAATAAATTTTATTTTTAATATATAGGAAAACTTAAGTATAAAAAGGTTTTTTTAAATAATTAAAAATATAGATTATATAGGTTTAAGGGGTCGGGAAATAGTTATAATTTATTATTATTTTTTTTTAATCTAAAAGATAAAATAACAGAAATTTAATCTAGTATTTTTAAACTTATTAAAATTAGATAATTATTTAAAAAAATAGACAGAGGCAGAAGATCTAGGATTAATTAATATAAATATTTTTATTAAAATAATTAAAAATCCTTTAATAATAGATTTAAGGGTCTAATCTGGGGTATTAATTATAAATATAATAGTTTAGATTATATAGTTTTATTTTTAAATTATTATATTCTTATTAGCCAGGGCCTAAATAAGTTTAAAATTTAAGTTTTTTTTATAATTTATTTAAAAAATAATAATTTATATAATAATATTTATATTTTATTAAAGGCGGGAAACTTTCTAGCAGAAATATTTTTAATTAATATTAATATTTATTATAAATATATAAATCTAGTTATAATAGATATATTATTTTTTAATATATTTAGTAATATATTAAATAAATAATTTAAAATTTTTAGGGAAAAACAGGGGCTTTAAAATTTTAAATATATTAAATAAATACTAGCTTTATAAATAAGAGCTATATAATATTAAAATATAGGCTGGCAGGTTAATAAAATTAGTATAATAAAAGCAGGCAAGGTAAATAATCTAGCTAAATTAAACAGGCTAGGTTTATAAGGTCTTTAATTATCATTATAGTTAGATTATATATAAGATAATAAATAAAATATAGTTTAAAAAATTATAACAGAATCTCTAATATTTAGATTTTTAAGTAGTTAGGGGATCAGGATCAGGGATAGATTCTTCTGGCTTGGCGGTTCCGTCTGGTTCTGGCAGGCTTAGCAGTGCCCTCAGGTCTGCACCGTGACAGATTTTTAGGAAGTAATATTTAAATTTTTTAAAATTTTTTTAATAAAATAAATAAAAAGTAAAAAAATTAGAAATAAATTTATACTTATAATTTTATTTAATTAAAATAAGATCTTAATTAATTAAATTAATTAGTTTAGATTATATTAAATAGATATATTCTTTTTATAAAATTTATATAAAAAGATTTTAATTAAGTTTTTATTAATTATTTTTTAAAATATTATAGCTAAACTTATAAAAAGATATTAGATAAACTCTTGAATTATTAACTAATAAAAAGCTTAAAAACTTTATTAAAATAGGTGCTTTAGTAAAATAACATAAATAACTAATAAAATAAAATAAAAAGTCTTATTAAATACTGTATTTATATAATAGATTATTTTTTAAAAAAAGATATTTCTCTTAAAAAATAACCTTTTTTTAAGAAAGCTTTTTTACTTTTTAAAATAGTAATATACTATTTTTAAAATATTAATATTTTAAAAAAGAATAATTATTTTAAATAATAGGCCTCTAAAAAAAGAATACTTAAATAAAAAAATTATTACTTTATTTATAAAAGAAAAATATATTATTCCTAAAACTACTATTTCTAAAAAAAATAAAAGACTTTTTATGAATATAATTTTTAATAAAATAAAACCCTTAATTATAAAAAAAAGATAATTTCTTTTTTTAATAAAAAGATATGCCTTGCTGCATCAAGACACACGATTTTGGCTTGTCAAGATGATTATTCATTAGTATGCTAAGGTTGATAATAATTCTTGAAATCAATGAGGCCGAGCACTAAAAAGACCGAACAACAGCAAGGCAGAACAGCCATGTTAGTCAATAGAGGAAGATAAACAGACTATCAATATAACTAGTATAATAGCAAACGCCCACAAAACAAGCTAAGTAAATATATTAAGATAAAAATATATTAAAATAAGAATAAAACTATTTAAAAAAAATATTTATTAAGTTAAATTATCACTATCTTTAATAATCAGATTATTAATAAAAATAATAAGCTCTTTCTCAGTAATATCATACGCAGCAAGATTATTATAACTGTCGACAGCAATATTATTAGAGCGGGAGCGACCATAATTAATAATAATAATAATATTATTATTATTATTATCTTCGGGATGATCAGAGCAAGAGCAATAATCAGAGTAATAAAAATAATAATATATTATTTATTTATAATATTCAGCAGTATAGTTATTAATAATTCTAGCAATCTGCTCTTGTTGCACTGTTCTTTATTACATGTTCTGCGGCTGTGGTCTTAACGACGCCCTGTAATCCTGTACTATAGGTCTTAATAGTGTTCTATAGCTCCTGCTTTTATAAGGTAGAGAACTTAGTTATTTTTAAAAGAATAATTAATTAAATTATTATAAATCTGCGATCTAGTAAGAGGCTATTATATAGTAGTATATCTAGTTTTATCTAAATTTTTTCTTATTCTGTGTTAATAATAATTATTTATTTAATATTATTTACTTAATATTATTATTTTTTATTTTTAATAGTTTTATTCCTAGAGTTTATAATATTTAAAGATTTGTTTTTTAACTAGCTCAGGTATACTATATTATTATTTATTATTTTTAGTTTTTTTTATTTAATCTTATTATTTCTGATATTAAAATAGCTTGCTAAGCTTACTTATTAAATTAATATATATTATTATATTTTATTATTTTATTTTATTGATAATATTAATATATATATTATCTAGTATATTTAGTTTATTACTATAACTTTTTTATTTTTACTAAAATATTAATTTATATATTCTTCTAATTAGGATACTAATTATTCTTTTATAAAATATATTATTAAGGAATTTATTAAAATCTTAATATTTTTATTCATTAATTAAGTATTTCAGGACTAATAAAATTATTATTTTAATAATTAATTATTTTTAAAAAGATCTCTTATTATATTTATATTATAAGCTATATCTATAACTTTGTTATCAGACCTTATTAATATAATTAATTATTTATTATATATTACTTCTTATACTGAGAAAGAAAGTTATAATTAAGATAAGAAAAATAATTATAATAAAGATAATAAATCTAAGACTTTTATAGTTTTTAAGAATTTTAATATAGTTATTTTGCCGGCTACTATTAAGCTAATATATAAGATAAAAATAAAAAATATTAATAAGTATTTTAATATTACTAAATATTATTTATTTAATTTATTAAATTTAGATCTAGCTCCTGATCCTAATTCTATTAATTTTAATATAATTATTTTTTTTATAGAAAAATTATTAATCTCTGATACTAAGTATAAATTTAATTAATAAATATTTAATTTTATATATAATACTACACTAGAGCTTAGTATACTATCTATTATATTTTAGACTCCTGGCCTAGCTGCTAAATTAATAAAAATAAAAAATATATTTATATAAATCTTTTAGAGATAAAAAGTTATATAAGCTAAGTATAATATTATATAAAGTAATGTTATAGAGTCTTGTTACTTACTTGCTAAGTAATATAATAAATTAATATTTTTAAAAAACTACCTGTCAATTGGGGTCACCTGACATCACCTGATTCATCAGAATCACCTGATTTCGCCCCACAACTGAAATTATTCAAAATTCACTACGACTTTACTCTTACTTTATTGAACTCTCACTTCCACCACCAAATTATATGGGAGAAGTGAGGTGAAACTGAGCTCAATATGAGCGGAAAATAAAAAAAAAAATTTCCGAAGAATTTCCTATTTTGGACTAGCTTACCTTCCTAATTAAGAAATCACTGATCGCTAGAATCCTATGGAAGTCAGAAAATATAATTTGATAAATTTCCTATTTAAGAAATTAAAAGTTTATTTCAACCACTGTAGTTAATGGCTTTGTTTAAATGATTAATATAAAAGGTCCAGAATATCTTGCCTATTTATTTTATAAGTTATAAAATAAATATTGCTACCCTGGTCATTCTAATATTATTTAAATGATTTTATTATGATTTATGTGTTGAATCTTGATTGTTCTGATTATTCTAATTATAAAATCTTAATTATTTGATTATTTAAATAATTAAATATTGATCTAATAATAATTTATGAGGTTAATCTTGAAGGCCTAGATTAATAATATAATTTATAGATAAAGGTTTAGAAGGATCTAATGATTTTATATTTATAATATTTGCTTAGGGCCAGATTAAATTAGCCCTGATTTAATTATTTATAAATATGCAGTTAATAACCTGTATTAATTTATTCTTTTTATTAAGTTGATTTACCTACTTAATTTATTCAATTAAATTTCATTCATTTATTCAATTAATTTTACCTATCTATATATATAGCGAATGGTAGGACCTCTAGTCTATTATTAGATCTAGATGGTCTAGGTAAACTGTTTACTTTATCTGACTAATTAACTTTTCTTATTCTATCTAGCCATTTAAAATTTTTATTTAATTTATATAATTTACCTACCCCATCTGATAGTTATGAGCCCGGTCTAGCCCTTTGTTCCTATTATTTATGTATACACGTGAATTAATTATTTATTTGTCTGATTAAATTTATATATATTTAATTGAATTTATATTTACACCTGAATTAATTATTTGTCTGTTTGATTAAATTTAACCTATATATCAATTAATTATTTAATTACTCACTACTGCAGTGAACTATTTATTACTTATGTTAACTTAATTTATTTAACCTGTGTATTTACTTCAAGTATTTTATTTTACCCGTCTGAAGTGTTTAATTAATTTAAATTATTTTATTGATTTATTGATTAAATTCACATATATGTGAATTAATTAATTACTTGTCTATTTACTATTGTAGTGAATTACTTATCTATCTGATTTAATTGACCCTTACTTACCTAGTTCATTTTCACTTTATTGAACTTTCACTTTTATTATTGATTTATATAGTGAAAGTGAGGTGAAAGTAAGGTGAAATAAAAGTTAAGTGATTTGAATTGTTTTATTAATTATTTTAGCTTATTAATATAAATATAAAGCTTAATTTTTATTTAAACCAGTTATATAATTAGATTTACTGGTTTAACACTATTAAAATAATTACTAAAAGCAAATATATTTGGGAATTTATTGATCCTAGTTATATAATTATACTTAATTAACCTGTATGGCCTAGTCACCCGGAACCATGTAACTTTAATGGGAATGTTAGATTAATTATTAATTTAATCTAAAATAATCGAGCGCTTTATTAAGACTTTTTATATAATTATAAATTAGCACTTCAAGAATACTGCTACATAAATAAGAGCTTAGCCTTAATTCTACTTCTGATTAAGAATTTAATATTATTAGTTAATAGGGTTTTAGTATCTAACAAAGAAACCCTATATTATATACTATAGATCCTTTAAACAAAACTTGCTCTTACTAATGAATTAAGAAAACATAATATTATTAAGTAATATTATATACTTAAAAATCTGTAGAATAAATATTTAATTAATTTATATATTTCATTATGGGAAAATGTCTATACCGAAGCGAAATCACTTAAAATAAGCAAAGTAAATAATCTATACTAAGTTTAATATAATTTTATTAAAGCTATTTATGGGTCTTATTTAATATTTATAAATTATTAGAATAAAAAATTAAATAATAAAATTAAATCACGTGATAAAATACTATTATTTTTTAATATAACTAAGTAATTCAGAGATCACGTAAAGATATTCCTAATATTTAAATATTTAAATTAACTGAGCCGAATCGCTCAGGCAACCTTTAAAAGAGATGTCTTAGAAAATACCCCAAGCCCTAGATTTAATCCTAGAACTCCTAAAAAGGAACAAAACTGCCCCTGTTAATCAGACCTTAATAGAGGCTACTATAAATTTAACTAATGTTTCTATATTAATGATTTATTAAAGAAACTAGAAAATTAGTTATATGATTTTAAGGCTATTCAATAATTTAATAGAGCCTTTAAAAACCCTAAATTTTGCGCAGCGCTTAAAACCACAAAAATCACTTGAAATTAATAAATCAAGTAATAAATTAAAATAATAAATTTCTTACTAATTTAATTGTAATAGCTTCAATTTTAATAGGACAAGAAAAATATGCTAGTCCTAATTAGGTGTTTAATACTGCTGTAGATACCTATATTTATAATAATTAATTATTATTTAGTAATTATTATAAATTACCTATATTGATCTCTATAGAGAATACTTAAATATTAATTGAAAGTTTTAGAACAGTTAATTTAAAATCTTTAAATCCCTATAAAGATAAAATATTATTCGAATTATATTATTACGCCTATATTTTATAATTTTATATTAATATTCTATCTGCCTCAAAGGCAAGGTAATCGGGTATTTACCTTAATTCTAGGGCTATGTGCCTAAAAAGCCCTAATTACCGCCTGATTTGTAAAGTCCTCGAGATTACAGGCATTTATTTAATTAAATAGAATACTACTAATTAAATTTAATAGTCACCTGAATTAACTTCTGAATATAATTATATTTACTGTCTGAATTTATTATAGAATTTATTACTAAATACTGAAGTAAATAAATTAGAGGCCTATTTAGTAAAAAATTTGAATAAACTAATTATCTTTTATAAAATAGTTAAATTATAGTATTCAAGATTAGGGCACCCGAGCTCTGAAGCCCTAAAACACCTTAATTTAGTAATTAACAGAGTAAAAATTAATAATAAATTAACTAAAACTGAAGATTATTGCCTGATTTGTTAATTATTAATTTTAAAATATTAAATTTCTTGAATTCCGATTTAATTAGGGACTAAAGTATTTAAAACTATTTATTAGGACTTTATTTACTTAAATCAGGGAATCTACTAAAAATAATATATTAGCCATATATATTGCTCTTATTTAAAATTTTATATAGCTAAGGTAATTTTATTAAAAGATCACATGAGTAATTTAATTATCAAAATAATTTAATTTATTAAACATTAATATCACGTGACTATTAAATGATTTTATTCAGATCAAGATAGAAATCTAGCTTATTTTTATAATTACGCGAGATGTGAAGGGGTAATCTGCAGTACTAGCCTAATTAGATAATCTAAGCAGAACCTATTTGCAGAGTGTTCAGGTGCTTTAATTATATAAAAAATATAAATTTTATTTATTAATTTAAGATTACCGCTATACTTATAGCCAGAATTATTAAATATAGTGATATATATATTAAATCACATCCTTACTTCTTTATTAAAGTGGAGTACCCTGTATAAAACCTTATTTAAACATTTTGATCAGCCTCTATTATATATAATATTATTACTAAACCTTTCTAACCTAAAATAATATGGTTGCTGAGCTTATATAAGGATTTTAAATATTCCTAGGCTTAGTAAGCTTAAACCGAGAGCTCTGATTGGCTACCTGATAGGGTATGTTGTCTTAAATATATAGAGAATATAGATACCTGGTCAAAATAAGGTTATTTTAGTATGTAATTATATTTTTGATGAAACAAAGATCTATAAAAATAAATAAAATGTTTAAATATTTGAACTAGACTTAATTAGATTAGAAAATCCCGAACTGCTTAGTCTTAAAGAAATTAATAATTTAATCTTTTTAATTTTAATTAATTTACCTGAAATCACTGAATTAGGGTTTACTGAGAATAAAATTATTAATAATATTTATTCTGAACCCGAATAAGGTGAATCAGAATTATCTAGTAAATATAATTTTATTTACTATAAGCCCGAATATAAAAATCGAATTATTGAATTAAATGATTAAAATAATCTAATTTAATTAAATACTTAAAGTAATAAGATTTTAGGAGATCAACCTCTTACCCTGTATTTTTAATTACCCGAAGTTATTATTAATAATTTACTATTTAATTTTAATAATTATAATAATTTTTATAAACTATTATTTTTAAAAAGGAATAGGTCAGAATTATCTGATCTAGGACCTTTAAAATTATCTTGAAATTTTGTATTGGCTTAAATTAGTAATAATAAATTGTATCGAAATGATTTGCCTATTGAGCTAATTAATTAGAATAAAATAATAAATTTGCCCTTTTATGATAAATAGCTAAATGGATATAAAATTAAATATAATTAATTAATTAAAATAAATATTTGGGAAGCTATTCCTAAAATAGATAATTTAATTCAAAAGATCCTACTATTAAAATAGATATAGAAATATAAATTTACTGATCAAGGTGAATTATCAAAATTTAAAGTAAGAATATATGTTCGCGGAAACCTTTAACTAATTAATAATCTCGATTTTAGGGCTATTACTTTAGCCACATGAATATTTAGGATTATTATAGCCTTAATTACTGCTTTTGACTTTAAAACAGCCTAATAGGATATAGTAAATATATTTCTAAATAGTGAATTAAACAAACTAATTTATGTTTTACTGCCTCCTGGATTCAGTCAACAAAATAAGGTTTTTAAGCTAAAATAAGCTTTATATAGATTATGCCGATCCCCATTACTATGGTAATGCAAAATAGGGAATACTCTGTAAAAATTAGGCCTAAAATTAGTGCCTGAAGATCCCTGCCTATTTATAAATAATTATATAATTTTAATGATTTATATGGATGATATTATTCTACTATATAATTGAAATCATTAATCGAAAATCAACGAATTAAAAAATTAATTATTTTCGATATATGATTTAAAGGATTTAGGTGAAATTCACTAATTCCTAAATATAAAGATTATTTAAAACTGGTAAAATTGAATAATTTGGCTTAATCAAGCAGATTATATTAAAAAAGTTGCTTACCGCTTTAAATTAGCTAATCAGAATTTATTTAAAATGCCCCTACCATCTGGTAATTTAAGCGAATCTATAGGGTAACTGCTTATTAAGCCTTATTACGTGGATTATTAAAAGAAAATTAGCTTAGTTTTATATCCTGCAGTTATTTTTAGGCTAGATATTATAAAAAGTTGTAAAATCCTTGCAGAACATATAGCTAAACTTTATTTAAATTATATGAATATAGTAAATTACCTGATTTTATTTATTTATAGAACCTGATTTAATTTAATTTAATATAGTTTTAATTTAATAGATTAATTAAAATTACTATTAATTTTCAAAATAGCTAATAATATAGTTTATATAGATTTATTACAAAGAAAGTCATCTGAAGGTTTTATATATTATTTATTTAGCGGACCTATTAATTAGTTAGCTAGAAAGCAAAAAACAATTACCCTATTTACTACTAAAGCAGAATTATTAGCCCTAACTACGGCTAGTAAGCATTTTCTATAGTAAAAATACTTATTTATTACTATAGGGTTTAACCCTGAAGAAAAACTATATATTTATTATAATAATTATTAAATAATTAACCTGTTTATTAAGCCTAATTCAATTTATAAAACTAAATTAAAATATATAGACATTAGTAATCATTAGCTCAGGCAAGAAATTAAGAAAAAATCTATTGAATTAAAATGGGTCCCTT